GTAGTAGTAGTAGTAGTAGTAGTAGTAGTAGTAGTAGTAGTAGTAGTAGTAGTAGTAGTAGTAGTAGTAGGAGCAGCAGCAGCAGCAGCAGCAGCAGCAAGCTGGATGCGCAGGAATAAACAATGATCAAGCGAACAATATCGATGGTCTCGAAGCCAGATTGGGCTCTCCAAGCCGAGTGTTTCCAATTCGTAGACCCAGACCGACCTCAGGACCCTGGGCGGGTGGGGCGTTATTTCCATGGCGCTTCCCGTCCCACTGTCCATTGCTCACGACGCGCTCAAGACGTTGCACGAGGTTCGAATTTTCTGTGTCCGAGAAGTCATGAAGTTTCACCCTCGCGGGTGTTTTTGTTCTCTTCCGGACCACGAGTTGCTGATGGTTGTAGTCTGTGTGGACGTGTAGCCCGCCACTGTAAGGCACAGAATGGGAGGGAGGACCAAAGGGGCGCTGTGCAGTCGGACTTATTTTCCGGACTGTGGCTGTAGCAGAGCGGATTTCGGTCGGTCGAGAGGCTGGGATGTCAGGTTCAGGACTGTCGCCTCGGACGCTGGCATCTTCCCATATCGATACGTTGCCGATTGACATTGCAGAAGGAGATGCCGACATGCTGGGGTGCACGCTTTGTGAGTTCAACATACTGCTGCCGAGTGTTGGCTTTAGGCGGTTGAGTTTTGAGTTCTGCCCCTGAAGGAGTGGACTTGAGCCACGAGGGTGGCGATCAAGGTTGGGTGAGACTGTAAGAATGGCTGAGGTGCACCTCGAATTGCGGAGTCCGCTGACTCTTTTGTTCATTGGTGGTGTGGACGCGTTGAGGGACTCGACGCTAGTATTTTCGATACCATTGTTGCCGATACCATGGTATATCTTTTGACTTTGATGGTCAAGGAGTCGACCCTCCGAATTCATGCTACGGAGCATCATGACCGATCTCCGTAGATCGACATTGGCAGAAGAAGGTTCTCGATCCTTCGATATCGGGTAATATTTGCGTTTTTTGTGATGAAGGGGACTTGCGCCATGATTTCCATAGTCGTGTGTCGAGGCTGGTGGGTTGCGAGGGCCTTTGACTAATGACTTTCTGGGATAGAGCATGGAAGCATTGAAGGCTGGAGAAGGCAGTATAGGTGACTCAGAACTGCGATACTCTGGATGTTGAATTGAAAGGGGTGTGTTATTGAATCGTATCCCATAAGGGGATATTGGTGAGAGGGGCCAATTCCGAGGTGATGGATTAGCACAGTTGCTGGATGGCACCATCTGAACATCGGTTGCATTGAACACATCTGAGTCTGGACGTGGAGTACCGGAACAAGTACTACTTGGTGCATCAGCGAACAGATGGTGTGTAGGTCGTGTCGTAGGCGTCAGAATGGGTCGATTTCGAAAAGGTGATGGTGTGGAGCTGGCTGAGGTCTTGTAATCAATTAGTGATGGTTTGACCTTCGGGGCAGCCGTGGTATCCACGACTTCTAGTAACTTGGCAGGCGAGTGCTCAAATCGTACTGCTCGAGTTTGGACCGATAATTGCTGCGCGTCTTGAACCTGAGGCATTGCAGCGATTTTGTCATGTTTGAATTTGCTATCCAATATAGGCAGGTTGGTAATACGAACACAATTTTGGCGCCGATGTCCCCTTCTCGCCCCATCAAGTGCTGTCAGAGAGAGTCGATTGCTCTCAAACATGCCGTGTTTCTGCCCTTGTGAGAATGTTGTAGTCGCTACCGAAGCGGGTCTTTTAGCAATAGGCGCCTGTGTAGCTGAAGCTTGGGGTGAAGCGTTGCACATTACGGAATCACTTGCAGCTCGCCATTCCAAAATTCTGGATGGTTCGTACATCGAATGCCTTTGAGCTTTGACAGCAACCGATCGAGTTTCGTTCACCTGTAGTGGAAGAGGATTCTCCCATGTACTGGCGTCAATTGTCTTCAGAGAGTCCTCATGAGGATAGCTGAATAGGCGTTGCGAAGGATTGAAGTGAGCTGTTGCTGCTTCATGACTTGATCCATCTAGGTCTACACTGGGGTGAAGCGAGCGAATACTCAGTCTGCCTCCTACAAAGCCATGAATTGTTCGTCTGCCAGGGGGAAGCTGAAGCATCAGTGCTGAGATTTTGTGCCTGAGATCGAACTCAAAGGTAGAGTATCCTGTGTCTGATACTATCTGAGGAATAGTCAAATCTGTGTCGGCATTTGATGGTGAGCTCATAATGTTCCCGAGCACAGAGCTTCCAACGGCGTCCAGGCTGATATCCGAAGCTCTAGTCCTCAGTTTTCGTGATTGCTGATAAGTCTCTATCGTAGGAAGTGGTGGAAGCGGGTCGCCAGGCGCGGATGATGTATTACTGGTCATACTTTGGGAGCGTGGAACAGACGATGGCTGTTGCGACTTTCCACCAGCTTTGTTCGAAAGGCCTCCCACTCTCATTAGCACGCTTGTTCTTGCCGCTACTGATGCCACTGGTGTCGGCATAGAATCGGTTGAGCTTGATATCGCATTTGGTAAGGGCCATTGAATTGAAGTTCGATCCTGCTTCGGATCATTGATATGTCGCTCAATCATCGTTGTCGGACATTCGTTCTCCGCTCGTGTGGCGATTGAGGACGTACAACTTCCTGAATTCCTCAATTCGGCGATAACTGCGAGCGAAGATTGTTGAGCTTGATCCATTTCAGTGACTCTCCTGATTCTTTTTTGTCTCCGTGACTTCGGAATGTAGAGTTGGTGTCCGCTCAAAGAACGTATTCGACTCCTCTTTCTGTCAGCGATCGGAACCGTAGCTTCAATGGATGTGTGCCTCAAAAGGCTGGAGTCTTGGATTCCCCTGTTCGAACTCGTGTCTTGCCAATTAGACACAACAATACCATCAGGCATTTGTACACTTCGCCTTAGAGCGGCAGTTGGCAAAGTAATGTTCGAATAATTCTCCTCGTTGACACTGAGCTTCGGTCTGTGATACGTACTGAGGCCTCTGGTCAGCCCGTGAGCTTGGAGGAAATGGCGATTTCTGCGGCGTTCAATCTTGACGGCTACAACAACGCCCATGGTCAACATCGCGAAGCCACCCGCGAGGGCGACTCCAATGATCATCGGTATTGGCCACATCTCTTGGTCCTAGGCGCGGCCGACTTTGACGCACCATGCAGAAGTTCATCGGTGGAGAATTGTAGCCTACATGAGTAACAATATGGTTGAAAGCCTAGGTTTGGTCCATTGGAATGTGGGAAATTGGAAATGAGGAATGTAAGGGATGATAGGAATGTGAGGCTCGAGACAGGTCGTGACCTACATTGTAGCCACAGCCTCGTCTACACAGAGCCTGGGCTTTGTCCACTGTCTGCTCTCATAGTCCAGCAAAGGATATCGGCAGGTAACATACTGACCTGGTAGAATCCGAGAACATTCTAAGTAACCACGTAGGTGAAGGCAGCAGAGTCCGATGTTGCTTTGGACAGCAAATGTATTCCACGAGAGCAGTAGCCACCATACCCTTGTGAAAGGTATTCTTCATAATGTGTGAGTCCTCTTTTTAATCAAAAATCCGAAGAGCTTTAGAGGAAGAGTTGATGGTAGAGCTCCCAGGTAAATCAGTACAACGGAGGAGGAGTACAGTCGGGTTTATGGCTCAATTACTCTAACCGCCAAAGCGGAAAGATTCCGGCGGTCATCAGAACAAGATGTAACTCTTTCATCGGACAACCCACATTAGTACATCCCGCCATTATCTTCTCTTTAGATTCGTTCTTGACAGAGAGGAGATTGTACGGAGTTTGAGATTGATATTTTAGGTTCGGTGGTCCTCCAAGGCAGCCCAAGTGATTTTCTCAACGCCGGGACTTCGTCGTGGTTTGGCTAGGGACTTCCATTCTAAGAACAACCAGGATTGCGTGCGCTCTGCGGGGCGGGAAGACTTCTCCAACTGGAATAGACGTGCAATTGCGAATACCTGGAGGTACATAAGGTAATCATCTTCGCTAGAAACCGACAGGTTCAACTCCGTTTCTTCCCTGCTCGTGACTGAAGGTGAGGTTTTGCTTTCTTTCTGAGGTCGTGTTACAGATTCAAACTCTCTCCTCATCGACGAATTTCACCAGGCAGCATACAACCATGGATGACGCAATTTCAGGAAATGCGTTTAAGCACTACAATACCGAGGCACCAAAAGCAACTCATGTTCTGCCTCTATTCTCGTTGAAAGGCAAGACGGCGATCATCACCGGTGCAGGTGCGGGTATCGGATTGGCCGTTGCTCGGGGTTACGCAGAGGCTGGAGCCAATGTCGCGATATGGTACCATGGAAATAAAAAAGCACTCGATCGTGCGGCCGAGATTGAGAAGGAATTTGGGGTCAAGGGTGAGACTGGGTGATTGCAGAGGAAGGATATCCCTCAAGCTGACAAGTTCGATTCTAGCCCGAGCATATCAAGTAGATGTCAGAGACCCGAAAGCAGTTGATGAAGCCATTGTATCTCAAGTGAAGGAATTCAACAATCGCTTAGATATCTTTGTGGCCAATGCTGGTATTCCTTGGACTCAAGGGGCTGCTATTGGAGGAGATATTGAGCACTATCAAAACGTGGTAAGAACCGATATTGATGGAGTGTTTTACGGTGCAAGGACTGTGGGACGGATATGGCGCGAACAGAAGAGGAGCAAACTGGAGAATTTCAATTATGGGAAGTTCATCGCGACAGCCTCGATGAGTGGTCATATCGCCAATATTCCTCAGCTTCAAGCAGCGTACAATGCTTCAAAGGCCGCAGTCAAGCATTTGACCCAATCTTTGGCCATTGAATGGATTCAGTTCGCCCGCGCCAACACAATTAGTCCTGGATACATTGCCACCGAGATCAGCAACTTTGTCCCACCAGAGACCAAGGACATATGGAGGGATAAGATTCCCATGGGTCGTGAAGGTGAGCCAATTGAATTGGTCGGGGCTTATCTTTATCTTGCGAGTGATGCCAGTTCATACACAACTGGCACGGATATTGTCATCGATGGAGGATATATTGCTCCATAGAGAGGATTGAATTATGACGGTTCCGACTTCAAAAGCAATTGAATGTGTCTCTTGTAAGATTTTTGCAATAATGAGACGTGCTTTCATGACTCGGTCTGCGATGTACCTCTAAGCGATTGAGGTGTGGCATGGGATGTCTGTTGGATTTCCACCAGTATTGTGAGCACCAAGTGCAAACGATGCACGGCGGCGCTGGGCGATTTTGCTGTTGTACACCTCTCCCATCGCAACTACTGGTACGTTAAACTGGATAGGTTGTCGTGGTCTGAGTTGAGATCCAGTCACATTTGCTGCCGAGTATTGTGTCTCAGCTGGAGGTGGTAATGGTCGCAAACTCTCCAGAGTCAGCGGATTGTGAGAAGACTGCTGATTATTTATTCGCAGCGCCTCGAGGTATCTCTTGGCTATGAAAGCACACACCAAGATCAAGCATGTAAAGACAATTGCAAAGAGCACACTTGATTGCCATGTCTGGAATGGGTGATCGAGGAAGTTCAGGATAGGACTCATGGTGGCTTCCCCAGGTTCAGTTCCGAGGTGAATCTCGGTATGCAATAACCGAGTCAGGTTGAAGTCGGTACTGAGATAGGGTCTGACACACCAGGGATTTGACGGATACTGAAATATTTCCATGATGGATCTGAGAGTGATGGTGACTGTGAAGTCACGCAGTGGGAATAGGTCAATCCTGGCGTTCCACTAGTCACTTCACTTTCATGCCACCAAAAGCACGATCGAGTTCTTCGCCTTCCCGGCTAGGAGACATTGCAGGAGCAGTTATCACGTTTGTAGGTTGGTGATCCAGGAGATTCTGATCAGCAGAGGCCTTTGAGGCGGCCTTTGTAGGCTCGAGAATCTTTTCTGAACGATCTAACCACCCAGGTGCAACTCTTCGCTTTTCTGCCAGGTCTCGGTCTTTGATGTCCTGCTCCCAGTCGCTGATTGCCTTTTCTGCCGTCTCCTTTGTTTTTCGAAGGTGGTCTTGAAGGGCCTTACACGATGCTACGATGTCGTCTGGATGAGCAGTATGCCCGGAGGAAGATGTGATGTATTTTGGCTTGTCGGTACCATTTTCAGATATGACAGAAGGGGGAAGTGATGTGGGCACGGATCGAAATGAATAGGGGAGGGTCACGGCAGATGGAAGCGATAGAAATGGAGAGACTGTCAGAGGGATCTGTGCGAGCAGCGGATGTGGTTCTGAGAAGGGGTCAGTGGGCAGCAGTCAGCGGTTGCGTGGTGTTAGACCTACGATGAGGGTCGAACATGTTGATTGGATTTGAGAGGATGGGCGGATGAGTGAGGTGTGAGGTGGTGAGGCGTGTAGCAGTTTCAGGCTCTTTAACGTCTCGAAAGATGTGAGTCGAGAAGATGCGTATTGGGTCTGGAGATCTGAGGAGAAACAATTCTCCGATCTGCCGGTGGCGTTGGAGTTGAGCTTCGCTACCCCTCCAACTGTGGCGGTCTGCCTGTGGCTGGATCCCGGTCTGATAGTGGCTACCTACTCGTACTAACTACTAGAGCCAACATTTCTCAATCGGAGGCCGACTCCTCACCTCCACTGCAGGCCCTTCAACTCCCCCTCATCCATGTGCCCCCTCTCCTTCTCCTCCAGTTTGATCCTTAAACTAATTCGATTAACCCTAACTGGCTCCAAGCTTCTAGGCATCAGAACTCCCCGTGAAATTGTCTGGTGGACTCTATTCCGTATCCGTAACTGGACTTGCAGATGTGCCCAAATCACCGTGATGCACCCTGGAATCTGCATGGTCTTTGTCTTGGAGCGTCCCAAATCCTCAGCCCTGCACTAACTACCTCTAGGTACTCTCTCACTGCTTACTCGGTGTACGGATTACCACTGCAATACCGTGACAATCGAATATCGGTTGCTTCTCAGCCCCCACTACAAAACATCAGTCTGATTTTCAGCTCTAAAATACATGATAAACCCCTTCTTCCCCCTTGACCTCCATGGACACCAGCTCTCAATAAGTCGTTGATCCCGTTTCAGTGTGCCGCAAGCTCTTCAAGTTCGGTGTCCTTGTACCGCCAAATCGGGTCAAGCCCCCACCTGGCAGTTAGTACTCCGGAGTACTGCTCCTAACGGAACATTATTCAAGTGGCATCTGATTTCATCTCCTGCAACGTGAACTGGCACTCGCCGCCTTTCGTCTCCTCACCACACAACCACCTCTACCACTACCCAGACAGATCTGACCTTGTCTGACATTTTGATCGACATCCTGCGCACCATCCCCTTCACTTTCGTTCCAAGGATACTTTCGAGACCGTCCACACTGCCCTTTCCGTCTCAACCCCACTGCGCCTTGAGCGCCACCCTTCTCCCATCATGGCAGACTCAATACACAAGGCAGTCATGGACAAGAAGCCTGTCCCAGAGATAGACTTCACCCTACACATCATGGAAGATGGCACTCAAGTCAGCACCCAAGAACGGGTCTGCAAAGGTCAATCTCGTCATCCACATTCATTTTGTGCTACCATGCTCATGTTTTCCCAGATGTCCAAGCCCCTGCAATGCAACCTCCTACCAATGATCAATTTTGGAGTCCTAATGATCGCTCGAAGCCCAATCTTGCCTTTCTCAAGCAGCATTTTGGTAGAGAAGGTCGTCTGACCGAAGAACAAGCCCTCTGGATCATCAACGAAGGTGCCCAAGTCCTCAAGGCCGAACCCAATCTGTTGGAGATGGATGCGCCTATCACAGTCTGTGGCGATGTTCACGGCCAGTACTTTGATCTCATGAAGCTGTTCGAAGTCGGTGGAGACCCGTCCGAAACTCGTTACTTGTTTCTGGGAGATTATGTGGACAGGGGCTATTTCAGCATCGAGGTAAGAAGGCTCACACTCGGTGGTAGGATACGGTTCTGATATTATTAGTGCGTCCTATACCTATGGTCATTGAAAATCTGGTACCCGAACTCCCTCTGGCTTCTCCGTGGAAATCACGAGTGCCGACATTTGACCGATTACTTCACCTTCAAGCTGGAATGCAAGCACAAATACTCCGAGAAGGTATATGAGGCATGCATGGATGCGTTTTGCGCATTGCCTTTGGCAGCAGTGATGAACAAACAATTCTTGTGTATACACGGTGGACTGAGCCCAGAGTTACATACATTGGAGGACATCAAGAGTGTAGGTTGAGCTGTGGTGCATTCGGGACACAGGACTGATTTTTTGCAGATTGATCGATTCCGCGAACCCCCTACCCACGGATTGATGTGCGATATCCTCTGGGCGGATCCATTGGAAGAGTTTGGACAAGAGAAGACAGGAGAATACTTTGTGCACAATCATGTCAGAGGGTGCTCTTACTTCTTCTCCTATCCAGCCGCCTGCAATTTTCTGGAGAAGAACAACTTGCTTTCCGTCATCCGAGCGCATGAAGCTCAGGACGCAGGCTATCGTATGTATCGCAAGACTCGGACCACTGGATTTCCCAGTGTGATGACCATCTTCAGCGCACCCAACTACCTTGACGTTTACAACAATAAAGCTGCGGTTCTGAAATATGAGAACAACGTGATGAACATCCGACAGTTCAACTGCACTCCTCATCCTTACTGGCTCCCGAACTTCATGGATGTCTTCACCTGGTCACTACCATTCGTGGGGGAGAAAATCACCGACATGCTCATCGCCATTCTGAACACCGCTTCCAAGGAAGAACTCGAGGATGATGCCCGAAGCTCGAGCATCGGACCAGAAACACCCCCACTTGATAATCCAGAGACTACAGAGGCCAAACGACGAGCCATCAAGAACAAGATCTTGGCGATTGGACGTCTTTCAAGAGTTTTCCAGGTCCTACGAGAGGAATCCGAACGTGTCACCGAACTCAAGACACAAGCTGGTGGTCGTTTGCCAGCGGGTACTTTGATGCTGGGCGCTGAAGGTATCAAGCAAGCCATTCACAACTTTGAAGATGCGCGAAAAGTCGATCTTCAAAACGAGAGACTTCCTCCTTCGCCCGAAGAAATTGAGAAAATCAGTGCTGAAGATAGGCGAGCGGCCTTGGAGCGTGCTGCCACCGAGGCTGACAATGACACCAATCTGCAGGGTGTGGCGCGAAGAATCAGCGTGTAAGTGTTTCAGACCCACATTTGACCAGGATTTCAAAACTGACACAAATTAGTGGTGCAAGCTCGCGTGGCCACCGTCATAAGCAATAGAGAATGACAGCCGGGTGATGGTACGCGATCAATGCTCCACTGCGATAACATCGGCTGGATCTGATGCTATACTAGTATACGATACTAGTTTGAATGCAGAGGATGTGGAGGAACATGCTCAAACTGGGTTGATTGATATGATTTCTCGAATCAATCAAGTAACGGAAATGACTGAACGAAAGAATGGCGAGGTTTGTCTCAAATGTTCATTGACACGTAGACAATTTTGTAGCTGTGGAGATGCCCTCTTGACCAGGCAGACCTGCATTGGCACCAACTTATAAAAATGACAGAGTGGTCCACTGACATTTGCCCCCCTTTCGAATATTAAAACAACAATCTTTCCAGGTTCATTCTTCTTCCTTTCCTTTGCCATATTATGCTTAAGTCTGCTGGAGCACAGGCTCCGGTGCTGCTCAGACGCGACCATAAAACGATTGTATCGCAGTATGATTCCATTCAGACCCTGTCACTGATTCCCACTTAGCGATGCAGCCAAAGTCATGCACACCGCTTTTCCACTGCTAAAAGCCATGGAGCGATGAAATGTGAGTTGGGTGCAGCACGAGCGAGTTGTGATGGCCAAATGCACTTTACGCGTCACGGTGGCGACCAAAACGCGATGGATCACGTTGCTAGGAAACCGTGTTGGGCTAGCGGCGCCTAGCTCGGGGCGGCTCGTCCCAGAGCTGCCGAACCGATTGAACCAGAGCCTGAGACCACTTCAAGTTGGTGTTTGCTCCATCCAGAAGTTCTCCATTCTTCTGGACTCCCCTCAGTTGCCTGAGGCACAAACGTCTTGAAAGCCAATGTAGATTCTTCCTTAGCCCATCAGTCTCTACAGCGTGCTGCGTGTGATTTTGGTGCTTTTTGGGAAGTCATTGGGCTTTGGCGTACGGCGACCTATATACTCTGTGCTATCTCTTGGCGCATTGTTTCAACTCCTGGATTTTGTGCAACCTCAGCTTGTGAGTATATTTTCTTTTGTCGACTTCTTACCGAAGTGACAATCGATTGATGCCATGTGCACCTGGACAGCATTAGACTCATCCAATTCTCCATTAAGTGTTCAAACTAGTCTTCACAAGGATCTAATGTAACGGTCGCCCAACAATTACAATGCCAGAAACACCCCGCCGTGTCAGAGACAAGGTCGACACTACCATCGACGCACTCAATGCAAGATGGGACCTGCGCCTTCCTCATCTCCATGGCCCTGAGGCGTGGACCGCCGAAAATCAGCAGTCTCTTGGCAAGAAATGTTCGGCCAAAATCAGATACCTTTGCTTCAGACCTGTGAACCTCGAACGCATTACAGCAGACTTCGAGGTCAAGGCTCGACAGCTCTTTACTCATTGGGTATTCAAGCCCTCCCAAGAACGTGGCACCATTCCCACCTGGCCTGTGAAGAAAAGCCAGGTCGAGCACGATCTCCGGTCAAAATCCAAGTCTGGGGTCGTCTCCCTCACTGAAACCCAACGACAACAGCTTCATGAAGTCCTTCACTCGATACTTGATGAAGACTACCAGCTCGCACGGGAGACTGATGCTTATGAACGTAAAGACGGTCCTTCCTCGGTTTCAGCTAGCTCATCATCGACCAACTCATCGTACCACACGCCTGCACAGTCTCCAACTACAAACCGCCGCTCCAAGCACATCACCAAGGTAGTCAAGCCAGACGCTGATGAGCCAGAAATGAAGGATCCACTGGGAAAGTCAGCCAAGCGGTCCTTCAATTCACCCCCAAAGGTTGCACTCTCCACACATGCGTGTTATCATGTTGCTAATTCTTGCTCTAGAATGCCAAACGTCAACAGACAATGATTGAATACCTGAAAGCACGCCCCGCAGTTCATTCAAGTGGCTGTGAAGAACAAAAACCGCCGGGATCCTTTGAAACAGTCCAGTCAGGAGCAGCCCCGAGTGTCTTTTCTTCTGCCAACAGAAGCCACACCGACACCGGATCAGCGGACACGTCACTATGTGAGCCAGATTTACCGAAATCACAGGACCTCATTTGTACTCAAGCTACAGATGAATACAATTTCATTGAACAAATGGAAAGATCCATTACCGAATCAATTGGGCCAACGCTACCCGTTGGAGAAGCACGACTTGTTGAGTCACAACGACCAATTGACAAATTGAGCCCTAGTGACATAACATATTTCGACAAAAACTCCCCATTCAAGCCGAGACCAAGGCTCGCTAATGAGATGCCATATTGGCAGTGTTGGGACATCCACAGAATTGCGGACGAACTGGACATGGATCCCAACGATCTGATCGAAATGGTCGTCCGAATCATGGCGTCGAGCAAGAACAAGAACAAGGGCGACAGCTTTTGGGAAGCAATAAAATCTATTTTTGCAAGGCTGAAGAAACAAATCGTACCCAAATCGGAATTTCACAAGTGGATGGTGAGTTCGAGTCAATACTATGATGAGACAAGCAATACAGCCACTTCCTTCAAGGGAAAATTTGAATGGTGCAAGGATACATCGAAGGGCCTGTTCGATTTCAAATTGAGCCCTCTACAGTCAGACAAGTCGTACCGCTTTCAGAGGCATTTTGGTGCCGATCGATTTCTTATCGTTTCATCGCCTGTTCTGTCACAGTGTCCTTTACTCAAAAAAGAGACACCAGCAACCAAGGAAATTGTGCATGAGAATATCTGCGAATGGCTTGTCAAAACCCCTCATTATATTGCAGGGAGGTACTGGAGGGTGTTTTATGCCGAACAAGACAAGGCGAAAAAGAGGCCAAAAGATCAAAATGAAACCCCGAGAATAAAGTTGTTTCTTTTCGCCGAGTCAGGGGTCGGCATTGAGCCGATCATGCTCACAGACCTCCACTCTTTGCAACCCTCTCTCGGAACACGGCATCATCAGGAGATCAAAGTAGAAGATTTGCTTGAATGGCACATGCCAATGAGCCATAATATACGCTCGACCGATCTCAAGCTTTTTTCGAGGCTAAGTCTTGGCTTTTCCAGGACTACCCCGACCGTCGTACTCCGGCGTGATCAGTTCATCTATGTGTCCGACACTCTTGGAACCACAGGAACCGACGGATCAAGAAAGGTCATGAACGATGGTTGTGCGCGCATGTCACTAGCTCTTGCTCAAGCAATATGGAAAAAGTGTGGCGACACCTATGGGTATGATGTACCTAGTGTGGTACAAGGGCGAATAAGTGGTGCAAAAGGTTTGTGGCTGGTTGACTACGAGAATACGTACGCCGATCAGGGTTATGAGAACAACTATTGGATTGAGGTCAACGATTCTCAATTGAAAATACAACCTCATCCGGCTCTTCGACACGATGCTGATGAAAGTCAGCGCACATTCGAAGTATTGAAGCATTCGGGATTACCTACAGAGGGTCACCTCAATTTGCAGTTGATCACCGTTCTAGAGGACAGAGGTGTGTTGCCAGCTGTCTTTCAGGATGCACTGGTGGCAGACACGAGTGCTTACTCGGGTTCTCTCATGGCCGCTATGCTAAGTCCCACGACTTTAGCCCTGTGGCTTCAAGAATACGCATCAATCGCCAAGGCTGAGATTACCAACATGCTTGGTAGATTTCCTTCTGAAAAAGCAGATCAAGTCATCTTACTATTGGATGTCGGGGTGGAGCCTGCTGACAGTGCCATGATTGCCGATGCTATTTACAAGATTCTAAGCAACCATATGGAGGAATATGTGGAGAGACTAAAGATCAAAGTACCAAATTCAACTGTTGTGTTCTGTGCTCCTGATCCCTTAGGCGTTCTCCAACCAGGAGAAGTCCACATGGGATTCACGAAATCGATCAATGATCCTCGCACAGGGGTCCCTGAGAACAACCTCGACAACATACAGGTTTTACTCGCCAGAAATTCTGCATATCTACCCTCCGATATCCAACAAGTGACCGCAGTCTACAAGCGCACATTAAGGAATTACAAGGATGTCATCCTGTTCTCTACTCGAGGAGAAATACCCCTCGCATCTTTGCTGTCTGGTGGCGACTATGATGGTGACACTGTCACCGTTATTTGGGACCCCAAAATTATTGAACGTTTCCACAATGTCGACAAAATACCACAGTTGAAAAGTGAGATAGAGTGTGGCCTAGTCAACAGATCAAGGCCCCTCTCAACCATTTTCGGCGATCATCCGACACAGCCCAACAGCGGTGATTGGCAAACTTGTCTGAAAGGGTGTATTATGTTCAACTCCCGGCCGAGCCTGATGGGCATGTGCTCCTCCGAGTATGAAAAGCTTGTGTACTCGTTAAGCGTTGCTGGTGACCAGTCTAAACTATCGCATGGCGGTGTCTTGGGCCTTGCTGCTCTCGCGGGGTACCTGGTCGATGCGACCAAAAAAGGCTGGGAACTCACAGACAAGGGCTGGATTCAATTCAAAAGAGGCGCATCAGGACGACTTGCCTTGCCCGTTCCCGCTTACAAGAGTGACACGCTGCCGGCAATTTGCGCCAATGTCATCGACTTTCTAAAGTTTAAGGTTGCCAAAGGGCAGATGGGCAACGCCAAGAAAGCTTTCGTTGAAACATATTCAAAGAAAGCAAAGTATGACCCAGACATTGGTGCTTTTTGGAAGCACTACATGGCGAAGGCATTGGCCGAGGGGTCATTAGTCTCAGGCACGAGGTCTCGAAATGCTTTGCCGGAGCCAGCTTCTTTGACAAGCCTTATTCTCCATGGTGAAAACTCACTCAGCAACAAGATCAAACAGATCGTTCAAGATTGGAAAGATGGACATCGTGGAAACAATAATAACAACAGCTTCCATCCAGAGTCCCACGGTGAAGGCAGGAATTTCGTGTTAGCGATTAATGATATCAATCACCAATTTCAGAGCATTGCGCCACCACCAATGTCTCATCACTGGATTCGTGACCAACACGAGGATGGCCTAATGTCTAACTTATCGATATGGTCTCTACTTCGTGCTTCTTGCCTATATTATGAAGTCTGCTGTGGAAAGGGTCACTCCTCGTGGATATGGTATGTTGCGGGACCCGAGCTCTGTCTCCTCAAAGCGCTCAAATGTGGTCTGGATTCTCGAGTGGTTTTGGACAGGATGCACAGGATGATGAAAGTTGACACCAAACATGCCCGGCGCTTATTGGAGAAACAGGAGGAGTCATTTGCCAACTTTGAAGAGGAGGATGAAAACGACGGTGATTGAATGAAATGAGTTTCCACATGGCGTTTGAGGAAGGATACCCCACCAACGTGTTGGATTATTGTACAGATAGAGCTCAATTGCGGCAAGACGAATTCTTGAATGAGACTGGCAAGTGTGGTCCCTGTTGTAGGAGTTTGGATGGAAAATTTTGGGATGCATCCGTTTCCGGGAATGATTCAAGCGGAATTCGCCAGCCTTCTCCTTCCTCACCCCTTCCCGTCTCCTTACCTGCCTCCCTTCGACAGCCCATTCCCTCTCGAGGCGATTATTGAATATTCTTCCGAACGCGTTTCAAGCCTTCATCATGGCCCCGTTCCCCAGATCACTGACTGCTGAGCGGTCGAATCGAATCTCCCCATCTACTCATCTGAGGGTAAGGCAAAGAATGACATGATGCAGCACTTGGGCAAAGAACGCAGCTTGAATTACGAACGAGTCAGAAAATGCAGTGTGTTGCTTGCAATATCACTCGCACAAGTTATACTATGTCTAGCCGTGTTCCTGCGTTTGAAACGAGCAGTTTCGCCAACGATTGCTCTAGGGGTTGATCTATCCATTGGTCTTGTAAGTCGATAAGCTGAGCAACCGAATGTGTCTCAAGTGCTAACAATCAGCTCCAGAGCATACTGACCTTCTGTATTTCTGGACTGCGGTTCTACCTCTCTCGAGTACCCCTTCCGAGTCAAGGCCCGGAATCCCAGGACAATATCTCCACAGCCTCGTCACGGAAAGCTCGGCTGGAGACGACTTGCCGACGCGGAATTAAAGTTTTACTCTGGCTTTGGACGGCATTATCAGGATGGAACATGGTGATTGCTATCAGAGCTCCTGTCTGTGCCGAAAGTCCTCGGGCGCTTGTGAAGATGAAAGGGGTCCTCCTCGATACTAGCTGGAAGTTCGGAACTCCTTGTCGAGTTCATCGCGCCATTGTTGCACTCTCGGTCATCCTACTGTACGTTCAAGCTGCAGAATCAAAGGTCGAAATTGTCGAAACTGGCTGACCAAAAATAGGACTTGTCTCCTGTTCGTGTACTTTATCACCTATTGTCGCTCTTCTCGAGATTCACTTCCTCGACGATACATGCTGCCATGTGACAAAGAGGGTCAGCTCTACCTGGTTTCCGAGGGAAGATCAAATCAACATGAACGAGAGCAATGGCTTCAGCGCAGAAATAGTATTTCCTCCCAGAGAGCCATCTTCCCCTACAAAGTCGACAGTCATCCCTTTGAGCATAGACCACGATATGCCATGTACAATCATGCACCCAGCAGTCGCTATTCAAGCACTTTGCGGTCTGTTTCGGAAGGTGCATGTTTGGACCTCAGCAGTGACAGGAGCTCGTCTCTCAACTCCACACAATCTTCAGGCTCCTTTGCGAGGTCTGGTCGAACCTCAACAACCTTCCATTCTACGCGAACCCGAGCGACTAGCAACCCAGAGAGGCCCGTCACTGCTCGTCCTGATAAAGGCTCGTCAGGGAAGGACGCCATTCCAGATGTACCACCTCTACCTGCAGCACCTGCACCGACCTGGTCTCCAGCTTTGAACCATACTCCATTAAGCGCTGATCCGAGTATACGTGCGTGGACTAGTGAGAGTGAGGGAGGGCAGAGGTCGTCTGTGTTGTATTCTCGATCCTCGCCGCCTTTCATCTTTCAGCTCCCACCACGGTCTCGCTCAATGGAACCCAAGATCCGCAAAAGAAGTCAGGACTCGACAAGCGAGACACCAGCAAAGCAGAAGACCCGTACAGTGACTCAGGCTACAACGGCACCTACTCTGATGACCACAAGTTCTCCTCCAAATACTTCGCCGCCCGGTCCTCCCCCGACCTCGAACCTCCCTGTCCTTCCAACAGCACCTACAGTAGCATCAATCCCACCCGCAATCCCTCTTCGCGCACCAGGACACTCCATCTCCCGCGCAACAACTTCCCACGACCCTGCGACCCCTTCTGCTGCTTCATCCCTCCGGCCAGCCCTCCGCCGCCCCTCTCCACTGCGCTATCGTCAACACCCCTCCAGCCACAGCTACCAACACCACCCGCAGCACTACCACTATACACCTCAACAGCACTATCAGAAATATCAGAGCGAACTAGTCCTACAAGCCGGCATGGGCACGACACAGCTTAGTGCTCCACATTCCCGTACGTACCGGCGTCAAGACCACCGCCGTGGTCGCGATCCCATCAGCTCGAGCATCTACTCCACCAGCTCGTGCGGGACGTCGCGGACCATGGCGTCAACGGCAGCAAGTACTCTTGCCGTCGCAAGATAGGTTGCATATTTGGCTACGGCGTCTGGTTCTGTTTGAAGTAGGTGCATCACAGGATTTGGCAATGATGATGTGTGAAATCAGTTGTTTTTGCAAGGCAGCTGTGTTATCTTACGAGGAGTTTAGCTTATGATGATTCTTGACATGAAATGGAATTCGCCCAGAAGGGGACAGAATGAACAATCTGAGATCTGAGAAATCAAGTGTTGACCAGTAAACCCCAGAGAGTAGGATTCGAGATGGGTGTTGGCTACTACCACGTATTTCGAGGAGCCTCTCTGCCCGTCTATGATCAAATGCAGACGGTGACACATGCGCCTAAACTAAAATACACCCGAGTTCTTGTCAAGTCTCCGACGCCTCGGCTCCCAGCAACCATGGCTTCTCGGCCCCTTCCACATTCAAGAGGCTGAACATCCGCTTGCAGGTCCGCCTTAATTAGTTCGTCAGGAACGAGCCATGTTTTATGTCCATTGTTCCTTTCAACCATTTAATATCAGCAATCAAATACTAGTTGCTATTCTTCCATGCCTATTCACATGTCATGAAAACATCAAGTCCTAAATATATTTTCGCATCACATTGAGATGCCAAGTCGCTTGCACAGCCGCAGAAATCTGCAGTTCGCAAATCTAGATTCATCGCCAAGTCTCTTGGACAGATGAAAGCTGAGGGCTCACTGCGATCTTTTACTGGACAGCCTCTCTGTAAGTTTGGGAAACTGGATCTATGGCGGGTAGGTGAGAGGCTTGGTAGTCTTGTCATAGGTTTGCACCTCGTATTTGGGCAGCCTAGTGTCTCTTGACATGGCTACTCTAGATACGCCTTCGCTGGGTGTCGATTTCCTCAAATAAAACGGACTCCATCGGTGTCTGCTGCTATTCACCAAGATGCGCTTTCTATCAGACAAGACTTGATATGAATCACTCTCGACACGTATGAGGCTTTTCTGACCATGCATCGTGAAGACACTGTCGTCTCTTCGTACCACATTGTGGGTACAGAGCACCGTTCAGAGAAGCCCCATCCCTACCAAGATGCCATAGTTCCTCGAGCAATCAGATCTGCGACAGATGTCTGGGCGATTCTGGGAGCGCTCACCGACGTCGTTGGTGCGTTGCTGGCTTTATGCTTCCTAGTTTTTGGCATCGTGGTCGTCTACACAAATGACCGCTCGATCGAGTCGGCACCATGGATCCCTGCCATACTGTCTGCCACACAACTTGTATTACTACACCGGTAAAAGACGCAAGGTTCTTTGGGGGCTAACAAGTAACAGGGTCCTACGATTTTCCCTATCCTCTTCGCTGCAATCGCCGGTCGATCCCTGAAAGCCGTTGCAAGCTGGAAGGTCGAGCATGGCGCAACGATCGGTGCACTCGAACAGTTGCTGGGCAGTAGGACACTACTCTCCACTTTTTTCCTGCAGATACATATGCGGGCCTTCAACTTATTGGGTGTCGCACTGGTGTTGCTCTGGGCGCTTTCTCCTCTTGGTGGCCAAGCGGCACTGAGGGTTGCTCGTATGATTCAAAGCGAGGAAATCACCGCCCAAGACATGACTTATGTCGACTTTACGTCACCCTTGATAAACAGGGGCCCGGGAAAGGGGGATTTTCTCGATGTGATAGATGGAATATTTGTGGCTGAATTGTTGAGTCCTGCAGTCAACAAGATCTCCCCTATGGACACGTGGGGAAACGTGCGCATCCCGATGTTGGAAGCTCTCGATGATTATACCGAAGAAGGAGATTCAGCAGAATGGCTGAAGATCGATTCTTCGAAGAACACGACTTGGTCGTCCTTGAAAGGAGTACCTCACGGGCCCAGATATACTGCTGAAAACCGCACATTTCAACTCGAGACTGCATACTGGGTCACAACCTGCCAACCAGGGCGTTATCATTATGAAGTCGAATGGCTGGGTACGAGTATCGATTATTTCACTGGCCCCGGGGTGATCAACGCGACTGGGTACTGGGAGTCGGCACGTAACTGGGCGTGGTTTCGACTCGAGACCGAACGACGGTCCGCAAATCCATATCTATTGCAGTATGAAAAGTATGTCTACGAGAACGTTAGCCAACCACTGCCCGACCACGAGTTTAAAACAGACTACAATTTCACCTGGCTGCCCTCAACGCCACGTATCTTCCATTTCGAAACAGCAACGACCAATCGCACACTCTATTCTTTCACCTGCACCTTGCAGACCTCATACGTAGAGGCCGAGGTCTCCTGCATCAACGACGCCTGCGCCGCGACCGCAATACGCCGATCCCAACAACCGCACAACAGTACCAACTGGTCCACCCTGGACTTCATCCCGTTGACAGGCTCAGCGTCATTCTACGAAAGATTCATTAACGCCACCCGGCCAGTCCAAGACGGGCGCAGCACCGCGACCGAAGGCTACCTTACCGACCCATACACGCCATACATGGCATCCTTCGCGAACGGCGACGCCGGCACAAACGGCTCAAGCCTGGGCTCTAGCTGGATCGACATCGGCGCCGTATCGCCTTTCTCGCCTCTAGTCAGCAGGCGCCTCTCCCAGCTCCTCAACACATACTGGCTGGCCAACATCGCGCCCACGGCCGTGACGGGCGTGCTCCTCACCGACGCAGACAATCACTACAAGGGCAAGATCGTCCCCAGCACCGAGCACCACATGGTCAACACGACGGCACAGGCCTCCACCTCCCGCCTCGTGCTGCGCTACAACCTCCCCTGGCTATTGATCCTGTTCGTCGCGTCCACCGTTCTGACCCTGTGTGCGCTGGCCTCGCTGTTCTTCAACCTCCGCCGCACAGGCCCCGATATCCTCGAGAGCTTCTCGAGTTTCACGCGCGACAATCCTTACATGGTAGCGGCGGAGGGGCAGCACTCTGGACCGTTACTGGGTGTTCGCGGTGGGCCTGGTGCAACAAAGACGGCTGGCTCGAATCTTGACGGCGTGGAGCGCGCTCGTCTCCTCAGAGATGTCACCGTCATACTGGCGGATGTCGCGGTCGATGAGCCGGTGGGGCATATTGCGCTCACGACGGCTTTGCCGGCAGGTTTTGCGGATGAGGGCGCTGGTACCGGTGCTGCGCGTAATGACGCCGTGGCTTTGTTGCGGAAGGGGAGGCTGTATGATTAATTGGACTTCTGAGCTACGATCCATGATTTACTGAATGACTGATGATAACTTATGTGAGAATATGTTGTTTGTGCTGTGATGGGTATGCAAACTTACCTAAAGTAAGGTAGACGAGAGATGCAAAGGAAGCGGGCCATCACGATCAGAAACGGGACAATGAATAGATAGAAAGCAAGGGGTATCATTTCGCTATGCTATTTCATGCCATGCTATGGTGTGCTGTGTTCCACTGTGACACCTTTGACACGGCACTGTCATGCTATGCTCTCCTCATCATTGAGAGAACGAGTTCATCATCATACAATCGTTGCGACTTCCTAGCCACTGAAGGAGAAAGAGGAGATCCGTGTCAAGACAGACCTAGTCGTCCTTGGACTTGACTTCTTCGACACGGCCCTTTCCGACTTCACTCCAGTTGGTGCTCAATGAGGTGCCATTGCTCTCGGAGAAGGACTTCATCATTGCACGGCGAGTATCGTCATCTGCTCCTGCGTAGAGTTTCTTGAAGAATCCGTCAACAGCATCACCATTATCAAAGTCTGAGTCGATATCTTCACCATCGGATCCCGCTGCAGAATTCGTTCCTTGCTTGTCGTTGTCGTCGCCAGAATTGGACTCGGTCTTGATTTTGGATTTCTTAGCCTTTGTCTTCGCATGCAGGTCATCAGCGAGTTTATCCCAATTCTTTGGACCATTTCGAGATGAAGTTGGATAGGATGGAGCTTTCTCTTGTTTTATGACTGATGCTGCAGGACTGAGACTTGCAAAAGCTCTTGCTGCCTGTACTGCCTCTGCTGTACTTGATGATCTGGGGAGCCCGTTCTTGTCAAGTGAGGTCTTCAATACCTCAGTGCCTTCAAGGGTATGCCACTTCAGTCCAGGAGATGCTTTCCTAAGAGTGATCTCAATTTTCGTTGACATAATGGTAGCTCTGCTCTGCGATGAGTCGATGAGGGCGAACAATGGAGCAAGTGAGAATTGAATGGTTGAGTCAGGGTTGGAAGGATTTGGAAGTGAAACGTAAACAGAGTCATTGTTGATCTCGATCCCGTCGGTTTTGTCTTTTGGAACACCTTTGACATACAAGGTCAATGTGATGTTCTGGTTGTCCTGATACCATTCGTGACGGAGCTTTGTGACTGTAGCGGTGGGTGAAGCGGCCAATGACTGTCCTTGAGCCATGGTGTCTGGGGCCGTAGATGAGAGTTGAGATTGAGTCGTGACTGAGGAAATGTCTTCGGGGTAATTATAAGATCCATCAGCTTTCAGTTGTCTTGTGAGTTGAGCCTTCAATTCGGCTTCAGTGGGGATTTTGATGTTTGGATATTCTTTTGCTGTGACCTGCTGTGGTTCCGAGAGTGTGTTCAATTTTGACTCAATCTTTGCGCTCCACATATCGCCTTCCATCTTTGCGGCTTTATTGTCTTTAGGTCTCCAGCCTAGCATGGTGGACAAAACGAACTTTGCATTTGAGTATTGTCCAACATTGTAGAGAGAGACGACGCGTCGCTGTTGTGCAGCCTGAATCTTCTCACGTGAGCCACGTTTGTGAGCACAAACAACAGCAAAATCTGCGTCTTTGAGGGCGAGCTCATGCTGGGCGGGTTTGACGCGGGTAAAGGCAATGGATCTTTGGACATAGAAGTCCGGGGAGGTGGGGATTTCAATCAGGGCTTTTGTGTATTCGGAGACAGCCAGAGAGAAGTCTGAGGATGTGAGGGCAGCAGCACCTCTAGCCGCAGCGTCTGCCATGATGGCTTATGACGCGAGTTCTTGTTGTTGGTCAACAAGACTCTCGAGGTCTTCAAGTTGTGTAGGCACGACCGGAAAGTCGGCCTCAAAAGGGAAGATATCTGATTCCTCATACATGGCAGGTGAGCCGAGCCCAGACAGGGAAGGTATGCCGGGTGCCGGCAGTAACGTTTCTGCCGACGGGCCAGAACCAAAAGACACAACAGCGTACTCCTCAATGGCAGCGGTTGCCGGTTGAGGACTGTCAACAGCGGGAGTCACAATTGACTCGTAGTTGACAGTGCTTAGACCTGGCTGCCCAGGGAGAGAAAGGAGAGGTGGGTTGGTGGCGGGAGAACCTCGTCGCTGTTGGAGGCGGCGTTGGAGGACGAGGCTGACGATTGTGGGGGACGCCACTGTCACCAGTGACGCCACAACGACGGCGGCGGCGGCGTGCAAACTGGACATTGTGGCTGTGGTGAAGGTGGCGGTGTGATTCGTTCGGTGAAATTTCGGGATATCGGAGGAATATATTTCCGAAGGATGTCTAGATCCATGCTTGGCGTGAGGACTAGTCCTAAAATGGTTAGTCCAGGGTATCCATGGTCCTCACTACAAGTAGGAACTCAGGGAAGAACGGAATATAAACATTATTTGTCTAATCTGGCATCCTCCTAGGGGCAAACAGTTCTGTGAAATCTAAAACTAATCTATGGCCGCCTATTCAAGTTCATAGACGCGTTGTTGCAAATTGTTGGGGGCCTCCGGTCGATCGTGCTGCCCACTTAATTCCCAACGTCCATTATGAGGTGCTTTGACAACAGGATCTACTTCTGCCATGCCGTCCGTCATTATGAGTTTCATCTCTGTTGACCCTGGCAGGTCAAACTGAGCTTGGTGAACACGTCGTTGTCTCCGCCGTTTAAGGATGAACCAGGAAACAATCAAACCTACCACAACGGCTACGCCTAGCGCAACACCGCGAGGGTGAGCCTCCCGATTTGTTAATGAGTCAATGCTTTCATCGTCACCAGGGGTCTCTGTCAGGTCACCATCCGTTGTGGCTGCAGTTGCAGTTGCTGATGACGCGGGTTGTAACAATGTTGTAGGAGCAGGTGAGCCATTAAAGTGGCGAATGCGACTTGAACGCATCTGAATTCCATGACGGGGCGGCTGGATTTGTCTTGTAAAAGGTGTTGACAAGATCGGGCCTGGCATAAGCCGGTGCTGTGTGGTTAAATCCAGATTTCCATCTCAATTCAGTCATGTCAAGTATACCGATTGAGTACCGCCAGGGGTCTTTTGTACGGCTCTGGCTGGGGTCGCCTCCGCCAACGCTGATCAACTGATTTCCCACGGCTTGACAAGTAGGACCAGATCGATAGGTAATGGTTTCTGCATTAGCTTTGATCCAATGAGAAGCTGGTAAGGTCAGGATGTAAATATCGTTCGAGTCGGCTACCGTCACTGAAAAGTCTGTTAATCCACCTCCACAACCACCCCACATATAGCTGGTGCACGTTAGTACGGCAACAACTTGTTTACTCTCGATCTAATGCGCCTCACACTTCATACGACCCTGAACCGACTTCCTGAGCCCCAACCAAGCAAGGATCAAGTCGATTGGCTGGTAGCGGAGTTCCGCTGGCCTGCTGATGGTATCATTGCCCAGTTGCCGGATCATAGATGGTAATGTTAGATGAGGGTGCTTGTGAGGCAGATCCAGCCATGTCGACAAGACCACCGATGAACAATACCAGGCCGCAATCACCAACATTGGGGGCAAAGTGTGCAGCCCCGTGGGCAACGAGACCGTCAGAGTAAAAAGGGCCAACCGAAGTCGTGTACGTCCACAGTCTCGTCTGCAAGTCATATTCCATCAAACCTGGGGCCAATGGATAGACACCAGAAGCGTAATTGAGGAAACCTTCAAGCGCGTAAGTGGTGGTACTACTATGCGATGGAAGCATATGCAGTTGGGATTGCTTGACCCCAGTCCGCGTCGCTTGAGGCTCTTGCTGACAATGTTCCACCACCTACGGCGTCAGGCATCAACTCCCAGAGATAGAAGGTGCTGAGCTTAGTCACTGAATCAAAGAATTCTCCCCCGTAGGCAAGAGCAGTTCGAGAAACAGAATCCCACCAGAAGGCGCCCGCTCTTGTCCCATAATATTGCGATGGCTTGGAGAATGAGCTAATTTTCACATCAGAGATATTCCAAGATTTCGAGAGATCGATGGAAGGGGTCTCGTTCACTTGCTGAGGGTCAGTATCTCAATGTGATAGGAGGCATGTTTATATCACCATACATATATTGAGGTTGTCATAAATGCCGTTCTCTTCTGTATCATAGTATCCACCATCAAGGTAGAGGTAATCACCAATTTTGAGAGCTATAAAAATCAGCTTGCCCAGGTACAGCACTCAGACGACTTGCTTCGACTCGATAAACTCACATGATATCCAGACAAGCCTCGCGAACACATCACTATTAACTGACCACGTCGATACAACAGTCAGGCGTATACAAAGGGACAATAAGACCGCAATGCGACTGAAGAGGTGCATTTTGATCACCTATGATGGACAGCAATCGCGGTTATCGTGAAGAAAGGACTGTATTAAAAGCTGAGGAAGCATATGGCTGAGTTACAACTTGACCATTTGATACTCTTAGGTCTGTGGAGACATTTCAGGGCCATTCCACGCCTCTGTCTGCTCCATAACTTCAAATCCTCGACGAGGTCCTTCAGATCACCTAGGACTACGTAGAGTCTGGATAGGGGAGTCCTAAAATGGATGTTTTGTGTACATACCACGTAAAACAGCTCCAGGGCCGGCCCTAGCCCCCGCCGGGCTCGAAATCTGCGTTGCAGATTCTCTATCCGTGAGTATACGAGCCGTACATCCCCTGCTTGTCTGTCAATAGTGGGCCGAAGGCCTTGCAATATCAACGGCAGAGTCCGTCAGCAAAATCCAGAGGTATATGCGGTACGTCTCAAGCGCCTCCTTAATTGATGTTACCAATTAGGAGGCTGGATCTAGCTTGAGGAACTCCTGGCCTCTATCCGCCTCTGAGACAATTGACAACGTGGAACCTTGCAAGATAATAGGCCCTGGGAGGCCGCTGGAAAGTCGACTGAATCTGGACCCCAGACGTTACCACCTCAGGTATGCTATCTTGGCCGGTACCTTGGTTTTGAATTTGACAGGGTCAAGTAGACCCGGCATTGGAGTTTGGTAAAGGGAAGGATTGTACATCGTAAAAGACCCAAGTGAGGCTGTTGGGTGGTCGTCGTGTTAAGATTAAGCACTTGTAACACGATCCCGGCGAAACTTCCTTGGGCACGCCCAGCCTTAAATAATTCGACCCCGCAAAAGCCCAAGTCTTTAACTAGATGTCACGATCTTCGCCATTTAATATTAAGAATTGCTCGGCGGGGACAAGCCATTGCAGTCTGTAGAGCCTCTTCGATGCTGGCCTGTGGCTAGAGAAGGGGTTTCGAGATCAGAGCGGCACGAGCCTGCATAAGTTACGATATATGACTGCACAAGATTCTGTGGACTACAACTACAGATGAGCAGCAGGTTTTATGTATGTCCTGCTTCGTGACATACCTTCCTTTCCTTTTCTTCCTGCTAATTAATATTGTGCTATCATAGTTCGGCGCCTCCGACTCGGGCAGCGATCTCTCCGATGGTGACAACGACGCCAGCACTCTCCCATTTCCCAAACCTATCGACCGATCTGCATTCCTCGCCCCAGATTTTGACGCGACAGCATTTCTCTCCAGCCTGTCAAATCGCTTCCAGACCCTTGAAGACCTCCAGTCCGAACTCCGTGAGCTGAGCCAAACACTGAACAAGGAGCTCGTCGACCTCGTGAATGACAACTATGAGGATTTCCTGTCTTTGGGAGGGACGTTGTCTGGAGGAGAGGAGAGAATCGAGGAGATTAGAGTTGGGCTGCTGGGATTTCAGCGCGATGTCAAGAGTGTGAGGGATCGGGTCGACGAGAGGAGAGAAGATATCAAGGGCTTGTTGCAGCAGAAACGCGCTCTACGACAGGAAACCGGCGTAGGGAGAGCGCTGCTGGAGATCGCCGAACGTCTGGATGAGTTGGAGGAGAAGATGGGCGTGGCGAAACATCGACAGCCGCCAGCAGTGGTCGAGGCTCTGAGGAGCGAAGATCAAGAGGCGGGCGACTGGAGTGACGACTGGATCGAGACGACAAACATGAATTCAAGTGATGATGAAGATTACGACGAAGGTGACACCCCCAATGACGACGCAAGAATCCCTCCCAAGTTACGAAGACATACAGAACAATTTCTCATAATAAAGCATCTCGTTGGAAGGCACAGTCCGCAACATCCCTTCATCCTGGCTCAAGACACTCGGTTGCGGAAGATCCAGGAGTTGTTGCTCTCGGATCTGGAAAGTTCTGTCAAGCGTGAACCTAATGTCAAGTTTAAGCAGAAGCTGTTACAGATCAGGGCAGCTGTTGAAGAATAGGCGAAATTTTGCCTGGGAAGCGAAGGCATCGTTGCATGGTCATAGACAGGAGTCAAGATACCCAATTGTTCAAATGGCTGAAGGATTGCAATGCCGCAATGCTACAGCTCTAAGGTTGATGAAAAGCCCAACTTCATTGCTTGAATTCCTATGATTGGTGCGCCGGTAATGTTTATATGGATGATGTAGCATTTTATACAGAGGCAGGTGCCTCGTCCAGTCTTACACTCAACTATGCAACAGACAGTTCTTGGACTGTAGGTTCTCCGGGAGCTGCTTTGTAAAACTCGCCGTTCAGTGAAAAACCTGGGGAGTTCGTCGAGCTCAATACCTAGGCACCAGAAGTTAATACATCGAGTCAATCATAACCAGCACAGAATTCAACCGAGACTCACCACTTCAGTCACCTCTTTCAGGACCTGCTCACTGACTATTGCTGCATCTTTCTTGACAGAGCTCACAAATGCTTTGACATTGTCTCGTAATTGCTCGGGCGTAAAGCTCAAACGGCCGACTGCCATGCGCACCACTCCTGCTCTCTCTCGGTACACACTTCCTCCCAGCATATTCCTGACTGCCGGACCCGGCTTTTCAACCACTGTTCCCAACTTGACACTAGGCATAAGACCCCGAGGTCCGAGAACTCGAGGTAGACCTTCTTTGTTGATCTTCTGTAAAGAGTCGGGAACGGCGATACATCGATCGAAATCGATTTTTCCAGCTTTGATCAGTTGAAAGATCTCGTCTTCGCCAACCATTGCAGCCCCGGCCTCCTTGGCTTCTCGAGCAGCTGCCGAGTCGGGAGGACATATCACTGCCACCCGAATATCTGTCTTGACGGCGTGAGGTAGCCGGAGTTGGTTACGGACAATGGGACCATCTTTCTTGGTGCGGAACTTGATAGCAATATCGTATTTGGGAACGTCTGGTTGCCACCGAACTTCAAAAGCTTTGATATATCTTTCTCAACTTAGCAGAGAACATGCCCAGATTGTCGAGGAATGGCTAACCTTATGGCTTCACACAGAGTAAATGTCTCGAGGTCTTTCTTGTCGTACTGCCTGAAGAATTGAAACTTCTTCCTCTTCTTTTTCGATTTCTCTCTGGCTGCTGCACGCTCTTTGGCTGCTGCCGGTGATACTTGACGGGGCGCGAATAGGACGGGGACGGAGGAAAAGGAGCGGCATCCAGTTCTAGCTCCAGGAATGGCGGTGAAGTTGGACAAGAACGAGGAAGTGGTAGACTTGCATAGAGTCCGTGAGGCCATCGACAGGCCTTTAGAAACCTCCATCGCCCCAAGTCTGGTTGCTTGATGTCGACTATAGAAAAAGTCCACTGGTTAAGAAGTCCGCAGCCGAAGACGAAGCTCTGTCACGTGCCCATCGGTAAAGATGCTTGGCGTTTTTTTCACATTTGCCAATGAGGCTGTCATCTCCCCGCGCAAGGCTGTGCTGGAATCTGCGAAAAGTTTCGAGCACAATTGACTGGTCTGCAAATGACTCAGTGGCAGGAATAAATACTCAGCTCGCTAGACACCTCTTTTCCTTGCTCACCACTCTCATCATTCATCCACTACATACTCTCGTATTAGAATGGCGACCAAAAATGCGCCCAAGCCCAAAAAGGCTCCCAAGGTCAAGCAGATGGACTTGCCCAATGCTGCAAATGGCGTTGTTACTCGGTTCCCTCCTGAGCCCTCAGGATACCTTCATATTGGCCACGCCAAAGCCGCTCTGCTCAATGACTACTTCGCTCACATCCAATATCCTGGAGGAAAGATGATCTTGCGTTTCGACGACACAAATACTGAGAAAGAGAAAGAGGAATATCAAGAGGCGATTCGTGAGGATGTGGCTTTGCTGGGAATCAAGCCCGATACGATTTCGTACACCTCAGACTACTTTGATCAAATCAACGAATACGCGGTCAAGATCATCACATCGGGCAAGGCGTATGCAGATGACACTCCCGGAGATGTGATGAGTGCACAAAGATTGGCACGTGAGCCTTCAGTGCACCGCGATGACAGCGTCGAGGACAATCTTGCCAGGTTTGAAGAGATGAAGAAAGGGACGGATGAAGGACGGAGATGGTGTATTCGAGCAAAGATCTCTCATGCTAACGACAATGCTTCCCTCCGAGATCCTGTCATTTTCCGCTGCCCCAAGAACCAAGCGCCCCACCATCGAACCGGCGACAAATACAAAGCCTATCCCACCTATCAGTTCGCCTGCCCTATTGTCGATTCACTCGAGGGTGTAACTCATGCTTTGAGAACCACCGAATACAACGATCAAGATGCCCAGTACAAATGGATCCTAAAGGCACTTGAACTGCGAGCACCTTTCATCTGGACCTTCTCTAAAATTCAATTCATCCGCACTCTCATGTCCAAGCGGAAGCTTACCAAGCTCGTTGACGCTGGTATTGTTACTGGATGGGACGACCCTCGCTTCCCGACCGTAAGAGGTATTCGGCGACGCGGAATGACCATAGAGGGATTGCGGGATTTCATGGTCAGTCAAGGACCAAGCAGGAACGTCGTCAATATGGACTGGCATACGATTTGGACCTCCAATAAGAAAGTCATCGATCTGAAGGGTGCCAGGTATACTGCCATTGACAAGAGCCACGTTGTTGCTAAGGTGACGGGTGCTCCAGAGAAGCCTTACTCCGAGATGAAGCCTTGTCATGCAAAGTACGATCTAGGCGAGAAGAAAGTGTGGTACAGTCAGAATCTTATCATCGAGCAAGAGGACGCAAGAACATTCGCCAAGGACGAGGAAATCACACTGATGAACTGGGGTAACGCAATTGTCCGAGATATCCAGTACGAGAAAACAACAGATAAGGCTGATGTCGCGGACGGGGTTGAGGCACTCGGCAATGTTTCATCACTTGAGCTTGAACTCCATCTCGAGGGTGATTTCAAGGCTACTAAGAAGAAGATCACTTGGCTTTCTCAAGATCAAGATCTTGTACCTGTCGAGCTGGTTGACTTTGACCATTTGTTGGCCAAGGACAAGTTGACTGAGGAGGAGGAGACGCACTGGGAAGATTTCCTGACTGCAAAGAGCGAGTTTCATTCAAATGCTGTGGCTGACTGCAACATTCGAGACATCAAAGTTGATGAGGTCATTCAATTCGACAGGAAAGGTTATTTCAGATGCGACAAAGCTGTCTCGGACGATGCTCCAGGTCTCTTTTTCAAGATCCCTACGGGTAAGGAGTAAAAACGGGTATTGTTTCTGAGAGACATTCTGGTGATGAGAAGATTTCTTTGCTGACGACTCAGGGAAATGACTTCACGGAAATCAAAAGTGTGGTGCGTGCAGATAGAGTGATGATTACTACGATTCAATGTCCTCAGAGGAACAATAAATCAACGTGAGACTTTACCCTGCCTGACCTTGAACATATCGCAAACAGTTCTGAACTGTGTGCAAACACCCCCTTCATCTTGCGTCATCATTTGGTGACATCTACCAGCGGAAAATCCCACGTTTGGCTCTCGGAGATGGCCGACCAAAATTGCGATTGATGACATTCATATACAAGTCTAATAGAATATCCTCAGAACGCACAACGTGGCCCAAGTATGGCCATAAACTGGGCAGGATCAAAGTGCGCTGGGAACCTTGGTTCAAGTTGATACCGACACGAAACATTCGTTTACAACTCAGCATTGCACTAGATAGGGCAAATGGTCGCCGGATGAACATGTCTGAGGATTTATACAGTATCGAATCTTCTATGAGCTGATGAGTATGATGGATTTCGACCTGATAATTAAGAACGCCACAATCGTAAGCACAGCATTTCAAAACGATCCTTCTTCGGTTTTCAAACTGCTATGACAGTACTTACTCTTCTCCTATCATAACAGGTAACGGCCACAGAGATCCTACGGCCAGGGCTGTCAATTGGAATTAAGTCGGGCGTCATCAGTGCCATCGCCCTTTCGCTTCCAATATCCACAGCTGCAGGGTCAAAAACTCAAGTGATCGACGCCGAAGGTGCTTATGTGACGCCCGGTGGTGTCGATTCACACGTGCATTTGCATCAAGACAATGCACCAAGCGGAGATAAATGGCTCAGTGGTTCGCGGTCTGCTCTGGCTGGAGGTAATACCACGATCCTCGCATTTGCGACGCAGAAGCGAGATGATGTCTCCTTAATGCCTGTTGTGGAAGAATACCATCGGCGAGCTAGGGATCAGAGTTACATCGACTACGGATTCCATCTGATCCTGACGAAGCCATCGGAATCGATCTTGCAACACGAGTTGCCGCTCATGGTCAAACAAGAAGGTATATCTAGCGTCAAGCTGTACATGACGTACCCGGCGATGAAGCTGGGAGACGGTGAGATGCTCAATGTGCTGATGAGGACGAGGGAATTGGGCATGACGACCATGATACATGCTGAGAACAGTGATATGATTGACATGTAAGCCTTGCTATAGAGCATTGTTCATCCCCCCCTTAATCGTCAGCACCAGTGCCTCTGACCACACAACTCGATCTTCGCAATAGGATTACCACTCGACTCCTATCATCAAGCCATCTCGCACCAGCATACCACGCGATCGCACGGCCACAAATCGCCGAAACAGAAGCAACATACCGAGCAATAGCACTCTCGACACTAACAGACACACCGATCCTCATCGTCCACATGTCATCACCAGTTGCCATCGCACACGCACGAAAAGCACAATCCAAACTCCTGCTGCCGGTCCACGCCGAGACATGTCCGCATTACCTGTATCTCCTCTCGGAGAAACTCGCCGCGACGAGCATTAGCATCACGGGCACGAGTGTGACATCAGCACCAACAGCACAGGACGAAGAACCCGGCAACGATGACCTACACGAGAAACACACGCACCACGATCCGGACGACCACTGGGCCGGAGCGTCACACGTCTGCGCTCCACCCCTACGACACTCCGATGCAGACCTGCAAGCGGTGTGGGACGGCGTGCACAACGGGACCATCACCGTGATCTCCTCGGACCACGCTCCATCGAGATATAATTCGGCGCTGGGGAAGAAGAAGCCTGTGGTTGAGGCGCAGAGGGCTGCCGCTGCGGCTGGAATTGCCGCTACAATAGGTTCCGACCTCCCTGGTGTTTCAGCCTCACCACTCAACCCTATTACTCCAGGCCCCAATTTTGCACAGATCCCGAATGGCCTCCCAGGACTGGAAACCCGGCTGCCACTCTTATTCGACGCGGCGACAAGGCCTCCGTCCACGTCATCTCCTGTACAACGAAGCCTTTCGCTCCCAAAGTTCGTGGAGCTGACGTCCACGAACCCGGCGCGCCTGTACGGGCTCGGCGGGCGGAAAGGATCCATTGCACCGGGCTACGACGCGGACCTGGTCATCTGGTATCCCGCTGCGCACGCAGACGCTGCTACCACGATTGAGAACCGCATGCTACATCATTCGATCGATTATACGCCGTTTGAAGGCGTGGAGGTCGCGAATTGGCCGAGGTACGTGTTTCTCAGGGGTCACATCACATGGAATCGCGATGTGGAGCTACGAGATGGGCTTGGAAAGGGGTTGGTAGGCAGGCCAGGGGACGGGGTGTTCTTGAAGAGAGGAAAGGGGGAAGTTCTGGTGGGGAGAACTGGGCAGACGCCTGCTGGGATGAAGGATGGGGAGAGGAAGGCTTGGATGCATTGAGAGGTCTTGATGCATTGGCTATCAAGCTTTGTAGCGCTGGACTTGCTACTCGATTGCTGGTCTCCCACAGTAATAGTCTTCGTGAGACCGATCAGTGTCGTCGTTATCCAACTTACACATCTGATTCCTTCCTTCAGAGTCCCCAATTGTTCGACAGCATGGTGTGAATCTCGTTCTTCTCATTGAAGTTCAATGTGGATTCAAAAACCACTGCACACCAAGATCCACTTCATGTGATGTCCAATCATTTCGACAGCTTCCTGGCGGCTTCCTTGACATTTCCTTCGTGATCATTGGGATAAAACAAGCAACGGCATCGTCGTCTGTGGATTGAGGGGAACTTGACACAATCCAGCCAAGTGCGGAATTGTTCAGGATAGATGAATCAAAGCGATCCAGACGCAGGGCATCTTCCACCATTGATTTCCAACTGTAGCTTGTGCCAACGCCACGGATAGGATACTTTCGTCTGCAAGCGTCTGGGAGATCTTTCCAAGTTGTGATTTCATCTGTAGTTGTTTCCCAAGCACGGCGCATTTCAAAGCTCTTGGTTTCAAGAGAGTACATCCAGATTTCAAGAACAATTCGTCCCACAGGCTTCTGGTTTTGAAGTTCAATAGTCTTCTTCAATCGCTCGAGCTGCATTTCAAGGATTCGTTCTTTCTCATAGCGCTTGCTCAGGGCTTCTGTTTGCTGCTCGAAGTTTGCCATGTCTTTTGCATGGTCTTCGCGTTCGAAATTGAGTTCTTTTGTCCGCTCTGCTGCTAAGTGGTTGGCACCAAGACGAGCTTCCTCAAGTCTTTCATTGACTCGACCAAGATTCGTGTTTTCTCGACGAAGGTTCCCATTTTCTTGACGAAGCCGATTGATCTCGTTCTCCATGACTGGAATTCTTCCCTCAAGCAATGAAAGTCTCGTCAGTTTATGATAAACTACCAGGGCCAACGTCACATCCATGTCTTGCCGATTGCCGTTGTTGACAGGCTCGACATGGGGGATTGCTTCAGGAGTAGCTTCAGCTTCAGCTGCAGGGATAGCCTCGAGGTTGTTGGCAAGCTCGGCTTGATAACTTGGCCCACGGGCAGCCTCGATTTGAGGAGTAGCCTCGGTCTCCATGGTAGGAGTCGATGGGTTGGTCGTTTCGGGGTCGGCCATCTCATCCTACTCAATGTCAGTGTTTGACACTAGTACTGTAGATCAAGGATACTCACAGCCTTGCGCTTGTTCAGGCCTCGCATTCGAGGGTCACGATGGTTCTCCATCCTCAAACGTTGTAGGGGAACTTGAAGAGGATTGTAGGATAAGGGCAACAAACAAATAAACAATGAGAGAAAGATCAAGGTCAGACACAACTTGTGTGTCGTGCTACTGTGCCAAGATTTTGTGGTGTGAAGAGGCAGTAGATTCACTCATGGTTGAAGGTGAAGTTGCAGCCAGGCTGGATTCACTCACCTCCATGAAGGCCGGGCAGACGCCTGTGCAAGTAACCTGACGGAGTACTCCTGGTAGTCTCTTATTGCGGCAGAACTGGGATGTACAGCTCGATGATGTTCATGTCTCTTTCAGTTGTAAACAAGACCCTTACCTCTGAAGACCTTTCCCTACCACTGGGGTCGCGATGATATCAGCGTTGGGCGTCTGCTAAAAAAGAGGCATAACTTCTTGTGGCTCGTATCCTCCCGAGAGGTAAGAGAAGCGACATTTCCGCTATATTGGGTCTTGACGTCGAACCCATTTTATCCCTGAATAGACAGCTAGGTCTCGTTGAGAAGGGAGGGCAAGTGCATAGCAAGATCTCCTCCAAGAGGGGTGTCCTTCTCGTCGCTATCAAGCATTTGGATCTCGACTTCAAACGCGAGGTCAACATCAATATCAGGTCCCCTTCATTGGTACCGAAATACATCTCAATAGGAAAGCTTGCGCTCTGATGGTCAGCGATGAGATCAAGGGCCGCCAGAAGATGATGTGAAAATATACTTTTTGCATTACATCAGCAAGAGATAAGATTAGATTGTCCGCGACCTCGGCGATAAGTCTGGGGATGGTGCCATCTCATTCTGCGGGCAGCTTTTGCTCTAAAAGAAGCCGACTTTTTCTCCTGTTGGCATCGACCGTTCTTCTTCTTGCATCATTTGGTGTTCTTGGACTTGGTCATTTGTCAGTAATGGCCAATGTTCTGAGGAATTCTGTGCGCCGCTTCGCAACGACTGCAGCTCGTGCGGCCACTGCAGAAACTGTTAATACCTATGGAATTCGCGTGTCGCAAGCCCAGGGGGTTGTTGACACCCTGGTGGGAGGTAAGTACATTCCATGGAGGTGTGTATCCGACGTTTCTGATGCTAATCGGCGACCTCAGCTATTGGCAACACCCCATTGATAAAGCTCAAAAAGCTCTCTGCCGAGACAGGATGCAATATCCTTGGAAAGGCCGAGTTTCAGAATCCTGGTGGAAGCATCAAGGATCGAGCCGCTTTGTACGTCGTCAAGGATGCAGAAGAGCGTGGACTACTTAAGCCAGGAGGAACAGTCGTTGAAGGAACAGCAGGGAATACTGGAATTGGTCTGGCACATGTCTGCAGAGCGAAGGGATACAAACTCGTCATATACATGCCCAATACTCAGTCACAGGGAAAGATCGATCTCCTGAGGCTTCTCGGTGCCGAAGTCTACCCCGTACCTGCTGTCGCGTGGGAGAACTCTGAAAACTATAATTGGCAGGCGAAGAGGCATGCGGAGAGGCTGCAGAAGGAAGACCCCGAGCACGGCGCAGTCTGGACCAATCAGTTTGACAATATTGCCAACAGACGGGCACATATTGAGACGACTGGGCCAGAAATCTGGGCGCAAACTATCGGCAAAGTGGATGCTTTTACCTGTGCGACAGGCACAGGTGGCACATTAGCTGGCGTAACACGGTTTTTGAAAGATGTCAGTGATGGACGCGTGAAATCCTTCCTTGCTGATCCACCGGGCTCTGTTCTGCACTCATATATCAGCTCTGGAGGTCAGCTCAAAGAGAGATCTGGTGGGAGTATAACAGAGGGCATTGGTCAAGGGCGCGTGACGGATAACTTGGAAAATGAGGTCAAGGAGCTTGACGGGTCACTTTTCATTTCGGATGAAAAGAGCATAGCAATGGTCTACCGATGTCTAGACGAGGAGGGCCTCTATCTCGGTGCCAGTTCCGCTCTCAACGTCGTGGCTGCCAAGGAGGTGGCAGAAAAACTTGGTCCTAACCACACGGTTGTGACTATGCTTTGCGATGGTGCTTATAGATATGCGGATCGGCTTTTCAGCGACAAATGGTTGCAGAGCAAGAACCTCAGGCAGGCCATTCCGAAGCATTTGGAGAAATACATTGTTCTGCCGTAGAAGAGGCATAATACAAAACGTGAAACAAAACAAAGAGAAGCAAATTTCGAGGACCACCGCATCCAGAATCATTAATGGAAGGTGCCGCTCACTATTTTCGCCATAGCCAACTCGGCACAGGCTCTGACCAAGACTCTGGCACAACCATAGTGGATCTGAAGAAGACCGGACCTTCATTTCCGTTCAGCAGCAATCATTCTTGCTTCCATTTGATCAACCCTCTATCCTCCCAGAACATGAACGTGACGAAGACAATTGTTGTACCTAAGCAGCAGAGCAAGAGATTGCGCGAATGTAGAATGTGGTACCATACCATGTGTTGATATCCTTCGGAATGGAGAGAGATCTCGTATTGGGTACACCAGTGCAGTCACGCTGCGGCCACATAGTACAGTTCTTGAACCAATTGGTACATCCATTAGTCACAAGACTGTATTGACCTTCAATGGGCACAGGGACACAGCGGTTCGTTACGGGCATCACAACCACGTTTGTGTCAGGTTCGATCCATTGTTTTGATCGGAGGCGGAAAACACAGCAGTCGCCGCACTTGGAGCTGTTCTGGACTTAGCATTCATGTTGGGTCTTCGAGGAGAGGATGGGACCTACCAGCCAGGAGCATCGTGATCGCACTTATCCTTTCTCGCCGCGGGTGCACTTGGTTTTGTGAGCCAGTTCAATGCTGCTGAACGTCCCCCAAGGATACCTGCAGTCGCTTCATCCGTCTTTTCCTCAATGAACGCCAACCCGCCATTCGTGCTGCTAAATTCTGCCACAGTTGCCATTTCTGAGGCGCCGGTTGTTTTTGCTTTGGGGATGGTAGAGATGACATGAGTGAGAAGCAGACTCAAAAGGCTGAAAACCACGTAGAACTTCATCCTGATTTGATATCGAAGATGTCGGTTATGTTTGGAGTTGTCTCTTTGAGCTCAAATGAGATATCTATCGAGAAATCAAGCAAGAGGATGATGAACAATCTTTGTTGAGGGTTCGGTGGAAACGAAGAAAGAAAACTTAGAGAACAGTGAAACCTGTTTGGAAACGCTTTCGATCTGAGACTCATCCAGAGAGTATGAGTGGGAGATCCCAGACCCTGGAGCAAGGGAAGGGTCAACAAAGGTGAATGTTCAGAGGCGGTGATTCATCTCTTTGTTGCGGAACCCTGTACTGCCTCCCTCCCTCACACAAAGGGAAAGCCCTACACCACGTCAATCCTCCCACTGAGGACATCTCGCTTGGAGCAGGGTAGTACTGAAAGGCGAATCTCCCAGATGATACTTCGTTGCCAAATGAGCTTGCGGCCTACTCACGACCATGTCGCCTTGGTATCGTGATCAAGCTTGCCACGGTTTCCCCCCCATAGATTAATCTGCTGGAGGAAGAGAACAATGGCTTCTAGCCTGTCTGAGTACCGATATAGTGCTATATAAACGGAGAAATAATAGGGTAGCGGAGAGTAGCTAGTTGAGATAAGGCTGAACTCTAGCCTTGTTGGTACTTCACGCGTTAGTCAGTATCCCACCATTAAAAAATGAAATTCAGATCCTAGTCCCCAAAACTCAAAAAAAGATCTGATAACAAAAACCTCGAACCTAGGAACTCGTCGTAGGAGGTCCTAGTGAGGGAAAACCCTGGCTGCGTTTATACTCCAGCTGTCGAACGGGTTTTATTTTGGTAGGTGTCACCTACAGTGTGTCGTATGTGCATTAATCAGATCATTCGAGGAGTTTGTTGTTTGCAGGTGTCACCTACAGTGTGTCGTCTGTAACATCATAAGCGAGCGTGTTAACCGTTAGGCCAACACTGCACAGGGTCATGACTTCTGCGCTGCTCGCCTCCGTTGAGAGCATAATTCCGAAACTCCAATATCTCTCCCTTGGTTGGATCTGTCTTCACTGCCTGGGCGGTGACAGTGAAGCGCCTGGGCTTTACTTCACTACCCGCCACGCCGTGTTTTAAAATAATGACTGATCGGTCGTTACTCTACCTGTCTAGGCCTGAATCCGAAGTCTGGTCATTGCCCTGAGTGATGTAGCCCAGTGCATCATCGTCTCACCTTTTCGTTTCCCAAGGTTTGTCACTTACACTGAAAAGCCCAGCCCATCGTCCCTCTACTTTGCGTATTCCAAGACTCTTTCCCTTTTACCAGACCTTCCTCCAGAGAGACTGTATTTATCAGCGAGACCAGTTCAGCAATGATCCTTAGGTCTCACACCATGAATCGCGCTCAGCGAACATGATCGTGAACACGAGGCTGTTCTGGATTTCCATACTCCCGAACCTAGGCGGTCATGCGACCGAGGACAAGACTTTTCCGACGCAGCAACAAAGCTGAACATATCTTGCCTTGCGCGCTTGGGAAGACTTTCTCCGCTCTTACAGGAGATATAGACCCTATCAATGGGGCTCTTGAAGGATCTGAAATTGGCTGCCAAATTGACATACCTGGAAGGATTGTTGGCCCTGTGACAAATCCTGTGGATGTACTTGAACAACCTGCAGAATATTTCCCTCGGTATGTTTCATAACATGTCCTTCGCAAATTCTGTATTACTGTGCCACCAGTGTATCTAAGATCGCCTTTCCATAGCATGCCACGGACTTCAGCTACAAAGTAGTTCTACTTCGGTAGGGTGTCTTGACTTTGGAATAAACTTGTTGGAACTATGTATTAAGAAGACGGAGAGTAGATTTACCGGTGACCCAGATAATAAACATAAAAAGTACGGTCAAGTATTAGCTTACCAGTCGCAAGGCTGTGCGGCAGCCTTGCACGGGAGGACACTCTCGTTATCCTATATGACAATCCCACAAGTAATCTCGTTAAAAAAGTTGCAAAAAAGTCAAAAAAAACCTGATACCTAGAAACCAACCTAGGGTCCTAGTGAGGGAAAACTCTGGGCTGCGTCCAGACCGTCGGAAGAGTTTTATTTCGTTCACAGTATACACGGTGCGGGTCGAGTTCCGCCGCCCGGATCGATATAGCGAGCAGCCCATCATTGAACAGGTGTGCTAACCAACTAAGCCATCCCAGGGCGAGAGTCGTGTACTCGCTCTGGCCTGTCTCCAGTGTCGATGGGAGCACTTTTCAGGAACTCCAATATATCTCCCTTAGTCTGGTTTGGTCTTCACTGCCTGAGAGGTGACAGTCCGGGCTTCACTTCTCAGCCCACGCTGCCTAAGCAGTCCTTGGTCTCGCTCCCAATCTCCTCTACCAATAAGGCCAGCTCGAAGGACTTTCCCCGTAGCCTTCCTTTCCTAGTACGTGAACACCGTGATCCGATGATATTCTTTCCACCTCTCTTCGACATTGCAACCTCGTCAGGATGAGAACCCATCTCAACGATAGAACGAGACTCGGGCCCTCAGCAGGCTTGAGTGGTGAACAGCGCCTCCCAACACATTCCCTCCAATGACATCTCTCTATTACTCCTTGCTCACACATCTCGAAGCTATCTCATGATTGTAACGACCCCAGCGTCGTCAACACCCCATCCCCCCTTCTCAAGACGCAATATTGCAAGGCTGAAGAACAGAACAGAGGCGGGATGGAAAGGTCTTGCAGGAATACCTACCTACCGACCTGACCAACCTTCGTGCAACGATAGCTGGTGTCATCCTTGACATTGTTACCCGGGGCCAGCAAGCGCCCACTTCATCCGAGTAGCATCGATCGATGCTCCCCTGGCCCTTCTCTCCTCTCCCATACAGACCGAACGGCGGGAGCCGAGAACGCAGCAACACAGAAGAAAGGAAAGGACCAAAGAAAGAAAACATGTTTTGTTCGAGTACGCCCAGCCAAAGTGAGAACCAAGCCCCAAGAATGTCTATCAATACCTAACGTCTAAGCCAAAAGTGATGATGTGAATCTCCAGCTGGTGCGTGGAATTGCGATCCCTGAAGTCTACCATCCGTGTGTGTCGTCCACAGCTTTTCCTGTGTTCTCCTCGTGCCCATGTTCGCGAGGAGAGCCACAATAATCTGTACTTACTGTCGAGATCCAGATCCCGCACATACAAGAATACACGCTGTTTAATGCTTCGCGGTGACCTTGTCACCAGTCAACTTCTCGACAGCTTCCTTGGCACTGTGGAAAGGAAAAGTGGTCAGCTTCATGTCTTAAGAGTTAATTTGCAATAATAGGTGGCACTTACATATCTCCCAGAGCAACCATGCACACGGTTTGCCAGATACCGAGGCCAATACGAGGGGTGACACCACGGTACAGACCCTTGAGGCCGTTATTTGAGTAGATGTAGTTGAACGTCTTTCCGACGGTCAAGTTCTTTGGTCGGTTGGGGTCGATCGTCTTGCTCTGCATCTCGACTCGAATGACCTCGATCGGCTGATTCCAGGCGGAGAGACCACCACCCACAGTACTGGCGAGAACCTTCTCATAGCCATTCAGTTTCTGGTGCTCGTCCTTACCCGTGACTTTTCGGATTCCACTCTCGGCCAATCTCGAGAGACCGAATCTTGAGCCCCAGTTGGTGGTCTGTCGGATGGCCACTGCGTTGACACCCTTGTTGATACCCCTGATTCCTTCTTTTCTGTAGATGTCCGCGAAGGTTGCGAATGTGGATGGGGGCTTGACACCTGCGGCGGCAAGCTTGTGTTGTGTGATCTCCACGGTCTTCATGCACGTGCAAAAACCCATGGTGGCGTATGCCTGCGCAACACCTCCGACCATGCCACCGGTGATACCGCCGACGAAGTTGTTGGCACCAAATGTCTTTGCATAGTATTCGGCTTCGGATGCAACAAAGAGAAGGACGGCGCCTTTTGTTGAGGCTTCAATCCAGGCCCAGGGAATGAGACCTTGGTAGTCTGTGGAAAGGGCGAAAGTCAGTACCGAGGTCTGCAGAGTAGACTCAAACATCAGGGTTTTGCTTTTGATTGCTTACATCCAAGAACACCACCACGGCCCCAAATTCTCGACATGGCACCTGCGAAGGTGTCCGATCGGTTTGCAGCCATTGTGGTCTTGACGACTTCCAGAGGCTGACCAAGAGTGGTCACCTCGAACAAGTTAAGACCAGCACCGAGGAGAAGATTGCTGAACTTCACGGGCTTCTTCTCTATCTGGCCGGCGACAGGCGCGTTGAGGGCTGGAGCTGACATGCTTGGAAAGTTGTTTGTGTGATATGCCCTGACCAAGGGAGTAGTATCGCTTCGTCGCTTGGATTAGATGGCAAGGGTTCGAGAAGGAGTTTGGGAGTGAGTTGGGAGAAGATGGGAAGTTGGTATGAACGGGGTCAGGTCCGTTGGTAAACGGGATGATTAGGGTGTACTATGCAGGAACAAAAGAGGAGTGTTCTCTGGGTAGGCAAAGAGGCGCAGGTGGAGATTATGGTACGGGTAAGAGAAGTTGACAGCCGCGGACTACCTAGGTAATATTCCAACTAGGTTTACGAGTAATACTACAGAAAGACACAGAAAGAAACAGGTACAGTTCGACAGATAGGGACACTCGTAGTAGTAATCAAGGAACCTTTTGGCAGGGAATCGGAGGGCTTAGATTTCGGAGTCTTGACTGCTTCTCCTTCAGGCTTCAGCTGAACCGAAAAAAAAGGAGGGTCGGGCCAAAAAAACCATCAACATGGCCAACACGATTTCGATCTTACGAGTACAAGCCTCATCGGTAAAGGACAAGAATAAGACAACAGAGTCCTGTCAGGCCTCAAACAAGATTAGCTTCGGCAAGTTAACCAGCTGCCCAGGTGCTACGGGGTATTTGGCTCACAGTACGAGGTACGCAGCTCGAGCACGGGAGCCCGAGGTTGGCTCAAGAGTCAAGACCACCCGGAGGTCCCCTGTCTGAATCTCTATGTGCAACTTTGGAGGGTGTTGAGTTACCCGCCGAAGTCTCTGTGGGGCGGAAGCATCCGTTGAACGCCTCAACGTCCCATAAAAAAAATAGGTGAGATGACGCCGCGCATCATTTCTTGACTTTTGATGCTCCTGGATCTCACCATGCCAGTGTCGTTGTGTAACACTTGGTTCAGCTGCTGCTTGAATTATTACACGTACGTGAATCCTGTACACTTTGATTTCGTCCTCAGCTTCATTCGAAGGCAGAATCGAATTGTTTTCGAGAATGATGGCATCAATTAAAAAAGTCCTACGGGTTGTACCATAAGCAGCGGTCCTCACCAGCAGATCGCTGGGCGCGCCGGCCAAACAGCTTCACCGGTGCCACCAACCCACCAACCCCCTAGTAGAACTACATATTGGTTGATAGCATTGTACATCTCTTGCGTCCTGCAAACTTGAACCTCAACGTGCTTGCTTACAACTGGGCTCCAACAAGCTTGGCATATGCTTCTGTGCTGAAAGACTTGGGGCGCTCAATCGGTGCACCGAGAGCACGATCAATGATGAGTTGAGGAAGGACACCGAGAGCACGAGAGACACCGAAGAGAACGGTGTAGTAGTTAGCCTCGGTCAAACCGTAGTACTGGAGAAGGACACCAGAGTGCTAGTTTCTATGTTAGTCTCGCTCTTCAAGATAGATGGGCTTATCAGTGCAACTTACAGCATCAACGTTGGGGTATGGGTTCTTGGTCTTTCCGTGCTCAGTCAAGACACCTGGTGCAATCTTATAGACCTGGCTGACAAGCTTGAACATGGGGTCTTCTGGCAGTTTGCGGAGGGCGAACTCTCGCTGAGAGACATATCGAGGATCAGTCTTGCGGAGAACGGCGTGTCCGTAACCGGGCACAACACGACCAGCCTTCAAGGTTGACCAGAGGTAATCGGTAATGGCTTGGTCACTCAGATCATTCCCAACGGACTCCTTCATCTTGGTGAGCCACAAAAGTACTTCCTGGTTGGCCAATCCGTGTAGAGGTCCAGCCAGTCCATTGAGACCAGCTGCAAGAGACAGGAAAGGAGAGCTGAGGGCACTGCCGACCAGGTGGGTGGTGTGAGCACTGACGTTGCCACCCTCGTGATCACTGTGGATGGTCAAATACAGACGCATCAACTCAATGAAGTCTTTGTTGTCACCGAATCCAAGCTGGTTGGCCAAGTTGAATCCATAATCCTTATCTTTCTGAATGGGAGCAACCTTTCCATCCTTATAGACATTGCGGTAGATCTTGGCGGCAATGGTAGGGAGCTTCGCAATCAAGTTCTGGGAATCTTCGAAGGTGTATTGCCAGTATTCCTTCTTGTTGATGCCTCGGGCATATGCTTTGGCAAATTCGGAAGTCTGTTCGAGGGCAACGACGGCGATCGAGAATTGCGCCATAGGATGAAGATCACTTGGGCACCGATCGAGAAGCTCCTCGACGTACTTTGGCAGATCGGAACGGGCAGCCCAGTCGGCGGACAAGTCGCGGACCTGTTGCTCACTGGGAACCTCTCCGGTCAAGAGAAGCCAGTAAAGACCCTCAGGGAGAGGCTCCTCACCACCGGGAGCTTTGGGAAGCAATTCCTGGCACTCAGGGATGGTCTTGCCGCGGAATCTGATGCCCTCTTCCGAGTCAAGGACTGATCCCTCCCAGACCAATGACTTGATGCCTCGTGCACCACCATATACTTGGTCTAGGGTGACCTCGCCGAGTACCTTGGAACCATACTCTTTCTTGAGCTTCTTGACCTTTTCGATCTCGGCAGGTAGTTTGTCTGCGAAGGTATCTTTGAGAGACTAGGCAAGGAAATGATGAGTATCGGAGCTATCGGATGGCTGCAGGTGCTTACCTTGGTGCTAGCACAGCGCACACCATTGAAGGCAGCTTGTTGGGCAAAGGCTCTTGAAGACAGGGTGGTTGAGCGAAGCAAAGAGCTCCCTAACCGGAGAGAAGAAGCCATGATGAGATAGAAAGACAAAAGACGAATGGAAGTCTTTGATGGAGGAGCGCAAAGAAATGGTAGTAAAGCAAAAAAGTAAAAGTTACAGCAATGGAATAATGGTGAGGAGAAACTTGAAGTTGAGTTCAGGGAGACGGACTGGAGATTCGCCAAAGCTAACTTAGCTTACTAGGCCTACGAAATCCTCAGGCAAGCTGGAGCTAGCAGAATGGCAACAACTTGAAGTACCAATGGAAAAATTACCTGGGCTCTCTGGGCATCGGAGAAAACACCCCTTGAACCCCTTCGGTACGAATAGCCAATTCGCATCGCTTACAGGTGAGTGGTACGGGGTATTTTGACCTGGTCAACCAGCCAACAAGGCCCCAATCAGCAACTCCGTGGTTATAATAATAGCTGGGATGTGGCACAAAGCTCAACATCCCGGAGAGGGTCAACATTGACAAGCACTACGAGATAGGACTCCACTTGATTCTCATCACAGACTCGGGTACGGATACGGAGTACGAAGCTGAGGAGGCAGGCCTTTCGCACTCCGAAAGATATCCGTATAGAGCAATGGCTTGTTTTGACTGTTTGCCAGGTTTGCTCAATTTGTCGAGTTTGCTGGGTTTGATAAATGCACGTGACTTGCGCCTCTTGCCGCTGGCAGTGTCACCCTGGTTCAAGTTCTGACTGTGACTGTGATGGCACCTGCACCCTGCGGCTTTCTTGTCGGCTGCTGCCTCCGCTTTTTCACATTCCTCCTAACACTTCATCTCCTCCCAACTCTTTCTTCCATTCACACATAAATCATCCTCCAGCCATCCATCACCATCGAGTCATCTTCGCGTCTGCGCATCCGTAGCGGCATCAAGTTGTAACTAGGGCTACCCAGAATCTCTCTTGCTGTACTTTGACCGATAGAATCCTTCGTTCCTGCAAACCACTGGCCAAAAAAAGTCTTCACTAAAGAGACACAGGCGTCCTTGCCACCCGGAGTGTAGACTGTCACAAGGCTGGAAAGAGGAAGACGCCATTGTTCTTAGCTTTCTCACTCTGCCCTCGACTTTTTTTCACCCGTACCTGACAAGTCTGTAAGATATTTCGTGGAGACTTGCACGGCTTGCGCGTCTTTCTTTCCTCCACACTCATCAACATCATCCGAAGTCCTTTCGTTCTCCTCGACCCGGACCAGACTCTTGTGATAGTTGTAGGCAAAATTCCTACAACATGTCGTCTGCAGTAGCAGAGCTGGACTCGATCCTGCAGTCCATGCTCAACCTCAAGCCCCCCGGAGTCTCAGGATCCAAGATCAGTGCCATTACCACTCTTTGCACCGCCAACATCCAAGTACGTCCATCTTATTTCCTTCTACGAACAATATTGACGCAGTGCCTAGTCCGAATCAGTACTCATTCAAAAGATCTACACACATTTCAAGAAAACACCAGGAACACACAAGTTAGGAGTACTCTATGTTGTAGACTCTGTAACACGACAATGGGTAGATCAAGCCAGAAAAGCAGGTCAACAACTAGGTAGCGCAGCTCCCGATGGGACATTTGCTGCTGGAGTAACCCGAGTGACTGAATTGCTTCCCGTCCTGATGAACGACATTACTGCCACAGCCCCTGAAGATCAAAAGGTATGGTTGACTTCTCTGTCGTATCACTCCCGTGTCCGTTCTAGTTTTGGAGACGACCATCGTTCTTGGACAACGTTGAAGTCAAGAACGTATCTCTGGGTGATACGATTCACTGTATTGGGGGATTTCGCTCACGTCTCCTTTTCTAACAGGTCAAAATCAAAAAGCTCCTTGAAATTTGGGAGCGTTCCAACACGTTTCCTACTCCTTTGCTTATCTCTCTCAAAGAGAAGCTTGATGCACCTCGAGGTAATTCCACAACCGCAAGACTTTGGCGGGACAACCGCCTCCTATGAGCCACTATCTGACCTGTCCCGCTAGTTTCGACCACACCAGAAGGATCCCCCATCCCTGGATTTGTTCCATTTGGTCAAACAAACTCTACTAATCCTGTAACAGCAGCATCAACATCATCTTCCCAGCAAGATACATCTGCAATCCTGGAAGCTCTCAAGAATATGGCCAAACAAAACGCTGCACCGCAGCAAACCCCAGTTGTACCCGCACAAACTAGTTTGAATAATCTGTTAGGCGCGCACAATGGGACTCTTCAGCCGAACAGTACCGTAAACCCGGGTCTTGCTCCCACTGCCAACAATGCGCAAGGTGTAAACTCGCTGGGAGCAATGTGGGCAGGCATGAATAATGGTGCACAAAGCCAGAGTCCCGCAAATGTGCCTCAGAATCCTCTTGCTGCATTTCTTCCTCAGCCACAAGCTCCAGTTACCATGGCGCAGAATCCTGCCCCTGTAACCCAAGATACCCAAACACAAATTCAACTACTGCAGCTTCTTGCCGCACAAGGTATTCCACCTGATCAATGGGCTACCGCTCTTCAATTGTTGAACATGCAAGGTGCAACCGGCGGCATAAATGGAGTTCCATTTCCACCTCCAGTGACAGCCAACAATTGGGGCGGCCAAGCAGGTGGTCAGTCACGTGATGCACACACCCGATCTCCTCCCAGCCAGTACAGACGTCGATCTCGTTCCCCAGGATATGATAGACGACGCGACCTTTCTCCTAGACGTCGTCGGGATAGTCCTGGCCCTGATCAATATCGTAACGATCGCGACGGTCGACGAAGCAATGATTACCGTCAACGCAGCCCCCCTGGTAGAAGAGGCCGCTCACCATCTCCAGCAGGAGCTGATCAAAAGCTGCCACCACCTGGACCCAAGGCTATATCGAGAGATACCAATCTTCCCAAAGGTCATATAAAAGTCTTCAGCCGTACTTTGTTTGTGGGCGGTGTTACATCATCAGAAGCCCATCTTCGTTCCTTGTTCGCCCAATACGGAACTGTCCAAACATGCATCGTCAATGTTGACAAGCGTCATGCATTCGTCAAGATGATCAATCGCCGAGATGCAGAGAAGGCACGTGATGGTATGGAAGAATATAAGACCGGTGACACTCAGCTTCGTGTATGTATTGCCTTCCTAGCCTTCGCCACAAATCCTAACATGAAGAACAGACCAAATGGGGTGTAGGCTTCGGACCACGTGACTGCAGCGACTACCAGACGGGTGTTAGTATCATCCCAATTGAACGCCTGACTGATGCCGATCGCAAGTGGCTGCTCACTGCCGAATATGGTGGTACTGGAGGATTACCGATCGAACAGTACATGGTTGTCGAGGAACCTGACATCGAAATTGGTGCCGGAGTGTCTTCTAAAGGTATGTTTTCCAGAATCGGACATAAAATCTTCAATTCTAATCATCAACAGCTATGAGTCGACGCATCGCAACAGATCAGGGTGGAAGACGTGGCCCACAATCATCCCGACTTCCAGGAGGACGAGATGATCGACATCGAGACGATGATCGACGACACGATCGCAACGACCGATCTGGTGCAAACATGGGATCCATGCCTTCGTTTCCAATGAACTTCAATAATCCCAACGGCATGCCAGTATTCCCGCCAGGTTTTCAATTTCCATTCCAGCAACAGAACCAACAAGACTAAAAACCTGGCCCCAGGTTAGATAGTGACACAGAATTTCTGACGGGTCTGCCGAGGCGTTTTGGGAGACGGATTTCGAGCTTGGTGAATGCAGTTGAAGATGAATGATACCCTCTCGTACAGAACCCATCAACGCCGGATGTGGCACCGGGTTCGCTTTATGGCACTGAAGATACTCTACTCGAGGTTTCTTAGTGACTGTGTGATTAGTAGTTATTTCGGAACAACCGACATACGTTTAAATACATGGCTTCAAGGCTCCATATGCAACGGGCGAAGAGGTGCTCCTTGGGAGTACTGAACGACTTTTGGGCGCGTTGCAGTGAATCCAGCTGTTTATATGAGTACAGGCTTTCTCTAACAGAAGAGACAACGGTGATAGTTTCCACCAAAAAAAAACCAGTCTTCGCTTTCCCACTCGATTTGACATTCCTCCGGTAACCACAGTGGACCAACCTAGACCACGTGTGCTGGTTTTAGATTGACACGTGTCGGCGTCTCTCGGAGCAGCACATGGACTCCAGGTAGGAAGCTGATCATAATCAGGATAAGAACATTGCTTCACAATTGACCCTGTCTTCCAAAAGCCCTTGCACTGCCCCTTCTGAAGACCCGTACGGCGATTTCTCAGACCAGTGATCATCGAGAGGATATGATGCCAAGTAGAACCCAAACGAAAAGAAAGCGATCATCGCCCAGGTGCAGTCTCGTGTAGAGCCTTGGCCTCAAAACATCATTCGTAGGGACAGTGTACGGATAAGTGGTGTGTGAACCACGGTTGGGCCTAGCTTGCAATCATTCTTAGACTTTCCACTCTTTGCGGGGGTAGAATCGGAAGACCTTAGTTTACGGATGGGCTGCCCCAGTCTGCCATGCCTACCCAAACAAACTCCTTATAGGCTTCAGTGTCCAGGTGGGGAGCAAGGTCCTGCCAGGTGGACTTAGGTGTCCGAGGCTTCTCTGTCTGTCTGCTGTGTGGGTTAAGCCCACGGGTATACCAAGAATCCACCACAGGGCTCCAACTACTCCATCTTCATGCGCTCCATATTATCACCAGACAATAGGTAGTTCATCCAATTCGACATTTCCAACTCTCATATCCCCCCTTCCCATCTGTCCCTCCTGCCCTTCTTGTACGACGCGACTTCTCTCCAGTACCTCTGCCAACAAGTATCTGCATCACTCGTGACTCAGGATATTTCACTCACCACATTGCACCTCATGGACTTAACATAGGGCAAAAGAGATACTGCCCGTATATCTTAGACAATATGGTAGCAGACATACCCTCCGATGCTAGTTCCGCCGGTTCAGTCCCTATCAAACGTCCTCCTCAAATCCAAATCAGTGTTACGGAGGACATTGAGAAGACAGCCCAACACAATGGCCAAATATCGCGAGATGGACGCAAACCGTCCCGTGTAGACTGGGAGGAAGACGAAGATGATGAGGACCTGGATGCCCTTATCGAAGAGCTTGAATCCAATGATCCAGATGCCGAGATACAAAACGAGATCGAGATTGCAGGCGCCGCAAGATGCGTTCCAGAAGAAATGCTCCAGACCGATACACGAGTCGGCCTCATTGAGCCCGAGGTTGTGGCTAGGCGGAAGAAGTATGGTCTCAACCAGATGAAAGAAGAGAAGGAAAACCTGCTACTGAAGTTCTTGGGTTACTTTGTTGGACCTATCCAATTTGTCATGGAGGTACGCAGCATCCCGCGAGATCCAGCATGTCCCAGGTTTGTACTGACCACTATTGACACAGGCTGCCGCCATTCTAGCCGCTGGTTTGGAAGACTGGGTCGACTTCGGCGTCATTTGTGCCCTTCTCCTTCTGAACGCAACTGTTGGCTTTGTTCAAGAATTCCAGGCTGGCTCAATAGTGGAAGAATTGAAAAAGACGCTGGCTCTCAAAGCCGTAGTTCTGAGAGAAGGCCGCCTCATTGAGATCGAAGCGCCAATGGTTGTGCCTGGAGATATCTTGCAGCTTGAAGAAGGCACGATTATCCCTGCCGATGGTCGCATCGTAACCGAAGACGCGTATCTACAAGTTGATCAGTCCTCAATTACTGGAGAGTCTCTTGCTATGGACAAGACCCTTGGAGACATCTGTTATGCTTCGTCCGCCGTCAAGCGAGGAACCTGTTTCATGATAGTCACTGCCATCGGTGACCATTCTTTTGTCGGTCGAGCTGCCGCCCTCGTCAATGCTGCATCTGGCGCAAAGGGCCACTTCACGGAAGTCTTGAACGGGATTGGCACGGTACTTCTCGCTCTTGTCGTGTTCACACTCCTGGTGGTTTGGATATCGTCATTCTATCGCTCAAACGATATCGTTACCATACTGCGCTTTACCTTGGCCATCACCATTATTGGAGTACCAGTTGGTCTCCCTGCCGTCGTCACCACCACTATGGCTGTTGGTGCCGCTTATCTTGCAAAGAAAAGAGCCATTGTGCAGAAGCTGTCAGCGATCGAGTCCCTCGCTGGTGTTCAAATCCTCTGTTCCGACAAGACCGGTACCTTGACCAAGAACAAGCTATCTCTTCATGAGCCATATACTGTTCAGGGTGTGGAACCGGATGATCTCATGCTCACAGCTTGTCTCGCAGCCTCAAGGAAAAGGAAAGGGATGGATGCCATCGATAAAGCCTTTTTGAAGGCTCTTCGGTATTACCCTCGTGCGAAACAAGCACTTTCCAAGTACAAAGTCGTGCAATTTTTCCCCTTCGATCCAGTCTCCAAGAAGGTCAGTGCGGTTGTTGAGTCACCTCAAGGAGAACGCATAATTTGCGTCAAAGGTGCCCCATTATTTGTTCTTCGGACGGTCGAGGAAGATCACCCGATACCTGAAGAAATCGATATCGACTACAAGAACAAAGTGGCAGAGTTCGCAACTAGGGGCTTCAGATCTCTGGGTGTTGCTCGAAAAAGGGGTGAGGGTTCGTGGGAAATTCTTGGGATCATGCCCTGTGCTGATCCCCCTCGATATGACACAGCCAAAACAATCAATGAAGCAAAGTCACTTGGACTGTCCATCAAAATGCTCACGGGAGATGCCGTGGGAATTGCTCGAGAAATGTCTCGACAACTTGGTCTGGGAACCAATGTGTTCAATGCCGAACGACTCGGGCTCGCTGGCGGTGGCACAATGCCTGGATCTGAGGTTTACGATTTTGTGGAAGCTGCAGATGGCTTTGCAGAGGTGTTTCCACAGCATAAATACAATGTGGTCGAGATTCTTCAGCAGCGTGGCTATCTTGTAGCCATGACTGGTGATGGAGTCAATGATGCTCCGTCATTGAAGAAAGCGAATACAGGCATTGCCGTTGAAGGGGCATCCGATGCAGCACGATCAGCAGCTGATATCGTTTTCCTGGCTCCGGGACTCTCTGCGATCATCGACGCACTCAAAACATCGCGACAAATTTTCCATCGCATGTACGCCTACGTCGTATATCGTATCGCACTCTCGCTTCATCTTGAAATCTTCCTTGGCCTTTGGATTGCCATTCTCAACCGATCACTCAATCTCAAATTGGTTGTGTTCATCGCCATTTTTGCTGACATTGCAACACTAGCTATTGCTTACGATAATGCACCCTACTCGAAGCTGCCGGTCAAGTGGAATCTTCCCAAGCTCTGGGGAATGTCTATCCTTCTCGGAATCGTACTAGCAGCTGGAACCTGGATTGCCCTGACTACAATGATAGTCCAAGGTGAAAATGGTGGCATCGTTCAAAACTTCGGTCATACGGATGCTGTGCTCTTCCTCCAGATATCATTGTCCGAGAACTGGTTGATTTTCATCACGCGTGCTAACGGCCCATTCTGGTCCAGCATCCCGTCGTGGCAACTTACTAGTGCTATCTTACTGGTGGACATACTTGCAACCTTCTTCTGCCTCTTTGGTTGGTTTGTGGGTGGGCAGCAGACGAGTATTGTTGCTGTGGTTCGAATCTGGCTCTTCTCTTTTGGTGTTTTCTGTGTCATGGCTGGTGTATACTACCTCCTGCAAGACAGTGTTACCTTTGATGACATTGTACACGGCCGCAAAACGAGGAACAACAAAGTGCTGAAGAAAAGAGACATGGAAGATTTCCGTAAGTGCTTCGAACAGATGTTTTCTGGTACAAGCTGACGTTTGCAACAGTCGTTTCCCTGAACCGCGTGTCCACCCAGCACGAGAAGGTTGCATGAGGACAACCTATTGCTATAGGCTGTGTTCACACGGTCACGGAACTTGAAAACCCCTGCAGGTCGTCCAATCCCTCAACTACCGGAATTGGAATTTCCCCCCGATAGCCCCGACCTTGAGAACATGATCTTACAGAAAGTCGGTCGTCCAAAGCCCTTGAAGCCACCGAGGTGAACTTTCTACGATCCAGTCCCACTGCTGGGGCAGACTAACCACTAGATGGGAACACCAGACATTTGGCAGCCAGTCTGAGATTCTGCCAAGGTGTTGTTGAGTGGCCTGCACCAAGGCTGAACGACTGCACAAAGCCCTCACGACTCTTAAACGTATAGTTAATATTTCTTATGGAAGCGACATACTTGATTGATACCCACAGATATGGTAGAAGCGATGGCGTTATGATTTCGCATTACAACCTCGACCCAGAAACTCAATATGCCACTCGTTTGTGATGACTAGCTGACCTGCCGGTGAGGTGGCTTATCGAATTCGGCTTTATAATTCAGAAGAGTGCTTGGACGTGTTGTACGCCCGCCTGATGCAAAGCTCTATGGACAGAGAAAGAATCAACGCTTGGAGCATGCATCAAAGGAGGGTCACTTGATAATTACTAGTGATATAAGTAATTAATCGCTCGAGCGGAATAGCGCTCGAGTCTCATCCCAAACCTGTCATCAGGGCACAATGTTGAAGAATCTCTAATATTGATTGATGATCTTGCATCCCTCTCCATGTTTATGTGTCTAGGTCTGATGCCCTGCGAAAATTGAAGTGGCACGTGAGCACGCGAACGTATCGCGCTTGCCAAATTACGCGATCCGCGACTGCGGGGTCCCTAGGTAAACAGTTCCTCACCTTGCCCTGTACTGAACTTCCAGTTTTCCACATTCGAAACAGACAGAAACGTGCATGATTATTTGAACACTTTTGGATATAGCATATCATTGCCTATGATCATCATCGCTTCACGTTAGCAGCTATGTACTGCTCGAAGTTGTACTATTCCGGCGGGAGCGATTCCAGTACGAAAAGGTCCTGCGCACGGGACCAGCGATAACAGTCATTTCGATGCCGGGGTTCAAGTTCAAGCACCTTGTCAACCTTCTTGAGGATCTAGAGAAGGGCGAGAAGAAGAACTCGAACCTGTACAAAGGACTGCCCCCTCTTGCCATCGCTCGCGCAATCACTGAAGACTGGTTTAAGCTTCACAACCACGAAATCAATCGTATAGGGCCCTCGGCACTAGCCTTCTTGTCTTGTCTACTCCCTCATCGCCTTTCACATCGTACTTATGGCTTACGAGAGAGGCGTCTGGGCACTGTGGTTGCGGATGCCCTGTACTTGCCTGAAGCCGGCCCACGGCGTGCGAGGTTGAAATTCTGGACTGGCGAGCGGGATTTTGCAACTCTCGTCGCGGAAGTCTTAGGAGAGACCGAGAACTTGCCACCGTCAGCGAGATCTGAAGTCACACTCGAGGAAATAGATGCTGCCCTACTCGAACTTGCCGCGAAACCCGGCTGGCCAGGCCACAGAACCAAGACCAATCGACGCGAGATCCTCCATCCTATCCTGAAACGGCTGAGCAGCCAGGAAATCAAATGGCTCATGCGCATGATTCTCAAATCCTACAGTCCAGCCTTGCTCCCGGAGCAAACGATTTTGAGAAAGTTCCACTTTATTCTACCCGAACTACTTACCATACAAAATTCTTTTGAGGCGGCTCTAGCTACCCTTGACCATGAAACCTTGAACGGAGAACTAGTAAGGAAGGTGGACAAGCCAGAGGAAGAGGAGGAGCTGTCCAGCTTGTACACGAAAGCCGCGCGCGTCATTCGACCAATACTCGGGGTGATGGTTCAAAGGCAATCTTATCAAAAGGCAAGGAGCATGCGTCATTGCATTCAGATTTCAACACCCAAAGATCCCGATCGACAAGGGACTTTGCCGATGCAAATTGAGAGAAAGTACGACGGTGAATATTGTCAAATCCATGTGGATCTCTCGAAAGCCGAAGGGGACAGGATCAAGATATTCTCCAAAAGTGGGAAGGACTCAACAGCTGACCGTGAAGGCCTTCATCGAGCTATCGAAGATAGTTTACTTCTTGACGATATAAAGTGCCCTATCGGAAAGAACTGCATTCTTGAGGGAGAACTACTAGTCTGGAATCGTGAGAAACAGCAGATCCAGCCCTTTCATGTGATACGCAAATACGTACTCCATGGAGGGAGATCAATCGGAACTTCCAAAGACTCTCCCAAAGATAAGGATGAGAATCTCATGATAATGTACTTTGACTTATTGTACATCGACGATCACTCGCTTTTGAATGATTGCCTTAGGGAAAGGAGAAGACGTCTTAACCAGCTGATTGAGCAAAGGGAGGGCGTTTGTGAGTTGGCGGCAGCTAAGATTCTACACTTCGGCAGAGCTGACGCACAGGAGAATTTGTTCGAGTACTTTACGCAAGCCATCAGGGATAGGTGGGAGGGTCTGGTTGTAAAGTCAATCCCAGATCCATACTTTTCATGGGGAAAACCCCCTACAGTGATCAAATTGAAATCTGATTATGTCAATGGTCTTGAGGAGCCTATCGATCTTTGTATCGTTGGAGGCTATCTAGAGCAGATCGCCGCTATCAAATACAGACCCAACAATCTGTCTTGGACATCTTTCTACCTCGCTTCCTTCGAAAACAAGGCTGAGGTGGAGGAGCTCAATGCTCGGCCTCAATTCCGAATCGTGGATATCCTCCACATCCAGAATCAATGCATCTCGAGGGCGGACATACTTCATATAAACCAGGAAGGTCGGTATCGACAGGCTGACCGGTCAGTACTCAACGAATACCTCGAAATCTCTTTCGAGTGCAAAGTTCCCACCCGGCCGATAACATTTTTCAAAGAACCTTTCGTTGTCGAAGTTATGGGCGCCGGCTTCGATAAGCCTCAAGACGCCGCGTACCTCACACATCGATTCCCACGCGTTAAGCTGCATACCGACAGAACATTTCTGACAACTAGCTCCTTCGATGAATTGCAAGCTATGGCTGTAGCACGATCGTCACCTGTTAGCGACTCTCATATTACCGAGATTCGCGAACGATTGGCGGCCGCGAACGGGAGGTTTCATCCAATATTCAACGACCAATCACAAGACTCGAGCTCTTTGAGTAGCCTTGAGACATCTACGCCGACGACACCTCCAGGCCTTCGTACTCCAAGCGAGACGGTTGAGTCGATGATTGAGAGAAGCCCTTCAGTCTATTCACCTTCGAGAGGGGCTCGCTCTAAAAGCATGGGGCCAAGAACGCCGAGTAGGATATACCCTCCGGGTTTGCTCTATGATGGATCCCCAGAATCCAATTCTGGAATTAGCTCTACAAACTCAACCTCGCCAGAACACGAATTATCTGACGATCGGAGTACAAGGCCAGTGTCAGCCGCGCAGATCAGGAGACGTCCGCAATATATTCCTGATGATTCATCGGAAGATGTGGCTTCAGAGAGTGGTTACGTTGAGCAACGGCCTCACCTGACCACAAAACGCCTACGATATGAATCCGACGGACCACCGGAAGACGTAGCTCCAGAGAGCAATTCTGCGGCCCCGAAGCGAATAAAACCTAACAATCGTTACAACAAACTGAAACCCGTATCACCTCCAGTTGTAAGGCGGTTTGCTGTAGATAAGCTGCTACAAGGGTTGTCTTCCTCGGAAGCTTCAACATCGCCTGGCAACAGCGATCGACTCGTGCCCCAACCGAGCCGGCCTTCTATTTCGCAAAGCCTTCCACGCTTTCATCACGAAATCTTGAACGAAGATCAGCATGATCATCCCCAACCACACTCGCAGGATGCAGACGAGGAAAGGGGCAGGACGAAAGAATATTGCAATGCACCACAAGACTCCAGCCTCGCACCTTTGGCTTATCAATCCCAGAGTAACTTCTCCTCTCAAAGGATGTACCAACCGCCAGGACCATCACATGATCCAGTGTTCCACGAACCGGTGTTCTACGACCCGCAAAGACCTTCAGCCTACTCATATCCTCCCCCTTTTCTTCATCCTCAGATAACTTCCGAGTATGTTTGGCAAAATCCAGTATCGGAGTCTACGGCTCCTCCCTGGCCAGCGTCCTTCCCAGAGTCTAATGTTCGTACTCCGATTCAACCTCAGAGGTCTCCATATTCACATCCTCGTATGCTTTCTGATCCCCGGAAAGAGTCTCGAGCACCACTTACAGAAATCCCCAATGCTGCTGACCATCAAGACCCATCAAAATCTGCGTCAGGTAGTGGTCATGGGCATTTCAGTAGCTACTCTGATGAGGCTAAGCGAAAAAGAGAGAATTATTACTATGGTAGCTTTCGTGGTGGTGCATCATCACCAAGAGGATTAATCCAGAGTCCTAAAAAGAAGCGTATCCGCTGCAGAATTGCGAACGAGCCTTGCTCGAAGGAGAAGAGAAGTCAAATCCTTGTTCACATTTGTCGAAGTCCGAGTTCATCGGCAGCCACTTCAATCGGCCGCATACTGACTTCTCATTGGTATGTTGGAACGAATAGTGGAGTGTTTGGGAGCCGCTCGGTATGCAGATGTGCATATTGCAGGTTGATCCTGATCGTGGTGGCGGATGATTCAAGGCCGAGGGATGTTGCAAGGGAAATCAAAGATACTTCTTCTGCTATCCTGCGCATACGTGAGCAAGTCCTCGGTAAGGTATCACCCAACGACAAGGCCGTCATCGAAAAGACTAGAAGTGAGCAATGTGATGAAAAGCTGGTCATTTTCCTTAGCAAATCAGCAAGGCCAGTACTATCGAAGATCCAACAGGAAATGAAGACAACCCAAGCCCTTAGAACACAGAGCAGACGTGATCGATCCATGGCGAGCCTCAGCACGGCCTTCAAGACCTACTTTGCCGGTGCGATACATGTCTCGTTCCCCAAACCTTTCTTTTCTCCCACCATGGCCGATTTGCTCGTCAAGGAAGCCATAGGTAGTCTGAGCATAGGAGAGGTTGATCGTTTTGGCGAACTGTGCAAGGCTACAGTTGACCCGGCAGCGCCTCTCTTGGTCACCAGCGCTACAAGCGTCAACTTGCCAACCATTTATGAAGATGTTAATTCGAAGGACCAGGATTCTGCTGAGGTGATATGGAAATGGTGTCGAGTTCTGATGCTAATGGGATCATTGGGCTGCGATGCAGAACAGGTTTAAGGGAGGTTGTCACGAAATGCACAGAGTAATGGCAAGAGGTGTGCACCCCTTGGAAGGAAAGTCGCACGCTTTCTGCATGTTGCTTGGAAGGGCAGTTTTATCTGAACAATGGACGCCAGATGATGCTACTGTTTTGATATCCCTGATAAGGACTCAGCGGGAATCCGCTTCTTTTGCATTTTCACGGCGGTCGGGGCTTTGAATTCCTAGAGTTTTATGGATTCAGGTCGCACGTAAAAGGGTCACACAGCACCTGCGGGCAGTATTAGTATGATGTTTGGTAGAATTGTTGTAGAGCATTTGTTATGCTCAATGGCGATCATCAATGGTTGAAGAGCGGTTGAGTGTATGTTCTTTATGTGAAGCACTTATTCTTCAAAGCGTCTGAAATGAGGTTATCCGAGAATAGGCGTGAATGTCCGCTTCACCAGAAACGTTAGTCAAATTAAATAACGACTGGATATTTACCTCTTGGCCCTTGTTGAGACTCCATCGTTCACTAATCCACCGAGACTGCCAACGTTAAGCCCAGCAATATCACTGTACCAAGTAGACATTTAAGAGACGCCGTGATGTGACACGGAGCGGGAATGGGACGAATCGAGGCTAGAGTACTAGTTCATCCCCTGCACACACCATCTACTCAGAACCTAGTCAGACTCGGGTAGATCACAGGGTAGTATCCATCATCCGTGTGCTGTTCGTCCGCAGACACTCCAACGGGCGAGCAGGCGCAGTCCTAGTTTCGACCACGGTAGGTACTTGCCTAGTTAAGGAGAGGCACTCTGCGCCGTGAAGTGTCAGCATGGTGTATGTACGGCTGGGTGTACCGATACAACAAGCATGTCTCTAAATATCTGGGTCCAAGCGTCCACCGTCCATGTCTACCTCGGCTCCTCCGAGCCAGACGTCTAGACTCTTCTACAAGTGAGTATGTGCGACCAGGCATACGAATAGAAATGAGATAGGATAGGTGCAGCCAGTCGAATCCTCAGCCTGCACGGTATAAAGATAGCAACGACGCGGCTGCATAGTGAGGAATCTACGGCTGGTCCATGCCATGGGTCGGACCGAGCTTGTGCTGTTACATATGGTATAGTATAGTATGGCTGACCGATCGGGAGGTGCATGGAATGCGAATCTCAGTCCGTTCTCGAGTCCTTCATCTATCCATGAGGGCTTGACCTCGACATTCTTGAGCATTTGATTCCCACGTACATACTTGGGGCCGGAATGCCCTCAATACGATGATGCCGTGGGCTGATTCGGATAGCGACCGCGGGGCTTCTGCGACGTATAGGTGTCGTATACCAGATTTATATATATCTTTACACTGCGGATCGTGCGTATCGACTCTGCCAGTTCCTGAATTGAACCTGTGTGCAAACATCGAGGGCCGGGAAGCAGGTGATCGTTCATTTATGCATGGCGTGCTGGGTTGTGCGGATGAGGAACGTTCGTGGCTAGAGTTTATTGCCCTTCATCGGAAGGAGGAGAAGGCAATCAAGAATGGTTCATTGAGGGTGGAATGGTATCATGTTCGCTGAGCGTGGAGTATTGCAATTATGACTGTAAAGTTACTATTTATTCATGACGCATATTTCTGTGGTCGTAAAAGATAGGCCAGGCCAACAGTTCCTGTTGAACATTTGGGCGGCTTGGACATGACAATGAGGATATCACAACTATAGTAAGAGCTTCGAATATTCTTCCCATCTATTCCAACACTCTTGGTTTTCGTCTTTGTTTCCGCTGACCTAGAACAACCAAGAGACAAACGTCCTGTAGAACCACCCACCACGGTTGGGACCCTTCTCAGCATCTCTGGCAGCCTTCGCGGCCAAGAATTCCTGCTCCTCACGGTCAATGACGTCCTTGCCAGACCAGAGATCTGCCTCGTGGGGCTTGACGCCCTTGGACTTGGTCCAGAACTTGTATCCGAAGATCATGATCAAGTAGAGTGGAATCCCTAAGTATCCGGTAATGAAGTTCTTGTAGTCAAAGTTGCCGTATGAGCCCTTTGTGAAAACGTCGAAGTTCTTGGTCAACGCAATCAGGATGCAGAGTGCCAGAGCACCGTACGATCCAGCGGCACCAAGTGGTGCTTTAAATGCGAGGTCAGAATCAGGTACGTTTTGTGCTTTGCGGGCTTTGATGAAGGAGATGTGGGCAACCAGAATTGAGATCCAGGTGAGAAGACCGAAGATCGTGGTCAGGTTGACAAAGTAGGTGAAGACAGCCTTGGAATCATCAGAGACATTCATGAAAGCGAGAAGGGCGAACGCTGCTGAAAGTCCTAGGGCGTAGATCGGAACACCTCGTGCATCAGTCTTTTTGAAGATGGCAGGAGCCTTTCCTTCGCTGGCAAGACCATAGAGAGTACGGCTGGCGATATAGAGATCAGAGTTGGAAGCCGAGAAGACGAAGAGAAGAATGCAGCCATTGATAATTCCAGGCAGTGCATCAATTCCGGCCAACTTGACAGCCACAACGAAGGGTGAGGCGGAGGCCCCACTGGAGGCTTTGGTAGCAAATGCAAGCTCCTCACTGTCGTAGGGCACAAGCATGCCGAGAAGGAGGACACTGAGGATATAGAAGAAGAGGATTCGGTAGAATGTCAGTCTGATCGCGCGAGGGATCGTTTTGCGTGGGTTCTGAGCTTCGCCAACAGTGACACCAACCAATTCAGTTCCGAGATATGCGAATGTGGCAGTGACCATGGTAGACCAGAAAGCGAGGAAACGTCCAGTAGCTCCCGTGTCAATGTAGGTGTTGAAAGCTCCAGGATCGTTCCAGTACCTGAAACCTTTGCGGTCATGGTCGGGACCACCACCAAGAGCGAGAACCAGTGAGAGAATGATTATCCCAACAATGACGATAACCTTGATGGTAGAGAGCCAGAACTCGAATTCACCGAAGAATCTGATGCCAAAATAATTGATGCAGATAATTGTGACCAGAAATACGGCAATGAAGACTCCAGGATTTACCTTATCTCTTGGGCACCAATATTGAAGAACCAGAGCGGCGGCGGTCAGCTGGTTGGGTGTGACAATGATGTATTTGAACCAATATCTGCGTAGAACGAGATTAGCTTCCCGCAGAAAAGTCCCAAGTCCAGAGTCTTACGTGTAACCCAAAGCAAAACCGAGTGCAGGATCACAAAATCGCACGGCATAGCCAGTAAAACCGGAAGACAGAGGAAGCCATGCAGCCATTTCGCCCAACGCGCACATGACGAGGTAAACGATGAAGCCGACGACGGAATAAGAGATGAAGATAGCGCCTGGACCAGCACGAGCGAGAGCTTTGCCAGTTCCAATGATAAGACCGGTGCCTTTGTATCGAATATTAGCAGATGTTGGTGTTTGAATAGTATATCAGATGGTGGCAAGCATACCAATAGCACCACCAATAGCAATCATAGTAATATGACGAGCCTTGAGACCACGGTGCAAGCGATGGCCCTCTTCATACTCAACAGCATGGGCCTGGCCCGGGGCAACTACATGTGATTTCTCATCATATTGACCCTTATGGTAGTTGTCGAATTGACCTCGCTCAAGGGTGTCTGGCGACGAGCTAGAATGACGGTGGTGAGGGTCACGACGATGAAGGTCAGCCATGATGGAGGATTCCTACACTCAAAACAAACTGAGGTGGACGGTATATGGGGGATGTGGGAAGTCAACCACTTTCGCCTTGGGAAAGAATAGTACAAGCCTATCTGCGCAAGAGGGTGTCACCAGGCTATTTATCTTGGATGACGATCATCGTTCTTCAGAAGCGAAGAGGAAAGTGCATTGCCTGGGCCCTCGCGCCTGACATGCATGCTGCGTTACATCTGCCTTTTCTTTGTACAATGATAACTGCAGACCAGGATCAGGCTGGGCCAAGAAGCATGCCCTGATCAGTTATCAGTGAAGGTAACATGGATCGATGTCAGTGGCGTATGGGAGAGGTAGTCAGTGGAGACTGAAATCAGACCGGGGTCAGCCCACACCCCGCTGTTTAGATCACACAAAGCATGCCCACAGGCTACACGATCGGACCCAAGAAAAGACCAAGAGGTGCTACTGGGGATGAAGAGATAACAAGGTAACGGCAAGCCGCCATGGGCGCCCTCAAGATGATGCAAGGCGAACCAGAAAACATGTAAATCAAGCGAGGCGAAGCCAGTCAAGTCGAGCACAAGAGACTGCCAAGCCAAGCGGGCCAAGAAGCGAAGGAATGGAAGGGAAAAGAGCGCCTCGGGATTTGGATTGTCTGAGGCTGGAGCGGGGACCCGAATGCCGCCATGGTATGGTGGATGGCTATCACCGGTCCACCAGGCATTGTAACCAATTGATGGCATTGTCGTGTGTAAGAACCTCAACAAGAGAATCATCGCCAAGCCCATCTTGCCACCAAAGGCCGCTTTCTGGAAATCTTTGCTGACCATCACGTGAAAGAAAGACCAGCGATCGCCCGAGGAGTACTGCTTTAGAAGAAACCTAAGGCACGGTGGCTCAAGATCACTTACTTAGAGGCTATGGAGGTGGCTTTCTCCGGGGCCAGCTCATCGGCTTCAACACGAGGAACAAGTTTTCAACCACTGGGAAACAAGCCTACAGCGCTCCTCCAGGTTTGAACTTCTCCAGGTTCGTAGCTAACTTTTACGGAGGCGTTTCTTCTTTGGACAACAGAAGCGGTTATCTGTGGCCTTATGTTTCGATTACCCCTTCAAATCCACCCAACTCCCGACCTATTCTCGCCCATTGTGATATTATTACCCCATCGTGACCATAATTTCAAGATACTTACCTAGCGTGTGCCTTTCTCTGGGATTTTGCAGTCATTCATTTCCGGAACTCAGGTGAACTCAGAAAATTTTCATCTCCTAAAAGCTTGTCGGACTTTGGGCACCTCGTTGCGGTCATTGATTTTGATTAATTTCAAGTACGAAAAGAATTTTTTTTTTCTCCTTCCACATGCAAGTCAAGATTGACCGTAACGGTAAGTGCCTCCGACTATGTTTGAGAAAGACGAGATTTCCAAGGCCTCCTCTATCGGTATATCAATGAGGGACTGGTGGATCGGATGGAGTCCCACAAACAACGGCCAGAAGAGAGGATTGTTGTGCAGCATGGATACCTTTAAAGGTGGTAGGCAGATGCCCTCAATGAAAGAGGTCCCATATCCAGTCAAACCATCCTCCACCGCCTCCTCCATCTCCACCTCCACTGGATGCCCCAGCACTATTCCAGGGATCGGAGTCGCCATCACCCCATACATCTCCATGCTGACCTTGCGAACCAGAAGTTTGGGGTGACTGGGAATCAAATGGTGGTGATTGTTGACTTGCACCAGGAAGTTCAGGAGATGAGCCTTGTTCCATGCCGCGATGCATTGCGTCGTAACCTGCCAGAGAACCTGCTCCAGCAATGGCACCGTGACCTGACCCAAACCCTCCTGCACCTCCTCCCACGACATGACCTGCGCCTCCTCCTCCGCCGCCGCCGCCACCAACACCTATGTCTCCAGCTCGTCCAACCCCAGTACCATGATTGGGCATAGGTATAGGCATTAGCCAGAGCATAGTGTCATCTTGACTTGCAACTCGATACCCGGATAAATAGTCAAAATTTATGGTCACAGCGCTTGCGAGCATGACCGCTCTCTGGTCAAGTGTCAATCCCAGATTGAATTCCTTCCCACGCGACGGTCCAATATTCATTTGACCAGTTTTGCTTCCTTCTGATGTCAAATCGTCGTCCTGAATAGCCTGTTCGACGGCCACGGAATCCATGCGAAAGACATAGGAGCCGCCATGTGTGAAGGGTTGCTGGGCAAATCCGTCGAATTTTCGATTGATTGAACCAATCTCCCGACTATTACTCGAAGACAAAGAGAATTTCCAAGACTTGGAGTGCTCGTCAATCGACGCAAACTGTGTAAGCGCCGTCCTCTCGCTGCTCTGCTTAGTTCCTTCGTCTTTTGGCGCGGATGGGTCTTCCACAGGCTTCATGGACCGCGAATCAGTGCCCCAGTCTCTCGTTCTGGAATCCCCAAAAATTGATAAATCATACTTGCCTGATCGAGGTGCCCATCTAGAATGGACTTCACCAACAAGAGCCATTGCATCTGTTGGCAGCCTAGAGAGTCCTTGCTGAGGCTCTCGATTCTTGTTCTGATTATTGGCTTTCAAGTTCGCCGCAGATACAACGTCGTACACCCCGAGTCGCGTGCTCATCCACGAGAATGGTCGATGGAACCTGAGGACCTCCTCCGACTTTCTGTCAAAAATGTGGGTGGTGAATGCGCGATGTGTCCGGAACCATTGCTTGGATGAGAGCTCTTTTTGAGTCCAGTCATGCTCGGCCATATACCCGATGTGAGCTCCACGGGGATCAAGCAGCAGATATCTGGTAGCGTGCTCAAGCCCTAGAAATGCGTTCGCTGTTTCAAGCTGCCTGTGTACTACTACCAATCCAGGTTGTGCAAGAATAGTGGCAGCTGGATGGTCCGATCTCAGAACAGTGTTTGTGCTTTCTGGTATATGAACTGGTGCTAGGAGAGGGTTGTGAAGTGGATTGAGGTCCGCGAGCAGACTTTCCAGTGAGATAGGCTTAGCTGGTGGCGAATCTGCATTGGAAGACTCGGTCTCATCTTCCGTGGTTGACGTTTGCTTCGTTGGTGAAGTTTTGGACGATGAATAGCCACGAATCTTAGCCCTTTCGAATGGAGTTCGGGTTGATGTTTTCAAATATGGAGTTAAGTTGGTGCCGACTGGCCGTGAGATCTTTGTCAGATGGCAAAGCATATTTGTGACCCCGGTATCGCATTTCAGTGCATAGAAGATATATATTTCGAAATTTTCTTCTCAAACAGATTGGTCGTACTCATACAATATTTGTTGACCTGTAGCCAAGAATCGATGAAGAGGGGAGGGTTTGCAAGGCTGAGGTTGGCCAAACCAGGCCGTAGCAGAGCAAAGCAACATACAAGGACGGTGATAATAGGGTCACTTTCGATCAAAGCTGAAGTAAGGTTCATAATGTTTTGATGATGATTCAATGGAGCACAACAGTGGTTTGATGCCAGATCCCTGAGGTCATCGAGAACATGCAAATCGAGGCTGCGAGAGAATATACGGTGGATCATCGCATGGCAGGTTTGGTTTGCCAGTATGTCACAGAGCCTTGCAATGGCTACTAACACTGGAGTTGAAGCATTTTTTGAGTAACGGATAATCTTCTCCTCTTCCCGGTATCGTCTACTACTTCTCATTGAGGCTACACATTATGTCTAGTATTCAAGAGAGGTCAAGCTTCTGGTGGTGATGATTGACTCTCCCACAGCTAACTGGGGATAGAGGCATCTTTTTGGTTGCTGCACAACGCATGATATAGTTTATTCATAACTGACCGTTGTATCTCAAATCGGCTGGATCACTGATGGCTGTCCGAGACATTTCATTCATTCGATTCACGAAAGCTTAATGTGTCCAAGCCGATGTTGGACCTTCCCTTCAAACAGTTCGAACTGGTGGCAGGCGATACGTTCAGTAGAGAGGCCTGAGAGCCCTCGGACTCATCCTCCCAGAACGAGACCTGATGATTTATTGTGGCGACGGCATAACATTATCAAGGCCTAATCCCTTCAGTGTTACGGGATCCACCATGAGCAAATTCTCGTCGGTAATGATTTCGATGGGTGATCGGGTAAAGCGACTTAATGGACTCGATTATGCAGGAATAAAACATTTTCGGCTTCTGCGAAGCATCGCAGCTTTGAGGGGGCTTCAACATGTCCGACTGGCTTCATATTATGATATCTAGAAAGTCTGCGCCATACTAATCATCAATGGATTTGAAATAGACAGCATATCTAGTAATCTCGGTAGATTCGGTCCAAGAACATGGATCCTGGTCACATTTCATCATGCCCTGTCCGTACTTGGTCTTGCTATTGAAGTCTTTCTTGGTCGCTTGAGAAGGCGGGTATGTAGCTTGCACGTTTAGTTTGCATTCCATACAAGGAGAAGAGTACTTATTCACATCGGTGCAAGAACAGTGCACCTCGTACAGAAATCTGCATTCCGTACTCCTCATCTTCGAAGAGCCTGAGGCCAGTGCTGCACGGATGTTGGTTATCCGCCCAGGCGCCCAAGTGACTCTCGGCCCCTTTTGCATTTGCGCGACCACTGGGCGTTCTGAACAGTCAGAGGTGTCCAGACCCGTTGTGCTAAGTGCTTGGCAGGGCCATATCAGTACTGGTGTGAAATACTTCGTGGCGATCGTACGGTTCAAGGGACCCAACATCTCGTTCGTCTGGTGAGTGTGCTGTTTCTCTTCATTCCCCTGCATAAGGCCCCCAGCTCTCGACAAATGACCAACCCGGCCAAGCCCAAGGCAAATCGCTTTGACTGGTAAAAGTGTTTATTGCCAAATCAATCGAGATTAGTTGCCAATCTCGAGACATTTTCCCGACCAACCACAGAAACTGAAAACCTAACACTGTTTCCACTGCGTCTCATGTCTGTGCAAATGCCTTTAGTGACTACGAGTACGGTGTCTCCAATGAATTCCCAAATCCCCTTGGTGCCTTGCTGCGAGATGTTTGGCTTCAGACTGGTGATGCTTTAGCATTCGCCTAAGAAGATTTCTACCTCTTCGAAACCGGGACTGTTTGCTGGTCGGAACAACAATAACTCAGTCAACAATTGGTGTAGCACCCTGGCCCCTCCAGTCCAATTAATTGTCCGACTTTCCACTATATACCATTATGGCGGCTGACCATGCAACAGGCAGCACAAGGATGACAACATGGGCATCATTGAACATCAAAACGTGATGCTGCTACCCGGGAAGGCAAGGTTCATGGTGGCTTCGGCGATCTCTACAAGGTGCGAGGTAGCTTGATACGAATTGATTCAATACTGCACTAGTTAGTAGCTGAATCGGCCCTACACGCAAAACGCCTTCGTGGCTTCCCAGGAGTGCTTCCGTATGGCCTGGCTACCTCCGGTTTGGCGCTCAAACGGTGAGTGCCCTAGAATAAGATCAAGCCTTGGGCAACCATTAGCTAGTCACTTCACAGGGGTGAATCATAGGGAGTATCCGTAGCCTTTTCGTCGAAGCTCACCCACTACTGAATTGTCTTAACGAGGAAGGATCAGGCAGTCTAACGAAGTGTCCCACTACTACGAGTCCACACGATTGATCTAGGGATCATATTCCAAGAGCGTACCCGTGTTCTCTGCCACTCTCGAGCACTTGCTACCATTGAACTTCCATGCTGCCAGCCACCAAGTCTATCACTGCCGTCACCACATTTACGAAATGCTCAGCGCACTCCTGGCGCTCAGTGTTGCCTGTCATGGCGCACGGGCTGCTCTCTTCGACAACAGTATATCAGAATGGTTTTGGGGAACTAGTATGTTCTCACCAACAACCTGACAAGTAAAAAAATTAATCCATGTCAGCTATTGTGGTGGGCGACTACCTATATATTTCAGGAGGAGAGTATTACACATCCGCAGGACCAAGTTCACGTAAGGAAAAGCAACACAAGTCTAAGACTCACTGGTCGAATGCTTACAATACCAGAGCTCTCAACCTTTATCGTTGACCTCACTACGTCGTGGACCAATCAATCAGTTCTGCCAACATCTACTGCTCTGGAACCGGACACTATGCGCAGAGTACGACAGCCTATACTATTCTACGATGCGACACAGAATGTGATCAGAAGATATGGTGGATGGCCATACGACGCTCCGAACGGAGCCTTACCAGACGATATGCCGAGCGAGCTTTGGTCATTTCCAGCAGGTACAAAAGACTCTAACTGGGTAGTGGATACGAGTCCTATAGCGAATGGGCTTTCAAGCAGTTCTCCAGGGCCTTTTGCGCCTGCCATTGCATTCTCCGAGTCTGCATTCTACGCGTTCGGTGGTAATGTCTTCAAGCCTGCAGCGTTACCGAACATGACAGTACTCTCAGGAGTTGTGACACAGGATTTCTCATCCCAAAGATGGGACAACGTAACGACCAACATCCCAAATCAGAGTCAGTATCGGACCCAAGCGAAGTCTGTCTTTGTGCCAAATTTTGGAGACAAAGGATTCATCGTCACTGTCGGAGGCGAATCCCCAGAGACAGAAGAGTCCTTTTACGAGGAGGCAAAATTCATGACCGACATGTCAACCATTACTTTATATGATATTGCCTCAGACACCTGGTACACTCAAACGGCTACTGGCGAAATTCCACCTCCAAGGTCTGAGTTCTGCGCAGTCGGTGTGAATAGCAGTGATGGCTCAAGTTTCGAAATGTACGCTCCTCGTCATGAAGTACTTTGCTCCCTGACAACTGACATTACGACTTAGGTTCGTCTACGGCGGGTCGACCAACGTAACATACGACCAGAATCACCCTGGGGAGGCCGGATACTTGAGCGTCTATGCGTTGTCCATTCCTGCGTTCAAATGGTTTCGATCAGAGTCACGCACTCCTGTAAGACGGGCATGTCATACGTGTAGTATTATTGGGAAACGCCAAATGGTTTCCGTTGGTGGGCGGCTGCCCAGTACCAGTATGACTCTTGGTCAAGAGCGAGACCCTTGGATAACAGGGCTCGGAATATTTGACATGAGTGAATTCACATGGGCAGAGAGTTATCGTGCCGATGCTGCGCCTTACGAGCAGCCCAAAATCGTTAAAGACCACTATGCATCAAGCTACCAAGAACCAATCTGGAGCAACGCTGCTCTGGCTTCAATTTTCGGTGAGTTACTTATGGCAATAAGCATCTGACATTGAACTCTGGTCGCTAACATGGTTGTAACTCAGCATACACAGCACCACCACCATCGCCTGACTCCACAAACTCTGGAAGCAATTCAACAAGCACGGGGTCAACATCTGGATCGAGCAGCACCACCACCCCAAACAACGAGCCTACAGTGGAGAAAAAATCCAGTGTTGGTCCCATCGTCGGCGGTGTTATCGCCGGCGTTGTAGGTCTCGCGATCGTTCTTGGAGTGGGCTTCATGATTGGACGCAAACGACGAGCCCGACAGAAGTCATCAGCGGCCGAGGTAGCTGCTGAAGAACATCAACCACCACCAGTTTATAGATCAATGACGGAGCATGCTGCCGAAACGGGAATTTATGAAGCTCCGGCGTCCAAGCCCAGGCAGGAACTCCCAGATACTCCACGACATAAGCAGTCACATTTCGTCGAGCTACCCGTCAGTTCTCGTGACTGAGGCGAACATTCAATCCTGGCGAAACACTTCACAATTAGACGGCACACCTTTGGCCAAACGACCAAAAGTTGTCAACTTTTAACGTCGATTTTCTAATCTGTCACGAATTTCTCTTGAAGTCTCTCAGCAGTCTCTGAGAGCCGGCATAGCGACGGCATGGCGTCTCATGTAGCGATTGATATCCTTTTTGCACACATCTGTGTGTGGCGTTGGACAGGAAAATGATTTGTCTTCCATGTGGACATGGATCCTAGTTGCTGACTATGTACCATGAATGTGTACCTCAAAGTAATTCCGCGAGATCTTCTTTGAAGTCTTTACTAGTGAATTAACTCCTTGTCAAGTACTGAGTTTTACAATAGCAGTCGTCAGTAAGTTCAAATTCTTTAGATTGGGTGCATCGAATGACTTCGTAGTCACCTTGAACCCTCCAAGAGGATGGCACGCCGAGCACCTCCATAAGCACTCTAAACAAACCACTATCTACGTGCTGAGTAATAGCTCACGACTCACGGGGTACTTGTCCGACAACCTGGTCGAGTCATCCTTAGGAGAAGTACCTCGTACGGAAGAGCTATCCGTAGTTCGGACCATCAACCATTCCTATTCGGTCGAGGCGTCCTTCGCGTGGTGTCCGGTCTATGCTCATCCGATTGGCTGCAAACGCCAACAGGCAAATCGAGTTTCATCCAGCCTCCTCTCGACATGTCCTTGATGCCATCAGACATCTTCACATATCACAAAGCTCGAAGCTCGTGGGAAAGCGCGAGGTCTTCGGGATGGTCTCCAATGGTAATTGATTTCAAAGAATTATAAATCGTGTTCGTTCTCGGAGATTCATTTGTCGCGAGGACCATACTGGAGTTGGCTCAGGTAAGCCAACTCATGTTAGTATGAAGGCTCAACTGTCAGTGCTCACACAGCCTCGCCATGAGACCATTCCTCATAAGGGCGTGAATACGAGCAGATCCAGGTCTACGAGATGAAGTATTGTGCAGAAATGCTTTGAAACCGACCCTCACCAGATGTGCTGGCAATGCTCGTGTTATGCGGTAGGTGTGGTTGTACCACAGAAGCCCAATCTATCATTTGTCCGTGACATTCCACTGTGCGGCGTACCCATCCAGTGATGCTACCCCACCAAAGCCGAAGATATGACAAAAGCAATTCCATCGAGTCCACGGTGCCAGTAGGTTGGTACGCCGTGAGAAGGCCTATAAGTATAGGTGAAGACTTCACGGACACGGGACGGCTGAATCCTCCTCTCACACATCTCACAGGAAGAAACAGAAGAAAATCGTTCCGCAGTTGCTCAAACTCACCTGAACAGGAAACTCTTCCCAATTCATCATGGCCGATGAAACGCTTGAATACACGACTCCATTTCAGCTCACCAAGACCATTAGGCGTGACCCGTACGACGCAATTTCCCCAACCAACCCTGAGCTTTCAGCTGCTGGCAAAGTCATTATCATCACTGGTGGTGGGTCTGGTCTTGGTGCGGTAAGTCTAAATAAGTCTATGCCTCGATGCGGCTCTCCAATTGAGATACCCTCTGACTGGAAAACATCATTAGGCTGCTGCTGAAGTTTGGGCTAGAGCTGGCGCTGAAGGCATTGTTGTAGCCGGAAGGCGTCTTGCTAACCTAGAGGAGACAGTCTCCAAACTCCAGGCCATTAATAATGGCAAAACCAAGACGATTGCCATCCAGGCAGATCTCGCTAAAGATGCAGAAGTCGCGAACCTCTTCGCTGAGACGCTCAAGACTTTTGGTCGTTCTCCTGACGTTGTCCTGGCCAATGCTGGTGTCTTGATAGAGGGTAAAGTAGGCGAAACAAGTCCAGATGAGTGGTGGGATGCCATGGTGAGTCGAGATTAGGGCGGCCCAATCAATAACCCTGGTATACTAGGTGATACTTGACACCTCCTGTTGCGCTATGTGTTCGATCTTTTATTAATCACCACATTTCGCAGAGCATCAACTTGAAAGGAGTTTACTCGACCGCTCACGTAAGGAGTCTTTTCTTTTGCTTAAGACTACGAAGCCTGCGCTTTCATGGCCAATTATCTTAAACGCTGGCGATACGCCGATCGAATGATTTCTGACTAATGTGTGCCGAGGGAGTAGTATTTTATCAAGACCCAGCCAGACCCGGAGAGCCCACGCGGTACCTTCATGGTCACGAACTCTGGCCTCGCCGGTGTGATTGTTCCACGGGTTTCCGCTTATGCGGTCTCCAAGCTCGGTGCACAACGAGTCGTCGAGTATCTGCATCTCGGTAAGCATTCAAAGTTGCTCAACAAGACCAAGCTTTCAGAAACACGCTTCCTCCCATCTCGTGATCAAGTTGTTGAAATCCCTAATTTCCTTACTAACCATACACATTCCAGAGTATCCCACGCTCCGCTCATTCACTTTGCTCCCCGGCGTTGCAAAGACGCCGATGCTAGCTGGCCAGTTCCTCAAGTTCGGACTTGACCATGTCGACATGACAGGTATGCTGGCCCTGTACCTGTCGACCTCAAGGGCCGAGTTCCTCAGGGGCGGCCTCACGAGCGTCAATTGGGACATCGAGGAGACAGAGGCACACAAGGAGGAAATCTTGGCAGGCAGATTGCTGGACCTGAAGTGGGTTCAGATTCTGCCTGCAGGAGGTGGCAGAGGCTTTGAATAGTGGTGAAATCTGCCCTCGGTGGAGATGCTACACATGAAGGATTATGCAGATCCTGGTACAATAGTCATGATCAGATCTACTGGATCACATTCGACATTCTTCCTACTTTGGTCTGCGGTACAATAGTAAGTACTAGACCTTAATGATTAAACAGCTTGCTTCTCCAAGATGGTACCCATACCCTCCACAATGCTTCCGGAAATGGCAGTACGCGCCGAAGCCATATTTGGATTATCTCATTCGCCTATTTCACTATCAGTGTCCAAATTGACATTTGAGTGGTCGTGAATGTCAGATACTTAATCGCGAGATCGAGCATAAGCTTAACAATCAGCTCTGCTATTGATACAAACACTCAAGTTTATACCCAAGCTCGAAGATATTTCATCAATGGGAGACATCTCGGGCTGCGTTGCGGCCGATGGTCTTTCGGCCGAAGCCAATGTCGAATTGTCGCGATCCTTGCCCCAGATCTTGAATTTCGGCGTCGTAGGCATAGGCCGGATGGGACAACAACATGCCCTCAACATCCTAAAATCGGTCCCAAGAGCAAGACTAGTATGCGCCTGTTCACCAGCTAAGGCTGATCTTGTTTGGGCCGAGAGTAACTTGGTGCCTCATGGGGTTGCAATATTTTCTACCTTTGAAGAGATGATCCAGTTTCCAGGCCTTGATGCCGTTGTCATCGCTTCCATCACGGAGCTTCATTACCCACACACAAAGGCGGCGCTTCAGCGGGGCGTCCACGTGTTGTGTGAGAAGCCTCTCGCACAAACTGTGGAGCAAGTGGAGGAACTTGTCTCCATTGTCCACGCTTCACCACAGACTCGGCTCATGGTGGGCTTCACCCGAAGATTCGATGAGAATTACCAGGAGGCTGTTCAAAAGATTCGAGATGGCGCCATTGGTTCACCGGTGGTCATTCGGTCCCAAGGCTGCGAGAAGCTCGATGACTCGGGCTTTATGCACTCGTACGTGGTCAATGCAGCACGAGGAGGTGGATTCTTCGTCGACTCCGTCATTCATGACATCGACCTCACTCTATCATTCCTCGAGGTGGGCGGCAAGCCGGTGCAGCCGAGATCTGTCTGCGCATTTGGTAATATAGCTCATTTCAAGCAGCTTGAAGACGAGTCTCTGCGTGACGCAGACAATGTCGTAGGTACAGTCCAATACTGGGGTGGCCAAATATCATTTCATTACAATTCACGCACCGCGGCAGCGGGCTACGACAATCAGACAGAAATCTTCGGCACTCAAGGCAAGATCTCGGTCAATCTAGTCTCAAGGCGCAACAGATTAGAATTATCCGACCAAAGCGGGATACACGTCTCGGCTTTAGCGAGCTGGCACGATCGCTACAAACCAAGTTTTGTGTCAGAGTTAGCCGTATACACTGACGCGGTTTTGGAAAACAAGCAGATGCCAATCTCACTGGAATCCTGCATTACGAGCCTGAAAATTGCACAAGCTTTGCAGGAAAGTTTTAGAACTGGGAAAATGATCGAGTTCGATAAAGACGGGAGGCGGAGATAAGTCATTGTGCAAGACAAGACTGGGTAGGTGCTGCAGGCACCGAGACGGCCCAAGCTCTAGATTATCGTTCGTCTAAGGTCTTCTCGTGGAATATTAAAGAACGAGAAAATCATGTATGGAAAGGTCTACAAAATCAGAATAGAAGACATTAACATGCTGCATCCTACGATTATGATGCAGAACCCTTGTCAGATTAATTTGGCATTACCAGAGTACTAATGAAATACTTCCTTGGTACAACAGTGATGTGCCCACATGGGGGCAGTAGCTACGACTAGTCCTCTGAGACATATTCATCCTCATGCCTGTTCCAGGTGGCCACCGATGCAAAATCCAAATCGGGAATGAATCAAATCAGTCAGACTATGCACAACACTTTCATAATCTCCGGGTAGCTGGGGCCAGTCAGTACAGTTTAGGGCTCAGTACGACGCCACTCGGTGGTTGAAAACTAGGAATTTTCACAGTAGTCAGTACATAGTATGGAGAGGATTATGTCAGTACAGCTTGATGTTCCGGGCTGCGCAACTCTCTGTGTGCCGTGGTAGCATGCTAGTTGAAGTCATTTTTAACAGATTCGAAGCCTGGAAATACATGCTACATAACATCCGCTTTGAAACCGTTACTATGTGTCTCGACAAAATAGCACAGACCGTTGCTCAGGCTCCTAATCTCGACAAGAATGCCTCCAAGATAGGCAGTTCTCGGCGAACAATGCCGTCTTCGATTGCTGGATTTGGTAATTTGTCGCCGTGGATGGACGCTTTCTCCAGGACAACTGTAACCTCTATTCAGATCTCCATCGATAATACTTGTCTTTCATTGCCAGTACGTGCTAATATCACAGCAATCATGCCACTGGATGGGGTGAATGGGGAGCGAATTTCCCCTTGTGTATGTCGCAAGCTGTGCCGTCCAGGATGCGAATCTCAAGATCGAATATATAGGCCGCTGTGACAGTAAGTGCAAGTTCACACGATCATTCCAATATGGCTCCATCTGCGATCATCGAGCCTCCGGCTCCGAAGGAACTATCCAGAGTCCAAAATGCTCCCCTTGCGTACCGGAATGATACCTTGGAGAAGCCGGTTGCCGATGATTATATGTATGCCTTCAAATACAATTTCCCACTTCCGACCTTTGGCAAGGGCAAAGATATACTGGATTTCAGCAATGATGACGAGCGGGAGAAGGAGGAGATTGCTCAACGGTTCATGAGAACTTTGGAGCTAATCAGCCAAAGCCGTGATTCAGCGGCATTTGCCGAGCTATTCCTGGACTGTGGTGAGTAGCGATGTTGACATGTGGTGCCAACTATCCTTAATCTGACATTGATGATAGGCGTTTGGAGAGATAAAATCGCGTTTACTTGGGAATATCGTTCGTTCAACACTCCACAAAATATCGAACAGGCCGCGAAGGACCTCTTCCCTCGTACACCCACCAGCAACTATAAATTGATTGAACCTGCCCCATCAATTCAACGTCCGTATCCTGATATTGCCTGGCTTCAGATCGTGTACGCCTTCGATACCAACTTGATTGGAGCAAGTGGAGTCTTGAACCTCATAAAAACGAAAGACGGGTTCAAGATCTGGACTCTTCATACTGCGATCGAGAGCCTTATTGGACACCCGGAAATCCCCAATAGGGACGGCCACATGATTGGCGACAAATCATGGCACGACCAAAGAATCGAAGATGATAACTTGGAACTTGTCGAGCCGGAAGTAATCGTGGTTGGCGGAGGCCACTGGTGAGTCTGCTTTGCACTGATTTGTGGGATGTTGTTAATAGTCTGTCAGTGGTCTCCACATTGCTGCAAGATTGAAGGCCTTGGGTATCGACGCCCTGGTAGTTGAACGCAATCAACGGATTGGCGACAACTGGCGCAATCGATATGAATATCTGTCTTTGCACCTGCCTCACTGGGCTGACCATTTCCCATATTTCCCATTCCCTGATCACTGGCCAACCTACACTCCAGCCGGCAAGATGGGGGATTGGCTCGAATGGTATGCTAGTGCCATGGAAATCACCACGTGGACTGACTCAAGTGTGGTGGAAGCATCTCAGGCTGATACTGGAGAGTGGGAGGTGACAATTCAACGAGGAACAGGGGACTATAAATACACACGGACCTTCCGCCCCAGTCAAGTTATCATTGCCACATCGCTGGCTGGCATGCCATTTGTCCCAAACATTCCTGGGGTTGAAAACTTCAAGGGAACGGTCCGGCACTCTACCCAGCATGATTCCGCTCGCGAGTGGGTAGGTAAGAAGGTTCTTGTTGTGGGTACTTCTTCTTCTGGCTTTGACACAGCATATGACTTTGCTCGCCGCAACGTTGATGTCACATTCCTTCAGAGATCACCTACATATCTGATGTCTCTAGATGAGTCAGTGCCACGAGTAAGACACTATCCAATCGCTCTCTCCCGCTAGACACTGACCGGATCTAGATCCTCGCACCTCTCTACGAGCCCAAAAATCATAGAAAGCCAGACCTGGATAGCGCTGATCGGTTAAACTATAGCATGCCAGTCGGGCCTGCGGAAGAGTTGAACCGTCGAGTCGCCCAGGACATCTGGAACGCGGATGTGGAATTGATTGCGGAAATGGAAAGGGCTGGCTTCCGAGTCTGGCGAGGCCAACGTGATACAGGCTCCCACACGCTTGGATACACCAAGAACGGAGGATTCTACTTCGATGCGGGTGCGTGTAAGGCCATCATCAACGGTAAGATCAAGGTTGAGCAAGGCTATCCTGTCGCGTTCACCGAGGACAGCATTGTATTGAACGGGAATCGTGAACAGCAATACGACCTGGTCGTACTGGCCACAGGATTTTCTAATACTATCGATTCAGTCCGAAATATCGTGGGAGAAAAGATTGCCAGTCGATGCAATCCGATCTGGGGGATGGATGAGGAAGGCGAGCTTAACACAGCCTGGAAGACAAGTGGTGTGCCTGGTCTGTGGCTCATGGTCGGGACCTTCCAACATGGAAGATATCACTCGAAGAAACTCGCTCTTAGAATCAAGGCAATCCTGGAAGGCAAAGCCCCGGAGCCATATTTGAGATAGACTAAAATGCATCCTTCTCTCTGTGACTGCTGCGTCAAGTCGTCTACTGGTATCTCAAGTCAACCATGACTGGCTCGTATAGCCTCCGCACAAAGTTCAATGAGGACAAGAAACTTGACTCTCCAAGATGGTATTTGTCATTCCAATCATTATCAGTCATTAGCTTGTACAGACCATTCATCTTGAAGGGTGAATAATGTCAAGGAAGAGAGGCTGCTAGAAGTACTTCGATACAATCTCTTCATAACCTGTGGCTACTCTGGCTGTATTCGTGGTCGACAAGGGTGGACGAAAGCTACAGATTTAGCGTCATTCGGTGTCCAGGAGTGTGGATATCATATCATCAGTGTTAAATAAGATCAAATTGAACGTGAGAGTGGCAATTAAACATTCTCATTCAAACAGACCATCTTTATTTCATTGGAATGACCGTTCCTCCTTGCATGGTCGCGAAGTCCACCGCCGTCTCATAACCCAATGAATCAGACTAACTGAAAGTAGGGGTTTTTATCATCATCTACCATGGTGGAGCAGAGGGTAGTATGCTGTCTTCAAAAGAATTTAATGGCCCACAGCCGCGATTCTTGGCTGATTCCTTAGGCGTTCTTTGATCTCCGCTTTCTTGTCTTTCCTCAATTGCCGTGCGTAGCGAACCCCGAAGCCATGCTGGAAGACTTCAGAAATTTCCTCCAAGTTCAAGCCGGAGACCTCGGGGTAAAACAGAATAATCAAAACCCAGCCGATGCCACAAATAGCAGCATAGAATCCAAACGCGCCAGAGGGCGTCATTCCTTTCATCATGGACAAAAAGGTTGAGGAGACGATGATGTTGGAACCCCAGCATGAGCATGTCAGCCACATGGTACCAGTGGCGCGAACTTCCATGGGGAAGAAATCGGTACTCATCCATGCAGTATTGCCAACAGAGACTCCGTAGAAGGCGACGAACCAGATGATGAAGACAAGTACCACGATAGCCGGTGCAGTAACCTTAGTGGTCTCGAGTGCCAGCGTGTGAGTATCAACGGGGATGAAACTGAATGCAACCGCTACAGCCAGTAGACCAGCTGACATGCCCCACACAGTGGATACTAGGACACGACGACGGCCGATAGGGTCAACACACATCACTACAGGACAGGTTAGCATTGCTTGTAAATCAAGAATGGGATTGACTTGCTGTTGATCCAGGTCATCTGAAGTAAAAGTCAGCAAATTTGAACGTAATGTGTGCTTTTCTCAGGGCTGACTTACCACAAAATTTGTGCCAGCAACAACCAGCCCTACTGCCACCGGATTCGAAAACCCGACCAAGGCAAAAAGTGTGGAAGAATAATACATGAGCGTGTTGAAGCCAGACATCTGCGAGATGACCATGAGACCGCACGCACAAACAAGAGCGCGGAAACACGCGGGATCGGTGTGCAACTTCTTGATTTTGCCCCAGCGCGACTGGTCCTGGTTGAGCTCCTTAACCTCCTCGCACGCAGCTGCAATCGTGGCAGCCTTGGCGCGGACTTGCTCAATACTGGCACCCTTGTAGATCTTGGCCAGCACGGCTTCGGCCTCCGCGATCTTGCCGTGGTATATCAACTGACGAGGCGATTCTGGGCAGAATGGCAAGAGGCAGGCCAGTATGATCGCCGGGACACCTCCGAGGCCAACCATGTAGCGCCAGCCATGGGGTCTGATATTGTTAGAATATTACTCTGATGCCATCGAGCATCCTGTTGTCAACTTACACGTGCGCAAAAGCGGCTCCAATGCCGTAGCTAATCACTTGGCCACCGGTAATGGACATATTGTTCAAGCCGATGAGCCGACCACGAACCTTGGTTGGGGCGATTTCTGCAACGTAGAGTGGGACGACCATGGCAGCTGAGCCCACACCAAGTCCAACCACCAATCTTCCAACAGACATCTGAGCAATGGTGTACGCGACTGCTTGTAGAAGGGCCCCAATGGTGAAAAGCACACAGCCAACATAGATCGCGATCTTGCGTCCATACTAAAATCATCTGGAGTCAGTGATAACTTTCTGTTGTGATTGAGGAGATTCCATACCTTATCCGCGGTCAATCCTGCGATGATTGATCCGATAAAAGCACCCCCAGAGCAAAGAGATGTGATCAATTCTTTCTCACTCGGTGTGACAGGACGATGATTCAGATCGCTGTTCAGATACACCAAGACAGCTGAGATGATACCAGTATCATAGCCAAAAAGTGAACCTGCAATGGACGCCGTCGCCGAGATAAGCCAGACGTACCATGACACAGCGATACTATCAATGTCTTGGGTTGTTTCATCGTCATTGATTTCGACGTGGGTTGAATCAGGACACACCATTGCCAGGTTGGCTTTGTCGAAGCTCTTCCTGACTGAATTTCGCCGACTGGTCGGTGCTGATGCCGAGTTACGACGGTCAAAGGACGCTCTCAGCGTGCTGTCGGGTCGAAGGCTGCTGCGGCCAGGCTGATAGGTATCCATATGCGCGACCTTTTCGCCTTTTTCCTGGATGCCTTGCTCGAAAGCTAGATGGTCTCGATTGGCCATGTCGGTGTTACGCTGCACAACAGTGTGATAAACAATTGGTAGAAGCGTGGCGTACTTCTTGCTTTGGCACTGGCTTGTTGTTGTTGTTGTTCTGAAATGCTTGGTGACTAAATTCAAGCAGGTCAGAGGGGGATCGGGCCAATATATATACACACGAGGAGAACGCCCAAATGGTCTATGTACAGAATTGCTTATGAGGAATTAGTTATTCTGGAATTCAAAGACCGTCGATTGTGTGTAATGAAGCTGCGCGAGAGACCATCAACGACCATTTCCAAATGCCGCGCGACCAGCATGTGGTGGCAAAACTTATTTTCGAAGCTATGCTCTTTGAGAACGCTGGACAGTTCAATGTCGGCGGCGTTTGCGGGGAAACTCCCAGCGTCCGGGGTAGGGTTTCCGGGGATCGACGAGGGCCAATTCTCTGTTAAAGACGAGTAGTTGGTGGAGGAAATGCCCGGCGAGTTATTGCCTGGTATGAGAACTCAGTACGGGTTTCTATTCCGACTCTGACCTCATGCAGCCAGGACAGATCGGGAAAGCCTGCGCGGAACGAAAAAACAAGCACGAAAAAACCAAAATTCCACATTCAACGGAAATATTCGGCGAGTTCTCAGGGTTTAAGATGTGACATTGGGCGTTCGTGGTTAAACACGGCCGCTCTCCCGCTCTCAATATAGGCAAATGATTGGAGCCCAAAGCTAGTTCGATCATGATCATCTATTCGCTATGGACAAGAAACGTCAAAGTAACTACCATGGCCTTGCTAGCCAGGTGCCCTACCCGCAATGGGTGGTTTGCGAGTTAATTAATCCTCTTCGTCGTTCTTCCTTCTCCAAACCTTGAGTGGCATAGCTGATGGCGACAAGTTGAAGTTCTCTCTTCTCGTTGGTTCCCAGTCTGGGCAAGGAAGGGCAAACTCGTAGCGGTGAAGTAGTGATGCAAGAAGTACCATCTGCTCCAAATAGCTAATGTTCCTGCCAATGCATCCTCTTGCACCCGCTGAAAATGCGATGAAATATGGCTGCATGTTTTTCCCTTCCTCGCCCAGCCACCGCTCCGGCTTGTACAATTCGGCCTCGGGAAAGACGCTTGGGTCGCGGTGAGCAACATAGGATGAAATTGAGACTGTTGTATCGCCAGGAATATAGTCTTCAACCACAGCTGCACCCTCGGGCGGCGTTTTGCGAGGAAGTCCAAACGTAGTGGGTGGTAGCAGGCGCATACTCTCATCAAGACATGCTCGAAGGTAAGGGAGGTGTTTGACCTTGTCGTAGGGTGCCACAGCTTCATCCTCATCCAAGGTCTCGTCGATTTCTTCCCGTAGCTTTTTCATACACGGAGGGTTCTTCAAAAGCAGGTACATGACATTGTTCATGGCGATAGCAGTTGTGTCTGAACCTGCGTTCATCATAATACTAACTTCAGCAACCATTTCACCCCATTCCAAGTTATTGGCAACGCCAGACTTGTCATGCAGCAGAGCAGAGAAAAAGTCATCAAGCTGTTCATGGGCTTGAAATCTCTTGAATCGTGTCGTGGCCCGGTGCCGCACAATACCATCCCAGTCTTTATTAAGCCTCCATTTCTGGCGATACTTCGATGACACTAGCTTGCTAATGCGGATGAATGTCTGAAACCAGTCATAAGACCAGACCAAGTTTGACTGGGCCCATGCAGTAGCATGCAAGCATTCTCTAAAATGGACCTTGCTTAGTGTGCCGTCAGGGGCTTCTGCAGTAACAAGATCATCGCCGCGCTCGAGAAAGCCAAGATCCTCGCTTAGACCAATGTTCGCGATGGCACTGACAGTGAAAAGGTTGGACCACATACGATAGTCAATTGCCTGATCTTCGGGAGATGGGAGTTCCCCTTCAACCAATGGTGCTGTGCAGCGAGCATCAAATGACTTGATCAACCGACCCGTAATGTCAGCGACCTTGTGCTCCCAGCCCTCAAGATTCTTGATCGCATAGGCACTAGACAGCATTTTCCTCTTACGGGCGTGCTCGGGTTTGTCGATGACATCCGCCAGATGATAATGACTACCGGCCAGGACCTTGTACATCGTATCTTTGGTACATTTCGTGTTGTGACCATAGATGTCCTTGATCGCTTCCTTTGTACCAAAGGACAGAGCGTTCGGCCCAATGCGCAAGACCGCGTGCTTTTGGTGCGCCTTTAGGAGCGCTTGTGATCTGAAGCCTTTGTGTGCTTCATAGATAAATGGCAGATTCGAGATACCGGACAGAAAAGAGAAGTTCGGGTATTTACGCAGGCCTTTGGCATCGCGGAAATAGATGATAAGAGGAACAACGATAAAATAACCAAACGCAGCTATGGCTGTAATGACTGAAAAAAAGTAACCTAGCATCTCGATAGGCGTTCGCTGTTGATAGTGAATAGTGCAAAGCCCGATAGAATGTTGAGTTAAACTGGGTCAAAGTCCAGCATAATCTTTACATATGCTTCATGTCGTGTATCTTTATTTTCAAGTGATGGGCAATGAGACCGCGATGGGGCATGATTCTCCTCTCATTCGTACAACTGTCGCTAAACGAGCAACGCCGTATAGTCGCTCCACCCCCAACTGTCCCCTGGTTTAGTGTCCTCCTGGATGTCATCGTTATTTCATGTCATCTCAGAAGAGGGTTTGGGAAATACGGCGCCGAAACTAGCCGTAATATCCAAACAGAAACAATGCCGAAAATTCCTGCCATGGACTGACCTATCCCAAATGGACTCTTTCCGGCCCAAATCAACCTGCTGTCCTGGGAATAACCTCGGCGTAGCATTGCCACCATTCTAAAGCGGCGGTTTTTAGGACCAATAATCCTGCTGTGGTCGAGCCAGAAGCACTACAACAAACGCTCGCATCTGGCAGGGCATCCGATGTTGGGACTTCTGATATATGATAGTAGCTCCTCAGATAAGTCACCAATATGTCTTTGACCTTCGTTCCAGCTAGTGGAGAGCGACCTACTCAACAATGTCTCTCACATTGCTAGAATTTGGCCACTCAGCTGCATTTTTAAGCCCTCTCCGGGAATCAATCGCGAGAATTGAACTGGATGATCTTCTCGTCCTTACAATCTTGTTGGCTGTCAGTATAGCATATTTTGGACGCGGTATAATATGGGATAAGCCTGACCCCTACCACCAGAAGTGGTTTGAAAGACCACAAGCAGATTTCATTGGGCTGAATGTCACGAAAACTACACGAAATATTGCACAAAAACTCGCTGAGACAGGTCATCAAGTGATCATTTTCTGGGGTTCTCAGTCAGGCACTGCAGAAGGCTTCGCAAACAACCTAGCAAGAGAATGTCATCTCCGCCTCAGGCTTCGCGCGTTGGTTGCTGATGTGTCAGAGTATGATCATCATACTCTGACCAAGTTATCCGAGTCCCAGTACGCCATATTCATCATGTCTACGTACGGCGAAGGCGATCCTAGCGACAATTCTACCAGCTTCATAAGCTGGCTTCAAGCCGGCCCACAGGTGCGGCTTACAAGTCTGAGATTTGCTGCATTCGGGTGTGGTAACAGCAACTACAAGCACTACAATGCTGTGGTCGATACTACCGCTGCGGCACTAGAGAATCTCGGAGCTGAAAAGATTCTTCCTACAGGAAAGGCGGATGAGGCTCGAGGCACTACCGAGGAAGACTTTTTGGAATGGAAGCCAAAAGTGCTCAAGGAGCTTTGTAGTCGATTAGCTCTTACAGAATACGAACCCAATTACGAACCCACGATCAGTACTATCTTTGACGAGTCTATTGACTTTAGCGGTGTCTACATGGGTGAACCGATGAGTCGAATGGCTACAAAATCCATATCTGGACCGTCGTCCTCAATAGTTGCCCTGCCGATATCTTCGGCACGAGAGCTTATCAATGATAGGACAGTGTTACGCAGCTGCCTCCACATTGAACTCGACCTAGCTGAGCATCCTGAAGTCAAATATAAAACAGGGGATCATCTTGTGGTTCAACCAACCAATCCTCTTCCGGAAGTCCAGGCACTGGTTGATATCCTTGGTCTTGTCGGCCGTGAAAACATTCCTATTATGTTACAATCTACAGGATCCAGCCACGACAAGATTAGTCTACCATCTCCTACTACCATATATGCACTTTTCGGTCATTACCTCGAGATCTGCGCCCCGGTGTCTCGCGCGACAGTCATTTCCCTAGCACAATTTGCTAGCACCTCATCTGCGCAAAAGCATCTCCTGGCCATCGCTTCGGACAAATCAGCCTTCAGCACATTTTTGGCGCGAAATCACATTAACTTCAGCCGCCTGCTGAGGTATATTCAAGTGATAGACCCTTCAGCAACCTGGTCGAATCTTCCTCTTTCATTCGTCATCGAATCAATACGACCCATGACAACTCGCTATTACTCGATTTCTAGTTCCAGCATCACCTCACCTCGCCGTGTTGCCATTACGGTTGCCAACAATTCACAGCCTCTGCTCGAAGACGATAGTGTTGGTATACCAGGGCTGGCAAGCACATACCTTTCTTCTTTCATGTCAGACAGTGGTTCAACCTCGACAGCACTCTATCCAACGGTTAAAAACTCGGCGATTTCAACGGCGACGACGACATTACCACCGATAGGTTTGGTAAATGCTTCCATTCGTCGTTCCACCTTTAAGCTGCCTGCATCGCTGAGCATTCCACTCATCATGATAGCAGCAGGGACAGGTATTGCACCATTCCGCGCTTTTCTGCAAGAACGTGCTCGTTTAGCATCGCTTCAGGGGCAAAGAACCCCTTTGGGACGCATGGTGCTGATTTTCGGCTGCCGCCATCCGGATCAGGATCTTTTGTACAGAGAAGAGTTGGAAAACATACAGTCAACGCTGCCGATGCTGGAGATTGTCTATGCTTTCTCGCGGCTCGAGGGCCAGAACAAGGTCTACGTCCAGGACCGTGTTGCTGAGCGACAAGATGACCTCATTAGTATGCTTCTCGAAGACGACGCAGCTCTATATATTTGCGGATCTGCAACAATGGCCCGCGAAGTTCGTAGCAGTCTTGGCGAAGGCGTGAAAAGAGCACGGTTGTGTGACGAGAACGGATGGAACAGCTGGAGAAAAGAAAGAAGGCGTGCGAAAAGGTGGCAGGAAGATGTGTGGGGTTAGTCCCTGCAGCCATAGGAATATGTAATCGCATTATTGTAGTCAAGTCACTTCTCATGCATCATGTGAAAGGACGCCTAGCCGGCCAATTTTTCGACTGTTAAATGGTTGCGATGATCATACGAAGCGTCAAATCCATCAGGGGTTGGTCTGGGGTGCATAAAGTCTCTGTATCTGAAAGCTAGAATGCCGATCTCACTCTTTGCCCCAAGCCTCCTTCAGCAGTTGTCTCGTGTTTCCAGCAGGCCAGGCATGGCGAGTCTCCATCTCGTCCAGGACTCCAAGCAGGGCGTCTTGTTCCAAAGGGTCTTCGAAATAGTCTCCGCATATAGCTATACCTAGGTAAGCCGTGACCAAGGCCGGGGGGCACTTGCGGTTGCTCATAGCGATGCCGCAAAGACGCAACACGGCGGCTCGTACCTCTCTAGCCAAACTACGCATGCTCGCAGTATAGCCTGGTCCGAGCTTTGGTCGCGTAGGATCGTATACTGAGAGCAGAATCTTTGCTAGATCCACGTACTGCACTCCTACTACATGGCAATCGACCATGTAGCAGATTCGAGGGAACACCTCGCCATTAGAGCGATCCGGATCCCGGAAGAAAATCGGTTCGAAACTGGCAGGTAGAAGCTCTCTGCACGTTTTTTCATACTGCTTCAAGGCTAGCCATTGATCTTTTGGCGTCTGATTGGACTGCTGCTGCGATAAATTTTCTTTCTTGTCATTATAGCAGAACTCCAGGACATCGGCACAGAATACGATCAATCGATCGGCCCAGACGGCGTCCTCGGCGGGCGAGAAACTCCGGAATGCTTCGCAACGAGATAGTGAGAGATTGAAGGAACGTTGCTTTAGGAAGGCACTGTGTATCTCTTGTCTGAATGCTACCCAAAAGCCTGCCTGGCGGAGGCCATCGGCACGCCAATATGAAGGGAGCCCGTTGTGGTTGGGAGTATGAGAAGTGCTTGGAGAGTGTGCGATCTGGGACGAGAGCACAAAAATCCCATACTGGTCTGTAGCAATTTCGGGCCCGGTGATTACTGGAGAGCTATGCGGAACAACTGGTGCATTAGGGGTTTGAGCATCAATGAAGACATTGATGACACGTAGGAAAAGCTCACTATCACTGGGATCTTCACGGAGCGGCGCATCGATTTCCTCGTAGAAACGAAGGATGATAGCAGCAGCGAGAAGGCTTGCATCTTGCGTTTGCTCCATGTTCATGCTTCGTTGGACAAGATCTTTGACACATTCAGTATGATAATGCAAGGCGGTCTCTTCGGTGAGACTTGGGAGAACCTCGCCGTCATGGAAGTAAACGAAATCAGATTTCGAGTTCGGATTGCAGACTCGAGTCAAGTGGCGTGCCGAGGCTGCTAGTATTGCATTCTTCAAGGGCGGACACCAACGGGCTCGAGGAGGTACAATCAGAGCAAAGTGTTTCTCAGGGTCGCAGATATCAAACCAGCAGGCAAGGACGTCAATAAAGTAGCGCAATAGTGTGACTTCAAGCTCCGAATTTGCTGTCTGGGAGGTGGCGTGTGGAGCTGACTTAGCCAGGCCATCAAGCAAAAAGCTTCGTGGCGAGGCATCGTTGACGATATGGTTCTGATTGTGGGAGTAAGAGGTAGCGGAGGGCTGCGAGCTCAACCTTGTTTGCAGAGGGCTAGATTGAAATGGTGTATTTTGTTCATTTTCCAGGGATGGCTGCCAGAACGGTTCGATTGACTGTGTAGAACCCCTGGCGAGTTCGCTGGAGACAGAATTGGGATTCTGCGGTGATAACAACGCAGAAGGGCCAGGTTCTACGTCCACATGCGGGTCATCGCCGGCATGTGGTGGAGCGAGCTGAGTGTCGACTTCAGAAGATTCTGCATCCTGTGATTGAGATTGAGATGATATGTCCTCCTCTCCGTCTTGCTCTTCTTGCCGTACTTGCTGCTGCTGATCCTGTTGTTGTCCTTGTATTTGTCGTTGGCCAAGGCTGGAAGCTTCTTCTACCTGGCCGTATATCGCTGCTATCTCAGCAGTTTCGTCAACATATCTCAACCCTGCAGTATCTGGTGTTAGAGATTCTGGAGGAAATATCCATCGACAAGAGTGTGTAGCCTAAAATTGTGCCATGAAGACTGCCACCACAATCATAGCAACAGCGCAATGCGCTCTTACGACCATGTTGGGAAATTACCTACTGGATGCTTTGGTTGGTTTCAACCAGATCTGGCTGGCAGCGAACCCTTTGACATCATATCTCGCACTAGATCCGTGCCTGAACTTGATGCGCTCCGCTGATCGAATGCATCTTTCGCCGTTCTTCTGGCATCTTGTGCACACCAGTTGGTGATAGTCGCCTGTAGGCGGTTAATCACAAGACCAAGTTCAAGAGCGTGCAGCCTCACACTTGACATGCTTTTCTGTGCACAGCTGTCAATCTCTCATGCCAGGGGTTGCGAAATGTCAATACGTATCTGCAGTTATCACATGGAGCGATTTGGCGCTTGCGTTTTAGCCCAGCTCCCGACTCGTCACCGCTGTCGCCCTCGCCAGCCTCAACTATAATGCGAAACTCCGTAGCCTTTGCCGGAGACAAATCCATGCTCAGTATCCGATAAGAGATCTGCTGCCTGCGTAAAAGATCTCAATTCGGCGAAGAGCAGGTCAAAGTTCGAAGGAAGAACAAATAAGACTGTCGTCATCGGCGGGTTTTGCCTTCCTTTGTGCCCCATTTGCCGCGGCCTGTTCACCAGCGCAAGAAACGCCCGGCGAGGGGTTTAAGGCGGGGAAGTTTGCTGACCCCAGATTCGAAGGGGGCGGTACAGTGCTCCGAAGCTTCTTCGAGAAGTGCACGTATCGAGTAATCTAGCCCGAACCTCAGGGTCCTGTTAATGATACCCAATCGAGAAGTACACTCACACAGACACTATTAAATACCTTGTGATTACTATGTTGTTAGCTAAGCACTCCAGCTTATTTTAGTAAGTACCTTATTAACTAGATGTCCATCTACAAAAAATCTACTATAGAGGCTTAGTAGCTTAAGGAGTTATATAATATACCAGGAACTGAATAGTATATTATTAGGTGATCGTCGGTGATCAAGAGTAGGCGGTAAGGTAATTAGTATAGCATTTCGTAATATTTACTTTCAAATATTTCGAGACTCGAGAGTTATTTAAGAATGTCGGCCTTAACGTCTCAGATCAATAGTAGGCCCAGGCCCTACTGGAGAAGAACGTCCCTTTTTTGTCGGACGCTATTATGCCTAATTTCGGGTTCTCCTAATCGGTGTACGCTCTGAGTACTACACCGAATATAATATAGGTATTCATCAGCTTCCAATACCCAATCCCTCGCCACATATGATTCAATATGATTAGTGATTCCCGCCCGACCAAGCATTAGCTAAAGCACACAAGGCAATATCCCCATTGACGCTTAGATTGAGTTCCGAGTAGTGCGTATCACGAGAACCAAAGTCATGGGCAGCCTAGACCATCTGGAGGACAAAGCAGCCGACGGAATTTCTGGTATCTTCGATGTCCCTGAGGATACCAAATCATGTTTGATGAGAAAAACAAATAGACTTGTTATGAGTATACTCAAAAAGCTAAGACTAACATATGTGGATGGGGTGGAAGGGGGCGGGCTCAAGACGCCTTGTAAATGTACATATCAATGTGCGACTTGGCATACCAGCCCAGCCAGCGTCTACTATGGACATAAGTCAAAAAAGCCAGCGGTTCCAGACTTCTCCTGTCTCGTTCATTCTATACCTTCTCCATATCTTCTATAAAGCATCAGTTATCCTCACTGACGAGAACAATAACTAACAAATAGGAATTTTCTTCTTGCAGAGTGCTATCTACAGGTTCATCGATCGTGACGACCACGACCATTAACCCTTCTCACGATCCTCAGCGTTTTGATCGCTCCTTTGTTTGCAATTAGTCCACAATCAGGCATAGTCCGGCCGTGTTGCCGTTTAGACTGGGCAAACTGCAATCAACCAGTGACGTAGCTGCATATCCTAAGCTCTTGTTGCTAACACGTTCCGTCAAGCCCAAGGCTTCGCCGTGTCCCGGATGCAAGAGGAAGATATGACTTGAAAAAAGATTTCCGAGATCTCTTAGACGTCTCCCATATCGATCACTATGAGAGCTCAAATAGACACTAAATGTAGTGCCTGAAGCGTCCTGAGACACTCGCGAAGCTCTTCGGGGTTTGTGGATGCCGTTGAAACCCTTCCTAATCCGTTTGAACGGTAACTTGCGTACGATCGCAAAAGCCCTTGCTTTACTGTTTCAAAATCTGCCGATTCGGTCACTTCAGGGAAATACCTCATTGACGGTCTAAAGACCTAGCCGAAGTATCATTCGCAGTCGGTCCTTGCCGCAAGCTTCAAGTTGTCTTAAGCTGTGAATCTTATGCTGGTCCTCTTCACTGGTGACATGCCGTAAGGACTCAATCACATGCATGATAGCTGTTCTCGTCTTGGTGAGGTCAGATTCAACCACTTTTGCTAACCGTGTCATCCGTGTCAATGTCCTGAGTGACTTGCTCAAAAGCTAGTCATTGGAAAGTACTTGTCTGGACTTAGATACACAGAATTATCGACACTCCAATCATTGATCCTGGCGGTGCGAAGTTCGTTCAAGCCTATGTTGAGCAAATCAACGCCCCAAAAAGGCCTAGGCACCACAAGAGGTCGCTGACGTGGTCGCTTTTATCTGTATGACTTCATCTTCTGGCTACTCTCACGTACGCACTGATCGAATGCAACAAAGCTCCAGCCGGGCCAGCTGTGTACTTGGTATTGGGGAGGGCTTTCTTATATGTACTGCCGTAGCTTCATACCGCCTGACGATTGACAAATGCGACAGGTTGACGGTGGACATAGAGCTTAGTAAACCTTTGCAGTCTTGTGGAAGTACTTAGTACTTATGGTGGCAGACATTCTAATGGTTGCGGTTACATCAAATTTGCGGCAAGTGTGCCACCAGGTACGATTGCCCTGTAGGCCCCAACGGAAAGTTCCTGACAAATTTGCACTGGAAGGCTGTCTGACATGTTGAATAATCGTCGCAAGGGAGCAAATTCCAAATGTAGTGCTATTAGTTAGTCGTATAAATGATCGCAGACCACTTACAAGCAACTATATTTCCTTATGTCATGGGCGCTTAATCCTTGTATGCTGCCAGTCTCTCCTATTCACCAGGGGTGGAGAAGCTATCAAGTTTCTGAGATGTACTTAGTACGTAAAATAAAGCCTTGCCAAAAGGGCAACTCAGGTGCATAATCCTAAACCGCCATAGCTTGAAAATAGCGTTTTAGTGAGGTAAATTGACAGTGTGGTTGAATAATCTTAGGCCGGTTTGTTCTCGAGTCATCTTGGTTGAGGTTGTCAAACTTGACTATGCAGACACTATGCTTAGTAGTTGATGGGGCGTGGATCTTACTGGTTACAACGAAGGGTGCTGTGGAGCTCGCCGCGAGTTTGCAGGGCTCTGGAAGACGATAGCGCATGCAACGCCTGTTCCAGAAAAGACCTCAGGCATGAATCTGCCGGGAATACATTTGTACCGGGTCAGGATAGCAAGAGATAACGATAGGTCCAGAGAGTCGTGGATGGTATATGTTGTTTCTTTTTTGACAAGCGCTAATCCTGATAAGACTTGGGATCTCGTATAACAGGAATTTCCTTATCCCCTTTCTCTAGAGCTGCAGTGCCACTGTTTCCCGTCTTTCCGCTCGGGGCGTAGACGAAAAGTGGAATGGCAAGGTGGATCTTTGCTGCATGGAACAAGCGATGATACCAGCCTTCTGCCTATTTGGGCTTTAGGTGGCAAAAATGTGTTTTAGCTGCCCTCGCCGAGACACAAACTCGGGAGTCTCGTCGCCGAGACCATCTATATATGAACCGACATTCGCTGATCCCCCAGAATTTTCGACGGTGAAACCCCGAAGAACCCCACCCGACTGCATCTCCCCAATTTGCAATTCTGGGGTAGCGAAGTCTTTAACATTGGTAACGAGGATCACGCCTGCAAGGCGGGGGACCTTCCCGAGCCGTGGTGACAATTCAGGGGAACCCACCACTGCCCTAGTGGTTTGAAAACGAAGCAATGCTTCTTTGGACCAACCCTTCGCGAGGTTTCCTACGTCTCAAACAATACCACGAAAAGATTGGACATCAGAGTTCAAGTCCCATGGATGTCAATTGACTTTGAAGTTTAAGTCGACGATTGATCGTGGAAGTTTGGACTCTGAGACCTCTAATATCGCTGCATGTCATGCAACTGCGTCACACGTTGAATAACGATGGAGGTACAGAGTATACTTTGAGAAGAAGGAGGGCTTCAGGGGTACGGAATGGTGTAATACGAGTGTGATGTTACAACGCTTTCTCCAGGACCAAGGTTTTGTAACTCGACCCCTGCAATAAATATGCAATAGCGTTAGTTGCGGAGTGCCTGAGAGACGACCCATGTGTCCCCTTGGCTAGGGTTCACGAGGCTGCATGATGTGCCCACAGCCGTCTTTAAAGTCAATCTGCGGACCTGAACGGGGAACTGGGAAGCTCATTGTGTTGTTCTCGGTTTCCTATCAAAGTTATTGGTAGTATCAACACCCACATCGAATGAAATTTACAACTTTTGCAAGTAGTCTTGATAAGGCGCTTCGACGACAAAGTTTCAGCAAACGAACATCTTAACACCCAGTCTGGGCTATCATCCCGCCAGACAATGTCTTCAAATTCGCGTTCATTGTCCGAGGTTGGTCTAACAGGTGGCTATGATGGAGACAGCCTCGCATTAAAAGTTATCATTGCATTCTTCCCCGGCCTTGCTATGTACAACGTGGTCGAGCTCTTGATCCTGATCCTAGGATCCTTCAACAGATTTCGAGGTCTATATTTCTGGAGTCTCATCGTGGCTAGTGTCGGCATCATACCGTACTCTCTTGGTTTTACGTTCAAATTCTTCTCTATCCTCACAGGCTCTGGCAGATGGGTCCCTATCTTCCTTCTGACTCTCGGGTGGTATCCAATGATTACGGGTCAATCGGTTGTTCTCTGGTCACGTCTCCACCTCGTCGTTACCGGTCAAAGAGGACATAAAATTCTTCATTGGACGAAATGGATGATCATCATCAATGCAATTGTTTTGCATATCCCTACTACAGTCCTCACTATTGGGTCAAATGGAAACAATAACACCCAGGTCTTCGCAAGAGGATACAATGTTATGGAAAAAGTGCAGATGTGTGGATTCTTCGTCCAGGAAGTGATACTTTCATCCATCTATATCATTGAGACAGTCCGCATCCTCCGGTATTCGATACAAGGGACGACTCGGCGACTCATGTACCAACTCATCGGCATCAATGTCCTGATCATAATTATGGACTTGGGCATATTGGCCCTCGAATGTGCCTCATTGTATATACTTCAGATCACTATTAAGGCCGCATTCTATTCCATCAAACTGAAACTTGAATTCGCCATCCTAAGTCGGCTGGTGCAATATGTGGGAGGTCCTCGGCAAGGCACTCGACAAATACCGGTTAGCATGTCGGACATGGAAGCACAATCGCAATCTACAGCTGGTGGACAGCAGAATCGCGGGGCTGAGTATGTTACCTGGAATGAGGTTGAGACAGACCGATCACGAACATCTCAGCTGGTGAAAACGAGTTCGCTGTCCCGGCAAATTGTGAGACAAGTCGATATCGAGATTGAAGAGCTTGAACATGGTGAGTCTACACCACCGCGGACTTGGGCATCATCTGCAAATTTCCCCGAAGCAAGACCAACGAATCCTAGCTCATGGGAGCGGAGTTCCAAGAAAGTTTGAAGGCCGGACAGTCCAACAGGTTCAACTGTGCAGGCAGATTTACCTGCCTGGCTTTCATCTTTCCAGCAACATATTAGTAGCGTCCCAAACTACGGGGCCCTCACTGGATTTGCTGGATTCGCCGTCTCTATGATCCACAGAAAGCCCGGTGAGCATAATCTCATCGTTTTCTCTTAATGGTCCACGACGACTCATGGGGAATCGGCGAAATCGACTAGAGCGAAACGAATGCTTCTTTGAAGGAATGAGGGTGGCGTAACTGGACCCAAATACTATAGCGAAGTGTTTCCGGAGAAAAGAGTTTCCAGCTGGGAGACAACTGCAAATGATAGCAATGCGCATTTCAATAATTCTGCAATAGTTATGCCATCAGAAAGTATTTCCTCTTCCTAGGGCGCCAGGTGGATACTCACCACCATACGACCGTTATCGTAGAACTCCACTTGAGATCTCGATCACTCGTCATATCGACTGTCCACTTTAACCGAATAATGATGCTAACCAGCACCCAAGATAATGTGTTAGTTCTAGTTTCTAATTGGGTTGGACCGTCAACCCATACAATCCTCCGGTCATAAAAATACAAAAGGTCTCCAATCTTTTGTCATCTCGGAAATTGGAGCTCCCACAGAATAGCTGTTGGTAGTAGCAGGATAATTAAATCGGTCGCCGTATTTGTAGCACCGCTCAAAATATAGATATGCGTCGAACTTGATGAAATAGCCCAGGGTGATAGTGAGAACTCACAGTTTTGTCATGGGTCGGCAAGCGTACAGCTATTCGAACATTCCTGTTAGCCTGCAGGAAATCACTATGACCGCGGTAGTGTAGATGAGTATTCTGAGTCTTACACTTTGTGAAGAACCGCCCCGGGGCGAGGTGTCCCCATCTTCCTTCCACTAATCTACCTGCCCGGTGTGCTCACAAGCACTCCTGAGGTTAACGAGGTCAATGCGTAGGTATTCGGTTCTAAACCGCCCTGTAGAATAATTAATGAAATCCACTAAAAACAAAACTTTAACTTTCAAGAACAGGGCACGACAAGGTAGTCCTACGGACAAAGTATGGGGTGTTCACAATTTATTAAGAGCATGCAATAGTTGCGAAGTTTGAAGTCATGTTGTAGCTTTCCAGCGATGTTGCTTGCTCATCTCCCTTTACAAGACAGCATTGCAGCCATCATGTGTAGAACAGTTGCTTTCCCGACGACACTACTCAAACATTGTGAGGTTATCGCTTGGAAAACCTGCCCAAGTGTCTGTCGCTCTTCATCACTTTCAGACTTGCTTCTTGATGATCGATAAGAGCGGCTTGAGCTCGTCTCCATTTTTGGCCTGACTATCCAATCCGCCTCTGGTGATGACTCTGGCGTAGAAGTTCGAGTCTGCTTTGTCCACATCATCATGTGTAATTCCATGCAGCGGGAGGTGTACCTTCACGTTAGAATGAACCTGGCATGCTCCACAGCCATCAATATGCCAACGACTCAGGATACTCTCCATGCCAAGCAACTGCTCTTTACCAGCAATGGTACCGAACACACCGACCATGAATGAGCCCCGAACATCGGCTTTGTTAACACCGGAGAGATGAGCGACGACCTGGGCGGGTTTGACTGGCATCGTACCCAACAATGGGGAGCCCACAGGGACGTTCTCATAGCTGTAGCCCAGTTTGATAATGTTGGTCATCTCGGTCGAAGTAGCCCACGCGGTGGAATCGAAGGGGCTTTTGAAGGGGTAGAGAGGGCTGTCCAGAGTGAGCCAGGTTCCGCCCGCCACACCAGGGGTTGGTCCTTGGCTGTCAACCGAGTTGGTTCCCGGGTAATTTTCTATAAGGGACAGTGCATGCATAGTATTCTGCTCTTTATTATGCTTCACTTGCCACTGCCAAAAGGTGTTGTCCACCCAACAATGGTGGAAGAAAAAAATAGGGTCGAAAGCTGCGGTCTCATTCTCGCCCATGTCACCCTGAGCGCCGTGGATATGACTGGCATCGAAATTTGGGACCTCAAACCCACCGACAGCAAGATGCATATCGTTGTGCGGCGACTCCAGAGGCACGATAGTCGGGTCTTGTGATGATTTCTCCTGGTTCCATGCCTGTGCTGAAGTAGTGTTGGAAAATACTGTGTAATTCGGAGCATTCAGGCAATTAGCATACTTCTTACGTGTTCCGGCATCAGTCTTCGAGCCGTCACTACCCACATAGGTTTCTTGCAACAACCAGGTCTTCACGTTTTCGTTCAACAACTTAGCGTTCTGTACGGGGTCAGAGTACAATTTGTTTTGGGCCTCGCTTGTAGCTTGGTCCTTGGCCGTGCCTACTAGCCCAGCCTGAGGGTACCTGACTGTTGTGTACGTGGCTTTCTTGGAATAGTTGTAGGGATTGATGGCCCCATCAACGGCCAAATTGTCAATGAGATCCTTCTGCAAGGTGTACGAATATAGTGGATTCGGTATTTCTTCACCATTCAACTTGTAAGACCTTTGCAAGAAAATGTCAGGAATGCCATCAGTAGCCGTAACGTTGTTGGCCTCATTCCAGAAAGGTAGAGTCACTGTCGGGACGATCGTGCGAAGTGCCTCCTCGAGTCGAAAAAGATAGGCTCTGTGCCAGGTTGGGAATAAGACATTACCATGGTGGCAATAGCCTCCCCACCATTGCAAGTTCCCCCATCCGGCGCCTCTGAATGGCATGCCATGGTACCCTGCTATCTTGAAGAAAGAATTGTCGTCGCCTGGATCAAGGGCTTGAATGCCGGCCCATGCGGTGATGAGATCATCCATTGGCTTGGTGTTACCATTGGCATAGTCTGCCACCAGGTCGTTGATGTCTCGTCGAACTCGTTGTGTCATTTTTGCTTTGCTGTTAACAGGTAAGGAGGAAGCGATGATTGACACTTTTGCTTATGTCTTTGTGTGAAAATGAACTTCGAAAGTCCTTAAGCACGTAGCATTATTATAGCCTCCAAAGCCCCGGGCTCTAGAGATGATCTTTCGGTTGTTGAACTCACCGCTGAAGTAACGTGGAACGCGCAATGCATGTTACCACAAATGCTCGGTTTGCAATAGGTGTCTGGTCAACGCACTCATCGCAGTGTCCTGGAATAGTCAATACGTACAAGTTACCACTTGTAACTCAGAAACTTCTGCGGCAAGCCAGCCAGGGATGTTGTGGCTGCATGACACGAGGCAGAGTCGACGCGTCCTGGAGGTAGAACGGTCGCTAGAAATAAGCACTCAGCCAGCCTCAAGAGAAGCACTGTCCAGTATTCTGCCTACGTACTCACGTCTGGTGGCGCTGTTGAGGTTCAGCTGAAGCAATGCAATGCGGAGAGAAGAACATTGCACCAACAACTCGCTTCACTAGGCCGAAACAGGTTGAGTGGGAGGGTTAAACTCATGCACTTCGAGCCAGGTCGATACTTTTTATCTAATTTCCAACCCTTGTTGCAGAGCTCATCAATAACCTTCCTCTGCCTCATGTTCTTCGAGGGGCACTGTCGTGACCCAGCCGAATAATTCGGCGCGTTGATGCAGCAAGCCAATGTGTCACAAGTGGACATGACATTCAGCTCGTAGCCAAATGCATAAAAATATGATATAGCCCGCATATCAAGGGGTGGAATGATTGTGTCAAGGAGATGCGGTGAGAAGCCTGCGGGCCCTGAGGCTAGCTGAACACGTAAGAATTGGAACTCTGCGTATCTTTACAAGACGAACGCTCGTGATCCTGCCCTCGAAGCATAAGAGTTTCCAGCCGGCCAACAACAATTCACAGCCAGCAAGCACCTATAATACTTAGCACTACAGGTTCGAGAGCCTGGCATAAATCCAAAGATGGAGCAAGGACCAGCTTCAACACAATCCACGCGATATAATGTGCTAATTCCTATATATGATCAATTCAACACACTGGACGTCAATGCCCCCTTCGAGATTTTGGGCAATGCCGCGCTGCCTACAGGAGAATCTAAAATCTTCAACATCTTTGTTACAGCTGAAAAAACCAATACCCAATCCTACGAAGGCGCTACACTTGTAGCGAACCTGGGATTCGATGAAGCCATTAGCATGGTAGAAGCCGGGAATGTCGACGTCCTGATTGTGCCTGGAGCTGGACCTGAAGCCATTGGCGAAGTATTGAAGACTATTGGAGATCCTCGAGGGATTTTTGGCGTGATAGATGCATTCCTGAGACATGGCAGCAAGAAACACCCATCTCGACCTACTCCCTGGTTGGTATCAATCTGCACTGGAGCGCTTATCATAGGAAGCGCGGGTTCATTTGTCGGGTTGACAGCCACAACACACTGGGGAGGAATATTGAACTTGCAGAAGATCTGTACTGCTCAAGGGGGACCTCCAACTACGATTGTTCGCAGGCGTTGGGTCGATGCTGGCTTGAATCAGAATGGCATTCATGTTCTAAGCTCAGGTGGCATCAGTTGTGGAATGGATGCTATGTTGTATTTCATCAAAACTGTGCTTGGGCCGCAATATGCCGCAGACATCGCTACGATGATGGATTATGTTTGGAACGGAGGTGGATTCAATGGGCTATCTCCCTCCAGCGCCCTTGGTCAGCCAATGCTAGAATCACTGGGCACAGGTTGGACTACCAGCCAAAGTTAAATGCCACTGCTGATTATGAGCTATCTGGCTACTTCTTGTTGTTTCAGAGAATAGCTGCAGATCACTCGGTCGCCTATAAGACTTGGGAAATGCTGGGCAATTGTTGCTGTATAATGATTGGTTTTCCCAATCCAACAGTCCTGGTTCTGCAATGCTGGGTGACTTAGGTCGCACGCTTGCCGATCCTCTAGGTCGATCCACCGATAAAGATCGTTCCCCCACCCATATATTGGTGCTTGTGTCGAATCATCCGTGTCTGTCCCATCGACCTGCAGGGCGTCAGTGTTCGGTATCATCATCTATGCAGTAGTGGTTCCATTGTCATTGGTGTTGCAGTGATAGAGATTCCGCTACTCTGCACGGTCGCAGAATTCAGGGATTCTTGCCAACGTCCAAGATCGCCTACGCTGCCAGCCACGCCTTCAGTGAATGCCATCGACCAGCGGTTAATGACAACTTGAAGCGGCTCGGAAATCGAATGTTGGATATAGAAAGTTTACCACAATCTGACAAAATTAATTTCGAACTCTCACACACGTCTTGATCCCTCTAAAAGAGCCTTGTGGGTCAAGAAAGGGCCCGGTTGGAGAATATTTGGAGCTACTGTTAAAGCACTCCATATCTATGATACAAAGAGAGTACTTAGCACCTAGCTACTTGAGTTATTAGTATAGTTTTATACTTACTAGGTGTAAGTACTATGGATACTAGATACCTCAGTAAATATAAGGATCATATACTTAGTATACTAGTAGGTTAAGTACTACTTAAGTATTTGGTACTGGATTCTAAAATTCTAGGTATAGTAGTACTCAAGTATGAAGATCCTATACTCTCTATGACCTATGATATCTAGCGGAACGAAGCACGCGGAAAGCTGGAAGTCGTTAGCTTAGGCCTTGGCGGGTGCAGCGAACCCGCAATACGTATTATTAGTAAGATCACACTCTAGTCCACCCGCTATATACTAGTACTGTACTTAGTACTTATATCAAGTTCAAGTACTAAGTACTTGGTTAGTACTCAGGTATCGTCAATTCTCCCTTCATAACCTGCTTAGATTGACCAGAAAGGACAACAGAGTCAATAGTCTTCCCATCTGAAGCCAGTGTGACTTCGCAACCGATAATGCTCCGCCGGCCCATCTGAACACCTTGTTCCAACTCGAAAGTGTATTTATGGCCGCCCTTTCCATCCTGCAATGCCAAATAGGAACTCAATGCAGCACTTGCCGAGCCAGTGGCGGCATCCTCGATCCCAATTCCAATCATTCGTTGCTGTACTCGAATGATGCCGTCTCCGGAGTCCGGTGAATGGGTGTAGAAAAGATCAGCAATCAATCCTTCGTGCCATGGGGCGTCCAGGTCCTGATGACGCCCTATGGGCTGAGTTGCAATAACAATATTGCTCAAAAGATCGGGCTTCTGTGAAAGATCGATCAAGCCAAAGGTCATGCCCTTAACGATGGACGCAATTGGGACTGTCGTGTCTCTGTAGTGATCAGACGAGAGCCCCGGTTGAGATGCAACGACACTGTTCCAGGAAAGCCTCGTTGTATGGTTGTGAAAATCGTGAGGGATAGCCGCCGCGGCTCTGGCTGTCTTCCTGTCGAATTTCGCCTTGACAGTGCCTGCCTTCAAGATGATAGAGACTTCATCTCGTTGTGGTTCGAGATTTTCGAAAATGTACGAGGCTGTGCCAATGGTCGGATGGCCTGCGAATGGGATTTCGGCATCAGTCGTGAAGATGTCGGCGACGTAGGTTGCCGGAGGGGCATCAGGCTGGCGCCCATGGAGGAACACGGTTTCGGAGTAATTGAACTCTCTGGCAATTTTTTGCTTCTCGTCCTGGCTGAGCTTCAGGTCATTTGGCAAGTGTAGAATCGCCAGTTGATTGCCTGTGAACACTGTGTTGGTGAACACGTCACTTGTGTTGAACTTAATGCTGCGAGCCATTGAGAAGAAGGCCTTGAGAACTCAAGATCATAGATGTCAACTAAAACTTCTCTGATGGAGTGGAGCTTTATTGGTATATAGGAAAATATGGTTGACCAGTACTCAGAAGTCAAAAACCAGCGTGGACTTTGTGGGCAGCAGTAACTATGGAAACTTTTTGAAGTCAGTGCAGAGAAGAAGAAGGAAGACGGAACCTACAACAGCTCGAAAATAATTCTGTTTCACGACTAATTTTCTCTCGGCTTGTATAGTCAACACAACATATCAAATATTAATACTTAGTATATACTTATGTACCAAGGAATGTATGACTCTACGGACTACAAACTGCTGCACCTCTGGACGCCTTTCTACATATAAATCTTGCTTACCTAAGTACCACGGATGTGGAAATTATTAGGTGATTAGAAGTAGTATGTCATCGCACATAGTCAGGGATCGAGTTACTACTAACTACCTAGGTAGTCAGAGGCACGTTGGGGTGCGGGGATGGAATGACCGTGTTGCCAATGTCTGAAATCTTCTCAAAGGGCGTGCGTGATCACAGGGTTACAATCTGCAGAAATTGTCAAAGAATTGACTCACTTGTGGTTCCGATCAAGACACTAAATTGATTAGACCAGCAGTCCTCGTAGCGGAAGAATCGAAATGGCGTATGCGGGCCGATTGGCTATCATCGCCAGCGGGATAGGTACGTTCGAGACCTTCGATGCTTCGAGGATCCATTACACCTACTACTCATTAAGTATCAGCGTCTAACGACCCGTTTCAGGCGGACTCGGTTCAACGACTGCTCTAAAGCTCCAAGAGCAGGGCGCAAGCCTCGCGCTGCTCTACGCGCCATTCGAAGCATCCAGAGTGAGCGGCGTTCTGGAATCCGTGTTTGGGAGCCAGGATCCCAAAGGCATTTCGACCTACGAATGCGACATCACCTCCGAGGAGTCGGTGCAAGAAGTGTTCGACCGCATCGAACAGCTCGAAGCCTTCCCTTCAATCCTGGTGAACGCTGCGGGCTATGTCTCGGTGCAGCCGCTCGAAGAGACATCCGCGGCCGAAGCCTTAAAGAACTTCTTGCCTAATTTACTGGGTCCGTTCATCACGAGTAATGCGTTCTTCAAGGTCTATCAGTCGAGAAAGGCGAAGCTCAGCGAGAATGCTAAGGCTCCGCCAGGTCGGATTGTGAGTATCGCCTCCCAGGCCGCACACGTTGCTCTAGATGGGCACGGAGCGTATTGCGCGTCGAAGGCGGGGTTGATAGGACATACGAAGTGTATGGCTAGTGAGTGGGCATCGAAAGGGATTACGGCGAATACTGTTAGCCCAACTGTGACGTGGACGCCTCTTGCCGCAAAGGCATGGGCGGATGAGGCGAAAAAGGACAAGCATTTGTCGCAGATCCCAACTGGGAGATTCAGTGTCCCGGCGGAGATTGCTGAGGCAATCGAGTTCTTGTGTCGCGATGGTAGTGGCATGATCAATGGTGCGGATCTTCGTGTCGATGGTGGCTTCACCATAAGCAGATGAGAATGCTTAGGATTTTAGAACACGCCTTGAGCCAGATTACCTTTCACGATCATCAATCGTGTTCCTGTAAACTCTTCACTTAACGAGCTCTCGGTAATTCACTCTGGTAGCTTAAATGCAAATTTCATTAGAATTTTTCAGGGGCATTAAGCATAGATCTGGAAATTTTGTGCCATCATCTCTTGAACCACCCTGACAATAATGTTGCTCCACGTCAATCCTCACTGAAGTATGTAGTAAGTACACTGATAGTAGTATAATCAAGGTACCTATGGTGATTACAGGCTTTGCCGTCCCCTAGTCTCAATCGGTAGACATATCATGGCTATGAAAGAGGCCAGCATCAGTGCTCCGGAAATATAGATTGGCATCTTGGGATTCGCGCTTGAAGCCCCAATAGCAACAACAGGTGCACATAGCCCGGCGACACGGTTGAAGAAGGATGCGATGCCCGTGCCTGTGCCACGGTTGGGCGCTGGGAATGTTTCTAGGTGAACACGATCGGTCAGTTACCATGGTCATATCTTGTGTGCATGAAACTTACCAGGAGTGTAGGCATAGAGAACGCCATACATGATATTCTGGAAGAATGCTACCAAACAATTGAAGGCAAGTTGAAAACTGGCATCGGTCGAGCTGGTGAAGAGGAATAAGAAAACGCCAGTTAATACTGTTGCAATGGCCATTGTTCCCTTTCGACCCAGGTACTTCACGTCCACCAGATAACACGCGATTATGCTTCCAGGGCATCCGACAATCGCTTGAATGGCGTAATTTCGATAGACGATACTTGGGGGCGTAGGCGGAGCATCAGGATCAACGCTGGATAGGTATTGAGGAAGGAAAGCATTGAATAAGGGATACGCCATTCCGATTGCAGCCCACATGAACCACAGTAGGCATGTATTGATCGCTAGACGTCGTTGTTCGAAGAGTGGTTTGATTCGTTGTGTGGAGAACTTCTCGGCTTGTCGGCGAATGACGTCCGCAGTGGACAATTTCATGTCGCTGGATTCTTCGGGATGACCGCCGACTTCATTCAGGATATCTTCCGTGAGCCATGTCTTTGCATGGTTGTAATGTGCAATAGCGTGTACGACCGTTACTGCTTCTCTCTGGCGACCTTTGCTGAGGAGGAACTTTGGTGATTCGAATAGATGGAACAGGAAGAACCGACAGACGAACCTGAAATGAAACCAGTATTAGCAAGAGTGAATCCCAATCCCAATACCAAGGCATTCTGAGATAGGTGACTCACATAAAGAACGTAAAACACCCCATAGTGTAGTTGAGATACCGCCAACCCATGTTACTATCCTTGCTACAGCAAGCTTCACCACCAGAAACAGTACCACATGCTGGCAAACTCGTGTCGCATGAGAAGTTGGGCAAGAACCCCCAAGCCACGAGACTTCCGAGCAAAGAACCAAATGGCCAGAATACGGATAGCATAGTTAACATGTTACCGCGGACGAAAGGCAAGAACTCGAGAAACAGGGCCCCGTCAACAGGGAGATTTCCTCCAACTCCACATCCCTAGGAATCGTCAGCCATGTGCTCAAAGTGAATCCACTCCTAAAAGGCTCATATGACATACCAGCGCAGCGAACAAGGCACACGCTTGAATCCACGTTGTCGTCCCTCCAACAGCGATTCCAAAGATGGATGTAATCAACAGTGTAAGGTTGAACGCCCACTTTCTTCCGATTACATCTGAAAACGTGCTTTTGAATAAGTCAGAGATTATCGTCCGAAAAGTGGCTTGAAAGGAATGGATATCTTCAATACTTACCCCCAGAAAACGGCACCAATGCAGAGGCCCGTAAAAAGTGCCAGCGTAGTATACCTCACTTCACTTTCGCTAACACCATACTCGGCGGACAATGAAGGCAAAGTCAGCGCCACATCCTGCAGCCAGAGATTGTCGGCCAGCCAGCCAAAGCCGCAGAGCACAAACAGCTGCCATTGATATGTGCCCATTCCGATATCGGTAATGGCCTTATTGATGATCGTGGACTTTCGATCGTAAGTGGAATCGTGTCCGGAAGCCGCGATGGTCGCTTCAACTTCTGCACGAAGCGACGCGATCGTCAGATCACCACTGGTGTCGCCGTCAGTGATTTCGGCTTTCTTCTCCGCCAGACCTTCACCTTGTCCGACTGTTGAGGCCCGTGACAATCGACGTTGGTTCTCAGCGATAACGCTTGGATGGCGAGGCGCATCTTTGAGTGGGACGACGACACCAGCGAAGTCCTCTAGGTCGTATTTTCTGAAGGGGTTCAGGAAAACCATCACGATGGGAGTGGCCTTCGTCGCGTTTGGATACCACTGGGTGACAACTCGAGGTCCTGAGTTTTTTCGATCGCAAAAGGGTAATGCTGCTAAGGGAAGACTTCTTCTAGAAGTGCTGGGATGTTGCTTGAGGGTGGTGTATCGAAGTTGAGATCATGACACACAGAAAGTAGCACAGAATGTGTCGTGAGCGATTGCCTGCGAAGGGATCCTCGTAAACTGCCCAATATCTCTTCAATTTTACCTACGAACTTGACCTTGGTCGGTTTGAAAAGGGCGTGAAATAGAAAATATCTGCGACTAGAAATACCCAGAAAGATATCCCGAAGTCCCGAGTGTTATACCTGTTGAGCCTACCGCCACGGTAACCAGGAAGTATCCATGAGAGCTACCGATACCAAACACATTCAGTAAAGTCTTTATGCAATGAAAACCCACTGACCACTCCACAATGACGCACTATTAAGGCCACCTTCAGACATGGACACGGCAGGATGCCATTCTCACGACGTCCTGATATTGAACTCATGGTATTCCCCGCTTGAAGGTGGATGACAACATACCGTGGTTTCTCAATGATCGTCACACATAGGACAGAATTGAGATTTCGGCCGGGGAGGTTACCTTGAAGTTTTCGATAGACACGGCAGGTACGTCATTTGTGAACTGTACCATTCCCCATTCGGTCTAAGCGTGTAGCCTGCCGCCGTCTTAACCGTTGAAGCTCATCGACTTTTGAACTCTTAGTGATCGCACGACATGCTGCCGAGAAGCCTTGTTTGATCCACTTTCGTTGGAGGTTAGACTTCGAGTTCGTATCGTGGATGAAGTATCCGCGGGCGGATCGAATCGATGCCATCTTAGGTTGGCTTTCGGCTTGTTGACTGAGATCCCTATGTAGGTACCAGAAAGAACGAACCATGTAGACTACATATGTAACGACTTACTCGGGCAGGTGGATGACAAAATCCCAAGAAAGAGTTCACAAGGGTCATTATCTACTCATATTCGAGAAGAGGATTAAACAATGTTCCCAGAAGAGGAAGCTAAGATACAAGAATTGGCTCCATCTCCGGGAGACATCAAGGACTACCCCCAATGAGGCAACACATAGTAATGCGCGCAATGTGATGCTCTGATTTGTTCAGGTCAATAAAAATCATGGATGGTATCGTGATAAGACATGAGTCGACCTGACCATCTGCACCCTTGTCTGAGGCAGATATGACCGACTGTTTTCGTACCAAGATTGTTTCACAAAAAAGATTGTATCGAACACAGACCAGACAACTGGAGAGGTCCTTCGAGGTTCCTCTTACTCAGCTCCTGGAGAAAACCTTGACGGCTCCGTCGCCTCCACAGCTGATGACCCATCGTCCATCGGGGCTCCAAACGACGCTACACACGCCCTCGCCTCGCATTATTCGGTGGCTGGATATTTCTTGTGTACAGCTTCTTTTCTCGAGGGACCAGAAACGTAAGCTGGCATCATGACCGCCGGAAACTAGTTCTTTCCCGTCCGGGCTTAGAGATAGAGAGGATATTGCAGATGGATGTGCAAGCATAGTATATGTGCATTGCCCTATAAGTCAAGTCAGCTGAGTTCAATTATTGGAAGCCTAATCGGAATGAAAACATACCACTGTTGGCATCAAAAAAGCGAATATAGCGGTCTTCATATCCAGCGATAACAACCCCTTCGATGCCACCTTCTGAACCAGTGGCACCATGGACGACATCATCTTCACCTAGAGAGCCACGACGACCAGTCGGTACTGTGTCTCTATTGTCAAAACCGGTGCTGCTGGCCGCCACAGCATTAATGCCGGTGCTTGCTGTCCCATCGTAGGTTTCCTGGCTGGCCATTCCAACAATTTCTTCCCCGCTTCTGGTATCAAAGACCAATACACTGGCATCAGCATAAGCAACCACGAAGCTTTCTCCATGGAGACCCATGGGGCAAATCGATGTTGGAGCGGGTTTGTCGGTTCGTTCGATACGATGGACCAGGCTGTAATTGAAAGGAATAGTACTCGCAACACTTGGTTGTGGTGAGCTTGGAAAATTCGATCCTGCTGACACCGAATTGGCCCGTCGACTGCCCCTTACTGAGCGGCTTCCGGCGTGAGGAGAACTTAGTTGAGGCGGTGTACTAACGGCCCATATCAAGATCGTTCCATCAGCAGCCCCAGCAACAAGGAGAACTCGGTCTGGGCCGCCAAATTGGGAGCAACGTTCACCAAGGAGAGTTCCGGTCAAACTTGGAAGACAACACAATGCCCAGACAGCATCTTTATGGCCTTCCAGTGTTGCCTTTGCGTCGACTCTGCCTCTTTCCCAGACCTTGACTGTAGCATCCTCGCCACCAGAAAAGATCCATCCATCGCCAGCTGCTCGACCTCCACTCGAAAAATTGGGTGATGCTGGACATGCGGCCAAAGAGCAAACGGCCCCGACATGGCCCCGATGTGTGAAATGGGCAGTCCGGTCAAGGTCATCGCCTAAATTGACATTGTGGGTATAAGTGGCGGGAATGTGCCATCTCTTGACACCACCATCATCACTGGCTGTGCAAAATTCCGGCTCTGATGGACTTCCACCTCCGGTGAAGATGACCGAGCGAACCACGTCTAGGTGACCTCTCATGGCGAACCGAACTTTGAACTGGGTATTCCCGGATCTCGAGGCGGCCAGTTCACGGGCGTCGTTGTTGCCTTCGCTACGTCGTCTGGCTCCAGAGCTCTTTCGACGATGTGATCCGGGGGCTCGAGGGGGTGATTTAGAGGGTATGAGGTTAGCGCTAGGGAAGACCTCTACATCAGGTCTGTGCTGGGTGGGTTGATCGAGTGGCCTTTCATGTGGCGCTGGACCATCATCAAAATCCCATCCGTCGTTGACCTCTTTCGATACTTCGACTGGTGCGGTGTCAGGTGTGTCTTTGATAGGGATCTCACGACCGTAGGCGTCGAAACTGTGGCTGATTGACTCTATTCGTTCCTCGGTTACAGGCAGTTGCTCGTTGAAAAAGTTCTTCCGGGGATCTACCACAGGAAGAGATTGAACGGGTTCTGTTCTCGACTGAATAGCACTTCTCTGCAGCTCTTCATGATTGATTTGGGTATTCGACCGTGTAAGAGGTGTGGGATCAGCAAAAGGATTTTGAGGTTGTCCAGCATTTTCTCGAACCATGGCCACATCTCGGTGATGTTGTTGCTTGAGTTGTTGCAACTGGATGTATGCGTCTTGGAGTTCTTGTTGAGTTGGCTGTTGCTCACCAAAGACATGATTTGTATTATTTATCGGGACTATGTCATTGACTTCGGGTGCGACATGAGATGTCGGCAGGATGTGGTAAGTGATTTCCGAGGAGCATTTGGATAGATAACCCTTGGACTTTTCACGTTCCTTCTCCTGACGGATACCCTGAGCAAGGTGGTTTTCAGGATCGAGTTCGGTAGCAAAATGGCTAATGGACTTGGAGGTCGGATCTACTCTTCGTTAACAAACAAATGCGATAACCCTCCAGGTTGTCCTCACCTTTTCCCAAAGCCATTAATTCTTCCTTGGCCAGTTCTTTGGGGTCTTTGCTGGCATTAGTGTAATCACCTTTGGTCAAATTTTTGACCTTTTCTCGCTCTTTTTTTAGAGCTAGTTCCAATAATTTGACATGGCGCTCGAGCGAAGACCGTAGACCTTTACTTGTCCTGGTTTCGCCTTCCAAGCTAGCTATTCGATTCTTCATCTCCTCGCGCTCGATTTCCCACGCGTTGCGATCTCGTTCATGCCTGTGCCACTCGGTTTGCAGGAAGCGCATGACACCTGAACAAGTTATTAATTGATTTGAATCTTTGATTATCCTTTGCGGGGAAAACAGGAATACCGACCTTGTAGAGTGTATGCTTGAACGCCATTCTGATCTCCTGCGGGCATCCCTCCAACACCACCGCCTCCAGCCCCGGTCTGCCACGCCATGATGCGCTATCTGGCGCTCTGTTGCTGGTAACAATATCATCTAGCCATGCCGAGGATCTTGTGGGAGGAGTGGTCACAGGGGCTCAATGGATCAACCACGTTTGGGTTGCGATGAGGGACTGGCTGGAGAATCGGAATGGTTTAAGGATGGTTGAATAGTCGAGGGAGTCTGGGCCGAAGAGATGTGGCCACTGCAAAGCCAAGAAGAAGGAAAGGGTGTATTAGGATTGAAGAAGACTTGGTCGTGCACGTTATACTGGAGTTCTGGACAGGTGAGTTGAAAGCGCAGGTTAAACTTGAAGCTGGAGGGTGAGCGGCGCTCCTGGTTGTTAGTGCTCGGCGAGTCGGGTCGTGGTTAGTGGTTGGTTAGCTGCCGCGGCGTGGAATTTAGTGGGTGATTAGTGCAGGCTTTTCCCTGCCTGAGCTTATAGCCACGCGTTGGTTCGCAGGGCGAGAGCTGCCCAGCAGTGCCCGTAGCTGTGGCTAGACCCCTTGACTTTAGGCGGTTAACCTCAAACATGTTTAGTTGGTTGGCGGCACAAGCAAACTGTGAAAAGGAGCGCTCGACCCTGGCCTGGCCCGGCCACGGCAAAGCCTTTCACACTGGTAGTACCTCAACTACTGTTTTCTGAGGCGCGATGAGTTCCGACAAAGCACATAATTATTCTTATTCCTGTTTTACAACTCTATCTCTTCCACCTCCAGCCCACATATTAGACACTTCTTCACCGGTATGCCCGTTTCTTGGTTTTCAATGGGTCGACCAAAGTCGTGGGTATGCTTACCGTCACCCAAATCATCACCAAAGTTGCCTCCTCCACCCTTTCGACTTCTTTGATGAGCTTCAACCCTGGTGCGCTTCTTCAAATCGGCCAGCTTTGACTTGAATTTGTTCTCTTTTCGTCTCTTTTTCTCCGCGTCACGTTTTTGAAACTCTGCATCCAAGGCCTCAGCGGAACCCCATCTCTTTTCGGAAAAGGCATATTCTTCGACTTGACATCTGAGATAGAGAAACATATTATGCCACGTTGATCTGTGAGGATTGGGTCTTTCCAAGTGGGGAAGCAATGCCTCATCCTTCAGCTCGGGATCTGTCAAAAGGTAATCTTCTCTGGCTTCGGTTTTGGTAAGCAGACTGTACTTCTCGGGAAATTTTTCTTTGCATGCATTGCAGACTGCAAGTCCGAATATTTCGAGCCATTTCCAATCCACTTCCAAAGTGTCACATTCCCGGCATGACTCTTTCTTAGCATCCGTGCCAGCGCTGATACCAGGCTCGAACGGACCGGCTTTTTGATTACGCAAGGATCGTAGTAATTGCTGTCTCTCCCATTCCTTTTGGGTCATGTGAGAAGGCTTGTGGTCTTTTTCAGGGGCATGAAGGGCTTTGTTGTGCGGATCATCATCTGCAGTCAAGAACCCACCCTTGGTATCGGTCATCTTGCTGAAGTCATACTCGACATATTTGGCAAAATTGCGAGCTGCTTGTATGGTTTCGAGAGGTCGACTCGTGTTGACCTCAACGGTAGCATCGCGAAGAGTAGAAGTAGGAGTATCAGCGTATGTTGCGAAACTGCGCTTCTGACCAGCCTTGGTGGAGTTTGACTGTTGTTGATCCTTTGCTTGCGATGCTTCACTCTCGCGTTGCTCTCGCAGTGCTTTGGCCTTGAGTCTATTTATCTCGATCCTGCGCACTTGTTCCGGAGTGAGAGGTGATTGAGCCTGACCCTCCGAATTCCTCGGAGGCGGCGTAGATAGCCTCATTGACATCTCTGCGGAGATTGCCGGGACTGAGGGAGAGATGAAGATAGAGCCACGATGAAGATGAAGCCCCGGTAGTAGTTGGGGTGCAAAGGTGAGAGGATCGTCTTTGGGATGTGTCACTTTATTCTTTTAGGCAGATGGTGGCGATGTTCCATGTTCGGCATGGAGAACCCAAAGGAGCGCAGTTTCATGAGTCGTACTCGTGCATTGTCGGTGACTAAGCGCCTAGGGTAATGAGAAGCTTGGGGCTGCTTTAGGGTTCAATCCGCATCCGTCAGTTAACCTTCAGCAGTCGATGGCCGTCCTTTAACTGGAACCCCCAGGCTGTCGCAGGCACACACGCGCCACTCGGGACACGGGAAAGCGGCGAGTTGGTCACCCTGTTCCTATTCGAGATTGGAGAAAGTTTTATGTGCTCCTCTCTCCCCCTCAGTCCATCTCTTTGTTTAGTCGGTCAACAATTTCATTTGTGCATAGTCTTTTGTTCAAACTCCAAACAACCATGGCTGCCAAAACCGCTCGCGCCGACTTTCAGAAGGTCTTTCCGGACTTGGTGCAGGATCTACTGGGTGAAGCTCAGAAGTATAATCTGCCCGAGAATGCCTTGAAATGGTTCGAAAAGGTACGTGCCCCTCCAACCTAGTCCTGTCGCAATTTGGAGGTTGACCATGCGCATCTGTAGTCTCTAAATGCCAACACGCCTGGTGGAAAGCTAAACAGAGGTATCTCGGTGCCGGACACTGCCATTCAACTCCTCGAACGACCCTTGAGCCCTGAAGAGTTCAAAGACCTGGCCACGCTTGGATGGCTCACCGAACTCCTCCAAGCCTTCTTCCTGGTATCTGACGATATCATGGACTCCAGCATCACTCGTCGAGGTGAACCGTGTTGGTATCGTCAAAAAGGCGTGGGAATGATCGCTATCAATGATGCTTTCATGCTCGAGTCTTCGATATTCCTCACATTGAAGAAACGATTTCGGTCGCACCCTGCCTATCTTGATCTGATCGAACTGTTCCACGAGGTGACCTGGCAGACCGAGCTCGGACAGCTGTGTGACCTGATCACGGCTCCGGAAGATCATGTTGATTTGGACAATTTCGGAATGGACAAATATACCTTCATTGTCATATACAAGACCGCGTATTACTCCTTCTACCTTCCGGTCGCCCTGGCGTTACACTATCTCCAGTTGGCATCTCCGGAGAATCTGAAGCTTGCGCATGACATTCTGATCCCTCTTGGCGAGTACTTCCAGGTCCAAGATGACTATCTTGATGCATTTGGAGATCCTGCATTCATCGGGAAGATTGGGACGGACATCAAGGACAACAAGTGCGGATGGTTGATCAACCAAGCACTGCTGATCGTCACACCCGAGCAAAGACGTTTACTGGAGGAAAATTATGGTCAGAAAGATGACGAGAAGGAAGCCAAAGTCAAGCAACTTTACAACGAGCTCCAGTTGGAGAAGAGATACCAAGACTATGAAGAGAAAAGAGTAGGCGAGTTGAGAAAGCTGATCGATGCGGTCGACGAGAGCAAAGGACTTAGAAAGGGCGCCTTTGAGGTGTTTTTGGCCAAGATCTACAAGAGAACCAAATAGATGGATTAAACTGGTAATAACGAAAGCGCGCCAGCCCGATGGTTGACTGGTATTCATTGGTGGAGAATTGTAAGGCGATTCGACAATTCCGTTTCAATTGGCACAGAGAGGAATGCAATTGACTTGGGGGTGCGCGGAGAAAGGTTTGGGCCGAGGAGGTTAGCGACGGAGTATCCTTACAAGCCTGAGTTACAGCCTGCAAGTTGGGGATGAGTTAACCGCACGGGGATTGAAAAAGACCCAACCAACCGATGTTGCTAGGGAGCACGAAGTCACTTGACCCAGGTGGGATTAGGCGTGGTCCCCCCGAAGTCCCCTCGCCCCAACTGCCAGAAGCCTAGCCTAGGGGGGATTATGGTTGGGCGTCGCAATTACCTGCTGGCCATGGCGCATTCCGCCTAAACCTGAATGGCAGCTAACACGGTCAATGACGTTTGTTTGTGTGAAGAGGTGTAACGATCAGGTTCCTGGGTCTACTCGTAGGTACTTGGGCTTCAATGCTTCATACCTGTCCATCAATCTCCTACAACGACCGTGCTCGAGACTCAGGACTTCCGAGACTTCAGCCTTGCATACATACTAAGTAGCTTGACAGCGAAGGATTGAGTCTTTTAAGTTTGCGGGCGTCTTTTGTTATTTTACTGATTTCTAGACGCCATCGCAGATTTCTCCCAGCGCTTTCCAAGGTCGCCCTGCCCTTGTTCAGTGGTGGACCCTCCCCTCTCGCTCGCTCGCTCAAAAGCACTCGCGCGTTCCCACCCAACTCCAAAAAAAATCATAGTCCAAACTTCATCGGCCCAGCCTGCCCCAATTGCTCACGAGTTACAACCAGAGGTCCAGAGAAGACCAGTGTGAGAAAATAGAGAAAAGCAAGACTGTCTGCTATTTCCTTCCTTTTTCCTTCCTGGTTGTTTGGATTGAACCTGTGTCGGCTTATCCTGCGAGATTGAATCATCGCCCACGAACCTGCGAATTGCCACCAACCAAAAGAGTCGACCCACGGAGGACGACCTAGCTAAGGAGCTGCATCCCTCACTAGACCAAGGTTCTGCTGCAAGCTATCCGCTCTTTGCTGTGGGGTAAAAAGCTTCCTGGAGATTCACCTGTCTTTCCCATTGCCATTACCTACAGCTCTTTCCACTCTTCTACCACCAAAGCTCCTGCACCAGAGCTTCACATATTCAAGATGAACGGAGACTCGAGTAAACGCGATGTGCAAAATCATCTGTTGTTTGAAATTGCTACAGAGGTAGCCAATCGAGGTATCTTGGCTCCAAATCTTCGTCTCTGGCCGTTGCATGTGCTAATCTACGTCAGTGGGTGGAATCTACTCGGTCCTCAAATCCAAAGCTCCTGTAACCACCGCGGAATATGGAGACCGGTATACACTTATCGGCCCTCTCAACAAGGCTTCGGCAAGTACTCTCCCTTAGACTATCCCTCGAACCTCATCTAATTGACTTTCTTTTAGGCCGCGGTCGAAGTTGAGCCCCTCGAACCTACAGCCGGTCCTCTGCGAGACACCATCACTTCGATGCAAGAACGTGGCATCGAGGTCATGTACGGTCGATGGCTGATTGAAGGTGCACCCAGAGTCCTTCTTATCAATACTGGCACTGGTTACCGATGGCTCGATGAGTGGAAAGGTGACTTGTGGGCGGCCGCTGGTATTCCATCACCTGACAGTGATTCCGAAACCAATGAAGCCATTGTTTTCGGCTACTTGGTAGCCTGGTTCTTGGGCGAGGTGAGATTCTCTCAGTCAAATCGTCTAATCATCCGACTCACACACATCAGTTCATTGCTCGGGAAACAAACCGTGCGGTAATCGCACATTTCCATGAATGGCTTGCCGGAGTGGCCCTGCCTTTGACCAAGAAGCGCTCGATGGACCTGACCACGATCTTCACTACGCACGCTACTCTGCTAGGTCGATACCTCTGCGCAGGCTCGGTCGATTTTTACAACAACCTCCAGTATTTTGACGTTGATTCCGAGGCCGGAAAACGTGGAATTTATCACAGGTATTGCATCGAGCGAGCAGCGACGCACTCGGCAGATGTATTCACAACTGTCTCGCATATCACGGCGTTTGAGAGTGAGCATCTGCTGAAGAGAAAGCCAGATGGTGTTCTGCCCAATGGGCTGAACGTTAAGAAGTTCTCCGCGGTCCATGAATTTCAGAATCTCCATTCGGTGCAGAAGGAGAAGATCCACGAGTTTGTCCGAGGCCACTTCTACGGGCATCTGGACTTCGACCTGGAAAACACCCTCTACATCTTCACGGCTGGTCGATACGAGTATAGAAATAAAGGCGTGGACATGTTCATCGAGTCTCTTGCTCGTCTGAACCACCGGATGAAGAACAGCGGATCCAAGACCACCATCGTCGCTTTCATGATCATGCCAGCTCAGACAACGTCACTATCGGTTGAGTCTCTCAAAGGCCAAGCTGTAACCAAATCTCTGGCGGACACGGTTGCCAATATCGAACATGGCATTGGGCGAAGATTGTTCGAACGATCAGTACACTGGAAAGAAGGCGATCCACTACCAGATGAGAAGGAACTCATCACTCCTGCAGACCGGGTCTTGCTCCGTCGTCGTCTTTTCGCCATGAAAAGAAACGGTCTGCCTCCCATTGTTACCCATAACATGGTCAATGACTCGGAAGACCCAGTGCTCAACCAGTTACGAAGAGTACAACTCTTCAATCACCCATCTGACCGTGTCAAGGTTATCTTCCATCCGGAGTTTTTAAACTCTGCCAATCCAGTTCTGTCATTGGATTATGACGATTTCGTGCGGGGTACGCATCTGGGAGTCTTTGCTTCGTACTACGAGCCTTGGGGTTACACTCCTGCAGAATGCACCGTCATGGGTGTCCCATCCATCACCACCAACCTGTCCGGATTTGGATGCTATATGGAAGAGCTGATCGAGAATTCATCCGATTATGGTATCTACATTGTTGACCGCCGTATGAAGGGCGTGGACGACTCGGTCAACCAATTGACCGACTATATGTTCGATTTTGCCAACAAAAGTCGAAGACAACGCATCAATCAAAGAAATCGTACTGAGAGACTCAGTGATCTTCTTGATTGGAAGCGCATGGGCATGGAATACGTCAAGGCCCGACAGCTTGCTCTTCGACGTGCCTACCCAGACTCTTTCACGGAAGGTGACGATTTTGACGATTTCATTGGGGGCACGGAGCAGAAGATCTCCAGACCTTTATCTGTGCCAGGATCTCCTCGTGATCGGTCTGGAATGATGACTCCAGGTGACTTCGCATCTCTACAAGAAGGCAGAGAAGGTCTAAGCACGGAGGATTACATTGCTTGGAAATTACCGTAAGTCGTTCACGTTCAGCCCCTTCCCAAACGGAAACTGATAAACAATTGCAGTGAGGAGGAGGAGCCTGATGATTACCCATTCCCTCTGACCCTCAAGACCAAGAAGGGCTCTGATCCTAATTCGCCTGCTCCTCTGGTAGGTGGGTTGAATGGATCATCATAGACACAGTTGGTGGCCAGGGGATCGGATGTGATGGGCGAAGGTTGGATTTATCCAAGATGGTCGCCACTTTAAACATTTGCATCGAAATGTGAAGCAAGAAGCAGGGAGATCAAGTGCCAGCCACGCACAGCAATTTTGCTTAAGCGTCGTCCGAGTTCAATTCTGACTCTTGATCTATCATGAGCGGTATTCTCTGTATTTATCTGTATGCGTAGTAATGCTTCATCATCAACCATCAGTACCCAGATGCATTTCCATATTTTGGATATTTCCTATCTTACAGAAAGCAATAGATTGACCGCCTTGTATTCCCCAAGTTCAACGTCGGGGCCTGCCATTATTGCCAAGAGTTCTGATTGAGCAACATGAGCCGGTGAAGTGGGTCGCAAATCGGCCGGGAAAAACTGCCCCGAACGTGACAAAAAGATTTCTGGAATTTTTTTGAGGACCCAGAAAGTTTCAACCATGCCCGCAGGCACTTGCTGACTCTCCCTTCATATTCCTGTGGCTCAACCACTCCATACAGCTAATTCACCATGGGTCCCGGTCGGCGCATGAAGAAGCAAGGCCCTCCGGCCACCCTTGAAGAACTTGGCCTTGGTTTGAAAAGAAAGTCGGGCAATTCTACCGCCAAAGAGCCCGCCTCGAAGAAGCGCAGAAAGTCGACAGAGGATCAAGAAACTCCGGTCAAGAAACTGGTCAATTTGGACCGAGCCCTGAGACAGGATATCCCAGTAGCTCCTGCGGCACCGGTACAAGAGAAGAACAAGAAAAAGAAGAAGGCAAAGATCCCAAACACCGATGCCCAGATCACCGTACCACCTCAATTTGCCCTCGATGAGGAATTGGAGGCCGCAAGCGACGATCCAGATGAGGATGTTGCAGGAATACCGTTGGACGAGGCTTCGCTGTCAGAACTTGACGACGACGAGCTTGAGGGGGTACTAGAGGATGAAGTTTCAGACGATTCGGTCTTTGACTCGGACCCTGACGATCAACCACGACGAATGTTCTCCGACGACGACGATGAATCAGACGCCGAGGCCAAACTCACCGCAGCGAACATCGAAGGGCTCTCAAGAAAACTTGACGCCCAACAAGCCGAAGTAGAGGAAGAGGCTCAACGAGAACTAGAGGATGCGGCGATGCAGACCAACATAGCGAAGGACGAAGGCATCCTTGACTCGGTCGCTGCCCCAGGCATCGCCCCAGACTTGGCCATCGTCAGATCTCGAATCACAGAAACAATTCGTATCTTGGGTGACTTCACAAAGCTCGCAGACTCAAGCAAGTCGCGGACCGATTATACTACACAACTCCTCGCCGACATTTGCACCTATTACGGCTATACGCCCTACCTGGCCGAAAAGCTGTTCTCCTTGTTCACTCCCTCCGAGGCATTTGCATTTTTTGAAGCGAACGAAACACCCCGCCCCGTTGTGCTGAGAACCAACACACTACGGACAAACCGTCGTACCCTCGCTCAAGCTCTCATCAACCGAGGAGTTGTTCTGGAGCCTGTCGGGAAATGGTCCAAGGTGGGATTACAAGTCTTCGAGGCACCAGTCCCTCTGGGAGCAACCCCCGAATACCTAGCCGGCCACTACATCTTACAAGCGGCATCCTCCTTCCTCCCCGTCATGGCGCTCGCCCCGCAGCCCAACGAACGCGTGCTAGATATGGCCGCCGCGCCCGGCGGCAAGACCACCTACATATCGGCACTGATGCGCAACACCGGTGCCGTGTTCGCCAACGACGCGAACCGCCAGCGCGCCAAAGGTCTCATCGGCAACATCCACCGGCTCGGCTGCAAAAACACCATCGTCTGCCACTACGATGCACAGAAAGCCTTCCCCAAGATCCTCGGCGGCTTTGACCGTGTCCTCCTCGATGCGCCTTGCTCGGGCACGGGAGTCATCGGCAAAGATCCCAGCGTCAAGACCTCCAAGACGGAGCGTGACTTCCTCGCCCTACCGCACATGCAGAAACAGCTGCTGCTCGCAGCCATTGACTCCACTGACCACAATAGCAAAACCGGTGGGTACATCGTGTACTCGACGTGTTCGGTGACGGTCGAGGAGAATGAGGGTGTCGTGAATTATGTGCTACGGAAGCGGCCGAATGTGAAGATCGTTGAGACGGGCCTGGGATCGTTCGGTACGCCGGGCTTCAAGAGCTACATGAACAAGCGCTTTGCGGAGCGTATGGAGCTGACAAGACGGTACTTCCCGCACCGCGAGAACGTCGACGGGTTCTTCGTGTGTAAACTGAAGAAGACAGGCCCACTACCGAAGGAGGCGGTCGGTGACAAGGCGAATGGCACGGTGGGGGCTTCTCAGGTCGATGCCATACCGGTGAATGGCGAGAAGAGTGCGAGTGTTTCGATTGGCAAAGGGAGTGGTGAGGAGGCAGAGGATGATTTTGGAGGGTTTGATGATGAGCAGGATATGGAGATCATTCAGCGTGCCGAGAAGAAGTGGCGGAAGGCGAGAGGGCTGGATCCTCGCGCGACTGGTGAGGGTGAGGCCCATGGGAAGAAGGAGTTGAAGGCCAGCAAGGCTGCCAAGAAGGCGAAGAAGATCAATGGAACCGAGAGCAAGTCGAAGTCTGCGTCTGGAAAGGCGGAGAAATCGAAGAAGAAATGATGATGACAACTACCTGGATTATGGCATAGCTGCGGCGAGATCATATGATCGTCATCGAGGCCGTAGGGAGCTCTGAGGACTCTCTGATGCCGATATCCATGAATTAAGTTATGGAAAACTACTAAATCCCTGACTTCCAGGGACTTAGCCCTGCTCACACCTCACCTATGAGGTACGATCTTTACAGTAGAACTCTCTTGAGCCTTGTCATGAACGCTCCATCACGCTAGATGCCATATCCTGTGAATCCCAATCAATTTATGGCCACTTTCGATACCGATGCAGCCAAAAAGGAAACCAGTATATATATATATACGCCTAGCCAGATATCCCTACAATACCAATTGCCAGTAATACCCCTGAGTTAACCGACGTCCTGCCAGGCATCTCGCAAGGCAACTTTCTTGAATTGTTGACAATATTTCCGAACCCGTGAATTATATGCTTGAGGAAGATGGAATTATATCTGGGTGCCTGCCGTCGCTATCTGCGAGCCTGACTTAGCATAGGCGCTGTAGCTAACACCCCGAGAAGAGTGATGACGGGGCATTTACTTGACTGCCTACTTCTTTGATGTATGACTCTTTTATCTAGCTACCTAGCAGGCCATCATGCCTCTGCCAGGTGTTTTTTCGTCTATAGTTGTCGTGTAATAATGAATCGACTCGAATTAGGGGGAACTGGTAGAATCTCTGACCGCCCTGGTACCAGTTCTCGCAGAGGTGGCCAAACGAACCAACCACGACAGCAGACAGGATTTCAAATTCCAGATGGCCCAAAGGCAAGCCGGCACGTTGCAGCAAATCTCCAGTGCAAGCGTCTCGGTGCGATGGCCTGTAGATAAAAGATAGGCTCGATGGTGTCAATGCAAGACCCCGCGTCGCACGAGACTCAGGTACCGGCTCAGATACGTCGCACGGAATCCGTTCAGGGCTGGAGTCTCACGATGGGAGGGAGACGCAGTGTGACGGAATGATTGAAGGTGCTTGATTCTGTTCCTGAAAAATCCAGTGATAGCCTCGCACACGCACGCCGGGCTCGCTTACATTCTCCCTTCCTCTCGCGTCTTCCAAGCTTCTCCTGGACTGCGGGTTTGCTCGTTTTCTCCGTGTCCCTGGATTGTGTGCTGCGTGCTGAGAGGAAGCATTTTCAGCAAGGAGAAACAGGGAGGGAAGACCATGTCAATGCATGGGCATATTGTGCGTGTAGTCATTGGCTTGTTCGCTGTCTCTGCTTGTACTGTCATTGGCAATCTTGGTTGCGCATTCTCTGGGGGCCAGTTTGGAGGAACACACTTCGGGAGAAGTTTTGAAGATCTGTGCTGGAGTGGTGATGCATTCAGTGTTGATCTTGCTCGTCTTGCTTGTTTGTATCAAAGGATGCAATAGCTTCTATCAAAGCCATCGTGACTGTTTTGCGACCTGGCCTCGTTCGGAACTAGATACGGAATGTTGCAATGCTCACCTTCATTGATGGAGTCATCCACGATATCGATATCAGTGTCATCGAAGCAGGGTCATACTTGGTATGGACTCCTATTGCGTCTCAGGGCGCCCCATTTTGATTCCTCAATCCTTTCATCGGCCTCCTCCTCCTGGTCCAAGAATGCCATAGGCGCTCTGGACACAGAGTCAAGACCGCCACATCCACCGCCGCCACGGCCTCCACGCCCAAAAACTTCCTTACCTAATTTACGCCCGACTGTCATTCTCTCGCCGATCACTGTGCCGCCGACAGTTTATCTGCCCCAGTCAGTCTGCTCACCCAAAACGGCAAAAGTAGTATCATTTTCCGAAGATGTGTTTGCGGCACTACCGGCACGTCTGAGGCCACAAATTGATGATATTGGGGCTCATCATCACGACACAAAGGACATATGGCGGGAATTCGCCAACGACTTACAGTATGTATCGAGATCCCCCACGTGGTCACAACCAGCGCAGATTGGCCACGGATACATGCAACGAAACAATGAACACAAGGACTCTTCAGAAAAATATTACTCTCCATATGCAAGCAGTAGCTGTCTTGGGACGAGCTTCATGTCACATTGCCGAGAGCAAAAGCATTTGGAGTTTGCTTCATCGACATTCAACGTGGCGAGCAGAAGCGAACCGGAACATTATGATCGGAGGTCCGAGCCCGATCAAGAGAGCTACCATCTTACACCAGCGCAGGCCTGGATCGCGAGCAACAGGCGCCTTCTTTGGATGGTAGGAGTAGTCGCGTTTGTTCTGGTGGCCTCGAGTGCTGTCACTGGAGCCATTATTTGGAGGTTGACGATGGGTAAGTAACACATTCTTTCGACTTGAAGATCATGCTGATCGCGCGTGTCATTCCAGTTGGTTGAGACCGTCATCTCGATATTAAAAGGCCGAAGAGGAAACATTTGGATAATACCATGCGTACATGCCATAAACGGGATGTGGAAAGAAAGAACGTCCCCTGCAGTGTTTGATCATTGAGTGGCAAACGTGAGATGTTGGCGGGCCGCAACATCGGAAGAGGGTTCAGAGGGGAGTTTGTTCCCTCCATGATACCATAGCCAATCCTAGATCATACCTTGTGGACGTGGTCTGCAAGTGTACGATGGAGAGGAAGCTAATAGAGCCCTCCTATGGTAAGAGCGAATATGGGTTGATACAACATGCTTGCCCATCACAACGCATATCGCACTGGTGGTGTGGAATAGAGCCTTGGGATTAGGGGTACGCAGCCTTTAGACAACTTAGCCTTGTTATTTAGGTCGTCTGGGTGGGGTGACATAGGAAGGATTCATTCCGCACCCATTTCAAATCCCAGCTACAATGCCCATCGCATTCGTCGGGTCGCAGGGAGCATTATGATTCTGATAAACAGTATCAGACCACAAGACGGATCTGTCTTAGGAGTCGTGTGAATGTCTTGATCAACCCGACGGGGTACGAGCCGACGAGGCCAGGAATTGATGCGGCCGTCGGGATGGAACAGACAGCTTCGGAATGCAGCGTCTCTGGTAGGCTTGAAACGATTCATGATGGGGAACGCCTAAACCCGGAGGCGTTAGGGCCAAAGAACCCTTCCAGGATCCGATGCACGACCCATGGTTGAACCTCCATGGGCTTCAAGAGTATTTATGTACATCAGGCGGGGTAAGTAACAAATATTTAGGACTTATGCTACAAAGACAGCCACTCTGCCAACCAGCTTTCTGTGATTACAACTGCGATCTATATACTCTATACCCTATTGTTCGACACAGTCACAACAGTATTTTTCACGTTGCACAACCTAGGCGACTCGAAACTTGTCTAGACTCTCCTCCATTATCACCAGCATTCTCTCGTCAGGATGGCTACCAATGGCGTCGGCTCAAAGGCACATCGCTTTGATCCCAATTTCACGCAACATGTCATTGATGCTATGGGACCAAAGACATCGCCCAGAATGAGAGTAGTCATGACCAGTTTAATACAGCATTTGCACGATTTCGCCCGTGAAGTCGAGCTGACTGTGGATGAATGGACGGAGGGGGTTTCACTCATCAACTGGGCCGGCCAGATGAGCAACGAGAAGCGAAATGAAGGCCAGTTGGTCTGCGATGTTGTCGGTCTGGAATCGTAAGTGCTTGTTCCCAGCTGCAGATCTGCCACCCCTTATGGACCTGTCGTGCTAATAATCATAACCCCTAGGCTTGTCGACGAGATCACCTACAAGAAGGCATCGGAAGCCACCAATGTTGCCACACAGTCCGCCATTCTTGGGCCTTTCTTCAGACACGATCACCCTATCCGAGAAAAGGGTGCGACTATTTCATTCGATACCCCAAAAGATGCTGAAGTCGTATATATGCACGGCCGAGTGCTTGATGCCACAACTCAGAAACCCCTGGTTGGTGCCAGTATCGATGTCTGGGAAGCATCTACAAATGGTGAGTATATGCTGGGTCGGAGTTTAGCAATGCATTTCCATGAGAATGTCCTGGCTGACCGATCGATCGCTTAGGTCTTTATGAGCAACAAGACGACAACCAAGTTGACTGCAATCTGAGAGGCAAGTTTATTACCGACTCCAATGGCGAGTATGCGTTTTATGCTTTGCGGCCGACGCCATACCCCATTCCTTATGATGGACCGGCCGGCAAACTTCTTCAACTCCTGGATCGACATCCATACCGTCCAGCACATATCCATCTGATTGTGAGTATCTCGACCAATACCTACTAACCCTCCTTGGAATGTGGCTGATGAAGCAATAGGTTCTGATAGAAGGCTACAAGCCAATCACGACACAGATCTTCGACAAGGCCAGCAAGTACCTCGATGACGATTCAGTGTTTGCTGTCAAGGACTCTTTGGTTGTGGAATTTGTCCCACGAGAGGGCGACTCACAAGCATCACTCGAACTGAAGTATGATGTTAACATGGCTCCTTTGGAATCAGAAGGCGAGTCAGGGCCCCCAAATGGATTGGTCACACAAGGGTCTGGTCAGGGATTTTGAGCATTTGAGTGTAAGATGAGTTGTTGTCCTCCATATATATCTTGGGTAATTCATTTCCATGTTTGAGACACCACTAGAAGATTTGAATGTTTCTACAGGTTGGATAACACCCGTCACGGTGTTGAGCATTTTGTTTCATCGGATAAGAACACCCGGGCCTCTTATTCTTCTCCAGCCACCCAAGCCTCGGTATCGTGCTAGGTCAGCTGGGAAGAAAAGGATTTTGAATGATTGGTTAGTTCCCCCACAAAACGCGTCTCACCGTCCGTTGTGAAATTTGGGGGAATGGGATCCCATGGTCACTGGCAGTTTAGTTACGAGTAGCTGGGAGACACTGCCACTTTTGGCTCCCCGTCCCCCACAATCCCTCTCTTTAGTCCTTTGCCCTCTTCCGAACCCATCCTGACTCCTCACAAATCTTTCCCATTCCTCCAGCTTTTCCCACCAAGGTGCTATATCCGGCTTTGAACAAATCGCCTCTCCACATTCATCGGATCATTGATCCTGCACTTTAGCCGCGTGTAACTTTGACAGACGACAACAGGGCTATTCAATTTAACTCCGTTTTGGTGATGTAATGCCTCGCCCACGTGTCAAAGACGAGGACCGGAAGAGGGTTGCCAGGGCCTGCGACACCTGCAAACGCCGCAAAGAAAAGTGTGATGGCCAACATCCATGCCTTCTCTGCAAGCGTCGTGGTCGCGAACCAGAATGTGTCTTCTCTGATGGTTTGCCGAAGCGCAGCAGTTCGTTTCACACCGAACATGTCTCGCCGGCGTCCCCATCCATCACTCTTAAGGATGCTGCATTGAACGAATCCAACGATGCGGAAATCGCCATCGAGTCGCTGTTGACGCTCTCCGGTTCCAGGAGCGCCCCTAAATCTCCTCAATATGAAAAGGACGCAGACCAGCTCGTCTCGCGCGCTCCCGTCCCTAAGCTTGCACGACTCTTGCGCGATGGTCGCGGTAAATTCATCTTTGTGGGCGATTCCAGCAACCTGGCGTTTGTGCAGAATATTCGTCGCCTAGTCAAGTCCGATATTGGAGAATGCCACTTGACTTCGGATCCCCTGAGGCATGCCATGTGTGAAGTGATCCCACCACACAAGGCTCCCACTCCTCAGCAAGCACAACACCCCAAGCCAACACTGGCGGAGGCTCAAGATCTGATCAAACACTATCTGCTCGCATCTAGCGGCATCATTGATCTATTCGACCCTGATGACATCACCGATCACCTGTGCACATGGACCAGGGATTCAACGGCCGAAACAGACTTCAACAGCTCAATCTACTATCTCGTCATGGCGATTGGGGCCTTGACCCGAGACTCCAACGACCTCGACCAAGCCGAATTCTATTTCAGCCGGGGCCGAGAAATCGGTGTTTCGAGCTTCCTCGAAGACCCCAGCGTCCTCACTGTGCAGGCATATGCCTTGATCTCCTTCTACATGCTGTCCGCCACCCGAAGAAACGGCGCGTTCATGTTGATGGGCATCGCCGTCCGCGCCGCCTACGCACTGGGTCTTCACCGGAGCGACATATCCAGTCTATTTGAGCCGAGGGAGAGAGTCGCCCGGGAACGAGTGTGGAAGAGCCTGCGTGTGCTAGACCTGTTCATGAGTGGCTCTCTGGGCCGTCCACCCGCGACATCCGAGGTGGATGGTGGGAGTGTCTCGTGGCATCGATCCAGTCGCGACTATGAAGACATACAAATGAATGGGCGGAATACATCGGCCACGTTGAGGATATGTTTCATCTTCGAACGCATCCTCAACGAGGTCTACTGTCGCCGTGAGGTTTCTGTCCAACTGGTCGAAAGCATATCACGTCAATATAGGGACTGGACTATGCAGCTCCCTTCGGGGCTGCAAGCTGATTCGCTGGACCACAAGCCTGGCGCGGTTGCACCCACACTGCGGCAGTCGATTGGCATTGCACATCTAAAAGGGTTATACTACTGGTCTATCATCCTACTGACCAGGCCCTTCTTGATCTTCAAGGTGTCCTCAAAAGTCAAAAATCGTGAAGAGCAGGGAGATGGTGCTGACAGTAATGTTACCATGACATTGAGCGAAGCATGTATCGATGCCGCGCTAAGGAATATCGAGATCGCTACTGATCTTGTCCACACGCCAGGGGTCCCACGCCGATTGTTCATGATTACCAATAGTGTTTTCATCTCGGCGTTGGTCATTGGACTGGCCATCTTTGGTGACTTTGACAAGTCATTTCCACTTCTCAGCAGTATGACGCAGGCGGAGGCCATCTTGACCATCATGGCCAAAGACGATATGTCGGCCCGTCGTCTGTACAGTATTACTTCCTACTTGCGTCTTGCTGCCCTCGAGCACATCAAGAGACGCGATCAGGTCCAGATGCAGAAGAGGAGGAAAGACATCCACAATATTTTCGGCGATGTCATCAACAAAAATGGTGATGGTGGAGTGTCCGCTTCCATGGGCATGCAAATTCCCAATCAAATACCAGAGACCGAGCCTACTGGGAATAATGGAACGTTCAATTTCGACATGACCGAGAACGTTGATGGTCAGCTACCATGGCAACTGGGATTTGAAATGCCGGCTGAAGGAAGAGGGCCTGTTTTGACGACATCTGGAGCATTGGCAAATACCGGCGACGACTCGACGAACCAATACAACCTGCCAGCGCTGCAGCGTCCGGACTTAAGCCAGTTCCCCGACACTGATTATCTGTCGCCCGATGGGTCTGGCATTCCTAGCCTTCCATCATACGCTGAGGAATTTCCTTTGTTTTCGCTGATGACGGAGTTTGATCAATTGAATGATCCTTTCTCCATGGTGAACGGCTGATGGCGCTAATCTACTTTTTTGGAGGGGGGAATAATGGCACTACTGTTGTTTGAGAACAGATGCCGCAAGATCCAGCTAGATGCAAACCAGGCAAAAATTCCGATTAGACCAAGGTAAAGACCAGTTGGGATCAATGACTTGGGAAGAACATTGAAGACATATGGATCCAATATGAGATCGATTGCCACCGGAGGCACAACATCCATGAGAGTCTGGTTCAGACTAAAATAATCTGCTGCAGCAAAGATCTGCAGGAAGAGAATGGTCGTCTCTTGGTTGGGATCATGCTTGTGCTGGCGATCTTTCAGGGTTTGAACATCTTTCGAAGTCAACTGATCATGTCTCAAGTATGAATAAGTGCTCAAAGATGATATGAGAGATGCATCAGAGAATGCAGTGTTCACCATATAGGTGTCGAGCCAAAATGAAGTTGGTTGCTAAAAGGGGAACAGAGTTAGCAAGTATCGAAGTAATGCAAAAGCGATGAAGGATGTACGGTGGCTGCCCAGCATATTCTGACTTCGTAGCGTCGATGAGGAACGAGCCCATCGAGTAGAAACCAAGATTCAGTTCCTTTGGTAGATGTATTAGTTGGGAAGCTGGCATTGATATATGTTCGAACAGAGGGGTACGATTCGGAAAGTGTCGTCAGAAAAAGGTTGTCAAGACTGGCATCCTGTATTTTTGGCTGCGCGTCTGGAGCAGTGAATATGACTTTTTCTACATTTGCTGTGACGTGGAGGGACCATAACACCAAAGCCAAAACCGTGAGTCTAGACATGTCGTGAGAAAGTCTTTTGTGCCCAGGCAGGAGAAGTGTGATGGTTAAAGGACCTAGGTGTCCCGGGCATGATGCAGTCCCTAGAGAGGCTTAATAAGGCCGTAGTTAAGCCGATCCTTCACCATCGAGGACTGCACGTGTTGATTCGGCAGGCACACGTGATTTACCAATTGGGCGCGACTTGGAACGCGCTTGACCCAAGTGGGATGGTAGGGGCAACAGAGCGGTGAGAGAAAGCGCGCACCGGAACAGAAGCCAAAGCAAACTAAACTGCGCCTATCACCATTGCACCACCCCACAATCAACAACTCATCCACTGCACCAGCACCACCAACAACGCTTCCTCGATTCTCCTGGTTGTTCCACTCACCTTTGTCGAGGTTGCTAGGTTTCTTTATCCCAAACGCATTTCTTTTCTTCGCAATCACTTCATCACTAGTTTGTTGTTGCCCACAACCTCGTCGCCATGAGAGAAGTCATTAGTTTGAACGGTATGTCTACGCGTGTTTTGTTCCTCGCCCGGACCCTCCAAGGGGCCCTGGTCAACCCACAATCAAGACGTGACAATAAAGCTAACTTTGGTCCATAGTCGGCCAGGCTGGCTGCCAGATTGCCAACTCGTGCTGGGAGGTATGTCAAACTTCTACAACATCATCTGAGGATTTCTTATTGACTCGTGTTCAACAGCTGTACTGCTTGGAACACGGAATCCAAGTATGTGGTTCACCTTTTCACCGGCTCTACCACTAATTTCATTCCCAGCCCGATGGTTACCTGACCGAAGAACGCAAAGCTGCCGATCCTGACCAAGGTTTCAGCACCTTCTTCTCTGAGACCGGTCCGTAATCAGACCCCAGATGCTTGATCCTCACTGATACCTTTTCAAAGGCAATGGCAAATATGTCCCTCGCACCATCTACGCCGATCTTGAGCCCAATGTCGTTGATGAAGTCCGCACCGGCACATACCGAAGTCTCTTCCACCCAGAGCAAATGATTACCGGAAAAGAGGATGCCTCCAACAACTATGCTCGAGGGCACTACACTGTCGGCAAAGAATTGATCGACCAGGTCTTGGACAAGGTTCGACGAGTTGCTGATAACTGCACTGGTCTCCAAGGCTTCCTTGTCTTCCATTCCTTCGGTGGTGGCACTGGATCTGGTTTCGGTGCTCTGTTGATGGAACGTTTGTCTGTTGACTACGGCAAGAAGTGCAAACTCGAATTCGTTGTCTATCCCGCACCACAGAACGCAACCTCAGTGGTTGAACCGTACAATTCGATTCTCACCACTCATACCACACTGGAACACTCCGATTGCAGTTTCATGGTTGACAATGAGGCAATCTATGATATTTGCCGACGCAATCTTGGGATTGAGAGACCCAACTTCGAGAATCTCAATCGCTTGATCGCGCAAGGTATGGGAATAAAGACGGGAAACGGCCATTTCACATGACTAACTGTTGTATAGTTGTCTCTTCCATCACCGCCTCTCTGCGATTCGACGGCTCTCTCAATGTCGATCTGGCCGAGTTTCAGACCAATTTGGTGCCATATCCACGTATTCATTTCCCCCTCGTGGCTTATGCTCCAGTCATCTCGGCTGCAAAGGCTCAGCATGAGGCCAACTCTGTGCAAGAAATCTCCATGTCCTGCTTTGAGCCCAACAACCAGATGGTCAAATGTGATCCCCGCAACGGCAAATACATGGCCACTTGCTTGTTGTACCGTGGAGACGTTGTTCCCAAGGATGTGCATAGCGCAGTTGCTACTCTCAAGACCAAGCGAACCATTCAGTTTGTGGACTGGTGCCCTACTGGATTCAAGATTGGTATTTGCTTCCAGCCTCCTCAGATGGTTCCAAACGGAGATCTTGCCAAGGTCAACCGCGCTGTGTAAGTTTCAAAAATCACAAGAAGAAGATTAGAAGCTAACTTTGGATAGTTGCATGCTTTCCAACACCACAGCCATTGCCGAAGCTTGGTCCGCCTTGTCTCACAAGTTCGACTTGATGTACTCGAAACGCGCTTTTGTTCACTGGTATGTTGGTGAGGGAATGGAAGAAGGCGAGTTCTCCGAAGCACGTGAAGATCTTGCAGCACTGGAGAGAGACTACGAAGAGGTTGCTAGTGACTCAATTGAGGAGGGCGACGGGTCTGAGATTGAGCATTAAGCGATATTGCACTTCTGCTTGCAAGTAACTTGCTCTTTGGAAGGGCATTGTAAGGAGTGCTGGAGCCATTGATTGATTCGTTCTCAAGTCTTTCCCAAATGTCCTACAGCGTTGAACTGGTGGGCGACCACGCTTCCAATTAAATGGGCCATTGATTCTCGTTCTCTGTGAGACAGAAAACAAAGCTTCAAGTTCATAGAATTGCACATTGCAACGAGCCGCGATCCAGACGGTTAATAGTTGAACAGGGTATTAGCTCAATATCATTGAAGCGTTTTGAATCCAAGAAGCCAGCGTGAATATGACCAGTCGGGCGTCGGTAAGGAGGCTGATATTCCTTGCCATTATTAGCCTGGATACCCAAAGTACAGCGAACCCGATGGGTGCCTCCAACCGGGGGTCCTGACTTCCTGAGTACCTCAGGTACTTCAGGTACCCACCTACGAGTAGGTACATAGATGCACCCGCCTACTTCGTACGAGTAACCTTGGAAGACAACTCCTCCGTACCGAGGTGGGCTTAGGGACCTGCCCAGGTGGTTTACCATGGCCCCGCCTAGGTCTTAGCTCCTAGCTCCCAGCCACGACAGGAACAACTCAGTTCGAGTAAAGCTACAGAGTATCTCGTACTCGTAGGGTGCTTAGATGCTTCGTCATCATAGCCTGAGGGTTGATTGAATTATTGGTACTACCGACCACCTTGACATTCAGCGTACTCCAGTTACCACTCCAAGTCGTACACCTTCCAGCTATTCCGTCTAACCTCATTCTTGTGCCCCGTATACTGCACCCTCCCTGGCCTCACTTTCTTCAACTTCACCATTACCTTTGACAAACCTCCCTCAACAGGCCTTGAACGCGCATCATCCGGTCTGGGGTTCGAAACCTCTCTCATGTCATCATCCTCTCTACCCAGCCTCGAATTTCAATCCATTCCTGCTCCCGTCTTGGTCGCATCCATCTAAACATTACCACTTCCGCCCTTGGTGATGGCTGAGATCATTGGATCGCAAGCTTCAGGTGCGTTACCTATTTATCTCGAACTATTTTTGCTTTCCTACAGACGCTGACGGGGTTGTTCCAGGCCATCCGAACCTCAATCTCACTGCCGAAGAGAAGCGAGCCTACGCGCAGCTTTTGAAAGAAGCAGACCCTGATGGGTTCGGAGCTGTCTCTGGCGATGTCGCTGTAAAGTTCTTCGAGCGTACAAAGCTTCCTCCCGATGTCCTCGGCCAAGTTCGTTGCTGCTCTTTCCCCACAATACGCAGGCTGCCATGATTGACACAGTAAATAGATCTGGCAGATTGCTGACACCGAGAATCGAGGCTTTCTGACTCCCGCCGGCTTTGGCGTCGTCCTGCGACTCATAGGTCATGCTCAGAATGGAAGAAGTCCTTCAACGAGCATTGCCGTTCAACGTGCGCATTTCAAGGCCATTCACACAACCTCAAATTTATACTGACAAGCATAACAGCTGCCCCATTGCCTCGCTTCGATACCTTGCCCAACGAAAGCCAACCACCACCGCAAACGCAACCTCAACTAGCAGCAGTTCCCCAGCCTATTGCCCAACAATCGACCGGACCTCCGGCGAGTCCCTCTCCAGCAGGAGGTCATCCTATCCGAGTGCCTGCCCTTAGCCCGGACAAGGTCGCAACTTATTCCTCCCTATTTGAGAAGTCGGGTGCTGAAAATGGATTCTTGTCGGGTCTCACTGCAAAACAGATATTCGAACGAGCCGGTCTACCAAATGAGGTGCTGGGAAGAATCTGGGGTCTTTCGGACACACAGGGTAGAGGCGTACTGGATGTCACCGAGTTCGTGATCGCCATGCACTTACTTGCGTCTTACAAGTCTGGGCAGATGCGTGGCGTCCCAAACACACTACCGCCAGGTTTATACGAGGCTGCAACTCGACGACCTCCGGCGAGAGCTGGAAGTGGCTCTCGACCCGGTTCAAGTGCTGTTCCTAATCTGCCTCCTCCCCCTCAATTTGCGGGATTCAATCAAAGACCCCAAAGTCCAATCACTCGACAGCAAGTCGGCACTCCTCTCTCTGCTCAATCGACCGGGGAATCGTGGCTTGTTACTCCAGCGGACAAAGCCCGTTTTGATGCGACCTTTGCGACTATCGATCGTCAAGGAAGGGGTTTCATCACTGGGGAACAAGCGGTGGATTTCTTTGGTAACGCGAGATTGCCCGAAGAAGTGCTCGCCCAGATTTGGGATTTGGCCGACATGAATTCAGAAGGTCAATTGAACAAGGATGAGTTCGCTGTGGCTATGTTCTTGATTCGGCAACAGCGAGGAACAAAAGATGGCCGAGGCGTCCTTCCACAGACATTACCTCTGGCTCTGATTCCTCCAAGCATGCGGAAGCAAGTTCTTCCCCCATCTCAGCCAACTGCACCGGCTTTTGAAAACGCCCCGGTCACAAAGCCTCGTTCAGCCGCCGATGATCTTTTCGGCCTAGATGCGTTCGGTCCTCCTCCAACTGTTGCTCCCCAGGTGGCTCAATCTACAGGAGGTACCGATGCAGGTCCATTTGCAAACCCACCTTCGGCTCTGTCACCACAGACCACATCTACAACTTTCAAGCCTTTTATCCCCTCTAGCTCGTTCGGCCAAAGCATGATCCCTCAATCAACAGGATCGCCCGCTCCTGCTCAACAACGATCACTTCCGACTGATGATTTACTTGGAGATGCTGATCCAGAGGTCAGCTCGAAGCTCACGAACGAAACTAGTGAACTCGGGAATCTGTCGAACCAGATTGGGAGCCTGTCAACACAAATGACAGAACTTCAGGGGACTAGAAAGCAAACTGAACAAGAACTCTCTCAAAATACCGCTCAGAAGCGAGCTTTCGAAGGACGCTTGGCACAACTAAGATCACTATATGAGAAGGAAGTCAAGGAAGTCAAAGCACTACAAGAGCAGCTCGCGGCATCGAAGAATGAAACGAAAAGATTGCAATCGGATATGGCTATGGTCGATGGCACTCACCAGGACCTTGCCACCCAGCATCAGCAATTGCGAGCCGCATTGGAAGCCGACCAACGAGAAAATGCTGCACTAAAGGAACGTATTCGACAGTCCAATCAGGAGAATGAACAGCTTAAACCGCAATTGGAGAAATTGAAGTCGGATGCGAGACAGCAAAAAGGTTTAGTGGCCATCAACAAGAAGCAATTAGCGACTAATGAAGCGGAGCGCGATAGAATAAAGGCGGAAATCTCTGCCGCACACAAACTCGCTGAGGATGCGGCACGGGAAGCGGAAGAGTCAGCTCGAGAAGTTGAAGCATCGAAGAGGGAGCTTGAAGAAGCACGAAATGTTCCCGTCCCTTCGATTAAAAGTCCTCCCACTGTCGCAAGCCCTGCTCCTTCAACCAGTTCAAATCCTTTCTTCCGAAAGACAACAGATCCCACCTTTTCGCCACCCCCTGTCACCTCACCAGAACCAGTCAACACCCAAAGTGCTTTCGATAGTATCTTTGGACCATCATTTGGCGCATCTCCTACCGCACCAGTACCTCAAACGTCCTTCTCAAGTCATTCTCCCGCAGCTACTGGTTCACCGGGTGTCCCACGTATAGACTCTCCCAGCCCCTCAACACCTAGTGTATTCTCAGCAGAACCACCTGCTCCTCCACAGTCTCGTCAGATCACTTCGGCAGCGCTTCCTTTTCGCCAACCTCTTGAACGAGAAGACTCTGTCAGTTCATCTGTAAGGGTTGCGCCACCTGTCAGTCGACTGAGTCCTGCAGACACTCCACGTGCTCTGACTCCAGCAGCCAGTACACCCAGTCCTCCAGCACACCGCGCCTCCCCAGACCCATTTTCAACAGTTGCAGCCCCTGATGAAGAACAGGAGTCTGTAAGAAGAACATTACCTGAGGGAAAGCTGTCCAAGGAGTCCTTGGAAGATGGTTTTGGAAAACCGTCTGTGCCAATTGGTGACATTCCTGGTGCGTTCCCATCAGGATCACGCGCAGAGACACCTTCGCAGGGACTTTCGAGCTCTACGGTCCTTGCTGGTACTGGAGTCGCTGCCCTTGGGGCCGGTGCTGGAGTTGTTGCTGCCACCACAAATGGAACTGAACAGACCAACCAAGACTCCACGGGGAAAGGAAAAGGTCCTGAGCGAGACTTCGATGATTTCTTTGGCGGGCCAGCTCATCAACGCACCATCTCGCAGAAAGCGGCCGACTTTGACTCAGCATTTGCGGATTTTGGTAAACCACAACCAACTAATGGTACTCCAGGCGCTGCTGCTAAAGAGTTTCCTGACATCCAAGAGGTTGTTGACGATGATGATGACAGTGACAGTGATTACAGTGATGAACGCATGAAGTTTGATGACGACTTCGGTACCCGGTCGCCGCCACGTGATTTACCAACAGAATCTACAAGTCAAGGCAAGCAAGCAGAGCACTCGACTGGCACGAATGACCTTTTCCCACCACGTCCTCACTTGGATACCGCAGCCTCCACAGCAAGCTCGTTACCTGGAGTTGACCAACAAAAGTCACCGCCACCATATGGTGATGCTGTGCCATCGGAAAATCCAACTCACTTTCCTCGAGAATATAAAGGCTTGCTTCCTGAGAGAGAAGATCCAACATCTCCACCTGCAGGCGGTGAGACTATTGTGACTGCTGCACCAGGAGGAAGTGGACAGGCCCCTTCGTATGGGCCAGAAGCACATCCCAGAAGCCCTTCAGATTCCAAACCTGAGGCGGCTTTCCCACCAACCAAGACGACGCCTTTTGATTTCGATTCGGCTTTCGCCAGTGTCGGTTCTGCCCCTGTTGCAGATGACGACGACGACTCCGAGGACGATGCACAAGTATTTAGCCCAGCTCGAAATCAAGCCGACTTTGATCCGTCATTTGATTCACCACCTCAGTCACGTTCCTCAGCGGCACCACAGCATTCTGCTTATGACGCGGTGACCAATGGTACCAGCTCTTCGAAGGCAGCCACAAATGACCCGTTTAAAGCCAACGGTGCAGCTCCGAGCTTTGGGTCCCAACCAGCTCCTGCCTCCGATCCGCATGACTGGGATGCACTCTTTGCCCCATTGAACACCGGCAGTGGAGGTGCTCAAGCTGGTGCACCTGCAGCCTCGGCTTTCGATTCGCCGAGTACTCCAACCGCAACCTCTGCAGCTACCTTTCCTCCGGCTGTTGCAGTTGAACCATCTTCACCGGCACCACCAGCGTCTCCACCAGCGGCGGTACCGACGAGTCCAACCAACAAACTCGAACGCCCACAGCCTGGACGTGCCTTGAGTGCCGGCACTGAACATGATGACCCCATTCTCAAACGACTCACGGCAATGGGATGGACTCGGGACGAGAGTCTCAATGCTTTGGAGAAGTTCGATTATAATATCGACAAGGTAAGTCGAGTTCAGCATCGTTTTCATGGCCAGCATGTACTGACTTGATTCCTAGGCCGCTGACTACCTAACATTCCGATCTTGATTGTGATCATCCTATTCCGTGGGAGGTGTCTCGCTTGAGTGTACAGCCAGGATGATTGAATCTGCATCCCGATCTCTTTGAGTCATCGCTGGGTCTGACGATGTGTAGGAGTAATCTTACACCTGGCCCTTGCCAAAGTAACGGGAAGATATAATGGAGGATCGACTGTAAAGGGAAAATAGAATAGCCCTCCCCCTATTTCATTGAGGATATCGGCACCATCAGAACTACATCGTTAATAATACCGACTCCGTCAGTCCTAGCGTCCGATACCAGAGTGAGAATAAGTTAATCTTTCGCTGATAATACAATCTGTGATCATTGATTCACCACTGTCTATGTGGGTAATTCAATTCGGTGTTCCAATGTGTCTCACCAACTCGGTCACGACTTTCTGTAACTTTGGGTCAACGGGGCGCTGAATAATCGCTGACGGACCTTGTCCCATACCGAAAAGGATGGCTATTTGTCAAAGGTAAGAAGGTAGTTTAGACTTCAATCGTCTCTGATTGTACTTTCTACGAGTAGAAGGAGGACAACAGAGTCGAGATGAATGCCCATTTGCCACTGTTATCAGGAGGTTGGAAGTATATTGTTTACTATCAATTGCCTGATGAGATGGATATCACTCGTGCCCCAACTTGACAGTTCAACGCTTAGGTATGATACCTAACGTGCCTATCTACGACTCACTCGGCGGGCTCCGGGCAGATGATTGCTTATTTTATCGGAAATGCCTGTGAGTGAACCGCCTAGTTAGTTGAGCTAACTAGTCAATCAATCAATCACTAATCATACGCGAACAAGATTCGTGGAAACTCTCACAAGCATCCTCCGCAAGCACCCAACCTGCGAATACGGAAGTAGATGGGAAAGAATGCTTTCATGCACGGCTCGCTGCTGCGTCTGGCATGTACACAAATTCAAAACTCAAAACTTTGGGTCTCGGAATTGAAAGGCAAGGCATGACACTCTACCCCTCAGGCTGTTGGGTCGACAATCCTCCCGTCCCTGAAATCAACGGATACTTCTTCAGGCGGCTTGAGCTTTTTATTCTGGCTTTTCCAATGAACAACACCACCCAACCGAGAGGCTGACAAACCTCGTACCAACCTCAAGCGACGTGGGGATGGATTCCAGCCCGTTCAATCGGTCGCTCCCGGCTTCGGCTATCGCATCTGAGTTGCCCCCATTTTCGGTTCCTCGTGTCAATCATAGGGTGCCCAAGTGGGTGCCACGCGAAGCGATTTAACTAGGCCAGCCGGTGGTTTAACAAACTAGGTAAATATAACCTCCAGGCAGGTTGGCTTTACGGCGGCTTTGTCCCGTTCATTCGGTTGTGTATTGTTCAGCATCTCTTGCAACATGAGAGCGTCCACCTTGCGGCTGTCGTGATGGTGATCCATTTCCCATACGCCACGGTGCATCATGAATTGTCGTCTTCGATATTCCTCTGACAAGCAATGACCGATCGGCAAGGTGAATTGATGCGACGTCGCGAACGACGAGCTAGCACGTTACTATCTCGCAACCCACTTCAGCTCCCAACCAGCGACGATGATTCGGAGTACAGTCGATGTCCGTCTCCTCTACTTACCATCAATAGTGGATATCGTGTGGACCCATTTACGTCCTACCCCGTCGCCGAGGCTTCTCGTGGAGTGCGGTACATGATCGACTATTGTGAGTTCAGTGCGACAACACGCGAAATGCAATCTCATGAAATGTCGCAGATACACAAGTGTGGGCACCTCAACAGGCTTCCGCGTCCAGTATTGTTGGTGAGAGGAATACGCTTGTCACAACGATCCTACCACTTGCTTTGCAGAACGAAATGCTCTTCGAAGCGACCATCGCCATGTCCAGAGCAGCTTGGGTAGCCAGACGAGGTTCCGAACCTCTGAACGACAAAATGTTGCTTCGGCATCGAGGCAAAGCCATGAGCGACCTGCGCAGTAGCCTCAGTGGTCCTCATCAACGAGTTTCTACCTATGTCTTATTGACAATGTCTACACTCTTGACGATGAATGTTAGTGTGGACTCCCCTTGGACCAACTACCGCTGATTCTTACCAAATAGTATATGATCAACGACATCGTATCGTTCAGGGTTCATCTGCATGCTTTGGAGAAGATGCTACAAGCGACGAATCACAAAGAAGAGAACGAAATCGTGCATTTCGTGCGAGGTCGTGTCCTGGCGTACGGCAATCTTGATATCTCATACTCTTGTCGTCCACCTTAGCTAACGTTAATAGGTTTGGTGTTCTGGCATCATTTCTGCAGGCCAACCAACCAAGTTACGCAACCAGAGTCAATGAGCCTGGACATAGGATCAGTACACTAACATACCCTGGTCATCCATTCCCGCCCGATCTTTGTGAAATCGTCTCCAAGCTGCCAGAAGGCTTTTCGGAGGTCGCTCTGAGCGGCAGTATTGCGATCGAGCTCATCAGCTTCTTGGTAAAACTGACCGAATTAGTTACATGGATGTCATTGTCTCCAAGTCAAAAATCCGACGACTCTCAACCGGAACTGACGATGCAACGAGCTATTTACGATCTCCAATGTCTATCCGTTCTCCCTCTAACGTCCACCGAAGGACAGATCGTACGTGCCGTCCTAGCATTCTGCTTACACGTCTACAACGAAATGTCGTACAGGATCCCACTGGCCCGACCTCTCCACCCACTCTTGGAAGTCTTCGACAACCCCGCCCAGTTCCCACGAAGTCCCTGGCTCCAGAGATGTCTCCTGTGGTCTTCGATCGTCACTGCCAGTGCGTGGGACACCCAGATCGATGCGGTCCCACGGACGCACTACGTGCTTGAGAAATCATTGAACCAAGTACCCGAAGCGAGGTCCTGGGAGGAGACTAAAGAGGTGATGCAGAAGTTCTTTTGGGTGGGTAGCCTCGAAGAACAGTGGGAGATATGCTGGCGTGCTGCGGCTTTCAGACGCTTTCGACAGAGGCGAGGTGCTTCTCAGATCCATGCCGTGTCGGAACTCCTGCAGAGCGATCGTGCACAGACTTCAGAGACCCCTTCTTCTCACTCTCATGGCAGAGTGAAGTCGGAACCTCAAGATGCCGAGTGATCATAACGTTCATCTGGGCATTAGTGGCTGGGAGACGACAAAGTCTCGATTGATGCTTATGAAGTCTATCATTATTCTCGAAGTTCTCACGATTGCAACGAGAATTATCTCTATCGAGATCGCTCACATCATGCTTTGGATCCTATCTCGGACTAAAAGTGCATCTTGGTGGTCATATCTCTATGAGCCTTTTTCCCAATGTGAGTTGTTATCCAACTGCCAGCCCAGCTAGCGACCTCACTCAACTCCAGGCAGTGATCATGGCGAGCAAGGATGGCTTACTGCTTGCGTTCTTACCTCAGATATCAATTCCAATGATGTACTAAGAAGTCTTCGCATCTGCCTCAACCTTGCCAGATGCTCAGTGGACTCCCATTTCCTGATGCCCTGTGCGGGCTGCCAGTTCGGCGATTTTTATGCCCCGAATGGCACTCAACGATCCAATTCCTCTCTGCAGATGTCGGTCCATCACACCACTTCAGCACCCAGCCAAGATCGATGTGTCTGAGGCTGAGGCTTCTCAGCAAGCTTATTTGCCCCTGAGAAGCGACCACCGAGGAAAACATGCGAAAACGCAAAGAAGCTCGGGACACCGAAAAGAACGCTGCAGGACGGGAGGGGAAAGAATCAGTATGAAAACCCAACGCAGATCTCCAAGCGGGGGAGCAGGGTATGGAAAACATCTTACAACTCGAAAACCCCCACAGCGACACACCCACGCGCGGCAGGCCGTCCGGCATCGACGACAATCTCGTTCTTCCGCAACAGGTCCGCGACGGCGGCGAACCCACCCAGCCAGAGGATCGACGTCGTGGCCTCGGCGCTGAGCATCGCCATGGGATGGGCCAGCTGGGGGAAATAGCGCGGCGTGATGAGTGTGTATGGCACGGTGAGCAGCATGGTGAAGACGGCGGTGAAGGTGAAGAACGCGAGTGCCGCGGGCACAGGGATGTCGAGTTTCGCTGTGTTGAAGGCGTTCACGGAGGTCGCGCCTAGCGCCATCGCGATGAATGCTAGGACGCCTTGTAGGACGCGTAGGATCAAGACCGGGTTGATGTACTTCATGGTGTGGATTTGTGGGGGGGGTTGATATCGATGTCGATTTCGATGTCGCTGGATGCTCAAAGGTCTAGGAGATGTTGTGGCGATCTTAATTGCGAAAAGGTGAAGGAGATTATTTAAATCAGTGGGCCAGCCCACGCGATTCAACCAAGATAGATAAACAACAAGCAGAAACAAATGGGTTTGAATCCGGCGGAATCTCAGACACTTGCCGGAGAATGAACAACCCAAAAATGAATAGTGAAACTTTTATGATTAATGTACCACCAAGACAGATTTCAGCTGAGGAGGAGAGAACGAAGAGGAAGGAGAGAGTCAAAAAGGTAAAGATAGAACCTCTTTAAAGGTTTGGCAGGGTCTCAGGGCGTATTCATACTAGCCAGGGCACCACTGCTGACCTGGGTATGCCATTGCAACTATTGAACATCTACTACAAAACATGATCATCTACCAAGACGAAGCCATTCATTGTCGAGAAACCGCACATGATGCTACATGCAACATGAAACAAGTAGACACGCGCATTTGTAGAGAATGAGATCAAACGTTTGAGATGGCGTGGTCACGGCGGCGGTCGGGTGGCTTGTGGCGCGTTGGTTTCATTGTATCTTGTCTGAAGAGAGATGCGGCTAGTAAATTAGTAGGTGATCCTGTTGTTGGATGTTGAGTGAGAGTACGAGTAACAGTCAGTGGTGAGATTGGGTTGATGTGTGGCCAGCCCACGGCAGCCAGCCTTGTTTCATCGTGCGAGGCTGTGCGGGGATCGATTGGTTGGCAGGGCACGAGTTGCGATGCAATGCAGAGGCAGTGGCAATGGCAATCCTGGATGTTCTGCCCCTCCACTCAACTCACTGTACAAGTAGCAGTACCCGAGGCATGGAATCAAGCATTTCGGCTCCTCGCGATGTCGTCCTCTGTCACTCAGGGTAATTGGTTGTGGTTGTACGTGTGTTTAGATTCGCACGTGTTTGACCAACGCAGGTGTCCAGTCTCGTGCTATTAATCAGTCACCGCTGACTGACGGTTGCGAAAGTGCATTATTTCACCAATGAGACCATGGAGAAATGGACAGTGGTGGGACCCGAGATTAGCTGCTGCATCAGAAGGAGCATGGAATTCTAAAGCCAAGCACGTCGGTCGACTTCGGGAAGTTTCTGAAGTGGATGATCTCGTCTATCAGTCAGTATGTAGTGTATCATACAAACCTCTCCACCGAATGAATGGGTGGGTTCTGCTAATCTGTAACAATGAGCGGACTCTCATTCGAGATCTACAATAATATATGTTACTTATCGTCGCAGTCCCCAGAAATCAACTAGTCAAATCATTCAGGCCATGAACCTCGGAAGGAGGCGTTTCATCAGGACTGGGTCTTTGCAAACTCTTCCTGCTGATCATACCGCCAGAATAAAGCAGAGTCGGTAAGACACCCACCGCACTGAACAGAGCCATACTCCAAGTCATGGTCTTCCAGCCCGCAGCGTCGACAATCGCCGCTGCCACAAGTGGTCCAACAAGTGAACCGGCCGCCCAAGCAACGTTGAAGATGCCGTAACTCTGCCCGTAGACGGACTTTCCAGCAAAGAGATCGGGTTGTTGGCGTTCCTTCGCATCGCACACTTTGCTGAATTCGGCAAGTAGTGGAGTCATGATGAAGGCGCAGGCGATGCCTAGCAGGAGGAGCAAACCACAGAGCAAGACTTGCTGGCGGATTCCGTCGTGGTCAACTAGGCGGAGGAGGACCCAGAAAGGGATGGAGAATAGCAGTCCGCTCGCTGAGATCCATCGAGGGCCGTACTTGTCGGTCCAGTGTCCTATCAATGGACCAGCAAAATTGGGTGCCAGGAGAGCTAGGAAGACCAACCCTGCACCGAGAGAGCCCCAACCGAAGATCTGATTTACATACAAAGGAATCGTGGTATCGAGTGCAGTCATGGTAACGGAGGTCACAAAGCTACCCCAGAATGCGGCCAAGAGGCGACGGGATTTGAGCAGGATCAATATCGAAGGGATTTTTCTCTTGCGACGAACTCCAGCAGTCCGTGTAGCTGCAATACTTGTATTTTTCTCGGCGACCGCAGAAGGGGTTTCGGATAGTTTGGAAGGGGCGAAGCCTTGGTCGATTGACGGACATGACTGAATCTGGGTCGGTGTGGGAGTGGGCTCTAACCATCTCGCGGCAATTTTCTTCTCCACCAGCAAGAGGCGCAGAATAATGTCAAGTCCAATCACACCGAATGTGATTGCGAAGACTTCATAGTAGCCGGACCTCTCAAAAACAACACCACCAATCATAGGACCGAAAAGGACCCCCAAAGTCATGGCAACCGAAACGTAACCCAGAGCCTTGCCGACTTCATCGTGTTTCACAGTGTCGGCTAGCAAGGCTAAAGCAACTGTCCATACTACCGCAGCTGAAGCTCCCTGCAATAACCTTGCTGCTACTAGGATGGCGATGGTCTTACCAAGACAAAACATGACCGTCGATGCAAAGAGGACGATCAAGCCTAACAGCAACGGACCTCGACGTGACGTCGTTCGATCGGCAACGAAGCCGCATATAGGCGAGACGACCAACAAAGCAGCGGCATAGACGGAGAGTAGCACGGAAACCCAGCGCTGAGTATCTTGACGCGAGACATGAATGCGATCTTGAAGTGCAAAGGGCACAACGGGGACGATGATGCCATAGAGAAAAACATCCTTCCGAGGGGGTAAGTGATTAATACAACAAATTTGGATAACGGACAACGCACAGTGAAGACGGACCAGCACACAGCGATCAGAATGAAGAGTTCGGAGGATCGAACCTCGAGGAAGAAAGGTTTTCTGCCTCGATATGGGATGACTCGATTGAGGAACGCTTCCTTCTTGTCGTGGAGGGTCATGGTCTTGATCAAGACTGCTCTCGTTGGCAGGTGATGACTCTCGGACCGAGAGGCTTGAGATCAAGATGAAGGCATAGGGCTTGGATGTGGTCGAAAGCGAAGAAAGAAGGATGAAATACCCCATGAACGCTTCAACATCATGACTTACCGTCTCTAGGCTCAGTGGCTCAGGTCGTCATTCGCAAAGCGGTCTAGTCCGGCACCCGTGGACACCGTCTGGTCATGGTGTGTCAACGGATCAATTGTTCCGTCAGATAGTGCTTGAGTTAGTGGATGAGGAGCTCGATGAAGACTAAAGAGGCAGCTCGCTAACCCTGACTCAGCAGCTTCCCTTGAGTCCGAACTTCGGATAAACAACGTCGGAGCCGAAGGTTGATCCGAAGCGAAGGTGAGAGGATGCACCCTGATAAGATAAGATGGTGAGGGGCAGCAGTGAATCTGTGAAGCTCAGATCTTTTCTCAATCTTGTGCCTGGCACCACCTGCTCCATTACCTCGGTGCTGTCCTTCAAGTTTGGTGTGTGAAATTCTGTGCGTTTGTCAACAAATCAGGCAGTTATAAGTTGCTTTTTTTTTCTGGCCCCAATGCTCGCTTCTCTCTGCTTCGTGTCCGTCTCTGGGCAACACGAAGCGCATTTGGACGTATTCGCAATGTTGATACGAACGTGGGACTCAGCCTCCTCGAGAATGCTACTTCGTAAAAAAAGGAGTTCGTGTCCTATTGTATTTTCGTGTTCGTGTTTATCCTGAAGCCCGACGGTGACCACGGGTACCTTCCTACCTGTAGGTGTACCTCAGCACTAGCAGCAGCAACAGCAGCAGCAAACTTGAACCTTTCGTGTTCTCCCCTCTGACCGTGTCCTCATTTTCAATTATTATCACGAGTTGGCCCCTTGGCTTCCACTGGTCCATTTTTAGCTCCAAAAAGGGTCCTCTAAGTTCACCGACTGACCGTGCGGTACGGCAGTGGTGGGCTGTATTGTGTATGTGGTGACCGCGTTGCGTAGGTGGGCTGTTCGATCACGCAATTTTGAGACCAAGTGCTTAGATGCGGGGAACTGATTGTTGACTTTTGAGCATCATTGCGGTGGAAAGTTCAAAAAGTGACTGGGTCCTCCCCTGTCAGATCCCCTCTTGTCCTTCTCGTGAGATTCTCTCGATTCCTTTTTCTGAGTATTGTGTAACTGGCAAAGGTCGGACAGTATAGCTCCCAGGTTATCTACATCAAGAACAACGACCTCCATCTCCACCTTGAAGAACTACTGTGCTCATCATGGCATCAGACGAAGCTGCGCAGAGGTTTGAAACCCTTCAGATCCATGCTGGACAGGCTCCCGATCCTGCTACAAAGTCTCGTGCTGTTCCGGTCTATCAAACCACGTCCTTCACTTTCGATGACTCGGCCCATGGCGCGAGGCTGTTTGGCCTCAAAGAGTTTGGAAATATTTACAGTCGAATCATGAATCCTACTGTGGACGTTTTTGAAAAGCGAGTTGCCGCTCTCGAAGGAGGTGTTGCGGCTGTGGCCACTTCCTCGGGTCAAGCCGCTCAATTTCTCGCCATCAGTGCTCTCGCTCATGCTGGCGACAACATCGTCTCAACCTCCAATCTCTATGGTGGCACCTACAATCAATTCAAAGTCTTCTTCCCTCGCTTGGGAATCAACACAAAGTTCGTCAATGGAGAGGATCCCAAAGACATTGCGGCAGCCATTGATGACAAGACCAAGGCGGTCTATGTCGAGACAATTGGCAACCCTCGATACAACGTTCCCGACTTTGAAGCCATTGCCAAAGTAGCCCATGAGAAGGGTGTTCCTTTGGTCGTGGACAACACGTTTGGCGCAGGTGGCTACTTCGCTCAACCCTTCAAGCATGGTGCAGACATCATTGTACATAGTGCAACCAAATGGATTGGTGGTCATGGCACCTCAATCGGTGGTGTCGTTGTCGATTCCGGTAAATTCGACTGGGCTGCCAACGCCAAGAGATTCCCTCAGTTCAACGATCCTTCCCCTGGCTACCACGGATTGAAATTTGTTGACACTTTCGGCGCCCTAGCGTTTATCATCAGAGTCCGAGTAGAAATCTTGCGAGACGTTGGTGCATGCTTGGCACCCTTTAATGCTCAACAATTCATCCTTGGTCTTGAGACACTGAGCTTGAGAGGCGAGCGACACGGTCAGAATGCGCTGAAGCTGGCCAAATGGCTCGAGACTCGACCAGAAGTCGCATGGGTCTCGTATCCTGGTCTCGAAAGCCACCCAAGCCACCAGTTGGCCAAGAAGTACCTGCCCCGCGGCTTCGGAGGTGTCTTGTCGTTTGGTGTAAAGGGCGGAGCAGAGGCAGGCTCACAGGTGGTTGATGGATTCAAGTTGATCTCCAACTTGGCAAAGTAAGTTTTGATAGTTCTGTCGAGACGTCCATAACATGGTAACTAACGCGACTTGCAGTGTCGGAGACGCGAAGACCCTTGCCATCCACCCATGGTCAACAACACATGAACAGCTCGAAGAGCAAGAACGATTGGACTCGGGAGTGACCCCAGATGCCATCCGCATATCGGTGGGAATCGAACACATCGATGACATTATTCAAGATTTCACACAGAGCTTTGAAGCAAGCGCAGCTGCAGGCAAAGATCAGGGAGCGGACAAGGACAATGCCACGATTCAGCCAAAGCCAACGACTGAAGGCGCACTCAGTGGGGCTACCTAATCTCCATTATTTATGGTTCTTGTCTTTTATGTTTGTCTTGTGAAAGAACTCGTCCTGATGATGGGTGATCGAATAGGATCCAATCTCTAGACCGTGTCAGTCAACAACAGACAGATTCATGATCAAGCACGAGCTTGGTCTCGCAATGTCCAACTCGGAGTTTTATTATCATGGCAACATTCATGTGTCCAATTCTTGTTCTCATACCTTGTAGCTTTCATGATCAGAGAAGTCCATGTTCGTGCATAAGTACCTACCTAGGTAGTTATATAGTACCGAGTACCTAGTTACGTACCTGGGCCGGGTGGCTCCTTCCCCGCATTTTGCCATGCTTGCGGCTGTAACTTAGGAACGTTCCTGCCACCTGCCACCTACACCGGCAGCTCCGCCCATGCCTGCACTTTGGCTGTCTACAGTGCCGTTTCTTCTGCCAGCCTAAGCGTCAAATTCTTTCTTTCCCTCTCAATTGATGGTCGTGCGACCTCCTTCTGCAACTCCATCATCAGTATGGACACCCGAAAACGTAAGAAGAAGGTCCTGTTGATGGGCAAGAGTGGCTCCGGCAAGTCCTCCATGCGCAGCATCATCTTTAGCAACTATGTCGCAAAAGATGTTCGTCGTCTCGGCGCCACCATCGATGTTGAGCACAGCCATGCTAAATTCATGGGCAACTTGACTCTGAATCTCTGGGATTGTGGAGGGTGAGTGACCAGCTCCCCGGCAGACGTCGTGTCCTGTTGCTCTTCCTTTCAAAGACTAACCAACCCGGATCCTCCGATCTAGTCAAGATGCCTTCATGGACTCATACCTCAACGCACAGCGCGAGAATGTCTTCTCCGATGCCGAAGTTCTCATCTATGTCTTTGACATTGAATCCCGCGCCGTCGACCAAGATCTCGAGACCTACAGTCAGGTCGTGAAAGCCTTGAAAGAATACAGTCCGCATGCCCATATCTTCTGCCTCATTCACAAGATGGACTTGGTTCAGAATGAGCATCGAGAACGAATCTATGAGGAACGCTGCCGCTTGATCATCGCACGCTCTGAAGGCCTCAGTCTAGAGACATTTGCCAGCAGTATCTGGGATCAAACACTCTACAAAGCTTGGGCGGGCATCGTTCACAAGATGATTCCCAACCTCGTCATCATCGAGAAATTCCTCAACGCTTTTGCCAAACAACTTTCCGCCGAAGAAATCGTCCTCTTTGAAAGATCAACCTTCCTGACCGTTACCAACGTCGTCAATGAATTTGGTCAAGAGAATCCCAGTCACGATCGTCACGAACGCATTTCCAATATCATGAAGACCTACAAACATACTGTTGCTAGAAACACCAGAACCACTGCCGCCAGTGCCGGCTTCCTATTGTTCAAGGTCCAAACTCCAAACTTCAACTGCTTCCTTGCTCGCTTTACCGAGAACACCTACATCTACGTCGTTGTTCCACCAGGAGAAGCTGCCTTCAACTGTGCAGTTCTCAATACTATCATGGCTAGAGATGTCTTTAGTAAGAAAACCGGCGTTGAGGGTTGAAATTGTAGAACATGGCAAGGATCCGATACCTGCAGAAGGACTAGTTACTGCAGCATCAAAAACCCGAAGCGGTCTTGATTCTTCTGCGTCGCAAATGCCCACACGCCTGTGACCAACAACACATGAGCAAGACCACATGTACTGATCACGAAGAGAGTCGAAGTCAACAAACTGACCGATAATCCATCCAACAAAATTTCTGACGTTGGACTGCCACGTGTTTTGGTTCATCACACCTCGACCATGGCTACAAATTACCATTTCCGAGCTTTGCGCGTTGCGAGCCCATTTCCCCACAATCTGAAGAGCTTCTTCTCACCTCGTCTTTTCCAACATTTGGAATTTGCGCATCATAGCATTCTTGGTGGACTCCTCATCCATCGCCATCGGGCATTCCTTCTTCGGAAATTGAATAAGTTTATCACGACTTGGCTGCTTGAATAACGTGATGCTGCGTCCCTCTCACACCACCATAGTCGTCAGGTTCAGTGGATACTTTGACATGGTGGAAAGGTCGATCTCAAGACACCATCAGGCCGAGATGCGAGAAGTCTCCAATGTCACAGATGGTATCATCGCTGTTGAGAGGTGAGATGCGTGTGCAAAATACCACCAGGGCCGAAAGATGTGGAGACTGCGAAACCTGGACAGATCAAGGTAAAATCAAGTGCATTGATTAGTACAGAGCACAGTAAATGGATCCGTACATAATCGATCACACTCGTCTCAAGCCTCGATTGACCTCCCTTTTGAAACAATAATGTCAAAAGCCTCCAATCAGTATGAGCATCCTCGCAATGACAAACCTCCACCCTCCTGACCAGCGCTGTATCCAAACAATGCAAGAGCCTCGCAAAAATTTGATTTTCCAGCCTAGCCACGTCATTCCACTTCCCTTACACTCCGTTACATGATCCGAATATATCTGTAGAAAATTATCGTTCATTAACATTAGTGGTCGTTATATGACCTAAGTCTCTCCACCAAGCTCCCTTTTAAAGCCCCATGAGCCGAGTCTTCTGAGCCGATTACCCTAAACCTGTGGCATCTCACGACGTTCTTTCCGCAGCTGATATGAGGCTAAGTCGCGGCGTCGCTGTTTCGTTCAACTCAAAGCGGGACAGGAAGTGGATTAAGGCTATCGTACTTCCTCGCGGTACAATCGTCCGATTTGGGTAACCACAATAGGAACACGTCGCATATAGCAGGCCAATATTTCGGTGTTTCGAAGCGTTGGGAGGCGCTAGAAATGCAGTGCAGTCCGTGGCTTGGTTCAATTGGTTACAACATATCGTCGAATCAAGTCTGGAGAACGAACGGTGTATCCGCAATGCCCCGACCAAATCTCAAAGAGCCTAACGAGGCTGATTTCGTACTCGTAGGTATATATCACCCAATCATACGTAGAGACTAGGACAGCCGCAGTGGCCCCTCCACTCAAGAGCCCGTCGAGGCTAAAAATGCAGCGCAGTCTTCCGGGCAGATAAAGGCAAGACAGGTCCCCTTCCATTTCTCGCAAGGATATCGAACGTTGATCACGTGCTGTGATATCATGCGGCGAATTGCCTGTCGCATGTGCATTGCACCATTTCATCCAGCATGAATCCGTGCCATCAGATATCGAAGTTCAACAAATCCTCAAAGAGGAAATTATTGCTGATGCCCGTGTGCGGCGGGAAGAGCTGCTCGAACGTCTCGTAGCCGAGATCCGACGTGATGAACGGCTCCTGCACAGGGACGGGCGTATGGGTGCCGTCGAGATTTAGCTCGGCGCCGCCGTACACGTTGTCCAGGGTCGAAGACGGCTCCAGCATGCCCATGCCCATGCCCATGCCGACGCCGACACTCCGGTTCGCGGACCGCAGGGAGTTGGTGAACGAGTCGTTTCCGACGAACGACTCGACGAATTTCGGGACGTTGAATTTCTGGCGTTTGGGCCCGGCGCCCCGTGCTGCGACGCTGGCGCCGTGGTCTCCGTCGCCTGAACTGCCGCCAGCGCCGACTGATGCGTCGTAGGTGCGTTTGCGGTACGTCTCGAGGCGCTGGTCGGCGCACAGGCGGGCTTGTTCGGCGAGGAGGGACGAGAGGAGCCGGATGCCGCGCAGGGCGATCATGCTGGACTCGAACTTCGAGAGCATGGAGATGGTGTTCTCGACGAGCTTGCGGTGCTCGTCGTGCTGGGGGTCGTTCCTCGTGCGGTGGAAGGTGTCGAGCGCTAGTGTGATGCCGGCGGCGACCATGAATGCCTGGTCGATCCAGAGCAGCGGTCCTTCTTCGTCGTACGCCTGGTTCGCTTCCTTCAGGATCGTCTTGGCTGCCGCCATGCACGTCCGCCGTGTAAAGTCGAATGCTGGCTCCGTGAAGCTGCGGCCCAGGAAGGCGCGGTGGATCATGATGATCTTGTGGGCGAAACAGATCGTCAGGCCGCGTCGTGCCCAGGGGACGAAGTTGGGCCATTCCGGAGATATGGGCTCGTTGGGTGCGAAGAACTTGGGGAGTCCCTCCGTGGCCATCGTGCGGATCTTGGCGTCGTACTCGAGCACTTGCTCGTATTTGGTATACAGCGTGTTGGAGGAGACGATGGCGTCGTGGATCTGCGGCATTAGTTCGGCAAAGGATAGGAGGAAGTTGGGGAAGCTGGTCATGCTGGGTGAGTTTTCCAGTAGAGGTTGCATCGTGTGTTCGTCGCAGTGCATTGGTTTGAGAGTGGTGAAGTGAAGTTTCTGAATCGAGTACATTTCAGAGAAGGGGATCGAGAACCAATCCTGAATGCAAAGTTGAGCCCACAATCTGCGACCTGTTTCTCTTTTGATGGTCTTATCTCGCGAGGCCTGGGTCGTGAGAATCGCTGCCCCCGTTAGACTGTTGACGTCGTCTTCTGGACCGAGACGTTGAAGACCTAGTCCTTGAGCAATTTTCATTGCCGCCCCGAGTAATGTACTTTGTGTATTGCTAAAGCCGAGGATGTGTGCAGACATGGTCAACGTCAGGATCGCCTCTACCGAATATACATGGTGTCGCCACATGTAGTCTGACAAATTGAGGCACGTTACTGTTGCCTTGTACCATTGCCTTGTGAGTTTGGCACGCTCACTTTTCTTGAAGCCCCACGATAGTGCCAGTTGCTCATGTGCACATGTCATGCTCCCTGCCATGATCGAGAAAAGAAGGCCTGTCCATCTCAGATCCGTGTCTTTGACCTGGAGACCACCTGGGGACTTGTAGACATCTTTCAATTCATCGTAGAATGTGGGTCCATGAAAACATCCATGATACCATAGAATAGATCCAAGATGATAGTCGACAAGTTGAAATAATTGCTGGCGTGAAGGTAGGAGCATCTGCAAGAAAGATATCTGGGCTGCTCCAGTGCCTCCAAGACAGTTAGCCACATCCCAGTCTGGGCCACCGTCTGTAATGCGATTGGCAACACCACCAGACTGATGTGGTTCCTTCAGTAGCTCTAGTGCTTTGAGATCATAATCGGACAGCTTAGGCCGCCCCCAAGTTATGAAATCTAATGCAGTGATAGTATCACTATCAGAATTGGCTGAAGTTGTTTCCGGCTTATTTCCAGCTTTGTTAGTATGCTTCAGGGTGCTCGCCCGATTTCGGGGTTTGGGGAGAGATTGAGTCTGAGGACTAGGGCCGGCTGAGACTGTAGAGGCCGGGGTTCTGAGAGAAGGATGAATACCACTCTCAAAAGCATTATCTCCATCCGTAGGAGGTGAGCCCGCTGTGCCCCCTGGACTGTGATCTTGCGCCGTTGAGGATCGAGGATAGATACGATGGAGTTTGGGATCATAGCCACCTTCCGGCCATTCTCGGGAACATTTGTCACCATCCCCTCGCTTGACACAGCGACCACATGGATCTCCACGGTCACATTTCTGCCGGCGCATAGAGCACTCGGTGCATGTCTTACGAGGTTTGGGCATGGTCCGTCCGATAGTTGGTGTTGGGTGTCTTGTCGTACCAAAAATCCAGTGATATTGATTGTACGGGATGCGTGGGGAGGATGGAAAGATTTAGTACGAGTACGAAGCGGATGATGATGGAGTAGAGCTTTTGCAATGAGGAGCGTACAATTGTGCGTCACACTCTGCAGCACACTACTTAGGTAGCGCCGGATATCTGCCCATGCCAAGACCTGAACTCCGTACATCGAAGCCCAAGTACCTGGTATATTGATCGGCCCGAGCTACGAGGTTGCTGCATCAGTACCTCGATACCTGGTACCTTGATGTTAGATAGTGAACTACCGAAGAAATCAGAGAAATTGAGGATCTATGTGTAGATCAACACTCAGGCGTTGATTGCTAAACTCATCCACTACCCAAGGTACAAACACAGGTACCTACCCAGGCAGTACCAAAATCTATGAAGTAGGCATAACCCAAGTGTCCTTCAGTAGTTATTCTGATGCCTGAGAAACCAAGTAATCCAACACTAGGCCGAGCCCAAAATTCGCCTTGGGTGGTAGAGACTAATCAAACATTTTCCCGTCATCTTTTTTGATAATTAACATCATTCGTAGTGGTTGGTGTGGACATGTGAAATCGTGGCAGGTTATTGGCGTGGAACAGATGGTGTCGATGGTACTAAGAAGGTGGTGGGGTCGTGGAATGAAACCTGATTGTGTCTAATCTACCAAGCGTACGCGGTGGATAGGTGAACATCGTCTTGGTCATCACCGTTCCATTCATCGTCATCAGTCGGCTCATCATCGAGGAAGTCATCTTCGTGGAATTGATCACGAGTAGGTCGCTGGTCGGAAATGACAAGATCAACAAGACAGCATCTGGCATGCCTTGAGACAGAAGTGGTCGCATCACTGTCATCCGTGGTGTCTCCAGAGGACGACTTGTTAGCATTGCTTCTGGCAAGGCGTGTACTTTGTCGCTGTACAGCTCGTGGGGCAGGTTTCGTCATTGTCGACTTTACGGTCCAGTCGATGGGTTGAGATGTATCAAGGAAGATGTTTTCCAATGTGGACAACCACTTCTTTCGAAGTGTAGCACGGTCTCTCCAACTTGATTTTTTCAGGATAGCTTTGATACTCAGCTTCTTGAGGTGCGGAAGATCGTCGGAGGCATCGACAAGTGAGGACAGGAATCTCTCTGCGTCGTGAATGTCATGATAACGCACGTTGTCCATGGAGATGGTGACTAGGCTAGTGGGCCAAGTTGGGGGGCCTGTTGGGCACAATGAACTCAACTCAAATTCCTCCTTCAAGTCGTAGGCCGTTGAATCGGTGTAGAGAAAGTCAATCTCGAGAACTTGTAGTCGAGGGCAACTCGATTTCAGATCTGTCAAAAACTCCAGTGACATGGAATGATGTTCAAGTAACCGCAATGTGGTCAGGTTGCGACCACGCAAACTCAGAAGTTGTTTCAGTGCCGCTGAGGTCAGTTGTGAACAATTCGACAACTCGAGAGACTCGAGCCCTTCGGGAATACACATGATGCCGGCGGTGTCAATGATACGGCAACATCTTAAAGATAGGTGTCGGAGGTCGGTCAATTTCTGAAGTGCAGATGTAAGCAAACCCTGAGCTTGTGTGAGTTCAATCTCGCTCGACTTCTTTTCAGCAATTGCCAGATTCAGTAGGGTCATGTTTTGCACCCGGCTCAAGCATGGTCGAGTGTGGACCTGTACTGCGAGTTCCAAGACGGTCATCGGGTTAGGAAAGCGGCCGTTCCATTCGAAGGTTTGGAGGAAGATATTCAGTTGATCGAGTTTGTCGAACAATTCTGGGGGATAAGCCCAGGAACCCCTTGATGAATCTGAGGTTGGATTGAAATCGACATTGGTCAACTCATCACTGTTGTGATACAACCGTAGATTGCGCAGCAGTGGTGTATTTGCAATGAGGAGTTCCAGGTCGATGCCACTCTTTTTCTTCAGAAGATGTCCTATCTCGATGTCGAGGGATTTGATCTTGGCGCGATAATCAGTGAAGGGCTTGTTTCGACCTTGTCGGAGGAGCGCGATCAGGCCGTGGCCCCGGTATGCTGGATAGATTGGCGGGCTATAGAGAAGTGCCGCCATGCATGCTTCGTGAAATGATTTGCACAGAGTTGAAGTAGCGCATAGCCAGTCGATCGAAGGTGTGCTGGTGGATCGAGGTCCGTAAAGTGGATAGGCAGCAAAATTCATGATATTCCGAAGAGCTTCGTAGGGGAGTTGTTGCCAGGGTGGAATGCGATCATTGTTGATTGGCGATTCTGCGAGCTTCACAATCTTGGGGGTGTTGGTCAGAAATTTCTGTCGTTTGTAGGAATTGAAAGAGTTCTCAATCCTCGCCTGGTCGTCGGCGTTTCTCTTTTTATGGGATGCATGTGACTGTAGTCGCGCACTGACACGATACTTCTGGGAGGGTTGAGGAAGGGATAGTGTGGAAGAAGGCTCTGATGAAGTATTTGAAGACTCGGTGGAACCGTCCGACTCATCATCGGACGACTCCCGATAATCTTGACGAGCACCACGAGCAGGTCTAGACGACTGAGTGCGGAGAGGTAAGAAGTGATCCGAGTCACTATCATCGTTGGTGTAGCGAATGCGAGGCTTTCGTCTTGGCCGAGACTGAGCAAGGGTGGAGTGATGCGCCATGACTCGATGTTGTGAAAGACAGGCAGCGTGCGGTGGAAAGCTTTTTGATGACGAGGGAAGAAAGCCGATGCTGTCCTAATTACTGGAGTGCGGCGAGCACTCGAGCCGAAAAGGTGTATCAAGGTACTAATTGCGTTGTGGTTGTGTTTTGAGATGGATGATGGTACAAGGCACAGAATCTCGGAACCGGGGAAGACTCGAATGATGACAGAGTGAGTTGGAGTGGATGGATTTGCGAATGATGGCGTGCAGCAAAAGTGCAGGAGGAACGCGGATCTACCCGCCACTTGGCACCTGGTTGCAGGGCTGTAAGAGGAAGGTTTGGCGGATGACATGTGATCTGCCGTTGGGCAGGAGGAAGTCACCATCAACACTCCAAAAGGAAATTCATTTCACGGTACTCCGTATATATTCTAAGCTATTCATAATTGAGAAATAGAGGGGAGGGAGGTCAGAATAACTTGATCCAAAGTCCATGGCACACATGAATCCATCTAAGGGTCAACCCTGTACCACTTTGAGAATCTGGAGGACAGACGAATACTCCGTACTAGATTGGGGTGAACTGCAGGTACCAGCTCATGCTGTACAAGCCCGTTAGAGATGAAGAAAAAGTTCATTGGTGGATTTGGAAACTCTGAGTAAGTGGTACCTGGCACAGTGGAACTCGAGAGGAACGACTCTAAGTAGGTAGTAGCGCTGTCAGGTACCTCGGACCTGTGAATTGCAAGACGGCAGCACCACTGGCAGTTTTAGGCCAGACTAGTCTCCATCATTTTTGGAAGTTCATGCTCTGGAACGGACAGAAGATCAATATACTTCAAAGGTACGTGTCATAGATGCCAGACTCTTCCGAAATACAAGTGTGATGTCTTGAGACGGGATTACGTCAAGGGCTGCGAAGCTAGGACAGCATTGCGTAGGGCATTATTATCTGGAGGATTCTACCTCATAGTGGCATGGTACTGTATTTATCAATTGCCGAGTGCCCACGGGCGATGCCAACGCAACAGCTTGAATCTTGAGAGTCCGAGCTGTGACCTTTTGGCTCTTATCTATCTGCAATCAAGAATCTTTAATACGAGGGATTCGTATAATGGAACCATAACGTGTGGTGGCTGGTGTGGCTGTCGGTCGGAAATGTAACGCGTGTTTCGCAATCAGCCTCCCTTCCAGGGTTCCAGGTCAGAACAAGGCCAAATGGAAGCCCAATTTCCGCTTATAGTCGTAAGTTGCAATCAGTCCATCCAAAATTTCAAGGTCAATCTCAATCTCTAGGCACAACATCTCCCGATTCTCGGGTGATCAATTGCATTGTTCTCGTTTTTGTAGGCATACAATCATGAATGTCTACATCATCAATAGCATGTGTATAGAAGCCGTAGGAATCACCAAAGAAAACTACTAGGTACTCGTCAGAGGCCAAGCCCAGGGTTCCTGAATCCTGAAAGACATCCTGGTCATCAACTCGCCTCGCCACCGTCAATTCCAGTTGCTGGCACTGCAGAGAGGTGGTTCCTCACTAATTCACCTCCAACTTCCAAGCTAAAAACCGACCCAGCCAAACTTGCAAGTCTCCCTGCCAACTTTTGTTTTCGCAGGCCGACTGCGACTAAGATTCCTCTTACGAGTACCACTCAGGCTTCACCTTCAGCTTAAGCTAGGCCAATCCTGCATCATCACCTACGACTCTTTCCCTCTGCTCTACCACTCCTCTTGCGCAGTCAAAGACACGCTTCTCCAAAAATACCACTGTCTCATGCACCAGCTGCCAACCCAACTCAACGCCCTGTTCTGGTCCATGTGCACCTGCTCCTACCCACACCATCGCATTCAACCATCAAACGCCCATCTCGCATCTCCCTCCTCCATTTTTTGTATGGTCTCTTAACGTCCTGATCGCGCCCTCCTACTCGGTCACATCACCTTTTGGCTCTGCCGACTTCGGCACCATACTCCTGAGACTTGTACAATATGGGCTCTACACAGTTTGGCAACTTTCAAGTGAGTTCACCAAGCTTCACCTCTGCAGCTACTCGTGTAACCACCTGCTAACTGGACCTCCAGGACTTCTGTCGAGATTCCACTCTACCAATCTGCAACGTACGTTTTATCCGAGTTCTACGCCTCCTACATGTCTGCATTCCATGACCTAACCACTCCCTTAGATTCTTACCGACAACAATCAACCCCCAGGCATCAACTATGTCACAGCAAATGCTGGCTGCGTCTTGCGCGGCATCAACCTCAGCAACAACCGAAACCTGGCCAATCTAGGGTCCATATTGATCGCCGCCATTGCTATCATCGTCACACTCTTTCTCTTATGGAGGGCCGATCGCAAAGCCGCCGCTGTAGGTCGTCGAGAAATGCAACTCTTCCTGCTCTGTTATGTGGTGATCGAAATCTGTGAAATATTCACCGTCGGCGGATTCCCCCTCGACAGCAACGTGAGGAAAGGCTTTACCGCGGTTCATATAGCGACAATCACGGCAGGCACATGGATCCTCTTGATGAACGCGCTTGTGGGTTATCAATTCCTTGATGACGGTACTCCCTTGTCAATAGCTTTGATTGGAGGGACTTCGCTCGCTCTATTCATTGGCACGGGTTACGTCGCTCTCGACACCGCATTCAACTGGACTGGCTATTGGCAAGATGATTCCTATGGTCCGCTGCACCGGAACATTGCATTGTACGTGCTCTATCAGCTGGCTCCGCTGGTCTTTATCTTCCTCTACTTCGTCCTGGAATCGGTCCTTGTACTCCGGGTCCTCGGCGAAAGGACTCCCATGAAGTATCTCGGTGCAGCAGCCCTCTTGTTTGCAATAGGTCAAATCTTCCAATACGTCATCTCGGTGCATCTATGCAATGCAGCTGATGGCAAGATCAACGGCGCTCTTTTTGAGACACTGTTTACTCTCTTGAGTGTGGTGGCCATCTTTGTGTTCTGGTCATCCATCACGGAAGATGACTGGCCGATTCAATGATGAGCGAACACTCCACGAACAGGGCCCTTGGTTTAGATCCGTCGGGCGATGGCGCCATGATCGACCTGTCTACACAAGAGGCCACTAATTGATCACGCTCCCACCCATATGCAGGATTACATTAATGTCTCGGGGAAGTCAACACGTGAGAGGACGATAGGCCAAGTGAAAAAGGCGTTTCCGTCACAACATGTGCAATCGTTGGAACCGAGAAACAGGGCATTGGGCGCGGCATTGATGACTTGACGCAGCGTTTGGCGTTTCGAGATATGTATTCCATGTCCAAAATTATTGAAGGAGGTTTGCCATGGTTTGAGTCGAATATGTTCGATCGTAAGGCACAACAGGGTGGGGCCCGCTGCATTTTCGTCTGCCGTTGTTTGTCATCTGGCATCACATACAGTGGCAGCATCTTATTTAGTAGACTAGAAGACATAAAATAGTACAATCTGAACCGACTCCGGTTGATATATATGTGTTTCAAACCAAAGGCCTTGCCGAATTTCACATGGGGCGTTCCGCAAATGGAGGTCTACATCGTTGGAAACCCGGAATTTTGATTGATCAATACATCATATAACTACCTTGACTCCGACACAAGGTAAAGTCCACTCGGACCGACCAAGCAGTTGTCGCAGCCACTGAGCGCCAATTCCAGGATCGGCCTGAGCGGATATATTTGAAGCCGCAGTAAAATTCATCCTCCGCCGAGCCTCTTCAACCACTTCCCCAGCAGACCCTTTGGCTGCACCAAACAGGCCCGAAACAGTAGATGTAGCCACGTCGAGTAGAAAGCTCCCCATATCAGATGACGTCCCATTGCCGGCCTGCGACGCAGAACCGTCGGGCTGCGCAGCACTGGTAGCATACAGCCTGGGGACAAACCACGACGCTATCGAACCGGACTCGTCGCCATACTGACTCAAGTCGATGAAACACCGGTCGGACCACCGACACGAGCTGGCGAAGAGGATGACGAGCAGTATCGAGCAGTACGAGCACGGTTTATTGAGGATGGTGGTGAGGACCAGCAGGGTGATGAGATGGACGGGCGAGAGCGAGACGGGGAGTGGAAGGAGCAGTAGCGGTAGGAAACTTTGTGGTGTTAGTGCTTTGTTGGTAATGTGTACAGTGCGATTAGTTCGCGGATCGGTGGTGGGGAGGGATGGGATGGGATGGGCTCGGATGATGACTTACAACCGCAGGCAATACATCATTGCTCGAGAGGTGGAAGGAGACGGGTGTTGTGGTTGGTATGGGGAGATGTATTTGATGATTGATAGAGATGGGAGATTGTTGTATTGTATACACCCACTGGTAGTATGATGTGGGATATAAAAGTGAATGAATTTCCTCGTGGTAGTCCTGGTACATACAGTACATACCTGAAGATGTGATATCCGCAGGATTAGAATTGAGAAGACCTCGGCCTACCTTCTCGTCCCAACTTCAAGTTTGCTAGGGTCACTAATGTCTCCCTTCCTCTACCGCGAACTGCCTAGTTTAGAACTGACAGGCGCCGTCCTTGAGAGCTGTCAGAGCGCATAGCAATGACTAACTCAAAAACTAGTGATTTGGAGAGAAAGTGCAGCCATCATAAATTCATTCCTCCTCCGTCACTTTCAACTTGTAGGAGACTGCCTGCCTCAATCTGCTCCCGTCGGACCTTTAATTCACCTCTACTCTCGATCCCCCCTCTCGACGGGCTCGCTTGACTGCGCATCTACTGCGCTGCCGTTCATTCACTCACTCATCCCTCAGTTATTCACTCAATCCTTCCACTCCAGGTGTAACATCCCGGAAGACAAGGTTTTCTTCCTTCACCATCCACCACCCTACCTCTCTGTCCCTTCACCTTCAGCAAGCTGCCTCAAACTTGTCGTTCAAGGTCCTGACTGAAAATGTCGACCAACGATCTACAAGCTCTCTTTGCAAACCTGAAGCCCAAGCCCAGAGATCCACAGCCTCCTTCAACCATCCAGCGTTCCACTTCAAGCGGCCATCAGCCTCAAAATGCGAATGCGTTTGCCCTGAATTCAGCTTCGCCTCCGCCGTTCTCCTCATTGTCCAACGACCCACTATTCAGTTCGTTGCCGTCAGGATCCGCGTCCGCCTCGGCTGCTACAGCGCAATCCCTCCTCAGTTTACTCAACTTTGGTGCTTCTTCGTCCTCCACTGGCCCTTCCGTGCCTCCACCCGGACTTAATGACACTCGAGGTAATGGTGAAGAGATGAAAGCAGAGTCGGGACCACCTGGACCCGAATCCAATGCTCCTCAAGTCTCGACTTCCGATCTTCTTGCCAAATTCATCAGCCCTGTTCAACCTACAGCTCGCCCAGCTACTCATTCTCCTGCGAATCTAGAGGATCAAGGTGGCGGTGGACCGCAGTCCAGCTACCAACCTTTGCGCGATGCTTCCCAAGATGCCCTGTTGAAACTGCTGAATCGAGCAACCGCGACCTCAACCACTGTTCCACGCCAGGGCTCCGTCGAACGAGCTCAACCCGCCTCTGCTAGTGAGGATAAGGGTGAACAGAAAGCTGCCAGCGCTGTCGGAAGTTCCGATCTTCCTTTTAGGGTGCTTCCTTCTCGAAATAGCGGGATTTCTACACCCTCGGAAGATCCAAGAAATGACAACAAGACTGCAGCCTCTGCTCAGACTCAACCACTCTTCACCTACACAAATCCTTTTCAAGCGTTGCAAGCATCTCGTTCTCAAACTCCGAAGACCAATGCACAAAACTCGCGCACTGCCCATGCTGATTCACCCGTCCCCAGTGTTGAACCTACCCATGAGGACAAGTTCGAAGGTGAACCTGTGCGAATGGCAACACCAGAACAGGTCGCGAAGAGAAAGATCCTGACTCCTCGACTGTCCGCCACGGCCCGGCCGGGAGCTGGTTCGCCAGAGGCCTCACCCGCAGTACCGGTGCCTGCCCAAGACCGGAGCCAGGCTACTCCAGAAGCCACTCCAATTAAGTCAAAACTGTCTGCTCCAGAGATCACGGCGGCCACGAATACCCAAGGCGACTCTTCTGATGCAAATGCCTCGTCTCGTAGTGCGACTGGAGCTGTCAGTAATGCGGTAGAGCCTCAAGCCGAGGTCGGAGATGAATGGGAAGATGCGGAGGACGCAGAGGATTCTCCTGAAAAAGAAGAGCCTTCTGAACGAATCGTTCCAGTCTACAACTTCCCTATCAAGCCTTTTGTCTCTATCACTCTACAATTGGACGCGAAGTCAGATACCGGTATTCGTGATGATGGGGTTATGGAAATCTCGCGGTTGAAAAGAGATTTCGACCAGTTGGATCGTTCTTTGGCTTCCGCCACATCCAAATACATCTCCTATGCTCTGGTCAAGAGTGGTATGCGAATTATCAGACAAGATGATGGAAAAGATCGGCAGGTGTTCAAACACGCCAATGATCGCGTCTTTAATGTGTCTTTCTGCTCTGCTCTTGATTCAGATGATCAGGCTATCTTGGGTACTGGTGTCAGTGGCGCAGTGTATTATGCTACTCTCGCGAAGGACAGCAATGACTTGTTCGACAACAATGAACTTGACTCGGAAAGTCTGATCTTCCCTCCCTATCCACCAGCTGATGAAAACACTGCTGGAGGAGTCTTAAAGACTCGTGCAAAGCGCAGTTCTCGGCACCCTGAATTCTTCGCCATCGGAAGAGGCAAGGCCATTCACCTTGTTTGGCCCGCGACCGCACTTTCTTCGCGTTACGGTATCACGCAGGACAACCGCCGTGTCAATGTCGGAACATTTTTCCAGGATCGTTCATTGCAAATTTCGACCGGAAAGGCTGGAAAGGATTTTACTTTCAGCGAGGATGACAGCTTGATCGTCTCTCTGGATAAAACTGGACGACTTCGATTCTGGGACATTCGAAAATTGATTGATGAGTCCAACGCCACAGGTGTACGTGCTAACATGACCGTTGACATGCCACTGCTATCGCTATCGACTGCTTCGCCCGCTGAAAAGTCGTGGCCCACCTCCGTGTTGTTCGTTGATAAGGCCCGACCATATACTCGAGGTGGGCCACTACGTTATGTCTTGGTCGGCTTGAGACAAAATCATACGTTGCAGCTTTGGGACATTGCTCTCGGCAAAGCTGTTCAAGAGCTCAACTTTCCGCATGAAAACGAGACCGATGGCATTTGCAGCGTTGCCTATCACCCTAATAGCAGTATCATTGTCATTGGACATCCCACGAGAAACTCGATCTTCTTCGTACATCTCTCGGCCCCACGATACACTCTCAGTGCATCATTGTCTCAAGCAGCATTCATCAACCGCATTGCAATGAAAGATCCAGAACTCCCGAAACCAGAATCGACTGCTTGCATGAGTGGCATTCGTGAGATCTCCTTTGCCTCCAAAGGACAACTTCGGAGCGTTGAGCTTCTACCGATTAACCGTCCACTAGAAGCTCAGAAAGCTCTTGATGAAAAGACACCACTCTTTGAGCTCTACGCTGTGCACTCTAATGGTGTAACATGTCTGAACATTACCAAAGAAGATTTGGGTTGGGACTCGAACAGCAAGGTCATGCACGGCATCGATGCAAACAAGAACGGCTTTGTGAATCTGAAAGAGCTCCGATTGGGCAGCGTGATTGAAGAAGCACCACGTAGCAAAAGCCCTACCGAAGATGTCCCACCGGCAGCTCCTAAACCGCCATCGAAAAAGAAGTCCAGCAAGAAGGGTCTTGTCAGTGCTGAACGCGAGGTAGCTCAACCAGAGCAGCCTGAGCCTGTAGCTGCGGCTCCAATACAACCTCTCACGAACGGCAGTGTAGCTGTTGAACCAACAAACGGAGAGACTCCTGCAGCACCTAAAGAAAGCAAGAAGAACAAGAAAAAGGCCGCCGCAGCGGCTACCCATGACCAAAATGCTGCCGGCAAGACGACCCCTCGAAACGCATCGCCAATCAAGAATCCTCAACCCATCGTCGATGCTCCTGTTAGCAAAGACGCAGGCCTGGCTGAGAAGCCGGACCTGAACCCTCCTCCTAATGCAGCAACGACCACCGATTCCGATACTGCTAGCAAGGCCGAGGCTGTGACGGTTGGCATCTCTGGTGATTGGTTGGACAAGGAATTGAAGAAAGTTGAACGTGGAGTTTCGAATGAATTCCGCAAAGAACTCAGCACACTCTATCAGAGTATCCAGAACGATCGACTGGTGCAAGATGCTGCGGCGTCTACACGTCAAGAAGCACTTCTCCGTCTTGTATCAACGACTCTGACAACCAATGTAGAGAAGAGCCTTTCCCGTATATTGGCCACCCAAGTGCAGCAAGCCGTTATCCCCGCACTTACTGGCATCACTGTCCAAGCCGTACACAATCAACTGGGTGATGCACTGGCCAAGTCACTACACTCATTGGTCCCACATGAGTTGAATGTTCAATTGCCGATTGCAATCAATAACGCGCTGCAAAGTCCTCAGGTCACTCGCCTGATCGCAGATACAATCAGCCAAAAGATAACAAAGCATACTGAAGCACAAATATCGGAGGTCCTTCAGAGAAAGCTTGTACCTGTCTTCTCAGACCTGGCACTTTCTGCTGCACAGAAGGCAGCGGCCGAGGTGGAGGCTAAACGACAGGTTGAAATTCAACAGTATGAAACCCAACGTCGTCAAGACACTGCACGAATGGAGAAGTTGAGTCAGGCATTGCAAAGCATGGCGCAGACTTTGCAGCAAATGTCTGACACTCAAGTTGCTTTCCAGACTCAGATTCTCAAAGACCGCCGTCAGCTTGCTCTGCTTGAAGCAGATAGTCCAGCATCGGCCACCCAGCAAGTGTCAACTGCCAGATTGACTCCATCACAGTCACACTCTACTGTGCCAACTCCACAAAAGCCAAAATCGCAGGAACAACTGGAGCTTGATGAAATTGCACAACTTATGGATGCGGGCCGCTACGAGGAAGGTTCCATTAGATGGCTGCAATCCAGCCAGCCGATCGAGTTGTTTGATCAACTCTTCATTCACTATACCCCAGAATATCTTGCCACTGATGTCTCACCACTGATTGCATTTTCAATTGCTGTGACTCTTGGAAATTCCCTCAACAGTAACACTGCGCGACGGCTCGAATGGATTGCTGCAGCCTTCAATGCAGTTGATCTCTTGGTAAGATAATCCCGGATGAGAAGATTAAGTACACTTCTTGCTAACAATCATGACTCTAGGATCCTGAAATCGCTGATCTTGCTCAGCATGCTCCTCAGCTTCTGAGCTCTCTCATTCAGAAAATTGAAGGGTTGTACATGACGATTGCGGAGCGCGACCCTAGAGATCCGGCATTGCGAATCATGCCGGCGGTATCTAGGAGAGCAAAGGATATGATGGCATCTTTGGTTGGTCCTTCATCATATGGACGACCTGCTCAGCCTTTAATCTTCTAAGCATTTGAATGGGTCTAAGGTGAGGAGGAATGCGATGTATGAGGGAGGGTAATGGAGGAGGGAGGTGCTTGAGCTCTGGTTCAAGGGCTTCGCTTCGCTAAGTACCTCAGTCCTTTGTTCCATTGAGAGATGAACTTGTGCTGAATCGGATGCTAAGCTCGGTCAGTCGTCGGGACGGGAGATGTCTTTTGCCTCAACGGACTGCCCTTGGAGCTGGATCACAACTCGCCATACAACTGATCAGTAGCGCACAAATATGGAGACCACGGAGGCGCTTGGAGTAGTGTTTACAGTACTGAGGAACGGAAATATAAAACGTCAAAATCCAGCCAGTATCTTCCTTTCTCTTGCTTTGTTCCTTTCCTTTCTGATAACACACTTCGTTCTCACTCTTTTTAAGTTAGTGAGTTAAATTTTCCCAGATCCTGAGGCTAAATCACTCGAGCTTATCCCACAGCAGCAGATTCGGGTATAGATATCAGCCGAGGGCGATGATGAAGTTCAATGCTCTCGCAGCGCAGCGAGGCTAGACCAGCCGCATTCTCACTAACTTCACTTCACTCATTCACTCCTGGCTTTCAATGTCTGCTCTAGAGTCTGTCCAGTCCTTCACTGCATATCAGCCAACAATTGACCTACCTACCTAGGTACCTAAGATGTCCTGTCTAAGGTAGGGGGTACTCGTAAACGCTATCAAGGGGACATCTCTCTGTCCTCGATCTCAACCAGACCAGGCGTTCGTTGTGTTCTTTGCCTGAGGTTAAGCAGGCCTTAATCCTACAATCATCTCTCGGCGTGCAGTCGGCAATTCTTTCAAGTTATGCTGGCGTCTGCACACACATAGTCATTCACTTGTTGGCTCACTCACCTTGGTTACGGTCTAATCTGTGCTGTTGCGTCTTGTCTTGTCGGGCTCGGCATTGCATACGCTTTCAAAGATCACTCTCTTTCTTTTGGTGTGTGTGGGACGATCGTCTCATCTGTCCTCTCCTATCTTGATCTTGATTCCCCTCGCACTTTGCCTACTCGCTTTGTGAGGCGGTGTTTGTGCGCAGGCTTTTTCCTTGAAACGGCCGACTCTGGTCGGTTGGTTAGCCTAGTGGATGATTGAAGACATCGCTATCTATTCATCTTCACATCCAACCTTGTGATCACTTGTGAGGTCATCGTTCTCTTCCAGATATCCTCTATCCTCGCTTCCTCCGGCGTATCTCGAAAAAGCCATCATCGAGACATCCACTCATCAGACTCTTTTGCCCGAACTCAACATTGCTTCTTCCCACAAGTCCTCACTCTCAACACCCACCCAGCCCAGCCTCCAACACTCTACGCAAGCACCGCCTCCGATAGCCAAACAAAACACCTCCTAGTGGAGAGCAATCGCACAGCACGACGAAAGGATGGCGCCTGCGCGTACAACTTCTTCTTCCCACCTGCTCCAGATCCTCCAATCCACAGTCGGTGACGAAGCCCTAGATCTCACGTTCAAGGCGATGAAGCGGCTCTCAGAATACGAGAATTTCCGGTACGACCCTGAGAGCGGCCGTCTTGAGGTCCTGCTACCCTTGGCGGACGAGGATCTTTGGGTGCGCAGACGAAGAGTCAAGACCCTGGCGGAGTTCCTAGAAGACGACGAACAGTACGCTTACAGCGAGAATCCTAGTGAGGAGTACACCTTCTGGCTGGCGCAGTGTGTTCACTATGGGTTGGAGTTTCCAATCACGACGGAGGATGCGAAGGCATATGTGAGGGGTGCTATTGAGCAGGGGATCAAGAAGGAGCCTCCGCACTTCAGGGTGCTGAGGAAGTTCTTGGAGAGACAATATCTTGAGATGCATGAGGAGAGTGATGAGAGTGATGAGAGTGAGGAGAGTGAGGAGAGTGAGGTTGACGATGATGACCAGGTGGTCTTTGTTGGTCCTGAAGAGGAGGAGTCGGGGTTTGATATGGTTGATAATGATTGTCAAGTGGTTGAAGACTCGCTTGCAGACGAATATTTGGAAGCTATGATGATCGATCAAGAGCACGATGCGGACGATGAAGACGAGTCGGATGACACCGAGCGTGAAGACAAGTCAGATGGCACGGATGATGATGACGACAATGCAGACCTTGATAGCGAATCAGATGAACCAGCCAGTGATTCGGATGCAGACATGGATGATGGTGGTGGTGGAGATCATGCAGACGATACGCAACAAGATGGAGACAATCAAGACGACCAAGCCCAAGAGACTAGAGGTGTGTCTGAGGGAAACCCTCCAGACATCAACATGAATGCCGATGGGGATGGCATCTCTGGTCCTGGAGACAACACCGCCACGCCAGACCATCAGCAATGCGAATCTCTTGCTCCTCAATCAGCAAACGAACCACAACTGACACTTCCTCGCTCACCGGTGGCTGCCATCGAAGAGGTGGATCTCAGCCAGGAGTCCCCCACATCTATCTACGATCTTTCTTCGGACAGTGATTCCCAGCCTGTTAATGCTTCAAACAACGCCGGCCAAGACAACACGGAAGAGGCTTCCTACGATGCTGCTCTCAGAGAACATATTGATTGCCTGTACAATGAGGATGAATATGACAACTTCAGCGAATACCATGCTGGTCACATTGCAAGTGGTATCAATGATCTGCGATCATCAGGCAGAGCAACTAGATCATCTGCAGCTAAGGATGAGTCGAAGACCAGTGTTGAGCATATTGACGCACCGTCACTCAGCCCTGTCTGTCTCATGGATCTGGACAGAGATCTTGAAACTGCCCAGATGTGTCAGAAGGCCGAAAGGGATGACAATACTCAGCAGAAAGATAAGTCTTTAGGGGATCGCAAGTCTCAAGATCTTCCGGACGTGGAGGACCTCTTACCCTCTATAGCCCATAACAACAAATCAGGAGGAGTCAAGACCGACATGAGGATAGCGGATGCCCCAGGGTTCAAATACTTACACGGTTAGGGATCTGCCTGCACCACTATTTTCATCGGAAAACTACCCTACCTTCTTGCGCTTTTCCACTGCCAGATCTCAAGACTCGGTGTTCGAGAGCATTGAGACTTGTTCCCCGAATCCCGGCAGCTCTCAAACTCTCAAACCTGTGGAAGTGAGGGATCTTGGAAAGAGTAATACCAGGGACAAGGAAGGCCCCACTACATTTTACCCTCTACCATCCGCGACCTCCTTGAGATCTCCATGTTCGGAAGTTGATCATGACGGTAAGGATATTCGGGCGTTGCCTCTCAAAACGTTATCAACATCTGGGACCACAGGCTTTATCAATGTGCCACAAGGGCCAAAGGCTTGGAGTTCACCTCCCACCACAAATTTTATCGACGTACCACGAGGACCCAAAGTTTGGAACTCACCTTCCACAACAAGCTTTATCAACGTGCCACGAGGACCCAAGGCTTGGAGCTCACCTTGCAGATCAAGATCAGGAACCCTATCTGGTGTAACAGCACATTCCCCTCTCCTGACTCCATCTCCTAAGGAATCTCGTTTTTTGCGTCAGTTAACATTCCAGAAAGCAAGAGGTGCAGTATTGCATGGTAAAAATGCTGCATCGATGCTGGATTCATTCTCTAGTGTGACGACCCAGTCTAATATTTTAAGTAGTCCTTTTGTGCAGAACACCACTTTTCCCATCCGATCGTTTACAAACCAGACCGTGCAGAATAAGCTTGAGCTTGAGGCTGGAATGAATGCTGAACGGAGTGAACAAGCGAGAGAACATCAGAATATTGTGAATTGGCACCAACAAGAATATCAGAGGCTTCGAGAAGTCAATCACCAAAACATTCGGAAAGAGCAACCGGGAGCAGAAGCCATTGTTGAACATGGACGAATTCAGCAGTCGTCCTCAAGGGCAGGTAAAAGAAGCGCTGAAGATAATATCTTACCATGTTCCATTGGCAGCCATAGCCAACTTGCCGACCAGCGTAGTGACATTCAGCGAAGTCTCGGCAACGCTGCTCACCAGCCTCGGAAAAAGCAATGCTTGGAGACTCCTTCCAAGAATGTGGAACAGTCAACGGGAAGAAGAAGTACCAACAGCTCTAGCACAGGAAAGAAGACATCCATGATGAAGACACACTCTGCGACCCAAAGTGGTGTAGACGGTTGTTCCACCCAAGAGAGGCTTCCGAGGAAGGAAGGCTCATTCAAGACACCAATCACAAACGATGCTGCAAGAAGTGCAGAAAAGAAAGAGACCACCTACCAGAGACCTAAAGAGCAGAACAGAGGAGGACAAAGTCCCACCAAAACAAGAGCCTCCAAAGCGGCCGCCGCAAAGGCAAAGTCTGAGATGAGCTTTCGTTCCATACGGGACGATGCGAACCAGACACCAAAGTCCAAGTCGATGGACGCGACGAACAATCTCAGTCGCCAGTTAATTGACTCACGGGATACGACATCCAAACGTGACGAGGACAAGACAACACGAGCAAATCAAGAGAGCCTCATGTCACACCCAAAGACTTCAAAGCCAGAACTCGCCTGGCAATCAGTTACCTACACGTCCAACCCAATGGCCGGGCGAAGGCCAGGGAGCTACCGCCTGGACAGCATCGAACCGCAGCATTTCCGAGACGTCATAACGATAGTAAACCCGGCGGCACGCCATGGCCAGAGTCTGAAAGACCTCCCACTTCCGCGAAAGATTTCGACAATGGATCCAGGCACCGAACAACCGCTCGAGCTGCAGTGGGTTGAGCAGCGTCGAGCGTTCAAGAAGCGCAAGCGCGATCAATTTATGGCTAATGTCCCTGAAGACTCTTTGTTGATGGATAAGGTGCCGATCATGGTTAGCGAACCGAAAGGACTAAGGATTGAGCATTTTTAGATGGATGATGAGGGATGGGACTGTGAGATTCAGCGATGGTTGGAGGCATGAAATGATTGGGAACCGCAGGGAAGGCATTTGTTTGAGTACATACTGGACCTAGAGAATCCTGGAAGGAGATTGGTAGGCGTCTCGCAAGCATGCTGTGGAAGCTATGGATTAAGGATTAATGGTGGGATTGCGAGCTTTGATGTCAAAGCAGAAAGTTATCAAAATGTGATAGGCCAGTCAGTCTGGCCTTTGGACATGAGCCATGTTCAAGCCGCTCACAATCCAAAGCAAGCAAGCAACAGCGAGACGTGATGATAGTCAGCACGGCCCAACAATCCATCCCAGACCCATGACAAGTCACAATTACATCACATCACATCCGATATCAAAGAACCACCGTCTCAGCATCATTAACACCAAAGAACAGGCTCATCGGATCCTTATAATTGACGAATCCGCAGAACGGCGGACTGATGCCATAGCCGAGCAGCCGCTGAGCTTTAGGACTCAGGTGTTTTGCTTTTTCGGGCGGGACCTTTTGGGAGAATTTAGATATGAGAGCAAGCTTGGGGTAGTCAGGGGGTTTTTGGAACTACAAGGGACTTCTTGCGTACCATGAAATACTGGTTCTCGACTTGTCGGTACATGCCTTTGCAGAGGAAGATGCCGACTGTTTCGCGAGCTTGGTCTCTGTGAAGTCACGACGTTAGCTGCCCGTTATTCAGTGGTTTGACTTTTCGATTTTTTGCATACACGGTGGTATTACCACCACCAGCGTGGTAGGTGCTGCCTAGGAAAATGGTCGCGTCGCCGGGTTCGAGCTCGGCAGGCACGGCCTCGTGGTCATAGGGACAGCGGTCGTCCTTCCACAGATGCGAGCCTGGGATGACGATGGTGGCGCCGTTCTCCTTGGTCGTCTTGGTGACGGCGGTGACGCAGCCGATGAGCATCGGGCGATCGGAGTCGCGCATGTGGTAGTCGATCTCGTCGCGATGCAGGCCCTGCTGCCTCCCGCCGGGATTGACCTGGAAGCCGACAGTGCTGGAGATCTGCGGCTTGGAGATGGACGTGTGTTTCTCCTGGCCGAGATAGTAGGTGAACTCGTCAGTGAGCAGGCGGTTCGCCACGTCGTTGAACAGCGGGTTCAGCGCCAAATCGACACAGTGGTCCGAGATGGCGAGCAGGCCTGTCGCGCGCCGGGTCGTGCTCGGGAAGAATCCGCTCTTGTCGCCCCCGTCGGCTTCGAAGTGCGGCTTCAGGTCCTGTTGGATCTGTGCTGCGTGCTCGCGTGTGATCAGGTTCTGGACGATCACGGCGCCGTCGACATTGAGGATCTCGATGAGCTTCTCCGCTGTGGTGGAGGGGTCGAGGGCGTCGATGCGGACGAGCCCGCGTGGCGTAGCTGGTGCGTCGGTGCCGTTGGCCGACATGGTGGACGTGAATCGAGTATCAAAAGCACGTGGATGATAGCTCAGCAGATAGCGATAATATGGGGCAACGAGCCCTATCATTGAAAGATGCCAGTATTGAATGTGGGGAAGAGTCAAAGGCAAACCTTATGTAGACTTTGTAGTTCGATGTCAACCCATCAGAGGCAAGGCGGACAACTTCACCAAAAAGAGGTTCGACCCCTTTGAGATCTGGGTGGCTTACGCAGCAACCATGATCGAGATTCTCCCCAGACTTGACGGAGAACGCCACTTGTACCAATATCTGGGGCACATCGGGCGGGATGGTTTATGAAATCTCAACGATAGAATTTGACATGAGAGTCCCCTACAGGTCAAACCGGTCATCTGTGAAGCCACCGGTGCTCTGGTTAGTGAGAAGTCCCTATCATGGACAGGAACACGCCCTCAAAGAGCGGGAAAGTCCTGCCCGAACCTTGAGTCTCGAGCGGAGTGTCGCCGGCGGTTGAGCTTGGATAGAAAATTCGCCCAGATAACCACTAATGTGGCTTCCAAAAGAGGTTTGGGCGACATAAGGCCTATCTTGATGGAAGTAGAGTAAACATATTGAACCTCTATTACCCAGCAGATATGGGAAAGCGGACTGAAGTCGGTCACAACGGAGGAGAAAAGTATTTCCGCAGTCTTCGGCAACGGATCGGAATATCTTTTCGGGCCGCCAGAGATGGATTCGTCTTCAGACTGGTACTATCGCTAAGGCGGAATTTGAAGGTGAGATCTATGCTAGCTGAGAACATCAAAACCGATCACACAAAGACACTTGAACAAATTTGTCGTCCCAACGGCGTTGATAGTCGTGGGGGCCGATCATGCTCGGGGATTAACCGACCGGATGAATTATCCTTCTCCATTTGCATTCATCAGCCACGCTCGCCTCCCTCTACGGAGTGAAAGTCCACATCCCACCATCCCAGCCACAACGTCATCCCACAGACATCTTGCATGTGGGTGCATGTGCCTGGAACTCCAGTTCCTCCTCCGTGGCCAACCAAGTCATTGGTGGGATAAGCTACACGAATCTGCCAACGAAACTAGCGAGCGCAATGATCTCATACTGTCAAGGTACCAACTTGTTTTCTTTGATAAACTTTTTGCGTTTTTGCATTTTTGCCTCGATAACGCGACCTGGATAGGTGTTCCACGAGGCAAAAACTGGGAACGGCTGTGGTGTTGAACTACACGTGGGGTGGATACTGGTTCCGCACATGTGTGATTTTGGATGAGGGTTGTGATGGGAAATGTGTTATAAACTCGCATCAGAACTCTATGCTTGCTCACTAGATCTTTCTCTCCTCTTGTCATATACCACTTTTAATTTAGACGATTAGAGCTTTCTTTTCTTCCTTTCCTGACCCTTTCTCAATTTTCACCCCCAATCACTCTCATCAACAGCAACAATGGGTGAGACACCAACACCAGAGAACTATTGTATGCTCCAGGGCTTTGAGTGGAATGTGCCGGCAGACCAAAAACACTGGACCCGTCTCCATAATGTGCTCGGGGAGTTAAAGAACATTGGAATTGACAACGTCTGGTTACCACCCGCCTGCAAGGGTGCCGGTGGCAAGGAAGCCAACGGCTACGACATTTACGACCTTTATGACATTGGAGAATTCGAGCAGAAGAATTCAAAATCGACAAAGTGGGGCACGAGGGAGGAATTGGATACCTTGGTCGGCAAGGCTGAGGAGTTGGGTGTTGGTCTCTATTTTGATGCCGTTCTAAATCACAAAGCCGGCGCCGACAACAAGGAGAAATGCCGGATTATCGAGGTCGATCAAAATGGTATGGTCTCTCTTATTCCCAAAATCTATGTCAATGGCATGTCACCACACCACGAACGCTTTACTAACTATGAATCTCTCCCAGATCGCACCAAAGAGATTGGCGAACCACGAGAAATGGAAGCGTGGCTAGGTTTCGACTTCCCTGGCCGAGGCGACAAATACTCGTCGCAAAAGTACCACTGGGAGCATTTCTCAGGCACGGACTACGACGCCGGTAACGACAAAACAGGAATCTACCGTATCCTAGGCGACAACAAGCACTGGTCCAACAGTGTAGGCGACGAGTCCGGGAACGCCGACTTCCTCATGTTTGCCGACGTCGACTACAGCCATCCAGAAGTGATCAGCGACGTGATCCACTGGGGCGAGTGGGTGGTCAAGGAGTTCAAACTCCGTGGCTTCCGCTTCGACGCCTGCCAGCACTTCTCGGAGCGCTTCACCAATGAATTCGTGGCGAATCTCGAAAAGCACTTCGGCAAGGGGAAACTGTTCCTCGTGGGCGAGTTCTGGGTCGGCAACGTCGACGAATTGCTTGAATATCTGGACGAGATGGACCACAAGTTCAGCCTGTACGACACACCGCTCCTCAACAACTTCAGCCAGATCTCGAAGACGGAAAACGGCGACCTGAGAAAGGTCTTCGACAAGTCGCTCGTGCAGGCCAAGCCCGACTCGGCGGTCACGGTGGTGATGAACCACGACACGCAGCCGGGCCAGACGGTCGCGACGCCCATCGAGGGCTTCTTCAAGCCACTCGCCTACGCCCTCATCCTGCTTCGCAACCAGGGCTACCCGTGTGTCTTCTACGGCGACCTGTACGGCATGAAGGGCGAGAACCCGGAGCCGCCGAGCTGCGGCGACAAACTGGCGCATCTGATCCTCGCGCGCAAGCTGTTCGCGTACGGCGAGCAGAACGACTATTTCGACGACGAGCCGACCTGTCTCGGCTTCGTACGCCGAGGCACCCACGATCGCAAGGACGGTCTGGCTGTCGTGCTGAGTAATGCTGGTCCTGGCCAGAAGCGCATGTTTGTCGGCGAGGAGCATAAGGGTGAGGTGTGGACGGACATCCTCGGCTGGCAGACTGACGAGGTCAAGATTGAGGATGATGGCTTTGGTGTCTTCATGTGCTCCGGCACGAGTGTCAGTGTCTGGGTCAAGAAGGACTCAGAGTTGCGGAGGCAGATCGATGAGTTGAACTTTGATTCTGATATCTACAGCAAGGCTTGAGCATTGAGCTCCATTTGGATGATTGGTAATGACGCATAGGACGTCTGGGAACATGGAAACGGGTTTGGATAACTCATTAATGGCCTACGAGTTAGACAAAGACTTACGACTAACGGTGTGAACGGGAAATCACCAAGGTGCCACGGTCCTATATTTCGATATTGACAAGAAGGTTAGACGGAAGAAAGATAATATGATCCCACAGAACAGAATTCGGATGCCTCGACATGGTCGAAATCTTGCGTCTATGGGCCAGAGAAGGGCGGAATTGAGGAGGATACTTTGGATGAGATAACGAGATTAGATTCTAGATTCTTTGAACTATAAAATCATATGTTGTCCCTTGACTTATCAGGTCTTCTCCTCGAAATCCAGAGCGCCGTCGCTATGCTCATTCAATCGGCATATATTCTTCATGCACATCACAGGCACCCCGGTTCATTGGTCATGATTATCCTCCGAATAAATACTACGTCGTCGTAGTCATCAGAAAGTTGCGCGATCCCCATCACCTCCATACAGAACCTCACAGACACCGCCAATTGGGACGTCCATAACAGCGTCAGTGCCTTCATTCCAAACAAGTCTCCAATTCGGGTATTCGGCATCGCTCAGCCGCCTGTAGGGTGCGTTACCATTACTCCTCTCTTGGTACGAATAGTTGCTGGGATAGGCATGATGCTGGTTTGCGAAATGATGAGGCAATGCTGTCATATGTGTGGAGCTGGGATAAGAAAAGCGGGCTGGAATCTCGGGAGGATCATTCCTTAGGGGACTTTGAATCAGATGGTTGCCCGCCGTCTCGTTCATGCGGCGGCGGTTGCGATTTGCTTGCTTCGAGGAGCCCGATCCCGAAGCCGAAGATTTCTTCCCCTTCCCTTTGCCCTTCACTTTCCCTTTAGATTCCATCTCTTTTTGCAATTTTGCTCGTTCTTCCAGTTCTTTGACGTACTTCTTGCTCCCTCCCTTCCGGACACGGCCATATTCATCCACGACGGCCACATTTCCAGCGTCATCAACCATGCATTCCAGACTTGTGAGCGGAAGGGTCAGATACTCGACATTGTAGCTCAACAAAGCAACATAGATAAAGATCAAAAGAATCACTATCCAGGCCGGGATGGCCAGACTCCACCACCGATTCGGGTAGTAGGTCACTCCAAGTGCATGGAGGAAAGGTGAAGGGAGATATGACCAGAGAATGTAGATCAAAAACCCCAAGGATGATGCCAGGTACAAGACGAACCCGTAGTATTCGTAGGTAGGCACTTTAGGTGGGGTGGGTGGTAAGGGATTCGCACGACGGGCGGAATGAGCCACAGCGGCCTCGGTATCGTTCGGAGTTTCGACATCCGATGAGTCTGGAGTGGTGGGACGCGTGGATGTCGTGGAGCGATTGAGTAAAGAGGGCGGGCGCAGAAGCGAAGTTAAGCTGGGCGAGGGTGGTAGGGGAGTTGGGGGACGGTTGTAGAAAGGTGGATAAAGGGGTGGCGGGACCGGAGGCAGGGAGGTTGTTGATTGGGAGGTATGTAGTCCGCTATGTTGATAATGCTGAGTATTGACATGAGAAAGATGTGGTAGTGGTCCAGCCGGGAGAGATCGAACCCTCGACAGGGAGTCAGGGCGATCTGACGAGGATGGAAAGTTCCCGCTAGGTCCTGCTGCACCGTTTTGTTTCAATTTGTTACCATCCTGGTCATGGTCGTCTTCGTCATTCTCATTCCCGTAACCGTCAGAGCCTTCCTCGTCCTCTGATGCTGAAGAGTCTTGTCGAGAGTAGTGCGATTCAAAGTCATCGTCGGTGAGTGTCACCCCTGCTACATCGTCTTCATTCTCCGCCGGCTGGCCCTCGGTATATTGATCTTCATCATTATGTCCATCATGCTCATCACTTCCTAGCTGGAATGCAGTGGTGGAGCGTGCCCTTCGTTGAGGAGTGGGCGTGGGTGTAGGAGTTGAATTATCACGATCTGGTATGATCATGCGCGGTCCGGTGGGTGTTCGTTGATCTCCCGGGATCAAGGCAGTTGGTGAAGGAAGATTCTCCAGATATGGTCTCAACGTTGGAGGAACTGAATTAGCTTTGGCAAAGCTTCGCTCAGGTGAGGATCCTCTACTTTGAGGAGGCATGTCTGCTAGTGATGGGAGAATGTTCGTACTAAGAGGTGGAGGATCATGTCGCGTACCGAGTAGAAATCGGAGAAATCAAAGAAATGCGGGGCACGACTCGACATTACATTCAAATTGCCAAGACATGACTCGAGCTCACCTCAACCCGTTTTTAGCGTGAGTTTAAATAGAACACCATGGAAGATTGTTGTCTACATCGTGCACTCTCGTGCAAACATACCAGACCGCAAGAGGTCATGGACAGCCTTGCAGAGGTGTATCGGTGACAGCGAAAGCACTGCAAAATTAGCTAGGTATCTTGGCTATGCTGATTCTCACTGAACTGGTGTGTGGCATCCTTATGCGACGGTCATAAGGGCTTCGTGTGAGGGAGCTTCTCTCTGATGGACCTGACACCTATCTGTCTCCTATGTACTACTAAGTACCTATCCAAGGTAGCTCTGCAAAGAACCTTTTTACAACCTCCTACACGTTACAATGTATCACACCGGTTCGCAACCAATTCTTCCGTCTTGTTGATACGGGGAGGTGGTTCATTAACCATAGCCTCGAAGTGGTCGAAACTGTTCCCACAGTGGCAGAGGTAGACTTCGAAGACATGCGCGGAGGAGGCTGTGTTTACATAGAACCAAGCCACTTAACCCCAAGATAGGGCTACCTACTCTTGAAACTCTCAACCGTTGACATAGTGGACTGAAGCAGAGGTTGTCTGTTAAAGCGGACTTAGAACAGTTTATCTCCGTTACACAAAAGACGGAGCATCGGACCGTCCGCAGAAGTTGAACTATAGAAGGAAGCTGCACTAAGAACATATGCAACGGAAGAAAGTGAAAATCAAGTGCGCACAACCAACAGCTAGTTCGCTCTATCCACCAGTCTCGTCCTGCAGAAAGCCAGAACGTCATAAAGCGGAGTAAAATGGCTCAAACCGATCAGGATTTCGCGCTCTCAGCGGTGTATAAAAAGTCTCAAAGTGGTAAGAATTCCCAAACGCATCGACCCTTCCCGTGGCTCTCACTCTCGCTCTGCTAACGAGCATGATAAGTACGAAATTTCACCCAGACGACGCACCATGACACGTACCCAGCGATTGATACCAAAGGTTCGCCCGGCTGGGATTGCAAGGGAAAGGCGATGCTGATCACGGGTGCCAACGGCGGTGTGGGGCGGGCGGTGGTTCAGTCATATGCACGCACAGGAGCGTCGCATATCGGGCTAGGTGTGCGGCGCGATGTTAGCGACCTGGTCGGCGCGGTCAAGGCAGCAGCCGCCCACGGTGGGCACCCAGAACCAACCGTGACGGTGGTACTTCTGGATCTGGACGACCGAGTGAGCGTCACAGCCGCGGCAGAGCAGCTCGAGCGCGAATGGGGGCGGCTCGACATCATAATCAGCAATGCCGCCTTCTTGCCACCCTTCGAACCGCTGCTTGAGGGAAATGAGACTGACTATTGGTATGCCTGGGAGATAAACGTCCGCGGCACATACTGGCTTGCCAAAGCATTCCTGCCCCTGCTGCTACGCTGCGGCGGCGACAAGACCTTCGTCGCCATCAGCAGCCTTGGCGCCCACATTGTCACCCCGGGGGCCAGTTCCTACCAGACGACTAAATTTGCAATCGTCCGCTTCGTCGAGTTCCTGATGCAGGACTATGGTGACCAGGTGAGTGTGCTTTTGCGTATGCCGTTCGTATCTTGCTGGGCGAGGGGACCAGCATGAGATGTCGAATGGATGACCAGAGACGTTGACTGAACCTTCAGGGTCTACTCGCCTACTCAATGCATCCAGCATCGATGCTCACCGAGCTTGCCAAAAACATACCTTCGAATATGCACCGTGAGACGAACATGAGTCCCCAAGTCTTTTGCCTAGGTTAATACGTGATACCTTAGATCTCCTCAATGATACGCCTGACTTGGTTGGCGATACCTTTGCGTTCTTGGGCAGTCAGAAGAGAGATTGGCTTGCTGGTCGATTCATCGCTGTGGGCTGGGATATGCCAGAATTGATGGCGAGAGAGAAGGAAATTGTTGAGAAAGACGCTCTTAAGTTTCGCATGGTGATGTAACAGGCGGATCGGGCACTCGAATCCGACTAGACCTGTAGCTCAAGCATATGTTACATTAGATTCCTCAACTTTAGAGGCATTGCTAGCCTTGCCAAACCGTAGAATTGGCATCTGTGGTACAAGCCGTCGCCCGGACGATACTATGAAGTGCTTATCTATCTAAAACATGCAGCATTGTGAACTTGGTGGACTAGCCATAACACTAGCCTGAATAAGGCACAGTGGGTCTATTTGTGAGCGTGATGAGGATCATGGCCATTTGCAGTTTTCGACACAGCTACAGTCCCTAAATACTGCAGATCTGACCTGTTCACATGTCAATCATGCTTAAGTGCTTGCACAGGCTTAGGAGATTGATTCCGACCGGAACAGATCATTGACGGAAGCTTCATTGTTTGACAGAATCTCAGAGTCAAAAGTGACACCTCGAAGCTAGAGACTTATTTAGCGCAATGCACGTCATCAAATATAGTAGTGGCAATCTCTTGTTAGCCCCGCCCCCATGGACATCCCCCTTTCCCAGCCTGCGGATTCTCGGTATCAGCTTTCAGCCTCAGGGCTCAGAGACTCGGAGTGCCTGAGCTTCTGACAACGGCGAGTCAAATCTCATGGAGCCATGGAGACAAGCAATAATAATCGGTACTTGTTGAAGCTCCATTTTGTGCCTTACTTTGCGCCGTTGCTTGACGTGCATATGACAGGTGTGCTCTTTTTAGACTATCCCACTAAAATCAGATCTCTTGGGCGAAGCATTTGGTTAGACGATCTATCACGGAAAGAGGGAAGATGGTTGGGGTACAGTAATATAATTGAGATCTTCATCTGGAAATCTTCAGAAATTCCTGCGATCTCCTTGGGTATCTGCAGAAGGGAGTATTTGGTCGCTATCCGGCTCCAAACACCTTTTTCTTTTTATACAATAATTCGCTAAAAGTTTCTCAAAAACGTTCGTAATGTCGTAAACGGGCACTCTTTGGGAGGCGCTCTCGTAGATCTGGAGTATGTGATTGTTATGGTGACGCTTCTTCTTTGTCACGGTCTGTAAGTTGGCAACTCTTCCTCATTTCTGCCAAAAGCCTTCCATGCTTCTCAAACCTAGCCCAATAGCTCCACTGCTGCTCCTCTCCATGGGTGAGATGTATGAGGATGTAATGCCCTTTCCCATCCGGGGTGAAGGCATTGGAGGGGTGGGAAAGCCAGAAAGATCGAGGGTGTTCTTGCTGGGGATTCTTGGTGTCAGAATTGCTGGCGTGGGCATTGGGACGTCATGCTTGGTATTGGGCTTTCCTAGGCCTTTGATCGCTTGTCCTATGCTCTCACTCCTTCGGCGTAACGCAGAAAACGATTTCTTCCTCGACATCGATTTTGTAACCGCGAGTGGATCACTGATGGACTCGTCCGCTGGAGGAGTGGGAAGCGAGGGCAAAGCAGTCATAGGGTGGTGATTGGAATTGGATCCAATTGATGAGATACTCATAGATGTAAGACGTCGTTGCTTCAAGGAAAGATTGGTTGTGCTGCTGCTGGCTGCTGTGTTTCTCAACATAAATCCATCGGTACCAGACATGCTGGCGGTCGAAGGCCGACTGGCATGGGTGGAAGTGCGTGAAAATGATCGACTGTGGGTTGCTGATGTAGGTGTCTTGATCAAGCTCTTGATGCTGCTGACTCGCGCATGGCTGAGTGCCGTCGATATTCGGGGAACACTGGATTGGCGTTCGGCTCGAGCTCTTGGTTGATTGAATGAAAGTAGCAAGGATTCTTGGCTGGCGTTGGCAATCATGTGAAAAGCATTTGCTGGAAGGTCAGGGACCTCGAACAGCGTCGCCTCAGCAGCAGGAAACTCCGAGTGCGTACTGGTCGTAGATTGGCGTTTTGTAGGCCTTTCAATGCTTTGTGACCTGGTCTGAGAGAGAGGACTTTGCGTCGAAAGTGTTCGTCTCTTACTCCGTATGGAGGAATTTGTTGTGATTGATATCAAGGAAGGCCGAGTCTTCGGTAGTTGATATGCAATAGGCGTGGCGGTCTCGATTGGCGAAAAGGTCTCGTCTGTGTCAAGATCCGGGCTCATGAGGTCCGAGAGAGGTGATTCTAGCAATGTAGAGTATCGATCGTATCGGAAATCGGAGATCGTGGCTAGAGAGGCTTGTAGAATTGGACTTGGTGTGGGCGGTACTATAATTCGATCTTCATTTATTCCCATGTCATGATCGTCCCCCACATCAGGAATGTGAATCTTGAGTGGTGTGATGGAGGAGGTCTCGACCTTGTGAAGACCGCGGAATGTTGATCGGTTCTCGAGAGACTCGTCCGGTGTGAGTACGCTTCTCTCCGATGGAGTATCGACCGATGATTCTCGATCAAAGTGCTCCTCGTTTTCATCGGCAGAGACATTGTCCACCTCGTCGGCGTCCTCTGCCAGATGATCGTACATCATAATCCTTCTCTTGTGTTGTTGCCGCCTCTCAACCTCCAAGGCTTGTTGTTGTTGGCGTTCTTGGAACTTCCTTCTCCGGGCAGAAGCAGAACTCATCTTCCGGGATTTGAGTATTTCGTCCATGGTGTTTGAAGATTCAAGGGTCAGACGATGTATATGGAGGTCTGGGAGAGGTGCGGAAGAAGTTCGAGCGGAAGCCATTGGAATACCTGGAGAAAGACGTTCCAGAGGTTTTGTCTAGGCGAATAACTGGAAGCCGGTTAGGGACCTGGAACTCTGAAGGTAACAGAGTTCCGTCTCTTGGAACAGAGGCTGCAACAGAGTTCAGATATGACCGGGACAACCTAGACAAGGACATCGGGCCATCGCCCGTACCTTAACCAAAGGATGCTTGTGCACACTGCACAATCGTTGACTAGTGGAGGTGTGGGAGGCAGACGGCTAAGCGCAAGCCACAGAGTACCACTGTTTGCTAAAAGTGTTGGATCTTGACCGGGATTTTGACGAGCCTACCCTACTCGTCTTAAAACCCCGACCTGATGTAGGAGACGATTACTGCCACATTAAGCATAGAGGCAAAGTCAATCTTGCTGATTGAGAAAGGCGGAGAGAAAAATGGAAACACGAGGGCCAGAACCCATCAGAGGAGTGAGATTGCAGGAAGCCAGTGCCAGACAGGAAAAGGCTAAGCGAATTTCGCAGTGCTTCGACTCCGGAACTTTCTGATGATCAGTGTTAGAGAATTTTTGATGCAGGTCCGAGGGGTATCAAGTGGATCAAGCGGGAGGGTAGCCCAAACACTACCGTTTCATCCTTTAAAAGCGAGAAACTGGCTCCGATATCTCCAACCTCCAGTGGGAGCAGAAGCAGAAGTGAGCACCGAAAATGCAAAGAGTATCAGTATTTAGTACGTATGGATATACATTCAGTGTCTGAGAGTGAAAGACAAGTTTGACTTTATCATGCCCGGTGATGACCGACAATCTGTGTAGCCGGATGAAGTCTGTAATGGCATCGTCCTCGAGTCTTTGATTAGATGGCAGCTAAGGAAATAGTCAACAGACTATGGTCAACTCGTACGAAAGCCCCATGCCGTCTATGGTATCGGTGGCAATCCAGTGCTAGTACTTTGGATCTGGTCCCAGCTTTGGAAGGGGAGATTTGATCAATGGTCATTTGAGGCTCGCATGACGATTTCGAGGCAGCTCCAGGTACCACATACCGATGCCTCGTATCGTCGCCGGCACCTTTCTTGATGGTGGTCTGCGGTGTCAGGTACCAACCCAGAACTATTGGCTTTTTTTGTTGATGATGGCAACAGGCGCAAATCAGCCAGCGCATAGTGTGATGGGCTTGGACCAAACCAACCAGTGGGTCGTAGGTCGGCAGAGGCGGGAGCTAGCTGGTGAAGACGCGAGTTTCTTGGGGGCATCAAAGATTCAAAGTGGGCCAGTGTGCAGCCTCCCAGCCACCGCTTCCCAGGGCCCTTGAAGCGCGGTGGGTTTGGTGGTGGTTCATGGGAACTTCCTGGTCAGTGGCTTCAGGCTCTAACCAGTAACAGATATCCCTAATCGCACCTGAAAGTTGTTCAGTGTTTGATGGTACACACGTGGTGTGTGAGGTGTCGAGCTGCTCCCCTTGCGTGGGTGGCATAACCTCAATTCGCTTCCTAGTGGGCTTCTCCAGGAGACACCCGCCTGACACAGAATACACCGGTTCAACCCCCTATTCGCCTTCATGTTGAACCATCAAACATTGGCGCTGATCGCGGACATTGCCAGCTTCCTTTTTCACGTCAATGCACACCATCAAGCCTTCAGGCGGATCCATTGCTCGTTGATTGCACGTGCACATCATTGACGTATTGAGAATGATGCAAAGCCATTGACATGGATCGTTACTCTTTTCTCTTTGGTCCGCCTATCGAGCAATGAGTACGAGCACGGAAAGGCTCGTCTCCTCTGCGCCCTGACCCTGGAATGCTGGAATACTGGACTTTCGAAGTATTCTCGCGGATTGGTTGTTTGCTTAGACGAGCACCAGTTAAGTCAGACTCGTTTGGAATGTTTTCGGGCCAACTTTGCGTACCTGGGAATGGAGTACTCTGCATCACGAGATATTAGTTATTACCTCTTGCATGCGACGTAACACATGTCCTTCCTTCGTATGACAAGCGATGATATTCGTCCTATTCAATCAGCCAATTTTCCGTAGGCGGAACGTCAACCTCGTACGGGGGTAGTAAAACCTCAATATGGCCCGTTGTTGTTCGCCTGGGGGGAGTTGAGCACCTCAAAATTGCCATCCTACTCGTCATACAGGGTACTCGAGGTCAAATCTATTTATATTCATCCTACTTGGTATGGGGTACTCTGTACGTTGCATTTTATATTTCTTCGCGTTAACAACTACTCGGTAATCTCCTGGCTAAATCCGGCGTTCGGATCTGCCTCCATGAATTTGCTGGGTATCCCCTGCTCGGTCACGAGGGCCTCCTTGAGCCTCCTCACCCATCGTGGCCAGTATTGATATTTGTGGGCCCGTATTGTCGAAGAGTAGGGACTACTCGCCATTGGCACTGGGCAGCTCTCGCATCTCTCTGTGATACGTCAGCGAGGACTCACTTAGTATACCGATATGGTGTACAAGGGACCATGCTTTGCAATAGGAGTTATCCTAGCTGCAACCGTCCTTTTCCTCGTAGGCGCAACACTTTGATATGAATAACACCAATCCTCAGGTACAGGTTCAGAGCGGTCTTTCCTCCTTCTCCTTTTGGGAAGAAAGACTCCAGTCACCCTCCTATGAATCACAACGATCTAATTCCAACTCAGGTATTGTGCCCACCATTAACCATCAACGGATGTCCCTCCCCAAGTCAGCGTCACAACCTTATGGACACATCCCGTCGTTACTGGCAGCAAATTCCTCAGATTTGCAGGACATAAGTACTGCGCTTCCACGACAGTCAAGACGACTACATCAACACAGTGTTCTCGCGAGAATTCGGAGTCCGGCTCTAGAAAACTACTCTACACTGATCCTGCCGAGTTCCCTGCCCAGCGAGACTGCAAATTTAGTTGAGGACCTACAGAGCAGGCCGGACCCTAGTTAGTTCCAAGCCCCAGTCATGTCCTGATGGACCATCTCCTTTCACTGCGACTCAGTGTGGATATCTCCAAATGGTTATTAGCGGGCTTTGAAACGTGTACATTTGGTGCGTGACGATGGTTCACGTATGTGGTTCAGTGAACGGGCTCGAATAATTTTACATCCCATCATTAACCAAGGTCATTGTTTATCTTCAACTGATTCCCGTATTACAGCCAACTAGTAGGTGATATATTTAGCCTTGCGTCTGTTGCCACGCAGCCATCCAGAGCTGCACGGCTTGAACGAGCTCTCGCTGAGCATCAACCACAGCTGGCGGTGGTAGGTCTGCAGTGGTCTCGTTTGGAAACAACCCATTCTCCTCCCAGTGGTGGACTCCGTCAGGGATAAGGATAACAGGCTCGCTCCCAGTGCTTGAGCCGTTGAGTCGATCGGGGACATCGAGAGAAGCTAATGGAGTTGCTGGTCGCCAAGGGTCGGCTTCTCCGCCAATTATGGCCAGACGTGGGTAGGAAATATTGAAGCCTCCATATTTATTGACAGCTTCAAGATCCGGCGGTGATGTAATGTTGAATGCATACCGACAGACCAAGCTCAGATATTCCAAGGTTAGCAATCGAGATATAAGCGGCAACCGATCCTCTGGGACGCCGGACCCAGTTTGGAAGTACCCGTACTCAGTGCAAACTTGATATGACCAGGAAAGCGAGTCATAGTTGGAGATGTCCTTGTTCGCGTATTTGGCGGCCGAGCTGTTGTGGGAACCATAGCATTCGTCCAAGGAGTCCTCACAGGCGGGGACGTACTCGTCGTTAGTCCATGCAAACCAATTCAGCGCCCGGTTGGTCAGGATATCGCTCTCATTACCCCAGCCGCCGGCCTCAATCAAGGCGGCTGCTGTGGAGGTCTGATTTTCGTAGTCGGGCCAGAGAATCTCGTCAGAGGTTATGTTTCCGCAGTAATATGCAAAACCAGGGCTGCCCACTGCGGGATCCCAGTTGTTTGACTGCCAATAGCTGATTCCGCTCGATGCAACATTCGCAAAATCGTCGCTATACGTCAAATTCTGCAATCCGAAAGCATTTTTGAGTTGTTCGACTTCCTTGGAGTCATTCTTCTGTAGAATGTTGTCCAGGACATTGATCAATTTGACCTGGGTCGAAATGCAGTCGCTGGGAGCGTACTGTCGGACTGGCTCGTAGTACTGCCAATAATCGTAGATAGCCTCGGTGACACCTGAAGATGAGATGGCGCCCCAAGTGGCCTCAGGATAAAGCTCTCGCAGAAATGCGACGATTGCACCAGCGTACGACCCGCCATAAGCAATATGTGCGGTTCCGGGCGCTGTAAGGTTCAAATGTTCCAGTTCAGGGAAAACAACGTGGGATGAAAAATAGGCCTGGTCAGCCACGGCTTGATCAGTCGTCAAGAAGCGGAAGCTTTCAGTGGACAAGTTCGTAGTTGGGAAACTGGTTCCATAATATCTGTGTTCAAGTACAACTCCGATTCCATTAGTCGCCTGTGCCAGGATCGCAACGATACCCTTCTGAAGAAATGGAAGTCGACCAGTGGCATCGGTTTCACCACTTTGAAGTACAATCACAGGCCCGCCGGGTTTATAGTATTGTGCATCAAAGAAGTAGCGCAAGTTAAACGTTTCATCCGAGTGTGGCTCATATCGCGAATCATTGTGGAAATGATCAACTGGTACAGATATATTGTACCCGGGGTATAGTTCCTCAGGGTCAATATCACGATGCATCAGCCCATGAGGAGCCGGTCGCAGATTTCTTTGGCAGTCAGCGCTATAAAAGATGTCGTGCGATTGGAGAGAGAACATACTTTGAGATGACTACACCACATAAAGCACTGGCCGTCACCAGAAGTCCAATGGTCTTCATCTTGGAGATTCTACGCAGAGGAGGGAAGACAATCGAGGTACACAGCAGTAGAGTCAAAAGGCTGTAGAATATAAGGAAAAGCACCTCCATTTGATGGTTTGTACCACCATCGTGCCCTATTATCTCCATTCCTTGCCACAACGTCCTCCAACAACCCGCATTAGCGATGGCACGGTGCGGATGCAGATAGCTCTCAAGCGCCTAGCTTTGAAGGCGATGATGACACAGAACTGGGAGAAAATGCAACGTTGGAAAGTCAAGCATCCGGGTTTGACTTCAATGGGAAGGTGAGGAAAGATCGACGGAAGAATGCAAGGAACCAGTGAAGCCCTCGGTTGTGCCCGATTCGATAAAGAGAGCGGGTGAAGTCGTTCAGCCAAGGAGAGAGAGCTCGGGAAAAGCTAATCCCTGTGGTGGCGGGAGATAAGCTTGACAAGCAATCCATCGAAGCTGGCGCTCCACATAACGACCTTGCGTCACCTGCATTCGCAATCCTTTCGTGCTTCACGATTCTCAAGCAATATGGACTGCTCAATACCAACCAGAGCATTGCTAGCACTAGATCAAGCCTGTCATTTTATGCCTTGCGGCAGCCTGCGTTTTGTCACTTCGGTTAGCGAGCATGTCCTACGTGGCCAAGCAGTTCATGTTTCATGTCTGGAATTCTCAGAAAAGCAGGCTGGTTTGAAGGAGTTGATTCAGCTGCATAGCAGGTACTAATAACTACCTAGGTAAGTACCGAGGCAACAGCCTTGATTGCTATGTACCAGCACTTGCAATATCTAGGCGTGTTCCAACTTCCAATTGACTAATTACACACCTAACGACTCTGTTCTTTTCCTTATTGTCCGTTTGCCAATAAGACGCGCCCACCATCGACACACAGGCAGCTACCATCAATGTATGCCTGTATTTCCGAGGATTAGCTGTCGCCTTATCCGTTCTATCTTGGTTGAACTCACCCCTGCCTGGCTGCTGAGATAAATTACCGCTCCTGCAATGTCTTCCAATTTTCCAATGCGACCTGCTGGCATTGCTTTGAAAAGCTCTGCAAATTGATTGTTGCCTTCCTCAACCGGGTTCATCTTACTAGGCACAACTAGTCGTCTGTCAGTATCCTAGCAAGTTTCCGCGGGTGGTGGCATTATGGCTTACATCCAGGATTGATTGCGTTGACCCTGACATACCCTGGGGTTTCGAAATGCTCAGCATTGACACATGAAAATGACCCCTGCGAGAATGCAAAGGTCATAATACCCAAAACTCAACACTCACATTTTGCGAATTTTGTTGCCAACAATGCCACCAGATGATCAATGGCAGCCTTACTCGCGGCATAGCTGGTCAGATCAATATTGGTACAGTTATGCATGCTTGCACAGCTACTGGTGATGATCATGACACCTCGACCCACGTCTCTTCCGCGCATGCCATCTCCAAGCTCAAGATTGCTTGCGGCTACAAGAAGCTTCAGAAGGGCAACTGACAAGAAGTAATGTGCCGTTACGTTGACCTGGAAGGTATCATTCCAGTCCGAATGACTGGATGACCATAGAGATGCCTGGAGTTCATCCAATGATGCTGTTTTGACATTGCACATCTGCGGAGGGTCACGTCGAATCCCTGCATTTGAGCATAGTATGTCCAGGTGATCCTCGCGTTTCTCAATCTCCTTCGCGAGGTTGGAGATGCCTTCCTTGGTTGATAAGTCGCTCGGAAATCTATCAAACTCTCTTCAGCATTGACACAAAGACTGGAAGCTCGGGAACGCTGGAGATTACCCTATGGCTTGTCCACCAGTATCCTTGCCAAGATCCTGGAGCTCAGCAACAGCGCCGTCAATGTCGTCGGTTGGCAAAGCAGTCACATATACTTTGGCGCCATTTGCGACCAGCCCCTAGGTGAGCTTTTGAGCATACCATTCATTGACGCTCCGACACTCCACAATGCTTCACTCACCTTCGCAATCATCAATCCAATTCCACTGCATCCTCCTGTCACGAGAGCAATACGCCCCTCAACCCCAAACAAATTGGCTACGGAAAACGAAGACATAGTCTAAATCCGTTGAAATGCATTTTCTGCGAGTACTAAGAACAGTACGACTATTGTACTAATTCTGCTGTGACTATGCGAAGATCTGCGGCTCTAACTAGTCCACCTCCAAGAACTACAGTCGTACTTCTCCGTGGCCCGTTCTGGCCGCACGCAGAACTCCGCCATCTCGCTTCGTCATACTCCATCGATACTTCACTCACTTTGCTTCTTCGGCGGAGAGGACAGTATTATATATAGTACCTTCGGCCTCAAGAATCTCTTTCACTGTGAAGAAGTGCGGCTCTCTAATCACAGATCTAGTCAACTATCACAAGGGAGGGTGAAATGGCACCAAGTATTACCAGCTTCGTCGGGGCTTCCAATTCCAGTTACTTCCCATGGATTGTTGGATCTAGTCTTCTTATTCTTGGGCTCTACTGGGTATGACTCCAAGCATCTGAAATTATCAAAGCTAATCGGGAAAACAGTGGTCGACCAGGACTGATATCCCCAAGATCAAAGGAATACCAGAGATCCCTGGCGCGTTGCCCATATTTGGCCACCTCCTACAGCTCGGTGAAGACCATGCGACAGTTTGTGAGAGTTGGTGGCGCAAATACCGCCAGTCCGTTTTCCAGATCCGGCTAGGAAATACTCGGGCTGTTGTGGTCAGTTCATTTGATGATGCCAAGCAGATGCTGGTTGGCAATCAGACCGCTGTCATTGATCGACCTACGCTATACACTTTCCATGGCGTGATCTCATCTACACAAGGCTTCACCATCGGCTCGAGCCCCTGGGACACCTCCTGTAAGAATAAGAGAAAAGCCGCAGGTCAAGCACTTGGTCGTCCTGCGATGAGAGGTTACTTTGATATGTTTGATCTCGAGTCTTACTGTATCGTGCGAGATCTCCTCAAAGACAGCAAAAACGGCGCCGTCGAAATTGGGGTACGCCCATACATCCAACGATTTGCGCTCAATACTACACTGACCCTTTGTTACGGAATACGTATGGACAATGTGTACGACGAGATGCTCCGAGAGATTCTGCATGTTGGCTCTGCCATATCTCTTCTGCGATCTGCCTCAGAGAATTACCAGGACTACGTTCCGATATTGCGATATCTCCCCAACAATGAGAAAAATCAGCGCTCAAAAGAACTCCGCGATCGTCGCGACAAATATCTGAACTTTCTGCTCAACAAGGTTAGAGATAAAATCAAGAAAGGCACTGACAAACCCTGCATCAGTGCAGCAATTCTGAAAGACGAAGAAACCAAGCTTACAGGCGTGGAAGTCTCATCGATTTGTTTGTCGCTCGTCTCTGGGGGATTCGAAACCATTCCCGGCACCCTTACTTCCTGCATCGGCTCGCTTGCCACCAAAGAAGGTCAAATCTTCCAAGATCGTGCGTATGAGGATATCATGCGATATTATCCAGATTTGGATGCGGTCTGGTCCAACAGCTTTCAAGAAGAAAAGGTCCCGTATGTCAATGCCATTATCAAAGAAGCGGCAAGATACTATACTGTCAGTGCAATGTCTCTACCCAGAAAAACTGTCACAGAGGTGGACTGGAATGGGTCCAAAATCCCGCCGAAGACGATGATACTCATCAATGCACAAGCAGCAAATCACGACGTGGATCATTTTGGTCCGTCGGGAGCGGTGTTCAACCCAGAAAGATGGCTAAATGATGAATTTGTTTCAAATCCAACGAGCAAAACACCTGAAGAAAAACCAAGTCAAGGAATTCAACACTTCTCTTTTGGCGCTGGCTCAAGAGCTTGCTCTGGACAATATATTGCCAGCAGACTTCTGTACACAGCATTGATCAGAATACTGTCTTGCTATAAGATTGTTGCAAGCGAAACGGAGCCGCCGAACACGGACTATGTCGACTACAACCAATTCAAGTCCGCACTTGTGGCCATTCCTCGGGATTTCAAAGTCAAACTCGTTCCTAGGCATGATGAAAGTGTCATTCAAGAAGTGGTGGCCGCTGCCGCCAACAGGACAAAGGATTACTACGCTGAAGATGATTGACATGGCTTGAATAGTGGCATGGCGCTTGTAGAAAGGTTTCGAAAAGGAGGCTGTTTTGTGCAGGTTATGAGATTCCTGGTTTGCATACAAGGATTCATGTCTATAGTATGGTGAAAATGTTGTCGATTCTGCGCTGTACATCTAATGCAAAACAACACTGTCCCCGACGTGACTCGAATTGCTGGGGTGAGACTACCCAGTGGCTATCTTTGCTATCCAGCCCGACTCCCCAGTACTCCAACTCGGAGACCAGTGGATGACCACACATCCTCGGTAGCGATAGCTGAGTAGGGCTCGACTGACTCGGAAACTCGCTTGCTCGTGACGGGGTGTCTTTCCCCATGAGAGTGACCCCATCTTTGCCCAACTCAGTTCTCACCACCCAGCCCGCCTCCCCCAGGTTTTTGAGTTCATTATGAAGCTTGGCACTTGGCATGCTTCTGGTTTACTCTGACTTGAAACTGAAGGTTTACGCAGCTCTCATTGTTGAGCTACGACTTGTACCAGACAAGACATTGACCCAAGAGACGGCAATGCAGAGGCAAGCAAAGATATTGCTTCAAGGTGTCTGGCTTTGGCCTGAGCAAGCGAAGCCTTTAAGGACAAGAGCCCGCCCAGCCGTAATCCACCACAAGGCGGAGTATCTGTGGATTAATTGGAGCTCATATACTCCAGTCCCTGGTTAGCTTCATGTCGCCAAGAGGCTTTTACATCACTCTAGATGAAGGCCAAGGCTGAGTGCGTCTTTGTCAACCCTGACTGGGCACGGGAATCCTGTTCAATTGATATTGACCTCGGAATATCCCTGTACTGACCTCGAGGATGCCTCGGAGTATGGTCGAGGTCAGGCAGTGTCTAGACTCGGCACTGGGGAAATCGGGGTTTCCCCAGCTACAAAAGTACTTGATGTCTTCCTCGACGAGAGAAGGCCTTTCTCGTCCATCCTAGTGTTCATTTCCTGCGGGAAAACTTCGAGAGGCAGTGGAAGGATCCTACATCGATACTCCATAGAATGGCTGAGAAAGTTGAGAGACCGGTCGACGAGATCGAGAAGACCTCATCTCATCAAGATGTCCCTGAGGAATTGGACAATAAGACTCATGTCCTTGAAGATTGGACGCCAGAAGAGGAACGGAAGCTAGTGTAAGTGCAGTCTTCCTGCTTTGCGTGCTTCTCTCGAAGGGTAGGGCTGACCCCATATTAGTCGCAAGATTGACTTCCGTATTCTGCCTTACCTCTCACTCGTCTTTGGGTTGTCGCTCCTAGATCGTTCGAACATCTCGGCGGCTTATATTGCGGGAATGAGCAAGGATCTCGAACTCACTATTGGTAGGTAGGCCGTGCCAATAATCTTACGGCGAAGGAAGCTCATTTGGACTCCAGGAAGTCGTTATTCGATTGCACTTTTACTGTTCTTTCCCACTTATGCGATCTGTGAGATTCCAAGCAATCTGGTAAGTTATGTTTGACTCAACGAAGAAGACTTGGTGAGCTAAGTCGTCTTTAGATTATCCGGCGCATCGGAGCGAGGTGGTGGTTGACATTCCTCATCGTTTGCTGGGGAGTCTGCGTCCTAGGTGGGTAGTTTGGAGATCATTCCCCCAAACTCTACTAATCTGACTTGCAGCAATGGGTTTTGTCCGATCCTGGGTTCCGTTGACAGTTCTACGTATGCTTCTTGGTATCTTCGAGGCTGGATGTAAGTTTCACTGTTGTATTTCTTGCAGCCACGCCTGACATCCAATGAAGTATTCCCGGGAGCGATATTTATCATCTCAGCATGGTATAAGACCTATGAGACCGCAAGACGTGTCTCGATATTCTACATGGCCTCGCTGCTTGCCTCGGGATTCAACGGTATTGTATGTGCGCTCTTAAAATGGACATTGCTCGAGACGTCGACTGATATATCACAGATTTCATACTTACTGTCCTTGATCCGCTCCGGTGACGGCATTTACAGGCAAGGTTAGCTTCACAAAACAAATTTCCCTTTGGAATCTCCTGTATTGACTTATATCTAGGATGGAGATGGATATTCATTGTCGAAGGAGCAATCACTATTGGCTGTGGTCTCCTTGCGCCCTTCTTCCTGGGTGAATGTAAGTTGAGAAACAAGATTCGGACTCATATGGATCACACGACTTACATTTCAACAAGTTCCCGAAAAGACTCGCTGGCTCACTGACCGTCAACGACATATTGCCACATTGCGGATCGCAAATGAACGATCTGGCCGTGAATACGAGCACCCAACCCTTTGGCAAGGATTGAGGTTACTGATGGACTGGAAAGTTGGTGTATAGTATGTTGAAACTCCACCCCCGATGAGCAATATGCACACATCCCAAATTCGATGGTTGACTTTGCTAATTCTGGAAACCTTCCTAGTGCTCTGCAATACTACATTGCTGCATCTTCAGTCTACTCGCTTGCATATTTCATCCCGATCATTCTGCGCCAGGGAATGGGCTTCAGCTATGCATTATCTCAGATCTTGACGAGTCCGCCATACGTATGTTGTCGGTGTACTGCTCAACTAAACGGGCTCTCATCGCTAACCATGCACCTCGATAGCTCTTCACTGTTGCGATGTCGGTTCTCAGCGCTTGGCTGTCAGACAAGATGAAATTGAGATGGCCGTGAGTAATTGCCACAATCAATGCAGTTAACTGTTGCTAATTCTTCATCAGCTTCCTCTGTGGGCATGCCGCTGTCGGGTAAGTCGACTTAAATACGGAGACCACCTTTGCTACGTTCCCTTCTCCCAATTTCTTGAAAGCCCTTCACAAAATCAACAAGCTGACCACCAGTATCTTTTGCGACAACAGAATCGTCGGCCTTCTCATCGTCCTCTACGCCAAACCTCCAGGCGTCCGCCTATTCGGCATCTTCCTTGCTGTTTTTGGTACGCAAGCCAATATACCCGGCTCACTAGCCTACGGACAGAACCAGACCGCACTACCGCATAAGAAGGGACTAGTGGCCGCCGCAATGATCACTGCCGGAGCTGCAGGCGGGATTACTGGGTCGACCATCTTCCGTGCTCAAGATGCCCCATTGTACATCCCAGGCATGTGGGCGACTATAGGATTTCAGTTCCTGTATTTCTTTGGCACTATGGGCATGAGCTTGTGGTTCACTAAGAAGAATCGCGAGGCGGATGAAAAGGGTGTTGTGCTGGAGGGTGTCCCGGGCTTTAGATATGCTCCGTGAGTGAGCGCGAGTTTGATTTGCTAGGCGGAAATACGTGTCAGGTAGGACATGTATCTGGTCTCCAGGCATAAGTTGGATGACTCGTGAAGGGTATGAATGACGGTTTCTCCGGTCCAAGGCAGGCGGATATGAGATACCAGGGATCTTGTTCGAAGCATTCGGTATCATCCTCTACATCGATTATATGAAGGGACGATACCCTGAAAGACCATTAAACATAGCCCAATATGATACTGAATACATAGATGTCATTGGGAAACTCAAGCAATCGCTCCCCCGTATCATCCCGGTGACAAGACTTCCTATCAACGCAAATCATGATGCTGAACTAACTCTGGCGGCAACATATGTTCCAGCACTCCTGTCGATCACGGGCTTCCTAGTAATAACGGTTATTTTTCCAGCACGGAAACGAAGGCGTCGGAGAGCCCTAACTGTATCGGTTAAAATTCTGCATCCATGGGGTCTGTCCAATCAGCACCACAACGGACATATGCGTCGTTGACGTGGTGTGCATCGGGGTGAACTTTACGCCTCCTCGCCCGCGGACATGATCGAGAGCGGATGCTGATTGGCTAATCGATCGCTATCACGGGCTACGGCACCTCAGCCTTGCCAACTGCTCGGAGGTTGATAAGGAGAGTGGATGGGCATGGGCATGTCTAAGTATATGTAGACCTGAATCCTTGGTCAGAGCTTGATATTGCTTGTATCCTCCGCCGACTGTCTTTTACAGCTTACGCTTACTACCAGAGTGAAGGAACTAACTAGTCAGCGGATCGGCCGTCGAATGAGGGATTCGAGGTGACATCAATTGATCAGCGAGGTTGCATCCCCAGACTCCCCAGCCAGCTAAAGCGAAGACACAAATATCAAGTTGGCGCAATTAGACTCATTCAGAACGGACGTTTTCAAAATCGCATATAACCATTCATAATGTCTGACCCAGTACCCGAGGGCCCTGAAATCTCCACGGATGTGCTCATCGTCGGCGCCGGGCCTGTCGGCCTTAACCTAGCCTATCAACTACGACGCTTTTCTTCACCACCCGTCAACAACGACAGTCGGCAAATCTCAGTGCACATCATCGAGAAGTACCCCAAGCCCGTACAAGAAACATTCGGCCGGGCCGTCACATTCTGGCCGCGGTCGATGGAAATGCTCTCGCAGCTTGACCTTGCCGAACAAATCACGCAGCAGTGCGTTGCGGTGAGGTCTAGCGCGGCATATGACCCACAAGGGAATGAGGTCTTCGGTAGAGGATGGAGTTTTCTGGAAGGCATTGAGGACACGAGGTTCAAGTTTGCAAGTGTTCTGAGACAAAGGTATGTGGAGGATATTTTCAGAAAGGAGTTGAGAGATTTCGGGGTCGAAGTCAGCGAGGATCATGCATTTGTCGATCTGGAAATAGATGAGACAAAGCCAATCGGTGAAGTTGGGAGGGTCAAAGCCAAAATACTTGACTCAAGTGCTGGAGTGGGAAAGGAAAGAGAATACATTGTAAAGTGCCGGTACCTCATAGGGTGTGATGGTACAAGAACATTGGTACGTGGAGCCGCTGGGATCGACTCAGATGGAGACAGAACGGAAGATAAATGGGTTCGCATCGACGGAGTACTCAAATCAACGACCATGCCAAAACCAAGGGCATATGGAGCAATCGAGAGCCCCGTATATGGTAATGTGCTCTGGATACCGCTAGATCATGGAGCGACGAGGATAGGATATGCACTGAACGACGAAAGGAGAAAGTTGTACAAAGAGCTCAACCGAGAAGCATTCATCGAAGAAGCCAAAGTTGCTGTGAAGCCATTTGACATCGAGTATGAACGAGTTGATTGGGCGAGTGTTTACACTGTTGGACAGAGGGTTGCACAGAACTTTTCGGCAAAGGGGTCTGTTTTTCTTGCGGGAGATGCTGCGCACAGCCATTCGAGTGGAGCAGGTCAGGGAATGAACGCCGGAATGCACGACGCTGCCAATCTTGGCTGGAAGATGGCTTTGGTGTTGACAGGAGCACTAAAACAAGAAGTTCTGGACACTTATAACAGCGAAAGACAGCCGAACTCACGGAAGCTAATCAAATATGACGAGGACATAAGTGTTCTGGTGACCGGCCGATTGCCAAAGGGATACCAAGGAGACAAGACCGAAGATCCCAACGTTGTTCTTGGACGAATATTGCAAGAGGCAAAAGGTTTCAACACTGGATTGACCATTGGATTTGCGCCCAACCTGGCAGTCTGGAGAGACGATGCGGATAAACCACAGGATGAGATTGACAAGAGATCCATTATACCAGCACCCGCAATCGCAGGGTACCGTGCACCAGACATCCAGGTACTCGTACCCGCCCTGTGGGAGCCTGTCTGGCTCCAGAGCCTGATGCGGAATGTTGCTCAATTCCACATCCTGATTTTCGCGGGCAAGGGACAACACGCCCGAGATGCTTTCCTGAGTTTCAAATCCGATCTCGAGAAGAATCAGAACATCGCCAAAGCAAGCATCAATCTCACCAACAGGGTATTGGTTAATGCAAATGGGGTTGGCGTTAACGGCGATAGCAAGCACCCACAACTCTGGCCAGTCGATTTCCTGACCATCCTTCCTGAGAAGGTTGGCAATGCATGGTTCGAATTGGGCACCGATCCGATAGGCAAGGTGTATTACGACGGTGATGGAAGCGCCAATGCCAGATATAACGTGGACATCGAGTCAGGTGCAGTTTTCGTGATCAGGCCTGATGGCTGGATAGGGGCTCGGCTTGACTTGACATCGGCCAACTTGGCCGTTGATGTTGATACCTACCTGGGTGCGTTGCTGCATCGATAGCCGCATCTATTGCGACCTCCCGTTCACTATGATATAGTTAGCTTCTAGAGAAAACATCAAGTTCGCTCTCAATCAGGGGTAGTTACTTCCCCACTTCGCTTGACATCCCCAATGACACCACATATCGCAGATGCGCGTCGCGCGTTCCGGCGCATTTGGAGAAGCACGCCATCTAAATATGGAAGCCCGGATATGGACGACAGGCTTATCAGTGCCTATCACGGTCTTGTCCGTGGCCGCTCACGGCCAATGACGAGGATGTCGGCCAACTCAGATCTTAGCCTTTGATACAACACTACCGGCGATAAACTAGCTTTATGTAGCAGCAGGAGTTTGCGGGGTCGAGAGGGAGGATGGGAAAAAGGATCTGAGTTCTTTCTTGCCATCTGGCTTGCTGTCACTGGAATAAGATGGACGGCTTTGACTTGCTGATCATCAATGGCTTGGTCGTGACGGCATCTGATACAGCCAACTATGACATCGCTATCAAAGATGGAAAGATCGCTCTACTCGCACCTCCTGGGTTGCTTGGAGCAAGCAATGCTAAGCGGGTGATTGATGCTGAAGGTGGTTATGTGATGGTATAGTCAAACGTCCATCCTACTAGTCGCGTCGGGACCACAGCCACTGATGCATATACCATTAGCCCGGTGGGATCGATTGCCATGTTCACCTCGAAGAGCCTGCACTATTTGGAGGCAAAGGAAGGAGCTCGGATAATTTTGAGTCTGGTCAGTCAAGATAATTGGGCCAAGAAAGAGAAAGGCATAAGTCTAAATGCAATCAGGGACGAGAAGTGGTATTTGTGGAGGAACAACCACCATTGTGTGAGTCCATCATTTACACCTGAGCCAGCCTCTTTGCGACAAACACTGTGCTGATAACGAATGTTAGAGCCTTTGCGCCACAACCGAAAACGAGCCCCTCTCTCCTCCAAGTCCTCGAAGATACGCACGCCCGAGCAGAAGGGAAATGCTATACCGATTACTCCTTCCATATGCTCGTAGGTCACCCGGGCGAGCAAGCCTTGTCAGAGTTTCCCCGGCTTCGGGAGTTGGGCATATCATCCTTGAAGATATACATGACATATGAGGCACTGCAACTGCGCGATGACGAGATCCTGGACGTGCTACTGGCATCGAGGAAGGAGGGTATCACTACTATGATCCACGCCGAGAATGGTGATGTGCTGAACTGGATGACGAAGAAGCTGGAGGAACGAAAACTGTTTGCGCCCAAATATCACGCTACGTCACGGCCACAGATTGTCGAGACGGAAGCCACTAATCGTGCGATTTCTTTGGCTGAGTTGATTGATGCGCCAATGTGGGTTTTCTCATGGCCAGAAGACCTTGACCGTGGAAGCCGTGCTAACGTTTGAATTCATTACTACAGTCTTGTGGTGCACGTCTCGTCGCCGAGCGCAGCAGCTCATCTTCGCAATGCTCAAACTCGAGGTCTCCCGGTCTACGCCGAAACTTGCCCACAGTATCTATTTTTGACACGCGAAGATCTCGACAAGCCGGATTTTCAAGGAGCGAAATGCGTATGTTCGCCTCCACCGCGAGAATCGTCTAACGACCACGATGCAATTTGGCTCGGCCTTGCCAACGGCACTTTCACCGTCCTTTCCTCTGACCATTGCCCTTTCATGTACGAGGATGTTGAGAAAGGGAAGAAAAGCATCATCAGTGAAGAATATCCCGAGGGACGCTTCAGTGGCATTCCGAATGGGATTCCGGGCATCGAAACCCGGCTGGCGCTCACATTGAGTGCGAACAGACTGCCGCTTCAGAAGTTCGTTGAGGTTACAAGTACGAATGCTGCACGCTTGTACGGCCTCTACCCGCAGAAGGGTACGATCCTGCCGGGAGTCAGTGACGCGGATCTCAATATCTGGTATCCTCCTGGGAAACTGGAGCCGTTCAAGCTAACAAACTCGATGCTACATCATAACGTGGACTACACACCATTCGAGGGGAATGAGCTGAATCAGTGGCCGAGGTACACCATTCTACGGGGTGAGGTGGTCTGGGACAGGGATGGTGGAGGTCTTCTGGGTGAGAAAGGCTACGGAAAGTTTGTGCAGCGTGGGAAGAGTACGCTGCCGGGACCGAAACGAGAAGGTGATTGGGATGTGAGTATTTATTGAAGTAGCGCGGTCCTACATATTCAAATACGCGGGGGTTCTTTGCTCTACCGCTAAATACTTTCCAATCTAATCTTCCAACGTTCATGGGTTGCCAAGGACCCCATCACAAGTCTTTGTTGTCATTCTACGTAGTCCACTTATGACTTCTCGACATCTTCTGTCTGGGAGATCGAAGCTCGCTTCTCCCCAAATTGCTTGAAGCGTTGCTCTTCATCAGAGGCACTCTGGTGAAGCACGCGTCTGTGATTTGCATTCAGACCCATCAGTATGCGAGGTTCATCGAAGAACTATAGTATCCAATATAAGCTGAAAGTTCAGTGTAAAAGAGATTGAGTTTTGCTTACCATTTGATCGACTTGCTCGAGTGTACGACCTGAGGTTTCGACGCCGAAGAAGTATGTCAGGGGAATGAATGAAGCGCAGACGATTGCCCAGATCCAGAAATAATTTCCCCCAATATTGTCTAGGCCGATCTGTAATTGACACATGGTAAGTCTCATGGTTCAAATGGCACGAAAGTGAGAAGAGAGAAAAATACGGGACTCGACTTACAGGAGTAACCATCACAACCACAAAATTCGACATCCAGTGACTGAAGACTCCCACAGCAGTTGACTTGTTCCGTACACGGAGAGGTTGAATCTCTGCCGAATAAGACCACGACACGGGCAAGATACCCATTGTAAAGCAATCCAGGTATAAAAATATGAATGCCACTGCAGCCGCTGTTGCAGAATGTGTTGTCTTCAGAAGACAGCCCGCGATAATAGCCATGCAAATGGCGCATCCAGCAGATGAGTAGATGACCGTCCAACGACGTCCAATGCGGTCGATGTAGAAATATGGTGGCCAGGAGAAGATGGCATATTGCGTGAATGCGACAGAGGCGAGAATCAGAGCCATACTTTGCGAATAATCCAGATATTCTTGTAGGATATAAGCGCAGTAATAACAGACCGAGTTGATGCCACTCCATTGATTCATCATATAAGGTCCCATGCCGAGGAGAACTCGTTGAAGGTTTCTGGCTCGTGTGGCGTTGCTAAATACCTCGCTCCATGTAGGTTCTTCTTCGGTATTTTCGGCGGCAATGTTCTCCAAGATCTCCGAAAGTTGGCCTTCCACTTCATGGTCTTCATCTGGCTTGTCTAGGAGGCAGGCAATGACGTGTCGAGCTTTGTCCTTCTGTCCGTGTTGTGCCAACCACCTTGGTGTCTCGGGAATCCAGATGCATAGGACCAGGACGATGAGTGAGAATAAGACTTGGCAAGCCACTGGAAAGCGCCATTGCATGGAGTTGTTTGCATAAAGGGTTGCAAAGCAAAGCCATGATGCTATGGCAACTCCGATAATAATGAGAGCAGACTGCACTACCAGGAGTGCGCCTCGATTGTGAGCTGGGAGGGTTTCCGATTGTAGAATTGGGACAGCAACTGTGCTTAGACCGACACCAACACCGGCGATGATGCGCGAGGCGAACATTTGCCAGTAATTGTAAGAAGCCGTCTGAATTGTGGCACCGACAATGACGATCACATTTGCCCAGATGATAGATCTTTTCCGGCCAATTTTCTCTCCATAAACAAAGGCACCAACGGCTCCCAAGGCGCACCCGATATCATAGATTGCTGTAACGAGACCACTCATGGTAGGGTTCGGCTGGCCAAGCATCTGCTGGAATCGCTCACCAGCAAGAATACCACCAAAAAGACCTTGGTCATAGCCGAAGAGGAGAAAATCAACCCCAGAGGTGATCAGAATGATAAAGATAAGGGACTTCCCTCTGAGCTCGATGAAAGGCATGATGTCTTCGTTGTTTGCGCTTGCGGATGAAAATTGAGGAATGGAAGCATGAGCCTAGACAAATATCCCACGAGGATACTGAAGGTTATATATGTCGCCTACCAGTTCTTATCCTCAGTCATTGCAACAATGTGGGGAGACAATCATGTAGTGACAGGCCCACAGCGAAAGTTCTGCTGAATGGCTGACATGGCTATTGTATGCCGGTATTGAGTGTTTGATCCGGACGGGTATACCCTGGCTTAAGTGACAATGGATAGGCATCGCATTGCCTGATGCGGCAACCCGTTGTTAGCCAGAGTGTAGCATCTAAATGCTATAGTACCAGTCCGCATGTTCGAAAGTGGATCCAAATCCACTGTTGTCGTTACGAGTCAGAAACCCCAGACAGCTGACTGCTAACAACAGGGTTCGGCTTTTGACAACCTTCAACTCGCTGTTGAGACATGTTCTGGCAAATTTGCGGCTCTTCCATTATCCCTAAAGCTCTCGGAAGAACTATTGAAAAGTCCATACAAGCCATAAAGAGGCGGTATTGAGCATATCCGCCCGCTGTTACAGAAAAGTACCCCCGATCCACCGGTAGCTGACTATTGAGGCGGTCAGTAGAGACGAAAAAGAAGGTGGAGGGTGGAGGATGTTGTGGAGACTATTTGCAGCTGACCTGGAGATCCTTAGGCTATTGTGGTTGGGGTTGTGGACTGCGGAGAAGCAGTCATGCAATGCCTAGTAACGATAATCCTAACCGTCGAAAGGAATTAAGACCACGGTATTCCGAAAATGGTTATCCGGTCTCCTATACTTCCTGGGCGCCTAGCCAGAGAGACGTCATGGATCAAGGGGTAAGAGGAAGCGCATGAAAGGTGAGCTGATCATTGCTGCCGACTAGCGTGCGCATCCACTCGGGGAGAAGTGACCTTGTTTCCTTCCCATCGCCAAGGTGATAAAGAAGACAAGATTAAAGGTTTGACTCCGACCAAAGTAATGGTTGTGACTGACGCACAGTAAGAGGCTGAGGATATCGACCTCGAAAGGAGATACCGATGAAAAGGAGTTAGATTTAGCCGTTGCTACGGCAGCTACGATGAGAGAGTGGACCTTCCGGATTGAGTTACTGGTAGCAGACAGCGTACTATGACAAGCCATGTACAAGAGTGCATGTGATGGTCTCAATACCAACACAGAAGGACCTGCTCAGAGGCTGCTCCGTCCATTCCTCGAAAATCGGTTGTTTCGTCAGCCCCTGCCGCTGTTTAGCGACCGCTGGGGGTGATCGCCCGAATTCGGCCGCTCTGAGCATGAGAACCACTCTACGTGTTGAGCAGATACTCCAATACTCAAGCTCGATCCCACGTTCATCACACTCGAGGACCTGGTCGCCTCGCGAAGATTGCTGATAAGGTCAACGCTTGTGATCATCTATCCTGAAATGAATAGGTTTGAACGATCCTCCATTGGATTGTAATGCCGAACATGCTGTAAGGCCCATGATCAAATCCATCTCTGCGCGAAACACAATACGGTCACCCGCCTTGCTTGTTGGCGGATCGACCTTCAACTCCCCTGTCTCCCCATCTACCCGAACATTCATGAAGCAGTTAAACGCGACAGGTATGCAGTCCGCATCAATTCCAAAAGGCTGTAATGCTTCAGCTAAGTTTCCAAAGCACCCTTGATGTGGCTCCTTGTCTCCGTAGATGATTCGGAAGGTATCTTTGCTGCACGGAGTGAGTAGGAAATCGTGTCGTCCACATGTGTCCTCGACGATACGGAGCATCACGTTGCTTCGATTCGAGTACAATGGGTCTGGCGTTGTGAGGAATATCCGGCTTGCATAGTCTAATGTGCGACCTGAAGATATGACCTCTTTTGGGTCTTGAGCGTTGTAAGCTAGGAGGTCGGATACTTGTCCTCCCTTTGGATCGATGACTGTCAGAAATTGACCTTTCTCAAGTTTGAATCCAAGGCCAGATCGAACGGGTATCTCAATCGTCTCACTCAGAGGAGTGGTAATGTTTGATACCATATTGATGGGAGAACGTCTACTCGTGATGGCGGGGTTGACGGAGACTACCTACCTATTGTTTACTCCGAGGAAATGCCAAAGATACTTTGTAGGTTGCTGCCAAGGCTGTCCTCCAGACCGTCGCTCTGTGCTACTGAGGTCAATAGTGGATATAATATCCGATCCCACAATCGTCATTCACACATCAGTCATGCTTGCGTCATGATCGCAAGACGAGGTGCTTGGGCTTCTACTCAGGTGCGACGGGGTGAAGAAACACCTTCAACTACAGATTATGAATTAATCCTAAGACAAGTGTACACCGGTTCTCAGCCGTGAGCACCTAGGTAGATGTACATAAATACACACGAGCTCTCTCAGACTGCCGATTTAGTCTGAGAAACAGATTCCTGGTAAGCTGTGTGTTTGCTTGCTACCTGCTCTTCCAATACCACGATGACTAGTCTGGTACGTGAAAGCATTATGCTAAAGAAGTACGCCCTAAGACTGTTGAACATAGAAGCATTCTAATTACTTCAAATCAAGGTCTCCAAATGGACAGTGCGCCGTCTCATTCTCATCAAGCAAATAATACTGATGGGCCTCAGTGGAGCCCTTGCTACCATACGCAGCCAGGTCAGGGCTGATTTCGATCTGGTCATATGCAGGCATTAGTTTCCTGACGGCTTGTACAGCCCGTTCGCGAGTCTCAGGCGTCTTGAAAAGTTTGTTGAATACCCATTTTGGTTGCACAGCGATTGTGAAATTCTCTGCGCGGCGGGACTGGCGTTGCTTATGCGCGGGTGTCAGCGCGGCCAGGAACCACGGTACACCGTCAAAGCAGAACGTCCATTCGCTTGCATCAGTCTTGGTTGGAATATCTTTTGGCCATGCTTCGAGGTCGCACAGGCGTAAGCTGCGGAGGACGGCCCAGAATTTGTGACGGTACTCTTCGACTGAAGAACAATCGGCTGAGGGGGGGTGGACGAGGAGGAGGCTGGTGTTCTGGCCTAGGGAGTGGGATAGCGGGTAGTATGCACGAAGGGCATTGGCTATCAGGCGGATGTTGCTGGGTTGTTCGGGGTCGGCAGAGTGCATGAACAGGAAGCGATGCTGGTTCTGCTTGAAGCCAGCAGTTGCGTATATGCAAGGGAAGTTCTGTGCTCCATGGCCTTCAGCTAGGAGGATTGATTGAATATTGTCATAGGCTTGTCTGCGCCAGTCACCATATGGAAGAGCTTCACATTGTGCTCTTAAAACATGGTCAGATACGGGCAGGGTATAAAGGATAGCGTCGATTGGATCTTACTTGGTCATAAGATCCCGATCGTCGATCTGGATCACTCGTTCCGTCCTACTAGCCCCATCCTTGACAGAACCTGGGGAAGAGCCTGGAGGTTTTGATAAGAGTGTTCGAGTGACGACTCGTTCCAATGGTGATTTCAGCCTTGCCGTGGAGCTTGTAGCTATGGCGGTTATGAAACCTAGTCCAAATATAACAGCGCAGAGAGCTACCAACATTTTTGTTTACAATCGAAGCATTCCTCAAGGTATATGTGCTGAAAACTCCTCCATCGTGGGATACTCGAGAGTTATCTATTGTCGCGCAGATGACGTTCAGACCTTTCATTCCCACAAGATCATGACGATGAAATCGGATCTGGAATTCCTTCCCCAGGATCTTGATCGTGCTAGATCATGACGAGTTCATGACCCATAAACACCGAAAGGAGAGTCCTAGGAATTGTGACATCCGGGTTTTGCTTCCGTGTATCCATAGATACCTAGGCACATACCTCATGACAGAATTTATAGTGCCTTTAATTGGATTGGAAAGCACGGATTATTTGTTCTTGCGGTGGCAATTGGGGGTTTCGATGACGTGAACCAACTCCTAAAAGAATTAAAGAATTCAAAATGATCACCCATACAGGTTGAAACTGTGGTTCATTCTAGTTCACGAGTAGTGGGACTTACCTTGTTATTGTGAGCCTGACATTTAGTCTCCTTGTGGGCGGGTGACCTGACAGTGGAAGTCCAACTGAGTGAATTGGTGTCCTCAACGAACGAAAACTCCCGACCTGCGCGGAAATACGTTGTGGATGATGGGTGTGCTTACCTATGCCCTCTATGCTATGGACGCTCTTCGTCATTGTCTTGGAAACCGAGGTCAAGAGTGGTAAATGCGTCCATCAAGATCAGTCTTGAGATAAATACCTAGTCAGGTACGGGGTACAGAGTAGGGTTGCACTACAAGGTGATCAGGAGAACGGCCGCGAATAGGGTTTCAGGAGGTCAGCACAGATGGATCCCCAGTCCCCGCAGTACACCGACTGATGGTGAGCGAAAGAACCGAGGCAAGTGCGCACGCCGTATCCGTATCCACCAATTCATGGCTTACATCTCCAGCTGTGCTGCACTGGTCTCCAGCAGTATAAATCCAATCGTGATGACTTGATGTGAATGATACTTAGCGGTGTTGAAAAACGCATCAGTCTTGGACGTGATATCGAATACCAAGTAGTTCCTCGACGAAATGGTTGACGCTAGCGCCTCCTTCAAGATATATTCGAGAGCAGTGGAACGAAAGCCGTTGCCAGAGGATCCAGTCCTGCGGGCAGATATTGAGCATGTCTTACACCATGGGTATGTAATTATCCCGAACGCTTTCACCAAAGCCGAAGCGAAAGAAGCTAGAGATGAAATTGTTCGACTTCTGGGGGAAGAACCTCTTGGGGGAAGAAACAACTTTGAAGGTATCAACACGAACAGGATATACTCGCTGTTGAACAAGAGCCGAGTGTTTGATAAATTTACAATCTTGCCACGAGTCCTGGCGCTCAATGACTATTTCCTGGATCCTGGATACCTCCTTTCGGCACTCCACACCATCTCAATCAACCCAGGAGAAAAGGCTCAAGCACTGCATCATGATGATGGCTATATCCAATTCCCAAGACCCAGATTGCCTTTTGGTTCCGCGATCATGGTGGCATTTGACGAATACACAGTGCAGAATGGTAAGGCTAAGCTTGATTGGCATATGGAGAGATTCTCGCGACTGACAATCAGTGATAGGTGCCACACGAATTATCCCGGGGTCGCATAACTGGGACAGTAATCGAAGGGGCACGCCGGAGGAGACAATACCAGCATTGTGTCCAGAGGGCGGAGTGGTGTATTTTGTCAGTACTTTGTGGCATGGTGGAGGAGCCAACGTCTCGAATCGACCACGGCAAAGTGCGACCGTGCAGTACTGCAATCCTTACATTCGACCCATTGAGAATCAGATTCTGGCTGTCGATCCACGGAAGTTGGATAAGATCGACCCAAGGATTGTGGACATGATGGGATACAAACACATGGAGCCATTCATGGGCTATGCTGATGGATTGGGACCCCGACGGGCTGCAAGAAGGATGGTACGATGGTTACAAAATGACGTCGATGAGAACCCTCCGACATTTGCTCACGAGGTACGTGAGTCCAAGATATAAGATTGCATACCTAGGTAGTGTACCGAGCAAGGAGGAAGGCATGATTGTGAGAGGACCATTAGCAAATGCCATCACGTGACGATCACGTGATTATTGATATTCACGTGATGGGTAATCAAAAATTGTGCTGGAAAAGTGATGAAAGCAATAGTGAGGTACCTACTAGTACCTAGGTAGATGCCACTGATTCCCAATTGCTCAAAACCGAACCAAGCCCACGCCAGGTGACTAGACAAGATATTATGGTGTAAAGCCTGAGTCAGACCGTATTGCTGGTCCTGCTTATGGAGTGGCCACCGCGCTCCCAGTCTGTCTCAGTAGCAAAAAAGACTCATGTCAGAGTGATCATTGAGTTAGTCAGATTTCATCCAAGACCGTTTTTCACGATAATGAACACCTGTTGGTTGCCCAGACGTGGACGAGGCTGAGGCACGGCAAGTTACAAGTTCAGGAAGGAGGACGACAGGGTTACGAAAACAGGTAGTCAGAACGCGGAGAGCCCTTGAGAGCCAAAGGAGCGCCTTTTGGTGTTTTGGCTCGCGGCCTCCTTTTCCAGGCTCAAGTGGCACTTGGACAAAGCTTGGGAAAGAGATTGGGGGCTTGAGACTGGCTCGCCAGACCCCGTTTGTCATCTGCTTGGTATGAGTAAGCGACAATCTCAAAAAACGACGTAATGGGGCCTCCACTTCCCAGCTTCAAATTCCAATTCTCGTGTTATTCAACCACTCAATCCGTGGTTAGTAAACTGCATCCTCAGTACTCAACTCAGTACTCGTAGGGTCAGCTTGACGCTTCCTTGATTGATCTCGTCAATCCAGTGACAGTCTGCTTCCCATTTCTTCATCTCTTCTCCTCTATCGTGTGCTTCGCGGTGCATTAAATTCCACCATTATTAAGGTTGCGCATGCCGTGTCGATCCTCAGGAAAAGTCCAATAGTGCTTCACCTTGTCCTCCGGGCTGACCTGCACGGAATAACCTACAACCGACGTGGTACCAACTACGACTCGACGTCGCCCTCGCCGCTCCTCTTTCCCTCTCCATTTCCCTCTATGCTTTAGTCTCAGCACACGCTCTTGACCGTGTCTGCCTGTATCCATGGCTTCACCAGGCCGCAATTCACGTCGCGCGACACCTGACAATGGAGCGGATACGGAACCTTTTCCTGCGATGCCAGAGTCGTCCGCTGCAGGCCCAAGTACATATCAACAACCCACGACAACGACAACGACCACCGTTGGTCCAACAATAACCACCACCACCACGTATTCTTCTCGCAACAGGCCTTATACTATGACTTCGTCTCAGCCAGTCACAAATGCTCCCTCTTCCACCACCTCTTTACCTGTGACAGTGGTTTTCGGTCCCAACACTGCCGCAGGTTCTTCTACCGTCCGAACCTCTGTCCCCAGCCCTCCCCAGACTACTCGCATGAGACCTATTGGAATAAGGAGACTGCCATCGTCAAATTTGCGGGCAGGATATGAGGCGGGATCATCAGCCACTGATCTTAATGGTGGAGTTGGTCGCTCTTCCTCTGGCCGAGGAAGAAGCACTTCCGCCCCTCAAAACACCAATACTTTGACAGTTCCTGGTCAAGCAAATAACTTGACCAGACAAAGCACGCGGCAGTCTCTCCTGGCTCCAGTGGCGGAAAATCCAGCATCCGCAGATGCTCCAGCCGATAGGGAAAACATGGGCGAGGCTGGAACTGGAGGTGTTAGCCGCAGACGCAGTGTCAGCAATGCAGCGCGATCGGTTCTCAGCAGGTTTAGTGATCACTCGCGTGAGCGACAAGACCCCGAATATGAGACGGAGGTGGTGGACTTATTGGACGTTCTTGGTATGAGACTGTCCAAGTCCTCCTCGATTCTAAAAGCTAATCAGAAACAGATCCCGAAGTCTCGACATTGACTACTCTCACAAACGTGCAAAATTCGCTTTTCGTGCCAGATCTTGGTCGATGGTTGAACAGAAGACCCACCTATGAGCTGAGTAGTCGTCGGTCAACCATGACTCGCCGTCAAGAAGTGCCAGACACAATAGAAGAGAAAGATACCCCAGGAATGACCCCTATTCAAAGTGAACCAACACCATCGGAGACGGGAGACCTCACACAGGTGGGGACCGCTCCGACAATGCAAAGGACTTGGTCATGGCAACGGAGGCCTCAAATCGAACGGAGCCACAGTATTTCCTCGGTTGTGACTGACTCTCATTATGCTGTCTTACCACACGGCTTTACTTTGGATGATTGGAGTGAGGAAGACAAGGAAGCATTGGACGACCATGTACGACATATGTTACATTCCAAGCGATCCAAATTCAAGCAAAGGATGGTTGCATTTGGCAAATACATCCGGAAGCGTAAGATATTCTCAGCCACACTCCCATCTCACGTCCTCATACTGATCGTTCATAGCCTTGGGATTTTTCGTCACCCTGTATGCCGTCCTCATCACTCTCTTTGGATTGGCTTGGGTGCTCTTCTTGATCGGTAAGCCATTTTTCCACTGGGAATCAATCGTTGTGGCTAATTCAGGGCAGGGTGGATTTATGTTGGGGATCAACAGCTATATATCATCAACATCATCGACAACGTCCTGGTCGCTCTTTTCGCTATCGTCGGTGATGGCTTGGCCCCTTTCCGTTGTGTCGACACTTACCACATGATTTATATTGCACACTACCACCACTTGACCTGGAGATTGAGACGTGAACAAGCGCTTCCTACACTTCATGATCACAATGATCTCCCCGCACAGCCAAAGGAAGAAGCTGATCCAGAGGCTCAAAAACCCGAAGAATCCGAGTTCTCGGTCTTGACCGCAAAACAGCAACAGAAGTTGATTCACCACCAGGCCAAATTCTCAAAGTCACATTCTTTCTACAAGCCACACGAGACACCAACGCATTATGCTTTCCCGTTGCGACTCCTTGTGGCGATTGTGGTCCTTCTGGATTGTCATTCGTTGTTTCAGATTGCCTTGGGCGCGTGTACATGGGGTATCAGTTACCACCATCGACCAGGAGCCTTGACTGCGACTATTCTTTCTTGCTCAATCACTGTCAACATCACAGCGGGCATTCTAATCAGTGTGGGAGATCGGAAGACTCGAAAGAAGGATGTGGCATTGAGAATGACCAGGCAGGAGCTGACCACACAGGCAATCAAGAAGGTTGAAAAACACAAGCACGACAGGGCAGCGAACCTCAGGGATGCTTCTCAAAGAGAAAACTTTGAGGTCATTGATGAGGAGACAGCGGACCAAGTCAAGCCGCGCGATTCTTGAACATTCTGAGCATTCCGAGCATTCCTGCCTTGAGGGCTATGGGAAGATTAGAGAGGCTCTGGGTATGCCAGACGCCAGATACTTCCAAGCTTTTACGATTCCGATGGTTGTCGGCAAAGCGTTGGCGTTGATATCTGTTTCACTGGGCGATAATGTTGTTATCTGAATTTTTCACATGGCAGAAAGGTTGGATATAGTTTGAACCCTTTTCGCGGGCTGACATATGGTGCAATCTGGATAATGGGTCTGATACGGACAGCTCTAATCTCCACTACGGTGTTGATGCCCATGTCTGATATGGCCCCCTTGTTGCATAAGGTTCTGGGTGGGTTATTTTCAGTAGCCGGAGTGGCGAGGATACAATAATTCTACGATTATTAACTCCACCCGAGTATGGTATGGCTAATGATGTTTGCCTTTCTAGCTCGAGTTGGGTGCCAAGGCATGTGCATATATCTAAGTACATATAATCTTTACCACAGTGAGTTGTGATATCTGAGCGGAGCATGCCCCCCTGCAGGTGCTGTGAGGCGAAGCAAAAAGTCTAGGAACGAATAAGAAAGTATTTCTTGAGACTTGTTCCGGAACTACGTATAGCACAAATGCAGAAAACTTCGAGAACACCCGATGGAAGTTGAAGGGAAAAGGCAAATCTTGTCAGCCAAAAGTCTCTTGTTCCGAACAGCTGCCTCGTGAACGCAGAAGCCTGTCTTTGTCCGGGTTGGATGTCTGCAGACTTGAAGTAAATCGCACAAAGCTAAGGCCGTGGACTTGGCTGATGGCAGATCGGTGAGTGACCGTGCGGATGCCGTATTGAGGTCGAGACGGGGGCGGCAAGGAAAGAGTCGGGATGCGGGGTAAGTTTTTTCCGGACGGTCAGACACGCAATGTGATTTCGTCTTTCTGTAACCTAGGTAGGTGCCTACGGTACAATTGCCCGCGCAAGGTCTTGTTCGAATGTCTGACTCGTTAAATGACAACTGCCTTTACTAAATGGCTGTCTGAGATGACCTCACGTCGGAGCGAGTAGGAGGCGATGCTTTTCCAGAGCTGTCGGGCTATGATAGGATCTCACTGCCGGCAATTGTGTCAACCACTTGGGCACCCAGCACATGAAGCAACCCGCAACTTACCAAGAGCACCGAAACAGCTTAGCGTGTCTTGCCTCCGCTATGCCAAGGTCTTCGCCCTCTTCTTCCCCATCAAATTCCTCCACCTGATGGATTCTGTCCAAGCCCGGAGGACTTTCGCCGGCCATTCAGACACATTCATTTCCGCCATTTCTCGTGTTGAGGTTGGACAAGACTGACCTACCTTTTGCCATGGCCTTGGCCAGACCTGTTCTAGAAGCTTTCTGGAAAGATCCCATCTTGACATCCTGCAAGTCCGTCATCCAAGGTTTGAATCTGACTTTTTCCATTCCAGTGCAAACTCACTTTCCAAGCCCGCGTCTGTGCAAGCAGGGCAAGCATCCCCCAGACCGTCCCCGACGCTACTTGTTGAGAACAAGCCTGCTTGATGATATCAGGCCATGAAGTCTGTTGGCTGCCATGTTGGCTTGGAAGGTCTTGGTAATCTGCAATGACATTCCGATGCCTGCAAGCCTCCGCTGAGTCCAAGATGTGAGTGTAACCTCCCACGAGAATCAATATTGGACCTGTCCAGATTTGATCCACTACCGGGGTCTCTGGAGTACGGGATCTGATCGCGGAGGATGTATCTACGATAATGCTATGTCCCATGGGGTTGATAAGGATCAGCGCCCACAGGTAAGTTGTATAAGAACAGCAGAAGATCCCCATACCCAGATCCCGTTTATCTCCAGAGCATTCGACTTGTTCAGAGTCAATACTTCCTCCCTTCTCATATCCCCCCCCTCTCGTATCACAAATCACTTTCCTCAACCGACTCGACTTCAATACCCATCTTCCCACCATGGCTGCCTACCCCCAGGACACCAAGGCGGTGAACGCCCACCCTCACGCTGCTCCTGTCGAGGTCGAGAAGCCTCTTGACGCACAGAAAGAGTATGTCGTCGACGAGGAAGGCCGCGCCGTCCCTATCGATTACTCTGGTGCTCATGCCAAAACCGACCCTGAGGAAATCCGTTTGGTCAAGAAGCTCGACCGCTGGATCATGCCCACCCTGTGGATCATGTACTGGTTGAACTATCTTGATCGAAATGCCATTGCATTGGCTCGTCTCAATAACTTGGAGGACGATCTCGGCCTCAGCTCCACTGAGTACCAAACCTGCGTGTCTATTCTCTTCGTCGGCTATCTCATCGGCCAAGTCCCCTCCAACATGATCTTAACTCGCGTCAAACCTTCCTATTATATGGTAAGATTGCCCCCTACGATTTTAGTCCTTTGACGCTAACCGTTTGTACTAGTCTGGTTTTATGGCGCTATGGGCTGTTGTGAGCACACTCACGGCGGTCGCAAAAGACTATAAGGGCCTGTTGCTCACGAGGTTCTTCCTCGGTGTAACTGAGGCGCCTTACTACCCAGGGGCCCTCTTCATGCTATCGTGCTTCTATACGCGCAAGGAGATCGCCACTCGCATCTCGATCCTTTACACCGGTAACATCCTGGCGACCGCCTTCGCTGGTCTCATCGCTTTGGGCATTTTTGAAATGGATGGTGTAGCTGGACAAGCAGGATGGCGTTGGTTGTTCATTATACAGGGCATCGCAACCTTTGTTGTCGCCATTGGAGCCGTTTTCACTCTTCCAGACCACCCGCTCACCACCAGATGGCTCACTCCAGAAGAGCGTCAATTGGCCCATGACCGCATTGAGCGCGACACCGTGGGAGGCAAAGCCGGTACCTCATCAGTTAAGGGTCTCCTCGAAGCTGCCAAGGACCCAAAGTTGTGGCTGTTCGCCTTCATGCAACATATGCATCTTGCTGCCAACGGATTCAAGAATTTCTTCCCAACTGCCGTCGAGACTCTGGGCTTCAACCGCACCATTACTCTCGTCCTGACCTGCCCACCATATCTCATTGCAGGATTTATCTCCGTCTTCTGGTCTGCTTCATCCGGTAAATTCAACGAGCGAACATGGCATATCACCGTGGCCAAGGCCATCGCCATTTTCGGTTTCGTCTTGGGCTGTGCTACACTCAACACCGGGGCCAGATATTTCGCCATGGTTGTATTCGCCATCGGAACCTATGCAGTCAACTCCATCATTCTCGGCTGGGTCGGCTCGACCTGTGGACAGACCAAGGAGAAGAAAGCATGCTCTCTCGCCATCGTCAACACCATTGCCAACGCATCATTTGTCTGGACTCCTGTAAGTTTTTTGAACTCCCCACGTCGAATACACAAGACGGCTTTACTAACAATCATTACAGTATCTCTGGCCAAAGACAGATGCTCCACGCTATACCATTGCTATGAGTTCGTCGGCAGGTTTCTCCATCGCCACGGCCCTCGCCGCCTGGGTCATGAAGGGCTGGCTCATCCGCACAAACAAGAAGATCCGCCAGAGCTCTGATGAAACTACTTTGTTCTACGCTTACTAGATATACCCGGTTTTTGTTGATGAATTATATTAGAATGAGTGTGTATCTCTGCAGGAATGTTGAGAAGACGATCTTGCCGGGCTCCCTCCGTGTCTTGATGCTTTGGAAAGAAGGGCATGGCATGGAGTTGTGATGATGATTATGATTCGCTCTCATGAGTAGAGTGGCTTTTAGAAGCTCCCTGTATGGGAAAGCCATGTTAAGAAGACATTTTCTAGAACAATTCTAAAACCATTCAAGCTTCTACAACCGCTTCCTTCGTTTATTGATGCAGTGTTTTAGAATGATGGGAGCTCGACAGTTTGAGTCCATCGACTTCTCGTATTCATCTCACACAGCACTGCTACCGCTTGATAGGCCTAGATCGTTTATGCTGTAGAGATGCTTCTGCCCGAGGAGATGAAGCTAACGCTCGAGAAGAGGGCTTCTAGAGAGCTGGCAGTGAGAGCCGCGATCTCTCGTGCCATGGCTTTCAGTAGCCGACCTCCCTGTGCCTCGCACGTATGATAGTTCTTGGTCCTTGGTTGTTGGCTGGGCAAGGCTTGGTAAAGGGAGAGGCCTTCTCAACTCAGGAGATGACGGAGTTCGAGCGTGATCAATTCTCTCCTACTACTGATGAGGCCATCGAACTACCCCCATGACTTTGGATTCGTGCCCAGCGATGGATATCTTTCTCTGATGTTCGAGGCGTGACTCACGGTGGATGCTCTCCACCCCTCTATTCGCCACTTCAGACCACACACCTCTGCTTTATTTGCCCTTGTCAAGACATGTCATCGCTTTGCCTGGTGGATGGGTTTCCTAGGGGCACAGAGAGATGGAAGAAGTCGGCATAGATAAGCGAGCATGACCCGTTGGTCAGACTTGTCAACAATATATCTAGGGAAGTCTTCCCGACCATGGGGCAGCTTGATCAGGTTTACTATTGTAGCCTTCCACACAGCCGTGGGCTCTTGTGTAGGTAATCCACTCGCGGTCTAGATACATCAGGTGGGCCCTTCTTTCGCTTACCAGGGGGCCGGAGAAACAAACCATGGTTTTGACTTTGGCTCTCTTCGGGAGGACTTGTATATCCGGAGAAGCCTTGTCCGCAAGCTCTTGGGTCCGGTGAGTCATGCGGCGCAGTATGCTCGCTTTGACTCTCATAGCTGATAATTGTGACATGTCAATGCATGCTGTTTTCGATATTGCTAGGTAGAGGCTGATGGTGAATTCTCAACCATACTGGAACGAAAGGAAAATGGATTCGTTCCCCCTTCCGAAAACACAAACTTGTGAAACCGCTTGCGTATCGATGAACGTATGGATCGAAACAGCAGCTAGAATCGAGAAAGCAGTTCGTCAAGACTCAAGTTGAGGACAAACCCTAAAGAAATTTGCGTTTACCCTTAGGATATGGGAGTGAACTCTGACTTATTGTAAGGTAAGTAGTGTATATCTATCTTTCTCCTCAACAGCAACAGCAACAGCACTAATATATCTTAACGAGCTAGGTCAGCTTGACCTAATGACGGAAACATAATATTCACCTTCGCGAGATGCGGACTTCGACCTTATAGGGCTAGCTACCCTTAGGATGGCGGTACACTTTAATACCTGAGAGGCTCTCAAAGGGACGTTCCGAAAACGGGAATGGCAGGAGCGAAATCGCAAATGCCTAGAACTATAACAGAGTTACCCGATCGTTCCCAAATAATTCTCAGTGAAAATCCCTTCCTCGGCTTCTCTCTTTAAGACCAAGGATTGCTTTCCAATGTTTTTCTCCATGATCATTGATGATTGACGTCCTCTCGGATCATTCGCTTTCGTGGTTCGACTGCAAAGGGATACTGATCCAATGCTGTTATGGATTTAGGTGTGAAGCTTTGCTTCTCTAGCCACATGGTGTCCTCACCCCAGCCAAAAAAAGATGCTTCAAGGACCAGCGTTGGAAGCATGAAAGCTATCGGTGGGGTTTCGAAACCAATCGAAGTAAGACACATTAGGCATCTCTTGAAAGTCTCTACAGAGTATGAGGCTCTGGTATTGTTCCAGATCAGGTCCAGTGTGTTAGGTCACTGGCACAGCATCCAATAACCGATACTACGGAAGAGCAGCTTTCTTTTTCGCCAGCGCATATTTGTGCGAACTGCTTCGCATTACTTGGCCGCTACGGCTTTCTGATTATTGGAAGGGCGTGGATCTCGCCACGGTTATGCTTGAACGAAATCCTTGCAACCGAGATCCATACCCGCACTGGCGGCTACTCCAGGGCACGGTTGTGTCACGATAGCCACAGACAACGGACCCGAAGGGATATCACTGATCGGCATTTGAAAAGAGAAACGAACGACGATAATCACCCTTCCGATAAATACTTTGCTCAGTGTGTGATATGAAACATTGTTGGCCTGCATCATTCCAGAGTTTTAATCTTGACAATCCAAGACGAAGAGCATGAAGTTAAACATTTAATCTTACAGAGAAATATTCAACAATCTGCAACGAAATTTCTCCAAAGGCGATCAAAATCGGCGAAGGATGTAGGACCCCGCCAAATTACCTATCTAATGTGCTTCCAGACTTAGTTATATGTGTGGCTGACTGCTAAGTGTGTGGCTTGGTAACCACTTGGAACAATTACGGTAGCGATGCAGGCCTTACTTCTTGAGGAAGGATTCGTTAGTAATCCTCTGCAGCAAACACTTGAACATGGACGTCCAAGAACTCAATACGACCCATCATGAAATAGCAAAACTCACCCGATTCGATCATATTGTGCCCTATTGCGGAAGCACCCCAAACAACAGTTCACTCCTCGTCATACTCTTATACTCTTTATTAAGGACCTATTCCCAAGCAAGCTTGTGCTCTCAAGCTGTCCCTGACACATCAATATTCCTCTAACTGTCTCTGGATCGTGCAGATCATGCCTCGACTCCATTTTGAACGCGACCCTCGAAACCCAGTCGCCCAAGATGACGAGCCATTCAAGATTTCGAATAAATTTGAGTTCGTGTTGATGGGAGCCAAGGGAGGGTTGGACAGTGGTGGTATCAGTCAAATCAGAGCTCATACGACGAGAGAGTTGCATAAGTCGAGACGCAAAAAGAATCAGGTGAGTGATCGAATGAGATACCATGTGCCATCGGCAGCATCTTTGATCTTAGACACTGAAGCATAGTGTATTTGGCCAAAAAGGCCTGTCCATTGCCAGCCAACAGCACAACTGGCTGCTCTGAACAAGCTTTGGCTGTTGTTTCCCCTAAGCAAGCTTTCGTTGGCGTTTTTCAAAGCTGACATTATCAATAAAAAAGGCACTACAACCCATCAAACCGACTACAGCGGTCAATTTATATTTTGGATCATCTTTCGATGCGCTACATGCTTTACCACAGCTTCACCTTGAGGCTGGTAAACCTGGTTCATTGGATGAAATCAAGCGTGAGGGTGGGTCTATAAACTTCCGTCCCTTCCACAGTAGGGTTCTCACGTTGTCGGCCCAGTTTTCTCAATCTTTGATCAGGATGCAATGAAAGAGATAATATGGCCTGTTGGCACTAAAGATCCTACATTTCTCACCGGAATGCTCTTGATGAGCTCAGTTCATCTCGATAGCATGAGATCGGACACTCAGACAAGCATTACCACGACATTGAAACTCGAAGCTATTGCCTTAGTCAGGAAGAGAATCCGAGATGCAACTCCAAACTCCATTATTGTCGCACTCTCGGCGATTGCTTGTCTGGCAGTTTGTGCTTTGGTAAGTGAAATCCTCAGACCCTGGTCACTTATGGCGATCTCAATTTCCGTGGCGGACAGTGCAGACTTGCAGATGGCTGATTCCAGCAGCCTCGAGGAGAAACCGATGGCAGAGCAGAATATCTTATGCACCGCAAAGCCTATAGTATGTTGGCTTTGATATACTGTTTGACCCTCAGATATGGGCCATTTACTGATGATGTCTAGTGTTGCTAATAAAGGAAGCTATGAGGCTCAACCTGTATCTCGAGTCGAGATTCTGCAAGGAAACTCTAAGAATTATCACAATGATTGCGTATGCCAATAACAGATTCTCGAACTGGAACGTTGACTAACATCTCGTAGGATCGCTCGAAGATGTGGGATGCCTATATCAGGCCTTGCTCCACCTGCAAATTCGGCTACTTTGCTGAAAGAAATGGAATTCATCTTTGAAGACCAGTGGAAATCACGCATCGAGCCTGACCTGAGTTTATTCTCCCCACTTTACGATGGCCGAATTAACCCTTTGGATGATCCCTTCCCATACGTTGAAAGCAATCACCTCCATGTCTTACTGGAAATGATGCAAGAAATCATCACAATCTGGCTTCGACTAGGATCTTCTGAATGGTCAGCCTCGAGAAACGCCATGTCTCTGCTGGAGACCCTCCAGATAGGTATCTTGACAATGCCATCAGCACACATTCCCTCCTTGCCATGCAGTGGCGACTACGTCTACGAATGCTGTCGACTGATCTCGGTTCTTATGGTTCGTTCTTTCCAGGCTCGGTGTAGCTGGAAGACAATGGCAGGACGAAACTCGCTCTTGCCACAGCTCCGAGAAGCTCTACAAAAGACCGACGTAGGCGGCTTCTGGGGGAACAAACTTGGCCTTCTCTACTGGGTGATACTAGTCTTCCACAGTGCTGCCTTTGGAACCCCTGACTATCTTCTTGGTCACTCTGTGCAGACTAGGATCCACTTTGAACTGACATACTCGAGGACGGACTGGCATGGAGCCGTAAAGCCGATGATAGCTCTCAAGGATATCATCTTGTTGTGTGATGACCAACAGAGTGTCGCTCAAGCCTAGTGACGTTGATGCCACGGTCAATGACCCTCGGAGCTGCAACCCTTGCTGCTTGGCTGAGATTGGTGATAATGCACCTCTCAACAAGCCTGACATCTTGGAAGCGTGGTTACTGGTCTGAGCTGAAACCACCAGGGTGTGGAGATCCAAACTTCGCGAGATAATACTCAGTTGAGATCATGGAACTAGCCACTGCCGATCATTGTTGAATCGCGACATATTCTTCTACTTCCTGCTCAGTCTACTGATGCCCTTTTTTCCCCATTGTGGGGGGCAAACGCATACGACCTGTACGATAGCGGACCTTCTCAAATGCCCGGCCTTGCAACAGGCTTTGACTTGAAATGCGATTGCCTAGGTATTAGCGCCTTACGTGTCACCCTCCACGATTAAGCGCCTCCTAGCCCTTTGGTTGTGGACCTCTGAGCATCCATTTACTTTGCTGGTGATGACAGGAATCTCTACCCCGCAGACTCGATGCTGATGTCAGCGGCCCTCGACATACTGGACATCCACTGTGGGAGCTTCATAATTATTATCAAATCAATGGTGGAGTCCTCATGATCTTGATAAGTGGATTGAAGAACAAAAACTCCTTTCGATGAGAACGAGCACGCTGTTCTCGTTCTAGAACGCCTTTGAGATGACTTGCCGCTAAATATTGCGATTAGGACACTGCCTCGAGCAGAGTCGATCCCGCGAGCACCTTTATTGGTAGACCACGAGGAAGACAGCTTTACGACTGGCGTTGACAAAACACGAGGAGGTATGTCCTCAAACTAGGCTGAAGCTTGGCTCGGCAGGAATGAAACATTTGTGGACACTTGCAGGAGGCTCCAAATCCCAATTAGGAAGCAGTACTAGACCGAATACTGTTTCAACAACATGATTACCTAAGATGCCTTGAGAGCTTTGTCCGCCCTTTACAGCATCAATTTTCACGGAAGATGGTTGGGAGAGGATTGCCGAAGAGACACAGATTCTACCCCTTCGCTTGTTGCGGGTGCCAGATTTTGTGAATGAAAGGCAAGCGATCGTGATCCTTGGACGAATTTCACATCACATTAGGACAAGGATATTGACTACTTAGTACTATGCTGAAGGCTCCGGAAGCTTTACGCCGAATTAGGAAGGCCAGGAGTATACTGACCTGCGGAGGCTCAGGGGACTCTTCACAGGCCGATAAGTAATAATCGAAAAATGACACCAGAGCGACAACGACCCTGCAGCCTCATCGACCTCCGGGCAGCAGCGCCCGATATAGTTCTAGTTCTGTCCCATCCACCCCAGCCTGAAATGAGCCAACGACTAAGTAAGCATATTAAGCGGACGCCACATTTGTTGCCATATTGTTCGCCTCCAAATCAACACCACAAGCCTTATTAATTTATCTTATTGTCCTAGAATTCTATTCATCGTAGAGCATCGTAGCAAGCCTGCAAAGCTTTGACCTCGCCTTCCAAGGCTTGCTTCTCGTCCTCGATTGCCTGATAATCCTCATCCTGCAGCATGCTACGGAAAGTGCCTTCGTCAATACCAAAGTCACCACAGAACAGCGAATGGAGATCAGCCAGAAGATGGCGCTCGATGACTTGAATAACCACGTTGTCGATAAAGACTTCTCGTGAGACCTGGATGTATTGTTAGCCAACATTTCGGTTAAACAAGGGTAAAATATTCTCACTCTCAAGAATGCTAACATGTCTTCCGCAATAGTTTCTGCATTTTCTGTGGCCAAATCTTCCTGTCCTGCGATTTTCGAGATGTAGCTCGGCGTCATCCGAGGTTTGCGAGTGTTCGGGTCGGAGGATGTATTTTCCTCGACGTGTTGAGCTCGATTGAACATGCGTTGCAGCTTCTTGTGCTTGTTCTCCTGAGAAATGCGTAAGAATGTATGGTTTAGGGTCTTGGTTGATCTCCTGCGGTCGGTCTCAAGCTTTTGTAATTCAACTTTGGCATCGGATTTGAGTTTCTTGAGTGACTTGCGAATATCGGCAACGATCGTGCTGCCTACTTGTTTGGGAAGGCCAGGGACTTGATCCTGGAGGTGGTTATGAATTACTTCGTCTAGAAACTGGACGCAATGCTGATGAGCGATGTCCAAATGCTTGGAAGCAATGGAGTTCCAGCCATTCGAGTGTCTCCAGAAAAGCAAGTCCAATCTCTGTGGATCAAAATGGCCCGGTAATTCTTCGCCACGGGTTTCCTGCATCACCTTTCTAACCTGCTCGACCAAATGGGAGTTATCCAGGGGTAAAGTTCCATCTTTCGATGGCATGGTAATGTCGCTGCTTTCCTCAATCATCTCCCGCTGGAAATCCTCGTACTGCTCTTCAAGTCGTGATCTCAGATACAAGGCAGGGGATCCATGAATGTCTGAGAAGAAAGCATCATTGTATTTTCCATCAACCCCGACTGTTACCAGACGTAGCAGACTCATTCTTCCTCGCTGGAAATCTGCCCAGATGCGTTCGGGTTTTTTTGTCTTATCTTCAAGACGTTCCAAATGAGCGTACTTTTCTTCGAGCTTTGCGAGGATGTCTCTCTGGACCTGAGGCAGCTGGGTTCGGGTGTGCTCGTAAAGCAGTCGACTTAACCTCCGTCGCAAAGCCTCTACTCCCCAATATGCTGAATCCACTTCATGCCAATTTTTGCTAGAATCGGTGAAGAATTCATATTCCTTGTCATCTCGATCTTTCGAAGACGTTTCTTGCTCGACATCTTGGAAGCCCCGGTTCATTAGAACATGCCAACCCTTCTTGAAGCCAAATTCGACCATGGTTGGGGGTAGATTTTGAGCGTGCCTAATCCAATATCGTTCTTGCTTCGAGTTTGGGAGAGCTAAATCAGGTTTTGTTATTATTCCGAAGGTCCTTTCTCCGTGTGGATCGACTTCTCGTGCTCTTGACAAGATACCCTGCGTTTCGGCATCATTTCTTGCATCAACAACTACCAAAATGATGGATCGCTTCTGCGTGATCCACTCATCCACTACTGATTTGATGAGGTCGACGTTTTGCTTGTTTTTGGAATGAGACTCGATAATTCCAGGAAGATCAACCAAGGTCAAAGGACAATGGTCAGGGCCCGAAATCTGTACTCTCAATATGTCTCTGGAGAACGAACTGTTGTTATTGGAGATGCCCATTCGAATCTTTGCCTCTTCAATCAACCTAGGAAGATCTTTTGGGTCAAGATCTTGCTCAGTCTTGGACCACGTTATTGACTCCGATCCTACATGTTGTCTGGTGTTCGTCTTGTCAATAATGGAAACCTTGACGGATCGGACAGGGTCTCGCCGGAATTGGATTCTGCGATATGGTCAGCGGAAGTTCGGACGACCGAGCTGGTGAATACTTACTCGGTAACGAATCTAGTGCATGTGCTTTCTCCACGAGGGAAGGAGTATCCGCTGAAACCCTCGAGTGTCGAGCTCTTTCCTGAGGACTGACTCCCACAGACCACCAACTGCGGCAAATCCAATTCATGATTCACATCATGAGATCTCGCTTGGTCGATTGCATCGAGCAGGCTTCGTTCTGCAGTACTTTGCAGCGACAGCAGACCAGAAGTCGCAGTTTTGGCTCGTGAAGTACCCAGGCCAGGGACAGCAGTTAGGTTTCGCATTGGATTCTGACGGTTGAGATGAGCCATGAGACTGAGCAAAAGCAATTAGAACAGGGTACAATATTTTAGGCTGGAGGTTTAGTTCTAAGATTAAGTGTATTTGGAAATCATGACGGGAATATGAGCATCAACATCTCGCAGATCGACGCGTGTCCTACACTGCCTCAATATGCGATGAACTAGACTCTTGCCATCAAATACGAGGTACGCGAAGCTACCAGGCAGAAGCATTTGAGGCTATTGAACGCAGGATGCAGGGCTGGTAACAGCCTACCAGGCTGCTCATCCGTCCCAAAACCTCCGCCAGATCGACCAAATTTCGAACTCTCCTAGACCAAGAATGGTGATCACACAACGTGTTATCTGGCAAGAGGAGCCAGATCGATGGCATGATTGGCGGAAATGCAGAAGATCATATCTCTCTACATACGGGACTGGAGTCGGAGTGTTGAAAGTTGGGAAATGATCGCAGCCTGAGGAGTGGCGAGCACCTGCCAAGGCAGCCGAAGTGTGGCTGATCCAGGGTCCAGACTTTATGGTGGCGACACCTTATGCTAACTAACCTCGTACTTGGCTCCGATAGGCAGCCAGCTTCACCTCCTCCCGATCGTGGCGCTCCCTTGAAAGGCCATCTTTCGGGACGCGTGTCAGCGACATCTCAATCGGCCAGCGAGACCAAGATGATGCCAGATACTGGTCAAAGCGAATCCGCCTTGGAAGATCCCATCGAAATGTTGCGGCCTAGCAACAAGCAGGTGAAAGACTCCTGCGATCATGATCCTTTACACAGCCTGATAGGTAATTCCCCCTCTGATAGATCCTCCAGCTTTGACTTCTTCTGAATCGCTTTCTTGGTGCAGAGTAAAAGAACTTCACCCAAAGCTTTGGTTTACACCAATACATCTGAGCATTATGGCCCATGATTATTCGGAAGAGATGGTTCTTATCAACAGGATCGACAAGTCCTGGGCACCAGTTGTGTCATTCTGGCAACAATATCGAGCGTCCCATGGAAAGACCTCGAGTTCTGGCCAACTGGACTCAACAATCGAGTCAATGCGGGACAAAGTCTGTGAGGCTTACGATGGTTTTGCAGATGCCCTTGGGAAGAATTTCGTCAGAGGAGACCGTAAGCCAACAATTTATCTCTTCACATTTTGATCCCGCACTAACTGAAGGTTAGATTTATTCGAATCAGACATGGACGACATCGAGAAAGGAGTGCTTAGCCAGTTATCAGCTTCACTTAGGGCTCTTTCCAGCACTACAAATCGCCAACCTGAATCCTCACACGATCACGAGGCTGAGTCAACAAAGCTGGCCTTGAGAGCGATTGCTGGGACTATACGCACACTAGAACGTCTGGCCTCCCGCTTGGGATACAACGTCCAATCGAGCAAAAGCATGGGAGATTTATGTGACGATTCGCCTGATATTGACTGGTGCAAGGGTGCCTTGCTGGTCCAACAGACATCAGCGTCTCACCAATTCATTCTAGCTCAACCTGACAGTCAACTTGCCAAAGTCTGCAAATTCTGTTACCTGGAAGTCAGCGACTACCGATCCAAAGCAGTCCGTCACACAGATCAAGACTGGTCTGCTCTTGCAAGCTGTCATGTCTTGGCCTGCTCGTCATTCAAAGACCGCCGAGCAGCCTATCGCTGTTTCGGGTGCTATATCTCTGGGGTCAGCAAGATCCACACCTCAGCGGCGGCTATGCTCGATCACCTCGCGGCCTGTGAGGAGTTCAATGAGAAACGCACAAGATCTCAGTCGCCACCAAGGACGACGACAGCAGGTCACAAAGTACTCCCTTCAAGTCATGTCCAGTCCTATTCCGATAGTTCGGCTTCATCTACACCATCAACCCCTTCATCCAGCAGTACTCATTCTACCATTCCGCCATCCATCAAGCTTCGGACTCAAGCTTCCCAACTCGCAAACCAAACTCCCATTTCAACGCGCGGGCCTCCTCCCGTGCCTTCCATGGAAGCAGGCCCTGCTTACCCACCGCGTCCCGAAACGCAGAATTCTGTGCAAAGAGTTCCTGGCACCTTTCCGATGGCAGAACCTATCGAAAATCCCAGGCAACCATACCCAGAAGCACCTAATTTTAACGCCCATCAACAATCATCCAATCTCTTTCGTCCACCAACCTTGACTCCTCGAAAGCCCATCCCAATTCCTTCCGCCCAACCTTCGTTGTCGCCACAATCTCCATCCCGCACGCCTCACACAACCTGGAGCCCTCACCCCGCCGAACCCGCAGCCCCACTAGTCTCCAGCCTCCCCCCACAGGTGAGACAATTGATGGAGCTGGGTGCGACGAAGCTTGAGGCAGAGAATGGATTAAAGGAGATGAATTGGGATGTGCCACAGGCAGTGGACATGATTTGGCGGAATCGGCAAGATGGCTGAGGGTGTTGAGGATTTATGTGGCAATTTGAGACAGTAGAGGAGGGCTGAGAAGATTTTACGGGGTTGGCAAAGTTGGATGGGTCATAAGGGGTGTTTGGGGGTGCTCATGTGAAATGACATGCATTTTCTGGTCTGAGCATGAATATAGCGCATTGCTAACCATAGTAATATGTAATCAGCCTATTTTCTGCTATCATTACACAAAAGATACTAATCTATGTATTCCTAATTTTCAATATGACTTTTTAACGGCAGAAGAGTCCAAGATGCAGCCTGACTCTCAGGGCCTCACCACCCCTGATTGGCCAGCCTCGTCATCTCGGCTCCTCGGCTCTCAAGATGGGACGGCGGCATACGTCATCGGAACTGAGCCTTGAGCGTGCAAAACTCGGCAGTTGCAAATTGAAGAACAAATGTACGGAACTGGGCAATCAAGATCGTGTTTTCGCTCCTCCGAATTGTCCACTTGTGGATCATCATGTCCAGAGTGATTCGATAATCGATTTGATTTCTACCGTCGTTCATGCCTTTCTCTTGGCGAGAGTTTGCACGGTCACTTGACAACAAGTTTCCTGAGTTCTTCTTGTATTCGGTGATTAATTGATGCAGTAAAGCAACATCGATAACAGATTGTGATTCCCAGTATTTATCGAGTGAAAGCATATCCAAATTTGGTGGCATTGTACTTCATTTCGGTTGCAGGATATTCGCAGTTGTATCGAGAGGTGTTTCTCAATCTAGCCTCCACGAAGTGATATCCCAAGGGACATCTTGCACGAAATCCAAATTCACGATGCCACTCCCAACAGGTGTCTACCGCGCGGACCAAGTCGGATCGCTTCTCCGGCCAAAGGAGATTCTAGCCACTCGTGAAAAGATAGCAGCTGGAGAGGCCTCATCATCTGATCTGCAGAAACTCGAGGACAAGTATATTGCCGATGTCGTCAGCAAGCAGCTCCAAGCAGGGCTCCGGTCCATCACTGACGGCGAGTTCCGCCGCGCTTTCTTCCATCTCGATTTCTTGCAGCATCTCGATGGAATCGAAGTACAGGGCAGCCTGAACTCGACAAATAAGTCGAAGGGCGGATGGCAGCCACCCAAGTTAGTCGTGACTGGCAAGCTAGGTCACAGCAAGCCCATCCAGGTCGCGGACTTCAAGTTTCTTGAGAGCCAGATTGCTGCGGCCGGTGGTGAGAGCAAATACGGAAAGGTCAGCACGAAGGTCGCCATCCCGAGTCCTACGATGGTGCATTTCCGTGGAGGCCGTGAGAGCATTGACCTCGAGTCGTATCCTTCTCTGGATGAATTCTTTGATGATCTAGCCAAGGCGTATCAGGAGGAATTGCAGGATTTGTACGATGCTGGCTGCCGATTTGTGCAGCTCGATGACACGAACCTGGCGTATCTCTGTGATCCGAACATGAGGTCTGCCGCCGAGGAACGACATGGCAGTGATGCGAAGAAGCTTGCCAGTCAATATGCGGATTTGATCAATCGTGCGATTGAGAAGCGACCCAAAGACATGACAATCGGCATTCATCTATGTCGAGGAAATCACCGCAGCCAGTGGTTTGCGCAGGGCGGGTATGAGCCTGTTGCAGAGGTCCTGTTCAAAGATCTCAACGTTGATGTCTATTTCTTGGAATATGACGACGCTAGGTCAGGTGATTTTAGCCCCTTGCGCCATCTACCAGAAGATAAGGTGGTGGTCTTGGGGGTAATGACTAGTAAGAAGGGCGCTTTGGATGACAAGGAGGCCATGATTCAAAGGATGAAGGAAGCCAGCAAGTATTGCAAGAAAGGCCTAGATCAGCTCTGCATCAGTCACCAGTGTGGGTTCAGCTCCACAATGGAAGGGAACGAACTGAGCGAGGACGAACAGTGGGCAAAGATTCGACTGGAGGTTGAGATCGCAAAAGCGCTTTGGGGAGAAGACTTGTCTAAGTGATTATCACGGCTATGATTCCGAACTGGGATTAGCGCTATGCCTCAACGCACCGGTTAGCTTACCAGACTGGAAACTTTCGCAACTCGAATCACCCCTCGTTCTGTCCTTTTGGATCAAATCGCGCATAAAGTGTGCCAGTGAGCACTTCGAGGGTCGAGTCAGGAGTCCGGATGAACAACGGCTCATTAGGAATCTCTTCGGTCCACAGCACAAGCATATTTGACAATTCAATCGGGTTAACAAAAATCATTGCTTGACTGGGTCTATCTGGGGTATTCTAGTATAGCCTTCATAATAGCATACAACATCATAGATATAAAGGCCGTCACGTCTCCAAGAATCATTGCCATTTCTGGAAAGATATAGTCTGGAGCCATCTGCTGAGATTGACTATCAGCCGATCCACCCGTCGGAAATAATCTGCGGACCACATCATACAGATACTAAGAACCAAGATCCCTGGTATGTATGCAGGATATGAATCTCCGAGATATATTGCCTGCCATGGAACCAATACCTTCAGATACAGGACATCGATCCATAGTACGTGTATCGCATAGATTCCGAACGAAAGATCGCCAATGTACTGCGAAAACCCCCAGGTAAAGGGCTGTTGCAGGATTGTGCAAGAGTCGAGAGCTAGGATGACCAGGAAAGCGCCGATGCTGAGCCAAAAGGTGTAGGCTGCGTCTCCGAACCAGGGGGGAATGAAGTGAACTAGGTATTGAAATGGGAACGGTCCAGCTGCACCCAAATTAGGTGGATCTGGTTGCCCGAGTAATAGTATACCAATGACTAGAGCGATGGAGGAGCCAATGGGCGTTGCAATTGCTTTAGATAGTTGCCACAATTTTGAATGTCGCGACGAAAGCTTTTCGTTCTCTTCCATTGGTAACGTAGGGCGACCTAGCCGTTCCGGATGTCGCAAGAAAGACAATTCTGCAATAAACATTCCTAACAGGAACTCTGGGATGTAAACACATCTCCAGAAATAGCAGAGCAAGACAACAACCCAAAGATATAGCATTCGGGATCGAACCGATAATTTGGCGGCCGAGATTGCGAAGCAGAACAAGATGATGCTACCTCGATATTCAATAGGTATTGTCCACATTTGACCTAGGTATGGTGTAAAGAAAACCCCTGGGTGCATCCATCCATCGATGTTTGCAAAAGGATTACTGAATGCGATAGTCGAGAGAAGCCAATTCCACATTTGGGCCAGAAAGGTTGGTTGCGCCAGGTCTGGGAGAGGAATAAACCATCCCAAGCTCACACAGCATGCGGCAATAAAAGTGGCGACAGAAGTCGAGCCATACAGCCGTAACCATCGGCGGAACATGGATGACGAAAATGCGTCGAGAAGTAGAGCGCTCTCCTGGTTCCGTATCAACTTGAGCATTCGGTAGCTTAAGACATAACCTGAGATGACGAAGAAGACTGCGACCATGCCAGGGCCACCAAGGATGAAGGTGCGAATGAATGGGAGTCGAAACACCCATAGTGTTGTTTCTTTCCAACCGTGGTAGAAGAAGACTATAACAGCGGCGTAACCTCGGACAGCATCAAGATATGCTGTTGGATGTAATTTGGCTTTTGAATATTCTTTTCGCCCTTCTGGATGTAGATAACGAGGAAGTAAGGTCCAGAGGCAATTCAGTAAGAGAGTTCGATGGTCAATTCTCCTCCATGTCTTCTCGTTGCGCTCTGAGGCTGCCGTCAAATGGATTCCATCGTCATCAGGAGTATCATGGGTCGTATTTGAAGCTTCACAATTGTTCAACAGAGGAGTTTCCTGCTCCATCGATCTGATCGTGGCTCTCCCAGAGAGCTAGCACCTTGTCCTTGGAAGATGAACAATCAGACCGACCGCAAAGAACAGAAACGCGTGATTCGCGGCATGTTGGCTGGAGATATAGGAATAATATCTACCTATCGAGCAGGGTGAGAACCCCCTTACGGGATGAACACGAACACTGGTCCAATCTCTGTGACTGCTTATTGCCAAAGGGGTGACAGTGTTTATGCCAAGGAAGTTATGGCGGAAGCCAAAGCTGCTAGTTGGCCTTCCCCAGGCGATTTGAATGGGTAGAAATTGCGGGGTTGTCAATCTGAAAGGTCTCATTGGCCATTAGAAGAATGAGAAACTGTTTTAGCCGAGGACGTTTTTCACGGCACTAACCTAGAAAAAGATAGCGTCCAGTTACAACAAGCCACCACTTTTGAGCGACTGGCCCAGGCTTTTCCTCCCTTTGCAGAATTCTGGACGCTTTGTCGCACGCACGGCCACAAACGCGTCAACGACAGCTCTCGGAGATCTCGGTTAGCAAAAATGGCAGCACTGTTGTGATTTAAGATCTAAATGATCGTCGAAGTTTTGGTAGCGGCGTCACAGGTTCATAGACCCCTTGACCGAAGCGAACGCCAGAAGGAAGGATTCTATCAGGCTTGCCCTTGGCAAATAGTAAGCTGAGGAGTTCACCCTCGAACGAACATTCTTGCCTGCTGAGACAGATTCCAATTTTCCCTCGATCAGTTCCACTGACAGGGGCTCCAATACTCAAGATAAAATGTTCAACAACTAACCCAATGCATCTGGTCCGAAATCCACTGATCAAGAGGTGGCCACAACGCTCATGCTTGGTAGCTGTCGAAACATGTCATTCATCTGCACCGACCTCATTCAACTCCAGAAGCCGTTAAAGCCAGAATCACACCAAGATACATGTCAAAGAAGACATATGCATGCCAGAACGTTCGAAGCTGGTCATCGTTCGCGGCTTCCTTGCGGTTGGAGAACCCCTTCAACAACGACGGCTTTAACGCGATGGAGTATTCGTGATCAGTTATCGGAGACTTCACTGTCGTGGAACTTCATTTCTAATGATTCAAAATATGTCTCGGGTCTTTTTTGACCAATTCGGAGTCTATTCTTGGCTTTCTCAGCATAGATGCAATAATGCATTTGGTTGTTAGTACTCCTGCTTGTCCAGACCGGCTTTGACTGATTGGCCGATAAGCTATCGGGTTTGTTATCACGTTGCAGTGTCTGCAACTGGTTCGGGTTTGTCCGCTGGATGCCGGCCCGGCTGCAGAGTAGAGCAGAACACAGGACGAGAATCACGTGTGGGCGACTCAGGTCAACTTTCTGGAAGGGTTTTCTGTAAATGGTTATAATGACCTTTTCTCTCCCCGCATACTGACCCTCTTCGGGTAGTCCACACCGCCACCGCCGAAAGAAATCCTAGCGCCTAGAGATATTGAATATATTCTTGGGTACGCGTCGGATTTGTTGATGTTGATCGGTACACAGCAAGCAGTTTCTCGTTCAACATTAAAAATTCACAATGGGCTCCGGCGAAAAATCATACATCATTGTTGGCGCTGGCGTTTTCGGAATTTCAACTGCTTACCACCTTATAAGAAAATATCCAAACGCATCTGTGACTGTGGTTGATCGGGATGCCTACGATGCAGAAAGTCGTGTAGCTGCATCTTGGGACTGGAACAAGGTGGTACGCGCTGACTACGACGACATCGTTTACTGTGAATTGGCTCTCGAGGCCCAAGACATATTTCGAAATGACCCATTATGGCAACCACACTTTCACCAGACGGGCATATACTGGATATGTCGAACCGACTATGCACAGGACGTCATTGACAACTACAAGAAACTCGGGCGAAAGGCGGAACTTGCCGCCGTGCCTTTTGAGGAAGCTCGTAAGCTGTACGGAGGAGTCTTCGACAAGGCTCAATACGATGGGGTCAAAGATGTGCTGGTCAACAAAACAAGTGGCTGGGCAGCCGCAGGAGATGCCTTGCGAGCAGTGACGAAGAAATCCATCGAACTCGGTGTCAAATACGTGACTTCTGAAGTGTCAACATTGCAGTTCGATAGCCAGAATAACTGCACCGGAGTCAGACTAGTGTCAGGAAAGGTGTTGGAAGCTGCGCATGTTATACTCTGCACCGGTGCTTACACCTCTAAACTGCTGGAGCTGAGCGCTTACAAGAGTGGTATCAAGGACCTTCCAGCAGGGGACAGAATCGTGGCTGGAGGAATCACCACTGGCATGACAACACTTGACGACAAGTCATATGGACAATACGCTGAAATGCCAGTGGGTGTCCAAGGTTATACGACACAACAAGGTGAGTGGGCCAAGGTATATCATGCGGCTTTCAACGAGAAACTAACTCCTCCCACAGGCCCCTTCATTGGCAGCCTTCCACCAACTAAAGACCGGGAATTGAAATGGTGGGGCCAAACAATATTTAGCAACACGAAGGAGGTTGTTCCTGGTCGATACTGCTCCATGCCTCCCCCTGAAAAGGACTATTCCCAATGGAATGCCTCAAGAAGAATGAAGGAGGACATTGATCATGCAAATAACGTTTTCTACGGAGAACGGGGTGCAAACTGGAAGATGGAGAAGTACCGGGTTTGTTGGTAAGTCTCCGCCATCCAAGTAAAGTCGAAGTCAGGGCTGACAACATGAAAGGGACGCATTTACCACCACTTCCGACTTCATCATCTCCCCCCACGCAGCCTCAAAGGGATTGTACATCGCGACTTGCGGTTCATTCCACGGCTACAAGTTCTTCCCGGTACTCGGCAAGTATATCGTCCAGATGTTGGAAGGCGACCTGCCTCAAAACCTGTCCGACAAATGGGCCTGGAACCGAGACCGACCGGACCCTGCTCTCAACCCAGACTTCCCAAGGGTAGAGATGAAATATTTACTAGACTTCAACAGGACTTCAAAATTGTAGACGAAGTCCTCGTCGACCTGATTTGTTAGAATTTAGCCGCATACGGTCTCGGTTATCTAATACATATGTTGATTCTGGTACTGCGCTGGAAAACTACTCTTTGATATCATTATCTATTCAATTTTGAAATGGCCATGATACTTTAACGCTATGATGTTGATTGCACAGTGCAAGCATCCTCACGAAACGCTGGGCCTCATAGATGGAGCTATTAGGCACCAAAGACTGCCCAATGATTTGGTGAAGCCAAACCTATATCATCCGCCTCGATGCTTGTGACAGATTTGCTATCCGACCACGCAGTCAATATCTCACACATTGTTCGAGGCCGTCAAGAGTGCCTGGAAGATACCGAGATCACGACATCATTGCAGTTCTTGGTAATTTTGCATCCACCACTGCCTCCGTCAAGTGTGATTCATTCTTGATTAAGCTAGGTAGCAGAGGATTTCCGATTGAGCACGAGACGATCTAAATGCACTCGATGAGCCAATCGATATGAGTACCTTGGTGGCTGCTGGCATCATTGGGCAGCTACGGTGTCGGTGCGACTTGCGCTCACTTGTCACGCTTCCTTTGACATTGAACATGTGCACATGTTAACCAATTCATCCTGGAGTGCTGTGTAAGTGTGATGAGCGGGCCGAAATCCAAATGCAGGAGCTCAGAGCATACTTGAAGGATCTGTGTGGGGTTGACGTGGGACAACGTCACCTAATCGGGCCTAGAAAAGAGGCAAATTGCGCTCTAAATTGGAAGTCGGGAACAAAGTTCTGACTACGAGTCGGGAGTCCACTGATAGCGCATGCGGCCAGGATCTGGGCCTTAGCGTGTGGAGGAAAGCTCCGGGTCTGTTGTGGTTTCGGTTCAACGTCAGGTGAGGCAGTACCATACGAAGATAGTACAATGAGGTCTTTTGAGGCTCTTCAATTAGCATTTGATGACGAGACAATGATTCAATGCATGATGGTATGATGCTGGGGACAAAATGGTTTCCGGAATGAACGGAACTGGGAATTTGATACCGGGATAGTTAAACGACCGGAATGTGAATTTCAATACTCATCATGTTACGGACTCAAGAGACACAACGTTCATTCAAGTGTTGGCGGTTTGCTTTCCAGTAAATAGCACAAGCACCCTGTTGTTGATCTCCGAGCGTTAGAGGAGCATCCCAGTAATTGAAGCATCGGACTGAGGTAAAATATGTGTTTCAATGGAGTTGCAGCTGGCCAATTTGACATAATGGTTGTCGAAGCGCTCTATACTCACAGCATACCGGCTTGCCTTTCCAAGGACAAGTCAACATGGGTATGTCATGATGAGAACTGTATCAGGATGATAGCACCTCGTTGAGAACACGAGCCGGTATTTGGCACTAAGAAGTAATTAGAGCACCTCAGGACCAGTCACGTAGTGTGGGTTGAACGCCTCATCCCATGGATGCTTCTATTGCTCCCTGGAGGCTCCTTGATGTTACCATGTAGAAAACTCAGAATCATGTTCTCTTGCCTGGAGTCAGTATTGAGAAACCTGACGTTCCACATCCTAGAACATAGGAAGATGCCGACTGCTTCCACCAAAATTTCGTGTGTATGGGAATAGAGGTCAGTTGCAACTATAGCAACAATCGATGTGAAGAAGACTGAGAAAATCACCTGGTTCTGATTCATCTGGAGCCAGCGTCTTTGTTCATTTATCTATAGTTCTAGGGAAGAAGTCTTGTCCTGTGTACATCTAAAATTCATGGTAGAATAGCGACCCGTAGACAGATCACCTCTTTCCTACAGAGGTCTTGTATAGTCCTTAGTTTGAGAATTCACTGAGCCACTTGGATGAATTTCCTCTGGATGGGCCGACCACTATATATCCCTGAGCCGAGAATTCTATAGGGGCCAGTGTGGCTATTCTAGAATTGGTTGTGGACTGGGCATTGCTATCTATAGCCCTTTATAGGCAAGAGATGTGCAGTATAAACCTGGGCTATAGGTGGCAAGGGAGGTTGATATAGCAGTAGCTACCCTTTGTACCTCACGAGAACCAAGTTCTTACAACACATATGTTAGGAGGGAATTAACAGCATGCAGAGTATATGAATATGAAGGAAGTTCAATTCTCATCAAATATAAAAGACGTCTAGATAACCTCATATCAATATGGGTCATGTTTCGTTCGTCGTGGTATTAAATCTAATCCTCTCTCCGGCTCCTGCTATACACCGCAATCATCACCAAACCAGTTGTTCCTGGTTGGTCGTCTGACAAGCTAGGCCGGAACAGAGATCGATGTCCTTTGCAATTGTTGAAGCACTTGTCGGCAGAGTCTGTCGGGCAGGCCAGATCTCCTGCTTCGCTAGCTCTTCTTTCCTCCGGTGCTCCGTCACGTTTTCACGGACCAGCTTTTGGAAGAAAAGTGGTCCTTTCTCCATGATTGGATGCATCTCGCCAGCGACGAAGACGCCTGCGTTGATGTTCTTTTGGGCCAGCTCGCACAGAGCCTTGTCCTCAGACATGATTCGCTTATATATATCATTGATGAGGGTGAAATCCTCGTCAGAAGAATTCTTGTTTCGGAAGACTTCGTAGCGTATCAGAGAAGCTTTAGGTCCACGGGGGACAAATCTCTGTGTGAAAAAGAAATGAGGACTACTACATGTTAGCGTGTGGCTTCAATTTTGGGTTCACCGTGTACTCACGAAACATTGGTTGAAGCATTTGGCCAGTAGTAATTGGCGCATACTGTCAACCCTCTTTCCTTCTGTTCTGCCGTCGTAGCTCCGTTATGCTGGATCCACGCCCGCTGGGTATTCACGCTGTATGATGCGAGATCTGCAACTGTCGGAATATCAGGATGCGTCGTTTTACAGTGGTAACATTCGTTGTAATTATCCGCTGCAATTTTCCAGTTATAATTTGCGGCAATCTCCCAGGTGTGATCAAACTCGTAATCGTCGTAGTTGAATTGTTTCAGTCGATCCTGTGTATCTGATCCTTCAAAATCTTCTTGCCACTCCACTTCTGGTGTCGCTTTTGCGTCCATATTTATCCAGATGAATCCATTTATGTCAATATGGACATGGATAGGAAACAGGCTGTTTTGGCTCCTGTCAAATCCTGGCAAATCTTGATATCCTGGCGCTTTTGCCATTTTGCCGTCAAGGCCGTAGGACCAGCCATGATAACGGCAGGCCAGAATCTTGGAGGTTCCTTTTTCTTCATTCACAACAGGATATGCACGATGTCTGCAAATGTTGTGGAACGCATTGATCTTCCTGTTCTTATCACAGGCGATGACAATATCGAACCCGGCAATTTCATAGCGGAGCCACTCGCCAGGTTCTCTCAACCGGTTCTTGTGAGTGGTCATAAGCCATTTTCTGGAAAAGATGGATCTTCTCTCGAGCTGATATAGCTCCTCTGAGGTGTACCAAGAGGCAGGTAGGGCTCTGACTGATGTCTTCTCGTCAGTGGGAGGTGCAGCACCTTTGAGACCAAAGTAGTTGAAGAGTGCGGGAGCCATTGCTGTGATGATATGATATAAGGGGTAAGGTGTCTATAGAGATATGAATCAGAGATGCGATGCTACGAATACGATTGTGACGGCTCGAGCTGATAGATATACTGATAACATATTCGTGCTGGCTTCCCTCCCCTTTGATAACGCATTTGCAACTCCATGGGGTATTAAATTCCATACATTTGTGATTTGACGAGGGTGCAGATGGCGGACTCGGGCCTCAAACCCAGGAGAGATAAGAAGAGATAACGTAATGGCAGCCGAGCGGGATCCATCAGCCGACCCATCTTGAGTGTGTAGAGTCATTCCCGATATGGTCAACTCTTACATAGAGTTTTGTGGGTCAGCAATTTTTTGCCTTGGATGGCATCGCACCCTTGTCACAAGAACAATCCACAACCAGTAGAATTGTTTATTCTTGTGTCTGAGGCATGAGCTAGTTTGGATTCTGGAAGCTCGAGTCCAATCCGCTCCGAAAATACATCCATCCCCTATCGTATTCAGCGGTTCTCATGATCGTTGTTTATTTTTTGTTAAGATTACGTGTGTCAAAACTTGAATGCTCCAGACTTGAACAGGACATCCAACCGCTCCGCAATCCGGTCCATGGAAGGAGGCTGTCGCACCTGGTTCTGGAGTGAGAATCCCCCTCTCAGCATGAGAGACACGTGGTGATGTTGCACAATGGAGTTAATAGCCGTATGGAAGGACATCCGGCTTGTTATTGCAAGAACATTGACCGTTTGCTGTCGATCGTAGAACGAAATGAACACAGTCTGGAAGGGTCTACAGCGATTGTCCTTCAAAAGAGCTCCCTTGGTAGACCAAAGGATAATCTGACTGGCGGTGGGGGAGTCTACCCCGTCTGTCAGAAGTCTCGGCTCGGATGTGGCTGTTCTCTGGAGCACCCAATGGCCGATGTTGGGGCGTAGGACGGTCACAACATGAGAAGTAGGGCACTCACTAATGTGGGCGAATTCAAGGTCAAAGTCACTTCGAGACAACACACTATGCTCATTTTCATACGTCCGATATGTGTTCTTCGCTGAATGGTAGGTCAAAGCCACGGACAGGCAGATGGTCCGGGGCACTGAGTAGGTCAAATTCGGTGGTTATGCAGAAGCGATGTGAAACTGGCTAGACCAAGCATCTCAATTTCAAAGTTTATGTTGGTATTCGCATCCTCGAACTTGACTAGCTCGATGGCTGTTCGACTTCGGTTGGCAGAGATAGCCAGGTGATGGACTAGTGTTCTAGGTGCCGGCTAATCACGACGCACCCGTCTGCCCATGGTAGGGGCTTGTGAACTGATAGGCGATCACACAGTGGTTGTCCTTGAGCCTCGACGTTCCGACCAATGACATCGATGAGACATCCGTGAAGCGACAACATCGAGGCTTCCGCGCCTTCAGGATTGACATGAGTGCAGGACATGTGGTGGGATGAGGTGAAGTTTGAGCCAAATCTCAATGTTGGAAGCCAAGAGAGCTAAACCGTTTTCAGAAAAACTTGCCGCGATGTGTATAGCTCGAAAAGGAATGGAAATCCATTCAAAGGGCGCTAGCCAAGCTTATCCCTGACCTCAGAGATAAGTGTTCCGATACAAGGTTTCACTCGCCACTCTCACTGGGGGCTGAGTGGAGATGTTCGATACAATCAACAGGAACGGTTTGTCTATCCTCAACATCATAGTAAAGTCTCCAGATAGTCGGAAAGGATGAATTGCTTTTAAGTATGAACCATCGATCTCAAAACTGACATTGACAAATTTGGTAATTCAAGATTCAACTCCATAACCATGATTGCCAAAGTTCAGCGCGTCGTTATCATCGGAGCAGGCATCGTTGGCGTCAATGTCGCCGATGAGCTCGTCTCAAGAGGATGGTCCGACATCACTGTCGTCGAACAGGGTCCCCTGGACCTACCCGGGGGCTCAACGTCGCACGCTCCCGGGCTTGTCTTCCAGACGAACCCGTCCAAAATGATGACATTGTTTGCGAAATATACTGTTGAAAAGTTCCTGTCACTGGAAAAGGATGGCGAGAGCTGTTTCAACCAAGTTGGAGGTCTTGAGGTCGCAACCACACCTGAACGGCTCGAAGAGCTGAAGCGAAAGCACGGTTATGGATCATCCTGGGGTGTTGAGTCACATCTCCTCAGCGCCGATGAGTGTGCCCAAAAGTATCCAGAGATCAACAAAGATCTTATTCTCGGTGGTCTTCACATTCCAAGCGATGGCTTGGCAAAGGCAGCTCGCGCTGTCCAGCTTCTAATTGAACGCACTCGGAAAGCCGGAGTTCGCTATGTCGACCTGACCCCTGTCACCGGGATCGAAAAGGCATCTGGTCACGTGATTGGTGTGACGACACCGACGGGGACGATTCCCGCTGACATTGTTATATCCTGTGGAGGTTTCTGGGGTGTGGAACTAGGAGCGATGGTCGGATTGTCGATACCTCTTCTCCCCCTCGCCCACCAATATGTTAAAACCACTGCCGTTGAGTCTTTGGCCAAGAACAACCCATTGCCTAACGCAGCAACTCTACCTATTCTCCGCTACCAAGATCAAGACTTGTACTACCGCGAGCATGGAGACCACTATGGCATCGGCTACTATGGCCATAAACCTATGCCAGTTGTTGCCGGCTCACTTGGCGCAACTCCGAAGGAGGTCAGCGAAAAGAGCATGCCTTCCCGACTCGCATTTACCCCTGAAGATTTCGCTCCAGCATGGGAGCTCACTCAAGAAATCTTGCCTGCTTTAAAAAAAACAGAAATTGCTGACGGCTTCAACGGCATTTTCTCATTTACTCCAGACGGTGGCCCGATAGTGGGATATCACCCTACTCTTGATGGATACTACGTTGCGGAAGCAGTATGGGTTACGCATTCTGCTGGAGTTGCGCGAGCTGTTGCAGAAGTCCTGACCGAGGGAAGATCGAAGATCGACCTTGCCGAAGCAGAACTGACCCGCTTCGAAGAAGTTCAGCTGACACGGTCATATATCAATGAAACATCCGCACAAAATTTCGTGGAGGTTTATGACATACTACACCCTCTTCAACCGAAAGACTCGCCCCGCAACATTCGAGTGAGTGCGTTCCACGCAAGACAAAAGGAACTCGGCGCATATTTCCTTGAAGGTGGTTCTTGGGAACGGCCGTATTGGTATGAAGCAAACAAAGACCTAGTAAAAGAGTTGCCGGCAGACTGGCAGCCATTGGACCGCGATACTTGGTCGTCGCGGTTTTACTCACCAATTGCGGCAGCAGAAGCATGGAAGACGAGAACCTCAGTGGCAGTTTACGATATGACTCCACTTCGTCGTCTTGAGGTTTCCGGTCCTGGTGCTGTTGATTTGTTGCAAAGACTCAGCACAGGTGACGTCGGCAAGAAGCCGGGTGCAGTTACCTATACTCTATGGCTTGATGAGAGTGGCGGTGTCCGCAGCGATGTTACAGTTGCTCGACTCGAGGATGAAGTTTTCCAGGTGGGCTGCAATGGTCCAGTGGATTTGGCATATGTCAACCGAGAAGCACGCCACCAAATGCTGCAAGCTCCTCATAAATGGATACATGTACGTGATATCACGAGCGGTACCTGCTGTGTGGGCTTGTGGGGACCTCGCGCCAGAGATCTTATCAGCACCATCACTCCAGATGATTTCTCCAACAAGGCACTGAGGTATTTCCGTTGCAAGAAGGCAAGCATTGCCGGTATTCCAGTGACAGCTATGAGATTGTCATACGTCGGAGAGCTCGGCTGGGAAATTTACACTACTGCCGACAGGGGCCAAGCTCTCTGGGATGCCATCTGGAAAGCTGGTCAACCATATGGCATCATTGCCGGCGGACGACATGCCTTCAACTCTTTGCGACTGGAGAAGGGCTACCGCTCTTGGGGCACGGACATGAACACGGAACATGACCCAGTCTCAGCAGGCGTTGGCTTCGCTGTCAAGGCAGACAAGGAAGGCTTTGTCGGTCAAGCGGCATTGGCTACTCGCGAGAAGGGAACCCAGCGACTAGGCTGCATCACTCTTAATGATACTAGTTCGATCATACTTGGCAAAGAGCCAGTGTTTCACGACGGCAAAGCCATTGGCTATGTTACTAGTGCTGCCTTCGGGTACACAATCGGCAAGTCTCTTGCATACGCTTGGCTACCTGCTACTATTGAGGTGGGTGAGACTGTGGAAGTCGAATACTTTGGGAAGAAGTATCCTGCTACCGTCAGGGCTGAACCCATGTACGACCCCAAGATGACACGTCTGCGCGATGTTCCTTCGGATGTTGATGTCTTAGCCTCAGCTAGACTGAGCTAGAGATTTGACCAACTTTCAATGGTACGAAGGGCTAATTTGCGGGAAATTCCTCACTTCTCCCATGGTCCTAACTCATAGTTGTGAGGGAGTTTAACTGCAAAATTTCTAGAGTTGGCACCGCCATTCCAGGAAATCCTCAAAGAAGCAAATTCTCTTGGGACCTTCCTTCTGTTGTACTTCTGAAGAAGAAGTGCATATGATCAGCATCGGCCTTTCTTGAGCATGAACAGGTTGCGTCATGCCTGTTGAGGTAGGGCGTTTGGGCAATTACGGTCACATAATATTCAAAATTCTGAAATCTGTGAGCATTGGGTAAGAAACAGCATCTACATCAAGATTTACTTTGTATTAGATGGAAACTTTTGTGACGATCTTTTATGACTGTGTTTAGTGGTTGAACCCGATTGACTTGTCTATCGAAGCCTTCCAAGCGCGACCTTGACATTGTTTCCGATTGCGACTAGAATCACGTCTACATCACAGTACAGCGATAGCGACAGCGACAGCCGAAACATTCCAAACGCGAATTTCACATCAACTCCATTGCGACTAGATTGTCTCTACTTCACAATGCGGCCAAAGCGATAGTGACAGTGTGTTAGTATCGATGGGACTCTACCACCGCGAGCAACTATTAACTCCCGATTGTGACATGAATCTTGTCTCCCTCACCGCAGCAGGACGGTGATGATGCAGCTACGGTGACCGCCATAGTGACCGTTAGAACCTACCAAGCGCGATATACACGGTTCTATTGCGACCAAAAGTTGTTCACAATTTCCTCATTGAGACCTTTACGAAACCGATGCAGCGACGGTGACAGCGAGTCTGGTGCCGACAAACGCAAATAACTGTAAGATTGGAGTTAAAACAAATCTAGAATCTGCTATCAATCGCTGTGCTTCAGGAGCAGATGTTCCTGGAAGCCAGAGGCGCCTTCACCCTCTTTAGAACAACGAGGGACCCGTCACGCGGTAGCTGGGAATGATGATGCCACGGACCACTCAGGCACCAAGCTTCGTCACTGGCACTCTTGGGGCACCTCGGGGCCTTCGCTAGGTAGGTGACGGGCACCGCCAGTGCCCTGGAACGGTAGGTGCAAACGAGACCTGGAACATCGTCTACGCATTCCATCTCGTAATGACGCTTTGGCTTTCTTCTACGCGACAAGAACGGTTTTCTTGTCCCCATAGGGCTTCTGTTTCCGTAAGCACTTTTGCCATCCAAAGCTAAATTCCTTATCAGAGCCTACCAGAGGGAATGCAACCCCAGGATTGACTAGCTGACGTCCCCACTAATTTCCGTGCTCCCGTGAGCGACCGCCAGCTCGCGCCTGTGGGGTACGGGGGCAGCTCTTCCGCTGAGTTCACTGAAGCCGACCACTTTCTTAGGCTGCTAGTTGGGGCCAGATAAGGTCTGCACCCAGCAATCCAGAGGGTATTACGCACCTCCATCTCACTCCTTCACCTGGACATGCACTCGCTCAAACCAAGGCCTAGGTGCAGATCGGAAACACTGATCCAGGTCCTTACCAGCTTCAGTAATTCTCTCGAAACTTCCTTCTGCTGCCAGCTGGAGCTCCGCCCCGTGGCACACCCTAATCCTATATAAGCACCCTCTTGTCCACGTCTGGTCGGTCTCAACCAAATCACCTCGACCCATAATTCCTCTCAATCAAAATGTCGAAAGAAGAAGAAAAGAACATCGCCATCAATGATGGGAACAGCAGCGAAGAACGCTCTGGCACCCACGATGGAGTCGAAATACAAGCAGGTGAATTTACTGACAATGTCGATGGCTTACAGCGTCATCTGGGCAATCGTCAAATTCAGCTCATTGCCATTGGAGGCTCCATAGGAACTGCGTTGTTTGTGAGGTAAGAAAGCTCTCCTCCCACGAGATTCTCCCCAAGCCGGGAGACTCTACTGTCAAATCCTCGCTTCATTTTGCCACAAAATAAGATGGGGGAAAGCTAACTCTCTGACCAGCATTGGTGGCGCTCTCAACAAAGGTGGTCCAGGCGGCATGTTTTTGGCTTACACTTTGTACTCTATTCTCCTCGCCCTCGTATCCAATGGCGTGGCAGAGATGAGCGTCTTCATGCCAGTCAGCGGTGGATTCATTCGTTTGGCAGGAAAATGGGTAGATGAATCATTTGGTATGAAATCAACACACAATCAGCCACTTGCTGGTGGACTAACTCTTCCACAGGATTCATGGCTGGCTGGAACTTCTATTTCTATGAAGCCTTGCTCATACCCTTCGAAATCACTGCTCTCAACCTGGTGTTATCTTTCTGGCGTGATGATATTCCCGTCGCAGCGGTCTGTGCAGCATGCGTTGTACTATATGGGTCAGTTGTTCCCATCTAAACGCCATGAACCAAGTTTTGCCCCTTTATGCACCTAGATTCAAAGCTCTTCTTCACCCAGGCGGCCGCTGACATCATCTCCAGTCTTATCAATCTTCTGGCTGTGAAAGCCTATGGAGAAGCGGAATTCTGGCTTTCCGGAGGAAAAGTGATCCTGATCTTCATGCTGTAAGTCACTCCACCCTTTATCTCTTGATCGGAAGAAATGTCCAAATCAAGTATAAGGACTCCGTCCCTGGGGCCAAGAGTGTCTGATGCACCCCCTTATCGAGGTGGATGGGTCAGACACTCGGCACCCCTGTCGAGCCAATCTATGGAGGCAAAGAGTGGATCACTAACCGTGTTGACAGATTTTCTTTTACCTTCGTTACCATGGTGGGAGGGAATCCCCAGCACGATGCTTATGGATTCAGATACTGGAAGAATCCTGGCGCTTTCGCAGAGTACATCACTACGGGATCCCTAGGCCGCTTTGAAGGGTTTCTCGGTGCCCTCTGGGCTGCATCCTTCTGTATTGTGGGGCCTGAGTACATCTCAATGGTCGCCGCCGAGGCGAAGCGTCCGAGAATTTACATCAAACAAGCCTTCAAGACGATTTACTGGCGATTTGCCATCTTCTTCATTGGTGGTGCTCTCTGTGCAGGTATTGTGGTAAGTCTTCTTGTTATTTCTCCTGCGTCCTTGAGTCTGTCCTGCGACTGACTCCACTCCTCCCGAAGATCCCGTACAATGACAAAACATTGGTTGCTATCCTAGGAGGTGATTCCTCTGGTGGAGGCACTGCCGCAGCATCTCCTTATGTTATAGCGATGCAAAATCTCGGGGTCTCAGGCTTTCCCCACCTTGTGAATGCTCTCTTGGTCACCAGTATCTTCTCTGCTGGTAATACATACACCTATTGTGCAACACGGTAAGCTGAAATGTGTCTGAAGGTGAAATGGCTCCTTCTAATCTATCTCTTTAGTACTCTATACGGACTTGCGCTCGAGGGGCGCGCCCCAGCTATCCTCAGGAAATGTACCAAGCAGGGTGTACCGATCTACTGCTTCGCAGTCACGATGCTTTTCCCATTCCTCAGTTTTCTTCAGGTGTCCAGCAACTCATCTCAAGTCCTTACCTGGCTCATCAACCTAATTACAGCTGGTGGTGTCATCGATTACATTGTGATGAGTGTGACCTACATCTGCTTCTATAACGCATGCAAAAAGCAAGGTATTGATCGCAGAACATTGCCATACTAGTACGTTGAGACCCAAAGGGAGGACGTCACGAGTGATCAACCAACTAACGGTGCTTTAGTGGATGGGGCCAGCCATACTGTGCCTATATTGGTCTTGTTTTCATGACCATGGTTGTCTTCGTCTATGGATACTCAACTTTCCTCCCTGGCGGATGGTCGCTCAGCTCTTTCTTCTCTTACTACAGTAAGTTCAGCCATGTCTATATCAATCAGAAACCTCACAGCCTTGATGTCGAGTCTCAAATGTTCTCTCATGCTAATGCTTCATCTTCAACAGCCATGGTCGGAGTTGCACCTATCCTCTATGTCTTCTGGAAAATTGTCAAGCGCACCCCATTCGTCCGCAGCAGTGAAGCCGATCTTCTCTGGGAACGCCCCATCATTGATGCCTACGAAGCCACCTTTGTTTCCCCACCTGTTGGCTTCTGGACCGAGATGGTGCAGCTCATCGGCTTCAGAAGAGGTGCCAAGGATGAGCGTATCGTCGACAGAAGGGGTTCTGTTCAAGTCTGCTAATGCTTTGTGGACTCGTACGTGGCCCGATGAATATTCACTTATATATAAGACCGGCTAGATAATGAACCGGTCTTCAGTGGCAGATTTCAGTATCCCTAAAGCCGAGAATATGATGGAAACCAACTCTGTAGCAAGGGCCTAGCTGACATCTCTCAAAGCGAAAAACACTCTGCCTTGTACGAAAGCAGATAGATAGAGAGGCAGACATCCATAGCACATGTATAGGCTGCCTTGCGGTCAGCCGCGCACGCCTAGCATGAAAATAGTTTCTCTATATACACCGAGCATGTCATACCAGGGCTGCAGTGTGAGACATTTGAATTGGATTACCCCACACAACTTCTTACAATTCCCGCCGCTCGTATATACAATGAACTCGCAGTCAATGCTGCCAGTACTACTAAAGTTCTTGTGTATTTCCTCCCTCCCATGCTAGTAGTACAAACTCCCACGCATTCAGCTGGACGATAGATGCGGCAAACACCTCCCGAAAGGGCGAATTCTTCCGGACAAGAGCCTCTGAGTATCCCAACCTATCCGCCTATTTGTGCTTCGCACAATGTGCCAAGTAGACCAAGCCGTTTCACGCAGCATTGCCACACGAATCACAGGGTATTACTGCCCGGGCCAATAGAAACCATGCTTTGCCCGCATCACTCATGCTTGTGGAAACACGAATGTTGATTGGCTGGACTTCTCAGATCAATCTGCAGTCAGCTGAGACTGAGTGCATTTGATCTGGGATTATTCTTTTTGGTATGGATGATAGAAGAGTGGAGCACGCCATCCATGTGTGGTGGGAGATCTATTTCCACCTTGCGATTCATGGCAGAGTTCGATCACGATTCCAGATTGACTTTGAGACTGAGGCTCCAGCGTAAATGACTAGCATTGAGGGATACGAGATGCGAGTGCGAGTATGGATAGTGGTGCTTCATCATTGAGCCAACGAATCGCACTACGAGTGGTGGGTGAAAGTCGCCCACCATTGAGCATGGCAGACTTGCGGTGGCCTATGAGAGCGGAGACTGCACCCACCTGTGTTTGAAACATGTTTGAGGAAAGCTTGTAGCTGGCAGAACAATACTAGGACTGGGAATCGTACTTTTTTTGGCCTACTCAAGTAGGCTTTACTCGACAAACACTCTGGGGATTCCTGCCAATTGTGTGAATTGCATCGCATAGGTATGGCTGTGAAGACTTGGACAGGTTTTGTTGGCGTAGCTTTATCGGTGTCCCTATCAATAATGGCAGACCAAGTGAGTAGCGAGTGTTAACCTAGTAGATTGGGATTGGGGTTAGAAATTGCGAGACAAGGCTGTAACTGGGGAAAGTTGAAGGGGTGAAACTTGGTAGGAACAGTGGGGCGACCAATGGTATCGATAAACTTTGGTACTTCAACAGGCAGACGCGATAGAATGCGTGAAACTCAACTACTGCTCGCGCCTAGGAGAGTTCCCGCCCACAAGAAGAAATTTTGCCAGTCTAGTTCACTCTGAGAGAGTTCAAAACATGATGCTCACGGTGCCCGCCGATTCCGATTCTCGAGAGTTGGACGAATTACTCGTGGAAGCCTTCCTACTGCAGCAGCTTGAGCATCATTTGGCATGAAACGGCATGAATCGACGGTGATGATCATTTGTTATTTGATAGCCATGAGTACATTGAAGATGCGATATATCAACGTCCTTTCATTGACAAAGCCACATGAGAGCCACGTGGACGCGTCGCAGATCGGACAAATCAGACACGGCCGGGTGGAAGGCTTGACCCGAGATCTAAAAGCTTAATACAATGATCCAGATGAAGGATGCTCCACTTTTACTCGAATGCTTTACACGTCCGACTGCTTGCCATGGAATGCACCCGATTGAGGCCAGACTGGTGTGTATATAGACGACAGAGCTCTCTCGCAGAGGTGGAACGATTGACCTGGATCTATAGATTGTTCCTTCCAGCGTCGAGCGCGTCGCAAATTCGAGGTTCCTCTCGCGGGTCTCCTCGATCAGCCAAGTGGAAGTGGACGGTACCCGACCTTTAAAATGCACAATTTGAGTGACAAGGCTGAAGCGTTCCCATATATCTCTATGACCCACAAAAAATGGATAGCCTTCCTCACTTTGGAGCAGGATATCAATTGACATTCTAGTCCCACTGGTATAGCAGTCCACAATGCTCACTTGACTCACTGTACCAAACTTTTCAAACAGGCTTCCATTGAATTGTATGATCTGATCTCAATTGATCTGGCGAAAGACCAGAGATCAGAGATCATACACTCCACCCAGTCTTCCTTCCCAAGTGCATAAGTAGAGGCCTTGCCCTCCGGATTGTTACATTCCTTCTTTCCAACCTTTCCTTTCCTTTTGTCTTGTTACTTGCTGTTGTTTTCTTCCTTTCCTTTCCTTGCCTTTTCTTCTTTCCTTTGCTCTTCTCTTTACATCTCTCCTTCCTTCTTGTCTATTGCTTTTCACATCTTTTCCCTTTCCTTTCCTTCTGTTCCTTCTCATCCCTCCCATCCCTTCTTTTCTTTTGTCCTTCCTTTGCTTCTTGTCTTCTTGCCTTCCTTTCCTTTTCTCCTTCATTTCTTTTCTTCTCATGCCTCCCATCCCCTCCCTTCCCTCCCATCCCTTCTTCTTTCCTTTCTTTCCTTCTTTTTCTCCAGGCAAGTCCTTCGTTTCCTTGTGTGTTTTTGCTTTTCTGTTTCTCAGGTGAGTCCTTCTTTTCCTTGTGTCTTCTGCTTTTCTTGTTCCTGTAGGCCCCCCTCTCGTAGCAGGTGAGCCCCCTTTTGTAGCCCCCGTAAGCCGTAGACCAAAGGTGAGTTCCCCAGCGCGTAGAAGGTAAGTCTTCCCCTAATGTCGGGGTTGACTACCAAAGGTAAGTCTTTGCTTTTCCCAAAAAAAACACCTTTCCCCATGTCTTTTTTTTTTTGCTTGCTTGCTATTTTTGCTTCTCAAGTCTCATCTCCTTCCTTTGGGTGTTCTTAGCTGTTCTCTGTCTCATCCATCTCCCGTATAATAGGTTGTTTTTTCCAGAGTAGCGTTCTAGTTTTCGATCGTAGCACATTTTCCATGTTGTTTCGTGACATGACCACTGTGATCCTCGTTTCTTTCCTCTGTGTAATGCTGCGCAGCTTCAAACTAGATCGTGCCATTCTTCTCAAGCCCTAGCATAGGTAGGACCATGAGAGCCATCGATAATGCAATATCTCCTGCTCGATCTCAACAAGGAGAAGAACATGTCAGCAACAAAACACGCACAGGCAAAGTATGGGGCTTGTGAAGTAGACTCATGAGTTAGAAATCCCGTCTGTATGGGCCTTGTACTTCGGAAGGCCAGAGTTAGTCAAGGCTGCAAGAAATATCTGGCTGGGTCAGTGGTCAAACAAAAGACTGCGACGTATAAGAAAGGGCTTCGCAATGGGTTTGTTCCGGGCGATGAGTGGAATCTCTTGAGCTCACCAATCGCAGTCATTGCAACCGAGGGTGGACTTGTGTTGTTTGCACAATGAAGCATGAAACCTATTGAGAGAAAATGGAGTATGAAGCATATATGTATGGGTATCACTATTTCGCTACGTGTTACCTTGATACCTCCCACTGAAGATGTGATTTGATAATGATCATGTTCGCAGAGTAGTGTATAAGTTCTGTCGTTCTTCTGCAGGTCTGTGCAAGTGTAACGACACCATCAAGTCATAATGTCGTGAATAACCGGAAGAGTCTATGCTCTGAATCTCTGCCAGAACAAGTCGGCACAATGATCTCAACTGCCTTAAGAATTGCCCGCCAAATATAGAACAGCTTGGATCAATATAAACCGTTCTATCGCTCATGCCTCAACAGACTTCCTCGATTTGTGACTGCATTACCGTGATGCGGAAGCAGGCCGGGCGCAGGACTGCCTTGACGACTTCGCGGACCACGACCGGTGCTCGGTGCGTCGAGACCTGGACTTCCAGGGGGCTGAACACTGCTACCACGAGTCTGAACACCGCGATTGCGTTTCAGCTGACGATTTTCTTCTTCGAGCTTCTTCAAGAGTACGTCTTTCGTTCTCTTCTCCTGCTCTAACTCGGCGATCTTCGATAAGTGTTCTTTGAGACTTTGTTGGTGATTGACCTCTTTGAGACGGCGTTTCTCATCACTAGCTTGTTTGGACAAGTTCGCGACCTTCTCCTCAAGATCTCTTACTTGAGCTGCAAACTCGGCTGCCTTGCTGGACGCATTTTGATATTGTTCTCTTGTGAACTCAAAGTCCTTGCGTGTGTTTTCGAGAATCTTTTCCAAATTCATATTTCTGGCCAACAGAGTTCGAGCTTCTTCCCTAGCAATCTCTGTGCTAGCAGCGTCACCACCACCGGATTTGATTGTCTCACGTATGGCACTCAGCTCTTGTTGCAGGGTCTTGAGTTTCTCCTTGAGCGCGGCATTCTCTTCCATGGTTCGATCCTGTTTGAATTTCTTGTTTTCCATGGTCTTCAAGAGTGTGGCGTGATCCTTTTCAAGTTCATGACTCTTGGTCTTTCGTGTCTCATAGCGTCGTAAAAGCGCCGAATGAGCTTGTCTCCACTCATCCGACTGCACCTTCACATGATCTCTCTCCTTCTCGGCCTTTTCCCTCGCTTCCTTCTCCTGTGTGAGCTCGGTACGTAGCTTCTTATTGAGCTCCCCAACAGACAAAGGCAGAGAGGCAGGGGTAGTAGTCGTTTCAACTTCTGGTAGAGGTGTTGGCGTGAGACGTTGACGCTTGTTTAGAGCGACAACCGGGTTGTCAACTTCTAGCAGCCTCTTCTTTCCAGATGGCGTGTCCGCACGAGAAGCAGGAGTTCTTGATCGCGGCAATGGCTCTTTGGGTGTTTCCGCCGCTGTCGTGGTGCCACTCACTTTGGGCGAGATGTCGTCAATCTCACTCAACTGCAATTCCGGTACAGAACCAGGCCCCCATTCAGTATCAAAGTCTCGTGAGAAAGCCCGCAGTGTGATAAGCGAAGCCAGCAAAGAAAGCTTCCTCTCTGGGCTTTTTCGGAGGGCCTTCTGCAAATCGGAGAAGTCCATTGCTCTTCCTTGAGGTTCGTCTGAAGCACTGGGTACATAGCTTTGCTTTCCTCCCAAGTTCGCCCGAGCTTGATATGTTGTACGTACAAGTAATTTCAAACGTGCCGGAGACGGCAAGCTCTTCGGGATGCATAGATCAACATGTTCCGAGGAGTTGGTCACCAACAAATGAACAACTGGAACAAGCTTTGGCGAATTTGGTGAGGACATGGCACGGATTTTCTTGATTTCACGATCCTGAGCGTCGAAAGAAGCATCAAATGCGATCATCACTATGGGTTTGCGATGCAGAGTGACAGGATTACGCGACATTGTGCTTATCAGCTCGATTTCGAACTCGTGTTGTCGATCCGTCTCTGGCGAACTGGGAGCATTGACCCTGTCATGCCGCCTGACGTTGATCTTTTTGGTGGACAGATACTGCTCGAGAAGGTCTTGGATCCTGCCTGACCGGGCGGCAAGTGCGATCGAGCAATCAGTCCTATTGAGTTGCTCGACTAAACTGCCCAACAGTGAGAACTTGGATCCGGCATAGTTAGCATAGGTTGTGTGTTCTTCTGAGTTGACGGAATACTGCGTAGGGGTCCCAGGAAGACCAAGATCCATGTGTGTCGTTGTGTCATGCAGACGTTGAATCAACTCGCTCATTTCATTGCGTTCATTTGTCCGACTCGGAGATGTGTTGGCCGACCCAATGGCCTCATGGCGGCTGATGAACTTGAGGATTGCCTTCTTTTTCGTTTTGATGATGTCGGAGTAAACAGATTGAATCTTTCCCTCGGCCGAAAGGCCTAGAGTATATTCGTCCGGCCCCAGTAATGGTACGCTAGGAATCACCAGACCATTGACTTGAGGGATGTCACGCTCACTCTCGAGTGACTGGCTTGAGCTTCCCTTGGAGCCATCAGATTCCTGGTCGTCATTGAGTAATTGTCCATCTTCAATGGAGTTTTGAATCGGCAGCGCACTGCCCATCGCGATGTCATAAGTAGGAGCTCGGGATCCACTAGGAGCAGCCGGGGAAGTGGTGTTCGAGGATGCTGAATGGTCCATCTCGTCAGGATGCCTAAGTTCCCCCGAGCTAGCGCTACTAGTTCGTGATCTCGACAAGCGGCGTGAGTAATCAGATGTTCGAATGATATTTTCGTTGAGTTGACGAAGTTTTTCTCGCAGAGGTGAGGGAATCTCAGTGGCTTGTAGAGCCTGTCTCCCTGAACGAGGGGATGGCGTGGACAGTGGAAGCTGACCTTCACCAACAGATGAAACTAAGTCGGAGACTTTGACTGAACTGGGCTGATTAGCTGGCGTCTCTTCAACCGGACACTGTGTACGAAATTGCCAAGGAGAAGCACCTTCGCCTGCCGGTGAACGATGGACCGAGCTTCCTTGATTGGAAGATTGTAGAGTCTGTTGTGCCTGGGGATATGTATTTAGCGGGATTGAACCCTGTGAATCTGATTGGAGGGCAGACTTTCGTGAAACCAATAGCTGAGGATTTGTTTCAGGACAAATAAGATCAGCAATTGATAGTCCTCGACGGGAACCAGGTTCGGGTCCCAATTCAATGCTTCGCTTTCGACCCTGCACTGAAGGTTGCTCTGTACTGGGAATATAAGCCGGGGCACCAAAGTCACTTGGTTCTGATGAAGAAACGGCTTGAGTCGTAAGCTGAATTGGCTCTGACGAAGCGGCCGATTCGACAGAGCTAATCAGAGGCGGAGGACCACAAACAATCACCGAGGATGAAGAAGATAACTCAACACCGGATTGCAAGTTCTGAGTAGTCGTGTTGTGGACAATTGGTTTTCTGGTCGTCACAGGGGAAGCCTTGGCTACCGCCGCCTCAGATGTGCCAGAAGACTGAGCAGGTTTGGGTCGGAAGGTAGATAGTGGAGATCTTGGTGAAGGGGAGAAGTTGATGCCACCTTGGGAATTGATCTGACTGCTACGCAAAGTTTGGTAATCTGCACTATCAAGAGGTACCGAAGGAATAACGATCGAGAAGGGAGTGGGCGATGATGGTTGACGGTCCAACTGTGTTTCCGGGATCTCCAATGGTGATGAAGCAGGGCTGTTGAGTACCGTCAAGCGAAGCTTGATTCGCGGAATTGTTGGAGTCGGTTCCTGACCTGATTTTGGCAATGTAATCTCGAGCGATGGGCGCGCAGGACTCTGAGCAGCCGGCTCACTGGATGATGAGTCGCTGATTGTGTGAATTGCTTTTGTTCGTCGCTTTTCACCATTCAAAGCAGGCTCTCTATTTGGCTTGCCAGTACTGGAGGCTCCTGAAACTTTGACAGCGGGCTTCTTCTGGGGTTTGTCGATATGGTTGGCCTCTCTATTCTTCCAGAGCTTTAACAAATCGGCAGCGATACCACTAGCAGCAGTCTAAAGATAGGATCAGCGATGTTCTTATTCACATGGTCATAGAGTATAGTCTTTCTTACCCAAGTTGGTGCAAATTTCTCTCCAGTGAGTGGATGTTCTGCCCACTCGACGAGGTACTGTTTCCTCTTGCCCTGAGCCCGCTCGTCTGAGATTCTTGTTGCTGGCCAGGCTCCCTCACCGACACTCCTGAACTTTTCTCCCAGAAGCCTCTGCTCTTCCCAAGGGATGAATGTTCTTGTTGAATAGGTAACGGTGGCGGAGGGAGTGTTGGGAGTGGAGGAAGTCTGAGAGGGTTTCTTGCGCTTGGTAGAAGATTTGCTGTAATCCACAAGATCTTGTTTGTAGGGCGACTTCATTGTTCACGAGGTGAACCGGAGATGACGCTGTGGATCCTCATGGTTAGCGGAAAGGTCAATGGCGACTAGGTGGCATGTGAAGGTAAACAAAGTGTGGAATGGGGTAAATGAATCATTCAGTTCGAGGCACTGGCAAGGCCGGGTATCAAGAAATCAGTGACGGTGACCGCTGGCAGTGGCAGTGGCAGTAGCAGTGGCGGTGGCAGAATAATGGCGGGCACTGGCAATTTCAGTCGGCTGTCTCGTAATGGCAGCCGCGGGTCGGGATCACAGTCGCCTGGGCGATTCGTTGGCTTGCCGCCTTCCCAGTTTAACTCGCTGCCTCTCTGCCTCGCTGCCCAGAGTTGGTCGGGCCGCAGCTAAGGAAGCCGCCGGGAGACCCTCTCGGGCACGACATGACACTAGACTTACCTTGGAATGGACTTGAGACTTCAGCCGAGATGCTGGTCAATGCTGGAATTTGAACTTGAACTTCCAATGCTTCGCATTAGTATCAGAGGATGTGGCAATTGAAGTTGTAGATAAAATGCGAAGAAGAGAAGAGGGAGGAAGAGAAAATAGAAACAGTTCAGAGCACCAACTATTATTGTTCACCACAGTTCTCAAGAACGAGAATCTGATGAAACCTGGTGAAGGAAGACTCGGGCGGTTTGATTGTGAGCCTTGGTGGTTACTTGAATGACAATTGATGAATGCAACACCATTCACTTCGTTGCTTGATTCACCTCACTTCACTTCGATCACACCAAGGACAGACCATAAGGATAACAATGGTTACTCTCACTAAGGTTACTTTGGCTGCTATTGTTCTTGCTAGCCAACCGGTTCTATTCATATCAAGGCAAAGTTGTCACTCTATCTTATTCACATTCATGGGCATTTTGCCTCACGGAACATGTTCAACTCTTCCACCCGACCTGTCCGGTTCACCTCCTCCAACCATGTCTCAAAATCAAAGCCGACCTCCTCCATCATCGTGACCTTGAATCTATCCCGGCCCCTCTTCGCAAAGGCCGCTTTGATTTCGGGAAATCGACTTCTCATCCAGACCAGCCTCTCATCCCAAGCCATGCCCGACTTTCCCACCCCATCATTCTCCAGGCCATGCCTGTTTCTCGCTTCTTTTGCCCACAGGAACAGCTCATTGAGCTGTGCCGCATCTTCAGGGAATTTCTTCAGGTGAAAGTACTTGCCCTCACCCTTCCTTTGGATGACATCTCGCTCCCATTGGTGCATTTCTTTCTCTTCAGGTAGGTCCAATCGTCCAGACCACACTCTGCTTGCGACCGCAGCTTGATTCTGACTGAGAGGAAATGGGATGACTTTAAGATTGATGACAGGAAACACCAAGCTGGGATGCTTGATATGAAAAAGATGTTGGTAGAGACCTCTTGTCCTAGACCCATCCGTGACCAAGGCGTCGCCCAGTCGTAGCTCCGTGTCCTTCAGAAAGGGGAAGTTGTAGAAGTATCCTGTTGCAAAGACCACGGAATCGAAGCCGCTTTCAAGTCGACCGCTCCTGAGCCTTATTGACGGGGTCTTGGCTTCTGAAGTATAAAACTTCACCACCTCATCCACATCCTCTCGCCATTCCGTCGGCGCTGATGTTCCAAATGCACTGGGGCTCCTCGCTGAAAGGTAAACGGGCTTGCGTGCAAATTTGCCAATCTGTGCGGCGATGTCCAGTCCGCTCGCAGAGTTGCCAATCACAAGAACCTTTTTGTCTGTGAAGTCTTCAGGCCTGCGATATGCTTTTGAATGGAGTACGACGCCAGGGTGCCGTATATTGAGCTTGTCCAGCCCAGGGATCGCCGGTACATAAGGCACCGTGTAGTGCCCATTGGCCACGACGATTGCGTCGTATGTCTTGGATGTTTTGACCCCTGTCATCAGATCCGTCGAAGAAACCGTCCAGAGATCTTTCGTCCTTCCTTCCCAGTCTTCAACTCGGAGATCAACACGATCTACCTTCGTGTTGAATCGTATCAGATGCCTAACCTCCTCGGCATAGCGTATCAAATAGTCTAATACAGCCTCGTGCCCGGGGAACAGCGGATCCGAATCCGCAAATGGCGCATCACAGTACGCCATCAACTGTTTGGGAATGTTCGTCTCCAGATATTCGTAGAGCGGGGATTCGAATTCAAGCGCATCGTCCTTCGCAGCACTACTGCTCGTGCCATACCACGGATCTGTCTGTGGGACACTCACGTTCCTCGAAACCACATTATCGCTGAGGTTCCAGATCCCGCCAACGTTGTCCCGTTGCTCGTAGATATCGATCTCGGAAAAGCATTTCTCCGCAATGAGGAATTTTGAAAATGCTATTCCTACGGGTCCGGCGCCAATAATGGCAACGCGGGAGATTTGTTTGGGTATAAATGTGGCTGTTGGGTTTGTCGTTGAGTGGTCTGTGGCTGTGTTTGAGATTGAAGTGGGAGCGGGCTCTTGGGCGTCGCCCATTCTTACCTCGTTTTCGAATCACCTCCAGGGACCGGACGGGTATTTGAAAAGACTTCGATTCGTAGCGATTCAATATACTTATTGGCATCGAGTGAGGGATCGTGAAATCTCAAGTCATTATGAATGATAAAGTATCTAGCCGGTGTAGCCTCACGCCGTCGGAGAACATCCCGGACGCCGACACCGGCAGGAGAACATCATTGTCACTCGTATCTTGCGCTGGATCAGAGATGCACCAGATACTTAATGAGTCAGTAAGTATGGCGAGGGTTTCAACACATATATCTTCGTTCTATCTCTTCGTCTGTGCATTTATCTACATACGAGGTCATGGGCGGGGATATCGGTCAGAATCTGAGTCTCTCGTCTGCGGCAGACCTCTACTTACATGATCACGTAACCAGGGACTTAGGTAAGTATTGCTTGCGGGTCCTTCGATGACTCCCATCTGGGACCATGTCGAATACTTCGTAAGTAGCCGTTCTGCTGAAGCAAAATGAGTCAAATACTAGTACTTTTTTTATGAGCTATCAAGGCTTCCTTTGTAGATCTATGTGAGTATCTCTCACTCAATATCGCACGGGTTGGCCAATATTTGATGGAGTTGTAGGTATTTTGGGAAATCGTGGTCGAGTCGAAGCACTCGGCGAATACTACTATGTAGATTTATTCTCGAGCGCGCGTCGTACCAGCCTCACCCCATCACGCCCCTTGCCTGATAAGATGAAACACTCGCTCCTCGATTCAAGCAACTGTGATCAATCATTTCATTCGAGTGATTCTACATTCAGGAGATATCTTATGTCCATCGGAGACTAGACGACGAGACAAGGAGATCCTGCACCGGTAAGGATTTAAGCCTCAAGTCTAACCACGACTCGTATTCCTGATCATCTCGGAAGACCACTCGAGAATCACCGCGGTACATACTTAGTACCCGCTTCGGTACTCAGTCTCTGCTGGCCGCCAATTCCATCACTCAGCGGGTTTCCACGCGTCTTTGGATGATTTGCACATGGACGAACCTGCCACAGATGGCTGCAGCTTCCCACAAGCGCCATAGTTCGGATGAAATATCTCACTCTGAGAAGTCTCGGAATGGGGAGAGATAAACCATACCCAGCAACAGAGCATGGCTGGACGACAGACGATGGATGGATATGTATTTCGATCGCGAACGAGGCGAGCAGAGACTCCTTGCTGATGACCACTGCCAAAAAGAACAGCCTCTGTCGTCATCTACTCGCGCATCCAGCCAGAGCTCGAGACAATGAACTCGATATCACCTACGGCTCTCTCCAACCTCGTGTCCCATTCATCAGATGCGGACATAAGCAGGGCTTTACCGGTCTGGTTCGCGTGCTGGACGAAATGCTGCATCTTAGGCCGAGGTCCTTGGTTGTCGAGAAGGCGAGCGCTCACCTCAAGCACGGAACACTTGTGCTCGCTTCTACTGATCACTGAGCAGATACGTGCATATGCAAGAGCAACTTCTGGTACCTCGTGCAGGTGTTTATTGCCGTTTAATTCCGTGGAGATCCAATAAATTGTATATACTAAGTACCTATTTGTTCCTCTGAGCATGTCTTTACCTAGGTAATAGTACTTAAAACAAGGGTGAGAACCCTATGTTTATATGGAGGTACCAGATACCAAAACAGCTATTCTGCCTCATACGAAGGAGAACATAGCATCTACTCACCCTCCAAACCACGCAGTGGACAAGACAAAGCCACTCACCAACACAGCAAGACAGTGTTCTAGCTGATCACCACCACCATCCACGACAAACAATCGCAATGTCCCAGCCCACCACAAGGACAACAAGCACCAAGCTGCCCGGACTCACGCCCCGCGAAGCCGTCGCGGACGCGCTCCACCGATGCATCCTGGGGATCGACACGAACGACCTGACACTATTGGAATCAGCCATCGTCACCGACGCCAGCACAAGCCTGACGATCGACAACACCACCACAATCGAGGGGTGGGAGTCCGTCCAGCCACTGCTGGCGCGAACCTTTGCGCTGGTGACGACGCACGTCGTGACGAACGTGCGGGTAGAGTTGAAGGACGATGACGCCGATACCGCGTCGCTGTCGGCCCATGCGGTCGCCTATCATATGAAGCCTGAGGATGCGTTTGTCGAGCGCGATGCGTCGTACACGGCCGGCACGCTGTATTTTATGGATTTGGTGAGTGATGCTGGGCAGGGCGGCCTGTGGAAGATCAAGCGCTGGGAGATTAGGAGGTTGTGGACTTCGGGGGATCGCACCGTTGTGCATCCCGAGTGAGTCTCTTTGAGCATGATGTCGACTGAGCTCGAGAGGCTTGGTGAAGTGGCCGTTGACCGTGAGAATGATTGTGTTGATTTGGGCAGAAGGTCATACGGGTCGGGATGGGAAGATAGGGCTACCTGAGCGGAAGGAGTGATATGGGTGGGAGAAAAAAGAGTTTGGATATCTAGTAATGACCATTGACTTCCGACCCCGAAGACACATGTTGAAACACTAAACATGAACTTCATGTGAGTACCATCGTATAGCAAGGCCAAGTCATTCTCCCCTGCCAACACCGTTACGTTAGCATCAAGGCCCAAGACACTCATGCCTAGCTTGCTTCAAGTCCCCTCCCTCAATTCGAGAAATTCGCTGTGCTAATGAAACCAAAACAGTTGAAAGGCGCTCCGTCGGTGTTCTGTTTAGCTCTATCTTGATATTTGCATGCCTGTCATCCGTCCACCCCATTCTACCCGCATGCTAAATACAGCATGCCCTCGTGCCGTGATCCCACAAATATCGCTAGTCGTCTGCAAGAAATGGTGAGCCGTCAACAAATCCTTAAGAGAGATAACAATCTTGCGTCTCGCCTCGTTTGGGATCCGAGCCGGATTGCTTGCGCCCGTTTCATCCGAAGGTCTCATGCAAGGTGATAGTCGTCTATCAACCTCAGTGCAAGAATGGTACCCCACCCGTTCTGGGCCAGGAAACATCAAACCAACCAAATGTGATCTCTTTACTGAACCTGACTGACAATTTCGCTAGCTTTGGCCAAACTCTCAACCATTTGCAGGCATTCTTTCCGCCGTCGGACAGTGTAATCGCTTTCTTTGAGGAGATCATCGAGTTCCTGTGTCTTGTACATCTGTTCAAGGAGTTCTCGTTGCATTTCATCTTTGGTGAGCCTATTGTTTGTCAGTAAGAAATCTTGACGCGGGTATGGAAGCTCAACTTACTGTACGAGCGACAACATGATCGCCTTTGGCACCATATCAATCATGGTTCTCCGAGTAATGTTGAAGTAGCTGTTGATCAAAAGCTTGATCACTTCAACTTCTTGATTTTCACGTTCGGACAAAGTTCCGCTGGCTTTTAGGGTGGCTGGAGGTGGTTCCATGGCGGCCATCTTTTTCTTGTTCTTACTAGCAAAGAAGGAGCCGAAAAAGCCAGAATTGCCGTCGCCGCCATCAGTGGGGAGACTGGGAGACCCTGCTCTTGGTGGGATAGATGGAGGAAGTACCTTTCCAGTCTTGGGATCTACCTGAGTGGGTTTGGCGGCGTTATGCCTATCGTTTACAATGGCCATCGCACGATGCCCATTGAGAAAGTCTGGATGACCAGTGTTGATATAACATGCCTCCATGGCCACAAGATCTTTGACCAATTTGTTGGTTGGATCCATAGCTTTTCGGAAGAAGCTTATGACCACCGAATGGAATCGTTCTTTGAGCCCGGGATACCTCCTAAAGAGTTGTTTCTGCAGCAACTGACCAAGGATACGCACTAGTTCGTCGTACACGAGGGAGACACACTTGAGTGATGGCTCCTCTAGTCGTCGAATTTGTTGCTTCACGATCAATTCGAAAGCGGTGGTTCCGACAAAGAGTGCTGGAGATGAACCAGATGAGTTGTATAGAATGGTCCGAATATCGATATCTTTGACTTGCTCGAAGGGGTCAATCGCCTTGATCCCATTTGAATATAATTCATGGTAGACAAAGGAAATTCTGGCACCACCTGAAAGTTCGTTACTGGACAATTCTGCACTGTTGCCGTCTAGAACTGTTCTATACTCATTGGCGAATTCGGTAATGATGTTGAGTATGATATTTGAGGGACTGTTGCCCAAAATATCACCACTGCCAAGCTGTTCCAATTCAGCACTGTATTTCTGTAAGGATGTAGCAATGCGAGTTTTGATGTCGGGTAGAGTTTGCTTGATGTGCATCATGAGAATGAGATTGAGCTTTCGGGCGAGATAAGGAGTACCGCAGTATGATGCCTTGTTTCTGTAAGAGGAGTGATTCTCAAAGAACTCCTTCTCTGCCTTCAAAGCCAGACCAATTTGTTTCTTGTTCTCAATGTCTCGTTGGCCTCTATTGACCACAGGGACATAGCCAAGTCGTAGTGGAATAATTCTTCCGGCAAGAATGTCAACAACATCGGTACCAGTATCCATAAGATCGATCTTTGTGAGAACACCAATTGTTCGTTGACCCTCAGGATCCACTTCTCTGGCCAGCTTCAAACCATCTGAGTTGGCCAGATCCACGTTGGCAGCGGTGACGGCGAGAATGATGGCATTTGGCTTCGAGATTTGTTTGAGAACCATATCCTTGATCTGCCGCTCGATATCCCTTGGCTGGTCACCCACTGGCACTTTGGTCAGACCAGGCAAATCAACCAGGGTCAGCGTGAGAACGTTGGGAGAATATATCCGCAGGTTGATGGGCGCTGGGGAGATGCCAACATTGCGACCTGCCTTGGCTTCGGTTTCCTTTACAATTTCGTCTCGGATCTTGTTGAAATCGTAAAATTTCTGTCCTGGCAAGTGCAGAAACTCTCCCCATTCGTCGACGTTTGCCAGCGCATCACTGCTGCCTTTGAGATCAGCCTCCGAGACTCCATTCGTCTGAAGTTTGGCAGGGACAGGTCTGTGTATCAATTGAAGGACAAGAGGGCGACGAGTGACGATACCGGCACCACGAGGGAGGCTTGAGCGCAGGTCAGTAATGGTTCTTTCAGGAGAATAGAAGTAGGACCGCCCTGGGCGACTCACAAATCTCTGCCAACAATATTCTCCAATACAGAGGACTTGCCACTGGACTGAGAGCCGACGACGACAATTTGAGGTAGATCTATGGGATTAGCGACCTGGAAGGAGAGGATGTCAGACTGGTGTGGGAAACAATGGTGCCTGGGGTACATACGCCAACTGTGTTGAAGACGTCTTGTAGTTTGTTGACAAGGGCAATCAAGGTAGGGTCATTGACGTTGATGCTTCGGATATAGTCAGAACAAGAAATACCATTGAGCTGAGTGAAGGTGGGTACTCACGAATGACCACCACCGGCCGGTGAAGCCGCCATGGTCGGGGCGAAGGTCAATGGGATAGAGTCGTGTAGTAAGTCGGAGCAGTTGGAATCAATACTACTTCTTGCAGAAAATTGGAGTGCGAGTTCGAGAGACAGTCGGTTTGGAGGAGTATCGTTATGATGGTGATACTGTTCGAGTTGTGATTGTGGTTCAGGGACCGAGTTGTTGGTCTTTGTAGTGGCAGTGGGAGGAGGGTGCGGATGTGAATGCGCAATGCTGGCCAAATCTTGGGATCCCAATCTGGGTTGGGATGATGCAGCTGCGCTTGCCACCCTTTTGATCCGCGGTGGTGATAAAGGTGACGATTCAGGTTGCTCTTGGCGGCCAAAGAGAAACGGCAGGCGTGGCTTAACAGGCTTCGCCATCGGTCTTCCAGGCGGTGGATTGTGACTTGCAGGCTACAGTCTTAACGAGAACCTTCACCCCTTCCTCGGCGATTTAGGGGCACTAGGTAAACAGGCGCCCTTAATTCCACCCACTGATTAGGAGGCAAAAGACTGTCTGTGTGGGCCTGGTAGGATTTAGTCCCATTCACTTTGCTCGCCTCTGAAGCCTGAGGAATGAGTGATGACAACGTCAAACGACCTCTGATGTGAATTAGGCAGCCTTCAATTCCAACGGGTTGTGGGTATTGGTTTTGAAGCTGGTGTCACGAGATTGCCCTGAAACCACATGGGCAATTGAGTTCCAGCAAGACAGGATAACTCAACTGGGCAACCTCACCAGTACGGCTGGATTAAAGAGCAACCCGTGTGTTGCCGTGTGTTGGAATTTGACATTCACTATCTACTAGATCTTGGGGGTATTTCTGTCGATATTGCCAGTGCAGTGGTGGCTACCTTGTCGAGCCAGCTAGATTCTCGATTTCCGTGCTTCCCATCATATGTAATGCCATGCCCTTGCGAGTTGTTGACTCCTGACAACCAGATGCTTCCATCATCCAGATAAAACCATGCTCTGCAATCATCCCAAAAAAGACAAAGCAACACCATCAAAATGCTATGCGCTACCCAAATCCTCTATTCTGTGCAGGTTCTCCTTCCCGGGATCTAGTCCTTTGAACTCCTTGAATCTTATCATCTCAAAGCGTTGATCTCATAGCACTTGTTCGTCCTGAATCGTGTCGAACAACTGACCTGGTCAATGATGGTGCCAGGCCTTCGATCGGAGACAGTGCATTCGTCCATCTGAAATGATTAGCCCAAGTTCTACAAAAATATGAGAATAGCAAACAAAGAAACTTACATTCGTACTTTGCGATCGTCTCCACCAGATGCAAACATGCCTGCATCTCGAGGGTTCCAGTCCACAGTGGTGACACACTGCTTACCACTTTGCCCTCGGCCATGACCTGTCAACTTCTCGACTAACACTTCATTCTCCTTGTGCCAAACATAGATATCTCCATCTGTTATCTTGTTAGTAGACATTCCCATAATCGTGGCGATAATCATACCTTCAGATCCGCTAACTACGAAGTTCTCGGCAGCACCGCCAAAACAACTTCGAATAACAAACTCCCCTTGCTTCTGCCCTCGGAATTTCCTGATGATATCTCGCGTAACTAGGTCAATAATGTGAACTTCACCAATGGCTAGATTGACCAGCACAGAGTTCCCATCTTGGCTGAGTGTGATCCCTGTCATCTTGCCAGTGGACCTGATCGGAGGTTCCTCGCGGTACGTGTGAAGGTCGAAAATCCGAATGATGTTCTGGGAATCCAGTGCCACAAGCCAGTGACCATCATCAGTGATTCCAACGTCCTGCACTCGAAACCCTGGTGGCCATGTATGAGCAGGTCGCTCCATTTCAGATGATCGTAGATTCCAATGGCATAATTGTGAGTTCCTGTCATGGCTAGCAGTTACAAAACTCATCGAATCCGGGCCCCAGGCGGCGGCTGTAATTGCATAGTTCTGATCCACGGTCTGATGTTCAAGAGTCGCCCTTAGTCGGCCAGATTCAACATCAAAAACCCGTGCTTTACAATCTTGAGAACAAGTGATGATCTTGCTATCATCAGGACTAAAAGCCACATAGGTCACTCCACCAGAATGCTGGGTCAGAGTATGCAAGAGTTTGAAGGTGACTGTCTCATAAATGTTGACAGACCTGTCTTGACTTGCTGTTGCCAACTTGCTGCCATCGTGAGAAAACTGGACATGCCAAACTTCTCCTGTGTGGTCCTCTAGTTGCAGAGATGTACGTGAGGGAAAGTCGTCACGATCGCAATGATGATCAGCATACAAAGATGGTGGTATTGAAGTGTTGTGATATAGACATTGGTTGATTTGATTTTGCTTGACTTGATCAAACAGCTCAGCCAGCCTGTGATCGCGAATCATGACTGATGGTGCAATAGAACGAGAAAGATCCTGGAGCAGCATCTTCCTTGATTCCTCTACTGTGCCAGACCAGTGGGCTTTACTCCGGAGATCCTCTGGTGGGCACATGAGTAATGTGGATAAAGCATGGAGTTGGTGGATGTCATGACCAAGAGGAGTCAACTCTTGTCGAAGCACCATTAAAGCAACCCCGAGATCTCTTCGGTCCAACAACTCGAGGAACTTTTGTTGTCGGATCCAGAAGAGCATTTGACCTCTGTCGGCACCCTCTGCAAGGACTAAGCCTTCACCATACTGGTCGTCATCCAGATGTGAACTGCTGGGAGGAGAGCCAAGCAATATAGCCTCTGCCTCAGACCACACTCCTTCCAGAATGGCACTCCGAAACGCGGCTACTGAAGGACTCTCCAACTCGAAATGACTTTCGGCACTCAAAACGTTGGCTGCTTGAGGATATCCCATATCTGAGAGACCCTGAATTATAATACGAACCACTTCTTCTCTATCGTGTCCCCGATACGTAGGTGGTCGAACAGGAGATAACCTCTTCCCCGTGCCATTCGTGAATGACGGACTAGAGCCATTGAGGGCTCCAGAACTGTGTCCGTTCATTTGAAGAGGCTTCCTTGGTGTCGAGCCATTGGAGCTGGCAGTGTGACCATTGGCATATACTTGTCCGTTGTCCTCATTTACTCTCATTGTGGGTTTCTCGAGTCGTCTTCGCTTTTGTCTCGCTAGTCTTCCGCCTGAGCGGGTTCCCGTACTTGGACCGGCGTCCTCGAGAACGGGAGAGGTAGCAGTTGGGCCGGGAGATTCTGTCGGAATGTCTTCCGAGGATGATCTTCTTCTCCTACGTCTGCCTCTAGGCTCTGGAGCCTGTCCCTGCTCTATAGGGACTTGATTCGGGGTTTGATGAGGGAGGGGGATTTGGGTTTGTTCTGTGGAAGGCGTCTGTCGAGTATTGGTAATGGGATGTGTTGTTGGGTGGGTAGTAGAAATTGTGTTAGAGGATGGGTTGGGGAAGATGGAAATGGATGGGTCGTCGGATATGAGTAGGTGATCGTTCGAATCTGGGTGGTTTGCCAGCTCGGGGTGGCGGCGTTGCCGCCAGTATCAAGATCAAGTCTCCCCAGGTGGAAAGGATGAGCGATGTAGAGTTACTGTTTGGTTGAACCTGCTGGGAGACACCGAGAAGGGAGAAGTTGGCAACTCGAGTGGTGGGTGTACCATTCGAATTTGCTGTAGTTGGTGACGCCTGGATAGGCGGGGAGGGGAAGACAGTGCTGAAGTGAGGATGTCGTCTGTGCCTTTCTTGGAGACTTGGTGGATGGCGGGATATCAATGACCACTTTTATAGATATAAATGCCGTGGGGATGAAGTTGCTAGGAAGATATGATTGCAGAACCAGCAGACAACTTATTCGAAAGCTGAATAGCGTCAAATTCGGGGTTTGATGGTGGTGATGGATGTGATGGCAGACGGAGGGTAAGTCAGTTGCAGTTAGGCCTTGGAGTTGGATGATGTCGGAGGAGCACAGGTCCTCATGGTGCTGTTGTTAGGGTCGAAGCACGAAGAACGCCAGATGTAAATGGAGGCCACCCATCCACGAAACGCCTAAGTCGAACAGTGAAAATTGTAACATTTTGTAATGATAAGGCGATTGCTAGTTACCTAGGTACCTAGGTTGGTAGATAGCGAAAATCCCTAGCTAAATTCTCGTACTTTAGGTTCCTATTTCTCTAGGAATAGTTTATTTATATTCTTCTAAATTTATAAGATCTATTCTTTAATACCATCTAGAGGAGCTTTTGTTTTTTTAAAAAAAATACATTGTATTATAGTAGATGTAGAAGCTATCTAGGTACCTAGGTACCTAGCCAACACAACTATGCAAAATTACCACGCCATTCGCTGATACTGTATATTCTTGCTCAGACCAAAAAGCACTGTCACTCACCAACTTGAATATGCAAGCCCAGCTGCTAACTGTGTAAATCCGAAGCTTGCCTTAGGTCAGGTGAACCTCTCAGTGCCGACTCGCTGGCTATCCGCCTGGACCAGTGAAAGAGGGGTCTTCAACCAGCCTAAGAAGTCCAAACAAATCGACCAGCAGCACCTGATCTGTTACGGGCCACGGCAAAGGGGACCCTGATCTCACCGCCCCCCAAAAATGAGGAGGGGAGTTGACTGGTTTCAAACCCAGGTGCCCCTCGATTCCATTCAGGTTATCTTCTAGCGCGGGAAAGTTGGCGCCTAGCCTGCCTGTGCTTGATCACTGATCAGCGATAAGCCGGTGCCCGATAAGCCCTCACAGGTTTGGACAGGAACTTCAGCCTTGTCCTTCCTGTGTCCTTCCAACCTTCCCTGTTGTGTGTGGAGGTGGCTGATTGTGATGTTCATGACATTGAAATATCCAGATCTTACCTTAAGGACAGTCAAAAGATAGTTCACTGCTATTCTTGCAACGTTTGGTCGCAATAGTGAATATTGTTGCGTTGGACACTGGCTTTTGATAAGTCCTATTTGATACTCTCTTGTTTCTTACAGAGGTAACTTACATTGACCACCTATCCGACTGTGCTGGAAAGAGAGGTTTAATATGAGTACAAGTGCCTTCATCTAGTTCATTTTCGTTATATCAACCTCGTGGAACCTCAAAGCATTCACGGTGCTATTATTCGTACTCTCCTTGCTGGGGGTACCCGTGAATTTCAAGTTAACTGGAGTTGCTCCTAATACATTTGGTCGCGGTTCTACAATACCTAGATAGGTAGTTATGTCTTTGTCCAGTCTTGTAATATCATATCCATCATTCAACAAACACCATGACCACGTTGAGAACGACCCGGATTTGTCCAAATGTCTTTGAAATGATTGGAAAGAATGATCTTGTGAGACTTGGGGGCAGGATAAGTTCGGTTAAACCCTTAAGCAGAGAAGATGCCCCGAAAACTGAGCCCGTCACCCACCAGCTCCAACTAATCCGTACCTCGTACAGCACCTGTCAAAGCTTCCCTCCCGTGCCTGCATCTGCGCCTCTCCACCAGACTATGATATATGCTTGGACTAGGCCGACCAAAAATCCTGAGAAAGAACACTTCAACCATCCTCGAGTTCATCACGGGTAAAACGATCGAGGAGATCAACGATCTGAAATACGTCCAACTCCAATTAGCCCTCCCAGACTTACTTGACGACGAGCTCGACGGTGACCTCCCGGGTCCCAGTACCTTTAACGAAGCCTCCATCTTTGCCTTTCCGCAACCTCTTCAACACCGCGACCTCCATACAACCACCAGAACTTATAGAAAGATGCCTGCCGCGAAGGACTCCAAAAATGCTGGCGAGGATGAAGACAAGCAGACCGGCTCCATCTTCTCCGTCTCGGGACCTGTCATTGTTGCTGAACACATGATTGGTGTTTCTATGTACGAGCTGTGTAAAGTTGGTTATGACGAGCTAGCTGGTGAAGTCATTCGGATTGAGGCAGACAAAGCTACCATTCAGGTCTACGAAGAGACTGGTAAGTTTTCTTTACCGATTCGTCTCTCCTGCGAGCTTTAATTGACTCCATTTAGCTGGTGTCACCGTTGGTGATCCCGTCATTCGAACTGGTAAACCCTTATCAGTCGAACTTGGCCCTGGCTTGATGGAAACAATCTATGATGGTATCCAACGACCTTTGAAGACCATCGCTTCCAGCACCAACAGTATTTACATTCCCCGTGGTATTGCAGTACCCTCTCTCGATCGAAAGAAGAAATGGCCCTTCACTCCAACTGCAAAAGAAGGTGACAACATCAGTGGTGGCGATGTTTGGGGTGTTGTCGTTGAGAACACTCTTCTGAATGAACATCGAATCTTGCTCCCACCCCGAGCCAAGGGTACAATCAAGAAGATCGCCAAAAAGGGAGAGTACACAGTCGACACACCCTTACTCACCCTCGAATTCAATGGAGAAACAAAGGAATACCCCATGATGCACACATGGCCAGTCCGTGTCCCTCGACCGGTCAGCGAGCGTCTTGAAGCAGATTCTCCATTCATTGTCGGTCAACGAGTGCTTGATGCCTTGTTCCCATCCGTTCAAGGTGGTACCGTCTGCATTCCTGGAGCCTTCGGTTGTGGCAAGACTGTCATTTCCCAGTCCGTCTCCAAATTCTCAAACAGTGACATTATTGTCTATGTCGGCTGTAAGTCGTCTGCCCACCATTGAATTGTTCCCACAACTGACAGTCTATAGGCGGTGAGCGAGGCAATGAGATGGCAGAAGTTCTGATGGATTTCCCCGAGCTCTCCATCACCATTGATGGTCGCAAAGAAGCTATCATGAAGCGTACATGTTTGATTGCCAATACCTCCAACATGCCTGTCGCTGCTCGTGAAGCTTCTATCTACACTGGAATTACGGTAGCAGAATATTTTCGGGATCAAGGAAAGGCTGTTGCGATGATGGCAGACTCGTCGTCTCGATGGGCTGAAGCTCTGCGAGAACTTTCTGGCCGTCTGGGAGAAATGCCTGCGGATCAAGGTTTCCCAGCTTATCTTTCTGCCAAGCTTGCTTCCTTCTATGAGCGAGCAGGTGCATCTATTGCTCTGGGCTCTCCTGAGCGCAAGGGTAGTATCTCGATTGTGGGTGCTGTCTCCCCTCCTGGTGGCGATTTCTCCGATCCGGTCACTTCTGCCACTCTTGGTATTGTGCAAGTTTTCTGGGGGCTGGACAAGAAATTGGCTCAACGAAAACATTTCCCCAGTATCAACACTTCTCTGTCGTACAGCAAATACACCAACATTCTGGACAAGTTCTACGAGAAAGATCACCCCGAGTTCCCCAAGCTACGAAATCGCATCAAGGAACTTTTGACTAATTCTGAAGATCTCGATCAAGTCGTGCAGTTGGTGGGCAAATCGGCACTTGGTGACTCGGACAAGATTGTTCTTGACGTTGCGGCTATGTTGAAGGACGATTTCTTGCAACAAAATGGATACAGTGATTACGATCAATTCTGCCCGCTATGGAAGACAGAATACATGATGAAGGGCTTCATGCAATTCCACGATGAGGCACAGAAGGCTGTGTCCAGTGGTCTATCTTGGGCCAAGATCAGAGAGGCCACTTCGGAAATTCAGCACGGTCTGAGAAGCATGAAGTTCGAGCTCCCAGACAACGAGGAAGAGGTCAGCGGCAAATACGACAAACTATTGCAAAACATCTCGGAGAAGTTTGCAAGTGTTTCGGATGAGTAGACAAGGATGACCAGGGTCTAGTTGAACATGAACGCTTTGCAGTGTCTTGCACTGAGCAATAGTAGTAGCTATAAGTACAGATTAGAAGTGCAGGCGCAATTGAGATTGGGATTGAATGAAATAGTCTTGAATTGATGTGAACGTAGTTGACCAAGTGGTACCTCCGAGTTGCCAGGCAAGGTCACATGACGATAAGGTCTGAAATCTCAATTCGGAATAGATATCCGGGCCGAGGCTGCGCTTCCCTATATTAGGTACTGTTCGCTTACATCTAGATGGTCAGCCTTGCCGAGTGAACGATATTGGACTTTCCAGATGTCCAAACATCGATCATTTCTTGAGCGAAGGAAGTACTGAAAAACAACTCGATTGCCTCAATCTCTCAATCTCTTGGACCTAGTATCCCAAGGATGCCCAAAACACACTGTGGAAGTACCCTGCCCGCCATAGCAGGTCCGAGGACACGAGGCAGATATCGTCCTTCTTGTGCATCAGATTGATCTTTCAACACCTATGTATTAACAGCATTATTGCCAGACAATTGCAATTGCAGGATCACGGCGATTCGCTCTGAGATGATCCTGTTGTCGCTAGAGTTGCTTGTTGGATTTAACGAGTGCTGAAAGAATGGTCATGTTCAGATAAGCTTCATGAGAGTACCTTCCTCCTCAAACCCATATACTAGCAGTAGTTCAACCGTCAGCGAATGTGTTCAAAGGTAGACAGCCCGGAGTCATGTTCCCTTGAATGATTCTCACAGTTGACTGCTTTCTGCTTCACTCACCAACCCCCAGTGCTTCACTTTCCAGGTGCCCCCCTTCACAGTGACAACAGCCCCCTAAGCGTGAAGTCTCGGCAAACCAACCGAGTCTTCATAATTTTTAAAAGTTGAATTGTGCTCAACTTTGTCTAGGCGAAATAACGCAGCATGCATGCAGCCGGCACACACAAAAGAAAAGAAAAAAAAAACAAAGAAAGAGAAAAAAAAAGAGAACAAAAAGCCACCAAAAAATGCATAGTGCACGAGAGAAATCTCATAACAACCAAAGTCGTATGGCATCGTTAATTCTGTGGTTTGGCTGGCGGGCCTGTTCATGTGTTGCGTTCAGGTTGTTCACATGTTTGGAATCCGGAGTCCCGGACTGTCATACAGGTATGAGGAGGCTTCCAAGTCTCCTCTTCGCTCCACCCCATTTTTTGTTGTTTTGCTATTCGATAATGGGTGTGGAAGATCTTTTTTTCCTCGTATATGTCTCCTTCCTCTACCAGTATAAGTATAGCTTATATAGGTAGCTATTGAGGAGGCCGTAACTCGAACTTACCTAGGTCCTTAACTTATTCTTTCCTAAAGCCACCCCTTCATGCATAAGTGCCTACCTAGAAGTAGTACGTGGTCACTCCATCTTGAACTCGCAAGAGGCGTTGGAATATCACAATAGCAATTGCCGCATCAATGCTGTTTGCTTGAAGTTGTTCACACCTTCAAGCGCAGTTGCTATACCAGAAACCTTCTTCTCCGCCTGCATCTGCGCCTCAAACTTACCAGCTACAAGTCCCGATTCCAGATGATCTATTCACCAAAGATCGCTTACCCTGCTGCGAATTGTATCAACGCCCAGCTCGGGACAATCACAGAGTCTTCTCCTGGCCTTTCGCGAAAGACGGTTGCAAAGGCTTGAAGTGGAAATTGACATCAACAGCTCCGGCTAATCATCGGCTCCTAGTCCAACTACCCTCGTAATTCAAGCCAAAATTTCTCTGTGGCAGAGTCGCTCCTTTTTCCAATTGCTTCTCTTCAGGATTGATGAACTTGAGAATGTGTAAGTACGGGCTACTTGTTCATGACGCGTTGTAGTGGAAATAATAGGATCCACCTCCAGACGCTTTTCAGAACATTTCCCATACCAAGGCAACTTATGCATCATAAACCCTAAAGCTGAGGACAGGAACCAAGGACGAGGCTTGAACAACCTACGAACCAAGGAGCTGTCAACAGCTACACAACCTCAACGAATGATCCGGAGCAGAAGAGAATGCCAGCTGATCTGCCGGGGTATTATTTCGACACCTCCAAAAATCGATACTTCAAGATCACCGCAAACCATGTTGCTGAAGGCTCATCGTCGAACACTGCGGCTAAGTACAGTCGTCAAGCTGTGCGAGCAGATCAAATTACGGAAAAGTTGAAGCAACAACAAAAACTGCTCAAAGCTTCCAGAGATGCTGTCACAGTACGACGATCGAAGCTTCTACACCATCCTCTGCTGAGTTTCATGCCTCGGCTGGGAAGTCGAAAGAAAAGTGCTGGGAGTACCGTCAAGGAGTTCTACGTAGCCAGCCTGAGCGAGACGGTTCAACTTCCCACCATTATTGACGATCACGCGGACTTGGTCAAAAGTATCCCTGGACAATTTGCTGTGGATGAGATAACTGGGCGGTTATTCAGCCCAATAAGTTTCGGGGCTTTCGGGGACGGCAGGTCACTGGCCTGCGTCTTGGAGCCTGCTGACACTGGGTGTTCCCTCTACTCAAGAGGACAATCTCTGCAACACATTGGCTTCGTCAGCACAGTTAATCGGATAATCTCACTCGGACGCCACGGGGTAAGTGTATGGGCGTGCCAGAATGATCTTTTCCACACCGATGTCACGAGCTTTTCTATCCTGTATGTGAACCAGGAGCCCTTCGCCGAGGCCGAGAATACGAATTACTCGGGCATGATGTTGGGGTATCAGCGTCCCCTTCAGAATCCAATAATCGAGCTTGCAGTCGCACCGAATCACGACGCTTTCGCGACAGTCGACGTGGAAGGTGTAGGTGTGGCCGGTCTTGAGATGAATTCAAACAAGAAAGTTTTCGGCGGAAAGCAATCCAAATCTTTCACTTCTGCATGGTTCAAAGACAACAATGTCATCGTTTGCGGTGCACGCGACGGAACAGTAAGACTCGCAGACCTGCGTGCTACAACGAAAGCCGACTTCTCAACTGCACGGATCCAACACACATCAGGCGTAAGCCATGTTCGGACGATTGGAGCCCATCAGGTCCTCGTGCATGGCCTGACATCTACATCTCTGTATGATCTGCGCTGGTGCCCACAACCGAGCAGATCCAAGCCTTTCAATGGTCGCCCCAGATTCAACACCAGCCAGGCGTATCTGAGCTTCAATGTCCCTGAGCAGCGGCGACAGAACAGATACGGACTCGGCTTCGCATACGACACGGAGCTCAACATCGTCCTCGGCGCGTCCACGGATTTTCACAAAAATCACTGCGTCAATTTATGGGACGCCAGCACGGGACAGCTGCTGGAGAGTCCGCTTCTCAGCCGCAAATTCACGGAACCAGTTATGTGCGCGCAGTTCGTCGATGTGAGGCCTCAGGCCAAGAGTATCCTGCTCACCTCAAATGGTAACCTCGAGGAGTGGTCCCCGATCCATTCGCCTGTGGCTGAAGAATGGTAATTGCTGAGCCTTTGATGGAGATGCGATGGAGAGCGAAGCTCCATGTAAGATAGAAAGACACATGGAGGAGCCGTTGAAACGACCCAGGGGATGCAGTGGAGCAGTTCCACCCCAACGGAGCTGCTTTGGATCTTTACACAGAGCACGACACACCCAAGAGTGTCATAACGAGTATACGAATTCAATGAATACCTACGAGAAATGCAAAACATGGATACGAATACCGTCGCCTCTCATTTCGCTGTTCATGCTGCTAAGTAATCATGCGTGTTACATATCCCCTTCAATCTCATACTCGGAAACACTCAAACCCCAAACCTTGCCCATACTGACCACCCAATCCCTGCCGACATTAACGCGCCACTTCTCCTCGGTGGCATCATCCACCGCGGCCGCTCCACTCGCACCGCCACCAGCAGCAGCACTCGAAGCACCCGCCCCCGCCGAAGCTCGCACCACAAGCCTCAGCCTCTCCAGCTCCCCAAGCTCATGATACACCCTGTCGCTTACGCCCCGACTGCCCGCGGTATTCGACACGCCGCTGGGATGCACGGCGCGCAGGATCGCGAGTAGCCGCTCGACGCTGAAGGGTTTGACCACGCCGGTACTGGCCCCGCCGCCGCCGGATGCGCTGAGGATGGCTTTCGCGATGCGCGATTTACTCGGCGTGCCGGTCGTGGATGTCGCCGTGGGTTTGAGCTTTTTCCGCGTCGGCGTGTTCTTCAGGCGTCGGATCTTCTTGCTGATGTGGCTGGAGTTGGACGACAGGCGGGAGAAGAGTAGGATGTCGTGTTTCAACGGAGTTGTGGACGCCAGGTATGACGAGAGGAGGAGCAGCGTGGGGAAGTGTTTCAGTAATGGCGGTTGTCGTTTTGTGGGTTGGTGTTGCAAGGTGATTTTGTTGTTGTCCCCGAGTGGTGTACCTCCTACTGAGGACTTTGTGAACCGGTGCCGAGGCTTCGTCGGCGTATTGGGTATACTCGACAGGGGTTCCACCTCTGCTCGCGAGGTATCCTTCTCACGCGAAATCCGAGACAGGTCTTCAAATGACCAAGCCTCACCCTGCGGCCGGAGATGATCTCGGAGCCCATGCTCGCCTTGTGTCTGGAAAAGACCTCGATTTCGAACTAGCAATTTTGCAAAATCCCATGAGACGGCTTTGCCAGGTGGTGATTCTCCTGAAACCATGGGCCAGATAAACCGCGGCCAGAGTCTTTCTGATGTCGAGCGGAATGTCTGGATTGATGTGGATGAGGTTGAGAATATCAGGGAATCGTAGACCGTTACGATAAATTGCGCATACAATTTTTCGAGAGACGCTTTGTCGATTCGGGTCGCTTCCCCTTCATGCTGTGGCAGTGCGTCTGGGAAGAGCATCGGCGGAGATGATGCCGCCAAGTATATCGCTTCTCCACGTGTGTAGGGAGGGAAATGTATGTAGGGGACACCCGTTTTGTGCAGAGCAAGCGGTTGTGAGGTGGTGGATGTCAAGATGAGCGAGAGTCCAGGGATCTAGTCTGAAGTCAGTCTCACAACTGCCATCCCATCTGTGCGGGGGTCTATTGAAACCATACCTGATCACCGAGCCTTGCCAGCGCAGGAAGCAGAGTCGGACCGGCTTGCTTCAGCTTGTCGATGTCTTCGAGAATCAATACCAACTGCTCTTTCTGACCTGTTTCCACTGGTTCAAAGAGCTTGCGCAGATTGCCCAGGAGCACATTTAGACTGTCCACCTTATCATATTGCTCGATCTGCGCCTCCCGACCCAGGGCATAAACACACGTTGAGAAGATCTTGGACAGGAGATGTCGCTGTGAGAGGTAGTCTTTGCTTCTCACTACTGATGACTTGAGATTTCGCGCCCTCAGGACACCTGTGATGACCGCTAGTTTGCTGGCTTGTTCGAGGCCGTATGCAAAGAGGATGGAGGGGCTCGGAAAGAGGTCCTGTAGGTCGGCGATTAGTTGCCTGTGCCGCTGGTGGGTGGCCCGGGATGGTTCACTCATCGAAGGACTTACATTGTAGTATATTGACAGCTGTCGAATCTGGGAGTCGCGGCATGGGCACTGCTGTGAGACTTTCTGTAGCAACTCGAGGGGCAGCAGAGTTACCATTGTGGTCAACAACCGGACTTGCAATGAATGAGGAGGTGATTCGAGGTGACGCGCTGTTAGCGCTCTACAAAAATGCAACGGACGCGTTAAGGAGTTGTTCCCCGCACCGCAGCGACAGGCCTGCAACTCTCCGCACAGCCTTGCCAGTGAACTATCAACTAATTCATTCATTACCAACTAACTCCGTACAAGATCTCAAGCTTTGGCTTAAGGAAACGGTAGTCAGTCCTCCCAAAGATTCACAGGGCATGAAACTGAGCATATGATCGTAACACAGAATGTTTACGAGGAGAGGCCCAAGGAGAATTTTGTATGCAAGGTACATTTCTTCTAGCTAATGGATCTAATTCTGGACTTGATGGTACATGCCATTGTAGCCCACCTTATCAGTAGTGAGCTCATCGTTGTCGAATGAAATTTTATGGAGTAAGTACATAGCCAATCCCTTGGTGACACGGTCGCACTTTGTCCACTTCATGTTGAGAAAATGACCCTGGTCTCCAGACCCAAAATGAATGCCGACCAGTTCCTTTCCATGCTTGTTGAAATACAAGGTGACTTTGTGCCATGTCCACAAATGGGTCGTGACATGTCTGGTATGTTTGTTTTTCTTTCCAAAAAAAACCATCATGGATTTGCTTGAGCCAGGTGAAACTGAAATGAAATAAAAGAAAACTCCCCGTACCCAACGATGCCCACTTGTTAACCTGGAAATGTGATAGAAGTAGCAAGTTCACCTTCATGCAGGAGTTCTCAGGCTCTTTTCGTCGAACCACTGTTGAACTCGGGGAATGATACCACTGATCTCCTGCCAGACTGATGCTGGATCGATACCTAAGCTGTTCGGGGCATAATACAAAGATTTGGGCCGTGATTCGTGAAACAGGTTTTTGATGCTTTTTTTGGGGTGCAAGATGGTACACAGTCGTAAAAGTTGTATCATAAAAGGTGCGTGATGTGCACGCTCTCTTGAATGAATCCGTTCGAATTGGACAAGGAAAAAAAGGCTGTGAATTCATGATTTCGTGAATCGTAATTGCTTGGAAAACACAGTTGTGGTCGTGCGTGTATCATCAGAATGCGTTGTTGCTGCCAAGTGCTCCGTTTTGATATCCATTGAAACCATTCTGGTTCATCTCAGGAGCATAAGCTTGATGGTTGTACATATTAAGAGCATTCTCGTTGGGTCCCATCATACCGAATCCATTGCCGTTGGTCTGGATGCTTTCGGGGTTGTCTCCACCGTAGTTGTTATTTGAGGCTCTCATGCCATTAAAGCCACCACCAACAATCTGAACATTTCGGCGGCTGTTGGCGCGACTGCCAGAGAAGCTGGCAAGGTAGGTATCATTGGGAGTCATCTGCCCACTGGATGTGCCGCTAGTACGTCCTTGAGCATCGTTTCCAAGGATTTTGCTGGCGATGCGACGACCGTGAGGAGTCTGCTTGATTAGTGGGAGGATGGGACGAATGGCCTCGACCAAGCGCAGTTTGGTTTGCGGATCGGCAAAATCCATGGCAGTCTGAACCACATAGTTCGCAAATGAATCACGCAACATCTTGTCAAGCTCGGCTCCGTTGAGCATTTCTTCGATCATCACTCTCTTTGTGTCGAGATCGGCTGTGCGGAGACATTTCTCAATGACATTGGAACTGAACTTCTGCTTCGACAGTGCAGGTACACGACCTCCGAAGCTCTGGCAGAGAGGCTTGGTGAAAGCCGCTTCATCCAAATCAAGGATGTACTGAACAACATAGTTGCCAAAGGGATCTTGAACAAGATCAAAGGCGCAAGTTGTGATACGACCAATCAGTTGAGCACGTTGAAAGCCTTGTGCATGATCAATGCAGCGCTGCAAGACACAGCAGCCATGGCGATGGGTGCCAACCACCACACAGTACTTACCTACAGCATCATAGATGAACTGTGATCTCTCAGCTCCCAGGCGTGTGAGGCACTTCTGGATGACGTGATTGCCATTGAGATCTTGTACCAGCTCGACAACTCGATCGGACAATGCCTGAATGATGGTATCCACCTGTTCGGGAGTGTGAACGAACTCGATCATCTTTTGCAGAGCGCGAGTGCCATGTTGATTGAGGGCAATGGTAGTAAGTGCAGGTGCCGCAGTGTTGATCAAGGTAGTACGCTGATCATCGTTGCAGTGTTCGAAGAGCTTCTGACAAAGATAATTGCCGAAAGGATCAGTCATCAACTCGATGATATGTGGGCAGGTTTCGACGAAGATGGCTTGGGTGTGCTCGGGGTCACCCTCCTCAAGCTTACGCTGAAGATAACGGCAGCCATGTTGATCCTTGCACAGTTCGTAGAGGCTTCCGCGGTAAGATTCGAGGGGAACATTGTTGAATCGGGCTTCATCATTGTGGTTGCGACGATTGGCTCCACGCTGGCCTTGACTACCAAAGGCACCATTGACACCATAGATGCCTGCACCTTGACCGTATGGTTGAACTGCTCCATTGACGCCTGGTGCATTCATCTGGCTGACGTTGTAACTTTGCATGTTATATTGATAGGCTGGAGCAGCGGAGTAGGCAGCAGTGGGGCTTGTAACACCCACCAAGTCACCTGCAGAAGTGAGGTTGGCATTGAAAGGAGTCGCACTGGCATGAAGGCTGGACATGGTTGCAGCCGAAGTGATGATTTGGTCGTCGATCTTCGGAACACCGTTGATAACTTCACGACTCTGGCGATTGTTGACAGCGTTGGCTGGAATGCGACCTAGGCTGACGTTGTGGTTGTGGAACTGTTGCTCGGCTTGAGACTTGGGTGGAGTTGAAACAGACTCGAGAGTCAAAGATTTCTTGACTGTGGGAACGTCGTTGGTCGAGTACGAAGTCTGAAGCGATGTAGGTCTTGTAACCGACAGATTGGCAGGGAGAGGTGAGGTGTCTTCAAAGGTCACCCCCAGTGAATGGCGTTGTGACTTACGGCGACCAAGATCGGCTGGTCGATCTGCTGGTGGACTACTGAGGTTGCTCAAAACAGGCCGATACATGGACGAATCTGTATGAGGCATGCTCTGATGAGAAGGACGATATCGAGATCCAAGCGCCCAATCCAAGTCTGGAGTTCGAGAGTTGGCAAGATCGAGAGCAGCAGAGTTGGCCGAGAGCTGTTGTGAAAAAATAAGTGAGCAAACAGGCAGGTAAACCGAGTGGATTGTTAATTCGTACCTTGAGGCCGTCAGAGGTCAGGGTGGGGAACGTATCGTCGCCTTCAAGTTGTGCAAAGGCTTTAGCAACAGGAGACGTAAGATCCATGGCATTCAATGACAGATGTCTATCTTCTTCTTCATCAAAGAGGAAACTGGTGGTGTTTGCAAGTCCGTAAGCAGACTGAGTTGCACCACTAAGACTGAGACGTTGAGGATGACGATTGCTGTTGACTGGCATAGAAAATCGGTTGAGGCTAGATGGTGAATGTTAGAAGGGTTCGAGAAAGAAAAGTGGATTGATTGATATGATTAAATAACCAGGATGGATGTACAACGTCACGTGTTGGGTGGAGGGGATGTCTGCTTCACGGAGTGAAAGAAGGGGAGTGTGATATATGGATGAATGTGATGGTCAAGGAATAACTCACGTAGCAGCGGCCCTCGTAGTAGGAAGGTCGTCAGGATAATACTCGTCCTCATCAGATCCACGGCGAGAACCTGGAACTGACTTTGCGGAAGGCTTGTGAGACTGATTGAACATGCCGTTCCCGGAAAGGCGATTGGCTGGTGGAGAGGTAATCTGAGAGCTAGATTGAGATATGCGCTTGCTGAGACCGGGCGGAGATATGATGCTGTTCACCGAAAGTCGGCTTGATCGCGAGAATCGATTGCTAAAACCACTCTCGGCATACTCTGGTGGTGTGGTGGGTTCACTAACAGGCCCGTTCAAACTGATGCGGTTCAATCTTGTCGAGATACGATCGAGATCGTGTGATGTGGCGCCCATTTGCAAACTTCGCTCTTGGAGCTCAAGGAGTCGAAGCTGTTCCTCTGCTTTACGCTTCGCGTTCTGAATATCATCATACATCTGTTTGTTCATGACCTATTTGGTTTGATTGTCAGTACTTGTGTTTTCCAAGTGTTACAATGTGCTAAGCACAACGAGCGAGTTGACGTGCAAAGATATACGCGCTGGACTGACTGCCTGTACAATGTCACGGCACGTTAAAAGTGGAGGTCCCACCACAGAACTTCACAACAGAACCCTGCACAATGCCCATTGTTCTTCCAGACTAGGAGCGATAACTCAAACTTGCAGGTTCACACAAAAGGATTCCACGTACTGCAGTTGAGTTCATAGAACTATATTGTTGGCCAAATGGGCGAGAGCCCGACATTTTACTCGAGTCTGTGGTAAAACGACGTTGCAAACTTGCCCGGGCATCGTTGGACGAGTTTTGTGGATATGCGAAGTAAGAGTTCTGATCTCGCACGCTGGTAGAATTCGGGCTGAAGACTTCGGTATCGGGGGATCGTAGATTGGGAAACCGCAGTTCCTCCATGCGCCCACTAAGTGGGTTGGAAAATGCCATGGTGCGATCTACATTCAAGACCTCGAAGCGTCAGCAAATTTGCTTGTCTAGAAAAAGAGTTGCAATTTCAAAGGTCCCAGACATGTGATCCATCGTGAGATTCTATGCTCAGGAGCTGACCAAGGCAGCCGCACAAGTTGCTGAACATCTTCCTCCGGGGGGGTTTCAAGATAGTACAGACCTAGCAATCACAAAATATGTCCAGAATTTGATGGTATATTCAACCACCAGGTATGGGGTGTAGGTCTGTATACTCTTGAGAGACTTGATGTTGGCGCTGGGTCGCGGTTGGGTATCCAACGCTGTACAGAGTTGACCAGGCCGAACAGAGCCAGGCTCTTTGCTGCGGTGTGCGCTCGAGGCACCACGGCGACGTCGGATGTACTATAATGACAGTGATAGAAACAAAGAGCAAAGGAAAATAGAAAGAAAATAGATTAATAGTACAGAACGGAACAGAACGTGTGGTGGTGATCAGTCGTATGTAAGAGGGGACACCTCAAAACGAAGGAAATGGGAACTTTCAAGTTGAACATCTGCAGTTGCAGCGAGGTGCAAGTTTGAATGACAGTGCAGGCTGTGGCAGTTCAAGTTGCCCGTGTCAGGATGGGGGTTGGCCTCTTGGAAGCGGTGGTCATTTTGGGCAAGCGCCAGTCCTTGGTGGGAGGCGGCGTGGATAAAAAAAGAGGGCCGAGGGCAACCAGACACGCCAAAAAGTATGTGAAAGGTATCGCTAGACGAGGTTGTGAGGTTGAGCTGCAGCAGCGTGGGTTTTTTGGCTGAGGAGAAATGGGAGAATTGGTGCAAGCCCCGGTTTTCCACCACTCACTAGCAAGATAGGGACTGGGATTAGGAGCTCTAGCCTGAGTGGCATTTCGTTCAGGGCTCTGGTTCAAAGGGCCAGGGTCAGCCAGAGCATGGAGCCTACCTCAGAGAGGCTAGTTAGTTAGAGCCACCGCTGGAAACGGCCTGATTTGAGGTCGAGATTCGAGGTCGAGATTCGGCTCAACAAGAACTTGGTTGACCTCTGAGAATGCTCCGATGGAGCATCACGAACTGGAATGAGTATTAGCATCTGCCTTAGAACCCAAGCAAGTTCAAGGGCTCCTGCATTCATCCCCATTATTTGCTTTGGCTGAAAATTTTGAATCATGGTTACAGATAATGGTATTTTCAAAGGCGACCTTGGCATGCGATTTTGCCTTTGGGTGGACGCTCTTGCTGATCGGCGGGATGCGAACCCCTGGAGTAGCCTAGAAACAAGGTGCAGGTGGTAGGTGCAGGTGGGCACTAAGCTTGTCAGTTCTGACCCGCCAGTTGCACCGATGGGGTACGAAGTATTCGTGCTTCGGCATTACGAGTATCTCATCCTTTGTTCGGAGGACATCTTCATGCAAGCAGAAGTAGGCATGAATTGACTGGTCGATAATGCTAAGTAGGCACCGATCGGTGGTTGATTGTGTACTTGAGAACCACGTCCCTGGCTCTGTTCATTAGCAGGACAGCCACTCTAGAGTCCTGACGTTCCATTGAGATATGGTCGCCATGTAGGGCTTGGCTCAATGTGCCAGGTCAGAGACGAGGCCGCACATTCCAACCCTGTGAATGGTCCGATGGAGCCAGATAGCGCCAGCAGGACACTCTCTTACGGGTTGCGGCCTGTCACAGGTTCACGGCATATGGTTCGTCTCGTGGGAAGGAGCCCAGTTGCTTGTATGGAGTAGTTCAGTTAGTCCGATTCTTAGGTCTGAATTCCTGCTTCCAGTCTTCTCATTGCTCATCCTCTGATAGCTCAATCAGAAGAAGTGTGGGGGAAGAGGTCTGACACACGGCACCAAGGCAGCAGGAATCCAGGATGAGGGAGCAATGGGGCTTCGAAGCGCGCTGTTTTCGAACACACATCTCAATAGTTGATGTGCCAAAACCTCCAACGAAAAGGCGGTCAACGGACCACAGAATTAAAGGGGTCCCGCTCTGCACGTCAAAAGGATAATCCCGGACATCTGGATCACGAGTCCCAGATCTTCCTCTCTATCTTCACATTCAAGTGATGGCCATGTTCCGTCTTTCCAGGGCTTTTCGGGTATCGAGAGTCGAGACGGAGGACAACCTCTTCCTGTAAAGTCTTGATTCGTCCCGATCTGCATGGCGCAATCAACAGTTTTCTGCCTCGCAATTCTAGAGCTGTACCCCACGAGGGGCAGCGAAATAAGGTAGCAACGATAGGCAAAGGTCTAGCTGGACAAAGATCTCCACTTTCCACAATGAAGATTGTCACCAAAATCAGTGGTCTGTGGACACATGGATCCAGAGACACAACCTCGTGGACGAAGGACATGACATTGCAGTTCCGAGATTTACATCGCACCGAGAGATGCATGATCACAAACGGATATTGGCAATTGCAACCTTGTGCTCGCAGTGAACGATATTCTTGAGCCAGTGACCGGGATTGCTGGTCAAAGACTTTCTACCGAATACGGCCTTGGTTGAGTTTGCTCGTACCTGCTGGACAGTGTGCTGCGCGATGATGTAGCCAACTATGTCCCTGCATTTGCTGAATCCAACTGGAGTCTGCTATCCTCGCTGGTTTTGAATCGAGCAGATGGAATTTTCTCGCCAATAAAGATCGAACAGAGCAGCCATGTGCATCGACATGAATTGCTCCGTGTTGGAGTCAATGTGCTTCTTGTTCCGACCAGAACAACACATCCCAGCTGTGTCCAGGTGATCGGTTGTCTACCGATGATGGCCTTGGTGATAGTGGCGGAGCCAATAATGGCGAATGGGCTAGGTGCAGGAACGGTTAGAAGCCATCGGTACGGAGGATGGCGCAAGCGGTGGTTGGTGTTTCTGGTTAAAGGATGGTTAGGCTTTGCAGGCGTTGCAACTGGCGGGCCCCTCGCAGTTTAGGGAGTAGTGAGGCACTAACCACCAGCGGTGGACAATGATTCAGTACCATTGAATCCCCTGCATTCGATGGCCACCTAGGCGGGCTACGGGTTGATGCGAAGAAAACTCCAACTGGGAGTCGTACAAGCACTGCATGGTTGTTCCCAGTTCTTCTTCCTACCAATTGCATGCTCTTTGTTCAATTTACGCTTCGTCCTGCTGGCGCATCGATTCGGGCACCCGTGTTTCAGATTTGCCAGGGTATCGAGACTCACACAGGACTGGATACTCGGGAATAATCACTGTTCACCGGCTGCTGAGGTCAAGTCATTACTCGTACCCAGTGCCACGGTTACTCGGCGATCAAGTAAAATACGCATGCATATCTTCTTCTTAGGTGCATACAGCTTTACTCCCGGTAACAAGATGGGTAGACCGGGTACCTAAAGAGATGCTCATCAATTGTGCCTCGTAACTCGTAGATTCTACAAAGCAGAGGCGGGGTTAATTGGAGATGCCTGGTAGCAGAGCCATCCCCCCTCTCACGGCTTGCCGAAGCACACTGGCAATCGAAATGATGTCTTGGCACTCCCCTCTATTCACCGCCTTGCTGAGTCATTCATCACTATGGCAGAACTTTTTTTACTGCCAGCCTGAACGTTGCCCACCAAACCTGGTCGGGGGCACTTGAGGAAGAACTGCAAGTCCTCGAGATACTGCGACTCATCCTCATGCCCGACGATATGCAGTGGCAAGCTTAGTATCTGAGTTTTACTGGTCTTGCCCTATATTCTTGGGTGGACAATGCCTCCGAAAAGAAAGGCGGACGGGCCAGTGGCGGCACCCTCGACTGCCAAAGCCCTCCCCAAGGTTCGTAGACCCTGCACTGACTTTCAAGTTTCACAGGACCAACAAAAACATTGACATTCATAGAAATCCGTTCCTCGGAAGTCCGCCTTGAAAGAGCCAACTGTCCCCAAGCAGGCTGAGACAGAAACGTCATCCACTCGCGCCGAGACCTCCAAAAGTGAGAAGCCTACTCGAAAACCTCACCACCATGCAGATAGCTTCGACGCTGCGCTGGAACCTTTCTACTACGACAAATCTCTCACAGACCCTATCGACACCGCCCGAGATAAGTGGAATCTCGTCCCAGCTTTCCTCAAGGTCAAAGGATTGGTCAAGCAACACATCGAGTCGTTCAACCACTTTGTGGAAATTGAGTTAAAGAAGATCATTGATGCTGAACCCGTCATTACCAGTGATATAGATCCAGATTTCTACATCAAATATGAGAACATTTATATCGGGAAGCCCTGTCGCTCAGAGGAGAGTCCCGACTCCTTTGGGCGCAGTGAGGAATCAACCGTGACTCCCAACGAATGTCGTCTGAGAGATATGACATATGCTGCTCCAATCTTGGTTGATGTTCGCTACACAAAGTCAAAAATGGCATATCGCAGGAAGGGAATGCCCATTGGAAGATTACCCATTATGCTGCGAAGTTCGAGATGTTTCTTGGCCAACAAGTCAGAAACTGAAATGTGCGCTATGGACGAATGTCCTTTGGATCCCGGTGGTTATTTCATCGTAAATGGAACAGAAAAGGTCATATTGGTCCAGGAACAACTAAGCAAGAACCGTATTATTGTTGAAGCAGACAACAAAAAGGAATTGATCACAGCCTCGGTGACCAGTTCTACCCACGCCAGAAAGTCGAAAAGTTATATCGTGCTCAAAAAGGATCTATTGTACATGCGACACAATATTCTGAATGAGGATGTCCCCATATGCATCTTGTTGAAAGCCATGGGAGTATCCTCTGACTTGGATATGATGGGAATCGTTGCTGGGATCGATAGTAAACTTCAGGAAGATTTCGCCATCAATTTCGAGGAGACTATCAAACATCAAATTCATACTCAACAGCAAGCACTCGATTATCTAGGCGCAAGAATCAAGATCACACGAAAACCCACCCCCTTTGGACAATCCCGCAGAAACTATGTACAAGAAGCACTAGAGGCTGTCAGCAGTGTCTTCATTGCACACGTTCCCATCGAAAATCTGAACTTCAGACCCAAGGCGATTTATGTTGCACATATGGCTCGCCGCGTGTTGATGGCCAAGCAGAACCCTGCCCTCGTTGACGATAGAGATTATGTTGGCAACAAACGCCTCGAACTCGCTGGCCAACTTCTTTCTCTACTATTCGAAGATCTTTTCAAAAAGTTCAACTATGATATCAAGATGAAAATCGACAAGGCACTTCGAAAGCCCAATAAGACAGAGGTCGTTGATCCTTGTGGTACCATGATGGGCGCCTCCGTGTCCATCACACAAGGTATGAACAGAGCAATTGCCACGGGCAACTGGAATTTGAAACGATTTCGCATGGACCGCGCAGGTGTAACGCATCTGCTGAGCCGCCTGAGCTTCATTGCTTCGCTCGGAATGATGACCAGAATTTCGAGTCAATTTGAAAAGACTCGAAAAGTCAGTGGTCCTAGAGCCCTACAACCATCCTCCTTCGGTATGCTTTGCCCCGCTGATACTCCAGAGGGTGAAGCATGTGGTTTGGTCAAAAATCTTGCTCTAATGACCCATATCACCACCGATGATGAAGAGGCACCCATCAAGCGTCTTATCTTCATGCTTGGCGCTGAAGACATTGTCAGTGTTGGAGGAACCGAATTATATGGTCCGGGGGCATACCTTGTCCTTCTCAACGGTACTCCTGTCGCGAGTACTCGACAGTCTTCCCTTTTCCTCTCTTCTTTCCGACGTTTACGTCGCTCGGGCAGAATTTCGGAGTTTGTCTCTATCTTCGTGAATCATCATCATAACACCATTCAGATTGCGACCGATGAGGGTCGTATCTGCCGACCCCTGATCATTGTTGAAGACAAGAAGTCCAAAGTGACAAAGAGATATCTCAAATCCCTGCGACAGGGTTCCATGGACTTTGATGACTTCTTAGCCAGGGGTCTTGTGGAATACCTGGACGTCAACGAGGAAAACGACAGCAACATCGCAATGTATGAGTCCAATATCAATGCCACCACTACTCATCTCGAAATTGAGCCGTTCACGGTATTGGGCGCTGTAGCTGGCTTGATTCCCTATCCTCATCACAACCAGTCTCCACGAAATACTTATCAATGTGCTATGGGTAAGCAGGCAATAGGCTTTATTGCCAACAATCAATTTTTGAGAATCGACACACTCCTCTACCTTATGGTTTATCCGCAAAAGCCACTTGTGAAGACGAGGACGATTGAGCTAGTCAAGTATGATAAGCTCCCTGCAGGACAAAATGCTACAGTTGCTGTCATGTCTTACAGTGGCTACGATATTGAAGATGCTCTCGTACTGAACAAAGCCTCCGTCGATCGCGGTTTCGGACGATGCCAAGTACTACGAAAATATCCAGTCAGTCTCAAGCTTTATCCGGGAAGCAATGTCAAGGATATCGTTGAGCCACCAACGATGGACAACGGAGTTCCGATCAAAGCGCATGCATTACTTGATGTGGATGGCATTGCATCTGTTGGGGCGAAAGTCAGTCACGGAGAGGTTTATGTCAACAAGTACGTCCCAGAGAATGCTTCAGCCTCTACACTTTCCGACAGTGGCACCAATGGCCCGGCTATTCCTCAGCCTCAAAAATATCGACTTCCAGATCCCAGCTACATTGACAAAGTGATGGTATCTGAACAAGAGTCAGGAAATCAACTGATCAAAGTTCAAACCCGCCAGACCAGAGTTCCAGAAGTTGGTGACAAATTCTCTTCACGCCACGGACAAAAGGGCGTGGTAGGAATTATTGCTGAGCAAGTCGACATGCCATTCTCAGATTTGGGCATTACTCCAGACATTATCATGAACCCTCATGGTTTCCCTTCCCGAATGACGGTCGGGAAAATGCTGGAACTTGTCTCCGGCAAAGCCGGTATTCTCAAAGGTCAATTTGAGTATGGTACGGCATTTGGAGGCAGCAAGCTTGAAGATATGTCGCGAGCTTTGATCGAAGCCGGGTACAGCTACGACGGCAAGGACTACTTGACGTCTGGTATCACTGGAGAACCATTGCCAGCATATGTCTTCACCGGGCCGATCTACTACCAAAAGCTCAAACACATGGTTCAAGACAAAATGCACAGTCGATCTCGTGGACCGAGAGCAATTCTCACACGTCAACCCACCGAAGGTCGTTCCCGAGACGGAGGTCTGCGCCTAGGTGAAATGGAGCGTGACTGCCTCATCGCATACGGCGCGTCGCAGTTGCTGCGAGAGCGACTGATGCTTTCCAGCGACAAACATGAAGTCGACGTCTGCGAGTCCTGTGGGTTCATGGCTTTTGGGCGCTGGTGTCAGCGCTGCAGCAGTGCAGGTGAGAAGGGCTCGAACGTCGTCCGTATGACTCTTCCCTACGCCTTCAAGTTGCTGCTCAACGAGCTGGGAAGTATGAATGTTAACACCAGACTTATCGTCACCGACGAATTTCCCGACGATGGTTCGAGACGAGCTTGATGAGCTTTTGAGCTGTTATTAGGGGGGGGGACCTTACTGAATGCGTGGATGGGAAATTCTTTACTGCGATGGTCCTTCACAATACGAATGCATAGCCGGCTTGGAAATTGAAGTCATAGAACATGATAAACTAAAAGAAACGCATCAGCGACGGCGTACTTGATTAGCATTTCGTCCTTTCGGCTTTGCACAAATGACGCCTAGATGCCGGCTGGTGATTAAAAGCATGAAAGAACGTAATACAAAGCCTTAACATCGAAAATGAACTGTGCAGCCATGTGCAAAACCCCGACAAATTCACGTAAAAGCCAGGCAACATCAGAGGGGACTTGAGGACAACACGTATCTGACCGAATAGCTGGTCAAACCCTTTCCATGCGAACATGGTATCGAGAGTTCCATCCTCAAGTTCGTGACAAGTTCGACCCGTGCGTATAACCATGCCACCTCCGGCATCCCTCAGCCACTCTCCTCATCCTCTCCGCCCTGCTCCTCGCCATCCTCGTCGTCGTCCGCGGAATCCGAATCCTGAAACCAGCGGCTCACATCGGGCTGCTCGTCGTAAAAGCGACGCCAATGCATCTTGTGGGCATGCTCGATCTCCTCCTCGACGACGATCTGCCTATACTTCTCGATCGGAACCCTCAGCGCGGGCAGATCGGGATTCATGAACTCGTCGCGCCAGATGTGGCGCAGTTCCGCCATCAACGGCTGCTGCTTGAAGTCTCCGAGCGGCATGTCGTTGATCTCGTGGCCTTTGTAGTACAGCTTGAGTTCCGGCAGGGGCTCGCCGCGCCGCTGCTTCCGGTGCAGGTGTTTCTTGTACGCGCGCAGCCCGTGTTCGGCGCGGTCCAGCAGTTCGAGCTGTGACGGTCGGTTCGCCGGGTTCGGGTCCAGGCAGCGCCAGACCAGCCGGCGGAGCCGCGGTGTGTAGAAGCCTCGGACTTGAGTGCGGAGCTGCGGAGCAGGTGGTAGCGGTTGCGCTTCCAGAGCTTGTAGGCCCCGTCCTCGTCTTTTCTGTCCGGCGGGTCTTGTGCATCTCTCTCCGAGTGGCCCAGGCATATCAGGCTGTACGTGATTCGGCCGATGCCGTAGATCTAAAATTGGATATGGAGAGTTAGTCTCGGATAAGTCTAGATGAGAGGGTTGGAATGGATGGGGGCCATGTGGCCCTGGTGGCATGTGGACACGAGAAAGGGGTGGGAAGAGAAACTCACGTTCATTGCGTGGTCGAAAATAACATCGTGTTTATGATATTCCGTGTGGCCTGCATCTTGTCCCTGGAGCTCCCTCGCCCAAGCTGATAGAGGATGATGCCCCTCGCCATCCTCTGCCGCTGCCGTTGCTTGGCCTTCCATTCGCATCCTCGCTTCTCTGTATCTCACTGCCGCGCCGGTCGGTGGGATCTGCCATTCGGCACCAACCTGTGCTTGTTCCTGCGATTTCAAAGGAAAGTAGTCAGTTGCAGTACTTGGAGGATGACAACGAGGAAAGATACCAAACGCATCGGGGATCTGTTTAGAAATAAAAGGAACCAACTTACCGGGGGGCAGTATCCAGGGGTACCGATTCCAAACAAGGAACGCGGATTAATGGCACAATCATCGTTGCAAGAAGTATACACGGCCAGTCCGAAATCAGCCATCTTAGCCAAAGGATAATCAGGCTCATCGATCTCGACGTGACGGCGGGCATCGTCCATTTCCTCGCCCCGATCGTTAGCTGCGAGAAGGGCGTTCTGAGGCTTCATGTCGGAATGGAGACAAAAGAATTTTGCGAGTGAGAAATTTAGAGGCGGCAAGTTGGCTTCCTCATCAGCTTGTGACGGCTTCTTATGAACTTGCTTCTTTGCTTTGCCCTTGCCCTTGGCTTTTCCTTTCCCGTTGCCCTGCTCACCGGCGACAAGCGGTGGAGTCGTTGGAATGGCATCTCTCGCAGCTTCAATCCTTCGTTCTGCTTTTACCCAGTAACTGTCGTCCGGTGGAGGGGCTCTCAGCGCTTCACCACCAAGAGCCAGACGCACGAGGACGTTCCAGAGAAACAGCTCTGGCAGCGCCTGATCCCACATGGAATACAAATTGCGTAGATTGCGAAGATCTCCATGAGGACAGTTCTCCAGGTACATCCGGTAGGCGGATGGCACACGTGGCTGGTTCCGTAGGTTCTTCACAGGTCGCTGCAAGAACTTGTAGGCACGTAATTGTGGAAAGATCCCAGGGGCCTTTTGATTCAGGTCTCGGTGGATGACAGCTTCCTTAAGAAGATGAGGGTAATGTTCATTGCTCAGCTCATACGTGTCCCAGTAGTCCGGACTTGGTGCTGCTTGTTGTTTGACTACGATCTGGTCCTCTGTGCGGTTGTGCTTGTCCCTTTTCTCCCAAAGGCCGACAATGCCATAGCCACCTTTACCGAGTATTCGTACAGGTCCCCATTCTGCATCTTCGGCATGATTATCTTTGAAGAGAGGATATCTTCGCATGAAGTTTTCTTGTGCTATGTTATCTCTCCTTCCATAAGATGCTCTTTCCAGTCGTTCGTAATACCATTTTTGGTTGAAATCGCCTTTGTCTGATGATTTATTTCTGGGCTTCCTGAGTGTTAGATTCCTCGCCGTCTGAGGGATGATGAAGTTATCCAAATCCAGCTCATCAGAAGCCATGTTGAGAAGGTACGAAGGCCGAGCAGGCGTGCATTCAACTTGCTCAACGTAATATGATACTAGGCAATAATGATACACCTCGAAGTGGAGAGAAGGAGGAATAACAACCAATATTCAAAGAAGACTACTTTATAAACATGCCGGATGCAGGTTCTCCCATGGTGTGGCACAAAGAAATGATAGTACTGGCGCTTGAAGGAGTGTACTTACTGTTCGATAAGATTATATACCGTTGTAAGGCTTTCTAGCGTACACAGAGTCAAACTGAATCTAAGATTTGTTCAGACAATGGCTGCTTTGTTTGCGAAGGATTCGGTGGGAGCTTCCCTAAGGAAGTTCCTCTGAGAGATTCAAATCTTGCATATTTCAAACCATAGTCGAAAGTATGACTCCTTGGTACTTGACTTTGCGTGTCTATCTCTACCAGAGGCCATGATAACTTGGATGATGCTGATTCTGGTGGGTGCCAGGAACGCATCCTTGTCGTGGGTGGTGGATTGATGTCCAGGAGAGTAAAACCGCATCTAAGATGCATCTGGACTAGTGTGGCTAGGTCCATATCACGTGATCCAATTTCCGCTCCCACTGCCAGTACAAGGGATTCAATCTTCCCATCCAGCCAAATCGTGGATGAGACAAGAGCAAGTCGAGAGCACTAGTATTATCTTTGAAGCGATCGTTTGAACTTGCACGTAATCACGATTCGAACCGGCATTACTTTGGAGAACAATAATTGGACCTGACAGATTATCTAAGCAAACGAAGTCACCTAGTGGCTAGGGGCACTGGATTAGTCCCACCTCGTATTTTGCCAGAGTCAAGTGAACGGTGAACAAGCAAGGTCCACGATGGAAAGCATGTTTGAAATTCAGTTGAAGAAGGGATTGGATAGGACCAATGGAGTGAGCTGTGAATGACACCCGCGGGGAGTAGTCAAATAAAGCGTTGACATCATTCCGCTTGACGGCAATACATAAACTCCTCCTGTAACCCTGGATGTTCGTGTGTAACTCCGCAGTAGTCCATATATCAACGTGCTAGCAATCATTCGACGAGTTTTGCTTTGATAAGTAAAAAAGGTTACCAAGTGTTCCCTCCACCAACCAAAATGACGATTGAGGGCATTCCCAAAGAAATGAAGGCGGTTCAAGTAGTAGAGGTGCGTGCGATATTCCATTCCTACGACCACCAAACTGATAGACGCTACACCGTTTAGTTCCACAAACCGTATAAAATCCACCAGGTACCTACTCCGACACAGCTCAAGGATCATGAAATCCTTCTGAAAACTGTCGTTGCATCTCTCTGCCACACTGATTCCATGGTCACGGCGGGCAAGTTTCCCACCAAGCTTCCGTGTACAGCTTCTCATGAAGGGACCGGCATCGTCAAGGCTGTGGGGTCTAAAGTCACCAACTTCAAAGTCGGAGATCGCGTTATGTCTGGATTACCTAAAGGACCTTGCGGATCTTGTGTGAATTGCCAAAAGAACGATTGGCGCCAGTACTGTGAGAACATCGAAGGACACATTGGAGTATTCGTCGATGGAGCTTTTGCCGAGTACCACGTGGTCGATAGTCGATCAAGCTGTCACATCCCTGATAATGTCAGTTTCACAAGTGCCGCTCCACTGGCGTGTGCTGGTTGCACCATCTATCGAGCAATCATTGTCAGTGAGGTCAAGAAGGGGGATTGGTTGGCCATTGTTGGGGCAGGTGGCGGCCTGGGCCATTTGGGCATCCAATTCGCTCGGGCCAAGGGCATCAACATTGTCGCAATCGATGCTCGTGATGAAGGGCTGGAGCTCTGCAAGAAAGCCGGCGCCGAGCATATCTTTGACGCAAGAGAAGGCAACGAAATAGTGGTCAAAAAGATACAAGACTTGACAGATGGGCTTGGTGTTCACGCCGCCATCAATGTGAGTGAGCACGAGACCTCGGCGGATCTTGCTTGTGAGGTCACGAGAATGCATGGTTACATGATCCAAGTGGCGCAACCTGATCGAGTGAGCATTGCTTTTCAGCAACTGATTTTCCGTGATATTCAAGTCAAGGGTACTTTGATTGCAGGTCAGGAGTACAGCCAGCAGATGCTGCATGATGTTGGCAAGCACAACATCAAGGTGGAAACCAATTTATTTTATGGCTTGGAAGAAGTTCCTAGGATGGTGGAGCTTTCTCATAGCGGAAAAATGAAGGGGAAAGCTGTCTGCGTGGTAGATAACGATGAATTGAAAAAGGAGAAGGTCAGTTCTTCCTAAGGGGGAGCAATCAAGCCTGAAGAGCCTTATTGAGACTTGAGTGCTTTTCCGTTATGAAGGCTCACCGAGTGGTGATCACCTTGGTGGTGGTGTTTTGCTACTAATCGGCATATACTCCACCGCATGGCCTGTGTTCCGCTGTAGCAGTACTCTAATTTCTAAGAAGCAGCTCAGCATGAGTTACTCATAAATACCAGACGCTCTCCAACTTGAACCCCTTTCCTTTAATACGGATAGCTATCCAGCACGTTATGTCGTCAATTAATGATGGGCCTCGTGCCGTCGACTTACCTCTCCCAACTCAGACAAGCCACGCACATGGCTCTCTCGAAGACCTGTTACCGAGTCACTTCACAGGCGACATCACAAGATGGCTCGCTGAAGATACACCCTCCTTTGACTATGGCGGTTTCGTCGTCGGGTCTTCTCCCCGTACAGCACAGCTACTCTGCAAGTCTGCGGGAGTCCTCGCTGGTGTACCTTTTTTCAACGAGGTTTTCAGGCAGCTAGACTGCACGGTGGAGTGGCATCATAATGAGGGATCATATCTCGATCCTAGCAAGAGCGGCGGAAAGATACAAGTGGCAACAGTTACTGGGCCGACGCGGAAATTGCTACTGGGCGAGCGGGTGGCATTAAATACCTTGGCGAGGTGTAGTGGCGTTGCTACACGAAGTAGAACGATGCTTGAATTGGTGCGCGGCGCAGGTTACGCAGGAATCCTGGCAGGCACCAGAAAGACTACACCCGGCTTCAGGCTTGTTGAGAAATACGGTATGTTGGTAGGTGGTATCGATGGACACAGACACGACCTGAGCAGCATGATCATGTTGAAAGACAACCATATATGGGCCAAGGGCAGCATTACTAATGCAGTCAAGGCTGCGAGAGCGGTAGGTGGATTCGCACTGAAGATTGAGGTTGAAGTGCAGACCGAAGCAGATGCCGATGAGGCCATCGAGGCGGGTGCGGATATCGTCATGCTGGATAATTTTGATGGTGATGGACTGAAAGTCGCAGCAAAGAGCCTGAAGGAACGATGGAGAGGTAAGAGGAATGTTCTACTGGAGAGTAGTGGTGGACTTACGGAAGCCAACGTGGAGGAGTATATTAATAATGGTATGGAAAAGCCTTGGATGCGTCGATGGCGTGACTATACTGACTTTTCTCTAGATATCGATATAATATCCACGAGCGCTGTCCACCAAGGTGTATCTCATGTGGATTTCTCTCTAAAGATCGACCATTAGATACTCTAAGCGGATGTATAGTGGCCGACTACCTTGTAGCCTCACCAACATTCATCATTTATACATCAGTAATATCTGCCATTGGCACTTGGGTCTGCAACACTACCTAGTCCCGAGTACTCCATACCTAGGTACCTTGTAGCCTCCCTTCTACGTACAGTTACTAACACTAGCTACAAAGGTACTCGTAGGCATCGTAGTGTTTGAAGTGGGCCCTCGGGCCGAGATAAGGAGCAAGCCTTGAGCGCTAGGTCCGGGCGGCCCCTGGAGAGTCTGAAAGGCTTTTTCGACCTCAGGTCTGAGTAGCAGCGAGCAACCCGAAGCACATCAAGCAGTAAGCCATTATATACAGAGTATCGTCAATGGCAACTTAAAGCCCCAACGTAACGATTCGGAGTGCTGGTGCAAAAAGCACTTCGTTGCCCCTTCTGTCTATGCTGGGCCGGGGTCACACAATTGCCTTCGTGGCCTGGCTTTAAATTGGATATCAAGGTATCTCATTCGCTATTTCAGCCTGAGATATAGAGGCCTGCATCGTGCCTGGTCGCAGGACACAGCCACTGGATAATTTGGTTGAGCAAACAGCTTTTGGCGCCAGAAAGGTCTCCTAATTCGTCTGGAGCTTGACATGATGTTGGGTGGATACACTGAGAAGAGACCAAGTCGTTAACACATAGTACTGACATCGCAGGGTTGAACGGGTTGCCAGTGGGCTTTTACACGCAGCATGACTGAGAGTACAGAATCTGCCGTTGATTTCCTGTCAAGAAGAGCTGAGAGCTTTTTTGCTCCTTCTAAGCTCTTCGCTTTTAGTTGATTTCTTTCCTTCTGGCTGGCATAGCGCATCTCTTCACACTCACTGTTGGCATTAGCGGCGTGACTGACCGACCGACTTACTGACTGTGCATAGATGTCACGACCATCGCCCATCGGGTGGACTACAGACTGTTTTGCTTGACTACAAAATACAGGGTTCGTCTGAAGCTGGTGAGCCATTTGTAGGAAATCCTTTTCATTCTTTGTACTCTGCCGCCCTTTACGTTCAGCATCACCACTAGTGCCAAATTCACTTACGTGTTGAACCTGCTACCGTCACTAAAACTCATCAATTTCTCTCTCATATCCTCTCCCACTACTTTGCGAGATTTTTCTGTATGTAAATTTCCTTTCAAGGGTCGGTTGCTATTCACTTCTTTCCGTTCTACTGACATCCAGTTCTTGTGAAGCACTCCTTGAAGAGACTTTTCCACTCAACACTGCATTGCTCTCGTGACCTCACGCCCTCACGCCCTCACGCCCTCACCCTCACTCTACAAGAAGCCATCTCACGCCCTGCAGGGCCTAGGGAAGCAAACCCAGAACCTGATCACTCACAGTCTTTTTTACAACAAACACATAGAACTTTGTAAGTGAAACATCGCATGCTACACATTCTGCTCTTGGGATCCCCTGTTCTTCATCCTAACCCTGCTGACTCAGCTAGGTTTCTCCCAATCGTCCGTCTAAGCTGAGGCTCTCTCTACTAGCACCCGACATGATTCTCTGCGCACTCCCTCCCTTCTATCTTATTTGACGTAACTGGTCTCGAAACATTCCTTTTCGGCTACAAACCACCAACATCGTCCCACTCGTCGAGCTTTTCGCGCAATGGCGAACTCAGGCTCCGCGGAGGGGTTGCATCTCCTCCCAGGAGATAGCCAGGCATCCGCGCCGCTCACCAATCATGATGGATCAGAAGCCACAGTAAGTATGCTCTTCAGGGAGTTGAAAGAGCTTAGCACGGGCCTTGAACAGAGTTACTCGCAAGTATCTGAGATTACCGCTCCAGCCGAGCAATCACTTCAGCAAGAACTTGAAAAGCAGGAGAGTGCACGCGCCGACGAGTTCTCAAAACATCAACGTACACGCAAGGAGTATTTTGACAAAGCTGAAGCCGCAGAACGACAGAATTTCAATCAGTCTCAAGCGCAAAGACATGCAGAATTCGAGAATAAGAAGAAACTGCGAGAGGAACAACTCTCCCTCCAAATGTCTGGTCTTGGCACACAGACCGCAATGCAGGAGCATATCAAACTAGAAAGAGATGCGGAAGACCAACACGAGGAATCACAGTTCCAACACAATCGGGCTGATAAAGCAGCACGAAGACGAAGAGAAGACAACTATCGACAATCGGAGGCAACCCATACTGCAGCCTACCACCATGCTCTCAGAATGCTCCACAACGAGTTTGATGACAAGCGGAAAGCCCTTGACAAGCTTCATATCGAGAAGTGGCGCGAAAACAATGGGGCGACTAGAGTTCGAATTGAGCAAGTCCAGAGCACGTTGTGGCGTAAACTCTTTGGCAGTTCTGATGCCCAAAATTCTTTCAGAGAAAATCCCGTTGTGTTGAATACAGAAATTCCAACTCCTCCCCCAGATCTGACCACACCACTAGGCGAACGAGGAGCGCAGCCAACGTCGAATAGATATCCTAGTCACCAACGACAGGCAACTAGTACCTCCGATCTGGATCGCCATCCATACTTAAATGAATGGATATCAAACCATGTTGACCTTCCGCCCGATACCGATGGACGGCACTCCAACACGGAGGAAGAAACAACCCATACACAAGCATCATCAACACAACCTCCGAGGAATGATATGAATCAAACAAATTTGTCAACCCTGAGACCTCAAGATGAGTGCCAAATCCAGGCGGTTCAAAATGCGCTTGAAAGCCTCGGAGAAGACTGCGTGCGCAAGGACTTGTGGAAGAATGTGGCAAAACAAATGGAACAGAAAGGTTACAAGATCGAACCACAATCCGCAGCAGCTATGTGGTCCAAGCCTCTGAGACAAGTGTGCAGAGATCGTGGCTATTCATGGGCGGAGAAGGTCATGAAAACCGCATCATACAAGACCGAACGAAAGAGAAGAACACTGAGTGAAGGCAATGGACTTACACCACTAGCTTCCTCTTCTTCAAACCCACGTCTAGTCAAGCGCACAAAGCGAAGCCAGGGTCATCGGGATACCGTCGCCGTCCAGAATGATTCCGCTAGAATGAAGGATGGTATATCGCAACTCAGAACCTTCAATGGTTGCTCTATCTGGTCAGGTGCTTCTTATGATGTAACAGAGCTAGACTGGGCACCTGATGGAAAGCGTTTTCTTGTCGGAAGCGTGGCTAAGGAGGAAGCCTCCAACCGCAACCAGCCTTGCAATCTTGTTCTTGGCTCGATCAGTTCGAGGGTTTTGCGAGAAATGCCACAAACCCATTGCACATCTAGTGGATTCACACACGATGGATCTGTCCTTCAGAAACCTTTGTACCGGGCAGTCACTGGTGTTCAATTCACAGATGGAGGAAACCACGCAGTCACCGCAGGCTATGATGGATATGTCCGCATCTGGGATATTCGCCAAGAAGAACAGCCTACTTGTGTCGACAAGATCGAGCACAAAAAGAAGGTAATCGTCATGGCATTGGGAAAACAGAACAATCTACTGGCAACAGGCATCGAGAATGGCCCTCAGTCTCTACAAATTTGGTCTGGAAACAGTGACTGTTCGAGGTTCAGATCTGTGGCGATACCCCATCTTAAGGGGATGGATTCCAACGAATCCCCCATGTGTCTCGCATTTGGCAATAGTCCAGTGACGCAGGGCTGGCTGGTTGCTGGTTTCGGTTGGGATGAAGACATCAGACCTGGTGATGGCCGATTGAGTGTATGGTCGATTGACGAAAGTGGGCTGACCGAGAGGATCTTTAAGCCGGACCATGCACAGGTCTCTGATGTCGCATGGCTTCCAAGCGGTGGAGGTTTTGCGGCAGCGACGACAGGCGATCTGAAAAGTCGTTTGGAACGGTCGTGTGTCCAGATTTACAACATAAGCCAAAACCAAAGTGGCCTCAAGCTTACCTGTCCAGCAATCGATATGAACATGGTGAGCTTCTCTCCATATCAAGAACATTATGTGGCAGCGTCCTGCACTGATGGGAAAGTGTATGTATGGGATACTAGAAGTCCACGAAATCTCCTCCATACCCTTTCTCATGGAACACCGGTGAGGCGTTGTGAAGCCGGGGCCGTAGGAGTGCGAATGACAGAATGGCTTGACGAGACCACTTTACTCAGCGGCGCGAGTGATGGTATTCTGAAGCGCTGGGATATCAGACTCTCGAGTGAGAATGCCCTTGTCGAAGATGTTTACGACTGCGAAGCTGAAATCATGTCCGGGCGCTTATCCCCGGACAAGTCGTCCTTGCTTTTAGGAGACGCGGATGACAGTTTGCATTTGCTTCAAAAGAACGGTACAGGGGCAAAGACATTGATAGAGGAGTTCACATTCATTGAAGCCAACAGACAGGGTCATATAAGAAACTCCTCTGATATGGTGAAGCAAGAACGCAACCCTTTCCTAGAGTCTTTCCGGGATTCGTCGCTGTTCGATGGCTCGCCGACATACACACCCCCAGAGCATTTCCCAAGCACCATTTAGCGGCCTTGCAGCTGTGGTCAAGGCGTTCAAACAAGCACGAGGGCTCTCGGGCGAAGTCGGCTATCTTCAACTTGAGGGAAGGTAAGACGACGCAGAGTGCTTGCTCGTGGGAGACAACCGGGGCAGGTGTTCAATTCATGCATGTCGTATTGTGAGAGTACAACTTGAGACGATCAGGCCACTACCAAGTACAGAAGCTGGAAATTGGCCGCCTTATTGCGATATGCAGCTTGCAGCCACCTTTGGCATAGCATATGCACTAAGACTGAGTTCACCCAACTCTGTAGGGGATGGGACTAACTAATACCGCGGTTCATTCAAGAGCTGGATCGAAAAGTGCCATTAATTTGAAACACGGGGGATGCTTGTACATGAATCTCTGGTAGCCAAGCTGGATCTCAAGCCTGCCTCAATTCATCTGTCTGAGTAAAATTCATTCCTGTTGATGGTGACTAGCTACTGTATTCCCCAGTTTACATCAAGCGAGGCTCGTGCCCCTGAATGACGAGCCTTGGCATTGTTAAATCCAGAATTGACGAGCGACAAGCTCTGGAGAACAAAACATAAAGCCGTATGTTGCACTAGGATATCCAATCTGACTTATGTGTGACACAGTGTCTTTCGCAGTTATTGTCCAAGGCGATCAATCTTGACCTTCACACTTCATAACCCTGTCCAGACCCACCTAGTAAGAGAAGGCTACGTAGATATATTTGACCCCAAAATCTCCAAATGCGGGGTCTGTGTAGCCGAAATTCAGCCGGGACATCAACACCACAGCCTCGCAGAACTTCTCTCGGCTAACGTTTTCCTGGAGTAAACTTGCCGTCGCCTTTACCACCGCGCTTTGCCGTACCTACCTATCCGTACATGGCAGAAGACATACATTCCACGTGAGCAAAACCCACCAACAGCTCCTCCTACACGACATCCAGCCCAACCCTCCCTCAACAATGGCCAGCGCCGCAACCCCACACGAAGAACCCGCCGAATCACTCCCTCCACCAGCAGCAGCACCGACACCACAAGACCAAACCTCCCCGACACAATTATACACCGCGATCTCACGGTACCCTTTCGGTTCAGACACAGAATACCAAAGCGGACTGGCCGCGATCCTAGGTCACCCATCGACACCCACAACAGAGGCGGAGATCGCAGAGCAGCACGAGCTGGTCCTGCAGGTGCAGTGTTTCTACTTCGCGAGGAAATACAACACGCCGCCGGTCGAGCCCGCCGGGTATGCTGCTTGGTTGAGTGCACGGGGAGGTGAGGGGGATGGACAGGCACAATCACAACCACAACCACAGCAAGACAGAGCGGGGCCCTCGACAGGCGTAGCCGATGCGATACCGCCGACGCAGACGGCTTCCAGTGTACCACCGGCGTCAGCATCAGTAGAGCCTCCAAGCCAAAGCCAGACCCAGACAACGCCCAGCACAGCCCAAGCAGCCGACGACGAGCCCCCACCCTACCCGAACTCCTTCGCCGCGATCGTCGACCTGATCACACGCAACATCCCCGTGCCGGGCATCGAAGAGATCCCCACGACCGTGCTGGAGCTCGGGTCGAGCAAAGTCGACAAGACGCCGCGGCGGCGGAAGCCGTGGGAGAAGGATGGCGCTGGCGCCGATGGAGGAGGAGAGGGAGGAGAGACACAGGGGCAAGAAGGGGTCGTGGCGTCATCGAGTACGGTGGTCGATGGCGCGAAGAGGGAGGGTGGTATTGCTGGTGATGATGATGATGATGCGGCTCACGCCACTGCTGCGAAGAGTGTAAATGATGGCGTCGTCGACATCAATGGGCATCGCGAAACGGGCGAAGGGGTCGTTGCTATACTCAAACCGAATGCTGTGCCCGACAGTGGCTTGCTGTCTAAGGACTAAGCCTCAGCTATCGTGGTGGATAGCTATTTGAGTCCTACTGAGCATTAGCCGTTCGACTTCGAAGCTGTCCACTTGGATCCGCTTTGTATGGGTGATGTTCTAACACCGGGGAACATCAACAGAAGATGAATCTTGCGGATCGTGTTGAATGATCGCACAACTCTGCTGACTGGCATGCTACCTATCCTAGGATCTGATGAGAGCATACGAAGTCGATGTGCGGCCCAGAGAATTGTCGTCAGTCGCTGCGAGACCTCCTTGATGTGACCTGTCATTAAATGAACCATAGAAGATCACATCTTCATTTGCTTGAGGGGAAATTACGGTGGACAGCATAAACTCCGCCCCTGAACAACGACCCTGCAACTATTTCTAAGGGACTGCATACAATCATCACGGTATCTTCATCATAAAAGGATCAATCCTATTGTCTGATTATCATAATCACTATCTGGTACATTGTCATGACCATTTCCGTTTCGTACCACTGCTAGATACATACTTCGTGTGTCTGATGATTCGAGCAGGACAACAAAGGTTGATATCATACATGATCTCCATGGTATGGGACATTGTGCTATTGATTCTGATGTTGTGTAATATCTCCTGCATTCCGTAATACCTTAACTGCCAATCTGTTCAAGACTGAGTCTGCACGCAGAGATATTGTCCCACTTGTCGAATATGAAAACCCATACACATTGGGATTGATACGGTAAATGATTCCCATAAAAATACATACAATCGTATGCAGTGCCAGAAAAGCCGAGCCAAGACACTGCTGACTTGAGAACATTGAGTTGTTCTTTGGTTCCGTACTCCGATGTCGAGCAAGTATTCCAAGTCATAGGGAGCTATCCCATGTTTATTGACAATGTTAGAATACCTTCCATCTACACAAATGATGAACAAGTAGATGAGAAAATCGATTTTGTCCAATCCAAGTCCTCAATGAGTAAGATGATCCTCATCGAGTCAACGGAATCGAGCCCATTGACTGCGAGGTTGACCAGGGGCACCGAAGGGGTTGACAACAGCACCAGTTCCAGGACGAGTAGCAGAGTTCGGGTTGCAGCAGAGCATAGCAACACGAGAACCAAATTTGGAACCGCGCAGAGAGACCATATGCTTTCGAATGTGGATGGCAACCTGCTCGCGTTGATGATGATGAGTATTCATCAAGATCCATTGAATGAGATAATTGCCATATTGGTCACCAGCAATATCGATAAGAGGAATGCGTGGACGATCAGGATGAGCAGTGGTGATAACCCCAAGGTAACGATCCAAAAATTCGGGGCCGCCAATTTTGAGACACTTCTCTACCACTTTGGAAGCGAATTGATCAACACTGTAGTTGTATGAATTGGTAAGAATGTGATCGACAACTCGGCGTTTGTCTGGTGGAGAGCCATGTTCACATAGATGCTGAATGCACCAATTACCGAATTGACCATGAGCAATCAAGTCGATGTTGGTGATGACTTCCTCAATGGCTGGACGCTTCTCATCCTCAACACAGTTCTCGAAAATGTTCTGAACAACAAGACTGCCAGTTTCACCCAAGGCGACTTCATGCCACATGCCCCGAAGAGCCTCATTGACCTTTAGCATGATTTGTGGTGGTTCTCCGCTCCAGCGAAGTTCAAACAGCTTTTGCCAAACGTGACAAGCATATCGATGGATCACAGTGTCTGGGATACGTCGGAGAAGTTCATGAACCATGTCAGCCTTGTTCTCCTCTGGTACCGAATCAAAAGCTTTTTGAATGACGTGACATCCAAAGGGATCCATACTGAGCTGTAACACATTGCCTTGAATGGCATTAGCAATGGCCACAACTTGATCAGGAGTACCATGTTCAAAGCAGCGTTGTACAAGAAAGTTGCCAAATCGATTGATCATGAGTGGGTAAGCCTGATTGACAATGGACTCAACAATGTCGAACTTCTGCTCTGCCGTGCCGACTTTGAGCTTTTGCTGCAAGAAGATACTTGCTTGTTGATCGTTGTTGCAGACAATTTTGTCGACGATGTATTTCCAGTCACAAGAAACGGATTTATCGAGCAAGCGGCGATAGTTCATGGGCTCAAGAGGAGTGACATAGGTCGGTCCAGTTGCAACATTCGCCTTTTCACAAAAGTCAGTACTGGGAACAACAACAATGAGGACTAGGTATTACACTTACTGAGAGCGGCCATGGATTGACCACAGTTTGACCACTTGATGCATTGAAGTCTGTTCCTGTGGGGGACAATGGAGCAGCCACACCACGTTGCTGATAGTATTGACTGGGAATGCCCATTGAAGTGACTGCTGGGGGAGTGAGGGCTGTGGCACCTGGTGGGTAGCTCTGATATGGTGCAAGTGGATCAAGAGCAGTGGTGTTGATACGAAGTGGGGCTCCATTGCGTCTCATGTTGAGTTGTTGCGGATTGAATCCCATGGTATCACCATGTGCTCTCATGTCATAACCAAGAGCTGCGCCGTTGCCAGGAAAGTTGCCATTCTGAAATCCCGAGTCACCAGCAGTTGGGGCACCGTACAAGTTGTTATAACCTTGGCCAGGAGCGCGAGGGTCACGAGCAGCGGTGTAACCTGCATTAGGAGGGTTGGTGACCTGGATTTCAGCCACGGGCGCAGTAGCGTTCTGCCAAAAGGCTCGAGATCGTCCAAAGTTAGCGCCAGCGAGGTCACCAGGGTCGACTTGAAGGTTGTCTTGAGCAATCCAGCCATCGTTACGTGAGGTAAAAGGCCGAGCTGCAGCATTGAAAGCACTTTGAAGATGGCCAATGGTGGCTTCAGTCAGATCGTTTGGAGGAACAAAATCTCCAATCTCTGAAGGAGGACCCATCGCTTGATCCATAGTGTGCTTCAAGGTGCGAGTCTCAGCGAGTTCTTGTTCTTGACGTGAAATGACCGACTTGGCAGCTTCCAGTTCTTGTTTGACGCGTAAGATCTCGGCGTTATCTGTCTTGAGGTTGGTTGGAGTTGGGCGAGGAGCAATCGGAACACCAGTTGAAACATTGCCGAATGGAATGGTGGTAGAGACACCAGCATCCGGGTTGGAGGAGCTATCTGCAGAAGCAGACATGCGGGTGGAAAGGTGACGGTTAGAATCGGCCCCGTTCTTGATCTCATCTTCCTGTCTCTTCATGACTTTGCTCTGATCTTGCAAGTTGTGCAAAAGTTTGTCAAGGGACCGGACATCAGTGCTGGGTTTGCGAGCATCGTTCAGCTTCAATCGGGCGAGAATATCGTCCATATTCGTCGCAGGTTTGGGATCCAGAGGGACTGGAGAAGGCTAAGGAGAGTGAGAAAGTGCAATGCGAAGATGAGAAAGACGAAGATCACTCGTACCTTGTCCTTGTGCTTGTGCCAGACAGGAATAATTAGTCTTAGCTCAATTGAGGTGCGACAACGATAGCGAAAAGCGGGTGATTGAAATGAAGAGTGTTGTGGCGTTTCGATGGAGGAGTGATGAACGTGTAAAAGATGTGTAGATGTAGGGAAGTAGTAGGTAAGTGAAGTAGTGGTATGGCGAAGCGTTCACGCGGGTTGACTCACCTTGCGACTTTTTGTTTGTTGCGTGATGTCTTCCTCCATTTCAAGGTGCAACTTCACACCATGGCTTGATTTCCGATTGATTCCTGGTGAACCAGTTGAAACAAGAGTCGCCATGAGGAATTTGGGATTGATGGTGGAGAGACTGGATGATAAGATGCAAGATAAGCTGAGGAGAGGACAAACCTATGAGGGCAAGACTCCCGTGACAAAGAGAAGGGATGAATGTGGTCACCTGAAACCTCTCTCAAGAAGACGTTGGCGGATTGGAGTAGGGAGTGAGGAGATAGAAAGAAAGAAAGAGAGAGAGAGAGTAGGTAGAGGACGAAGGGTTAGTAGAGATAGGAAGAAGGAGGTTTTGGAAGAGGCAGTCACGATGCAGGTGATTGCACCTGCCCCCCATTCATACCAAGGCGTGTTCACATTGAAGTCGTAGCTTCCTCTAGTGCCAAAACCTGTCAGTAGGTAACAAAGGCTGCATTGGGTTTCATAAATCAATAGCACCCGAAGCTTGATATACAGGCAGTCGTGGCCATTCCAACGTCAGGGAAGGTATGATCCTGGGGATATTCTCCATCCATAGTCAAACAATCCCATTGCAATTGCTCCTCCATGTCCCTTCCACCGTGCAGATGCTTCCAAGATGACAAAGTCAGGTTGGCCCACTCCGGTTATGGTGGGAACAAGTCTCGCAGCATGCTTTAATCCAATTGTGTCAGCACCCCAGACCACAAGTTCAAGTCTTTCATCTGGAAGAGGTCGTAGCCAAACACCTCCCAGTCCTTGAGTGAATGGAATAGAAATTATTCTTCCGTTACACGCTGTGAGAGTCACCCTCCCATCTTGGAGATTAATGGGAAAGTGTGGAATCCGAGTTGGTAGACTGATCATTCCCTGCACAAAGGTAATGACATTACTTTCCCCTTTGTCCACAACCTTCCGATAGTCTGGCCATGATAGAATGTTCGAATCAGCACCATAATATTGATGAAGATTACGGCTTGCCTGAAGTGCAATTGGAAGGATCTCTGGAGAGCCATATATCAGCTGAAATGGACCACTGCTGCGGAGAATAGCGTCCAGAGTGCCTCTCTGTCGGCCAGAACGTTGCTCCAGATGCTGCCAATTGGGTCTGAGTTCCCTTGTCCAGGTATCAGCATCACGCTTGACGAACAAGGCAGACCCCTTCTCATGCTTGAGCTCAAAAGGCAGTAACATGTTATCGAGGATCACTTCATCTGCAGCGAGGTTGAGGCCTGATACACGCTCCAAACGCAATCGTTGGATGTTTGTGGTCTTTAACCGCCATTGTACGCCAGATTCGGTCTCACTAACGAGGGCGTGAACTTTACCCATTCGGTCTGGAGTGGAGAGCTGATCAACAAAAATACCATATCGAGATCCCATGTCATGCGAGTTTGGCACTATGAAAGAGAATTGGCGTGGCGTTTGCTTCTGCGATATTCCACACTTCAAAAAGAGTGAATAGAAATCCCTCATCGACTGTGTTGTCATGACACCTTCAAACCAATGGCCTCTGTCGCGTAGTTCTGAATAGTTGGCTGGCTGGCCAACCCCGACAAGCAGCGCATTCATCAATCGAGAATGATATGCTGGAACATTATCATCTATTGATCCATGCTGTTGCAGAATGGGTATCCCTATCAGATTTTCGACCAATAGTTCGTGACGATAGTTACCTCGTGCAGTTTGAACAACAGCAGTCTGCCAAGGATCTGCTTCTTGCCATAGGGTAAAAGGGACATAATTCTCAATGGAGGTGTATCCAGAAGCCGCAGCTGCAGCAAGAACGCGATCAGGCCGGTGTGTGCTGAAAAACCATGTCCCTTGACCACCATTGGAATGGCCAGCGACCAAAACTCGGTGAAGACAGACTCCAGGACCTGTCCACTTGATATTTTTGATCCAATCAGGGATCATCGTGATTGCAGCTTCAACATCAGCAAAACCCCAAGTGTGCCAATCATCGCCACTCCAAGTGCTCATTCCTGAGGGAGAAAGAATCCAGCCCGGTAGGTCTGGAATTGCGTCAAACGCGGTTTTGACGAGGGGACTGTCAGCTTCCACCCCTGCACCATGGAGGGCTACGAGAACAGGTAACGTTTCCGAAATTTCAGAGGTTAGATGGTAGCGTGGAGGCCGAAGTATTGCATATGAGACCACGCCACTTGGATGAAGAAAGGTGACCTTGTGTGAGTCAGTAATAATTGCATGGTTCAATGTGGTTGCAAAATCTATTTGCAACGACAAGGAGTCCTCCGGCGTATAGCTCAGCCGGAAATTGATGCTTTTGTCCAACCCTACCTCCAAATCAAGGACAACTTTGAGTGGTCTGGACTGACCAGGAGCCAGCCAGATTACACCATCGGACAGAATAGACCTGCCAAAGTCACGTGAGGTGGCTATATGATCAATCTTGACCCATTTCTCAGCCTGGTTACGGACGGTGATACTTCCATACAGGCTGGTGAAGCGTCCTTTGATAACATCTGGGATTATTACCCCAGGGGAGTCGACCGCGAGTACATCATATGCTAGGTTTGTCTCTAACCTAGCCTGCAGGCTAGGGGGTGACTGTCCACCCATAGATCGTATATCACCAAGCATGCGCACTTTGACAACATTGACACCGGGACGCAGATGAATCAAGATCGGTGCGCGTCGAAAACTGTAAAAGTCGCCTCCAAAGATATGATTGTCACCAACCCAAAGCTCCAAGACATTGTCTGTGTATAGAACAGCGGTCTGTGAACTGTCGCCTGACCACAATAACTCACCAACAATCCATGCTTGAAATTGAAGAGCAGCCCATCCATAGATTTGCCGAGCGAACTGCCAATCAATGTCTGGATAGTGCAAGCTCAGATCGATCGATGCACCCTTTCCAGAGTTTTCGGGGTTATAGGCGCGGCTTTCCCATTTCACATGTGCATCCGCTGCAAGAGGGCTATGGTAAAAGTCGTCCTCATTGTAAGTGATATTCGTGATACCTCCCAGGTATTCGACAGGATCAGCTCCCCAGACAGCTTCTATTGGCGAGTCAGTCTAGGCATCAACCGGTTGGGCCGAACAGAACTATGTACCGCGTGTGCCCAGTCTGAAAGGACCCAGTACCTTCCAATCTGGTGAAAACTTCAAGTTCGAAGACGCATGGGTCAAGACGAGACCTTTCTGTGAGGAGTTTTCAGGGAACTGTTGAAGGGCATGAGCAAGATGCCAAACGCCACCAAGAAGTATAGTCTGTCTCCAAAGCCATGACTTCATTGTCTGGTACCATGATCCGATTGACGCTGCTCGTCAGGTCAAAGTTGTGATGATGTTTGACGGGTCTATCAACTTGGGAACCTGACAATCACTACGGCCGAGCATGAGGCCAGGAAGGACAGACGACTACCTCGGATGATCATTATTCCGAGATGGCTCAATCACCATCCCCCGGAAAAGGCATAGCGTTGGAGAGAACGCGCAAGGACTGCGACGAGGCCGTGGCGTGAACTTGTGCCAAACCTACGTATTTCTTCTAGGATTGATCTACATAGGGTTGCACTGAATCAAACAAGAGGCCCCGTGCATCAACTCTACGAGACGTCTGCTCTAACGTGGGAAAGCTCTTCGACCTTTCACGACAAGGAAATCATGGCCACCGATCTTTGTTCACCTTGAGTCTACACCACAAGCGAAGGAGCATCAGGGTCACCTCGCCCTTTCCTACAACCACCCAGTATCCTGATGAACATGACCACTACTATGACGCAGACTCCCGAACCTCGGATAGTCACCCATCGAGCCCTCTCACCCAACAAGAACCTCAATGAACCCATCGGAAACGAGAAATTCCCTTCCTTCGACGATTCAACCCGTAGTAGTTTCCAGCTTAATGCGCCGGCAGTCACTAGCAGTCCCTCGGACATCAGTCCGGGCGCCGGGCCATTCGCCAATCAAGATTTCAAATGGCCGGCGAGAAAGATGAGCCAGAGACTACGTGATGCGCGGCCTCCAGGAATACATGGACATCGTTCAAGGAGAAGTGTTAGTGAAGCGATAAACAAATTCCGAACACGCCAGGGCAGTGTGAGTGAGAATGCCCACGAACTCGCAGAAGCATTAAAAGCGCCTATTTCATACAAACTCATCGTAAGTTTCGCGTTACTTCAGTTTCCATCTGCCATGTCTAACGCCCATAGGCCCTCTGTATTGCATGGTATATGACTTCAGCCCTGACCAACACATCCTCGAAATCGATTCTGAATGCATATCCCAAACCAGCTACTCTGACGATTTTACAATTTCTCTCGGTCTTCTCTTGGTGCTTTGTCCTAGCCGGCCTGGCATCCGTCTTCCCATCACTCAAGCGAATGATTCCGGCATTAAAGAATGGACTGAGACCACCATCCTGGGATGTGGTCTATACAGCACTTCCATTGTCGATCTTCCAGTTGTTGGGACATCTCCTAAGTTCATATGCCACGTCAAAAATACCAGTGTCGTTGGTCCACACTATCAAGGGCTTGTCGCCATTATTTACCGTCCTTGCATACCGCTTAGTGTTTCGAATTCGATACAAGAGAGCCACATATTTGTCACTTGTACCACTCACGATCGGGGTCATGTTAGCTTGCTCAACCGACTTTTCCAGCAACTTTTGGGGAATTACTGCATCCTTTGTGGCAGCGCTTGTTTTTGTGACCCAGAACATCTTCTCGAAGAAGCTCTTCAACGAGTCTTCAAGGGCAGAAGCAGATGGGCAAACACATCTCTCTCGAAAGCTGGACAAACTCAACCTGTTGTGTTATTGTTCGGTCGGTGCTTTCATGTTTTCAGCACCCGTTTGGATATACACCGAAGGGTGGGAAATTGTGCAAGATCTTTGGAAAGATGGATCATTGTCACTTTCGAAGAAGGGGAAGTTGGACCACGGAGAGCTGATGCTGGAATATGTCTTCAACGGTGTGTTCCACTTTTTCCAAAACATCATGGCCTTTGTGTTGCTCTCAATGCTGTCGCCGGTTTCATATTCGGTGGCTTCATTGATCAAGCGAGTGTGGGTTATTGTGGTCGCTGTGATATGGTTTCGCAGTTCCACGACTCCAATACAAGGTGTTGGGATTGCTCTTACATGCTTCGGGCTGTATTTGTACGATCGAACAAGTATGGAGGATGCAGCAGAGAGGAGGACCAAAGCAGACCATTTCCGACACAAAGCAGCACTACTACCGGTGACGGAAGTGCAAACGCCTGGTTTAGAGATGTCCCAACCATTTCTGGATCAGAAGAGTGGTATGCAGTGGAAAAGAGATGATGAAAAGGAGCGCAGCCAATCGCCGAACTTCTCATCTGGTTGGCTAGCACCGGGGACCAAGCAGGAGACGACCTGGGATGTTGGTGGGCGAGGAGAGAAATCAGAGAAATGAGGATGAGGATGTACTACCACATGAAATCATAGCGATGGCGTTCAGAACTTCAATGGGTCGGGATTTGGGACAATACATAGAGCTTGAGATAGAAAACGTTCACAGCGCCCATCATGATGGACTTCAAGTCATACGACGAACAAGCATATTCATCTTGATACATGGGATTTGAAGCTGACGACGACAAGCAGATGACCTTCGACCCATAAATTGAATTCTACAGACCTGATTTGGGAGGTAAAGTGGGATGTAGCGTCCGTTGGTAAGGAACAGAAGCATCATTGGAAACGAGTCCTAGCCAGCTCCAGCTACGGCGCATGGTAGCTGATCTTGGGCTTGAAGTAGAGGAGAAAGAGATGAAGAGCACGAAAATACGTACTCCTTAGAGTCTCTATCTCCTACAATAAATCAAGCCCGTGAATGAGTTTATTATATGGAAAGGAAAAAGGAAAGAAAAGAAGACCGATGAATTTATTTCATCGAAAAGGTTGGAGGCGGCTGTGCCTGCCCCGATTGAGGATAGTCTGTGGATTTAGACGCTGGAATGCATAGCTCGCGACTAAATCAATCTTAGCAGCCTATGCCCAATTTTAATTGGCTGTGATTTCAATTAGTAGATCGCTAGTGAGTTGCGAGAGGTGACCGCCGCTACGGCCTCCCTCTGCTGCCCGGACATCCCATGCCGCAACAGTCCGGACTTGCTGATTCACATCGATCCGTCCTCACCAGGCTCACAAACTCGAGTCTCATCTTCCTGACTGCGTATCGCACCTTTCCCAGATGATCTGACCTGCCACAACCAACGCTATCACTTCGTTGTTGATTCCCTCTTCGACTCTACTACACCATGTCACAAACACAGGTCGCGCGGCCAGACTCCATTCAGGAGGAGGATCCTCATAACGAACCCCCGACCAAGAAACAAAAGAGTAGAAGACCTGCAAGTCCGTCTGCACCACTCATTCTCCCTCACGTACGGCAGGATAATCAGCTAATCAATCCTCCGTTGTTTTAACAGATACTGCTTTTCGCCAGCAGCGTTTAAAAGCATGGCAGTGTGTATCCCCCACCTGCGCTCACCATTGAATACAACCATTGTCGCTGACACTCAAGCGCAGACCGATTCTTACCCCTAAGACTGTCCTCCCTATTCTCTTCGCCATCGGTATCATCTTCGCTCCCATAGGTGGTCTGTTGCTATGGGCCAGTGCTAGTGTCAGTACATTGCAGATCCGACCCCAACTCTTGATTGACAGCTCGTGCAGGTTCAAGAATTGGTGATCGATTATACGGACTGCGCTTCCACTGCAGGAGAGGAATTTACTCCCATTCCTTCTAGCAAGGTCTCATCGTCCTTTAAGTCCTCCAATAACACCGCTGTGCCACAATGGCGGTTGACTCGAAACACCACCACCCCTCCATACAGTGTCACCATTCGCGACACTCCCGTTTGCACACTCCAGTTCTCGATCCCGAACGACATCGGTCCTCCTGTCTATCTGTACTATCGCCTGACCAACTTCTATCAAAATCATCGCAGATATGTCAAGTCTCTAGACACCGATCAGCTGAAAGGAAATGCCTTGAGTAATTCAAGCATTGGGGGTAGCTCATGCGACCCCATTAAGCGGGATGCCAATGGGAAGGCTTACTATCCTTGTGGATTGATTGCAAATTCCCTTTTCAACGATACACTCAACAGTCCTGTGGCTGTCAATTTAGCTGGCGGTGCACCTGGCGAGGCTTATCGAATGACCAACAAAAGCATCGCGTGGGGCAGTGACGCCGAACTCTACAAAAAGACAAAATATACCAATGATCAAGTCTCGCCTCCTCCAAATTGGCATGAGCGCTTTCCGGATGGGTATACGGATGAAAATCCCATCCCTGATCTGTCGACGTATGAAGAATTCCAGGTTTGGATGAGAACCGCAGGTCTCCCCACTTTCAGCAAACTTGCTCTTCGCAACGATGAAGATACCATGACCACCGGTATCTACCAAATGGATATCTATGACTGTGAGCCTGAATCTTCATTGCTACTAAGCGATATATCTAACCTCCACAGTCTTCCCCGTCAAGGTCTATGATGGTACCAAGAGTGTTTTGATCTCTACCCGTACTGTTGTGGGTGGCAAGAATTCGTTCTTGGGGATCGCCTATGTTGTGGTAGGAGGCATTTGTGTTGTTCTTGGTGTCGTCTTCACTATTGCACATCTTATTAAACCGAGGTTCGTACTCGATTTTCTAGCATTCAAGGTTTTTTACTAATCGAGACAGAAAACTTGGAGATCATACTTATCTATCTTGGAACAATATCGATACCCCTTCGACTGCTACCACCACAGGTCGTGAAGCTCGACCTGGAACTGCTTGAAACCAAAAACAGCTTGCACGAACTCCTTTATAACGTTGATGAAGCAGGACAGGGTATCGGCGCTGGCGTTTATGGAAGATTGGAAGAAAATCGAGGCAAACGGCCGAATGGTATAGGGATACTTGACTCATTTCCCAGAGAGAAGATGTCACTTCAAGATTTATTTTTCGGTTTGCCCGTTCTTGAAGCACCCAACCCCTTTTGGTATTGTCCACTGAATACTTTATTTGAGCAGAGTCACGTGGCACGGAATGCTATCTCGATTCAAGTTTCTGCATTCCTTCGTCGCAACCCATTTTCCATTGTGATTATATGTCTGTGCTTATTGTGTGTGTATGTGTCTGTGTGATTTTCTGGAGTTTCCTAGGTTCTACTCACAATATAAAACCATCATGATTCTTTGCATCTTTCACTGTCCACCTCTTCCAAAGCCTCCACAACCGAAGCAAATATGAGTGTCTTCCGAATTTCCTCTCGTTCCATACCCTTAATACTCCTAGCCACGACCGTCTTCGTTCACACGACTTTCGCCGGCCTCACCCGCTATAAAACCATTCATAGATCCTGCGACGTCGACAAACCTTCAGAGGAGCTCAGACTTTCGCACCGCTACCTTCAAAAGAACGAACCACTGAAGAACGAGCTTTGGGACGCCCAATCCGTTCAGCAACGCTACACGCGCTTTGTAGTCGACCATAGCAATCACGCCCATGACAAACGTCAAACCCCAGCCATGCCCCCAATCTACACCATCGACACGTATATCCACATCGTCTCCGACACTGCATCATCCAACCCCCAATCCCCAGACTACGTAACCGACACACAGATCCAGAACCAACTCCGCTACCTAACCGCCGCCTACCGCAACTCCAGCATCGGATACCGCCTTGCGGGCATCGACCGCACGACCAACGACACCTGGGCGGCCAACGGCGACGACCTAGGTATGAAACGCAGCCTCCGCCGCGGCACCTACTCGGCCCTGAACATCTACTATCAATCGCAGCTCCAAACCACAAGCGGGACCACCGGCGTGCCGACCGGCGCCTTGCTACTGGGCTCCTGCTCGCTACCGGCCGCGGGCGTGACACGCTCGACACTCCCCGACGCCTACGTCGTCGACGGCTGCAACATCCTCAGCGGGACCCTGCCCGGCGGGAACATCGGCGGGTATAATCTGGGCGGCACGACGGCGCACGAGGTCGGCCATTGGAACGGTTTACTGCACACTTTCAACGGGTACACCTGCAGTTCCGCGGATTTCGGCGATTATGTTGCGGACACGCCGCAGCAGGTGAGCAGTACCAGTGAGTCTTCTCTCTTTTTTGTTCCCTCAACATCCCTTCGAGATTCCCACTTTCAACAAGTCAACTATCACTCACACGTTGTGTGCGGAAACAGGTGGTTGTCCATCTAGCAGAGACACATGTCCCAACAGCGGCGTGTCGGCCGGCATATACAACGGTGTTGGCGGCCCTAATCCCTACGGGCCACAAGGGTACAGCGGGCCCGATCCGATCCATAATTTCATGGACTACAGCACCGATGTGTGCTATGAGGGCTTCTCACCTGGACAGAGCGCGCGCATGCTGAATCTCTGGCGGATTTATCGTGAGGGTCTTTGATGGGTGATGGTGGTGTATCTTATGGTCATGTTGTGAGATGGAGATGTAGCATCTCGGGCTACTCTTCAGACACGTGTGTCAAGGCGCGGCGCTTCAAAGGATGTCTTCCGGGATTTCTTTGCTTTTGGCGATATGTAACCTCGAATGTTCCTAAAAGACCATGAATGGTGTGAGAATGCGAGTTGTCATTGGGATGAATGAGCCTTATCTGGATATTCTTACAAAATAGCAAATGAAATAACCCCATAACTTGAATGTCCCTAACTTTTGTGACTGAAGGGCGTCCATAACATCTGAAAGAACATCGTTCCAAGACCACTACTTACAGCCAAACCTCATCGTTTTCCGTCAACACTCCGCTCTCAACAAGCACAATACCATCCAACTCACGACTTCCTCACCACCAAAACGGCACAATGCATTCTCGCTCGGTACGAATCCCACCAAGCAAGATCGATGCCATGGCCATACACACTTAGACTCTCCTCATCCGTCGCCGGCAACACAGGGTCAACCCAGCGCATGTCCCCTCTCAGACCCCCATCCCTCGCACACAACTCATAGACTTCGCGCGAGAGGTGGAAATTCTCAAACGCAATCTCCACGGGCGTCGTGTGCGCTGTGATTTTCGTCGCGTAGCCTTCGCCGGACGCGAGGCGCCGCGTGTACTGCACTGTCACGCCGTATTTCGCTTGGTCGTCGTTGATGGATGTGGATGTGGATGTGGCGGTGGTGTTGGTGTTGGAGGGTGAGAAAGATTCAGCGAAGGCGTCGAGGTCAGGTGCGGGATAGGGCGTGATGCCGATGAAGACGCCGTCGTCACACAGGTTCTGCGCGATGTTGCGGAACATACCCGTCATGGCGGCCGCGGAGGACGCGTAGTTCAGCAGCCAGGCGCCTGTTGCGATGGTGAAGGGTCCAGATGATAGATTCAGCGGTTGCGTGCAGTCGCCGACTTGAAAGGTGATCTTGTCGTCGTTTGGCGCTTTCCCTTCAGCGTCTGGATATTGCGAGGCTGAGGTTGCGGGCGAAGATGCTGCCCTTGCAGCTTCGACCATAACAGGCGAGAGATCAATGCCCAGTATGTCTGAGATGCTGTTGCCGCCCCATTCAGCAAGGAGGCGTGTGTAATAGCCTGTGCCGCAGGCTAGATCGAGGATCTTGACGTCCTTGCGTGACGATAGTAGTGGTGTTATGACGGATTGGAAGGTCCTGCGTTCGAGAACGGCCGCTGGGAAGCGTTTGATCGATTCGTATGCGAGGCCTATCTCGTCGTATTGGTTTGCCATTTTCATGTGGTGGAGCTTCTGGATATTTGGAAGATGCCTCGCTGTATATCTGGTTTAGGCGTGAGTGATAGCACTAGGCAGGCTGCTTCGGTGGATGGCGAACGCCTTTGGATAACAGAGTGCTCCCATTAATCGGGATTCATGAGCCTCGGTAGTATGCTAGCCAGCGCCTCAAGTTGGTTAATGAAAAGGAGCTTGATCAGTCATTACTGACCCATAGGTTGGGAGGTCAAGTTGTGAGACACAAGAACGACATTCAACAAAAGAGCTCGCCGTTTGTCAGGAGGAGAAGGGTCGGAGTACTTGAGTGCCTCAACCATGGGCAAGCGAGGGGACGTCTGCTTGATTGGTGCAGATTGGGGATATGTATATTGTGGGGAGAAGGCAACGAGATTCAGAGTTGGAGATTGAATCGATATAGCAGAGCATTCAGTGATGAACATCCACGATGGGCCGAACAGAGTAAGCATGTGGCTCGAATGACATTGCATGCAGTAGAGAGACCTCAGGATCAAGTGGTAGACCAACGTGATATCATGCATCTACTTGGAGATCTATAATCAATACAGATCCTCCACCCGGCGGAAGGATGGACGAGCCTCCTAAACATCCTCGTCCACTCTTGCTCTCTTTTTCTCTCTGTCACTGGGGCCTGCTTCTTCCAGACCATATCGCTTCTTGCTCTCCCCACTCTGCCGTGCCGAAGCTTCCCCAATCAAGCTGTCGATGCCGAACGGATCATCTTTATCCTTCTCAAACTGCACCGGTCCCTCATGCCGCTCAGATAGTTCGGTTCCCTTGAAGTTCTTGGACGTGCCCAGCGTGTCGAATCGATTTGATTTCTGGATTTTGCTCAACGTGGAATCTGCTGCATCTTCACCGTCATCGTCGTCCTGGTTGGTTGATGGCCGATAAATACTGTTGATGGCGTCTTGGGCGGCAAATAATGGCTTGTCGTAATGCTGGTCCTCGTTGAAACCTGTATCAAATCCAGATGTCTGGTTGAACAATCTTGAGTCGTACATGGTCTCTTTATTTTGAGTTGGCTTCGCTAGCCCCAAGGCGACCTTTTCAGAGATATCACGGTTTTGTTCCCTCGCCATCATCTGGATCTTCTTTTCCGTTCCCATTCTAGATTGTCGCATTTGTCGTTCGTTCTCCTGCCTCCGTTCGCGTCTAGCACGTTCCCTTTCCCGCTCAGCTTCATCCGCACTGTCACTCTGTGATCTTGAATCATCAGACGAGCGAGAATAGGAGCGAGAACGTCGTCTTGATTCTGAATTTCTGCGACCGGAGCCGGAAGCATTCTGCCTTTCTTCCCTTGCTTTTCTCGCCATTTCTCGTAAATGATCCTCCTTGGCCAGTTTTTCCTTTTCGGCCAATTTCTGTTGCATTTGTGTTCGTAGTTTCACTTCTTCTCGTGCATGGCGATCCGCTGTGAATAATGCTTCTGCAAATTGGGCAAATTTGTCATTGATGGTCACATCTTGCAATCCTCGCCCATCAGCAGCTAATCGCTTGTCCAGTGGAACGGTATAGCCCTTTGGATTCTTCCAGTTCGATACTGGCGGAGGAATCTTCCAAGCTTCTTGATCTTCGGCTGTCAATTTCCTTGGAGGAGAATGCATGACTGGTGGAGGGGGGCTTGGTGGACCGCGGGGGATCTTCTTATGCTTGAACTTGGGTGGTTCCATGGGATCTTCTTGTCGTTTAACAATCTTGAAGATTCGATCATTTTTCTTGGAGTTGTCGCCCATTTGATTTGCCGGTGTATAGCGGACATAAGTCGGTTCATCCCGATTAACACCTTTAACATTCTTAGGCTTCTGCGCAGCAACCGCACCGGAGACCAATTTCTCCAAGGCCAGTCTCGTCTTCTCGGCACTGACAGCGACTTCTTCTTGACTGGGTCGATCCAAATTGAGTTCTCCAGCATTCGCTTGTTGTCTCAACGGTATAAGATCTTTAAAACTAGAATGGATGATTCTGTTCTCATTATGACCTTGCCTGGCAATGGCGTCATACTTGACTTTGCCTTCGGCATCGACCTGTAATGCTAGGGCATTTGAAGTAGAGGCAGTGCCCTTGCGGCCCATATCGAGAGGGTATTGTGCGACAGGAATTTCTGGAAAGGACCCGCCATCGCCGAAATCCTCTACTGATCGTGGTCGCCATCCTGAGCGCTGGCCATAGGGAGGGGGTCCGGAGCGCTGTTTCACGGAATTGTTAGTGTAAAAAACACTTTCGGAAAGACCTCTACTAACCTTGAGAACAATCTGCGACTCATCAATCACTCCAGGACCAACGATGCGAGGTCCTTTGGGTTGGGCATGGATGGGCACATCCTCGTGTTCGCCTGTGTATTTGGGCTTCGGGAGAGACGCGAAGAGACCTGTCGCCATGCTCGGAGGACTGAGAGATGGATGTTGAGGGAATGATAGAAGGGATGTGTCAATGCCTAGTTTATGCTGCTGGCATGGAGGAAATCGTGCAGAAGTTGAATCGAAATGTGCTTAGAGCCAGAAGAACCCACCATATCTACTACGGTCGATGTCAAGCCTCTAAAATGCAATCGGCGGGTTCTTGACGGAAACAGCCGATGCCAAACGGGTAAATTCTGGTTAAAGTCCCGACTCGGTTTGAACAGCATGAAATCCCCGGTGTACAATCGACCTATCTCTTCATTAACATACATACCTATCTATTGTACATAAGGTCCAACTGGGCAAAGACCGCTTATCGACACTGTTCATTCTACGTAGCAAATCAGACAAAGATGCCCACAAGCCTACGGTCCAAAGTCCTGCAAAGTATCGCAGTGAGCACCTTCACCAGCATTGGTGCATTTTTCGTCTGGACCAAACACTGCAAAGTCGAATATCTCCAGCCCACCAGCGACCCGTTGTTCGCCAACCAGTGGTACAAGAAACTCAACGCCAATGCCAACCCGACGCTGCACGATGAGATTATCAGGAGGCAGCCACTGTTCAAGTTGAAGCCGGAGCTGGTCGAGGACGCCCACAAGGGCGGCAGTAAGTTGGTCGAGGGGTTCAGCCAGGGTGTCTGGGGCGGTCCTGGTATGTGATCTCTTTGAATTTTTCTCTCGCTCTCGTTCTTCTATATGGGAGCGAACACATCTCCGATACTTCTTGATGCCGTCGAAACTCGTCGCTCGACGAAGTAGTGGCATCACGTGACAGATTTAAGAGCTCTTAAGATTTCATTTTATCACGGGTCAATGGATCTAACTGTCGACGAACAGGGTACACGATCCAAAGACTCTACCTTCAGAACAAATACCGCAATGACACTACCACAGCACATCAACTGTGGGACAGACCGCAGCTCCTCAGCTCCACGTACGACAAAGGCACAGAAATCACCGACCACTTCGTCGTGCTCGAGAAATCGCCAACGTCGATACTCATCCGATGCGGCGATTCACCGCTGAAATCACCAGACGGACAACGGCCATCCGATGGCCTGTTTGAGATCACCGCCACGACAGACTTTGAGCGCGGATTCGCCGAGTTTCGGCTCAAGAGCATCTTCTTCCAGGGCGAGGGCCAGGTCGAGGATAAATCGAAACCGGTCATGCCGGCGCATATGGTGTGGGCGCATCAGCAGTACGCTAAGTTGTGGATGGAGAGTGCTATGAGTCGGGTCAAGCAATAATTCTCGGAGAACTAGAGAGTGGGTGGGTTTGGTTGTACTGGATGATGATCAGCAATTCCAATGCTGTGGTGCATATCGAAACTGAGTCAGTCTTCGGCTTTCGAAGGTGTAAACGAAGCAGTATCACGAGCTGGCCATGCCGGCAAACACAACTCTCCATCGACAACCACAACGTGCGCACCACATCAATCGGTTCCAAATTTAGAGGCATATTACAAGTCGGAATCGCCTGGAACGAATGGAGGGAAAAGAAGAAGGAAGGAATAGAGGAGTTGGCTACCGAGGATGCTCCGTGGAGTGGAGAGTGGCATATTCGATACAGCAGCGAGTGGGAGAGATAGTGACCAATGTGATTTTGTGTAGGCACTATTTGTTATTGGAATGTCAGGGTAACGGATCTTCGATGGGCCTTATGGCTTGAGCCACCCAAGGATCCATATCAAGGAGGACAAAGACAGCTCACTCCGATTCATGTGTACAAAACGATCATCTCCTCATGCACTGGCAAGAAGCTTTCTCCAATCCATGGTTGTTTCGTACAAATCCGATCATCATTGAGATCGATGTCCGTTGATGGGTGATAGCTTTTGACCAATGTCTTCACTCCCCTGCACTCCGGCAATTTGGACTCTCTTTGGAGGGTTTCCGATCTTTGGATTGTGAAGTCAGGAGGCGTGTTTGACGAAGTAATGGTAGCCACTGGTTGAATGAGTTTCCCAATGGCCGGCACCCAAAGTTGCAGCATCAGTCTGATCTCTCAAAGTCCAACTACCATCAGCTTCCTTGCACCAGAATTGTTGGCCAGTGCCAGGCTTGTACGGGGCAATCTGAGTTGGTTGGGCTTGGGCTTGGGCTTGAGATGCGGCAAGATTGTAGAGGTTGGCTTGAAGAATTGCATTCTGGGCTTGAATCTCGGCGGCACTGGTTCCAACGAAAAAGGATGGTGCATTTGGAGTTGCAGCAAGCGCGGTATTGGCAGCAATCACGGCGGCGACTTGGGCGGCGGCGGCACTGGAAGTCCATGGAGTACCGGTGGGGACTTGGAATGGCTGTGGTGCTGCGCAATAGGGTGAGTATGCGAAAGGCCAAGCAGTGCAAGCCGAAGGAGTGGTCGAAGCAGGGGCAGCAGGGAGGGGATAACAAGTGTAGGAAGGCCAACCAGTAGCGGGAGTTGCGGCAGCAGGTTGAGCAGTAGGATAGAAAACTCCGTTCACAACATATCCACCAGGTGTACCGGCTCCTCCCTAGAAGTGAATTGTCAATGAGGTTGCCGTGAGAAGGGAGGGCTGGAAGTGCACTTACTGGGTAGTAGAACATGTTGGACTGGGCTGGTGGATTCGCTGTGTAGACCGGGCCAGGAGGGTGAATTCCCTGAAGACCGTCTTGATTAGTAACGTAGATGTAAGTTTTGGGCCAGTCTGCTGGATTTTCCCAATGCGCTTGACCTTGACTTGAAGTGGCCAACTGGGAAGGGTAAGGATTCTGGTAGGTGTAGAAATTGGGCATTTTGTCGGAGAAATGGGTGTACTGGTCGCGTTGTGAGGAGGGCTGTGGGAAAACAAAGTTGCGTTCTGGCAGAAGAGAGGAACAGGAAGAGGAAGAAGTGATAGCGAAGGGCAGGAGTGTCAGTGTTGGACCGAGCAGGACTAGCGTCGTCTTCACTTCACCTTCAAGTTCACTGGGAAACACTTACCGTCCTAGGGTCAGGGTAGAATTCGACGTTCTCATCAAGGTAAATGTAGCGCTTGTCGATGGGTTCGGCCGCAAGTTGAGGTTCTGGGTGACCCCATGGCCAGCGTCCACAACCAGGAGCAAAACACATGATGATAATTTGGTAAAGAAGAAAAGAAAGATATTGAAAAGAGATGGATGGAAGGGTGTTGAGGATGTTGAGAGATTCAGACGGAAGGTGCACCGATTGAAATATGTGAGATTTCTTTGGTAAAAGGCAAGAGTGAATATGTGATTTGACCTTCACGACTCACGACTCACCGCTGCGACAATACCGATGTTGTCGGCGGATGTAATGTTTCTTAACTTACTAGTCAAACCCCAGCAAAACGATGAGATCCGCTGGCTATGAGAGATCACCATCGTCGTTAGGAGCAGGTGTTTGCCATCTGTCGACATCCTATGTCAACCCTTTGATCGGTAAGGGTGACGGTGAATCTGACGTCCCAACAGTGACCAACCACGCTCATCTGCAGTCATCAGAATTGCATCGTGGTAGCATGAGGTAACCTTGACGCAGTTCCACTTACAGTCTCGATGGCATTATCGAGGACCAGAGAACAGGAAGTCTAACAAAGAGAATAGTGAATGATACTCTACATCGTGGATGGAGGAACGCGCCTGAGGTTGATTTACACGTCGCTTCACGTTCTTGATTTGGCAGGTTTCCCGTCCCTGGCGTTGCTTACCGAACTTGAACGTCAGGATTTGCTCTCTTCCTTGTTTCCCTCTTGTGATCTTTCTTGCTGTCTGCAGCCAATGCGACACCGTCTCGACCGCAGGCTGTGGTTGTGCCACAATCGATAGCTTTGCTCGATTCAGCCTCGGCTGATTTGGTGCAAATAGCTGCCTGTTTGATGACTCAAAGCTAGTGCAACAGCAACCATGGCAATCTCAGCCTGATCCTTATGAGCTTGAGGCTTTCCCTTATTGACGAACACCAGCTTACATATTCTCATGATTCTATATATATTCGTTACCACTGAAAGGGAAGTCTCTGTTCAGCAACTCCCACGATGAAGCTCAAGGATCGGAATAAGCTTGGCGTTGCCGCCCCGATCTTTCAAATCGATCTATCCCGAGAGCCAGGGGACCGTTATACGGAGCTTGCATTAGCATACCAAGAGAAGTTGCCGGGTCTTATAGCCTTGTTCAATGATTTACTGGAAACGACTGGTATACCAGCGAGGTACCACCATCCAATAAACGTCATGGCGAAATTGCTACTTCGGCGTCTGTACTCTTCGATCGAGACTGAAGAACTTCGCGGCATTTCCAAGGCAGTCAATGTGCCTATGTATCTGCTGGTGGCTTTCAATGTAATACTGGATCTGCTTATGGGTTGCACTTCAGGCGCAGTTAGCTCTCTGGAACCAAAACAACCGAAGACTGAGGCCAGAATGTTACATTTCCGTACCCTGGATTGGTTGATGGACCCTCTTCGGTCTGTAATTGTCCAGCTCGACTTTATTAGAAGCAAATCGAAGACACCGACAAAAGTGATCGCTCGCAGTATAACTTACTGTGGTTACGTTGGAGTATTGACCGGAGTACGCGAACAGCTCAGTTTATCGCTCAACTTTCGTGGAGTTCACAATGCCAGTACTAGGTCTGAGCATTTTAGATTCTATTTTCATCACCTACTCGTTCTCCTAGGATTTCGGCAATCCATTTCTAGTATTTTGAGGAGCTATTTGCTCAGTGACAATCAGGATGATCAAGACGACAAAGGGGCTAAAAGCCTTGGAGTGATAGCCGAGGAAATACCCCCACAACACACCACAGCGGCATATCTCACCTTCTGTGATAGCAAGACCACTATCATACTAGAGAAGGATTTCAGTAGTGCTCAGATTCGGTCGAGCAATACCTTCATTGCTGCCACAAATCATGATGAAGCAACACATGAACCGACCATCAGCGGGCCCACCCCAGCTACAGACGAGAAGACTTTGGGCCCGAGTCGATTTGGGAGCGGGATGGAAGACATTATCGAGGAGAGTGAGGAAAGACTTGACTGCATTACATCCAAATGGCGGTCTCAGGTCCATAGAACGGAAAGACGATTACGAAGAGCAGCTACACCTACCGAGTCATTACAACCCGAGGCAGACACAACGGTCTCCCAGCGGGAATTGATCAGATGGATTTCCGCTTATCCGACCACAAACGAATGTACCCATTTTGCAGCTATGATGGACCCGAAAAGTGGTACCGTGCTCTGGGATCGTGTCTACCCAAATTTGCCACTAGATCTTGAGGACGATTAAGCTTCACTGGTTCAAATTCAGGTTCAGACCTGAAGACCACGTATGTGAACTGAAACTATGCTCAGTGCTGAGTGTTTGACTCTTTAAGGCAGGTGGCAGACGGAAAGACATTGGGCTATTCTTCGCCTCTCAAGCTGAGTTCAGTCTTGCCTTGAATGGACTTGTGCATCGATATTCATATCTTTCACACACCGCTGGATCCTGGGATGTTTTTTTCAGTTGGCCGTTGCCATGATAATTCGCATGTACCCGAATTATTACCAGTTCTGCTGACTGAGTATGCCTGGATGGGATTAGCCCCTTCTTCGACTCTATTGGAAGTCGATATGAATATCGTGGTCTATTCTTGACCATTCCTACGTCGCATCGCTTTTGTCGCCTATTTGGTGGTGTTCGAGGAGACGTGCGTCCGGCACCAACTTTGCGAGAACCATATGATTGGAATATCAGTCCGCCCATGAGGTCATGATTCATACCTTTATAATAACCCTAGTCAAGTCCATCTTGGTCAGCCTTGTTCATCAGTCATGCAAATTGTCCGAAACGGACATATCATAGTGCTGGTCTGGAAGCTAATAATGCATGTCTCTGGTTGACCCGTTTTTAAGAGTTGTGGTGGTCGCTGGGGTTGCTGAATGGTTCGTCATGCAATGTTCCCCGTACGAGAACCTCGAAGCCAAGAAGAGTAACCCGGGGGTTCTGTCCCGCTATCGCTAGGGTTGCGAGCTTATGAAATTCCAAAGTTCGCGTCCTCAACAATGGACGAATGTGGTGAGGGAAGAAGATATCCACAATTTACCTGGGTCTTAGATATACTGGGTCAAATTCCAAGTCAGTTGTGCGAGAGAACCCACTCATTGGGGATTGAACAGCCTAGGCCAATGGCACGAAGAATCATGACGACGATGACTTAACGGAGAATTTGTGCTCCATCAGGCGGTCCATTGCTGTCAGCAAATGCATATCAACCCTCATGCAGAGAGACGTCCAACACTTCATTGACTTCAACTAGCGCCACACAATAATGCGAGTTCCTGGAAGCCCAATGGGCCACAAGCATGGACAAAACCGATTGCCATGTTGAGATGCGCGGCACCGTCGAAAATGGATGACGCTGTTGAAAGGAATCTGTCTCCGAAAAAATTGTGCCGTGATTTGAGGGGCTCGCTCCACTGATGTTCCGTTCTTTGGTGGGCGATGCCAGGAAGCTTTAGGAGAAGTGGTTTTAGACAAGCAAGTATCACGGGTATATAATTACAGATTCATATAGCATATGGACATGCTAAAAACTCGAGCCCAAACAAAAGGCCACAGACTGCGATAGACCCGGGACGTAGTAAATCAATGCTCCAGAAGCGGTGACTACGTAAGTATTTCTCTGGATACCATGGAGAGAACCTTTGAAGCCCATGCGAACGACCTGTTGGACCCCGAATTGCTCGGCGCTTCGCCACCCCGACGCCAAACAAGCCACTTCACGCCTTAATTCAACCCTGCCACTTCAAGTTCATGTCGACATGTCACACATCAGAAACCAATCTAGTGACATAACTCAAAGGACGGTAATCCGTGATGTGTGCCGTTTCCATGCCTGCGCTGTCACATCCAAGATACAATCTTGTGATATTGAAAGAAGTCACGAAGTGCTTCCAGAGTGAACGGGATTTTTGATTCCGTGGATCCTACCTGGCCTGAATCTAACCAGGACTACGATACACTACACCATTGCGGATAAGGTGGGCCGTGCATGAGCGATTGTCGCGAAGGTCGGGTCCCTACCCCTTGCATTAAGGCATTCCGCGTCCTTTCTGATACTGCCACTGGTGCCACGAAAATAGCAACCCTGAAAATCTCAGGAAGGCTGTTCAGTCAATTTGTCCTTGTTCAACCTCTCGGCTCCACTGCCACAGATGATTGCTCCCAAACCAGGTAGTCATTCGTCACTATGTGTCTTGAGTTTTCTTGCAACAGGGATTATCGGTACGTTACAAGGCGTATCCAGATACGAATGCAAACAACGACCTACGGCCTCCCACGGTCTGCATCGAGCCTCGCAAACGGATGAATACCACTCGGATATCCATTTGGAGTATCTCACTGCCTTCTGCACTTGACAGTTGTCTCCCTTCTGCAGCCCTGTCGGTCTGCTTCGTGGAGTCATGGCTTTTCTGATACTCCGCCAGAATGGATCCGGGATTTGTCCTTGGATCCTAAGACTATGGAGTAGCTAGGTAGGTGAGCTCGGTCATGACTGAGAAATGTTGTAAATAGAGTCTTCGCTTACCCCACCGACTTGTCGAGGTATTGTCTTTTGCAGCTTCCTTGTATAAATCATTTCAGTTGGAACGTTGCTTCCTAACAATTCGGAACGTGGTCAACTACTTGCCTTTTTTCATTCCAGCCCTTGTCAGCTCCTCATCTGCTGAACAGCTACGCTCAGTCTTTCGTTCACTGCACCAGTTGTTCCATTCTTAACTCAGTACTCCGGCTCGCATACATTCTCCATACTTACTGTACAGTACTAATCATGGTTAACGCCGTGACGTCGTTCGCCACTGTGGCCTTGTCGCTATTACCTTCGCTCATCAACGCCATTCCTACGCCTAACCCATGGGGTGAGACGACATACTTCCCTGTTGTTGACCAATGGCTCCAAGACAATCATCCGGGCAAATGGCCCAAGTGTACGGAAGACAAGATCAAGATCCGGAAGGACTTTGGGGCCATGCAACAAGATGAAAGAAAAGCATACACCGATGCCATCAAGTGTATCGCTTCCAAACCTTCTCAACTCGATCAAACACTATATCCTGCTGCGATCAACCGCTACTTCGACTATGCTGTTACCCACGTCAACCGGACCAAAGTCGTACATCTCGATGGCTTCTTTTTGACATGGCATCGCTACTACCTCCATCTTTTTGAGAAGGATTTGCAAGAGACTTGCGGCTACAAGGGTGCTTTTCCTTATTGGAACTGGCCTGCAACGGCCGATAATCTTCACGGCAGCGCAGTCTTTGATGGATCTGAGTACTCCATGTCTGGAGATGGTGTCTATGTTGATTCTGGACCAATCGTCCTTGCTCCAACTTTGTCTCTGCCTCACGGGTCTGGTGGTGGCTGTGTCACAAATGGCCCCTTTGCTGGCTGGGAAAGAACCATGGCTGATATTTCAACTTCCCTCATCGTCCAAGGCTTGCCATTGCCTGACACCGCCTTCAATCTCAACCGATCATGCCTGACACGTGATCTCAACACCTTTGCGGCTCAAACCTGGACGAACTATACTGCTCTCTATCAAGCTCTCAATGCCGACAGCTTGCAAACCTTTGATGAGTTGATCAATGGTGTTGTTGGTGGAGGCTCTCTAGGCTTACATTCTGGCGCCCATTTTATTGTTGGGTCGCCTGGATCATCCATTTTTGTTTCCGTCATGGACCCCATCTGGTGGCCACTTCATGCCATGCTAGACAACCTCTATACCTCCTGGCAGATTCGCCATCCCGAGCTTGCTAATACTGTCATTGGCACCGAGACCGCTCAAAACCTTCCACCTAGCAACAACGTGACTTTGGACTCAACCCTACCGAGTTGGGGTTATTTTGGGGAGGAACCTCTCAGTATTGGAGAGTTAATCAGCACAACAGCTGGACCGTTCTGCTACAAATACGACGTTCCATTGTAAGATGATGGGTATAAATGAGCACGCATAATCACTAATTACGGTGTGTACGGATTATTCTTAATGACTGTTTATTACATTAGCCTTAGCAAACAATACGAAATTGAGATCGGTTGGTACCTCAACACTTGATTCCTAAGAGCACAACATCCCCGAGCTGCTCCTTCCCCGGGTTCTAGTGCCTGTATGAGGTTGAGTTGTCAATAGTCGGAAGTTTAGGCACGGTACCACTCATCGTCCACAGAGTAGTTGCTAGAGTACCCGTACCCCAAACGGACCATACAAATGTACAGATACAGGTATCTTCGGAGTAAAAAGCCTACAACTCGCCGGTTCCAGATCTTGTTTCAAGGCTGTCCTCAAGTTTGATGTGATGGTTGTCATTCGAGTTCACTCTGTTGGTGCAATAATCATCAACAGATTGTTCCTGGCCTGGATTGCACATGCAAAGTGCAGCGGGCATGCATGCGTAACCGTGTCTGCACACTCCTACATCGTGCCGAACTGGGCTTCCGGAAATTAAAAAAGCTGGGGCTTAGAATTCGAGCCGGACCTTAACAGCCGGTTGCCGAGTGAGTGGAGTACGAGGTATTGTGTGCTGTGTGGCTGAGAGGTGACTGCAGAGGTCGTGATAACAATTCACGGTGAGGCTGTAGCCTGCAGTGTGACGCGAGGCTGACGCGGTTTTGGCTGCAGTGTGAGAAAAACGGTTCGACTGCTCTGCCGTAGCTTATTTTCTTGTTCACGTTTAAGTTGTAACTGAGGAGCCAGGAGCCCAGCAAAATAACGAGGCTGCGCAAGAATGACCTGTTGTGTCACGAAGCCGTTCAGCTGTGGACCTTGGCCGCTTTCCATGTTGCAGCGGGCGGGCACCGCTTGTGCAGACTCTCACAAGTCATGTTTTCAGTTGTCACACATGACCCCGAGCGGTGACATGCAGTGGAGTATCTCATCGTGACACGACGCGGGTGAAATCGTCGCCAGTCACTTTACGCGCAGCTTTACGGTATCGGTGGAGATTGACGACGTACACCCGGGCTGAGAAGACCAGACGTTGTCCTGGACTTGGGCAACTCCTCTGGCGTCCATGCGGACAACATGTTTCTCGAGGTAGAACGCAAGTTCTGTCCGTCCGCTGCGGCACTCATAGCAAGGAACGCTGGAACTCCATGTTTCAAGAGATTCAATACGCTACCTGTTACGACGTTCACTGATACATACTTCGATCTCAAGACCACACTGCGTGGTAGAGGGGTCTGGCTGCGATGCAGAAACAATGACTGGGAAATGAAGATCAAGGCTGGCGGAGACTTCCTTAACTCGTCATTCCACGAGATCACATGTCCAAACGAAATCAATCGTGCACTCATCAAGTATTCTTCTCACCCTATCTTGAGCATTCCCTGCAAAACCAGCAACACTTTCTCCAAACTCAGTGATCGTGCTCAGCACAAGCAGAAGCTTCCTAGTCTGACCCCCTTCGGCAAGATAACACCACGAGACAAGCCTGGTCTGCGCAATGCGAATCAGGAGAAACTGTGCAGATCGTGGTCGACACGACAGATTTTGGCCACAAAGTCGGAGAAGTCGAACTCGCCTGGGATGAAGTTGACATCACTGCCAAAGATGTCTTGAGGCTCAAGATGGACCAGGTCATTTCCGGGTTCATGCGTCGTCATCAATGGGCGTTTCCAGCAGGCGAGTGTAAGGGGAAATTGACGGCTTACTTCGAGAGACAGATATTACAGGACAAAGGAAGTGGCACACTCTAACGTCCATGAACAATCAGTGTCAAATGCTGAAATGCAGTTGGACTCGCCTGGACAATCGAATTTTTCGGTCTTCTCACACTAGTGACATTCACTTTCTTCGACTCGTGAGGTCATACAATTACTCCAGCTTGAGCTCTATCTAATGGTTCATTTCCTCGACCCAAAACAATACCCCTAATTGGATTCCAAAAATCACGACACTCCATGCAGCTTCATATCTTCCTTCCTGTGGGAACGAAAGACCAAAAGTTCACAGCATCCAACTATCTCTCCCATTCCTCAACTTCAATGTAAGAAGTCTTCTTACTCTTTCTGATCATCCAACCAGCCTATGACTAGAGACAACCCCTCTTACTTGCTTGCGTTCTTGTTCTCGCCTTCATACCCATTCCCATCTAAATTGCTCTGTTCGTCCTCCTCGTCCTCCTGTTCATCATCGGCGTCATTGCCTCTTTCATCTTCATCCCGATAAACCTCAAATCTCTCATCGCTCTCATCCTCCTGCTCGGCATCGCCAGCATATTTCTCCTCGGGCATGAGTGATTCGGTTTCTTCAAGCTTGATATCTTCTGATGCTTTTATGTTGTTGGATGCGGCGAATTCAATGATTTGCTTCCAACGCAAATTCTTGGCCAGCTTGTTTTGAAGATCTGCCCACGACTCCTCAGTGCTCCTGCTCGTGTCAACTTGCACCGTAAGCTCCCCAACACCATCCCCACCCGCCATTTCAGATGGCAAAGTCGGATTCTCCAAAGCATAGCATTCCAGAATCTTGGTAATCTCCGACTGAAACTGTGTATCTCCGCTCGAAAATCCCCATCAACTCCTCAGCCGACAAACCACCACGCCCACGCCTGACAACCTTCTCCCCAGCCAATTCCTTCGGACAATCAAAGTACAGCACCATATGCGGCACGCCATCCCCCCACCTCGGGATCTGCTCAAAGCTGCGAGGAAAACCGTCGATGATAACGCAGGGGGTGTTTCTGGAGCGGACCATGGGTAGCATTTCATCGGAGACAATCTTCTTCATCAACTCATCCGGTATGAGGGTTTCGCTGCGCACATAAGGGCTGATTTTCATGGCTAATGACAATGGTGACTTGTTGGTGCAGATCTCACGAAGGTAGTCGCCGACGGAGAGGTGGTAGAACCCGTTTTCCTGGGCCAGCCGCTTGCATAGTGTCCCTTTGCCTGCTCCGGGAGGACCGAGGACGAAGATGTAGTATGGTTCTGTGTTTGGGCTAGGGGATAGTGGTGGAGGTGAAGGTGAGGTTGTCATGTTTTGTGCAATATGTCGTTGATGATGGATGTACTTGACTGGTTGGCCAAACCCCTTTTTGGTTGATGATTATTCAACCTTATGTGGTATCTTCCGGTGAAAGTTGAGGAGCAGATGAGTGATACTGCATGGATATCGGAGGGCTCTCACTCTCCAAGAGCACCCGGTCCTGAGTCTATATGTTCTCCGTGAGGTAAGTGTTTCCATCAGGCCGTCCCACTGATCATGAACAACGGTAAGCAGATCAAAGAAATCGCTGTCAAACACGCTCGTGAATGCACTCATTGCCTTTGTGCCGAAAGTCAACACAAGCTTCATTTGATTCATGCTCCATAAGTTGGTAGCCAATCCAGCTACGTACCAGTTTGTCGTCCACAGCAAGCTGCACCGATTGCAAAAGGTCAATGTTTGCATATTTGCAAGGCTTTGTTCGCGCTGCGGGAAGATACTCAGCCAAACTGCCCTTACTGCCACCTGTGCCATTACAATGGAGCAAACACAGCGATTCTTATCGATATCCTTTCGGCTATGCCGCATCAATCAGGACATTGTTCTCAATCCTCGGGTAAGTACAGAAACACGGGTATCCGCCTGGTGGGTTCATGCGAGCCCTCCTGATCAAGCCCAAGCATAATCTACGCGTACACTTTCCAGATCGATGGACCTGCTTTGGTGGTGGAAAGCGAGGTCTTTCAATTTTTCCATTGTTCTTCCCCTTAGGCACGTTGTTGCTGACGCGCTTCTGCAGAAGTTTGTCTCCTTGCAGACTTCTGGAAGATGTAAACAATGGCATTCATCAATCACCTTGCCAAGTGACTGGTACATGTGTTGTTTGCCAATCTGGCTGTTGTTCTTTCTTTTTAGTTCGTACCTGGTACTCGCTGAACATATAACCAAAGAGTAAGGCTGTTAGTGTACCTCTCTTCTCTCCATCATTGCCATCATTCTCATCATTCCCATCCCACCATAGTAACAGTCACAGATCGAAATACTTAGCCAAAGTTCAGTCTCATTCAATATGTTGCTCTCAAAGCCCTGGCTGGGGATCTTCCTCTTCACCATCAGCCTTTGCGTTATCGTGTATAAGCATTTCAACCCATCTTGCGTTCATCCTCCAGCACCAAAACCGATTTCAGCACCCAACAAATCCAACGAACTCAAGGTCAGCAACAAAACCATTCCTCTCAGCGTCAATTACCATTTCACTCGCAAATGCAGCTATGAATGCGGATTCTGCTTCCACACCGACACAAACAGCTACATCGCACCACTTGAAGACGCCAAAGTGGGACTTCTTCGCCTATCACAAGCCGGCATGAAGAATGTCAACTTTGCGGGCGGCGAGCCATTCCTGTACGCATCCATGCTCGGCAAGATGGTCGACTACTGCAAGCAAGAGCTCAAGCTAGAATCGGTCAGCATCGTGTCCAACGGCTCCAAGATCACCGAGAGCTGGATCCGGGCACACGCCTCGAACGTCGACATCCTGGCCATTTCCTGCGACAGCTTCGACGAAACCACCAACATTCAGATCGGACGCGGCACGGGAACGCACATCAGCCAGTTGTATCGAGTCGCAGAGTGGTGTCGCGAGTACGGGGTCATGTTCAAGCTCAACAGCGTCATCTGCCGGTACAATTTCGACGAGGACATGAATCGCCACATCGCCGCGCTGCAGCCGTACCGCTGGTAGTGTTTCCAAGTCCTGCTCGTCGAGGGCGAGAACGACTCTGCCGACACGAAGCGCGACGCATGGGGATTTCAAATCAGCGATGACGAGTTCGACGCTTTCTGCGCCAAACACGCCGCGCAGAAATGTATCGTGCCGGAGAGCAACAAGGTCATGGCCAAGAGCTACCTCATCCTCGATGAGCGTCTGCACTTTCTCGACAGGTCGGGAAAAAAACCCAGTCAGAGTATCGTGCAGGTCGGTGTTGAAGAGGCGTTGGACAGTGTGTTCTGGGATATGAGTGGCTTCAAGGAGCGAGGGGGCATTTTTGCTTGGAATGAGGATCTGGCCAAGAATCTTAAGGAGGGAAAGTCGGCAGAGGCTGGGGCTGAGAGCTGGGAGGTGTTGATTGAGAAAGAGGAGGGGAAGGGCAAAGATGAAGCAGACTTAAAGGGTGATGGAGCTAAATTTGATGCAAGACATCAGGTTATGGGTGGTGGAGGCTGTGGTGGTGCTGGAACCAGCAATGGAACTGGCAATGGAAGTTCGGCTGACCTGGAGGATATTGGAAAGAAGGCTAAGAAGGAATGATTGCCATCTGATGCATGATGTTCGTTCGCCGGGTACGATGGGTGTCGCAGATACTGAGAAAGTGAGGCGGTACGAGACCGTGTCAAGTCTCTTTTTGTCTGGGTCGATGATTTTCTTTACCTTTCTTTCTTTGGCTTGGTTGATGTTTGGGTTTTCTTTCCCAGGACATGTCGAATCGTGGATTGCATTTGTTCGAGAGGTCAAGCTGGCCAGGGGTCGCCATTGCGCTTTAGAAGACTCTGGACTCAGGAGTTATTTTTCCATTTCTTCTCTTTTCCAGTTCCATAGAATTGCCTCATTATCATACGAAATACTTTTCCTTTTGTCTGCTTCAAACACTTATTGTTCTTGTCGTGCCTTGTAGTGAGTGCGTCAGCTAAACCCACATTGATCACTAAGCAGGAAGTTCACAAGTCTTCTCATCGTTGCGAGTTGAGCGTCGGTGAACGCAGGCTGATTTTTAAGCATGATAGTGGCCTTGGTGTTCAAGCAAAAGCAACTCGGACTGCGTGATAGGAACGAGGGAGGTGGATGACGGTTCATTCAAAATGACGGATCACGGTCCACATGGGATAAATTGAGCTAGGCCACATGTCGAAGGATAGCTCAAAGAAGTAGATGGGCTAGATGAAGTAGCATAGCCGCTCGAGCATCGGAGACATCAGGGTCTTTGATAATGCTGGTAGACGCGGTGTATGGCCATCAGCAGAATTTCATTTTAGTCAGCCGGGATTCGAGGTGGGGAAATGCTCCCGCGGAACGAAAGCCAGCTCAACTCGAAGTTTCAGCTGGTGAGGAGGCCGCCACTGTGGGGATTCCGAATGGATGAATATGGTAGGAGTTAATCAAGTGCCTAGGTACCTACGAAGTATATATGGGGCGATCTTGAAGGTTTATAACGACAGGAAGAGCCAAAGTCAGATCGATCACTTTCAACAGATCTCCGAGTCCTACACAACAGTTTTAAAACCCTACATAGTATATTAGCTCGTCCACAGCAGCCATTGACAGCCATGTCTCATCTCCGCTTCTACAACTACCCGGGCGTCGGAGAGCAGAACAACGAGACATATGCATACAGCCAGGCAGTACGCATAGGAGACCGAATCGAGATTTCCGGCCAAGGTGAGTCTGAGTCTACAACCGAATCAGGAAGCACCGATGCATGTACTTGCAAACACAAGCACCGGCAACTAACCCACTTTATCTTGCTTTTCTCCAGGCGGCTGGAAGAGCGAAGGACCCGTGAACGCCATCTCGACCGACCTCGACGAAGAGGTCGACCAGGCGTTCGCGAACGTCGACCTGTGCCTCCGACACGCCGGCGGCCAGGGCTGGTCGCAGGTCTTCCGCGTCAACTCGTACCATGTGCCCCTGGGCGACGAGGCGTTTGGCGCCATGGTGCGGAACTTCCGCAAGTGGATGCCTGACCACCAGCCGTTGTGGACGACTGTTGGGGTCCCGAAGTTGGGTCTGGATAACATGCACGTGGAAATCGAGGTTGTAGCCCATGATCCCGAGGGGGCGAAGAAGGCGAGTGAGGAGGAAGGGTCGAAGAAGGCTTGATTGGACGTGGGGATGGAGTTGTGAGTGGTGATATAAAATGTTTCAAAGTGTGATCAACCACTTGGACTTGTAGAGAGGACGTGCGGAAAGTGCTGTTGGTCAACTTAGATTCTACCTAGGTACATAAATCGAACAAAATCGAGAATCTACTTCAATCTCGTCCCCATGCATATGAATGTAAAACACAGTTTGTCGAATAGTTATTAAAAATTCAGAATGGTATCATATAGCGGGGGAAACAAAAAAACAAGGATAGAAGTAGAGATCTTTGCAAAATCATCAAGTCAATCCAATTCAATCCAATCCCATCAAAACTCTGCGAGCGTGTCATAATTTCTTTCCTCTCCACTCCTCAACCTCGACATGGCCATTTCCAAGGAGTTTTGGTCACAACAAGCGCCAAAGCTCAAAAGACAGGGAGGGAGTTCTCGTCTGAGCCATCAACGTACCAGGCATGATGCGCTGTCTTGACACTGCTCATTCTCTTCAAGCTCTGGCTTCTGCTGATGCTCTGATTGACTCTGTTGACTCCGACCCTTAGACTCTTGAATCTGGTAATCTGGGGTCTTTCCGCATCTCCAGGTGAGAGATGTCGGCCAGTGTGTGCATCTGCAGATTTTGGTCGGGGAACGACATCAAGGGTGTCTTGTTTGTTGGGTGTATATTCTGCGTTGCTGTCGAAACCGGCTTCTTTCTTGAAAGTTTCGCTTTCGTCTCTCTCACCAACGAAAGAGAATGGAGATCCAGGGCGGTCTGGAGGTGACACTTCGATCTTGGCATACTGCTGATCACGTCCATGGGCTGGCTCCTGCATGGCGGTCGATATCATGTTAATGAGTCGTCCTGCACTCTGCTCACTGGTTCCATTCTCGGACGCGGCTAGCTGCTGGCTAGGGAGGGGTGCGGCTGGCACTTCTTTATCCTTTTCCTTCTCCCTTCGGCTCAGGCGGCGAGAAAGCGAGCGGACAATGGAATTATTCCGGAAGCCACCCTTTGACTCTGGCTTTCTCGGTGGGGATTGAGGCTGGGCAGGGCCAGTCACTAGTGGTGATTCCTCTCCATAGGGAGTGAATGGGGTCTGAATAGTATTTGTTCGACGATACGTGGTCGCCGAAGGAGGAATAATGTCGATTTGAGGATAAATGGGGTTTTGATTGGGAGCGGCGTTGGGTTGAATCGCAAGACCAGCTCGTTGAAGTCTGGCATCAGGCTGAGCCTGTGTGGGGCTAATGGTCGGGACGTGTTCCAGAGAGCCTGGCCTCCTGTGCCTGCCGCATTTGTTGCAAGAGTGGGCAGGTGCTGATGATGAGGATTGCGATTGTACAGCAGTACTCGATGATGCGATTGATCTCTCTGAATTGACACCTGCTGAGGTTGTACGGCTATGGTTGGTACCATTTGCTGGGCGTGCTGCTGGCGTATTGGATCTGCGCTTTCCACATGTGCAACTTGCACCCTCTGCGATTTTCTTGCCGCAAGAACCGCATTCATGAGTACTCGACAACGCCTGTGCAACATCGCCAGGCTTAATTGGATCTGATGCTTGTCGTTTGTACATTGGTGGAAGCGCACCATCAAACATATCCTTCGCGACTCTCACGTGTTTGGGGCCTTTCTCGGCATGGTTGGTGGAAGTGGAGGGCTTTGCGTCTGGACGTTGTAGACTCGCATGATTGCGTTGGCCATTTGGTCGCTGAGGCTCTGGAGCGTGGATGGTGGGTTGCGATGCTCGTTCGAATGGTCGAGGGTCACTGATCGGCGACACAGGTGAGAAAGGATTGGTGAGGTGATCAGGTTGCGCAGCAGCAGAAGGTGCTGGCTGAGGCGCAAAGTTTGGAGAGAAAGGGTTTGTCGAGGGAAGATCGTTGTATGAACTCGGTAGCAGGGCCGAGGTTACAGGAACGGGCTGCTGCGCGGACAGTGGCAGATTTTCATAGGGTACAGCAGTTTGCAATGGTGCTGAGCCATTAGGAGGCGTCTTCTGTAGCCTTGTCATTTTGAAGAATGAATTGGCGCGACCAGGTTGATATGGTGGAATTGTTTTGTGACGTGCGCAAAAGAAGGTGGGCGGTAAGAAAGAGGGCGTTGATGCAAAAGCGGTGTCGGAAAGTTGAAGTTGGAATTCTCTGGGCGTGAAAAGAGCGGCTCTGAGTGCCCGGTTAAAGTGTCAACACGTCAACACGGGTTGCTCAGTACTCGTAATATGGGATGGCAGAAGATGTTAAATAAATTGTGGAGCGAAATGGTAGGAAGAAGGAGAAGAGGACGAATTACGAGGGCGAACCTGGAAAGGCAGCGATACTAGTAGGGATCATAGGGAGGGAGGGTGTATACTTGGATGTGAGATAGTGCCCAAATGGTCAGCTGGATACTAAAACCGGCAGCATGAAACGTGGCGGTGGATGAACCAAAGCCACCTCAGGAAAGGGATGAAGTGCGAATGGAGGCCGAAATGTCAAGAGAGACTACGAGAGACTCAAACAGGACTAACCCACCCAAGAGTTTAGCCTCCGGATGAATCGAGATTGAAGTCATGATTTAGAGGAGGAGGGGTAAGGGCAAAGACTCAGTTGTTCTGTGTCTGCTCAAGCTGGAAATCTGCAGGTTGAACCCCGTGTTGGCATTGGCAATGTATTGAAACTTGAAAGAGAGACAGGCGATGCCGAAATGGCAAATTGAGAAAAGCCAAAATAAGAGACACACAGCCTGAGCCGCAGTGAGCGCCAAGGACCAAGGGAAATCAACTGCTAAATTCCTTGTGGGCGTGGGCTGAATAATGGGATTGCTATCTTGAACGCCCAAAATAGCCCATGTGGGAAGCTTAGCAAATTCACCATGACCTTGGACCTTCCGAGGTCCAAGCTGACTTCACGTGTCACGTCCATGGAACACTCGTTCATGGCATCACCAGTCGCACGTCGAATACAGGGGCGTTGCTACCTCTCTCTCGCTCGCCTTCGTCGCCATTGATACTTCAAGTTGGGGGTGAGCATGAGTACGAGGAACCCGGAAAAGCTCCCCCATCTATTCCGAGAATAAACTACACTGGGATGAGATCGTCAGTCAAAATCATGATTTTAACCTCGGATCCCTGATACTTGTACGAGTCTATATCAAGTTTGGTCAATGAACTGGTGTCTCAGGCCGACATTTCTTGCACCCAACCAACGAGAGGTAGTTCCGACCTCCTGCAGGCACAATCTTCCCATCCGCCTTGTCCAATACTTGGAATCCACGTTCCACAACAGGTCTAGATGTTGAATGGTCCAACCGGGTTGTTGATATCTTTCTACTGGAAGAATCCTGTGCTACTTTGACGCAGCTATACCCCGTCTATGGCTTTGCATTTCGTCAGGATCCAGCTGGTAACCAAGCCGAGACATACCAACAGCAGGTTTGTTCCTGCTTTGGGTGCCAAACACCTTGCTGATGCCATTGGTCTATCAGGTCGTCGTATATCAATGATGCCGGAACACTACCTATTGGCCAACAATGAACTGGAATTCTTTTGCTCTTGCGGCTCGTTGGCTATGCCCTTGCAGAATCCAGAAATACTGAGATCATCTGCATACCGGTGTTGATGTCGTGATGCACAACTGAGGCGAGCGGGCGAGTCTAGAACCTATGATCTTACACCCGTTTCCTGGTTCTGGGCCAAAAGTCTTGGAATAGCCCAGTGGCACAGGCGTATTCTTGCTCTGTGGCGATCAAAGGCCAGGCTCTTGAATCATTTGAGCTAAACTTAGGAAGATGAGGGCAAGATGCCACCATAGCTCTGCACTGGAGTATCCTTCGATCTCAAATGTATGGCTCTGGCTTCACCGCCAGCTTGGGAGCCCGAAACCTCGCACTCGCACATGATCACAACATGCTGGACAATTAACACAACAGCATGGTCGTTCAAGCAGAACCAAGTACACTAGCAACGACGGGATCCTGGGGAATCCTAAGTTACACAACTTCGATCTTTCCTGGCGATCTTTATTGTGATAAGCTGATCATCAAGGGGTCAAAACCCTGAAATAAAACACTCAACCCCTGAGCATACTGTCCAAGGTAGGTCATTCGTTCAGGAAATCTCCTGTCAAATTCGTGCAAGCTGAATAGTATTCGCTTTGTCTTACCTATGGTAAGCATACCGTTATCGGCTGCCTCACACTGTTGTCCAGGCCTCAGAAAGTGTCTCCAATGGGTTGGATGGCCTTCGAATGATTTGATAAAAATGACCGAATAGGAAAATAGCTCTACATCTCGGTGGCCAGGGTGGAACTATTCGATAGCACGCTTTGGGGTCGCATTATCAGCCACAGCCACAGCCTTGTCCGAACATGAACATCCATCTGAGCTTACCTCACAAGTCCAATGTGGCAAACAAATATTAGGCAGCTACTCGTACTTCACGCCGCTTGAAGATATTGGTAACGAGTACGAGTCCGAACATGATTCAAATGCCGATCTCTAAAATGAGTGTGGTCCCCGAACGCCTTATTATTAGTAGCATTGGCCTTATGTTCTCTTATGGAGTAATGTGTATCAAGCTTAGACGACGGATCTCCGTACTCGTACGAGTAGGTGATACCGGATTTCGAGTTCTCACTCCATCAGGAAAGCCGGTTACTAGTGTGATATTCATTATTGGACCAACCGAACCACAACTTGAACATGACTGTGGCAAAATTGCCGTGATAAGCGAAACCCGAGGGAGCTTGACGGCAGCATGGAGCATTAATAAGTATGAATGGCAAACAAGTTTTTCATGAGTCGTGTTCTCTCCGTGATACATGATACGGTTCCACAAAAGTCTGGGAGGTGGCAATCGGAATGGCAGTTTTAGCAGCAAAGGGCCACGAAACCACACTCACGTCGAGGTACTCCGTAAGGGGTACCAATCTACGACACGCTCCATTCAGCCTTGAAATGCCCCATGCACAGATCCAACATCTCATTATTAATGTTGACCCTTGCGTATTCTACATGGTTTCCGCATGCTGTGGGCGTCGTTTCGGTTGGAGGGAGCCTCTGTTAACCACCCCAGAAAAGGAGAACTCCATCTGCAAGCCAAGCGCCACATAATCTCGTCGAGGTTGAATTATTTGTTATCGATTAGAATTTCTGATAATGCCACATCTCAAACCAAATAGAACCACCATGTATCGCCCGAAAGCGCCTCTCCCGACAGTAGTTTGAGCTACGGGGCTTTCTTTTCACGGTCGCTTCAAGGCTGAGACTAGCTAAAAAGGGGGTGGGGGGAGACAATGTCTGAGGCTATCACCCACCCGGGTTCCACAGCACCCTTCTCTCAGGACAAGACTTTTTTAGTAGCTTCTAGGTCAATCCTTCTGAAAGCGACTAGTACGTTAGCAAGTGAACTCCGTAGGCTATTGCGGATGCAAATCTGGCGTCAAGGGTCAAGAGGCAAGAGTCAAGCCCAGCGGCCACTTTGTCCGGCAAAGGCAAGCCGAAGGCCAAAAATGCGGATGCCGATAACTCTGAAATGCGTAAGAGGCTCGCTACTACTGTAGGCTCATCCCTTGAAATCTCTTGGTCCAAGACTACGTGGTTACCTCGAATAAAAGGAGTCCCCAAACGTGGAAACGCATGGCGGACTCCCTGACATGAATCATGAAATTATACCAGCAAGAAGTGGAATGGTACCCTCCTTCTCATAAATTCTTGCCCAGTAGCTTGGTCACTACTACTGCAAAAGCGAGTGATGGCGAATCAACGGGTAAGTGTAGTGTACCCCTTTTCACTATCTCAAGTATTTGCAACATGACTCGACTGTAGATAGAGATATTCCTTATCATGATCGAAATTGGACCAACGCGGTATCCAATGCTGATGCTCATACTCGGTATCATTCCGAGCGAAATACTTCTCTTTGTGGGACGTGTGCCAGTCTTGGTCTTGGTCTTGACTCTTGAGAATCAGTGACATCAATAGCATTGAAGTCCGTATATAAATGGGGCATAAATGTCATTTTGATTCGGAACAATAGTATTGCTGTAATCTGCAGAACGTGAACCGCGGTACCGGGCGGACCAACGCAAGTTTGAAGGAATGGAAGGCAGAATGGAATCTTTCAAGACAAGCTAAAATTGTCCGTGTCATTTGTTCCCAGCCATGAACCTTGTCAATGAACTCGAAGAGATCGATATAGCGGAAGGCTAGAGGCTTGGGCGACCAGGCTCTACCCAAAGAAGAAAGGTACAGCAGATTTGCACCCAAATATAGAGATTAAAGCTCGGATCACTAGACCGTTGTTGGAGTAGCAGACGAGCTAACCGGAGGTTAAGTCTGGGTTGCCCTGAAGCATGTTTGATCCCTGCACTGCGATGTTTGGGACAATCCATGCCACCCTGGCACCCTGCCCCTTTCAAACACGGGTCAAGGAGACATTGTTGGCATCTCATTTGTCGCAAACTCCGCCTGCGACCGCAGTGCTGGCGAAATTGCTTGAGAAATTTTGGGTCGGTCGTATCAGAACCTCAGGACCTCAGGGATTCAGGGATCCGATGCAGAATGATAACGACTCAACCCACTCTCTAGGAGACTCGCCTCCTGTGGTTTGTTGCGTGACTGGCACATGTTAATCAAAGAAGGTAGGGCGTGTGTTGGTTATCGATGACTCGACGGACTGTGAGCATGATGGCTCGATCACAACGTTGGGAATCTTGAGTGGTTGTAGCCCAGTGAGAAATCTCCGAAACATTTTTTATTTTGTCACGGTGGGCATGGGAACAACAAACACGAAATACAAGCTGGAGCCCAAAAAATTCATGGACCATGCAGTCATCATCTTGGGAGACAGCGGACCCCAGATTTGTTTGTCAGTGGTCATTTTTCTCCAATCTCCTTGCCGCCACCAAAGGAGCATTTCAGCCTCAGCCGAGCTGATTAGGGGTGGCCGCTAAGCTGGGCGATGTGGGTGAGGGAGTACTCCGTACTCAGTATTGTCACACTGTGACAGATTTGTCTTTACATGGTGTAAGATTGTGTACAGGCTGCCTTGTCGATTCAGCAATCAGCGAGATAAAAGTATGACCGAGTCGAGGTCGGCAGGTAGATTACAGTTGATTATCTGCATATGATTATATTCAGAGTGTCCAGTGTGTAAGTCAGTGGCAATTACCATTTCATGGATTGAAGGAAGAGACCATTTCGTCTGCGAATGGCGTCTAGGACCAAGGCTTGGAGAGCATATTGCACCTTAACGTTCCATTGCGCTGACAGTCGGTACGAGCTCGCTGAGACATAGACATCTGGTATGGGTTAACGGACGGTTTGTCTGTACCTTGGACTCTAGAAGCCAGCAACAGACAGATATAATTGAATCCGATCTGATGATGAGCTAAAGTGGCTGGTTATCCGTAACGGGTTTGGCGTTGTTAAGAAGCTTGGCAGCTGGAGGTGCAGTCACGACTCACGGTGAGTGCCTGCACTCGGCGTCTACAGGGAAAGTGCGCAGGCGCCCCTCGGGCTCGTACTCGTAGTCCAGGTGCAGTGTGACTGCCCAAAAGTAAAGGGCAATAATGGGCGTGACAGGTACTAGGTACTTGGTACCACTACAAGACTCTCTCCGGGTGTCAACACCACCCACTCACGACTCACGAGTCACCACTCGTACTTTTGGCATATCCTTAGCCTACACTACGACGATCACAACATTCTGCGGTGTACCTTTACTCCTCTGCTGTGCCAGTGATTCAAACACTCGTATATCTCTTTGTCTGGAACAGAAAGAAACTCTTGCTGCCCCGGCTGTACTCTCATTACCACTCCTCATCCTATCATTTGTCCTGCCCGCGTGCGGCTGAGCTCGCGGCAACTCAATCCCCCTCTAAACGATACAAAGGTGACCTTCGCCTGCAACGGTAGCCAGTGGGAAGCTGGGATCCACGCCAGAGTACCCGTACCACCCATGCCTGGCAGGCCTTATATTTTGAACCAAGTGGCTGTTTAGGGCTGGCATAAGCGAAGGAACTCGTACAGCAGCAAGATACCACAGACCAACTCAGAGGTAATCACACAAGTGCCACAAGACACACCCTGGTATCCTCCTGCGTATGGCGGTGTAAGATTACCGCCAGCTTGTCGAGTTGTCCATGTCTCATTTGAACCAACCATCCCCACTTGCTGCTTCGGGCGCCGAACAAGTGCTGACTTGGACTAGGGGAGCCCATTGCTGCGCTGGGTGGAGTCCTTTCATGACCGCAACACTCGAGGCCCACGGGCACGAACAGAACAGCCTCCCTCTCCAGTTTGGGAGGCTGCCACCTCTGCCATGCTCTTGATTTCCTGCGCAGATCTCGTGCATGCCCACCAGACCCACCAGGGGGCGCGGTCTTTCCTACTGGTCGCCAATCTATTTTGAACCGGCCTCCAGCGTGTTTCTCATTCTCCTATAACATAGCTGACCACCCCAATTTACCCGTGTTTTCCTTTCCCTAAGCAACACTCGTTGAAGCTCGTCGACTTTTTACCAGCATCATGGAGGAGGTCTACGTCTTCGGCGACCAAACCGCGGACCTGAGGGCCTTTTTCACAAAGGTCTTCGCCCGCAAAGACGATGTATTACTACAAAGTTTCCTCGAAAGAACTGGCGAAGCCGTCAGGACAGAGAACAAATACCGTACACATCCTTCAAAAGCAGTCCCTAATTTCACCACCATTCAAGAACTAGTCGATCGTTATTTCAGAGGTGACGGCAAAGATGCCGCCATCGAGAGTGCTCTGGTTTCCGTTGCACAATTCTCTCATTTTATCGGGTATGTTCAGGAGTCAACCCCTGAGTCCCCTGCCAGAAAACTGACCACAATCACACAGTGCTTTCGAGGAGCGAACCCCTTCATATATTCAACCTAATACTGATGCACGATTGGTCGGTCTTTGCACCGGTCTGATCGCAGCCACCGCTGTCGCTTCCGCCGATTCCTTAACCGCTCTTATTCCATTGGCCGTGGAAGGTGTCCGAATTGCCTTCCGAGCTGGTGCCCACGTGGGAAGAGTAGCACAGCAAATTGAAGGAGAACAGAAGCCCCAGTCATGGTCGACGATTGTGGCTGCGGATGAGAAATCAGCACAGGCTGCTCTCGACGCCTTCCACAAGGAAAAGGGAACATCGCCAACCAACAAGCTATGGATCAGTGCTTCATCAGCCACTTCAGTAACGATCAGTGGTCCCCCTTCTACAAAGGCCAGTGCATTCGAAGAATCCGAGTTCTTCCGCACTGCAAAGAACGTACCGGTACAAATATTTGCCCCTTACCACGCATCACATCTGCATTCCCAGTCGGACCTGGACAAGATCCTCCGACCTCAGACCAAGGTCATCTTCGAGAACGCACCAGCCAGATTCCCTGTCTGCTCCAGTGTGACTGGCAAGCCCTTTACTGGCAAGAATGGCTACGAGCTTCTCCAGGAAGCTCTCAAGGAGATCGTCATTGAACCTTTCCGATGGGATAAGGTCCTCAAATACACCGCTTCGGGCAAAACCGAGCAGGCTAAGGTCTTCGCCGTTGGGCCTACGAATCTTGCCAGTAGTGTTGTTTCTGCCCTGAAAGCATCCACGCCCAAGGTTTCTCTTGAGGATCAATCACACTGGGCAGCCGTCACTGCTGCAGGAACACAACACTCCAAACGCGAAGCTGACATCGCCATTGTTGGATATTCCGGCAGATTCCCTGACGCTGCTGACAACGAATTGTTCTGGCAGCTAATGGAAAAAGGCTTGGACGTTCACCGACCTGTTCCCCCGGACAGATTTCCGGTCGACTCCCACACCGATCCTACTTCCAAGAAGAAGAACACCTCTCACACACCTTTTGGTAACTTTATTGAGAATCCTGGTCTTTTCGATGCAAGATTCTTCAACATGTCGCCACGTGAAGCTGCACAGACTGATCCCATGCAACGTTTAATGCTGACCACTGGCTACGAAGCCATGGAAATGGCCGGTATTGTTCCAGATCGAACACCATCTACCAAGCGCGACAGAATTGGAACCTTCTATGGTCAGACCTCTGACGATTGGCGTGAAGTGAATGCCGCCCAGGACATTGATACATACTTCATTTCTGGTGGTGTGAGAGCCTTCGGCCCCGGTCGCATCAACTACTTCTTCAAATTCAGCGGTCCCAGTTTCTCTGTTGATACCGCTTGCTCTTCTAGTTTTGCAGCCATCAACGTTGCCATCACCTCTCTGCGCGCTGGAGAGTGTGATACCGCCTTCACCGGTGGTGCCAATGTTTTGACAAACTCAGATATTTTCTCCGGTCTCAGCAGAGGTCATTTCCTCTCCCGAACCGGTTCCTGCAAAACCTGGGATAACGATGCAGACGGGTACTGCCGTGGCGACGGTGTTTGCTCAGTCATCATGAAGCGTATGGAGGACGCAGTTGCTGACCGGGATCCCATTCTGGGAGTCATCCGCGGAATCGGTACCAATCACTCGGCAGAAGCGGTGTCTATTACACATCCTTGTGCAGAGAACCAGTCTTTCTTGTTTGACAAGGTTTTGAAGGAGTGCAACGTTCACTGCAACGATGTCAACTATGTTGAAATGCACGGTACTGGTACTCAAGCTGGGGACGGTATTGAGATGGAATCTGTCTCGTCTGTCTTTGCTCCTCGCACCCCTCGGAGACGTCCTGATCAACCACTATACGTGGGCGCAGTTAAATCCAACATCGGCCACGGTGAAGCTGTGTCTGGTGTTTGCGCTCTTATCAAGATTATTCTCATGCTCCAAAAGAGCAAGATCCCACCTCACACTGGTATCAAGACAACCATCAACAAGAATTTCGCACCAGATCTGAAGGAGCGCAATGTCAACATTGCTTTCAAGACAACTCCCTTCCTCCGCCCAGCAGGTGGCAAGCGTACAGTGTTCATCAACAACTTTAGTGCAGCTGGTGGGAACACAGCCATGCTCTTGACCGACGGACCAGAGGTTCCTCAGGAGGCCTCTGCTGACCCTCGATCCACACAAGTCGTGACTGTTTCCGCCAAATCTCTCGGAGCTTTCAAGAAAACCATCCAGAAGTACATTGACTATCTCGATATCAACCCGCAGGTCGGCTTGACTGACCTCGCTTACACTTTGACTGCTCGTCGTGCGCATTACAACTACAGAGCTGCTTTCCCAGTCCAGTCGGTTGCCCAGGTGCAAGCATCTCTGAAGGCTCTTCAAGACCAGACTCACAACCCCATCCCGCTTGCGGTACCTCAGGTTGCTATGGCTTTCACTGGACAAGGTTCCCAATATACATCTATGGGAAAGAAACTTTTTGAGACTTCCAAACAATTCCGTGGAGATATTGAGGAGTTCAATGAGATTGCCGTTCGACAAGGACTTCCGTCCATTTTGCCTCTGATCGATGGCTCTGTTGAGGTCCAACATCTTCCACCTACCGTTGTTCAGCTTGGGATGTGCTGCATTCAGATTGCTCTCACTCGTCTGTGGGCAACTTGGGGTGTCACACCTAGTGTCGTCATTGGCCACTCGCTGGGTGAATACGCTGCTCTTCAGGCTGCCGGTGTTCTATCTGTGGCTGATACCATCTACTTGGTTGGCAAGCGAGCACAACTCCTTGAACAGAAGTGCACTGCTGGTACTCATGCCATGCTTGCTGTCCGATCACCCGTCGCTGGCCTGCAGGACGTGATTGCCAACAGCAATGGAAAGATCGAGATCGCATGCATCAACGGTGTTTCCGACACTGTTCTTTCCGGCACTATGGGCGACATTGATGTTGTCGCTCAGAAATTAGCCGATGCTGGTCAAAAGTGTACCAAGCTTAAGCTTCCATTCGCCTTCCACTCTTCGCAGGTTGACCCCATTCTATCTGAGTTTGAGAGGCTGGCTTCTTCTGTCAAGTTCCACGCTCCGAGAGTTCCAGTCATATCTCCATTGTTGAGTGATGTTGTCAGCGTCGGCGGAGTCTTCGACGCCTTCTATCTCAGCCGACATTGCCGCAAGACTGTCGACTTTGTCGGAGGTTTATCTGCTGGCATGTCTACCGCCACTATTAGCGAGACATCGCTCTGGCTTGAAGTTGGTGGCCATCCTCTTTGCGCAAGCATGATCAAATCTTGTTTGTCAGCCCCAACTCTTCCAACCATGCGCCGCGATGAAGACCCATGGAAGATTATCTCAACCTCCATGGCTGGCCTCTACACCGCTGGAAGATCACTCAACTGGGATGCCTTCCACAAGGAGAATGAAGACATGAGGGTTCTCAATGATCTTCCCTTCTATGCGTATGATGCCAAGAACTATTGGCTGCAATACACTGGTGATTGGCTATTGTACAAGGGCGATTACCCCAAGGCTATCGCACCCGCTCCAGTTGCTTCTTCCTCATCAGCGCCCGCAAAGGCAAGGAAGTACTTGTCCACATCCGTTCAAGGTATCATTTCTGAGAAGGTTAAGGGCAACACCATCACGATTGAGGCAGAGTCTGACTTTGCTCACCCTAAGCTCTTCCCCGTTATTGCCGGTCATTTGGTTAATGGCAATGGATTGTGCCCATCTACCTTGCATGCTGACATTGCTTACACACTGGTCGATTATGGTGTCAACATTTTGAAACCCGGACACAAAGTTCACATCAACATTGGCAGCATGGACAATCCAAACCCCTTGCTTCTGAAGAACATCAACCAACCGGAGAGCCAAATCTTCCAAATCTACATGAAGATTGATCTTGATGCTCAAAAAGCCGACTTCCAGATCAGCACAAACAATGGCAAGAAGGATGTAATCCATGCCAAGTCTGTCATCAAATTCGAAGATCCTGCTGCGTGGAAGGAAGAGTGGAGCCGAACTGCATATCTTGTGCAATCGCGAATCGATCAGCTCACAGCCAAGGTTGAGACTGGTGAAGCCGACAAAGTTAGTAACAAGATGGCATACAAACTATTTGGTGCCCTCGTCGACTACTCCGAAGTCTATCGCGGCATGCAGAGTGTTGTGTTGGATGGCCCTGAGTTCGAAGCTACCAGCATTATCCGATACAAGACATCGCCCAATGATGGAGACTTCACTTTCAGTCCCTACATGATTGACGGAGCTTGCCATCTTTCTGGCTTCACTGTCAACGCCACTGTCAATCCTCAGGACGAATGTTACATCTCTCACGGTTGGTCTAGTGTGCGATTCTTGGAGCCATTGAAGCATGACAAACCATATTATGCCTACGTGAAGATGCAACCTGTTGCAGGTAGCAAAATGAGATCTGGTGATGTCTATGTCTTCGATGGAACCACCAAGGAAGTCATCGGTGTTGCTGGAGCTGTTCGCTTCCAATGTGTCCCTCGAAAGCTCATGGATGTCATCATGCCCAAGCCCAAGGCCGATGGAAAAGCTGCTGCTAAGGCCCCTACTGCCGTTCCCGCAGTCAAGGCCGCGAGCCCTGTTTCCCGTGCCCCCATTCAGGTCGACATCCCTGCACCTGCGCCCAAGGTCAAGGCCAAGAAGCCTGCCAAAGCTCCCAAGGTGAAGGCACCTGCAGCGCCCAAGCCTGCTTCCGGAGGACTTGCTGTCCGCGCCTTCGACATCATCGCGAAAGAGATTGATGTCGAGCAGAACGAGTTGAACGATGACATTCAATGGGCCGACATGGGTGTCGACAGCTTGATGTCTCTCACCATCTCTGGCAAGTTCCGTGAAGACCTAGATCTCGAAGTCGAGAGCACTCTCTTCACCGATTACTCTTCTGTTGGCGCCCTGCGCAAGTACCTCAGCGGTCTCTCTGGCCCTGAACCTGCAGGTGCTGGTGACGCTAGCTCCGTTGAGTCGACTGATTCTGGCTCCGAGAGTGATGATGATACTGTTGAGTCTGGTATCACCACTCCTGAGGCTGAGGATTTCCCATCAAAGATCCCAGATGGAAAGTCCGCTGCTGTTGAAGCTGTCGCTCAAGCACCAGGAGGTGACATGATCGAGACTATCCGAGTAGTCATCGCCCAAGAAATGGAAATGGAACTCGAAGAGATTACCGAGACCACGGATTTGAGCAACCTTGGTATGGATTCCTTGATGGCTTTGACTGTCTTGGGCAAACTGCGAGAAGAGCATGAGATCGACCTTGATCCCACGATCTTGGCCGATAACCCATCTCTGGGTCACCTTCGTAAAGCTTTGGGTCTGGATAAGCCCAAGGTTGTCGCACCTCCCCCTCCAAAAGTTGCTCCAGCGCCAATCGCTTCGCCCCCTCCAGCGGCTCCCGCGACATTCCAGGTCAACACCCAAATGACTCCTGCAGCCCCAGTTGTTCAGGTCGTTGTGCAGATGCCACCTGCCACATCAGTCTTGCTGCAAGGTAATCCCAAGACTGCCACCAAGAACCTGTTTCTCTTCCCTGATGGTTCAGGCTCAGCAACATCATATGTTTCTATCCCTGCAATCGACAGCAAGAACTTGGCGGTCTATGGACTCAACTGCCCCTTCATGAAAGACCCCACAAGCTACACATGTGGCATTGAGGGAGTTTCCAAGCTCTATCTTGAAGAGGTTATGAGACGTCAACCTGTGGGACCTTACATTCTCGGTGGATGGTCTGCAGGAGGTGTGGTCGCATACGAAGTCACCCGACAATTGAACGACCTTGCCAAACTCAATCCCGACAAGAACTTCACTGTCGAGAAACTGGTGCTTATCGACTCACCTTGCCCAATCAGACTAGAGCCATTGCCAGCACGTCTCCATCACTTCTTCGACGAGATAGGCTTATTGGGAACTGGTACTGGAAAGACCCCCAACTGGCTGCTCCCGCATTTCGAGTACAGCATCAAGGCTTTGACAGCCTACAAGCCCGAGCAAAAGACGATGCACGACTTCAAGCCACCACCAACCTTGTTGATCTGGGCTACCGAGGGTGTCTGCGGCAAGCCAGGTGACAAGAAGCCACCTCCACAAGCTGATGACCCCAAGAGCATGAAGTGGCTCTTGGAGAACCGAACAGACTTCGGCCCCAACGGATGGGACAAATTATTGAGTCCTGACGTTTGTAAGATGGTCACCGTTGTTGGTAACCATTTCACCATGATGAAGCCTCCAGTGGTAAGTTTCCCTCTCATACGCAAGACTTCAACTTGTACTAACATTCAACTACAGGCTAAGGGTGTTGGCTCCTACATTCGTGAGGCTCTCCTATAAAGAAGACCGTCATGCATGGTTATCGAGTTTCAAGCTTTTGTCACGCATGGAGATACCTATAGAGGGTGAGAGAAGGATATAGACTTATTTGGGTTGATGATCAAACTACACAACCGTGTTTTGAAAATGGTACATATTGGGACTTCGGTAGCGTTTTTGCCAGGCATTTCCAGAAGCGTTCTTGGAATTTTATGGGCGCACGTTTCGGTACTCTCTCCCGATGAGATGAGTTGCCTTGATCAAATTGCTTTTGACGGATTTGTATTTTTCTCATGAGGGCGTTTGGCAAGCGTGTGGAAGTGGTGCACGCAAGTGCTGAGAAGGTCAGCAGAAAGCCTCCATCTTTATTTCTGGGCTCTTGATTGAAAAACCCAATCAGTGTTATTGATAGCTTCATTTACCTACGCTGTACTCTGAATTATTAATTACCTGAAACCAATTTCTTGCCTAGCATTCTTCTGTGGCCTGAGTCTATATTGTGAACTATCTACTTAGTCGCTCGATCCTCCAGTCGATGATGCTGATGATCCTTGTGTCATGGTTGGTACTTAGCCACATGTACCTCATTCGAATCACGTCATCGTCCACACGTTTGACAAGGTCGTTTTACATTTGAGTTGCACATGCCTCTGCGGACATCATTTATGAGACTACGGAGCAGAAAGTAACTACCTAGAGTCCAAGGACTTCTTGGCCATCAAGTGAACCCCGGTACCAAGTACTCACTACTCGTGATTTAGTGAGGCAATGACTAACCAGAGTAAAAATAGCCATGTCCGAAAAGCTGCATGTCTCACTTATGAGAAAGACACTCCGGATTCTAGGCGTACTTCGCACTTGTAGATCTTTTCGCGGACTCTCCTTCCACAACTCTCAGGTGTTCTTACTCGTACCAGTATTCACATCTCCGCAGGCCGAACTCCTCCAATCTGGACATTGCTAGACTCCGTTTCTAGGCCACGGCGCGCAACCTCTGGACTTGGTCAAGTTCCAAGTCATCCACGTCCAACAAGCTTTCTCGCTTGCATGCCGTCTTCCATCAGCTCCTGTCACACGGGCCCGTCAATCCAAGCAATAATACGAAACAATTGTCTCGGTCTGACCCTGTATATCTGGTATCATTTGACAGGTCGACTAAGGCATTTTGGCACTCCCGGCGCGTTTACTCCTACGTTCTCTAACTTGTGAGTATCCACGCGGGAGATGGAGTGACATGCTCTTCTTTCCCACGAACACCTATCTGCATTCCCCAGTCATTTCCAACGTCGTGCTCGTAGGCCAGTACCTACCTGTCAGCCACAAAGGGGATGTTTTCCTGTCCCCCAAATCCACATGGACCGCTTCACACGTGGCGCAGGATGTCCATCTTCATTGCGAAAATGTAATTTGCTCTTCACATCATGAGATTTCTTAAGATGTTTGTATTTCTTGTTAGTCCATTATTCTGAATCTCCCATAGTCACCCGTCATCCTGAACTTTATGAACGGAGAGGACTTCTCGGGTCCCTCTAAAAATTTAAAGCTCGAGATTATTGCTTTGCTTTGCGTTACGTAGAGACGGATCTTGCGGAAAGTGACTTCTGCCTCGTTGCTACTGACAGTTGGTTTCCATGGAATGCGCTGAGTAGGCATATCCCCAGTCATTGCTGATACGCGTCATGTCTTGCTAGGACATGGTTTGACAAATGTTGCTGTCGCATTGAAGTTCTAGTACTACAACTGTGCGCCATTTGACAATTGGGTGACCCGAGGATGCGCACTTGTGCAAGCAAGGATGTTCTGGACATTATTGCGTGCCCCACCGTGGACAGCGAAGTATACACTGGAGTTCAGAACGCCATTACAGTACCTGCCGCATGAGTGCTGAGATTGTCGAGTTTGTCCTGAGATGGCACGCGATACGTTCAGGCATTTATCTGAGATGGCTTCATTTGCCCTATATTCAACATTTACAACATAGCATGATGCTGAAAACTCGAATAACCGTTCCTTGGGTCCTTGAACCCAAAATAATGTGAACCTATCTGCATAGTCCAAGTCCCTAGGAACCTCGCACACAAGCGCAGCCTTGTCAGCCTTGTTGTCATCCACGTGATCATGGTTGCAGCCAATCGGAGACACCTTGCTTCTTGCCGCAAAATCCCGCGATGGTTTCCCCGGTCTTCTCCCATCTGGGTGCCATCCATAACTTTTTTCCATCTCGCAGTCAACTCTCTGGCATTGCCTCCATCAAACACCCAACTCTCATTTACTCCCTTCATAGTCTTTCCAGCGCAGCCATGTCTTACTCCGGCGTCTACGGTCCGCCCAGCAATGCAAACTCCGACTTGGATGAGCAACAGCAGAAATATGTCAAGATGGTATGAACAGGCCCGCGATTCCAGTTTGCGCTTTTTGTTTTTGGTTGTCGATGAGACTGACAGGAGTTGCTCTATAGATGCAGAGTGGGATGGAATCTTGTGTCGTCAAAGCTATCATGGCCGGAGGTGTGTTTCCCCCTTCTCCGTCCTCCCTATCGAGAAGACCTCATGGCTGACTGACGCGGTCTCGCAGGAATGGGCTTCGCTCTCGGAGGCGCTTTTGGGCTCTTCATGTCCAGTATGGCGTACGACACGCCTCTCTCCGCACAAGGACAAGCAATCACATCCCTCCCAGTGAAGCAACAGATACGGCAGGGCCTGAAAGACATGGGATCAAAATCCCTCTCCTCGGCCAAGAACTTTGGCAAGATCGGCCTATTATACAGCGGCGTGGAGTGCACTGTAGAAGGCTTCAGGGCGAAATCAGACCTCACAAACTCGGTGGCCGCTGGCTGTATAACGGGTGCCATTCTCGGCTATCCTGCAGGGCCGCAGGCGGCGGCACTCGGCTGCGGCGGTTTTGCGGCCTTTTCGGCTGCTATCGATGCTTATATGAGGATGCCGGAGAGCGATTGAGATGGATTTGCAACATTCATCTGTCTGAATAAAGAAAAGAAGACTGGCATGGCACGGATTCACATCGATATTCCATTTTTGAGGCGCAAGGTTGCTGGGGATAAAAGGTGGTCATACCAAACGAGCGAGCATTGCTGGCGCAAAGGGTTTCTACATCTGGATGATATTGTACAACATGGCACAAGCCTGCACTCTACTTACTGGCTTCTCTTCGAAACTAGGGAATGCGAAACGAATCGAAGCATTCTTCTGCGCATGGCTGTGGAGTCTTCAAATACGACCAAACTCCAGGTAATATATTGTTCGGTACTTGCTCAATACGATCAACCGGTGCGTCTGCCACATTGATATCCTCGAAAGGGCAATGCTTGGTCCGATCTACCTTGCGCTCGTTTCCACCCAGGATCGCAAAGCCTACATGCGAAAATCTCTCTCTACTCAGACTTTAGCAACTCCGATGGGTCGAACTTCCACTATTCGTGGCAGCGAATCAGTCAAGAACCACATCATGCTGTTTCCAAGGAGTTATCACATGCATTAGAGCGGACCTCGCGCTCATAAGCTGCATGATTCTCTACACCCCCTAGACACGACTACTGGAGCTCGAAGCAAAACCCAAGTCATGCCCCTGATCGGCTCCAGACGATTTACACCAGCTATTGATTACAGACACCAAACTGAACATACAAATCCACCGCCGGGATGTTTAATCGCCAGCGTCAACATAATGGTGCTAAACATGCAATCCCTTCGTCGGGCGCATTGGACTGATTCCTGGTGAAGTTGGACAGAATCTTAATTTCACAGTGAACATAGTGACACGGCTTCTTCTTCGGACTTTCTCACATCCTCATATCATATCATTAGTATCATAGAACGATCGTGTGCACAATTTGTTGGGTAGGGTTCGCCCCTATAAACTGCACCACAGAGATGGGAATCGATCGACGAGAAATCTAGATTTTCACAATATATGTACAAATGAGCATACCTTACAGGAGTACACAGCGCCGCTGCGTTCCACTTCACAATCGTACACTACTTCTTCATCTTCTTGTTCCTCCTTCTCGAAATATCTCCTAAGCCTTGCTCTCCGTCCTTCGTGCCAGCCTCAACCTTCGAAAAGAACCGCTTGATACCTGCATCGCGGCCCTTCATATCATTAGCATCCCTGTCTTCCACTCCGCCTTTCTTCTCACCCCAAGTCCCAAGCACCCTATCCCGCTCACCATGCCACCAAACATCCATCTCGCGCGCCTTATCATCTCGTTCCTTCAGCCACCGCGCCGCAATGCGTCCACACTCCCTTCCCACCTCCTCGGTCCCCTTCTTCAACGCCTTGCCCCCATGTAGATCCATGCCGTGATCGGCACCCACGACCGTCACCAGCCACGTCCTAGCCTTCATCTTCGCGCGCACCGACTCGAGCTGCGGAAGCGGACAGAGATTGTCGCGGTCGCCAGAAATGAACAGCACCTGCGTATCTGCGGGCAACGAGAGCAGGATCGCGTCGCGCACATCCCCCTTCTGCTGGCCAACTAGCGGATACGATGCCAGAACCAGTAGTTTTCCATGACTCTGTCCTTGCGCCTGTGCTCGTGCCTGTGAAGCAACAACAGCGGCTCTGGCGCCCATGCTCCTGCCCCCAAACGCCGCGGCGACATCACTTGCATCTCCACCCTCCCTACCCTTATCCTTCGACGAACCCTCGTACGCAAGCACGCTGTCAAACCCCTTCGCGCGCGCCGAAAGATTCATATTCCCCTGGAACATGACAATCGAGGATCCCGTCGACGCAAAGCCCTCAGAGAACTGCACCATCTTCGCGGCCGTCAGGTCCCCACCGGCGCCATGTGTGAAGATCAGATCGGGAGAACGCGGCGGTGCTCCTGAATCGTGCACGCTCCGTCTGCACGGGATGGGGTTTTTGGAGCCGGGGATCGTGTAGTTCGTGAATGTCGGGGTTGTTGTTTTCTGAGTTGATGGTCGTGGTGGTGGCGGTGGTGATGGTTGAGGTTTGGTGGCCTTGGGGATAGCATCCTTGTCGCGCGCTGGTTTCGTTGTGACGTCTTCAGTTGCTGGGTCCCTGCCCAACGCACTAGCCACTGCCTGTTCGGTGCCGGCAGTGCCTTTTGATGTCTTTGCATCCTTTACGGCAGCACTGCGCGTAGTGCTGCTGCGAGTTGCGTGTTTCTTGGGCGGCATGACGCGTGGAGATTGCGTCGTGCTTCACACTTGGATTATGAACTTAGTCAGGCTCAATGGGTTATTTATAGCCGCGTAAAACGATCAGAGCATTGAAATCAAAGCCGACAGAGGTTACACGAGACTTGGAATCGAAAGTCCTCTGCACTGGGCAGGCACAGTGAAGTATTGGAGGTCCGAGTCGTCGAGGTCACAAATGATGTGGATCAAAGCGGAGTTGTCATCCGTTAAAAGGAGTTAAATGTCGACAGCCTTGCGTGGGAGGGTGGATTGCGGGGAGTGGACCCGTACTGGTATTCCTAAATGAACAGAAGCCTCACGGAACAATATTGCTGTAGACTATAACTCTACTGATGGCAAAGAGGATGAATTGCCTATATCATGTCACGTCTTGGTGATGTGTGTTTAGCAGCAATCAATGGTATGACGCCACCGCGGTCGTATTCGGATTCAGAGCCACATTGGGCGGTATTCAGATCACAATTGTTACTGGAATTGAGATACGAAACGTCTGTGACATTCATCGCTTTCAGAACCCGCACTTCTCAGACTAATCTCCACTACGGGCTATGGAAGAAGAGCGACGGTGAAACATCGCTAGTCATCCATGTCGAGACTCCGTGTCTCCCCAAATTAGACTGGACCATTTTGATGCCGTGAGCCACTATATTGGACACTACCCACCTCGCCACTTGACTCGTAGGATGATGGAATCAACAGAGCTAAGGAACCAGTCATCTGTAGTACTCAAGAAAATCTCATATCAACTTGAATGTTTAGCAAACGTCGTCGCGAGACTCCTGTTGTGAAACAAACACGATCGATTTCTGGTGGCTGCTACTGTTGCAGTGACATGGTTGGTTGGCCACGCATTACATGTTGGGATGAGTCCTCGGACGGCATGCATGGACTTTGAACATCGTGGGCCGACAATATTGGATTCGTTGCTGAGTTTTTTTGGATTGTGATGAATGATGAGGTTTGTGATTGCCAGAAGGTCACTTAGTTCAAGCTTCGCCAGGGCGAGCGCCAAGTGCTTGCCTCAGGAGGGACTCGAACACGTCCTCGTCGACGACGGCGCCGAAACTGTGGGGCAGCGATTAATTGTGAACACTTAAGAATTACCTCCAGAGGGCACATACCCGAAACACCTGATCTGAGGCACGAGCGTATTCTGAAGAGCAGTCAAACCCTCTCGAGTGAGAAGGCTGAAGTTGGGGTGTTGGCGGATGCGTTGCCAGACCTCGACGGGGGTGATCTCGCCGTCCAGACTCAGGCGGTCCGAGAACTCCAACAGCTTCTCCAACTCGACCGCCGGTACCGTCCACTTGGAGCCGCTGGGTAGCCCGGATCGGGGGTCCAGCGATGCATTGAGCGCCGGCGAGCGCGACATGATGGGACTCATCAACATCATCTCATGTCCACTGCCCTCGGCGTCGATGCAATGAGAGTAATGATGCCTGAGACAGGGCTGTTCGAGGGCCAGCACAAACTCGACGCCGACTTGTGTAGACCCTAGGCCGTGGGGGTGGTATACCGGCATGCTGACGTTGAGTCCGGATTGGGAACTTTGACCGTGGCTGGGGGTGAAACTGGGTGCGTCTGAGATGGTGAGACCAGTGAGAAGGAGGTCGCTGGAGGAAGTTGAGGTAGAAGGATTCAGCATGGATGAAAAAGTGGTATCGGTGCTGGTGGTGGGAGGTGATATAAAGGTCGAGGGATTGGGAATGTAGTCCTCCGGAAAATACGCCCGGATACTCTGAGACTGATCCGCCAGGGTGAAAATTTCCACCGTGGCTTCGGGACTCGAGAGGAGAGGATCTGATGCCAGATCAGGCGGCAGGATGATTTTGTATTGCTTGATCAGATCCTTCAAACCCCGAATTAGTCCGCGGAGGGCTAGCACCTCTGTCTCGTGAGCCGAGTCCTTCGCACGTAATTTGGCCACTTCCGATTCTAGGGTTTTGACATAGGTAGCCTTGCGATCTCGGTGTGTTCTGTAATGATAAGAAATCAAACGTGTCCATGGTTAGCCGTGCAGATGCTTAAGGATAAAGAGGGGCGTTGCAAAACGCGAAACCCGCTTCACGTCACCACTTCTGCAAGGTCAAGATTTACCTTTGCGCTCGTCTGACCTGTTCACGTCGCCGAGCACTTTTACCGTTACTTTCGTCTTCATCCAGGGGGACCTCTTCATCCTGATCTGAGGCCATTCGGTCAGTGGATTGCAGCATGAGAGGAGAAAGAAGAAAAGCAATTGATTGGTGATAATCTTCTCGTTGGCTCGTTCTCAATCTCCACACAGCATGACCATACCACCATGTATGCGACGTAGGGCAGAATTATCTTAGGGCTCGAGCGGAGAGAAGGCAGGAACCCGAGTATAATAATTGAGTAATCTGAATAAACATGGACGACATACAAGGTTTCTGAGTTCTTGCCACGGTCGCTTGTGACCGATCTGTGTCGGACATGATGACCCAACCAAACCTTTGGCCGTGTAGGGGTGGGCCAATACTTGTCACTCTGCCTGTCGAGGATCAAGCGACTTCGATAAGTGGTTGAACCACGTTCCAAGACCGTTCGGTTGCTGTGCTACCCAATGGTCGATGCCAAGCAATGATCGAAGGTAAATGATTATGGAATCAAAGGAGGATGGGTTGCATGGCGCGAAGCATGGCGATGATTGATGCAGAATCAATGAAACATCTGGCAAACAAGAAGAGAGGTGTGCTGCGAGTCTGAAAGAGAAGGATATATCAGTTTTACTTCTGACATATTTACACTTGTTGTTATCAGCATCATCTTGCGTTCTGGGGCTTTTTGATAGTGCCTAGTTCAGGGGAGTAAGTCGAGTTTAAAGCAGCAACATCGCCACTGGGCGATACGAGACAAAGTGAGAGCAATGAACAATGATTGGGCCATGCTTCCGCATTGACTTCGAATAGAGTCTCGGACCATGAATTCCTTGCAGCTTTGGGGCAAGTGGTACCTCGGGAGCATTATGTCAATAAGCGTCCGAGAGTCCGGGGTGTCAGCGTCGAGCTGACTAACAAAGCGCAAAAGGGACCGTGGGGTGAAAGAGACTAGATATCTCTATAACATGGATGGTCAACTTGCCCTCGTTTTAATGCAATACTAGAAGAACAGTAGAGGCCGTTGGCAAATACTCGAAAGCACGAAGTCAAGCTATTGGGATTGTTAATCACAAGCTTTCGATCCTTCCATTGGTGGCCATTCTTCCCTGGCCCCCACGACCATGTCTCCAGAGCTGAACAAGCTTTGCGTGTATCAGGCAAATTAAATGTCCAAAACGAGTAGCCGGTCACTTCTTTGGTTCCAAGGCTCTGAGTCTCTCCAAATCTAGCTGCGTGGTTTGATCACTGTGCTGGGATGAGGGAATGAATGAGAAGATCAAGTGGACACATCTTGGTCGGAATTTGCCCCTGTGGGTGAGATGACAACCCGTTTGTGCTGTCGTGGACGTCGACCAAGTATGACGGACCAGGTTGATCAAAGCATGGCTCGGATTATGATGCCCTCCACTCGTTCTCGCCTCTAGTCCATACTCTGGGCATCCGACAGAATGTTGGGTGGAGACCTTCGCCCTTTCCTTTGTGGCGAGCCAGCCTTACTACTTAGATGAAGGTATGCATGAGCTCTGACATTCCTCCTAAAGCCAATGTCGAACTTGATCTCCGAAGAGTTGTGGCATTGTGGTGTCGAGAAGAGCTGTATGACGGGGCCATCCTCGAGAATGGTAGCTGGCATCTGAGATCGCGGGTTATACCATCTCGCTCGACCTGAACCCCTGCGCAAATCTCACCTTTCGCATCGTGGGGTGTCAGAAGTGCCATGTGAGTTGAGCAGCACTCATCCCTAATAAGCGTTATGTTCGTAGCGGTCCTGGAAGATAATGGAACGATGTATCACCGAGCATCTCCCACGTGTCCTCTGCTCGATTAGTCGTAGTCCAGACAGGCAATGGACATTCACCACCTGAGAGCATATAATTTTCCAAGGTCGACTTCATCCCTGCAATAGCGTAAGGTCCTTCATAAGATGTTGCCGCAGAGCAGCTGGTGAAGTCATCTGGGCTATGCCAGTGCCACTCGCCCTGGTCTTCATCGACTTGCCACGTTCCGAGGACCGAAATACTGTCAAACCGCCGCTTGGAGAGATATTGAAGCACATCTAACATAGAGCGAGTCTCCATCCGACAATCTCTCAATGTGAGACCACGGATGTTGACCCCTTGATCAAGGAGTGCCTTCAGATCTCCCCATCGACAGTGGAAGCGAGACAATGAGAGAGACTTAAGATGGGGGACCCAAAGTTGAGGGAATCGATCGATATTCGTTCTGTCAAACAGCTCGAAAGAATACTCGGCTTCCTTGCCATGCAGAAGTTCGAGAGTAAGCTCTTCGAGCTCTGTGGCCTTGTTCAGGAGTGATTTCAATCTCCATGCTGATTGATTTCTGCCACGAGCATAGACCTGATCATTGAGACCCTCACGCGACAGCTGGTCGCTATGTGGGAGACTTCCAATCTTGAGGTTGAGAGTCTTCAGGTGGGCAAAAATATCATCCAAGATTGATTCCTGGTTGTGGCGAGGTCTGTGCAGCATTTCATGTGGCAAATCGACTGCTACGAGATGAATCAAAGGGCATCGAGACGCGTGTGCCGCCTCGAGAAAGTTCGTGAATTGAGACAGACAGTTCTTCCTGCGATTGTATACTCTTCGTCGTGCGTCCGGATCAAATGGTCGATCCATTGCGTACTCTTCGGGGTCAAAGTCTTCGAGCTCTTCAAGTCGGATCTGGGGTTCACTCATGATGATTCTGAACTTTACATCCGAAGTTGAGTGGCTGAGAGAATTCAATGTTCGTATCAGACTATCTCGAACCCGTTGATCTGCCATAGCTGCAGCTTGTTGGTCAAGGTGCCACCTGTACAGATCATACCGAGAGGAAAAATCAGGAGGGAACCTGGCTTGGAGAGACTCGTGAAACTGGGAATAGTCCGACTTCGAGAGGCCATTGGCGGCGTTATCCCTTGACCAAGCACTGCTGATATCGTGATAGACCTGTGCCTGCCAGTATCTATAATCTGCGTATTCAAGTGGAACCCCGGACTGGAAAGAAATGCCCCTCAGATATGGTGCTATGGATTTATTGGAAGCCAGTTGCTCGAGCTGATAGAAGCGGCGACTGCTGGGATATAAGTGAAATTCAAGATTGTGAAAGAGATGCTTCTGTGCGACGTCGGCATATGTTTTACAAAGAAGACGGAAGCTCTTCAATGATGATCGGTCGACAAAGCGACAAAGATGGTCTATTAGTTCCGTTGGTAGATCCTCCATGGTAGCCATGATGAGAGACCAAAATCTTGACTTGGATACGTGATATCTTACAGGGCAACCGGTCTGTATATGTACCTCCTTATCGTGGGTGCCTATGGGTTAGCTTGCGCGTTCATGGTAACGAGATAGTGTCGCCTAGGCCATAGGGACAGCCGTTCACGGCGGGCGCTGTAGTCTAGGAAACTCAAGGAATCGAGCTGCCTGCCCGATGATGATGTGGGACCACCATATACCAAAAATCAAGTAATCAAAGACCTATCAATATCGAACAGGGAATGAGGTGAATAGGAGTCAGCCTCGGCGGTGCACAAATAAGCTTGATCACGTGTGCGATAAGAGATGTGCGCTTTGTGCTTGAACACTCCGAGGCATTTCTTTTCTCTTGAGTTTCTAGTGCATCATGTTGCCTGCGGTGCAAACGATCGTTCAAGTTTGCGTTACAACGACTCAATAATGGTGGTTTCGTTTGTGACCGCTCGTGTTTTGCGTCTTCGTGACATGTTTTGAGGAGAAATAATATACTGAACATGTTGTAAACCACCCCTCGTGATGCATCGCTCGACCTTACGAGCAAGCCGACCACAAATCGTGCCGCGTGCTGAACGAAAATGGTTATCAACAAGCAGACCTGAACCTGCACAGAAGCCTAAACTCGGTGGACAGGCGGCAGCAAGAAATCGCTTCGACAGACTGATCGATCGAAGCCCGAGGTTCCTACGGCCAACGCTGACTTCGTTGAAAAAAGCCCCTTTATCCAACATCACAGCCTTTTTCATTCTCCACGAGATTACGGCCATCGTACCTCTTTTCGGACTTGCTTCAGCTTTCCACTACTTTCGTTGGCTTCCTCCGTGGTTTGCCGAAGGAGTCTGGGTGTCGGAAGGGGTCGAAAAATTTGGCAGATATGCTCGCAGGAAAGGATGGATCAGTGAAAAAGATGAGCAGCACGTGGAACAAGAAACGAACCAGGGGCATGTAAATCTACTGGAGAATGGGCAGACATCGGGCTGGTTCAACAGAGACGAAGATACTACAAGGTGGATTGTGGAGTTTGCGACAGCATATGCCGTTGTCAAGGCATTGTTGCCCATTCGAATTGTTGTGAGCGTTTGGGCTTCACCGTGGTTCGCAAGATGGGTGGTTATTCCGGTCAGCACCAGAGTCCGTGCTGCCGTACGAAGTTCAAGTCCATAGACTTTGATTGCCCCAGTCATGATGCCTCTTCTCATTCGTGGTGACTGTGTAGGTCTATCTTTTGTTGTCATTGTCATTCAACGTCTCCGAAGCTAGTGCGATTGTTGTACTGCTCCAGATCTTGGACCATACTGGGCCGGGATGGACATTGTCTATGCCTTTTCATAGATCCAGTCGAACTGGGAAGCCTTGTAGCTTTGAACCTCATCAGGCTTGAACCACAAAGCAATCTCCTTCTTTGCGTTCTCAACACTGTCCGAACCGTGGCAAACATTACGGCCGACATCGATGGCATAGTCACCTCGGATGGTTCCAGGGGCGGAAGCGAGAGGGTTGGTGGCACCAAGGATGGCTGTTCCGTGGTCAGAGTATGTAATATGGCAAGACACTTTGACTTACTTCGGCCAGTCTTGACGGCATCACGGCCCTCCCAGACCATGGCAGTGATGGGACCGCTCAGCATGTCTGAGTTGGAATTGTCAGTGAGGTATGAGAGATGTAAGGGTGGAGTTGCGTACAGGTAACAAGTCCCTTGAAGAAAGGCTTGTCGGAGAGGTCTGCATAATGCTTCTCGAGGTGCTCCTTGCCTGGGGAGACCAACTTCAAAGCAACAAGCTTGTATCTGAGGTGAATTAGCAAGAGCGTGTTAATCTCTTGAAGGTTTGTGCGTACCCTCGCTTCTCGAATCGTGAGATGATATCACCAACAAGGCCACGCTGTTGAGCATGTTAGAGATCAAGACCTCTTTGATTCCTGGGTCGTTGGAGGTGGAGATGTCGTACCTGGACACCATCGGGCTTGACAGCAATGAAACTGAAGAACAAGTTAGTGGGGTGGTCACGGTGGATGGAGGAGGACTCACGTTTGCTCGGTCGACATATTGAAGGAGAAGAAGTGGATTGTCTAAAGACTCTGGGGATGAAACAAGTAGATTGAGATGGTAGGTTTATTGGGAGGAGTTGAAGATTAATTGCGGTCAAGGTGTGTTGAAATATTTGCAGCTGCCACGTCCTTGCCAGACTTGCTGTGGAAGCAAATCAGATCAATCGAAAGTTGTTGACTTTAGTGGGGGAATTGATTCATGGAGGGGCAATAATATTCATGGGCGTGGAACAATAAGTGAGTGCAGTGCCATGGCATGGCCCAGAGACTGCGATCCTGTGTGGACCCCATTGCCTAGTTAGAGGCTGAACGCCTATTCGTGCCTATAAGGTCAGCCCAACCGTCATGCAGGGTCTCCATTCCGCGGTAACTCATTGGGGATTGCCCCTAGATCTTGCCCAGTCCCAAGCATACTCTCAGGCACGCGTTGGCGGTGTTAACCCCGTGTCTTTATTGACCGAGATATTCCACAATCTGTCCACCGTGACCTTCACAACAAGGTCCGACTGCCGTGCTCTCATACAATACAAGATGGCGAGGTCCTCAAGAGGAATGTATTGCTGGGCAATTTCCACCCTCTTGTGCTTGTTGATATTGTCTCTGGTTTCACCATCAGGTATGCCTACAAACTCCCGGCTCAATGTCATCTGCATAACATCTGCTGACTTCCGCAAATAGCGGCGGTCAAACACCATGATTTCAAGCGATGCGATCAGTCCGGCTTCTGCAAGAGAAACAGAGCTCTTGCAGACTCTATGATTCAAGCGGGCAGCCCTGATACCTCCCCCTACAATCTCGACGCTCCCTCTATCAAATTCAAGAATGGGGTTCTTGAGGCCTCCATCATCAAATCCATTCCCAATACCGTTCCTGTGAGACTACCCTTGACCGTTACCTTCCTCGATCGAGGCAATGTCAGAGTTACTGTCGATGAGGAAAAGCGCCAGAAGGGCGACATTGAGCTACGCCACGACAGTCCTGTCAGGAAAGAGAGATATAACGAAGCCGGGGCTTGGGCTTTGACCGGAGCCGGCCTCCAATCCCAGAAGTCTGCTGTCCTGGCAAGGGCTTCTAAGGGCGTCAGCGAAGTCTCCTGGGGCCCTGATGGTCGCTTCAAAGCAGTCATCCGCCATGCGCCCTTCGGCGTGGAATTCTACACGGGAGAAGAAAAACAAGTTGCATTCAATGGTCGTGGTTTCTTGAACGTTGAACACTGGAGACCAAAGATCGACAGACCGGCCGTTGATGAGAACTCCACCGAACAACAGACTGTTGAGCCAGTCGAGGACGAAAGTACCTGGTGGGAAGAGACTTTTGGTGGAAATACCGACTCCAAACCCAAAGGGCCCGAAAGTGTGGCACTGGACATTACCTTTCCGGGCTATGGCCACGTTTATGGCTTAGCTGAGCATGCTGGCCCCTTGTCGTTGAAGCAAACTCGTGGTGGAGAAGGGAATTATGACCAGCCATACCGCATGTACAACAGTGACATCTTCGAGTACGAGCTCGACAGTCCAATGACCCTCTATGGCTCCATCCCGTTCCTTCAAGCCCACAAGAAGGATTCCACTGTTGGAGTCTTCTGGTTGAACGCCGCCGAGACCTGGGTGGATATCACCAAGGCCAGACGGGATACTAATCCCCTCACCCTTGGTCTAAGTGGTGGTGTTGTTGATACGCAGACACACTGGATGTCTGAGAGTGGCCTCTTAGATATCTTTGTCATGCTGGGACCAACGCCGCAACATCTCGCCAAGTCATATGGCGAGTTGACTGGTTACACTCAGCTACCAGCAACTTTCGCCATGGCCTATCACCAGTGCAGATGGAACTATGTTAGCGATGAAGACGTCAAGGATGTCGACCGCAAGTTTGATAAATACAATATCCCATATGATGTGATTTGGCTCGATATCGAATACACCGACGATAAGCAATACTTCACCTGGGACGCATTGAATTTCCCGGACCCGATCTCGATGGAGAAACAACTAGACGAGAGCGAACGTAAACTTGTGGTCATCATTGACCCGCACATCAAGAACAAGGGTGGCTACTCGGTTGGAGAAGAACTTAAGAGCAAAGGTCTTGCGGTCAAGAACAAGGAGAACAACATCTTCGAAGGATGGTGCTGGCCCGGAAGTTCCAATTGGATCGACGCATTCAACCCCGCCGCGAGAACCTGGTGGAAGTCCCTCTTCTCCTTTGACAAATTTAAAGGCACCATGCAGAATGTATGGCTCTGGAACGACATGAATGAACCGTCAGTTTTCAACGGGCCAGAGATCACCATGCCACGAGATAACATTCATCATGGTAATTGGGAGCATCGGGATTTGCACAATATCAATGGTATGACTTTTCATAATGCCACCTATCATGCTCTACTAGAGCGGAAGAAGGGCGACGTTCGACGTCCGTTTGTGCTTACCCGGTCCTTTTACGCCGGCTCCCAACGATCGGCTGCTATGTGGACGGGTGATAATCAGGCCAACTGGGAACATTTGGCTGCGTCCATCCCCATGATCCTCAATCAAGGAGTGAGTGGATTTCCATTTGCTGGGGCTGATGTTGGAGGTTTCTTTGGAAATCCCAGCAAAGATCTCCAGACTCGGTGGTATCAAGCGGGTGCATTTTATCCTTTCTTCCGAGGACATGCACATATCGATACTCGAAGACGCGAGCCCTACATGCTTGGAGAACCTTACACCGGCATCATGACACAGGCCTTACGCTTGCGCTATGCACTCCTTCCTGCCTGGTATACCGCGTTTCACGAATCATCTACGGAAGGGTATCCTATTGTACGATCACAGTACTACGTCCACCCTAAAGACGAAAAGGGTTATGAAATTGATGACCAATTTTACCTGGGATCAACCGGTCTTCTGGTCAAGCCAGTAACTAAGGAAGGGGCTGACAGTGTGGACATCTACCTGTCTGACGAGGAGAACTACTTTGATTACTTCGACTACACGGTCTACAAGGGTGGTCTCAAGACACAACGAATTGCAGCACCTCTGGAAAAGCTACCCATCTTGATGCAAGGTGGCCATATTATTCCTCGCAAAGATCGACCTCGAAAGAGTTCGGGGCTTATGAAGTGGGATCCTTACACGCTTGTTGTGGTATTGAGCAAAACGGGAGAGGCGAAGGGCACCATCTACGTGGATGATGGTGAAACCTTTGGCTATCAACAAGGTGCATATGTGCACAGAGCGTTGACGTTCGCCGATAATCGGTTGACCAGCAGCAATCTCGGGACCAAAGGCAGCAAGACTGCGTCATATCTGAAGACGATCCAGGAGGTAACGGTCGAGAAAATCATCGTCGTCAATGCTCCTGACGCTTGGGCTACCCAAAGCGAGGTTCTGGTGACTGATGGCCAGTCGCAAGGAGCCAAGGCCGAATTGACTTATCATGCAGCAGTTGGGGGCAAGGCAGCTTGGGCGACTGTTCGGCGCCCAGATGTGCAAATAGGGGCGGATTGGAGTGTCGCATTTGGGGATACCTTACGAGACAAGACAGACCTTTAAAAAGATGAGATGTGAAATGTAAAATAGATTTAGAATAGGGTAACGAAGCCACGGCTGCTGTACATGTTCACTCAATAGAGATGGAGACAAAATGAGGATCTCTCGGATGTGAAAGCTTACATGAGTTACTCAGCCAAATTACTGGCTGCGTGATGAGCCGGATCCCGTAATTACCATCATGCCCATCCCAGATCTCCAATTTCGATGCTGGGTCCTGAAAACCCCCAAGAGCAGACACCATGGTTTTGGACAGTTGGGTTTGTTGATTTCCTCCTTTGCGGTGTTCTTTTTTGCTACTAGTATATATCCTAGGAGTTGGAGGTTTCATTTGACCAAAGGGCTGCGTCACGTTACACCTTTCCCTCCTCTGAAGCACCATGTTTCAATTTCTATCAGTCGTCATCGATTACTTCGCGCCTCTGTTGTACGTATCGAGCGAGATCTATCCACGCACTGACCGCCATGGATAAACCCACTGACACCGCACGCGCAATTACAGTCTCGTTGTTTCGCCCATAACCTCATATGCCGACCAAATTGCGTCGATACACCGGCGCAAGTCGAGCGATGGCTTCTCCCTCGACATCCCCCTGATTATGCTCCTCGCATCCATCCTCAAGTCCGATCTCCTTCCTTCGAACCATGACGAGTCCACATGGCTAATTTCTCGGTCTCCAGAGTCTTCTACTGGTTTGGAGCATACTACGATAAATCCCTACTCCTGCAGGCATGCCTGATGATCATCGTCCAACTCGTCCTGTTGAAAGTGGCACTCGACAATAAAGCGCCCACGGGCGTAAGAGATGGAGTTGAGCACACTCCTTTTCATGGCTACACGGCCTCCAGCGGCATTCAGGATCTGTTGGAAGGACGCAGGCCTTATGATTTCTGGCGTTGGGGCAGTTCCAAACCGTAGGTGGTCACATTGCAGCCGTATATGATTCTGAAAATGTCGCGAGGGTACGCTGACTCGTGTGGGTTTTGCAGTTATTTTCAGTTTCTGGCCTACTTCGCCGCAGGCCTTCTTGCCGTCCACGTCCTGCTCCCGTGGGTATCGGGATCGCCTGCGTATATCTCGTTGCTCGGATATGTTGGACTAGCCATTGAAGCGATCTTGCCGCTGCCACAGATCTGGAAGAACCACAACGCGCGATCGTGCAAGGGGTTCCGCCTTTCCGTCATTATAAATTGGCTGGCGGGCGATGCGATGAAGATGAGCTATTTCTTCCTCAGCAGCCAGGTCGTGCCGTGGCCATTCCGCCTGTGCGGAATCTTCCAGGCATGCTGTGATTCCTATCTCGGGTTGCAATTCTACATGTATGGGGAGGGACCTACGATTGGCGGCCCGGATATCCCCATGAGCATGACTGGCAAGACCGGATTCTCGGGTTGAGAGGCGTCATTCACGAGGCTCGATTGAGTAGGTGCAAGCATTTAAAGGGTTCAGTCTAGTCTGGAGGAGAAGAAAACGACTCGAGCGTGACTGTGCTTGTTTTCCATGACCGGGCCGAAATCATATTCTTGATGCTCCGAAATACCGCTTGGGTGACGTCTCCTCCTATTGCCATGTCAGACCACCCATGACTAGCACAAGGCTGTCACGGTTGAGCAACAAACTCAATCGAGTTAGTCTTTACGCAAGGTGACATTCGCAGAGAAGAAACACAACACACGTCATGAGGCTTAAAGTTTCAACCCTCTCAGCCTTGTCCAGATTCACAGACTGACGTACGCCGATCATTCTCGCTAAAGAGGACCTCGTACCTTTTTCACAACCCTGGTTCATCGTTCAGCACCCAGACATTTAACGATAGGGCCGATGGCTGTGGTGGCGGGACTTTCCTCAGTTAAGAAGACTTGGCGCCAAGATGGACGCTTGATGGTTTAGCCAGCCAATGACCATACTCCTCAACCCATGATACACGTGTCTTCCAGCCGATGTCTGCTTAGTCGGGGGTTGGCATGTCTGGAAGCCACGCAATACTCAGTACAGGCTCCCGAGGGGTCCAGGGGAAAAGATCAGATTTCGAATCTTAAGTGGCTGCGATCAACAAGATTTGGGCATCACGCCAGCGAAATGTGATTGCCTGATCACAAAAGTTGTTGCTTTTAACTGCTCGATCGAAGCGTTCTTGAGGCAACAACGACGTGCATTTCTTTCAAGAGCCAGCGACACTTCTACCATTACCAGAACGCCATAGAACCGAACACAACCGAAACCTTGAAGCCATCCTCATATCTTTCGAAACACCATGGGACTTCGTGATATCCGACTCCATCGCCGCACCGGTAATCGCCATGTGCGGATGTTTCTCTGGTCATTTTACAACCTCATTGTCCCTCCACATGCTCCAAGAGTGTGAAGGGCAAGCACTACGCCCCTACAAATAAACCACCAGTCACGATACCGTCTTGACGATGGCATCTCCCACACGAAAGAGTTGAGCAGCAGCATACTCGCTGATGTTCGGAACTCAAATTCACGGTTCAGATGATGCGGCACACACGAAGAACCACAGCTTGCTCAGCGCCAAGTCATTTGTGACCCGGCACTTTCGGAATTTAGACGTGCTGAGGCCGTTTCCGAAGTTAGAAGGTTAATGCAACGAACACAAAGAAGGAGAATTCGTTCGGCACGTTCGACCGATTGAAGATGTGGACCAGGAGCAACTGCGAAGCATACTCGTAGCTTGTCAGTGACCCGATCGCGCAGACGGGCAAGGCTAGAGCACACAAGGCTTGGATTGAATGGAAAGAAAGGATTTGGACATGGATGAATGACACAAGGTATGGCGCAAGTTCAACGATGGTGGATGTACCGGGTAGAGCAATATCAACATCAACATCAACTCAGCAACAAGATCTGTACTTGTTGCATCCCAGATGGAATTCGGGACCACTGGTTCTGCACTCAAGAATTTTCCGGTGCGCTCCAGAATCTGGATCGGGAGATATCCGAGGGATGAAATCATGTGGAGTATGGGCAACGTCATCGAGCTATTAATATAATTTTCTTTTTCATCTTTATTTCGTCGACTACGGGGTACTGTATGCAAAGACGTTTTCCGTGGAGATTGAGACACTTACAAGACGTCGACTCTTCTCAAGTCCTTTCCCAATGTGTTCTGATCATAATTATTGAGAGGGTGGCAAGTGCGATGACGCCTCATTCACCTGCACTATTATCTCACTCGACGTTGATCTCACCGAGGGAGGCCGAGAGATATCCATGTGTTGAAATTAGGAGGCACAATGAGGAGTTTGTACCTAGGTAGGAAGTATCTAGACAGGGCGGGATGATGAAAGGTATCTTGTCAGGTAGCATCCTGTACCTAGCCTTGAAGTTGAGGAGTGCAACGTCCCGACTTACTTAAGGCTAAACAATCTCCCGGGCGTCTGTTGCACCTTGCAGCTTCCCCATGGCCACGCACTCCGTAAATCATTCCTTGTTGTCAGCAACTGGAGCTCTTTGAGGGGTTGTTTCTCATGAGTTGGACTTCAATACCAGGTACCTCGTACAGTACCGGTGACCCTCATCTGATACTCTTGGACTCTTTGTCATCCTAACTCTTCTTCGACAACGCGCCTCTTCTAATCCAGAGATGGTGGAACTTGCCATTTCATCTTCGATCCTCGATCCATGATCCTGGCCGTTTATCCCTCTCTTTTATGTTCCCAGACTCTCATCAAACCCTCCACCATGGATCTTTCCGCCTGAGTCAGCCTTTCCATCCGCTCATCCCCCTTGACTTCTCGCCTCTCACTGGCTTTCACTCGCCCTTCTTTCGGTTAGTTGTTTTGCCATTTTGCACGCTTCCGTCGATAGTCTCTCGGTCTCACGTCTTGTCTACACACGGGCGACTTTCTTGCACATTCCCAATTCCATCCTGACCAGCCCTATGAACCTCACCTGTTGGTAACCTCCACGCACTCATCTCCGAAATCGAATCCTCCTACTCCGTGTCTTCTGCTAAAGTCACTCTCCACTCTCCTCCTATCATTCTTTCATCAGGCCTCACCTTCAGAACAGTGAATGACGAACGCCTTATGACGTAGCATATCCTCCTCATTCCGTGTCTTTGTAGAGCCGGACCGTCGCTGTCGTCTGATAGCCCTGCCCTCTAGCCCTCAACACCCTCCCAACGATTGCCCGTGAACCCTGCGCATCATGTATGAAACATCGTTCCTCAACCACTCATACCTTATACTAACTTCATAGATATATATTGGTCCACCGTCCAACACACATTTGTATTTCACGGAACCACATCCCACGACCCGACCGACTTGCATACCCACACCACTGCAAGGTATCAAGCATTGCGTCTCAACATTATTGGCACCTTGACCTCAAACGCTTATTACCAGTCTTTCGACATCCGGAACCCAGCCAACTTCCTGGAATTTACCACACCTAGTCCAACAAATCATTCGGATACCCGTTACCATCTGTGGTTTAGTCCGTCTCAATCATCGAGTGGTGGAGAGATTATCGCATAGACTCTCGATACATAATTGTATTCTACTACTTGGACTCTGGGACCGCCCGCTCCTTTCACCCCATTTCGAACATCTAAGCGATCAACGACAGAACACCTGCACGCACTCTTAGTCACACACCGGAATCTCCAAAACGAGCATTGTGAACCTGTACAGCTATTCGTCCACCCTTTACCATTTTTTGCGGCAGATATCAAGCCAAGCTACAAATCCCCGTACTTCAATTCGCCAAAGCTTTGTCACTTTGTGTCAAAATTCACCAAATTCACTTCTGTCCGTCTATCTCCGGATTAGATAAACATTGTCAGGTGCGAGTACAGTCTCAATAATCGACGACATTCAGAATCCGCGCAATCAGGACCTCGACTTGAAAGGTTCCTTATAACTTGACACCTCCCACATCTTGCATCGAACTTTCTTCAAGTGTGAAACCCAAGCGGACAACAGCTCATATCATCATAACACAATGCCGTCTCGAATCAGTGGCGCCTGTAATGGGTGCAGAACGAAAAAACAAAAGGTACGTGACACCCGCCGTCCTATATCATCCAATCTTCTACCCCTCGAGACATCCTTCGTCTTATGTCGGGAATATTTGACACCAAGTTATTTCATGGTGCATATCATTACCTATCATGTTCTGTGACCAGGAGCTAACATGAGTGTCTGAACAGTGCAGTGGTGATAGGTACGTTTGAAACTTTTCAACTCTTCTCCATCATCAAGTTTTCAAGAGAAAGTCATCAAAAGTCGAGAGAAGGGTGGCAAGATCATTATATACCCTGCCCCAGAATTCAATCTCCAGAAGAATCCCCAGATAATAGCCATCTTCATGTTGCCTTGGGAGATCGTTTTGGCACAATGATTTCAAAGGCTCCCCCACTACTGTTGAATGCCCCAGCACTTGACCAATAAGCTTTCAAGATTGTGGTCTGAGATAGATCTCAGCAGCAGAATGCTCTTTCCTCATATATACAGCCTGTCGGAATTGTCCTTTGCTCTCCTCACGCACCAATACTATTTGCGGCTGAGACTTGATTGCTCCTGAGGCTGACTTTGATTGAACAGATCTGGATGTAGCCAATGCCATGCAGGAGGTATCCAATGTACTTGGCCTGAGCAGAGGAAGAGGTATGTTTAACCGCCTTTTTATTTATATCCACGCCTTCATTCCCCTCACAATTCTGACGCCTATACTTTCTGCGTCTCTTATTCTGATCATGGACACTGACATGTTGCCTACAGAGGTCCGGCCAAGGGATATATCGAAGGTCTCGAACATAGATTACATGAAGCCGAATCTCTCCTTCTTGCTCTTCTACCTCTTATCACACCCAGTCAATTGCACACCGCAGCAGATTGCCTCAACTCAAACTCAACGTCCAACAATTTGGGTGTGACATCACGAGACTCTGCATCACCTACACCTCGAAACACGCGCTCATCGCCTCCTGTCCTGAACAAGAAGACAGGTATCGACTACTGGGAATCCTTTCCGTTAGATACCGTCGAGAACATTCGCAAATGGCAGGATGATTGTGCCCTTCACAGTTCAGTCCAACCACAACGAGAGTCTCAAGGATCCTTCCGAAACTCAATCGATGATATCCGCCCAAATGTGCACTTTACCCATCAGAGTTCTCGACCTGGCTCGGTTGACCTCAAGCGAGAGTCAACTAGCTCATTCACGTCTCGCCAAAGTCAACACCAATCCGCCCCTTTCCGATCCATGTCCAACGACCCATACCGCAGTGGCACTAGCACACCGGTGCACATGTCATCAGGCACACAGCAGTCTCAAAACCATTCCCATCACCAAACTTCAACAAGTCAGCAACAGAGCTGGCAAACTATGAACCTCTTCTCCCCTGTCGCCACCCCTGCCAATGCACAGTCAAGCCCCTCTACAACCGCCACCTCCAACAACAACACCATGGGAGCGGAAGCACTTCTCCTCCAATCCTTTGCCGACTCAAATTGGGCTCAGCCGAACTCGTTGAACAGCGGCATGAGCGGCATGGGAATGGGACTCGGCGGAAACATGAACAACGGAATGGAAAGCAGTCCCATGGAGATCGATACCGGCTTCTTCTCCAGTGATATGCAGAGGAGACTGTTCTGGTAGATAAGACAGTACAAAGGCGAGAGCTACAAAGCAGGGATGGCTAGCACTGAGAGCAAGAAAAATATTGATCTCGTGTTGCTGTGCGGCGACGACATGACCGTTTACGATGAAGCGTTATACTAGTTTGGGCGGGAATCTGTGTCTGTGTTCTTATATTCCAATTTAGCATTGGCCGGCGTTTCTTGGACTTGGGCTTGGGCTTGGTGGCATGCATTCTTGAGCTATACCCGTCACCACATAGGCGACCTTTCAGCGACCATCCATCTAATCAGGTATCACCCTATTTATTCTGGGGCACGTTCCTCACCAAAAAGGAACCGTATTTAACTATTAGAAAAGCAAAATCTCTTCAAAACTGGGTTGCGAATTCGTAACTTCAATCTATCTCTCTTACCCATAATCCAGATTTCAGACCCAAAGCTCCAACTAGGTCGATTTCCCCTCTCTGCAATGAAGCTAGTACGCCGGACTCTGCTATCTCGTTTCCAACTTACTTGGGTATCTGGGGTACCGTTGGCATATAGTTCCTGTTTGTGAGAGGCTGATTATCCATGACCACCGTTGAAGAGCCCCAGAAATTGCAATGACTATGTATCTGGAATTGGCGTTGGAATGTTGGAATGTTGAAGCGCATCACCGGTCGCGCGATCTCGCCCGTTGTCTGCTGCCTCTGAGAAGATCAGATATCTGGTGGGTGGAACGGAGCGTGGCATGCCATGCCATGCCGTGCCTTTGGGATGCTATAGTTGGTATGGTATGGTATGGTAGAGATGGATTATGGATGGATTGGAAGCAGAGACGGAGACCTGGGTGATGTGATGAGATGGACATTTAAATGTCGACGTCGACATTGCCATTGACATCAACATCGCGTATGATATCGCGTATTGAAAGATCGAGTGGGACTAGGGACAGGATGATCGAGCAGGAGGAGCACAGAACTCGGGGACGCATAGGAGGAACTTTCTTTGCATTTGGTTCGGCTGCTGGGGTATATATCAAGTCGATTCAAATGAGAGGACGAGGCTCGCCTAAGCAAAGCTATATATATGTAGCTCAACTATCAATGACGCTAACCAGGACCCTGAATATACATAGCATCCACGCCATGGCCATGGTCATGGTCGCTGGACTAACTAAGTCGCGATCGACAATGAGATTGAAAAGCTGGACCACAAACAGTGTGCGAAAAGAACAACAACGAGAAAATGTTCCGACCTGCCCCTGACTCAGTCTCACCCACTGCTGTTGGACCCAAAAGTGAAATGGAAAAAGTGTTGAGAAAAAGTAACTCCTTTTGTTCCTTTGTTCCTCCGGACCTCGCCTAGGACACCGAGCTGGTTTCCCCTTGCAGAAACAGAATAAAAGAATATACATAGTTGGTAGAATCAAAGAAGCACATAAGAGATCCCCCGTTGGTCTCAGGGTACTTTCTCCCCTCCTTCGAATGATCGGTGATATCAATGGATATCGATCGCAGGACCGTATTGCACACGTATCTCGACTCTTGGTAGAAATAGAATTGCCGGCGTGAATATCGCATCACATTAGAACTGTTGGCTTGCTGAGGTCCGGAGAGCTTGCCGATGATGGACATCAAGAATGGCGGAGGATGGCCTGTAATCGTCTAGGCAGTGACAACAGACGAGGATGATGGATCCGAATTTAGCACCACACCAGAGGGAAACTCTCCAACGGAGTGCTCGCCTGGGTGGTCTCCCCAAGGGTGCATAATGCAAGCTATGCTGATATGCAGGAGCGCGCCAAATTGCAACAAATTTCAAGGTGCAGAACGAGATGTCGCACAGCTTTGCCAGGCCTTGGCTTCCTGGTGTGCCAATTTTCTTTTCCAGGCGGACGGCGTCGGAGATATCATGGCATTCCGGTCAATTGGAAGGTGGAAGGTTTCCTTCGCAAAAGGATGTGTGTGGCCAAATAATGGGTTTCGGTCAGCCGACCCCGCATTCTATGCAAGAGATTCAAATCCATCAATTGAAATCTGGAGAAACGGGCGATTGAACTGCGCTTCTTTCTCGGAGACCGTTAGGTTGTGTGCAAGTTGCAGACAAAGTTCGCGTTCTGAATAGGCCAAGCTGTAGTAGTTTGTCCGCCGAGCCACGAAGTCCTCTCCAGCCTTGCAAGCTTAAACATTTATCCCAATTTTTTTCTGCCCTCTGAGCAGTACCAAGAAAAGTCCCTAGACCTCCCAACCTGAATTGACACCACCTCCCGGCCCAAATGGACCAGTCATGTTCTCCCAAGTTGCTGATCCAAAAATGTCGGCCACATTATAGTCCATGTTACCCCAGAACATGGGATCTGAATAGTCGTTTAGCGGCCCGTCCGCTCCACTTTGACCCCGTTCCCCACCGTTCAACCCTGACCCTGAAACTATATTCATGTTGCTCTGTGCGAATGCGAGATCCTGGGGTGTTGCATAAACCGCGCTTCCAATCATCGGGGCAAATTGTGGTTGGGTGGTTGGTTGACCCCGGTCCCAGTTTGAAAAGTCAAACACTGAAGGTTGACCACCCGTTGGGTTGGTCAGGGCGGAAGGGTTGTTAGGATCGAAGATTGTGGATGGTGTCCAAGTCGGGGTAGAGTTGTTGGTTGAAGATTGCTGTCTCAATCGTGGAGGATTTGCAGTGGAATGATTTTGGACAGGACTGCTTGTTGCAGAGTCGGTGAAAGATGATTTCCTTGGTGAGGCCATAGTCTCATCACCTGTACGTTGTCGTTTGCGGCTTGGGGCATTGGCCTCAAACTCAATGGTTGCCTGTGGGCTCTCGACAGCCTTGATGGTTTGTAGAAATCCATTGACAGATGCCTTCCGACCTTGAATATTCACAAGGAGAAGACTCAATACCTTATGACAATTGCCCACAGTGTACCATCTGTGGTTCATGCTCTCAAGTAATGTAAGACATGCCTGCATATCACTCAGTGCGCGTGCTTTGGCGTACTTGCCTAGCTGGCAGGCGAAAGCGATAAGTAGGCCTGACATCCACGCCGCTGACAAAAGTCCCGGAAGGAACATGGACTGGCCATGTTTTTTGTGCGCCTTGAGACCGGCAACAACCCCACGAGATGCTCGAATGCACACCTGCAAGCCATGTTGGAATTCAGGCGTCGTTTGATCAAGTGAGAGACGTGGACGATTGACAAGAAGTAATAGCCTGTGGTAGAGAATTTTGAAGAATGGTGCTAGATGTTGTTGAGAAGTAGGAATTGCAGCAGTATCCCCCGAGACTGATCCCTTTCTACCAGTAGGCTGTTGTGTAGAATTACCAGCTTTTTCCGGGGCTTCATGAACGGGATCATTGCTTCCCATTTCATTCTCACCACTGAGAAAACCCGGGAGATCATTCCACCATGTCTCTATATCACTTGTCAAGCGCAGAATTTGCTCATGTTTGGGAAATCGATGGTTAATACTTTTGTGGAAGACCTCGATGATTTGGCCAGTCAATTTGCCCCATTGCACATATGCAGTTAAGGCGGCTTCTCGTAGACGCTTTTCTCGTGCTTCCGGTCCGTCGTCATTCGCAACTCGCGGATCCTCACTAACTAGCGGAGGCGGTGGCATATGAACTCCCATTTCAATATCGGGTTTTGGAATGATGTCTCGAGGGAGTGTTTTGTGCAATTCAGGACCAGAGAGGCACACATCAATGTCATCGTCTTGAATAGTGTTTGGGTCGCCAAGGCTGAGACTGCAATGCCTGTCTAGCGCATATGCAGACCAGAAGATGCGTTTTCTGATCTCACAATCCTCCAGGGATAGCTGAGCATAGCGCAGCGGGCACCGATGCAGCCCCGCATGGTAGATCAATTTAACGATGATTCCCGCTACGGTGCTGGCTTGGCGAATTGCCAAGGTAGCGACCAAGTAGAGTTCAGCGGCCAAGATGGCTTGAATGGTTGCCATGTCATGGGACAATGCAAGACAACCAGCCATACGGCTGACATCGGCAGTGGACTTGATGCGAGACTCAATGGGTAGATGAATATCTGTCCGATCCAAGGAAGCGATGTTGATGATTAATTGGAAGGTCAAGAGTTTCCGTATGTCCTGAGGGGTGGGATTGTCTGCTGTTGGCTTGGAGGGGCGACGTTGGCGTTTATAGATGGATTCCATATCTTTGATAAAGCTAGGACCGTGCAGGAAGGGAAATAGTGGGTGCCATGTCGTGAAAAAGGAAGTGACCAATTCGATAGCCACTCTCTGGTCCGGAGGTTTCCCTAGTCCAGTGGCCAAGAGCTGGGGAAATGGGTCAGTAGTGGATGGACCATCATGGAGGGGACCATTGTATGAGCGCCCTTCTGCATCCTCTCCGGTGAGAATATCCTCGCTTGCAGGAACAGCATTAGGCCCAGCAAGATTTGAAGTGGCAAAGGCAGCGGAAAAAGCTCGTCGGACAGTATTGACAAAGTAGACTCCGGATGAGCTCCCTAGCCAGGCGGTCTGTTGGTTGGGGAGTTTTTTGAGGGTTCCAATTTCCGAAGTATGAGTTGGACGTTCCTCGGGTTGATTGTCGCTGTCCGAGTCGTTGGTGTTGGCAGCAGTAGTCCCAGTAGTAACGGAAGGAACAGCTGGTGGTGTGGGTTGACCAACACTGGGAGATGGGTTGTTGTTGGATCTCGGAGTCATCTTGTCCGACCAAAAATTCCTGACAAGGTGGTTGGATTGGTGTGCACAGAGTGGCTCGACCTAACGACCTTTGAAGACTATGCTATACACTTGAAGACATGATCTTGAGGCGGACGTAGAATCAAGCCAATCCTCCAAGTGGTGGCTTAGTTACTAGTCGTTGGATGAGTCGGACGACAGTGTATGCGAAAAGTTGGTAAGAAAATGATGCGGGTTGCGCGTACGTGTGGAGTTGGACGTCTCGAGGACGCTGATAAGTTGTCAGATGGTAAGAAGCTGGCCCGATTATCTTTAGACAGTTGATATCCAGTGTACGCGTTGCTTCACTGAGAAAAGAGGTTGGAAATAATAATCGCGATGTGATCACAGATCATCAGCAGTAAGGATACAAATGGTAGGATGAAAAGAGATGGTGATAAAGGTTGGAGGCTCGAGCTTCTTCCAAGCACTGGCGAAGCCGAGTCAGAGCTGAAGATGGATCGTGGCTGTGGTTCAGATTGGAGTTGGTTAGCAAGATGAAACTCAACCAGCCCAGCCTTCTCAGACAGGGTTACTCGGTATGCCAGTGGGACAAGGCGGGGGAGAGTCGCAGCAATAATGACGAACAAACACCGACGAGGCACGATCGATCAAGAAGTCTCAAGTTTGTATGTGTGCACATGGTTGTTCTTACTAGGAGGTGATTCTAACTACAGCTTGCAACGTCACCCAGTTGGGGCACAATTATAGCGATTTTCCAGTTCAATTTTTCAACAGTTGGTAAGCTAACTAGATGACTCCGAGGAGCGGCACACCAAGGTCGAAGGACAAACAACGGGTTAATAATAATCATAGCCCAACCACCTAGGTAGTCAGGGAGCCCTCGGCCCCTTCCAGGCACCCACCAGGTACAACGAGCCCCCAGTCTCCAGTGGCGAGCAGCACCCCATCTAGACGTTCCAGGCGCACCCGGACTGGAGAGGAGCCCCAGGTCCAGGGACTCTCCAGGGGCAACGAGGCCTACAACCCGCCTCACCAGGACCAAGAGACTTTGGGAACCAGCGGACGGTGAGAGATTCCATCCAAGCCAGATCAACAAGGGTTCCCACAATATGGTTGCTGTTTATCTGGCGCCAAAGGATGCATGCTTACTCACGACCACTACTTTCAGCATTTAAGTTTAACCCTTCTCTTTTCTCTGGTTGAAAATGTCTCTCGATGCGGTCATAGTTGAATTCCATCTCGACAGCCCTTGTAAAACGTCTCCTGATGATCCAATTCGGATTCAGATTCAGATCTAAAATTAAGTTCCTACGGGCAAGGCTGATATCTACACCACCTACGAGGCACCTGGCTTGATAAAGTGGCTCCCACTACGACCTTGAAATCCCCACCACTCCGTCACCATCGACCAATTCAACTGCCTGCCCAATAACGTTGGCACCTTTCAACACATCCACCACTCCACTTGCGATTCCTCCATCCACGCCTCTGGTACCCTGCACAAACTTGACATCCTTCAGCCATTCTCGCGCATCCTCCTCAGAATAATGACATCCAGCTTCACCCGTCCCAAGCATTCGGACGGCTTGATCGGGTGATTCATTGAACAATGCTATGCCTTTGTCCAGTGCCTCGAAAATTCCAGACAGTGCTTCACTTGAGGAGTGGTCCGTCGGAGGAAAGGTCGAGGTTGACGCCGCGATATGCCATGACGGCCAAGGTGTATAAATCTCCCCAATCTTCTTCAACGGGCTGTCTGCTTCATGAAAATATGGCTTGGTTGTGAAATGCTCCCACATGAAGAAATCGGCGGTAGAGTTTGTGACTCCATTGCGCAGATCTGCGAATGGACCAAGCGGCACGATGGTGAGATCCTCCGACTTGGAGTCAGAGGTCTGTTGTAACCAACCTTGTTGCTGAGCAAGGACAAATGCCATGACGTGGCTGCCACTGCCTATCCTGCTCACTCCCACCTTTCTGTGCTGCTTGAGATCGTCAACTGACTTGATATCGTCACGATTCCTCCCGGTCACAATGGCCCACCGAAGAGGAGTTGACACCCATGATCCTACGATTGAGTATCCTTTCTCTTCCAATGGTTTGTCCTTGTTGCTGTCATTGAGCAACCCTGCTACCCATCCTTCGGTGAGACCAATGGCAAGATCAATTTCCTTGGATCTCAAGGAAGTGATCATATGACCAGTGCCTGCAGGGAATGGAACAAGAGTGACTTGTAATGAGGATGGGAACAACGAGTTCTGAGAGGCGAGGTGGAGAGGCAACAGGTAGTGCTCAGGCACATAGCCGATCCGAACTTGGGAGACCATGTTGGTAAGTTCGCAGGGGTGTAAATTCGAGGAGAGAGCACACAACTTCGCAACGAGTACAACCTTGCAGAGGAAGTGATGCAGTCAAATAAGACTCACAAAAAAAGTCAACACTGAAGAGTGCAGGCAGCTTCGCGTCATCCGTTTCGACTTCTCCAAAGGATCCCCCGCTCTGGAAGATCTCCCGGTCCGAACTCTGGCTAACACGTGACATCAAGCTTAATATCATTCAACATGGCTGTCTTTTATTGACAATTCCTTGCAAGCAAAACCCTATGGAGACTATGGCTATGGTTGAGCTTGCAAAATGAACGGTTAAAATCAGCACACGTCGAAAGATGAACCCCTGTTTCCACGACTCACCTCATTCGGTTATTGCTGGTTAGTCTTTGATCTTTCGGAATTGGTCCGCCCCCAAGGCCTCGGGGGGCGTCTGGCCTCCTCACCATGACTTCCGCGCTGCAGCCGATCAGCCAATATATACTGCAGCGTCAGCTGAAAACTGTTCCTGTTGACCCTTGGTCTAGTATCCACGCCCCAATATATCCTGACCACAAGAAATGTCTTCGGAAAGTGTCCCATACAAGTACAAGCTGTACAGCTACTTCCGGTCCTCTTGCTCTGCTCGTGTTCGTATTGCTGCGCACCTCAAAGGTATCGAATTGGAGTATGCCTTCATTCATTTGGTCAAGGCCGAGCAGAACTCGAGTGCCTATCATGTATTGAACCCTTCGGAATCCGTCCCGACTCTGATCGTCAGCAATGGTCAGACAGGTGAAGAAATCACGAAAATCAGACAGAGTGTGGCCATCTTAGAGTATTTCGAGGAAACGAGGCCTGAGCTACCTCAATTGTTGCCTCCTCTGGAAGATCCGATAGCAAGAGCCAGAGTCAGAGAATTGGTCAACATCATCTCAAACGATGTTCAGCCGCCAACGAATCTTCGTATACTCAATTTCATCAAGCCCCGCGGAATTGAAGCCAATGAATGGCAGCAACATTTCATGAACTTGGGATTCAGGGCGTATGACGACCTGCTCAAACTTTACGCGGGTAAATACAGCGTTGGTGATCAAATCAGTCTAGCAGATTGTGTGCTTGCTCCAGCAGTGGATGGAGCGTTGAGGTTTGGTGTCAAAGTGGAGCAGGACTTCCCAAATGTGTGGAGAGTATGGACCAACATAAGCGAGGTTGAAGCATTTCAGCAAGGGAGATGGAATGCCCAGGAGGATACTCCAGACGAACTACGACTAAAGTCAAAAGAATGAGCTTTCACAGGCCCAAAAATGGTCCGAGATGGCTGTTTCAGTGCATAAAGCCATGATGCAGATCTGATATGGCTTTTGAGCCCTGTTTTGGGAACTCCAGTTGACCAATTTCGTCGTGCGATTTGCGACCCAACTAGGTAGTTTGTTTGCTTCCACGGACCAGTTGAGAAGTACGTTTACCAATCACTCGTGTTACAATCTTATGGACAATTCATAGCTGCACCTGCCCAGATAGTCACCGTTCCTCTTTATATAGGTAGCTAAACGACTGGAAGACTAAAACGGTGGCGGTCCGGAGGCCGGGAGCTGCTCAGTCTTAAAATGCAGGATGACGTCTTGTTGATGTCTAAACCGCCAACCACATCCTCATCGTCCCATGTTTGCCCATTTATCGCTGCTCCAGACTTGAAGTTGATGCTGTTTGACAAACTACCTACCAAGGAAAGTAGGACTTGCACACAAGTTGCAAGTCGGTGGACACTTCTCCAGGTACTGTCCAAGTCCCTCAGTACTTTCTGACACTCTGCCAAGTCCACCTTCTTTGAGCTTGTTTTCCCCCATCTCGATCTCAACATTATGTGTCATTAGCTACTTCTTCAGTACCCGGGGTTTGATGGCCGACATGGCCGAAATCGGTCTCAATGTCTTTCAAGTCATCCAGAATGAGCTTCTTTCTCGTGAAGGAACTCGCTCAACTCTGGGCATTGGCTTCCGTCTCTCAATCATAGAAGAACGTCTGAAAAACCATGAGGCCAAGACAAAGAATGGCTTGGTGTGGAAGCCACTGCATGCTCTTGTCCCTATATCAGCCCTGACACCGGAAGCAAGAGAGGCTTCGGAAAGTCAGAGAAAAAGACTTCTTGAGAGAAAGGGTGCTCGGCCATCAAGAGACGAAAAGGATCCCACCATGCTGATTCGAGACGATGAGTTATGGATGATTCATCGTGATTTTCCACGGACTGTCTTGGAGTTCAAGGAGCTTCAATTCCACCCTGAACGGGTTCGAAGTCTCCTTAACTTCTATGATGTCAAGGTTTATCGGCCAGACATGAGGCTGGTTCTTGTGGATCGTGCTGATGGTCTGGTTGATGTAAAAATGAACCTGGAGACTTGTCTCGAGGAACTGGCGACTTCATGGGGCATCAATTGGTTCAGAATTGGGGGTCTGGTCTTGCCTGGACAACCTTTGCCTGCGCAGCCCATGCCTGCTCCATACCAGACCTGAGACTTCCTCACTTTTTGGTCTTGAATGTACATGTGAAAGGTCAAACGCCGATCAGTCATCAAACATATTGGGAGCCGTTTATGCACAGGTTGAACCTTCAACGTGTGCTTGGACCTCGCATCCTTGTCAATTTCAAGGCTCAATATGAAGTCAGTGACAACGCTACCCAGGGGCCGTTTGACGGCCAGCCGGACGACAAGCAACAATGACCCATTCAAGAGTCATTTGTCAGATATCACTGTGGTGCGGATGAACTTACCGTTATGAGCCACCATTTACCACATACGGACTGCCTCACTTTGTTTGACGAATATCTAGTGGAAAATCACTTGGACAAAAACAAAGTACTTGATGACCTCCTTTCCCTGGCCATGTCTCCAGATATATATAAAAATCAGATCACCTCTCCCAATGTTGAGCCGGGCAATCTTTGTTGGCCTCGATCTCTGGTTCTCATCAATATGTCAGCGAACCTCGACGGCAACAACCTCCAGGGTACTTGGTCGTCCCCATCCGGACCACGCCTATCTCCTTCGTGCTCGAGGGTCTCCCTCTTCTAGGAGATCGGTGTTCAGGCGACTATCCCCCAAGTCTTGATCCCACATCAAAGCACCAATGGCAGACAGGTCTGAGCCAGATTGTACCTACTTCAATCGACTCGCGGCATTACCGGCAAGATTCGCACCCGTTATGAGACTGTGATGCCCGTGGCTAAGGATCAGGAACATTTTGCACCTTACTTTACGATTGAGGTCAAGAAAGGCGACACGCAAGAGTCTGATATGCAGGGCCAACTCGCACTCTACTCTACATTCCAGCTCTACCATCGATTTCTACTGCGGTAAAGATTTTAGAGAGTGGTAAAAAGGAGATCAAGCCCGAGTCTTCTATCGATCTTAAGCACTACGGTTGTTTCCGCAAATGGAGTAAGATCATTTTCTATGCTACTACAGCGAAGACCGACCTACAGGATAAATTATTTGTGCCTCACCGCCAACGTCTGCACACCTTTCAGGCAGTTCATTCTACTGGACTTGATAACGTACGACATATTCACGAACACAGCACCGGTGTTGCGTCCGGGGATACTCTGATCATGCCAACCGGTCGGTTTTACGAGGTCTACACAACCGAGGAGTCGCTTATGACTGGTACCAAGTCGTGGGACTCGCTGTGACACTATGTTGAGAATTGTGCAGGCGACCTACCGACTTCATCAACAGATCCACTTACCTGTCACCCGACCCATGGCTACAAATTAGCCAAATGTCAACTCCATCTCCCTTCTCCCCATCCAACCTTGAGAAGCACAAACCCATATCTGTTCTTCCTACAATGACACTGACAACCGATCCGCAGCTCACAGTAGCCAAAATAACCACCATGGGTGGCGATGAAAACGAAGAGCAGTTGAGTGGAATGGAGAACGACACTCTCCAACCCCCAGAAGAAAACCTAGGAGAGAATGACGGCGATGTAGCAGAGAACGAGCGCGATGATGGAGAAATTGGGCCCGATGATGAGGAGACAATCATCGTCCCCACCATCGAAGACAGCATCCGCGAGCAAAGAATCAAACTCACCGCCGCGACAGAGGCGAAGGCAAAGGAGAGAGATCAAAACTTTACGACGGCTGTTGATCTCAGCAGGAGCTCAAAAACACCACCAAGGAAGACATGACCTACGAAGCTCGAGCCAAGCTAGAGCGAATAGGCGATGAGTGGGCCAAGTACCTTAGGGGGCGCCGGGCTACTGGCCGTTTGGACGAGAGGAAAAACGTGTCCAGTACTTGGCGGTTATTGAGGCAAGCTTAGGGCCTCCCAAGATACTAGATACAACGTTGCAATTACTGATAACATACTACGACTGCTCATGGCGCATTCGTCGCCCTACCTCCGCATCAGCTTCGATGTCTGAGAGAATTGCTAGAGGAAGAGATGCAGCCACGTGTAGCAGCGTGTAGCAGCACCTTCACGTGACACTTTCGGTCAATGTACCACAACCAGCAGCACCAGCAAGAGTCTGAAAGCCTCTGCTAGAGGCTTAATCCTCCTAGACAAGACCAAAGTGTCAGAACCTGCCCTTCCACGCTCAAGAGAGGCACAGCGTACGCTCAAATTGAGCCACAGATGAGCCTGGTGCGGCGAGTGGCTCTGAACACATCGTCGAGTTGCCAATCAAACCGTATCCCACGAGAGAGGTTATGAAACAACCGCTAAAGAAATGACCCATCGACGCTCACCTTGGTGACTTTGTCCCCTTCACCAATCACGGAAAGTACCCCAAGAGCGGACCAGATCGTCGCCAATCTATCTCTATTGCCCGTGAAAAGCCCTAGAACCTCTTCTTCAACGTTTTCAAAGTCACTTATATTGCGCCATTCCTTTTCAATCTGAGCGTTGTGGACTTACCCGGTGGCTTCCAATTCGGCACCGGGACAGACTCTCACCAACGCTTCCTTTATCAAAGGGCTAGCCCGAGAATACCTGAAACCAGAGCGTACGATTATCATCGTGGGAATGTCAGCTAGAGCTTCAGTCGCGATGCAGCCGTTTACGGCCATTGCAAAGGAAGTTGATTCACAAGGCTTACGCACCTTGATGTATTTACCAGACTACTGAGCATGGCGACGATACGTAGTCGCCGAAAGGTCGTCTAATGAGCTTCAGCACTCTGGCCGCGCGAAGCAGCTGAACAGACAGCGATCGCGTTCTATGGCCAAAACAATTGACCGGCGTGTGGCAAGCTTGCGTGGCGAAGAAGCTCACACAAAGACTACTGGGGAGCAGAAGCCTGTCGGCATATGAGATGATTCATCTTCCCCATCACCACCCGCCTTGGAGCTACAGCCACGTGCTTCTGTCACAATGGAATTCCCAAGAAAACGTGATCGCTCAGTAGCTGAGGACATCAGTGAGACACAGGAAGTCGAGTCAGTTCTTATGACTCCCTCCACACGGGCCTGGAGAGGTTGAGCAGTGCGCCGATTTAGAGGGCTGAAACTGACCGCAGGGAGTCAGCCCGTCTCGCGGAAGACAACCACCGTCTGCGAGACCAATTGAACACTAAGCAGTTCAACCAGAACGCTCGTGGTAAACCCTCCCCGAACTTGACATTATCCCGGGAGCTACCACTACGGACCCTTTTTCCGATTCTTGAAGATGAATACCTTGACTCTCTCTTCATTCCCAAAGACTCCCTGTGGAGAGTGGATTGAAGAACCAGATCGTCAGGCACTATGCATGGTAACTCATATTCGGGCTGATGCCATGGCCCGGGCATTTCCGAATCTCAGATCTGTCGCTGGACTCAACGCTGGCACTCTCAGTCCGTATGAATCAAGGCTCAGGACTCAGAAACACCAATGAATATTGACCGCTGCCCACGTCTCTAAAGCTCAGGGACTGCTCCTCTCCACGGCATTTATCAGCACATCATTGAGAGAATGCCGATAAGTTATATATATACAGATACAAAGAACAATGAGTGACTCCGGCAATCGTTGTCGGAATCCGCCTGATGATGAGGACAGTCAATCCTGATCGATTACATGCTCCAAAGCCCGACTTAGCCAGCTTTTCAGCATACATTCGGAAGAGAAGTTTTGATCAGCGCTACGAAAGCAAACACCCAGACACACCATTTCCAAACAAAGCTTCAAGATGTGACGTTCTGAATGTAAACTTTTGGTACTTCCCGGGTACAGTTTACAAAGGGAACCAAAGAAAGACAGAAGTTAGGCAATGGTCCTCAGACACTAACCGTACGACCCCCTGCATGCCGTAAACAAAAAGTCGAAAAGGCGGACCTTGCAATCGGAAAAGCGTGAGCCAAACCAGAAAAGCCATTCCAGTACTGCTACATGATACGGATTAGGCAGGGTCATGATGACCGGAAAATCGGCATCAATGGGCCATTTTACCCAAGCATACATCAGCTGCTCAAGGAAGGTCAACCGTGACCTACATGAAGACACTCTCCTCAATCGCCTCCTTCGAACTATGAACTACAAGAAACACGTGGAACTGTCAACAAACCAGGTAGCTCGCTCGAGAAGGATTTACTCAGAAATAGACACAGAGGCAACGCCGCATATCTCGAGACACAGGGCCATCTCCTCCGTTTGCCAAGACGTTTAGGCAGAGAACAAAGGTGCAGTCAATCTACAAACGAGACTCACGGGAATTTACTATGACCCTACAAGAACAGCCACACGCAAAACCCACAGCAATCTTCCATTGTCCAGTTGAATCGCAGATATATTGGATGCAGACACGGAAAGCATGTGAAGTTCTGCAACGTCACGGCGAAAGGACTTGAGACCAAATACGCAGGTCAACGTGAATATTGGTCCTTGCTAGCTAGATCGTTGGCGAGGAGCTGGTCTCTTTGGCCTATTAGCAGTGGACAGCGTCTCACTCGATGCAATTAATACAACCAGGGCCATTCCGTCGGTCTTTTGCACCGCGACTATTCCACTCGATGTTGCATCTCATCTCTCAAACACTATCGAGGGATAGAGAGAAGAAGGCCAAAGTGCAGAAGGCAAGGAAGACAATGTAGCTCCAAGATGTCCAGGAAAAAAAGAGATGAACAGAACCGGGAAACAACAGTCTGCCGGGCTCGGACAGCGAGGGTGCCGGCGGTGAGGCTGCTGGAACACTCGCCCGCTCGGATCTGAGGTTCAAGACGCAGCGGGCTCTTGACCGCAAGGCTAAGGCCGCAGAGAAGAAGGCCGCGGAGAAGAAGGCTGCAGAGAAGCAAGCGCAAAGGAACAAGACAATTCAGCCAGATATGGACTTGATTATTCCTTCGGATGATACCAGTGTCTTTACATCAGACCAGTCTGGTTCGCTCACTCTGAGAGGCGAGAAGGAGACGAAAAACAACACAGAGCATTTCAAGGCAGAACCAAGCCCCTTCTCTACCACTCGATTCCTCCTACACTTAGTTTAGAACCTCCTCGTATTAGTTTTGAATCATATCGCGCATCAATCGTTTCAAAGATCAACAACCTTCTCTCAGTGGCGAGTGTAGAAGGACAGAATTGTCATGGATCTGGCATTGCTGAAGCAGGTAACATGGCTTGCTAGGCATGAGGGACGGTTTGCTCGTAAAGAGGCCTCGCAAAGATCCTCTACAGGGTGACACCTGTCTTTCCTTGTCATTTCTTTCCTTGTCATCATCCACCGATCTATATCTCAGACTCACCATAGGACGAACAACACTCTCTAGCATAGAGCAATGTGGATACACTTGATTGACCATCGTTCTTTTGTTGTGTGGCCGGTTCGCATAGTGATAAAGTGTTGCTAGCAGAATGAGTAGAACGAGAAGTGCATTGTAGCATTACCAAACCCACCTACTTCGTAGTATCCTCCTGCATATTAACGATCGCATCTTGTTGTACTAGGTAGGGAGCAGGCAAGATGGAATGGCTTTGGTCTGGCGAGGATGAGGAGTTTCTCAGAAAGGGGGTCAACCCATGGCGTGACGTCATCAGGCTGAATTCCAGGAGCGAAGAGCTTGAAAAATCTGGTAGCTTGTTCTTCTCTACCTTGCACGAACCACCATCAAAAATACTATTGGAGTAGATTTAGTTTATCAGATCCTAAAGCTTCATTCATTCTCTTTGGTCCATTGATGTAGGAGAAGTCAATCAGACGTGGAGTCGCTTCTCCCAATACTCCTGCGCTAAGCTCTTGGTCTATGCACCACGATTTCTTCAGGGGTTCGCAGCAGATTTGATACTGCTGCGGCATGTTTGATATCGAGATGTACTCGAGGTCCGCCCAGCGAATTACTTTGCCGCCTCCATCTCCTGCCAGAAGAGCTATCGGAGGACTGGGGCATCACGCCTATTACTGCTCCGCCTCAGGGCTTCCCAAGCAGGCGAAGCGGTGGCAGGGTAAAGGCTTCGGCTTCAGCCTGTAATTGCCTCATAAGATAGCGCCCACAGTAAGTAACCTGAGCAGAAAGCCTAATGTCAAGCATGGAAAGAAATGAATGCTGGAAGGATCTGCTGGGACAAGATAAGTGAATATCAAGAGCTCCTAGGCATTCACTGCCCCCGGTACATCACCACTACCGCGAAAAGATGACTTGATATTTTATTTCCCTCGAATTTCTCCCAACATACGACGCCCCTGGTAGGGTAGCGCAACCATAAAGAGTCCCATCTACTTTCAGGTGTCAGTATGTGGGTTTGGTGGTTGGGCCTCTTCCTGGACAGGAAGGTTGCACCTAATCAAAGGCGATTGGGACTGCCTGTCTACAGGAAGAGGTTTCAGCGCCATTCGGTTGGCTTTAGGAACCTGAGCTGGGTTACAATTACAAGTGGGCTTCTGTGGGATCGTAGGATCGTGGGATCGTGGGATGAGATGTAAGACCACCACCAAACTTTTTGCACTTTTTTGCTAAGGCCCGGGGTTCGATTCTAGCTTGGGGAGAAATTCAACGAGAAAAAAGGGACGCAAAGAATCACGATCACGAACTTCTGCGGTGCTGAGAGGTGAATGTCATTAACCCAGTGACAACTCAGTGACTTGTCAAGTGACAACAATCCACGATTGAAGACCTCAAGAACACTTCGAACCACTTCATGCACTTCTGAAATCTTTCCTACACTCGTTTCTCTCCTTCACCAACTCACAACCTCAAAGTGATCATTACTTCGTTGAAACAACCTGGGATTTTTGCCACCGTGTTACAATAATGCCTCCCAAGGATAAGAAGCGAAAGCGCCAGCCGCAAGCGAGGGCTGGACCAGAGAAAGCCCAAAAGAAAAAGGGAAACAACACCGCAGGAAAAACGGCAAGAGCCACCAGAACACGTGAAGCAATTGAGAATGACTCCCAGTCTCCTAACTTTCCTCACTGGGATCCTGCCAAATCTACCAAGGCAATTGACCGATGCGAGAATCTCATCCACAAGCTGAGTGCAGAGGTCGAATACCTAAAGTCATTGATCAAGCCCGGTTAGAAACTACATTTCGAAACCCATTACCAGCAAAGGAGCACTACTATCAAGATCGCAGGCAACAAAGATGTCGAGATCACGGATCGGAACGAACTTGACAAGAACTTTGAAGATAGAACCTACGGTATTGATGGTTCTGAAGAAGATGGGAATCCCCTAGACGCCGACCCCTACGAAGAGACTGGAGAAGATGGAGAAGAAGTCCAAGCCCCAAACGGTCTTCGCCAGGAGGTGGTCATGAGCCACAAAGCCAGCCCAGAACCTGATAGCGAGGACGAGAAGTTCAAAAGCAAGGAAGAAAAATTCAGATTCCAAGTACAGAAGGGCAAAGCAGTCTATCTCAATGGGGTTTTCGAACCGCTCAAGGAGATTCTCTCATCGGGAAACTGAATCTTCGTTACCTACTGCTGCGAGACAGACGAAGCCTTGGATGAGAAGACCTTCATGAAGGCATAGAGAAACTTCGCATGGCCTGGAATGCCACCAGCAGTCCTGTGTGCATGCGCAGTTGGCAAAGGTGTTGCTGTTCTCATGAAAGAACCTAAAGACATGAGGAAGGCGTGTGCTTTCGAGGTCGAAGTCACAGACTACGACAAACGCGAAATACACCAGATGCGCGCGGCAAAATTCCATGGCCCTAGCGGACTTCCCCTGGTGCTCCGAATCCAAAATCTAGCATCGGTAGTTCACGAAAGTGATGTTGTCAAAGCACTCCACCAAGAGTTCCCTTGCAACAAGTTTCATGTTTATCAGATGCTAGCCCAAAAAGGTGGTGCCCGGATGAATAATTTCTTCGTGGTGTTCTCGGAAGCCCCCGCCCATGTTGTCAAGAGTCTTTATTTTCGAGAACTACCCAAGCACAAGGGAAAAGTCAGGCCCGCCACTCTAGTGGTGGATGACGTGTGCTGTTCGTGCGAAACTCTGACTCCCCACTCCGAGGACAGCCCCTGCAAGTACTGGGTCTACCTTTGGACCAGCGTTGAGGGGAGATACTTCTGTGGGAAAGGGCTTGCTGAGCAATGGCTTGCCGAGAAACAGAGTGCCGAAGAGAAGACTGTGCGCCCCTTACATTTCAAGCGGGCCGAGGAGCATGCTACTGCACACAGACCGTTCAACTCCAGCATCCCACAAGCCAACAGTGCAGAGGATCATACATGGTTCGATGCCCCCGGTCCAAGCAAGTCTGTACCATGGTCCTCCGGGACTATAGAGGCAGACAAAGCAAAAGGTCATGAGCGGTTCATCACCAGTCTCTATTCTGGAGTCCCACGAGCAGAGAGTGCAATCAGTCATCATGAGCGGCGAGATGCTGGTCTATTCTCTTTCGGAAGATTCGACAGCTCAAAGAACAACGATCAGAGAGCAGCACCAGTATTCCATCCTCTTCGTGATGTGGATTGACATGGTCGTTTCCGCTTCTGAGAAGCCCACAACTAGGTCATCGGCCGATCGCCAACTTCATTTCTGCCAGGATCACTGCGCGGATGAGATAGTGGGGGAGGGTTTCAAATGGCAGAGTTCAGAAGGAAGGGATTGTTAGAGTCGGAATACAGCGGTGACAAATTATCGAATGAGTCGGCCTGCCATTGAATTGTATGTATGTGTATCCACAGCCAACCATGGCCCCGAGCCATGGTATCACACTCCGTCTTGAGGACGAATCAGAAAAGCACAGAAACTCGAGAAAAACAATTGAAAATAGATAAAACAATCGGAAAAAAAGATCATTGTACGACTGGAAAGTCATGGCAATATCTATTTCTGAACAATCATTACCTGCTGACCTAGGTAGGGATGTAGGCAGGATGTGGACGGACAGCAGTCAATGCCTACCACCCTCCCTCCATACCTACCTACAAACAAACAAGAGACCAAGGACGTACGTGCGTAGCCAGATTCTCCCATCCGCCTGCAAAGCCCAGAACCAAGTCCATACCTGCCGCCATTCGACCCAGGATAGACTCCGACGCAGAAGAGCCGCTCGCACCGTGTGTTCCTCCTTCCCAAACAGTAGTCATCGCAGCCAGCCCTGGCATTGCAGAGGGCTGGAGGCGGTATGATATCTAAACGAGTGGCAATCTTGGAAGAGTGATTTGATGCAACGATGTCAAAAACCAGTGTGTTTATTTATTTCGGTGGATTGTGACCAAGCTTCGCATCAAAGTTTCAAGCAGTCGCAGTGGCAGGAGCTGTGGCGGGGACGACGGAGCTCGTCCTGACCAGGCCGGCAAGCTGATCATCGCCATTATCGTCGTCGTCAACGTCGTTCAAATCGCTGTCCCTCAGCTCGCGGCATTCACCCTGTTTGGTACGGATCATGACAGTGGGGACGTTGCCTCGGATGACCGTGCGGCCAAAGCCCTTCAACTTCCTGACATCTCGTTCCCGCATGCTGTCTGGGGCAACCAGATGCTTGACGCCGAATTGCTCCATGACCAGGCCGGCCAACAAGTTGACGTAGAGGAATGGGTGTTGAATGAGCTCCACTGCAAACGCGTTCAGGACTTTACGTGCTTTGCTGGTGTATTCGTCTTGCTGGTCGAGGCAGTACGACGAGAGATAAAGTAGATTCTGGCATATGATGCCGTTGGGTGAAGGGAGCGCCGAATCGGTGCCGGGCTTCAACCGCATGATCTGTTCCATGGACCGTGCGGCTTGGAAATAGCCACCGCTCGTGTCAGCGAGGAATTTGGAATCGAGTGTGGCTTGCAATTTGACGGCCCATTCGAGATGTTCGGGTTTGTAATTCAGATCGTATAACGCCAATGCACCGAGTGTTAGGTAGGCGTAGTCGTCGACAAAGGCAGATCCGGCTTCTCGGCCTTGCACGGCCCCGGACCAGTTGTAGATCCGAGTGACCTCGCCGGTAGACTCATCGAACATTTCTCGTTTGATGAACCGTACGGCATTTTCTGCAGCGTCCTGACACCGTTGTGCTCGATTCTTGTCGATGGTGGCAAGGGTGTTAGCCGCGCGCGCTAGAGCAGATATCGCAAGCCCATTCCAGCTAGCAATGATCTTGGTATCAACGCTGGGTTTCGAGCGCTGAGTCTTGCGATATTCAAGAAGTTGTGCACGACCGGACTTGATGATGCGAACAATTTCTTCCTCAGACAGTCCGAACTCCTTTGCGAGGACAGATGGTGTCGCCTGAATACTCAAAACATTCTGATTCAGGAACTCATCGTTAACATCGTGCTGGGATGGAACATTTCCATCCGATTTGACACCAAAATGCCTGGCCACAATAGCAGCAGATTGATCGCCCAGAATAGACTGAAGCTCCTTCAATGTCCATACATAAAAAGCACCCTCTTTACTATCATCACCCGTCACACCATTTGTAGCGACGGGGAGTTTGGTCCGTGAGTCAGCATCTTCGCTGGAATACCAACCTCCCTCGGGCCTGACAATAGGGGAGTCAGGATTTGTGAAGTATTCGACAAGATTATAGATTACACCTAAAATCTCAGGATTGCGACCTAGTGCCCACGCGTCACAATAACAACCGAGGAGTTGTGCATTATCACACATCATTTTTTCGAAGTGAGGAAGATTCCAGTCCGGCGTCACACTATACCGGTGAAAGCCATAACCTAGCTGATCCCGAAGGCCTGATCTCGAGATTGCAAACAAGGTGTGGAGAGATATCGAAGCAGCCTTCACACAAGATTCTTGACCTAGAATGCCCGGTACAGGGCTGAAGAATCCGAAACGTGTATGAGTGGATGGTGTTGCAATCGCAGCCCCGATCCGGAGTAGAAAAGTGATATTGGCCGGGGTTGGGAATTTGGGACTGGTCGGACTAGATGCAAAGCCCCCATGGGTCGAGTCATAGCGGGAAATGAAGTGTTCCAATGCTTCGTCGAAAAGGTCGAGTTCCAGAGGCTCTGGTGGATCGGACGATGAAGGTGAGCTACCTTCGACCTGAACGGATGATTGAGAGTGAGTGCCTTCAGCAGCAAAATCCCGCAACTGGTTGGTAATCTCCGATGAGGACTGAATACACCTTTCACGTTGGGTGGTCCAGAGTTCCTGGATCTTGCCTAGGATATCGATGAACGTGACAGGTGCGTTGGTCGATGGTCGTGTGGCATCTGTGAGAGCAGGGCCAGGCCAGTAAGTTCCACCAAAAATGGGCTTGAGGTCAGGGGTAAGAAAGACATTTAGCGGCCAACCACCTGCTCCAGTTGTCGCAGTCACAAAGCTCATATAAATGTCATCAAGATCGGGACGAGATTCTCTATCAAGCATGATAGGGATAAAGTGCTTGTTGAGAATGTTGGCAACCTGGTCTGAACTGAAGGACTCTCGGGCCATGACGTGGCACCCTTTTGACGATTAATTATTATCTCCAACCCGAGAAGGAGATATACTCACAGTGACAGGCATTGTATCCGATGCTCAGAAATATCAGGCGGTCGTGCTGCTTGGCCAAGGCGATGGTCCGTTCAGACCAGTCTTGCCAGGCTACAGGATTATCTTGATGTGCGCGTAGCTTAACGATATTAGACAAGTCTTTACATGAAAGATTAGTTTTCTTCACTTACATAGGGAGAGGAACTATGTGCCAACACATTTTGCAAAACGGGTGCTGGTATGTTGTTGACCATCGAGGCTGGCTGGTGGAGGTCCTGGGAACCTCCGGTGACTAGCAATATATTCGGCAATTGAGGTTGTACAGACGATGATCTGCAGAACGCTTGATTAAGAAACGGCACAATCAGAATTGATTGTAAGAGGAAATTGATGAATAAGTTGTTCGGGCTAGTGATTGAGATGGTTGGGCAGAGGGATAAATCTGCAAGGCTTTGAAGGGTTTGCGCTTGAGGGCGGAAATGGCCGGTTGGGTTGGGAGGGGACGATGGAAACCCGACGGACCCTCACTGCAACGTCAATCTATCACAAAGGATGAAATTTTCATGGGAAAAGGAAATCTGATACGCTAGATGGGGATAGAGGAGTGGGTTGTGCTTAGCAAGTCCGGCAAAAGTTTTTTTTCTTTCAATTGAGGTTCGGTGGAAGAAGCACGACCACTGGCAATCTGAGGGAAAAAGCGGGAGGCTACAGGGATACGAATCAAAGCACACCATTTCAAGGTTGGAGGAGAATCAGAGATATCAGTTTTGCCTGCCCCACTGAAAAATCTGGGGGAGCCCATCACGTGCCGATAAGCAGGGGCAAACCCTTGGGGGCCTTGGTGGGTGCCTTGCTAGCCTCTACGAAGTATGGTCATTGCTCATCCCAAGCCATTTTCTCCAAGAGCTCACTTTCTTCCTCCTCCATCAACGCCCGCAATTCGGCCTCCTCTTCTTCCGTCAACATTGGCAGCTCATTGCTAGGCTCGGGCTCTTGTTCAAGTAATTGCGGGTTCTTCGCTGCATCAACTGCCGCTTGAAGATCTGCTGGTGCAAGGCTCCATCTTCGTAGAGTGGCATCAATGCTGACACTGATAACTAGATCATTTGTCAAGGCCAACCCAGTCACTTCCTCGTAGTGTCCTGTAAATATGTGGTGAAGGTCCCCAGTGGCTTTATACCACACCCGGATCTCCTCGTCCCTGCAAGCAGTTACCACCCAGCCATAACCGTCATGGGTCACCACGTCTCGAACATAATCTGGATGTTGCAGTGTCGTGTCTGAAGCCCAGTTATGATTTCGTGACAGATGTTTTGCCGTTTTGTCAGCCGAGGCTGTCCAAAGATCCCCGTCGTCATCAAAGTGAAGTTTATACACACTGGTTTCATGAGCCAGTATGGGTGCTGACAGTTGAATTTGAGTGGTTTTGAGTTTGGAAAATTCAGGTAAGGCAAAGGAAAAGATCTCTCGCTTCGAGGTGGAAAAGAATACTATCGGATTATCCGGCGAAGATAATGGGTCCAGGGCCAAATCCTCGATCCCCCTGGAGGCAGGCTTCAAGCTGCCGCATGGCTGTCCATCGAGCGTCCAGAAGCGTATATCACCGTCAGCTCCTCCTGATAAAAGTATCTCCTGCTTATCTGGAGTCCGGGCAACAATAAGACATTTGACAAAGTCTCGATGAGCCTCAAACGAAGTATGCTCAGTTACAGTGCGACCCTGATTCGTCTGCTCGGCAAATCGAAACGTATAGTTCCAGATGGATTTATCCCAGCAGCCTGCAAATATGCGCATTGTGGTGAATGGGTCAGATGCTGTTTTGGTTGCCTGTGTTGCCAGGCAGGTTAAGGGCGCCTGGGGACCCCGTGGAGTAGAAGAGATCTCATTTGTAGACAATCTCAGGCCTTTGATTGAACCACCAGCCTCTGCGACGAACAACACATCGCCGCTGGCATCGAACAGATAGTTGACTTGAACAGCCAATATCTTTGTGGGGAACTTGACCGGATCACCTTTGTTATTCGCCGCCTTTCGGGATTTTCTATCCGTCTCGGCTATTGAAGTACTGATATCATGCGATCAGTGATTGTAGCAGACAATTCTAGAGCCGAAGAGACTCACTCTGTCTGAAAATAGTCTCCAGGCTGGACCGAAGTGTTGAAAGAGGCCATAGTCAGGTGTTTGTTCGACCATGGCATCATCATAAAGAAAGCCCAGAGATGAGATCGGCGTGTGGTGTCTCCCAAAAAGGCGTAACCGTCCGTAATGTGGCACCGTATGGTATTGCCAAGACTGCTGCGGATCATCGTGAAAGCGATCTCCACAGTCACGTGACACATCTAGCTCCAGCCTTTGACTTCGAATTCAACCTCCACGCTGACCTCGACTTTCCACATTCTGCAGCCTCGAATTCTTTCCTCACTCTCCCACCATCACCCTCCCACCATTTCCTTTCGCAATAACTCTTAAACCCTCAATAATTCGCGTCTTCCTCTCCTCCTCCTCATGTAATAACACTTGTCTTCTTTCGTTCACAGCTTTTCTGTTCTTCCAGCCATGGATCACCTCATCGGTCAGAGATTCAACCTCATCTCAAAATCAGAGATTCGGTAAAGCTACCTGTTCCGATCTTCCTCCTTCTGTAAGAGAGCATCATGCTAACAAGACTTTATCGTGCAGCTATGTCGGGACCCTTCATGAAATCAATGCCGAACAGTCGACCATCGCGTTAGAGAATGTCTATTCCTTTGGCACTGAAGATCGATCGGTCGCAAAATTCATTCCTCCTTCCCAGGACAAATACGGCTTCATTGTCTTCCGCGGAGGTGATGTCAAAGACATCAAGATCGCTGAAGATGAACCCTCTCAACCTTCACCTCCTCCTAACATGCCCAACGACCCTGCCATTCTGGTATGTTCTACTTTCGCGCATAACCCCTACCCTTTTCAATGATGAATCATTTCGGATGTAAACACAGACCTGTTCTTAATGCGCAAAACCGTGTGGAAATTTCCGTTGCCTTCCTTCTGATCGAAATACCGTTCCAAATAATGTCTTGGTTATAAGGTGTCGTAAGCTCCAGCTAATTTTGCTTACCATGTTAGAATGCTTCTCGACCAGGTCCACCTCCATCAGGTCCTTCCCACGATGGTCCTTTCTCTCCTCCGGGTTTCGGACCTCCACCTCAATTTGGTGGCTACTACCCTCCTGGTCAATTCGGTCGAGGCTACGGACCCCCTCCTGGTGCTTTTGGCCCTGGCCCAGGCTTCCCACCTTACGGACCACCACCTCCTGGATATTTTGGTGGTCCTCCAGGTCAAGGTTTCCAACATGGGCCACCTGGCTTTCATCCACAGCCTCCGATCGGTCCTCCAGGACAACGTCTAAATCATCCTCAACCTCCTCAACCAGCCCAACATCCCACGGAATCCATCGCTCCTGGCGCAGGCCCATCTCCATCTTCTGCACAAACATCTGAACTGCCAGTTGACAACAAAGCTCCAATTGCGTCCAATGTTACAACTTCAATCAAAGAGACCCCGACAGAGACACCTGTTCAGCCGAAAGCAGACCAAGAAAAGGCCGTGAAACCAGGTCCGCCTGCGGCATCGGCGACAGCTCCCAAGACAGCTCCGACTGGTCCTAAAAGCAACCGGGTTGCACCTGCTGTTCCATTCACTGTAAATCAAAAGTCATTCACACCGCCTGTCGTCCCTGTTCAGGATGCACCATCATCGTCAGCCAATGGCACGACGGCCGCAAAGCCTGGCAAACCTGCATCCTCCCAAGCTGCAATGGATGAAGCAGCACGACAAGCCAAAGAAGCTGTTGCTGCGGCGATGGCAAAACTCAATCCTCAAGCACCCTCGGCCCAAGCTAAGTCGACCCCGTCAGCTGCTGCAATTGATGCTCTGTCACAAAGAGTAAATGCAATGTCAACAGGGCCCAATGCCGCAAATGGTACACAGCGAGGAGGTCGGGGATCAGCCAGAGGGGCTCGTGGTGGTAGTTACGGGCGTGGTGGACAAAAGAAGATGGAGATTCCCAAGTCTGATTTTGACTTTGAATCTGCCAACGCGAAATTTAGCAAGGAAGACTTGATCAAGGAGGCAATTGCGTCAGGATCGCCGCCCATTGCAGGGTCGGACGAAGCACCTGTCGAGAGTACTCCTGGTGAAGAAACTTCTGTTGCGGCACCCAAGAGAAAGGATAGTCTCCCTCTCACGACGGGCTCTGCGTATAACAAATCTTCATCCTTCTTCGACAACATCTCATCTGAAGCCAAGGACCGCGAAGTTGCTGTGGATGCCCGAGCTCAAGGAAGACAAATGAGAGGTGAAGAGTTCAAGAAGAACATTGAGACATTTGGCCAAGGCAACGTCGATGGTGGATTCCGTGGAGGCCGAGGACGAGGGTCTGGCTATGGTCGAGGACGAAATTACAACAGTGGAGGCCATCGTGGCGGATACAATAACCGTGGAGGCAGTGGCACCAACAACTATCGAGGAAGTCGAGGACGTGGTGGTCAAGGCCAGGGGGATTCCGTCCAGGCGATTTAGACTGCTGGCCAGTCTTAGCTTTGAAAAGCTCAGGGATTCACGGCGGGACTGCATCAAGCATTTTTCGGATTGGGTCAATTAAGAGTTTTCAGGGCGGGCAATGGCGAGCGAATCTTAGCATGTAACAAAAGACGTCGACGACTTATGCTTTTGCAGTTGCGAGGCTTGAGTAGCAATGAGCTACAGGCATGGAGCACAATGGGTTTCTCTTGGTATGTCTACGCACGCATCTGATGCGAAATGGCGTAAGCTGTTGTGTATTCAAGGTATAATGTACCTGGCGAACAAGGAGATGCCAGTCACAAATAATGTGCTTGCACGCACTGCACTGCACACAGGAAGGGAATCCATGAGGAAACGAAACTTTTTTCATGCTAGATGGAACTACCTAGGAGGTATTATCAGATGAATCAACTAGGTGTCCTCCTAACATTCATGATCCCAAATCATATATCAATACGTGGGTACCTAGGTAGTCGCCAGCCGTCCAGTATCGTTAAATGTAGTCTCTGCTCGGAACAGGTCCAACTGCTGTGAGGGGCTAAAAATGCAGTGCAGTGCCTCATGCTGCCTGTCGGGCATGTACATATTTGTCTTGGCAGCTTGAAACGGGGTGTTTCTCAAAAGCGGTATTGCGCTCTTGCCTTCCTTTCCATCCATCTCCCCAGCTTGACAGCCACAGGATATCGTGTTCATGTATAATTATCTGTAGTGGACAACTCGCGACTCCCTGTCAAGGCTGTAGCCTCTTATATTGCATCAGGTGGGCAACTTGAAATACTTCACACAACCTAGGTACGAAGTATAGTTTGGTACCATCGAACATCTTTCCCTACTATCCGGCCTGGTAGGAACTCAGCCGCATTCTACGGTTTAAATGAAAATGCTAGACGCAGGCATTCCGGGTGTGATCGCAAAGCCCGAAATGGCAGCTTAGCCGACACGTTTTGCTTGCCTGCAGTTTTGGAGAATCTGCTCTTACTGCAACCAAGCCAGACTGTCTGTAAGGCAACTGATGCCTTCAGATACACCACTTATACCGTCAAATGCCTCTGTAGCCGATGAGCTAGAGGCTTTGAACTCCATCTACGGCCCAGACACGCTCGATTTCCAGGGCGAAACACCCAGCGGCGCATCAGCAGCGCTGCGACTGCCCGACCTACCTTTTTCATTTTTGTTCACCTTCCCTTCAGAATATCCTGATGTGCCTCCCCTCATCACCGGAACGCAGTCGACCGGCGATAGTGGCAAAGGTGAAGGAGAGGCCGCGGTGAGCATTCTGCGGGATCTGCTGGGGACGTTGTGGACTCCGGGACAAGTGTGCCTGTTCGATTTGGTAGAGGAGGCCACACCGATTCTTCAAGAGCATCACGCTCAACATCGCCATGGCGCGGCTGAAGATCACAGCGCACATGCTACGCACAGGTCGGCGACTTCCACACAGCATGAGCAACAAGACCCGGACCTGACAATGGTTGCAGCATCGTCCATGCCATCCCCACCGTGGGTCTTGTCTGAGCCAATGACCGTGAGTAAATCCGCGTTCATTGCGAGGGCCTGCCATGTCGCTTCTCTGGATGAAGCCCAAGACTCAATTTCACACCTGCTCTCGACGAATAAGAAGGTTGCGACGGCGACGCATAATATTCAAGCTTGGAGAATACAGTCGACTAACAAAGAGACGGGCACTGTCACCACTATACAGGATAGTGATGACGATGGGGAAACAGCCGCTGGTGGAAGGCTCCTTCATCTGATGCAGTTGATGGATGTATGGAATGTAGTCGTGGTCGTTACCCGGTGGTATGGTGGTGTCAAGTTGGGACCGGATCGATTTCGACTAATCAACATGGTGGCAAGAGATGCATTGAGCAAAGGCGGATTTGCCAAAGAGGAAATTAGCAAGACAAAGGGCAAGGGGAAAGGTAAGAAGTGAATGAATGAGCATTAATGCTTGATCACTCGTACCCAGGACGGACCTGAACTCGATGGCCCGATTCAAGTTCGTTAGTCCCGAAATGGTTAGCTCGACACGTGCCGCCCATGTGACGATTGCGACTTTCAAGTTGATCCTCTTCTCCACCAGCCACAAACCGGTTTTTCTCGCATGGACTTCTTTGAACTCCTCCCCATGAGATTGTCATATCCCTGTCGAATCCCAGTCTCATCCCAGTCGCTTCTCCACGACTCGTGTATTCCGTCCACTCATGCCTCCTCTTGGATTCGGCTGGCTAGTTGATATTCACACTGTGTGGCTTGACTCTGACGTCGTTTGTCTGTGCTTTACGAGGCCTCCGACAAGGTACATGGATTCATCAATGTCCACCATGCCAGCCATCTGTTCTCCCATGTCACTCATGTAGGTTGTCCCTCCCTTGATGTCCTCTTTTCTTTTGTCTCTGCATCGTCGTTTTCTTTTCTCTTTTCCTCATTGTCTACGAGTCTCTTCATCAGCATCTTCTTCGCATCCATCTCGCTTGGGGTAATCACATTGGTGAATCCTGCCGCCAATATCATCCATCCATTACTCGTCCGTTTATTGCGGAAGGCCGCTCACCCCGCATCGTATCCCAAGAGAACGACAGTCGCCATGGACAACGACAGTGAGCAAAAAGTGCAGCAGAAGAAGGAAAAGCCTCTTCACGAGTAAGTCTACTGTGAACTCGAATCACGGCGAACATCAATCTTACACATCTGTAGGCTCCTGACCTCCTCCCTCGTGGATATCTACGTCGGCGCAGAGTCTACCCACTGGACTATTCATGAGAGACTTCTCACCTATCATTCGCCATTCTTCTCTTCCATCTTCTATGCAGACGACAAGAAGGAAGAGAAGAAGAGCCGAGGCAACAAATCCTACGGCCTTCCCGATGAAGACGACTATCCCTTCGAACTTCTCGTTGGCTGGCTGTACTCGCGATCCATCCGCCAGCCCAAGGACGAAAAGGACATTGGTCCACTCCTCGACCTCTACCTCCTCTCCGAGAAGTTCCAGATGAAGCAACTCGGACTGGACATCGTTGAGCTCGCCAGAGACTACTATCATAGCACCTCCACATACCCAGGTCTCCGCCGCGTACAGTACGTCTACGCCGAGACAGACGAAGACAATGAAATGCGCGAGATGATGGTCTCTTCAGTTGCAAGACAGTTGACCACGAGTGAGAAGATCCCTGTCCACTGGGCCCAGGCACTACAGCGCAATGGTCAATTGGCCGTTGACATCATTCGCGCAATTCAACAATGGCACATTGAAGAGCGTAGCATTCCCGATGCCCGAGACGGCAGCCGAGCCCGAGGTCGACAAGCCAACGGACTCGGGTTCAGCTCGGTCGAACGAGAGGGCGAGTCAGTCGAGACAGCAGGCACCGACGATACCAATATGGGAGTCGAAAGTCTGAACAGTGGGATGAGCGATGTTCAACTAGGCAAGAGCGACGCAGAAGAGTAAGTCTACTTGCAATGTATTGTATCCAAAAATCCATTGCAGCTTGCAGTTTCACGGGGATGCTCCTTTCTGCTGCCATTCCCAGTGGAAGACTCCAGAAGAGTGACCCCGTCTCACTGTGCCCGCACGGATGTATGATTGAAGCGAAAAACGCGAGAGAGAGCTCAAGCTGAGTTGCAAACCTTGTTGAATTATAAAGTCGAACATCTCGGAGTCAATCACCTCGACCGCTTGAACCACGGATGGAACCGCCGGACAAGGAAAACAAAATGGATTGCGATCAACAGGAGCGAATGCATACGGACTCGAAGGTCACTACCACCACTAAAAATCGACGGAGGAGGTTCGGGGCGTTATCTGATGGATTAAAGTTATCTTCTGCAGGCCGGACGGAAAGTATATTCCTGCTTTCCGCCTGGCTTCTGTATATTGTGTATAATGTTTCGGTGTCGTACGGCAACTTGAACTTGAAGGGAGCGACCTGGAGCTGACAGTATGAACTTCCCAAGTCAAAATGAAAAATATTCTAATTGCTTACACGAGTCCGCCCCCTTGATTTTACCGTTGTGCCACTCACTTTCTTTAAAAGCCGCAAGACGTGAGCCGAGGTAGCCATCTTCCTCGTGCCGTGCCCAGACCAGCCAACGCCAACGACTTTTGCAGTTCCTATTCCCGTTCGTGCTAACAAGGCTGCTTCTGCATGCTCCGTACCCCTCCAGAGCCGATCTATTTCGAGTCAAGATGATTCAAGATTGACCGACATCTTCAATCCTTTTCTATTCATCTTCGAAAGCCCCCAGTGCGGGTAATTTTACTCACATAATCTCGCTCACTCATCGTTTCACTAACCCCCATCAAATACTTAAATATCCGCGGAAACGTGTCCGGAGTCTCATCGGGATTCTCTTCTCGCGTCAGATCAGAGACGCCGAACTCAAGCGTTCACTTTTTATAGTTGAGACTCAAGCTGCGGGACAGAAAACTTCGCCTTTGTTGGCAGAATGCCGAACTGATATCTCGCATCTTCTGAATTATTGGACGCACAATACCCAAACAAACTGGGTACAGAACCTCGAGTTGAAAAGGCTCTCTCCATCCAAGCATAGTGCACTCACATTCATCCAAACACAAAACAATGTCGACCCCCGACAATGCAGCAGTTGCTGCCGCCCGAACAGCGGCGATGGCGAAAGTGCAGGAGGTGCTCGACATGTACGTTTCTGCCCAACCCATGATCACTGAATATGGCTACTCTTCCACTATGCATCCGACGCATGGATTCCTGTTATTCCACTTTCTGGCATCGAGGAGTTGGGAAGAGTGCCATATCCACAAGACTTCTCCATATCACTGGATGGCAGATGAGGTTGAGTAAAAGCTGACTTTCCACGCCGTCCCCACGGATCGACAGGTACAAATACTTCAGACACGTAACGGGCTTCAAGGTAAATACGTCCGTTTTGTCTTGCGACGACACGACACCACCACCCCTCATTTCGCAATCCAGACCAACCCTCCACTAACTCCTCACACCAACAAAACAGGGCTACGACGTCGAACTAATGACCAAACTCGTCCTCCTGGACGCCGGGCCCGAAGGACGCGTCGTGTGGGAGCTCGATATCACGGATTTCTACTCGAACGCGAACGGTATGTCAGCGTATCCTGGGTTTGGGGACGTTGTCGCTCGTCCGGCGCGAAGTTCATTTCTGCGGCGCCCTCGAATCTACGAGCAAGAAGACTAACGGTGGGATGTTCTGTCGATCTAGGCGTCATGCATGGCGGTGCGGCGAGCGTAATCTTTGGTATGTTGCGTTGCCGCTGCCCTGTGATCATGATAATGGCATGATATTTTATTGATTGTCTTGCTGTACCTAGACATGTGCACGACCATGGCACTTAGCCCCCTTGCGAGACCCGGATATTGGGAGTAAGTTCCCTTTCTCCTCCGAACACTGGCACGAGGCGAAGGCCAAGGTGAAAGGAACCCCTGACTATTGCCTTGTACTAATGATGACCACGACCAGCTTCCTCGGCGGCGTGTCACGCACCATCAACGTCTCATACATCCGCGCCGTGCCGTTAAGTAAGCAAGCAAGATCCGCGCCCCTCACCTCCCCATCAATATCTACAGCACAACGCAGCCCCAATCATCCACTCGACTCCCTTTCCTAACCCCAAATCATCGGCACACAGACACAAAAGTCCACATCAGCGCCAGCGTCGCACAACACGGGCGCACGATGGCGCTGATCCGCGGCGAGATGACGAGTCCGGACGGCAAGCGCATCTACGCGACGTGCGAGCACCATAAAGTGCATGTGCCGCCGACGGCGAGCATCGACGAGTTGAGAGCGGGCCTGCAGGACGAGGTGCGCCGTCGCGGAGGCGATCGCTCGTTCCTCGATGCGCCGCTTGCGGATGTTAAGGGCTCGGGGAGTCGGGTCACGGGGAAGTCGAATCTGTGAGGGGTGGGGTCTCGTGGCACGGGGGAAGAGTTGTACGGGTGGGGTTGATTTATGGTTGTTTGCACATGGATGGGGTGGGCTGTTATTTGGTGGCGGTGGAAAGACGCGAGAGAGACAAAACGAGACAAGAAAGAGAGATCGATAGGAAACGCAAGACAAGGAAATGGATAGAGTGGAATACCTGAGCAAGGTGGTGTAATAACAAGTAGGTATTGTGCTTCAAGAAGCGCTCACTGGCCGAGGATGAGATGCCTCCAGAACAAGAATCACTTAGAAGCGGTAGCCCCGGCGGTGCTTGAAGCGGCTATCTCTGAGCCATGTCATGGCCCTTCAAGCCAGGTCTTTGAATTTGCACCATTGTCCGATCTGTGTGCGTACAAGATGTCATGTGTGGTCTGAAGGACTACGTACAGTTGCTCGGCCTTCCGCCAACAACGATCTTCTTCAACTCATCCCAAGATCTCCTCAGACGGGCGCCCACCAATACTTGCGGTTGTGTTGATCAGGTAGGTAGATTGTGTTGGGTTGAATTCGGTTCAGATGACGGGAAACACGTCGGATCTTAGCTCCAAATTAGTGGATAGAAGCGAGATAAAACATATTGTTGAAAGTGAATCTGTATTAATGTCGGGTTTTGCTTCTCTTTCATTCCTCGCTATGCATTCAGGGGTGGTGATGGTGATACTGGCTCGACTTTTGGGAAATCATCATCAAGGCTTTTTATCTACACAGAAGCTGCATTGCTTCAAGAATGGTCGTAAATAGAAAGAAGGGTAATTTTGCTGAGCTTGGAGAATAAATCATAAGAGCTCAATGGTCAAGTGGTCAGGCTTGCAACAGCCCTAGTTGCAGATCATTCCAGCTATCGGTTCGTAGGGGATCGAGCCAGACGATTTAGTTGGATATCTTCTGGTAAAACAACAAATAGGCGACTTTGTTGTCTTTGACGGAGAATTTCGGGTTGGGTGTTTGCTTCCCAGATGAATCCTTTGCTGGGGTAGCAGTGCCATTGACAATGGCACTCATGGTTGACTTGGAACGGGAATGACCATTGACCTGGTTCCAAGTTTTATCAGAAGTTCCTTCTTCTTCATCGTTATCCTGATCGATCTGCTCAAACCTGTTACCGGTCTCTTTGTGTCGTTCCAGTGCGGCAGCAAGAACCTTGGGGTCTTCTTCACTACCTCCTTCAGCAACGTCCTCACTTCGAACACGTCTGATTAGAGTATCGTCAATGCGAATCCATTCACGATCATCCTGTCGACGAATGTCAACAGTGTAATGGCCGCCATTGGCATTCTTCCCATGATGATAAATCACGCCAGTCAAACGATACTTCGGAAGTCCACCGTGTGCCACGAACTTGTTCCTAGTTTGCAAAGGGAAGACTTCCTTAGGAAGTTCGAGCTCGAGTGGGTATCCGACCTTTTTCCAGATCTTCTCGGCTCGTTTTGTCGCACTGTCGTAATGGAAGCGTTTTAGATGTAGGATGAGCACTGGAGGTAGTGTCTCAATGAAGACTTGTTTTGTAGCAGTAGCTTTCTGGCCTCGAGAAGTATAGAAGTCGCCTTGCATACTTTCAGGTCGGGTGAGCCCTTTCAAGGCATCAATGATGTTGTGAACCTGAGGGGATCCGATGTCAAGTTGAAGTGGAGAATAAGGTTCCAGAGTGACAGACAGCTTGTTACCCGACACTTTGAGCTCCGATCGGAGCTTACCCCCAAAGATATTCGTGACGGGCGACTCGGTGGAAATAGCGCCTGATGATCGAGTAATTGCTGCCTTCTGTTTATGTCCAACTTCCAGCCAGCCTCCTTCACCTTCGACTTGTTCGGAGAAGTTTGAGACACTTCCAGCAGGAGTTGTTCCACCCGAGCTTGACGTGACGCTTGATCTCATGGTCCGAGCACATTCTTCGTGCAATTCTTCCAACAAAAATCCAAGAAACTCTTGAGCATCTTGTTGATGACCTCTTCGCATTTCTCGAAATCGAGGTAGATCCTTGATGGCTGCGTAAACATATTCTGGAATAAATGGTTCACCGTATGTCTCAAAATCCTCCGACTTCAACCGAAGACGTAGCTGATCAACAGTGTTCGCTGAGCAGATCACGGAATATTCTTGAACAAAAAGTATGATAGCGTCAATTAGGGGTGTGTCGCTCTTAAAGGCATGTGGAGCACGTTGAGCAACTTTCGATAAGAAGTCATAAAAGGGCAATGAGAAGACAAGGACTTGCAGGACCTAAAGGAGTACTGTTAGTAGGAGGGAGGGTGTGATTCACAAGAAGGACTTACCGAATTCATGTAGCACATGTTACCAGTATTGACAAGTCCACGTGGTTTGAGAAAGGAGACCCGAGTTGGGGTTGCAGCAATGGAAGAGTTCATATCATTGAGAACATCAGAGAGCGTCTCGTTCCTCCCAACCTTGGAGGATTCTGCGGCAGTGCTCGAAGTAGAGGCAGCAACTGACGGAGATTGGGAGTCATTGGATCGGAATAGGTTGGCCCATGATTTGGGAGGGGCTGGTGCTGAAGCGGGTTTGGGAGTCGAATCAGAGGGTATAGAAGACTCTGCCGCACCAGCAATTGAGGCGGAGGATTCTTGTTCTTCCTTGGTCACAGATTTTGCCGTTTCTGATAACTTGGACACCTGGGAAGTCACCGAGTCCCGATGTGCCTTTCGGCCAGCAGTGGGACTGGGAGGTAGAATTGGGACTGCAGGAATGATGGGACCCACAGGACGAGTTTTTGGTTGGGTAGGTGTTGACTTTGTGGCAGGTGGAGGAGCAGCCGATGAAGGAGTTGTTGGTTGTGTTGAAGCGGTCTCAGAGAGGACATCTGAAGGCACGGGTGTTGAAGCTTGAGTAGTGGTTTGGTCATTGAGCATAGGGGGATTGGTGTCCTCGACGGCAAGCTCCACATCGTGTGATTCCGACTCAGCAGCAACGCCCAGCTCGTGAGAGATTTCCGGCAAAGGATAGACTACAGGTTCGGTCGCAAGGAGTGACCGAGGTACACGTCGTTTGCGAGGTGCTGCCCGAGGGGGAAACGCCTCGTTGTCAACAGAGAGCCATGGAACCTAAGATGAAATTAACATGAAGCAGAAACCAAGGGAGAGCAAGCCTAAACTCACAGGTGGTTGAAAAGGTTCTCGTGGCTCCTCTAATGTCGGAGTTTGAACCTGAGGATGAGTGGGTGTGTGTGGAGGAGCGGGAGAAACCGAGGTGGTAGGTGAAGCCGAGTCCTTTCTCGTATGAGTGGTTTGTGTGCTTGTAATACTCAAAGGCGGCGAAGGAGGAGTTTGGACCAGTGTAGTAGAGGTAGTAGAAGCAGACGGTGGAGGCTGATGATGTGGGAGTTGTCTGTGGGCGTGGGTGGTAGAGATATGGGGCGAAGGTTGAGGGTATATCTGCTGCTGATGCTGGTGCTGGTGCTGGTGCTGGGGCTGGGGCTGAGGCTGTGACGAGACGATTAATGGTTGTGGATGTTGAGGATATTGTTGAGGCGGTGGCATCTGATGTTGGGGGTAGTGAGGAGGCCTGGGATGATGCATCTGAGGAAGTTGATGTTGAGGGTACTGATACCAACCTGGTTGTGCATACTGTGGTTGATATTGGGGCATCATGGGGGGCATGGCGGGTGGATAATATGGTTGATAGGCGGGGTGAGGGCGCATGTTCTGGGGAAGGTTCGTGTATGAGCCATCATGGCGCCGAGAAGGAGGCTGCATCGGCATCTGATGTGGCCTATACGGAAGATGATGATTTTGCTGCATATTGAGATCGCGTCAAGGCTGTGGAGGCAGTTGCATTGCGACCACTGCAGGATGGGGCGCGTCGAGCAGCAGAGAGCTGGGATTTCTTTCTTTCTTCTTTCAGACAGACATGAACCGACACGCCATGTCTAGAAAGATGGTTGGGTATGACGAGAGATGGGGGATCGGTGATTGAACTTTGAATTGTGGTTGAAGAAGTTCTTAGGGGAACTTGAGAGAGGCAGGACCGATGATGGAATCTTCTCGTCGGACAAACGCGATGGTGAGTACCACTGTAACTCCTCATGCACGAATCCAACAATGGCGAAAGCAACGAGGTGGAGGAGCAAAGAATGGAGTGGAGAGTCGACGCCGAAAAGTGAAGGAGCTATCAGCACTGAACGACACTGTTCGAGTGGCAGTGGCAGTGGCCGTTGCAGTTTGGTGGTTGTTGCAGTCGAGAAGTTGACGAGGCAAGAGCAAAAGAGTCCACAGCCTGGAATTGTCCAGCGACCAGCCAACCGTGGAGTGCAGGCACTGTTAGTGCTCGGCTAAGATGCCGCTCAGAGGTAGCGTGTGTGCTTAGCTAAGTCATAGTCCCCCGTCTCCCAATCAGAATCAAGCGATGAGCCTCGAGATGATGAGGGATGAGGGATGTGAGGAAGGTGCAGTCATGATCAGTCACAGTCTGGAGACTCACTCCCGATACTGGCAACTACCCCCCATCCTGCACCCATCTGAGTCTGCACCTGCCATTCAACACCTCAAACGCTAACTCCCTCTCATTACTCTTCACTTCTCCTTCTCTCCTTATCCCATACCCGTTCGCCCTGGCGTTCGCGGTAATGCCAACAACCTCCTATTCGCCTTCCTCCCCTCGTCCCTCGTCCCTCATCCGAATTCCTTGTCCCTCCATTCTCCAACAACCCAGGGCTGGTTGGCTACAGCGACGGGTTGCACGTAGCAATGTCATCAAGCGCCACCTCCAGCCCGGCTGCATCTAAACAATATCCTTCGTCCGTTCAGTCCAATTACTCCCAGTCTCCTGCCGTTAATACCATCGACTCCTCGTCAAAACGCAGTAATAGCTCGACTGGTGGCATTTCAACTTCCTCGACGCGTCCTATTCCACTTCCCCGTGGAGGTCAGTCACTCAGAAAGAATCACAAACAAAAGAGCAAACCTCGTCTAGTCGACGAAGACGCCATGGCCGAGGTCTCTGCCATGAGGTCCATCAATAGCCGGAAGGGTCAGACTTCCATCACCCATCTCATGAACTTTACTTTGCCACCCCGCCCTCAGCACCATTACCAACACCACTTCAACAACCGCAATCAAAGGCGAAATCCCGTCTGGGGCCTTGGCTCAGGCTATCACGCTGTCGACAAAGCTCGCTATGTTCATGCCAACTATCGTTTCATAGTCCGGCCCGATCGAGAATACCATGCTCAGACCACCGACGCAGATGTCTACGTGAGCTGGGATGCAGTCCTTCAGGTCCTGGCTTCCGCCGATACCCAGGCTGCCAGTTGTCCCATCTGTCTGTCTACTCCTGTTGCTCCACGCATGGCAAAGTGCGGCCACATCTTTTGTTTACCATGCTTGATCCGGTACATGCATTCCACCGATGATTCCACCCCCGTCAATGAAAAGCGTGCCCGGTGGAAAAAGTGCCCCATATGTGAAGATAGCATTTATATTTCTGAGGTCAGACCTGTCAGGTGGTTCACTGGCCAGGATGCCAGTGAACTGCGAGAAGGAGGTGATGTCCTGCTCAAACTTCTCAAGCGTGAGCCAGCGACCACCCTGGCACTCCCTCGCGACGCTGCAGATAGCTATGGCTGTCATGAGGACATTCCTTGGTTTCATGTGGCTGAGATCATGGAGTACGCTCGGTTCATGAAGGGAGGAGAAGATTATATGACTACTCAGTACGACCTAGAGATCAGCACCCTGGAAACTCAAGAGAAGGACGATGAGATCATGTATGGAGACGATAATACCTGGACCCGCAAAGCCGTCTCTTCCATTAGCGAGGCCAAAGAAAAACTCTCTGGCTTAGGCAACCCTCCAGGATCCGCACTTCCGGACACCAACCCTTTGGAGATCGATATCCCAGATTCATGGGATGATGAGGTCCGGAACGGACAGTCTGCGTTGACCAGTGCGATTCAGGCACTAGCTGTCGAGCAACCTGCGACTGCGATCAATTCAGTGCATACTACAAGACCCCGAGCGGGATCCGGTCGTCCATCAGGTTCCCCCTTTTATTTCTACCATGCCCTACCGAATTTCTTCCTGTCTCCTTTGGACATTCGCATACTCAAAACGGCTTTTGGCAACTTTGCCGCTTTCCCTTCTACAATCCTGCCACGGGTTGAGCACATTTCAACCGGGCATATAGTGGACGATGACTTACGCAAAAGAGCCAAATACATGGCCCATCTACCATTTGGATGTGAGGTGACCTTTCTCGAGTGCGACTGGACGGACATCATTAGTCCAACCATTTTGGGCCAGTTTCATGATGATATTGCTCGCAGGAGGAAACGCAACCAGGACAAAGAAAATCGCGAAGAGAGAGACAGGATTAGAGCAGAGAAAGAAGAGGAAGACAAACGATACGCCGCATCACGGCGCAGGAGACCCAGTTCAGTGCCGAAGAGCTTCAGTGAGGCTGATTTCCGACCATTGGTGGATGCCAATACCCATCCAAATTCATCCCCTGGCGAGTCTGCACTTGGAAGTACTCCACCATGGGGCAATACCCGAGCGCACTCGTCGTTTGCTACCTTGGCAACACCTGGCACCAGTCCGGAGGCCCCGAGGACTGTCTGGGGTACTGCTGCCATAGGATCCAATTCTCCAACCCTCGTGGATGCCCCTTTGCCAATTGCACGTGACGATGGATGGCTGCAAGGCTGGGAGAAGGACTTACTCGATGAAAATAGTGCAATCGCCATGGTCGAAGCAAGCTTGAAAGGTGAGAGCAGCACTTCTGCCCGTATAAGCCATGGCTCTGCCAAGAAGGGTAAGAAGAAGAAGATCACTCTGATGTCGACAAACAACCGCCGCGGAGCATGATCGTATGATCGCATGATGTTGTATATCTTACATTACGATTCAAATGAAATTTGTGCATATAGCATGACTAGAATGCCATATTCGTCCCAGCGGACATAACACTACACCCATAGTTCAGTTTGTCCTTGGTTCCTGCTTACATTTTGTGCAGCACTGCTATGCTTTTGAATGGCGCGTATTCAGATTTGCATAGGCTAGCATTCCCAACGGGCCAGCGATCGACTAAAAAGGGGCCATTTCACTGGGAAATAATGCCCAAGTTGGAAGATCATTTCGTTGACAAAGTATACACGGACACAACACTTGACCTTGCTCATCGAAAGTGGCCCTCGAAGAGCCTGGCTTAGTCCGGTCGGATGGGTGCGGTCAAAGGCTCAATCTCATCGGCCACATGCAGCTGGCACAACCACGCGCAAGACCAATCCACGCCCGTTTCAAGGCTATGGTCCTGACATTTATACTGATAGAGCGAGCGTACCACTCAGAACAAACATGCGGGGTCCTAGACTCTCTTCTATCACAGGGCCCGTGGTCAAACGAAGTGGCGATGGATGGCCTTGATTACTGAACTTGATTCAACACCTTGGCCCCAACGGCTTTCTAGACGTGTGGGAAAGAATTAGACGAACGTCAATCTACTATTAGTGTGGACAATGATCCTAGCAAGAACTGGACATAATCATGTTGGCATATACGTTATACAGCTACCTTAACTGTGCTAGTGGATGTGATGGATCTTGAACTCCGAGCCGAGTCTATCCAATAATGATTCCCCAATCTGCTTCAGCCTTGCATTGTCGGTTCAGAAGGACGCCGGAGCCGTGTTATCTGCCAAGACACATTATACCACTCCTCAACCAGTGACGACAACATCAACTCTTCCACAAACCTTTCACCCTGCCAGACCCTGAACCAAGCTCGGTCGGAAAACTACTGTGCAGGCATCTGGTATTTCAGGCAAGCCAACATATTCAGCTCCATGCCATGAATGGTCGACTGGAGTTCCAAAGTGCCCGAGCCCTCCCCAGGACATCCGAGGGACTAATTATGTATGAGCTCGTGGTCCAGATCAACCTCACCATGTTGGTCGTCACGGCCTGTACCTTGCAGCCCCCCAATTATGACCTGCCATGAAGTATGCAAGTGACGCCGCAAAGCTGAGGCGTTCAGCTTGGCAGCATACTGGCTTCCCTGTGAACATGCCTCCCAAATCTCGATCTGATAGGTGAGAGCCCGCCCCCCGAAGAATGTTTGCATTTCAACTTCGTCATCTCTGCAAAATGAGGTCCGTTTAATCTTGAGCAGCCTTATGAGTACAACCTGAACGGGTTAATGAGCTTGTCTGACCTCGATCGCGGAGTGGACACCATACATGGATCAACAGGCTAGCGCTAGAGAAGTTGACGCCGTGACGAAGACGCCGACCTACACGGGACATCATCACCCTGCAAATTTGCTGAACATCGGCCTGAAGCATGCATTACAAGTGAACAGTCGATCCCTGAGATTTCAGTAATTGCACTTGTTGTCGCAATCCCTTAATGCTTGCGTGGCCCCCAGCCGCGATAGTCAACAGTTGTTGGCCTGAGTCCATCCTCGATCAGACGAGGTTACTTTCTCATTGACTGTCTATCTCACATTATGTCCGCAGATTATTTGACAGATTAGTTTTTCAGGCCTGACGCTCGGGCTAGATAGCATCTTCCGACCTCTCTGCACGTGAACTTGTCTCGAAGGATGATCCAACAAGAGGCAAAACCAGAATGTATATTAAACCCATCGATTCACGCCAATCCAACACCTCCCCAGCTCACTCAACCACTTTCTTAATACCTCCAAGCAAGAAAAGACGAACCCGTAACAGACACTGCACACAGTTGCTCCACGAGAATAACCTCTTGCAACATGGTTCTCCTCAAGCTTATTCTTTCCCTCGGCCTCATGGGTGCGACGGCTGTCAACGCCATCCCAACTCCGGAGGCGACAACGGGTGGCCATGACAGACTCCCTGGATGTGGAGAGGTCAATGTCCTCCTGACGTATGTCTCAAGGAATATCTCGCACAACCTGACTCGATTTTTGAAGCGCGAATGCTAACCTGAGGTTTCCCAGTGGTCTTCCACCATATCATCCATTGGTCATTCAACAAGGACACGATCCGAACGGGACTGAGATCGGTCTTCGTGAGAGCCAAAAGATGGCTGTCGACGCCGGATATAACGTCCGTTGTGAGTTTTACGGCAATCGCTTCCCGGAATGAATTCTATTGGCTGATCAGACGAAATTTTGATAGACTCATTTATGGGCCCCGAAAAGCCGCTGACCATTCTGGAGGACCGTCTTGACGGAATCGAATGGGCTGGCACAGGTGTTGGAATGGGCATTCGTGGCTCTGAAATCCCCGAGCTGGTAATTCGTCTGGAAGGCAAGCATACCTGCATTTGGGGAGAGAGAGGAGAAACTCCTAGATAAGGGAAGTCCTTTTCGACCGTTACCGAGCACTAACTTTTGAACTGCCAATAGATATCATCCAAACCTACCGAGACGTAACACCCGACGCACACATATACTTCAACTATATGCCCAATACAACGCTATGGGCCATCCAGCGCAACTTCCCGCTCTCCAGCAATTGCACGGACTCGCCAGGGAAGAATTTGGTATGTGAAACGATGGAACTACAGCCAGGGCCTCAGCCCCAGCCTCGAGATACGTGCTAATCAGGAGTTGTTCTCCAGGGCTTCGAGGTCTTCTGTGATATCTGCTGAGCGGTTGGCTTAGCTGTGCTTTGGGATGATGGCTTTTCATTGGTACAACGCTCGACGAGCGTGAAGCGGTGTATCAACCATGCAGAACAGTTTGGTATTGAGATTTCCTTCTGTTCGGCGCTTGGATCTGTCGAGGGAAGCACTGTAGGCAATGAAAGCTCTCTCGATCGAGCTTCGCCGGCGCAGGTCAGACATACGGATGTTCTAGTGACAGCATAGGCTTACTCTCAAGATTTCATTCTTATTCCCCTTTTTCGTTGCAAGTTTTGTGGCCACTCAGTATGACATCGTGTCTACGGGCATCACCATATGGCAGGTAAGGGAGCAATTACTCGTGGGAGGTATCTCGAGATGTGGCCTCAGCTTGCCTCAACTCCCACTGCAACTTGCGCTAGACCAGCTAAGGCTGCCAAAAGTCAGAAGGGGTCGAGAACTGTGGAAGAGAAGAATTTGAAAGGAGATCTGAGGCAGTCGACGCTGGTTCGATGCTGAGATACACCACGGCCTCCGGAAGAAAATTTCGTATTCGAGTTTTGGCCATATTCAATGACCTGCTGTGGCCGCAGAATGCAAAGAACATAAGAGAAACCGGATCGGGACTCTTGAATTGAATTCTTGGACACCATGATGGGCCATCAATTAATTAGCCGCCATTTCCGAAGAGGGCTATTATCATTTTGACGGTACGTATCTATGCATGACAATCTGTTTTTCACCAGATAGCCTGCCAGTGCCAATTGCCCCAAGACGGAGTGGCGCCTTCCTTGCGGTAGTACTACTACGCCAGTTACTGGAAAAGCCAAGCACTCATTCCTCCGTTATCAACAAGCAGCAATTAATCGAAGACTTCTACCAAACTAGCCCGCGAGGGTCTCACATGATCCCAGCCCCTCTGATTCCCTTCGTCGTTGATATCAGACCCTCCCTCGATAGGATCTCCTGAGACCAGGAACGTTTCAACGCTTCGCCCTCTGCTCTGATCGCAGCACATGGCTCGTTTATAGCACCTTGGCAATCTTGTGATCTCGCCTAATGGAGTTGCACCATAGTTCATTTCACAGATGCCGAGTCAATGAACATACCAGACATTCAGGCAATCAGCATTTGGCTTCAGGGATATGGGAACCAGGAGTCAAACTTTCAACACGAACGGTCACGGGTAGTGTCCCCGCTCATACATACAATCGAATAATGGACCCTATCACATCAGAAGTCAAGAATGCAAGTTCAATGCACGAAGCCCTCAACCCCTGTTTAGGCAGCTGTGGAGCCTCCGAGAGGGCAATGTGATCTGGTATACTGGGCAGCTTCGCTATGATATGTTCACTCTTTATTACCAAATTAGTGCCGATGTCAAGTCAAACCAAATAGCCTATTCAGACAATGTATGATATGGGGCAATTCCGAATGATTTCCGACGTTACTTATCAAACAACCGCAATGGTCTGATAGAGGAGCACGAGGCCGAGTCAACTTGGATCCCGCTTCACACACCCGACTTGGCGACCGAGGTATCTTGGGACATAGACTTTGGAACCTTTAGGATCCAGGTATCTTAATGCTCATTGCGGCCCAATAGGAGATCAAGTTTCCCGTATCCAGCCCAGTGCTAAATCGAACCATAGTCTATTATTGGCTGCCAATATCAAAGAACGTGCGAAGTCCTGCAACTGGAACAGCCTAGCAAGTTGGTTCGGTACAAGGCCAAGGAAAATTAGCAGACGGCACACTATCAGGCTGAATATCTTTGAACCCGCCGGCTACTATGGTAGCAAGAAGACTCGGTGCGATTTGGGTGGGACGATCACGCTATTGTCTTGTGATGGTGCCTTGGTATGTGAGTTTTGGGCAAGGCGTTGTCTCGTCCACTCGGGCTTTCTCCATTTTTGAACGTGAGGAACGGGGAAACTCAATACTGGGGACTGCGGAGAGCGGGGCCTGGAGCCGCCGCCAAGGTCTGGGGTGCTGTTCCTCGTTACTAGCTTTCTGCTCCTCTGCTGATTACTACCTGGGTGAGGTTTGGTTGTCAGTGTGTTAAGACTTCGGCAGTGCTGCCCGCGAGTCAGCAATTGCCAATCATGGTCAGATATCTGGCTAAATGCGATGCCATGGATTCGAGTTATATAAAAGGCAACGATCTCGCTTCCTCAAGGTTGACTTACCATCATAGTCCTCTCTTCAATTTGACTTACAGGCCTTCCGAGGGATATCAAACATGCGTTTCGGTGCCAAAAAACTCCAGGCGTCTCGAGCCACCAGGCTGGAAAAGCCTCCAAAGGGCCATTTCTTCTTCGCTGGACGAGTGTTCCCACGCATCAAGTGGTGGCAAAAGCCTCATCTACGCAGGCTTTACTTTTACTGCGTTGTCCTCATCTTTGTCAACATTGCTAACGGCTTCGATGGATCCATGATGAACTCTCTACAGTCTTTGCCATATTGGCAGGACTATTTCGGACACCCCAAGGGCAGAGTACTCGGCATGCTGGGCTCCTCGATGAGTCTGGGTTCGATCATCGGTCTTCCATTTGTCCCGATTGTCTGTGATCGCTTCGGGAGAAAGAAGGGCGTCATTTTGGGCTCGAGCATCCTCATTGTCGGTGTCGCACTCCAAGCTGGCGCTGCCAATTACAACATGTTTCTGTCCGCTAGATTCGTGCTTGGATTTGGTATGGCTTTCGCCACCAATGCAGGCCCCCTCTTGTGTGCCGAAATTGCCCACCCGCAAGATCGAGCCATCATCACAACTTTCATGGGCTGCTCCTACGCCATGGGCTCCTTCGTTGCCGCCTGGACCACCTTCGGAACCCTCAAGATCAAGAGTGACTGGGCCTGGAGACTGCCGTCCGCCCTGCAGGCATGGGCTACTGTTGTCGTTATCTGCGTAATTTGGTTCATCCCAGAATCCCCTCGTTACCATATGGACCGCGACAACCACGCAAAGGCTCTTCAAATGCTCGCGCACTATCACGGTGAAGGAAACGAGCATGATGAATTCGTCCAGCTCGAATACACAGAGATCCGAACTGCTCTTGATATTGATAGGGAGTTCCAGCGGAATACCCGATGGGTCGATCTTGTTGCAACCAAGGGGAACCGTCACCGGATGTCTCTTATTATTGCTATCGCCCTCTTTGGACAATGGTCTGGTATGTAATCCGACTCCGGCATGAATATCTACGTTTTCTAACACAGCGTTCATAGGTAACGGTATCATTGCGTATTACCTCAAGCTCATCTTGGACGACATAGGCATCAAGAAGCCCAGCCAACAGCTGGGAATCAACGGAGGGTCCAAAGCCATGTCACTTTTGGTAAACATCTTCGCTGCATTCTACATTGATCGACTTGGAAGACGACCGATTTTAATGATCAGCACAATCGGAATGTTGACATGCTTCGTTTTATGGACAATTCTCAGTGCTCGTTACGCTATCGAGGAGAATCCATCGACGGGCTTGGGACGAGGCGTTGTTGCGCTGATCTATATGTACAACTTCTCCTACAACTTGAAGTAAGTGCAAACAATCGCTCTTGATTGACTGCAAAAAGCTAACGCAACATAGGACCGGTCTCCCACTGACATACACCACCGAAATCATGCCTTACGGCCTCCGTGCCAAAGCCGCCATGGCCGGCGGTCTGGTCACCATGGCTGCGGTCTTCTTCAACCAGTTCATCAATCCAATTGCCATGGGTGCCCTCCACTGGAGGTACTACATCTTCTACTGCTGTTTCCTCGGATTCGAGGTCTGGTTCCTGTATTTCTTCGTCGTGGAGACAAGATATGTGCCTATGGAGGAAATCGCCAAGTACTTCGACGGTGAGACCGCTGATGTCAGTGCCGTCACGAATGCACAGTTCAAAGCCGAGTTAGCAGAACAAGGCACGGCCGAGCAGATTGAGAACAAGAGCTCCGCTCCTGAAATCTCCATCACGGGAAAAGAATTACGATGAGGTGAGGCGGAATTCGTGTGATCGCTTCAACCCTCGAGGACTTAGCAAGGGACAAGCTGATGAAATGAATGAGACGAGCTTCGAATGAATGCTCACTGATATCATGAGACTCGCACTGGATGCAACAAATGCTGCACTGCAAGACCCCATAGAGAAGAGATGGCCTTCGCCATCAAAACCAGAAGTAATGGATGAGGTTAGATCCGGTCCGTAGACAAATCATGAAAATGACCCGACGGCTTTACTCCAAATCAGGCTCTATGTAGCAGTACAGTGCCGAGACAACCCAGTTGCTCTTTCGCGAGTCTCCATGCCTTGAAACAAAAGCACAACGGATCAATAGCCTACGTGTCCTAGAGCTTTCAGACTTATTCGAAGCCCGACAGACCCCGCAAGCGCAACTGCAGCAGGTAACCGTACCCGCATGTCCCTTCACACCAGAGGTCACAAATGCAACATTCGCGGCGCTATGCGGTAAGCGGCAAATGGAACGCATCGCCGTATAAATATCCAAAGACCGAGCTCGGAAATGCAGCGCAGTGCAGAACCTGTCCCCGCCGCCAACAGTGAAGGAGTGCGGAGGCGGGGGACGTCAAGCTAAACCACAAGCTGGGTATGATCAGCTATTACCCATAAAAGCCGGGACCGTCGTTCCATAGGCCCCTCGCCACACGCTTAGGCTTGCCTGGAGTTGGATAGGGACCTCTAGCCTCGGAGCTTTCCATTTCCATCTTCGTTGCCTCAGTCCACTCACTCACTCACTCACGACCTTCAGTTAGGGTGGCTACAGTATCATGGGCTCACCAAATAACCTCGAGCCGAGGTCAACTTGCAGCGGAGGTGATTTAGCCATACGAGGTAGTGCGATACTGGATGGTCTCGTGGATTTCTGGCATGCTCCGTGCTAGTCAGTCACCTAACTAGGAGTCTTCTCCTCGCCTCTCTTTTCTCTAGATACCTAACTACATAAGACAACAAGGCCTTAAACACTATGAATTACTTACTAGCACGACCCTTCCGACCTGGCGGAACACGTGCTGCGCTACCCTACTAGTAGATCGCTTGGTCCGTATATGATCAGGGTTCAATGAACTTGATATCCGAAAATAGAATAGGTGCGGCGGATTTCAGTGCGACCCTGTGGAGACAGTGAACGCTTTCACGACATCCTAATCGAATGAAAGACTAAGTTACGTCTACCTAGGTTTGCAAGAGCATATACGTCTGAGTTGTAGAGAGTTGCTCGATAATGTGGGTGAAGAGAGGTAGCGAAGTCCGAATGGCCCACCCAGTAACTACCTAGGTAGTGAGTGATGCGTAGACAACTTTAAGATTTACAGTTCCTAAGGTTAATGAAAGTCTAACCGCAATGGAAGCCTTAAGTCTAGTACATCGTAACTAGAAAACCAATTCTCCTCCTCTCAACTAAGCTACGTGATACAGCTCGCAGGGGGGATATTTTATACGCGCACCACCATGTTCTCCCCAGTAGAGATAGCGACCGTTTGAATAGCATTTTCCTCTTTGTCGGCGAGAGACTCGGCTGCATCAGAAACCTTGAACTCCGTGGATGGCGAAAAAGGTACCATGCCCTTCTTCGCAGCTTCCTCCGGCGTGAAAGTTCCATAGATATCATGAGTATCTTGCTTGCCTAGCCCTGGTGGTGGGAACAATCGAACAATGGCGTAGTATAATGCTCCAGCTTCCAAGAATCCTGTTGCATTATGTTAGTCTATGTATGATGCTATGCCCACGTTTTCTGGTAGAGTATGAGGAACGCAGATTGGGCTTACCGAAGAGATAGTTCCCATAGTAATAGTACAGTGCCCCTTGACTGACCTTGACGCTAGTGTTGACGGTGGCGATCATGCCAGGCATTGCAGGGACGAAAACCACTATCCACACTACAATAGTGCGCCAGTTAAAGCCGTGCCAAAAGTAGTAGCTGCCTTCTGGAGATAGGGTGTAGAGAGCAGAGAGCTCGATTTTCTTAAATGTCATCAGCTCAGCTCTCGATTGATGATTATCTGTGGAAACTCACCTGCTTGCGAAGTAAGAAATAGTCGGTGATCATGATGCCGGTGAGTGGTGCCAGGAAGACCGAGAACGAAGCCATGACGGCAATGAATACTGACGATGTGTTGTAGTAAAGCCATGGATGACAAACCCATGAAAGTGCAGCGCATATCAAGGATCCCTAAATCAGCCGTCAGAGGGGGTCATGCTCTATATCCTTTTGTGGGGACTTCAGGACTCACTCTTCGTATGTTGATATATTTGGGGAACAGCCCGGCCATATCCATACCAGCTGCGAACCCGTTACCAACGGTGTTCAGTGCAAGCTGACTACAAACAAATCCAAATCCACAAAAGAAAGCTGCAGCTCGTGCCTTCGAAGAGTAATCGTCAATCATCCATTGGAGAAGAATTTCAACCGGATTCCAGTACGGTACCCCCCAGATGTTGACTGTTGCAGATGCAGTGAGGAGACCCATCATAGGTACAGCAACGCCCGGGAGATACAGACACAATGCAAGACCAGGAATCTGGCGTCCTTGCTTCTTAGTAAACCTTGTAAAGTCTGCCTGGTTGATAAGTCCGGCGGAAATTGAGCCCAGAGTTGAAGTGATGGAATAAAACCAGGCCCAGGGGCGAGAGAATGTTGTATATGCTGAGCCCTGCGAGATCAATGGCCCATATCCACCCTTTTTCGTTGCCCAGATTGTTATCCCAAGCATGGCAAAAAAGGTGATGACATTGGCAACTTTGACAAGGTTGATGATCCTCTCAGGACGAATGAGCTGTAGCAAAATGTTGGTGAAAAGAGAACTACCAGACCGATGGTATGTTGCTTACCAAGAAAGGTACAGAGAGGAATTGGAACACCACAAACCCGACAAAGTCACGAGTGACCATATGTGCACTCTCAGGGAGAGTATTCTCCATTGTCAAGAAAGAGTGGCTCCAGCTGCTCAGAATTGTACTCATGCACAGCCCGCCCAACCATGCCTGAGACGCAAAAGAGATAATCGAGAGCATAATTCGAATAACAATGCCGATGTACGAGCCGAGCATACCGAAAATGACCCTGACACATATTATAAGTCCTGAGTGCCAGGAGAAAATTTAAATGTGGACAAACGCTTACCTCTGAAGAACAGTGTAGCCAATGTGCCATTCACCACCAATCCAGCCAGTCTACAGAAACCCATGTCAGATCTGTGTTCGATAGTTTTCATAACCGACGTCTCAGAACAGATGAATGTAGAGAACTTACGGCACCACCGACTGCGAGGATCAACAGCCCTGCGATTAAGCCAGATACCATGACTTCCCACACTGCAAGACCAATACCTAGCATGGCCGCTGATCCGGCCCAGACGCCAATGCAGAACTCGGAGATGAAGAAGAAGCCGGTGAACTCGAGCCAACCCCATGTTCGACGCGAGGGAGGCATTGGAACAATGTCATGATTGATAAGATGATTGGTTGTCTGGCCATCTCGTTCTGGCACTTGAATGGTAAACACCGTCTTCAAATTGAAAGCGACCATTGTAGCCGTGATGAATAGGTTTGGGAAAGAAGATTATTTCGGCCAGAATCTGTGGCTATCACAAGTCCAGTGGAGGTCGCATCTTGTATCCTTATACCACGGCATTTTGTGAAGAGACTCAATCGTCGCTTCATGTAAAGTGATCAGACCGTTCATGGATGTAGACAAACACGGATTGGGAGGGTGTTATGCTATCTCCATGTGCCAGAGGGTGTTGACCTTCAAGGGAGGCTATCGGCTTGGGGAACAACGGCTAGCTATCGACTCTAATGATCGAAGCGATCTCAGAGGTCTGCTCAGAGATGATAAGTCCCTGGGCGAAGATGGTCGGGCGGGGTAAGAACCTGATTCTCAGCCACGAGCTAGTCACGGCCTATGCCGAGCCTGAGATAGGCTGGTAGATCTTGCCCCTAACACTGATAAACATATAGGGCTTAAGACTTCGCGGTCGAAAGCTTAGCTATCGTGCTTCAACGTCACTCTTGGCGTAGACGATGCGCTAGCTATGGAAAGCCTAGGGGGCTGAGTCTATCCTGAAAATGGACTGTGGTCACTAGGTTCTGCGATAGCAAAAGCAAGGTGGCTGTCTCCCAAAGTAATTCATCAAATATGTGCATCGGACACCCTGTGGTGGAGGCGTGTATGGTCTCCAGCATTTCACATCCAGAACACATGGCTGTTCAGACGCTTTCTCGGATTTACTCATCACTGTCTGGTTTCGATGGACTGACAATCCCCATAATTCGAGTTGGAATGCTCGGCGAAAGGTGAATCATTCTTTGAGACCAATAGTCGGCTACAATTTCAGGAATACTTAATGTCAGATAAAGGAGGCTTTGCTCTTCGCGAGCCAAACGCCTGCATGAGTAGAATCCCAACGCCTACATCTCGCTATCAGCCGTGTAATCTCCCCTTGGATCAGTCACCTCCTTCACCTCGGTTATGGAGCCTCGCAATCTAATCATTGGGGTCGATGTAGGTGGTATGTATCGAGACTTATTGACGTTGAGTGGAAGTTGGCTGATCCAAAAAATATTTCAGGCACCAACACAGATGCTGTACTCCTTGACCCCGCAAAGTCTGGACCAGAAGCAGTAATCGCATCTTACAAAGCCACTACTGGGACGGATGTCACAACTGGCATTGAAGAGGCAATTCAAAGATTGCTCCAAGATGCAAATGTTCGTCCCGAGCGTGTTTCTGGCTTGATGATTGGGACAACTGTAAGTCGACGCTGGGAGGGCACCAAAGTCTCAGACTAATTGGAAAGCATTTCATCAACGCTGTGATTGAACGGGACTCCTCAAGGCTCGACCCCGTGGCCGTTGTCCGTCTGGCTGGTGGGAACTACTTGACGCATACCCCACCCTTTGTGGATTTTCCACCAGCTTTGAAGAAGAGTAAAGTGTGCTCTGAGAAATGTAATTGAACCAGCTGACTGTGGTGAACAGTTATTGACGGCCACTGGGCTAAGATATCTGGTGGTATTGAGATTGACGGCACAGAAATCGGCCCAGTCAAAGACGAAGAGGTCCTGGAACAAGCAAAGATCATCAAGGAGAAAGGCCTCCGCAAAGTCGCTGTGGTGGGCATTTATTCTCCATTCGATGATGATTACCGCCAGGAAGATCATGTTCGTGATCTTCTGAAGAAAAATCTCCCTGAGAATGTTGATATAGTGTGTTCCAAGGATGGTAAGACCCTCTATGTTGTTCCCTCCCCTTTGTGCCGGCAACTAAGACCATGACAGTTGCGGGTATTGGATATTTGGCACGAGAGAATGCAACAATCCTGAACGCCTCAATCCTTCGCTTTGCCAGGCGCACGATCAATGGCTTCCGCCAGGCCATGAAACGCCTCAATCTCAGATGTCCACTCTTTCTCACCTCCAACTCTGGTCACCTTTTGTCCTCCAGAGAAGCCATGTCATATCCTATTCAAATATTTTCTTCGGGTGCGACAAACTCTATCAGAGGGGCATCGTTTCTTTCTGCACAAGGACCGATGACTCAGAGTAGGTACGTCGTCGATATCGGAGGAACCACCACAGACATTGGTTGCCTTCTTCCGAGCGGATTCCCTCGCCTTGCTAGTACGTCCACTGAAATTGGTGGGGTGAAGGTGAACTTTGCTATGCCACAGGTTGAGAGCATTGGGCTTGGTGGAGGCTCTCTTGTGCACGAACTACCCGGTGGGAGATTGTCCATCGGGCCAGACAGTGTGGGACAGAGTTTGAAGGAGGAAGCAAAGTGCTTTAATGGTGATTCTTTAACCACAACCGACATCATGGTTTCGGCAGGAAAAATGCAATTGGGGACTGTAGTCCCCGAGATACCCTTGGCGTTGATATCTAAAGCCAGGGAAAAGATGAAGAAGATGATCGAAGACCATGTTGACAGAATGAAGACGTCGCCAGAGCCATGCCAACTACTTCTTGTGGGAGGTGGTGCATTTCTGTGTCCAGCTGAGCTGCAAGGAGTGGCCTCAATCGAGATCCCAACTCATGCCAATGTTGCCAACGCTGTTGGAGCTGCGGTCGCCGAGATTGGGCAGGAGATAGAGGTCATAGTTGATGCTAGCAAGAAAGATGCCATGTTGTTGGAGGTAAGAGCCAAAGCAGTCGCTCAGGCTATTTCAAGAGGAGCAAAACAAGACCAGGTCCGAACCATCGAAGAAGATGTATCAGGCATTGCAGCCATAGAAGGAAAGTTCAAGATCACCGTCAAAGTTGTAGGTCCCGTGCACTATGAGCGGCTCCTGAAGAATGTCGAGTTTGATGATGATCTCCTGTTGGCCAAAGACGAGACTTACCACGAAACGAAGCGGTTGAAGATTGGTGATCACAGTGAGGCTTCTTTCGACGCAAAATTGGTGGACCACACCACCTACACACCATATGTTGACTGTGATCGAATATGGCATTTGTCAGAAACAGACGCTTACTATATCTCACTCGGTTGTTACATTCTCGGCTGTGCAGGGGGTGGTACACCATATGGTTCGTATCTTCAAGTCCGGCAGCTCCTTCGTGACGGTTGCAGCATCAAGATAGTAGATATCGAAGATTTGCCAGAGAATGCCGTGGTTGGTCCAGTGGCAGCAATGGGCAGTCCAGTTATTGCCATCGAACGACTCGGTGGCAGCCTCATTTTTGATGCAATGCAAGGCATGGAGGAACATCTCAACATCAATTTCACCGCAACTCTGACGGCAGAAATTGGTGGTGCGAATGGAATGGCACCTCTGGTCTTATCGTCTTCACGATACAAAGACATCCCTTGTGTCGATGCAGATCTTATGGGTAAGAAACATTCCATGGGCTGAAAGCCTCTTCTCCAATCATTTTGTCCATAAATTATTGATTCTTTATATCACCTAGGCCGAGCTTTTCCAGCATTCGAGATGAGTTCGCTATTCATCGGGGCGAACAATATCAACGATCTGCTTCCAGCATGTTTATCAAGCGGAGATGGGACTACACTGACTTTGACTTCGGCAAAGAACTCAACATCCGTTGACAAAGTTCTCCGTGCAGCCTGTATTACCATGGGGTATGAGCAATACCACAATCAGAGGTGTGGGATGAGCTGACATCTTATGCGAAGTCTCGCTGCAGGCATCTCCGCCCGACCAACCACGAAATCAGAGCTTCAGCGATTTGCCGTACCCAAATCTATGTCTCTCTCCTGGCGCCTGGGCCGTGCGGTGGTCCTCGCACGATCTCGGGGCACTTTAGCGACTGTCCATGAGGATATCATTCAGGAGTTTGGCGGACCGCAAGCCGCAAGCAAAGTCTTCGAGGGGAAGATCGTGGGGATTGAACAGTCAATATATAAAGGCCACAGCCACGGAACTTTGATTATCGAAAAGCTCACGGACTATGAAAAAGAGACCATAAATGGTAGCGACATCGATGGCCCAGAAAAAGTCCGAATACCGTTCATCAACGAGAATCTGTTTATTGAGGCTACTTACACCTCTGGTGAGAAGAAGGTAAGCGTATGGCCCTGGAGAATGTTATGCGTCTGTTTAGTTGTAGTTCTCTGAACAGAATTAGCTGATATTTGCCACCTGTGGCTAGATTCTGGCAACAGTACCGGACTTGATCATGTTGCTGGACAAGTTGACCGGCGAAGCGGTTGGTGTCCCCGAATATCGATACGGTCTCAAGGTCATGGTGTTGGTTGCCGCTGCACATCCCCTATGGACTAGTAGCGAGCGAGGTCTTGACATTGCTGGACCCAAAGCATTCAAATTCGACATCAGCTTCAAGCCGTGCGGTACATACCAACCAATACGAAGTGTTATCGACGAGTTTGCACCCTCGAAGCAGACAAAGGTATAAAATAGGCGGAATAAGAGGATAGAAAGGAGGAGGACGCAACTGAGTAATGCATGATGTGAACCAAAGGTACATAAATCTGCATCGCAGCCTTCTTCGATGTTTGGAGCGGTTACATATTGTGAGTCTGCCAAACTCTCAGACCCCAAAAGTGCTATCTAGAGTATCGCCAAATCAATGATGTGAAATTTTGCAATTTATACAGATCTTTGGTATTGAATTAGTCATCTCGCTGATCATCAAAGTACTTCTTGACCTGATATGCTAGGTTGTCATCTGTTAGAAAGCGATACCCGGCAATAGCCATTCCCTCACAAGATAGGAGGGATGTCTCGAACGAAGCCGCAGTACCTGCACCATCGGCAAACGCTGCAGTGTGAGGGAAAGCACCACCCGGTGACGGTATGCCAAAAATGCCTTGCCAGCTCGGACACTCGTAACTCACGTTTCCTTGATCTGTTGACGCGGGAGTGGTTGCACGGCCGATATTATTCTGCACCTGATGACCTATTGAGGTCATTGCATCTTGAAATGCTTGACATATTGGAAGATTGGTCTGGAGATCAGCATAGGCGCCCAGGCATTCGATCTCAATATCACAGCCGGTAGCCTGTGCGGCTCCCTTGAAGCAATTCAGGACTCGTTCTTCCAATGCACGAGCTCGAGCCAGAGTCGGTCCTCTGACACCAAGCTCCACGACAGACTTCTCAGGGATAACATTGGCCACCAATCCGCCTTCTTTAATGATGAGATGGATTCGCTCATCTGGCCGCACCTGCTGGCGTAGTACCGCAACACTGTTGTATGCAGCAACCGCTGCGTCCAGAGCATTGACTCCCTCCCAAGGTGCCAGAGCAGCATGCGCAGGTTTGCCCTGAAAAATCACGCGAAACCCCGAAATTGCTAGCGTTCGGTCGTAAGCATCGCCCAATACGTTCCCAGGATAGACACTGGAACTAGTTGGGTGCATCATCAAGCACATGTCAACATCTTTATAGGCGCCCGCATTGACTAGCTTCACTTTTCCACCGGTTGATTCCTCGGCGGGCGTTCCCAACAGTCGTACACGACCTGGTTTGCCAGTCTTTTTGAGAGCATCAACGACAGCGAGAAATGCTCCCAGTGACGTAGTTGCAATGAGGTTGTGTCCGCATGCATGGCCAATGTTTGGAAGCGCATCGTATTCTGCATTGAAGGTTAACACCCTTCCTCCCGATCCAAACTCCACTTCGAAGGCCGTTTCGATGTCATATGCGTGTGCTGTTACACTCAAGCCTTCGCTTTGCAGGGCCGCAACGAGCGTATCGTGTGCTATGAACTCCTGGTAGGCTGTCTCCGGATTCGAGAATATCTGCGAGTCAATCCATGAAGGTGAGCAAGGAAGTGATTGCCCTCAGTGGAGCTAAGCGGCGCTCAGAACATGATCATACCTTGTGGTTGACTTTCCAGAGCAGTTCCCGATGTTTTTTCAAGCTCTCATGGATCACTGCCAAAGCTGCTTGATTGACGGTACTTGGCGATTTTTCAAGCATACTTTTGTACACTCGTCGAGGACAGTAGGAGACAACGATGGCAACTAGGAAGTGTTCTAGCTGAGTTACAACGTCTCAAGGCAGTGCTTCAACAATTTGCTTTTACTGGGCGAAAGTGGATGAGGTCAGCCAGTCGATTTCCATTGAGCTCCTCTCTACAAGATTTGTCATTGCATCAGTGTGCCTGGCAATGATGCGCAACTGAATCTTGACGATAGGCAAGAGATAGCTAACGTCAACGGCTCGCTTCTGCTTGCTATCGCGGGGATTCTGCACCCCCGTCAGGGCAAAAGCCACGATAAGCTTTCGGGGGAGGCTTTAGCTCTGCGAGGTACGAGGTACTTTGCACTTCAATTCCAACATGTCGCTAAAATATTTCATGGCTGAGAGATCCTTTTTTACGGAGCTTTTATCTCCTGTACCGCTGAAATGTTATCGAAATATCTTGGCCCTCATTGTCATGCAAACAACTCCACTTTGTGTTCAAGAGAGTCGACGTGGTGAAGTATCTTTTTGGGTTGGTTTCCCGCGCTTGCAGCTGAGGAGCATTGGAGTCTGTAGCTTTCCCCGCTCAAATCCCCCAATGGTTGTCTCGCTGATACAAGAGTGCGTTCGCTGCTTGCGCTGCAACTGGAGGGGTGACTTTCTGGAAGGCCTGAAAATGGGCCGATGTTCAGCTACTTCGTGCGATGGACAATGGACAATATCCAGACATTCTGAAGTCGAACGCCATAGACTGCTGGGAGTCGATACACAAATTCCGATTGTGATTTACGCCAACGCGTCTCATTGTTCTGGTCTTGCTGTCGAGGTTAAATAGAGCTATATGTCGAGCCGAGTTTAGATCATCATGGAGGCGCTGACGCTCCAAAAAGGTGGTAGCAATGGTCTTCAAATCCGAGCGAGAAGGCTCTCATAGCTCCTGCAGCATTGAGTGCAGGAACTCCTGCTTAATGACACCTCCAAAACTGCACTTTTCGTTAGCAGGTGAACTCGCCTCCAGCTGCGGAAAATTTTCAGGAAGACATACCCATAGCATTTAATGTGCTCTAGCAGCTTTTCGGTCAGATTGTCCAGCTCGGCCACGTTGATCCGACCAAAGTCAGGGTGCTGCTGGATCTGATGCCAGGCCTGGATTGGTGTCACCTCTTGACTTTCCTTTGGCAGTTCCTCAGATCTCTGTAAGAGAGTAGCAAGAATTGAGCGTGGGCAACTGAAAGATTGCAGTGTTGCCTGTGGATCAGGCTCTACATTTCTATCTTGTGGCAGCGGAAGAGCAGTGAGGCTGTTACTAGGTTTGCGGCTTGCATTGCTTGATATGCAAGACATCAGTGTGGCAGATGCAAGATGCATGTGGCCTTGTGGCGTGTGATCGTCGGTGCCCTCGATTGAGGGATCATGAATGTGTGGTAGACACGGCGATTCGAGTCTGGTATTTTGTGAGTATCAGGATCAGGATACGGCTTGGTCAGCTTACTTCAGTACGAACTCCATCGCTACGACAACAGTGTCAAGATTGGCGATGAACTGTGCTTTATACAAATACCGGGATGGTGAGGGTGTGTTGGAGGGTTCCTTCCATTGTTGCTGCTTGGTCGTGCCAGATCTTTTCAAGTTTGGAGTGCTGAAGTTGGTGAAGGTCTCATTGGGGCTCCCTAAAGACGAAGGCGTCATGATGAGCTGGCTAGGTTTTCCTTGCGAATAGTCAAGCCGTATGCCGATGCCTGCTAAATTCTTATCCACCGCAGACGGCATGGGTTGTGACAAGAATGCATCGGCACTGTCGAAGCCGCTACCCGGCCATGCGTAATCAGGAGCTCCCGATTGATATGCTCGAAGGGCACCTTCACAAACATTCAATCTTTGCTGCAATGCAGCCACATCGGAGCGGAGCTGTTCAGCGTCGGCGATTAGCAATGCATTCTCAGCGTGGAATTTGCTGAGCTGCCGTTCAAGTAACTTTAGATACTGGTCGCGCCTTTCGCGAAATGTTCTGAGAGGTCCATTTAGCTTTTACTCCGGACTTAAAAACACTATTTGCGCTGCCAGGTACTGACTTCTGCGCCCGGCGAACTTGCTCTCGCCTCTTTTCTGTGCGTTCTGGGTGTCGCGATCAGCATACGTCGAAATGCAAAGCCTCCAACGAGAACTCTTGGTTCTACACACCTTCTTTGGTCCGGAAAAGCGGCCGGAATTCAAAGTTGACCATTTTCGCGATTCTTGATGAGTGCAAACAAAGATGGACACACTCGGTCTTGTAAATGTGTAGTTGGGGTGAGAGTACGCAAGCCAGTACTTTTCTAGCGCTGCATGGGGCGAATAGACTGGCTAATGACTCTGGCGAAGGATGAATTAAGTTAGCTGGTGGTTCAGGGGTTGTTTCCGCGTCGGATTCTGACACAACCCATGCCCTAGCGGATGAAACGTTTCAAGAACGGAGCTCCAGCGACGGGCGTGGTGTCTCACAAGATCAATAACCAGATTCTGCCCGATCCAGTTAGCCCAAAGAACAGTTGGAGATTGCTCGATGGTGTCGGAGCCTCATCCAAAAACCCACCATTCCTGGAATGGAATATCCTGATCGATAATATTGTTACCAGACGTCAACGAATATGTCTGCTAACCGAACAGCAGTCGAGTATATAGATCAACACGATGGCGGACCTATTCTTCTGTTTTCCATTGTTCAAGTCATCTGGTACGACTACAAGCACATCAATCTTCAGTTCTTTCCAAACACGCTCTTTCTTTTCCACTCGTTTGAGTCTTCTTGTACAGGCATTGCATTCTCTCCAATCACCACTTCACAATGCATTTCACCACATCCCAAATCTTGCTGCTGGCAGCCTACTTGATGCCAAGCGTCCACTCTCACCCTATGAACTGCTCGCCGCAGTCGAGTAACGCCATTTTCTTCTTGACCAATGATCAGAAGAACTCTGTCGCTGCCATTCCAATCGGCCAAGGAGGAATGCTGTCTGGTGGTTCGGTGACAGCCACTGGTGGTGCTGGGTCCAACAGTCTTGACGCTGCCGGAAAGGCTGCCGCGCCAGATCCGCTCATCGGCCAGTCTGCACTTGCCGTCGCAGGAGGGGTAAATGTTTCTCATCGAATTGGATATTCATGTTGCTGACCAGATATTAGAATGTCTTTGCTGTCAACGCTGGCAGCAACACCTTATCGATGCTGGCCATTGACAAACAAGACCCAAGCAAGCTCACCATGGTTGGGCAACCGATGCCGGTCGAAGGAGAATTTCCAAACACTGTTGCAGTATCCATGAAGCACAAACTTGCGTGTGTTGGTACTACTGGCGCCAAAAACGGGGTTTCCTGCGCTACATTCTCCAAACAAGGATTAGGAAAATTTGATGGCCTCAGATCCTTCGGTCTAAAGCAGACAACACCACCCGTGGGCCCAACGAACAGCGTGTCACAGCTTTTCTTTTCCGATGACCAAAACACCCTTTTTGCCACTGTCAAGGGAGACCCAGCAGTGAACAACACCGGTTTTTTCTCGACTTTCAAAGTCCAACAAGGTCCAGCAGGCATGGGCAAAGGCGCGGGTTCTCTCGCTACACAGGACACTAGAAGCTCGCCGGACGGAACGGCAGTTCTATTCGGATCAGCCGTCATTCGAGGTACCTCGAACGTGTTTGTCACTGACGCCTCTTTCGGCGCTGCCGTTCTGTCGGTCGATGCTGCTGGCACAGCCAAGCTTGTTGCTAAGCAAGCTATTGCTGATCAAGCCGCCACATGTTGGGCTACCATCTCACCTGCGACCGGGAGCGCATTTGTTACCGATGTCGGAAAGAACCGAGTGATTGAGATGAGCTTGACAGACGCCAGTATCCTGGGCAACACTGACCTGTCTGCTAATGGTGCGCCTGGTTTGATCGACCTCGCAGCAGCTGGTACTGCCATCTACGCCCTTAGCCCTGGTAATGGCACAACACCATCTGCTATTTCAGTGTTGGATGTGTCAGGAGGTAAAGGAACTGCAGAGCTGCTGCAGAACTTCGATGTGTCGAGCTTGGGAGTGGGACCTAACGCCCAAGGCATGCAAGTCCTGAGGAAGTAATGAATAGGGCGAGATTTTCTCACAACCAAAAGTGCACTTGCCTTTCCTTCTGAGCAGTCAATTTGTAGCTAGCCGTTTAATGATGTCATGAATCCATATTACTCTTAGAACTTGCCATGCTGATACTGCCAATCCAATAGTCGGAGTACTTCGGCGTATCTGCATGATTTCATAAGACTAATTCGCAATTGGTCTAAAGATTAGCACCAGCAGACAATGCAGGATGCGATCGAAAAGTCGCCGTCTTCGTGTCCAAACACGAGATCAATTCGTATGTTTCGCTCACCGGATTGCTGGCTTTTGCGCCCACCAGGCCACAAATTTTGAAGTCGCATCGACTCGAGTATTACGCAACATTAGCATGAAATCTGAAACTGATACCTCGATGCCTCATTGGGCAGCATCTTCGCCGGTCGTAGCTTGATTCAGTCAATCAGATTCTGTCTTGAATGGTGTTAGATACCCTTTGATAATCCCAGCCTAGGATTTTCCAAGGAACAAGGTGCTCGCAATACCCGTTCAAAAGAATTCAAATGTGTGGCCAAGGCTAGTGACTGTTGTGGTTGCAACATTTGCCGTTGCTCATTGCCTTGGCTTCAAGCTCTTTGCATCGAGGTTGGATGGTTGCCGTTGCGACATACACAGCTGTTCTGTTAGTGTTTGTCGGTACCCAAATGTCTGAGTTGTAGGTAGGAAGAACTACCAAGGGTAAATGATTCTTGGATTGAAATGTAGCACAGGAAGCTCATGGGACCGTAAGGCTGTGTAAAAGCCTCGCCAAGCGAATCATCGTACCTCGTATTTAAAGTACTGTACTAGCAAGATCTAGCACGAAAAGCGATGCGAGATGCCTGGAATTTATTGGATGGCCAAGCCGCTAATGATCGGAACCAGCCGCATGGAGAAAATTGTTTTGGCTTGAAGGAGCGGCAGGCTGGAGCCAATCCGGGTGAGATGCCCAAATTACAATTAAAAGTTCCCGTATCGTGCCACCAACGCTTTTCAATCGCGCGCCAGACCACACCGTCTTGTCACCATCACGATTCGCGACTCTCACTCCTTGATCACTCGGAATTGTGATGCACACACTCCTTTGAAAATGACTGTGACGCGCACTCAAGCCGGCAAAACTCCCAGGTGCGCCTCCTGTGGCTTTAGACCAATTTGCTTCTATCGTCCAAACTAACGTCTGCGCAGGAAGACTTCTCGTCCTGGGTATGTCGAGACCCCTGGCACTTTCGGAAAGCCACGAACGCGGAAGTCGATGGTCCCTGCTACAGATGACTCTTCAGATGCTTCGGTCAGCCTAGACGAGAATGCAAAGACAGGCACAAAGTCGCACAAAGTGAATGGCAACAGCAACGGCCATGTGAATGGACACGTCAATAGCGGCCTCAAAGAACCCAAAGAACAAGCGAACGGCCACTCGAACGGACACATCAAAACAGAAGTCAATGGATCCCTCATAAATGGAAATATTGGCAAGACCGTTGTGCCGCGGAAGGTCATTGATGGTTGGGAGGTTGGTACCGATCCCAAAATCGATACATCTGGTCATTTTGAGTTTGGTGGGTCGCCTGGCGTGGCTGCTATCATGATCGGATTCCCCTTGCTCATGTACTACATGTGGATTGGTGCGACATACTACGATGGAAAGTTGCCCCTACCTAAACATGGCCAGACGCTCTCAGACTTCTTCCGTGGCCTTGGACAAATGGCATATGTGGGAGCATGGCCCTCAGCGAAAGCATGGACGATGTATTGGACATTCTTCATCTTTGAAGGTGCTTGCTATTGCCTCATGCCTGGTATCTGGACAAAGGGAAAACCACTGCCCCATGAAAACGGGCTGAGACTGGACTACTACTGCTCTGGAAGCTGGTCTTGGTGGGTTACCATCGGCGTTGCCATTGGACTTCATTTCAGCGGAATCTTCAAACTCTACGAAATCATCGATGAGTTTGGCCCTCTCATGTCGGTTGCAATCATCTCAGGTATCCTTGTATCAGTCATTGCATACTCTTCCGCCATTTATCGAGGCAAACAACATCGCATGACCGGACATATTGTTTACGACTTCTTCATGGGCGCAGAACTCAACCCGCGTATGTTCGGTATTCTCGATTTCAAGATGTTCTTCGAGGTTCGATTACCTTGGTACATTTTATTTCTCATTACCCTGGGCACTGCCGCACGTCAATACGAGAACTATGGATACGTATCTGGAGAGGTCGGCCTCCTTCTGCTTGCACACTTCTTGTATGCCAATGCTTGCAGTAAGGGCGAAGAGTGCATTGTGCCTACATGGGACATGTACTACGAAAAGTGGGGCTTCATGTTGATCTTCTGGAACCTCGCAGGCGTCCCACTAACCTATTGCCACTGCACAATCTATCTTGCTAACCACGCTCCAACCACCTATTCCTGGAACAAGTATGCTTTGGGCGTTCTTTACGTCGTCTACCTATTTGTATACTGGGTGTGGGATACGACCAACAGCCAGAAGAACCGTTTTCGGGCCAAGGACTCTGGAGGGGCCATCACTCGCAAAGCATTTCCCCAGTTGCCCTGGCAATCTGTGGAAAACCCAAAGATCATCACCAGTGAGGATGGGGATACTATTCTCGCAGATGGGTGGTGTAAGTACCAAATACGTCTTCCTCTGAGCATCTCTGCTAACTTCACATAGACGGATATGCGAGAAAGATTCACTACACTTGCGATTGTTTCTTTGCTTTGTCGTGGGGAGCTGTGACAGGTTTCAATTCACCCTTTCCATGGTTTTATCCGGTCTTTTTCACCTGTATGATCATCCACCGGGCTATTCGAGACATTCAGCGCTGCCGGAGGAAGTATGGCAAAGCATGGGACGAGTATGAAAGACAAGTACCCTACCTTTTCATACCAGTGAGTGTAGATCTGCTGCCTGTTCTTCGGAGTCTGCTAATCATTTTCTAGTATGTATTTTAAAACATTAATGCGCAGTCTTCACATTGCGTGGGTCACTACTTGAGACACGAGGGGCGCACAACTAATGGGACGCTCAGAAACAAAGCAATTGCAAATGATTGAATAGAACGGGCTACAGATCTGGCACTCACCACTATTGTGGTTTGAATGAGCTAGAAAGAAAATTCATTCCGTTTAATGTCACAGGTATTGGATCAATCACTCTAATAACACTTCGAATTCATTGCGGTTCACAAAATCACTCTCTACGTTTAATCTGTGCCTTGGTCACATTCAGGGTCGTGACAGTCACTTGCTTCGTGACCAGGTTCTTTGTGCGTCTAACCTGTCTCCGACTGTCGTCATATCTCCTCAATCATCTCCTTCTTCAAAACTCCATCAAACAGCGCGCACAAGGGCACTTAGCCGAAAAGACGCGCTGCCATTTCGGCATCATCCAGTCTTCAGGTATGTCCAATGACTTTGGCTTGGGATAGCATATTCTATTCGGGTTAGGAATATATGCTCGGTTCATGCTTCCATTCATCCAGACGCCACTCTACCACGGCCACGCCCATTTGTTCAACGGACCTACCCATCAAGCTCTCCTAGGCACCACAACTGTATAATGCTAAACCTGCTTGCTACAGTCGCGCCCCTCTCATTATCTTGCTGTCACATAGCGCCGAGACTTGTTGGTGAAAGACTTTCTCGGCGTTCTGGTCTACTTTCATGATCTTTCCCGCGGATCTCACATCGACGATCGCTCTACACAAGAGACCACTTTCTTTTCACTCTCGCGGTCATTGTTGACAGACGTTTCAAGCGCCAATTCGACCTCTCTCTTGTCTTCTACTGTGGCTTTAGATCCGTCTATCGTGACTGGGAGACAGGCAACCAGCGTTGGGTTCGCAACTGTACCATCCTCTCTGACATCTCTTCATCCCGCTTCAAGCCCTTCATCCCTTTCAGTTGCCACAATGTTTTCATCTACGGTCTGGAGCGTCCTCGTCAGCTACTTGATGATTTCCATCACTAGTGCCATAGGAGTTGATAACATTGAGAGTGTGGTCTCGATCAAATCAGGCAATGCTCCCACTTCGACAATGGCCTCTGGACACTTGCCCGCAATTGAACAAACTCCTCCACCTGAGACTGATTCTCCGTTCAGAGATGCTATCAAATCCTTCAGTATCTACACTTCACCACCGTCATCAATCGCCTCGGGTCAGTCTGGTGCCATTGCGGCAAGCACAACCTCTCTACTAACCGAAACTTCAACTTCAACTTTGGCCATGGGGTCTGATGTTCAGATGCAAGCAACATCCATCACGACCACGATCAACATGAACACTCCCAGCATGATATCACCTGAGCTCGGTGACATGACTCAACTTGGAAACCCTATTGGCGTTGTTACTACCACCTTTTCTCCTCCAGTGTCAACTGATTCAGCTTCCGCTAGTGAAGGTATCAGCTCAGCAAATCCTACTACTTTAATGACTGAAACAAGCTCAGCCAGTGCAACTCTAGACTCAGCTTCTTCGATCGAAATTACCTCGACTGTAGCATCAGAGGTATGGACCCTGGATTTGACTCACCGATCTACATACGAGCATTACTGACTCATTCTAGCCCTCCTCGACTGAAATAGCAGTCAACTCACACCGCTCAAGCTCACACTCATTGAGTGGAACAGCAAAGATTGCTGTAATTGTGGCACCTATTGTCGGCCTCTTCATGATCGGACTGGGCATCATGATCTGGTGGTTCGTCACCCGCCGCAAGGAGCAGAAACGCGCAGATCGGCTGGCATCCAAGGCGGTCTGGCTGGACCAAGACTACATTGACTCCATTCGAAAGAAGATGATGGGCATGGATGAGGAGAAAGTCGGTAACCCCAACCCCCATCCCTCTGCTATCAGCAAGCTCACCACGATCGGATGCACTACCACCGCGAACATGGGCAAGAGACTTTCTGTGATTGGCGATTCTATCCCAGGCATGCGACGCACCACAAGAAGAGTCAGTGAAGCAGAATACTTGGAAATGTCAAAACGTCGCCATGCCAGAATCTTCGACGATGAGGATCTTGTCGATACTGCTCTTGTCATCAAGGCCCATGGAGAGGATCAAGAGTATCATAACCAGAACAGTTCCGACGATGATGTTCCAGACGTTGCGAAAACTCAAGATGATGTTGAAGCCGTTGACGATGCAATCACTCTCGCGAGCGGCGCTTTGCCCTCCACCCCTATGCGTCATTCGATGATCGAATTTCCATCCGCTGGCATGCACGACTCGGAAATGGCAGATGTTTCTCCACACCGCCGTAGCGCCAGTGTCGTCAGCAGACTCAGTCATCGGGTTGAGCGAGCCATTCGACGCCGCAGCGGTATGGAAGAGCTCTCTGGATGAGCAGGAGAGCAGAAATTGGGAAGGCTCGGCCGAAGACTTTGGCTTTGATCAGGAGAACACGGAGAGCAATGAGGAAGAACAACCTCGGGGTAAGCAAGCAGTGTATATGGTGAATGAGACAAGTGAACTCTTAGGGAAAGAGATCAACGACACAATCATTGCTACAATACGATGCACCATGCACCGCACATCAACATGACTGACCAAAGGAAGGTACCATACCAACATGCTGCCACCAAGAGGTTGGAGATCTGAACGAAAGCTGCACACTCTCCTTTTTGAGTACGATACGATAACACGAGACATTATGATGATGAAGGAACGACATTTTTGCACACACGGATATTTGTTTGCTTGCAGGCCTAGCAAAGAACAATCCGAGTTCAAAGACTGATTTCGTCTTTCTCCCTTCGCTTTTTGACGAAAGTACTTCGGGAGTATACATGGTCAAACACACTCGTTTCTCTCTCTTTTGCTGGCTAGTTTAGTTTAGTGTTTTCACTCTCTCGGCATTTTGCTGGAGCTAGGATAGTTCAATGACTTTGTATCACAAGCTTCCCTTTCTCTGTTCATTTGTGACCTGGATCGCTCCCTAGGACGCTCAACAATAATTCTTCCGCACCCAATCTGCCACCCGTTGCATCTCAAACCCCCTCTCGCTGCTCCAGGTGCCCTCGACTGGCCAACTAAGCCCTGTGCCTTCCGCAAACACCACGCGATACTTCTTTAACTTATCATCCGGATCATTGCGGCTCAACTCTCTCAGATAATCCACCGGCCACACATCTCGAACGACTTCCACTCCTGTAACACTCTGTAACGTATCCGCAAAGGCACGATACGTCAAGGTATCGCCGGCGATATAAACCGGTCGATCTCTTGGCGCATCAGAATCCAACACCAACTCTGCCGCACAACGACCGATATCCTCCGCAGTCGTGACGGTGATAATATCATCCCACGAATTCAGCGCCGTGACACGGATTCTCGTCCCTTCCTGCCCGGCACTTCCACCCTCACCAACAGCTTGCTGCTTCTTCACCACGACGCCCCAGTACTCCTCAAACAGAAAACTCATGAAAATGCCACAACTGACAATCACCCACTGCGTGGCGCTCTGGCTCCTCAGGAGATCCCGCACGTCCACTTGCTCGCTGAACAATCCTTCCCCACCGTCCCGCCCGATGGCATCGTAGTTCACCCCGTGCTGCCATGGCATGTAGAGCTTCACGACGGCGGCGAGGACAGCGCGCGTGATCTTGGTGATTGTCCCTGCTGGGCTGTTCATGCCGCCGGCGTGGATGACGGTCGAGTAAGGCCGGAAGATATCCGTCAGGGTGGCTTCATCGTCGGCATCAATGTCACCTGCGACCAATCGAACTCCTTGAGCGCGATAGCTGTTCTGTTGCTTCAGTTTCGCCTCCCCGGGGTGAGCAAGGGTGGCAGGCCGGACGAGTAGTGTTATTGTCGTGGGTGCAGATGGCGTGTTGTAGCGTGGGTTGGCGAGCAGTGACGACAGGATGGCGTGGCCAAGCTCGCCGGCGCCGAGGACGAGGATTGAATTTGTTGTTGTTGCCGCTGCCATTGCGAATGAGAGTACTGGATTGAATCAGGGGTGGTCTTCATGTGGATGAGCCGATGACAGACCTGGCTTTCGTCAGTATCAAGTACCCCGGGGAAACGTGAAGATCCTCGTCCTACATTAGTCAAAGGGGGTCCGCAGCCTTGCATAACTCCGTGGTTATTCGTGCACAAGCCGGCGTATCGCCGGTCACCAAGTCTTGGCATTGAGGGGAGTCTTCGGACTTAACAGGGATACTTCTCTGGTCAGCTCATGAACCCTTCGTATGGACGCTACTCTAATTTATCAGCAAGGGAGTATGAACAGTGGGCACTGGTCTAGGAAAATGTATCAAGATCGAGGCTAGATATCTCGAATGATTGGGAGGCCACTTTACGCACATCGAATGGGTGTCAGAATATGATCTATTTATCTGTATTTGGAGGTATTGATGGGAGAGAAAAATCATGTTCATTCCCTGATGTGTGGGATTGTCGATTGGCCTGCATTGGTTCATAGTGAACATCCCAACAATGATGCTCTTTGTGCTTTGCAAGGACCGGGCGCACCACAGGCGCGCCTCTGAAAAGGGATTGCATGAACAAGCCCTGTTCCCGTTTCTCCTTGATGGCTGTCCTTCCCAATCCTAGCAGCTCCTTCGATGAGACAGGCCTCTCGTCAAATGACAATCAGATCATGCCGTATGCCTCTTCATTCATGTGTTGTGGAACTTTATGGGTGGTCGCTACACTCGACTTTTATGCTCGGCTGACAACGGTTCGAACAGGGTTTGGATGTGTCATGATGAGATGCAGCTTCTAGCTATTGTTCCATCGATTCATCTGCCATCTTTTCTGAGGTAGATGTCTGTGCTGGGCCTCATGGACTAGAGAGTCTAGGCATGAGATGACAAGCGACCCAGGATATTGTGCTGAACTAGGTCCGAAAACCTGGGGCTCGGTTTGCAGGATTTCCGTCGCCGTCACAAATGGTTTTGCCATTAACCGCCTTTTGACCGAAGCGATCTCTCTTACAACCTCGCAGGACCATCGTTGCCGATAAAAACTTTGGTGTGACTCTCAATCCCGGCTTTTCTTCGAATACGGCACTCGATGCCAACCGCTAGTGAGATTGCCGCGAAAGTTGTAGTGAGGTTCGTATGACTCGGGCTGGACATTGTAACCTTCGTCAACCGCCTTGACGACGAATTGTCGACCAGCAAGGCGTTTTGGCACCAGCCATCTCCAACGAGTCCACGCCCACGACTTGTGGCCATGTGCTTCCTCAGGGATCAGGTCAGCTTGATACCATGAACGACCATCGTCCGGGCTGATGTCCACTCTGATGATTCTTCGACCACCACCAACAAAGGCATAGCCTTCGACTTCAACAGCATCTTCTTCCATACCATAGACACGCAGCAGCTTTTGATCGTCTGCGGATCGCGGAGAGGTGTTTCGAAGAGATGTTATTACGCTTTGAACTGGCATTTCCTGGATGGCAGGAGCCTTCGACCAGTCAACGTTTTGACCGCCTTGGTTGGGCCCAAAGCACTTGTAGTCTCGTTGTTGCCATTGGGATTGGGACTCTTCGTCTGAGAGGACTATTCGCTTCAACCATTTCACGCTGCGTGCAGCGACGTTTCCAGGAACTAAAACTCGTAGTGGATAACCATGGTCGGCCGGTAGTGGTTGACCATTCATTTCGTAGACAAGCAGGACGTCCTCACGTTTCCCTACGGCCTTGTCGATCGGTATTGAAGCACCATATGCTTCTGCTCCTTGGAATTGAGCGTGCTTCACACCACTATCATCATAGTCATTAACGTCGAATCCAGCATCTGAGAGCACATCTCGTAGTCGAACACCTGTCCATACAGCATTGGAGATTGCGCCAACATCCCAAGGTAAGCCGTTTGTCGCTCGTGCTTCTTCATTCATATGTTGACGACGATTGCCAGAGCATTGAAGTGTGCATGTTACTGTGACTGGCTTGAACTGAGATCACCCAAGTATTGGTCAGTTGGGGTCTCAAACCCTCGAAAATATGCTCAACCATACCTTTGATTTCAGTTCCTCCATGGAGTATTCAAGTTCTTCTCCATCAGGTAGCTCAATAAGCAACCTATGCGCTTGTGGGTCTATCTGAGGCACCCACAGGTGGTGACGGACGTAGAAAGTGGCGTTAGGTGTGATGAATGTTCCCAGATCAGCTGGAGCTGTCTCCGCGTTAAAAGGGCGATCACTATGCACCACTAACCGCGGATCACGACGGGGGTCATTTCGAAATGGGTCTTCAATATCATCTGAGGGAACTTTGCCATCAACAAGATCACGAGGATCCAAGTCACCGAGGTAGTATTGCTCCAGGATATCATAGACATCTTTCTTCTTATGGATGGTGAAAATCTCCCAGTAAGGGTCAATGACACCTCCTACCGCGCGCAGAATGACCTCTCCTCCCGGGTGGTTTGGGATCCAGTCTGTGATATCATAAACCTTGGTGCCTTTGACAACCCATCGGCGTTCTGCCTTGGCTCCGTGTGATCTGACCTCACTCAAACGAATAGTCCGGGGCGCTGAAGGAACCTCAGCTTGAGCGACTGGCGCCGAGTAGATCAAAAAAGAGCCAAAGAGACCAGTTACAGCGGCAGCAAGAAACCAATTTTTCAAGCTGAAGGTTTGTGAACTTCGATTTGATCGAGCACAGGCAAAATGGGCATGCTGAGTGAAAACTGCCGTGTATTGCCGTTGGTATGGCAGGCTTCTGAGTGAACGAACAGCTAGTCTGCGTGGAAGGAGTGAGACAGACATTTGAGGGTGGACTTATTGATTCAGCATCGACTTAGCGAAGTCCGCAAAGTGAGTTGGTAGCAATTTGCAAGATTAACAATCTTGAACAGTCGCGTCCGTATAAGATTGAATAAAAGAAGACAAGTCACAAAAAAGAAAGTGAATCGTGCAGCTACTGGGCATGCGATTGTGTTAAAAGTGATGTGGTAGGAGTTCAAGCTTCTGTCATGAAGTTAATCGCACGTCGAAGGGCAAGGGCTAACTAGCTAGCTAGTTAGTGAGTGTGATAGTTAACTCGCCACCTATTTCGCTGTAGATGCTTAACTAGGATGCCTACAAATCCACACACGTAGGTGCTTTCTAGCTGGACATTAGGTTAATGATTCAGGCGCTCAGGCAACACCCCTCCGGGAGATTTTAGGCGGTAGACCACTCAGCCAGGGATGTCATCTTCGGGCTTTTAACCCCCTGAATTAGTCAAGGCTTTGTGCTCTTATAGCATAACTCCGCTCACCCTACTACACTGATAACGGAGTAATTTCCTTAGGTGGCGGAAGCCACGGACCTAGTCAGGGTGCAGCTCATTTCAGCTGGGTGATACCAGCAGACAGCTTGACACAAGGCGTGAGAGTTGCAGTATTTTCGCCTATCATACATATACAGCACTTCAATACATTCCAATCCGCCTTTGTGGGAAGAGACACTCCAAGGAATCCGCAAGCAACTCAAGTAGATCACCAACTTCTCCAGAGCTTCTAGCCACGCCTCTGAGCCCAGCCATCAGGAAGGTCACATGTTCCGTGAATGCCTGCTTGATGTTGGCGATCTCATCTGCTATTGACGTGTCCTCATCGAGAATGAAAGTAGAATATCCCTCCCCCATTTCATCTTCGTCCTCCTCGTCAGAATCACTAGTCGATTCTACATCGGTTTTCCTTTTCTTTCTGCGTTGACTTCGGGCCGAGATAAAGGAAGATGCTTCGAAATCCTTAGAAGGATGGTTGGCCGTCGTCAAGGACGACGAAACGATGTCTGTAAATCGTAGGCAGAGATCCAGTATGGCCAGTAGACTGTCGTGAAGAGGTTTGATGCGTTGACCGCACAGGCAAGCTAGCTCGAGCAGTTTGGTATACTCAGTGTGAATAAAAATCATCTCGTCAACAGTTCCTTCTAGTTTATTCCGCATATTCTCGCTCATTGAAGATATCGTACAGCTTGTGAAGTGATCATAGACAATGTTGACAAAGAGAGACATTGTAAAGCACATAGCTCGTGCAGCATTCTGAACAGTTGAATCTCCGGTTAGCGGGATGTTCTGTACACAAAAATATGCACGCCTTTCGAGTAGGAATCTTGCTCGCCGAATCTGACCGAGGACAAGTGAAACTCGTTGGTAGGAATTGATTGTGTCAGGAAGAATGATATTCGCAATAGCCCAAGAGAAGTCATAGGATATTGTCAAGGCACTCAATATCTTCACTGAGCGACGCCGACTCTCCATGGTGCGTGAGGAAGTATATTTAGATTGTACACTGAGGAGTTCTGGATCAATGCACTTGATGTCAACGAAGGCTTCGGCAAGCGTATCCACCACGAGAAAGCGATCGTTCCAGATCTCTACACATTTGTCGATCTGGTCAAACATTCGCGCTTCCCAGGTGCTTAGTACTGCACCGTTGCTGCCGAGATAAATGTACTGAAATGCATCGAGGAGGCAAGAAAGTCCACATTGTTCTTCTAGCAACCCCTTCAAAAAGTTTGTAGCATTGAGGAGGATACACGACAGCCGAGTTTCAATCAACGTTTCAAACGAAGTAGTAAATGGGACTGGCAAGCCTTTTGTCATGTTTAATGCGTCATGCGCGAGTTTTGCAATCCCAAGCTGGGCGGCATCAGCGTCGTGTTTCTTGGATTGATCGAGGTATCGGGAAAATGCCGCCGTCTTGCCTGCGTTGAATATCTTTGACGCGTATTGTTTGAGAAATACTGGTATAAGCCTATCTTTTTCGGGTACCAGAGAGAACCAATCGTGCCAAAGGCTTGCGGGATTTTTCAGGGCAGCAGCCTTAGATATGAAGGTGTTCACCTTCTGATCCAAAACGCCGGTCTGTATCCATGTGTCAATTGGGGCAGCATATGCTTCAAATGCTGCGTTGAAAACAGGAAGAATGATGCTTATGGTTGGTTGGTCGCAACATGAGTATGCCAGGTCGACATGTCTGTACAATATATTGAGGGCGGTGACTGGCTCATCTGGTGGTAGACGTAGGAGCAAGGTAGATATTGATTTTAATGGCGCGCTGGCTTCATTGATGCGATGCAATAGTTCCAGCAAAGTGGCAATCCCATTGGGATCGTCACCATTCGAGACACCCATTTGCAGATCGTTGATGAAGTGATGGAACTGTATCAGAGTATCACGGAAGTGATTTTCGATAATAAGCATGACCCTCTCAGTTCGTGCTTTACCAACCCAGAGCATGACAGAACGCACAGTAGAACCAAGTTCTGCGGCTTGGGATAAGAACCGAGAGGACGTCTCGACCTCGACGTTACGGAGACGGTAACGGGGATCTGGCTTCAGTTCATTGCCATACACGTTGAACATTGAGGTAGGAAATCCACTAAGCATCATGAGAACCTCTCGAATTGTTTGTTGCTCGGTTGTTGTGATGGAGAATCCTGACTTGTTCCAGAATTGGGAAGAAGCAAAGCCGGCTATTGAAGATGTCTCCTCCCTTGGTCCGACTTCTATCGTCCTTGATATTGCAGGATTTATTGAGCGACTTTCCTTTGCGGGAACAGGGGATGCGCTCGTACTGGAGACAATGACTTCATCCTCCTCCGAGCTGAAGTCGCTATAGTCTGGTATGTTCCAGATATCATCCTCACGGTCAATTGGATCGATTGCCTCGATATCTTTCCAGGTCAAGGCGGGTGGGATTTGAGGTTTTGGTTTGATCCTTTCAAGATTGCTGACACGGCTATACTTGACGGGGGCCACAGAGAGATGCAGGAGTAGATCTAGCACGTCGGGCAGCCATCTATCCTCAGCGATATTGAGCTTCATGCGGCGCGAGTACAGTTCCTGGGCAACATCATCGAGGTTTTGCACCTGGAGTTTCTCTTCAAGTCCGTTAAGCCTCTCAATGACGCTGAATTGGTTAGTCCGCCCATAGGTGTGTGTCTTAGCCTGACGCATAAAATTTTCTTTATACTTGCGAGCATCCGTCGGCGGGGTTGATGGTGGCAGAAGGGACGCCACAAGACTGTCCATCCAAGTGTTTATGGTGGTCGAAGAAGCCATATCAACTCCTTCCCCTGGATGTCGCCCTTGTTCATAATACGCTTAGCTATTGAGAGGCTCTCTTGTTGATGTTCCGCTTCTACGATAAGAAGGCAAGAGAACGTCGGGAATCCTCGACGCGTCCATGTCGCGCTGCGGAAAGTGGACTGCACTTCCGGCTTAATGCCTCACCGCAGCTGCCAAATGATGCAAAAGTTACGAGCCTCACATCATTGAATGGACTCTCCATCATGACCCACCACTGGAAGCTCAACCCACGATGAAAAGAGCTTCCGGAGCTCGAAATCGAGCCCAATTCGACAGATTCCTCAGAGATCTATTCTTTTGCCCGTCATGCACGACATGGCGCACGACGAAACCACAACCGAGCTCATTCTCCAGACTAGCACGTCCCACCACCAGCATCACACGCAGATGCGCTTCCACGTTGAGTTCCACAACCGCGGTCAATGCCACGAAGAATATACCTACGAGATACAAAGACCTATATGGAGCCCTTGGAGAAGTAAGCAGGAAAGCCTCGGCACAAGTCAACATAAGTAGACTGCAACTAGCACTACAAGGATTGGAATCACAAACGCCAACCACGAGGGTAGCGGTTCTGGGGCTTAATGTTCAACAAACGGCACGAAGATTGGTGCGTCTTCTCTTAGCCGATGCGCTAGTTGATGAAGAGCCGTGGGAGAAGGAATTATTAAAGAGTGAAGAAGACACAAGTCAGGGACTATTGATACGCTTTGGTCGGTCCTTGAATTCCAGCTTGCCTAAGCCTCGAACAACCATACCAGTCCTTCATGTCCCGTCCAACATACTCGAAAGGAACAACATTGAGATTTTGGTCGCATCGGTCAGTTCTTTGAGGAATGGAGAGCTGCTGCAAGGACTCCCAACCGTTACTTCGGACGTATTCCTCTCGCCGTCGATTGGTACCCCGACCGCGGCAAATGGCCGACAGACCACGATCAGCCAACCTGTACACAGTAGTATACTTGTGGCGCGGGGCCTCGATGAATTGATTCTTGCCACCGAATTGCTCGCGTCCACCAATTTCGTTACCAAGGAAGATCGTGAGGCCATCAGATTGATTGTGAATCTTGAGAATCTCAAGCAGCGAGCACCAGGCAATATTCTCATAGTGGATGCTGCCCAAGCTGAGGATGGTCTCCAAGCTTTCCGTAGATCTGTCACCGAAGCCAGATCGTACGAGCACAAATGGGTGGACTCGGGCCTCCCAGGACTATCGGATTGGTTGAACCAATCATCTGCCGCACAATCGACAACGAAGCTACCGTCGCCATTGAAAAATCTTGTATCGTCAATTCTCTCCACCGCGACTCGCAACCTGCAGGCTGAGGTGGCACTCGAAAGTCGATCCAGCAAGTCAAGAAGTTTGAGTGTTGCCACACAAGCTCAGCTGGAGGAGTCCATTGAGGAATTTTCTCGTCATGCCCATCAAGAGTTGCAGTCTGGATTGGCATCAGCATGGAGTTCACGGAACTGGAGGAAATTGGCATGGTACAAGCTATTTTGGCGAGTGGATGATGTGGGATTGATTATAACAGATCTGGTAACCAATGCATGGTTACCACGCACAGAACGTGCAGTCTACGAGTTGTCTGGCCGTCTGTCACAAGCAGGCATATCACCTACGGACGTTGCTGCAGATTTGCCAAGAGCAGATGGTCTGGAGATATCTACACCTAGAACCTCCAGCATTGTCGAACCAACACCCATTCTGCAAGCACAATCGAGCCTGGCAACAGATCCTCCGGTCGAGCCAGTCATTATCAATACCGATGGGATGGCCGAGCTCAAGTTGGCTCCAATTGCAGCACCAACTCCGCTATCATCATCCATTTCCCGCATTCGCGCCGAACAAATGGAACAAGCCATCATAGGGCTCACCAGCACCGCACAGCAGATTGTTCTGAAGACTCTATCTCTATCAGGAATGTCTGCAGGCTTATCCGCACTCACTTATGCATCGCTGTCGACCGGCGGTATCTATGAAGCGGGAACGATCGTGGCACTAGGCACCATATATGCTCTGTGGCGCATGCAGGGAGACTGGCATAAAGCGACCAAGGCCCTAGAAGATGATCTTCTGGATGAAGGCAGAACGGTGATCCAGCGAATTGTCGGACGGATGCACCAGTTGGTAGAGGATGGCGGGCGCTTTGTCGCCGACCCGGTCGAGGTCCAGACTCGACGAGCGGCGGAGCAAGCCGTGGCCAAGGCTCGGGACGAGTTGAGTAAGCTTGAGAAATAGAGCGCAGTCCCATCTCAGAAGCTCAAGACAAAACTTAGCCAATGTATACCAAATGTTAATGCCCTGTACACGTTTTGCACGACACATATAACAGTTGCCCACAAGAGACGTAATGACGTCCCATGAACCCCTCCCCAAGTCCTCGTAGTCTCAACCCGTAAGCTCCACGGCATCATCGGGCACACCGCGTCGACTCCTGAGGCGCCTGGCCCAGAACTGCATCAAAGGCAGGACCTCATCACGGTTCTTGGGCATCGAGTCGTCGGCCTTCTTCCAGCAATGATACTCGACGAACTCATACGCACCCCGGACACGCATGAGCGGACTCGACGCCGTGGCCGCCAGCGGCGACTTGGAGCCGGAGAGCAGGAGGACCGGCGTGCGGACCTTGCCCTTCCCCTTGGGTGCGCTCGCACCGAGACTCAGACTCAGCGGAATGCCGCCGCCGATGGAGACGACGCCACCCAGCGCCGAAGACACGGCCGCCAGCGAGGGGTGCAGTGGGACGGCGAGCGCGACGGACCCGCCCTGCCCGAAGCCGAACAGGTGGATCTGGTCCGGGCGGAACTTGAAGGTGGCGAGCAGTGTGGAGGCGACGACGTCGTCGGCGACGAGTTTCACGGCGAGGTTCAGTGGGCTGCTGTCCGCGTCGAGCGACCCGCTGCCGCTGTCGATGTGCAGGTTGTCCGACCACTGGGAGCCCGGGAGGGCGAGGGCTGCGGGCAGTGGGAATGGCGGGTTCAATGTGATGGTGAGTGCGTCGGGCAGGTTTAAGGCGCGCGCGAAAGATGAGAAATTTGACGCGTTGTCGCCGAGGCCTGGGAGGAAGATTATGGCGTTGGTGGGTTGTGCATTGGGTGGGAGGTGGATTTGTGGTGAGAGGCTCGTGGGGAAGTCGGTGGGTTTGGGGAGGGTGCTTGTTTGTGGCGGTGCCATGTTTCATCAGCTTGACATCAAGTCACCCGCCGCGTCTGCTTGATATCGGAACTTGGTGGTTGTTGAGTTGTTCCTTGATAGCGTGGGCGGTAAAGTTGATTGAATGTCTGTGGATATGACGTGGGTGTTTCTCGCTAAGCAAAAACTTGACGTGGAATTTCACTGCCCCTCGGTAGCTGAACAAGCTTTGGGATTCAGGCACTTGGCTCCGAAACAAGCACCGTTTGGAAGTGCTTGGGCGGATACCCCTGTTCCTCGATGGACAGTCCAGCTGAGACCCTGACGAAAAGACTCGCAGACCACGATGGATTCAACGAGGCGGTGACAGTCCCTGAAAACTCTCTTTTCTTTCGGCGACTGTCTAGATCTTTCACTGCCCCTCCATTCGAACCGCCCATGCCAACTGAACCCATATCATCTGAAACCCACTGGCAGGGTGCATGCATTGCTAGATCCACGACCTGTGCCTGACGATGGTCAACCCAATCATGAGAAAGTGGTTGTCTGAATCATCAACCCTGAATGGCTGACCACAGACTCGTCTTGAATTGGTGGGGTTGGGTGGACGCGTCACAAGGATCCAAGCTGGCCCTTCGACTTTCCAATCGAAGCTGAGCCTGCCAGCTAGAAAGCTACCGCTAACATGACTTGGGGTGAGAAGCAGAAAGGTGATGATGTAGGTCTAGCAGCTTACACTGCACTCGAGACCAAAGGGCAAACGACGATCCAAGGGCAGAATTTGAGAGATTCCTTCCGATGCCTATATATTCTCCCGCTGCCACTTGCGTGTTCTTCTGATCTCATCAACTGAGCGATTTTGACTTTTTGATTCCATTAAAACTCCATTGGATCTCTTCATTGACCCTCACTTTATTGCCAAGTCAACTTTCAAAACAAATCTCTCCTTTCAACATGGGTTGGTTCGGTGAGTAGTCTACTACGACACTTGGCTAACTGCACACCTCCATCATCGACTAACCTCAACACCAGACGATAGCCGTGATGCACACCAGCAAGTCTACGGTGAGGAGCGACACGAAGCCAAGTTCTCGCACGAATTGATCGGTGGTGCCGCCGCTTTCGAAGGCATGAAGCTCTTTGAGGATCGCCAACGCAGAGAAGGTAAGCTACCCCATCCCTCCATCCATCTTCTACCACCCCACTTCGGTCCTTTATTTGCAGAGACTAACTCCGACATCCTTCATCAATCAACAGGCAAGACCGTCTCCCATTCATTCGCCAAAGAGCTCCTCGCGGGCTTCGCCGGTGCTGAAGTCGACAGACTTGCCGAGACCAAAGGCATGGATGAATACGACCGCGTAGAAGCCAAGAGGCACGCCACCAGGTCCGCCGAGAATATGTATGATCAACATTACGGAAACGATGATCAGTATAACCCCGATCAGCGAGATCAGCCCAACTTCAATTATTAGGCTTGTCGTTGCCCGCTTCATGTACCACCGGAATGCTCGAATGTATCTGGGACAGCGATGCTGACTAGTGTTCTAAGTCGCTACGGTTAGAAAAATGACAATGATGAGAAAATGAGAATCTGAAATCAACTCACAAATCTTGTCCACACTTGCATCCTTGATTTTCGTGATCAATGCCACTGGTATGAACGTGGGATCTGGATTCGTGAATGCATCACATGTAGTGCAATTGCAAACAGTCCATCGTCCAATTAAGATGTACGTCGCCATTTAGTCTCGTCATCGTCCTCTTTATCTTCAGCATCGTCCCTAGGTCGAACATTGCCTGCACCAGCACCCAGCGTCTCATTCTCGTTCTCATTCTCACCATCATGTTCTTCTTCCTCATCTTGACCTTCAATCCAGTTCCCATCCTCGTCCACAAATTCGTGCATGTTCTCCGCTGTGATCCAGCCACCACTGCCGGGCATCGCTGGAGGCAAACCTCCATCAGTGGTACCTGGAAACGCGAGGCCCGCCTGGATCAGATGGCTGCCGTCCCCGCTCTCTTCATCTTCGACAGGATCGGGATGTAGGTTGGAGCAATTCGACAGCGCATTGAACATGGCCTGCACCGGTGTCTGCTCTGGCTTGGCTTCTGCAGGGTCGTGCTCTGAAGCCACAGCTGGGGCGGCCGATGCGGTGGGGACGATCGTCACAGAGAGAGATTCAGGCTCGAGGTCCTCGCCCATGGAATCGTCCGTAGATGTGATCAGCTGCATGTATACGCCTTGTTGCTCGATTGCTGCTGGCGTGGGCAGAGTCTGAATGGCGTGTAACGAAATGGTGCGGTACGGAATCGAGACACCTGCATTCGCTGCGTTCGAGTAGACGAATAGTTTGCTAAAAACACAATAAGATGTCTGCTAGTAGAAGCAAGGTGTATCGAGACTGTATACTCACTCGGAAGTCACCCAAATGTCCACATCTTCAACCACTTTTTGTCGGTGTTGTGCCGAATCGTTTCCATTTGTCTGTGTTCCATTCTCTTCTTGGTGGGCGGATGCTGCGGCAAACAAAGGTGCAAAGGCCGGTGCAGACTCTAGCTCTTGCTCCAGGACTATCACCTTGCTCCGGTCACTGTAGTAATGGAGGACTGGTGGGCCAGAATGGAAGGACACAGGCGTTGCGGATTGGTGCTCGACGAGGGGCACAAATGACGAGAGTTTGGGGGCCTCGCGGAGGATTTCCATGGTGAATGATAGAGGAGAAAGACTGGCTATCTTGACGCAATTGCAAGTTTACAATCTAGGGAAAGCAACTGTGAGAGGTGGGACTCTAGGTCAGTGGTATTTTGTTTGTCGCAATCACAACTACAACCCGAGAAGAAATATTGTCTTGGCGGTCACCGTCATGCGGGGGTGTTCAGCCTTGCCGGCTCTCAGCCGTAGCCTTATCACTTACATTTCACCCATACTAAGTATCTCCACCACACATATTAAATTTGGGATTGAATATGAGGGCAAGGAAATGGTGATGTCTATTGACCTAGAGATCGCTTTGTTTCTCATCGTGTGATGTTACAACCAGAAGGTATCTCGGCCATTAAAATCGTTCCGGTATGAATCCCCATCCAGACTCAAATCAATTGCATTCGAGTTCAACCAAAATCCATCTGTTAGCCAGCTATCCACCGGAAGGCCATCCAAATCAGTCTGGAAACCTCGGTCGTAAGTATCATGGCCAGCTGTTGTACTTGAATCAAGTCCCTCGCCTACGGAAACACTGTGTGTAGTTGTGGGTGGTGCCTCGAGCATAGCGGTTGTGTCATCATGTTCCATTTCTCGATCCTCCCGCTGTGTATGCTCAGGGACATAGCTGGTTCTTAAAAGTGAGGTATAAGCACGGTGTAGGTTCGGTCCGCGAGATCTTTCATCTTCCGAACTTGGTGAGGCTCGATGAGAAGTCTCCATAGTGCTTCCCAAAGCATGATACGTTGCAATTGCTGCATCCAGCTTGTCGGACTATATATCAAATTAGCTGGAACTGCAGTTGCATGCGAACAGAAGGGCCAAGAATTTGTTCCGTAGGGTCAACACAACATACCAGTCGTGCCACTGCTCGCCAATACATCTTCCCACTCCAAAGCACTCGGCGAATTGCTACCATTTCCTCGGAGTCCACCCCTGGGACCATCTCAATGCCCTCGGGAGTCTGTCTATGTGCTCTGGCCTCGCTGTAAAGCACAAGAGATGATCCCGTCACGAAAGCAACATACGCAGCAAGGGGACTGATGGTCCTCAAATCATCGTCTTCCTGAACGCGTGACCTGAAGAGGGTGGCCATGGCGAGGGTGCTCTTTACCACCACACGCGCACTGCTCTTCACTTGGCTGGGAGACATGTTGGACGGGGTTGGGCTTGGCCGCGGAGAGAATAAAGGTACCACTGAGGAGTGCAGCATAGTCAAACAGAGGTGGTAGAGGGCTTGTCTGAGTAGGTCGAGCTCTCTCATCTCGCGTGAGGCTCTCTGATCTACCACTGTCGCTTGCGAATATGAGGCTGTCACCCCCGCTGTCAAAGAGGATAGCTCTGCTTGCTTTTGAGCCAATGTGAAATGTTGGTGACCATCTAGATACAACTGAACTTTTGCCCTTGGAGTTCATTAATTTGGGCATATTTGCGGAACAATCAACACTCACCAGATACCCAGAAGCTTGTATACTTCGTTCATTGCATTGAACTCTAGTTTTGATTCTTCGTGGCCATCAATGGCTCTCGCGTTCCAGGCGCCATCCATTTCCTGAGAGAGCACCACTTTACAGCCGTTGCTAGTCCACTTTAGAACGGCTGGTAAAGGTGTGTCGGCGGCCTGTTGCCATAAAAACTCGGCTTCTGTCAGAGGCTCGGGAAAGATACATATTGCGCCCCAGCAAGCCCAGAAGCATCGTCGTTTTAGCTCGGAAGCCAGATCATCAGAGCCATTTTGCACGTTCGGAGTGATTTTATTGTACCCAAGGATGAGGCATAATCGGTACGAGAGCACTGTCCCAGAAAAAGCACACTTGTCAGCACTTGAGCATTGGTCCAAAGTGTGGTGTCATACTATGATGAACTATCCCTCGGCCGAGTTCTCCTATGGAGAACCAGTAGTACTGCAGGCACTGCAATGTCTGGATGACTTCTAGAGTTGGTCGATCGGTCAGGCTTAGTGCTTCTTGCGCTGCAGATTGTGCCCATGGCAAGCCTTGACTGCCAAACACGGACAACAATCCGATGTGAGAGGAGCGGTCCCGAGACTGTCCGCCATCTCCTGCATCCCGGATGAATCTGATGTATGTCAGTTGCCCGACGTATTTTTCTGACTGAAAAGTGCGGATGCCTACATAGTCGACAAGGCAAATATAGCTCGTAGCAAAAAAGCCGGAACATGCCCATGAACGTAGTCCTGCAACAGTTTCGTCTTGAGAAACATCAAGGATGCGTTGTATATGTGTGAGAAATAGACCTCGAGTAACGACAATCCAAACATGACAGGAGGGAGTGCCGCCTCATCCACTCCAATGTTCAGAATGGCATTGCTTCCTTTGTCTTGCTTCAGGACAGTCTCGGAGACACCCGCTGTCTAAATTAGGGAATTAAAGTCAGAATATTTCTTCGTCAGAGAGTCAAGGTCGCAAACTTCAATTGGAGTGATTACAGATGATGGCTTTGAAGACGTAGCAACGTTTGCTGCCGCCTCAGTCTTGTGATTTGTTCTCTCCTTGGTCTGAGAAACCTCCTCAGAGCGACGTGTCGACGCACCTTGCAAGGCGGAGTCTCGACGATGAACAGGTTTGTGTCGAGACTCAATAGCCTTTCGCCTGGTATTTACCGGGTACTGACATAGAGCCCCAACTCTCCTGCACCTTGAACATGATGGCAGGTCACGGGGGCATTTAAGCTAGAAATAGTGTCAGTACCAGAATTCTGTTGCGGGCAGAGGCCCTACTTTCTGGATCCTACATCTTTGGCAATTGATCTTCGAGGATTCCCCCGTGCGGAAATCGTTCCTCGCTCTTTGAGCCCCTTCTGGTGTCGCACCTCCAAGAGTTGAGCTCTCGCCGAGGACGACGGACCGCATGGACATTGTAGCCTGGATACAGCAAATTGGTGGCCTACATATTGCCTGATGCGAAGTTCATTGAAATTGAGAATAAGTCAGCCAGAAATGGTCGGCGGCATGTCCGAATTGACGTTCAAGTTGACAGCGGTCCTGACCTCGGCACCGGGAAAGAACGGCCAGTCACCTTCCTAGTTAGATGCTCTTCCCGGTCAAGACAGGCTTGGCCAAAGATCAGCCTCTTCGTATTTAGGTATTCAATGAACTTGAACCTCGCACTCTACTGGCACTCATTAGTATGCTTAAATCTCTGAGCCCGATCGGGATGCAAGAAGGCCGATGCACGAGTGTCCAAGTCGTGTCAGAGAAACAAGCGTGACTACCGCTGATAAAGCGGTGAATTGGATCCTTCGGTGATAAAAATCTGCTGGAAATCTCGCTTTGGCAGCGTCATCGACAAGCTGGGAAAGAAAGTCTAATAATGCGATTCAGTGGGCAGGTGACTCCCAATGCCTTGACGACGGACGGTTGCCTTTAACACAGGAGCGTATCCACATGTATACGTCCTCTACTGGCTGATGAAAACCCAGCTGCAATCCTCAACGTACCGATCTCTTTTCCTGAACGGGATGGGGAAACCTCTATGCCCACTAAGGTTTTTCTGAATGACTCACGGCGCCACAGGGTGTATCCACATGTATACGCTATCGAGGCTGCTGGCTCATGGAAATCCACAGTCCTTCCTCGATTAGGTGACCCTTCCTACTGAAACAGGAAAGAAGACCCCCAATCGCCATATTAGCAGAATTCGGCCCTCTAAATACCCACATGAATACCACCTCCGCTGGGTGATGGAAAAATTGCATTGGTTCTCGTTTTGGAAGCACTATTGACACATTTGGAAAGAGGTCTAATATTGGTCTCTATCACGGCACATGATTTCCAACAACTGAAGAGTAGCGCTCTTTGCGAAGCAGTGGACTCACTTGCATACATCTTCTGCGCTGCTAAGCCACCACAACATACTGATGGTCACAACATAAAGGTATGTGCATCACATACTCTCAGACATAAACGCAGTTGGAAATGGTGATGCGATACTACCTAGGTAGGCTTTGCTAGAGGCTATGTCACCACACGTGCGCATCTAATCTAGGCAGCATCCTTCACAGAAGCTCTTCATCAAGCTTTTTGGTCACAACAGGCCTTACCACTCTCACCACTCTTGTCATCCAACATTGGTGCTTGTGGTGTTTCTGATCAAATGGTGAGTTTTACAGACCATCTCCGAATCCTTTCACCATAAAGGTACATTGGTATAGTTGTTGCAAATATAAGCCCTTCGATCAGGGTCATCCAACCACCCACCTGATCATCGAAACGTCAAAACCAATGTACAGAATATGAAATGGAGGATTACACAGTATCACTTACCTTTGCGTATCCGTCCCTTTGAATCCAAGGAGTCACTGCGAAACTGAGCGCAAAAGCGAAGGTATTTTTGAACGCAGTCAAGACGGTCATGGTTTCGCCCGATAAAGGTCTGTGGGAGTCGACGACATAAGTCATCCCAATCGCTGGGACCGTGCAAAGCACACCATATGAGACCCCGGATCCAATAATGGCAACCATGGGATCTAGGAGGCCGCCCAACCCGAACCCCCACATCAGTAGTCCTACCGGACCTAGAATGTAAGCTGGAATCAGCGCCCAGAGTCGAAATTCAGGCTTGAAGTATCCTTTCCGACGCTTCGCCACAAATACGACAACATAATCGCTGATAGGTCCTCCAGCAATGCAGCCCAATACAGCGCCGACGACGTACTGTGTGGTCAGCACGGTTTCCACACGAGAGAGGAATGCTTACGGTCCAATAAGAATTTCCGAACTTGATTGCATTGAATCCGTATAAAATCGGCAAGGCAGAAGCATTTGCGGTTTGCTGCAAGACAATCCAACCAAGCACTACTCCATATGTAAGAGAACCCCACATAACTGAGGGATATTGAAGTGTCAGAAACGGTCGCCACCAAAGCCACCAGATCGATACAGTCCTGAGCTCGTCAGCACGAAGTCAAAATCTCAAACATGCGGCCATAACATACTTATCATACCAGCTCATCACACTCAGTGTTTTGAGCCAGCTACTTCGAGTAGTGGCCTGTATTCTTTGGAGCTCAGACCTTTCCATTCCTTCGCCAGTCTCGTACTCCTGTGGGCGTATGAAGTTGGTTTCCGCCTGAAACAAGATGGTGAAGAGGAACACCGCTCCAACCATGATTGTGTCCATGTGGAGCACCCAGCGCCAATCAGAATTCGCATTCGCAACGTAACCTGCGAATACCCCACCTAGTGCACTTCCAACTGCAATCATGAGGGTATAAAAGCCTACCATAGCTCCTCTCTCATGCAAGAAGTACAGATCAGCAACGATAGCCGGCCCTAAGGCCTCGGAAGAGCTTGCACCAAATCCTTGGACAACACGAGCAGCCAGCAAGGAAGCATAGCTCTTTGCTTCAGCAGCCCAGACACTGGATGCAAAGAATATTGCGGTGCTCAGAAGCAATACGGGCCGTTTTCCAATCTTCAGACCAAGTGGAACCCAGAACAAATTCCCCAATCCCAGCGTCAAGATGTTCAAAGTGATCAGATAACCAGCCTGAGCCAGATCAGCATTCAAGTCGGTCATAACCGTCAACAAGATTGGTGAAATCGACGCTGTGGTGTAGTTGGACATGAAGACGAAGAGGCATATTGTTGAAAATGCAAGGTGCTTTCTCCAGGTCGACCAAGTCTGTGAGAGTCAGCCAATTCCGAGTTGATTTCGATTCACAGAGGGGCATGACATACCAAGGGATCACGAGGATCTTCAGTTGGTCGTGGAAGAAGGAGTTTGCTAGACAGATGACCGGTACCATCGTCTACAATGCAGTCAGCAAGGGTGACCTTGCTTTCGCCTAGGTTACTTACCTTGAAAAAGAGCTGTAGCATCCACGATACCATGTGCCGTCGTTGCATGATGGTTTTCATGGTTTCCAGGATTCTCACCTGGCTTTTCACCTTCATGGTGTAGAGCAGTAGTACTGGGATGTAGTTTGGACTCCATTGTCCACGTCGATGAGGTCGATTGATCGTCTTGGGAGGAAACCGGGATGCACAAAGACAAGCAGTAAGATCCAGAAGTCATCTCGACTCTCGAGCAGCCGCCATATTTATATTGTGGGTATTTCTCCTGACTTCTGAGTGCTCCAGGTGTATATCTGGGGGCCCGGCTCTGACCCGCAGAATCCCCAGGAATTCCACAGACAGCCTCACTAGTGCTGCAGGTAGCCTAGACTCTCGCCAAAGGAGGAGTCCTTGGTTGCTGAACAGAAGAAATCATCGGGTAATACCCAGTCCAGAATGCCGAGTGTTGAATACCGAATGTGCGAACCATTCGGGGCCGATGTTTCATAGCTTCTGATTGGTTTCTTAGTATTCCGATTGAGGAGTTGTCCACATTTGGCTTCTAGACCACTGATGTTCGGCGAGTATCGAATTGATATTGTGGCTTTTATACGCTCTAGATATCGCTCAGAAACCTCCCAGACCATACTGTGGGACAATTGATCGGCAAGAAATCATTTCCACATCCAAACATGGTGATCGAAAATTCACTACCATCAGCACTTCGCGATCCAACAATCCACATTACAACTCATAACGCTGACGGCAAAGCGACACTATATTCTGCCGCACCAAGTCAATGGTCATGGGTGGAAGAATTTGGCGTCGGGCTCAACGCAGTCTACACAACCTCGACGATGCCGGTGTCGATGAACGACGACAAAGATCTCAAGTCTCATGAAGCAAACATGACATCCGGGCCCAATCTATCCCTCGTGCAGAAAAACGGCACAGTGTGCCGGTTCGTCGATTATGCGCCGGAGAGTCCTCCACTCATGCACCGTACGCAGAGTCTAGACTACGGGGTGGTTATTAGTGGCGAGATGGTGATGGAGCTGGATGATGGCAGCACAACATCGCTGAAGCCTGGCGATGTTGTCGTGCAACGTGGTACCTATCACGCTTGGCGTAATCCAAGTAAGACGACATGGTCGAGAATGCTCTTTGTCTTGCAGGATAGTGAGCCTTTGCTTATTGGTGGGGAGAGGCTGCGGGAGGATATTGGTGATGCCGTGAATCATATTCCGAAGAGTGGAAATGATGAGTAGTTAGTGCTAATCACAAATATCACCTGCCACCTCACGCTGTCAATGGCCATTGATAGGATCAAACCTTCATCAGTAACAATTAGATAACATGAAAGTCACCTGCTCTCAAGCAAGGCAATTCCGATAATTGGTTTCACTCCCTGGCCCCTATTTGACAGCCTCGGTCGGCAGATCAACACGTGATACTCCGATGCCCGATAGCCTTGCTCGGACAATCTCGTGTATGACCAACCAGGGCTTGAACAGGATTGGACGAGAGCAAATGGTTCATTCTCAGGTACGGGTCCGGACCCACGGTATCGAATCAAAACGAGGTGGAAGTCGGATCGGACCCTGTTTATCAAGCAAATGTGTTGCCGCTCGAAACGAGACGCCGGCTGTCCAAGCATAGGCATGCGGGGTTTGGGCCGGACATTGTGGAGGGAGTCAGAGCTTGGAAAGAGGCTTTCTCGGTCCAGAACGTGGAGAGCTATGGGGAGAGTCGCGTATATCAAGGATATGACGGATCCCAGATCGAGAGCATTTCCTCGTCTACTAGCTTTCTCGTCTCGACTCTCTCATAGTGGGCTGTGACGACGCATACCACTTCTCTCCTCTAAACCATATTGAATTCGGTGCGAAGATAGTAAGATGGCCCCTGGCAAATATCATCTGAAGAATGGCACCGTGGTGTCCATGGACAAGTCCATCGGCGTTGTGCCGAATTGCGACGTCCTCATTGACGATGGGGTCATCACTAAAGTCGCACCGAGCCTTTCTCCCTCAGGGGAGTATACAGTGATCGACGCAACGGACGCTATCGTTTCCCCTGGCTTTGTCGACACACATCGTCACACGTGGCAGACACAGCTACGCACGGTCTGTGCCGACCACGTACTCAGTGACTACTTTATGCACATCCGGTGCAAATACGGATCCTGCTACGAAGCCAGGGACGCATATCTGGGGAACTACTGTGGGGCACTGGAAAGCATCGACAGCGGCATTACGTTCCTCATCGACCACTCACACATCATGAACTCTCCGGACCATTCTGATGCGGCCGTTAAGGGGCTCAGGGATGCAAGAATCCGGGCTACGTTCTGCTACGGCCTGTACAAGAATCCTGCCTGGCCTGGGTCGGCCATGGACGCGGAGCGGGAGGAGAAGACGCCGGATTGGCGGTTCGAGGATTCCAAGAGGATTCGAGAGACGCATTTCAAGTCCAATGAGAAAACGGATGTTCTCCGCTTTGGCTTCGCGCCCGCTGAAATCGAGAGCTGCCCCACTGATGAGTTGATTATGGAGATCGAACATGGTCGTAAGCTCGGGGCCGCCGTTGTGACTGGTCATACGGGTCTAGGTCGTTGGGACCGGGGCCTTCGCCTTGTCCGGAAATTGAATGAGCGTAACGTCCTAGGCCCTGATCTATTATTCAGCCATGGTGCCACCTTTCAAGACGACGAGCTCGACGCGATCGCCAAGCACGGCATAGGTATCTCCAGCACACCGGACACTGAGTTACAAATGGGCATGGGAAGGCCGATTTGTTTCAAGGCTCATAGCGTGGGCTGCAATGCGAGTCTGGGATGCGACGTGGTGTCTAGTGCTCCGGCCGATATGTTCCAGCAGATGCGGTTGGCCCTACAAGCTGAACGACATGCGAAGCATTATGAGGCGAAGGGCGCTCCTTTTGTGGTATCACACCGCTGTGAAGAAGTGCTGGAGTTCGCGACCATGGGTGGGGCAAAGGCTGTGGGACTCGCAGATGTGATTGGGAGTGTTACTCCAGGCAAAAGGGCTGACTTGCTTCTCATAAAAACCACTTCGGCCCGTTTGTCTCCGGTTGGAGATCCAGTCATGGCCTTGGTATTGTACGCAAACGGCTCGGATGTCGACACTGTGTTTGTAGATGGTGAGATTGTCAAACAGAATGGCAAGCTGGCCGGGGTAGACTGGCTCAAGGTACGAGGTGAGTTGTTAGAGTCGACGAAGAGGATATTTGAAAGATCCAAAAGGGCACCAATGGACGCTATCGAGGCCCAAGCCATGCCTATAATGAGGATGTATGCTGGAGAGACTGAGTAGTTCTAGCAGAGCAGCTCTAGCTAGATACTCTCACAAGAAGCTATGTTTGCTGGTTGTTCAGGACCCATCGGAAGGATAAGTCCGTGGTCCCAGTGTGTGGTGCGGTCAGAAGATCATCTAGCGTTTGGCCTTCGTGATCTCAATCTAAAACTATCTACAAATTCACATAGGTAGATACTAAGTTGGATGTCGTGTCTTCTCGAGATAATACAGATCATCTTAGACGTTGGAATCTTTAGTTGTGGCTGGACACATGTGTGGCGTAGCTGTCATGTGATATTTGTGGCTCAGCCATTCTTCGTTCCGCATGTCAATCGTTGGGGTGAAGTTGAGGGAAACATTTTTTTGAGGTCGGCGACACTGCGGGCTGACTACTCAGGGTTACTCGTACCCCTACTATTCTACTCATCCTTGTATGACGGACTAAGCAGTGGAACCTGCAGAAGCCGCGCAACGGACTTGGTATGTAATTGCATGCGACCAAAACTCTTGACAAGAGGACATCCAAGTCTCCCAACCAAGACCCAAGATCTGTTCTTTTTGATCTCTCACCATCTGCCTCATCAATGTCGTCTGTTTCTTTGACACAGGCATGAGCCTTTGGATTCATAATGGCAGTTGCACGACCAGTGAGATTTCTTGGGGCAGGATGCATCGTCCTTGCTTTCTTCCTCATCTTCCAATTCCTCCGACCGACGCCCACCATATCTCCTCCACATGTGGTTGTTGCCAATGGCGAAAAGATTGAGAGCATGGAGCGGGATCCGCTGTTAGATCGTATGCTCGTTCCCTGAACCTGATGAATGCGCAATGCAATGGCTAACAATCTTCAACAACAGCCATTGGGGAACCTGAAGGACAACTTTGGCGACACACCGACCATGACTACAATCCCGGCAGCCTTAATTCTGCCCGCATCAATGCCACCCTCCTCTCCCTTGTCCGTAATGAAGAACTTAATGAACTCATTCCTACCATGAAACAACTGGAAGCGACATGGAACCACAAATTTAACTACCCCTGGACATTTTTCAACGATGTCCCATTTACGGACGCCTTCAAGAAGGCGACACAAGAAGTAACAAATGCAAAGTGCGAGTATCATATCATCCCGAAAGAGCATTGGGACATGCCGTCTTGGGTCAGCCAGGAACTCTTTGACGAATCTGCCAAAATATTGAAGGAGAATAATGTTCAATATGCGGGCATGTCCAGCTATCACAAAATGTGTCGATGGAATAGTGGAATGTTTTATCGACATCCCGCTCTTCAAAACACGCAATACTACTGGCGGGTGGAACCCAAGGTCAAGTTCTTCTGCGATGTGGATTATGATGTCTTCCGATACATGCAAGACAACAACAAGACCTATGGCTTCAACATCAACCTCTTTGATTCACCCGAATCCATACCTTCCCTGTGGCCCGAGACCATCAAGTTCTTGGCCGCTCATCCGGAGTACTTGAACAAGAACAATGCGATGGCCTGGTTGACAGATAACCAGCGACGACCCGAACATAACATCAAGGCCCATGGTTACAGTACCTGCCACTTCTGGTCCAACTTTGAAATAGCCGACCTTTCTTTCTGGCGCGGTCAGGCATATGAGGATTATTTCACTCATCTTGATCGAACAGGAGGATTTTTCTATGAAAGATGGGGTGATGCCCCTGTTCACAGCATTGCGCTGGGTCTTTTCGAGGACGCAAGCAAGATTCATTGGTAAGTTTTCTCCTTGGGCCTACCAAGGTGAGCTGGATTGACGAAAAATGCAGGTTCAAGGACATTGGATATAACCACATTCCGTTCTATAATTGTCCAAATTCAGACAAGTGTAAAGGATGTGAAGCCGGACAATTTTATGGGGGAGAACCGTGGCTGCAACGAGAAGACTGTAGGCCACTTTGGTTCAAATATGTGGGCACTGGTTAAAACAAAATGTTTCGAATATGGACCATCAAAGATCAATGAAATGGAACGACCTGTGAATTGTTTCAAGGCCTTAGAAAACTCGGGCGTCATGGATTAAATGGGACAGGGTATGCCTTCATGGAGGTATTGACTATGAGCTGTGCATATGAAGACAATGGCCAATCCTCTGCATGACCTCCAACTTTATGGACGGTGGCTCTAGGTACGGATAGATGGCTAGCAGTGAAGGCCAGGAAAATCCTCGGTGGTCTGCACGCATGTTGTCCATGAGTGAAAATACCACTGAATGGTCTGGCAGAGGGCTCTGGAGTAGCTAAGGGTACAGGCATTCATGATCAGCTTGGCACCCCTAAAGGAGTAACCAAAATGATCCCCTCATCCCCCAAGTTCCAAGCTCCAACAGGTACCTTAGGTACTTCGCATTGCCTGAAAGCCCAAGAGTCCAAGACACCCCAGAATGCCAATTCCAGGCCAAGACATTATAAGAGTTGGTGGCGTTAGAGCTTGGGGCAGCCCCCATGCAAGCCTCGAGCGCCCCTTGGTTCATCTCTGCTTATTCTCTTCCTTTACCGGACGATTTGCGCGGAGATGATCCACTTCTCCAATGTTTTACATCCCCAGATCCATGAATTGATTCTTTGCTGAGGAGGCTTTGACCAATCTCAGTCCATCGGCTTCTCGAATACCAACTGTCTACATCATAGCCTGTATCTCGGCTCCATCATATGCAGCCTCCATATCTTCACCTCCCCCAACCATCTTCATCTCCTGACGTCGCTTACGAGTGATCACCGCATCTTGACCGGTCCGACCTCACCTTTGAGAACAACAGTCGCCGTGTCAGCCGCTCCATGTAACGGGACTTCATTCATCCACCCAATGCCCTGTCTACATGCGGGGAAGTTCGTTGATGACGGGTGACTAGTTTTGACAGGCAAGTGTATGCATCTCGGTCCAGCGTGCCACGAGGGAGTCTCAATCGCCAGGTACCTTTCCATAAAACGGTCTGTACCCCAAGTCTCCCTACTTCCTACTCTTGTCATGCTCTGCACATCCCTCCTCACTGGTAGTTACGATATCTGGTGTCTATCTTAAAACACTGAACGATCAAGATGAATACCGCATCTGATCCTGAGAAAGTCGCTGACGGTCACCATCCTGACCACATTGATTCTTCTGCCAGCTCACGCAATGAGGCTTCCGCTGAGGACAAACCTACGGTCTTGACGGAAGAGAATATCGAAAAGGGTCAAAACGATATCAACCATAGCTACGACCCCGATCTTGCGCCGCAATACACCAAGGCCGAAGAAGACGCTGTCATACGCAAACTTGACTGGCACCTCATGCCCCTCATCTTTGTCCTCTACAGTCTTTCAGTGCTCGACAGATCGAATCTAGGAAATGCTCGTATATCAGGCATGGAACGTGATATAGACCTCTCTGGTACTCGTTATGATTGGCTGGGAACAGCGTTTTATATTTCCTGTGAGTGTTCCAAGGACGTGTTACTGCTGCACATTCTGACCTTATTGACCTAGATATCTTATCGCAATGGACTCAAATTGGCTGGAAGGCTTTTAAGCCTCATCAATGGGTTGCTGTCGTTGTCTTCCTATGGGGTTTTGCCTCGACCATTCAAGCCGCCTGCAACAACTGGGCTAGCATCATGGTATGCCGAGTGTTTCTGGCCATCTTTGAAGCTGCGTACGGACCCGGGGTGCCACTGTACTTGAGTTTTTTCTACCCTCGAGAAAAACTCGGCCTGCGCACTGGGATTTTCTTGTCCGGCTCAGCTGCTGCTAATGCCTATGGTGGTGCCTTGGCATATGGTATCTCCCAAGCCCGTGGGAGTATTGGACCATGGAGGATACTGTTCATTGTCGAAGGTGTACCGACATGCGTTCTCGCTGTGGTTGCTTGGTTCTTCCTCCCAGATGACCCACAAAGTGCCCGGTTCTTGAGTGACAGAGAACGTGAGATCGCCATCGACCTGTCTATGCGTCAGCCTGGAGATAGGACCGGCAACAAAGGAATTCAGTGGAAGCAAGTTCTTGGTGGATTGAAAGATTACCGATGTGAGCTTTACCCACCTTTCCTCTCTGATCTATCTACTGACTGAATCATCTTAGCATATCTTCCTCCCATTATGTATTTCGGCTGCAATGTCTGTTTCGCTTCACTTCCACTCTTCGTGCCAACCATCATCTCAGAAATGGGTGCATTCTCCACAATCCAATCGAATGGTCTCTCATCACCACCATACGTGGTCTGCTTCCTAGCAATCATCACCGTGTCTTTCCTCTCCGATAAATTCAGACTGCGAGGCCCGTTCCTGGCTGGTGCGGCTCTGATCGCCGCCGTCGGGTACATCATCTTAGCCACCACCACGGGCGTGGGACCGCGGTATTTCGGTCTATTCCTCGCCACCCTGATCTTTGTCTCGGTCGCCCAATGTCTCACATGGGTGGGCAACACACACGCCACAGACAGCAAACGCGCTGCTGGCCTCGCACTACTCGCAACAGGCGGACAATGCGGACCTGTCCTGGGCACGAGGATCTTTCCAAAGTCCGACAAGCCGTATTACCGTAAAGGCATGTGGATCTCCTGTGGTGCCTGCCTGTTGGTCGTGGTTGCCGCGTCTCTGCAGATGCTGATCCTGCACCGCGCAAACGTCAAACGCGATAAGAAATACGGGAAGAATAGGGAGACGGTGCATCTCGAGCGCCCTACCGAGTGGGGTGAAGACAAGCAATTTCGATACGTGATCTGATCTGAGCTGGATGAGGGTGAAGGGCCAAGGATATTAGAAATGTGGAGCACGCGATTAGAGACCCAATGGAGCGGGTTGTACGTAAAGTGTACTCGGTACCGAGTAGACGGGAACATGATAGATCCCTGAGCCGGAAGCCAGCTACATGGATACTACATGCAATTAAATAAAAAGGCAAAACCTAAACCTCATCATGAATGATAGTGCCAAACTTAACAGCGACTTTTGTTTGCATCATACGGAATTCATCTATGGTTGGGGGCCGAATCGGGCCGGATCATAACTCATCATAACTCATCGTCCTCACTGGCAGTTTCTTCATCATCATCGTCCGGGGATGCAACACGTTCAGGCTGCTTGGGAGGCTGTTTTCTGTCTACTGTCGGCTTGGCGGCGGCCTTTCGCTGGAAAGGCAATTCCCGGGGAGGAGGCAATGGCGTAGAATGGCCCTTTTTACTAGCCGCTTTGTCCATAGACCGGGTCTGTGGCGGTGCGGGAGAGACAGGACGGGCGTCGTCGAGATCATCTTCTTCCTCTGAAGCGGTGTCCGAGCCGGGGTTTGCCGATCGCCGGGAGCCGTGGGAATTGGGAGACTCTGCATCACTCTCAATCTCGTCCTCGTCCTCCGCTGTGGCCTTGTCGACGACCATGGACTCGAAGCCATCGCTTTCGTCGTCCTCCTCCGCATCTGATCCGTCGTCCTTTTGACGCTTCGTGCCGTGCCTCGTGCCGCCCTCGGCGTCATCACCCATCAAAGGAGCCAGATCCCGCAGTTTCTTCTGATCGACCTGCGCCGTCTGCAACACCCTCTGCATGTTCCGCGTCTTCAGCTTCTTCTCATTCAGAAGCGTGCAGAATTTGCTTAGCAGCTGCTTCTCATGTTCGACTTTGGCGTCCACCAGGTCAGAGAGTTGTTTTTGTAGTTTCGCTTCTGTCGCTTGTTCGGTGTCGGCTTTATCCTTCTGTGCGGCGGCTTCCTCTTGCAGTTTATCTCGCTGTTCGAGGAGGAGCAGTGTCCATCCGAAGATGTCGAACTCCGAGGTGTCTTCGATCTCCGGAAGTTCGATGACTCCCAGGCGTTGGATGATGCCCTCGATGTTGTAGCGGAATGTTATGGACAGGGTATGGGGTTCTTTTTTCCTGCCTGACGCGGAACAGATTACTTCGAGATTCTTCTTCTGTGTGGCGCCGAGTGAAGAATTTTGCTTGGAGATGAATGTATAGGAGAGGATGTTGCTCCATTCATCGTCGGTGCCATCGTAGTTCTTCGCTTGTAATTTCTTGAGGCGTTTCTGCTGGACTGTGAGGATTATGGTTAGTGGCTGGTGAAAGAGTATCGAAGGGTTTTTGGTTTGAGTTTCTTTTCACCTTTTCCACTGAATGCCCTCACGTTGTCCGTTGCGAGTAGGTCAAGGTCAAGGTCTTGTCCATCCTCTTTGCGGGAGATTTTGAGAATGAAGGGGTCTTGATCCGAGTCATCTCTGGGGAGACGGATTACCCAGCTCGTGGCCATTGTAGTTGCGGGTATGATTTGACATTGCTGTTTCAGTTCACCTCACGATGATTGTAGTTGATATTCACTTTTGTTGCAAGGCTGAGGGGAGCACACACCTCGAAATAAACTAGAGACGGCCCAGGCAGATGGTCCCACCCCTCCAAGATATTAACAATTGATTGCAGACAGATGTCATTGAAACTCGCTCGTGTTCGTCCCGATGCCAAGGAAAACGCGTGACGCGTAAGCAGCCAATAACAACATGCGTTGACTAATGGTATTTCGCTTGACCAGCTCGCTATTATCTGAAACAATGGAACCACTAAGAGAGAGCCTTGCCATTTTCGGACTAGACCATACGTAAAGTAGCACTAACACCTGCACTTAGTGCGCGAGGTCTCGAAAATTAACACCCATTAGCTCTTTAGTGTGAGTTTAAGCAAGAGGCTGGCAAGTTCCTCGCCCACTCCGTCGCGCCTACCAAACCTGCTACAGCCTACTTCCGTCAACTCCACTCCAAAGGGAACTCTGACCTCCGACGTCGACCAACCTCCCACGAGACCGTTGCTCCGACCTGCGATTCCGTCCAAAAAATTATACCTGAACCTTCCCGACATCTCATCTTATTTTCTTCCATACCACCGTTCGACATTGATCGAACACCTCTCAACGGTGGTACTTCCCCAAGAGGGGACCGATCCGCCAAACACGACTGCCACCACCACCCGCCAGGACAGACTTGAACGACATTCTCATGACCCTCACGACCTTGTACGATCTCGAAACGACTTTTCTTCCAATGTTTTGCGTTTTCCGATGCTGAATGGTCGACTTCTGCGACTGTGAACCCACTACACTCACTTTTTAATCGTCTCGCCGAAGATTGTGTTGGAAAATCATGGAACCACTCACACTAAAGCCCCGGACTCCTGTCGAGAGTCCGGATGTCGAAAATTGGGATGATGATGACTTTGAAAACCTCGACGATGTGCACTTCCGCACAGCTTCAACTGCGACTTCAATCATCTCACACCCTCAAACCAACCACCGGGATTCCGCGTCTTCGCGCATGTCCATGCGCTCCGAATCCAACAATGGAGATGAGAACTGGGATGTTCTGGTGGATGAACAAGCCTCAATAAAAGATGCCATAGCATTGGCTAAGAGTAAAGGAATACCACTACCAACAAATGTGCCTCGTTCTGCCCTAGAGGGAGGCACCATTCGACGCCTGAAAGGCAAGGAAATCAAGAAGGCTATTGCCGACGATTGGTCAGAAGACCTCGATATACCTGGAAACGACATACCCTTAAAGCTTGCAAAACACGATGACCGCGATATTTCGGAAAGTTTGCGTCAAATCAGTGCCGCTTTTCGTACTTCTCCCAAAACTCCTGAGACGAGTAAAGACTTCTTCGACAAAACTATTCGATCACCCAAATCAAGAACAGCTCCTACACCAATAACATTGGATGCTTTCCGTGACACTGAGGAGGATGCCAATTTCGCTGATGTGCCCACGATAAGAGTTGCCAAGCACAGGTCACCACAAAAACCACTGCTCTTTGAGCAGCCCCCAACACCCATGAAACCACAGATGGAGAGTATCGAAGAAGACCTCGAGCTACCAGCCGATGGAAAATTGAGATTGTCAACGAGGAAACCTCAACCTCAAACACCACAACAAGGTGATGACTTTGACCTTGAGTGGGCCGAAGGTAGTCTCGGAACAAGACACGCTGGCAGAAGAGGTGGCAGATCTGCTCGAAGCTCTTCCGCCTCCGCGTTGAGTCCTAGCGTCTCGAGTGCTTTTACTGCCGAGAGTGAGGATGAAGGCCTTGATGGCCTTGTTCTTCCTGATGGCCCCATAAGTTTTGAGGCCAAACTCAAACAACGCCACCTGGAACAAACACCAGAAATCAACGAAGTATCCGACGACAGGAACAATCTTAAGAGGACATCTGGGAAGGACGATTTCTTTTCTGGCCTAGAAATTGGTGATGGCGAGGTCTTTGATTCTGCCAAGTTGACCCTAAATCGCAATGTCAAGCACAAGAGCACACGAACTACAAGCCCATCTAGGAGAACTGCCACAACACTCAATTTTACAACCACAAAGACAACCGGGACCATATCACGGTTGCCTCGATTTCAACCAACTCACGAACGCCACGATCGTCCTCGTTCTCATTTGGAACCTGTTTCAGAAACAGGCGCTCCAATCTCCACCTATCAACGACCGAGTTCTCGAATCGCAAGCCATTCAGGACAGACATCTACTACAGCTATTCCAGCACCAACCACACCATCAACACCTTCTACGCCTTCTACGCCTAGTAGACGACTTCTCCGGGGCGCTGAGTCTCGACCCGATCTTCGTTTCGAACAACCCACTACCACAAATGCACAATTATTACGTGCAAAACGATCAATGCCAGTAATGCGTGGCGTCAATTCACCTACGAAATCTTCACCCTATGTAAGACCTCCTTCAAGACAGGATACTGGAAGTCGCCTCAATCTGCTGTCACGACCCAAAACGCCCACTGATCGCCTCGACACTCGATCAGGCGACCCCAAGAAAGCCAATGTCCCATTCATCCCGGCCGGCGGTTCATTGACTCAGTCTCATAACATCAACCTCAGATCTACTACCACACGTCACGTCCGTGGTCAAGGATCTGATGGTTCCGGGGATAGTATGTCTGCTGCCCAACGATCTTTGTCTCGTCTTGCTGGACTTGGTCGGCCAGAGACCCCGCGCGGTCGCAGTAACCTCACACCTGCAGAGCTGGCTGCTCAAGCCAAGAAGTCAATCACAAAACCAGCAAAACGTCGCAACTATGGAGACGGCTCTGAACTCGAAATCTTCGATGACCTGCCCACATCTGCCACTATTGAGTCGAAATTCACTAAACAACCGGTGGGTCGTGGTGCGCCTCGAAGTTTGAGAAGCAAACTTGGACTGTCTCACATGAACCCCTCTTCGTCATCTCTAGCCAGCACTCGCCGTGGTAGTGACACACCTATGCCAGGAACACCGTTGACTCCCCATCGAAATGACTTCCCGACGACAGCACTCAACACTACCAATGTACCGCGATTTGCTCGTGACACTGCTGCATCTCGAAACGCTCGAGAGCAACGTCAAATCTCAACGAGTTTCCAGACCATTCGTGGGGAACCGCTGCAACCTATCTCTGCAAACTGGAAACCTCCCCAGATTGCTCGTCTTAACCAGCAAGGTAGTTTGCGGAAGAAGAAGAACGAGAAGACCCAGCAAAAGCCTCATCTCATCAAATCTATGGGTGGTGACTCGAACAGGGCCAAGACTGAGAAGGGAATGCAATATAATCCTTTGCTTTTTAGATGGGAAGGCAATGAAAATTCTCTAGCTCCCTTCGATGTTCCCGACTTCCATCCACGTGGAGGTAGTCCTTCTGGACAAGGTCAAGGCAGTCCTGGCACCAAGGCCAACCTGGCATTGATCTCAAACGTTGGGTCCATCACTGGTGTTCAAGTTGTCGGCGGTATGGTCTTTGATCCATCACAGATGCGATGGTTGAAGATTGCAGAGAATGGAACGGGAAGCACTGCTGGCATCCGAGGTGAAAATGTCCAAGTTGAAGAGGAAGAAGACGTATTTGCCGGGTTGGAAGACCTGAAGGAAGAGGAGGAGACACGAAGCCGAAGTGGTACACTACAACACCTCGTGAGTGCCAGTCAGTCTCGTGAATCACTTGGAGATGCGGATGGCGGACACAGCAGTGGTGAAGACTGGGGAGTCGCTGAAGAGTTTGACGTTGGCCCCGAATTTGTCCGACGACAACGCACTGAAGAAGACAGATGGCGTCGAAAAGTAGAGAAGTGGCTGAGAACAGGCGCCGATGCCGAAGATGACGAGAATGCCGATGGTACAGCGGGTCACCGATGGGCGATTAGAGATCTCGTTATGGCTCAACTTTAGACCAGGGGTTAGCGTCTTCCTTGAGTCTTGTATATTGAAGCGAAAACAATCGACTTACTGACACGAAATCACGCAGCGGGGCGGTATAGGAAGGGAAAGTATTGCGGACTAGGAGCACAGGACTTCCAGTCTCATGATTCGGCCTTTTTGCTGGTAGGCAGATTGTTCCATAACGTGCGTACGAAAGGTGATATGAGAGATCTGGAAACCGAGAACACGCTCCTCCACTTACTTGTCACGAAGCTTATGAAACCACACCATCATGAACTGGGAATGGGACAATGGGTCGGCGTATGCGGTTGCGGTTACTTGTTTTATAACAATCTTGACTTTCTTCCGATGTACTTCTTTTTATTTATTGATCCGATCATGGATTCCGTGGACGTTGGAGATCGGCGACTGATTCGTGCTTTGCTCCTTCCCGCTGGGACTTGAGGACGCATTACCTTGACGATGAGATAAATAAAAGCAATCTGTATAGATATCCTGGGACGTGTGTATGCGTAGTGCTTTCTGCCTCGTGTTTGTATGATTGAGATGAATGCTGGATGAAGACGTCCGTGATTCAATGAGGAATTCACAGGTGTTGGTTGGTAGCATATCGTCTTGAGCTGCCGGTGTACTGTGGTTTCAAAAGAAACATTTATATGCGGCATGTTTCCCGTGGTACCTGAGATCATCTTTGGCCATGACTTACTCTAACTGGTTAATGATCCCGGGAGACAGATAGGCCCCGGTACAGGCCGATGCTGATTATGCTGCTGAAAGACACAGAAGAAGAGGACGTACATCAGGTTGCTCCGGATGATGAGTATGGATCATCGTGACTCAGCATTGAGAGCTCCAGCTCTTGATATTGACGAATGTCAAGTTACTGACCACAGACAGGTTCATCCTTGATCGGTATGATTGCTTGCTTGCTTGCTTGCTACACACTCGTAGGTAGGTATCATGGTGAGTTCGCCCCACGTCTTGACATTGTTTCTTCGCATGAACGCGACACACGAGCATTGGGGGCGTTCACACCTCCTACTGAACATAGAGGTATTTGCCTGTCGTGATCTCCCTCGATATCTAACATAGGTTCATACGGAATGGGCATGGGCAATGCAATCAATGTGACTGAGTGTCAGAACAACAACAACATCAACTCATTACGCGAGGCTGACATCGTCATTGAAATGAAAGGGTTTCACGCTGGAGTGGCACAGCCTGTGACATAGAGACAGGTAAGGTCACTTCTTGGGCACCAAAATGTCTGAGAATGACTCAGGGCAAGCAGGAGTTCGGGTCTGACTTCAGTGACCCATGCGTGATGTGACGGATGCTTTGCGCTTTGCTGCCCTCGGCTTCTTGGGGCCGAGTGGCAGAAGGAGGGCGGCCCTGCTCGTCCTTGAAACTCCTACCTTTCCTAATTCAAATCCTTGTCATCGTGATAGTCGAGGAGAAGGTCATGATCACCATGGTAATCAGGGCATTGCATAATGGATCAAGACTCGTGGGTGATTTGAAACTGTACATGTTCTTTTTCGACTACAGCGTAGGTAGTCCTGTGTACGTATGCATGCGATGGCGTCCCCTAAGTTACACTGTGGTGAGTGGGCGAGTGGGTTCAACACTCCCCCAGTATCTTGATTGAAAGATTCATTGACTTGGTGCGCGCAAGTATGCGATACATGTTCTTCCCTCCCTCCTTCCCGCCAAACCCAAAAACGGCCAGATGACAGCTCAACCTTCGGAATCGATTAACTTATTTACCACTTTCCTTGGCGTTTATGAGTTGCTGTATGGGCTGTCGCTGTTGTCGGGATAGAGGTCTTCCTTGAGATTGACGCCGAGTTCTTCCCTTAGGGGTTTCAGTTCCTCCAAGTATTCCTCGTATTGCTGGATGTTTTCAACTTTGGCTTTGATACCTGAGATATCTGGTCAATGGCTGGAACTAATCGTTACTGGGTCCTGCAAGGTCGCACCTTCAAATATTCTGACAGCGGTCGGGTAGTCATTGACGCGTCTTGCAGCCTTGAGAGCTGCTGTCACAACACCGGGTGAGGGCACAAGATCATAGGCAAAGGCGTTGTTCAAATTTCGCTGGCATGAATATTAGATGACAATATCTCTGATGTGAAAAGCTCATATACCTGGAGTTCGAACACATCTTGAACAGCATCGAATTCTTTCTCGTATCTGAAACAATGTCTTGTCAGCGAAGTCCTTGGGAATCGTTGACATGTGGGTTGAAGTGGCAGCAATTTTGATTATTCGACAAGCTCAGCAATGGTCGTACCTCGCAGAAAATTCCTCGAAAGTCTCTTCCTCGTGTCCGCTTTTTCGAGCGGCTGTTGAGCTGAAGGGTGCTCTGGTGTTGACTGATTGAGCTAAAACAGGAGCTCTCCTGACAGAGCGAGCGCAAGGTCTGAAGACGGAGGTGACTGGGCGAGCAGTAAGACGAAGGATCGAGAGGGAAGCCATGATCGAGGCTTTTCGGTTGTGAGGATGGAAGGTCGGAGCTCGTGGAGGAGAGAGGGTGGTGAAAGTGGTTATTTTACAATTGAAGAAGCAGACTAGAAGGTGCTTTGGCAGGTGCAGTTGAAGTCACCTGAGAATTTGGAGAGCTAGACTGCCTAAGCAAATCCAAAGTGCTGTGAGTGGTTGAAATGGCACTGCGACGAGCTAGAGCTCTTTAGGCGGATCAAGAATGTAGTGAAATTTTACAAAACCAAGCAAGTACAAGTCTGACAGAGCGTATTGCACTTTATTGGGGCAAATACTTCAATGACATCTGTCACCGTAAATTTCTTGAGCGTTACACATCGTTCGCAACGTATTTTATGTAGCCTGGCGTCATCGCCTGGAACCAGAGTGTTAGGCTAAGGGCCCAGCTGGTTCCTGAGTCCCGAGACCAATACTTAGGGAGTCCTTGTAACTCATTTAGGTAAGCCCATGGGCTGAATGATTAATTGCCCTACTTGAGCAGGCATTTCATCAAAGGATAAACAACACCTTGCACAGATCACCACGAGGATGATTCCTACCGGTGCAACAATCTTCCACTGCATGTCATCCGAGTCTCCCTCAACATTTCTCACATAATCAAAGACTCGTCGGCGCTTATCGTGTCAATACGCAACACGTGCGGCTCTCGCAAGGCAAGAGCGACGCGGAGATTGAGAAAGACCCCAGCGGCCAATGGGAACAGGCGGCAATCACGATGCTTGGCGACCAACGCGTAGCGCGCCCCAGAGATTCCCATCCATTTTCATTTTTCCCCTGATGCCGGTGCGACTCGAGTCTCCAGCCCGCCTGTCGTTGCAGCAATTTTGGTTGCATTGGGCCTTGAACAATTCCCAGTCGAACAGGATAATAATCTTCTCTTCTCCCCTTGAGCCTCAACCCATCTGCCTCGGTGCTTCCTTCATCTTCTTTCTCTTCTTCTACTTCTGCTTTTGTTCTTGCTCAACCTCTTGTTCTGTACCGTACCACCGAGTTGATTCCCTTTTGTCGCCCTCTTTTCTTACACTACACGCGATCGCTCCTCGGCGGTGCCCTCCCTCCACCATGGGCGACCTTTTGAAGTCGATTCCTATACCCACCCTCGACCGTCCCTTCGGCATTGAGCTATGGCCCTATTTCAGCAAGGGCTTCGAGACCGTCGTGGGTTATCCTGCCGATAATTTCAGATTTGTTTCCGGTCTCACGCCCATGTCAACACTCCAAGAGACGGTCATTTCTCTGATTTCATACTATGTCATAATCTTTGGCGGCAGAGAGTTGATGAAGCATCGCCAGGCCTTTGTTCTAAATGGCCCTTTCATGATTCACAACTTCTACTTGACTGTCATCAGTGGCGTTTTGTTGGCTCTCTTCATCGAGCAACTCCTTCCCACCTTGGCCAGATATGGTGTTTTCCATGCCATTTGCGATCACGACGGAGGCTGGACCCAGAGACTCGTCGTTCTATACTACGTATGGTTGACTCTACACGCGCTTTGGCAAATCACTGACTCTTGCAGCTTAATTATTTGACTAAATACCTCGAACTGATCGACACCTTGTTCCTTGTGCTTAAGAAGAAGCCCCTCACCTTTTTGCACACCTACCACCATGGTGCCACCGCCCTTCTCTGCTACACTCAGCTTATTGGAAATACTGCTGTCTCTTGGGTTCCTATCACATTGAACTTGACTGTCCACGTGGTCATGTATTGGTACGATCCCCTGATCTTTCACTGTAGTTTGCGCTAATACATTCAGGTACTACTTCCAATCCGCCCGTGGCATTCGCATCTGGTGGAAGAAGTACATCACTATGCTCCAGATCATTCAATTCGTCATTGACCTTGGCTTCGTCTACTTTGCTTCCTACACCTACTTCACCAGCACCTATTTCCCCAACATGCCATCTGCCGGTCATTGTGCTGGTGAAGAGTTTGCTGCTTTCGCTGGCATGGGTATTTTGAGCTCCTACCTCTTGCTCTTCATTTCCTTTTACTTCGCCACATACCGGAAGCAGACCATTTCTGGACGTCCTAGGAGGAATACTGGAAAGGAGGCCTTGATCGCTATGAAGGATCTTCCCCTTCCTGACCCACACAAGCTTCCTACTACACTGGACGACTCGAAGAGCAACGGTGCCGTCGCCACGGGACGCTCTGAGGGGCGCACTACCAGATCGAGAAAAGCTTAGAGTGCCGATGTCGATCAACGATTCGAAGACGAAATGCTAAACATCACTCGAAACCTTGATTTGATAAACGACTCGAGAGATTCGGCAGAACAGCTTGGAATGCAGTACACCCATCAACGTTATCTCGATGCTTTTCGTGCATCTGCTACTACCTTGAACGACATCGCGCCAGGTTAGTAGGCTTGGAGAGGGTGTGATACATGGATTTTCGTCCACCGCGCAGTGGGATGTGAGATGTATAGATATGGTTCACAGGATTTTGCTGGCCGGCTGATCAGCAAATGTACAAAATCGGATGTGAGGTCGGGGGCGGTGTTTAGTACAACACTTGGCATTTCAAAGAGATCGAAACAGTGTCTTGTGAGATGTCGGTGGTGCCAAAAGAGTTACTCTGTTCGCTCGCCTTGTTTTTATTAGATGCATATTATTATTAATGCACGATTTTAATGTGGAGAAGGGGGAGGAGATGAAGGTGGGAGAAGAAGCAACCCTGAAGACTACTAGGTAGCAAGCAATAATCCTTCAAAGTCAAAATTTTATATGTCCATCTATCAAGAATGTTTGGACTGCGAGAGGTGTGAAATAAGATTCACATCATGTTGTCCGCGGCATTTTCGTGTCGCTGGACATATGCATCTCAGATGCAGATGAGTTCACTAAGCCAAGTAACCACTATCAATGACCTTAGTTCATAGTCCTTTGGTTTGACTCAATAGGGCGAGGAAGCAGGACGTGGCTACTCTATGTCGCTTCCTGATATCGAAGCAAGGGCAGCAGATACCACCTCGTTGAACAACAACTATACCTGGGCTCATGCTTATACTGCTTCTGAATCAGGTCTACCAAACATAACAAGCCTGCTAACCCCTTTTCTAGCCCCTTTCTCACTCAGCCTGTTCAGTACTCAAATTGCTATTTTCTTCAAGTTGTCGAGGGTGTCAGAACTTTAGACCAAACATACGGAGGCAAGTCCACTTTCTAGTGCTAGCCCATTTAAACTGGATATATGCCCACTAGATGCCAACCAGCGTTCAATAGATTGTCTTCGGACCATCAGACATTCCCCATTCCCTTGACTGGCCACGTTTCCAGAAAGTTCAAGTGAGTGAGAGAGGAAGTTGGTTCAGTTCTCCAGCCTCGAATCCCTCCGCCAGATTTCTGTCCTCAGACCACTGATGGAAAGGTTTCCTTCGCCTCCCATATTTCTTCCCGGTTGTTTTCCGGTCGCGTGCGTAAGATTTTACTTCCGTCTCCGAGACTCCATAATTTTCTGAAGTTCTCACCAAGTTTGAGCCTCGACATGAGTTCTGACCAAGCACAATCCACAGCCATGAGCAATAGCCGGAAAAAATCAGCATCCTCCGTCCTTACCCGCGGGATGAACTACCCGCAGTGTACAAGCCTCCATATCCGCGGAGTAATGCTGGGGATTAGTCCCCGACGTGGGTGGGCCAGAGCATCCCCGCTTCTCCGCTGACGAGTGTGATCACTCGATACGGGGATAACTTCGTTCTAAAGGTTGTCGGTCATTTATCACAAGAACGAGCCATCCGTGCCCAGACAACATATATAAGCCATGCAGCACGGCCTCCAAAGCTTGTGCGATCCAAGCATACCAAGTCCTGCCCAGATTCCTTGGCCAACTCTTGTCTTCGATCTTGAGAATCGATCCTTACGAGAGGGTAGAATAGTGTACCTTCGAGATCTCTGAGCGTCGAATAGCTACACAATAGCAAGCATGCGTCCTTCAAGACACGCTGTTGAACCCATGAGCGTGGAGACACCTCGTGAGGTCTACAACTATCGAGTTTACCTCCTCGCCATCGTTTCTTCATTTGGTGCCATCATTTTTGGTTACGATCTCGCCTTCATTGGGACAACACTTGCCCTAGACTCTTTCAAAAAGTGAGTCTCCATCTCAGATCGTTCTTTGGCGTTATAGCCGAGTGCTGACAATCTCCAACTACCAGGGACTTCAAATTACACGGCAACACAGATGCTTTTTCTGCAAACATTGTTTCGCTACTCCAGGCTGGCTGTTTCTTCGGATCACTCGCAGCGGCTCAAATTGGTGATAAGTTTGGCAGAAAATGGGCCCTCATTATGGCTGGCGTCATCTTCTGCGTTGGCTCGCTGATGCAGACTGTCTCATTTGGGAATGTTCCTGTAATGTTCACCGGTCGTGCCGTCGGAGGTCTTGTAAGGAAAGATCTACATATTCTCCCGAAATTATCGAACTGACAATCCCTTCAGGGTGTTGGCGCAGCCAGTATGCTGGTGCCTCTGTACATCGCCGAAGTTTCACCTCCCAAGATTCGAGGACGTCTCGTGGGTATCTATGAGATTGGAGTCCAGGCAGGAACGTGCGTTGGTTTCTGGATCAACTATGGCTTGAAGATCAACATGAAACCCAGCACTTCCCAATGGATGATTCCATTTGCCATCCAACTCATCCCCGGCGGTATCCTCATCATCGGCATGCTTTTCTTGCCAGATTCGCCCAGGTATGTTCACGATTCCGGATGATTCTAGATCAGATGCTAATACTTTTTGTAGATGGTACGCACGAACCAAGGGCCGAGAAGTGGCGACCACAGTCCTCGCCAAACTCCGCAACCTTCCTGCCGAGCATCCCTACGTACAAGAAGAGATCGACCGGGTCATCAACCAAATCGAATACGAGCGTGAACACACCGTTGGCAAGGGCCTTGTCGCCGAATTCAAAGAACTCTCCAAGCCTGGTAACCGCAACCGCATTGCCATCGGCGTCATGATCTTCGTCTTCATGCAAATGGCCGGCTCCAACGCTATCAACTTCTACTCACCCCGAATCTTCAAATCCATCGGCCTGACGGGAAGTAGCACAGGGCTCTACGCAACAGGCATCTACGGAATTGTGCGCTTCATCGCCGTCGTCATCGCCATGGCCTTTGTGGTCGACCGCTTCGGCCGCACCAAGATGTTGATGTACGGCTCCGCCCTCATGTCGGCGTGCATGTGGTATATCGGCGGATACGTGCTGTCCAGTAACCCCAGTGCGGCGAAGAGCATCTCCGCTGGGGGCTATGCCGCCTGCACCCTCATCTACATCTACGCAATCGGATTCTGCTTCTCGTGGGCCGGCGTCCCCTGGATCTACTGCTCCGAAATCTTCCCTTTGCGCATCCGTGGCATCGGCATGGCGCTCTGCACTGCCACGCACTGGTTGATGAACTTCGTCATCGCCCGCAGCGTCCCCTACATGATCACCAATATCGGCGGAGGCACTTACTTCGTCTTCGCCTCGTTCCTTGCCGTCGCGGTGCTGTTTGTCTTTTTCTTCGTTCCCGAGACCAGAGGCCTGGATATGGAATCTATGGATGAGCTGTTTGGTGGCCCACAGGCCGGTGCTCGCGCTGGAGTTCGCGACATTGATGAGGAGAAGGCCGCCACTGAGACCATTGAGCGTAAAGAGGTGGTGTAATTCTTGACTGGCTACATTTGCCACATTATAGGATTGTCTATGCATGATTGCCTGGGAGGCAAAATAGGAGATATGATATGATATAAATTCTTACGATTATGGTTATGAACATTCAGAGTTCAAATGGTCCTTTGAACGCTTCATTCTTCCCCTGGAATGAATTCCCTCTCTCGGTGTGTGGATTTGGATGAAGTTTCATTCATTTATTGGTTGTGAAGTGATCAGCAACGTGTAAAAAAGGTACAGTGTATAGAATTCCCAGAACCAGAGATAGCAGCAGGTTCTAGACAGGAATAATCTAGTATTTATGCAACGCTCCATGCACCTAGGTTGGAAGAGCCTCCAAAAGTGAGAGGAGTCAAGTACAAACGTACCCCTAACCCTAACCCTGACCGCTACTCCGGAAACCAAAAAATCCTAGTCGGTCCTGAATCCTGCTGATTGACTCTTCACCAATTCCCCAGATTTCCGAGGGGCTTCTCGTGCCGTTTGATCGACAGTGGACAAATGAACAAGGATAATATTTTAGCGGGCGGGGAAATCAAGACTTCTAGACTTTCGTTCTCCGCATGGACTGTAAGCGAGCACGAGGAGAGTCCGTCATCCATTTTTTGGCCACTCCAGGTAATAGGATGGAGAGAAGAATGCTTTGGTGAACGTGAAAATGGCATAAATTCATAGTTCGAGGATGCGAAGTCTATACAAATCTATGCTGTAGCGATCATCCTGAATGTTCCCCTTTCCCTACACACGTTACTCCACCGCTTTTGTGGAATGCATAATCCATCATCTCAAAAGTCCAAAGTAATTTCGTATAAACACCCCGGTAGGCTCGGCAGCGCGCCCACTTAGTAAACATAGCGCCATCCTCGCTCATTGCCGGAGTGAGCAGTGTAGCCCTCGGCCTCGTCGAGTTTCTTGTTGAGTTTCTTGGCTCTAAGCACGATGCCACCGGAGAGCAGGCAGGTCAAGACACAGCCGGCGATGATAAGACCACCACCAAGTCTGTAGAATGGCTCCTGGGATCTGGGGAAGAAGTACGGGCTGAACCAATGGCTGGTCTGCGAGATGCAGTTGGCAATGGCGATCAGGGCGGCCTTCTTACTCTTGGGTGCGGGCACAAGCGTGGTTTCCCAAGACAGCTGCAAGTTGAGACCGGAGTATGTTCCGCTGATGAGTAGAATGATACCGAAGTATCGAGCTCCGACATTCATGGTGGAGATCAACATGGCGCAACCAGCTGCGGCAGCGATAATCGGGACCACAATATGGTAGCAGGATTCTTGGAATCTGCCGGAAGTCCATGCAAGGCCACATGCTGCCATGTATGCAATAGCGTAGGGTGGTGCTTGGACAAGGTAAGTGGTCATCTTGTCGAATCCGAAAGTCTTGAGGATCGATGGGAAGAAATCCTTGAAGCTCTGAGCAGTGATGAGAGCAAAATGCATCCCGCAGAAGTACCAGGTAAAGGGATCTGCAACGGCAGACTTGAGGCCATCCCATGTGCCGCCAACACCCTCGTCGACGCCACCGTTGGAGACCAAAACACGATACTGTGCCATTTCTTTCTCTTCCTCGCTGAGGCACTTGGAGTTGTGTGGCCAGTCTGGAAGGACGAAGAAGGCAACAACGGCAACCGCGATAGATGCAATGCCTTCAATGAGGAAGAACCACTGCCACGATTTCATGCCACCGATTCCTCCCATGTGTTCAAGGATGCCAGCAGCGAGAAAGCCAGAGATGATGTTTGAGATGGTGTTTCCAGCGTGCCAGATGGCCATGCGAGTTGGATTTTCTTGCTTGTTATACCATGAACTTGTGATAAGGGTAATACCTGGAAAGAATGGCGCTTCGCACAAGCCAATAACGAAGCGAACAATGCAGAAACCAGCCCCGCTTTTCATGGCAGGCATGCAGATAGTAGCAGCACTCCATGCAAGCATAATGATGGGCAAGAATTTGCTGGGGTTTGCCTTGGCGAGTATCAAGTTACCGGGCAGTTGACCGATGAGATATCCGACGTAAAAGGTACTGATGCCGGCATTCCAGACAGTATCAGACATGTTGAGATCTTCTTGAAGACCCGCAAGGCGAGCATTCGAGACATTGATGCGATCGAGATAGCTGGAGAGTTGTTAGTGGAAGTTTTCCTTTTAGTGGGCTCGGGCTACATACTTCATCAAGAACATGAGTGTGAGACAGGGCATGAGGCGCCAATCAATCTTTTTGAGCACCTTTTTGTTGAGGGCAGTCATTTGCTCATCGCTGAGGTCTCTCAATGTGTCAAAACGATGTTGGATTTGAGCAGGTGTTTGCCAGCTTCTCTCGACCTGGACGGCCTCGCCCTCAAGTTTTTCAAGCTTCTCGTCATGGCTGACGATGGTCGTCTGAGCAGCATCCTTCTGAGACATTGTGGCGATTTGAATTCTGATGCTGATTCTTTTGTTGAATCCAGCAGACACTGTTAGAAGTTGTTGATGATGATCTCTTCTGTGATGGAGGGGGGTTCCATGGTTCTTTATATCTTCATCCTTTGCTCGAGACGGTCGTGTACTTCCGCAAGATGAGATCCGCCGGCGGGAGAAGGGCCTGGTCCATCTCGTGTCCAATGGTGCCAGATGTCTGCCACACTTTCCCCATGGGTAATGCGGAGGCGAGAGTCAGCTGGAGAGCGAGATTTGGGAGGACGGACTGGAGCCAAGAAGTAGCCAAGGGCTGGGCGAACTCTTTTAACAGCCAGCGGATAGGTTTTTATAGCTGGTGTGTTTTGTTACCCGCGGATAGATGTCCTGTATAGCGGATGTGACATTCTCTTCCTTGCCAAAGCAATCGTGAGATGCCCGGAGACGGCGACGGATCCATGGGTATCCTGTCAGGAGTTCGGCATGGAGGGACGGGCAGTCATACCATAGTGGAACCCTGCCGAACAATAGCAGTTTTGCTTGATAGCCTTCCCCAGGCTGGGGAGGAAACCCGCTCGGGCGATAAACAGACCTGACACATACTTCGTTAATCTAACAAACTACTATGGCCGAGATCTTCCCCTCAGCCTTGCCTGCTCGGGTGGAAGGAACAACAAAAATCGAACAGCGTCATCTGATGTAGAGAACTTGAACTACTACTGCGGAGTTTTGTTCTAACAAAAACGCCATGGAGCTAATCTCGAGGCTTACTAGCAAAATATCGAAGGGCCATTGCAATTTGAAGCATTCTATCTATCATACCCTAGGTATCCTTGTTACAATGCAAATTAGTTCCTTTTGGATCTATGCGCCCATTCCCATCCGCTGGATATCGCCATCTAGAAGAACTCAGAACGCCATAGACAAATGCATAAACTCCGAATCCATTTGTCATGCTCCTATTGACCAAGTCCCATTGCGCCCTTCCATGCCCTAGACTCCCTCTGATCATTGTGTGACGGGACCAAGTACCGCGACAATATTCTCGTATACTGTGAAAACGATGCCACCACTGAAGACCAGTCTCCCCAGTCTCATGGTGCTTCCGCGCCAGAAACCACGTAGCCCTGACGAGGAAAAGATATCGCGGATCGCAGTAACCGTGCCGACCTTTGATGTACCCTGTGATCTTGTCTTTATTGTGTCGAGGGGTTGAGTAGCATACACAGTGATGACTCCAGCTATTGCGCCCGTCGCAAAAGTGGTCAAACTATTGTTCGGAAGATTTTGTCGCTTGGTATATTCTCTCAACACATTGTAAGAGCCCATTCGGACTGCGGATGTCGCGGACTGCTTCATCACTGTTGGAAAGAGGCCTCGGTAAAGACCAGCAATGCCTTGTTCTCTGAGAATAGTCTTGAAAGCGTGGGCGCCACCGGTGAACCTTTTCTGCCCTTTGGCATCGTCGATTCTATCAGGGTTAGTCATTAAGTTTCATAATTCGATCGAGCGGACGCACATTGCTGTCTTCAGCCGCTCAGCAGGTGTCACTGCTACACTAGCCTCGACACAGCCGGCCACCATTCCGGCCAGCACACCGCGCCCAGGAGATAATCGGCCATGGTCGTCTGCAAATAAATTCCTTACAGCATCGAAGGAGAGAAATCGAACACCTGCTTTGAAAGTTGTTCCCTGTTTGAATCTTAGTTCAAGCGCTGTATGAAGTACATTGGCGTTTTATCACTTACCACGACCAAAGTGGAACATCCAGTATATATGGCGCCAATACCTTCGCCTCGTACGGTTTGCGTGATGAGAGAAATTGGATTCGATGTAGTCAGATTGGAGCCCTTCAATTGCGCCCTCGTCTTCGCGAATTCGAATGGATACTTGGGATGGTCAGCACTCGTATTTCATTTCGAGCAAGTAATACTCACTGTCACGGCGGCTTCAACACCTCCAGCTACACCGCCGGCGAAAAGTGACAGAGCGGGCGCTATGTGATGTTTGGCCTTGTAAGTGTTAGTCAATCCTAAATTCTGATTCCAAGGGATCGCCTTACTTTAGGTGTTGGTGGTGAAACGACTTGTGCAGTCGGAACCGGCGTTGATATCGTTGCCAATGCCATTTTGTACAGATTATGGTCAATTGAGCGGTTTGTGAGTGCGTAAGGGAATCTGGAATGTGGATGTCGAACGTGAACAACGGGGATATGTTTGGGAAAGTAGATATGGCTAGACTAACAAACAATCTGGATAAGTTTGATAACGCCTCCCGCAACGGGAGCCGGAATAAGGTCCACGGAGGCTAGGCCATCCGTAGTAGATCTACGAGTACATGGCGATACTAAGATTGCCGAATTAATCACAGCCTCGTCAGGAACATATGATAGGATCATGGGCTATGGCATTGGGCGAAATCTACTCATCTCTAACCAAGCATCTTCCGCGGAGGTTAATGGGGACATTACCCGTGGATACCTACGTCCTTTGCCGTCTGGCCGCCAGCGAGGACGGATGATCATGGCCCTGGCCCAATTACCGGCACTGAAACCGTTGTTCTGTGGCATCTAGAATCTGTACCTCGTCATGCAAACGCACGGCGGCATGGCCCGATCGACTCGGTCTTTTCTCGACACCATACCTCGTCGGGTTTGGTAGCTGGCATTGCGAAGGGGCTGCTCTGCCCAACGCCCTCCGTTCAATCATAACTTTGCATGATAATAACCACTAAACAAGAGTAACAGTTCGCGATCTACAGTGGTTCTTTCAAAATACCCCAGAAAGGCTTCTACACGTGGTTCCGAGTAGTCTGGGGACGCCTACCAGCATATCGAACATTCCCTCCATCGTCGGGTGATCTCAACTCATTTCTGCCTACAGAATCGAGTTTTGACCGTGGGGATGATGGTCTAGTAATTGAGATCCTCCTAATTTTGTATAAGCTTTGAGAGAAAGCAAGCTCGTATGCATAGCATGTTTTGCTCTGGTGATAATGAATTGTATAAGGCATACAGTGGTAGTCGAGGAGAAGAAGATTTCTCATGAATTGCACAGCCGAGGCTCACATTTGCTCTAGGCAGAGGTCGGCACCTGGAGCAAGAATCTGCACCCCGGAGCACCCCAGATAGACTCATTGCTGGGACTAAACGTGTGGTCACTGCGAAACAAAAGCTGACGCGCTAGGTAGGTCAACTAGATTTGGTCTATTCAGTTCGTCCACCTACGAATGAAGCTTTTCATTACGAGTAGGTACTTCATGACGGAAATCTCAAATCCGTAGAGGCATTATCAAGGCCGTACCAGTGTCGTCTACTGAGTGAAAAGCTAAAAGCTGGAGTTTGGACGGAAGCCAAGACGCCCCGGTAAAAGAGGTCCCGTCACCACTCTCGAGCTCTCTCCATTCCCCGCATCTTCAGTTCTCGCTGGAAGGGTTTTTACCCGCGGCAAGATTCAACATCCTCACTCATCCCACCCATTGCAAGCATATCAAAATGGATGTCACTGTTGGCCCCAAGGCTACCACCGCCAAAGGGAAGCCACGGAAGCGCGTATCCGAGGCATGCGTTTTTTGTAAACGGAGGAAGGTTAGCATACCTCCTCCAATGCCACTTTCCGCCCTGGACCTACCTAGCTAACAACAAGTTTGGCGTGGTAGATTAGGTGCAGTAGCGAAAGGCCAACCTGCAGTAATTGCAAAACATATGGAAACGATTGCGTTTATCCACAAAATGGACGTGCTGCACGGTGAGATTCAGTTCGCATGCCGATGAGTGTGACCACCAACCACTAACAATGTAGTGCTGAGGAGCGACAACGACGAACAATTTCAATACCACCACAGCAACAACAACAACAAAAGCATGTGAGCGGCACGACGCCTGCTCTGAGCGAAGAACATGAAATTCTAACTGCTGGAAACAATGACGCCAAACATCCCGGAGAAGGTCCTTCGCTAACCAGTGAGAATGAATCCAAATGATGGGTCGACTATAGCTTACTGGTTTTGTGTCCCAGCGCCGGCAGCAACTGTAGATCAATCCACTCCGAATCGCTCAGTGGCTCGAATCATCTTCTCAGACAACGGAGCCTCCAGTTACCATGGTCAGACCAGCGCGTTGTTTGAGGAGAATGTTTACGATCGCAAAGGATCCAAGAGAGAAGTTGTCCCGCCCGAATGGGTCGAAAAGGGATTGATGGCAGAAGCTTCCTTGCAACGTAAGAACGCTTGAAAGCAACGCAACCAGTTACTAATAAAGCATTTTTAGGCCAAATGGAAGTGATCAACTTTAGGGATAACAAACTCGACTTCGATGGCGTTGAGCCCGAGTTGGGAATGCACTTGCTTAGTCTTCATTGGAATCGACAGCATCACTCCTTTTTGATCACCTACCGACCAGCTTTCATGAGAGATATGGCTTGTAATGGACCTTACTTCTCCAAAATATTACTAAACGCCATATTTTATGGGTCGTCAAAGTTCAGCACTCGTTTGGAGGTGCGCAAAGACCCCAATGATGTTAGGACCGCTGGCTGGAAATTTCGACAAAGAGTCAGGGAGCTTCTCGGCAATGCCCTAGATGGAAGCGAGATCACCACAATCCAGGCGCTGCTCGTGATGGCCAATTCACTATTCGCCTTGGGTGATGAAAGAAGTGCTGCATGGTTGTACTCGGGCTTAGCATTTAGAATGATCATCGACCTTGGGCTGCATGCTGAGGCAGCTACGCTATCAAGTGCTCGTAGTCTGTCCCATGAAGATCAAGAGATTCGACGGCGAGTCTTTTGGGGTGCATTTGGTAAGCCTGCAGTACGAAAGATTGGACCTTTGCTGACCCCAATAAGTGGTAGACAAGATTATGAGCCTTTATCAAGGCCGACCTGTCAGTCTTCAGGAGGCCGATACCAGTGTACCGATCTCTTTCCTGGATAAATTCGAGGAGAACGAGAACTGGGCACCTTTTGCATATGGCTCTGACAGCCACACTGATCACATAGGAGGGCCAGCGTACAGCGTCTCCACTTTCACAGCACTATGCGAGTTGTGCAGGATCATGAACCAGATTCTCAACAACATATATGCCGAGCGAATCTTCGACCGCAGTTCCAGTGATCTTACACAAATGCTCGATGATCTTCACTCTAAAATGGAGAATTGGAACCAATCACTTGCGCCACATCTACAATTCGATCCCTTAAGGCCTCGTTTGGTGACACCACCGCCACATGTCTTGTCTCTGGCGTAAGTTCTGATATGTTTCAGCTAGAATGCTGGTCTGACTTTCCATAGGGCAATGTACAATGTCTTATTAATCCTACTCCATCGGCCATTCGTAGCGGATGGCCATCTCTACAATACTGCACGATCAATATCTGTCAACTCTCTCCTCACCTGCGCCACTGCTGCCACTCAAATCGTGCGTTTGCTAAGGGTTTACGATAAAGCATACTCAGTAAGACGAGCGCCTTACCTTATCTCGTACGCTACATACGTCAGCGCCACTATTCATGTTCGGATTGCCTCGAAAAGAACCTCTTCTTCGGATGCTCACCGAAGCTTGAGCACCTGTGTTGCAGTTTTGAGCATCAATCAAGAAACCAACTGGGCTGCGCGAAGAGCTAAAACCATTGTTGAGGGCTTGATGAAAAGGCTTCAGGTTGAGGTTCCTAATGCTGCAGCCAATCCGCAGGCGTATATCCTCGGAGCAGAGCCAGAAAGCCAGCAGCCTATAATACTGGAGCAGTTTGCTTCTGGAGATAATTTCGCCGAAGAAACTTTGAGGCCCGATGGGTTCTCGCCTGGTCTTGACATTGATGCAGTCATTCAGAGCTTCGTTCCTAATAACGAAAGTAATTCGAACATTCCTTTCTCGTCTTATATGAACCAGCAGCCTCCCACAGACGATTCGAGTGGCCAGAGTGCTTTTCCAGACCAGAGTCCAGAGGCTTTCAGGAATGGTATGTTTCAAGCAAACCAGCCGCAAGGAAATAGCGTATGGTATGATCAATTCGGGGCGCAAACATTCGCGTTCGATGATCTACTGTTCGGCTTCAACGGGTCAATGCTGGATGACTTCTCGATGCCGGCTTATCCTTCTTAGCCCGGGTCTAAGGGTAGTCCCAGGATGACAATGTCCCTGGAGCAAACCCTCAAGGCTGGAGAAATGATCTCCAGTGGAGAAAACTCGGTCATTGCTCCGGCCTTTTCGAGCCAATCAGAGTCTTTCCGTCACTGAACAACATCCGCGGGTACGACAACCGATGGAATAGGAAGACCAGATGGTCCAACTAAGGAGCCTCCCACTTTCCGCGGCAATGGACACTGGTTGAAGGATCAATCCCTGATCCGACGATGGCGACGGGCACTTCATAGCCTTGAGTGTTTTGATGCCCCAGTCCTATCTTACCCACCGGACCCGCACGGTATGCTATCGCCATACGAAATTGCGTGGTTTATTGTTCGGGGTCTCCACGATGAGGACTTCCGGATTGTGATTATATATGTTTGCTATAGTAATACACTAACATGACATCGAACGTTTCCAACAGACAGAGCATCAGCAAGTGAGCATATCAATTATATTCGTCATAGATGCCACGCCTTCCCCTACTTGGACTATCCTCAACTACCATTCCTTCAAACCTCTGTGTTACCAGAACTCGAGGATTTGCCCAGCTCATTATACCGACTGAAACAATGATCACAAAGCCCGATTCTCCCCCGCCATTCTTGGTGCAAGCCAACAGAAAGCGACAAGTCCTCCCGGCAACATGGATGAGGGCCGGTACATCGAAGGGTCTTTTTATTCACCGTAAATACCTCCCAAATCAACAAGAAGCCTGGTCACCATGGATTCTAGCAGCCATGGGCTCCAGAAACGGTGACCCTCGCCAACTCAATGGTATCGGTGGAGCAACCTCGACGACGTCCAAAGTCGCCATTGTATCACCTTCTAGAGCACCTGGGATCGATGTTGAATATACGTTTGCACAGGTCGCAGTTGGCAAGCAGAAAATCGACTATAGCGGAAACTGTGGCAATATTGCCAGTGGTGTTGGTCCCTACGCCGTTGAAGAAGGGATGGTTCAAGCAAAGCCGGGCCAGACACATGTATGTGCCTCTTTCCAAAAACCTCGACCAACTGAGACACTAACCTCGCATAGGTTGACGTTCGAATTTTAAATACAAATACTGGGCGTGTCCTGGTAGAAACAGTCGCTGTGGACGAGCAAGGGTTCTTGCTCGAGCAAGGCGATTATCAAATGGCAGGTGTTTCAGACCCAGGGGCCGAGATCAAGGTAGCCTTCGTCGACCCTGCTGGCTCGATGACTGGAAAGCTGTTCCCAACTGGACGCACCGAAGACAGAATCATAGTCGAAGACCCGACGGCCTTAGAAGACTCATTTAGCGTCCAAGCCACTCTGATTGACGCTGCAAATCCATTCGTCGTCGTCGATGCCCAAACTTTACCATCGAAATTCGTTCAAGGCTCCAAGGAGTGGCTGGAAACCATTGAGGACATCCGACGGGAAGGTGCGGTCATGATGGGATTGGCAGACACCACCGAGCAAGCTGCTCTGACACGTGGAACGCCAAAGATTATGATGGTGTCACCGCCAAACACAATGAACGGCAATGGAAAGGTTCAGTCCACACCCGATATTTCTGTTCTCTCCATGAGCATGGGCCAGATCCACCCCAGCGTCCAACTCACCGGCGCGGTATGTCTTGCCGGTGCCTCCTGCATCGAGGGTACCGTCGCGTACAAACATTGTAGCAGCGAGAAGCTCCTTAACAGCTTCGGAGTCGAGTCAACAAAGCAAGCCTCACAGTCTCCCAAGACGATAGTGATTGGACATCGAAGTGGACAGATCCCCGTAGGCGTACATCTACAAGGCCAGGATGCTCTTGAGCGATGTGTTGTCTCGAGGACCGCGAGAAGGCTGTTTGAGGGAAACGTTCTGTTCTACGCTTAAAGAGGGAATGAGGTCTAAATATGGCCTTGTTTTGTTTCTTACCAGCTGAAAATGCTAGTCTGCAGATCACTGGCCATAACGGCCGTGTCCGGGAGCGATCTGAAGCGGGATCTTTGGTCCACCAAGGAAAAAGGCCCAGAAGTTGACATTACTCCCAGCTCACAACATTGTGCAGACAGGGAAAGTCATCTGCTCTTCCGGTTGAGTCTGGACTTCTCCATTGCATTGTCCAGAATTGCACTCCAGCGCACTCATCCCACGCATCGTACCAAGTTCATGCTTTCGCTCACATGAGTACCCGACAATCTGGCCGTCAACAATGCAGCTCGATGATGTTATGAGTTATGATGTGATTGTCGCTGCGAGGTTGTACATATTTGTACATACACACATTCGAGATTTCTGCGACCACCAAAACGTATCGGGAATGGCAGGAGCATGGCAAAGATGGCTCGGAAGGAGTATTTGACAGACTTGGATAGGACAAGTACAAAGTACTGCGCCACTAAGCACCATTCTGGTGTTGACAGAGCCTAACGATAGTAGCACCTGAAGAGGTCTATCATTGAATGCATAGATTCCAGAACGAATTTATCAAAATAGATATACTCAAAATCAAATCGAGGGGAGACCTTCAATTGCCCACAACGAACTCAAGACCATGTCAATCTAGTTAGTTAATCCTCGCTCTGTCCCTACCCGATCGAGCCTACCTTCGGTGCAGGAAATATTCATACTACCGAGCTGAGTACCTAAGGAGGTCACCAAGAGTGGAAACAATCAATCTCTCCGCCTCTTTGCCAAGTCGGTTAGTTAGAAGCGAACGCGACGGAAAATCTGCTCCGCGACAATATCCGCTGCCATGGGCTTCCATGTGATGGCTTGCGTCTCTGTGCCTAACTAGCTAAGCTGACGGGGTCACAATGTACCGTGGGAGGGATGGAGGACGAAGTTTTAGCTAGTTGCTCATATTAAATCGGATTCTTGCTTCTTGCTCTTATAGAATACCTTGAAAGTCTATCACAATGCGGTAAAGCGTACGACAATCATCTATGGAGCTGTGTTTTGCAACACTGGATCAAGGTCATCCATGAAGAAAAAAAAGAAACATCTCGTAATCACATCTCAAACATCGCAAGCCATGTGGCAATGATGTTGGAGTATATGATCGGCATTTGTTTTTATCCGTCGTGCAACCATATTGGCAGTCACTCTGGGAAATGCTTCTCATTATGCCACCACTAACCAACCCATCTTCTCGCGCTCTGGAACAATCTCGCCCATGGGCCGTACTCACCCCATTCCTCGGCCTTGCCATCGGGAATATAGCTGCCCACACCGCCCAGGACAGTCCGCTCAGGATGCGGCATGAGGGCAAGCACACGACCGTCGACGCTGCGCATGCCTGCAATACCCTCAGGGCTGCCGTTTGGATTGTATGGATATGCGGTGGTAGGGGAGAGGGTCTTGTTGTCGACATATCGGATCGGGGCGAGGTGCGAGGCCGCAAAGTCGTGTGCGAGCGCTGCGTCCTGTGCTTTGCGCGTGCTGGCGGAGGAGGAGCCCTCGCTGGAACTCGAGACGAAGCTGGCCCGGCCCTCCCCGTGCGCGACTGCGATGGGCAGAGCGGTACCGGCCATGCCGTGGAAGAAGACGGAGGGCGCCATGCCTGAGGATGCTGGTGGGTCCGAGATCCTTACCATCGCCACGCGCCCTTCATACCGTTCGCTCTCATTGCCTTCGTATGAAGGCCACTTCTCCGCGCCGGGGATCAGTTCCTTGAGTTTGCTCAGTACTTGACATCCGTTGCAGACGCCGAGTGTGAAGGTGTCGGTGCGGTTGAAGAAGTCTTGGAACTTCCGACGCGTTACCGGGTGGAAGAGGATGGATTTCGCCCAGCCTTGTCCCGCGCCGAGGCAATCGCCAAAGCTGAATCCACCGACTAGAGCCAGGCCAGTGAAGGACGAGAGGTCGTGATCGAGTCCAAGGTGAGTCTGATGTGGTTTCGGATCTAGTATGTCGGACATGTGCACGTCGACAGTGGTGAAGCCGGCTTGTTCGAAGGCGAATGCCATCTCAGCATGACTGTTGCTGCCTTGGTCCCTCAGAATGGCCACCCGAGGTCGTGCCGTGGGTCGCACGTAGTTGATAACCGAAGTCTTGTAGGTGTTGATATTTTCCTTCGGCTTATATGTGAGATGATAGGAGATGCCGGGATTGCCATCATCAAGGATTGACTCGTACTCCTGGTCAGCACAGAGTGGATTGTCACGAGCTCGCTGCATCCAGTATGAAGTATTCGCCCATTTCTGTTGAAGCTCACCTCGAGTTGCACGGTAGACGAGTTTGCCTCCATGGTAGATTGCCATATTCTGTTGAGTTGATTTCGTCGAGACACGACCGATCTTGAAAATGAGACCTGGTGGTGGCCCGCAAGTGGCGAAACAGGCTTTGAAGCGATTCTCATCCTCCTTGCGAACCTGGAAAACGGCACCGAGTTCCTCGTTGAAGAGGGAAGAGATGACATCCGGCAATTTTGGTGATGGACAGATTTCGTTGATCATAATTTCAATTCCACAGCGACCAGCGAATGACATTTCAGCGAGAGTGGTGAAAAGACCACCATCACTGCGGTCGTGGTATGCCAATACGAGATCTTGCTCGTGTAGCTGTTGTGTAGCGTCAAAGAAGTCCTGGAACAGACTCACTGAACGGATATTGGGCGATTCATCTCCAATCTGTTTGAAGGCCTGAGCGAGGATTGAACCTCCCATGGCACGATGTGCAAGCCCGAGATCAACGAAGAACAAGGTGGATTCGCCTACTTCACTATACCGGCGTAGTTGTGGAGTCCATGTCTTCTTGATATCGAGAACGGGGGCAAATGCAGTGACGACCAAGGACAAAGGCGCAGTGACTTCCTTTGCTTCTTTGGATTCCGAGTCTTGCCATTTCATCTTCATTGACATTGAGTCTTTGCCAACAGGAATTGAAATGCCGAGTTTTGGGCACAAATCCATTCCCAGGGTTTCGACAGCCTCGTATATTGCGGCCCCTTCTCCAGGATGACTGGTTGCAGACATCCAATTTGCAGACAGTTTAACCTGCGACAAACGATCCGGAAGGTCGGCAGCTGTGAGATTCATGAGCGACTCCGCAACTGCCATGCGCGCAGAGGCAGCAGGAGAGATCAAGGCAAGAGTCGGTTTTTCTCCCATTGCTTTGGCAGTACCAGTCTTGATACCCGCAGTGAGCGATGTCGCTGTGACACCAACGTTCGATACGGGCACCTGCCAGGGGCCGACCATCTGATCTCGGGCTACCATACCACCGACAGTTCTGTCACCAATCGTGATTAAAAATGACTTCGAACCAACGGCAGGCATTTGCAGAACTCTAGTTATTGCTTCTTCAAGCAGGCCATCTGTCGATGCCTGTGGAACATACAAGCTCAAGCTAGTATCGAATCCAGGGAGATTCACTTTGCGAGAAGTGACATCTCGAGTCATCTTTGGGGGCTTCCCGAAAAGTACATCCATTGGAAGATCGATAGGATCTTGTCGCCCATCTGTTGCAGGGTTGAAGCGGTCTGTAAGTTTGATGGTTTGTTGATTGGTAGCTCGACCAACCACAGAAATCTCGCAGCGCTCACGCTTAGCAATAGATTTGAATCGGTTCATCCCCTCTTGTGCAACTGCCAGAACGTATCTTTCTTGAGCTTCGCAGCACCATATTTGTAGAGGACTCATGCTTTTGTCAGCACAGTCGACTTCACGAAGCTCAAAGTCAGCGCCAACACCTGAATCTTTGGCCAATTCTGGTAGAGCATTTGACAGACCACCTGCTCCGACATCGTGAATGAAAAGGATTGGGTTTTGGGAGCCGAGAGCCGCACAAGCATCAATAACTTCTTGCGCTCGTCGTTGCATCTCTGGGTTGCCTCGTTGAACACTTGCAAAGTCGAGGTCGGCGGATCCCTCTCCCGATGCAATACTTGAAGCAGCACCACCTCCCAGACCAATCAGCATTGCTGGGCCTCCCATCACGATAAGAAAAGCGCCTTCTTTGACGAGGGCCGGGTCCTTGATGGCAAACTGTGGTCTTACGACACCGATGCCACCTGCAATCATGATCGGTTTGTGATAACCCCTGATCTCACTTGAATCTTTTCCGGTCTGCATTTCTGTGAGCAACGTTCGGAAGTAGCCGACAATACAAGGTCGACCAAATTCGTTGTTGAAGGCAGCACTCCCTAATGGTGCTTCGAGCATTATATCATAACTGCTTGCGATATGATGAGGTTTACCGTAATCGAGTTCCCATGGTTGACGGTGGTCGGGAATAAGGAGATCAGAGACACAAAACCCTGCAAGCCCTGCCTGAGGTTTAGAACCGCGACCTGTGGCACCTTCATCTCTGATTTCACCACCCGATCCTGTGGCAGCTCCTGGAAAAGGAGATACCGCAGTGGGGTGGTTGTGAGTCTCAACCTTTGCGAGGAAATGCACCATTTCCTTTGTCGATTTCCACTGGCCAGAGTGTAAATCAGGTGCCCAATGAGTCCCTTCACTGCCTTTCAGCACGGCCGCGTTATCACTATAGGCACTGATGGTTCCTTCAGGAGTCTGTTTGTGAGTGTTTCTGATCATGCCAAAGAGAGAATTTGTCTTGGGTTGGCCATCAATTGTCCAAGACGCGTTGAATATCTTATGTCGGCAATGTTCCGAATTGACTTGAGCAAACATGAAAAGCTCAACATCTGTGGGATTCCTCGGAACGGGGCCGTCGTGAGAATATGCCTCGGCCAGATACTGTATCTCAGAAGCGTCCAAGGCAAGGCCAAGCTGTACGTTAAGCTCTTGAATGATCTGAGTAGGGGATTTACCGTCGCTATATAGATCGTAAGTGCCCAGTGTACCAGCTTCCTGATGAAGGAATAAGAGTTCGAGTTGAGGTTCACCCTCTGAAATGGTTTCTGTCATGCGATCATGTAAGAAGTCAAGTGTCGATGGATCCAGGGAAGATCCGTCTTTGAGCTGGACCGTAATCTTGACTCCTCTTTCTATTCTCCCAACAACCTTGCGGAGTCCACAGACATGGGCAATGCTGGTTGCTTTGGTACTCCACGGGGAGATAGTGCCAGACCGGGGCAAAACGTGGAGGACTTTGTGTGAACTGGATTCTTTTTCCTCATGGAAGACATTGTCACCATAGGTCAGAAGTTTCTCAATGAGAGCATTGCTCTCCGAGTCCAAGGAGCCAGTGAGCTCGATGTAATGGATATATTGTCCCTGAACGTCCTGGGCGCCGATTTGGGAAGCCAATGCCTGACGACGGAAATCGGAAAAGGCCGAAGAACCTGGTACAACACTGACCTGGGATGCTGGAGTAGCCATGGTCGACAACGTTGGTTGATTGAAAAGCTCAAGCGTTGTTTACTACGTTTACCGGTGGCAATTGGTTTTGATCATCGCCTGGTGCAATGCACGTGAAACAGCCTGGTCTGCAGCGATGGGATCTGACTCAGATTGGGGTCTGGTCAAAGTCTTAGCCGGTATGCAGAAGACGAAACCGAAAGATCACACGATCTGTTCGAGGTGTTTTGATGGATCGAGGTTGATCCTGGAACAACAGTCATGGGGCCTGTGTTCGACTCCGAGTCATTCTGGCCTGGTGGTTCAGTCAAAATATGTGGTAGTGAAAGAAAAGTTTGAGGGGTGGATGCGCAGCAGCCAACGAGAGAGCACCGAGATTCGAGCGGGTGACGAGGTCACGTGGGATGTGCTCTGGGTTTGATCAACGTGTCAGTAAGACGGTGTTTTTGGGCACTGACCAAACCCCAGCAGCCAAAGCCTATCATTTTAACCAGTTGAACAGAACTTAGACGGCAGTTGGCCCAACTCTTACTGACTCCTGGGCGCCCTGGGCTTCCCCTCATCCCTAAGAGATGGAGTCGTATGCCTATGACCTCGCCTATCGCCCTATCTGAATACTCCAGTGGGCGCTACCCCATTCCTGTTCCTATCCCATATCCATCTCTCCAACACCAAGCTTCCAGCTGCCTGTAAACCAAATCTGTCCTTCAATTCACCACGACAATTGACGGATATTCATCATCTCCAATTCTTGTCCTTGCATGCACTACTAGTACCCGACTTAGACCCTTATTCTGCAATCTCTTCGACGCTTCTACGAGTACACCAACAGGCTACCACATTGATCGCTATCTGCCCATGCTCCGCTTTTCCACCGACTGGGGTTCAAGTTGCTGATACGTATCCGTCCATACCAAAACCTTGGTTTCGCCTATTATTTACTACTACCAATGCTCCATGACATGTCATAGCACCTCAACCGACCGACCCTCTCCGCTCTGCTTCTGATCGTTGAACCTGAGGCCCGACTCTTCCACCTACCATCCAACCTGTGCACTTGACCCACCTGCATTTGCACCTCTTCTGTCCACACCTCGATCGATGCTCCTACTCGTAACTGGGCACGAGGTTTGAGTAGTCACTTCCACTCTTATTCTCTACCCCTTTGAGTTTGAGGGAGGGTCAGTCGGACGACTGTCCCTATATCGCCGCAAAGATTCCTTCTCCTCGCCAGTTTCCCCAATCTTTCCTCCACCACCGATCGCAGTCCTCACGATCCCGCTCAGATTTCACAAGCCAACCATCCGCCGTGTATTCTTCCGTCCAGAACGAAAAAGGCGAAAGCCATCGGCGCCAGTCCCGTTCTTCAAGTGCAGAGTCGGACGACTTCTCGCTTTGGAGTGACACCGGAGATCTTGCTGAACAACTAGCCAACGACGAGGATCCTCTTCGAATCGAGCTTGATCCTCTAACGCGGCAAGGGCAGAGCCTCAAGGGCCACCGCCACGGTCAAGGTGGGGGAAGGAGGAAAAAGGTCGATTTCCATCCAGACCATCTTGAGAAAGGACAAGGATCCGGGGGAATTGACAAGGAGGCTATATATATACCAGAACCTTCACAAAGGCATATAAGCAATATCGAACGGCTGCTGGCTCTTATCATGGCTCCCAACGACCCTCAGACTGCCCGGACCAAGGGTCTTGTTGGCAAGCCTTTACTGTGAGAGACTTCAATTTTGCACGCTAAATCAGAACTCGACTTACAGAATCTCAGGTATTTCACAAGTGTATTTGTATCTTTGGGAGTGTTCCTCTTTGGCTATGATCAGGGCGTAATGTCGGGCATCATCACGTATGTGTCTTTCCTGTCCTGTTTGGAGGTTTGAGCTGACAATGTGTAGGGGTCCTTTTTTCAGAGACTATTTTAACCAACCAGGCCCGGCCGAGGTTGGTACTATGGTCGCCATTCTCGAAGTCGGAGCCTTCATCTCTTCACTTTGTGTTGGTCGTATTGGCGATATCATTGGTAGACGGAGAACCATCCTTTACGGCTCCATGATCTTCTTTGTTGGTGGCATGTGCCAAACATTTGCGAATGGTATGCCTATGATGATGGTAGGAAGACTAATCGCAGGGTTCGGGGTGGGTGCTCTTTCCACAATCGTGCCTGTCTATCAATCTGAGATTAGCCCGCCGCACAACCGCGGCAAATTGGCCTGTATCGAGTTTACGGGCAACATCACTGGGTATGCGGCCAGTGTGTGGGTGGATTACTTCTGCAGTTTCATTCAAAGTGACATTTCGTGGCGACTGCCACTCCTGATGCAATGCTTCATGGGTGCCTTGCTTGGATTCGGAAGCTTGATCATTTGTGAATCACCTCGGTATGGTTCTGTGTGAGAGACATAAATAGAAAATAACTAACCTTTCTTGCAGATGGCTTCTTGACAATGATCATGATGAAGAGGGCATTATTGTCATTGCCAATTTGTATGGAAAAGGAGACATCCACAACCCGAAAGCGCGACAGGAATATCGAGAGATCAAAATGAACGTCCTTATCCAACGCCAAGAAGGAGAGCGCTCCTATGGGGATATGTTCAAGAGGTATTATCGCAGAGTCTTCATTGCCATGTCAGCTCAAGCATTTGCGCAATTGAATGGGATCAACGTCATCTCGTATTATGCGCCACTGGTTTTCGAATCGGCCGGGTGGGTCGGTCGGGATGCGATCTTGATGACCGGTATCAACGCCATCACATACTTAGGATCGACTATTCCTCCATGGTATGTAGTAGACCGATGGGGTCGACGACCGATCCTGCTCTCCGGTGCGGTGGCAATGATCATTTCGCTCTCACTCATCTCCTACTTTATATTTATTGATGTCAAGCTGACACCAACGATGGTGGTGGTGTTTGTGATGATCTACAATGCCGCGTTTGGAGCAAGCTGGGGACCAATTCCATGGCTTTACCCACCGGAGATTCTTCCTCTCAGCATTCGAGCTAAGGGTGCGAGCTTGAGTACTGCAAGCAACTGGGCATTCAACTTTCTGGTTGGAGAACTTACACCGGTGCTTCAAGGAGCGATCAAATGGCGCCTATATTTGGTACATGCGTTTTTTTGTGCTGTCAGCTTTGTACTTGGTAAGTGGTCTGAGATCAGAGTTCCTGCACAGGCTCTAACATGCTTTAGTCTATTTCGTCTACCCAGAAACCGCCAATGTGCGACTAGAGGATATGAACGCCTTGTTTGGCGATGCTACAACAGCAATGCCCACACCAGCCACCCAGGCGGAACAAGGGCCATTGATGGGTATTGGCTCACCGTCATCGATCGATATCCGAGGGGGTTCACCGCGACCTGGAATGTTTTCAGCGGATTCCGCGATTCCTGGGCTTGACATCGATCCACCGGATGTCCAACTGGATTCGAATGGCCGTCCTCGAGGCCGGGACGAGAACAATGAAGGCCTCGGTGGATGGATTGGACGCATGGTCTCGAGAACCCGTCAAGACAGTCGAGGACGGGGGCAGTATGGTAAGATCGGGCAAGATGAAGACTAGTGCGTGCTTAGAGAAGGGAGAAGTGGGATCAAGTACCGCACAATCACGACGACTTATAGACTAGAGGCACGTAGCCTGGATTGAATTGCCAGCCAAGGGATGCACAAAAGGACTACGCTTCGCTGGACCTGGGATCGTGGCCTAATTTTCCTTTGGGGTTGCTCTTAGTGGGTATACATATAAAAATGAAATCGAAGGATTCAAGGGTTTGAGCCAGACATTACTCGTGTCATGTTGGGTAGAAATTAGGTAGCCTCCTCATGGAAGGATCCGAAATACGCTATAGCCATACCAAGAAAGACGAAGCTTTAGGCCGATGATTTTGCAGGTCTTCAGGCTGTTAGTCATTCCTGGAGAAATAATGAGACTAGTCAACGTTCAGGTTGGGGGTGGTTTGTACTCTGGATATCGGATATCGGATTATCTTCATCCGTGCTCAGGCTCTCAACTGCACCTGCGTTGTCTGTGCACCGACTTCGAACGTGACTTCCCTACCACCGCTAATCGCCATTACTACCTCCACCACTATCTCGCCTCATTATTCTGTGCCTCACCTTCCGTATTCTCCCACTACTTTGGGCCCAGCAACAAAGAACCTTAGATTGAGATGATGCAGACCTCGCCCGCTATCCTCTCCCTTCGTCTTCTTTGTTGAATTCCACATTCGCATTATTGGACCACTTTGTCACAACCCTCTCCCACGCGCCTGTCACTCGCTGTCCCCACCTGCCTCGCTTCGCCCTTTCCGACTCGACCTGCGCTCACACTTGCGCACCTGCAAATCATCCATCCGTGTAACAAACCCTTTGGCAACAGCAGTGTCATTCCTCAGCCTTCTATCCCTTTACTACACAAGGTGGACAATCTTCAACAACCAGTCGCCAGTTGTACTTTTTGCTCTCTCTTGTTAGCAGCGTCACCTCCTCACTCCTGCCATCTCGCGCCATCCCGTTTCCCCAAACCTTGCGGGTCCTTCGCCCGACTCCATCACCAAGTCAATACCACTCAAAGACACACCCCCGTCATCTACCACCATCTCTACCATCACCGACTTTCGACTGCGTCTGCAGGCATGTGATGGCTCGAAATCAAACAGACGAATCCTCGCCATTCGTTTTGATGGTCTCGTTCCACCGGTCGGTGATGGAAATATAGATTTCGCCTTTGCGACAAGATGTCCCAAGGCATGAACAAGACTTCCTCAGATAAATCCAAGGAAATCCCACGTACCTCGGAAATTCTATCTCAACTGGATGATCGCATACTGCGACTACGCCATTCCATCCTTCCCAGGCACCCCTATCTCTTATCCGTCCCTTCGGATGTCCCATATCGACACAGTTCACGCTTTGTCAACACATGGTATGAAGGAACTGCGTTTGATCGCACAGAAGAGCAGCTACAATATCTCAGTTTTCTGTCTCGCCAGCTTGAAGACGAATCGTTGTTGAAGGTCGAGGGCGGTTGGGCCGACGACAGAGGTAATAGAATCGACGAAGACGCACTTTCTCCCAAGACCATACCAAACACCGGCCAGAATACTCCTGCCGATCAAGGCCATCGGAAGAAAATCAGTTGGAAGGACTATAAGACCAAAGGTAAAGTTTCACCTGAAGCGGTCTCTCAAACGCCTGTAGTCGCTTCGCCCAAGACATCAATTCCAGCCTCGCCCAAACCACCGCCTGGCGAAAAACCGGTACTGGAAAACGGTACATCACACATTGTCCAGCAGAAGCAGGAACCTGGACCTCAAGATTTCGACCACAAGCCAAGACAAATTGACGGCCATTGTTCTCCGCCACCAGTTGATTCTCGCAAACCCGATTCCCCCAGCCCAGCAAAGAGGCGCAAACTTTCAAAACCCCCAGAGGAGCCCAAATCCTCAACCATGTCGACCAAAGTGGAGGCTCAACCTGCGGTCATGAAAATGCCTAGGTTACTCTCGCCCACCCTTCCATCTCCACAAAAACAAATGGGCTTGCCAGAATTGCTCTCGCCTCTCCTCCCTCCTTCTTTGGCCAAAGCAATGTCTACACCTTCCGACACCGTCTCGATTGGAAGCCCCGCAGCAGCTTCTCATTCTCGGACAGATTCAGTGCGTGCGATATTGGCTGGCGCCGACCTGGACAATTCACCCTCAAACAAAGGCGGTCTATCAATTACTGGAGATCGAGTGCGATCTAATAGTCAGCATTCTGCCAGAGATTCAGTTCCCGGCACGCCGAATGCAATCAAACCCATCGTTGGTGTGAAGGCTCTGTCCAAGATTGGCGCCAAATTGGGTACACCGGTCCATGAAGGTGCCCGGTCAAGCCCAGGTCCTCGACAGAGACATACCATTATTCTCAAGTACGGCAAGAAAAACAGGAAGAGGGTTGAGGCACTTCTGAAACTTGGAGGACGGCCTAAAAAGACAATCGTCAGGAATGAAGATGCTCTGACAAGCAAGACGCCAGATATCAGACCGAAGAAGGACTTTTCAAAGAACGATACCGTTGAGACCCATCATCCGCCAGAATCAAAATCAAAGAAACCGCCTGTCCCTGTTGAAGCCAAGGAAGTTCGCCGCGAGAAGGACAATCAGCCCAAACCAACCACATCCGAGCCCCTAAAGATGGAGAAAAAACGTAAGATAGAGGTCAGCCCTCCTCTTGCCACGAAGAGGTTGAAACAGTCTGCTGAGCAAGAGAAGCGGCCATCCACACCCGTGCAACTTGCGGGAAAGACGCCATTGGCCTCACAGTCTAAATCCACTTTTTCCACACCTAAGAAAGAACTCAAGTCTGCAGCTATGCGAAGAGTTGAGTCCTCAGACTACCAAGATGTCCCAACACCTACCGGGGATCGAGGACGAGTATCAACGCCTGTAGCTACTGCAAAGCCTTCATACCAGCCTGCTCAGACCGCAACTAGCAGGGAAGAAGAACGACATCTGTGGACAAATTTAAATACCAAGTACTTTGCACTGGGTCGTTCTTTGAAACATCAGGGGACCAAGATTGGGCCTTCAGCCAATGGCGAAGTCAAGGCTTACTCTGCTAAATCTGTCATGTTGCTTGTTGAAGCCTTGCTGTGTTTTATGATTAACATATCAGCGCAAGCTCATGCACGGCCTGGCGCCGATCCAGGATGGAATACCATCATTCCATACCATATCTTTGTCTGGCGAGCATCAAGGAAACATCCACATCTGCACGGGTTAGTAGTTCAGCTGGGCGCGGTGTGTCGCCAACTCATTCATAAGTATGATATGGATCGGCTTGCTCGAGACCCACTGCCTGATGACTACTGCAATGCTGCACCAACTCCTGGAAGTGATGGGAATACCAAGACCAATGAGGATGCAGAAAAATACAAGAAGTCCTATGTCGATTTCAAAGATGGCCTTATCCAGAATGCACGAGAGCTTCAAACCGCTTGGCTCGAAGGTTCTCGTCATCTCTCCCCTGATATTCTCAAGCGCGACTTCCCCACCACATTTTCGAAACGCGCAAAAGATTCATCTCTTCGATTACAAGAAAAACCGACACCAGCGAAAATCCCCAAGGACTTTTATCTGCCCTTGGACGCAAATACCACAGCCTTTGAGGCAGCGAGATTTGGCCTTGCATTCCTTCAGGAATGGGCTGACAAAGAGAAAGTGGAGTGGAAGACGAGCATTGAGCTAGGATGATGTTGAATGTACTTTAGAACGGATGACCCGACGTGAAGGAAAGGGACTTGAATTTTGTGCCCCGGCCAATGAACAGAGTGGCTTGTCAGGGGCCCCAACAATGTGCTCGGCTAAAAAAGAAACGGTTCACATGTCATGAAGAACCACGAAGTCTTTTATTCAAATCAAGTCAGTTTAGGTAGGTAGACAGATCAGATGGCGATTCCAAAGATACCCCCACCCATAGCGTGAAGTGCCCGTGGAGATGAACACGGTGCAGTACGATACGATAATGAATGCAAATGCAAATGTTCTTTTGAATTGGGGGTTTCTTACGTTTGATTTGAGTTCTCTACTGCTGCTGTTGAGGTTGCTATAGCTGTTGCCATAGGTCTTGGTATTGGAATAGCTACCTTAATGTTTTGTTTGTACCTGTGTCTACGTCTGCGTCTGTGGGCTGCTGACGTGCGTATCAGATGACGACCGCCAGAAGACCAGAAGCAGGATATTATTAGTCGCGAGGAGTAGAGGGGGGAAAGGAAAAGCCCGAAATTTGCTGAGAAGGTGCCAGGGTGGGTATCGAGAGGTGTTGAAGGGGTGTTGAGAGGTGCGTGTGGTGTGGTGTGGTGTGGTGTGGTGTGGTGTGGTGTGTTCCTTTATTATGGTCGTGATGCTTGAGTGTTGGTTGTGGGTGTGGGTGTGGGTGTGGTTGTGGGGTGGTGGACAAGCTATTTGTGTGGTAGGGGTATGTCTCAGATGCTGGGTTGGATCGAGCAGAATAGAGCCTGAAATGCGCTTGGAGGAGTTGAGCTTTTCGTTGATTAAGATCATCAAGTCAAAGGCGATGCAAGTAGAATTCTCAATCCAGGCATGCGGCAGTAGCCAGGAGTCAGGAGCCAGTGGAGAAACTTTTCGACACGATGAGATGGAGCGATGCGGTTCAGGCCCAGATGCTCGCACGTCGGTTAAGCCCAGGGGTTTAGTCAACATGCTCTCTACGGATAAATTGCCGCCTGCGTTGGTTGGGGGGATGGTCCCATGCTGACACCTGCTGGAGACGGAATTGGCGCATCATTTCGTCCCGGTCATCGACGATCTGGTGGTCCAACACAGGGGCAGGGTCAGGCCGAGGAGGCGTTGGTATTTTTGGAGGTGGTGGTGTTAACCGATAACTTACCACGGGTTTGACATCGTGTAAGTCCTCTGGGTATATGACCTGCTGGACGCCGACGTGTTGGATGTGTCGATACTTGGTGGACAGGATGCGGGCTGCGCGCCCCTGAAAGTGCGTTCTCTGCGCGGCCGCCTCAGTCTCGAAATCGCCTTCGGTCGTTAAAGGTTCCGGATAGAGGTTGGCGCTCATCGGGTGTGGCAGTTCGACGGTACGCACCTTTGGCATGTGCGTGAGGAGTATTGCGAGCTGGTTTATCGCGTCCATAGGCTTTTCGTCTACGCCGAGCCCTGGTAGCTGGAGAACTAACACTGTCGACTGGGTGAGGCGGAGCCGCATCCCGCTGGTGCAGAGGTATGTGAGGTTTGGAACACATTTCCTGAAGAGTGAGAAGTATCTCGGCGATGCTGCGATTTCTTGTGGCAGGTAGAGGACTTCTCTGAAGGACGGTACAGGTCATCAGTTTCCAACATTATTTATACCGAATTGAGCTCCATCTCAGCCCGAGGGTTCGAGACCACGATGCTTACGTTGTGTATCGCAATCGGGAGCACTCGCTCATCTCCTGCAAGAGGAGTTTGCATTTCCAGTCTGGCACCCGGATCCTGTAGATCATGGTGAAGTCCATGACATGGATCTTCTGGAACATGAATGCGGCGGTCATGTCGTTGAATGTCTTGCTGCTTCGGGAGAATCGCTCTAAGCTTACGATATCGAGAAATGAGTATATCACATTCAACACTTCCTCGGGCAGACCCATCAGCAGGTCCAGCAGAGTGGGTTCGACAAGAGGTTTCGGCTCTTCCACCGTCTTATGGAGTTCCGCCGTTGGTACCACTGCTGTTGTAGACATTGTTCACTGAAATCGCTGTCTCTGAAAAGTTATCAGGCTGGACATCGGAAAGCAGAGGAAGTAAAGAAGTCTGAGAGCCACCAATCAGGCTTCAATTTGGATTGCGGAGACATTATGGCCCATCTCGGTTAGTGACAGATCGGGCACAGCCTTATCATTCTCAGCCTTGCGCCTCAAGCCAAGTGCACTTCTCCGACCGAGTCCTTAACCCCATCACTCGCCATTCGCAAGTAATCTTCACTCTGTACAGGCTGCATTTCTACCACTCTCCATTGTTGCTAAACAGAGAACGATGGATGTGGTAGGCAGACCATGTCCATCGACGATGACCCTACCGACTTTGATGGCTCTCTAGGAATCCTACCCGTGGTACCTGCCGACTCTTCTCCTCCCATTTTCAAAGACCCACGAAGCAATGCAGCCACCGGTGCTTCTGCAGCAGGTGTTCGTGCTTTCACTGCTCAAGCCGTAGCGTTCTACTTCCGGGCTCCTGCGAAAGCTTTCTTCAGAACTCGTGTCGATTATCTGGTAGGTCGAGAGATCAATCAACTCTAAGTTGAAGAAGTGGTTCAGAGAACTCACTGTTTCCCCACAGGCCTACGCCAAATCCATCTCTAGTCAAGAACTCCAGCGAGGCGGTTTCTCCTGGCGCACGACTACTCCGGGATTGCTCGTCAATGCAATCGGAAGCTATGGATGGCGTTTCATCCCCGATCAGCTGGCTCCGCCACTGCTAGGCAATCTCGTAGTCGGAGCTGCTCTGTATACCTCCTACCTCCAGATCCTGGCTCGTCTGCACGAGCCGTCGGCACATGCCACAAAGGCGACCTATCCTCCTCCTTCGCCAAGAGATACATTCATAGCTGGATTTGCCGCCGGGACCATTCAAAGCGTGATCGCTGCCCCACTAGACGCATTGCAGGTTCGATTCGAACGAAGGGGGCAGGCATACGAGAATAAAACAATGTGGCAGTACGGAAGAGGCAAGCTACATGAGATCGGGTTGCGTGGAATATTTGCAGGATGGGGATTGTCATTCATGAAAGACAGCTTCGGATCGGGTATATTCTTCTGCACTTTCGAATACATCAAGGCGCAGGCTTACTACCGATACGTGCGGTGGTATTACGGAAGCTTAGAAGAGCCTGCGGTGGACAAGCTGGCAAAAAAAGCCGGGATGGCTGCGACAGCTAGCCAGCCCATAGCGACCATCAGGCCGCACTATGCCTTGGAGCCTTCGTTCCTCATGTTGGCGGGCATGACCGCGTCAATCACCCAACAGATGGTGTTGTATCCCTTGTCGACTGTCCAGACGTTACATTTTGAGCGACTTGAGGACTTGGACAAGAAAGCTGTCAGGCTGCAGCAGTCCCAATCACCAAGTCGAGGTCGCATGTTGAGGGCGTACTATCATGCCTACCAGGACACGTGGAGGCAATCCCAAGCACAGGCAGCGAAGCAGGGAGGTCTCAAGCGGTGGCTTTACAGAGGGTTCTGGTATTTCACCATCCGTCAAGTACCGAGCACCAGTGCAGGTTTGATTATATTTGAATTGATACGCAGGAAATATGGTATGACTGGGGATGAGGTGAAGATCACGCAGGATGGATATGATATCCTCTTGACGTAGGCTACTAGGTTAGACCTTTGTTGAACAAGTCGCTCCTCACCACTGGCACTCGAATCAAAAAGTGAATAGTTTTCCACAGAATATTGTTGTTCCTTGGGTAGTAAGTAATTTGATCAGGCAACAAGCGCGTTCCGGCGCGCCAAGACCTAGCGCGTTCTGTTCTGGAGGGCTATCGAGAAAGCGTCACTCCGAAGAATTTGGAGCAACGAGAGACGGTCTTCCACAGACACCTCGACTGCTTAGTACGACATCCTTGATCGAGGACTGATCACCATCTATTTCATTTCTTCTTCCTCTTAATTCTCACCCGTTATTCTCAACCACAGTTTCACCCTCCCACCTCCACAATCCTCACCTCCGCAATCTTTGCGCCTTCGCTGTGAGACACTCTCTTCATAGTGACCCTTCATTCTCAGACTTGCCTCCTTTTGAGGCAGGCAGCAACAAGATGAGTGACATTGTCATCAACGCGACCATCTTCCACGAGCGCCTTGCCACCCTCTACAACACATGGAAGAATGACAAGAGATCTCCCGATGGCGTCTTTGGAGCCGCTGATTCTCTCGTCATTGTGACGGGGAAAGCAGACCAAGATACCATATACCATAAGAACAATGCCGTTCATGTGAGTCACACTATGTCGTGAGCCCGCGAAACAACAAGCATGACACGGATCCGCTGACTGTTGTACAGTTTTGGCTCTTGGGCTACGAATTTCCTGCGACTTTGATGGTGTTCACCCCCGCCGTGCTCTATGTCGTGACAACTGAGAAGAAGGGTAAGATCATATCCTCGTCCCAGTTTCACGATGACTGTGCACATTATCTAACAGTCAATAGCTAAGCACCTGTCCAATCTCAAGGATGGCAAAATCCCCATCGAGATCATTCCCCTAGCCACAAAAGTGGCAGACAGCAGAACCAAGGCTTTCGAGAAAGCAATCGACCTCATCAAAGGCGCAGGCAAAAAGGTGGGATTCGTACCCAAGAATGATGCTCTTCACGGTCCATTTCCTGAAGAATGGTACAAAGTACTCGGCGACGCGTCAAAGGAGGTGGAATCAGTCGACATTTCCAATGCCCTAGCTATGGTGTTCGCCATCAAGGATGAGACAGAATTGCGTAATATGCGTACTGCTTCTCGAGCCGCGAGTGGCCTCATTTCCAATTACTGGGTTGACCAAATGTCCGAAGTCCTGGATCAAGAGAAGCGTATCAGCCATCGCGCTCTCGCTGATCGGCTGGCTAAGAAAATCGACGACACCAAGTTCTTCAAGAGCCTCTCCAAGATCCCGAGCGATTTCGAGAATCAACAGCTCGACTGGGCTTATGGTCCAATCGTCGAGAGTGGTGGACAGTATGACCTCAAATACTCAGCCCAACCCAATGAGGACAATCTTCATTCAGGGTGTATCATCGCTGGAGTGGGTTTCAGATACAAAACTTACTGCTCGGTCGTGGCACGGACATATCTGATTGACCCAAGCAAGTCTCAGACCTCCAATTACAAGATGCTACTTGCTGCACATGATGCCGCGTTGAAAGAAATAAAGGATGGTGTGGTCGCAAAAGATGTTTACAACAAGGCTCTTGGTGTCATCAAGTCACGAAAGCCCGAATTGGAGAAACACTTTGGCAAAGATGTCGGGGCTGCCATTGGTATCGAGATCAAAGACAGCAAGATTGTTTTGAACGGGAAGAATCCCAAAACACTTAAAGACGGCATGACCATGAGCTTGACCACCAGTCTCTCAGATCTGACCAACGACAAACCTCAGGACAAGAAAGGCACGAATTACAGTCTCATCATCACAGATACCGTGCGAGTCACCAGAGGGGACCCAGTCATCTTCACAAAGGAGGCCTCCACAGATCTCGATTCAATCGAGTTCTATTTCAAGGATGATGAAGAAGAGACTAAGCCCAAGCAGGAGAAATCCAAGAAGCCTGGAGCCAGTGCAATAGTCACATCGAATATCAAATCATCTCGACTTAGAGGTGCAAATCGCACAGACAACTCAAAAGAGGAAGAAGAGGCTCGTCGACGCGAGCATCAGAAAGAATTGGCCACGAGAAAACAGCGCGAAGGCCTAGAAAAATATGCCGAAGAGACTGGAGATATGAACGGTGATTCAGAGAAGAAATTCAAAAAGTTCGAGTCTTACAAACCTCATGCACAATTGCCTGCTAAGGTCAAAGACATGATCGTTTGGATCGACCTCAAGGCCATGACTGTCATTCTCCCGATCATGGGTCGTCCTGTTCCGTTCCATATCAATACGATCAAGAATGTCAGCAAGTCCGATGAAGGAGAATATACCCACCTTAGATTCAATTTCTTGTCTCCCGGTCAGGGTGTGGGAAGAAAAGATGATCAACCATTTGAAGACGCTTCTGCACATTTCGTCAGATCCCTAACTATTCGATCAAAGGACCAAGATCGTCTATCAGATATATCGGCACAAATCACAGAATTGCGCAAATCAGCTGTCCGACGTGAGCAAGAAAAGAAGGAGATGGAAGACGTTGTTGAGCAAGACAAGCTCGTTGAAATCCGCCAGCGGCGCCCAATCAAACTGCCGGATGTTTATTTGAGACCTGCGCAGGATGGTAAACGTGTTCCTGGAGAAGTTGAGATCCATCAGAATGGTCTGAGATACCTATCACCGTTGCGTAACGATCACGTCGATGTGGTTTTCTCAAACGTCAAGCATCTCTTCTTCCAACCTTGTGTTGGTGAGCTGATTGTCATCATTCATGTTCATCTTAAAAATCCCATCATCATTGGAAAGCGCAAGACCAAGGATGTTCAATTCTACCGAGAAGCAACCGATATGGCTTTCGATGAAACAGGTAATAGGAAACGCAAGCATCGGTATGGTGATGAGGAGGAATTCGAACAAGAACAAGAGGAACGACGACGACGGGCTGAACTCGATCGTGTCTTCAAAGGCTTTGCCGAGAAGATATCGGATGCTGCAAGAGAATACAACATTGCTGTTGATATTCCCTTCAGAGAACTCAGCTTCAACGGTGTGCCGAACCGAAGTAACGTCCTCATGGCTCCTACTACGGACGCATTGGTTCAGTTAACCGAGCCTCCATTTACTGTTATTACTCTTGATGAGATTGAAGTAGCTCATCTTGAGCGAATCCAGGTACGTAAACACCCTCGCCATATGTTTGAAAGTGTACTGACCGTGTCTAGTTTGGACTCAAAAACTTTGATCTTGTCTTTGTTTACAAGGACTTCCATCGACCGCCTACTCACGTCAACACAATTCCTGTGGAGTCACTTGACCGAGTGAAAGAATGGCTCGACAGTGTTGACATTGCCTACACCGAAGGTCCCCTCAACTTGAACTGGGGCACAATCATGAAGACCGTTACCACTGATCCACATGGATTCTTCAAGGATGGAGGCTGGAGCTTCCTTGCAACTGATACCGACTCCGAGGGTGAAGCAGAATCGGAAGAAGAATCGGCCTTCGAGATGAGCGATTCCGACTTGGCTGCCAGTGAGTCTGAAAGCGACGAGGAGAGCGATTTCGACGATGATGCCAGCGCCAGCGACGATGAAGGCGAAGCGGACAGTGGTTTGAGTGATGAAGGTGAAGACTGGGATGAAATGGAGAAGAAAGCCAAGAGAGAAGATCGAGGAGCCGGTGAGGCAGAGGATGAGGACAGAGGAAACCGAAAGCGCAAGAGATAAGCGATGCAAGGCTGTGCTGCACGATAATGGTTCTGGAGCTCGCAACATGGGGCTTGTCTTGACAGTATGGATGACGCACACAAAGAGGTAATGTCCCCCGACTTTGCATGGATCTTGGGCAGCTATCATCTATTCTCGTTATGTTCTGGTCGCTCGGAAGGGATTAGAGCAGACTTACCTCCTTTCATTCAGCCCCTGGCAGAACAGACGCCCAGACCGGCCCCATGCCTGCCACCTTTTGATCAACAATGTATTGATAATTCATTTCTTGACTATGAAATCGAATGAAAAGTTCATTATGGATAAATTGCCCACTTCCTGCGATTTGTCGCACACCAGGGATATCTCAGGCTCGCTTCATTTTACAGTATCTCAACAATTATGTTGGCGCGGAAAGGATGTCAACAGTACTTGGTAGCCACGCAATCAAGTTCAGCCAGCATTCCGATCCGGCGGCTCTTTACCCAGAAGATGTCTGATGAAGAAATCCCTCTGCCTCCTAAGACAGTACGCACTGCTATACCCGACGCCATGGCCAGCACCAGGCACGAAGACGAGATCGAAGTCCTTGTCCGCCTTGATCAACGCATCGACCACCTGCATCGTGCTCGCCGGATCCACATTATCGTCCAACTCGCCCACGATCAGCATCAGCGCACCTTGGAGGCGATTTGCGTGCACGACGTTCGAGGACGCGTCGTACACGTTCTCGTCGACCGGCCAGCCCATCCACGCCTCGTTCCACCACAGCTTGTCCAGCCTGTTGTCGTGGCAGCCGCTGTCGGCCACGGCAGCGCGGTAGAGATCGCCGTGCCACAGGAGTGCCGCCAGCGCGCTCTGCCCGCCCGCCGAGCTGCCGAAAATACCGACGCGCGTTACGTCCATCCAGGGTCGGGTGGCGGCGGCGGCGGTCAGCCAGGCAATGCGGTCGGGGAATCCCGCGTCCCGGAGGTTCTGGTGGCATGTGTCGTGGAAGGCCTTGCCGCGCCAGTTCGTGCCCATGCCGTCGATGTGCACGACGATGAAGCCGTGTGCCGCGAGCGTGTGTTGGCGGATGAGTGGGGAGAAGGATTTCGGCACGAAGAAGTCTTGCGGCCCTGCGTAGATGTCTTCGATGATGGGATATCTCTTGAGCGGGTCGAATGTCAAGGGAAGGACCATGATGCCGTATATCATGGTGTGGCCGTCTCGCCCTGGTGCCGCGAGGCGCTGGGCTGGTTGCCAGCCCGTTTGCGGGAGGGTCTGGAAATCGCCTTCCTCTAAGGTGAGAATGGCTTTTCCTGTGTCTGCGGCTCGGAGGACAGTTCGTGGAGCCAAGTCGACCCTGGACCATGTGTCGACCAGGAAGATCCGGCTTGGGCTCCATTTCCAGGTGTGGGTTCCGTCTCCCTCGGTCAGGACCACGAGGCCAGAGCCGTCGTAATTTATCCTTGCGAGATGTGAATGATAGGGGTCTTGGTCCGCGACAAGTCCCAGTGCTGTGAACCAGATCTGTTTCCGGTCGTTGTCGACGTGATCCACCGAGCGCACTACCCATTCGCCTTTTGTGATCTGATTCTTCAGCTTGCCTTGACCCAGGTCGAACAGGTATAGGTGATTCCATCCATCACGTTCACTGGCCCAGATCAACTCGTCTGTATCGTTTATGTGGTGATGGTAGGACTTCTGCGAATAATCTATGAACGTGTTGCTGGTGTCTTCAATGAGGGTCCGCACGGTACCGTTGGTGGCCATGCCAACGACTCGAAGAACTTGATGACCTCTCCGATTATATTCGAAGCGGAACTCTGAACCATCAGAGTTCCATCCAATGCTGTTGATTCGATATGGGTTGGGAAACAAGCAGTCGTCAGTCTCGACTTCGACTCTTCGGGTTAAATCGAATAGGCGAGGTCGGTCGACGCGCCTTCTGTCACCTGGTTTCAAGTATTGCGTCTGCTTCAGTCGTGGCTGACGTTGAGTTTTGGGGCTGGATTCGATGTGATATAGGGTCCGATCTTGGTCAAAGGTGTGCTGAAACGCGACTGCATGTTGGTCGTTAGGCGATATGAATATCTTGTCGGCGTTGAAGGGTTGTCCACTTGTGGCCGTGCTGGACAGTGGGAGGTCGCCGTCATCATGAGTGTGGAGCCAGAGGTTGTGATCTTTTATAAAAAGTTGAAATCTTCTCTCGGTCTGGTTTGTTGAATTGTCTTCTATCTCTCCCGACTCAGTCGTGGTCGCATCTTGCGCCTTTCCCACTGGAATTGCAGGGATGAGTCCAGTTTTGATGATTGCAATTGAGTCATCGCCATTGGCAACGAAAGTTGCAACGGCCTCATTTCCTTCGGACTTTGCTACACGCCAAACGTGGCCCTCATACGTTGACTGTTTTTGAGATTCACCAGCCTGGATGTTGCTGTAGTGTTTTTCATCTCCTTGGAAGTCGATCCAGAATATGGAAACTGATTCTTTCAACTCATTGACGAAATTGATGTTGGTTCTGGTGGCTGAGCCTTCGGAGACCTTCTCCTGTTTCAACGGCTGTAGGCTCTCTTGTGTGAGATCTCCATCGTATTCTGTGAGGCAGCTGTGCTGGAATCGAAATTTCTTCTCTCCGATCCTGAACTTGATGGTCTTGCAGTCTTTACTCGCGTCAACATGAGTGAAAGGGAGATTCGTTGCATCAGCATGTATTCCTTGGGAGTTCAGTGCCTCTGCAAGTGCAGTGTGGTCGAATGCCGGAGCACGAAGCGCATGATGAGCATCCACGTAGATAAATGAAGATTTATTGTGGCAAAGACGACTATGATACCAGAAATGATCGCTGCCCTTTATCCATTTTGGATCAAAACTGGTATTTGTGTAGGCATCCTTCAATCTTTCTGTGTTTGCTGTTACCGGATCCAGGTCTGGTGTTGTTGGTTCTGAAGCAGCAGTTGATTGTGACATGTGGTGCTGATTGGAGCGGTTGAGGAAGAGATGAATAGATTCTCAGATAAAAGAGAAAATATTACCTATGGTAAACCGAATATTTCGCAAGCAAGAGCACGTACCATAGAAGGTCAATTGTAGAGGAGCTGTTAACTTAACGCCAGCAAGGCACAGGTTGTAGCCTTGAGCGCCTGATTGAAAGGATCCAAAGTCTGACAAAGCTGGGAGAACCGTGTGAGATTTCGAACGATGGCACCGGTATACTACGAATACCACTAAATGCCTAACGCCGAGATTTCTTAGTGTTCCCAGATGAGGGACCTAATGAGCTAGAAGATCCGCTGTTTCGATATAGTTGTTGACCGTGGCGTAACAAGAGTTGCAAAATAGTAGCCAAGCACTAGTGGACGAGATAGGGGTAAGGCTTTGTCTGGTACTCCTCCAAATAAATCCCTTACCTACTCCGCCTAAATATCTACCTAGCTCGCTAGGCATGTAGGTAAGTTCTTCCACTGTCCAATAAAATATAAAAGTGCTGGTTCGAATTCCCATGCTATCTAGCAGCAACATTACCCGAGTAGGTAGGACACAGTTACATGTGTGGAAGTTGACAAGATGCTACCGATCTGACATACCCAGGTACGCAGCAAAAACATACAGCAGGGCTCGTATCTCTGACCTTGTCTCGCGAGAATTCTTGCACTCTAATGTCTCCATCAACCATGCCAACAGTGCGCTGTTCGACTTTCGGCTCGCGTGGATCCAGACTCGGTCTCGAAGCAGCACTAGCCTCCGAGATTAAGCTATTTGGCGATAGCTTCTACACCTGAGCTTGACATTGACTCCCGACCTTAACTGTTGTCGGAGCCTTGGCGACACTGCCAAAACCATTACAAGATGGTGGGAGTCAACTCGACCACACTAGGCCTACCAAGCATGTACTCTAGGTACCTTTGACCACTTCAAGCTACGATGCTAACCCGTGCAAAGACAAAGTATTTCACCTGTTGACTTGTCTACTCCGTAGCTAGATAAGTACGCTAAATAGCCAAGACATGTCCGCCGAGACCATGTGGCGCCGGGCTGAATTCATGCTTCAGCTGAGCGGAACGGCAAACACCTCTTGGGCATTCAGCTTGTGCTCTCGACCGTTGAATACGAACTCCTCAGCAGGATTCACAATGATGGTAAGGATACGGGGTATATTTCCCACCTCTCACTCCCACCTCTCTATCCCTACGTTCTTTGTACTTGGTATCACTCTCTAATGATGTTTCCACCGCTCGTTCTTTGGCTGTTCTTGCACACCCTCGCCACTGCTACTGATTGTCCTTCGGGATATACACTGGACACCGGCCCTATTCCTGAAAAGCAAAACATAGAATGGCAACTGTGCGATGAAAATCAGATGACGGTATGGGGATTATCGACACCCAATTTGGAGTGTGGCTCGATAAGGGTTCCCCTTGACTACACCAATGCCTCACCTGGTGTCCTCACGCTACAACTTACACGGCTACCGGCTGATTCTGCCGTTTCAAATGGAAAATCGATCGTCATGAATTTTGGAGGCCCGGGGGAGCGTGGACTTAGCGCTTTGGATCAAAGCTACCTCGAGTAAGTACAACAATTCGAGCTACTATTGCATATTGACGCGTTCTAACAGGGACTCTGGGAACGCGTATCACATTGTGTCATTTGATCCCCGAGGTGTGGGGATCACCATTCCTTATCAGTGTCCAACCCTAACAACCTCTGACATCGGCGAGCAAGCACAGCAAGACATTTTGCTCCCTTTCGACAATCCCGTTGCACTGAGTGCGCGATACTCGATATTCACGGAGCAGGGGGAATTATGCGGCAAGACAGAATACAATGAACTGGGTGAGCTCATCGGCACCGCCTTCGTTGCGCGAGATATCAAAGCCATCTTTGATGCATTAGATGAGGATGGCTATATAAGATACTGGGGATACTCCTATGGCACGGTTCTCGGTGCCACCCTAGCAGCAATGTTCCCGGACAAGATTGATCGAATGGTTTTGGATGGCAACATCAATCCTACAGAGTACTACCACGGCCTCTTTGAGGAGTCTGTCAGTAACAACGACCCTGCTCTGCAACACTTTTTTGAGACATGTGCCGAGGCGGGTTCAGAGTACTGTGCATTTGCTGTGTTTGCATCATCAGGGGATGAGCTTCAGAACCATTTCTACGAACTCCTTGAAAATTCTAGAAATCGAACTTTTAGATTGGTCGATGTTGATGGGAATGGAGTAGATTACAGTTACAACGACATTCAAGGCACCATGTGGGGCACACTCAAGGAAAGCCCAAGCGGGTGGAACAGGACTGCGCGGATCATTGCTGATTTCTACCAGAATCTCACAGGTTATCCCACAGACATAAGTTGGGATCATAGTAGCACAGGTCCCGGTGACGAATCAACTGGATCAGATACCTTGAATGCAATTACATGTGGCGACTGGGATGACATCGATGGTACTCTAGAAAACTGGGATTACTGGTTGAGTCTCTACAAGAACAGGAGTAGACTCGGTGCACCACCACAAATCGATCTTCTTTACCAGTGCTCGACCTGGCGTGTGAATGCTCGAGGTAAGTACACGGGCAAGTTCACGGATGTTGAAACTAGGACACCTATTCTCTTTGTGAACGGTCCATACGACGTCGCCACACCCCTTACGTCGGCCCAGAATTCAAGCGCAGGCTTCCCTAACAGCAAAGTGCTCACTCACGGTGGTGTGGGCCATTGCTCCGATCGGGAGAAATCAGATTGCACGGTGAACAAGGTCAGGTCCTACTGGCAGACAGGAGTGCTACCAGATGTCTCTGAAATTTGTCCACCTAACAACAAAAACCCATGGATTGATGATGCCGGGGATTTCTCACGCCAGAGGCTACGGAAACGGGCTCGAGCAACTCAGACTGTCGCACCTGACGCTCGGGTTCTGCCAGACATTATCGAACGAGATAATACCGAGCCTTCGACCACCATAGCTTCCGATCTATCCATCCCAGCCACTTGCACGCCTCTGTCTGGCGGCAGCAGTAATACAAGTCCTGCGCAGCTGCAGCAAAGTCTCAATGATTTTCGGGAGCTTTGTGACGGTGTAGGCAATGATAAGTGGCTGTTAAGACTGATGTGCGACAGCATAGGATAATGCTGCTGTGCTGCCCTGGACTTCTCAATCTTGACGCTCTGGAAGCGAAGAAGTCGAGGCCATGACCAGACCAAGGGCCAGGAATTGATGAGATGTTTTTCTGAAGAGCAAAGAACCATCTCATGGTACCAGCCAGCTGCTCGAGGAGATTCCTGTGGCTACCAGTTAAATTCGGGCGCGTCCGTCACCACACAGTGAGATGCCTCAACGACGACCTGGTCATCTGCATCCATGAGGTATTCTTCTTGATATGAAATTCGATGGCGGTTACGTCATAGCTTCTCAAAAATACTCCTGGAACGGATATATGTTCTACCGAGACGATGGTAGCCGGAAGCTAATTTTCACCGGCAATGACGAATTGGACCTGTGTGGGAGATGTTGCCATGCTATCCAAGCCAGCGATGAGAAGTTCGTACTCACATCCGTAGTATCTTGGAGAAAGCCAAAACGTGCACATGCTTCTTGTGAACATTCTTTTGTGCTGCGTAATCAGTTCAAGATAAAACGTGGCAAAGAGCACATGTTAGAGATAAGAGGATTCCTTCCCTCATGAGTTACGGACGCTGCACGGCGATAGCATAAGTGAGGACCTAATTATGCGAGCATTATACCCGGCACATAGAGGGCGTGAAGAATCTATGCTGAAGGAGCAAAGAGTTGATGACGGTCGACTGCCGGGGCACGATTGTCAAAGGCTACGACTCCTGACTCCGTAGTTGAACTGAAGTGCTGCGGTGGGCATGCAAAGGACATTTGGGGCGGCACCGAGGCACCTAGAAGGCATGCCTAAGATGGAACCCAAGGAGCCACCCAGAGCCACCCAGAGCCGTGCACAGGGCAATCGGCTTCAGGCACGCCGTCCCAGCGAATCGGGGAGGTGTAGATGGGGAAATGATGCAGGGAAAGGAAGGTCGACTCGGAATTGGGGAAAATGGAAAGCGCACGAAACGAAGCATGTGATCAGAAAACCATCATCATTCAATTGCTGCAGCCACTTTCCACATCCTCTCCCCAGACTCAGACTGCGCACACCACACTATACCACACCACTTGTACACTTCCACCCGCCGCGCTTTCTACCTTTTATCCGTACTCACTCACAACCACATCTTTCTACCGCCTTCAAGTTCTATCCTTTCTTCCTCTCCTTCATCCCCTCCTTTTACGTCCTTACGACATGTAGCGACCTCCGTGGTCACCTACCTCACCACCCTCGGCTCAACCCAACCCGACACCGCGACCAGTCTCCCTCCCACACCGACTCACTCCTCGCAATCGCACCTGCGATCCACCGCCGGCTTCATATCTTGAATTGAACATCGACCCCCATCCCTCTCCTCGATAGTTGTAGATGGCCACTCATTCACCCAATCATGTCTACACCCTCCCTCCTCCCTTTTCTCCTCCTCTCTCCGCAACCCGGACCTCCTCAGACATCATAAAACCCGCTTCCATTGACATCGACATGATGAGATCCGAGCATGATCGTTCCACAAGAGCGGCTAGTGTCCTCTCAGGAATGTCGGCTGAGGACATGGAGGCTGCCGAGACCCTAAACAGCCTACTTGAACAAAGTAATATTCTCTCCTCGCTTCCTCGGATCTTTGCACACCGCTGACATGTGACTTTTCCAGAATACCACTCACCTAGGCAAAACCCTCCCACTCTAGTCCAGACTCAGGTCACCTTCGAATCGGATCAACCCGAACCGCTCCTCAGGCTGTTCACGAGCCAATACCCTCTTGCTGGCAGTCTTATTAATGGCTCTTTGTCTGCCTACAAAACCACTCAGTCATATATTCCCGGCGCCGAATGGACCGAGAGGAATGTTGGCCTACCCATCGCGGGTACTGTCGCAAGAATATCCGGTGTCGAAGGTGGTTTGAGGTGGGCTCTGAAACCAAAGCGCGACGGACGTCCTTCCAGCGCTGCTCGGACACCAGACGTCGAGAAAGGCTATTCCGACATCACCTCCGGCGGTACAGACCGTCCATCCTCCGATCTGGCCTACTCCGAGACTCTACCCGCCTACAGCCCTGGTGATCGTTCTCCACCTTACAGCGAACAGCAGATTCTTCTTAAATCACGCGACCGACAACCACCTCCCGGATGGCGTCAACAACTCGTCATCTCCACAAGTGGTCTTGGTGTCGCAATGAGTGATGACTCAATCAGAAGCCTTCGCTACTGTCTGAGCTGGTTAAGGTGGGCAAATGGACATCTCGGCGAGGCAATCCAGAATCTCAAGAATCTACTAGAGAGATGGGATGAAGGTATCACCCCTGGCGAACATCCTGCACCCATGTCAGTCGCCAGCATGACCCAGAGCCAAGAAGAGCGACGCCAGGCGGCATTATCAGCACGCATTGCCGCTTTGAAAGCTGATGTCCTCAAAACACTCAAAGATGTCATTGCCATTGTTTCAAATTACGCCGGTGGCGCATTACCCACGAACGCACGTGAACTTGTTCACAGACATCTGACCAGCCTTCCACAGCGATTTAGTCTCGCAAACATGGCCGGAAACAACCCCACTGATGGATCTGAAGAAAGTTCCAACGATTCTGAAGCTGCTCAGTCAGGACGAAGAGTCATGTTACTCGCCCAGGAAGGCCTAGACATGATGACGCAAGTCTCGAGGGTGGTCAATGATACCCTAGTCAGTGCCGAGGGCTGGTGCGAGAAATTGGGCCGTCGCACCAACTCACAATCTCAGCAACCAATGCTTCTCGATGAGAAATCAGATAACGCTTCGATGCGAAGTGAGACTATTGCACCGAGCGATAGGACAATTGAATCCAGCCACCAGCAACAATTTGGTGATGATGTGCATATGGAAATGTAATAACAATACGCGAGAAACTTGTGGAATACAAATAGCGTTGGGGAACGGTCAAAAAGAAGCGTTCTTTGAGAGTTTTGGGTGTCGCAAGTAGGCAACTACGAGGGTCTGCAACGGAATGGGAGTGTACAGCGTTGGGATAGTAGGAAACTCCTAAAAGTACGCTGTCTAGCATGTTGCCATTTATGAAGGAGAATTGAATGCGAAGTTCATATTTATTTCTTGACAACTTCTAGGTTTATTCGAGGGTACTGCTGAATCGTCTTGATACAGCACTCGGCGAAGTGACGAATTCTAACACAGCCTATCAAGTAACTAGACACGATAACAGACGAAGCTGTGTGGAACAGTAGTATCTATCTCTTTGGAATCATGCAGGGCCCTCAACTTTCATGCCTCATCTCACTCTCTACCTTCGAATGAAGTTGTCTGGCTATCGAGCAGCAACATTCCGCGACCGAACATATCAAGCTAGCTTAGATTAGATAGTCGGATCTACATATGTACAGGGCATGAGCCCGCGAGCGCTCGCAATCTCGAAATCCTTCTGTCGACAAATAATTTGAGTCTTGTTGTATGTGAGCAGTATGTATGTCTGTATGTACGTACTGCCAACTTTTGGCGCTAATCGTGACCCACCCAGTCTGTAGATTTTATCGTGGAGGCAGACTGATGAGGGGCGGCGAGGCTCGGCCCCCTAACCAAAAAGGAAGTTAAGGGGCTAGTTAGAATCTCAACGAGGAATGTACTTATGAGTTGCAGGGCATTGGAACTGCAAGTACCTCCACGGTGTAAAATTATACTCTAGATTTCGGCTCGGAATCTGGTACACTATAGCTTGTCTGCCCTGTGCTGATCTTCGTAACTAGAATGGTAGAATGACAACTACAACCTCCTCCCTAGCGACGCTTTGGACAACATGTGCATGCGATGCCACTGGCGAGCGACAAAACTTATCAAGCCACCTCAAGGTACACTACTTTAAACTCGACACTGACACCAGCTAACATGCTTCATAGAGTAAATAGTTGCTCGGCACCATCGGCCTTCAGCTTCCTATTGGCGCGCACGAGCAAGAACTTCATCAACATGGCCGAAAGCATACTGATGACCGTCGACGCCATCATCAGCAGCATAGCCATGACGTACCGTGGCCCGTCAGACTTAGGAAAGAAGTACGGTGACCAGATGTTGCCGAGCTGGCTGAGGAGATTTATAATGGCAGTGGCACATGCGCGCTTCTCGGGCGACTGTGATAGCGTGTTTGCCGCCCAGCTGAAGACTAGAGCGTTGGACGAAAAACAGCCGCAGATGTACAGGAAAGCGGCTGTGTATCGCGCCGCCTTGTTCAGGGTGGCGACAGAGATGATGAACCCGATACACGAGAAGACCATTGGAGCTGACATATGCCACCCACGCTCTTTGCGGCGGTCGCTGCTCAGCGCGACGGCGAAGGCGACCACTGAGGCTAGAAGGTATGGTGGCGCGGTCAAGATTAGGGTGATGGTATTATTGCCTAGGTCAAATCCTTTGACGATCGTGGGAAAGAAGTTGTTGAAGCCATAGGCGCTGTGGTTTCCGGTAAGCATAATCACCTATCATGCGTCAGCGGTCTCGATGGAGTAGGGGTACGCGCACAACTTACGAAAATCCAGGTTTTGATGTCCTTGACGGCAGCGGCAAGACCGCTCCAAACTGACCCGTCAATCGTCTTCTCTGAGACACGATCGCGGCTGATACGGTTGACAGAGATTCGTCGTTCCTCCTCCGTCAATAGCCACTTCGCCGAGCCAGTGTTGGCGCCTGGAAAATCGGGCAAAATGAACATGGCGACCAGAGATACCAAGAAGCTGCCAGAGCCTTCGAGAATGAAGAGCCACTGCCACCCGGCCATACTGTGAACGCCGTCGAGGCCAGAGAATATGCCAGCCGCCAAAAGCCCTGAGAACGCTGTCGCCAGAATCACGCCTGAATAGAGCAATGCAGTGCGGACGGCCAATTCCTTCCGAGTGTAGTAGCAAGAAAGGAGATACATCGCCCCAGGAAAGAATGGCGCCTCCGCTACCCCAAGAAGGAAGCGAACGGCGATCAACTGACGAAAACTGTGTGTTGCGGCAGTGGAGGCGGATATGATGGACCAGAGAGCAGCCCATACAGGTATATACAGCGAGGGCCGGGTGCGGGTAAGGAGCATGTTGGACGGGAGTTGCATCAACATGTAACTAGTGAACTCAGCGATTGGATTTTGGGGACAGGATGGTGACGGCTTACCCAACATTCAGAACGGAAACTGCGATGTTGAACTGGTTGCCCTTTAGATTAAGGTCATCTTCAAACGAGTTGAGTCGAGCTTGGCTGAAGAATATCAGCATGTAAATATTCGTGGCGTGGATTGCGGTCACTCACGCGATATTGTTCCGGTCCAAGTAGTTGAATAAATATAGAACCCAGAGCATGGGAACGAGGGTGTAGTCGAGCTTCCGGACCAGTCGCTTCTCGATGGCTCGGTATTCCTCGCTAATTTCTTCCATCGCTTCCACCGGTACCTCCTTGAGAACATCGATGTGGTCAGAGGCGGCTTTGGACTCTGTTTTGAAATCCATATTGGACTGGTAATTCTCCAAATTTGAAGGGTTGTTGTCTAATAGCAGATTGTGTGTAATGTTTTACTGGTCTCTGGCCCGAGCCCGTTCTTTGAATTTCTGGCTTTGGAACAGCGTACAGCGCTTCTACAAATAGTCAGTTCGACACGAGGTGAAATCGATATGTGTCCGTGATACATAGTAGACAGTAACCCCAGGTTCCCCAGGAGCGGGTTGCTCCGTTGGGATATATCATGCTTATCGAATCAGCTGAGGTCACAGGTCCTCCACCCTATTGAATAATATGGTTAAAGGAGTGCTCCGGCTTTCTGGGCCCCGTTAGGCCAAGGCTTAAGACGAAAACTTGGGGTGGGAGCTCCACTCAAGGGTTCCCCAGGTATTGCTCGTGGACCTGGAGCACTCCTTTGGCATTACTACTTCGTAGGAACCATCCACTTGAGCGGGAGATCTGTAAGCAGGACGGCAATCAGTTTTGGTGAGGGTCATTTCAGTCGAGGTCAGCAATTCTTGTAGAACACACTCCAGACGTGGAGTCGCTATTCGTCGACAAAGTCTTCTTGGGAGGCTTGAGATTGCCGAGGAGCAAATATCCAAGTGCTGTTTGATACGGGAGACATGTCAGCTCTGTTACATGATCAATCGCCGGCGGGCGGTTAGGGAATGAGAGTTCGTCTCCTCGCGGCTGCACAAACCCTGTACAAGATACCGAATACCACGTGGTATGTCCACTTTCACAAATGCTTCTCGACGACCTCCGGAGGCCGCCAAGAGATGTTGGGGCTAAATAATCATAGCCACCTCTCTATGTACTTACTTCGTAGTTAGGTACCTAATTCAGGGACGACGGACCCTTGAAGATCGTACCTTACTAGTTAATTGATCATAGCTTTCCTCCGTGCTATCCTACTAGCACTAGCACTTGATTCCAACGCCTCACTAGCTACTTGCGTAATCTTTCAATCGTAGGGCCCATGGGATCACCAGCCTCCAAGCACTCTAATGTCTTCCTGTCAATCTCAGCCCTTTCCTGGCAAAGCCTGAGACACTCATCTATGAGACTGACTGGGGTAGCGACAACACCATCGGCATCTCCTAGGATGATATCACCTGGCTGTATCACAATCGTGCTGCCCTCTGAGAGCTCGTCAATCTCATAAGCCACCGGCACGTTGATCTCAGAAGATCTCGTGAAGGTATTGGAGCCCAAAATACTGCAATCTCGTGCGAAGAGCCCTATTTCTAAGTCCCTATGTTCGTTGACGTCTCGGAATCGGCCGTCGATGACAACACCGGCTGCACCAAGTTTTTGGGCTCTCGTACTCATCAATCCTCCCCAACAAGCACTTGTATATCCCTTGGGTTGCGACACAAAGACCACACTACCATGCGCGATGCTGTCCGCAAAGTGTTGCTTGGGCTTCGGCGCGGACTTGTCAGCTGCATCTACCATTCGGACCGTGTGCGCTGGACCGAAGATTTTAGATTGGCCGGCTCGATATTCTGGTGAAAACATCCTCAGGCCGGTCAGGAAGCCTCCATTTGGCACCTTCAATTTGACCAGTGCATCGCCGATCTAGAACGTCAGCATCATCATCATCATCAACATCAGCATCTGTAAAACCGATTTCTGACTTACATCGCAACTGCTAAATTGCCTCAGCGCCTTTAGTGTACCTGTACTTGCCGACATCGAAACGAATGTCTACGTTTTGTCCGAAATTGACATAGAGACTCCAGCTTCAGGTAGAGCAGAAGCTCTCATGTTGTTTTCAGAAAAACAGAGACACGGGCTGCACCCGCGAGATGGATGAGTTGATTGCGGTCTGATCCGTTGGACGAGGCTCTTTACTTTAGACTCTCCTGCTTAGGGAACCCAGAATTCCGGGGTAGCGGAGCGCTCCGTTCCTTTTCTTGCTAGGTTCTTTTCGAAGACCGGAGATATCCTGCATCTTGAATTCTGCTTCCACTCAGGTTCTGACAGGATTTGCCTCAATCTGTTGTTATATGTGATTTTGCCTTTCTCGAAATGAGTATTTGGTGCAGGTCTTGGAATAAAGCTCTGGATGTTTGGATATCTTGCAATGAATCTTAGCACTCCAGATCTTTGTGGTTCACTGTCACCTCTTAGCATCTTGAACTCTCCTTCAATATTCACATTAGCTTCTTTGCACTACAATGATGATCTGGCAGAAATTAGGAAGATGTCTGGCCCGGAAACAAATCAGGGGCTTGTCGGGGGTCAGGGGGTTTGCGACAGAATTACCTCGAATTGCAATGAGTCAGCTCGAACCTGTAAGTGCATCTTCTACTCTGACACAATCATCCCTGACAGCATAGCATACGATTCTAGACTATGCAAGTCGCCTTCAGAAACTCCAACACATCACCAGGTCTCTGAACAAACCCTTGACGCTCTCGGAAAATATTCTGTTCAGCCGTCTTGACGATTCTGTAGACCCCTGCGCTATCGAAAGAGGTCAAACGATGCTCCAGCTACGTCCTGATAGAGTTGCCTGTCATGATGCCACGGCGACGATGGCACTGCTTCAATTCATCGCCGCTGGCCTCGAAAGAGTTGCGATTCCAACAACGATTCACAGCGACCATTTGATCGTGGCCAAAACAGGTGCAGAGAGCGACATAGCAAGGGCACTCACAGAACACCAAGAAGTCTACGATTTCCTTAGCAGCGCGTCCAACAAGTATGGGATAGGCTACTGGAAAGCAGGTTCCGGGATCCTGCATGTCATTTTGCTTGAGAACTATGCTTTGTGAGCACCTCCATATGCAATTTGGATCAAACTAACGAGGAACAGCCCGGGAGGATTAATGATCGGTACCGATTCACATACCCCAAATGCTGGTGGCCTAGGCATGATCGGAATCGGTGTTGGTGGATCAGACGCAGTGGACGCAATGGCTGGCATGCAATGGGAAGTTATGTGTCCTAAGATAACCGGCGTTTACCTTTCTGGTCGCCTTGGTTCGGGCTGGACATCTTCTAAAGACATTATTTGCAAACTGGCAGGCATCCTCGGCGTGGCTGGTGGGAAAGGCAAGATCATTGAATTCTTCGGACCCGGAGTCCATTCACTAAGTACCACATCGATGGCAACTGTGTGCAACATGTCAGCAGAGATTGGTTCAACTTCTTGTTTATTCCCATATACAGAAGCCATGGGGCGATATCTGAGTGCCACCAAGCGAATGGATATCGCCAAAGCCGCCCGCACTTACAGCGATGTACTTCTGACCGCCGATGTTGGCAGTGAAAAGTACTACGACGAAGTGATCCACATTGACTTGGACACTCTAGAGCCACACATCAATGGACCATTTACACCTGATCTATCACATCCTCTGTCGTCATTCGGGGCTGCTGCAGCCAAGAGCGGTTGGCCTTTGGAGCTTAGCTCGAGCATGGTGGGTAGTTGCACGAATAGCTCGTATGAGGACCTGAAGAAAGTCCAGCACCTGGTTCGACAGGCGAAAGCTGCCGGTTTATCGAGAGTCAAAGTACCCTTCCTTGTCTCCCCTGGTAGTGAGCAGATCAGAGCAACGGCACAGGCTGATGGAGTCTTTACTGAATTAGAGGATGCTGGGGCAACTATTCTGAGCAGCTCCTGTGGTCCATGCGTGGGGCAATGGGATAGAACAGATGTGCCCAAAGGCGAGAAGAATTCAGTCATCTCAAGTTACAACAGGAACTTCGCTGGCCGACATGATGGTGGGTATATTCTTCATGCTCTCAAAGATTCGACTAATGCTCCATAGGAAATCCGCAAACGCACTCATTCGTCACTTCTCCCGAGATGGCCACTGCTTTTGCCTTCGCAGGCAATCTGGCATTCAATCCCATCACTCAAGCATTACAACTTCCTGGCCGAGAATTAGAATTCCGCTTCAATCCTCCACAAGCAAACGAGCTCCCACAAGAATTTTTGCCTGGAGAAGACCGCTACCAACCGCCCACTGAGGACTACGCTTCTGCAACGGTAAAAGTTGATCCAAGATCCGACCGCCTTCAATTGATCGCCCAATTTCCACCTTGGGCCGATGAAAATGCAACAAACATGCATATCCTCATCAAAGTGAAAGGGAAATGCACGACGGACCACATATCGCCTGCCGGTCCGTGGTACAAGTATCGAGGCCACCTCGAGAACATCAGCAATAACATGCTCATTGCCGCGACCAACGAATTCGTCTCCGAGACAGGACATGCCCGGAATCCTCTCACAGGAGACATAGGCCTAGTTCCTCGGGTTGCTCAGGCGCTCAAAAATAGAAGGATAAAGTGGTGCATAATCGCTGATACCAATTATGGTGAGGGATCGTCCCGAGAGCACGCTGCCTTGGAGCCTCGATACTTGGGCGGCATCGCGGTCATTGCAAAGAGCTTTGCGCGGATCCATGAAACAAATCTCAAGAAGCAGGGTATGCTACCGTTAACCTTCAGTGACCCAGCAGACTATGATCGGATTCAGGAAGGTGACTGTATATCTCTTGAGGGCGTGCAGGATGGCCAAATGGCGCCCAGGAAGCAAGTGATAATGCGTGTGACAAGGAAAGACGGGACCGCCTGGGAAGCCAGCTTGAGTCACACGTATCACGAAAATCAGCTGCAATGGTTACGGGCTGGAAGTGCCCTGAATCACATCAGGAATGTCGCGCAGCGAGTGGCGTAAGTGCTGGTTTTGTCGGAATCTGATTTAGCATGGAGTTAGGTAGAGATCCTCGGGCTATTGAACTTGATCGCTTTCCTCACATTCAGCGTGGTGATCCGACATGATGATCTCGCGGCTATATATAGATAAAGCTCAAGCTTTGCTTACATCTATAGCATAACATAGATGGTGAGGAAATGCGAAAGCAGGATGGAGGCCTACCAAGCAAGCCAAATGTGTGAAAAGTTGACGGATCGTGGGTACGTGAAAATTTCATCTGCTAATCATATAGCCTACATGCATTGCCGGATCGATCAAAAAATCTACTGCAGCTATCTAAGACTTGTTTTACAAGACCACTCGGTGGTGCTACACGACGAGGGATTTTCGGTCATTCGTTACCAGTCATATAGCCTTGACGGGTTAACCCGCACCATCAAATCCCACTCATCATCACTCAACCACCCCCGTAACCTCCTCAGCCACGCCATATCATCGACATTGAGGTATGGCGTCTCGACCGCCGCCTCTTCAGGCGTCCTTACAATCATACGCGGCGTATGTGGCCAGTCACTGCCCCAAAGCACGCGCTCTGGATTCGCGTCGACCAGGGCGCGCACCACAGGTTCGAGATCTTGGTAGTCAGGCTTCATCTCGCTAACACGGTAAGGAGCGCTCAGTTTCACCCACAGTAGCCCATCACGAACTAGCGAGATAATGGCCGCGAAGCCTGGTTGTCGAGTGACGTCCCCATCACAGGACGGGGGTAGCATGGACCGTCCGGTAAGCAGAGCGAAGTGATCCGTCACCAGTCTGATACTGTTCCCAGCTACATGTGTCTCAATGACTGGTCGTAGATGCTGCCAGAACTCCGGATGCGTATGCGTGAAGGCCATGGTCCAGCCGGGAAATACTTTGATCCTCTCCGCGTGCCGCTGGAGTGACCGCTTTTGGAGCTCGAGGTCATGCATGGCATGGTCTTTGTATAAGTTGATTCGGATGCCCCTAACTCCAGCGGCGTGCATCTCTTGGATGGCAGAATCCGAGGTGGTTTCGGGATCAATCACCCCGATGCCCTTGGTGCTGGTGCTGCCAAGTTGTCTCAGAAAAGTGAGTAGCGGTTCGCAATCACTTCCATAGCTTAAACCGTGCGTGAGCACTGAGTGAGTAGCTCCGATGCTGGCTTTGAAGGCGAGAAACTGTGCAACAGTGGCAGCGGGAGGGGTGAGATGGCGATCAGCAGCGTAGGAGAATTGGGATGCTGGTAGCGTGAGGATGTTTCACTATTATCTGCATGGTAGATGACACTCACGATCGAAAATGTGGTGGTGGACATCCCATCCGCCATGCGGAAAGATGGGATTAACCGTCGACATGGTAAAGACAAGTCGTGTAGAGTATCAGAAAGTATGACGCCTAGAATTTCGTAGGACAGCCTATATTTGTCTAGGTCATTGCTCCTTTTCTAGCATGAAACAGTGTTATAACTCCGATGCAAGGCCGATGTTTTGGTGTATGCGGAGCAGCCCGTGGGGAAGCTCAAGGATGGAGCAAACCTTGTTTCAAAAGCCCTGGCCTCTTCTCGGAGCGCTCCGTGGAGACAGTGTGTTCCTGATGGCCATGAATGATTGCTCTAGGCGAAAGACAGAGAGATGGTTTCCTGCACTTGTTCGAAATGCTCAACATGCTCCGCAATAGCCTGTGGAGAGCAACAATTGAACACGCGATGCTCCGCCACCACCCACCCCGTGCACCTCAACAACTACAAATTGCGTCTGGAGATGGAGAATCATCATCCACGCCATATATGCGCGTGTGTAGGTCCAACCGTGTCTGCTCCCCAATGAAAGGGAGGATTTTCGTGCACTCCAAGCGGCCATCATGACAACGAGGTGGGCAGAGCCAAGTGCGTTCCAGTCGGTGCTTGCTGGCGGTGTAGCAGGAGGCGCAGAATCTCTGATAACAGTAAGAAATTCATCCTACTCTCTGCTTGCTGTAACTGATGACGAAGTACCCGACAGAGTTTGTGAAGACGAAGCAGCAGTTAGCTGCCAAACAAGGGGCACACATTTCGCCATCGCGATTGCTTATTGATGTTGTGAGACGTGAGGGATTCCGACCATTGTATACAGGAGCAGGTGCTTTCTGTTTGTCCAACACCTCCAAGTCAGCAGTGCGATTCGCAAGTTTTAATTTCGTCAGAAAACATCTACCAAAAGACTTTTCCACTGGCAAGATTTCGGCTTTGGGCAATATGTTCGCAGGCTTGTGCGCCGGGATTGCGGAGAGTGTTACCGTTCTAACACCGGGTGAGAATCTGAAGACAAAGATGATTGACAATCAAGCTGCTGGCGCTGCCTCATCCTATAACTCTAGTTGGAAGACGTTTAGAAGAATCGTGGACACAGAAGGGGTCTTTGCGCTGTACCGTGGTGTCGTGCCAGTCAGTCTAAAGCAATCTGCAAATGCCGTTGTTCGATTCACGACTTACCAGTTCCTTCTCGAACATATCATGGACTATTCCGAAAGACAAAAGACCACATTGCCGTTACTGGCACCTGCGATCGCCGGAGGATTTGCAGGAATCATAACAGTGTACTGTACGATGCCATTCGATGTTGTCAAGACCAAGATGCAAGCAATTCGAGGTAAGAGCAGCTATCGAGGCTCGTTTGACTGCTTGCAAAAAATCGTTGCTGCACATGGAATTGGGATTTTGTGGAAAGGAACGACGCCGAGACTGGTGCGTTTGAGCGTAAGTGAACCTGTGAATGCGGCGTGAGGGATGCTAAATTTGATTTAGATTTCTGGTGTGCTTTCCTTCAGTATATATGAGCAAGTCATAGCATTGACGAGCCGATCGAAGGCTGACAAGGATGAAATGCTCGGAATGCAAGGCGGAAAGATTCTGTCCTCATAGAAGCACTCAAGGCTATCAATTGATCAGGGTTGGGCAATTCGTCAGATTGCTCAGTTGCCCAAAATATCAGTGTCGCAGTAAAAATCATAAGTTGCCAAAGCGGAATTCTAATGGCAGTCCAGTATTTGCTGAATTCCATCCGTCGTCATCGACGAAGTAGTCGGAGAGAAACGCTTCGATCTCCGGGTCCAGCGTATTCTCAGGCGTGCCATCCATGTTCAACGTGTCGTACATCTGGAGGTTATGAGTGCCTTGCGCTATGGGTCCATCGCTGAAAGGGTCGTCGGGTAGGATATTAAAGTTCAAGCTCTCGTCTTCATGTATCTCAAAGGCATTGCTCTGATCGAGTCGTGCAAAATTTAAGTTTGCAGGCATTTCACTTCGATTATCTGTCTGTAAGGAAGAACCTCCTAAATCGGGTTGGAAATCTGCTTCGAAGATTTTGTTCTGCGAAAGATTATAACTCTCAAGAAGCCTGCGTTTGCTGCTTCTACCAATCTGCACATTGGTCTGACGTGATTTCTGCAAGGTTAAGTCCACCAGTCTCTCGAAGCTAGTCTTACCCCGGCGAACAGATGGCCAGAAGACGCCGCCAACAGTGAGAAGCGTTGTACATGTCTTCAATGACTTCGGTAGACGAGATGAAATCCTTGGTGCTTGAATAGAATTGGAGGTCCAAAAGGCGTAGATCAGTGTTGCGCCACAGGCAAATATACTCCTCACTGTCCTCCAATCCAGCTGTAACATCTCTAGTTCATAGAGGGAATCATAGCAAGCAAGTTGATCAGCCGCAGCATTGAAGCACAGTTCCATCTGTACTCCTGTAGGCTGTCGAAAAGTTTGAGATGGTTGAAACAACAGGACGACTGCAGCATGATAGTTTGCTTCGAGGTGTAGCTGCCATCGCCGTTTCTCAGTATCTGCAACAGGAAGTTGATTGCAGACTCCTCCAATACAGGCAGCCCACTCGGTCAATGACGTGTAAATACGTTGCTGCTGCTGATCGTAGTCCGTAGACCAGATGATGGCATTGCTCTGCAGAGGAAGATGATAAAATAGCAGTTTAATCTCGGAAATTATTGGGTCGAGTCGGAAGCGATGGAAACTGTAGGTCAAAAGGTCACTGGCCACAAGCTGTAACTCTGTTGGAAGGTTGGCTGAAGTTTGCACGGTCTGTAGCTCCTCCATAGTGGGTAGCTGTACGTCAAATGTCTCGTCTCGGATACCCAATGGACGACCTTGGATTGTAGCAACAGAACTAGGAAGGATCAACAGAAGTTGAGTCCGGGTAATGGAGAACTTACCGATCTAAGGAGTAGATGCTGTGGAACAATAGAGATCTTATTGTACTTGCGGTGCTGGAGTCTTTCGATTGTCTATGGATGCCGAGGTCGATAGACTGGGCCATGCAGACATGTGTAAGTATCCAGAGATTCAATCTCGCTGGGGCCATCAGGGAACTCATTGCCAGCAAATAGGTGGCTTGTAGACCAGCAATGGAGCTTTCCCCAAGTACTTCATCCGACACAGACATAGCGACACGATGAAATTGTGTAGGCGCAAAATCTGTCTGACCTGCACCTAATCTGGAGGACGAAGCCAGTGCGAAGATCATGAAGACGTGGAAGATAGCCATATCAATACTAATGGGAATTAGTGGGCTTTCGTTGGTCCCATTGAGCTCGCCATTGTAAGCAAAAGCAGGTGTGTCAAGAGGCCATCCGCTGGGACCGGTCATTGCCCCAGATCCAATCTCGTGACTGAGATATAGCCCTTCGAGAGCATTGAAAATTGAGCCTGGGTGGACTATGGGATGATCGGCGTGTAAATTCCGCAGATAAATATCGAATAGGTAGATTGCATCATCTCTCGTAGGAAGAGTAGAGCTCAATTTCTGATAAACGAAGGAATAGTCTTTGATCGTTGATCGCTTGCCTGAACGTGGAGTTTGTGCTATTCGCGGGGATGACGACTCTCCTGGAGGACTCTGAGATTGAAGCAAGTGGGTGAAATAAAGCCCTGATGACGAGCCCATGTAGTGTTTTTCTCGTGAATCGGAGCCCAATGTCAACATTCCCAGATCCATAGCCACTGTCTGTGCTTCAGCGTTTAAAGATTCAGTAGGGACATCATTTGACCCAATTTCTCGAGCCCGCTTCTGTCCTGCAATGCCAGAAGACATGGTAGCGTCAAGAGCTGCCCTTTGAGTATCGGCAGTGGACAAGGCCTTGGGACCCTCTGAACCAGGACCTTCATTGTCAACCTGAGGTCCTTTTGTCAGGTCCACATGCGGCAGTTGGGTTGAAATTATATTTTCCAACCACTCGATGCGTGCTCTGGATTGTCCAGCGGAGCTGCGCTCATCAGTAATCACCCACGGCGGAAGCATGGACTTTGAACTCACTTTCGCGGAACAAGGTGCTCAGTATTCCGTGCATCCACATCAATACAACTCACCTTAGCTTTAGCACAATTGGCACAGGATGGTACTTGACCATCGCACTGTGTTTGGTGAGTTACTGATTTGTTCTCGCCATTAAAACGTACCTTGATGCGCCGTGCTCTACATCGCTGACACGCCACTCTTACCTTTCGCTGCGAACCTTGCACCACACCTCTCTCTTCCATTTGTATAAAATTAACTCACAAGGGAGGCGCAGCTCTCCTGGGACTATTCTTCACTGATGCTGGAAGGACCTAAAATGGAATCCAGGGCGCGTCTGCTAGCGACGTGACGAAGCTGATTAGCACTAGTAAGATATTTGTCTTGGCGCCAGTTACCTACATCTCTGGGCAGTAACTAAGTACCTAGATACCCGCCCAGAAATAGCCCGAGAGCCCTATTCGGAGGACTGAAACCACCTATTCACTAAGTACCTAGGTAGGTGGGCACTCAGCGGGCACCCACTTAAATACCCTTTTAAATATCCAGGTAAGCTTGAGTTACAAGTACAGTTTATACATTTCTGGGAACTCACCATTGTGTGAGGCATATCAAGTCGGCTGTGGACGTGAGAAGTGCACTAACTAGTTACTTAGTCTTGAGTCCTCATCATGCAAAGCGGGACATGATCACTGATGGCCAAATCGAAAATTACCTTCACCACAACTATGTTAAGGCATACTCCTATGTCGCCCTCCGCGCAAACCAGAATCTATCATGAATAGATCGTTGCAACTGTTATTTGGGGCAGATCTCATGCCGCCATTTGCTCATGGCCTCGGCCAATCTAGGATTGTGGCTAGATGATCTTTGGGTTGTCCTCGCTAAAAACAGTGCATGATTTTTGCGATCATTCACTTGATTACGCGCAAGATTTCTCCATGCGAGGCTAGGAACTATGGCCTTGCGAGGGATATTTACGCAAGCTTCTAGAAAAAGCTCTGGCCAGCTCGGCGAGACTGCCCACATCACCCTAACTGTTGGCGCACTTTGGCGTCCGTGCACAAGGTGCTGCCCGAGCTCGTTACTATCGAACTTCCCTACTCTCGGATTCTGCTATGGTTGGTTGATGCGTCAGCTTTGAGGATAGCCGTATGAGTTAGGTTTCGATAGGCCCTTCGAGATCTGGTCAAGTCTTGTCTTTCCATGCGAGTCGAATTCAACCTAGAAGGGTGAGGCGGCAAAAACGCTAAAAGGTATCATGCTGCTTCCATTGTTAAGACTCCCAGGTGCCTCCTCTGGCTTTTGAACCTCCATATTCATCTATCAATGACTTCCCCAAAGAGAACTCGGCTGCAGGCATTCAAACATGCATTTTCGTCGCCATCAGCATTTCGTCAAGCCCTCGTCCTTTCGAGCTCGACATCCTTTTTAATCAATGAAGATTTGGCCCCCTCCCCGCCCAGCAAACAGACGTGGACAGTCTGGTCATTCTTTGCGTACTGGTGGAGCGAGTCATGGTGTGTGTCGACATGGGCGGTCGGTTCGTCCATGATCACCCTCGGCGCTTCGATCCGCGATTCCCTCATCGTTGTCTTCTTTGCCAACTTATTCTCCGCTCTCGTTATCGTGTTGAATGGACGTGCTGCAGCTCGCTATCATATCGGGTTTCCGGTAGTCGCCCGTGCCTCCTTTGGTATCTACGGTCACTATTTTGCTGTATGTCTAAGATGCATGGTCAGCATCATATGGGGCGGAGTGAATCTATATTTCCAAGGCCAATTTATCTCGATCTGCCTACGGTGTATCTTTCCTGGTTGGAACACGATGAAGAATCCGATTCCTAAGAGCCAGGAGATCACGATTCAGACTCTAATCGGATATATCCTGGCCTTTTTCACGACATTGCCATTTGTCTTCATCCACACCTCGAAGATTCAGAAACTATTCCACGTCAAATCTGTCGTAATGCCGGCAGCTGGACTAGGGATTGTCATATGGGCCATTACTACCAATGGTGGAGTGGGAAGTCAAAAGCTTGAGCAAACAGCCCCGCCGGTCTCAAGCGCAGTCTATGCTTGGGGAATGATAGCGCAGGTAAACTCCGTGCTGGGCATCAATTCTGCTTTACTCGTAACTGTTCCCGACCTGGCAAGGTACTCTAAGACCCAAAATGCTCAGGTATGGGGCCAGATACTCAGCCTTCCGCTTGGGCAGACACTCTGTGCAGCTTTTGGAATCCTCTCGACGGTGAGTTCTTGTCGATCAACAATTGCTGTTCACACTAACTTGGATATCCAAGTCTGCTGTTTTCAACCTGACTGGAAAATCCTTCTGGAATCCCTATGATTTACTTCACGGCATTCTCGATTACACATCATACTCCTCTGGTGCTCGAGCAGGGATTTTCTTCGCATCTTTTTCCTTCGCTTTCGCTACTCTAGGGACTTCAATCGCTTGCAATTTCATTCCTCTCGCGGCTGATGTGACAGCATTGTTGCCGAAATACATCAACATAATCCGAGCCCAGCTCTTATGCTTAATCGTTGCATTCTCAATTGTCCCTTGGTAAGTATCCTCTGTCGAGCACTATCTCCGAAGAAACGGCCCTAACACAATTGAAATATTTGAAACAGGCGCATAATCGGCTCGTCAGCCAGTGGTTTTCTGAACTTTCTCGATGGGTACTGCATCTTCCAGGGTCCCATAGTCTCCATAATGCTGGTAGACTACTTCCTCATCCGCCGAGGCAACCTCCTCGTCAATCCCGGATCTGCCAGCAGTGCCACACACGGCGACCATCACATTGCTGCTTCTCCCGATAGCCTAGGTGACAGCTTGGCTAGCAGAGAGGAAGACGGCCTTTACACTGCCTCCGCACATGGTCGATACTTCTACCTTTTTGGATTCAACATTCGAGCATTTCTAGCATTCATTGCCGGCTTTCTCATTCCACTACCAGGTTTCATACAGAGTTTCAACCCCACCCATGATAATAAATTGGACGTCGCGTCAAAGCTGGTTACGTTAGGTTGGCTATTGAGCTTTTTCATTGCCGGTATGGTGTACTGGATCGAATGCTTCATATTCCCTGTGCCCGGAAATGACGGCGATCATGGTTTCGAGACCGCACGGATATATACAGAGGAGTGGAAAGCTGAGAGGGTGCCACACACGTGTATTGATGATGCGGAAGTACTTCAGGTGGCTGAAGAAGGAAAGATTGAGAAACATGTGCAGCAAGTCCAGGTGACGATTAGTAGCTGACCCGGAAACAACCGCTCTCCGACACCGAATGTTCTGATTACTACAGCCTTGTTGGCCGCAAGTGAGCTTCAATTGGATGGTTCAAGGTCTCGGATTTCCCTACATGACGTTGCCTGTTCTTTTCTCTACGTGAAACCTCCCCCAAAAGAGAATTATCCGGTCGGATGGTACGTCAGTCCGGAAATCCACATTTCCACTTTATCCATGGTGGAGAAGTGAAGACTGTTTGCTAGCAGGGTTATTCTGCAATTTTACGAGGCTCCGCAAGGCTATAGAGACGGAAAGACGTCGTCCAACAAGCCTCAGTGTCGCCTTCGGCGACAAATTCTCATTTGGGGATTGTTGCTGTCCTTTACTTCTCGCGTGCGCTAAAACACATCGATATTTTGGCCACTTGGGATGGCTTGATGCTTGACGTGATTGCTCCTCTGTGATCACCCCAATTAAGGGCCAAACCTTTGCCATAGTTTCCACAAGCTGCAGTAAAGGCGGAGGTGAGTCACACGTGAACTCGGGTTACTCTTACATGTTTTCTGAACGCCAAAACACTAAAGATTACTCCTAACGATTGTATCTGCGGGCCATCCACCCGTGAGATGATGACCTGTAGTGACACCCTGGCACTGCCATGAGATAAGTCATGAGATACACCAATGCTACCAGTATACGCACCGAACATAGCTCCAAGTTTCATCATTCTCGGTATTGAACCCTATCATTACTCGATAACCGTGCAAAATCCACAATCTGCGTGTGTTCCAATCATGTCGACCTCTCGCGCAACTCCTTTGCATACTTGATTATCTCTCGATTGCTGAACACTTTCTGCTCGTTCCCCGTAATCGCCAAATCTACAATTGTAGCTCCGAGGTCGCTGATACCAACAGACAGAGAATCACCAGTGACACAGCGGAAGAGACTCCCGCTTACAGTCTTCGGCGCCACACCCGCCGGCTTGACCAGGTAAACCGCATACTCGTCTGGAGAGGCTCCATCGGCAGTCGCCAGGACTGTGGCCTCTGCTAAGCCTCTGATGCGTCGGCCATTGGCAAAGTACCACAGTGAGCGTTCTTGCTCGCCTTCTTTCGGAGGCGGTTCGGTGAATGCGCCGCTAAGCTGTACAAAGCGAAATGGGGTTGAGCTGGGCGGTCTTTGATTCTTGATGATGTTGATGAATGCTAATGGGAATTCGACATCGATTGTCTTGTCGCCGTTGTAGGTTCCGAGACACCAGATGGCGGCGTCCGCCGTCTTGACCTCATTTATGGTGGATTCATCGTAGGAGGTGAAGTCCTTGAGGATCAGAACCTTCGCTTTCGAGTTGGTGGCCCACGTTCCGGGGTCTCGCCGGGCAAGGATGATGACGGATGTGATGGAGCGGTGGTTGAGGCACTGTGAGAGAACTTCACCACCGATGTATCCTGTGCCGCCGGAGACAACGACTTTCATCTTGAAGTCTGGCGACAGCGGGTATGAGGACAGCGTCGATGAAGCTGAAGATTGACTTTTTGACTTCCTACAACGGAAGCTTAATCCAATCTTGATCCTCAGCTCAACTCTGCGACCATATGCGTGTTGCAATCCCTCATGTTTATATACCAATCGTCCTGGGCTTCTCAGGCAGCCTCTTCCGATGCTTATATTCTTCCCCGTCCACTCACACAAAGTAATTGATTGGCCGCCTGAGGAAGAAGAGCGAACCATCCAATGATTGTGAGCTAGCTAAAATCTTCGGATGAAACTATTCCCGCCACCATTGGCTTCGTCCGCTCCAGAAGTCGGCACCGGCTCATCTAGTCACGTGGTGTGCAGCACAATCAATTGTTTTCAGGCCGTCCGAGAGTTATGTAACAAGACCTAGAGGTGGGAATCTCTGCTTGGCCGCCTTTCGGTAACTTTGGTAGCCGGGAGGATCCAGAGGCCAGTGTGCTAAGCAGGTCATTGGCAGGTGCCAAGGATGACCAGTCTACCCCTGTCAATAGGGCTTCTTCCGGTTCCGGACGGTCGAAGTACTGCCAATGTTGTTGATGTCGTTGGTGCCCCTTCTGAATGTTGCCGTTGGAAATTGTCTTATATGGGGATTTGAATCACATTACTAAGATCAGATATTGGGCTTCCAAGTTATTTCATTAGACTAGAACTGAATTCTAGCCATCAACGACCACGAAAGACCATATATCTCCTCCTCAACTTGGCGGTGTCAAGTCTCCTCGATGCACCACAATAAATATTAACACAGGTAGAGCGTGTATCGACAAACAAATCATTAGATATTGTGGGGGAACTGTTCAACCACCATCTCATCCTCCTTGGGACGGTGATAGATATTGGCAATCTCTTCGCCGTCCCATTTCGCTCGATACTCGGACTGGACTATTCGGCGCGAAGGTGCCGAGTTGACATAGTCTTGGATGCCCCTTACAGGGAAGAAACGGTGAAGAGCAACAAAGGCCAAGGCTGAAATGGCTGTTCCCACCAAGAAGCTGATATAGTACAGGTGAGTCCACCCGATGGGTGCCTTGATACCGGGGCTCACGGCTGCGACAAATCCTGGCATTGATGGCCAAACACCCAATACCCACTGTGCAAGAATCATGTTAGTTACTGATCAGCTGCAGAGATTTGTGGAATTGATCTTGAGGTGTAAAACTTACCGCCAGTGGTGCACGCCAGTTGATACCCCAAGTGTACCAATAAATGCTATTCTTGTCTCCGTAGAACAGATCATCCACCTTTATCTTCTGTTTGTTAACGACATAGTACGAAGAAATCATCAATCCGATCATCGGGCCCAAAAATACCGAGTAGCTCGACAGTACATTGAGGAAAGTCGAGGCCGTGGCCAACAACTGCCAAGGATTAACAACCACGGATAAAGCTGCTGTGATATAGGCGCCTCTTCGAATGTTGATAAAAGTCGGAAAAGTTGCGGCAAGGTCGAAACCACCAGACAGGGCATTTCCAGGGACATTGATACCCCATTGGGAAATGATCATGGCAACACCTGCAAAAAACCCAGCAGCTCGGGACCGAGAACCGCCCGCATGCATCATAGCAATCATGAGATCCGGCAAGCTCCAGATGGGTGCACCATATCGTCGCTGAGTAGCTGCAGTAACCAGAATTCCGATCACCGAACTGATGATAGAGTACGGAGCCGCAGCAGCAATTTGACCGTACCATGCATATCGTGGGCGTTCTGCGAATCGAGCATAATCGGCTTGATTCAAGATACCCGCTGCAATGCCACCGATTGCGCTGATGATTGCATAACAGATTGTCCAGCCTTTTGAGAAATCCTGTAGGGCTGGTTTACTTGATATGATCTCCCCAAATCCTTCCATCGTTGCGAGTGCCCAAACGAGCACCACAAAGAAGTAGACGAAAATACTGGCGACGCCAAAGACCAGGAGTGGTTTCAGCTTATGAGGACGAATCCAGATCAGTGGAAGAGACAGGACGCAAAATATGATATACGTCATAAAAGTGGCCGTGGTCAAGCCCGAGGCGTGAATGTGGTTGGGGATGCGTTCCTCAAGATTAGGCCATATCGCTTCGAGGCAAACATAGACGCATCGACCGCCAATCCAGGACTGAACGGCATACCACACCAAGGATAGAAGGATTCTGTTATAGATGACAAAAGAGCTCCCGTAGAGACCCCAGACATATCGGTTGAGCACAGGAAATCCGATGTGATAGTATGCGCCAGGTAACGAGTTGAAGACGACAAAAGTTGTAGAGATGATCGCTCCCACGATGATGGAAATAATGGCTTGCCACCATGTCAGACCCAATGCAATCATGGAACTCCCAACCATATATGTCGAGATGTTGGTGTTGGTTAGAACCCCTCGGTTTTGTTAGTGGCGTAAAGCGGAAAGCAGAAGGAATGGATTGCTTACAAAGATTGTGGAAGGTCCAAAAGTTCCATGTCCTACGTTCTTTCTCGATGGGTTTAATGTCGTTGTTGATCCATCGATCAGGAACAATACCGCCCTCATGAGGGACTTCAAGTTTTTTGATCAAAGCTCTCAGCGACATCTTGATCACTGCTTGATGAATGCGAGCCGTTCTTCAGGGCATGGATGAAGAAAGATGGAAAGATTCCTCGATGAATTCGATGAGGAACCATCAGAGATAAGAACTTCCCGTTCCCACTCGGTCTGGAGTCTGCGTATAGTGATTCGCAAGTGGTAACAGTAGTGGCCAGCCAACAACATGCACCTAGGCGTGTGTCAGTTAGCCTGCAGACATGGGGGTGAGTGGATTGCTGGCCAGGCAAGAAAGGCCCAATAATGCAGGGCTCGTTAGGTGCTCGTTAGGCTGGGATCGCTGTCCTTCCGGTTCCCCAAAAGGAATTTACCGCTTATGAATCCACCCCCAAGTCTCGGCAACAGGAATGATTTCCAATTATTGGCAAGCTTGGTCGATGGACATCTCTTCACAGGGCCATCGCTAAGCAAAGAGATACGAGGTATAGGTCTAAGAGCAACGGCTGGCATTGTCTTCTTCCATTGCACGATACACCCTTCTCAGATTGATTTTCGCCAGGCTGCGAGTCGACCTTGCAAGGTGGTGTGTTGAAGTCTCGCCTAGGCTCATCGGACGCAACCCTGTGCTTCCTGGACCCCTGAGACTTTGAGATTTCCAATTTGCAGAAGGCACTCTTCAACAAGCCAGCACCCTGGTCGTCCGCGTTGTTTACTGATTCGCGTTATGCACGCCACTGCTAGCTAAGAGAGTCATGACTCTGGTGAGCACAGAATATATTATCCTCTGAAGTCTGGGCATGATCAAGCAACAAAAAGAAGTAATTGCGCCGTCATTGACTGACTCCCTGACACGCTTGAGTTCTCTTCGAGGAGATGTCTACTTAGATCGCAATCGAGCACCTAACCGAATATACTCAGTCCTTTCCCATTTGACGAGAATCTACTTTAATATGTATCGGTCCCTGTCTTTCTTTCTGCACGTGCAATCAGGGAACCAAAACGGCATCCACATTGAGCAATGCCCCATAGACGTTATCTTGCGAGGAACGGTCAGATCTTCAGTCACGTATACATGATATCCTAACATCTAGATTCTGGGGAGGTCAAGCCTCGCGGTTAGGGATAATCATCATCAAAAGTACGCTCGGAATAAGTGCTAAGCATCCGCGAGCTTAGTCCCCGTACTCATAAATCGGACTGAGTAAATGTCGTAACCAAGCCATCAAGCTCTCGAAGGCTACCTAATCGGTATGCTAACAAGCTGCGGAGGACAGAGAAGGCATATTCGACACAGAGTTCTTCCCACTGTTCTGTGGCGCACCTCCTTCACACGGCAGATGGATGGCTCCCTACTTCCGGAGGCTGTTTCTATCCAGATAAACTAGTCTCCACAAAGCTGCCTAGGGAAACATGCGTAAGGTCTCCGGAAGCTACAATGTATGTCGCATGTGGATTGATTTGCTCACGGAGAGAATGAGGGATACATGGCCGACTTGGATGAGGGCCCGCCTGCCAAGGCGAGAACCTTCCCAATTTGTTGCAGCATGAATAATACCCCAAATTGTGCTTGACTCGGTTTCGCGCTGGAGGAACCAAGATTACTATCACATAAGACGTCCTTCGATTCGGCCAAAATAACAGACGTATCTGGATTGTGCACACCACCTGTTTATATCATGTCGTGCTGGATACGCAACCCCAAGGATACCACCAACTAGCCGGGGTGATAAGTCCATTTGCGCTGGGTGAAATACCATGCCATCTCGTGAGAGATCAAGCGAACTTGCCTACATTGACAACTGCAGATGCGACCTGCTGGGGTTAACCCTATCACACATCGATATGAATGCAGCGTTAGTCGAGCATGATGCACGAAGACTGAATGGTCGTGAATGGTTCAGAACGCGTGTCAGTAATGCGGCCTCTTTACCTAAACAGAACGTTACATTAATCGTGGTCTAATTGCATCTGAATGGATGTCTACCTAGGTAGGTCGTCTAACGATGCTGCCGCTACTATGATCTAGGCCACCCCCTTTTCATTGAACTTCGATTACATCCTTACATATCATCGAGGCTTAATGTTGTACCTCGGAGATGGTTTTCGAAATCCACTGCCGTAAAACATTATAAAACATCTTAGCGAGTATATGGACTCACGTGATGCATCTACCAGCGCGGTCGTCAAGGTAGGCAGGGAGTTGTCATTATGGGTACAATTGGTCTAATCCCCTTGACTCTACATCATAAAGAACTACACCAGCAGTTGTGCCCTCCGCTGGCTGGGCGTTCACCCCACTAATTGCACGGCTACAAATTCTGAGATGATAACAAGATCAATGTTTGCCTCCTTGACCAACTCCTCCGGCCAATGACGGACAGATGAACAAATCAAGTCTTGCGGACTCCGCTACCCCAAAGCACCTGCGTCTCCGTGATCGGCATGCCAGCCGGCCGAGCATGCAGCGGACATCAAAAGGGATGCAGTCCCGCCATCTGGAGTTCTTCCGACTGGCTCGGAGTGACGAAGACTCGAGGGGCGTGCTCGGGGCGATCTCGTTCGGGAGAATTTCGTCGATCCTGACATTGAAAGCTAACGTGGTTGGAGGGGTAGAAGGTAGCGGCTTGTGTCAAGTACAATTCAATTGTGCTCTGCGAGTGAGAAAGCTGGAGGGTGAGGTATTCAGGTTTGGTCCCGTGAGAGTTGATTGATCAAGCACTTTAACATTGTATTAAATGCGATGCTTGAAATGAAGGATATCACCCGAGCTCAAGCGCCTATCACCGCTAGTGTTTGAGTGCTACTAGTTCTTGGTACAGGAAATTGTGTAAAATAGGTGTAACTAGTCATTTGCATGACATTATGAGGCTGATCTAGCTATTCAAGGGGATGGTCATCATCGCAACGCTTGGATTTCCGGGGGAAGTGAGAACGTTAAGTAAACCAGTACTTTTCCCATTTCATCACCAATCAGTCTCGGACTCATGAACATAGATGCAGATAAGCATCATCCATCTGCCGTCATCTGTTTCTCCACTTGGCATTCACATCAAGTCAGAAGAAAGAAAGAAAAATTCATACAGCCAGCCCAGTCGTAACGGTGACCACCCGACACCTTCTCATCAGAGGTAGTATAAAAGAACAAAAAGAAAAATTTCACTAAAGCCATTATACGTCCTGTCGTCCCGGCACGATAACTGCCCTCTCTGGGCTCGCAGACTCACTAACAGGACGTTTCTCCTCAGACTTGGACTTTGTGAAACTCCTTGCCATGGTGAAGAAACCCTGGCGTAAGCCGAGTGCGGAGCGTGCATGTCTGCGAGCCTTCATACCCTCGGTTTCCTCCGCCTGGAACCAGCCCATGGAGCGCTTGACGAGCTTCCAGAGCTCCATACCAGACACGAAGACGAAAACGCAGATGATGGCGGGGGCCCATTCCCAAGAGATCCCTTTGTGTTTGAAGACCGAGGTGTTTAAACCCGGGATATAGACGGCGGGGAAGACGCTGAGTGCACCAATAACGACGGACCAGAAGAGGAATTGGTTCTCCCAGATATCAGCGAAGAAGGGGAAGGCACGCGTATCGTGTGGATTAATCTTGAACATGCTGCGGCGCATAGCTTTGAATTCCCAGGCGGAAATGAGGATCAACCAGGTCAATTCGGCAAAGACAGCGGCTCGTGCACGGAACACCACATCGCAGCTTTCACTGTAGTGGTGGTTGCAGTCGACGCCAAGACCGTCTTGGCCAGGGCCGTAGACGATGAAAATGAAGGTCATCAGGCAGCAGGTTCCTTGGATAGTGCCGTAAACCAGCATGTCGGTGATCAACTCCCATGTGAAGACACCCTTTTTGTTGTCGTGAGGCGGACGCTCCATAACATCTGGTGCGGCCTTCTCGCGACCAAGACCAAATGCTGGGAAGGAGGATGTAAGCATATTGATCCACAGGATTTGAAGAGGCGATAGGGGGAAGACAGAAAATCCAGAGGCATCTTGGAAGCCTAGACCGCAGATCAGGAGGATGACTTCGCCGACATTGGACGTGAGAAGGTGGAGGACGAAGCGTTGAATATTGTCAAACATACGTCGACCTTCTTCAACTGCATTGACAATGCTGGCGAAGTTGTCGTCAGTCAAAACGATGTCAGAAGCGGATTTGGCGACGTCAGAACCATTGAGACCCATGGCGATACCGACATCAGCGAGCTTGAGGGATGGAGAATCGTTAACACCGTCGCCTGTCATCGCAGCATACTTATTGCGACGATGTAAAGCTTCAATCATACGGACCTTGGTTTCCGGAGCGCAACGTGCAACAACCAGCGGGAGAGTTGGCAGAGCATCGATCTCAGCATCTGTCATCTTGTCGAATTCAGTGGCCGTCTTAACAATGGCTGCTGCCACATCAGGAGCCAGGGTACCCATATTCTTGGGAATGATTCCGACCTCTTTGGCAATTGCGGCAGCTGTTGATGGATGATCACCTGTCAACATAGAGACGGTAATTCCTGCATTGGTACAAGCTTGTACGGCTCCCTTGGTCTCCAAGCGAGGTGGGTCGTAGAGCCCGGCAAGACCAAGCAGACAAAGATCCTTTTCAACTTCTCCTCGATCTATTTCTGAGTGCTCTGCAATATCCATAGAGGTGAATTTTCGTGCAATGGCAAGGACACGAAGACCTTGCTCAGCGAGAAAGTTCATCTGCTCGAGAATACTTTCCTTGTACTCTGGTGTGATCTCCTTCTCGTTGTCTCCGGTACCTGCCGTAGTGCAAAGGTCGATAATGCGCTCAACAGCTCCTTTGGTGAATACTATGGAACGTTCCTCCTCTGGGCTCTTGTAGACAACTGACATACGTTTGATGGAACTGTCGAATGGGAATTCCATCTTCTGGGACCAGCCCTTTTCCTCAAGGGCTTTCTTTCCATAATCGAACCGATGAGAGAAGACTTGGAGGGCAATCTCTGTAGGATCTCCAGAAGTCTTCCACTTTTCTTGTCCCTCCTCGGTGACTTTGCGAACCGTAGCAAGGTTACAGAGAGCAGCTGATTCGAGGAAGGCCTGTAGCTCTGGGGTGACCGTTGGGTTCTCCTTGACATCGGTTTCCACAGGAGCAGATTTTTCGTTGTCCTTTTGAAATTTGCCGTTGGGAACGTCGAATGCAACATTGGCCACACTTCGCTTTTGATCAAGGGCCTCTTCTCGAGCGAGTCTTGCAGCTTCGGCTTCCTTGCGCGACATGGGTGCTTTGCCAAATGTGATTGTACCTTCGGTGGGATCAGAAGCGTTGTTTGAGTTCTCTACGCTGTAGATACCAACTCCCGGGATCCACGCCTTGCGAGTGACCATTTTGCCTTGTGTCAATGTACCTGTCTTGTCAGAACAGATATTTGTCACACCTCCTAGAGCTTCGAGCGCACTGAGCTGTCGAACGACGACCTTGCGCTTCCGCATTTGAGTCATGCCGACGACCATGGTGATGGTAAGAACGGCGATCAAAGATTCGGGGATGATGGCGATGCCGGTAGAGATTGCGTAAATGGCGACTTCGTTGGTGACATTGAAACGGTTGACGCCGAACACAATGATGGCAAGGAGTAACGCACAACCAAACAAGGCATATGCGAGTTTGCTAAGCTTGATTTGCAGCGGGGTGCCGCCCGTCAGACCGAGGAATTTCAGAATGCCATCGTAGGTGCGTAGCGCACCTCCTTTGACGGGTTGCATAGGACCATGTTTCTTCCTTGACATTGATCGATTGGGCTTGCGGCGTTTCTTTTGCATCGACGCAGCGATTCCACCAATGGCTGTAGACATTCCGGTGTAGACGACAATGCCTCGACCACGGCCTTTGGTAACGGTTGAAGATGAATAGCAGATATTTAGACGATCGCCGAGGCCTGCGTCTTCTTTGGCTCCGTGTTTCGTCTCGAAGTCAATTTCTTTGGCGACAGGTAGGGCCTCACCGGTGAGGATGGCCTCATCACATTCCAAATTCATTACCTCAAAGAGACGAATATCGGCTGGTACAGTGTCACCCATTTTGATGGAAACAATGTCGCCAGGGACAACTTCACCAGAGGCAATCGTCATTTCGTTGCCATCGCGCACAACATTGGCGGATGGTGATGAGAGTGACCGGAGGGCATCCATTTTCTTCTCGGCTTGGAACTCCTGATAGAAACCAATGGAGACATTGAGGACGATGACGCCAGTAATGACGGCGCCCTCAATGAAATCTTCGACACCGTAAGCCAAGGCCATTGCCAAAACCAATACCTTTAACCCTGTTAGCAGAACGACATCCAGCAGAGAGGGAATCACTCACCAGTATCATGGCATTTGATATTTGCTTGCCGAGAATTGAGTACCACGAGACTCCTCCATCTCCCTGAAGACTGTTGGGACCATATTTCTGCTGTTTCTCCTGTACTTGGGCACTTTTCAAGCCCGAGTCAAGGTTCGTTTGAGCCTCATTTACTGTCTCGTCAACTGAGAGTAGAAAGGGCTGTTTGGTGTAGTTTTGATCGGCTCTTGTTTCCTTGCCCATTTTGGGTAGGGGTATCTGATGTGACTCAACCTATGTGTATGCGTTGGTTGGTGAAAGACAAGTGAGACTGTCAAGAGTAAATCGTATGAGGTTGTAGATTTACTTGATGGAAATCTACGAAAGAGGTAATGACCAAAGTAGCAAGTTGTTCTTGGTATGATTAAAAGATCCAGGTGGATCTATCATGGGTCGATGGTATTCATTATATAGACTGAAGGAACTCACATCGGTACTCACAGACTCTGTCACATCCACTACAACCAAGACTTCGGCTTGTCACATCCTGGTACACCAAGACATCTCAGGCGGCGATATCAGCTTTGAGTCTTGGCATGGGGCACCAGTACGTGCCACTTTGGGCTTCCGATATGATGGCATCCGTGGGCGGAACTCGGGTCTTCCAGACAATTGGTGCGTCCAAAGCTTGCCTAAGAATGGTCTACGATAGAGCTAGGGAGTGCGCCAGAGGCATGAATCCAAGAAATGCCAGGAAATCAAGGTTGCAATAGAGATACCTAGCAGTCTTGGGCATATCGGAGCCATGAGGAGGGGGTGGATTGAGAGTCTTTGGGTCGATGACCTGGAGGAAAGGGCGATGCGAAGTCTTTGCCCAGCCTTGGCATGCTCCTGCCAAGGGTTCCGCGCTTTGACGCCAAGGAAAGAACCAATTTTTTGCAGCGTGGTTGGTCTTTCCTTCCTGTGTCTTTTAGCCGAAGCGTCCACCTTCCGTCCATTTTGCCACTTCTCCATCCTCCGTTGACGGAAACTCGTCATCTCCTGCGACGGAGTACAGCTCAATCTTCTCGAAGAATCTACCACTTATCGGACAATGATGCGATGAACTCCGTGGAGACTTGGCGCAGGCCAAAAGTGGCACGTGGCGACTCAGCCTGACACCTGATCTTGAAGCCTTGAAGTCTGCCATACCTTTTTGCCCGACTCAGCCTCTGCGATCGTCGTTTACCGTCCAACCAAGCTCCTTCAAGCCTTTCTATGTGATCACAGCTTCAATGTACTTTCAGCGGCCCTTGCAAATCACCTTGCGTGCAGGCAAAACCTCCATACTACCGGTCCTACTTTCTCCACGGATAGCAACTCAAGCACCGCACAGACTGCGTAGCATATCTTCACAGCAAGGCAGATCTCACGCCACCTCTTCACATGCCACGTCCTCACCGGCATCGTCTTCCGTCTCCTCGGCCGAAGTCAACCACTTTTCTCAGCTCGCTTCAACATGGTGGGATCCTCATGGACCATCAAGACTTCTACACCTCATGAACCCACTCCGACATGACTTTATCAAAGCATGCCTACGTTCCTCCGAGACTCATCCGCCGCCAACTCTCTCATATCTTGATATAGGCTGTGGTGGTGGAATATTCGCATCTTCTGCTGCACGTCTTCCAAACACCTCGAAGGTCACAGCAATCGATCCCACCGAACTAGTTATCGAGGTTGCCAAATCCCAACAACGTTCCGATCCTGGAATTTCACAACCGAAGTTGAACTATCTCAATTGTGCTATTGAAGATGTACCCGTTCCACAATCCGAATCTGAGAAAGTCGATGTTATCTCTGTGTTTGAAGTCCTAGAGCATATTGATGATCCCACTGCGTTCCTTGACCTGGCGGCACCTCACTTGAAGAAGGGCGGTTGGATTGTAGGGTCGACTATCTCACGGTCTCCATTGGCATACTTGACCACAAAACTTATTGCAGAAGCTCCCTTGATTGGCGTTGTACCTGCCGGTACTCACGACTGGAATAAATACATCAATCCCTCGGAACTACAAAGATATTTCACTTTGAAAGAGCCAGGCACCTGGGGCAGCTTCAAAACTCAAGGAGTGATATATGTCCCAGCTTTAGGATGGAAACTTGTCAAGAACAGTGAAACTTATGGAAATTACTTCTTCGGTATCCAGAAGCTATGAGATGACCTTCATATGACTGGAAAACAAAACTACTGATCCAGGAGTATACAACCTCCCCGAGGCACAATTAAGAAATCACCTATCCATCTAGAATCGATGGACTCATGGATATGACTGGAATTTTGCTCCAAGAGCGACCACCAAACGAGCTGCGTCTGGAATAAGACGGAGTGAATGTGCGCGTTTCAGAAGAGTACCATCATCCGGCAACGCCGAGGTTTGCACGGTGTAGGTCGTTCGACCGACTCATCTCGTTATGCTGACGAAATATACCTAATATTGGTCATTGTGGCCCTCGAAAGGTCTACTCTATGCCAGCTGTAAAAATTCACTGTCACGCAGCGACAAGCAACCCTCCCTCGACAGTACTGTATCAACAGGATTCAATGAGTTGTAGAATAACAGTATGTAAAATTATTGATATAATATAGATACCTGACACATCTGGTGTCCATTTAGTGAGGCTGGAAGTTTTTTAAGTTCCTCTGAAGTCGTATAAAATCACTTTAATTGTACTATTTGCTCTTTTGCCCTCGTGAACTCCCAATTCAACTTACAGTGCGTCTTAGCAACCTAACCTACTTCACACGTACTCGCTACGGTATCCACCCACAAATGGCTTCCAGCAACATTGATGGGGTCAATAATGGGCAAGACTCCGCAGGGAGTTTTGTTCGCCCTGCATTAGGATCGCCGGAGAACTGCCGCAACGGCATGGGTGAGCTGGGTGCCTTAATGAGTAATTCAACCCACAAATTCGAAATGCTGGCTTACAATCCTCCTCGAATTATCTCCCGAGTATTCAAGTACCTAGGTAGGTACCTATGCAATAACGCCCAGAAGAACCAATCGCACCCTTCTGAAAATCCCATCTTTGAAAGAAGACCACTTTCTCCTCTTCTTCACCATAGAAGCCCATTTACGCGGCAGTGGCAAACTAACAACAGGAGCGAACATGTGGCTGGTTCTTCTGATCATCTTTATCACCGTCACCCAGCTGAGCGTGTATCTCTGGCTTGCGAATCGGGCCATCAGCGTCGCGCCGGTTGAAGCTACACGGTTGGCTCAAAAGCCATGGACGGACGAGCAGCTTCAAGCCGTGTACCGCAAGTACCAGACCTCTCCGACAGATGTTACGCCATACTTGTTTGGAAAGAAGGATCGTCGATATGTCGTCGTCGGCGGGTCTGGTAAGTCAGCTATTCAACGACAAGCCACTCTAGTTAGATTCATGCTTTTGTTCGGTGGTTACCTTACTTTTTGTCCTCTCGGCTGACGCATATCTTTTCCCCATCTACAGGACTCGTGGGAGGCTGGATCGTGCAACACCTATTGATGCGAGGCGAGAGCGCCCAAGCGATCAGGATCGTCGACCTCAGCCCCCCGACGAGGAAAGAAGTCACGGAGAACAAGGACATCGGGTTCATCGTCACCGACATCACAGATGCAGACGCCGTCGCAAAAGCCTTTGAAGCACCATGGCCGCAACCCGTGAAGTCGCTACCATTGACGGTATTTCACTGCGCGGCGTTCATCAGCCCTCGCGACCGCCACCCGATTTTCCTGCCCAAGTATCAGAAAATCAATGTCCAGGGGACCGAGAACGTACTGAAGGCAGCCCAGAAAGCGGGCGCAACGTGCTTCATCTCGACGTCCTCGGCGTCCGTCGGGCTCAAAACCCCCAACTACTTCGGCCTACCGGGGCAGAACCCCGTCGCGACCGGGACATGGCAACTAAGTCCCAACGCGGAGCCCTCACCGCAAGCCCTCGCCGCCAAAACCTACACCGCCAGCGGCTACGGATCATGCTACGCCTGGACGAAACTGCAAGCAGAGCGAATCGTGCGCGCGGCACACGACCCAAGCACGGGATTCCTGACAGGGGCGATCCGACCGGGCCACGCGATCTACGGCCACGGGGTGCAGAACCCGTCGAGCGTGACGTGGGACTACCTGCGACGCGGGGGGTCGCCGACATGGCTGAGCCACTGCGTGGCGAACTTCGTGAGCGCGCAGAACGTGTCGATCGGACACCTGGCGTACGAGAACACGCTGCTCACACACCCGGAGCGCGGCGGCCAGGGCTTCTGCGTCACCGACCCCAACCCGCCCATCCGCTACCAGGACCTGTACAATGCGCTGACGCTGCTCGCGCACCCGTCCACCCCGGTCGCCTTCCCCTACGTCCCGCACATGCCGCTGCTCCTGCTGTCGTATCTCGTTGAGGCGTACAACGTGCTGCAGACGCGGTTCCTGTCCGGCGTGTTGCCCGCGCTGGGCAACGGGGATTTTTCCTTCGTCCAGCCCGCCGTCTCAAGTCTGTGTGTCATGCATATCGTGTATACCGACACCAAGGCCCAGGAACATATCGGGTATCGTGCGCCGATCTCGACGCTCGAGGGCTTCATGCTTGCGCTGCTGGATTGGAATCAGAGGGCTGAGGAGAAGGGACAGTTGAGGGCTCAGGGTGCCAAGTAGGAATGTACGTAGCAAATTGGTCTCTTCGGTGGGGATTTACCATGATGGCCAGACCTGTCGTCCTGGGGGGACTTGCCTGGGTGGGATTCAGTCACATAGAAGACTCCGCTGTGCACATTTTTGCTAGGGAAAAGAAATATGGGTATCATTGTCATAGGTATATATCAGCTGGCTGATTTCCTCTAGCTTCTGGGGAAGGTGTTTTGCGTGTTGCATCTGCAGCTCGAACTGTTCCCCTTCTTAGCCCCAGCTACCCCAGAGCATGTGCACTATACGTGTCGTGGCATCTAGGCATTCATTCACTTCCTCCCTGCCTTTCGCAAAATCCGTCCACCAATCACTTCCTCGCCTTCTTCTTTCCTTTACGCTTCTTGCTCGACTTACTTTTGTCGCCTGGTTGTTGTTCGACAGTCTCGTCGACCTCTCCATCGCCGTCACTGTCCTCCGTCTCCACTGCAGGAGCATTGGGTGCGGATGGCACGAGCAGTCCTTCACCTAGCAACTTAGCTCTGCACTCTTCGAGAATCTTCCTGGCTTTTTCATCGTCCCATTCATTGCTCAATGAATTAGAGCCGAGAAGTTCGCGATAGAGGTCAGCGACGGGCGCGACGTTTGGAGAAGGTAATGCAGAGGTGATGGAAGGCGTCCCACCGCTTGCAATCATAGCTTTGCCGGCCTGGGCTTGCATTCCCTTTTTGCCTCTTCGTAAAGGGAGCTTTTTCTTCGCGGCTGGCCCAGCTTCAATGACAGCACCATCCAGATCCTCCTGTTCGAGTTCTCCGTTGTCCACCATTTCCTGTAGTTTCCTCTGTGCGGATATCTGCATCATGGCGTCACGGTGTTCGTCTCTGAGACCCTCCATCAGGAGGTCTTTCGTAGCATTATCTTCTTCGAGCTGTTGGATTTTCCGATTAAGCTGCTCAATCTGCGTTTCTTCAAGAAATTTGACTCGTTCCATCAGACTCGTGGTCAAGGTCTTTTCTTCCTGATATTTGGCATTGAATGATCTTGTCATCTCTTCGAACTTGGAGCTACGTTTGGCCAGTCGCTCCCTCTCCTTTTCTAATTCTGGAAGGCGTCCTTTGGCAACCATGTCATGCTCCTGTTCAAGGATTTGCAGTTTTTGTGTGGCAGCGCGGCCTTGTGTGATGGCTTCTTCGGCTTTCTTGCTCGCTTCGGTTGCTTTATCCACTGCACGTTCCACCACTTCTTCAAAATAAGCCCGTTGACTCTCCAATTGACTTGTCAAAAGATGGGTATACTCCAAGGCCATATTGTCCATTTTTGTAACATCCAGATCCTCCAGACCTTGAAGAGCAGTGGGTTCCCGAGCTCTTCCTGGCAGCTCGACCAATTTCTCACCTGAACTCCCTGCATTCTGGATGATGCGGTGCACATAGCCATCACCAACATAATCCCAAACTCGTTTGGAATCCAGATCAATACTAAATGCATGACCAGTTTCTTCAAAATGAGTATAAGCATGTTTCCCTTCATATCTCCCACAGCCCACTTTGGCACATACGAGACATTGCCAGAGACTTGTTTCGACGTGACAGACTTCACAATCTCGTGGGCCATCATATACATCATATTCTCCTTGTACTTTGCTCTTGAGTTTGTAAGATCCAAGTCGGGAGGAAAAGTCATCGTGAGTATAGCGGCACACGGGACATCCACCACCGGACCACTTTTCTAAGCAGGAGCAGTGGAAGACATGTTGACATGGTATTGTCAGAAGACCCGTAGTCTCATCCATTCGCTCCAGACAAACAGGACAAGTAGGTAATTCGATCAAGGAAGGAGTTCGAGGTGCGAGAGGTTTTAATGAGGTGCTGGCGGGAATAAATGGGTCGTTGGACATACGGGGATAACTTGTTGTAGGCGAACTGAGACCACTGTTCTGTTCCATTGAAGAGGTATGGATGAGCTCAACAGATTTGAGGAAAACAACATGACAGGTTTCTGGCTAGAGAGATGTTAGTTTAGATCAGGTCATGGTCTCCAGACAGTTGACTTTACCTCCATTGTGTTGAACACTTTGCCATTCCATTCATTTTGCCATTGTCTTGCTGTTTTACCATGGTTGAACTTCATCAAGACCATGTAACGGTTTGCTCTGGATGTCCGCACCATTCGGAAATGGCTGACTTGGGATCTTGTCTCTTCTCCCACAAAGGAAAGAAAATCAGAGGGTGTCATGTAGGAGGGTACAGCGAGGATACAGAGGGTTGTACACTCTTCATCTTTTGGTGGCGGATGTGCCTTGCCCGAGGAGTGATTGCGCAGTCCATCACTCCAGAGATCACTGGACCGATATGCAGAATCTTTGTATGGGTAAAGACCCGACGTCTCTTCGGAATCTCTGTAAAGATGAACAATGCCCCAGCCTTCAACCCCGCCATTATCTTCCAAAGGTTCATATCGGCCTTTCATGTGACGACCGGAAATCGATGTACCAATGCCTTTCTCGATGATGTTGTCATTCTGACCAGAATGTTCTCCACCTGCTGATTGCGACGCCATATCTGCGCTCTCCAGGACAATTGTATCCAAGCGAGGGTCCTTGGAGTCGGAGTGTGAAATGTCCAACTTGGATTCGAGATCATGGAGGGTAGGTTGCGAGCGTTGTATGGTAAGAGGTAATGATTTTCTCTGGTCCGACAGATTGACTCGCGACTGTCTTCCAGCCGGTGATCGTGTGAAAGGCTTCAAGGTTTTAAAGAATTGTGATAGATTCGGTGGATGTGATTCTGGGTGTTGAGTACTGGTCTGGTGATCTGTAAAGAGTTCAAGAGCAACATGAAAGAAATAGTTGGGCATTCTGATCAGGCATGCTCCAGTGAGGGATCAAGGGGCATGTATGCAAAGAAGAGGTAGGCATTGATCAAATGAGATTGAGATGGAAGAGATGCAAAATACGAAGGCGGCGGTTAACATGTGGCCATGGGAGTCATTATGGAGGTGGCGACTGGCAGAGGTTACGCGGGGACAGTGTCATGCTTTTCAGGTTCTCGAAACATCGGTGCAATTGCATTGGTAGTAACACTACGAGAAACATTGAATACGGAAGAGAAAGCTGAATTGAGAGGTCAAATGGTAATTGTGATTGTCCCCTCTCTATTGCTTGGCATTTTGGCCACAGCAATATGAAGATGGTTGTTCATTGCTAATCAATGCGTGTCATTGTATGTCATGATTCAGAAAACAAATCCTCCAAGAACGCCTCGAGTTATGAAATCAGTGAAGCCGCTCATTGCTTACTGACCACCTCGAAGTCTCAGAACCAAATGCAAGGTGCTCTCCTTCTGGATGTTGTAATCAGAAAGAGTTCGACCGTCTTCCAACTGTTTGCCTGCAAAGATCAATCGCTGCTGGTCGGGTGGAATACCCTCCTTGTCTTGGATCTTTGATTTGACGTTGTCAATTGTGTCGGAAGATTCCACCTCTAAAGTAATCGTCTTGCCAGTCAAGGTCTTGACAAAGATTTGCATACCACCTCGCAATCTGAGAACAAGATGGAGGGTGGATTCCTTCTGAATATTGTAGTCGGAGAGGGTTCTGCCATCTTCCAATTGTTTACCGGCGAAGATCAATCGTTGCTGGTCCGGGGGAATACCTTCCTTGTCTTGAATCTTTGACTTGACATTGTCAATTGTGTCTGACGACTCAACTTCTAATGTAATGGTTTTGCCAGTGAGAGTCTTGACGAAGATTTGCATACCACCACGGAGACGGAGGACAAGATGGAGAGTAGATTCCTTTTGGATATTGTAGTCGCTCAAGGTGCGTCCATCCTCAAGTTGCTTTCCAGCGAAGATGAGACGTTGTTGATCAGGAGGGATTCCTTCCTTGTCTTGAATTTTGGACTTGACATTGTCGATGGTATCAGATGACTCGACTTCAAGGGTGATGGTCTTTCCGGTGAGAGTCTTGACAAAGATTTGCATACCGCCACGAAGACGGAGGACCAAGTGAAGAGTAGACTCCTTTTGGATGTTGTAGTCACTCAAGGTGCGGCCGTCTTCAAGTTGCTTTCCGGCAAAGATCAGGCGCTGTTGATCAGGAGGAATTCCTTCCTTGTCCTGGATCTTGGACTTGACATTGTCAATGGTATCGCTGGATTCGACCTCGAGGGTGATGGTCTTTCCGGTGACTGCAGGAGAAAGTCAGTATTGAGGATGAAGAAGTGGATGATTGCGGGGTTCACATACGGGTCTTGACGAAGATCTGCATGATTGCGGATTGATTGTATGAGTAGTCTGAGATGAATGTGTGATGAGATGTTGGAGGAGAAGAGAGATTACAAGTCTCAAAAAGAAGGTTGAAGTGGATGAGGTAAAAGAAGAAGAGAAGATGGATGGATTGAGAGAAGAAGAGAGACTTAAGTAGCAAGGTGGCGGATGGAAGGCACTGGCAACTGGCACTCTGAGGCAGCGGCGATTAGGCAGTCACGGGGTGGCCACTAGTCGCTACTCACAGTCACAGACTCACAGCCACTGCACTTCCCGGAGTGACTGCGGCCACTTCCAATCGTGGTGGGGCTTCTTCTAAGAACTGGAACCTTCCGACACCCCGGTGAGTGGGTTGCTCTTGCTCTTGCACCATTTGGCCAGCCATTGTATCAGTTCAATGCCCGTACTATTGATTTCATATTTCATCAATGCAGGTGATGAGTCAGTTCAACTGTCCTCATTATTGCTCCTCTATCACACTAGGTGACGGCCAGTGATATTAGGTAATACGACCCTGGTGTCGGCATCTTTGTCACTCCCCGACACGCGGATGCCTGTTGGTCAAACAGATTACCCTACCCTGTATGCCCTGCCCCCACGGGCTGTCAACTCCCGTTCCCATTCCAATTCATTTACCAGAACTCGAAGCTGGCAAATATATTGTCTCCAAATCATGCCATCGCTTATGGATGAAATACTGAATTGACCTGTCTCATGCTTCCATGTTTGATCAAGATGATTCAGCAAGCAGATATGGTGTGCTTATTCAACGCCCACATTATCGCTGCCAGCGCTTATCAGTTCCTCGGAACTCCCCCCGCAAATCAGCCTGATGACGTCGTACGCCGAGAATTGTTGGCCACCCCCAGCCTGTCTGCTTGATGCCTCGGGCGCCACCTTAGTCAAAAATCCAGCCTCCTCACGTGCCTGACAAACTTCACCTCTGGTCAATTTCTTTTTCCTTTGGTGGCCAAAAAACAACATTCCCAGTGCTGAGAAGGACAATTCTATCGCAGCCTCGTTAAACCTATACCGTGAAACTTATCTGCGCGATTTCCTGTGCCTAGCACTAGGCAATTTTATCATGCTACTCTTCAGTAAAAAGAATGCAATATTCCGCTGCGCTATGTAATGGAGTCATCTCCCACTGATTTTGCTGGCTGGGATGGGCATTCCGATCCAGCAGCGGCCAGATGCTTTCTCCGCCGTCATGGCCGAGCATGAACGTGACTTCGTGTAGCGGCCTGCTGCCATGGTTGTCGCCGATTTCTAGAAGCTCTGGATCCTCATCCAAAAAGAGTTGGAGCAGGTGCATTTCTCCTGCATAGGCCGCAACGTGCAAGGCTGTTCTACCCAAGACATCCTTGATGCCAGCATTGGCGCCCATCTCCAGCAACAAGCGTACCGTTCCTTCCCGCCCGTGACTTTGGAAAGAACATTCCACCAAACATAAGGCGATTGCCCCTGATAACAGATTTCTCACTCTCGAATCTTCCTCCGCTTGTCACCCCATTGCAATCGACTATTAGTAGGTTTGCTACCCTTGCCTCTTAGTCTTTTTCGGTCTTGCACACATTCGGTACTGTCACTCACCTCAAACGGTGTAGTACAGTACAGCAGCTTTTCTTCTTGTTGGACAGCCATCCTCTAGCTACCTGTACTTTCTCTTGGTGCTTCCAGCCTGAGAACAAAAGTCAGCATTCGTCTTGAACGAAACATCTTCAGCGGCTACACAAGACCGTTCATGCAATCTGGATCCGGCTACGACTGAAGCCGAAGCATGCCCGCCAGGTCTTTGTTCTTCCCACACCTCTCGAGGCTCCCAGTATCAAAAGACCAGGGAATACTTTCTTACCAGAATTCATCTTCGACCCTCTTGTTTGGTTAAGACAACAAATCTTGCAAAAGGAATCCTCCTGAACTGACCCACATTTCTTTTTGTATGAGCAAACTTGTTCAGACCCTGCCGAGGCGCATCGATGGTAAGTCCTTGCTGTTTGTGCCCAGTGGCCACACTGAGAATGATATATGTCTTCAACATAACACATGGTTGAACTGATGTTTGTATGGAAGTCCTATGATTCATACTATCAGGTATCGCCCGCTTCAATTTTCAGAATAGGATGCATCTTGATAATATAGTCCAATTTGCAGATACCAGACGCTTGCTCACTGCTTTACAGGGCCATAATGCAAAGCTATGCTTTTTGTTTTCTTTGACGCACCTTAAAGGAACCCTTTGTTGGTCCACCGAACCGCATGGTCAGCCTTTGGATTTCGGCATTCAGACTCTGTGCTTGGATGTGTTGTCGATAAGCCAGAGTGCATAGGTTGAATATCCTGACACTGTCGGCTGCAGCGTTGCTAAATTCCATGATTCTGGGCTATCACGCAATGCAATCCGGAGAATTTCAATTTCAATCAGGTTGAGTTTTCTTTGAACCACGCTGAAATATTGGTGCCATGGCTATATGGAGAATGTAAGGATCTCTCAGTATATCTAGACCCAAAAATCTGGTCTGCTGGTGGGATCATTGTGAGGAAGCTTTATTACTTTTTTCTTTAGCTACAAACAACAGTCCTCAGGAACGGATAATGCTAATACAAACATGTGTATCAGTATCATTAAGCTTGATTGACAACTCTGCTTGCAAAAATGGAAATGCATCTCTCAATCTCGTCATCCTGGGCATAAAAGACTGCTTCATTGTTGGTGCATCCTGGTAAAAACGTCCCCAGTCAATTCAGCCAGCGGCGTATGTTGTACAAACTTCTGTTTGTGTCAAAATCATGAAGCGAGTGTTTTCAATGCAAGGAAGGAAGTCTTTGAAGGGAGCTTTATCGAGATACAGTGCCACAGTGGCGGTCTTCGAAGTTATCTTGGGGTATCATTCGACGTGCTTGGACCGCATACCATGAATCCAACAACCAGGAGTCTGGCATTCCTCAACCCCTCGAAGGTTGCTAGGCAGTACAGCATTTTGTTTACTCTCCTGGTGAGAGATACATCTTCCTTCCGTCTCCATCAACAATGCAAATCGGTATACTCCAGGAAACCCCTCAAATCCAACCCAATTCAATCACTCTAATTGGTGGCTATGTCTTTGGCAAGCTCTCCCGATCCCGCGTTTCGACCAGAAGATCAAGCCTTGAAGATGTTATTTCCAAATATTGCAGATACTGCCAGCTCGTTCGATGAATTTTTCAATGAAGAGATGTACAAACTTGACGCAAGATCTGAAGATAGTTCCGAGCAAATATCTGAGCTTGAACCCCTGTTCAAGCATGAGACAGCCATCGAGGATGATTTTGGACTTCCTCCTTTCAACGACTCACCTGAACTGGATCACTCCGCTGTTCAACCCTGGCGGGAGGGAGTGTGGTGTTTGAAGCAAACCAAACAACAGCATGCACCATTGATCATAGAAAAGACCCGAAGAACAGAAATCAAGATTCCAGATCAAATCCAAACAATGAATTTCTCCAGCCACCATTGCCGAGACTCACTCTCACCAATAGAGAGCCCTCAGGTATCTCAAACAAAGAGATTCACAACGAGTCCAATTTCAACCTCATTCAGACCCAATCTTACACGACCACCTTTTTCACGCGAGGTTACTCTATCGCCGACACCCATGTATGCGCAACTTCCCATGTCTCCTAAATATGGTCACGAGGATATCAGTACATGGCAGCAAGATTTTCAAAATTTCCATCTGCGGCAGGTTCACGATCAAGTCCAAGAATTTTCACTTGGTTCACCATCTAGGGGCACTCAGCATAGTGCATTGGTGCGAAACATAAACAACACAATTACATCCCAGAACGGTTCTCTTGAGATGTCAAGCCCAACTATTGAGCAGGCATCTACGGCGCATCGATATTATCAAAATGCGATTGATCCTGTGCTTCTGGACCCTGTTCAATCAATTCAGGGAGAATATAAAAATCTCCACAGTCTTCGATCGCTTGCATCACAGTCTCCATCAGTAGTTGAACGCAATATTTCCTTACATTCCCCTCCTAGTGACAGTCTAGCATCATCAGGCAGTTCAAACCATTCAAGAGGCACGACTACCCAGACGGTGAATACGAGCATGAGCATTCATTCACAAGCATTCTTGTCTCCAACTACTATGGCCTCACACCCTCCATTACCCACTCTAGCACCAGAAGAAGTATATCCCGTTCTCGCGGCACCAAAACCACAGAGACTGACGCATCGGCTGCTGCACAATCAACGGCTCCATCAGCCAAATGAGCCATCCTTGACCAATACACTCCTCGACAGATATCCCAATTTTGACCCGCAGGAGCAGCAGATGATGCAACCAGGTCTGTGTAGCACGCAGACATACGAGCAACTCCTATCCCCTAGAGTCAACACAACCCTACAATACGCAACAGTCCCTCCAATCCCACCACTACCATCACAAGCGCATGCATCTCTCCCAATCTCATCCTACCCATCCCTCCCCTCTCTTGCCCCCGCCTCATCCTACATCTTTCCCGATAGCTCACCCTTCACGCCACGCAAGCAGCGACGCTCACCAGCCCGGTCCCCCTCTCCAACATACTCACCCACTGGGCAAATCACCGTAAGCCCACGACGCAACCCGCACCGCTCTCCAACGCGCAACTTAACCGACTATACACACGCCCACAGCCGTCGGAAATCCATCCACAAGTACGGGCCCATCAAAGGCACCACATGCAGCACCGCTACAAACGGCCTCTACGTACAGGACGCCCCACCACTCCCAACCTCATCATCGCACTCACAGTCTCAACGACAACGCGCCCGCTCACAGTCGCGCCCACCACGCACGCCGAAAACGCCGCGGACACCGAAGACATCTTCTTTCGGCGGTGGTGGGGGTGGAGGCGGAGTCGGCGGCCTCATGGTCGATTTCGTCAACTTCACGCCCAAGGACTCGGCGAAGCTGCTGAGCGATGTGGCGCCCAGTGGGAGTTCCAAAACCCGCGCGCGGAGAGAGATGGAGGCGCGGGAGAAGCGCAAGAAGTTGAGTGAGGCGGCGCTCAAGGCGGTCAAGGTTGCGGGTGGAGATGTTTCGGTCTTTGAGAAGGCTATCGTCATGGCTTGATGGTGGAGGTAGGATGCTGATTCGGGTTAGAGAGGAGCAGAGGTGGTCTTGCCATGTTGATTTTCAGCTTTTATGCGCTGGTTTGTGGTAAACATGTGAGGCTGCGTTTACCTAGTATGATGTGGAGATGACACTGCATCGTGTGGCTTTGTAATAATATGTAATATCACTACTTAACTCTGAGGCGGTCGAGGAGAGGGAAATCGCATGTTTGATCCCTTCCGATGTCTAAGACATCATGTCTTTCGTGCTTCCTTCTGTCGCTGCGAAAGCTGCATCCGAACGACCAGTCCCTTCATGTCTCTTTCTTTTAGTTCATTTACAAGCTTTTACAACTCGTTTTCGACCCAAAACATTCCAAAGCGCTTAAGAATGCCGTACATATGCCCTTTGCCCAGACCAGGTTTATCCACCTCCATTCATCGACTACGAATACCTAGTATAAGTGGATCATGATATGGCAAGAAAAGAAAAGGGGGCCTGGCTATTCGAGCCTGTAGATGGAAACCGGATAACCGAACAAAAGGCGCCCTCGAGACCCGGAAAATCTAGTATCAAGCAAGCTCGACAGCAGCGGCTCTCGAATTCGAAGCCAACTCAGCGGGTCTAGATTTCGCATCCAGCTCATTCGGGCCCTTGTCCGAGTACTCGGAGTCCACTTCATACCGGTGCTGGGTGCTACCATCGGGCATGCCAGCCAGCTCCGACGTCATAGGGCTGCCATCACCCTTGCGGCCCCAGACGGCTGGACTGGCATAGCCAGGCGGACTCGGCGGCAGTTCCTGTGGTTGAAGGAGCCGTGAGTGCTGCGACTGTTGGTGACGCTTCCGGAGCGCGAAGTACCAGAGCGCGAACGCGCCGCCGCCAAGTCCCACGACCGCGGCCGTGGCGATGCCGCATATGGCTTTGGTGGATAGGCCGCTCTTGGACTCTGGATTGGTGGTGTCAGAGGTGTCTGTCTCGGTTCCGCCATTGCCGCTGGATGTGCCGGTTCCGTTTGCTGCGCCTGAGTCGGAATTCGAGCTGTTAGACGACGTTAGTGCTTTCAGGGTCCCCGTCCAGGTGGATTCCCAGTCTGGAGGGTTCGATGCTGATTTGATGGCTGTGTCTGTGGTTGTGATTTTCTTCACGTTTTGAGCAGAGTGGTCGGGGCCAGGTGCCTGGGCTAGAAACATCATGTTGGTGTGGGAATTCTGGCTGAGGAATGCGGCCTGGAGGAAGGCTCGGCCGAGGTGGTAGGGAACGGTTTCAGTGCTGGTCCATGGACTACATGGGAAATACGGTGTTGGTTTTGATTGAAGTGGTGATTCAAGGGTGAGGTTCAGGAGCGCGAAGGGAACATTGATGTTTGAGGTGTCTGTCCCGTCTGCGCCTGAGGAGAAGGAAAATACCAGGTAATGTGGTGAAGAAATGATTTCCGGGTATTCTGGTGCCTTGGTGTCCCAGAGGTATAAGTTGAGCTCTTCGCTATATGTCACAGGGAGGTGAGATGCAATTGCATCACAGGTTTCCTTTGGTAAGTATAGGTACGGCACGCCAGGCTCGGGTTGGATCTCGAGTCCGATCGCTTGGTCCCCACTTGTTTGCAACAATCCAGATATTGTGCTCTTGTCAGTGTTTACGAATGCAGATATACCTCTTGTGACGTTGAGAGAGATGTCGAAGAGCTTGAACGTCGTGCTGTCGGAGGTGATCGGCTCTGTGAGACAACGCGAGCTGTCGTAACCACCAAGGATAAGACTTCCCCCTATATTTGCTGCCACAGATCCAACATGTAGGCCGAAGGACTTGGACGGGATATACAAGCTAATGTAGGCTGAATTAAGGGTCAGGTTGGCTTCGAATTGCGATCCGTTAACACCAGTCCAGGAGGCTAATTCTTTGGCTCCGTAAAGAGAAAGCTAAATAATCATTAGCATTGAGGCATAGTTGGAAGCATGAGTATGGGTAAGATACCAATCCAACATTGAGAGTGTATGCCGCTCCACCAGGATACATGGCCCTCATACTATCCGAAACGAACAAGCCATGGCGATCCAGGTAGGCAAGTGAACCGGTATTGCCATTGCTATACAGAGTCATTCGACTAAATGCGTAATAGCCTGTACCGTCCAGACCAAGTAGAGATGAGACTCTATCATCCCACTTTGTAGGATCGAGTGGCTCACTCTGCTTTTGCGAGCCATTGTTTGATTTCCAAGAGTCGGATGGTGTCCATTCTGCTTGTATAGGTAAGGCACAGTCTGCGTTCAACGCACTGCATGCGCCACTCGACATGATGATGCTGGTTTCGGAAAGACTGGGAAAGACGCTCAATTTCTGGTCGGGGAAATCTACAGCCTGGGTAATGAACCACCAGGGGCCTTCAATTGTCAGTTGGCATTTTGTTCAAATCTTTCCAGGATGTTCCCCTTTGAATCGAGAACGGCTTACCATCGGGACCGATAGATGTAGTCGTGTTGAATGCGATCTGCCACGGGCTTGCATTCGGATCTTGAGCAGCAGCAGTAAAGGCGAGCAATATAAATGACAGGATGAGGTTGCTTGGAGCCATCCTCTGAATCAAGTTGATCACTGTGCAGGGAAAAGCAGTGATAAACGGTAGAAGACAGTAAAGAAACGAGCGCAGAAGAAAGGGAACGAATCGAGATTGGGAAGGAAGGAGAGAAGAAAGGCAGATGTCCTACCTTCACTACTACTAACCATGCAGTACGGCACACAGGGGCACTCGGTTCAGACATCCTGACGAGTTGGATACTGACATTAGCCAGACCCGTATTCTCAAGCCAGAGATAAAAGATTGCTGGGAGTAGAGGTCTATAGTTGACCACAAGTTGTAGTGTAATGTCGCACATGATGGGTGATGAAGAACCTGGAGGAAAGTTCAAACAGTTAAGTAGCCGCTAGACTAACAAGGCTGTTAACTAGTGCGGCTGAAGTTGGGATATTTCCTATTCGCGAGAAAGATGTCAAGCCTCTTTCGATCTCTTGCTAGCGAAACTCGTTTGGAATTGAAGGGTGGCCCCATTGCTTGGACCCTAAGAGATACTCCCTTGCGAAATTGCTACATAGGTAAGCATCATGACTCGGATCGTGGCCATTTGCAAAGTTCTGAATCCATTTCAGGTAAAGTCTTTCTTTTCGTCTGTTCATGTTATCATTAAATCACACCTGCTACACCCTGCATCAGGCGTTGAGGAATTCGCAAACCGTTCCCGCTTTAAGCCGTCGAGTTTGCAACGCCGGAATAGTGATTAATCCAATTAAAGATCTCAGTGTGCCAAACAAGGCTGTTCTCGCGATTGAGGACCCTGTAGAATGTTAGCGAAATGCTATCCTGTCCACCAGACCCAATAACTCACCAATGATTCTCATCTGGAAAGTTCAAGAACCTGCTCGGGACGCCAAGCTCTTGAAGGACATTGAAGAGGAATATGCCTTCTGAAACAGGGAGGCGGAAGTCCAGATCATTGTGGATAACAAAATGAGGAGTTGCCCAGTTCTGAATGAAGTTGATGGGGTTCCATCTCTCAAAGTTATCTCGATTGTCCCAAAGAGTGCCGTTCATATCGTGTTGAGTGAACCAGAGTTCTTCGGTAGCGTATTGACCAACCATATTCGTGACTCCATCATGAGTTACCAAGGCTTTGAATTTCCTGCCTAGGTCATGACCTTGGATCCAATTGGTCATATAACCACCATAGGAAGCACCAGCCTCAATGCCGTTATCCGTGTCGATATATGGAATGTTCGCATCAACATATTCCCAGACTGCAACTAAATCCTCATACGGGTAACCACCCCACTGGTTTTGAATAGCATCCTGAAAGACCTGACCAAAACTGTTGGATCCAACCGGATTGGGAGCGACCACCACATAGCCTTGGTCGGCCCAAACTCTGAAATTCCACCGCGTGCTCCAAGTGTTCAGATGAGCAACTTGGGGACCACCGTGGACGATATACGCAAGGGGATATGTTTTGTTAGGATCGAAATTCGTTGGTGTTACGACAAATGCCTGGACCTCAGCGATACTCCCTTGCACGAAAATCTCGGACACGTCCTGAGGACCTAGACCGGCAAGTTCACCATCGATCTCATTGGCACGTAGAAGATCTGCAACAAGAGTTCCGTTCGATGAGATGATATAAACATCACGAGAAGACCAGATCTTGGCATCGGAAATTAGAATGTTGCCATCAGGTAGAACGTTCAGGGCTGACAAAGCCCCTTGGTCGGTGATATTGGTGGGAACGTAGCTTGCAGACGCAGACAATGGGATCTCGAAAACTCGATTGTAGCCTCGGTCAGGTGCACCCACAAAGATCGAGGATCCGTCAGCAGTCCATGAAATATGATCGGGACTTCTATCCCAATTCTCCGCCAGTGATGTGATGTTGAAATCGCCACCTGAAACATCAGCGACATATAAAATGTACTTGTCTGATTCGTAGGAGATGCCATTCATTTGAACGTATGCCAATTTGGTGCTATCTGGAGAGAAAGTGGGACTGCCTGTTGCGCCACGAGCATCCGGGGGAGTTGAAGAGCCAGAGAAAGCATTGATTGGGACAGGCTCAGTTGAGCGATTGTGAGGAACCAGGTAGATTATTGAGGATGTGAAGTTGGCCGCGGGTAGGTCAATATTCTTCGTGTTGAAAACAACGAGACTACCATCAGGTGAGATATCGTATTCGGAAGAATCATCTCCAACTACACTGGGGCTTTCTGCGACAGTAGCATTGGCTAGGCCATGCACAAGATTGGTGAGGTTGCCTGAGAACGAGAACTCATCGCCTCCAGTCAATGTTCCGGCAAAGACATTCTTATTGCGTTCCGAGCGCCATACATCCCAATGACGAACGTATATGCTGTCGTAAAATCTTGCGGTGCTGAGTGGAGGTTCGGCGAGTAGCTCATTGTATGCTGTACCATTTGGATAGGCTTCAGCATTGAAAATGAAGTTGATGTCCCCCGATGGAGTGGTTCCAGCCTTCAAGCCAGAGTAGGGTGCCGGAAAAGAGGTGATGAGATAGCTGTGTTTATGTGTTAGGAGTGGTCAAGTGTTGGGAACAACTACTCACGCGTCTTCAATTGCGGTAATATCACCAGCGTAGAGACTAATTCCACCATCGTCCTCTTCATTCGTCCCATTGATGTAGATGATGTTTGTCGCATTTGGGCCGGCGAACAGAATTTCCGAGATGTCTGATCCATTGTAGAGAAGTGATATCTCTCCGGTGGTCAAGTTCAAAGTATTCCAGACTGTTGTCGTCTCGTGCGCATCCCAATCATAAGTTGTAGACGTGAAGACTCCGATTTGCTAGTTATTCGTGTCAATACTTCTCTTATATCAGGACGACCTCGACTTACACCTGAGGGATCAGGTATCACTGGACTTCTCCGTGGAGCAGCAAGCATGAGTCTATTGCCCATGTTAGCTTAACTTGACGACATCTAGCTATCTCAGTGATGTTACGAACTCTGGGGTGATCGCATGAGCAATAGGCAATGAAGCAATTGCTGCAATTGCAGCTTGGCGCATGCTTGTCTTCATTTTAGCCAGCATGGAGTTGAAACAGGTAGGATGCAAGAACAACCCACGGGCATGGGCTGTCAATAAATCTTTCAAATGTAATCATGGGACATCTTGTGCTTCCATGGCTGGTGGCGATGTTCAATTCAACTCCCCGAGCAACCTTGTACAAAGACCGCAGCTAGCCGTGAAGGCTTCATGGTCACCATGCCTGATTAAGCAAGTAGCGTTTATCAATTGTCTTGTTTCCATTGCGGAGAATGGTCAGAAGTAACGCAGGTTCGTAGTAACATTACAGTTCCCCGAGAAGACGTCAATGGCATGAGCTATGGCAAGATAACCAGCTGGGTAAATGTGAGGGCAGGATGGTGAGTGGTCGATATGCAGCGAGGGCCAGGAACAGTAGCTGCCTCATTGGCTTCACGAGAGCAAGGGATCACAGAGCTTCATCCCTGCTATCTTGAATCCTCATTGTTCATGGTCTGCAGTGACTCGCAATGGATACATCCACATCGACACATAGTTGACATGTAGGGTTACTGATGAACGGGTTGATATCGCAAAGGAGGAAGGTGTCATGATGCCCAGGAGCAGTAAGCCTTTGGCGTCCACTTGGCATTATCTTAGGTAGCATTTCCAAACAGAATAGACATGCCATGGCAAGGATTGATCTCGTCATACTTCACAGGCACAGATACGCACAACAAGGAAGAGAAACCCATCGGCAACCGCCGATCCTGTTCTGTCGAAAGCTATTTCAGAGAAACACGCAACTGATGTGCCACGGTGGTTAAGCATCACTCTGAATATCAAGCTCACAATCAAGACGCTGACAGGGACAACTTCGTACAACTTATTTCACGCCCAGGACCTCGGCTTCGCCTGATCGTCATATGTGGAGCGGCAAACCCTTAGAAACCAGCCTGGCCTGCAGCTATCATTTCAATTCTCGCCAGAGCTTATGCAAGCTAGTGATCACCTCTCTCCGATCAAATCTGGGCAAAGGGTTGATTAGTATTGAACGCTACACAAATTGGCGAGCAGCACACCTTCCTCCATTGGAGATCGCCCGAGTTTACCAGCATTAGTCAAAGATTCATGGGACCTGTTGACAATGTGCTCAACACCAGACGTCCAGATCTGGACGGAGTCGAACGTGTCTGATGTAGACGAGATCTCAAAGTTTCTAGCTTGCTCCGAGATCAGTTCTCTGAACTCTGGCCCATCAGTTGATGTCCTCGTTCTCTGCGGCAACGCCATTTTGCCCATAGCCGAGGGGGTCTTCTCTGCCATTGAATCCAGACCAGATATAGCAAAAACGCTGGTGATATGTGGAGGTGTCGGCCACTCGACGTCTTTTCTCTACGAAGCCGTGCGCAAAAGCAAGTACTCTGCCATTCTGCCCGAGATAAATGGACTTCCGGAGGCAAGAGTACTCGAGCGCATCATGGTCGATTTCTTCCCACGCCTCGATGCTTTAGTCAAATCGAACGCTGTCAAGCTTATCATTGAGGACAAATCAACAAATTGCGGTGCCAACGCGATGGAGACAAGACGTGTCCTTGATGGTGAGAATATCTCACCCCGGTCTCTCATCGTCGTGCAGGATCCTACGATGTCACTACGCACCGTCGCTGCCTTCAAGCATACATATGGCGATTACTCGAAACCTCCTGTTTTCTTCGGCTGTCCAATTTTTGTCCCCATGCTTTCACTTGAACACTCTACCAAGCATGCCGTTCTCAGTGTGTCAGGACTCTCTGCGTCAGATCTTTGGGAATCTTCCCGATTTCTTGATTTGCTCATGGGCGAGATACCACGGCTGAGGGATGACGAATTTGGCTACGGCCCTAAGGGCAAGAATTATATTTCACATGTGGACGTTCCTGACCATGTAGAAAACGCGTGGGCGAGACTGAAAAGGGTTCTGCAGCCCTCAAGGTAAAGATGGAGTGTTTCGTCTTTCAGTCTATGGCAAGCGTCGTCCCATGAGTCATTCAGACAGGCGTGCTCTCTTGTTCTGTCTTTTGATGGTCCAGCCTTGTTCCCTCCATACCCCAAGTCAGTCACACAGGCAGACGCGCACTTTTCCCAAGCATTTCCCTTACGATCTTCATCGAGTCAAGTCGTTTCGACAATCTGAAGACCTGCTCTATCAATCCCACCACCCAGGGTTACCACGCCCACTTTGGCCCTCGAATCTCAAACGCTTATGCATGCCACACTCCTTGATCACAACACGCAGTGTCCGATGACCAAGCTCCTCGCACGGTTTGTTGTTCTTGGATTGTTTACAGAGAGCCATCTTGTCGGATTCCGAGCCCTTGCAGCCGTGATTGGGGCAGTGGACATGTTGTCGAGTTGATTCGCACATGACTTCGATTCAACCTCGGATTCGAATGTGGACAAGATTGATATGATGGTGCCAGCCACCTTTGAGGAGGTTTTCTGAATAAGAATTTGAAGATGCCGACAAGGGACGAGCGCCACTAGGAGGATTTTACCTGCAGCGGAAAGGTAGGCCACTTGCGATGGCCTTGACCAGAAAGGATTGACGCAAAATTGGTAAGGAAAAGCACTGTCGATAGATTTGGAGGTGTGAGAACGTTCATTTGGTTCTGGATACGAAAGATAGACGACCGCCTCCTATACTATTTCCAGTGAGAAACTAGTCTCTCATATCTACGACGCGAACTGGCAATCCTCCACTCCAATCTTTCGATCTTCCATGGATCTGTACCAGAAGAATTTTTTGTTGTGGCCTTTGTGTTTTGCGACAGTGCTCCCAGAGAAATCTGCGATAAGCCGTCTGCAATCAGGGGCGAAATACAGATCCAACCAGAGGGTTACACCAATCCAAGAAATCCAAACAACGAAACCCATCCTACAGGACGTATCACGGCGACAAGGGAGACGGCCCAAACTTGATGACCCTTGGTACAACTTTTCCCGGGTGTGGATTCCGCGCCAGTAGGCCGCACACACGGTTCACTCACTCGACGAGTGCAATGTTCAGCCTGCCCTCGATACCTGTTCCCCATGTCCAACGTCCGCAAACATATCTATCCCATCGGAACTGGCCGATCATCTGCAGGGAAGACTTAGACGTTTATTTTCCTTTGACGATGAACAGAACACAAGTTTCGTGTTGATTGATTCTTGCATATTCTTTCTGCTTCCTCAAGCACTATGACGGCTTCTGCAGCATAGGAGATGCAGCCATGGATTTCCAGTTGATTTCCTCGTCGCAATTGGACCGATTCCTGGTGTGGTCCCCGTGCAGCCAACCATCCCGCAGTGGAAACTTCAAAACCAACAAACAACACAACCAGCTGAATCGGATAATTTGTTCAATGCGGAATACTGAAGCCACTTGACGCAATTCCCTCGCCTCCGATTCTGATATATGCACGACGTCTTCTCAAGCATCCAGTCCTGCAGAATCCAGCCAACGACCGCACATGAGTATGAGGATGGTGGGGCTCCGCGACGAAAGGGAGAAAAGAACACATCGCGTAGACACCTGGACAGTCACTCTATCCGACCAGGAACAGGAACAGGAACAGCACGCTCCGATATCTTCCGTGTGTTTCGATGCATTTCCCGCTTCTTTGCATAATTGCAACACCCTCGCCTGCACGTCGGGCTTTTCTTGACGACTCAAACGTCTTCTTCGGTTCTAGTTCAAATCTAGAATTCCAGCGTGAATGTACTATAGGACGTGCTCTGGAGAGACACGAATGGTGATTTCCTCATTCACTACAGTCGTGTAGGCGGTCCCGTGCTGAAACCTGCTCTGCGCGATGTCAGTATATGTTTGGCCATTTCGAGCCTGTGAGATAGATGAGAACCAGATGATTGATGCCTCATACCCGGTCTCCAACCTTCGAGACATTCTTGTTAAGCAAGGATATCTCCTGTCTTTGGCAGTTTTCACTAGGGGCACTCATCTGGGCTTTGGAAAACATGTAATGGCTCTGGGTAGTGATTAAACATTAGAAAAACAATTGCCATTTGGTAGTCCGACAAATCGAATCAACTTCACACATTCTAAGCTCCGAGTAAAGGAGGTTGTAAGCCCCATTCTGAGGCGGACGTCTCCTAGCCCATACCCGTTATACGCTGCACTAGCAGCCTGGGAAAAGACCCTCAGACTCCGTGACGATTCTTTCAGAAATACCGATAGAACTTTGCCCACCCAGGACGAGTCATTGTTCAGAACCTTCGAAACGCCACTTAGATCAATGCTCTTCGACCTTGCGCCGTGCCTCTTCCAACTCCCTCCTTTTCCTAACCGACTCCTGCACCCAGTTGATGATCTTACGATTCGTAACCAGCGCACAAATGATCCCAAAGCCAAAGAATACTCCCAAAATGACATAGGCCACAATTGGTCCTGATTGGCGAGTCCCCGAATGTTCCATTTCATTCGAGGTCGGTGCAGGGAGCACAGGTGTCGTTTGAAGCTGGCCCGTCGGCAACTGGGTCGCTGAAGGGTTGAGGTCATTTGCGCTTGTCTGAGACGGGAGGAATGGCGAGAGAATTTGTGTTTGAAATGTCGTTGCAGGCGTTGATGATGTCAGTTGAGAGGGAGGTCGTGTGCTGAGGCTGAGTGGTGGGCCCTGAGATTGATCAAGGAGGGAGAGTGCGCTTGATCTTGTTCTGACTTCTTGGGTGCTTTCACTTGCCCTTTGGAATGGCGATTCTGCTGGGACGCTGAGCACTCTATGCACACTTCCCCAAGAAGTCAATTGAATTGCAGTGGCACAAAATTTATCACCAGAGATTCTCAAGCAGTCAATTTCCGCTGATCCCGAGCCCGCAGGTACATCGATTATTCGGTTCTGCGTTGGCTTAGTCGTGAGGGTGGTCCATTGAGGTTCTTGGTGAGGAACATCCAAGATTGAGGACTCTGTGAACGGATGTGTTGCTCCATCAGGCAAGTGAGGGTGAACTTGGTGTGGAAAAGGCGGAGGGATCTCATGAGGATTCATCTTGGAGGACGAATGATGAAATTGTAGGTATTGCAAGTTGTTGGCACGAACTTCATCGACACAAACTTCAACGAACAGGAGACTCTCAAGAGATGGGGCACAATAGTGAGGGAGTGTTTCATGAGAGAAGAACTCGCCAGAAGAAATCATGCAACAGGTGTCAAGGACAAGATTGGAAGACTGACATTGTAGTGACTGACAGGAAGAGGCGGCAAAGCCAGTGCAACGACAAGTGAAGAGAAATTTGAGAAAATGACAAAATGGAACCCAAGTCAAAAATTGAAGTTGAGTGTTCAAGTGCGCGGCAAGAGATGCAAAGGAAAGAGCCTCCACTTCACTTTCACCACGAAAAGCCGAAGGAAGGTGCAACGCGAATTGAGCAGGAACAAGCTGGGCTTCAAGGCTTTCGGCTCCTTAAACACCTACCTGGGCTCTGATGCGGACGATCTATCTCTCTTGCTGCTCTATTTCCAAGTACTCCAGGCCCGTGAACTCGCTTGATAAAAGGCTTTTGGTCGAGCGAAAGATACTAGAGCACAGTGACGCTTTAGTGTAATTCGTGTCATTATATAATGTTGTCATTATCGTGCAGCTGACGGTCTACACGATGCTTTAAGCATCCTGCTCCAGTGCCACATCTGTCGCCGTGGCAATCGGTCTTTCATCCTGGGTCACCGCATGATCTCCTGTCGTTGGGTCTTCAGATCTGTCATCAGCAGTAGATGAAATAGCTCCTTGTTGTGGTGCTCTGCTAGGAACCTCCTCTTCTGTATCCATCTGTAGGAGGAAAGTCTCCCACAGTTCGATCAACTATGTGCACAGTTAGCCTTGACAAGACCGATATCTTGGGGACGAAATAATCTCACCTCTTTTTGAGCTTCCACAGCTCCCTCCAGGAACGTCTCGACTCCACTCTTGAAATCTTCCACTTTTTCTCGTTCAAATCTCTCCAATTCACCTCTCATCAAGCGGCCCATATCCTCAAAGAGTAGTCTTGCCTGATGTGCTTTCTTCTCGGCATCGCTGACTCCAGCGCCCACCTCATTCAGCTTATCTTGCTGGCTCTTTCCTTGCCTCATAAGTTTGTCATGCGCGCTCCTTCGTTTGGCCAGTTCGCTTTCTGCAGTATGCCATGAATGGAATGCCTTTTGCCGTTGCGAAAAAGCCTGTTTCACACTTCCAATCAACCGGATGTATTCATCAATCGTGATACCCAGAGTCAACACATCTTGCATTGCCTGTCGCTCATACAACTCTTTTATTCGTACCTGCACATCGGACAATGCTTGTAAGGGACCAGAGAAGACCGGGGACAGCTCGACTTGCGCCAGGTTGCCCAGTGAGACGGCAAACTCTCCCGCAGCTTCAGCAAGCCCTTTCCGTTGAATCACCACAGAATCTATAGCTTTCATCAAAGCTTTCAACTGGCTTTCAAGAGCATCGAGGTAGACTCTTCGGTCGTGAAACCAATCATCATGCTCGACGAATTTCCCACCTGATCCACCAACGTTGATTCCGAGAGAACTAAACATGCCCTTGTTCTGACCCAAATCTGGTTCCCGATTTTCCTTGTTCTTGACATCAATGTTGAATGCGTCGCTTTCAAGGAAGATCTTGAGGTCAGCATCATGGTGTAGAATGGGATGGCTCGCGATTTTGTTCAACATTCGTTCTAATGCTTGTCGCCTGGATTCCACAAAGTTGGTATCGAACCGACCGACCGCTTGTTTCTCTGGCGGAGGCGGCACGACCACACCGGGATTGTTGTTGTGCAGGGAGGTATATAGCCATAAGAAATCTCGGTATCGCCTAGATACGGCAAACTCGGGAATCTTGTAGGCTTTCGATGTTGTCTATTCCTTGTGAGCAGGGCAATCATCCATGTTTCCACATTCTACTCTACCTTTGTGCGAACCTGATACACGATATGACTGCTAGTCAGATCTCCAACCTTGTGAGGGTCGCCCACCAGTATGTCAAATGTTGGTTTCGCAGCCTGTTCTAGGCTGACACTAGGTTGTGTTTGTCGAGAAGCTCCGGATGTCTGCGGTTGGACTGGAGGGGGTCCCTTGACTCGGCCGATGGGAAGTGTAGTATCTTCGTAATCCGACGTTGGGAAGGCAGGAGAAGTGGCAGAAGGTGGCCTGGTTGCCCGTGCATTAAGCTCTTTTCTCGGAGGTGTCGGTGCCTGGTCGGTAGATATGGATGAAGCGGCAGGTGTAGGATCTGCACCTAGAGGGCCAAGGGGGTCAAATGCATCGTCCACAGCCTCGAGCTTCGTCGGTTGCACTTCGATTTTACGAGCCGGGATCTTTCTCGATGCAGAAGAACGTGGTCCACTGGAAGCTGATTTTACTGATGGGGTGGAGCCTTGAGCAAGTATGAGCATATGTTTCTAACAAGTCGAACGTTCAGAGCACGAAATACCAGTGGCAGTATCAGCTTTCACAGAAGTAGGGTCTGGCTCTTGGGGATCGTCTGCTTTAGACTTGGATGGGACATCTGCCGCACTGTCAATCACGGTTCGAGAAGCGCATGTATGTGTTCGATCTACTTACCGCCCCAAGGGGAGTCTATATCCATAATGGCAGGTTGAATACTCCCAACCAGATTCGTGCGAGGTCACTGTCCTGGTTGATGTTGAACGGATATGCCTGTTCTTCGATAATGCGGAGCATCCAAGTTGAAAGCGCCACGGCATGTATCAGCCGGAGATATGATCCGCCGACCCCGAGTCCTTGGCAAGTACGAAGAGGCTAATCCACATTGGGAGTGGCCTAAGGCCTCGAGGCCGTCGGAGAAGAACGAATACGCGATATCGAGTCATCATGGTAACATTGGTCGGAGCCATATTTTATTTGCCCGCTGATAGAGTGTACCTTCGAAACTGACTATCATGAGTAGGTCATGTCAATGGTAGGTTGGTCACGATCCTTCAAAGAAGTTTGATTTGTTGTCTCCTCCTCCTCCTCTGCCTTAATTTCTAGTTCACAGACATGTTGCTCCTGTTGGATTAGTAATTGTGAGTACTAGCGGAAGTAGCAGCTGCAGGGTCATCATTCAATTTCCATCGGATTTCTTATACTTTTGTTCTCCTGTGGAAGTCCGTCTGCTTGTCTAAAAAATTCTTTCTACCTACAATGGACGAAACAGTGCCGCTGCTTCGAGATGAAGCCCTGGAAGTCCCTATCAAGGCGGCAAGCACAGATCCAAACATCGTCGACTTCGACCCCAAGGGCGACTCGGAAAATCCTAGAGACTGGCCCATCACCTACAAATGGGGTATTGTATCACTCCTTGCTTTCATGTCATTCACTGTGTAAGTACCAATATATATTCTCAGATGGAATTGTACTAACGACTGTGTCAAAGCACATTCACATGCATCTCTGTCGTCCCAATTGCCAATGGCATGATCGCCGATTTGAATGGTGGCAAATCTCAGAAATCCGCAAGTGTGCTGCTTGTCACTATCTGGGAACTAGGTGAAGCGGCAGGCCCATTACTGATTGCACCTTTATCAGAAGTCGTCGGGCGGTACCCTGTCATGAATGCTTGCAATCTACTCTTCATCGTCGCCATTGCCCTAGCTGGAGTGAGCCAAAGTGTCCCTCTTCTGATCGGAGCGCGAGCACTGACGGGTCTTGCCGTCGCGAGCAATGTGCTGAATCCTGCTATCGTTGGTGACATCTTCACCGAGGAACATAGAGGCTCTGCCATGAGTCTGATCATGCTTGCCCCCTTGACAGGAGGCGCGGTGGGACCGGCAATCAGTGGTGCCATCGCTCAAGACTCCGGGTGGCGGAAGGTACTCCTGATGTGCGGCGTGTTAGCAGGATTTGCTGAGCTCTTATTCCTCCTGCTGTTCAAGGAGACATACAAGGTCCCGATCCTCCGACGCAGGGTGGACAGGCTTAGGAAAGAAACCGGCAACCATGCACTACGGACATCCTTTGATGCCCAGGACGAAGGCAACGCCAACCAATTCCGCGACTCCATCTTGCGTCCATTGCTCGTGTTCTGGGATTCGAGCATTCTGCAAGCAATCTCACTGTTCGGCTCGTTGCTTTTCACATATTTCTACATTCTCACGACCACTCTCCCAGATGTTTTAATCGGCATCTATGGTCTGTCACCTGCTATGACAGGAGTGGCGTTCATATCCTTCAGTAAGTTTGACACGAATTACCCAAACCATCTTCCCCTTCCTTCAATACTGACCACTCCACAGGCATCGGCTCAGCCGGCTCCATAATAGTAATGAACCTCACGCTCGACCGAATCTTCATTAAGCTCCGCAAAGGTAACAAAGGCGTCGGCCTCCCAGAATACCGCTTGCCCCTCGCCATCCTCGGTGCATTCACCATGCCCTTCCTCGTGATGGCCTTCGGGTGGATCGCCGAATACCGGCTCCCACTCCCGATACTCCTCATTGACCTCGCACTGATCGGCAACACCACGATGTTCGGCTTCCTCCCCGTGACGGCATACGTGGTCGATGCGTCGAAACTCTATGCCGCATCTGCGATGACCGCGCTGATCGTCACGAGATGTTTGATGGGCACGTTTCTGCCGCTTACCACCGCGCCGCTCGTCAGGCAGTTCGGTTTTGGATATGCGTTCACGCTACTCGGCGGTGCCAGTCTGGTGCTCGCCCCCATTCCGGTCTTCATCTTCAAATATGGCGCGAAATGGCGCCAGAGCTCGAAATATACTGCTGATGACGCTGATGAATAGACGTTTAGACTAGATTCCTGTTGGATGAAATTGGACATCATATGACTTGACTTCCTTGGCGGTGGATTGAGGAAGATGGACTTCTGGCGCCTGGTCGCTGATGGGCGGTTCGGACTATTGGTCTACTTCTCGTGATAGATCTAGATTCTAGACGTTTGGAAAGAGTCCCAGAAAAGTGTGGGTGCTTGTTATAGATATCATACACAGACATAGGAAAGCAGGCGTTCCGAGCAATGAAAAGTAATACATTAGTCCAGCCCCAGATTCAATTGCAAAGCAATCAAACACCTTCTCCTCGTCTATGGACCTACGAATATGCAATGCGACCCCATAAGGCAGTTGCAAACAACTATGCATATGCTTTCCTCATACATGTGATTGAGTGAGTCGTCCAGGTAGTTGTGATACGCACAGCCAATTTTTTTTAGCTCCTCATCCGCCCTCCCTATAGCGCATGCTCAGGTTGGTTTCCGAGAACACCGAGCCATTATTCCAGCACCATGCTGCAAGACATTTGTAAAGCTTGCGGCGTATTCTAGTCGCATTGCATACTTGGGCGAACATCCGTTCTCGGTAGTGAAGGTCATTGTAAGGCCGGCCACGATCTAGCGGTGGCTGTTGAGGAGTGATAACGAGCCTTTGGTGGCCCCCCACAAGCAACATGGAGGAAGCATGAATAGTAGCCTCTCTTGACCCAGCCTTCCTTCTTTGCGAGGTGGGTTACCCAGTGAGAATAAGGCAATTGAAGAAATTCGGTCGTGTCTGGTTTCACGCCATCAAACTCCGTGTTGGATGGACCACACTGCTGAAAATCGATCCGTGAAACTATCGAGACGTCGATTTCGGCTCCCCCGCGAGTCCTTACCATGACTAGAATAACTCCAATCACCCGATGCATGTTAGATCTTGCTTGCCCCAAAGGTCACCCCAAAATCGGTGTAGCTGAAAATGAAGTCATTCAATTTGATCTTGGTAGTATATCGTCGTCCACAAACAAAAGCCAACAACCAATCCCGCAGGACCAGTTGTCGATGCTCAGGCATATATTTGACAATATTGGCTGTGCCACAAGCATGCCAGTGACAGTGTTGCATGTTGAGCTTACTCAGGGCCTGTGAAGCTAGTCCGTTCGGTATTCGGGGTTTCATATCACGAAAGTTTTGTAGCATGATCCATAACATGTCGGCAAGCGCTTGGTCTTCACCCAATTTGTTGTGGATCAGCATATCCTCAACCCAGCTGGCATAGCCTTGGGCTGCGGCAACGACGACTTGAAGTTTCGGAGCACCAGGCGCATGCTTCTTGCTTCCGAACTGAACATGCAGGTTGGTAATGACCGAAACGAGGATGAGAAGGCATCTCATTTGCAAGGCAGCCTCATTAATGTCACCGTACGCACCAATAATTCTTCCTGCAGTATCCCTTGATATGAATTCTCGCAGTCGAGTTTCTGGAGGGACAACAGCACTCCTGGCATTGATGGGTAAAAGTTGTTGATCCTTCCAGATACGGTCTACTTCGTCGAGAAGAGTTGTCAGCCAGGTTAACCTTTCACTAGCATCCTCTGTGCTCCACATGAAGCTTGCTCCAGGGTCTGCATAGATGCCCTCGAACCACAGTGCTTGTTCCTCTCGTAGGCGGTCATCAACGCCCTCACCGATACCGAGCTGTTTGAACAGATCTCTGGCGGCTTTGAAATGCATGAGTGCCTTCTCACGACTTCCATATCGTTGTTCAAAGGTGGCCAAACTGATGACCGAAGTCAGTATTTCTTTGATATTTGCTTCATTCCCACGAGCGACGTTGGTTCTCAATATTGTCACCGCCTCGGCCTGATGCTTTGCCGCTGCATACTGTAGGTGCCTTCGAGTTGTTCCGGCAGCCCATCGATTCATCCTTAGCTGATGTAAGGCTGAGCGGGCCATCAAGATATGAAAATGCGTAGTTGATATACCTGCTTGATATTCCCAAGATCCTTTCATGCTGACTTTTACGCTTGGCGATAATGCATAAGCAGTCTGCCAATAGCTTTGCTGGCCATAGAAGTGAAGTAGCTGGTTGGTCACATCATCGACCTCTATTGGTAATGTCCCAAAAGGGTCAATCATACAGGCTGAGATGGCGTTTCTCCAAATTGGATCAACAGTTCTGACAATATCACTTATGTGGCTTGAAGGAAGGCTGGATGGCGTATCCTTATGGCCTGTTGAGGACGAGTGAGAAACAGAGACGGCCTCCTCAAGATAATGGTCGACGCAATCGATATCCCCATCGTAAAAATTTGCGGAGATGACTGATGCTGACGACTCTCCTGAGTCGACTCTCATCAACTCGTCCTCCATCTTATGGGCAGACAGGCTTGTTTGAAGCACCTAATGCATCGATAATTGACATCGGTAAACAGCTCAACGTCCGAGGCGTTGCTGGATCTCGGCAAATTCCAAAAGTACAGGGAGAAAATCAAACCACGAGGGGTTATTCTCTCCGGGGCTGAGGCTGGTGGTCCAAAGCTGACCGTTGGCCGTTGGCGGTTTCAACGGCAGCCCAAGAGGCCGGTCCCACTGAGGTGTGCTGGTCTCGACTACCCAGTGGAGCCCCTTAAGTTGCATTGCTCCAGTAGGTCTCGAGCTTGGGCTACAAGGATGACGATCCATTGTCCAACTAGGAGTAGACTCGAACATTTTGGGATGGTTGTTCTGACCGGGGAGGATGGAATGCTAAACTTATTGGAGATAGGTGCCAAGTTGTTTAGCGAATTGCAACAAACTGTTATCATGTTTCACGTGAAGATAGAGTAATGATAAAGTAAACCTATTTCTCGGCGTTGCAACACTCTTTTACTGCACTCTTTCAGCAGCTTCCTGCAAAGGTGGAATCAACACGACTCGCCCGCACCGAACCTTTGGTCTGGAAGTCGTAAAGAGTGTTGCGAAGTAAATTTAGACGGCCTCCCAATGTCATTGCCAAGGTCGGGGATCATCAGGTGTCAAACGGCTTCGAGGAAAGTACCTAGTAAGCTGGCAGAAAACGAAACATGCAGCGAGAACGTATCGTGTCGTTCCAAGGAAACTGATGACCTGATGTCGATGGTCGATGAATAGAATTGGCAATGCTCCTACCTAGCTCGCAGCATGTCGCGCTTGGGGACGGACAACCTCCTTAGGTATCATAGTCCAGTTTCAAATCAGCAGGTTTATTGTACCTTCTTTGGTGTCGAAGAGAAACCGCGTTTGCCTCGAATGTCGGGCGCATCCCACGATGAATCGACCACACGAATAAGGAGAGAGAAAACCCAACGACCAAAAAAAAGGGGCAAAATCTTTCCACTACCAAATATCCTGAAGGATATAGCATGGTAGTGGCTGAGAAAATCCTCCTTCTCGACGACAAGGAACCTGGATTTTTTTCACCGTGAGCCTGGTTTGAACCGAAGACCAGAGGTCGACGAATCCAACTCGGCTAATCATTACCATCTACAGCAAATGCTGCCAGCATCGGTTGATTTGGTGACCGAATTCACGTCTTGATGATATGTATAGGTGATTTTAATGTGGCATGTGACAGCCTAAGCCACCTGGACAGGCAGTGAAGTTCAGGAACAGGCAGCTCCCCATATACCGCCTAGCGCCTCGAGAGACGGATTCCAATGGGATCCGAACAAGATACTCTACATGAAGCGCCACATGGATCTGGGCATCGACGTTTCAATGGTATCATTCATCCGATGCTACCATTCCTCTCATCTTACGATGCTGATACTCTCTTGGACTTACTCTAGCGTTTGTAAGCGGAAAACAAAGGTCATATGAGGTGGCATCAATATGGTCAAGAAACTGAGGCAGGTGCCGCCTATCTACTTCGAACAACGGCTCAACAGGCAGGTACGACTGCCAGTACTTTCAAAGACCTCAATTATTCAACAGATTTTCTTATCAAACACCTCCATATCAAGGACAGAAGCCATCAACCGAGGGCATGCCCACCATGAACCACTCTGCAGCTGAACGCCCAGCTAGAGCTGCTACCGACAAATATGTCAAAAGGTATTCCTTTGAAACCAGCTTCTCTGCCAACATGGGCCATGAAATGCTGACCAATCTTTCCAGTACAACTATCTCCGTGACACAAACCAACAACGGACTCGATATCAATGTCAAACACGAAGAAAAGTTCACCCTTGGCTCAGAGTCTCTGACCAGAATTGCTGGCAATCTCGAAACCCTGAATCTTCCAGGCAATCCTGCTCAGCAGACAATGGTTGCCAGCCAGAATTATCATCCTCTTGCCCCAGCCGACGATCCTACCGAGACCATCCTTCGCAGTTTTCTCGATTTAAGAAATATCCAGAATGGCAGAAGTACCAATGATGGAGTGAATCCTGGTAGCAGATCGACAGGAGGGGGTAGTTGCAGACAGGGACAGAATCAGGGTTATTTTGACGCGACCACCAACGGTACGGGCCACCAACAAGCTGACTGGCAACTTGGTTCACAAAGTTATGGATATGTTGGTGGAAGGAGCAATGAGGAAACCTATGGTCAAACTTATGAGAGAGGTTGTGTTCAGGATTATAGACGAGTTGGCGGGCAAACTTACGGCTATGGTTCAGGAGACATGCAGACTTACAACTGCGGAGCCGAACATAGGTCTGCATCAAGCGGTGGCCAAAATCATGGCTACGTCAGCGGAAGAGTCTACGAGTATGATGAAGAGGAAGAAGAGTGTGATGACAACGACACAGAAGGAGATGCATACGAATATGATCAGCAAGAGGAAGATTATCATGATTACAACGACGGAGAACAGGATGAATACGGATATGATCAGGGAGAAGAAGAATATTACTATTGAAACGCCAGAGAAGGGCGCCTATGCATACGAACATGATGAGGATGCCGATTACGCAAAGACACCAGGAGATTGGACCTATGCAGATGCTGACTTGGTGATCCCACCGATCGTGTTGTCAGGGCTTCTGCGTCTCTCGATAGCCAGGCACCACATGGTTGAGGGCACACAGGCAGGCTACTGGAACTCATGTCAAAGGCATTATAGAAGTGGGAGATTCGCATGGCAAGCATCATGATCAATATCGATTCGCATTTGCATCGACAAGACCATTTACTCTCTGAATATTGCCTCATGATAACCATCCTTATGTTCCAACCCACTCACATCTCTCCACACTCACTAATCCTCACGTCCTGAACAGGCCTCTCGCCCGAACCACGCCCACCAGCACCGGCAGTCCTAACATTCTCAATCATCCTGACGACGTCCATCCCCTCGGCGACCTGGCCAAACACGACATGTTTCCCATCGAGGAACGGCGTGGGCGCACACGTGATGAAAAACTGACAACCATTGGTATTCGGCCCGGAGTTCGCCATCGACAGCAGACCCGGCGCAGTGTGCTTGTGCACGAACGACTCGTCCGCAAACGCCGAGTTGTTGTAGATCGACGTGGAACCCGTGCCGTCTGCGTTGAGGAAGTCGCCGCCCTGCGCCATGAAGTTCTTGATCTGTGATCTCGTCAGCGTTGTAGCGAGTGACAAATGGAGATGTGATCGTTTCGGTTTCGTTCGTCCACATAGGTAGATGGAGTGAGCTGGACATACCACTCTGTGGAACTTGCTGCCCTTGTAGCCCTGAGCGCGGCCGTTGGGGGCTTTATGCTCGCCGGTGCAGAATTGTCGAAAGTTTTCGGCCGTCTTGGGCACGGTGTTGGCAAAGAGGTGGAACTTTATTCGGCCAAGTGGTTCACCTGCAAGATAGACAAACAATAGGCCTCGTTAGTACGATTCTTAGTCTAGTGGGATCGCCTGTCTGAGGCTATTCAGGCTTGGAGAAAAGAATCCGCGTGTTGAGATGCTCGTCCTTGCATCTTGACAGGATAAATAGCAAAATCGACAGCTTCTTGCATCTTTGGCTTTGATTTGAGAGCGTCCGGGACCATAAGAACCCAGAGCGTACGTGCTGTGGCGTACTGACCAATAACGGGGGATCCTCATAAAAGCAAAGATGGAAAACTTACCACCAAGTGTGATATCAAAAAAGACGATCGGCTCTCCCTCGCCTGGCTTCGGTATTGGGATCTTTTCGGCTGCCATCCTCGGAGGAAGTCACCGTAAGTTACGGACTGGCCTCCGCTTGAAAGAAACGAGTGTGGTGTGCCTGAGGTCGGGAATCTTGAGTTGCAATAAATAACTCAAAAGAACTTTGGCGGAGTGCATGGAGTTGGAGATTTTGCGAAACGTATTTAAAGCTTGGGGATCGACAAGGCTGAAACTTTGTGAATATAACAGCAGGCAGTGATGGGGTCTGACTAGAGCAACCACCAAGTGTTCATTACATATTCTTTAGGGTATGAGAAACTTCCACTCGAGTCCTGGGATATGTGTTGTGTTTAATAGCCATCAAGTCATTGATAACAAGCCCCCCTTCAACCGACGCCACGCAATAAATCCCGCACAAAAACCGGCAGTACTACTTAATGAGCAAGCACCTCCTGTTTCTTCTCGTCCTTCTTCCAGAATCTAAACCCCTTCATCTTCCGCCTCGGCTCCCCGGCGTCCAGCGGAGGCGGGACGACGTATGGCATTTTTCGTGACGCTAGCTCCTCTGGTGAAAGCACTCTATCATGCCACTTGGACTCAGGTATCTCCCCAATCTTAGTGCTGGTTGTCAAGAAGGTTGCGGTTGAGATTGGCCGTGTCTTCGGTCTGGCGCCAACTCTTGCATGTGGTGCTTTCTGCAAGCGACCTGAACTCGCTGCTTGTGGAAAGTGATGTTCGAAGGAATCAGCAGACACAATGAGCAGACTAGGTTGGCTTCGTAGTTGGGTGAGTTGCTCAGAATTCGTTGGGCGATCGTGTCGAACTTCTCCTTCCTTGCGCCTTCTTTCGCGAATGTCGCCGGAGATATCAGGCTGGGACACCGATGACTTGAGTAGAGATGGAGTAGATTTACTCCGTGAAGGACTCTCTTCCATTGTGTTTCTCGCTCGCCTTGCCTCGGCTCTAGAAACCACCGATGATCCACTTTTGGACCTGACCCAGCCTCCGTCCGCCAGCAAGGGTGATATATGCGGCCTGCTATGGCCGGATGGACCTGACGGGGAGTGTCGTCTCCTCCTTCTATGATGCTTAGTGGCCTCATCCTCAATGGAGCCATATCTTCCTTCCGGGGACAGACTCAGGCTGAGACGAGAGCTCAACTGTCCCAGAGTGGTCAGGGTCTCCATTGTTGCTGTCTCAGACAGATTGAACAAGGCTCTCCGAGAAGTTGTTCTCGTTTTTGAGTCCTTGGATAGAGCATGATTGAGAAAATTGACCAAACCAGTATTGAGTACAAGAAGAGTATGTGCTAGACTGAAATGAGCAGTCTCGTCACCGACTTCAAATCGGTGGCCATGTTTCGCAACATGGCTATTGTATCTATGCTTGACCTCGGAAGGTCGGTTCGTCAATGATTTTTCTTGCCACTCTTCTTCTTCAGATGGGCGTGCCGGCCTGGCATTTGTCTTCCGCTTCTTCTTCCCACCGAGGCGTTGGAAGATGTTTATGCTGTTGTTTAGAGCTGCCAGAATTGATGCCACTACAGATGCAACATCGAGCTCACCCATTGCTAGAGCTGGTCAGAACACTGAAATGCTATCGAGTAACGAAGTATCACCATAGCATTAGGGAAGAATACAGAAATGATTGCCGGAGCAAAGCAACTTCCTCAACCGAATTCGAATGATCGCATATCTCAAATTCTTATGTGAGTCAATAAACCGCCGCTGATATCGGTTGGAGGTCAAGAAAGTGAGGTAGGCGACCTCGGGGCGAGGCTTACCCTGGAGCCGTCCTCGACCAGCTGCTTTAGTTAGAAACCTTCTGGCATTCATGATAGAGCTTCGAATAGGCATTGCAGGTGAACTTGACCAGTCAAGGGAGGAAGGGTGCTTCCGAGGGGAATGCCTTTATCTCAGTGGTGGAAGCTGGCAGGTTGAAAGTCCCAGGCGGCCAGGGGATGGGTTCTAGGCGCCTGTAGACTTTGCGTCTGTCGAATAGGGACTCAGGACTGCAATCAGACTAGTTAAATGCTGCATGCACCCGGGCGCTCACATCATGCAGAAGTCTAAGGAAACAAACGCTGAGAACGGATTGAAAAGAAGAACAGCATAACCGTAGACTGGGTTTGATGGGGACATTCATATCCATGACAGGTCCACCCACAGAGACTCCTACCTTGTGTTCTTTCTAAATTGCCATAGTCTGCTCGAGGTACTCCGTACTGTTTAGGAAGAGAGGGGAGGAGCCTGGGAGGCTGGGAAGAAGAGTTCTGGGTGTGCGGGGCGTGGTAGGAAGGCCAGTGTGTGCCCGGAGAATTCACCCCACTTCCCGTCTGGGCAGGAGCTGCCGCCTATAACTCAAGGGTACCCTTAAGGTACTTTACTTAAACACCCCGCTGTTGGCTTCACGGCTAAGTTACTGCTTCAGGTGCCGCTCGTGGTCGGCTGGCGAGCCTTGACATTTTGAAACTCTTTGCGAGCACAAACAAGGCTGGACCTTGCATCACTTCAAGTCAAAGGCAACTCCATTTTCAAATATCCATCATGACAGGTGTAGGCCCTCAACTCCCGCCTGAGCTGCAAAAACGCAAGCGCAGTGCTGACGACGGCGGTAGCAACAGCGATTCAGACTCGGCCGACTCTGCTGGCCCTCTGCCCGCCCGTCCTACACAAGCACCACAAGATCTTCTTTCACCCAAACGAAGTCGAGTTATAGGCCCCACTCTCCCTCCAGCACCTCTAGATGAACGACCCTCGAGCCCTGCGCAAAAGGAGTCAAGTGACAGTGAGAGCAGCGACGACGATGGATTTGGACCAAGTCTACCGTCCGCAAAAGATGCACTGAAGAAGGCCTCCGTTGGCCCATCGCTAGGTCCATCCTCAAATCGTCCCCCGCCTGCGCCCGTCAAACGTGATGAATGGATGACGCTTGCGCCCGAGGGTGGTGACTGGTCGCAGAGAGTGGACCCTACCAAGATAAAGAATCGCAAGTTCAACACTGGTCGAGGAGCTAAAGCACCTGCGCACGCTGGAGCCGCTGGTGGTGACTCATGGCACGAGACGCCAGAGGAGAAGCTCGCAAGGCTACAGCGAGAAGCGATGGGCGTGGACGAGAGGTCAAGTTCGGGCAAGTCGGCACAACCGAAGGATCGTCAGGATGATGCAGTTGCCAAAAGAATGAAAGACTATAATGTAAGTTGTACTCTTTGACACTCAAACCCGGGAACGGCGTAAGTACTGATCTATCTCGACAGGAAAAAGCGAGAGGCCCAGCTCTTTACGACTCTCATCAAAAGTCAAAAACAAAGGAAGAGGATGATGATCCAAGTACCCGTGCCTTTGATCGAGAAAAGGATATTGGAGGTTTCAAGATCAATAACACCCAGAGGAGGGACATGGTCAAGAAGGCTGCCGATTTCTCCTCCCGATTCAGCAGCGCCAAATACTTATGATAGGTCTCATGGTTCGACGCTGTATTTCGAAGCACATCGACACAACTCGTCAGGCCTACCGATTTTACTTCACCTGAGAACCTGGGTATAACCTTCGAAGACGGCAGGACGCGCTTGTCGCACCAGGTCCTGAGTTCGAAATCTAACCCCACTTTCAGCTTGTCCTGTGTGACTGTACGGAGTGTTCTACCAAAATCTCCACCCCAAGGTGAAGCCGAACAGCGCTCCTTGAAAGGTCCTTCAGGAGGAGCTCCAGATGGGCTGTCGGCTACACAAGCTCTGAAATGACGTGGGCACTTTGGAAGATACGTCCACGTGTGATGGTCTTTTGGCACATCTGACATCTGGTTAGACTACCTATTGTCATGTCTCCCACATGCACTTAAGTCATTGAGTTGAAGCTTGAGCACTTTACAAAATTTAGCTACTCATGGTATGGCGCCTAGGACTTTATTTAATTTTGTCTAGCCATCAACGTTTATGATGGAGGTTACTACATAGCCAGAAGTCCGCTCCCCTATGCCATGCCCATGGCTGATTGTAGTTCAGGCAAGACAGAATTTTAGGACGTTGAGAAGGACAACAGAAATCCATCGAGCTCGTGGGAAAAGAAATGCCAGACGGATGTATCGAGCTCGTGGGAAAAGAAATGCCAGATGACTGTATCGAGCTCGTGAGAAAAGAAATGCCAGATGACTGTATCATCCTCGCTCGCGCCTCTATCTGGTATACAAGCCAATGAGCTACTATAAAAGCATCTCTCGACTGGTCGATGGAAAACTTTGGTTGACGGATATCAATTCTTAGTTGTAGTTGGGATGATTCAATTGTCGGTTGGTCGATATCAATTCTTGGATGGTAGACGCGATTTCTTGATCGATTAATAGCATTTCTCGGTCGACAGACGCCATTTCTTGATAGTACTACCCTTTCCCCAAGTATTGACCATGTTGGCGCCAACGAACAACATCGATCGTACGTGAGTGGTTGTACCAGAAACTCAAACAATGTTTGTACCAATGATTGAGTCTGCGTGGGAAGATAAGAAACCTCGGAAGGTATCGACAGTCTTCGGGACACACGATGTATTTCCAGAAGATCGATCGCTGATATAATCTGCAGTGAAGAAATCTGAGTGAGGAAGGAGGAGTATGGCCCACTGAGGACAATGTACGATCTGATGTTGCCAGGCGGCCGCCACGGCTTCCACAGTCTTCGACTCGCGGTTTCGTAGTCATTTTGAGTGATAGGCTTGGGAGACAATGCTGCTCGATGGTATGCTGGCCAATGCTGTAGACAACGGTCAACCACATCAGGCTCAATCAGGTGGAGAGTCCGCCAGCTTAACTCGAAGGCCAGCTCTACCCTGCCCTCTGGCATTGATACACTGTTCAAGACAAACTGGTCATGCATCGCGATTACACCGGTTGAGAAGCGGCTGTTGAGGCTCAAACTCTCCCATGTAGTCATCAGCTTTTTCGCCTCTGGAGAAACAGGAATCCGTGGATAATCACTGAGTAGTCTGGTCGCGTTCTGACTTCCTGCGACGACAGATTCTAAGAACAAGGCTTCGATATTCAATGTGCCCAATTCAGGTCTCGATAAAGAACGTAGAACAAAATCGATGGTTCGGGTGGAATTGAACTTTAATGTCGCTGAAATGATTCCATCCAAAAAGGGGTCCCACCGCGAACCTTGATCAGGTATGCGATTTGTCCTGATCAGTAAATCCCGTAGTTTCAGTTTGTGCTGAAGAAGGGCTTGGAATATTGCAACAGCAGAGTCGTGGTTCTGAGACCCAAGAGCCGCATCAAGTACCTTTATGGCATCGATTGTTCTCAGCGTAGATACTTTTGAGAGTATCAAAGCGAAGAATGCCTTTGATGCATGTTTCGCTGCAATCAACAACTCGGCTAGATCAACTTGAGCTCCGTGAGCAAGCAAGACTCTGGAAATTGCTTCGTGCTTGGCTCGCAACGCAATTAGTAGAGCCCCTTCGTGGCTTGCACCATAACTTAGTAGGAGCTGGATCATGGACAAATCCCCTTCACGTGCCGCTATCTTCAACGGGTACCCGGCTGCCTCTGACGAGTGTGGGCGAAGACCAGAATTCAACAGCAGACGCACGATATGTGTGTTTTTGCTGGCTATTGAGTGAGAGAGCAGGTAGTGCGAAGTCCAGTCATGAGTGGCATAAGCATGGGAAGGAAGCTTGAGCATAAGCAGCTTGTGACCTTTACCGAACATGCGCCGCTCAATCGAAGTACTTTCGATCCAACGCAGGCAAGACTTGGCACTTCGAAATAGCTTAATGACCTGTGAGCTTAGGTCATAAACCTTGTGGTCTTGGGTTTGAGCAAGATGTAATGGCCATCGACTATGGGCATAGTCGCCAAGGGGGTGAGTTTGATGGTAATATGGCACATCCAAGGATTGGCAGTACAGAACATACGCCAAGCAGCTTCGGGTGAGATGATACTGGGCGAGTTCTAAATCGATACTGAATTCCTTCGCGGGCCCCATTCGAATGCGACTGCTGAGGAGATATTCCTTCACCGAGAAGTGCGATAGAGTGATAGTATGTGACCGTCGACTTGACACATCAAACTCTGCTGTGTCTGGTTCAATCCTAACCAATCCTGGCAGAATTTCCAGAATGTCAAGCGGCGAGAAACGTCGGTCGTTTTCGACAGCGGTGAATTCATCAGGCTGGATGATGCATGCCTCAACTAGCTCTTCTAAGAACATTGGTCGACTTGCACAAGTTAGCCACTTGAGGGCGGTGACGGCCTCATCAACGAATGACGAGTCGATGCTGGTTAGAATTCTTTCGTATGTCGCGTCCAAGTCTGGGGGTAAGGTAGCCAGAATCTTCAGAATGTCGCGTCCACGAAGGATCCTTTTGCTCTTGAGCACCTCCATCTGAAGTGCAGACCACCGAAACCTGAAAATGTTAAGTAGTGTTCAAATATTTTGGATGTTCTTCACCTACATCCCATCTGCTTCCGTTACTAATCTTTTCTTGATCGCCTCTTTTATGCTTTCCGATTGAGACTGTAGTTTGGAACTCGCCTCAATCTGGGAACTGATGTAGATGTTTATGTCAATTTGAACATTGTCTCGTGATATTGTCAAGCCTCGCCACCTGGAACAATTTACAAAACCGGATTCGATATCACGTTCAGCTCGGCTCGTCACCAAAATATGTAATCTTGGCAATTGAAGTTCAGACAAGGACTGCAGCAATTTGAGGACAGGTTCCCTCCTTGCATATGGAATCTCATCCAGTGCATCAAGGACGAGAAAAGTGTGATTGAGTTCCTGGATACCTCTATCGCCTTCACCTTGCGCGATCGTCTCCTGTTTGGCATGTGAATTCCCGCAAAGGTCACGCAGAATCGCAATGAGAGTAAGCCGCAATTCTCTTGATGACGGAAATTCAGGACTATACTTCTTGAAGAGCCCCGCTAGTTGTGGCAGCACGCCATCCTTGGGACAAAGTTGAGATAGCATTGATCTCAAGAAACCGGATAAACTCTGGCACTGCACATTGTCAAATGCAAAGTAGAAGTATATCAGGTTGTCTGGCACTGATTGTGAAGTGGATTTGGTGGAGATTTCCTCAATGATAGCCGCACTACCAAGATCAGTTCACGTAATAATTCGAGAACTACACGGACAACGTTACCATAGTATTGTTTTGCCACACCCGACTACCTCGAGTTAGCAGGATGTCTGGGATTGGAGGAACAGTTTTCTTACCATCTCCATGTAGCCATAGGCAAGAGGCATCGCTGGTTCGCCAGGTCTCGAACTGGCCACTATGCAGGAACCAGTGCCCGGTACCGATCTCACGTCTCTCGAGCGCTGTATGGTAGGCATTGACGACATTAGGTGGTGCGAGCCAACGCATAGTCTCGAAATATCTTTCCTTGGATTTCTGGTCTTTCCCATGGTTAGTGTAAGCCGTATCATGGGGGTTTTGACGTTTACCCTCTAGTATTGACCTTTGGTGAGTTGCAGACTCGTCGACCGCCAATTTCAGGGATTCGAGATTCTTTTGGCAGTTTTGGAGCCCATCGAGATTGTCCGCAGATAATTCGCTGATCACCCGTCAATCACCGCAATTTGAAGAATGCATATACATACGAGTTCAATATGCTCACAGCGAGTTCCAAGTCATTTTTTAGACCATTCAACGCTGTCATCAAGGCTCTGGTAGTCTTGCTGTGGAACATGTACAAAAGTTTCTGATTTGCAGTCCTGAAAGTCGCACGGAGGCCTTCTGGTGTCCCATCTTTGCGAATTTTATCCAAGATAGTTTGTAGTTTCGAGATGTTGGCCTCGCAGCTTTCGACAGTGCGCCTGATTAAAGACACGGCATTTTCCGGCAGGTTCTCTTTCTGTAAAGTGATTGCCAATTGGGTTAACAGATTTTGCGTCCATATGATAGATTTCTGAATTTCTTCAGTATCCCGCGCGGCGTTCCGCCACAACTCGTAATATGAAACAAGACCTTCTGTTAGCTGTATGGCAAGGCTGATGATAGCTAGAGGTGTCCCAGGATCCATCTTGAGTTTGTATTGTCGTTTTTCAAATACTTCCTCTTCTAGATGGTGAAAATGAAACGAAATCAAAAGCGCAATTTTGCGTACATCAGCATTCAGAAGCTGGAGAGCAGAAATAATCTCATCGTGCCTTGCTCGAAAGGCTGTAAAGAGCAGGACTTGGGGCTCATTCTGGCTGAGCAAGGATGCCTTGCAGTCGGCCTTTCGGGTACCAACTCCGCGTGCCCACCAATCACAATGATTGAGGCGCAGGTTATCTGGCTTGGGTTCTCTTCACAAACCACTGGTTCGGTAAACGTACTCAGCCACCCTGTCGTAGAGAATTCTTCCAACTTGATGGAAATTCATGACGACTCCAGCTTGCACGCCAGACATCCTGTGTCAGGTGTCTAACTGAGGATATGGTCCGCCAAGCTAGGCGGTGCAACAGAACAGATCACTGCAGAAGCGTAGTACACGCACAGCACCGTACGCGTATGGAAAATGTACCAGCTTATCCGTGATTGAACTGTGAGTGTGTTCGTACGAGGAAGCCGAGTAACAGCGTGCTGAACCAGCTACAAGGACAGCCTTGGAGGGTAGCACTTACCTGCCTAGGCAGTCAGGTGATTGTGGGGAGAGAGGAGGTAAGAGCTTGTCCATCAGGTGCTGGGTCTAGTCTACGGAACAGAGGCCTGCGTTCCATCGCGGCTTCTTCAAAAAATGGCTACCCATCCGCTTGCGGACTTAATGCAGGTTTGAGATATTTTCAAGTGATGAGAGTTTTGAGTTTGAGATGCCTCAGAGTTCTCGGCATAACTGCCCTAGGTGGCGTACCTTAAGTAGATACCTACTAATAATTACCTAGGTACTTAATTAGCACCGTTTAATTCTGTTATCACTCGACCTGAATTCTTGCCACACTAAGATGCTGTCTCAGGTGACCCAGCTGAACTATGGCTAGGCACCTAGAACCTCAGGCCCAGGCGGAACGGTCAATTAGATCACATCAAGCTGTGTCTCTACTGATTCAAGTAGGGAGTCACCGGCAGCATTGATGTTGCGACAAACTTTGTCATGCCAACGAGAGGAGATCCACAAGGCTAGTTGCCTTGCGTAGGTACTTTCGTATTCAAGTTCACGAGCGACAATCCTAGGCAATGCGCACCCAGCCTGAATGAAGGCCTTGCTGACCAGACGGCTTACTCATGGCATCTACGTACCTCGTAATCGTCTTGAGGTACTCGGTACTCTCTTTGATAAGGGTCTCCCTGTTATCATCTCCGCCCCAGACATCCTTGGCAGGGCAATATCTAAACGAACCTTGCACATACTACTCTGGTAGCGGAGGCGGCCGCATCGGCCGACTCGACACTCCACTGTGGCATAACATCCTATGACTGCATGACTTAGATACTTTGGTACTGAGTAAGGATACCATGAAGTTCAAATTATGGTTGATCGCTAAGAATGCCCCCACATGACGAGGCACATCGTGCAGAGCCGTCGGACTGTGTGGAGATTCAGCAGCTGATTACAACCTAATCCGGAGTATGCAGCACCAGGCTAATCATAGCCGCAGGCTCAGAACTCGCCAATGTCGGCGCTATCGCGTATCTAGTCCAACATCTTGTTTCCAGAGGCTCAGACCAGAAAACTGAGCAGAATCATCAACAGACCTAGTCGTTGCGAGTCCCCTGTTATGCAGATGGCCCCAAACTTAGTCATCGTATATCTATAGATGGCAGTCGAACTGTTTCGGTCATTCGAGATGTTAGAGCACTGCATCAGAAGCGGGCTCTCACGCTTCCCTGTGATATACCAGTCATCATTTAGTATCAAAACTCAAGAGTTGTCAGCGCCAAGATGAGTTTCATTCATCTGGGGTCGGCTCCACCCCCTACAAAGTCCAGAATAGGACTCGGCCCTCAAGATGGATATGTTTTCTTGCATACCGCCATTGCAAACGTCCTCACAGGGCTGTATCGCCTAGTATCTTGACCGTCGACTAAGCGAGAATGCAGAATTCGTGCCCCCCTTGGCGTGACCTGTCATCAATTTCTATCGTCTGATCGTGCCGAAAATGTGGCTTAGACGCAGAGTGGTGTTCAGATAGGTCGGGAGGGTGGATGATATCTTGCAGAGTAAATGTACTGTCCTGAATGGGATAAGGATCTCGTATGTGCATTACTCAATGGCTGCCACTGAGAATGCTCAACGCTATCATGTCCGTGATTTCGACAAGTCGGATACCAATGTGACATTGGTGTTGAGAGATGGTCAGATATCACTCAAACGGTCTCGGAGTTAGAGCATTTGAAAGTCTTGTGGCAATGCTAAGTGGCGACGAAGCAGTGTCTCGTTTCGGTAGCTCACCCCGAATGCTTCATGCAGATTATGAGGAGAGTCAAAATTTTGAATCACTATGCAGTAAGACTTGCAGAGCGCATTGCCTTCCTTCTTCATTGGCTCGAACTGAACATCATGATGCTCCTAGACCGAAGTCTGAGACTGTATGAACGTGAGAAATTGTTACGAAGCCTTCGGTCGTAGCAACAATAGTTCATTTTTTTGTGACAGACTCCCACATGTACAACTGGTTGGAATAGGCTTGATAAGTCCTGACTGATAGCCTCCTATACGTAAAACACTGTTGAGAGGCCAGTACACTGTCGATGCTGCAGGACATTGTTTGAGGTCCACATTCTCCCGTAATGCTAGCCCTGGCAGGCCATCCGAAGACTGAGTATCACAGGTGTAAGGATAGGACGTGTAAACTAATGTGGCTTGTAATGGGGTGTTGTCCGAAAGCAATGCCTCGATTGGCCGTATCAATTGCTCTTCGTATGATAGTGGTGTCTCGCACGAATCTGAATTTGGAGATATGCTTAGCTTCGAAATGCTACGACTATCCTCGATTTCCACAATCTTGCTTGCGATCTCGTATGCGGTACATGATGTCCAATTGTTCTCGACCGTTTTTAAGTGTCTTAAATGCCACAGTGCCGCCGTCCGAATCTGAACATTCCGACACTTGGTGGCCGTGAAGAACAATGGGGCGATGTACCCAAAATGATACTCGATATCTTCACGACCGGATATGAATTTGCGTGAAGGGTACTTTGCCCAGGCGAGCGCAAGATGGTCGAATTGGCCGACAATCCACGCAAATTGTTTCTCAAAGTCCTGGTAGATGCTCTCATCGGCTGAGCCAGCAGACGCCCGTAACATCATAGAAAGCATGGTATGTGCTATTCTTAGCAATTGAATGGAGGTATATAATCGTTCACGACGAATGTCAGTGAGCTGGCTTTCAAAATTGTCAAATTCTATTTGCCAGTCAGCAAGGAGCAGTTCCACTTTTTCATAGGAAAACGTGTCCAGGCCTCCTCGACGCCAGTCGGCCTTGCGGGCAATATGGTGGCCAATTCCATCAAGTGCAAAATGTGCACGGCGAATTTTGTCGATGCGCCCGACAAAGGGTAGCTCCGCATTTGGAGTCATCAAGCTTGCAAATCGCGCACCGCAAGGGAGCGAATCGCCGACACCAATACCATAGGTTGGTGCTTTGTCGATATAAGCAAGAAATATCGGAGTCAGCGTCTCTATGATCAAGGTGGATTCTTTGGTTTCATTGTTGGAAATGGACCATTCGTGGATGATGTTCAGACCGGAGTAGATATGGCGCAAACCTGCAGCAATGGAGCCTTGCATAAATTCGCAGCAAGAGAAAAGAAGACAAGCCAGCAAGACTGTCTCAATCCGTGGGGAAGATGCAGTCTCCTGAATGGCTTTCGTGTAGTGGCTCTGATACACTATATTCTTGTCGATAGGCACGCCACTTTCGAACAAGACGCTCTCAGAAAGTGACGATGTAGCAAGCAGCATGTGCTTGACAGCAGGTCGGGACGAGTCGAGGCTAAGTTTAGGTAGCAACTGACTCCAGAAGGAATGTCCTGAACAGAAAGGTAAGACAAGGGACGATTTTGGAAAAGGCTTTGACGCACCAAAATAGCAGGAGAAGACGGGGGCGGCTTGCTCCATCCAGAGTTGCAAGCACCGTTTTTCCTTGGTCCCACCAACCGAGGCCAAAGGACAGATCGAATGGACAAGAGGAGTGTGTTTGTCATCGGCCAGCGCAAGAGCCTTACAATTAGGCGCTGCTTGGGGAGATGCTCGAGGCTTGAACAGCCATGCTTGAGGAGATTGATATCCCTCGCAACGACGAAGTGAAGAAGTGCATTGCACACAAGCCGGTTTTGCTTCATCACATTTGATTCTTCGTTTCCTGGAGGAATTCGTCAGCCGACTTCAACATTTCTATCCTATATGATTGGCCTCATGCCAATCATATAGGATAGAGGGGATAATATTTCTATACCTGCACGTTAGACAACCAGTTTTGACCTTCTTGTGAGGTTTTTTGGCCCGTCCTTGAACCATTATGCCACGAGTGATACAGAAGGCAGGCGAACAACTCAAGTATAGGGAGATAGAATTCTTTAAAGGCTCAATGAAAGCATGTGTCAAGGATGTAGGGAAATTGTGTCCGTCCACTCATAGGGTTTTAACCATATGAGATTGAAATACTTCAGACCAAACTATCGTTCTGGACCTTAACCCTGATGAGCAAGACCCAGCCCTATGGCATGGGCATGGCCACCCAAATCTCCAAAATCTGACACGGCCGATCTCCTGCTTACCTCTGCGGCAGCTGGGGTGGAGGGATCGCGCTTGACGCGCACAAGCAAGGACTTTGACGACTGGGGCGAAAGTTGCTGTCGCTTGACCAGTGGGGATTGGAAAGTATGGCAGACGATGGCTTCTCACCGCCCGAATGCAAAAAGAGATCTCGAGGGATTGATTCCCATGGTGCAACGGGCTGGGTGGTTCATTCCTCGATGTGACGACAAGGTTGCATGTATGTAAGCTGGTGCTGACAAACTTGCGGTTTCAGTGCCGTGTACTTCAGATCGAGGCACGGGTGCCTAAGCCTTGGCCTCAACTGGGCTGTAGTTAAAGCTTAGTGAAGCCCGAGGGGCCTTTTGCCCCCATCAGCCATTTCTCAAGTAGTGCGCGAAAAGTGCTATCTGCGTCCCGGATCGGAGTTAATCATTGGATCGGTCTTGGATATAGGATATATAGCATCCGGACATATGGAACTAAAGAGCTATGCATTTGTTGACAAGATGGTGGTCTGAGGCACTGAAATGTGTGCCTCAGTGGCTGTGACCTGAGTGACCAAATAATGTCGTTCTAGAGCAGGTACTTAGTGTATGAGCTAATCATAAAAGGTTAGTAGGAATTCTCGGGATACTTGCCTGTTGCATCTACCCCAGATTTCCTCCGAGCCCCTCGTGTCAACGCGTCCAGCCAATCACGTCACACTGCCTCATGCCAGAGTGTTCGCAACATTCACATCAAGAATTAGAATATCTTGTGCCACCTTGTCTCATGAGCTCACATAAAGTTCTCATGTCTCTTCTGCATCATCATCATCTTGTTCCCTAGAACATCTTTCCCATCGAGTCTGTTCTGGCAACAGCCCACCCAACATGGCTCGATCATTCCTTCTTCAATTGGCATTTGCCTTAACTTTCCTCGTCTTCGCAGATGCCATATACACCAAGAATTCCCCTGTCCTCCAGGTCACTGCAAAGACATATGACTCTTTGATCAAGCAAACTAATCATACTTCGGTATGGATCTCTGCAACTCCTCACCTAAGTCTGCTGCCCACTAATTCATTGGCAGATTGTTGAATTCTATGCACCGTGGTGTGGACATTGCCAGAATCTCAAACCTGCCTACGAGAAAGCCGCAAAGGCCCTAGCCGGACTAGCAAAGGTTGCTGCAATCGACTGCGACGATGAAGCCAATAAGCCCCTGTGCGGCCAGATGGGTGTAACAGGATTTCCCACTTTGAAGATTGTGAAACCAGGAGCCAAACCAGGTCGGCCTGTGGTGGAGGACTACAATGGAGCGCGCTCTGCAAAAGCAATAGTTGATGCTGTCAAGGACAAAATCCCCAATCATGTCAAGAGACTGCAGGGTTCGACCTTCGTCACTTGGTTCAACGAAGAATCAAACACCGCTAAAGCCGTTGTCTTTTCCGAGAAAGGTACTACGAGCCCCCTCGTCAAAAGTCTGGCGGTCGATTTCCTCGGAAGTATTGCTTTTGCCCAAGTCAAAGATGCCACCACTGCGAAGAAATATGGAGTCTCTGAGTTCCCAGCCGTTCTTCTCATTCCTGCTCAAAGTGTTAACCCAATCCCCTACAAGGGCGACCTCAATCGGGAATCATTGTTGAGCTTTTTCGCCCAGGTCGCTTCGCCGAACCCCGATCCTGCGCCTCCAAAAGCGAAAGCACCCAAATCATCCAGAAAGCCAAAGGCCACTTCATCTGCATCCGCAAAATTCTCCCGTGCTTCAGAGGCCCACAAGTCATCTGATTTCGACGATTTTATGGGAAGCTCAGGGACTATTGTTCTTGATGATGACACCCCAACCGAGTCACCGATTCCGATTGTCAATAATCAACAAGAGCCAGTTGCAATTCCCTCAATTCTTCTACCGATTCCCACCCTCTCAACTTCTGCCGATTTGGAAGCGTCGTGTTTGGCACCCAAAAGTGCAAACTGCATCTTGGTCCTTCTGCCCGCCAAACACAATGCTGATTCTATCTCCGAAGCCGAGACATCAGTACTTTCAGGGTTCGCCGAGATCGTTGAAAAGCACAAGAAGCGCCAAGCAAATGTAATCCCTATGTTTGCCATTCCTGCCGATGTGGCCGCTGCTACGAGAATAAGACAGGACCTGGGCATCAGTCCGCCTGAACATCTTGAAGTGGTGGCGCTGAACATGAAGCGCGGCTGGTGGCGCCATTACTCCTCTAAAACTTACGAAATACTTGAGTTGGAAGATTTTGTGGACGCCATCAAGCTTGGAGAAGGCGCCAAACAAAAACTTCCTTCCACTTTTGGAGGTTCAAGTGAAGATCAATCAAAACCTGACGCCAAAGATGACTTTTCTATCGTGGGAGATAAAACCTCAGAATCAGAGACCACCAACATTGTCACCGAGGTAGAGCCACAGAAAACTACTGCATCAAGACACGAGGAATTGTGATAAATACCAGCAAGGGTCCTGTGGATCATGCAGAAACAATAAGATATTCAACTTCTTTTGAAGTGGCCGACCTATCACCGGGTGATCACTTCTCTAATGCCATTGATCAATATTTACATGGACACGTCCGTGCTGCAAAGTATCCTAACCATACTTTACCGATCATTCACCTCTCATCCCACTGTCACCGTCCTATAACCTCTTTTATCTCTGTTGACTAGCCTCTCTCCATCCGCCACTCCGCGGACTCATTTTCCTTGCTCTTCCTTGCACTCCTACACCTTTTTAAACCCATCATCCTTAGATGTGCGCCTCTTCGCGGAGTTTCTACCTCCAATTCGCTTTCTTCGAGTCCTTTTGACCAACCTGTCCATTGCGCCATTTGTGGGGCACGAAGCCTATCTGTTGGCAGGCGACCGGTCTTTTCAGCTTAACTCGACTCACAGATCTTTGTCCGGTTGATCTATCACAGTCACAAGTTTTTCCACTCACACGAGACTACGCGTACTTCACGAAGCCTTTCTTCTCTCGATGTCTTTCAACAGCTGCAGAAAACAATTTGTCTTGTCTGCGCATGATTCTTCTTGACTGCTGGACCAGTCTTCTGTCTGTCTGCGACACCAAATCTAAAATGCCCCCATCAAAGGACGACGATGCGGGAATCGAGCCAGACAAACATATCTTGCCAGCACTTAGTTCTGTGGCCCTGACAAACGATGACAGAGGAGCTGTCATGGTCTCAAGTCTCGAAAATGGCCAAATACCAGACGAATTCCCGTTGAGAGCATCACAAACTGTTACATTGCGAAAAACAAATGTGGACGCCCCAAAGTCGGACAGAACGTCATCCCTTACGACCAATGAAACCGGCTCGATTACGACAACATCACACGTCGGTGCTCGCGAAACAGCTAGAACTGCTCTTGCTACTGGAAATTTACGAGTGCCGAAGTTTTCGAAGTCTTCCGGTGAAAATCAAAAGCCAGATGCTGTTTCACTACCAACTTTCGCAGCTAGCGACAACCCCCTTACGCCATATCAGAGTATTCGGTATCGTCTACCATTCGGTCCCGCAATATCCCCACCAAATCCAAATCTCTCTTTCAAGACCCAAATACTGGAGAACACCCGCCAGTGGGTTTTTCTAGCTTCAAGCATTGTGGATGAGAAGAGAAGAAAGGACGTCTTGGACAGGGCTTTCGACAAATATGAGAAGATATGGTTTGAGGCCCTTCGTATTGGCTATAAGTCAGGCGGAGAATCTAGCCCACGTGGTGAACCCGATCTCCAAAACAGTGAAAGAAGGGGGAATGCAAATAAATCACGCAAACGCGACATCCCACCGCACGCCGTGCATGTTTTTATTCCTGAGAAGTTTAAGAACAACCAAGGACGACCATTTCCTCTTACTGGAATTACGGCAGGTGAGCTCCAGGAGGCTGGCATTACAGAAGCACAAGTACGCAAACGTGCACACGATGGCGAATACTCACGCGCGAGAGAAATCTTCCATGACGTTTATGATGATCTGGAGCGTAGTGTTGAGGAAGGCGACTGGCAAGGCACCGCAACACGGACCACACTCAACCCAACAGGTCGAGACCTTTTCTTTTATTGTTTGTACGTGACACAGCTCTATGAACAAAGCCGTCGACAGCTGGAACAATATCAGGCTAGATTCAAGACGCACAATCAGATCAGGAATGGGCTTCGAAACATTGAGAAGACCGAAAAAGAGCGGAGAATTTTCTTAGCTATGGCATTGGAGCTCGCCGAGCTCGAATCTACATCCGATGCAAGCAAATCTACTATCGCAGAGGGTGATGATATGCAAAACAGTTCAACGGTTCTGGCGCACACCAGAGAAAGATTACTCCGGGCTGTTGATTTGGTTTTAGAAACGCATGATTTCAATCACATGCGTCGAGCTTTTGAGGCTTCTGAGTACTCGGAGAGCTTACTAGATACAGACGACACAGCTTTGACCGTTGCTACTCTTGATGACCAATGCAAGAAAGCTCTCACAGATATCCTATCCTATACCAAAGAGAGGACTCTGGTACTACACGAAACGAATTGTGCTCAGCACGAGGATGAGAAGCAGCACTGGAACGAACAATTGGAAACCTGCGAGACCAATATCCGAACAACGAAGAAATCTCTCCGACGGATAGCTGAAGTCATACGACAGACTCATATAATTGAACCTGACATTACAAAAAACGCCCCAATGGGCCAAAGTGCTGGAACGAATCTACCGACCTCAGCTGGTGCTGGCCTAGAGAGTGGAGTGCCACAGTCTGCGGTCCTCAACACAGGACTCAAACGCCCAGCAGAAGAGGAAGTGCAAGAGGATGACCCAGAACTTCGCGCAAAACGACGAAGACAAGACATTGATGTTCCCGGAGAGTATATTGGCAACGGACCAGTCTCAGTGACTGAGGAGCAGACCACCACGGAAATTGAGAAAACGGCCACACAGACCCTTGGAACAGTAAGCGTGCAGTCCATGGAAAATCAAACATTGCATCCAAGCTCTGTGACGACAGGGGAGACAATCCAACCCACTGCGCAAGAAACACCCTTTCAACAACCATTGAATAAGGAGCTGACCCAGAAGGATTACTATATCCGGGATCTTCTTATACCCTTGGCCAATAGTCTCTTGACATCTAATGGCCATGCTCCAATGCCCCCATCGGTTGTGGATTATCAGAGTGCCAAGAATGCCCTCGTCGCCAGTGGCCTTCCCGTAACCGAGCGAAACAAATTGGGCATTGAATACAATAAAGGGCTATATAACGACTGGAACACTAAGCATGAACACGAGGGTATGGATGGACAAGAACAACAAGCCAAACCCCGATCACGCAATGAATTGGTACTCTCAGAGCGCAAGGATGGCGATGATGGCATGGATGGCACGGATGGCAACAGCGGGTCTCTTCCCACAGGGCAACCAGATCCCAGTCGCCCTGCACTTGTCGTGAAGCTGAAGGTTGGGTCACTTTCCGACTGCGATCCCGCTCAATTCTCATGCAATGCTGTCTATCAGCACAAAGGTTTCCAATATCGATATACGCCACAGTCAACATTTGCAGAGAGAAGAGCAGCAGATGAGGTTCTAGATATGTTTGTCCGTGACCGAATGAAGCAGAAGGGGCAATATCAACGATATGGTCGATATGAAACCATTTGTCTCCCGGGCGATCCACAGCAGAAGACAATTGTACATGGTAAATGGGACACTAAGGATGGCCAACCGATTGAGGGTGCAGAGTGGTTCTACTCTCCAGATGCAGAAAGATCCACTGCCACTGATCAGCTAAACGACGCTGAATCCGACTATCATGAAGAAGAAGATGTACGGGCCCGTGCCTTTGATTTCGAAAGAAATGAGGATGAGGAAGACGACTGGACGTTACAAACAGGACCAGCCAAGCCTTCCTCCACGTCTTCCACAAAGAAGGCCAACCAAGTGACGTTCACTCCTACGTCCAACAGTCAACAAGCAAACCGCATAACATCTACTCCAAAGCAACAAAAGAAGAAATCCACTGTGAACCCGAAAGTCAAGACCGCGATTCGCCTGCGAGTCAATGCGAACAACGCAAGTGCTATCGCCCCGCGTAGACAAGTTAAGAGGTCGAAAGTCGCAAAAGCTACTGCACAAACCAAGGACAGCAAGCGTGGGAAATCAAGAGGCCGACCCAGACGCGCATCTTCAAAGCGCAGCTACACTGAGGACGAATTCCCAGGCGATAGTGAAGATGAATATGTGCCTGGTCACTCAGATTGAGTCATTTCGGCGGTATGGAGTCGTGCATGCCTATGCCTGGATTTCGAAAGTGTTTATTTGAGACGTCTCAGGACAAGGCCAACAGTGCGCCTAGTGAGACTCAATTCAGCAGGCAACGGACCAGAACATTTCATGGGGTTCAGCATCGCCGTTGGGGGCAGGCAAGGGGTGGAGGAAATCGCAATTCGTGCTTTTCTACTGTCAGCACAGTCAGTTCGTGGTTATCTTATCTTTTCCTTTTTTCTTTTCTCTATTGTTTTCCGTGGTACTCTTTATTGGAATGCTGGAGATTGTGCAACTGCCAAAAGGGGTCGTCGTGGAATCTCAGCTGGATGGATGACTGCCTGCCATATGGTCTTCCAAAGAAAATTAAAGGAAAAAAACAGACTTGGTTTTGAGGTCACTGGGTACCGTCGGCTAGATAACTAGCTAGATATCTCGTACCTTGGAAGGCGAGGCAATTTTGATCACCTAGATGCCTCTTCTTGACAAGGTGTCCTCATCATGTCTACAGGGGTTGGGGTTACAATGAAATGCATTAAAACTGAGATACGTGAACCACTGAAGACACGAAATGGGATGGGTTGAAGTGATCTTGCTATTCGTCGCTGTCCTATATTGTGCGCCTTTTCCACATCCTTACCGCGATGACTTGTCTCTTTTCTTCTCCTTCTTTCCTCTACTCCTCTCTCCATCGCCGTCTCGCTTCCTATGTCCACTGCCACCATCTTTCTTAGCCTTCTTCTCTTTCTTGGCACCGCCAGCATGTTCGCCGGTGTTACCGTTCACAGCACCATCGTTTGCCTTGCCTTCCCCTTCATCATCCTCAGCCTTGCGCTTCCGATCCTGCTTCAATTGGCTCTTGACGCTGACGACGCCGCTGCCGGCCTCGCGGACCTGGCGCTCTGCGTCGGCCCATGCTTGGTCGTCCTCGGTTGGGTCTGTTGAGGCGTGGATTGCATACCTTTGGTGATTGTCAGATAATGCCCCAGAGGATGAATGGAGTGTGGAATGAGGGTGTGCGAATGAGTGAGGCAGAAGTTTAAAAGGGTGGATGGATAAGGAACGGAAGCGGATAGTACTTTACTTACTTATCGAGTGGGAGAGCGTCAATCAACGCTCTCTGTTTCTCTCGGATGACTGGGTCAATGGATTGCTCTGCCTCATCGTCGTTGACCGATTGGCCTGGTAGAGGGAGCGCCGCGGGTACACGGGTCGTGACTCGTGGTTCAACGTGGGAAGCAGTGCCGTTAGAAAACTGGGCGTTGAAATTGGAGGTTTCATTCCTCTCAGGCAGTTCTGCTTCGACGGCGCCAGCAACGACGGCGCGGAACGCGGTGCTGACTTTTCGAAGGACCTTGACAAACATGGCGAGGAGCTGGTTGTTGGGGAGGCTTAGCTCTTTCTCGATGTCATTTAGGTCTTTGCGTTGCAGGCCGATGGCGAGGAGGATACTCTGCTGCACGCCAGAGAGGGAAACGTTACATGGAGCTTGCCTGAGTGGACCGGTAAAGTAGAGCATTGCAATGGAGGGCAGGAGGTCGAGAATCACGTGGTAGTCGAGCATATTATTGGCGTAGGAATCGAGGCGGGCGAGGTCGAAGGGGGAGAAGAGTGAGTCAAGGTGCGCTTTGGTGAGGGTTGGAGCTTGTGAGGATGAAGAGCCAGCTTCTGGGTGTGATATTGAGGTATTAGTTCTGCTGCCGCGGGATGCGGATTCTGAAATTGAGAGAGATTGTACGGCTGTGAAGGTGCGGAATTGATATGAGAGGAGAGTGAGGAAGCGTTTATGGAAGTCTTGGGCGTAGGCGCTGAGCCATGAGCTTTCATTCGCGGTGCTGCTGGACAGTGGCCGTAACATGACACATGAATGTTCGCCTGTGAGTTCGTTAGGTGTTTGTCTGAGATAGACAGGTGTGAAGAATGAGCGCTTCCAGAACTTGTGCAGTGGTTGAGTCAGTCCATATGAGACGCCAATATAGTCAAGTCGGTCGGGTTTGCGTTCGGACAATTTGCTGAATAGAGGTGGCATTTGTTGAATATCACGAATTTTGATGTTGTCATCGAGTAGATTGGACTGTTCCAACTCGGCATCAGTGACTCGAGGCATGTGCTCGGCTTGGTGGATTGATGAATCATCTGATTCAGACAACGAGGTGAACTTGCCCTCGTAGAAGTCTGTTAGTAGTTCAAGAGCGCGTGAACCATAGCCCATATTGAGATATTCGGGATTTGTGGCTATCCGAACCACACGGCTACCTGAAAGTCCTGCAAATTCAGAGTCTTGGAACTGTTGACTAACCAGCCAGGGAATAAGGTCACCACCTGCTCTCTGACCACGAGATAGGCTGTTCAAGACGGATTGCTTGCTGATTCTGCCTTCTAGTGTTACTTGGAGAACACAAAGTGGCTCAGGAAGCTTGCTCGCATCTTCGGGTATTGGTGGGATAAGGACAAAAAGCTGGTGAGCAGGAGCATCAGACATGAGTTGTAGATCATTTGGAGAATTCTTGTAGTGGGAGGCCACATATAGGGCCATCATTTGCTGAAGGAATTTCTCCGAGACAGGATGAAACGAGAACAAGGTGTCACGATTAACGTGGACCAATTCGCAGGTCGAGGGGTGTGGTGTGCCTTGGGTATTCATCTTCGATTTAGGTAGGGTGGCGTCCAGGCATAGGAGCCTATTCAGCCATTTTTCCACTCCATCACCTGGCGCATACCGAATTGGTTCTGACAGTGTGGTTTCTCTCAAGGATCGGCCACCAGTATATACCTTCTGCCCGTCTTTAGCTGCCTTGCCAGTAGACTTGTCGGCGATCTCCACCTCTGTTCCAGAAGACTTTCCGCCGCCCCTGGATTGCTCACGAAGTTGTTGAATGAGTTTGAGTGACAAGGAACGCCCGGTACCTTCATAGCCGTTGATGGTCGAAGCCATGAATACCAGATAGGGACCCATGAGCTTCCTTACCAGAGGCAATGGGATGGCAGCCGCCTCATCAATAACCACCAATTCAGCTTGACCAAGGACGTGAGCATCTTGAGGTTGAATATATTGAATTGTTTGTCGATGTTGTCTGTGAACATTGATTCTCACAATAGCCTTGTTATAATCGGGATTCGTCGACTGCAATATGGTGTAATCGACATGATCCATGTACTCCAAGGCATCAAATCCCTTTATGACAAACTCGAATAAAGTTTTCAAGTTCTCGGGGCTGGGAGATGTAATGAAGATATTGCTATAGCCATGTGCGACAGCAGCGGCGACCGCGACACCCAAGGCTGCAGATTTGCCTCTTCCTCTCGCAGCTGTCAATGTAACTGTGCTTCGTAAGGTCTTTTCGGAAATTGCATCGACGAACGTAAGGAGAGCTTTTGCTTGGTCGACCGTCTTCGCCAAGGTGATGAGGGATCCTACGGGTTGACTGTCAGCCAGACTGTCCTTGATCTCCTTCAACTCTTTTTTGTTCGGCAGCATGTTTTCAGTATCCGTTGCTGTCGGAGGTAATGCCTGAACATTCTTTCCTCCCGAAATGGGAAGAACGTTGAGTTCATCATCTACAACCAAACACGAGTCGCAGGAGCCGAGTGATAGAATGAACCTCTCGTTGAACCTAGCCACCACATCATCGTGTGCCTCTGTACGGTATCGCGAATGTACGTCCATGGACATTGTGTAGAGTTGTTTCAAGCTTTTCATTCCCTTAAGGAGGAGTAGAACAAGTCCGCCACCCTCGACTGTTTCGACTGTGCGGGCGAGTAAATTTGGGGTGAGGGCCTCGAAATCTTGCAATATACACATGCCATATGTGTTTCCCAAGATTTTTTCCGTCTCTTTATAGTAGACATATCGAATATTATGCAGGGTAACGAAGAGTTCGAAGGGATCTTCGGTGTTTGCATCTCGGATGCCTCTCTTGATCTCTTTCTTGATTTTGGTCTCTCGCTTCTTTCGATGGCTGGTGAACCCTAGTAGGTCTTTCTTGTATGCCCATAGAACAGATTTATTTTGCTTCACATCGACCGAGGACATGATATAGTGGAGGTGGACAATGACATCCTTCGCGCGGTCACCCACCACTACGATGAAACTGCGCTTCTTTTCCTGGATGCCATTTCGGATCAGGGCGGGGATACGGGAGTCGATTGCTTTTCGAGGCATGATTGTAGAACCCGGCCACCCTCCGCCAAACACTCCGAGCAAGAAACAAGAGGTGGATGGTGAATACTGAGCGCCGTGTGGTAGACCGATATTGAGAAAAGATATTGCAGATGCGGGCAACTTTTTCGAGAATTTTGGACCGGCTTAGATACCTAGTTGGGACATAAGGCTGAGATACAGCCTCGTACCGGAAATGAGATCCAGGATGCAGGAACCAGGGGCGCGCCAAAGGATGGAGATTTGCTGTGGTGGTGGTCTGGGCGCCCACCTTACTGGCATTAGTACGCCCGGAAAACCCATGACAAGCCTAGAAGTCCCCCAGAAGTGACACCCACATAGACCGCAGGCGATATCCAACTTCCAAGGATTTGTAGGAGGAGGGTCAAGCTAGTTGTCGGGATAGTCGTTGCTGCAATTCCTCCAAGCAACACTCTGTCGTCAGGCCTTATCTAAGGTAATTACCTAGATGTTTGTATGATTTCTTTTCCTTCACCTTCGTGCGGTCGATATGGTAATGTCGCCTGGTCACACGAGGCCATCTGACAAAACTCAACTCCCCCTCTAGTGCCTCCACCACTTATGTTAGAGGGATTTCTGGCCCTATTTGGAAGCCCACAGTTCACACTCCCCATCCACTATGGGCAGCCTGGCGATTTTGTGTTACGTGTAAGTGAAACGGAATTCCTTTCCAAGTTCTGCACCAAGCCAATCGACACTGAAACCCTTGGTTCTGCTCATAACAGACCACATCGGCTGATCTCCATAGAACCTCCGTTGTCAGTGCTGCCATTTTGACCCGTCTGGTCCCAATCTCAACTGCACATGGTCAGTATGCACACCAGCAGCATTCCTGCTTTACCAATTATTAACACCGTCTTCTAGATCGCCCTATTCATATACTTGTCGTTGCCTTTGTCGCGTGCAGTTTCGCATTACCCAGCATAAGTCGACTGCTGCCGACGCTTTTCCACCCACCCGAGTCACATTCAAAAGGAGGGAGATACACTTCTTTGCCATTGAACGACTTGGGCAACGTTGAGCCTCAAAATGCATACACACAAGATGCCAAACAACGTCAGGGCAAGGTACGAGTCACAGTACTAGCAGCTGCCATTGTCGCAATATCCTTGCGACTGGAGCTTTATCGGCGCATCTCAAAAGCAACCGAATGTACCATTGACAGCGTTGAGGTTTTCTTGCCGTTTCTACTAGCCTTGTACGATGTCTATCGATTGCAAAAGCAGAGTCCCATTTTCGGTGAAAAGCAAACCAGTACAAGCGCTTCGGGGTTTATTCTGCGGACGATAACGTTGATTCAGGAGGCACTGGGAACTTATTTGTTGCAACCAAGGACACGTTATGTTCTGCCAGTATTCCTTCTCGCATCTGGCTGCCATTTGACAACAGGCTTGTGGAGTTCCTCCACGTCTACCTACATCTGTCCGATTGTGACTGGCGAATCTCAGACTATCAAAGTCTTTCAATTCCTGGCGCTCTTTTTAGACTTCGCAATAGCCGTTGTTGCCTACGAAACCCGGCCCAAGGCCGACGGAACCGGGCTTTCAGGTCGAAGATGTGTCGTGTTGTGGAGCTCGACGTTACTGGGTGTATCTATCATCTGGTCGATTGTTGGGGGGGCTTACTACCTCTTCAAACCCGAATATAGAGGCTGGCTGTTATTGCTACGTCCTTCGGTGGATTTCGGCACACTCATCGCCATAGGCGTGCATACCTTCTTGTTCTGTCTTCTTTTTATTTCCACACTACACTGCGTAAGTCTCAAAGAAAACACCGGCAATACTGGCACCGCCACTAACCAATGCTAGATCACGACTTATGGCGTTCTAGACATGTCCATCTACATTACGGCTATAATGACTATGATACCCGGCTTCGAGTTTATTTGGTCCCGCAGATCTCCCTACCCACCAGTTCCAAAGACTTCCTCTATCACTTCGTTCGTTCTAATCCTGGTTGGCTGGTGGATGTATAGCCGAATACAGCAAGCCATGGGTGAAAGAGAACCAGCTCCACGATATCGCCACGCTTTAATCCCCATCATTCTATGTATTCTAATTCTCCCAGCTTGGCGCAAAAGCGATAACGTCTATTTTCATCCCATTGATGTACTCATCTATGATGCAAAGTTACAACATGACCGATATGTGGCAAGCGTTGGTAATACTCTCTCACTCCATGAGACGGTTGATCGATATCAACAAAGATACAAGAGGAGACCCCCTCCTGGTTTCGATTTATGGTTCGAATATGCCAAGAGTAGAACCTCTTTTGTTGTGGATGAGTTCGACCAGATTTATGATGACTTGTTACCGTTCCGCACAATCCTCCCAGACGAGCTCCGTAAGCAGACCTGGGAAATGGTGTCCAATCCGTGGAATGAAATATCTGGTATTACCATCAGAAACGGTAGTGCTACCGTGCAGAGTAACGTTCTCCCTACACATCGGTGGATGCTGGAGGGTGTGGCCAATTTAATCAATAAATTCGCGCAGCATTTGCCGGATATGGATCTGGCCTTCAATCTCAATGATGAATCTAGAGTGGCAGTTCCTTTTCAAGAGATTGAGAGCCTTCGTCAACAAGGCCGCATGGAGGATAAGAGCGGTCGCTTAGGCTGGTCATCCGATCGTGCTGCTGGTTGGCTTCCAATTCCCGAGCACGAGGTCAAGGAAACAGTCTTCAGAGACATGTCCTTCCGTAATACATTTCGAGAATTTGGCTCGGTGGGCTGTGACCCCAAATCTTTGGCGAGAACCACACCTCATGTTTCTTCTCAATCTCATCTCTGCCACACTTGCGCGGCGCCCCATTCGCTTGGCCAATTTGTGTCCGACTGGACTAAATCCGGCGACATCTGTCATCAACCCGATGTCGCTCATCTTCATGGTTTCTATCTCTCACCGGCGGCCTTCAAAACATCACATCGACTGATGCCGGTCTTTTCCCAGTCCAAAGCACATGGATACAATGACATCTTGTATCCGTCAGCGTGGAACTATATGGACAAAGTCATCTATGCCCCTTCGGAAGATAATGGCACTCCTGGGCAAGACAACTTCAAAGCAGGCTTCCCTGACCCACCATTCTCCGAGAAGGAAAACACCCTCTTTTGGCGAGGAGCCACGTCCGAAGGCGTGTCAAGTGGCAACCACGCATGGCGCGGCATGACACGCCAACGCTTAGTCCACATGGCCAACAACCTAACAACTTCAGCCCACGATGCCGTGACTATCCTCCTTCCGCACCCCACATCTCCCAAAACCTACAAATACCAAACTCTCCCAGGTCCCATGATCAAATCTCTCGGCCTGAACACCTCGATCGCAATCGTCGACCATATCGCACGCTGCGGCGGCGTTGGCCTACATGACTGCAGCGATCAAGAGGCTGAATTCTCTCCTGTACCCCCGACCGACTTCCAAGCGCACTGGCGCTACAAATTCCTTTTCGACCTCGACGGCGCCGGCTTCTCAGGCCGCTTCCTCCCATTCTTGCAATCGCGCTCCCTCCCTTTCAAAACCGCTCTGTTTCGCGAATGGTATGCCTCACGCCTCACGGCTTGGCACCATTTTGTGCCGCAGGACATCCGTCTGCACGGCGTGTGGAGCACTCTCGCGTACTTTGCGGGTGTGAATGTGAGCCTGCCTGATCAGCGCGATAACTACTGGCCTGCGCATACTGTGGAGGCGGAGAGGATTGCGTTGCAAGGGCGCGATTGGGTCGAGAAGGTGGTCAGGAAGGAGGATATGGAGGTATATTTCTTTCGGTTATTGTTGGAGTGGGGAAGGTTGGTGGATGATGGAAGGGATGAATTAGGCTATGGGACTCCTGGGGGTGAGGCAAAAAAAGATGGGTGGTGAAGGCGGTGGTGTTCCGTAGATGGGATGAGGAACATATTTGAATTGAATCAGTGGGCGACATGACGACCATGATGATGTTGGCAGGAGTTATATCAAGGACAAGGAACTGATGGACATGTATGTCCACTGGAGTCTCCGAAGGACGATGCGCCAAACAGAGCACAACGCTGTCGCAGGACTGGCAGAGCTGCTTTTATTATTGAACCCTCGTGTATCATGACTGACTATTGAGCGGGCCGGGCTGTTCGAGGCCTGATAGAAGAGTACAGTCCAGACAGCACCGAACAGCACACAACACAACACATGGCTCTATATATCGAGCCATTTCCATGTTTCATACAAAGACTACGATCAGATGTGATACGATTCGAGGATGTGTGAGAAGTGACACACTATTTTTCCGAGTAGCTTCTGCCTTGATATTCAAGAAGTCGTGGTTTCATTCGTTTGTGTATTTATAAGTGATTTTCGTTTTCATTTTCCAACCAAGGAAGAAAGACGCATCAATCAGGACCCCTTGCGCCGAACACACGACAGAAACGCCTCATTACACACTATATCCCCATGACCAGAATGTCCTAACCCATGGCACTCCAACACCTCTCTACACTCGGATCATCTAGCCTGCACAGTCTGAGCCTTCGCACTCTCCGCGGTGGCCGGCCCACCCGTAAGATTCGCGACGAATTCCTGGTAGCGGAAGACATCGCCGCCTTTCTTCGGGGCGGGGGTATTCAGGCCCCTGACGCCGGCGATGCCAATGACGTTCTTCGCCAGGATACGGCGGCCCGTGAAACCGTCCATGGCGCGGTCGATGTCTTTCTGGGAGAGGGGCCGCTCACCCGGGTCTGGGGCCGTGTTGAGCAGAGCGGACCGGAGCTCGCCGATGTCGATCTGGCCACTGTCGTCGTCGTCGAAGGCGGAGAAGGCGTTGAGGAGCTCTTGAGGTGGAGAGAGGTTGACGAGGAGGTTGGCCAGTTGGGTGAGGTATTGGGGGAGACCGAGTTGGGTGGGTTGTCCTGGTGGGAAGAATTGTGAGAGGTTCGACTCGTGCAGGCCGAGAGACTGTAGAGTTTCCGAGACGGAGGCTGCGTCGATGCTGCCGTTGCTGTTGCTGTCGAGAACGGAGAAGGATTCTCGTAGGTTGTGCAGCAGTTGGGGTGGAAGTTTGGAGAGGGAGTCGTGTTGTGAGAGACCTGTTGAGACGAGGCGGCGGGGCTCGCGGTTTGGATTGGTCGTGCTGTTGAGTGGTGCTTTGGAGATGGAGAGCGAGTCGGTGGTGTTGTACTTGGAGGGGGAGGCTGTTGTTGTCATGGGCAGACGGCGGGCTGTAGGTGATGGAGGAGGTTCGGTGTGTGCTCGGCTGGTGCGGGAGGCTTCATACGCTCCTGAGGGTTTGGAAGGTGTTGAAATGGTGTCTTCGTCTTCTTCTTCCTCCTCGGAGACGGTATAGGCATGCTTGAGTTTCGATGGTGAAGTCATTGGAGATGCGCCGCTGCGGTTTGTCGGAGGCGTGTTAGGCCGTCCGCTGATGTTGGTGGGTGAACTGGGTGAAGCAGGTCGGCGGAAGGGTGATGAGCGAGGGGAGTTAAAAGAAGAGGATTTGTATGAAGCCTGATCGACACGATGATACAGATGAGCAACGAGCCAAGGCACACAGACCAAGATGAGGCGTCAGTGTGGATGGGCTCAACTTACCATATTGACGGGGTGATGACACCAACGCAACTGGACTCACTTAATGTCTGTTGAGCAATTGGACCGACGAGTGAGTTTGGTCGCAGGCTTGGAGAGATGCGTGAGATTGATATTGGTAGTGAAACGAGGCTGTTTCTTCTCAAGCCAACGCGATCATTTAGCCTCGAATGTGCCGTGCATACTTTCTGGTATAGAATATGTGGAAATCCAACCGCGAAGTGGTCCACCAAATAAAGCGGTTGTCAGGGCGACCAAAAATGGACGGTTTGAGGCCACTTATGATTCCCCGTACAACTGCACCTCACGCTCTCAATGCTCCTCCTTAGGTCTCTGAAGAGTCTACTTTAGGCATGTACCCTCCCTAAACCTACCTACAGCAGACACCGACACGAGTCGAAGCTGAATTACAGGGAGACACAAGGTCCAGGCCCTGGCTACAAGAATCAAACTTTGCACCATGAATGCCACTCGTATTTAGTGATTCTTCACGCAGTTGACTTGAATGCTCTACCAAGTACGAGGTACCGAGGACAGTAGTGTAGGTAGAAAGTTGTGGTACTGAACTGTTAGGGTCGAAGCACGAATAACGCCAGATGTAAATGGCGGCCGCCCATCCACCAACTACCGACGAGGTACCTAAGTCGGACTGCGGGAAACACCCAAGAAGGAACAGGAAGGACTTGGCATTGCCAGCCCCCTAGGAGAAGCCCACGGCCGGAAGTAACCAGCCGACAGAAGGGTTTCCCAGGGGGGACCTCGTAGACTTTAGAGGCTTCGGCCCCTCCTTCAGCCCCTGTGCCCGAGGCGCCTTCAAATGGTCTACCGAGTAGGGAATCCTCTTTCGAGCCTCGCGACTTCCACAGCTCCTCTCGTCTCAGACATTTGCTTCCAAACGTGGGCCTTATCTCTTCCTCAAGTGGAACGACCTTGATAAACTCCGTAAATCTGTGACACCAACTGCATGGATCATCACTGACAAGTGCTCCATACGGACCACACTACTCCAGACTGGTCAAAGCACACTCCCCGTCTTGGGTCGCTTCTGAGCCTGAGCGCTGAGGCTACCCTCACCATGGCAGATGCATACATCTCCTCGCATTTCCTCTCTGCTCGAATGGTTCAGCGACACATAGAGACAAAACAAATCTCCAAGGACTCCGCCGTCGCGACCGCGAACCCGTCTTCTCATCAGTCTCGTTCTGTGCCTCAATCACCAACTGCTACTACAAAGCCTGACCCAATACCACTTCCACTTCCAATGCCCGAACCCGTCGCATATCGCACTCATCCATACCCTCAGCAAAATGAACGTCCACCTTCCACCACCTCGTCGCAATCCCAGTCGGGCTCTCATAAATCCTCACTTTCTCATCGCCCCAGTAATGCTCATCAGAAAGTCCCCTCCCAGAGCTCCTTGATCCCTCCTTCTCCGAGGGGGTCCTACCGTTCTTCTGGACGAATTTCCACGGTCCCCGAGGATGGTCCCTACCCATACCGTCCCACCAAGCGACTGAAGTCAGCCTATCCCTTATATTCCCCAGAGCCTCATGTCGAGTATATCCTGGTCGCCTCTTTCGACATTGATCGTGGTCCTATCATGGAACACCAATATCCCGGTGCAATCAGTCCAGATGAGAACATGTTGGCCGAACTCATGCTTCCCGATCAAACACATGTGAGGCAACAGGATTGGACCATGTTCTTCCTCCACAAGGATGCGGGCAATAATGAGGAAGATGCCATGGAGAGAAAGATCGCCCGACAAAAACGCGCCCTGAGACGCAAGGCCAGGAAGTCGCATGATTCTCAAAGCACCCAGAGCGAGCAAGCCTCCAGCAGTGAAGAAAGCGATGATGATTCTCTAGACAGTCCCCCATTGATGTACGTCCTGAATCTGGTCAACACAAAACAGGACAGTACGGTCAAGAGAGGTGCAGTGGTCAAAGCTATGGCGATATGCACCAGACACTCGTTCCTCCACATCTACAAACCCTTACTATTGCTGGCACTAGAAGATTATTTCAAGGTTCCCACTCCCGACACCCTTGAGTTGCTTTACAATGCACTCAATGCGATGGATCTCTCACTGATGCCCCGGCTCTCCCTCTTGGAACGTCATATTCTTCAAGCCAGCGACGCCAAAGACATGTTTTTGGAGAAGTTCGATCAAATGATTTCTCAGCGCCTGACCGACGAAGCCTTAGGCAGGGCTCCCGAACAACCGGAGTCACCAACCAAAGCAGAACCAAAATACAATGTCCCCCGTGACACTCACGAGTTCGAGTCCAAAATCGTGTATAATGGTATTCCTATACCTGTCAAGATTCCCACTGCTCTTTCTGCAGAGACCGTCGGCGATTTCTCTTTGATCAAACTTGTTCAAATCTTTGGTGGCCCTCATATGTCACAACCTCAGCCCTTTGCCCTTCATCCACATCTGACCACCTCTGGCGCGTATACGCATCCTATAATCGTTTTAATCAATGCTATGCTCACTCAGAAGCGTGTCATATTCCTTGGTCATAACAGACCATCTGGTGAAGTTGCCGAAGCCGTCCTTGCTGCTTGTGCACTGGTATCGGGTGGTGTGCTCAAAGGGTTTACCCGGCATGCCTTCCCATATACTGATCTGACCAAGATTGATGAGCTTTTAAAAGTGCCTGGTTTCATCGCTGGCGTGACAAACCCTGCATTTTCATATCACCCTGAATGGTGGGATCTGCTGTGTGACCTGCCCTCAGGTAGAATCAAGATCTCATCCTGCATTGAGTCAGCCCCACTTACTGAAGGCACAACATACTTTCAGCAACATGGTCATATGTTGGCGGCGAAAGAGCTAGGGAGTACCGATGCCACTGGAGATATCATGTTTATGGACGAAATCACTCGAGGTATTGCATCACGACATGGCGAGTCCATCATTCGGGCTAAATTCCGTGCCTATATCACCAAATTCACACGTATAGCTGCGGCCTTCGAGGAAACTGTCTATGGCGCTAGCAGTCTAATATCAATTCCTCCGACGGAAGTTGACAAGGTTGAGACACCCAAAACTAGCAAACCTCCCGATCGTCCTATGTCTCTCAAGACCTCGAGCAAGAATTTGAAAGGACATGGATATGTTTGGGCCAGCGATGAGGCCAAGAACCGTGAATTAGCGGCCTCTGCAGCCCGAATCGAAGGGTGGCGCAACACACGGTCATACTATGCATTCATTTCCGACCTTGCAGCAAATGCCCAAGATCCTGGTTCACCAACGTCGCCTGTAAGTATGAGCAATATGCTTGCCCGTGCTCCATCGAAACCATACGTCGACCTTTACCATTCGTTATCAAAGCTGCGGACTCTTCGCTTGAGTCCAACCGAGGCAGGAGCAATTTACCTTGCTCTCGAGGGCTACTGTACGGATTATGATAGCATACTGGAACTACTTGAGTTAACACCGGTATCTGAAGCTGGCCTGTTCTATATCGGCCTCGGACTCTGGCATGAGGACTCGAGGGTGAGAATGGCCGTCGCCACGGTGCTAGATCGCATTCGAAAACATCCAGCCGGTCGGGTCTTTTTCAATCGACTTGGTGGCTGGGCCAATATGGGATTTACTCGCTGCATACAGGAAAGAGAGAATGCATTACGTGGCCAGCAGCATGAGGTTGCAGAGTTTGTAGATCCACACATGCAGTCGCTCAATGGGGAGACTAGGAGGAGTTGATTTCAATCCTTCTGATTGAGGTTCAGGCCTACGGGTAGACGTACGGAGATGATATCGACCTGGTTACATCTGTGGAGTCATCATCTGAGGCCATTGTGGTTGCGGTGGGCCTGTGATCAATTAACGAGTAATGAAACATTTGATGTTATTCGGGGCGAGGAATTCCTTCTCGGAGGCAAGACTGTCAACTTTGAGCACACCAGAAGTCTCTGTAGGCGAAGATTCATGGCAGATAACGCATCATGACGATCGATGTAGTCGCGTGAGCGGCCTACAGATATTTCGACATTCGGTTCGACTTTCACCTGAAGAGCTCAAGATACGTTCTAGACTGCAGATCCGTCGATCATTGCTAATGGTGGGCGTCAAGAAGACTCATTTAGGATCTAATCATGCCAAATCCAATCGTTGATCTTCGGGGGTCCTTCCTCTATTAGCCCTCCACGCGTGCATCGACTTTTGTACCAGTTGATTCGGCTCGAATCATCCTGGGAAATTACTTTGCTATTCCCGAGTGACTCCATAGCGGTTGCGGCCTTATTTGTTCGGTCCAAGCAGTGGATAGAACGCCGGATACCAAGCAGGTAATCTATCAATATTGAATGCTACCTAGGTAGGTATGTACGTGAGGTATTACCAAGTACATACTGCTCGAATCTTGAGCATACAATGGGCTAATTAGGACAAGAACAAGGACAAGGTGAATCCTTTGGATGACAGTCCAAGTCAAGCTCAAATACGCAATTACGTGGCCCAACCAATGGTCAGAGATCAAGGCGCGATCAATTCCCGAGAGCCTCGTTCGCATTTCTTTACGTGCTTATCACTCGATAGGCACAAGTAGACATCACACCAACCACGGGCGATGTGGAATGGAGGATTACGAAAGCTCAAGTAAAAACCCAGGGTGGTGGACTTCCCTTCGCAATTATTAATTATTCATGGGAGTCTTTGACTTTGTCTGGTGGTTGCTCTGGCGGCTCTTGGTGCTCAGCCTCACCCGCTCCCCTTTCCACCCCTGAATCTTTTTCCATCGGGGTCGCGCACTATTGAAACTTGGCACCCACGAGTTTCTCCAATTCCATCCAAAGCGTTCAAGTCTCCTTCACACGCGAGATCATCTTCACACACACTGGTACTCGGTACTAGGTAGTTCCTGTTTTTATCACCCTCGTGCTTCGCTACCAGTTAGTGCCTACTTTTGCCACGATCGCGACGTTGTTGGCTCTTGTCCTTGATGCATGCTATCGACATGGTGGTGCTTGCTGGGCCGGTTACCCCCTGGACAAGCCTCAACGGTCGTCTCTGGGGCATACGAGGATCAGTTAGTGGCTGCACTACCTTGTACTCATCGAGTCTCTGACTTTCTGGACGCGGTGAATCGTGGACCGAGTAGGTGGTGATGATTATGCTCACTTACGCAAGACGAGGCGGAAATAAACTCTTTTTTGACTTGTTAACGTCATTTACAGTCAAGATTCAAGAACCACTAAGATAGGGTTTTGACACAATCGAAAATAGCCCGCAGGTTTACTCTTCTTTGGGAATCCAATTCTGTATGTGTACAACAACTTCTGATGGAACAGGTGTTTGGAGAATATTTCGAGCGCCACCATTGGAAAGCCACAAAAAGCCATCACCGTGGTGGCCCAGGGTGGTCTTACCCAATTCTCGACAAACTTCGCAGGAATTCTGGGAGTCGCAAATGGTTTTCAACGCATTGTGGAGCCTCATTTCCAGACTAATACCCGCCCGCATTCCATCGAGCCTGCCTACTAACGCTGACTGGTAAGAATGCCACCCACCATCTTCTCGGTTCTTCGAGGTAGGTTGGCCCCGAGTCCCCGACCGACTACACCCTTGTAGGCTGTCAAATCCTTCAATCGACCTCCATGTGCTGTTTACTTTGACATCTCGAGGATGGTATTCAATTTTGTTACTCTTTTATTTTCGCCTCGAGCATCGTCCAAGGTCAAGTTGATTTCATCTAATAATACACAACAACTGAGGCAAAGCGAGTATCAAGCTCTTTCAACTCCTGTCGCTTAAATCACTCTGAAACTCTCCAATCCGAAAACGAGCACCACCCTTGACCTTCTTCGGCAGATCAACAGGATCAACGCCCAGGGTGGAACACGTGGTATCGCCCATTCCCAAGTCTAGAATCAAAAGATCGGCGCTGGACTTCCCAACCTTTATCCCACACGGTCGCAGTAACACCGTGAGACCAACAAAGCACAATCATCCCGAGGTGTGAGGTACTCTGATACCTGAACGACTATCGAAGTCGTCGTCGTTCAACAACTGTCGATGGCGGACGGCATTACACTCTTTTGAATAGCACCCAACTCGGTGCTTTGTCCTGAGATCTTTCTCATGGGCGTCCATTCGTTCTACAACTGAATTCAAACTACAGTCACTCGCTACAGCACAATATAATTAATCACGAAACTCACAATATGGGTAATCTACGCTCAAACATACGCAACAGCCGAAGAGGAGGGCTCGCTGGCCTAGGCAACAGTTCTACGATAATGCTTTCCTTAATGATAGTGTTGGTGGCGATGGTATCAAGGACATCAGGATATGCAATCAACTATACACCCAGTGTCGACGACTCCAACCTCTTGAAGGAGCTGGCTGCACGAGGTGAAATCCATGTCGACCGGCGAGCGCCTCCACCACGACCGACCTTGGTGTTTAAGCGGAGGCAAGTTGGGGAAGACGAGGAATCAACAACTACAGCCGAATCTGCGGCTACCTCAACCGCGAATTCAGCTGCTTCAACAACAGAGACATCAAAATCTGCAAAATCAACCACCACGAAAAGCTCGTCAACTGGAGGAGACACGTCGGTAACTCCAACTACTACATCTGGAAACACTTTACCTTCCGTCACAGTTGTCACTACATCCCTACCTTCCGCATTCGATACATCCTTGGGGAGTAATTTCACCAAATCCTCATGCCCTCAATTCTTCTCCAATTTCCTCAGCAACTCGACATTCCAATCATGCCTTCCAGTATCTCTTTTTCTACAGAACTCCAACTCCTTCATTCAGGTCGAGAAGTCAGGCCCACTACTCACTCAAACACTCGACGCGGCCTGCGACGCACCATTAGCAGTCTGCATGCCGTTACTCAGCAATCTCGCCTCAGAACTCATCGAAGATGACAACTGTGGTACCGATTTCGCGCGCCAGAACCCACTGGTCGTGCAGGCGTACTCGGGCATGATGGCATATGAACCCGTATACCGAGCGACCTGCCTCAAAAGCAGTGAAACGGGAAATTACTGTTTCAGTGACGCTGTCTTGAACAGAACTAACCCTTTCGACTTCTATCCCTATCTGACAGCTGTAGGCATGACCTTGCCGGCGGTGGTACAACCCACATGCAACCAGTGTCTACATGACACAATGGGTATCTTCGCCGGCTATGCAGGTACAGATAATCAACCTCTGGCGAAAACATACACTGGATGTGCCAATCAACTGGACTCCCTGTGCGGTGCGGGCTTCGTCGCCACAAACGTCAAGACTGGCGCCGTGACCACGCCCGGCTCCTCCGGTGCCTCTGCACCCCAGATATCCGTCATGACTGCTGGATTGGCGACGTTGATAGCGGCGATATGGTTAGGCACATAGACGAGCAAGAGCTGCTTTGTTTTTGAGGAGCACTGGCATTGTTTGGCCAGTCCATGTGAGATGAAATTTACCTTGTCGCCCCGCCCTTCCATTCCAGTTTGGATTGCTGGAAGGGGTCAGCCAAGCAGAGATACCACATTTATCACGAAGGAAAAAATCGAGGCAATGTATATAGCACGGCGTTCTTTTGGGATGGGCATTATTACGGGATATGGATAGATTAGCGAGCGGATATGACAACATGCTCTTGCCAGTCTTCTGGTATAAATGGCATGGGGATCTATGTAGATAGCAGGATCAAACACTCCCACATCGATTATAACGATGTTTTGCTTCAAGCACTGGAGAACTTCTGCTTTTTTGTCTTCCGTTTTCGTGCAATCTACCTTAAGTATTACCGTACACATCCGAAGACTATGTCATGCCATGCCTTGGGCCTCCAGCCTCCTCCAACCTTCTTTGATCGTAGGAGTAGGGGATACCAGGTGATACCAGATCCAGTCACCTCGACCTCCTGAACGGGACACTCCATCACCCAGCAAAAGGTCAGCCGGTGCTTTGTTCTCGGGTCGTCGGGCGCAAGTTTCTCCGGACTCTCTTTTTTTGGACCAAATAGGGGGGGAGGTTTCTTCACTGGGAGTTTCGTCACCCAGCAAACATATTCTTTCGCCAGATTCCCCCAGATTCCCCCAGATCTAACTATCCAGCAGTGACGACTCGCCTGAGCTAGGTGGTTTTTTGTTCCTGGCACTTTAGGGGTACCTATAGGTAGGAAAGGAGGAGGCAGCTATCTACATACAGGACCCTGGTTCGCGTTGCAGCTTGAGCTGAGGTCGACTCTCTGCACGGTTCGGAGGAAGGGGGTTGGATATCTATGATACTCGGCGAGAGAGAAGGTTAGGTCAAGAGGATTGTCTAGAAACGGGTTTGCGCATTGTTATTGTCGGCGCACAGGCTCTCCCACAACACTATTCTGCAGGAGCTCGCTATGAGACGGACTTGGTTGCTATGGACTGCATCTTGAAATTGCACACGCAGGATTCACTTCTCCTTCCTTGCCCAGTTTGTACACTCATACACTCGAAGTCATACCCAACCTTAGAGTCGACCTGCTTCACCATTTCTTCGACTCAGAACAAAATCCAACATCACTGCCTGCACGCTTGGACGCCAGTGGTAAGGTGATTCCCTTCCCACAGGACTCTGGACCAGATCAGGCGTTGTCTCGTCGCATTTTTGGTACAAATGATGGGACGGTGGGATCAAGCTTTATGCTGCGCTTCGCAGGGTGAGTTTCTCTATCTGTTGTGGTGTTCTTGTGTTCGGGCTTCTTCTTGCCTTTCACGGGAGGAGCTTTCTGAGCGGCATCTGGAGTCTCCTCTGGGGTGTCCTTTTGATTGTCATCCTTCGGGCTTTGTTCATTGTCGTTTGGTGAGTCGTGGTCATTAGGCGCACTGTTCAGGTGGGATTCTTTAATATCGCCCTTGGCATCTGGACTACCCTGAGCTCCCTCTTGAGCGTCGTTCTGAAAACCTGCCTGGGCAGCTTCGTGGCCCTCTTCCGAGTCCTGAGCTCCCTCCTGAACATCTTCATGCGTACCTGCTTTTCCTTCATCATCTCTCAATCTCAATATTCTCAACATCTCATTCACACCCAGAGTCTGTGCACTTCCTGACGATGTTTTACCCGATCCCCGTCCCTCTTTTCCCTCCAACCTGGGGATGATCGGTTTCCCACGCTTGAGATTGGCTTGTACATCTTTCTCCAGCTTTATCACGGCCCACTTCCGCTTCAAACTTCTCTCGAACTTTTTTGTCTTTGCATCCTGGCTATGCTTCATGTGGAGCAAAGAGAACTTCTGTCCCATCATACGTTCAAGTTCAGCTGTATGGGGTTCGAGAATCTGCACTCGTGACACACGATACCAAGCATCGAAGTCCATTCTGTTTCGGTCACAGCTTCGGGCGCCGTGAAAGACTGCGATAGGGACTTCTTCGCGAGGGACGCCACAAGAAGCACCCATATCAGAATTTTTGCCATGGGCATCATTGTTGCTGTCAATTTTCAGATCGTCCGAGTGCTCTGGTGGCAATAAATGGAGGTTGGACTTTGCGAAGATGATGTTGTCCTTTTTCCAGCGTGGATTGGAATCGTGGAAGACCAGGACATAGCTGAGAACTCTCGGATGAGCGGCCGATGCTAGAAGTGTAGCATGCGATTTTAACGGAGGATCATTGTTCTTGATTGGCTTGCCGTCGTTATCCTCAGTGCCGAAGGATGTATTGCTAACTTTCTCCCCACAAGAATGATCACGCTCAACATCTTCGTCCTTAAGATCTTCACAGCTTGAGTCTTGGACCTTGAGGTCTGCATTACCGTTTGGCCAGAAATACTGTTTGATCTCCTTCACTGTTCGATAATGATCCCGTCCGAGATCTCCAAGAGAGGGATTCAGTTCGCCGTCCTGGAGATGGGGTGAGACACACTTTGCAGTACTGTTGATCGAGTTGGCAGTTTGATGGCCATTGCGAGCATGAGGTGGAATATATCGAGCAGCCATGACGAGCTAGGGAGAAGAGACACTCAGTGCAGACAGAGAGACTGGAAGATCGTTTTGAGATGTGGGCACAACATGTGAGAGGAAGAAGAAAGGGAGGGAATGGGAAATTTAAGAAGAAATATGTGAGTAAAGAGCCGCGGTTTCAATAAGCCAATTCCAGGTCATTCAGAAGTAAGTCGTTCCCACTGCACTAGTCGTTACGCAGGCTTTTGTTGAGACTGGAGGGCACCGATGCTCATCAACACGAATGCTAAGCAGCCTTGATAAGGAATTTGTTCGTGAGATATGAACAGCTATCTGAGACACAGCCACAAAGCAGCCCAGACACTGTGTCACTGAGGCGAGAAGGAAGATGACAGAGCTGTGATTGCAAGCATTGTCGTCGTGGATGGCAAACACAGCGTGTCTCACTACTATCGGAAACTTTCATTGTTCAATATGCTAGCCACAGATCTGGAGCAAGCAGCCTGGTTGCGAAAGAAATGTGCAGAATCTCAGGGTATCATTGTCAAGTTGCTCAGCATCTGATTGTGGAACAACGGGAATGAAAGACACCAACTCTTGCGCCTTGGGGTGTACTATGTTGGGCATATAGAGGAAAGGGAGTTAGTCTTACGTTCTAAAGAGCTCTAGCTAGGAGGTGGCGTCACTTCTGTCAGCATGATTCAATGGCAGCGGAAAAGTCTGTTATATGATATAGCGATTATAAGATTCATGGGTATTAAGTATTAGATAAGTGATATATGTAAGTATGCAAGATTCTATGGATGCACATGCTCAACATCGTCGTCGTTTCTGGACATCTACCCTAATTTTATAAACATATCATCCCCAAGAGCTAATCAGGCAACACATCTAGTCCTTGCTCAATTTGGCCCTGAGCTTTCCACCCCAGATGTAGAAGCAAAAAGGGATAAACACCATTCCGACACCAATGAAGGCTAACAACCACGACGCCCAGTTCAACCCCAAGCGGTCGTACATCTGGGTGGTGAACAGTGGGAAGGCCGCTCCACCGCCCGAGCGCAAGAAGACTTTCGCGGCCAGAGCGGACGCCGCATATTTCTGGTATGAGTCGATGATATAGTTGTTGACGGAGTAGTAGCACAGCACCATGCCGTAGCCGAAGGCGAGACCGGACGAAGCAGGCCCGACCCAGATGATATGGTGGTAGGAGGTGGCGCCGAGGATGAAAAGGCTGACGGGGATGAAGGGGGCGCCGATGAGAGCACCGACCAGGCGGTCCTCGGGCGTCGGGGTACGTCTCGCGCAGATGGCGCGGAACTGTTTCTCGATGTAGGGCGTGGTGACGAGGGCGAAGCCCGCGCCGATCAGGATCGGGATGAACATCAGGCCAATCTGCCCGTCGTTGTAGCCGTACAGCTTGCCGAAGATGACTGGGTACGCGAAGAAGAAGGCATACAGCATCGCGTAGATCAGCACGATGTACATGCACATCAGGTCGAGGACGGGCTCGGTCAGGATCATCGTGATGGGGCGGACCAGGCTGGTGCGAACGATTTGCTTGAGGGTCAGTTTGGTCTTTTCTTGCTCCGTGATGATGTTTGGGTCGCCCGTTTCTTTGCGCAGGCGTGCCGCGCGCCGTTTAAGGATCACGGGCGCATAAGTTTCGGGAATCAGACCGATCAGGATCATGATCACGCCGGCAAAACCCATGTTGACCCAGAAGAAGAGGTCGAGGCGTCCCGTACCGATGTTGATCCACCCACATACGATCGGGCCTAAGACAGGGCCCGCATATGGCGCAGCCGCGAAGTACGCGATCGCCATGCCCCGTTCCTCGATGTTCCAGATGTCGGCGATGGTGCCGCCAGCGAGGGAGAGGCCGGAGCTGGAGAAGACGCCGCACAGGAAGCGGCAGGCTAGGAGGCCACCGATGTTGGGCGAGAGGGCACAGGGAATGTTGAAGATGGTGTAGAGGGCCAATGAGATGATGTAGACGGGTCGTCGGCCGATGATCTCGGAGAGTGGGGACCACAGCAGAGGGCCAACGGCGAAGCCGCACACCATGATGGAGCAGGTCAGGATGGCAACCTCGAGGGAGACGTTGTATTTATCTTCGATCAGACCTAGGCCACCAGTGACGATTGAGGAGCCGAATGCAATGCACACAACTAACATGGACGCCATCAGCGTGATGTACCATCGGTAGACATCCGACCAATTGTGGGGATTCTCGGGGTCGGCGATCGTGAAGGTCACGAATTCGACCGGGGCTTCGCCTGCTTTCTTCTCTGGGTCGGGTTGTTCCTCATCTGACGAGGAGCTGGAGCTGGGTAGTTCTGCTCTGGATCGGATCTGCTCGAGGGTACGTTGTGGCACGAGACCTGTGACTGTTTCGATGGTGTATTCTTCAGGGAAGAGGGGTTGGCTTGTCCGTCCGACTTCGGGATAGTTGACGTCGATTGGTGGTGGGTTTTCCGATACGCCGATGTTCTGGAGTGTTGCTCGAGTTTCTGTCCTGTAGAGTCGGAGGTTTAAGTCTTCATGCTGAGGCTGAGCTGGTTGGTTGGTGCCTTGTGAGGCAGTCTCTTCTGGTTGGGGTTGTGACATTTTTGGATGGATAGGTATTGATGGTGGTTGTGGCGGAAAGGGATGTCGCTGTGTGCGATTGCCGTATTGTCGATAAGAACATGATGGACCTGAGGGAGGTAATCCTCCATCCTTAATATACTGGCCCGAGTTGTTGACTAGGAGAGGTATACTGATTATTGTTTGGAGGTCGAATTTTGATCGGTGGCATTCTGGCCGATCATTTCCCGACCTAAGGCCGGCGAGCGTTTTAATTCGTGCAAGATCGACGTCATTTATCAGCCTCGCTGTCCCGAATGGGCAAGGCTGACTGTTGAGAAGTTTAAGCGATTGTCCTGAAATGGTTGGTTCGGTTGCTGATGGTTTAACCGCTATTGAGGTAATTGGTTATTCAGCTTTTCCTGTCTCGGAGGCAGCAGTCTGGAACACTGAATTGCGAGAGTAAGCCGACGGGTCACTTAGGGCTGGTGGAGGTTCAAACGGGCAAGGTCTTGTTGAATGGAGCTCACTGGTGGCATTGAGATGCATTTCGCTTGTGGTTATTAAAGCCGTATGGAGAAAGAGGTCAACGTTCTGCCAGTGCCTATTGTCACTCCGTATTTCGACCCACTTATGCTTATCGTGCATGAGATGACATCCATGGCATCACGAATATAACGCAATGGGAAGCACATGCGATACTGACTCTTGTCGAAAAGGAGAGAAATTGACCGGCACATGGAAGGATTGTGCAGGAAGATTTTAACAATGTCAAGAGAAGAATGGCCGATTGTGAAAATCGAGAACCTCCACCGAAAAGAACAAATATCACCTGCGAACAATAAACAGAACAGTCAGTGTAATTCAATTCTATACCATTGGCAGGAGACTTCATCAATCATGGCCCATCCAGAATTTCCCACTCTGTCAACCAACGCCTTTCTATAGTTCCAAAACGCCTCGATCACTGCATCATGAAGCCCAAGGGCGGGCGTGAGAGTTCTCGAGGACACTCAATCCACAGCAAAGCATATTCTTCGTCAATGGCATGTCATGACTGCTCAAAAGCCATAAACCCAGCGTATTCGTTTTGTTGGGGTACTTGGAATCTATTCATCCATCGAGTCATCACAAACTGCCCCTCCTAGGGAACGCAACTCCTTCGACGGCCGCACTGTCGGTGAACCATGAAACTTTTTCGCCAGCGCCCTCATTGACGAGTCCACACGGTAGATTGCGGCCCTCATCGTCGGCTTCAAGGATCTTCTTCAGGATTTCTTTCTTTCCACCGCCCGTGGCCACGAAAGCGATCTTGTGTGCATGTGTCACGACAGGTAGCGTAAGTGTAATTCTCCGTGGGGGCGGTTTGGGGCTATCTTCAATGCTTGCGACCCAAGCATCAGCCTCTCGGAGTAGTTCATGGCCAGGGAAAAGACTGCAGGTGTGACCGTCCGGACCACAACCGAGGAGAATGAGATCGAAAATGGGTAGGCGGACACTATCCTTGTTGGCGAATCCGGACATGAGGACTTCCTGATATTGATCGGCGAGCTCTTGGGTATTGTCGAGATATTTGAGATTGATGGGATATACATGGGGTGCGCCTTGTTCGGCAGGGATTTTGTCAAGTAGATCTTTCTTCAGGAGACCATAATTGCTGTCTTCATGATCGAGGGGTACAGCACGTTCGTCGGCGAAATATATGTGCCACTTGGAAAACTGGGGGCTTTGCGATGCATCTTCGTTGTTACCTGGAATAAGGAGGGCTTTGGCCAGAGTGGCTGGCAAGCTGCCACCCGAGACTGCGATCTTAAACGCATCATGACGGTTCAAGGCGGCTTTCTGTGCATGGAGAATGTAGGTGCGCAGGTTGGCTGCGACCTCATCGACAGTGGGGTAACTGTAGAGGTTGGGTTGCTTTGCCATGATATCGGTTGAGCGAAGAGGGAAGAGCTCGGATACGTGGGGAAGGGGTTTTTGAGAGAGTGCTGGTCAATTAAGGTGGAATGGTTGAATCATGGAGCTGAAGACGAGAGGGAAGATGTTGCAGTCGTGGGATGTTCGAGTTGCACAAGTTTGAAGCAAGAGATCGTAACAATAATGGTGGGGGGCTCGGAACACAAAATCTCGGCTCGGACAATTTAAATAATGACGTTTCAGCCTCAAGCCTTCAGGTACCAAACTTGAAAGGACCCCAAGTTTTGATTGAGAGGCATTCCAAGGGCACCCCAATAATAGATGAAACGGTTACAAGCCGAAACAATCGCTCCATTAATTCAAGCCAAAAGCATCCACAACAGTGGAGGAACCGGTAGTGATCATTCTAGTATCAGTGCTCCAGGGTTATCCGTCAAGGCCAGCACGAGGTACCTCGTATTATCGCGGGTCTATCTAACAACCGAAGTAGGTACATACCTATCTGGGAACGAGTTTTGGAAGCCACGAGTGGATGAACTTTGAGTGACAGATGATGAAACCTGATCGGACCATAAGCCACGAGCCACAGCGCCACGTGACTTTGCATGAGCCTGCTGCTAGGAAGGGGTGCTTAGGTAGTCAAAAGACGGGTCGCCAAGGACACCGAGTATCTCCGTCCTCAACCCTGCTCGACACAGTAGTGATTAAGACACCAGGAGTGACACATGCATCTATGAGTCCAAAAGAAGGGTGTGTTCATCATCGTATGACGGATCTCGTCGGCATCGACATGCTGAGTCCCAACCCAACTACTTGCTGAGTGGATGCTTACTGGACTGGAGCATGAGTATCTAGGTCCTACGGATATGTTCCCAGAACCCAGAGTCCAGTAGCAACAGTGCAATCTCTGCACCGGGCCATTGGCATCGGTGGCAAATGACACTTCACCTGAAATGGTAGGCGTCAGATATCCTGGCGGATATGAACTCCATCCACGTTGAGGGGGTGGTCATCTGCCCGGATGGCACTTCCAGAGAGTTGGAATTGACTGAACAACACCCACATCGTCAGATACGGATGTCGAGAGAGCCAGACCGAATAAAAGGTGAGCTGATGAACCTCAAGTCAGGCGCTATGAAGGATCGGCAGCAGAGTTGCTCTTATAGAAAGAGGACGGTGAGAAAGTTGGACTCGTCACCAACAACGAGTGGGATCAGCCACACTTTGGACGAGCCATGACGACAGAAGAGCCGTTGAAACTGTGGCTTGATGAGGCGCCACTCGGTGAGCCGAGTTGAGATTGGATGAGCCCTTGGTGCGGAAGACACTTCCTGGTGCCAATTCGTCCTCCTGCTGCCGAGGTTCGCCGAGAGCCCAGCGACTGGAAGGCACCAACGCCGCCAAACCCGGTTTTTAGGTGTGAGTGACTGCTGCCGCCGCGCGTAGAGAGGACATCCAGATCGAAAACATCAACTCACATCGACAAATTCTTTATCGATCCCCATTCCACCAAAACCTTCCCTCCCAGTCGTCTTCAATTCCCATCTTCTTGTCCATGCCTTTTTGCCTGCCTCTGGACATTTCGGAACTGGTTTTTGGCTCCACGCGTGTTTTCTTGAACTCCACACGTCCCCCCAATCCCTTAAGGCCCTGGGTACGACTTCTTCCATCCTTCTCGCAGTCTAACCCTCTAGCTTTCCCTCTTCAACTTTCCATCCTTTTGCTACGTTGAAATTGATATATCATATATTTTAATGACATAGCCCTCTTGATTTTCCAATATCCTTCTCCAGCCATGTCGTCAACACCCTCCATCTTACAGCTTCAGGCCCAAGCTGCTGCGGGCACAAAATCTCCCAGACTATCCCCTCTTGTGAAGTCAAAGAACCCCAGCGGTGATTCTGTCAACAGTCTCTCCTCCAGCGGATCTTCCAGTGGAACCGCTTCTCCCAAATCCTCAATAGATATTGTGCGCTGTTCCCGATGTCAGCGTTCCCTTAGTATCGATATGACCAACCCGACTGTCCAGTCTGGTGCTATCCGGTTCGGCATGAACTCTTATTATTGCAACCGGTGTGCGACTGTCGTTGGTTTCGTCAAATGAACCACCATCGCAATTCTTCCAACCACAGACATGAAGCCTCATCAGCAGCTCATGGTCTACGATTTCGAACAGAATCATACATGGATTCTCCACGCCAACTCCCTTGCAGCCAAGGTGCTCCCAGTAAATAGGTCGACAGTGATACGACTTTGACCTAGGCTACACGAGATCAACAAAGGACCATCTCACCGCCGGTGCCTAAGGTGTCACACTTTTCTGGTGTGGTTTTGTGTTACGCCTAGGATGGATTCTGATGCCACGAGCATGCGCCAAGTTTGGTACAGAGATTGGCTTGGTTGCCTTTACCATATTCTCCGGTTTGATTTCAGATCCTCCACCATCACCAACAGCGAGAACAAATCATGGGATCGAGGGACTTTTCATTTAGTGGTCGCTCGACCCAAATTGAACGGTACACAACTTGTGTCCCCCAAAGGAGCACAGACAAGATGATGACACCAGATGGAAGATGCAGGACATATGTCCATCGCGGTTCGGGCAAATCAATCGACGTCACACACCTATCAATGGTGTGAAAGGACGCCAGCTTGGATCATTGTTCAGCTTTGGCCTGACTTTGAACCGGCCCACTTTATTCTGCCATGCACATTGTGCCGCATGAGGATTTGCTTAGATAGCTAAGCAGTGTAAAATAAATAAATCTTTCCGCTTTTCATCCGAGACCAGTCCAAGATCGTTGTGAATGTCAGTGAGTTCCGACGTGTAGATATATTTACAGTTGCCGTAACTCGTACCTCGAACGATCATCACTCCCACAAGATCAACGCGTCTACACTCTGCCTCATTGGGGTCTCACAAAATAAAGTACGCTAGCCAATCATACCCCTGGCAAGCCTTTGCCAATTTTCCGGAGCTGCCATTGTCAGTATCGTGTGCTAATCTGGATCTGTTCCGCCCAAAACCCATCTTCTGGGCCCGCTCGGTTGTCATTATCGACTCCGAATGTTAATGCTCAATCCGAATTTCAAAGGTCTCTTGACTGATCAATTGCTCGGTACCAAATATGGCCATCATGCATTCACCCGTGCCGGAAGTTACTCGGGATTCTTGTTCAAGGGTCGGACCCTTCGCCGCTGCAGCCCAAGGGGCACGCTCGGCAATCTCCAGGGGCTCGTCTCTGACCATGATTGTATTGGAACCCAAGACAGATTTCTAAGAGTCTTGAGATTGGCTCCTGCCTTCCTAGGCAACAAGTCCTTTTCTATTTACGATACGAGCATAGCTTGTCCAGAGTACGGATGGACCTCTTTCTCGCAAAGTTCGGTTCCTGCTTCTCCCGGGTGGTACCCTTTGTGTATCGTAACCGAAGTCTTGGATCCCTGGATCCCTGGATGACCGATTTGGCTGATTTGGCTTAAGTCAAACGCCCCGGATCTTTCAACCCACCAATATCCAACCTCCCATCAACCCACTCCTCTCCAGATCCGAACGACTGATCATTTTCTCGTCCTTTCATCCCTGGATCTCAGGTTGCCGTGCACGTCCTTGTATTCATGCTTGTGCTTCACTCCAGAAGCTGCTCGGAGGAATATCTTGGTATAACCATGCCTCTTTGACATGAGGCTCAATTTGTAGGTTGCAGCATGCTCCAGTTCAACTTGATCAAAGGACAGGCCAAAAATGGTCACACGATTCACACGTGAGATCGATCCCCCACATGTTCCGCTGTGCAAGATCTCCCACCGGCATTGGCGACTAGGGCCAGATCTCGGGTTTCCAGATGACACTACCGGCTCAGATCGTGGTTGATGGCCCGGAGATACTAATCCAACCACCCTCTTCCGAGAGGTATGGCTACCAAACGTTCAAGGTCTCATGTGTGTGTGTGTGATATCCAACAATTGTCGGTTTCGCTCGACCCTCGACGCTCAAGCGTCTCTTGAGCCCTTTTTCCCAGCATTTATCCTTGGCTTCGCAGGTCAGTGAGCCAGGAGCCTTACAGAATAACCGTGCAAATACGGAGTACTACCGCCCCATGTGAGGGCGTCCTTCTCACAGATACCGGGACCCTGGTACCCAGGGACCCAGTTTTATTCACCAACCCTGCCAACGCGCTCCTTCAACTTTTCAAGCCTGCACGGTTCTGTTCAATTGGGCAGCAGCTAAACCTCTCTTAGAAATCCTTGCTGCGTACGTGATCATGTGCTTGCGATAGGCGTGGGCTCCGATCTGTCTTCCTGTCAGATCTCCTTCTGAGATCTCGGACCCTACCCTGTTCTCCTACTATCGCCTGCCAGGGATGGACAAGCCTTAGCGCTCCCTTCTCCCCGTGGTTGACGGCTCCTCGTTTTCGGTTCAGCCATATCAGCCTTCGGCGATGGTCACAGAGATGAACCCATCAATCACTAATTCAATAGATCGAGGAAGATCTTGGATCACCTTGATGTTATATCAGATCTACTCCCTGACTACTGCACTTATTACATCATTTTGCTCCCACCATCACTGATACTGACCGGCCTTGATTCAAACCGATTCTCCCGAAAGGGGTCCGACAAGATCGTTACAATATCCGTCTCACGAGATTTCTCCTCTGTCAAAAGTCACAACTGCAAATATTGATGTCTTTGTGTACCAGTCTTCAGGAGGTATCATCAAGAGCCTGAGGTCTATAAATGACTTAACATCTTCGCGGGAGCACTCCCTCGGACTTATGAATTCATCAATCTGGAAGCCCATCTTAGTAGGTCAATAACCCTTTCGTCACTAACGGAACCATCACGGCCTGGACCTTGCAGTTCCCGTCGCGCATCAGGTGGCTGAATAGTACCCCTTGTCAAAATTAACCCTGTTCGTGGGGAATCATTGCAGCCTCGCCTGCCTGGCACTGGCACATCCGGTTCCCCGTTGACACATCTCCATCATCCGTTCCTTTCTGATGGTTATGCATCAGATCAGCTCTATAAAGGTTGACCTCCACATACTGTTCCCACATATTTGCGGTGAAGGTGTCTGTCAACAAGAGTGCCAAATCCATTGGCCGTTATCCCATCACGTTCTTGAGACAACAAGAAGAACCAGGGTTTACCGAGCCAAAGACTAATCATTTTGTCAAGTGTCATCCTCAACCTCTTCCCAGCTATGCCTCAGGAACGTCAGCGAGCTCGGGATTCGAGCAAGGATGATGCTCAATTCATCATTATTGTCAAGGATGTGTGTATAGTCCCTCCTTGTCTCTAACATTTCATACTGATTCTCGTGGAAGATTCCTCGTCAGTGCAGATGGCAAGAACTCAAGGATATGACTCGACATCTTGGAGGAGAACAAAGCTTAAAGGCGGAGGTGTTTGAACTCCGTGATGGGTCTCAACTTGGGCACTGTACGGTCAAAGGGAGGACCGCTGCGAATCAGGTCTATGGTAAGTCACCAGGAGATAACAAATTCACATTTATTCGCCCAAGGCTGACTTTATGCAGAGGGGTTTCTTCAAAATGGTTGGAATGGTCTTTCTGTCTTTGTCTCATTGGCCATCCTCGAGAAAGGAGCCTTGACGTCAATTGAAGGACCGAAGAAAACAGTCGGCATGGATCAGGCACGATCAACCGACGTGCGGTACTCTTGTGCTCAAGAAGCCTCTGCTCTGCACAATCATGTTGGCACTATGTATGGACACCCTCCGCGTTTCGAAATATTTAATGCTAATGCGAGAAGGCCCTACACCAGCTCAAATACTCAAACTGGGTCTACAAGCTATGGCACACAATACAGTTTCGACCCCGGTATGACATCGTCAACGTCAACACCTAATGGACTGCCACTGTATGCGTCTGGAATGACCAAATATCCATATCCATACCAGATTGCACCAGCATACAACACAACTCCTGTTCGTGGAGATTACCCAACATCACCAACCCATTATGCTCCGAGCTATCCCACAACCACAGCATTCAGCCAACCCACAAGCAAATCCCGACCACCAGTGAATGATGGGACCTCTGTTTTCCTCTCCGGCCTCCCCTACTACCACTCTGAAATCGAACTACGCAACACGCTCCGTGCCTACGGACATCTCACCTACCTTGAGATCCACCCAGATAGCCGTAAACTGGGCAAAGGAAAAGGCACGGCACGTGCACGGTTTCAAACACCCCAACAAGCCCTGACTGCGATCCGAGGCCTCGACGGACGGAGCATCGGCGGACGCAAAATCAGCGTGAAACAAGTCAAAGACGACATCGGCTCAGGATATTCCACAACCAACACCTCCAAACCCGTTTCCGACAACAGGACCACCCAGGTGTCCATCTCGTCCCAGAAAAAGATCCACAAGCGGAGTAAATCCAGCGGCGGTGCGGTGTCTTCGTCGACATCGACGGACAAAAGCCACGGCACCAAGGCCCACCACTCGTCCAATACCGGACCGCTGGTGGTGAACGGCGCGCGAAGCTCTGGGAGCCGGCGCAACAGCAGGGATGCAGCGAGTGAGAGTGACGAGAGTAGTGAGGACTCCAACTGCGAAAGCTCCGATAACAGCTCGGACGACGAGGAGGACGAAGATGAGCCGAAGCTCAGTAGTGCGAAACGTGGTATGTGTCTTCTCTTCCCAAAGTTCCCCTTTCTGGCTCTCTACCCACCTCATCTCCCATTAATCCATCCACCCCCTACCTGGTCAAGCCTCGTCGATCAAAAAACTAAGATTTATTCTCTTCCTCGAATGTAGCTTCCGGTATATCCCGCGGTGTCCGCGGTATGAGGATCTGAATGCGCCACGGTTAAGCATGCAGTATATGTCGAAAGCCTTCACCCTCGGGGAGACAAAACATTACAAACCCATCATCGCTGCTGCACATTCCCCACCACAGGATCATCGCACAGCAAGCAGCATATACACAACGATACACGCATACAGACACGCACCACACGCATAGGAGAGACGGAATTGGGATCGGAATTGGGAAACGCAGAGCCGAAAGGACGCTCAAGCGACGCAACCCGCGGGTTCAGACAGTACCACCATTGCACTTGGATGGGATACCTAATGCCTCAGTTGGCAGGATAGGACAGAACAGAACAGAACAGGCGGGCGTTCATTGGGGGTTTTTCAGTTCTTGCACTTGCCTTGTCGAATTCATGAATTGTTTGTTTCTGTTCTTTCTGCATCTTCGTCATTTCAGTCTCCTCATCAGTTAGATTGAAGAGTCGTTTTTTAGTATGTTGTGGCATTGTGCTTAAATGAAACTTTACTACCTACCTACCTAATCAACCGCCTAGGAGATCGAAAAGATATTCGGAGACTTTGTATGGTATTCCGGCGTGGTAGATAGATGTATCTGTTAGGTACCTAAGGGAGTTGGATATTGGGTATCTACATAACTTGGGTTCTCAGATATTTATTCATGCTGGGCGGCCATATATTTATTGGTGAATTGTTTATATCCGACACATGTGGTGCCTACCTACGAGAATACCTGACGAGAATACCTGACGAGAATACCTACGGGTAACTGCTAAGAGTAACTAGTCAGTGGAGAAACCTGGATGGGATGCACGGCCGATCCGCAGGACGGACAACTTGTCATCATGGCCATCACTTCTATACCGTGCCGTGACCTCGTTAACTAGTCGCGCTACCATTAGTGGTGGATTGACGGAAACGTACAGAACGAATCCCTTCTCGGGTTTGCAGAGCTAGGTCTAGGTTTGGGTAGGCATAAACACACCTGTACCAGTCAAGGAGGGAAGACAGGATGGATAGGACGACGGGTTGTGGTTGATTTTATTGGATTGCACAGAACGAGCGAGGGGCGAAGGAAAGAAAAGTAAAAGGATCGAGAAGCTTGAACACTGCTGCATTGCATGTTTGCTTTTCCCTTGCCGCCCGACTTTGGCTTGGCCCGCGGGCTCATCAAAAATAAACTTGGAACTCCAAGCTGCTAGCTAGCTGTTCCAATCAAGACCGCCTCGGGACGTGCTCGATCAAGCGCGCCCCTATACTCAAGATATCAGAACGCGCCCCAAAAGTCCTATACTCATTTCCAGGCCGTCAGCCGGATCCTATACATTATATCACACACACATTTGTCGAGAGATCAGAAAAAGCCGCTCGATATCTCTCAAAAATCATCGCGTTCCTGGACACAAACCCTCGACTTTCATCTTCATGAATAAAATGCGCTCTTCTGAAAACTCTCTGCTGTGATATCACCTGGCTTGCCGGTTACTGGCGGTCCTTTTGCGCTGATGGGCACGGGCACTGGCACTTGGGCTTTGTTCTGTGGTATGCCGGCAGCGCCGTAGATGGAACTCAGGGATTTTGTCCGATTGCTGTCTTCTAACAGTTTCGTTGCTGCTGTGATTGGGCCCGTACCTTTCATAGTACCTGATCGACTTCCCGGCGCCGATGCGGTTGCGTTGCCTTCGGTAATCTGAGGCTGTGTTCTTTGGGCAGGGGTCTGTACTGCTTCAAGGTATGGTGACGGTAAGTAGCCTTGTTTGCCGTCTCTGGCTCGACATCGCCACCATTCCGAGGCATTGCCCATTGGATCTGTTTTTGAAAGCACTGCTACAAAATCGCCCTTTTTGACTGCGAGATCCATACCGCCGCTGTTGGCAGCAGGATTGTAATCATACAAGACTCGGCAGAAGGCCAAGTTTTGGTAGTCGATAGGACCTTGCTCACCATTGACGGCACCCGATGATAGTGCCATTTGCTCTTGGCGGCGCATTTCTTCTTCTTGTGAGCGTGCCAATGCTCGGATCATTTTAGTCATCAGATATGGAAGGCCAAATACGGCGAGTGCGAACATGATGAAGGGTTTCTTGGATGGTCGAGTAGGAGCGGGTGAACCATCCGGTAGGGTTGTGGGAGCCGTACCACCGGAGAGAAAGGATGAGAAGTTGGCAGGTGTGAGTGCTGTAGCATCAGCTGGTGGTGGCCGACCAGTGAGTTTGGCGACAAGTGTGCGTATCCATCGCAAGAGAGTATATATGCCTAGGACGCTGCCGAGGGTTTGCCGAAGGTTTCCTAGTTGTTCAGCCATTGAAACCATTGCTGTCAGGCTAGTTAGTGACCCCGATTTCGATTGCCAGTCATAAGATAATCACACATACCAAAGAATGAAGAATGGGTGGTCATGTATGCGCTTTCAAGCATTTGAGCAAACCCACCAAATGCCCCAACAATACCCTCCATGATCTGAAAGGTAGCGGCAGTGCTCTGATTCCAGGTCTGTGTTAGGCTCTGGTTGTTGGGGTTATTAGGGTCGCCCGGCATGCCCGGAAACCCTCCATAGCCGCCACCGTACATGCTGTTGCCATACATGCTGTTTCCATATCCACCGTAACCGCCGCCATACATGCCGCCCATACCTCCGCCCATTCCGCCGTACATACCACCACCACCGAAGCGCGAATATGGGGAGGAGTAAGAAGAGTATGGAGAAGAGTAGGCGTTGTTCGCAGAACCGAAACGATTTTGATTTGTGTAATTGGAGGCAGTTTGATTGATAACATTATTGAGCGGAGAAGGTCGATCGGGCAAGGCCGGTGCGGCAGAGCTGGGGTCGGTCATTGCGGTGGAAGTTATGGGGGTAGAGATTCCAGAAGTAGCTGAAAGGATAAGTCAGGATAGATGGAGGGGTTGTAGATGATGGTCTACTGACCGGTGGAGGTAGCACGCTCCCAGGGTTTCGGCGGCGAAACAGTCGTCATATTATCTCGGCATGCTTCGTATTGAGAGCGTGAGTAAGAGGCGGGATTGCGGGTAAACGGCGCGCTTGAGAGTGTCTAGTAGGATGTGATGGGAATTGATAATTGTCCAGAAGGAAAAATCTGGAGATATTTGAATGACATATGAAAGGAAGAGTGGTATAGCGGATAGTCGGGGTCACCGTGATTGATGAAAGAAGCTGGAGAAGGCAATAAACTTGTGGAGGGATGGAAACAACCGATGGATGAACTCGATGGCTGGATGACCTTCAAATTGCCTGCAGATTCCCGAAAAAATGAAAGATGCCGAGGGAAGTCTAGAGCACGTGACTTGTCAGCGGCCGTAAATCGAGAAGACCAAGTTCTCAACCCGTAGTCGAACTCGATGACCGAAACCTCACTGCTCAACAAACACAGACATATATAGATGCAGGCTGATTGAAAGACAAAGTCAAGCTGGGATGTATGTAGAATTATTTTCTTGTGGATTACTTCGGCTATCGATGTTTATGAAAGATTTGGCTACCCGCTTGATGGATGATCGATTCCCCGGACTTTAAAAAGTTGCAACTTGCAAGTTGAGCATCTGGACTGACTGCCCATTTTGAGTTCAAATTGGAGGAAGGAGCCACCTGTGGTTCTTCTGGAAGGGACCGAGTACAAACATGTGCCCTGCAATGCCCCTCAGTCAAGCTTCAAGTCACGTGTGTCTGTCATGCTCCTGCCGCGTCAGGCTGCATAATTCAGCCCGGTTCTCCAAGGTGTCCACTCCCATACGATACCATATCAATATCATCCTCTACCAGAACTATTGGACTCCAACTGCCCACTGATCATGATATCCTACAATCACATGAGTTGTCGCCAAAGATACTGCTCTTGACTTCTCGTCCTTGCCTCGTGCCACCCGCATTAACCTCGTGGTCACTTCCAAGTTGCAGACCCAGACTGCGACCACATTTGTCCTCATAGGCTTGGGATGATCCAATAACCTAAAGGAGCAATGATCTTGATCCAGATACCCCGATGAACTCGACCCAAGATGAGGGCGAGACTACTCTTCGCGATCCACAACCCTCCGAAGGTTCCGAACCTCTTTTTACTCAGGAACAGCATCTTCCTAATCCCATCGATGACGATACCCCAGACATTATCCCCTTGACCCAGCATCCTTCCACCATAGACCAAAGTTCGCAGATCCCCTCTGAACGCAACGATCATGATCGGCTTGACCACCTGAACGGAGGTCCTGAGGAGGCTCAGGCCGAATTGCAGGATGGTGTCACAAACGGAATAGACCATATTCTATCTTTTCCAAGACCGATTGAAGACCACAGTAATGATGGATCATTTTCAACCCCAGACGACACTCCGTCAATTCAGGGCTCGGTGCTTTCCTCACCCCATAGCGAAACTGCCTCCCTGCGAAGTCCCGCTAGAAGAGGGAGTCCTTCAAATGTCCACAGGCCTTTTGACACCAGATTTCAGTCTCGCCTGTCGGGTGCCCACTTCTCTCCCCTACGTTCAGCTTCGCCTGCATTCCTAGGCTCTCATTCGCGCCACTCCTCCGTCGCCAGCTTCGCCTTCCAGCCCCCATCCGAACCTGACGATACCGCAACCCCTTGGGATGTCATAAGATGGAATAAGTTCAAGAAGATCACTGGTCAGGCCTTCTCCGAAATTGGGAAGCGCAATTTTGGTATGCCTACATGTCTCGCTGCTACAGATCAACTCGTCATCGGCACATCCAAGGGTCTCGTCCTTGTATTCGACCAGCAACAGAATCACAAAGCCATAATCGGAAGCGGTACAAAAGCTGCAGAAAGTGGTGCAGTTTCTTCTATCGCCATCTCTGCCGACCATTCAACCATTGCGGTTGGCCACTCGACTGGACATATCTTTACCTGGGAGCTGGCGAGGCCCACCAGACCATTTCTACATATTCCACCTATCGACAATTCCCACCCTCAAGCTCGACGTGGCGATGGCCATATTATGGGGAGCGCTGTCCCCCACATTGGCTTTCTCGGTTATAGACACACCGCATTGGTCTCCGCCGATGATAAAGGTATGGCCTTCTCGCATTTGGCCACAAGGGGTATGGGGGCTGTGGGACGGGTGGTAAGGACCACCAGAATTCTGGGTAGATATCCCGAAGTTGTTGCTCGTGCAACTAAGCCATTAAGGAAGAGCTCCGTTCTGGCCTTTTCACCACTGCCACTAGGGAATATCGAACAAAGAACAGATGGCCTTGGCTTGGTTGCTATGTTGACACCTTACTTACTGGTCATTGTTTCAACGACGCCAATAGCTCAAACTCAACATAAAGCTGCCAGACCCAAAGAGGTAGCTGCCCATAGCGCAATGACCGCGGCTTTAGCATGGTTCCCCGCTATAAAATTAAAGGCACAAGATACCGACGTCTCCAAAACGAAACTTGTATATGCATGGTCGAACATTCTGACGATTCTGGAAGTTCACGAAGCACATTCAGAGGATGAAAGGGACAAAGAAAAACCTCCCGAGCTGCAGTTCCTGGCCCGAAGTCGCTTTCAGGCTGAAGAGGCAATTGTCGCCGTGCAGTGGTTAAACCGATCCGTTATCGCCGTTTTGACCATCACGCAGCAGCTTCTGATCATTGAAGATGTCACCATGCATGTGACTGAAGCTTTTGACTTGTTGAAGAAGAATATCTATCATTCAGACCTTTACTCCCAGCAGTTGTTATCCATCATTGAACAACTGGATGAAGAGGACACTTCAATGCATGGTGTGGTAGCGGATGCTTTTCATATGAGTTTCCGTGCCTATAAGGGAAGACTCTTCCTCCTGGGTTTTAATGATATCTGGATTGGTGCATTGACCAACTGGGCCGATCGTTTACTTGCCCTCATGAACATAGGTGACTTCATTGGCGCAATTAGACTGGCAACCAGATACTACACGGGTGAGGGCGAGAAATCCACAATTGGATTGCCTGAGGAAGATGTTGCTCGATACGAGATAGTGCAAGAAAGACTATTGGAGATGATGGCGGCTTCACTGAAATATGCATTTGGAAAAAACCAACAGGCTGGCAATGAACCAATCGAAAAGCCGCAAATGGTCGAATTGGCTGAGGCGTGCATTAAAGCATGTCTGGTTATGCAGGATCTTGACTTCCTGTTTGAAGAGGTTTTTGTCTGGTATGATGATAATGATGAAGGACCATTATTTGTGGATGTCCTGGAACCCTATATCCTTGACCGAACAATAGTCTCCCTGCCACCACCAGTGTTGAAGACAATGATTGACCATTTTGTCATCACACACTCTCCATCAACATTGGAAGAGATCATTTGTATGCTTGAAACATCAACCATGGATCTGGATCAGATCACCACCCTTTGCAGGCAGCACAACCTGTACGACGCATATATCTATGTCTGGACTATGGCACTACGAGATTTCACAAGTCCTCTAACCCTACTCCTGGGGTTTGCCGAATCTGATGGTCCAACCTCACTATCCAGCACTTCGTCGGCTGATGAATACCAATTGGCGCAGAAGATATTTCCATACATCTCATTTATCCTTACTAGCCGTGTTTATCCCACAGGGACGGACATGACCGAAGACGAATCAAGCCAAGCAAAGAGCCAGATCTATGATTTCTTCTTCTCTGGGAAAAGAGCGGCCAACGGGGTTACAAAGAGTAAGGGTGATACGAGCAAGACGACGGCCGAGTCTTTCGAGAGACTTTCTCAAATTCTGCATTTTGATGCACCAAGTTTTATCGCTGCGTTGAATGAAGCATTTGAGGATAGCTTCCTGAATCTGAGTGATGAAGATGCTCTCAGTGGATCACAGACTTCTCAAACCTCCATGAGACGCATTTACACACGACAGTACGTTGTCCGAATCATGTTGGAGGTCATGGCTTCAGGATTTGACGCTGAAGATACCATTTACTTGGACATGTTTATCGCTCGCAACTTGGCCAAATTCCCTCAATACATGATCTTTTCCGGGACTATCTTACAACAGGTATTTTCCCGTCTATGTCAATACCCCGAGGAAGGAATGCGGGACGACGCTCAACTCAGCGTGGAATATCTATTGTCTATCTATCAGCCACCCAACATTCTGGACTTTGTCTCGTTGCTTCAAGATGCGCACTTCTATCGAGTCCTCAAATCAGTCCTCAAACAAGAGCACCACTTCGCTGACATGATTCATACTTACTTCTTGGATACTGAGGCTCAAGTGGATGTGTTTGCAGCTATCTTTGATTGCCTCAAAACAAGCTCCACGTTGCTCGAAGAGCAGCGACTTGAAGTCAGGAAGGTAATTGAGGAGCACGCTGGAGACTTGGTCAACACCGATGTTGAGAAAGCGGCGATGACTATTGATGAAGTCGCTCAGGACCTGCACCAAACCTTTCTCAATGTGCTTAGTGAGGACGAGTATGGTCAATACACATATTTAAGGATTCTGCTTGAGCCAAATGACCGGCCTGGTCTTCGACAAGATTACAACAATAGCCTCAAGGAACTATACATCCGCCTTCTTTGCCAATTTGACTCTGATCATGTAAGAGATTATGTTGAGCATGTTAAAGCAGGCGACTTGCGCCTTGAAGAGGTGTTACCAACGATCGAAGAAAGCGGAATCATTGATGCTGTGGTAATTCTGCAAGCACAGCAAGGTCATATCAAAGAAGCCATGAAACGATTACGGCAACATCTATCCTTTCTGGGAACTACGTTGAAGACGGTCACGTCAAAGCCATTAGGGGACAACGATGAAAGGTCTATCCTGCATCCTGTTACGAGCCTGCTGGAGTCTGTGGAAAAATATGCTCAGATTGGAACTTGGTTGTGCCAAACCCAGATGAAAAATGCTCCCAAATCAACAGGACCAGCGAAGTCTCCGAGAAGAGCTACCAGTGCTACAAGAGCCCTCGGTTTCGAAGAGGAGCTCTGGTTAGAGCTCATAATTTCAGTGGTCACTATTGCTCGTGATTTGTCCATGGGCTCATTGCAAGAAATGTCGGACCAAGAAGCTGATGTCACCACATCATTACGAAGTGTCATTCAGCAAGTGTTTACTTCTTTGTTGGTGAACACCACTTCAGTTCGGGAGAGTTCAGGAGCTCGAGATATGATGTTCCTGCGCATTCTTCGCGCATTTCTTACCCATGCAGCTGAAAGCAGTCCGTCGTTATCAGAATTGAGAAATGTGATCGGTTCGATTTTTTCAGCTTATGCATATGAGGAGTCACTTTTGGCTCTGTCAAATTCAATGCTGGACAAAGATGTATTTGTTCGACTCGATGAAGTCACAGCTCTCCGACAGCGTGGATGGAGACCAAGAGGACAAGTCTGTGAGGTATGTCGACATCGAGGATGGGGACCCGGCATTGGTGTTCCTATTTGGGATGAGTGGCAGAAGAAAGAGGAAGTCAGATCACAACGTCGACATCGTGCTCAGTCAGAGATAGAATCGGATGAGCCAGAAGTGGGTCGTGGCAAAGGTAAAGCCACAGTCGATACGAATCGGCAAGAGCCATCCGAAGAAGAGAGGTCGAATGGTGGCGCTGACACCTTGGGCTCTCTTGTGGTTTTCTCGTGTCGCCATTTGTATCACCAGAAATGTTTAGTTCCAAGACAACTGGAGGATGGATCGCTTCGCCTCGTATGTCCGATCTGCTTATAGTCCCAGAAAATAATCCACAATAATTCGTTGCTACCCGAGTCACACATTCCCATGTGAGTACAAAATACATTCAGGTCTCAGTCGCCGGAGCCCTCGGGGCCGTCAAAATGGCGAGTCGATCTCTGTAGCTCGACACGTGACCCGGCACCCGTCGCGTTATGATTGGGTCTTCGAAGACGTCAAGCTCCATCAGCCCTGCCCCTTATCAACTGGCCGCCTTCTTTGCTCCGTCTGTTCCTCTTTTTACGCGTTTTTGACTCGCCAGCTCCACGCCTCCAAGCACGTTCAATATTCGAGGGCCAATGCAGTCAGCCTATCATACCTTGCATACCAGCTTACATTTTTTGGTCTTTTCACTCACAGGTTTCATCTGTGCGGACCTCCATGTCCATCTTCCCAAGACCGATCAGCCACCGCCGTTTCAGGCACGTCAGCTATCATTGAATCACATCGATATTCCTAATATTCTTTGCCACATTCCCCCACTTTGGTTCTACTTTTCAAGGTAATCATGATTATGGAGTATCAGAATATGTGCTCTCTTGAACGCAATCAAACCTCAATGGGGCCAGTAAGGAATACCTCTCATCTTTTAATCAGCAATTGTCCATTATCAAGGACCATCATCAGTGCTTCCGGACCCAAGTCCGCTGCACCTCTTGGCCCGCCAGTGGCCACCTGTGCCAAACTATGACCCCTTACTCCCTTGCCTTGCAATCCATCAGGAATTCACCTATAGCAAAGACCCTTCACCCGCGTCATCTACGCGACAGTGTCTACATGCATGATGCAAGTTCATCCGTGCCATCGGACATCTGAGGTGGGGTCCTCGTGTCTTCCACCAAACGCCTAGATTCTGATTCGGACCCTACGAATGAGGATTGCAGAAATCCACCCCTATCTGGGCAAATGGTACCTGGTGACCTGGTCACTTGTACCGAGTATATGTATTCACAGCTCATTCCTTTGTGCCTTATGAGCCATCTCCATTCACTCTCTAAACCTCCAGATATACCAAAAAGCATTCGCTCTTTAGCAAATCAATTGCGTCCATTCCTTTTTCTGCTTTGCTGTCCCCACTGTCGCTCCTTATCCTTAACCAAGAGCAGAACAACAGTCCTTCCTATTTGCAGACAATATCTGGATCAAAAAAGATGCTATCATCAACATTCTTGATCTCCCTGGCGGGGCTCATACGTTTTAGCGCAGCTGGCTATGTGCTTCAAGACGACTACAGCATCGACAAGTTCTTCGCCATGTTCGAGTTCTTCACGGCTCCGGATCCAACAAATGGATACGTCACATATGTCGGGCAGTCTGCTGCGCAGGCTGCTGGACTTGTGAACACCAACAACAATGCTATATATATGGGAGTCGACCACACCAATGTGGCTTCGGGCTCTGGCCGCCAAAGTGTCCGACTGACGAGCAAGAAATCCTATACTCACGGACTGATCATTCTCGACGCTTCGCACATGCCCGGCGGGATTTGCGGCACCTGGCCAGCCTTTTGGACGGTAGGACCAAACTGGCCTCAAGGTGGAGAAATTGATATCATTGAAGGTGTCAACAGTCAAGTATCCAACTCAATGGCACTGCACACAAATCAAGGCTGCTCGATTACAAACACCGGCCTCTTCTCTGGCACCATCTCCACCCCAAACTGTGATGTCAACGCTGCCGGCCAGGCCAACAGCGCTGGTTGCGGAATCCTCATGTCAAACTCTGCTTCCTACGGTACAGGCTTCAACCAAGGACAAGGAGGTGTCTATGCAACCGAGTGGACGAGCGACCACATCTCCATCTGGTTCTTCCCTCGCAGCGCCATCCCCATGGATATCTCGTCTGGATCCCCCAATCCCGGCAACTGGGGCCAGCCAGCCGCACGCTTCGGCGGTGGGTGCAAGATCGACAATTTCTTCTCCAACCATCAAATCGTCTTTGACACGACTTTCTGTGGAGATTGGGCCGCTAACGTCTGGACGACCGACCCGGTCTGTAGCTCGAAGGCGCCGACGTGCCAGTCGTTCGTGCAGAACAACCCGTCGGCGTTCAAGGATGCTTTCTGGTCAATCAATTCTCTCAAGGTCTACCAGAGCCCCGATGCTGGTAACTTCCCACACAGCCCTGATCCAAACCAGGGCCCAACCGCAACATCGTGGGGTCCACCAATCACAGCAGCCACCGCCGGCCCTTACCCTGCACCCAGTGACTTTAGCGGCAAACCCAGCGGACCACTGTCACAGTCGTTTGGCCCTGGCAGTGAAGCAGCTCCAAGCACAGGGTTCAGCCGCGGCGGCAACGGCAGACATACCAAGTCATTTGGAGGCGGCTCGTGGAACGGCGGCGGCAACCGCGCCAACTTCCAAGCGTCCCAGACTAGTGTACCCGGCGTGTCCGGCGCCACTGAGACAGAAGACGAAAACACCCAGTTCGACCCTGCGGTCCCCGAAACTACCCCGGCACCAAACGCGGAGGAGCTCGACAGGGGTGGCGCGCAGGTCGATGGAAACGTCGACTACGTGACCGTGACTGCGCTGGACCACGGATATTTCGAAGACGACGACCACAACAGCATTGACGGAACCGTCAACGACAAGCGCGAAGCAAGCGTGGAAAAGAAAGAAGCCTTGTCGTCCATCAGCCCTGTTGAGGACGGGGAGCCCGCTGAAGCAGAGACGTCCAAGAGAGACGTGGTCTCGGAGCTGGAGAAGCGGGCGGTCGACAAGGCCTCGCATCTGCATCTGCACAGGCATAATCGTCGCCATACCTTTTTCTGGGGGAAGGAGGCTGGCGCTGCAGTGGAGGAGAGGCGGGGATAAATCCTTCCTTCCTTGTCATGGCTCGCGCTGTGTTTGAGAAATCTTTACACTTTATGTGTGGGTCGTGCGACAACCGACCCACCGCAGGCTATGTTTGAGCGAAGCACATATTGAGAGCAATGTGTGAGAACGGCGATGGATCCTTGAGTCCACGAACGCCATCCACCCCTGTGCTGTGCGTGCGCCCATCACCCTGTAGGGCCGACACACACTCTCCTCTAGAACCACTGTCGTGGGAAACTCCCCGCTAGCTATTGGACTAGCATCTGCGACCTGCAAACCTCGCATGCGTATCGACCCTGTTGGGTTTCAGATCTAGCTACGAGCGGACATCAATAGTGTCTAAAAATCTTGCTGTTCGTCATGCCAACACCATTTAATCCATTCACACGTCATCATGATAGCTCAACAAAACACCACACAAAACCCTACGAAACAACACCACGACAACTCTCACGACATGATATACATATGACCGACACGACACGACTATAACTACGACTACGATTTAGGGAAACAGTTGGAAATGATTTTAACTTACTGCGGAATATACGGAAGGCAGGACCGGGAGTTTCAAAAAATTGGGAAACGCAGCGAAAACACGAGATTATGGATACGGGTCTGGGTCTGGGTTATTCACACTAAAATGCAATGCGACGCGATGCAAGAAGGGAAGAACGCTTCATCGCTCCCTCGAAACCCGCTGAGGTCGACCGCGCGATGATGTCCTCAGCACAGAGAAAGCCATGAAATTTCTCTTTATCAGACTTTGTCATGCTAGGCTAGGCAAGGCAAGGAGGGCTCTAGGATGGGATGCCAAAAAGGTGATGCGAAGTTTGATTTAGTTTAGTTCTAGGATAACTAGCTTTTGGTTCTTCATCAGCTACCTAATCTACTCGCATATGGCGAATGATTGTATTCGTCCTTCTGGTTTACTCGGCATCTAAGCTCGAACTTTGCATGTTCAGAACAAGTCGTGGGTATCTCTCCCTAGATTTAGCCTTATTCCCACGTCTTTGAAACTCCAAGGGGGGTATTGGTGGCCGATTTCAAGAGATTGTGACATGGTGTATGCTGTCATGTCATGGCACGAGACTTTCAAGTACTAACCTAGGAATAGGCTATGTAACACGAAAGGGCGAATGGTATGAAAAAGGGCATTACAGTATACCGATTATCTGTGTTGAAGAGTATATAAGAAATATCATTTTTCCTGACTTCTAATCTTCTAAACGGAGGTTTCACCCTTCATAATGTAACATGAATTTGGGATAGTAAAGTAGAACACCATCGCCGTGAAGGAGGAGATAGTGGTACCTTCTGTCACCTGTTATCTCCTCTTCTTTCGTGAAGATCATGTCTTTGGGCGAGATTATATTTATATGTGATGCGTCTTTTGATGCGCCTCTTTCTGAACCCAGTAGGTAGGCAAGGCTGAGACCGACTTGGGAAATATATAATTATATGATGTGATGGTTGTTGAGGTTGAGGATGAGTGTTGTGAGACGATGGTCACACCGGTAATTTGAGTGTGTCATGAGCTCTGGGTAAGATAGATAGACGGGGTATCATTCGGATGCATTGTTTGAGGCGAAGGGCTCCTTTCTCCCTTCCTTTTTTATCCTTCCAACGCAGAAAAGTAAGTGATTGTTGATGATCGATGTAGGAAGATGACTGTTTAACATAGCACATGAGATGGAGAAGAACCAATAGTATGTCGTGACCGTGAATTGGCGGAAAGATGGCTTGCATACTGGAAAAAACGATTGACCAATGACAAAGAATGTCTGCAGGAATAACAGAAGAAATGTGAGAAGAAATGTGATTTGCATCACCACCTTTCGAGAGTGACATTGCCAAAGGGGCTTCCACGACCACTGGCAGGACTGTTTTGAGCAGCAAAGTAATTCAGGGAATGTCCAGCTGCACTTCCAGTACGACTGTTGGCTCCATCGGTGAAGTCGAAGCGCTCGAACTCATTCAGACTGCTTATGTCGGACTTGGCATCAATGTCTTCATACTCGTCAGCATCCGATATCATGCTTTGGCGCTTATGCGAATGTTGCTCTTCTTGAGAATTCTCCCTGCTATGTGCGCGGCTGCCGGCGAAGAATCGTTCATGAGACTCCTTCGGGCTTTCGCGAGGGATTAACTGAGATCGTGTTGCTGGAGGTGGCAGCTTTGGTGATGGACTTGGTTCACCCACACTATAACCCAGCCGTGATGAGGTGGCCAGTCTAGCAATTCGTAAGTTTTCGTCACTTAGACCTGTGGGTGAATCTGTGGCGGGAGATCTGGGATTAGCAAAATTTGAAGTCTTGAGGGGTGGAGGTGGCCCTCGTTTGTTGTTATTGCTCTGAACAGGGGTCGCCGAAGTAGGAGTATCCTTAACAATGGGTGAGTACTGGGAGATGGATGAGTTGCCATTGTAGGCGCCAGGAGCTTCAAGGCGGGTCGGTGCTTGAGCACGAGTGTTGTGGCCCATACCAGGAGATGGATCACGTAATCGAAGGGGTCCTGTGACTGGTATTGGACCTCCATTGAGAAGGGGACTGGTGACACCTTGCTTGGGATTGGTAGAATTGGGGCCAGGAAGTCCTCGAGGGACCGGGCTAGGACCAGATCTAGGTGTTGGACTTGGCCCTGATCTTGAAGATGGAGGCATACCTCGCTGGCCAGGAGTACTGTTGCTTCTATTTCGATTTTGTTCACGGTCGGTAGCTATTGGAGGTTGGCCACGTCCAGACGTTGCAGGGCGAGCTCCCGATGAATGTCCATTGCTATTCTGATATGGTCGAGGCTCTCCTCTTACCATTCCAGCAACATGTTGACTGGATGATTTCTGGCCAGTTGTAGCAAAAGACTCATGAGATATACCAATACCAATTTTAGGCGACTTCCACTCGGAGTTCGGCGTGGGAGGGGATTTGGCGAGTGATTGCATCTCTTTTTGAGGAACCTCTGGTGAACGCTTCTCTGCGGGCCATGAACTTGAGTTTGCCGAACGAGCACTGCTTGATCGACTGTTCAATTTCTCTCCCTTACCAGCCATAACGAACTCTGGTTGACTCTGGAGTTCGCGCCTATGCCTCCGTCGCATGAAGAACCAGAAGAGGGCAAGGGAAGCGATGAGAACTACCACCACTGGTACGACGATTGCTGGAACAAGGGTACTGAGATTCGAGGAAGACGATGAAGATGCAGCCGCGGTTGCGGTGGGAGATGATGTGGATTTGGAAGCAGATTGTGAAGTGGCTCGGGCTGATGTAGATTTGGCGGCAGCAGCTGAAGTGAGTGAAGCATATTCGAGGGCGTTGGTGATGGTCTTTGTTCGCTCGGTTGTGATGGTGGTAGGACTTGGGCCCGTCTGGGCCAGTGTTAATGTTTCCACGACGGTGGTGAGTCCTGAGATGGCATTTGCTGTTGCGATCGGTGCCGTGGTGGCGTCAGTGACAATGCCATCCGGGCCTATGGTTGGAGGAAGGCTTGTGTTCGGGTTTCCTATACTCGAGGGCAAGTCGGAGCCACCTTGACCCTGCTGTCGCTTATGTAGGCTGAACATGTTGGGAAACATCCTGCCTGCGTGCATGTCGGGCAGAAGCAGGCAGGTGCAGGCAAAGAAGCAGCGAAGTCGGGTGGATGGAGATGAGGACGAGGAGGGAGGAGGGAGGAGGGAGGCGACGATGTAATCAGGTGAAGCTAATAGCCGTCGTAGTGAAGTATTGTCGGTAGACCCAAGAGTAGCTCCTTTTGCGCACGGGACTATGAAGGTGGTGGCATGGGTAGTGAAATGAGAGATCAGCCGTTGGGCAGACTTTAGCGTAAGGCCATGGATGGTAGGGGAAATTGGATGTGTATAGTGGTATAAGCAACACGGGCGGCCCCCAGGCAATTTTGATAGAATTTGAAGGATTGCCGAGGAGGAGAAATGGTTCTTCTGGTATACTATTGAAGGGTGGCCGGTATAGTAAAAGGGTCACTTGTTTGACCAAGAAGATTCAGAATGGCAACGGCGTTAGCAACGAGGAGCTGTATCAAGTTGGAGGTGACAGCGAACGAAGTGTTGAAGTGACCAAGAAGAAGGGGTGAAGGCGGGCGGAGGCTCGAGTCTCAGGGCTCCGGGCTCCAGCAGCGAGCGCGTTGAGGATTTGCATGGCTGGTCGGTGGACTTGTGGCACAGACTGGAGAAAGGAGGAGCCTTGAGGTGTTTCGAAAGACCGAATCGAGTAAGCTGGGCTGCTGGTCAAACAGACCAGGCTGGGGTTTGGGACGTGTCATTGGGCGGGTTGGAGCCTTCCAGGTGCTAAACATGGCGATCCCAGGCCCGGACCCATACCCGGGGAGATCTGAATGCCTGATATTGGTTTGACCTGGAGCCTAAGCTTTGGGGACCACGGGGACCTGCGTCTCACTGAAATAATTCCGAAGCTCGTTTCCACCACAGAAGCCGCCCGCCCAGGCCACATCGAACCTCGCTTCGGCAAGATGTGTAGATGACTTACATATATCCGTCTTCCGTACCCCAATATCTGTCAGAGCTCGACGTCAGAGTCATTAATGACGCAGTAAATAATGCTTCTTGTTGTACCCCGTGTGTGCGGCACCGCGTCTTGGAATTGTAGTACGACGGAGCTATGATCATTTCTGAAGGGTCGAAGCTGGGAAACTTGAAAGTCAGGGGTCTGCATCAGCCTCCAGGGTTCGTGAAAACACTACTGGCGCTCCAAATTACATCCAGCGGCAAAATGTCTGAAAGATCCGCCCTAGATCTTGTGCGAAGTACTTTGTCATCAAGTGAGTTCCGAAATTGGTGCAGCACGCAATTCCCCGAATGCCCAGTGCATCTAACCAGAAAGAGGACGGCGCGAATGAATCCAAGTTTGTGGTGGAATCTCACCCTCCTTGGGCCGGTACGTGGCGGACAGATGCTTCTTCGCCTTGGTATATGTCTAGGCCTAGGGTTGTTGTTGATAGTTGCTTGAGAAGGGAGAGAGAGGCTTTGTAAGTGATATACTGTCATGACCCACCGAGTTTGACAGAGGGAACAAGCTACTAGAAGCATCCAAGTCTATAACTAGATGGCATACCAAATTATCTCTCGTTCTCAGTAGAGGGTGTTTGATTGATTGACCTAGATTATGCTACTAAAGATGCTATTATGTTGCTTCAACACACCCATGTCTCTACTCTCTCCACATATTCAAAGCTTCGTGTACCAACTATGCTTGTTGCTGTATATCACCGTCTCAACAGATATTTTTCCAGGTGACCAAGAACCTTTGTCGCTCCTCACTCCTTGTAGGCTCCATAGTCTCCATAAGAACTGTGACTCAGTTAGACACCACGTGATGCTTCAACAGCTATGATAGGATGAGATCATACCCATATGGGTTGGGAGCCTGTAGAACATGAGTGTTAGCATTGTTGGACAGAGTGATCAGGCTCAATAGCCAGGTTACGGAACAATGAAACTTACTCCTGCTGGCGGTGGTGCAACACCAGCATATGAGCCATAATCTCCATAATTCCCACTTCATTCAAACCACATTAGCAGGAAGTCTTGCGGACTTGGTCGAACTGGCCTCTGTCGAAAAAAACGAAACTTACTAGTCTCCATATTGTGGTGTTGGTGCAGCCAGAACACCAATAATGGGTAGCAATGCAGCAATGAGGATGGCCTTGAACAACATGGTTGTAACTAGAATGGGTGGTAGATTCTGGGACGGTTGAAAGAAGTGAATGCAGTGATCAAGAGGATTGATTACTCCTTCCTCAAGTAGTCCAGGGTTTTCTTTCAGGTCGGACATGGTCCTTGATATATGCAACGCTGTTTCTGGCTGGAGAGTTCATGTCATCAACTAGAGTTGGTGCAAGTCACGAACGAGTGGCTCTTTTGGTCGTCATGCGAATCAACCTCTCGATGACCTCGAGCTCGAGCCTGTTGTACAGTACGACAACTCACCTTCCATCCAGTCCCTCGAGACAAACGCTCGTGTTCTGCCGCTGATGCTTTGCACCATTTATTTGCTGTTCCATATCTGGTAAGGGCGAAGGAACGGTACTCTTGGTCCTGCAGCAGGTCTTCTTGTCTGTGTGTCTAGATCTGGTAATTGCAACACTAGACTCCCAAGCCAAGTGAACGTACTTTAATTGAAGTCTGCCTCGTGAGCCAAAACCAACTCCACGGACCCGTGAATACGAGGTATTCGACCGAGGCAGAGTGGTTTTGTTGTAGGGCTGACGCTGAAGATTCGAAGACCGAGCTCGAAACCGACCAAGCCCCTCAAGGTTGGACTGAGAGACCACCCAATATCTTCAAAGCCCATTCCACTCCATTCATAGATTTTCTCAACACGACTGCTTTCCATGCGGCTGGAATACCCAAGCTCACTATGGATTACAGGGAGGACGTGTTTCGCGTTCAGAAACCGACTTCTGAAAAATGGCATCATGGGCCGCCTCTGGCGATCGATTGGCCCGATGCAACGAACAGCTTGGTACATGCTTTGCAATGGGTACCAGGTATCCGACTAATTCAGAACCGATCTCTTGGAACTGGGTTCCCCCACATTAGTTTTTTCTCGTAAATGCAGCAATGAAGCTCGTCTAGAAGATATAAGATTCACAGCTGAAAGGCGTTGTGGCAATTCATGGTCACGCCAAGGCAATGCCCACCACCATTCGTCAAAAAACACGCGAATACGAGATCTGAGACAAAAATGGGTGTCGATGCCCAGGCCTGCCGATGGCCAAGAGCTCAAGCTTCGCCTTGAGCCAACAGCCACGAATGGTCAGATGAGGCGTGGCATACAGATCGTGGGCGACAATGATTTGCCATGCCCTCAGAAACGTACGTCGTAGCTTGGATGAGGAGCATTCTGGACGGGATGTCGCATTGCTCAGCCATTTGCAGGATAGGCGGGCGTCTTGAAATGAAGCCGTTCGGTTCGTATTCAAGTGCTCTAGCTTGTCATAGCTCGCTTGGGTTTGCGATACAATAAACGCCAACTACAAACTTGATCAAAGCTGGCCAAAATAGCATTTCGCCATGACAAGTAGAATGAGAAATGAATTGAAAACTCTGTAACGCGATTAGAAATGAGCTATTGCCAAAACATACCTTCCCACTCTTCTCCATCTTAAGCTAATGATGCTCATATTGCGAAGATGAAAGATCGACGACTAGGTGGTTCTGCCGACGAGGATGAAGAAGCGCTCCTGCCAGACTCGGACAAGGAAATTGAACAAAATCCAACGACCATTTCGAGATGGCCTATTGTTGTTAGCTTTGCCTTGAACGTCTGCTTTGCACTGGTCGCTGTTGTGCTCATCGGGCAGCATTTCTTCCTGGACAAGAATTTCGAGTGCACAGCCCGGGTATCACAGAACAGTAGGTTCAGTCCTTTGAGACACCGCACTCTGCTGACCTACATGATAGCGCCACTTCTCGAACAGATCGACCTTTCATACAATGTAGTCAGGTTCAACGGCTCATTTCTCAAAGAAAACGAATATCGAAAACAAGGCAGTCCCGAGGTGGATGCGGCATGGGAAGCACTCGGGGTCAATTGTAAGGCAAAACTTGAAACTTGCATGCAATACAGCTCTGATAAGAAGCGTGAAAAACAGATCGATCAGTGGTGGTACCTGAAAAACAAGCGAACCAAGCAGGGTTCCGCCATGATCAAGTTAAGATCAATCCCAAACATGGAGGAGGATTTCCAGCCAATGTCGAAGGTCTTCATCATCTCCACTGCCTGGTAAGAGATATTTGAGCCGAACAATGGTGGTGGGAAAGAGTACTGACTACTGGGCAGAATTTGCTCCGACAGGCACTGTGGTACAACTTCGATTATTACCGTGCCCTTGGCAAGGGAGCATTCAAGAATGAGGATCGAATTGTGCAGTTGCACGTTTGTGAGAAACTTGAACTCGATATGCTGCTAGGAGTAACTCGACTAACCATCGGCAGCACATTGTCTCGATATTCTTCGCCAGCAATTGATGTGTAAACCAGACCTAGGATTTCTAGGACAGGTATGGCACAATCAGAGTTACCCATCGGCCTTTGTCGACTTCAATACCCAACATAAATGCCGCAACTATGAGTCGCTGCGACAGTGGGCAGAAGTTCGACAATTACCAGAAAAGGTGCCAGATGATTTTCTGCAACCTCCGGAGAAAGGAGACCTGATTTATGCCGAGATCCCTTAGCGTACTGGGCCTGAAGGTCAATATGAAACTGAGAATGATATAGCTATCATGAGAGGTGTACAGCAAACATTTGTTGATGCTTGGTGGTACAGCTCTGGTCAGTTGTGCGGTAGGGCAGTGGTTGAATCGGAAGAGAAGTGCCTGCTGATAATGGGGCCTGCAGCTAGGGAGCTGGGCGGTTGGTTAAGGAAGCAGTGGACAGCCTCCGGGCGACTCCCGTCCCCAGTCCATCACACTTGGAACCTATGATCCCTGCAGACGCTGCGAGGTGTCCACCGTGAGCATCCCACTTTTTGCTGTTGCTTGGTTCTTCACTTCCCCGCCATTGGTGCTTCTTCTGCCACCTTCATCATCCTCATTCGCTATCTGCATCTTGTAAGCGCCAGCTTCAAATAAGCACAATTGCTCTACCACTCACGCACACCTCGTTGGCTCTCGACTGGCCCATGGCTTCTCTCAAGGGTTCCCTCAAGAACTCCGACTCACTCACCATGACCTCGTCGGCACTCCTGTTCGAATTCCTCACCTCATCTTCACAGTGTGAGCCACCCCGACACCTCGCCTTTGCCTGGATTCCAGTGTGAATAGAGAGCCTGGTCTCTACCGGATTGCTGGACATGCAACACTGACTTCGGTCAAACGTCCTCTAAGGGAACCATCACTTTCCAGCGCAGCCATCAAACCCCATCTTCGACATGGCCAAATTCTTCCTCTCCCGACGATGGCGCCCGAACAAATGGCCTTTCTATATTCTCCTTGGTATTGAATTACCACTGACTGTTGCCTTACTCGCCCTCTTTGGCATCGCTGCTCCAAATCTTTACCGCAAGAAACTATGGCAGGATGGCGCAGACAATGGCTTCAACTCAAGTCCTACCACTGGTCTTTATGCCATTGCAAATTACAAACCCTACACCACTCCAAAGGTCTGGTCACAATTGTATGTTCCGATCCTCTGTCATCACACAACACTGCTACCAGGCTAACACATTTGCTCCAGTATCACAAACTTCAATGTGGTCATTGCCGTTCTCTCCATGTTCATCATGCTGGTCAAATCCATCATGTATGTGCTACACGTTTTCCCTCCCGTTCTATCAGCCATAGTTCACGCCATCATCATCGCCCTGTATTCGGTATCCATAGCCTATCAGGCAAGCAGCGATACCTCAGACCCTCTACATCCTCAAAACGGCCCGCCATGGTATGTGACCAAATCCTGCAGCGTCACACGTAACAAGAGTTTGGTCGGCTATTGTCGACAAGCAAAAGCCAGTTTCGCATGCACCTGCGCGGCCTTGGGCATATTTGGCATATACTTTATCCTTGCCATCTGGTCATGCTTCCCCTCCAAATCACAACGGGAAGAATATGAGGAGGCCAAGCGCCTACAAGCTGAAAAGTACGCCGGGCTCGAGAACATCTCAGACCCCAAGAGCGGCAAAGCAAGTGTCAGATATCCTGTCCCAGATACACCGGGCTTCCAGGGTGGCTTGAACCCTATGACACCACGCACGCTTGCCTTCAACACCCTCGGAGGGACTAAAGACTTACCACTCAGGAGTCACTTCAGTACCCCTAATGTACAGTCTACTTCGCCCACGTTCGCTCTGCGCAGCCCAGACATCCCACGTAGCCCCATGAGTCCAGGCTTTGTCAACCGTGCGGGCATGGAGGACGATGATACCATCGGCAAGGCGATTGAATTGAGCCCCACCTCGCCCGGCGCAGCTCCGAACCTCTATTTCCCGCCACCTCCAAAGACGTCCAAGAAGTGAAGGTCTCGACAGCAAGAATCTCAATCTGTGTTGTTGGGGGAGAGAGGATGAACAATACCAAATGAAGAAGATAAACAGCCTGGCAAATGATTGCTCAACCAAGCAACCTGCTAGCCACCTGCAAGGACACAGGTCCGAGGTTCGAGCCGATATCTTGAGGAGGCATAAGCGGCCCCCTTGATGCCAAACACATTTCAAAACTCTTCTGGAGGCATGTCCTGAAGTTGACAAAGTTTCAAACATTCTGAAAGGTCTGAATAAACAATTCAAGACGTATGGTAACCCGGTCAAAGCACCGCAGGAGCAGGAGGAGGTTGGCAAATGAGAACCCGAGGGTCTCGTGACGGAATAGTTGTGGACACCGATATATCTGTACTCATCATATCAGTTGTTATCTTGTCATACCCAATGTATCAGAATCTTCTCAAATACCATCTGAGCCCGGAGATCTTGGTAATCTGGAATATGATGTGCAAATTTCTCGGATATTTATGTCCGAAGTGTATAATGTCTCAAAACTTTATTCGAAGAACATGGATGAAAAGCCATTCCCCTTCCTCTTACATGTTTTCACGGTACATGGGTACGCATCTCACAAGCCCGAATAAAATCGTTCGTCCACAAGTAACAATAAAACTCGATATCCTCAGAGAAGACATGGATCTAGTCAAGACTTTCCCCGCCCCACCCCCGAGCATCGCCATCTCACCAACGAACGATGGTTCGCCACTTCAGGCTGCATCGTGGGGCCGGCAGGGAGGCACTGTACTTACTGTAGGATCTGAGGCTCCAGGACAAAAAAACCATCTAAGTATAAATAATCAGCAACTGCGACTCAACATGCGTCTTTTTAAGTTGGAGATCGACATGATCTACATGACATGTCGGAGCAGCACAGCCACAGGTTGGCTGATACACGTTTACATAGGTACCCACCTAACCTAACCTACCGTGGTAGTTTTGAGGTGGAATGGAGGAGAACGAGGAGTGATAGCCTGATAGGACATCGAACAATGTAGGGCATCCCATGGGATTTGAGTTCTGTGTTCGGGATAACGTGTGGTCCACACACTGTATCTATCTATGTTGTGCTGCTCGCTGCATCTTTACATGTTGGTAGGATTCGCCTGGTCAGCGCGGATCCATCCAGTTCTCAGCATTGCATTGCCTTGCATTCAGGCCTGCTTGGGACCGGGATATAAGTGACTAAGGTGCCTACTGGAGATTCCAGGATCAAGTCTCGCCTTCGGATCCACAACTATCAATGTCACTGCCCACTGCTGACCTAACCAATTATGCGGTCGCCGTGTCCATCTGGGGGCCATTCTTCATCGTCGAGGGCTGCAAGGGCCATCACAGCCTCCGGACAAGATCCAAGCAGGAAGCCTTGAGGGCGAGGATTCAGATGGTGATGGTATCGCCGCCCGGGTGGATGATGTCCAGTAATGGCTGATCGTCTGGGGATTCCTGCTGACACTCTCGGAAAAGAGCACGTGAGTATCCTGAACGGCGGTCCCAGTAATCGGCACCCATCCAGACCTTGATGTTACTTCCGTCATTCGATAGTCCAGTGTCGGCAGGCACCACGAGTGCCAATCGATCAAACTCAACCATCATAGGCTGACCACCTGCATCCGGGTTCTTCTCGGGCAAGTAAATTGCTATCCGCGCCATTTCGTTGGCATGAACCAGATACTCGCTCCCGTCCTTTTGTGGGATTCTTATTGCGATCTGCGTATCACATGGAAATCGTGCCTGGATCTCCTTCGGCATCACTTGTAGGACGTCCTCTCTGATCAAGCAGCCGAATCCAGAAGAGATACCACCCGCTGCTTCTCGTTGATGTTCAAACATTCTGTCATCATTGGCTCGCCCAAAGTAGAACACGCGTTTGTGAGGGTCTTGCGCTGTGGAGGGGCCAGCGCTCCGGAAGTTGTCCCAATTACCTGCAAACCGAATGTGGAGCTTATGTAACGGGCTTTCGTTGTGCGTTCCATTGCATATGATCTCTTCCATTTTAAATGTTATCCAGGGGTTCGAAGATTGAAAATCAAAGGTTCAACGGTGGTCAAAGTTGCTATCGGGGGTATTAGCAAAGTTCAAGGGATATGAAGAGCAGTGGGATCTAGTTTTATAGAGCGTGCTGCCTCCCTTGGTAGAGGCACGGCGAGATTTGGCACCATGTCAATCACGGGACATCGGGACAGTCGTCGAGCGACAGCGATGGTGACGCTGAAACTGCAAGTGGCTCTGATCATGCGAGGGCCCAATTTCACGTATGCCAGCATGATTCAGTCACTCAAAGACCAACAAGTGAGAACGAAGTTGGGACAGAACAAAGTAATCTCTGTGAGTTAGAGGGGAGCCGGTAACAGGTGAACCAAGTTGCTTGTTTGACGCACTCAAGGTGAAGTAGGAGTGGAAAGAGTTGTTTGATCTACCGAGTAGCTTTGTGCGATCAACTCCGAGCTCCTTCCCTATGGTGAAGCCATCAAAGACTGAGACATGGACGATGGGCAAGACTGATGACGGAAATTGATAATCGCCTTGTTCTGATCCGAGGACGACCACCCTAGATAAGTCCGTAGGCGTGGGCATTTTCCAGGGAGTGAGCGCCACAAGCATTCACCTTCATTCACATTTTGAAGCCAGCCATTTCAACTTTGCAAAGTTCAAGCCAGATATTAGGAAAGGTTTCCTTTGAGAGTGGAGGAAGGAACGAGATCCTCCATCATGGTTTAGGAAATGAGCGGAAGGATTAGAAAGAAAAACCCTAACTCGAGAGCTGGCCTTATCGCTGACATAAATACAATGTCCACTGCCTGGGCGGAGATTAGCCACTTCAGCTGGGAATATGGCAAGGGCCGATTAGATAACGAAAGACGCAAAGATCTCCAGTGTGAAGGGCGAAATGCTTCATGTGACGATGAGATCACTTGACCATTGAGAAAGCAACTTGTATAATGTTCATAATAGTTTCATATTCTCATATCTTATCGTCAAACTCATAATTACAATAATGTGAGGATGAGGAGTAATAGGTAATAAACAGGGTATCTAGTGATAGAAAACAAAGTTCAATAGAGTTCCGTCCGACGTCAAGCCAGGTGCGCAACGGGGAATGTAGTTTTGGATCCACGGTTCATCAGAAAGATAGCTAGAGAGAGAGCGAGTACCTCGACTCAGCTCACCAAGCTCTTTTTAGCGGCCACCGATGTCCGACGCCAAGCTGGATCGCATTAGTGTGATTAAGGTTGTCGCGTGATATCAAGTAGTTGAAGGTCTGGGTTCCATGACAAAATGTCGATAGGGAAATTCGGATCCAGTATGCAAAAATGGGAAAACGCATCACCAGTCACCAGCTTCCGTGAAAGTCCGTGGGGACTTGGCATGCATGTCTCATTGCTCGGTTCGAGGTAGTGTCCTGCTTATCCGGAAAGCCTTGTCAGCGCGCAGCCTTTCCTGGTACAATAGACAAATTGGAGACGTCGTGAGGAACTTGAATGGCGAATCGTTGGATGATGCAATGGGTCAGGTTTGGTCGAGCGATCTTCCGGCCGGTGTTTGGTGGACAGGCAGCCTGGATTGAAGTTGTACATTCACGAGACACCAACATCAATTCGGGAGCAGGTCGCTAATGTTGCTCGCACGCGTTGGTGAAAGCCACCGTCAGCTGCAGTATCGTACATCTCGCTCAGTTGCCGGGGAAGCATGCCTACACGGCTGACGCGCTGGGAAACTGCATCCTTGGCACCGCCAAGCGTATTCGGAACTCCGTCGGCACTCATTTTTAGATTGTAACATATCAGCTTGTCGTGTTTTACGCCAGGATAATGAGCTGAGGATGCTGCAACGGAGAATTTGAGCTTGGATGTCGCAAAGGCAATGGCTGCACTGGGAGTAAAACAATACTGTTCCATGACTTCGGCTTGGATTGCTGACATGTCTGGCTCTGGTTCGCATTCGGGTGGCCATGAACATTCGGAGGTCGCAGATGAGCACATGCTCACAAGGTCTTCGGACGAGGATATGGAGCTTCGGGGAGAACGAGGTGATCTTGGAGATGGAGGAGCATTCATATCGGCATCTAGGCCATCAAATGCTAACGCCAAAGTTTGAAAGTGTGAGGAATGATAGGAGTCCAACGTGCGAGCGTAGAAGCGCGTTTCTAATGCCCTGAGCCGTGGGAGGTGACCTAGACTACCATCGACTAGACTGATATGGTCTTTCAGAATAGCATCAGCATCATGGGTGTCGCCGAAATCCACGGCGATGTGCGTCAGGGACAGCTTGATATGAGGATGTATGAGAGGGTCTGAGATGAATGATAGTGCATGGTTGGTGGATCGGAAGATCACTGGGTTTATGCTGTAATATACTGTAATTGCCTCGGAGCGAATGAGTCGACAAGTATCCAAGAAGCCTCTGGCATCATCTTTAGCAGGTCGCGCAGGTCTGAGGCGTCGTTTCGTTGGAGAACGAAGCTTTAGTGGTGAAGAGTAGGTAAAGGCGAACTTGTAGATCAATAGTCTGACCTCTGGGGGAAGTGTCAGGAGTACCGAGGGGTCGTCTGAGCCCGCAGAAACAGGTTTGAGTGTCGACATTGTTGGCAGTATGAGCAGTCTGGTTGCTCGGTACTTTGGTATAGTGACCAGGATGATGAAGAATCAGAAGGTATGTATATAAGGGTGTTGGTTCGAAATAAGACCAGCTAGTCGGATTGAGAAGGAAATATCAGCGAAAGTGGCGTTCCAGCTTGTGGTGAACAACAGTGCATTGGTAGTCAAACCAACGTCGCAGTAGCAGTAGCAGTGGTAGGGTGTACAGATGTACAGCAGTATAGGGCACAGGCCCCGACTCTGATGCTTAACTTAGCACCAGAAGGTCGTTGATGGACATGAAACACATGGAAGCCCTGACCACGACAACTTTGGAGCGAGTGAGTTTTTGGGACGGATGAAGAGAAGGAGAAACAGGACGACGGACAAACAAAGTGGAAAAAGCCAGAGGCTGGAGCTCGAGATAGATAGTGAAATTGAAATGGTACAGACAGCACTGGCAACGGCGGTGATGGTGACGGAAGTGGTGGTTGGTACTCTGCTAGACCAGTAGCACGAATTTGCGAACGGACACTATAAATTAAGTTTGATTGACCTGCAGGTCAAAAAGTCAGGATGTCTCACTTTTGGCGGCCTCTGTATGGCCTGGGATTGCGGTATTGGATTAAGGTACAAGCTAGACACGGATTGTGGTTCCACTGTGGCAGGGAGTATTGTGCAGAACGAGAGTGATATTTAGCGGAGAAGGTTTGGCAAAATAGGGCGGGTGACACCGTCAAGAGGGATCTGAGTCATCCCCAGGAACAATGTTTTGCCAGACCCGTTCCGCTTGATACTAACCTTGTTCTGCTCAATACCACTTGCCTCGAATGACACTCTCAATCAGACGTTGGCCACTTTCCCGAGGTCCCTTAATTGGGTCCTACCCGCATGAACCCTGATCCCACCCCTGGAGGATAATTATAACCCTAGCTAAGGAGCCCGTGGGAGCCACATCACCAAACTGAGAAACGCACTGCCCTGATCGTGGCCATTCTCTTGTGCCTCGATTGTTGGCCCCTCGGGCAGTACCTCGTACCCTCGTGTCATTTCAGGTATTCACAGCCACATTGTTGCAGGTCTTGCTCAAACCCCAATTATTTGAGGAACAAATGACCTCAGATATACCTTGTACAGCAATGGTGAATCTTCAGTGGCCATCGTGGTCTGTCCTAGGTCCGAGTACGCTCGAAAAAGCAATAGTCATCAATGGATCACTCTGTCGTGGCACTCATGAGGGGACCCCCAGATTCATCTCCCTCGTCACTGGCCAAAACTCCACTTCAGCCTAGTTGGGACCAGCCCAGCGACTGAAGTCCGCCACGGCATTGCTTTGAATTCCCAAGGCTCAATAATGACTGGCACAGAGGGTGCCGAACTTTCCACCACACCACCCCTGACCCTGCCGCCCTACGGAAGTGCTACGTCACATTCATGCCCTTGGTAGATAAGACACAGACAAACAACCTTCGATCCGAGTATTATGATCGGCGCTGTGGATCTGGAGTATACGATTTGGTGTCGATCAACCTCGAATCTCTCGCCCTTCAGCGAAGACCCTGCACACAGTCTTTGTCCGCCACTTGATTGATAGGCCGACACAATATACTAAGTATTTTGAAGTCCGATATAGCATTATCGGCGGTCATTATTGACTTCATGAGACCCTCGATGAGTAACCATTAGCTACAGTGATGGTGTTGACAAACGCCTCCATGGATCAAGAACTTGACCCTGCATGAAGACGCATCGTTGAGTTCATGAAGTTTGGATGTGGTGCTTCGAGTACCTTCGTCCCTTGAGCTACCTGTGCCAAATGTCTCCAGCTACCTAGAGCTCTTACGGAGGAACGCACCTACATGAATTATGCTTTCAACTCCGCCGTTGTTGTACTCATGCTTTCGCCACTACGCTGTTGTGTCGCAAATTCTCTTCGTTCGTCTTCAGCCAAAACCTTGGCTGCAACTTCACTGCGCTGCTTTTCGGTTGCATCGGACAAGTGCACCACTACCTCGTCACCGAATAACGCATTAATTTCTTCCAGCGAGAGGCCTTTGGTCTATAGACATATACGGTCAGTCTTGTGCTACAATAAGAGCGTGCTCGGACCACACTTACCTCGGGACACCAAAAATAGAACACCACCACGTTTACGGCTGTGAGACAAACAAAGATGATGTAGTACTTCCACTGAATATTGGCCAATGCTGTTGGTGCCGCTTCGACATACACCAAAGTGCTCAAGAAGGTCCCTGCCAGTGACCAGGCTACTCCTTGGGATCGGATATGCGTTGGGAATATCTCCGCTATGTCCAAGTCAGTTGTCAAATCCCGTTGTAAGATAACCGAACAGCTCACAGCAGTAAACATATCCGACCACATCGATCCCACCCCCGTAGAATGCAATGAAGCAGAACGAGAAGAAAACGCCCATCGAGAGTCCAGCATTGTTTGTCGTACCTGCGAATTGGGCAATCATGGCGGTCTCTAGACAGAGTGAAATCATGCACCCCGATAATCCGGTAACTAGAATCTCCTGTCAATGTCTGGATTCAGCCTACAGATGGCATGTACTCACTCAGAAGTGGTTTTCTCCCAACTTTATCGAGGACCAATGCACCTGCAAAATTTGAGAGCCATGCTACCGTTACGTACGCAGCCCCAAGTATCAACGGTACTCCTCCAGTGAGCCCAAGATTCTGATAGAGGGTGATGATGTACACTGCAGTCTCGTGAGCATACCAATTGAGTCAGGCATGTCACGAACATACCGTAAATTACCTGGGCACCAGTACTTTGGGCTGCATATTGAATGAAAAATCCCATCCAGAATCTCTTCTGATAGGACTTCTTCGTAAGCATGCCCTTCCAACCGGTCTCGTTCCAGACAGCAGAATCTACCCGGACTTGTTCGGTCATTTGGTAGAATTCCTCGCGAGCAAACTGGAGCAACTTGGCATCGTCGCCATCGCCTCCATGTAGTCGCTTCACGATGGCCCAGGCTTCGTCTCTTCGATCTTTGGTAAGCACTAAGGTCATCCGTGATCAGCGACAAACTTGCACGTTTCATCAATTTACTTACACCAGCGAGGCGATTCGGGTATCCAAGGTGAACATAAAGCTAGTGCTAATGGTGGAAGGATGGACAGTGCGATTGGGAAACGCCACTGAAACGACAGGTTTGTCGAATAATATGTCCCGGCACCAACCCATCCGGCGATGGCATATCCTAGCACAATCCAGGTACCGTGTTGACCGACCAGGAATCCGCGTGCGTTCGGAGGCGCTGGAGGTATCTGTCAGCCCAAGTTCTTGTGTTCCAGAACACGAGTGATCAAGAAAACCTACAGATTTCTGCCTGATAGATTGGAATCAACACAACCATCATCCCTATTCCCCAGCCTGCAATGAAACGAGACACCAGAAACATGGCCATGTTGACGGAACCCGTTTCGAGTGCACCACCCAGGATGTTGACGGCAGAAGCCAGGTACATGGTCTCTTTTCTTCCACGAGCCTCACACATCCACCCGACGTGAAGAGCACCAAAGAGCGCTCCTGCACAGAACAAACCATTGATAGTACCAGTGATGGCGTTGGTGTAGTCGGAACGGTTGGCCAGGTTAAAGTAAGCAATAAATCCTGGCTGGCCTATGGTGTTGGAGATAACGGAAAAGCCATAGCCAAAAGTGAGACTGCCCAACGTCAAAACCAGAATGATGCGCAGATTGTAGAGTGTGTATGTTCTTGCCATGTTGTCAAAACACCTCACAAGCGGTCAGAGGTACACAAAAGAACCAAGAAGTCTTGGATCAATCACAGATACAAGCCAAGGGGCCTTGAGTCATTCATATAAATTTATTATCCATGTGTGATCCATGTCCGGGAAGTACCTTAGTCTGTAGGCTACGATGCTGACTCCTCGGTTATAGCTGGTCCAAGGCATGAAATTGGCCAGTTGCAGATCCAAGCACGAGGCAGCGAACGCCAAACTGTACATATCACGTCGTTCGGTGCGGGACGTGCCAGTTGTTTAACCAGTGCAAGCCGATTGCAATCCAACCTCCATTCTCTTGGAGAACAACGACATGCATTATCTCGTCCCCTTGTGAACACACGAGTCAATCACTGCTGAAGCGATGTAGCAAAGCATTCATACCGGGGAGTTTTGCTCCACAAAGAGCAACCGTCAGATGCAGGATTGGAGGACGGCAGTTGGACCCAACACCATGTCGTCACAGCAGTGGGGGCGCTTGCCGACTGCAGAGTGCCCAATTCGTAGGGTGAAGGGGGACTTTGGCAACGGGACCGCCAACAGCTTCTCCAAACTCGACCTGAAGCAAGGACCCCAAACTGCAGATCACCAGTAAACACTCCAAGAGGATGCCACTAGCTGCATATTGGTGTCGGTGCGGAACAGCGGAACTCATCATAGTCATGGTCGAACACATGGTTGCATCCTGCTCATCCATGCAAGTAGGAAAGAGGATGGTCGGTGAGGAGATGAACGAGACGAGCGCCTCGAAGATCATGGAATGCCCCGAACAAGGAGTCGGAGATGAGTATGAGGTATTCTTCAAGTCATTTTGAACCTGCACACAGTATCCCTAATCATACGCCAAAAACCTGCTTAGCCGATCCTGGGTAGTATGGGTTGGAGGGAAGAGCAACCTGAACCACAAATTACAAACCCCTCTCCTTAAGAGTCTTGGGTACGGCTCGGGATAAAAAGCCTGGGTGAGCTTAATCCAATTCAAGGCCTCCGGATGATTGATGACTAGCTGCTACCCCAACCTCCAGAGGCTTCTTCAACCTCCGAATCTTCAAAAGAACCACTTTCTGGGGCATAGCCTATGACATTTCTTCCCATTTCTTCCACCATCAACAGTAGTTCCGGTCGGAAACATGACTCCACAGACGGATCAACAGTTTCAAACTTCATCTACACAAAGGGGAAGACCGCGCCAAAGGTCTGCTGTTGCATGCACATGGTGCCACTCAAGGCGCGTCAAATGTAATGCTGCTGCCAAAGGTCGCCCGTGTACAAACTGTGAAAATGCAAATCGTACCTGTACTCTAATTGAGAGTAAAAGAGGGAAGAAGAGAAAACTTTCCACTTCACCTTCGATATCTCAGCAGGAGCTCAATGGCATTGCAGAGGCACCAGCCACTGCTGTCCAGAGGACAGCCGTGCACGGCAACGTCTATGATCCTCTCAGAGATTTACGGAATATTCCCAAAGAACGCCACATCTCTCAAGTCCATGGACCACCAATTACCCCTAGTGAACATGAAGAAGTAGACTCGACACGGGAAGCAGAGGAAACAAGCCTCTACACTCAAGTTCTCGAAAAGGCTACGAGTGCCGAAAACCCGCAAGAGCTCAAGGAAGGCGTTGTCCACGTTATGTACATGGGCGAAACCTTCAACCTCACCCATCTGCTGAGGCAGGTACATGCCAAATCAGAATCAGACTCCTTGTTGCGCAAAAGGCATTTTGAAGTCAATGTTCTCCCGAAGAACAAGTCCGCGAATCCTGCTCCAGCACAAAATAGTCCCCTGGCCTCATTCCTGCAGCAGCAGGGCGCCTTCACGATCCCTGCAGCCAATATCTGCTATCAGCTCTTCCGCACATATTTCGACCTTGTTCATCCGCACTATCCAATTTTGGACCGAGCCGATTTTGCTTTGCAATACGTAGATCTCACCAATCCTCCATCCTACCTTTTGCTACAATCCGTACTGTTTATGGCTTCGGGGCATTGTGACCTCTCGATTTTGCAGGACGCTGGCTTCAGCTCACGGTATCAAGCTCGGAGGACATTCTTTCAACGTGCCAAAGTGTTGTACGACAATGATCATGAACCGAACAAAGTCACGGTCGTGCTGTCTGTTTTCCTGATGAGCTTCTGGTGGAATGGCCTCGAAGATCACAAAGATACCTGGCACTGGCTTGGGATATCGATATCCCTGGCTCTGACGTTAGGAATGCACCGATCCACTAGACATTCTGACATGCGACCGAAAGATCGATCTATGTGGAAGCGAATCTGGTGGTCCCTATTTGTTGAAGACAAACATGCAGCTACAGCACTGGGGAGACCTGTTCATATTCGCCAAGCCGACTGTGACGTGGAACGACTTGAATTGGCTGATTTTGCAGAACAACCCATCAAAAATCCGGAGATATTCGGGACTCCAGAGCAAGTTGATGCCTTGTATGTCATAGCTTTGGTCGAACTCTCTTTCATTGCTGAGAGTATTGTTGAAAAGTCCTTCACCGCATTCAATGCAACAACATCTCTCAATGCCGATATGTTCCAGACCTGTTCGGAGCAATTAGAGCATTGGAAGGCACAACTGCCTCCAGAGTTGCACCAAGAAAAGACCAACACCTGCCTCTGGACAAGTATGCTGCATATCGCGCATAGGTAAGCGAGAGGAATCCAAGCAGAGACGCATTCACTAACAGTTGTGGTATAGCTGGTTCGAAATAGTGACTCATCGTTCTATCAAACCTCAAAACCTTTCTCCCCCATCAATGAAAGATGCCCATGCTTATGCGATGAAAGCAGCAAACCGCCTTATTCAGATTGTCCAAGATCTACTCGGTTGTAATCGCATTCTACAATGCCCTATTCACATTGTACCAGCTTTGTTTGCAGCCATGGGCATGCAAGCCGTTGATATCTATTCAGATGATGAGCTACAGGGGCAACTCGGCGCAGTAAGAACCAAAGTCGCTATGCTGGCTTTACAACAGCTACAAGAAACATGGCCAGTCAGCGGATGGATTTTCTCTCTCTTCAAGAAGATTGTGCGACGCATACAAGATAAGAATGAGTTTCTTCCCAACGAGCCAGTAAACGCATCCCCAGTCCAGACCAAGACTCAATTTCAGGCCGATATGCCACCGCCCCCGAATGGGCTGCAAGTCGATTCGCACGCATTGGTGAACGGGAAAACACTTTACCAAGACCCAAATCTGTCTCAACTCTACGCCATGGCAGGTCATCCTACTGGGCGGTATCTCTTCCAAACCATGCCGACGATGCCGGTAGCCTACCCAGGTTCAGATTGGCAAAGTATTTATGATGATGGAACTTGGGGAGATTTCGAATACGAGATCTAGACATCACTTGGAGTCTTCATCAACTTCTATTGTACTTCTCAAAGAATGCAGATTGCATTAGGGGGGCTCGCAACGCCGCCAGGGAAATTTAAAGGCGCGCTGGTGAAGAAGAAGCTCCATTTATTGAGCTTTTGACAAACCGCTGAAAGCTCGTCCAAGTCAAACATCTCTCCTATAGGCATGCCGAAGAGTGCTATCAAATTGTCATGCAGCCGATATCTTTCGTCCTTTGCAGGCCATGCCTCGAAAACATTCGCATCCCCTGCGACTGCTGCAAAGTGCTTGTTCCATATCCATTCCACTGATTCGTTGGTGCCTTCGACACCCGCCCAGGTTGAGCCTTCAACCGTCCCACTTCGACGTGCATCCGGAGTCGCCTCTTTGTACCATTTGACGAATCCCGACCTTATCAGAAGGATATCCCCTTGCTGGAAGGTTGTGCGCTGCCAAGCCGCCACAGCTTCGAGATCTTTTTCAGAGATGGCGTGACGCTCAATCGGGGAGTATTGAATACCTTGCTGCTGTGCCCATCTGGCGTAGTCTAAGAGAACACCTCGGCCGACAATGCCACCTCGCCGCGACCACTCTGAAGCAAGACGTCAGAAGACTTCCACTCAGACTCAAAATTCCTCTTACGATCAATTCCATTCCGAATGGGTGCACTTGGATCCGTTATATCCGCATGTGACACACCATTGTAATATGTCCTTGAAGGCTGATGAGCCCAGTGTCCTTGAATCGCCATCAGCCTTGTGCCTGAAAATTTCGATTGCAAGGACCAACTCACGAAAACCATCCCACTGACTTCCACTTTGAGTGTTCATCTCAATCTCGTCGTCGTGGCCCGTCCAATCAGGGAGTTCCATAATTCGATGATCAGGTTTTCTCCGATTCGAGTGAGGTGTCTCGCAGTTGTTGAGTGACCAGTTGATGGCAATGCTCCTACCGTATTGAATCTCTTCCTTTGCTGCTAAAATGGTCGAGGGGGTCAGAAGATTCAAAGTACCGAGTTCGTCCTGTTGACCATCCTTGTCCCACAGGCCCCAAGTGCACCCATGGGGCATGTTAGGTACAGAGGGGAGGTCAGCGTACAAAGGCAATACTGGGACATCGGCCATTCGTTTCGCAAGGACGCTTCTCTCGTTGCCAATTCCATTGTTGATTTCTCCCGCTTCCTGGTGTGGCATGTTAGAAATTCACGAGATTCACTTGCATGCAAGCCAAATAGGAATATCTACAGCCGATGCAGATTATCGGAGAGCCGGTCTCAGGCTTCTCGTAGTGGAAAGCACGGTTATGCCGGACGACTAGATACTCTTGCGGATCTTGGGAAGTCAACCGCGATACTGCTGATATATAGTACTTGAAGATTCCCAAACCCCCACCATCAATCAAGTATAAACTGGTTTCTAAGCACGCTATATGAATCATAAGCATCTCATTTATCCACCTCCGTGACTAGATTCGCAAGAAAAGGCGATTGTGGCATCAAGATACCCAATTGTTCTTGGAAATATCAGGCTATGCAGAGATAATCGGCTATTGACACAGAGCCGCATAACCGGATGCTGACGCACAGAGGACACCACAGTTTGGATTTTCGGAAGCAACTGAAAGTTTCTAGGTGATGAATACACACGCCATGGTGTTACAGACATTGAGAAGGCTCGACGGTGCCAGATCTGTGCACTTCGGATGTTGGCTGAGGCTGTCGTTGATCAGGTCCTGTTGCGTGAGCTCATGAGCAGATAGTAATCACAAAACGCACGTGTGACAACATGTTGAAGTCCAGGATCAAGTACATGTCACTGTGCCACAAATCCTGTCCTCCGAAGACCCATCCATAGCTGAGCAAGCCAGGGCACGTCGTCGGAAAATAGCAATGGAGACTCTTTTTTTTCAATCGCTGGAGCCTCCCTGCACGACACCCGAGAATACGGACGTGCGCCGCCCCAATGACTGTTTCTATTTCCGGGCCATCTGGGGGACTACATACATACCAGGCAGCCTTGCGTTCCGTGTCATGCTGTGTCACGGGCGCTCATCTTCTGGCTCGCGTCCTCGGACTTCGATTCGTCAAGGCCTCGTATCCGGGAAGTCTGAGGGGCCTGCTCAGCCATGACCCAAATGCATCAGATACGAGATTGGTGGGAGTCCTAGGGAAGACCTTTCTAACCTCTGGAGGGGGCTTTGTAGGGGCTTGGTTGGGGCCTTTCCAAAGATATGGAATTTCATCGACTTAGGGAGGTAGATATTTACCGCACACTTGTGAGGAATTACAAGGCTTAATGTTCTGCTCTCTTGACGATCGCCCTAATGAGGTTGGCCGATTGAGCTCACTCAAGCCACAGTCGTGTTCGAAGCACCCCGCACCTACCAAGCTAATGCGGATAGTAAAGCGATCTCGAGATTCGGCCTCGAAGGACATTTCGACTCATGCAGAAGGTCAAAAGCTACGTAGCCTACGCAAAGCGACACATCTAATGAGCAAGGATCTTGCACCCATGTTAGAACCCATCAGTCCGCAACCGGAGCAAGATGAGTTTTCCTTGGAGACTGCTTGTTGTGCCTCTTGTCTCTGGGATGAGCAACGATTGACCGCTGAGAGAAGCTTTGTCTCCAAGTCACTAAAATTTCCACCGCAAATGGGCCACAGATCGGTCGATTTGAGAGACCATCCATCATGAGGCATCGAGACGTGCCACCTCCAAACAGAAATCGGGGAATGATCAACGTTACAGCAATATCCACACCTCTCCACACGATCAACGTCTTCGTGCAAAGTTTTCACAGTGGTCAGCCAATCAGTATCTAATCTGATTAGATCAGAGTTATCTTATCCGATTCCACTGACGTCGGCCGAGGCATTAGAGGCAGTTCTCTCCACAATCGAACATCCCTCCACGCTGGTCAATGAGCTCCTGATGGGTGTTGAAACACAGTTTTTTGGGTCGCTTTGAGGCTCCATGTAGCTGCAGGTTTGGAGAGTTTACAGACAGCACGAATCCCGGATTGGTCGCTCAACGATTCCTGCCGTCATTTCACAGGTGATGTCCGATTGCGCAACGAGAACTTGTCCCTTGCGGTCAGAATGGCTCGTCAAGGTGGATTGTCAGTGAGTGAACCCTGATGGATGTAGGTTGGCCGCTTGAGTTCTTTTTGTGGTGCGTTTCACTGCGCTATTCCTCTCAGTTGTGGTCTTCGTGATCCTTGAATTCCCAATATTGAGCGAGATCGGCGTCAACTATTCGAACCTTTTAACGTCAAACGCAGTTATTCGAACCTTTGAACCTCCTTGTGTATAAACGATTTGCTGACTTTCATGACGCTCTGATTCTGTGCGACGTATATGCCGAATGTCCGTACCACGACAAGGTAGTGTAGGCACTGCCGCTCGTCCGTCAGTAGACACTATTGTTGCAGACATATCTCCCACCCTAGGTGACGAGGAGAAAAATGCTGTTGATCTGCACAGCAATCAGGAACAGAATGACCGTGACGACGAGGCAAATAGTCGGGAGATCATGACTGCAGCTTGGGGTAGACATGGGAAGATATACATGTGGATAGGGTTTGTTTCTTCCCCATTATGAAGTCCAGTCACCACAGAGCTGACTTTACCTGATCAGCATCGCCTTGATGTGGACCATATTGTGAGATTTCTTCTTCAAAGCCTGGTTCTCCCACAAACGCTAACGTCTACAATAGTGAACTGGACCACACTATGGTGTACAATTATCAAAACTATGCAGCCTCGGACTTTGAGCAAATAGCTCTGCTAGGTGCATTGATGACGGCCGGTACTATTGTCAGCGCCGTACTAAAACCGCCGATTGCTCGGATTTCGGATGTGGCTGGGCGCGCTGAAACATATGTCGTGGTGGTGGTCTTTTACATCGTCTCCTACAGCCTTTGTGCATCTGCCGGGGGATTTGCGCAGTACTCCGGGGGTTATATCATCTACTGCATCGGCCAGACAGGCATGCAAATCCTCAATCAAGTCATCGTCGCCGACATCACCTCCTCGAGATGGCGTGGGCTTGCGAATGGGTTGGTGAATCTGCCGTTTATGATCATTCCGTGGATTTCTGCATTTGCTGTGGACAGTGCGTTGGCAACTATTGGGTGGCGTTGGGGTGAGTTTCTTCGTATTTGATCCTGGTCTCACAATGTGCTTTACCCAGGTCAAGGAATATATATTGACCTCCAGCAGGTATTGGAATGTTCGCAATCATTCTACCGACAGCCTCAGTGGCAGTGATCATCCCACTACTCTGGTTCCAACGTCGCATCAAGAAAGCTGGCGGCACAGTCCACCAGAAGGTCACCATTTCCGGTTTCTTGAGTCAAATTGACCTGGGTGGAATGATTCTTCTCTGTGGCGGGTGTGCGATGTTACTGCTGCCGATAGCTTTGGCAGGAAATACTGCTGATGGCTGGCGAACGCCCTGGGTACCGACCCTGATCGTCCTTGGTGTTTTATTCTTGCTGGGGCTTATCTACTACGAAGGCTATGTGGCTACCAAACCAGTCATTCCATCACGATTCATGCGAAATATCTCGTTGGTCCTTGCGTTCCTGATCGGACTGCTTGACGCTTTTGCATATAGTATCACCCACACCTACATGTATGCATGGGCTACAGTCGTCCATGATTTTTCGGCGCGCAATGCAACATTCCTCACATATACCGCTGGGTGTCTTCAAGTCTTGACTGGGTTGGGTACGGGATTTGTCATGTACCGGACCAAGAGATACAAATTCCTTCTTCTGCTGGGGATCATAATCCGACTCGTTGGTTACGGGTTCATGATGCGCCTGCGCGGTGCCAACAATTCGGTTGCAGAAATATTCATCATGCAGGTCATTCAAGGGGCGGGGAGCGGTGCTGTGGGGACAGTTGTCATTGTGGTTGCACAGGTGGTGGTACCACGGGAGGAGCTCGCCCAAGCCACCGCACTTGAACTTCTTTTCATCTACCTCGGGAACAGTCTTGGGTCAGCCATTGCTGGAACGATCTACACAAGTCTATTCAAGGGACGACTGCGCTTCTGGATGGGGCCTTCGACACCAGAAGAAGCGATTCAATCCGTGTACGACAGGATCACCGGTGTGCTCCCTGCTCCCGGATCGCACGAACGGATAGCTGTGAATCACGCTTACTCTGACATTCTACGATTCATGACCATTGCAGCGTTGGTGGCTTCGGCTTTGCCTCTGATCATGGTATGGCTTTTGCCAAACTTGAAGCTGAGTGATGATCACAACCTGTCAAAGAACATGACGATGAAAGATGCAAGTGAGAAGGCTGGCAATGGCAAGACCGAGACGTGGCTTCAGAAGTGGCAGCGTCGAGTTCGTTGGTGATTATCTCTTCGTATTTTCTCTGGGCAAGGATGATTTCTTTTCAGATACAGAATCGCATTGTAAGGGAGTGAAGGCATCTAAATTATATCAGAATGGGTGGTTTTTAAGGCACGGCGAGGGCCCTTCATACACTTCTAGGATGGATAGAGTCCTGTTTATGCTAGAGTAAACAATCTTGACTCCAAGTGGGCGCCGCGGGCACCCAGCGGGCCAGGCAGAAGGACGATTAGCCACCTCTAATTGGTTAGGTGGCCTTTTTTTCGGGGCGGACATTCAGGCCATCCGTTTCCGAACAAAGTTTCGTGCGACTGCAAACTACGTCAATGACTTTCCTGACAAAGGTTCTTGACGAGTAGCAGACATAAACACTCGGTCTACCATTATTGACTGTCGAGAATCAAGATGGTATTGAAGATTCTATTCAGCACAGAAGTTCTACGCCATAAATCTCTTGTGGGATGACCTTCTGAAGCCACTATATCTCCACAACACACGCGCCGTAGAGGTGGTTGGAGTCCCTTATCTAATAACCAAAATAAAAAATCAACATCAATTTTGGAAGCAGCAATGGCTCCTGAAAAGCCGCTTCCGATCGAGACGTTGCTGCCGTTTGGTGAGCGACGCGTATCCACCGAGTTTTCAAACATGCAATCCGCCAGTCTCGACCACTCCAGGAGAGACGACCACACGCCTGATAGTCTTGAGGAGGACGATCAATCGGGAAATGACATGGAGAAACCGAAACGCCAAAAACGATCCCGCGCTTGCATTGCATGTCGTAACATGAAGATCCGATGCCTTCCGGTTGAAGGGCAGGACGCCTGTAGTAGCTGTGCCAAAGTTAACAGGGAATGCATCATGCCCGGACCGCCTCGCAAGCGCCAGAAGACTGTGCACAAAGTTGCTGAGCTCGAAAAGAAAATCAACGCTCTGACCGATGCCTTGTTGGCCAAGGGTCAGCAGACGGACAACACCCCAACGGATTCCTCGGAGAATCCCCCAACGACAAGGTCGATCTCGGAGCCGGCCAAAACAGATACTGCGTCTACCGAACCTGAACATCTACAAGCCATAGATCGCTATGGGCAACGATTCGTCGACGAGGCTTTTCATAACGTCAGAATACGAGAACGAGACGGTTCACATTGTGTTCCGGCATATGTGGAGGCCATCCCCAATGAATCTTATGTTGATGTGATCGAGCGTGGAGATCTGACCATGGAAGTAGCGACCATGATGTTCACATACTGGTTGCAAACCATGTGCGCAACCTCCCCGCTCATCGTATTCCCACAAGGGACGCAAATGCAAGATGTTCGAAAAAGAAGACCGATGCTTTTTCTATCGATAATGACCAGCACAAGTCCCGCGATCAAGCCAGCAGCGCAGCCCGCACTCATTCTCGAGTTGAATCGACAACTCTCTGAGAGGGTACTCTTCCATGGCGAAAAGTCACTGGATTTGATCCAAGCTCTGATGATGAATTGTCAATACTACATGAGGCCTCGGACCGCCCGCGATATGTCGTTCAATCAATCTGTCCACTCTGCCGCGGTTATGGGCCTGGAACTTGGCATCGGAAAAAGAAGCACTGGAGAACGTGGCAGATCTCCCATCGAAAACCTCGAACTTCGCCGAACATGGTTGGCTTGTTATCAACTTAGTTCAACGTAAGGTCCTTGCCCCCTTCCAAAGGTCCTGCCACTGACAGTTAACCAACAAACCAGCGTATCCATTCTTCTTCGCCTACCTTCTTTAGTGAGATACTCAACCCATATTGATGAGTGCCTTCAATATCTACAGATCAGCCCCTATGCGCAGCCAAGCGACAAATGGCTTTGTGCACTTGTGAAGCTGCAGCGTCTTCTCGAGGAAGTTGCCGTGGCGTTCGACATGGATGACCCTGCTGGCAAGGTTGCTTTTCTGGAACCAAAAGTGCAGTATCAACTTAGAAGCTTCGAACGGCAATTAGAAGCGTGGAGACGGGAAACCGATGTTCCTGTCGAACAAGGTAAGTGATTCAGTCCATAGTCTTGGAGAGCTATAAATCTAATAAGTAAAGCGGTGGTCGATCACATGCATGCATGTGCGGTTTTGTATGTTCACGAGATTGCCCTTCATATGGAACATAACGTCGATGATTTTCGCCCGGGAGTGTATCCCCTCGCCGCCTCTTCTTCGAAACCTCTGGATTTCGTCACTTCTGGTCATATCGAAGCTCTCACGACAATTCTTAATGCATGTCATAAACTGTTTGACATCTACCTATCATTTGACACGGGTTTCGCAAGATCCTTACCCAATATCGTGATCGTGTGGACTACATACGCAATAGTGATCTTGGTCAAGCTTCATTGGTTTGTTCATGACCCAGTTTCGAAGTTCGGATCTTTGTTTGTGGCAGACCTCAAGACCGAGTACTACCTCGACGCAATGCTGAGAAAATTGGCTGACATTGCTGATGACGGCCATGGTCCTTGCGCGGAGGCATTTGGATTCGTGTACCGGAAGCTGAAAATGTGGCATATGCACCGCGCAGGCAAGTTCACTGACGATGAAAGAGCCACTGGAGACGAAGACCAACAACAACGACAAGCAGCAAGCATTTTGATGGGTAGCCCTTCAGCCATAATGCATTCCACAAAGAACGACACCATCCGGGCAGTTGACGAAAAGCATTTGAGAGTTGACCCTGTCAGTGCATACGTACCAAATATACAAATTGAGAGGCCGATGCCCAGCTCGGATCTGAACGCTGCATATGATGCTGCAAGCTACGGCAACACGAATTGGGAACAATTCAATTTCTCTGTGGAGGAACTGAACATGTTTGATCTGTACATGAACAATGGGTCTGGCTGGATGGGATATTTGATATGATAGCAACTACAAGAATCTCCACTCAGGAGGATTTATTCGGAAGAGTTCACAGTTACCTCTTTGCTCGAATCCCTGAATGGGAGAAAACAAAATGATCAACACCACCAACGCACACCACGCTCCCAAGATGATGCAAAGGAAACCCGGTAAATGTTCAATTCCATCCAATCACACCCTGTCCTAAAGTTCTTCCTCTCCTTCTATCGAAGATCGACACCGTCCTGCCGACCACGCCATCGCCTCCAACTCCAAGATTCAGCCTCGCACCCCCAGACAAACAATTTGTTGCCGGATCAATGACGAATGAATGCATGATCGGATTCGAGCAGAAACCTTCGTCTTCCGACTCCGACTCCGAGCCACTATCTGCGTTCGAAGAGAACAACACCGGCTGGCCGTATTTACTACATCCATCAGCAAACTCAGATCATTCGAGAATCAATTAAGAGAAGCCACCTACTGGATACGAACGCTCAACGACCCATTCCCGCTCCCACCGCACAGATCGTTGAGATCTACCAGGCCCATGTCGTCGCATTGCAGGCTCGAAGCCGTGGCGCCAGGTAGACGGTTCGACAGCCTCAGGCGGCCGCGGAATGAAGACTGTGGGTTTGGATGGATCACGGCAACCAGATCTCCGGACTCGGGCGCCGCTGGGAGGTGTGAATCCCCGCACATGTTGAGCGTGTTTTGTTGGTATGAAGAATTGGGAAGCTGAGAGTGAGTGGGATTTCCAAACTGCTCGCTCTGTGACTTCGCACAGTTGACGAGCGAAGCTGGGGTCGATGTCGCGGGTCGTTTATTTCTCGGAAGGGAGACTGTAGCGACCAGAGTTACGTTGTGGTTTGTCGTGAGGTCCGCGTCGCGCGTGCACACTTGAAATTATAGCGATGCAAAAAGCGGGGAGTAGTTGATGGTAGGTCTGTAAAGGTCTAGAAAGCTGGGACGAGCATTGTCTTTTGTACAACATTACGGAAAATATGTTTGCATGCATGCATGTATTGTATACATCCACTCAGCCCTCGTCTCATTTACCATGAGACAGCATACAAGTATTAGCATTGTCTTCTAGATCAATGTCCCGCCTACATCGAACATGCGATATGTGCTCAACGGTCCAATCCAAGCCAATAGAATCGAGGACCCCCGGCGAGGCGAGCACCTTTTCCTGATTCGTGATCCAAGTTCCTCTAGGCTCTAAGCTCACGGTCCTCAAATACCACGGCTTGGCGGGATTTCTGTGCCCGAGTCTCAGGATGAGCAAGTTGAGGAATCGGCATTATCAGCCTGAGCCACAGATATTCAATAGTTCCTCATGAATAATCTTAGTACGAGCAAGTTTACAAGTCCTGCAGGTGACGTGGTGAGCATGTTTTGAGATTTCGAGGCTGAGTTGTGATGAGCCTGGCTGAAGAGCAGTGCGCACAGCATTGAGCAAGTTTCTTAAATTAAAGAGGCGGCTGACTTGAGCAAGGTGTCCGACTTGAGGTTGCAGACGGAAGGTGTGGCGAGCAGTATTTCCGGATGCACGTGACGAGGACAGTAGTCTGCCGAGGTAATCCCGGTCGCTTAACGCCCAACGTCGAGATGCCCAGTCGCCAATGACAAACCTCAATCTAGGAGATCGCGCTTCAATCCTAGGCTAGCAGACTCGCGGATCAGTGTTCATAGCGAGAGTGTGACAGCGCAATCCAGAACAATGTTGGACTTAACTCTCTTGCCCCTTCTTCTCCTTGCGACACCATCCGTAATTTCACCTATCCATGTTCATACAGCGCTGACTGGTCGACCGAGTTACGCGGATGTTTTCCTACTTTGCCTCGGAATGCAGACGTCACTATCACCATCGGTACTGAATGAAGGCGAATATCCAGCGGTAGCGGCTATGACCACCGGCTACGTTTTCAGGGTTGAAAATCAAGCCACGGTGATGTTCCTGCAGAGAGTGGCCAGAACTGGGCATCTTGTGACTCTTGATGCGACATCTGATGATGCTCGCGCACTTGGTTCGAAATATCTCGGTCTGTTGCCACTTCTTCCGCTTGTGTTTCAATTCGGACTCTTCATAGGCCCTCTTGGATCCATGGTCCTCACGGCCGCCGTAAGCGCCTTCTTCCCGCCTCTTGAAGTCCTCTCACACAGCAGTCGCTGCGTTCCTGCGTTCCTTTTAGCCTGTGGCATCATGTCAGCGCACGTCGATTGGTTTCTGCTTGGAAGTGTTGCGCTGCTCCTCTTATCGCGATTACTGTTGATCGCGAGTCTTCGTGCAAGAACAGCACCATCTTGGCATGGAGCTTCGGAGCCAGGCGTAAAAGGAGATATGTTGATCTTACTCTCACAGGACCGCTGGGTACGCTTGAGAGGCTTCGTTGATGATCTGAAAGCGGTAACTTCCGGCTCCTGGCTGCGTGAAGCCAAGTATCCTGTTTTGATGGAAGCACTTGAATGGATATCTCGCATCTTCGTCTACCTGGCGACCGTTGTACTGGGGAATGCAGATACGGATAACACAGTTGTATTGGTCCTAGGATTACTCTTCGGTCATGGTGTTTTGATATATACAAACTTTCGGACGAATGTCTTGAGACTTAATGGGCGAAAGATCAAGACGTCGGAAGGGGGAGCAAACGTTAAAAGCTACACACGGAGACTAGACCTTGCAAATGAATTGATCAACGAGACAGGAAGGAGCGACTGGGCTGTTCGGCTCGGTATGATTAATTTGGATACAGCGCTCAGCAGAACTAGTCCGGATCCAGCACATGAAATAGTGACAATGTGACATTGCTCTGTCCAATTGAATTCATAAAGAGTCTCTAAGCTTCTATCTGGAATGTTGTCCGTACACCCATTGCTGCGAGCTCGACATCCAGATATCTCAGCACGCCCGGTACATTTACAACGGTTGTATCGTCTCCTCCGACGAACTTTCTACCACTGCCATCTTCCCAAACCGCCATCTTGCTGTCATTGAAGCTAGCAGGGCGAGCACATGCACGACATCGAACGATCCCACTTGGCTCGACACGCCCACCTCTCTTTCCCACCGTGAACTGGTTTGGGACCATCATCGTACTCAGAAAGCTTCCACACGATCGGCAGACCCAGGCTCGTTGTTTGTCGCTGCAGTCCATCAGGCGATCCTGTAGAAGGTAGGCACAGCCGTGTGCAATAAGAGAGTCACGTTCCATCTCACCAACACGAATACCTCCTCCTTTGCTTCGACCTTTGATGGGCTGGCCGTGCAGCGCATTGACAGGGCCAGTTGTCCGCACTTGGAACTTGTCGCTGACCATGTGTCTCAGTCGTTGGTAGTAGACTACACCAAGATATATATCTGCAGCAAACGGTTTTCCGGTGATGCCACTGTACATAGGCTCATTGCCGTAGAAGTTGTATCCGGCTTGCCGAAGTTGGTCACCAAAGAAATCTCCTGCCGTATTGTCTTCGTCAAAGGAGAAAGGTGTGCAATCTTGTGCCAGTCCGTGAAGAGCGCCGGATTTTCCAGCAAGTGATTCAACAAACATGCCGATCGTCATTCGAGAGGGGAAAGCGTGAGGATTGATGATGACGTCGGGTTGAATACCAGACTCACTGAATGGCATGTCCTCACTAGGCCAGAGCATCGAACAGACACCTTTCTGCCCGTGCCTGGAAGAGAATTTGTCTCCGATGATTGGTCTTCTGGGTATACGGTATTTGATGCTGATTGCTTGGCAAGGCAAATCTCCCGACTCGGAGCCAATAAGACGGATTTGATCGATGTAAGCCGCTTCCGTATCTTTGTATTTGAAGTAACTGGTTTTTCCATCCAAGTTCTTCAACTTGCCCTCCGACGGGTCGAACATGACACTGTGGTGAGCCAGAACAATCGATCCTTCGCTTACTTTTGTTCCGACTGCTGGTAAGCCATCAGTATCCAGACTACTGATCGCTTCAGGTGTGATATTTGGATCGCCTTCGGCAAAGCCGAAAAGACTTTTGATTTCGGTCTTTGATCGGCTGCTTTTCGTTCTCTCGTTCAATTCATATACTTTCGTCTTGTAGATGACACCATCGCCGAAGCCGCGTTCATGTGAGGATTTGTTAATTATCATAGCATCGTCCATATCGTACCCTGTGTATGAGATGACGGCCACCACGGCGTTCATTCCATTCGGGAAGCTGTCCAAACCGTACTCGTTGTACAAGGGTGGTCGAACCACTGGTGTTTGACCCGTTTGCAGGAGATAAGCCTTGTTGTCTGTCCGGCACATCATGTTGGAGGATGGAGTTCCCATAGCCTGCTTGCTCATCTGACACTGATACATATTTCTAGGCGACTGATTGAAATCCGAGAAGGGCGTCATGTTTGCAAGAATGGACAGGATGTTTGTGGGTTTGTACTCGATATGGGTGGTTAATTGCGGTATGATATCCTTATCCACACACGCAATGTTCATGTATTGTTGTTCGAATGCGCCGACATAATCAAGTTTGTCTGATGGAATGTACTTGACTGGTCGAATCATCCTTGAAGGATCTGCGAAAAGGTATAGACCTGGGTAGAGACCGCCATTTGAGGTGGGTACGAATCCAATCTCGAGCTCGGTCGGGATCTTGTTCTCGCCATTGACTTTCCAGTGTCTGAGGAGCTGAGCAATTTCTCTAGCTCGCTTTGCAGGGCAGTAACCTAATATTCTACCATCAAGCTGAACAGCCAGTCCATCTTCGACGGCCATCGTGGGTGCGGAAGAGAGTCCTAATTGAATGACTGCTTTTTCCACACTTGTGGTGTCGATTTTCTTGATCTGAACCTGACATTGATGAGCCAAGTGATTGAGAAGACCGCAGGGCGAACCATCGGGCGTGTGAACTGGACATAGAAAACCCCAACTTTCTGGGAGTAGCTTTCGAACGGCTGTTGTCTTCAGCTGTGCAAAGAAAGCACCTCTGTGTATACACCTGAAGTGGCTGATAAATCGGTAAAAATTGATTTTCTCTGCCACAATGGTGAAGCCAGATGTTTGTGACAAATCAAGGCCTGTTTGACTGACAAGGTTACCAGTGGACAAGAAATAGTCCAACTTCCCGGCAAGATTTTCATTTGTTCTCCTCACGATTTTTGGTAGGAAGTCTGTTTCGAAGCCAGGATCTGAGAATTGGGCTCCATTTTTCATCCTGCACCAGTCTCTCGCCGCGGCTCCAATTGAGACCAGCCATTCGTAAATACTCTCCTTCAAGATCATGCCATAGAGAAAGCCTCCCAGGAGGACTTCTTGATTGGACACGGTATCAGGATTATCGAGTGCACAATCATCGGCTGCAAGAGCATAGAGCTTCCGGATCATGAATAGTATGAGCTGGAATTTGTCGTTGTTCTGTGCTGGCGTCACATCAACGTTGCCAAGATGTGGAAGGACAATTCTTCGAAGGAATTCCTCACCCACCTTTTCGTCGGACATGGTCAATGGGCACATCAGTACCGGTCGGAATTTCTCTCCAAGATATGCCAAGGTCTGGGTTTTGGTTTTCAGGTTATACACCTTGTAAGTGCGAAGAAGGAGTTCAGTTCTGTCAGAGACAAATGAGCTTGGTGTACTGGAACTCGAAGATCCAATGATACCATCGGCAATCTCTCTGTCGTTTGTGTCCACCAACGCCTTCAAGATCATCACTGCTGGTACCAGGAATTCGTTTTTTCTCCAAGAGAACCGGAATGTGACATTTCCGTCGGTGAGATAATGGAGAACATTTGTCTGCGAGCTCTGATCCGGCCGTACCGATCGAATCTGGATTCCGTACTTGGAAAATGTAGGGCCTCGAGCGGTGAATGCGTTTCGAGAGATAGCCATGGGATAGTTGCGTCGCGGCACGATCAACATTCGAATGAGCTTCTCATTACCATTCACGATGAAATAGCCGCCGAGCTCTTCTGACTCTTCCTTGTGTCGAACCATTTCAGCAGGCGAGAACTTTTCCAGGTGACACTTATTCGACCGCAGCATAATGGGCATCTGTCCCAACTCCCGAATGGATTCCTTCCAATCTCCATTATTGATTCGGTATTGTAACCTGGCTCTTAGCTTTCCTCGATATGTGGAATGGCGTTCTCGAGCCTCGGAAGGGTAAATATTTCGGTTCTGAAAACTGAATTTGTTGGATGATGGCAGGATTGGTTTGTCTAGCAAGACTTCCGTCACTCTCAACTCCAGCTTGTTTCTGGCCACATTTTGTCTGATATCTCGTGGATTTCCATCATTCGCAGTGTATATGCCGATGTCTTTTAAGCCAGCCTCGATCAGATGTTCGTCCCACAATGCATTGAAAGATTCGACATGAGGCTTAACTGCGGCCTGGAGCGCAGGGAAGGCGCTTCGGTCTTTGGGCGTGTGTCGAAAGAGCTTTTGGCGTCGAGTAGTATCGAATTCCACCGACCACTTTGTTTGGGTCTGGGTTGTTGTGGTGGACATGTTGAGGTGTGAGGAATGAATGGTGGCGAGGTGGATACTATCAGACTCTACGCCCTTCGTCGGTCCTACGAGCGCATCGTGTAGACTGGAATTATCCCTTGCGCGGAGGGTTTGTAGTGAGAGATCCGAAGTTGAATTGAATTGTTCAAAAAATTGAACCCGCAGTCTCCCTCCACCGAAAAAAAGTTCCGAAGCGGCGTTATCGATAACAAACCTCAGAGGCTAAATACCTGCCGCTTTAACCTCTTAAGCACTCCCCTCAGTTTCGTCCGCCACAACCTCCACAACCTCCCATATCCTGTGCTTATGCTTGATATCTCGCACCGGAGAACTGACATTTGCTACGAGCACCTTTTCATTCAAAAACCCCAGCTCAGTCGGCACTGAAAAGCTCTATTATATATCTTTAACCCACACATGATTCAATAAACTACCAATCGATCTAGCTACCTAATGGATGCGCCAATTGACACCTTACGGCCAACTCGCTGAAACTAAGTCCGATAGTCCAGGAAAGCCGGCGTCGTGATCGAAAATACGGACTAATTTTGCTGATTCTCCTTGCTCTGAGGCTTGTTTCAACACCCAGTTGTGCTCTCCTAGGACTTGGTCCTTTGAACAATTCAGCGAGTAGACAAGGCTGTGCCCCTATTGCTTGGTGGAGCCACAGTGCCAATGCACGTACAGCTAAACAGCGACTCTCAGATGCTTACACTGCAAAGCGAAAGCGAGGACTCTTCTCCCCCAATGCCTCAATTTCCACATCCGTAAGACCTTCCATCCGGTAGTCTTGTTTCCCTTCATCACGGAGTTTATTCTGTCGCTTGAAATGCAGATGTAGGATGGTGTTAAGGACAAGGGAAACCCCAAGTAAACCGATTGACGCAGCGTAACTAGTTGTGAAGGCCGGGGCAAAGGATTGGCTGAAAAGGAAGGGAGATGCTACGCCTGAAGAGTTTCCGATAGTGAGATGCATGCCTGTGGAGAAAGCCCGCTTGCCGTAGCGAGGATTGTTTGTCGGCACCCAGGCGAACGAGATGCCCGCACCGGTGAAGATTCCGACCGCGACGAAAAACGTCCCAGCGTACGAGGTAGCAGTACCCGAGTTCGAAAGCAGCATGCCATATCCCACCATGGACGAGATGATAGAGCCAATGATGAAATATCCTCGGCGCTGGGTGAGATCTGAAAGACGGGCGCAGATGAGGTATATGATAGCGCCGAAAGCGTATACGGGCACTGTCATGGCCTGCACGATGGTCGGGCTCCAACCGGTGCCCATCTCGTTGATGATAGTTGGTAGGAACACAACGAATGAGTATAACATGGTCAATAGGGGGAAGAGAGCAAAGCAGTAGGCCCAAGTGGTCCAGTCCTTCATTCCGTCTTTCACATCAGGCCATTCCATGTGCCGCAGATTCCTAGCGCGACCGAGTTGGGCCTCGTGGATATTGACGAGGACCTGTCGGTCTTTTTCATTGAGAAACTTCGCGGTTTCAGGAGAGTTGGGCAGGACAAAGGGAATTACCAACCCAGTAATGATCGTAGGTGCACCATTGATGAGTATAATCCACCTCCAAGCACTCCATCCAGCGGCACCATCCATATGGCCAATCCCGTATGCCACAAGTCCGCCACACAAACCGGACAAAGCAGCTGTTGAATAGAAGTAGGCAATGCGAAGTGCTAAACTGCGACGGCCGTAAAACATAGAGAGATAAAGTACTACTCCGGGGAAGAAGCCGCTTTCGAATAGACCTAGAAGCAAGCGGCAGGCGAGGAGCGAGCCCAGGTTGTTGACAAATGCGCTGAACGTCGCAGTAAGACCCCACGCAATAGTCAAGCCAGCGAGATAGCGTGCTGGCTGCATTTTCTTGATGATCATGTTCGATGGGGCTTCAAATAAGCAATAGGTGACGAACAGCAACGAGACTGCGAGTTGGAACTGATTGCCAGTCAGGCCAAGATCTCTTTCCATATGGAAAAGTCGAGCATTCCCGATATTGACTCGATCCATCATGTTCATAAGATAGACCCAGCATATCATTGGAACGATGCGTAAGTCCACTTTTCTCAAAACCGCCCTTTCAGTTGCCTTGTCGACAACCATAACGTCTGCACCAGGCGCTGCCGCTTCCTCAACAGTATCAATATGGCCAGACGAAGAATCCGAGTCCTTGGGTAGTGCGATCTTCTCGTCATCGCTGACGGTTTTATCGTTGGCATGAGCCATGTTAGGCGAGGATGTTGCCATTCTTGATGATAACGGAGCTTGTTCGGATGTTGCTTGAATCCGGAGGCGAAGCTCACTGGATGACCGGCGGACTTTATGTGCCGTGTTCTTGCTGAATAGATTATAGACGCACCAGCGTGCGATAGAAGGAATAAAAGCACTTTGCCCAGCGGCCGAGTCAAGTATATCAATTGTAGGATAAAGGAAAAGATCTAAAAGCTGGTCATGTAGAGGGCAAGCAAGTGAGTCTTATAGTCCCATCTTGAGGAAATGATCAACATTGGCAACGAGATGAGGACGGCTAGGCATAGTGTAAATGTTGAGGCGCTGTTGAACCTCCACATTCTGTGTTTCGCAACTCCGTGCCACATGGATGCTGCCTCCTGTCACTCAGTGCTGTACTATTGCTCCACGCCCTCACCTCCTCAATTTGACCCCAAGATATCAAAGTGAAATTTCATCGCCAAGTAAGGCTCCTGTATGGAGGCGGGGTACCTTGGCGACGCTGTTGAGGCAATGGTAATGATCACCAACTCTTGATAGTTGATGTAACAACGCTGACTGTGGAGCCTCCTGCGCCTGAAACTTGAATAGCGACGCTTGAACATGCGCCGGGGTCTATATTGGCTTACATCATTTGATAGGAGGCCAAGATAGTGAAAGGCGCGAAAAGGCTCGGCTTTGACTTGGTAGTCGATAAAACAGTAATATCTCCGGGGACAAGACAAAGGGCGAACGGAACCTACGGGTGGATGGAGATGATAGAATCGTGAATACCGGCATTGTATAAGCGAGCCATTTGTTTGGATGCTGTAATGTAGATATCGTTCTGGGTACAGGAGAAAGGAGTCGAACCTGTCTACAGCCAAGGCTTCCAAGACATGATCGCTCCGAGGTACGACTATGTTCTATCCTTAGAGTAGTAGGAGGACGAAATAAAGAATAAACGGTTTCCTATAGCTCGTCATCCTCCTATTGCTGCTGTTATTACTGCTGTTGCTGTTGCTGTTGCTGCTGTTGTTGTTGCTGCTGCTGCTGCTGTTGTTGTTGTTGCTGTGGTCGTGTCTGTATTATGCTATCTTGAAGCAGGCATAGTCAATTCGCATGCGAAGAAGACACTCGAACGCACCATCAGTGGACGTCCTTGATCAGATATTCTCGTCCTTTCCAGGATGAGATATGAAATTTCCGTTTCTTCCACGTGTATCCGAGTGGTTGAGACTCGTGACTGGTGCCAATCTGTTGAATCTTGGCCTCTGGCTTGGAGCCTGCGATCAGGAAAATGTATCCTTGCAGTCCACCCTTGGCGCCGGCCCCGCTCCGCTGGGCAGGGTCCGCTCGTGAGCTGCGGCAGATAAACTGCGTAGACGGAGACATCTTGATAGGCCTAAATCTTGACTTCTGATAGATCCCTTGGTTTGTTCGCTGTACGGCAAGAATGATGAGGCTCCTTACCATCAGCATTGCCAAAAGTTGCTCGCATTGGAGCCTTTGGTCCGCGTTGTGGAGACATAATATGTTCTGGAAAACTCCTCATTCCTGTAGCTTCTGGAATGTATTGCCATCTGTTAGAATTTCCGCGTTCTCGTGCTACTCGAATCAAGTCCACGCCCTGGAATTAGGCAAGACAGCGATCAGGCACATATGGGATTGTGCATCTTGAAGGATCTCAAGTGCCGTGATCGAAGGCTCCGATTTGAGACAGGCGCTTACTTAAAATGGCATACAGTAATAACGTCACTGGCTCTTTGCGGAGGAAGACACGATTCAGGAGTACTGAAACTGCTTATCCTGTCATGGAAGGCCATTGAACAATGAGTCTCCTGGATCAAAGATCTAATCGACGTCTTCTTGCAGACACTCTTCCACACTCTTGTGGCATAGTTCAGCTGTAAATCTGGTCAGTCGCGTTGCACTACATGCAAAGCTCCAAATGACTACTTGACTATTGCTGTTTGGCAAAGCGACCTATCAAGGCATCTGAGTAGCATATTGACTAAAAACGAAGATGTGAGAGGATATGCTTCCCTGATTTGACTTACCATGGAGGAACTGGGCAATCATCATACAGGTCATGACCAATGGACGTCTTGATTGGTAGGGCGAAATTCAACGCCAATAGGCTGCTGCCTTGGAAGTTCTGAGTGAGTCCTAGGTACTTCCTAGAGGCCCAGCAAAAGTGGTAGATCTCAGCGCCTCAGATGCTGGTAAATGGGTAATTACCATCTTGGCCATTCTTTTCAAGTGGAGGATAAGCTGGGGGAATGCACCTTGGCCACAAGAGGCCACGTGTCACACAGTGCCGGTCGACGGAAGCCGTTGAATGCGCGCATCATGTTTTTCGAGAATACAAAGTGATCATCACACTGACATTGGCAATATGCTTGTAACAGATTGGTACATCGGCATCAGATGACTGGCTGTTCTTATCGGACGCTTGGGTGGGCTTGAGAAAGTTCACATGAACAAACCTCGTACTGAGGTTGGTGAAAAATCCAACACGGGCCAAGATACCACTACATCCCATATGGAATAGTGTCTGAAATCCCAGCATCATGGTCTCCACATTTCTCCAGCACAGCATTCTATCTCCTTAATTGTTTATGTAGAATTTCTGGATAGTTTCCTAGAGCCTCGCATCAAGTTTAGGTAAATGAGGGGATGTGCCTGGGGCTCCCCAACGAGGAAACCCTCCAGTCGGCGTTGACTCGCCCGACACCAAATTATTCAAGGCAGCCGACCTTAGCTTGAAGCTGAAGCGCGCTAGCGGGACTACTGGCCTTCGAGGATCCGAACGGTATGGACGAGTAGGTAGATGAAAGATTGCCCACTCACATTTGGCCTGTCGCGAAGCTCCTGCTCAAAATCTGCTTCATCAAGAGGCTACGCTTTTGGACTGCCAGATCTCTGTCATCTTCATGTGAACTCCGGCCACGTCTTGGGCAAATTTTACCTCCGATGCTTATGCAAACTGCAAGCGTTAGTCCAGGCGAGAAACCAAAACGCCTAGCTAAAGGGATAAGGCTGACTACCCCTTTTCTCTCACAACTCGTCTACCCTTGAGATGCTCTGTCCAGATCCTTAATCCGAGCCAAGTTGATTTTATTTGTCAGAATGATATCTGGCATCTATGGCTGCCTCTATTTAGAATTGAAAAACTGCGAGCGGCAGAATTCGAGTACCTAATTCACATCATCCCAAACATCCATCAGCCATGAGTAGATTTCACACTCGAGCAAGCGAACCTCGCTCATAGCTGAAGATGGTGATTTTGTGATAGGCCGTCGGGACTGACTTCCCTCCGTTGAGGCACTTGTGCCTGTATTTGATGGTTCGTATGTACCCGTTCACGTTAATTTCGTGGACTGCACCATCGTAACCTTATTTCTAGATTCTTGCGTTCCAAATTTTCCATAAAAGATTTGTTGCTTAGCACCGTCAGTGGTAAAGGAGTGTCCTTGGTTCCTTCGCCTCGCTTATTTGATGACTCAAATTTCCATCTTCTTTTAATGTAGTTGCTAATGAGCAATCGCGCTTGTCTCCAACCGCTGTCGATGAAGAACATCACCATTGAGTATTGACCAGGAAGTGTCCAAATTCAAGATCGTACGTCACCAGACAAGTGGGTTTCCGGTCCAGAACCAATGCAAATTTCTGATGCAGTTACATATCCTGCTGCACTGCCTTCTGCTGATTCTCGTGCGATGATAGATGATTGTCCCTCAGACAAGATGTCTTGTGCGATCATCTCCGATGGCTGGTCGAGTGGCAAAGCTTCTCTGTCAGTGGGTATGTCATCCAAATTCCTCGGGGCTAGGCTTTGAGCACAATGCTGATCCGCAGGGAGTTCATACTTCCAACCCATGAGCGGATCCTTGACCGGATCATTCGGCGGACTAGGGCGTGGATTTTCCTCTGCTTTGTCCTTCTTCCGCAGTATCCAGTGCCAGAGCATGACACCACCAATGAGGACTAGGATAGCCGCAACTGCACTTACAGTAATCCCCGCGACCTGGCCGACAGATAATGGGACATGTTCCTTCCCGGAAGATGGTGGCGTGGTGGTACTGCTTGAGCTTGGAGAACCCGATAGATTAGTAGAAGTAGCTGATGTGGGATTTCCCGCAGATATGTCTCCATTCCTCGTAAGTCTCGAGGAGAAATTGGCGGGACCCCATGGCGTCCTTGAAAATAGTTCTTCTAACGAGTCCATCCACGGTCCAGCAATTTGATTAGGAGACAATTTAGTTGCACCGCCTGTAAGATTTCCACCGATCACAGAGCTGATCGCAGGGGGAACAAGATATGCTGCTGCACTGGGGTTGTATGAGTTGGTCCATTCCAGAGATGTCAGATCGAAAATGCTGAAAAAGGCCTGGCACTCGGTTTCGGACGCTGCCGCTGAACCAAACAGAAGCGCTTGGTTTGCGATGCGGCGACAGGTTGATCCTACCGATCCTACTCTGTCGTTGGCTAGCTTTATCCACGTGAAGTTGGGTAGAGTCAAAACCCAGATATCTTTGACTCGTGGTCCGCCAATTTGGACTTCCCCGCCAAAGACATAGATATTGTAGCTTGAATTGTCAGGAGCTGGGACCATGACGGAGCAGCCGAGTATACGGGTCGCAGGGATTATTGTTTCGGAACCCGGGACGCCGGATGCTTTCTGAGTCTTCCATGTGCGCTCAGCGGCGTCATATACTTGAATCAGGCTCATGTCCAAGCCAACAGAAGGGCTACCGCCCAGGACACCTGCTTGATAGCCTTGACCTCCAAAGGCGATGAGAGCACCCTGGTCGCCAACAGGGAGATATTCCATAAAGCCACCAAAGGTGGATAGCCCCGGGACACTCTCGTTTCTCCAACTTCGGTCGGTCCTGTTCATATTCAAAGCAACCATTCCCTCCACAAAGAAACCGCCACTATTCTTGATGACCCAGTTGTCTTGGATGCCTCCTAGATAGTACGCTTCGTTCAGGAACGGATTCGTGGCGGCACTCCCGCCCTGAAGCCCAGTGACGACACCAGCACCATATTCGGTAGCCCACAAGCCGGATCTGGTGTCATATGACCAGAGGAGACCGACTTGATCGAAATTCTGAGGAGGTGGTGTATATGAAATTGCAGAAATATTTGTAGATGGGTAGTTTCCAGCAAAAGCGTAGAATTTTGTGTCCGAAACATCCGAAGGGACATAAGCAACGCCCCCTGCGAGAGCGGGTATATCGTAGGGGTGGCTGGCGGACGTGATTGTGTAATGTGAGTAGTTGAAAGGTTGGGTAAGGTCCATCGCCAACATGCGTGCATTGACCTCCCAGAACGCGTTCTCACCATCATCACCTATCATCATCCGTGTTTCTCCCCCATCGAGATACAGCCTCTGGCCAACAATGGCAACTCGGGGATAGTGCAGACTGCAATGCTGGTACTGACCAGTCGGGTCTAATGCAAGGCTGATGTTTGTGTTCACGAAACCACTGCTGATAGACTGAAAGGCCATGGTGAAGGCAGGCCAACCAATTGAATGATTTGCCCCATTTCGCCTCAAACAAACTGGGGAACGGCGAGGCTTATATATCGGTGTAGTTGAGCCTCACATAAGGCAACAGCTTTTTCAGCCAAGGCCGGGTCAAAACAGTGAGTCAAAACAAACCTGGTTGGCGCTTTGTCCAACGACTTGAGAAGCATCTATGTCGGCTGCTTCTCAACAATACAACATTCCTCGTGTCTTGAAAGACGCGTCACCGTCCATTTACTGAGCGAAGGCATACTGAGCGGGTTCAGTTGCTTGCTAGCAACAGACTTGTTTTGACAAGAGAAGAGGCACCACAGGCGCAGTCATCCCCGCACGAATACGAGGTGCAAAGCGCTCTTGTTGTCCTACGACACTTCTACCAGATACAATCATTTTCCTAGTACGCTGCTGGATAAAGCCCCATCCGTGGTCATTGAGGAGGATTGATGATAATGGTGATGATCGCACGTGAAAAATACTGGTCTTAATGGTTCCATGTAGCTAGTTATCGTCTAATGCAGAAGATGGCAGCCTGAGGCACACGTGATGTCTCGGAGTTTCCCGCACGAGCCCAGGATATCTCAGGCTAACTCTTTAGGTACTGTCACCCTATAAATACCTCGAGAACACCCGTGCTTCGTCTAAACTTTCCAGCCTTAAGCTCCAGATTCATTGTTTCCCCAGCGACTGAATAGGACTCTGAGATGCAGTGTGTGATTTCGGTACTCTGAAAACCATGTTCGGGCTCCGAGCACAGTTTGTAGCTCTACAAAATTCCAGCACACGGACTATGGTCATGATAGAGAAACCATCCGTCAACGTCAACATGTAAACCGACTGATCATGAATAACCCTTGATGAACTTATGCTCCTGGGTTGTGGCCAACACTTCGAACCTCATACCCACCTCGACCTGACCCTCGGTCCTCGGAATACACAGCATGCCAAAGCAAGGAAACCACTTGGCACCCTCATCGACTCTTCGGAACGTCATCAGCGTATCGAAGGGCTCTTTTATGCTCTTCTCTCCCGTCTCAGAATTCACATTCGGGATGGTACACCTTGGACATCGAGCCGCAACATCAATGTCAATCGAACCAGTCAAGCTCGAGACGGCAGAAGGTAAATACGACGCCAACGGAGCGGTAGAGCCATTGATGCGCACGGCCTTCCAGCTATCTTCAGACCAGGCTTCGGCACCTTTGATGACAATATTCGGCCTGAAGCGTTCGATGGTGATCTCCTCGAGTCCGCGGTCCTTCATTCGGGTGTTCAGATCCGCAATGGAAGCCTCAGAGGCAATCTGAACCGGCATCTCGTCTGGAAAGTTGATGGTCGCTTTGCGACCCAGGACATCTGGTGCGGCATTACCGCGGCACGCGCGAGGCTTGTCGGGGTCTATCACGGCGAGGAAGACATCAGTACCTTGACCGATGAATTCTCGGAAGAGGGTTTGGATCTTCGAGTCCGTGTAAATGAGTGCCTCTGCGTCGATGTCCCAGACATTCACTGTAGCAGGCTTGGTGTTCGCCTTGAGCCATTCGGCAGTTGGATCGAGTGGCAACGATAGTGATTTATCCTTATCGGTCCCAATGGTGATGTTGAGGTGTCCGGCAGCTTCATCAATGGCGGTATTGACCAATGTCAACTGCGGTCTTTCGCGGATTGTGAGGAACTTGTGGTCTGCATTGACAAACATCCACTTTCGGTCATATTGAAAGCCCGAAACGGTGAGTTTCGCCGAATCAACTGATATGCCGCGGCATGATTTGATAGGATAGATACGTACTTGCGAGATCTCGTAGACTGGAAGGCCCATTTTGAGTGTCGGTGCAATGTAAAATATGTGCTAAATTTGAGTGAACAAAAGAGAAGTCGTCGTGGTTGAGTTTATGAAAGTGAGGGGCCGATGATGGTTTTCAGGATTGATCAATCATACCACTTCCAAGCATCCTGGTGAAGCACTGGCATTTCTTGGAAAAAGGAGCAAATTACCATGATGGGCAACCAGCAGCGAGTTCTAAAGTTCTTTTTGGAAAACGGGTAGCATTAAGCTATCTGTGATAGAGTCGAACTAAGAGGAAACAAGCAGATTTTCGCATTGCCTTACCTAACGGAACGGAAATATGCGTGAGAGGATCTGATTCCGAAAGTCCTCTGGCTTTCATATCTCACAAGAAATAGAAGCTCAAACTATTAAAACGAATTTGAATTTTTGTTGTAACATTATGTACAATGACTTTTACCTCTGCCCGACCTTAAGATAGTAGTACTTCTAGAACACAGGGGGCAATCATCATCCCAGCCACTTCAGACCTTAGTCAGCTCCCCAGTACGAGGCTGTGCGATGTACCAAGTTTCATCTTTGGTGTAGCCTTCCAAGCCTGTCTGATCATCCGCTTGTTCTCTAATAGACCAAGCAGTCTCTTGTGATTTTCGGATACAATCATTTACTCCGACGGCACCTTGCCACCATGGACCAGCAACTTTGAAGCGGCCCTGGTATTCTGTCATCAGGCCATCGTGAATTCTTGCCATGTCTCTCCGATAGCCCACGGGATATTGTGGGATGCAGTCCTCGGCCAGACGAGCTTTCGCCACAGTAGGCTCATCTGTGATGTTCAGATGTCTTCCAAGTAAAGTAGTGGCCATGGTAATTGCTTCCTTCTCGTCAGGGAGGTCACTCTTAGCCCAAGAATCCCACCAGTGACCACCAAACATGACTGTCAATTTGGTGCCCATCGCGGTATCTTGGCCCATCTTGATCTCAATCTCGGCGACATCCTTGGATGGGTCATTGCCAAACCACCTTTCCTCGTCACGTTTGGTCTCCTCGATCTTCTCTTCGAGACGTTTCAAGATGTTTTCTTGTGCCCTCATTAGAGTTTTTGAGATATCCGACATCTTATCCTTTAGTATATCATACTGCTGGATCAGCCTCTCACGCTCTGCCTCCAGCTGTTCTAAAGACTGGGCGACCATACTTCGGGTGACTTGTCTTTTGTCGGTGCGACCACGCAAACCCGAGGTTTCTGTACTGAAGATCACACCCAATGCTCTTTCGGGATTCTGTTCAACGGGAACCGACCGTGGAATCAAATAACCGAAACCTCGCATATCATCAGGTATCAAATCAGGATCGCTGTAGTAGAGATTGACAACCATGACGTTGACAGAGCGATTACTGTGATTGCAAGCTGCAATGACGTTCTCGCCAATCGAAGAACCCCGAGCTTGAGCACTTTGCTCCAAAAACGTACGTACCGAGTTCGGGCCCAACGATGAAACCACATAATCGAACTGCTTGCCTTCCTTGGAATGTTCGGCATGGACAGTCAACCTATCGTCGCTCTTCGACGAGTTGACTGAAACCGCACGACTCTGTTTGTGGATTACCACATTTGGATTCTGACTGAGAGACTCTTCCAGCCTCGACGCGAGGCTACCAAGACCTCTATGAAACGTATATACGCTGGCATCCTCCAACACTGACATCATGCTTCGAGTACTGGCATCGATATTCCCTATGGCGGCTCTCATAGCCATGAAAGAATGCACGTGTCCTGGGTGTAGCTTGAAGCCTTTCAACATCATATCCATTACTTCCAGCACTATACTGCCATTGTCCGAACCGTCCTTCGTCTCCAGGAACCATGCACTGGGCAACAGGGTACGAGCACTGAGCTTGTATATGTCACCAGCATAGATTCCATGAAAGAGTGCGGAGGCGAAATTGTCTGCAACCACTTTACCAAATCTTCTCTGTAAGAAGTGGCCGACAGACTCGTCTTCTACTGCATCGCCCCGAGGCGAGAGACTCAGTTCACGACCCAGCTCTTTGAAGACACCGGCATAAATAGGTTCGAAAAAGAGAGAATATAAACGGCGAAATGTTTCGACTATGCCGGCTGGGCCAGGCATACGGACGAGGTGATCGGGATAGTATAAATATCTCGCGCGAGCGGCGGGTGACTTCTTGGTCGTAGGTATAATTTCTTCGAAGAACTTCAAATCAGCTAGCTGCAGCAGTGTGCCCGTTAGCACAAATACTCCTAGGGACTTTGAGACATTCGCACCAGGTCAAGGGTAGCCACGCCTGCGCCTCCAAAGTCTGGGCGTATAGTGCGTGGACCCCATTCGAAGAGAACTTCTCCGTCGTCTACTTGAACCAGTTCCGAGTTGAGCCATCCGCCAAGTCGACTACTCGCTTCATAGATTGTGACTTTGGCATTTGGAATACACCGGGTTATGTTATGCGCCGTGCTGAGACCGGTAATGCCTCCTCCGAGAATAGCAATCTCCTTAGCAAGTGGATTCGGGGTTGGGCGTACTTGAGGAAGTGAGACCCTGGGAACAGAGAGGGAAGCTGAAGTTGAGGTGGAAAAGGAAATGGCAGGGCGTGTGTGTTGTATGCACCTGTAGTGCAGCCATTTTGCAGATCTTACAGCATTGTTGTGGACAGCTGTACGACCAACCAAGTGCATCTCCAGTGGAGCTACACTCAAGAGGTGCGAGTATAAGCAGGGCACTAGAAAGAGATTGCTCTACAAAGGAGTGAGAACGCGATGTTGGAGAAGAGGATGCTTTGTGAGGTGGTTCGGTTCAATGAATTGTAAATTGATGATGGCATGATTCCCGCCAATAATTGATTTTCGGAAAGGCTACCGGAAATTTATTGTTCCCGCATCTTCCCACGTCCAACGTCCTTTTCCATCCCCAGCACAGGACCAAAAGCCTTTCTCCATCGATATGAGGAGACATTGCTAACTCTATTCTTGGTTGCCCTACAAGGATTAGTCGGAGGACGCCCAAACTGCCAGTGGTAGTATCACGCAATCGCAGGGTCATCAATGCACTGTGCTCCCGATGCATATGTGCATTAACCCCCACCGCCGATGCTCTTCGTGGGCACCGCAGGTCTGTTGCCAGTTCTGCATACTGCATGCGTGACTCTGATCTCGATGTTGGCCAGCTTAAGGCATATAGCCATGGAAGCTGAGCATTCTAGCCTTTGTAGGCGCTCGTCCTACGCTGATGTGGACGAGAGCCAGTGGCCAGGATAATCGACAGCGACTTCAACGTAATTCAGGTATTGCTCGTAGCATTTCAATCATGGTGGTCTTTATCCTGGCACATCTGATACCTCGTCCTTTGTTGTTTCTGACTGCATCTCTGGCCCATCATATCCTAATTTCTTGAGGTCGCGCAATATTTCTCCCTCCTTGCCGATCTTCATAAGTTGGTCATGGGATAGTTTCTCTCCAGCGGTCTTCTTCTCTTTCAACTCGTGTACCGCTTTGAGCTTCTTCAGCTGGTTTCGGATCTTCTTCTGCTGTTCCTCATCTTCGTCCTTTGCGGACTTTTGGATATTCATGGCCAATTTTGCGGGATCTCGCCAGTCCTGTTTTTTCTTTTCTTCATCCCCAAGTGATGTACCCTGCAAGGTATCTGCAAGGTCATTCTCCGGGGTGTCCACGGCTTCAGCCTTTCTACGAGCAGCCTCCCGCCGCTTGGCATTCTTGCTCTTTGCCGGGCCATCGTCTTTGGTGGAGATGGAAAGGTCTGCACCAGGAACTCCAGCATTCCCTCTGTTTTTCCATGCCTCCGCACTCCGGTTTTTGTAGGTCTCGACGTCCTCAGGTGGTCTGTAACCAGGTCTTACTCGAATCTCCTTCCTCGTTGACCCATCCGGGCGTTTGGATGAGGGAATGTAAGAAGCCCCATCGGCGGTGGTTTCAATACCAGCCTTGCTGACGCCAGACATCTCTCTGGAGTGATGGCCTGCGATGATTTACGATGGCAGAGGGAACATAATCCACTGGAGGAAGTAGCCCGAGGGGTTAGACCACCGCGTAGTCGAGCGCGGCGCCGAGAGATTGGCCGTCGTCAAAGGCAGGAAGAAGGAATTGGAAAGTGTTCGAGTTGTAAATACAGCACTTGAGGATCAAAAGTGGTTATGGCGCCGAAAAAGTATTTGATCCGACGTAAATCATTTGATGTAGTCATAATTGGACATAACTGATCCACCGTACCTTTCGATTTCGCGAAAGCGATTATTGCTGGACAGGGGCACTGTCGCTTCATTTTAACCCACCTCTGCGGCCTCATGCTTACTACCACCTCTCTCCTTCCCCTTCAAAGTCTATGCTGCGTGCACCTTCGTCTAGATCTAGAATTCTCAGTGTGCCATCCCTTTTCTCCAACAATGCCTTGTTGAATAATTGAATATTTTATATGCCATGACGCAGGGCGACGACAAAGTCGACAGATCAAAGATAACGGCACAAGCAAGATCTCAGCGAACAACTCCTTTGGATACTGTGAGCATTGGACTTGGTCATGGGCAAAGATTCGGGTTAGGTTATGAGACAGAGGAGATCTCGTAGAAAATGGTCAATACCATTTTTATTGGACGACAGCAGTTCAAGCAACAGCGCTTCGCTATCTATGATTGTCGGAGAAGACTGTTGCTCACCCAGCTAGGCCACCGACACCGGACATTTCGCAAAGAAGCACCCAGTCACAAACCTGAAATTACCCGCAGGTAAAGGCAGCCTTTACGCCACCAGAGGCGTAAGCATCAATAATGCTTTGTATAGTGGTATAAGTGCCGGCAATTGTCATGAAGGAACCCCCCACGATAGTAATGCAATGAATCCCGCATAACACAATAGTCTTCTTATTGGAAAAGTATCTTCCTTGATGCATGTAGAGACCCATGATGGCGGGAATAACTAGCTATATCAGAGTAAGATCGTCAGCACGATGGGCGGCTCGTGAGAGGAATGCCAGCCTTACACAAGTTGGGGAACAACAAAGAGATCCGATGAATCCGAGGATGAAGTTGAAGAATGGAATGGCTTCGGCTAGGAGAAAGGACAAGATCGTGAGTCCAATCGTCGATGATCTGGGCGGAGTATGTCAATATCGAAATAGGAAACAGCCGCCTCCTGTGAGAGTCGGCGGCAAAGTGAGGTGTTACTTACAACCAGGTTGCCCAATGAGTGAAGCTGTTGTCTTGTAGGTGGTCAGAGTCACGCAGGATCCTGACAAGAAGCTAAAAACACAAGTGATTAGCCTTCGTTTGTTCATATTTCTCCTCGTGTGGATGACATACAAATTTGGCGGCAATATGGACCCATAGCGTCGAGGTCATCATGAATCCAGGAATGGACACACCGAATGCAATCTTCTCTAGTGTACCACCTGCACTGGCGAGAGATGGACTGGCAATATACTGGCCGCAATACCTGGATCATCTCTCTTAGCAACGATAGATACCTGAGGTTATGAAATCTTCTCACATGTAAACAACCATGCCGAAGCTCATGTAGCAGGCTACCAGGAGGCCCTGGGATATAAAAAGGGCTTTGGGGAACGTCTTTGGGACCTTCATCTCGGCGATGACCGGCATGAATGTTGAGGTGGAGCCAAAACCAGCTATATTACAAAGGTCAGCACGTGTCTATCATAATGCCTGATTGTCTTGTCGTGATGGGAGTATCCTACAGAACAAATTTAGCGCGGCAACAAGTCCTGGCACGAAACCGGGATTTCCAACGGCAATGACTCCGAGCTCATATGGTCCATTGGGAGGAGCAGCAGCAGGTCTATCGACAATAGTGACACCGACACTATTAGCTGTTAGTGGAAGGTTATAAGTACGTAGACAGGGTGGGTTTCTTACACGACAATAAAAACGGCAGTGAAAATACTCGCAAATCCAATCCAGGTCAATATGGCCAATTTGCCCAAAGTTCTGATACTCGAGAGCAGCCCTGTGGCAATAGCAGCCACCAATGTCCAGACAATGGTACAGCCTTTGCCATTGGCGAGCACCTTAAGGCCTTGAGACAAACCGATGAAACCCGATCCCGTCGCCAAACTAGAGAATCAAACGTATCAGTACGATCCAGAGCATTGCCCATAATTGCATAGGCCGGGTGACTCACATCCACGTGAGAAGAAAGAGAACTGTGGTGATCTCGCGGGCAATTGGCCCTCCCATCAGTGTAGCAGCATCGACGATGTTGTGCACGCCCTTGTACCTTGTCCGAAACTGGTACATCACGTAGGCGTAATCTGAGCATACCTTGCGTTAGTCGCAATGTATGTTGACTCTTTATCGGTACAACGAGCACTCACACATTGTCATGGCGCTCCAGAGGGCCAGAAGAACCAATCCAGGTCCATAGCCCACAACACCAAGCGCAGCGGGAATGGACAACACGCCGGTTGCAAAGCACAGTTTGATCAGCACGACGATTGTTCGAAGCCTTATTTGAAAATCATTCGTGTCAGCACGCCTTGATCGAGCAGCACTTAGGAGAAGGTCGGCATGGCTCATCGACTTACATTCCCAGGGCGCGATATTGCGCCTGGCCTGCGTTTGTCTTGAAGACTTCCCCATCATCTTCCAAGATCTCGGCGCGAAGGTCTTCCTCAGGCGTCACTTGACGTTCAATACCAATCCGTGACTTTTCATTGAGATCGCGGGAGGATTTCTGTTTAGTGCTATCCATGGCTAATTAATATGGGTGCTAACTTCTGTGTAAGAAAAAGACCTCGAACTTGCTTTGCGAAAAGACATCGTTGACTGACATCTTATAAATCGTATAAACGTCTTCCAACGCTTATCTGCCCTCATCTTGCACGAGTTGTTTATCCCCTTTTTTCATATCGATGGAGATTGGAGCGCCATTCTCGACAATCGAATATCCGGGGCCAATGAAAAGCCTAGACTTGCAGAGCATGCTGTGCAGGCTCATAGAGAGCGTGCGCTTAGTACCGTCAAGCCGTGTCGCGTAAATCCGTTGGAGTATTCGATATTGGCATAAATAGACCGCTGCTAACGTCTCTTCTAACGTGCGTTATCGGACCAATGGATGATCTCTGCCACGGACTTCAGCACAATCGATGTCGGCCATCATCGCCATGGCAATAGAGGAGCCGTACGAGTAGTGCACTGATCTGGGGCCCCCAGAGCTTCAACCCTGGCGGATCAATTTGAGGACAAGTGGGATTCGGCTTAGCTTCGACGTTGAGACCCTGCGCGATGAAAGCGGAGATGCTTGTCATCTTGATGACATCAAAATCAAGTCACGTTTTCGGTTGTTCTTAGTTCACAAAGTGTCCAGGACTTCCAGACTGCACCTCAATATTTCAACAACTTTAGTCTGGTGCAAATCCGCCTTCAACATGAGCGGCCTAGGAGGCTTGAATAAGACGACGGGAGGGATTGTCATTGCTGCCGTTCAATCACAACTCTTTCGTGTTGGCAACCCCAAAGACCTGGCAGATGCAACGAAGCATGTTTGTAACCTGGTCAGGCGCGCAAAACGGGAATACCCAGCCGTCGATCTTGTGCTCTTCCCTGAGTACTGTATCCATGGACTCTCAATGGCTACGGATGAGAGTATAATGTGTACTATGGACGGGCTAGAAGTAGCAGCCTTTCGACAGACTTGTCTCGAGGAGCAAGTGTGGGGTATCTTCAGCATCATGGAGAAGAACACCCTCTCGGTCGACGCAATGCCGTGGAACGTAGGCATCACCATCAACTCTAGTGGAGAAGTCGTCAACTACTATCGCAAACTACACCCTTGGGTGCCCGTGGAGCCGTGGTATCCTGGAAACCAAGGACTATCCGTTTTCACAGGCCCAGGTGGTGTCAAAATGTCTCTGATCATCTGCCATGACGGCATGTTTCCAGAGATGGCGCGGGAGGCCGCCTACCTCGGAGCAGAGGTCATGTTTCGCACAGCAGGATACACCTCACCCATTCGAAAGAGCTGGGAGATCACGAATCGGGCCAATGCTTTCACAAACCTGATGTACACGGTTAGTGTTGCGTTGGCAGGGGCGGATTCTACCTGGCGCAGCATGGGCCAGGCGATGTTTTGTGGCCCTGAGGGTGACATCATAGAACAAGGGGATGGCACAGCTGACCATATCGTTGCTTGCGAGATACGCGTCGAGGAGGTGCGACGGAGGAGACGGGAGTGGGGAGTCGAGAACAATCTTTTCCAGTTGGGACATCGGGGATACGTAGCTGTGAAAGGTGGAGCAAATGACTGCCCTTACACCTACATGAGGGATCTCGCGAAGGGGACATACGCGCAGGCCGAGGCAAGTGAAGTCATGATTAGAGACGGAACAGTTTGCGGGTTCAAAGAGCCAACTTGTGAATACAAGGATGAATCATAATTCTATCATGTTGTGGTTATTATTATGGTCCTGTCCCTGGCCACGTAAAGCCTTTAGCTTACCTTGTAGTGGTTAGGTAGCAAATAAATGCAACGTATCAACAACGAGTATTATCATCAAGATTGAGCCTTTGTATACAATAGGGTCTCGTGATTTCCGGTTTCTAATGTAATATCAGAAAGCCACGTACTTTATGCTACAATTGCCTGAGGCTGAATGGTTTCGTGGAGTGTGGGCGCTCCCGTCTTGATGATCGCTCCTCCCAAAGAATAACTCTGGGTATACCTCTTGATGAGATGGTCTTCTACTAGAAGAGGTCCATATTTCGGCTTTTCTCCCGCAGGGATACATGTTGGGATCGCTTCGACCACGGTGTCCAGCGCACCATCGTTGAAGAAGGCCACGGAATAGCGAGGTTTGTTCGAGGTAGGAGACATGACCCGGTGCATTGTGCTTCGGTACCGATCATTGGTCCATCGTTGCATCAAGTCACCAATATTAATGACATATGCCCCTTCAATCGGAGTCACATGGTGCCATGTCCCTGTGGGTTTGTGAAGGACTTCCAGTCCACCAATGTCGTCTTGCAGGAGAAGCGTAAGAGCACCGAAGTCGGTATGGGCTCCGATCCCACGACCGCGATCTACTGCATCGCTTGGAGTAGCCGGGTAGTGATGAGAACGGCAAAGTTGAATGCCTGATCGTCATACATATTAGTCCTTTTTAACCTGGAGAATCGTTGCTCGGGGCGCAGACTTACCATCTGGGTCAGCGGCAAACGCATCAAAGTATTGTTCGTCAAGGTCCAGGCTGAGTGCTATCAGTCGGAACATGCTCTTGCTCAACTGGTGCACGGATTCAAAATATTCCATGTAGGTCTGTCGAAAGTTGGCCATGCCTGGTAAACTCGGATCAGGCCATTGGTTCGGCCCTGCCATGAATCGCCCCAGCGGCCTTTCTGGGCGGACCGTGAAACCCTCTTTCATCTCCAAGGTGCTGTTATCCAGGACCTCTTCGAGTCGCTCGACTCCAATGCGTTCATAACCTCGATTGCAGGAGGACTTGTCTTGGCCAATTCTCTGTTTTTCCTCCATGGGAAGGGCGAAGAAAGCGGCCACGGCCTCGATGAAGCGTTTTTGCAGATCAGAGCTTACGGAATGTCCTACAACCTGCAAGAAGCCAACATTTTCCATCGCATCTCGGAGTTCAATCGAGCAGGCTTTCTTTGCATCGAGATCGTCTCTCAGGTAGCCGCTAAGGTCGATGATGGGGATTTTTAAGGCGGACATCCTCGCAGACGGTGTAGAGGAAAGTTGTAGTTCTTTATCTGTTGCGAAAGACGTGTTAGGTGCTTAGTAGTATCGACACGTTATAATTGTGAAATGTTCATATGCTAATCGACAGACATGACCATGTCGTCGTCGAAAAGGCGCTCATTTAAAGAGCCTTCTTATTGGGTTTGAGCGCAAGGCAGTCCGGGCATAGACGCAGGGCTCTCTATCCCGAGCATTGGCGTGGTGCCTTCTCCCGCGTCGTCTGGGGTAGTCTTATCGCAAACAATGGAGCCTGCTTTTCCCCTTGACAGTCGATATCGCATTTCAACGATTGAGCCAGTCTTGCAAGTTACCTGATCCATATTGTCAATTCTTATCAGCCCAGGAAGGTGTGGGTCTCAATGTTCGCGAGCTAACGGAATAAAGCGGCCGTGGCGACCGGACGGCAGCGCAAAGAGCTAGCGGACGAAAGCGCTCTAGGACCTACCTCGTTAGATGTTTAGAGTAATCATCTGGAATGGACCTAGGTAATCTGTGCTCATGCACCAGTGGCCGAACAGCCTGCGACGTAGCAAACAGGCTCAGATCGTGAAGAGTAGAATTGAATGCTACCACCGGTTAAGAGCGCGGTGACTTGGTGTTTGAAACCACAAAATTACTTGCTGCTTATCTTGTGCCTTTGAGCCCAATCCATTCGCCATACATTTGATTTCCGTCTTGCTTTTGCAAGCTTGTAGGAGAAGTCAATTTTGTGGGACAATCGTATCTACCCCGAAGTTGAACTCTTCGTTCCAATCCATGGGGATGTATGGGTAGTATGCAAATGTGTCATCCATGCTCAGTGACGCTGCGTTGAAGAATGTCCCAAAGTTGAGCTCTAGATCATGAGCTGGATCAATACCAACTGGTGCCACGCACTTATTCTTGGACGATGCTTGTTCCGCAATCCGTAATGCTTCTTGGGCCAGAAACTCGACAAAATCCTGCTTGACCGGACTTAGAAGTCTCTCGTACTCTTCAAGGCAACGAGATGCGGCAGGCCAGCGTTCTGCCACTGTAGCAAAGAAGCGTGAGAACGTCTCCATGTTTGACTCTACTTGCTTCCAGGTATATATAGCAGCAATCTCTGCCTTGAAGCGTTGTAAGGCTTGCAGGAAGGCTATTGCGGCGGAGAAGGAATGGTAACAAGAATGGAAAACGTATTTGCTACCGCCAAACTCGAGGTTGGCTTGTTGCCAACTGCCGTCTGCCACGCCTACTGCGGCAGAGAAAGCCTTCATGAGATTCTTGGCTGGTGGCTCCTTCAGCCGTGGACATGGCCGGAAGAGTGTGACAAGGATGTAATCAGTTGCAATGGTTGAGTAGAGCTTCATTTCATCCCATTGTGACTGTAAAGCCGAGTCAGTGTTTCGTGTAGTCGCTTCATGGATCTCTGCCTTCCAATCCAATATAGTGCGTTCCTGATGGGCCATCCATTCATCGAGTGAATCGAATTCGGGCGGCAGTGGCTCGTTGTGGAAGAGCACAGGGACAACATCGCATTCGACTTCGCGATAGCGCCAAATATAGCATGACGTGAATTTAGTCAGTCGACCATTAAAATCAATCCCAGCTTCGGTGATGGAACTGTCATCAACTTGAGCCGGAAATGCGGTCGTGATGGTCCTACGGAGCAACGTGATGGGTCTTAGCAAAGCTCCACATACAGCCACTTCCATCTCCCACGCACACCAGAAGACACGGCGACGCATGTCCCGCTCCAACGCTGAAATTTGTGTATTGTCCGGGAGTTCCTGGTGCAGCCCAAGATCAATACATGCTTGGCTAATGAAACCGGTGAGAAGCCAGAAATTGGCTACCCCTGGGTTGAGAAATGTATATTGCGTCAATAGCGTAAGAGCCTGGAGCCCTCGTAGGTCATTCGTCAGGACTCCAGATAGCTGCTCCATGGCGTTTTCAAAAAGGCCTGAAGCAATTGAATTTGCTCGGGCTTGTTTCGATCGAGCAGCTGTTGAGAGAGATATCGCCATAACCAAGTTCAGCGTAAAGACCTCGTAGGGCGTCACGGCTATTCTTGGGCTTGTAGACACCTCTGTAGGGTGAAATGCGGCATTGTGCATTGCTAATAGCTCTGGAATGTAGTATATTGGATACTGAGGAGCCACACGTCTTACATAGGTATCGAAGAGAAAGTCGGCCACATTGACAGGTATTGAGGACAATGGAGTTCTGTTGGGTTGTGGATTGATGATAGATCTTGGGTGATGTACGTGAAAATCGTTCATCACACCCAAATGTTTCCGAGCAGATGGTAACTGAGTGCCCACCACAACACACCGAGCGAGAGGCACAGCAGCAGACAATCCTAAATGAGAAGCAGTGATACCATCAAGCAGCTCACTTACGATCGGACTGGTGAACGTGCGATCTGCAGGTAGCTTGGGTACTCAATGTTAGCATGATTGGAAGCCTGGAATAGCATGTATGGTAGAACGACGAGAGTCACATACTTTCGTATGACATTGCTTCCTCGACCTGTTATGCTCCTTCTCGGCAATTGCCGTTTCGAGGAATTGCGCAATACTTCGAGGTAAATGCCTGTTGGTTTGAGAGTCCATAGCAACGCAGGTCACACCTGCTTCGGTGCAAAGAGAGCATGCTGATGGTAAACCATCACAGTGTACCTTCCGTATTCTACAGCGAGCACACGCGTGTGCTCGACGGCGAACTCGTGATTGCGATGCCATATGAATCCTTGAGGTAAATGTAATGCAGCTTGCTTACGGTGAGCCACTGTCCTCATCAGCATTTTTTGGTCCAAAATCATGCGGGATAAGTCCTTGAGGAATAGTGAACATGTGACAAAGCGAAACAGGAATGTGAAGCAGACGAGGAACGGAAGCATGGATGGAGTTACTGCGCTTTATCCCGTCCGACTCCACTTAACCCCAATGCATGATAAGCCGCTACTGAAAGCCACCTCAAGGACTTAGATTATAGTTGAGGGCATCCTCATACAGGAGTAGTGCTTCTCTCAACTTTGCATACAAGGTAGGGTGATTACCAGTGGACTTAACGATAAGCAAACGCAAGGTATCCTCTGATTTCGACCCCCCACCTCGACTACTGGAGCAATCGATTCATGTGGTGGGGTTATGGGGATACAGAGTTCACAGACCGTGATTTATCGACTAACACTGGCCTCTTTCTTTTTCGCGGCGACTTGGAGTCGAGAATGTAGACAATCCAGGAGGATACCGGCGGCTTCCCATCTTGCAGACCATTTACCTAGAAATGCTGTCGCTCTTCCATAAGCCAGTATAATCTCATGTCGTGACTGACCTTCTGAAGTAAATTCTGCATCGACGATTGTCATCGCAGCCTTGTGGACCCAGTGTACTGTCAAAAACGTTACGATGTATTCATCTTCTGCATACGTCTCGACCAACTGGCAAGCCGCCGAGACCGAAATGTCTAACATGAGACGCGTTTCCCACACTGTTGCACGTGCATTTGGGTGGAGTGAGTGCAACTTAACATCGTCTAAAGAAAGAAAGCTCTTGTCTAGAGTGTCATCTGCAGCATGCTGTCGCGTCCTTGATCGGAGACAATATAGCGTGCACATGAGATCGAGGGGCTCTTCAATCAGGGAGCGTGGTGGGAGTGATGGCTCCGGTAACGAGGTTGGCCGAACCAAGACATTGCAAACATGGTTCTCTAGACAATAAATGATTTTATGAAGTGTCAAGAGGGTGGATGGCTGCTCGTAGCTATCCGATCCGGCCAGGTCGATCGCCAACCGCACAGCGAATCCAAGCTGTTGACTGACATTGCCGCTCTTGGGATCGAACAGTGTATACAAAATCAGCAGGATAACCACCTGAAGGGTAGATATTGATGGTTCAGCTGTGGCTTTGTCGATATGCTTCAACGCTCGTGCATGTGCGTCAGCGGCCAAATGATGCAGAGCCAACCTCTGTTCGCCCATACAGCGGCATGCAATTGCACAGATCATATGCACGACAAATGACTGAGTAGGAGAACGATCATCGTCTATGACTGTATCCGGAGACAACCATGGCAATGAAGGATTGAGAACGGGATATACTAGATGGATTGATTTGAAAAAGACTCCAACGAGAAAGCGACGTAACTCAGGTGAGATAGCGCCGTCTTCCGAAATCGTATGCGATGGAAAGCCTTGAAGCCGTGGCTTCTGCGGGTTTTCGCTTGGCACACCAACATCCAGTAACAGGGATCCGGTTTCCAAATAGCGATAAGTCCCTTGAGAGAAGGCGAAATGGTGTCGAGTGCCTGGAGTAACACGACTTGACTTCGCTCTGATTTGCGGCTGAGAGAAATCAAGAGATCCTGACTGATCCTGACCTTGCTCTAAGTGATCAACTAGGGATGATATGTAGCTGCTAGATGTCAGTCTCTCCCGCCAGCAGCTTTGGTTCAAGACGGACCTGCGAGGGAGTTCTTCCTGGAGCACATGATCGTAGTAAACGCACTCTACGTGAGCCTTCGCGCAGTTTTCACAAGACGGAAGCTGAATGTCACATCTGGAAGAATTAGACCAATACTTCGTGGGGTGGTACCAAAGAGGGTTATGCCTTCTTCTTGCCTTTCTGCACCGCTTGCACGCAGGAAGTGCGCTCAACAGGGTCTGCATATCGATGCTATTATGCAAGTCGGCTGATGCCATGGTGGACTAGCTTGAAACCCCTGCCTTCAAATTCATGTGTTGACAGATACCACAAGAATTTCAAGAGCGATCCCACGCACATGTGGCAGGGAAGGTCATAGTAAGGAAATACCAGGCAGTCGATGGCATAGATCGTCAGCTTTGAGCACTTTCGTATGACTTGGGAAAACAACAATTCCAGCCGCCTACGAAGAACAGACAAGCGCCAGGACGTGTAATCCTGATCACTAGATCGCCCGTATGCTTGTCTCTCTGGATCGATAAGCAACCCTGCCACAGTGCAGTACGTCGCGTGGCCCAGCTTATCAGTGATAACGTAATTGAGCGATGCAAGCAATGACTTTTACAGATCTCACCTTCATCTTGACTGCGCTAATCATTGTCTTGTGTAGAGAGCCAATATTATAGTAGGAGATGCATGGCTGGCTTGGTAGATGAGCCATACCCGCCCATAGTTCCCAGATTCATTTATCGATTTCTGCGAGAGTGGTGACCAGGATGTCAAGCAAGGAGTGCTGGGCGTGTCGCTCAGCTATCGTGCGGGGAGGAGACGTGGACCAAGGCGGCCTCACCCTCGTCCTTACTTGGAGTAGCCCCCGGGTCAGTTTTTCCTGTTCCGAGCCTTGGCAAGAAGCTCAGCTTGCAAGTTTGGCTTTGTCCAATCCTACAACTGCTATTTACGACTTCAAGTTCCGCTGGTACTCAGGCTACTCGACGACAATTCTTCCTTAAGTCACCCTTCTGCGCATTCAGAGTCGCCAAAAATGGCGGTCGGAGTAAGTGACCCAGTCCACCTGATCAGTGGCCAGATACTGACTCTTCTAGTCCCGGTTCTCCAGTGGCATCTTCAAGTAATTCCCCTCGATTCCTCCTCGACCAAACTACCGTCACTAACCCGTACAGCGCCATCTTCCGAAGAAATGCTGCTTTCCTAACCACTGTCTTTGTCGGCGCATTTGCCTTCGAAATGTGAGCTTTGGATGCAGTGCATAGAAGTTGCGATGGGCAAAGACTGATCCACGTTTAGGGCCTTTGATACCACCACCGACGCAATCTGGAACAGCCTTAACAAAGGTGTACGTATTCCTCCCAATTCACACCCGGCTGGCAATCCCCTCTCTGACTGAAAGACAGCGGCAATGGAAAGACATCAAGCATAGATATATGGCTGCTCCTGAGGATGACGAATGATCGAGGTTATCCGGATCGACAGAAATGAACTGGGCTTAGGCCGAACATGTTTAAAAAGGAGGCCAGAGCATAGTTGGGCTGCAGCCACTGGTCCTTCGTTGTATATACCAACGCAAGAGCACAATTGATCAAAATTCACAATTCCTGTCGCGATCGTTGACACAGTCGACCTCTTCCCTCCACGCTCCGTACAACACGACAGCAGCGGCTATGAAATTACAGTCGGGCTATTGGAACGTTATGCCAAATCGAAAGCGGCTCATGCGTACACGATCCCACACAACCGCAGAAGAATCTCATAAACCTCCGACCAATCAATACATAACTGACATTGCTCAAGTGCAGGCTCTTGTTCCATTTCGCAATGAAGGCTCCAGGGCTCAGCAAGCAGCTCCGATCAACGCGGGTCATCGAATTGGCCGACTCTTTGGTCCTGAAGTATGTACCATGCGCTTCACTTGTGTTACCAAATGGCTTAGAACTCTCGTGACAGGGAGATCGTAGTTTTCTCATACACATAAAGACGCAACCGACAACAATTGTGATTTCATATTAATTCATGCGGCGCTTCGGCATGTATGTCCTGATATGTGACATCCATCAGATCCTCTATATGGAACATCTTTTGCCTTGTCCACATCCAAGAACTAAAAGCGGCGATAGGTGAGATTACCGATGCCGCATTGTTATATAATCAGCCGCCCGCTGTGGTACGGCGCCTCCAGGACAGTTTAATGACCACGAACATATGCAGTATATCTTGCCATCCGGAGAGCATGTGAAGTTCCGTAATATCAGCGGATTGCCTCTGGTTCTTTCCGTTTGATGCTGGACATCGACAGACTGCGCGTGCAATCACATACACACTGTTCCCAAGACTTATCTCGACGAGAAAGGAACCGTCACCCCTGCCGCCATCTTTTCCACTCACCATACAACTTGATTCATCCAGCCTGACCCTTCCCACCGGTGACTTGTCAATCTCCCAGTGTTTGCTCCCGAAATCACAGGTGATTCACACGACGAGCCGATCCTTTCCAAGTTTATTCTCCCTTGCCTCATCTCCTCCTGCAACCTCTTGCTCCAGATGCAGGAATATATGACTTCGCAACCATGACCACAAGCAACTCCAGCCTTGACCGCCAACTCCGTCAGGCTTTATGTGATCATCCAAGCAAACATGCCTATCGTTATACCAAAATTGCAGAGAATGCCCTGCTTGAAGGTCTCTTCCGCTCATTGACCAACGATAGGGACGACTATCTCCACCACCTCTTCCCTCATGGATTTCCCGACTCTTACAAATTGCAAGATGCTCAAGGATTACAAGAGAATGCGGAGTATACGGCCGATGCACGAGGTCATCCCTGTGGTCATATCTTCAAGGCCGGTGAGGCTAGCTACCATTGCAGCACTTGCACAGACGACACGACGGCTGTGCTATGTTCTCGTTGTTTCGTGTCCAGTGACCACGAAGATCATCAGTACACGATTGGTATAAGTGCAGGGAATAGCGGATGCTGTGACTGTGGCGACGATGAAGCCTGGAAAAGACCCGTCAAGTGTGCCATTCATACTGCTGGCGATGATTGGGCAACCACAGATGAAGACGTTTCTCACTTGTCACCAGACCTACAGGAGGCTATTCGCACCACTATCAGTACCGTATTCGATTACTTCTGCGATGTCATCTCATGTGCACCGGAAAACCTGCGCATGCCCAAGACAGTCGATTCAGTCACCCAAGACGAACTCCGAAGCCGTCTATTGCCTGAGCATTACGTCTCTGGTGATGAAGTAGAGTCAAATCCTGAATTCTGTTTGATTATCTGGAACGACGAGAAACATACTGTTCGTGAGGTCCAATCACAGGTAACTCGGGCTTGTCGTGCTCGTGAGAGATTCGGTCTCGAAAAGGCTGAAGAAGCAAATGACATTGGCCGCTCCGTCATCCGGCATTCTCGAAATGTCAAAGAACTCACAAGTATGGCCAAGATAATCGAGGAAATTAAAGTCACCGTCACCATCCGATCTTCTCGAGACACTTTTCGCGAACAGATGTGTGGCACCATTATTGATTGGCTAGCCGATATTGGAGGTTGTAGCATCGCTGGCGATGGTCATATCCTGCGTCGGACCATATGCGAAGAGATGCTACAACTTTGGCACATTGGAAGTCAAGCTTGGAATGCACAAGTTGGCAGAGACGACCTAGACGACCACGGCCACGAGGATGATCGAGAATTCCGGCGGAGGCATCGCCTGAGATTTTTCGATCCCATCCAGTTCGCCATGCAGCGAGCCCTTGCTGCGGAGGCCCTCGATGATGACGCTCTGAGCGACATTGACAACGACGCAGCCGAGATCGACGATGACGATGACGATGACGAGTTAGGAGATGAAGAGGGCGACCAAGAAATGAACGATTTCCAAGCCGCTGTCTTTGCAGATGCAGATGGTGTCCATGTCCTGGTCCAGCAGTCGGCTGATCAAGATGTTACTGATGATGCGGAAGAAATGGATACCGACGGCGATGTCGATGCCGATTTTCTCGATGTTGCCGAGCGAATGGACACTGACGACAGGGTGTCTCCGCCACCGCCTCCACTCCCTCCGCTGCCAACGACAACTCCCAACATAATAGGCCCTGATGAGAGCGCGAATTATCTAAACATCCCCCGCACACCAGCTGCCAGTGCACGTACGACCGGTATTCATACAGCACCACCAAATCACTGGCTAGTATTGCCACCAAACCAGCAGAGTCCAAGCCACAAGCACCCTGTATACGAAGACTTATCAAAGAACATAAGAGTCGACTCCATGATCCTGTTTGACCTTCGGCTGTGGAAACTTGCAAGAACGAATTTACGAGACCTGTTCATAAGCACCTTGGTCAACATTCCACAATTCAAGCGTATCCTCGGCCTCCGCTTCTCTGGACTTTACACAACCCTAGCACAGCTATATCTTGTCGCCGACCGGGAACCTGATCACTCCATCATCAACCTGTCGCTTCAACTTCTCACTACGCCTTCAATCACCGAAGAAGTAATAGTTCGAGGGAATTTCTTGACAAATTTGATGGCCATACTCTATACGTTTCTGACTACGAGGCAGGTTGGCTTTCCCAAAGATCTCGATCCAGGAGCCACACTTGGCTTTGATGCCGGGTCGGTTGCCAATCGACGTCTCTATCATTTCTTCTCTGATCTCCGGTATTTCCTTGCTTCCAGCTTTGTTCAATCCAAAGCACGAACCGAGCCACAATACCTATTTCAATTTCTAGACCTAGCCAAATTGTCACAGGGCATCTGTCCGAACGTCAGGGCCGTAGGTGAACATGTCGAATATGAGACCGACGCATGGATAAGTGCCTCTTTACTAACTCGAGACATCAACAAGCTCTGCAGGCAATTTGCTGAGGCGTACCATGTATCAAAAGACAGTAGTCCTTCAGCTGTGCAGGCTACATGTGAGGCTATCTCGCATGCTGCTGGGATCGCCATCATCAACTCTGCAGGACTTGAGCGCAAACGCTTTGATCAAGCTGAAATCAAAGAATCAGTGCGTTTCCACACGATCGGTCCATTTGGCGATGCACCCACAGGTTCTGGCTTCTCTGTGGTGGATTTCGCTCCAGAGAAAGGTTCCTTGAGTTTTCATCATCCTTTGCACTACACGCTGTCTTGGCTTCTTGAGTGCGGAAAACATACACGAGAATCAATCTCAGCTTTGAGAGACGCTGCACAAACCTTTCTCACACATCTACATGAAAGTCAACTCTCGGCTAGGGACATGGGTATCAAACAAAACCTGAACTCAGTCGATGATGCACTCCTGGCCATGTTCGATTTTCCATTGCGTGTATGTGCCTGGCTCGCGCAGATGAGAGCCAATTTGTGGGTACGCAATGGAATGAGTCTGCGACATCAGATGGTCCAATACAAAAGTGTCGCTCATCGAGACGTTGGACATCACCGAGATTTGTTCCTTCTCCAGGCAGCTTTGGTAACATGCGATCCCGCTCGTGTTCTAGCCTCGATGATAGATCGTTTCGGCCTCACCTCCTGGATGCGTGCTGGATTTCCTGCCCTCGAAATCTGCGAAGACAGCCAGATGTTGGATTTAGCTGAAGATTTCGTTTATCTATTGATCAACCTGCTCTCAGACCGCGATGCACTAATTTCAGATCGAGATGATGTTGAGTCCCAGTTGTTGGCTGTCCGGAAAGATATCGCACATACTCTATGCTTCAAACCGCTGTCGTATTCTGACCTATGTGCTCGTCTTACGGAGAAAGCGCAAGATCACGAAAAATTACATGATGTCCTGGAGCAGATGACAAAATACAAGCCCCCGGAAGGGCTTCACGATTCGGGTCTTTTCGAGCTGAAGGAAGAGTACTTGCAGGAGCTCGATCCTTACAATTCTCACTTCACCAAAAACCAGCGGGATGAGGCCGAAAATATTTACAAGAAGTGGAGATCCAAGAAGTCGAACAAATCACCCGACGACATCGTACTGGAACCGAAATTACATCCAATTCGCTGCGAAGCCTACGCGGGTCTTTGTAACGTTGTAGGCACAACTCTCTTTGCCGAGATCATTCACAAGATTCTAATTTATGTTGCTCATGACCACAAACAAAAGACTGGTGTCTCACCTACGCGAGTGGAGGCATTTCTCCATATCGTTCTGCAGCTCACTTTGATTGCTACTCTGGAAGATGGGCCGCCAACTGAGGACGATGAGTCCAGCCTCTCATTCGTTGGTAATGCCGTTAACCTGAAATTGCCGACCACCAGTGGCGCGGATTCGACAATTGTCGTCGTGTTGCACGAAATCTGGCAGATGGACGAGTACAGTTCTTGCAGAAGCAAGATCAGGCATATTGTGCGGCTTCTCGGACAAAAGCGGCCACATCAATTTATTGAAGCCACCACGCATTTAGATTTCCCGTCTGGCAGGTTTGACACAGCTTCGCCAGCCATTCTTGAAAGTGAATTGGAAGCAAAGAAAAAACAAGCCATGGAAAGAAATTCACGTGTTATGGCACAATTTGAACAACAACGGCAAAGTTTTATGGACAAACAAGGCGTGCTGGATTGGGGAGACGATGATCTGGATTCTCCTGAGGATGAACTTCCCAAATCAACAGAGACTCGTCATTGGAAGTATCCATCCGGTCTCTGCATCCAGTGCCGTGAGGACACTTCGGATAATCGTCTCTATGGCACCTTTGCTATGATTAGTGATGCACACATTCTCCGACAAACAGATGAAACCGATGAGGACTTCGTGGGCGAAGTACTTTCGGTCCCGGATAGTCTTGATCGTTCTATTGAAAACGTACGGCCCTTTGGTGTTTCTGGTGCAAACCACGTCAAAATCAAACGCTTGACGGCGAATGGTCAGGAAGAGACCGTTGACCACCAGGAGCTAGGCAAGGGCTGGCCCAAGGGTCATACTCTTCATGGACCAACCTCAACCAGTTGTGGCCATATCATGCATTTCACCTGCTTTGAAAATTACTTTCAATCGGTTACCAGGAGACATTCTCAGCAGGTGGCAAGAAATCATCCGGAAAGAACTGTGATGAAAGAATTTGTTTGTCCTTTGTGTAAAGCTCTTGCCAATACGTTCTTACCGATTGTCTGGAAGCATTCACAGCAGTCATATCCTGGATCTCTGGCTGTATCACATGACTTCGAATCATTCATAGGAGAACGCTTAGATGAATTCGTCAGGCCCAAAACAGAGATAGACGACAAAGCCTTTCGGGAGGCTCTACTTGAAATGCAGGCAACATCTCTGACATCTTTGTCAAATGGCTTATTGGCAGACATGTTGGGCCAATTGCAAGCAGGAGATCTGACCCTGAGTGCTGCTGGCTCTGCATACTCGGAACTGACCCATATCTACGGTCGTCTTCGGGATTCTCTAGTTATTGTGTCGCGTACACAGCCCCCTTCAGAAGGATCAACATTGAGAAAGCAAGCACCGTTTGAGCTATTAGTTGATACGTTCGCAAATACGGTCGCTTCCATTGAAATCGGTCATCGTGGCCGCGAAGCAGAGTTCGGCACATCTCTGCTGACCAGTATCCCTCAGCAAACATTGAGTCATCTCCAGATACTTTCCTCAAATTTGCGAGTATACTCAGCTGTAGGCATACCAAGTGTCCGAGGTCAGCCAGTGGAAGATGAAAAGAAAGAATTCTGTGGACGACTAGAACACCAGCTGGCGGGGACAGCACGCAGACTTGGCGTTCCGTCCATCCTTACCATGGATGCCTTTCAGTTTCTTGTTCAGGCCACCATGATCCTGGGCCCAATCCGTCAACTGGAGCTACGCCACGTTCTACAGTGCTCCTTGATTATCGAGCTTTTGCGAGTTGTCCTGACATTCACGTTGAACCCCACCGCTCTGGGGAAAGCCAGTGAGAGATTAAACTTGAACAACGGCAGGAATCTATCCCAGAATGTGGGGCCGACAGAGATTCATGCTATCAAAAGTTTGGCACTATGGCTGGCTAATTCACTACGGGAACACGATGCCTCTATGTCGCAAACGACTTTCCAGGACTTCCAGGAAGCCGTGTCCAGTATGAATTCTGACCATGCCAGTGACCTGTACAAGCTCTGCAAAAGCTACAGTCTTGTCTTCCTACGCAAGTGTGCAATTTCCTTCCATGTTGCACACGGTATCGATTTTCCAAATACTGCGGGCTCCGAGGCTGGCCTCCCGGAACTCGATCGTCTTGTGCATTTGTTTCAATTACCAAGCATTACAGAAATATTGACCTCATTTGACGAGTATTCGGGCAACACCGTCATTAGAGCACGTGCCTCGTTATGGCTGGCGGATTCAAAACATTCCATGACTGGTGTGCCACTTCCAAAAGGCAACAGGCTAGGCATCAAACTATTGCATCCGGCGCCACTCGAGCTGATTGGGCTTCCAAAGTTTTTCGATGTCCTCATGGAAGAGTCTCACAATTGGAAATGCCCTACGACTGGGAAGGAAGTATCTGATCCGGCACTCTGTCTTTTTTGTGGCGAAATCTTTTGCTCTCAAACAGTATGCTGTCTTACAAAAGAGATGCGTGGAGGTTGCAATGCCCACGTTGAGAAGTGCTCAAGTCCGATCGGGATGTTTCTTTTCGTTCGCAAATGTCATGTTGCACTTTTACATGTTGTCAAGGATCCCCGAGCCGCTGAACAAGACCGTGACAGGGCGAATCGTGGTCTTCACACACCAACGACAACATCACTCACTCTCAGTCATGGCTCATTCTTCCCCGCGCCATACCTGACGAAACATGGGGAAACCGATTCTGGGCTTAGATCAAAACACCAATTGATGTTGAACCAAAAGCGATACGATAAACTCTTGAGAGATACTTGGTTGATGATAAATGGAAGCGTTTGGAGTACCATTGCAAGGAAATTGGAAAGCGAGGTCAACGCAGGTGGATGGGAGACATTATAAAACCACTGATTACTTTTTTGTTCTATCATGAGCATGATGAGCCATGACGTACATGTCCGAAGGACTTGGTGAATACGTGCTGTTTGTATCAATCATCATCACCGGCGGAACGAGTCATGCATAGCTAGAGGTCATGTTGCGCATGACAACCACTGGCGCAGATTTACATAGTGTAATACCAACGACAGGATAGGTAGCTTAGATGAGACTGTATCAATGAGCATAGACATTTCTGAAATGGTTGGACACCGGTATCTCGATTCACAACCCACATGCTAGCGCCCACCAACCTGCAAGATTTGCGTGGCGAGTACAAGGCTCGGGCTTGGCATCAGCGGGATGACTCTTCTGATTCGCCCGCCCGGCGCCTATTCTGGACATCACACTGTGTTTCACGTTTCTCTGCCCGTTTCACATCCCGCCCTTGCTTCCAATGGTAGCACCTTTCCCTGCTGTGCAAGACTGCCTGGCCGTTCTGGGACCACGCTTTTCGGGCATTGCTCGTCGGTGGCAGTGCTGCGTGGGCGCGAGCGTTGGGATGAAAGCGCTGCGATGTGAGTGTTTTCTTGTGCAGCTGCGGTTGGTAATCGAACATGCGGATTCATGACTTAAGGTGAGTGATGGCCTGCTTGTTTTGATGAGTGTGTGTTCTCTTTCGGCATATTCCATATTCCATATTCGTATACATATACCTCTACACGGCATAAGCATCATATTGACGTGCACTGGTCTGCTCCTTTGCCGTCTACAAGTGAAGTGTTACTACAGTTGTGCTTTGCACATTTACCCACGAGTCATTGGAGTTCCATAACGACAGTGTCAACTTTCCCCCCAAACGAAATCTCGCCCAGCCCAGTCGTGATGACTATCAATCCGGCTCGATCGCTGAGCCAACATCTCCTGCTGTGCCTCAGTCTCAGCTACCTACACTTCTCGGGCGTCCTCGCGCAGTCTGGTGATGGCGGCGCCGCGCAGGGTGTCCAGCCAGGTAGTCTAGGCTCTGATTCATCGGACTCGGAGAGCGCAGCGTCTGCTGGCCCAGACACTGGCTCGGCGAATCTCAGCCATGGTGCAGTCATCGCCATTGCTGTAGTGGTCAGCCTTGTCGTCGTGCTCGGCAGTAAGTACTTTTTCATGTCTCTTCCTTCAATGCGGGGGTCAATGCTATCGTTGCTGACTTCACTCCCCTGCTGCAGCGACCACGGCGGTTCTATTCTTCCTCGCGAAGAAGCGACAGTGGAAGATCAAGGAGGGTCTTCGTCGATCGGCGCGCAGAGTGACGAGCGCGGTCAAAGCGGTAGCCACGCCGCTGACGCCGAAGAAAATGACATTCTCGCCGATCGAGAAGCGACTGCACGATGAGGAGACCACCGATCGATTGAAGAAGGCGAATGCCGAGCATGCGCGAGAGACGGCCAAGATCCAGAAGCAGCAGCAGCAACAGGCCAAACGGAAGGTTCAAGATGTCGAGAAGGGTGTCCCAGTGGTGGCTGTTGATGTCCAGGATGATAGAGCATTAAACGGAGAGAGGAATCCCCTGCCCCGGAGAGAGAGTAAATCCAGGCCGCGCCCGCCGAATGTGAAGATCCCGTCGTCGGCTTTTGAGATGGATAGTCCCAAGACGCCGGTATGGAAGAAGGTGTTTGGCCGGTGAGGGTGATGAGATGGTGGTGCTGGGGTTTCAGCGGATGCGATGATGACTTGTACTATATTTATTTTCGCCGGTTTAAATAATGGAGAACTGGGACAGATACCATTGCACCTGGAGGTGTCATGGTGGTCTTCCAGTGTGATTTTTTTCTTTCCGGAACCATCTGATCGGCAACATGAGATGCTACTGCTGAATTGGCTATGAATGCAGGAATATGATGTGATGAGCACACGGTTTGTTTTCCCTCATATTCCCCCTTTGGTTTGGTACCGCCCTATAAAAGACACGAGTGAATACAATATTTATCATGGAACATTGAATACCAAGATCTGCTTATGCTATTGTTATGATTGGTGCTACGAGCCCATTGCACGCACAAAACTGAAAGGGGATGTATGCAAATGTCAGGGCATGGCCATCCCTAAGGCAGGAGAATGCCTGTTTCATTATCGAGAGCGCTTCTGCTAGTACATAAGCTGCCTTTAAGATGCTGAGGATCTCTGTCTCACCGCGCCATATCTCATTTCCCTTTACGCGGAGAGTTAGGGTCTGCCATCATCATCTGCTATGACAAAATGCCCACAGGATTCGACGCTGCCCTTGTAAATGGCCCCTTCATGACCCCCCTTACCCGCCAAGTCCGGCCTACCAGGCAAGAAAATCAAACCTCACCAACTACAGTATTTTCTACATCCATCTCATCACTTATCGACTCTGTGGCATCTCGAGTATAGTACGCCTATCTGTAGTTCATTGACAACGACGCTCTTTCAGAATACTTCAACTCTGGGTCGAGCCTCAATGGGTCACATTGAATAAAGCTACCAACATAGCTTCGACGGCGTAGGGAATGTATGGTCCATGTCTCAGATTCAGGTCGGTGGACGCCCAAGGTCCAGTCCTCAGAGATGTCATCCGACCGACCGAAAAAGACAGGTCAGCCTCAACACGCACTGCACTGGCGGAAGGTGCGAAGATGGGAGCTGTCGTGACCTTCCCGATCCCTCCTGCTTTTTTTTTTGGCCCAGAGATCCCAATCAGTGATGGAAGGAGCTCTCAACGCTTCGACTGGCAACCACTGCAGTTCTTTCTCTCTTATTTGGATCCTTTTCTCCTAACCCTGGCATGGTCACTCATTTCAGTCCTGGGATCGTGCCACGTTCGTTGTTGACGCGTCTTTGTCATTACATGATCTCTGCACTTACCCGTCCCTTTTCCCTCATTTCACTTTGCAATTGCTTCAAATTTACCTCGTCATGGGCACCGCGTCAAACCCAGGGTGCAGAAGTCACACACATCATCTCAACAATGAACCAAGTAGTACTTCGTCCCCTGATGCTCGGTTTCTCGTTGCAGGGGTTCAGAACACAGATTTTGAACCCATCGTGATCGATGATAACGAAAGTCCGAGCCCTGAGTCTGCCAATGCCTCTCTCGACACCTGGGATGAAAGTCCTACGACTAAAGGCCTTCTCATGCACAAGCCTTCTACAGCCATCCTGAACCGAGTACCAGTCACCACAAGTCAACTGTTCCATCGGCCCATCAGTGCCGGAACATTGCACCAACCAACCATGTTCTGTTTTAAGCCGGCAAATATGCCAAAACCATTCCAGTTGGCACGGCAGAACACGAAGGCTGTCCATCATGTCGAGACAACGCAGACAGCAGCTGAAAATGAGCAAGATACAATCCTACCTCCGGAAGAGTAAAATTCTCCCTGCCTGCTGCATTTTAGCAAATACTAATTCCCTGCCTAGAGTACCTACGAGACAAAAAGAGGAAAGAATGGATCATACAAATGCGGGAGATCTTGAGCCTCAGTCCTCCTGGGAGGACGATGTTCCACCACTAGAACAAACTGCAATTTCTTTCGAATCTGCTTCAAAAACACGACAAGGTGATGTTAATGAGCCTCTTAGCCACTCGTCACCAAGTCGTTCGTCCTGCGGAACCGTTGAGCACTCGAATGATGTGACGAAATCTCATACGAACTCGGAACAGCATTCACCCTCGACACCATTGCACAATCATCCGCAAGAAGTCGCTGGCGGTCATGAAAATACAGATCTCGTGCCAATGGACAGTGAATCTGCCCATTCTCGACACACAAATCACTTGAACTTCACTACTGATGAATTTTCTGCTTCTCACGAGTATGTTGAGTCTTGTAAAATCAAATCAAGTCCTCTTAGGGCTACAGCGATGGAGAAGCAACACGCTCGATCTCACTCCAATAGCCCCGTGGACGCATTGAGAGTCATCAAGACGCCAAAGAATCCCCGCATCCGATCAGTGGTACCGCGCTTCTCAGAAAGCCCTGGTAACGCTTTGAATGCGAACGCCAATCGGGCTCCCACTGAAGAGGACTTACTTTATCTTCTCATGTCTCGCACGAGGGAGACAGCAAAGTCTATGAGAAGACTTGAACTACTCGAGCACGAAAATGAGGAGCTATGCGAAGCAAAAATTGTCTCAGAAGCAAAGCTTGGGCAGGTTGAAAATGACCATCGCATCCTCATGGCCAAGCAAGACATAATGAATCAATGCCTTGAGACTTTCAAAGAAAAATATCACAAATTGAAGAACTGGGCCCTTGAAGCCAACAAAGACTGTGAGCTACTACAAAACCAGTCGATCAACCTCCGACAAACCGTGTCAGAGCTCCACAAAGAGAGAGATATCTTACGGGCAAGCCTGGAAAGTCTTAGTACCAACCATGGCGAGCTTGTCCATCAGATGGATAACATGCGAGTGCTCATCGGAGATGTGAAGCAAATGGCAGCACACGAATCTACCAATGCCACTCGAAAGGATGCTCTGCTCCGAATCAACAAGGAGTGCCTCAAAAAGGAACAAGCTAGATGCGAGAAACTGGAAGCCCACATTGCTCAAATCGAGCGACATAGAACCCGGCAGGATCAGAGATTGCATGGTTATCATGATGAACAGAATCAGTCTCTGCGAGAAGTGCTAGGCGAGTTGAAGAATCTGACGGCCAGTGATACAGAATCACAGTCGAAATCAAGAGAGATTCAAGAAAGCGTTCTAGCTTGCAAGTCACTGATGCAAGAACAGCCAAAGTTCGACTTGGAAATATCTCAAATCAAAGATCATTTCGAAACCATCAACCAATCAGTCAACTTGCACTGCTCATCATCCGTTGAGACCTTGAAAGGGGAAATCGAGAATCTGGGCAGGGTATTTGAATCCCAATCAACAATCAACAATCAACAAAATTTGCAAGCTGTTCAAGATTGCAATGTTCAATTAGTCAAAGCCAAGGAGCAAGTTGCACAGCTTCTGCAGGCGAAAGAACAGTCCAAGACCATTACAGACTTGCTGCGTAGTGGCAAGGAGGTGGCTGAGAGTCGTGAAGCATATTTGAAGGCCAATACTGAAAAACTGATTGAAGCCCTCACTGATGGCAGAGGTAGCAATCAAGAATACCTTGATCAAATGAAGTCCGCCAACGAAGCTCTGCTCACTAAATTCCAAGCTGCAAGCTCGCAGGCTGCAGAATTCAAGGGACAAATTGATGAAAAAGCCAGACAGGTCAAGCTTCTTGGAGTTCAAATTGGTGACCTTCGGAAAGAGAAAGACGGAATTGTGTTACAGCTCCAGACTTCCGTGCAAGAGCGCCTTCTTCTTGAGGAGAGAATCAAGGTAGAAATGGACAAGAAGGTACGCACAATGATCGATCTTGTGGTGCAGAAGCTGACTACTCTTAGACGAGCGAATCTGAAAATCAAATTCGTGGTTTGCAAGGAGACTTGAACCAGCAAATTCAACTTCGCCAAAACAGTGAGAGACAGTCAAAGGAATTGAATGAGAATCTCTTAAGACTTCAGGAAGAGCTCAAATCATCCCAAAGCCAATCGATTCAGTCTGCTTTTGAAAAAGACGAACAAGCAAAGCGATTGGTCCTGCTGCAGGGCGAGCTAAAGAAGGCTCAAGAGAATGCCCATTTGTTCGACCAAATGCAGCGGGATCTTGCTGTTAAGTCAGCTGAGATAATTGGCTTGCTGGAGAGTCAAGCCAAGTACGAGCAGATCAAGCAGGAGCTTTTGCTACAACGAGATACAATTCAGCAGAAAACTCGCGAGGCAGGCTTCCTTTTGTCAGAGATTGAAGACTTACGCCATAAGTCAATTAGCCTGGAGCAAAAGTCTCGAGACCGAGAGAGCTTAGTCCAGAGCAACGTCCGCCTAGAAAAGGGAATCCATAATTTGGATAAGAGACTTGCTGGCATGCAAGCCATGAGCGAGCAGCTAGAAGCTCGAAAACATCAACTTGAACAATCACAATCTGCACTTGATCAGGCACGAAAAGATCTACGTCGGATGCAAGAACTTGAGGAGAGCAACAAAGAGCTCACACAGAAGTTTGACCTGGCCAACTCGGAGCTAACCATCGCAAACGAAAAGAATGAGAAGTTCAATGCACTCGAGAAATCACTTGCTCAAAAGGAGGAGACGATCGCCAGAATTGAAACCGAACTACAGAATCAAGCTTCGCTTTCTGCAGAGCTTGTCAACACCAAGCAAGACTTGACATCGAAACAGAATGAGCTGTCAAGACTCGAGACACGCGTCCAGACTCTGGAGACCGAACGGGTGAACATGGGCCCACCTCGACCTGTCCGAATAGCAGCAAACCGATCTATTCAGGGTGGGTATCCACTTCGAAGTCCTCTTCGACCTGAGATACATCGTCATGGCGCCGAGATGGATCCCATCCAGGCAACCGGTCTCATTGATACAGACACTGCAATACCCTCTGCCGGCTCTCCCGATATGGCAAGCACGCAAAGTGTCATTGCTGACACTCAACCAGAGATCCCAGAGACACTCCAAGACGTTCCGCATTCTTTTCAGAGTCCACTTCAGAATCTTGAGATGCTGGGCTTACAGGAAGCTGGAGACACTTCTTCTCTGACTGATCTAGCGGATCCATTTGATGGGGATGAATTGCTCGAGAACGAGGGGAACTCTGACCTAGAAGGGCCTGATACCTCCCTCATCCCTCCCCGCAATCTGCCAGCTAGTCCATCAAGGTCTGCTGCTGAACGACCGCCGTCAAGTTCTTATGGGTCCGTGAATGAACACATGCTGCTGGACTTCAACCTCAATGGGGATGCGCAATCCAGGCCAACAAGTCGAAATGATGGTTTCAACATTGACTCTGAGCATGGCGAACACCATTTTCAATCAAGACACTTAAGGAAGACTGGAGCAACTTCTAGACGACTTAGAAGTGACTCCCACACTCGAGGAAATCCAAGCACTGATTCTCCTGGTAAACGAACAGAGAATTTGAGCAACAGGGAAACGACTCCATCGATCATGCGCGAGAAACATCGGCCGAACTCAGCAGTGAAGCGCAAGATGGAGCAAAGTGAAGATTCACACTCTTCAAAACAACTCAAGCGAACGCCAGCCAATCTTGAGGTCAGCAATTCAAGCCAGCCTCAAGGTTCTTCCCAAAAGGGTGAGAAAAGTCCGCCCAAGAAAATTGTAACTTTTCGACGCAGCAGTGTTGTTGGCACCAACGCTCCTGCGCCAGGAAAGGCTCAAAAGACGTCAAAACCTGCGAGAAAAGGATCACGTCAGGAGCGATACTCGAGTCGGTTTGGAGCGGAAGCTTGAGGTATTCAAGAGGATGACTGTCAGTGGGAGGAAAGTCTAGACTGCAACACAAGAATTACATTGCATAATTCACGAATCGCAGCATCACATCTGAAGTATGATTTAGGAGTCACAGTCAAGACGTGACAAGAGATCTTTCGAACATACTCTTACTCAGTATGTCCTCTGGGTTCAACGAAAATATATGCCATCGGGGAATGTTAGGCAACTTGACGGAAGTGCGTTCATGGAAGGGGATGGCTGAGCTGGAAAAGAACTTTGGTCTTATCTGCGTATCATGTTTCAAGACGGTGGACCTATCTAGCAATAAAAGGTCGATATCATTACGAAGTAATTCACTGGGGCATCACAATTCTCCAGCTGTGTTGATGTTGATACAAATCTATTGCGTCAGAGAGATCGCTCTTGACTTTGGTATTGTTACAAAATAATAGTGTGATCTCTGGTTCTTTTGACCGTAATCAACCCATCTCTTGAGGTAGCCCGCAATAAAATATCGTGCGGAATATAGATCCTGATAGACTGCACAGTCGGTCATGCTCGAACCGTCTCAAATCTCCTATGCTCGAGCACCAACAAGCCCAATCGGTGTAATCGAATTGATTTGAGTCGAGTCGAGTCGAATTGAGTAGGGTTGTGGAAGCTCGACGTCGCATTCGTCGATACTCCCCAAATTGCTGGCTGATGGTTGTCGCCTCTGATGTCGCCGTCTTTGCATGTGTGTACTCTCTCTCTCTAGATGCTGTCAATGCATCACCTAGCTGCAATCCCTCCATCGCTCCACCCATCGGCGCTCCTCTCCCTCTCAATGTGTTCGCCCGTGGGGAGGGTCGGGCGCGAGCTTCTCCGGTGCTAGTAGAGCCTTCCTCGACTTCGCAGTCCTCTGCGTGAATAGCGGTCGGTCCGCATCCGTTCCTTTCGCTTGCCTATTCCATTGGAAGTGTCTGCGTCGAAGACTTGGCCCTCGGCGTCGAAGGGCACATTGTAGGCCAAGCTCAGAAGCAAGCCAGGCGATATGTCTCTCCGTCCCTTCCATTCTCCATCTTCCATCTCCATATATCTTCATCCCCAAGCAGGTCCCTCCGCAGGTCGTAGAAGGATGCTCCGAAACACCTCAGCATCAAGTTCATTGTGAATCGATTCGATCGGCTCGCGTCGTATCGCAGCACATCGGATCCACCTCAAGCTCATATATGTGACGAGGAAAAACCCTCAATTCTTGCCACCCCGCTTCTGCTCGAGGAACAAGACCTGCTTCTTGACGACGGGGTCGTACTTCAACATGCTCAGGGGCCGCGACGTGCGTGGCCGCACCAGCGTCCGGTAGTAGCCCGTCATGGCCATGCTGATGAGGCGCACTGCGATCGTGCGGGACTTGGCTGGTGTGGGAGAGGTGTGTTAGCTGGATTGCTGGAACGCTGTCTGGAGATTGGATTGTAGACAGACGCGGCGCAGAGACAGAGGTTTGGTTGGCGGTCGATTGGGTTGGGTTGGGTTGGAGTCTTGAGGGAAACAAAAACAAACGTACCTTTCTTCGCCATCTTCTGTTCGATGCGATTGAGGGGACAGTTGTGTCGTGCGTGTGTTGCGTGCTTGATGCGCTGCTCTACTACATGGAGTCTGGGTGAGCTCGGAGGATGCGAGTTGCAAAGAAGTTCGGTTCGGATAAATGCCAAGCCCGAAGATATTCCGGCCCTCAGAAGCCACTTCACTAGAATGAACTCGACTGTCGCGGCTCAACAAGAACAGTGTTCAGGTTCAGTGAGCCGATGCATAACAACTATGTACAGTTCACGAGTGGAAGCGGCCCCTCGGTGTTTTTTGGAACTGTCAGAAATCGATCGATACTATCTACCAGACAGCCAAAATAAGCCAGCAGTCAACGCAGCAATCCAACATAGATCCACAGCACCTCGAACAACTTCGTTCGATTGCAATGCGTTCTATGGATTTGAGTGATTTCATCATCTATCTATGCAGATGCACAAAGCCTCAGACGCGCTGCACTGATCGTTCTATTTCATAAACTCTATCCGACGCAATGCAAGAAGAGTAGCAACCCCTGGGGTCGGGGGATAAAAGATTTCCATTTTCCAGATCACTGTAGCAATGGATCCTAGGAAGTGTTAGCGAGACTCTCAGCAGTTGGAATATGAACATATGACTTACTCTGAAGTGTTTCTGGCTGTTGTTCTGCTTCTCCAGCTTGGCTTGGTATCGATTTTGTGTCCGTTGTTCTCTTTGCCGGCCTCTGATCTCCTGGGAACGAACATCTTTACGTTGTTGAGCAGTAACGCCGAGCATACCCGCCTCACTACGTCTCATAAGACTATTTCGTGGAGGAGTCGCCGGTGGTAGATCGGCATCTTCCATATCGGCATCGGAACTTCCCTCTTCGATCAATCTTTGTGCACGATCCATACGCTCCGCTGCAGTTGGGTAAGAGTGAAGGTTCTGACGGAAATACTTTCGTAGACTTCGGTGGCCAGCAATACGACCACTAGGCAAATGCATTTCATGTTCGTCGTAAAATACGGCGTTGTTGTGGTTGTGAGCATGAGAATGGAATCCATCAGCTGACTTGTGAGGTCGTGGATCTGCGTTGGAATGATGTCGGTGTAGAGGAAGTCGTTGATAGGAAGATGTCCGATCGTCGTTGGGGACTGATGCCAGATCATTGGTGTCAAGTGACGAGAAGGAGGAATCCGTCTCCCAGCCCTCATCTTCCTTTTCACCTGCCAATTTGACGCCTCCATTTTGTCTGGCTTTTGGTTCGTCTTCATCCATGACCGAGTCGTCATCGACATCAGAATAAGTGCTCGAGAAGTCGTAGAATTGCCCGACCTCGACCATCTCCTCTTCCGACTCAAAAGCGATCTTGCAGTGCCCCTTATCTCTCATGTGAGTTTGGACTGCTTCGGCATTGTTCCTCAACTTGTGGCACCACAGACACTCAAAGTTTTGTCGCACCTTGGCTTGCATATAACGTAACAGACCTTCAGGGTCGACGAGGTAAGTCTGTTCCGGTACGAACAGACCATGAATTTTAGTCATGTGTGCAACACTTAGCTTGGTGTTTGGCGAGTCGTAGTTGCAGAACAGACATCTAGAGAGGGGAACAGCGGGCACTTCCTGCTTCTCGGGTGACATTGGATGGTCCGCTCGAGGGTCAGTATCTGGAGGTGGTGCAGATGGTCTTCGTGTGATTGCAGGGACTTCTTCGATGGATGTGCCTTTCATACCCGCCACCACCTTCTCGAACTCTGCTTCCGCCTCAGGATCTCGAGGTTCTGAGTCGGCAGTGGAGCCAACGACCGAGTTGTTGTCACCGCGCGCGCTCCGTACACCTCCCAGTTCCCGGGTTTTATGTGCTTTGCTCAAGATGTGGTTTTGGTACGCATTCTCGCTATAGTATGTTTTCTGACAAATTGAGCATGTCTTTGCAAAAGCGGCTTGGGCAGCAGCAACAGTGTTGGTCTGTTGAGCGGCAAGGACTTTTTCATTGTAGTCTTCTGAAGAGACGGGAGGTAAGTCGGCTATGCGTCGCTTCAGATTGTATCGGTGCCAATCACTCCTCATATGAGTGCGCTGAGCATCGCTGTTCCGGAAGGCCACCGCACATGAGTTGCAGGTGTAAGGATGAGTTTGAGAGACGTCGGTGGGTTGTGTGGTCGCCATGGCTGGCGGTTGAAACGGTAGAAGGGCGGGGCAATGAAGTGAGAGGGAAAGCAAGAATGCAAAAGTTATGGGAAGATGAGTCGAAAACAAATGGATCTGTAAGAATAGATCCGCCTCAAACGATGGACATGAGAGAAATGGTTGTGTTTGGAAGGAGGGACGGATGGACGTTGCCTCACTGTACAGTATCGATGCCAGTGCAAAATGTGTGAGGGACTCACACTGAAAGAACAAGTCGGAAGTGGCGCCTCAACTTTAGCTTCAGGTTGTGCATTATTACTGGCAGTGGCAGTGGCAGTTTCGCCTCTTGGAATTGTGAGTCTTTAACTGACAATTACGGCCTAAAAACGGGACCGATGGAGAATTGCGATTCGACTAAAATGAAAAGTGACGTTGATTGTGGGCAACCCATGCCCGCAACCCTGCTTAAAAGCGCCGCATAAAAAGCTTCATTATTAGCCTTGTGATGCCTGAGGCCCCCACGTGCAAGGATCTACCCCTCCAACGACTATCAGAAAAGCTTGAGAGTGGGATGGTTGTTCGTCTGTATCCGTACTCCGTAGTTATGTCTGGTGGGGGGACTCGCGCGCAACGGCTCAACAAAGCATGCCATACACTAGGTCTTGTTCAGTGGAAGATTCGATGATAGATAGGTGCATACCTGTCAAAGATACGGATACCGACCGTCGAGATATCACGTTTCCCAGCCTCAAATTTGTGTTGATATCATCATAATTAACTTGACCCCTTTCATATGTCCAGTATCTATACTGTTGTGGGGTCCTCTATCGTTGACTATCTATGCGTCGCCTGATCTAACAATTTGTTGGGTATCACTCGTAAAAAATCATGTGCAATGTAAATGGAGGAGCCTCGCCAAGGTCCTCCCGTGCTGTACAAGTCGTCAAACCGTTCCTGAAAACATTCTCGAAGCCTTCCTTTGACGCCACCCAAAATTACCAACCCTATTGCTGACAAATTTAGCGTTTTCCACCTCGTTCTGCTCAGATAAGAAAAAATGCGACCAAGCCAAGCAATGCCATAGGGGGCTTAAAAGTCCGCTCTCGTGTTGCGTGGTTGGGTGCTGGTGGCGTTCCACTCATCGCAGATGTTGAAGCACCCGTCTGCGTCGAGGTAACCAGCGTTGAGTCACTTCGGGTCGTGGACCCAGAAGCGTTTGTAGACGATGTTGTAATCGATTCGGAGGAAGAAGGAGGAGTAGAACCGAGTGTGCTTTGATTGGTCCCACTTGGGCTTGTGCTTGATTCGCCAGTACCCGAGGCGCTGCTCAGAGCTGTCGTAGAAGAGGCGTTTGAGGAAATAGTTGATCCAGACCCCGAGGTCGCTGTGTTATCCGAAGATGTGGAGCCAATGCCGGTAGTTGTGGATGTGATAGGATTGTCTGATGTAGCGGTATTGCTGGCGCCATTGCTGCTTGATGATTCCAATGCGGATAGATTGGAGGATGAAGCCGTATTGCTGGCGCCATTGCTGCTTGATGATTTCGATGCAGATTCAGTGGAGGATGAAGCTGTATTGCTAGCAGCATTGCCGCTTGATGTGGATGCAGATTGAGTAGAGCCAGTAGCAAGAGTTGCAGTGCCGCTAGAACTCCCTCCTGCGATGAGCGTGGACAAAGTCGAGCCTGTGTTACTGGATCCAGAGATTTGGGTCCCACTGACAATCACTGCTGAGCTCGCGGCCAATGTAATCAGGCTCGCTGTTTGTGGTTCTACAGAGCTGATTGACACCGAACTTTCAACCGCCGGTGCTGCTGATGAAAGTTGGGTTGAAATTTCTGCTGAAGTAATAATGGTAATGGGAAATCCTTGGCCGTCATAGCTGACAGAAGCAGTCAGGGCCGCAGCATCTGTCGTCACAGTGGTGAGAAATCCTTGATTATCCCAAGAAGTGAACACTGTAAGAGCAGAAGCTGAAGCCGACCGTGACGGCGAGACTGGCGCAGATGGCGAAACCGGGGAAGATATCTGGGAAATTGTCAGTGATAATTCGAAATACAAGAGCTGCACCAGAGGAAGCACTGACCTCTCAGCCCTAAAGAAGTCGAGGCGCTTACCGCAGTCACGACTGTCGCCGTTGCTGTTCCGGTCCATGGCCAGCCTGTTCGAGTTGCAGTAACAGCATCGCTGTTGGCGTTGTTCCCAAATCCGAGAGGTGCGCTATCCGGGACTTGCGAGGTCACCGCTGGTGCAGTGCCTGCCGAGACTGGAGTGCCATTGCCCTTAGGATTCACTTGGCCACCATTGGACTGGATCGACTCCCATGTACCGCTACTCCCAGTGTAGGAATATTGCGATCCCGTAGAGTAATCCGTAACTTGAACAGACTTCACATACATGGTAAATGGGCCTGCTGAGTAGTCTGTAACACCGCCCGCCCATTCGATGGTACCCTGAGGATTGGAAGGGTCACCACCTGCCCAAGCTCCCATTTTGACATACATGGGTGTTTGTGGATATTGTCCAGCCTGTGCTTGAGCTTGGGTCATTGCTCGAACGGTATTTCCATCAATGCTCCATACAATTTGGTCGGCAGTCCAGTCGATACTGTATGTGTGAAACTGATCGTGGTTGTTTGCGGCGCCGTGAAAAGCTCCTCGATTGTAGCCAGTCGTGGTAATACCCTTTCCAAAATAGTTGCTCTGCGCTTGAGAATTGTCTCCTCCCAACCATTCCCAGTCAATCTCGTCGAGGCAGTCTGATTGTAGGATTGCGGCACTGACGATTCCAGTTCCCGGTGCTGCTTTCACAACAAAGTCGACATGGCCAAACATGATATACCAATTGGATGAGAGGGAGGGAGAGTCGCCAGATCTTGACACGGTGAAGGCTGCGCCATTGGAATCGTAGGTCGGGCCACCAGAGGCGGTGAATTCGCTCGAAGAACCGGATGTAAAGTCAACGGCAACGCTTCGGCCAAGTGCAGGATTTGGTGAACATCCACCTGCAGAACTGTTAGCGGGAGACTTAGAATGCTGAGAGTGAAGACTTACCTTGTGTGAGAGGGTTACATGAACTCCACGTCTGTGTTGCAGCAGGGGCCAGTAACGATGCAATGGCCAGTGCGGAGAGCATTGACTGGGAAAATGTGGTAGACATATTGTACAAGTGGTATATGCAGCGCTAGAAAATGCAGCAAGGAAGAATTGCAAGCAATGCTAAACCAGAAAGACAATTTGATGAAATATAGTAGCTATGAAAGGTTTGTAGCATAGCAGTCAAGGAGGATATGTATAGTCACTACAAAGATACTGGGAAATTCACTCACAGTCATGGTAGAAGTAGGAGGCGGACTGCCTCGGTCTGAGGAGGCTGGGTAAACAACACAACGTCAGCGTCAGGGTTCGGACACATTGCCATGGCTCTGGATATCCTCAACGGGGTGAGCAACCACTTAGTGAGACACGTATGATTGGGAAGCGTCATATCAATGCGAAAAAGCCTGCTCGTTCAGCTTGGGATTGGAGCGTGGCGAAATGGCGAGGAGGTTGGTTGTTTAGGTAGTCTATCAGGCTGTTGGAAAAGGGCTTCTAGCGGTGGCTGGAGAGCCGCTAGGTCAGGATTTGCATTGGCTAGTGATACTCCACTCCTGTGCTGGTTGTCCACTCATATCCACACCCGTCTCGGCAGCGGCAAGCTTCCGAGAATTAGCTTCTTGGCAACCGTTCCATGGCCGCGGCAAGGGGTCCCTAGCCACACCCGACCAATATTTCCCATTCAATCGACCAATCCCAATTTTGTATTTTCCTTGAATCATGGTCTTTACTCGTCAGAACGTAGAATAAAGGAAGCTCAGTCCAGCTGCAGGAGGATTATTGCACAGAATTTCTTGGGCCTTCAGTACACCGCTCGTGCATACGACCGACGTTGTTCACCAATCTACAGTCTCTACGCCATTCAACACAACTTGATGAGCTTCAATCTTTTATGCAATGCAGACCAGCACATCAGTTTCCCAACCACTAGGCTGCAGCACTTGTTTTGTCATTGTTTGAGCGGCGGGGGATCGGAACGTAGTTGGGATCAGGTAGTTGTTGACGAGGTACTGGAACAACGTAGGAGATTGTGACTGCTTTTGGGAAGCCGCGGACTTTGACCTCGGTGATGACTATGGTGCAACCCCGCTTCATATGGCTCTGGACTGCGACTCAGAAAAGGTCTTTGATGTATTCATGGAGCTTTTGTTTGCTCGGGCCTGAGAAGAAGGACAAGGCTGATCTCACTCAATGGCCTGCATTCTCCTGCGTGCATGCACACCTTTGGTGATCTGCCATTCCCTTGACCTTGCACTCCGCACACCGGTACATAGGAAGCCTCCCCAGTTTTGACAATTCTTTGGGTGATTTTGCGAGACAACCGTTGTAGACATACTGAGTCGCTATTCGTACAAGGTCAAAGCAACGCTGCATATGGAAACAGACCTTAATCTGGCTGAATCCGTACCCTGACAGTAGTGGCGCTGTGAGACTCTGGCAGATGTGGCACATCAAGTCGCTGATAATCAATGCGGTGTCATTTGATCGTCTTCAACACAACTTTCGTGGTTATCGGTCAATAGCTCATTCCAGAGTCTTGCTTCCACCCTCAAACTGAGATACGTCGTACTCCTTTGGATATGTTTCGATGAGCCGTTTGAGTTCCTTCATCTGAGCTCTTGCTTCGGGTGTGATCTCTTCATACACGTCTTCAAACATGGCTCGAAGAGGAGACTTCTTAACCTTCTCTGCAGCTGAAAATTCTTGCAGCACTTGCTTACGAATTGCTGCACGTGCCTCCTTCTCTTTATCTTCATCCCAGATACCCTTGTTCTCCATCCACTTTCGTAGACGTGTGATGGGGTTGTCTCTTCTTCTCCATTCCTCCACCTCTCGTTTGGCGCGATAAGCAAAGCTGTCATCACTGGTACTGTGATGACTGACTCGGTATGTCATTGCCTCGACCAGTACTGGCCTGCACTCTCCACTCAGTGCAAGTTTTCTTGCTTCGCGCATGACTTCGCGTACAGCAAAGATGTCATTTCCATCAACACGAATGGTGTCAATTCCATAACCGAGTCCTCGGCTGGCAATGCCATCTCCTTTGTACTGTTCGATACTGGCTGTTGAGATAGCAAAGCCATTGTTGCGGCACACAAACACTATAGGACAAGATTTGGTGGCTGCCATGTTTAAGGCGGCGTGGAAGTCTCCTTCACTTGCAGCACCCTCACCAAAATAGCATGCCACGACTCTCTCCGGCGTGTTGGGGTTGATTAGACGTTGCATTTTGAGCGCATAAGCAGCACCTGAAGCTTGCGGAATTTGTGTTGCCAAAGGGCTCGATATTGTATGCACATTGAGTTTGCCGCTGCCGTAATGTACTGGCATGTTTCGCCCCTTGCCATGGTCGTCCTTGTTTGCAAATAATTGACTCATCATTTCTTTGAGAGTGAATCCTCGCTGAATCAGGACTCCCTGTTCGCGATACTGGAGAAAGCAGACATCGTCGGGAGTAAGTGCCGATGCTGATCCGACTGCCACTCCTTCTTCTCCAGCTGATACCATGTAAAAACTCGTTCGACCTTGCCTTTGAGCATCGAACATGATTAAATCCAGTACGCTGACAGTCAGCATGTTTTTGTACCAGCCAATTATCTCCTCATCAGATGCAGATTGGGGATCTCTTGTGTTGTCCACAATTTTCCCATCGGCGTCCATGATGCGATAGGTTGGTAGTGCTGTTTCTTCTGTTGGGTTCCGAAATTGCATGGAGGCAGTAAATTTACTCTTCAATGCTCCCGGAAAACTGACACTTTATCAATTGTTAGTGAAAGAGGGATCCCATCCAGACGTTGCATTGTACATACGAGTCCGAGCCGAGTTTTTGCGCGGGCCCTGAAGCCCATGTATCGCTTGCCCATCGAATTCCCGTTCGACGTACTCGAACCCCTTGTCCACCCCGACAAGAACCTACGAGAGTTCTTAACACAGTTCTGTTCTTCATATTCGTAGCTATACACGACAAAGCTCTAGTAGAGGTGAAGAGAGAAGTTTAAGATGATCCTGGAAAAGAAGGAACAGTGGGTGATCAAGTCGGACTGTCGTCAGAATAGATTTCCATAGCCCTCGGTTATCAACGGGTCAAGAACGAAAGGCTCAAAAGTGCAGGGACATACCGTAGCCGGCGGGAATGGTGCCTTCCGGCTCCCTTGAAGTGCATCTCCAAGCCTACTCCAACTGCTAAACTCCTTTGGGCTGCGAACCACGAGGCTGTATCATACGACTGATATCTTTTTTGAAAAAGTCAAGTTGCTCCTGTCTGCAATTCACAGCTTCGAGGAACCAATCCATCACCGCATGCAAAGATGTTGCACGCAATGTCCCGACGCGTATCAACACTCTCAAGCTTTAAGAAAAGCATAATTCCGTCCCAGAGATTCTTTGCCACCACCCAACTGCGCTCACAACAGCTACCTGGCGATGATGGTCGAACGACGCATTTCGGATTTGAGACTGTTGCAGAGACACAGAAAGAGGCCAAAGGTAAGGATCAATGACACGATAATATTGAAATGCTTCTCATATCTTTTAGTTGGTGCCGTCTTCTCCTCGGTGGCCTCTTCTTACGACACCATGAACGACCTCATGTCTCTCGGAGTCCATCGGCTTTGGAAAGACTACTTCGTCCGCAGTCTTAACCCCGGTAGCCGAACGAGTGAAACGGGTTGGAACATTCTAGATGTAGCCGGTGGGACTGGCGACATTGCCTTCCGCATGCTTGATCATGCTACAAATGTCAATGGCGACCTGAAAACAAAAGTGACAGTTTCGGACATCAACAATGACATGCTCGCGGAGGGACGGAAAAGAGCTCTTGAGACTCCATATGGAAACACAGACAGATTGGCCTTCATGCAAGGTAATGCCGAGTCGATGCCATCATTAGACTCAAACTCGTTTGATCTCTACACTGTGTCATTCGGAATCCGGAATTTTACCAATAAATCGGCCGCTATCCACGAGGCGTACCGGATTCTCAAACCTGGAGGTGTCTTTGCTGTGCTGGAGTTCAGCCATGTCAACAGTGCTCTGTTCAACGCTGTGTACAAAAGGTGGAGCTTTGGAGCTATCCCATTGATCGGTCAACTGGTAGCAGGCGACCGTGACAGCTATCAATATCTCGTGGAAAGCATCGAACAACATCCTTCCCAAGAAGAGTTCAGAGACATGATTCGAGATGCTGGCTTCATCACTCCTGGGGTCGGCTACGAAAACTTGACTGGAGGGATTGCCAGTATACACCGTGGAGTGAAGCCCTTGTAGTTGGAGCACCTCAATCTGAGCAAATCATACCACTCCACCGAACCGCCTCGACGCAGCACCATTTTGAGGCATTGATCGGATCCTCCAGGCCCACCATATATCAAGCTTCGATTCGGCCGGCATGCAGACCACCAGTCACCAGGATGTCCGTACCCGTTGTGTAAGATGCGGCATCACTCAGGAGGTACACAGCAGTACCTGTCAGATCATTGCGATTACCTATCCGCTTCAACGGCGGTGTGGAATGCATCAGTTCCACCAGGTGTGGATGTTCCTCTCGCAGACTTCTCGACATGTCAGTCTCGATGTAACCGGGTGAAATGGTATTGCTTCTGATGCCATGTGGTGCCAGCTCCACACTGAGTGCCGTACTGAGCATCTTGACCGCCCCTTTTGAGGCATGATAGGCTGACAGTCGATGGCCTGGAATGGCGACATGCGCACATACCGATGCCACTAGAACCAGACTTCCACCAGTCCCTTGTTGTTGCATTTGCTTGGTGGCGAGTTGGGCGGCGAAAAATGTGCCAGTCACCTTGTGTATTATTAGTGTTGGATTCAGGAGTTCCAGCAAGCAAATTCAAACCCACATTTACGTCTTGCACCCTTCTAACTTCTTTCCACGATTGCTCAACAAACGGCTTGTCCAATGCGATGCCTGCTGCAGTCACACTAAACTGTCCATTAGTGGTGAAATGTGCGAAAGGAAGCCTAAACCAACCAGCCATCTAACGAGCCGAGTTCCGATATGGCTTGTTCGAAGCCTTTGGTGAGGCTTTTCTCATCCGTCACGTCAGCACGCAAATACCTGGCTTTGACACCAAAATCGTGCTCCAGTGTTCCAAAGTCTTTAACGGGGCTGTCGAGCACGTCAAGCACCGCAACGTTCCCTCCCATTTCCGCAATGGCCCGCGTGATAGCATACCCGATGCCTCGGCCTCCACCCGTCACAATGAAGTTCTTGTCCTTCAGCTCGAACAACGATCTCACGCTTTTGAGATCTCCATCATGGAGCGTCCTTGTTTTGGCACTACTCGAAAACTTGGCTGTCTGGATGGCTCGTCGTGATTGACTAAGAGCCCTCATGAGACCGAACATCCTCTTTGTGGCCATGGCGTTACACTTTCGGTGTCCAAAAATAGAGCTTGTAGCCCACACACGCTACAGTTTACTGGTTCAAGGCAAACGGTTGGGGCGTACTAGCACAAGTAGATACCTATTCAAATTTCGAGTGGCTCAGTGGACGTATTCGGTTTTGGCAGGTTTGGCAAGCGAGAGGATTATATTTAGGGAAAAGATCAAGCAAGCTTGAACCATCTTGAGGCATTCATTAAACTGACCCCAAATGCTGCTTGAAACTCGGCGGTGGTGTTGGGGAGGTGACCCCGGGAAACATGTCCTACACATTGTCCAGCATAAACTAGCCTATCCACGATGAGGTACGAAGCTCGCCCAGCAAACAACTAGATGCCTGAGTACCTAGAAATGCCACTCGCGAGGTGGTGGTTCATACCCCGCACCAAGCAAAATAGGCCCTATTTGGATGAATTGTTGGTACAGACCCATTATTATTGTTCCCTCCAGAAACTTGGGGGGTAGTCGTAGACCCTTCACAGGCCATAAAGCTCCAATTCTTGGTGCAGAGGATCAGGTTGGGGAGCAGTCATTCAAGCAATTGGTCCTGCGAATGTATGAAGTGTACTCGCAGATCGCCCGCATCCTGCCTAAGTTTTTCAAACTAACTTAGTTAAGCCATGTGGATGGCTTCCATGCTTTTGTGGGTGCTAAATTCCCCGCATGTCCCGGAAGCCAACCCAGTGGGAATGGGAACTTGGGGAGCTGGAAGCTGAACATGCCTGTGCACGGGCGCCATGGAACAACAAGGAATTTGCAGCCCTTGCTTGCCTACAAAGTTTGCCTCGGCTGCCCGTAAAAGCCACAGCCAATTTCCAGGTAAGCCGAGCAACCTCTCAGACTGTTCTCTGCACCCCACGATTTGCACATCGGAAGAGGGGGAGGCAAAGACAGAGGGACAATCAGTCCAGTTTACTTGGCTTTTGTGAGGCTGTGTACGAGGTACGGAAGGGTGAGCGTCAACCCGCGGGTGCCCCCCAACCACGCCATTGACGCACCCTGGGCTATTCTTGGGAAGCCTCGCTAGCCGATGGTGGCCGGCAAAACAGTGACCTCTCTAAAGAAGCAATAGCACACCTTCCATTGCCGGTTCCTTTGGCTTCTAGTCTGGTAGCTCAATGCGCGGCATTTTCTTCTCTTGACAGCGGATTAATCGTGGTAGAGGAGAATCAACTCGACAGATCATAAGTCAGTAAGCTTCGAGCACTTGAGCTCGATAGGTCCACCAACCATCGTGGCCGTGCAAGTTCAACTTGGGAGCTGTAGCGAGACGACAAAAATTCAATCCTGACGTCGTCATCAAAGCATTGCGGGACGACGATTAAGGGAAGCGTTGGATGAGGAACAGAACGTGAAGTCAACAGCATTCTTCTCATCCGTCATTACATTCCACCACCATCAGACATGGGCTGCGGGTCATCAAGCCTAAAAGGCGAAGACGTGGACGTCAATGCGGCGCCGACAATGGCAGCACCCAAGAGGGTCAACACCAACTTCGCCAGCGTCGACTACAGCGCCGACGGGGGCCAAGGCCGACGAATGACAGAATACGCACCACATGAAACCGTCAAGTCGAAGAAGAGCCACGACGGACCCCGATCCATGGCGTCTGGACGCCAGAGCGAGGCCAACGACGGGATCCTCGACACTTCGCTTCCCGTGACCAACAAACCACTCGCAGCGGACCCGCTGACAACAACGGCGGGCACAGTCACGTATCCGCATGAAGGCACCGGGAGCGCCGGGGCCGTGGGCGACGCGACCAACAACGTCGAGTTGAAGCCGTACAAGACCAACGACGGCTGGGACGAGGACACTCTCGGCACGAACACTCAACAACAAGCCACCAACACACCACACATCAACGGCAGCACCGAGACAGACACGGACCCCACATCACTCAACTCCAAGCGGCACTTCGCGCACGAGAACGACCCGGCCAGCATGGGGAACCAAGAGTCGCCGCGGGAGAAAGCGTCGCACAAGCAGCACCTCAACGGCGGCACCAGCCTGACCAGCAGCACGACCGAAGGCGAAGGGGAGGTCAACGAGCGCAAGAAATCGTGGCTCGGCGACAAATACAGCAAGTACCACGCGGCCAAGCACGGCAAGAACGTCGTGCTCTCGGACGAGGACCTGAAGAAGTACACGGGCAAGGACCGCGCGGAACTCAACGAGTGGGCCCAGGGCCGCAACGTCGGCGCCAACATGCCGGCTGGCAGGTACAGAGATGACTACTCCGGCGGCGGTGGCTATACGGGAGCCGGCGGCTAATGTCTTGGTGTTTTTTCTATAGGTACTATAAGCCCGGCAGTCTCGAAGGTGGCGGTGAATGATGGATGTTAGCCTTTCAGACCTCCCCGACGTGGAGGGTATGATTCCTCGAGATGGTTGGATGGATGGACGGACGGACGGACAGACGGAGAGGAAGAGGGAGGAGGCGCTGTGCGGACTCGCTCGCTCGCCCGCGCGCATCGCGGCCGTTGGCATCTTGGTATTTGGAGCGGGATCAATCACTGCAGGAGAACTTACAAAATCGTTAACACCCTGTTGACTGTCGACAGCGTGGCAAGAAAAGACGCGTGCGTCGCCTGCACGGGTGCCGGAATGAGGGAAGACTCCAATGCAGGGATATTGATGATATGTATGTGCATCATGATTGTATTCTACTATGTCTTCTTGCACCCGGATCGTGCCAGAACTACATTTAAATCAGCAGTCTGATTCTACTTCAAGTGTTCATGTTTGGCTCTCTTCCTACCTTAGTTATAGTCGATAAATACGAATAAAAGATAAGGGGAAGCAGATGTGCCAGAAAGTCGAAAGGCTTGAATTCTTTTGCAGACTACCACGCCATTTTCGCGGTTCTAGTTAGACGATGCTACTGCTGGCACGATACTGATAGTGCAAATACTAGCCGCCAACACCGTCTCATGCTCATGTAGACATCCAATTTCGGATGTCCAACGAATGTGGTCATGCCTCTCTGTACACTGGGCAAAACGACCAATCGCTGACTCTCATTTTGTGTCCTACAAGAGCAATTGAGGATTATTAAATCCTGCCTGGCCTGATAACAATAACCAACACTTTTAGCCCGCCAGGCCTGGAGCGCATAGGACTGTGCGCTGGATGCAAGTGGGCATCTCGCCCGAGTCAGCGTGGCGGTACACTGAGTAGTGATACTCTCTCATCTCACCACCAGCTCTCATGGATGGCGTTTCTATTTCTTTGGCTTCCCGGCTTTTGGTACATTTGCGAGTTTCACATCACTCGCAAAGCGCTGACATTAGAATCTAACGCGAGGGAGATATCTCCGATTATGTCTGCCGGCTGAATGTGTAGTATCAGCTGGTCGATGGGTCTTCCTTGGCCTTTCCTTTGTCGTTATCCAGAGCAATCGAGGTCGTACTGGATGCACGACCGTCGTCGCCATATAGATGATTCTGTTCGATATATTCAACAACAGGTGCAGGTATGAGGTATTGCACGCTCATTCCTCTGCGAAGGAACAGCCTTATCTTTGTACTGCTGACGTCATTTTGAATTAATTGCTGGATGACGTGGATGTTGTCACGATATGTTTGAAGACTCGCAAGAGCCTCATCGATGTCGGTCCCGGATCTTTCGATGATAAAAGTACCGTAACGACCTAGGATATGATCAAGATCCTTCTCACTCCACACCCCAGGGGTGGACATGGTTTGAATTAGATCGGCGCCTGCGAGGAGGGCGATTGTTACTGGTTTTCGTTTTCCATCACCAGTATCGATACCCTTCCTAGCAACGTTTATCTCATGATCGAAGTGGTCCAGGACTTTTGCAGTTGGTTGGTACTCCTTTTTCTCAGCCTCCCAAGTATCAACCATCAACCAATTGGAGGCTTTGTCGATAGCCAATTGGCACATGGCCACCCTAAACTTTGTCAGTCAAAAGTCACCGAGGTAGAAATCCGCAATCCGACGATTACTTACCGATGCTCTGCAAGAGCCAATCCTTGCTTCTTGTAGGCGTCCGAGACCGGCGACAGATAGCCACCCACCATCTCGAATTCTGTGTTGTGCTTCACATAGTCGGCAGCCATGACAAACATGCGCAGATGCAGGAAGGTGATTGGAGAGAAAGAGCCGCAGGCAACAAGTAAGAGAGGGGTTTTGGACGGGTCGTCCATCTTCTTCTTGAGGCGGGCATCAGGAAAGTGGTATTCGTCCATGGCGTCAAAGTCGCCCGTAATGGCTTGAAGTACTGTAGAACGACGTTGAATGACAGGGAGATGCTGGGCGTTCCTGGGAACGAGACAAGAGGTTGAGGTGGTTGAGCGGAAGGGCGGAGACAGGGCGGATTTGTCAGATGGAGTTGAGGTGGGAAGGAGAGACAGGCCAGATAGCGGGGCGTGAAGAGATACAAAGGGTGTAGAAAGCTGAAGTTGAACTTGAAGGTGCGCTGGCCGACGGCGCAGGCAGCGGGTGATGGGACAAGAGTTAGAAAAGAACAAAGAGGGAGGTCTCAGCATTTGAAGGCGTCCATGGCCCGACAGAGATGGGTCAATTCTAGAGCGATCGTAGCGACACAAGTGGCACTCGTGTGGTGGTGAGGGTAGTGACTCTGTGACAGGCTGCCGGTTCGGCGATGTGGAGAAGCAGAGAGGAGTGATGCCGTGGGAAAAGACTGAAGGGCGAGAAAATTGAGCTCCGAGTTCCCGGTGCCTTGACTGCCTAAGTATTTATTGGCATGGATCAAGTAGCGCTTCAAGTTGGAGTAGCCTGGAAAAGGCTTTTCTTCTGGCGAAGGGAACAGTCCAAGAGACGGCAGGGCCCGAGGGTTTGAGAAAGTTGAGGCAGGACGGAAGAGGGGAAACACTTTCAAGTTTGACTGTGATGGTGGGGTTGAGTGAGTGAGTCAGTCACGATGGGCGTGGTCATCAATAATCTAAGGCACTTTAGGCCTCACTCCGCAGGCAACTTGAGTTCGAGAAAGGGGGATCCCAGGCGGATGATGTTCGTAGGCTGGACCAGTGTGGGTGTACGAAGTATGTTGGAGAATGATGAAATAGAAGATGAAAATCTAGATTATTGATTAGAGCAGCGACTACGGAGTACACACCTAGGTATTTAGTTGGGTAACCAGTCTAACAGTGATGATGCCATTCAAGGCGGTCTCGGACAAGTCCAGAGGTTCCGTTTTAGCCCCGAGGACATGAATCAATGGCCTCCTAACTTAGGTACCTGAGTACCCGAGTACCTAGGTAGCTATTGTAGGTATCCAGTTGGGTTTAATCAAACTTATTTCAATAGCCTCATCGTATGGTATCACATGGAGTACTTACAGCCTCAGATATATTGAAACAGATTGATTGATCGTCAAGCAAGCACTGTTGTCACCTAGCTTGAGGTATCTAGGTACCTGGGAGAGACCTACGCATGAGCATGTATCTCGTGGAGTTGGCTGGTACTGAGTCACCCATCAGCGCTCTGACGACCACAACGACATGGATTGATATGCAAGCGCCATCTTACATAGAAGAAGGGGCGTGATAGAAGATGTTTACTCATACTCCAACCTGTACCTGTTCCGAACTGCTTGACTTTCTCTGTACCGGTACTCGTACAACGTAAAGTGTTGGCCAGGCTGGCGGCTGAATTACCGAATATCATGCAAACCTGGACCCGACTAGGTTTAGTGGTCCCTCTGGCTTGGCCTCGTCTGCATCAAGTTCAAGTTCAGTAAAGAGGCAGAAACGACATACCTAATCCATCACACTGGCATTTGCATATCGTACTCATATCTCATTCTGAATTTTCTTCATCTTATCAAGACCACCCGCTGCATAAGAAGCCATCAACTCAAGATATGGCTCGGTCGCTCACTTGAAATCCAACGTCTATCTGTAACCGCCCCTTCGATGGCGGGTTAACTATGGCACATCTGCCCGCACCCTCTTCAGAATCGCAGCTTGCAACCATCCAACGCACACCAGGCTCTGGGTCAAGCACAGGCATAGGCACAGGGTCAGGCTCAGTTGCCTACACCCACGCCCACCACAACCACTCGCACCGCAACCGCAACCGCAACCACAACCTCACCGGCAGTCACAACCACGCAACTGCCTCCCAGGCTTCTTCCTCTTCGCCTTCCTCATCGTCACCCAACGCCAGGTACTACTTCCACCTTTTCACTTCACTGTCTCGCAATCCCGTTGTTCCTGTCTGAACCCTTCTCTGTTGTCAAGACTCTTCACCTGCTTTGCCCTTCAAGTTTTGCCTTCATCCATCACACTTTTCTACCACACTTTAAGTACCGCATCATCCATTCAATCTTTTACTCTCTACCCACAGTCTTTGAATGATCTCAAGATCTGTTGCTCATGTCACGCAGAGTCACTCGTTCTTCTGCGAGGCTCGCTGCAGAAGCGGCCCCGTCTGCCGCCCTCCCATCCAACCCCGATATTTCTCCTCCTTCGCGGCCTCCACCTGCCACCTCTAGGAAGCGAAAGGCTCCTGGTCATCGTTCCTCAAGTCCTATCGATCCAACTGAAGAATCAACTCCTTCGTCTGTTCCTACCAGAGGGAAGAGACAGAGAGTTGCAGATCATCCACCAGCCCAAACTCAACCCTTACCACCATCTCGGTCAAGCAGGAGTAAGGCTTCAACTACTGACACGGCAATGTCGAACAATGCGTATGTTCTTCAGTCCATCGAGAATCTAGGAAACACCGCTGAATCTACCAGGTCATCCTCGCGCTTCATGGACGAGCCCTCCCAACAATTGACTTCCAAGTCAAGATCAAGACGTCCCTCCAGTGGAAATAACAAGAAGACCCGACCAGGTAATTCAATACAGGCGTCGTCTCGGCAGACTGATCTGACACATCTCTCAGATATCTCTCCTCCGGCTCAGACGACCACATCCCGTCGATCAAAGAAACGCCTCAGTAAAAAAGATCAGGATGTCCTCATGAAGGATGATGAGGATTCTGAACACAAGATATCAAGACGTGAAAAAGAATCCAGTCCGCCCTCGAATCATTCCACCAGCGATAGCAACGACGGTGACAATCACAGTGACATGGATGAAGACGATGGTCCAGATCCCTTTGCCGCAGCCCTCTTTGGTTTAGGCCGTGGGGGCCCGCCTTCAGGTCTGTCAAGTACGCTTCGAGCTTTGAGTGGAATGATGAGCGGCATGTCTTCAAGACTGAGGGAAATCTTGAGCAATCTTCGACAGGTGGACAACCCGACCATGCAGATGCTGGCCTTGGAGGAACTTTCCAATTTGTTATTGGTTTCCAACGAAGACAATCTCTCCGGCCAGTTCTCACCAGACCCTTACGTCAAAGAATTGGTCGCATTGATGCAACCGAATCCCATCACGGGCGAGGAAAACCCTGAAATGATGCTCCTCGCCTGTCGCTGTATTGCAAATCTTATGGAAGCACTTCGAGGCTCCGTTGCCAATGTGGTCTATGGTGGAGCTGTTCCAGTTCTCTGTCAGAAATTACTTGATATTCAGTATATTGACGTTGCCGAGCAAGCCTTGAGCACCTTATCCAAAGTCTCAATCGACTTCCCTGGCTCCATTGTTCGCGAAGGTGGTTTGACCGCCTGTCTGCAATTCCTTGACTTCTTCGCCACCGGTACACAACGAACTGCCGTCACCACTGCAGCGAATTGCTGTCGTAATATTCCCCACGATTCATTCCCCGTCATCCGGGACGTCATGCCAATTCTTTTGAATGTCTTGGCCAGTCATGATCAGAAGGTCGTTGAGCAAGGCTGTCTATGTGTCACACGAGTAATCGACAGTTTCAAACACGATCCGAACAAATTGGAGCAACTGGTCGATGCGTCGCTTCTTCGAGCAATTATTGGACTGCTACTACCTGGAACCACCAACTTGATTGGTGCAAACATCCATACAGAGTTCCTCCGAGTACTGGCCATTGTTGCTCGGTCTAGCCCTCGCCTTTCTGCCGAACTGCTCAAGATGAATGTTGTTGACACCTTGTACCAGATTCTCACTGGTGTTTCTCCTCCCTCCGAGACCTCAGATGCCGCCTCCAAAATTGACAGTGTCGTAATCATGCAGGCTTTGATCCACCGACCTAGGGAACAAATTTATGAAACTCTCAATGTCATCTGCGAACTATTGCCTCGGCCCAAGATGAATCGTGAGCTTGAAGTTGAGGTTTATGAAGATGTGGACGAAGAGTTTTCAGACACCCCCCAAACTTCTTCAGCTGACAAGCCCTCTCGGACGCAAACAAGACTTCGACTGCTGGAAGGCTGTAAGCAAGAAACACGTCGGTTTGCAATGATCCTGCTCCCAACCCTGACGGATGCCTATTCAAGTACTGTCAATCTCAGTGTTCGTCAAAAGGTTTTGATCGCTCAACTCAAGATTCTTTCCAATCTCGAGACTACGGTCATTGAAGAGGCCCTCCGACCAGTACCTTATGCTTCATTCCTTGCTTCTATCTTGTCTCAGGAGGACCACCCAAGCCTGGTGATGTTTGCTCTGGAAGCGTCGGAACTGCTATTTGAACGCCTCGAAGACATTTATCAATACCAGTTTCATCGAGAGGGCGTCATCGGGGAGATTAAGAAACTCGCCGATCGTCCTCTTGAACATCATAGGAAGAGTGCTTCTGGTCATGAACGCAGTCAAGATTCGGGCGGCCTTGGCCGCTCAGCTGTTGAGCCATCTACATCTGAAACCCTCCCGCTTGGGCATACCAAGCCCCAGGCTAGTAATGCAGATGAGGATGGTGACAATCAGAACGACGAAGCTGACGAGGACGAGGACGATGACGATGACGACGATGACGATCCAGAAGATGATGACGATGATGATCGTGATGAGGATGAGGATGAGATTGCTATGAGACACGATCATGACCTCGACGATTCACAGAGTTCAGGATCCTCCGAAGACGAGGGGACGCCATCTCCGCTCGCAATTGCCGGTATTGCCGACCTTGTCGTGATGCGAGCAAAGAAGTTCCTTGAAAAGCACGACACGAAGAAGGGCAAGGAACTTAAGAGCAAAGCCTCTAGCATTCGTACTGATCTACACAAGTTGGCTACTGATATCGAATCATTCTATTCTACCCCGGACAGTGTTGCAGAAAAGAATTCTTTGTTCACTCGTCTGGCAAGCTATTTTGATGGCGACGCCCTGGAAAGCATAACAAGTTCAGAACTATTGGATTCGGGAATCATCCGCGCACTGGTGAAGGTCTTGTCTAGCGATCTGCAGAATCATTTCCATGATGCACGAGCAGACTTGGTAGTGGCTTTCATGGAAGCGACTAATAAAGCGAATATCAAAACAGCATCAGTCTCCTCAAACCCTACTTCGCTCAGCGTTCTGATATCGAAGCTTCAAGACTTACTTAGTCGAGCTGAACACTTCGAGGTCTTGACTGTCAACAATAACGCTGCAGAAAGTACCAGAAGCAATTCAACTTCGATGCTCTCTCGCCAGATTCGACTCAGACTCTCAGCTGATGGTGATGCTGACATTCCAGCGACCTATCGCGAGATGATAGTTTCGATTCATGCCATAGCCACCTTTAAAGCTTTGGATGACTATCTGCGTCCCCGTTTTACGTCCTCTGACCGCCCAGCATCGGCCCAGAGACGACGGGACATGTTACAGCAGATAGCAAATGCTCGGCTGGCTCATCTTTCAGGTGCCGCTGAATCTGGTCTTTTCTCACCTTTTGGCCATGATACTACTTCACCGGCTACTCCACCTACTGCTTCGCGATCCGAATCACGGTTGTCTGCTCGAAGTAAGCAGCGGTCTCAGGGAAGTCAAGGTACTGCCGATAAAAAGGATGAGGATAAAGTTGAGAAAAAACGAACGACTCGACGCTCTCAGGCATCTTCGTCCAAACCGCCTCAGACGGCTCCAGAGCCCAGTGCTGAAGATGCGGCCAGCACTCTCGAGTGCGCAGATGAGAAAACTCTAGATGACGATCATGCCCCAGAGACTGAGGCTGACGGAACTTTAGAAGCATTCGTCGATGGATTGGAGGAAGACATGTCTGATGAAGAACTGCCAGAACCAGCTGCAGTCAATATGGAAGTTGGCTCCACTGGGAGGGTGACTGCCCGTCAAGACGACGGCACTCGAGTTTTTACACCTCAACCAGGAACACCAGTACCTGGCGGCACTCGGCCCCCCAGCTCAGATCAATCACCTGGACCGTCCCCTTCTGCTGCTTCCACCACTGGTCTGCGATCAACATATGCCTCAGCACTCTCGTCAGTACCTCAAGATTGGCATATCGAATTCAGCGTTGATGGTAAAATCATTCCCAATAACACAACGATCTATCGCGCTGTTCATCACAACCGTGATCAGCCTCAAGACTCTTCGTCGAGGAGTGTTTGGTCGGGTGTGCATACCATCAAGTTTCGCAAAGTTCGAGGCCCGCCTCCAAAGGCATCAACACTCCCAGTCTGGGGTCAGTCAGAGAAGGCAGAGTCAACTGATGGTCTGCCAGCGTCCTTAAATGGACACCCTGTGACATCTTCCATTCTCAGCTTGCTACGCATCCTCCATGAATTGAACGCAAATCTTGACGACGTGCGCGAAAGTCTTGGTCAGCCTAACCTGAATCTCTTCGCAGAACCTCTCGCATCCTTCATCAACACCAAGCTGACAGCCAAGATGAATCGCCAGCTCGAAGAGCCATTGATCGTGGCAAGTAATTGTCTCCCTGACTGGAGTGAAGACCTTGCTAGAACTTTTCCATTCCTGTTTCCTTTCGAAACCAGACATTTGTTCTTACAGTCAACTTCCTTTGGTTATTCAAGATCGATGATTCGTTGGCAAAATAATCAATCGGAGAACGAAGATCGACGAGATCGTCGAAGAGATGATCGGCCGATCATGGGACGCCCACAACGCCAGAAGGTTCGTATCTCACGCCATCGCATCCTGGAATCTGCAATGAAGGTCATGGATATGTACGGCGGCTCACCAAGCGTTCTGGAAGTGGAATATTTTGAAGAAGTCGGCACTGGTTTAGGTCCTACTCTTGAATTCTATTCAAACGTCTCAAAGGAGTTCTCCAAGAAAAAGCTCAAGATGTGGCGTGAGAACGACTCCCTCGAGAATGATCAGTTTGCCTTTGGAAAGAATGGCCTCTTTCCAGCACCGATGAGTGCTGCTGACAGCCGTGGTGAAGCGGGCAAGAAGTCGATGCTGCTCTTCAAAACACTGGGAAAGTTCGTTGCACGCTCAATGCTAGACTCCAGGATCATCGATGTCTCCTTCAGCCCAACATTTTTCAAGGTTGGCGAAACCTCAGCTGTGCCATCCATTGGTCTACTACGAACGATCGATCATGATCTGGCCAACTCATTATCCCAGTTACAGCAATTTGTCAATGCCAAAACCAAAATCGAAGCAGACCACACCATTACAGATTCTGCAAAAGCCGAGGCGATCGCGGGCTTAACCATCCGCGATGCTCGAATTGAAGATCTTGGACTCGACTTCACTTTGCCAGGGTATCCTGGGATCGAGTTGGTAGAGAACGGGCAGGACGTAGCATTGACCATGGAAAATGTTCAGGATTATGTCGACAAAGTTTTGGACCTCAGTCTTGGGAGTGGTGTCCGTCGACAGGTTGAAGCTTTCCAAAACGGCTTCTCGCAAGTTTTCGCCTATTCTACACTGAAAGCTTTTACACCAGACGAGTTAGTGATGTTGTTTGGAAGGGTTGAAGAGGACTGGTCGATTGAAACACTGATGGACTCAGTCAAAGCCGATCACGGTTTCAATATGGACAGCAAAAGTGTGAAGAATCTCCTTCAAACGATGTCAGAACTCACTCCTGTTCAACGTCGAGACTTCTTGCAATTCGTCACAGGCAGTCCCAAATTGCCTATTGGTGGATTCAAGAGCCTTACGCCAATGTTTACAGTGGTTTGCAAGCCAAGCGAGCCTCCGTACGCTTCCGATGATTACTTACCGAGTGTCATGACTTGTGTCAATTACTTGAAACTCCCAGATTACTCGACGCAAACCAAGTTGAAGGAGCGGTTATTTGTTGCCATTCGCGAGGGACAGGGTGCATTCCACTTGTCTTGAATCCAGGGAAATTTTCATGCTCAAGCATCGTCAGCTACGGGATATGGGGTGCACAGCCGAGTCACTGAAACTGTTGCATTCGTCTACGGCCCGGGCGAGTCGAAACGAAGTCTTGACTCAGAACTTCTCAGGAGTTGCTCATGACATGATTCGGAGCAGCCATTTTACTTGACACTAGTTACGAAGGGGAAAATGCTCGTTAGGAAACATAGAATGGAGTTGTGCCGCTAACTATGGGGTGGCAGAAGGGGTGTGTTGTGCATGGATTAGTGTGGCAAAGCAGGAATAATGTGAAAACGAATTTTGTCAGAGTCAGACAGCAGGTACTTACCTAATATGCATTGTTCTTCCTGGCAACATCAGTCTCTCGATGACTGCTATTTTCATCAATCATTACCATTCTTTCAGCGCCAGCAAAGCAGACACGAATAGACAGACGAATATGGACGGACAGAGCGAATAGAAACTCCTCGCATTGCAGTTTCCATGAACCATACACAGATGCTAGATGCGGGCAAGGTGCATAACCGACGGGAAACGATTCTCTGTGATCATGATCAGCTATGAATTCTCGTCATGCAACTGTATTCGTAGCTAGCGATTAAGGATAGGATCCTTCAAGTAATTGCAAAGGACATCCATTCACTAACTACTCGTAGTTAATTACCACTCCGATTCAATCCGTATCTACTTTTACTTCTAGTTGGGGTGGGTATTCGGCCCTCGGACCCAGCTTCCGTGGTCCTCGCAACCTGTCAGGACCGTCACGGTGGGCTTGTGGTATTCGTTCTCGGGAGTTGAGTTCGTTCAGTCTCTGGTCAGCCGGCATTTTGCACCTACTCGGACTCTCTCCGTATGTGCGAGGTCGCGAGTAGCCTTGTTATTAGCCCTTGCGATTAGGTACCTCAGGTACTCGTAAGGTAAGGTATTCGGGCATTAATGTGCTGCCCGCCTCTCCGGAAGTTCTTTTGCGGGCGCAGTGTAGATACAACTGTTAGTAGCTACATAGATCGAACTATCCTGATTTCTGTATGTGAATGTCAATGCCGAGTACGAGTCGGTGAGTCGGTGAGACGGTAATTAGATAAGTAGCGGTCAGGGAAAAGGGGAAAGGAATTTCAAGGCAAGTTGACGGGACCTGAGCCTTGTAAAATTAATTCATTCGCTGGTACCTAAGGAACGGGACGAGGGGCTTTCATGCCATGGTCATTGTTGGTATGTATTGTGGATACCGAGCTTGGAGGAATCTGTCTACCTCGGACAGAGGATTCGAAGACCGAGTGTATCATTATTGTAGTCTTTTAGTAAGTCTGTTAACTAGTGAAGCGGCAGGTCAAAGCGTGAGGCCGGCGGTCTCAGGACGAATGTAATGAAATACAAAGCTAGATCATGAGAGATGGGCAAAATTCATCTCTCCTCTTGTATTGAGGCATACTCTGCCTCTCCTATACTATAGTACTCGTATATCACGAGAAGGTGGATAAAGTCCCGCCAGGCTAGTGGCTTCGTCTATGCATCTTGCCTGCTAGGGTTTCATGTCGTGGGTATTCATCAAGTTACCAAGGAGATCTCTAATAGTCCGCTATTTTCCATACGAGGTTTGGCGTGTATGGCTTGGAGCAGGAGCCTGAATGGTGGGGATGTTCCGCTGCTGCTGGCCCGAAATCCTGGATTCACCAGAGGTAAGCGAGTTTGATCGTGAGCCGGCTCTGGATGAAGATGGAGACGACCGTTGGCGCTTCGAGTTAGACCTTGCGCTCTTTTCGGATGCAGTATCGTACTGGGCCAATTTCTCCTTTTGCAATTGTTTGACAAGACGTTGTCGCCTCATGTCTCGGAGGGAGAGGAGTAGAAGCATGAAGTGCAGGACCCAGAGAAGAGTGCCACAGATGATGGCTCCGATCTGGAGGCTCCCAACAGTGTATAGGACTGGCTCACATTCACGTGCAAAGACGTTGAGCATGTTACATACCAGAATCCCAGACTGTGTGCGAACGGCAGGTTTCCAGAAGCGGAATAGCGATCCATAGCCTGCAATGAACAAGGCAGGGATCATGATGACGAGGATGAGCACTGTCACAGTGGTGTGCAGGATGAGGGACCGCTGGGACAGTGCCGGCAAAGCTGGTGTCTGGCGTCGGCGTTGTTGCACTTGATCATAGATCAGGACGCCGGCGTGGTAGAGGAGTGCGAACGTCAAAGGTCCTAGGGCGAAACCATCGGTCCAGTCTCCCTTGTTGGGTCCAGAGTTGTGGAAGAAATTGGCGTTCCATCGTGGAATGGCGGCTGCGAAGAGTGATATCGCCACCAAGCTAGTCAACAGGCTGCCGACATGTAACGAGATGGTGAAGGTTCGGCGCCAGCGGTGGTGAGAAGTGATATTTGGTGGTGTGAGGTCGGTGGGGTATCTTGATGATAAAATGAGGGTCTTGGTGAGCATGGTGAATGAAAGTGGTCCTCTTAATGCCTGTAATGTTTGAACCGAAAGTCACCGAAGCGCGTACTTAGATTGAACTCTGATCCGAGCTGGAGAACGGGGAGATTGCGGACGAGAAGTTGCGAGAAAGGAAATCGATCTTGCCAGCAAGATCACAGCGCTTGAATTAAAAAGATGTATTAAGTGAAAAGGATGAAGGCCAGCGATGCACAGCAACGTGGATGAGAAGGGATGAAAAGGATGAACACAAACAAACAGAGGAATTTGAACAGACCTTGGGGAGCCATGCTCCGTGTTCTTGACTTGAGTTGACTGGACTCGTACCCCAGGGCGGGAAACGACCTTCCCGAGGGTGTCTCTGTAACATTTTGTGAAGGAGAAGAAGCTCGGGTGTGAGGATTCTCGAACCAGCAGCGTGGAAGGGAAACGGCTGGCGCAAGGATGAAACAGTTCTTGTATGAAACCAGCGTCGACCGAGTCGGTCTCAGGCGTCAGCGTATGGAGTGACCACCCAACATGGCCATTGGCCCTGGGTTGTAGTGCGGGCCTACGAGTTTTGGAGCCACCCCCCGGAACCTTCAGCACTTCCGGCAGTCCATCTGCCGGGTATTGGCGAGTCTGCCGGTTCTAGGCTTTCCAGGGCTTACCAGGGCTGACCAGGGCTGACCAGGGCAAGCCGTCCGGTGCTTCTCCCGGCTTCCCGCTACCTATCCGTGCCTAACAGAGACCACTAGATACCGTTGGAACTCCGCTTAAGGAAGGGCTTCCTTGTTCTTCGGCGGGGAACAGTCTCACATAGTCCAATTGGAGGGCAGGCCTGGAAACAGTGCTTGCAAGTTGCATGTTTGCACAGTAGTCGGCATGTAGGTATTTAGCTCAGTAAAGCGAGTGCAGGGCTGCTCGCAGGGCGACAGGTGACTTTGTAAGGCATCTTCATCATTGTCTTGCGCTGTCGAGTCAGAGGAGAAAATAGCAGTGGAATACCTCATCGCCAGTAAATACCATAACCCAGTATCATCAACTTTCCTGACCTCCTGACCTCTTGACCACATTCTTGCGACATGGCGGACATGAGTACGGCACCAATAAGGCTACGAGACAGGCCCGAAGACTTACGGATCCGGTTGGGCTTGAGCAACCAACGATGGGAAAATTTCAAAGTCTTTGCCAGGAGTGCCCACAATGAGTATATGCAAACTCATCCACATTCGCGATGGGCTGATCACAAGGTCACTTGGACAGCCTTACCTGAAGAAGAGATGAACGATGTGATTGCGACCATGTTCCGTCTGGTCCGCAATGCGAACCTATTTCCGGCCACCTATTCACAGCAAAGAATGAGAGAAGGAATCACGGCAAGGCTGTACGCAGTCAGACGTACCTGGGTGCAGGGTCAACATTAGGGCCAGTGCCTGCTCGATGATGGTCAACGGGCAATGAGGAGAAGAAAATGATGACACGGCTGCCTGCGCGAACGAGGTTGAAGAAGAAAAAGGAGATCAGATTGCAGATAATATACAAAATGTGGCCACTGCAGGATGACTGATTTGCAACGGGCAGACACAAGCAGGCGTGAGCTCAGTCCTACCGGTGGTCTCGAGTCGGATATGGCTTCACAAGTTCCAGGCAGGAACCGTACAGAAGTTGACATGGGATTGTGGAGACCAGAAAACGCACAGTCACTACCTATCGAGAATGGCAATCGTGGCATGCTATAAGAAAGCACCGAGTGTGGTGGTAAGCATACAGACGAGCACGCCCTCGACAAGCTCAGGATTGTAATGGATTGGCTGTCATGCACCTGTGCACAAGCAAAACCCTGGATGCCTGCAGGTCCCGAGTACGGGCATCCCAGGTACAAGAATAACGCCATAGGCCAGCAAGAATGGTCGGTTGTCCTCTTTCATGACGGGGTGATGTCGAAGCGTCATGGCATGATAGGGTCGTTTCGCCAGCCTTTACGGCCCGGTCAGAGGCGGAGTGAACTGTTTTAGGTATCAGGGGACCACTGACGTCGCTCGAGCGGATAGGGAATGCCTCTGTCTACAAGGACCGTGTTTGATGCGGGAGAGGGATGAGGTGCGAACGACTCTTTCTCCTGTTGTATATCTAGATACTTGGCTAGCTTCTGTGACGCATTCAGCGCGTCTCACACATTCATTAATTTGCTTGCAACTTGGTTTGGCCTTGTTCTAAACTGGACCTCTCACCAGGTTCAAGGGTTTTTCTTGACGCTATCTTGTCTTCGGGAAGGATCCGGGCTTCAGGAGGGAGGGCATCCACCCGTCTCATATCAACTCATATTGCTTCGCCTTAGCTGACTTTCGCTGGTCAAGCGCTCACAAGACACGGAATCTCTTCCAGTAGGTAGTTGACATACCTCGTACCGAGTATTCTCCAGCGACCAGTTCCAAGGCCATACTCCACTTCCTCATGGTTTGTAGCTTGATGATACATGTGAAGCGATGATGAGGAAACCTTCTATTATTTTTATATAGCATACCTGTACATTACTACCCAAGCATTCACCTTCTTGCTTTCATATCCCACGCGACGGTGGTCTTTGTGACTAAGAGTCTCTTCACAGGGGAAATTAGAGATGTCTTTTCGAAGTTAGATCACACTAATTAAGGTATCTAGGGTACTTGACAGGATGATCCTCCAGACTCCAAAGCCGAGTAGGAATAGCAGATCCAAATGCAGGGGTTTGGGGCTAGCTACGGATAGTTGTTGGCAAATCCTATACGGAGTAGTATTACGTTTTACAGGACAGGTACTCGGTACCCCAGACCTCACATTATTACTCCTGTAGTTGGCTTTGTACCACTACTCAGTGCTTGAAGTGAGCATTATCAAGTATGCAATGCCGCAGAACCAGGGTGCTAGAACAGTAGGCACCGGGGTACGGATACCTCGGACTCCGTGTGAACAACGACTGTGAGTAACAGAACCCTCGAACCTCTTTTCAGGTGATCGGATCGGCCGGATCAGCTTGTGCTTTCATCTCGCAAGGGTAGCAGTCTAGTGAGGTTCGCCTTGCCAAAGATACTTAATTTCCGAGGTTCAGGAATGAGAGCACAAATCAGTTCTATACCTACTTAGGTACAATTATCGTTGTTGATAAGATCGATTCATACTTATACTCTCTATCTCACTTGCATTGCGCAGTGGATTTAAGGGCGAAATCGATACCTTGTACCTTGTAGTTGAGATGTACATCGTCCGAGATATCTTGCGCCTAAGCAAGCCTAGGAACAACCCCGGAAGAGTCGGCCGCCACCACAAACTCGTGCCGTTTAGGGTCCAGGAATAGGGGAAATTTCTCTGTCTTCTGGGGGAATTGGCAGTGATTAGCTCAGCGCCTCTGAAGCCAAAGGGACTCGATATGACGCACTACGTCAACAGATGTGACATCTTGCCTTCTCCATCCTCATTCACCACGGCTATTCCCTTTGCCTGCACAGAGGATCCTTCTACGTTCTCACATACCGTGCCACTTGGTCATAAACGCATTCAGTGTCCATCTACAGACTGCATTCTCATACCAATATCCCATCTCCTGCTCTCTGCTCAGTCAGAGCACCAATCGATGCCATCCCCATCACGAACAATGCGGTGAAGTAATTTCATCTTCTGCTGCCACAGTCAAAGCCCGAATATATCATACCTTCTCCGCTTCAATCTTATGATCCGATGGCTCAGGCCATCTCTCCGGTGGTATCTTCAGCCGTGGACTACGATGCCACCGCACACGTCGAGCCTCCACCCACAACCTTTCCCTATCCTGAGTCCAACATACGGGACGAAGATAGTGCGCGCCTTGAATCGGATGCCACTCTGCACGAAGGAAATGATGGTAGTCGTGAGGAACCCTTTCCGCATATCACAAGTCCCGAATCGACATCTGAGGGAGAACGGGAACGACCCCGCCCTGCTCCACGGAAATTTCAAACCGACCTCGTGCAACCAGTCGCACCAAGGCAGCTCCCCCCTCTGCGAGCACATTACTCAGCGTTAACGAATAAATTCGATGATACTACACCTGTTTCCAGCGACGACTCGTCCTCCGAAGATGAATCCGGACCAAGAATTCATAGATCATACACTCAGCAAGAGAGCAATGTCCTTTCGAAATCCCAGCTCAACCGGGTTCGTACACATCCTCGGGACCGGGGATTTACGGTTGGAAATGACTTTTTTGAATCTTCTAGCCGTATAGCTAGAGATGGAAGGCTGAGGATCTCTGTCAATGAAACAGCGAACAGTGGATATCTGGCAAAGGCCCTTGGGGCAACCATTGAGAATCACCTCACGCCTCATAGTGCGCAAGAAGAAAAGGCCTCTCAACAGGCAAAGGCCGACTTCCTCCAGGCCAAATCGAACTTGGTGGTTCCCCGTATGAACATAGTGATAATGGTTATTGGTAGCCGTGGGGATATTCAGCCATTCCTGAAGATAGGAAAAATTCTGAGAGACAAGTACCACCATCGAGTCAGGATTGCTACTCATCCGACCTTCAAGAAATTCATACAAGAGGAGATTGGGCTTGAGTTCTTTTCCGTGGGTGGCGATCCGTCAGAGCTGATGGCATTTATGGTCAAGAATCCCGGGCTAGTGCCCTCCTTGGAAACCGTCAAGGCAGGGGAAATCGGAAGACGAAGAGACTCCATGTACCAAATGTTCCAAGGCTTCTGGAGAGCCTGCATCAATGCGACGGACGACGAAACCGACACCGCTAACTTGAGATTGATGGGTGCAAATGCCCCCTTTGTCGCTGATGCTATCATCGCCAATCCCCCATCGTTCGCTCATTATCATTGTGCGGAACGTCTAAGCATCCCACTCCACCTCGTCTTCACCTTTCCCTACTCACCCACGCAAGCATTTCCACATCCTCTGGCCAATATCAAGGCTTCCAACGTGGATCAGAGCTACACGAATTTCATGAGCTACCCATTGGTAGATCTGATGACATGGCAGGGTTTGGGTGACCTTGTGAATCGATTTCGTACTCAGACACTAGGCTTGGAACCTGTGTCCACTTTGTGGGCACCCGGTCAACTGTCTCGCCTCAAGGTACCCATGACTTATCTCTGGTCACCTGGACTTGTACCGAAGCCTCGCGACTGGGGTCCTGAGATTGACATTGCAGGCTATGTTTTTCTCGACCTTGCTTCCTCCTACCACCCTCCAGACGATCTTTCGAAGTTCTTGGAACGCTCCGACAGTCGATCGATCGTTTACATTGGTTTTGGGTCTATTTCCGGCATTGATGACCCTCGTGCTTTTACTGAAATGATCTTTGAAGGTGTAACCAAGGCAGGAGTACGAGCAATAATTAGCAGAGGGTGGGGAGGGATGGGTGACGGCATGGATAAATCCGACGACATTTTCATGGTAGATAATGTCCCCCATGATTGGTTATTTCCCAAAGTCGACGCTGTTGTCCACCACGGAGGGGCTGGTACGACAGCGGCAGGTCTAAGGTATGGCAAGCCTACACTGATCGTTCCATTTTTCGGAGATCAGCCATTTTGGAGTGCAATGGTGGTCAAGGCGGGTGCTGGTGCGAAGGAGGCACTCCCTTTGAAGAAGCTCAACAGCGACAAGTTTGCTGCAGGAATCCAGGAGTGTTTGCAACCAGAAGCCAAGACCAATGCAGAAGCGATTGCAAAGAGCATCGAGGAAGAAGGGGACGGCGCAGAGAACGCGGTCGACTCGTTCCATCGAGCGCTAGATCTGGACGCAATGCGTTGTCAGGTGTTCAAAGATCGCGTGGCGGTCTGGAAAGTGAGACACACCGACAACCAGATATCTGCTCTCGCTGCCGACCTATTGGTGGACAATAAGCAAGTACAGTGGTCAGATCTGCACTTGAGAAGAATTCGAGAATGGACCGATTTTCAGGGGCCTGGGGAACCTATCACAGGGGCTGGAGGCGTGTTTGTCTCTGCATTCCATGAGGCCTTTAAAGAACTCTGCCGGATGCATGAAACCACCAAAAGAGACTTCAAAACTTACGAGAAACGCCGCCAAAAGCAGAAGAACAAATCTGTGGCCGATGGTCTCCTCCTCCCAGGGCGAATCGCATACGCAACCAGAGGAACAAGCGTCGAAATCCAGAGAAAGGAACATGCACGACTACAGCAAGAGATGAACTTGAGTGGCGAGGCTGAACCATCCAAACATCCACTGTCACTGACTCGAACCAAAGGAAAGTCACAAGAACCATCAGAGCTAACTCGGGTAACGAGCACATCATCCAATGCACCACCTGCTGCAGTGACCATCATCAAGGATGTTAGTCATGGAATTGGTCGTTCCAGTCGAGCCATCATTTCGATGCCAGTCAAGGTATTCAATGCTACAGCCCTGGGATTCCACAACGCGCCTCGGTTATACGGGGACAAAACCGTCCGACCTGCTCCTCAAAAAATCACTGGATTCCGCTCTGGTACCAAAGCTGCAGGAAATGAATTTGTTTTTGGTATTTACGATGGTGTGACAGGCCTCGTGCGACTTCCCTACCTCGAAGTTCAGGAACATGGTCTCGTCGGATTGCCCAAAGGAGTGGCGCGTGGTGTCGGGGGGTTCATCTTGAAGCCAACATCTGGGATTCTTGGACTGGGCGCGTATACCTTTACGGGATTCCACAAAAGCATGCGGCGACGGTTTCGCGACACGGAGAAAACAGATCGTTGGATTCGACGAGCAAGGATTGCGCAAGGACAACGAGACTTTCAAACGCTCAAAGAAGAGCACCAAGATAGTGCTGCGACACCATCTTCTGATCGGCAGAAAGAATTAAACCATGTGCGCGATCATGCACTGAGGCAGTGGAAGACGATCGAGACGGAACTTGTAAATGAAGCTCGCGCCAGAGAAAGTCGCAGTTCCAAGTGGAATTGGCAACGTGAGCAAAGTCCTCTGGTCGAACAACAGCAGCGTGCACAAACAAATTGAAGCGATTCTCTGTTACGAAGCAGGGGCACCACGATCTCAGAGACGATCCGACCGCAGTTTGAGGCCTTTCCGAAGTCGACAACAATGATGTTTGTGCTATGAGCCGGCCCTTCGTTGTTCGCCCCGAGCCCAACTCAGAGTCGCTTCCCGAATTGGAGAAAAAAGTTTCTGGCTGAGGGGTGGCAGATTTCCATGGCATGGCATGTCATGTCCTTTAGTCGTGGACTGGAGTTGGCCAATCGAAGCAGCACGATAAGGTCGAGGCCCACGAATCAAAACCGAGGCAGGGATGCAGACAGAGTTTAGACCCATGAACGGCAAGAAGCACCGTGACGCCACCATCAAAGTTGGGGAAAGTTTCGATCGGGCCATGGGAATTGATGATTGAATATGGATTGGAAACCAAATATCCTCAATAGGGTGGCATTTGGTACGGGAACGGGGGGATTACCGATGGCCCTGCAGGGTCGCAGATTGAGCTCTAGCAAAGAAGGGGAGATCGAGGCGTGTGCTTTTTACATTTCCTTAGACTATTAGAGATACCCCCATCAGCAACATCTTTGAGCAGACATAGAGTAGCATAATTGAGTTCTCATATTCGTAAATGCCTCGGAACTTGAATCGAATTGCTTTTGGTACATGAGTTATCATATGGAGCTACCTACCTAGGTATTCATTTGCCGAGGTGCGTCCGGGGGGCTAAAAGAGAATACTACTTTTGTCTCAAGGCGACAAAGACGTCTAAATCTGGGTGTCTGGGAAGGTCTGAGCTCGGTGTGAAGATAGCGCGACATAAGCAATTCCGACGGCTCATCCAGACTTGGTCCTTGCCATGTCCCCGAAACAGCTAACGGTAGGAATCTGTGCACGAGTGAGAGTGAAAAGTTCGAGGTCAGCTCGGGTGTCATCAACTTGGGCAAGATGATCACCACGAGACTCTTGACACGGTACTCGTGCAACTTCCAAGGCAGATATAATTGGCGCGGCGACCACACACAAGACACGAGGGTGGCCTTTGATGCCTCTATGGGAAACGTCATCACACCACTTGGTTCACGAGCTGATCATTATGTGCAGGTTGCAAGCTGCAGCAGCACCTGGCACCCGGCACGGCTTATTGCCATTTGGTATTATTCTCCACAATTTGTCTTTGCCTGAAGTTGGAGCTGGGTGAAAACGATGGCAGTACGGGTAATAATGAATGATTCAAAGGATTCCATGAGGAATTTCGATCGAGTCAACCGAAATGGTCTTATCTCAACATGACTGGGGCATCAAGTGGATCGGATAAGTTAGCTCGAAAGGAGGGGTGGAATCCTTGAGTTGGTCCGTCGGTACTCGTCACCCACGTTTGGATGTTGAGTCTTGGTTTTAGGCGGTAGTGGTGGAGTGCATTTGTTTGCTCGCGTTTCAGTTAAACAGTCCCGCCTAAGAGCTGACTATCCATGCTGTGCGCTCCAGGGCCCCTCTGGCTCCTACAACGCCTGAATGCCTTGGGTGCCAGGTCGCCCCTCACCACACCTGCAAGTAGTAGCTGTTGGCTGGTTAGGCGTGCGGAGCAACCACTGGATCAATTGTCCCACGACTTGAATCTGGATGTTTTATATTGAAGCGAGCATTGGCCCGGATGGCTAAGATAATTGCGGAAAACGTAGGATTCACGGTTAATGACTACGAAGAGTGAACGGGCCGAGAGTGACCCTTTGACGTTCAACATTATTATGATTACCACACTCTGGGGCGTGGCTGTTCAGGCGCAGTGAAGCCCAGCAGCCCACCGCCGCGCACCGGGAGTGGGCTGGTCAGCTAAGAGAAAGCAAAGTGACAAGGGTGGCACAAGAAAGTTGGGGTGAATTGGGAATCCCTGCACCTGCCACCAATCCAAATCCACATCCACAATCGGAGCTTCTAGGACGGCTTTCCTTTGTTCTGCTTCAACTCTCATTGATTTATTGCTTCTGTCTTTTTTTTTAAAAGGCCAGGCTCGTCCCTTTCTGATCATCCTCACTCTCACTCTTGGACAATACATTTATTGACATCCCCATCCCCATCCCCATCCATTCATACCTTCTTCAACTACAAAGTCGGTATCGTTGATTCTAATATTCGTCATACCCCTCTCTCCCTTCCCCCACCTTTCTCACTTTCGTCATGGTGAGCCTTATCTCCCAGCACGCGACTCCAGGAACAATGGAACTAATGATCTTGTGCAGGCCGCCGGTGTCGGTGAATCGACTATCGTCTCAAATGCCTCCAATGTAAGTCTCTCGGAAAGTCTTTCGCTTTGCCAGCGGAACTGGATCTGACTCGATTTCTCTAGTTGGCAAAATACATGAAATTGGACCAAAGAGGAAAGGCTCTTGCTGAGTACATTTGGATTGATGGCACCAATGGCCTTCGAAATAAGACAAAGGTAAGCAGTCTTGTTGCATTTTCCATCTCACTCATACCACCATCTTCTCCTACTCGCACTCCCAATCATACGGTCAAAGTACCAGTGGCTTCCCGACGGGTGGCATGCGATTATCGTGTTTACTACTCTGTGGTAACACGAGAATGGATTCCCAATTTATCCCACGCCCTGCAGCCGAACCTTTGAGACGGCTGCGCTAAAGGGCGCAGTGGCTCCATTGAGCCACTACTGGGAGCACCGACACTCCGCCGCGCATTCTTCTGTCATGGCCACGGCGGGATTGGCCGAACTCTCGGCACGACGTCAACGCCCACCGAAAATATTTGCCGCGCTCACGGCTTAGCGGCAAATTGACACATCCAAATTGATATGACTTGCAGATGAACTCCCGACTAACTTGGCATTTTCTAGACCCTGGACAAGGCTCCCAAATCCGTCGATGACCTCCCCGAGTGGAACTTTGATGGTTCTTCCACGCTCCAAGCCCCGGGTGACAACTCCGATGTCTACATTCGCCCCGTCGCCATGTATCCCGATCCCATCCGTCTCGGTGACAACGTCTTGGTCATGTGCGAGACCTGGGATCCTGATGGGACACCCAACAAATTCAACTTCCGACATGAGGCCGCAAGACTGTTGGAGGCAAACGCTGCACATGAAGTCTGGTTCGGTCTAGAACAAGAATACACTCTCCTCGGCCCTGATGGATGGCCATATGGCTGGCCAAAGGGTGGTTTCCCCGGTCCTCAAGGTCCTTACTACTGCGGTGTCGGCACTGGCCGTGTCTACTGCCGTGACATCGTCGAGGCCCATCACAAAGCATGCATGTATGCCGGCATCAACATCTCAGGCACCAACGCCGAAGTGATGCCCGCTCAATGGGAATACCAAGTTGGTCCTTGCGAGGGCATCAACTGTATGTTTTGGACTCCCTACAACCCCCCTCAACTTTTTACTGATCTATTTTTTCTTCTTCTAGTGGGTGACGAACTCTGGGTCTCTCGATGGCTCCTACACCGTATCGCTGAAGAATTCGGCGCCAAGGTCTCCTTTGCTCCCAAGCCCATTCCCGGTGACTGGAACGGTGCTGGTCTCCACTCCAACGTTTCCTCCAAGGAGATGCGTGCAGAAGGTGGCATGAAACACATTGAAGAGGCGATGAAGAAGCTCGAGAAGCGTCATGCGGAGCACATCAAGGTGTACGGTGAAGGCAATGCCGACCGTATGACTGGTGCACATGAGACATCCAGCATCGACAAATTCACCTGGGGTGTTGCCAACCGTGGCTCGTCAGTCCGTATTCCTCGCGCCTGCGCCCGGGAAGGCAAGGGCTACTTCGAGGATCGACGACCCGCCTCCAACGCCGACCCATACCGTAAGACTCTCCCATTATCTCCTCCTGCTTTTCATGACACAGTTGGACTAACACATCTTTTGCACAGAAATCACCGGTATCATCACCGAGACCATGTATGGCTCCCTGCCCGAGGAGAAGTTTTAAGCGCGACCGACCTCTTTTTTACAATCATGACGATGCTGTTTCACACAAACACGCCCCCCAAATGGAAAGTGGAGTTTTGACGGGAAATGAAATACAAACTGAGCGAAACTTTTGTTCGATTACCTGCAATGCAAGATCTTGCAATGAAAGGCTGCACTTTGATGGTGTTGCAGCCTTCCCCCCACCACCATCACCACCGTACCACCACCCTTAGATATCATTATCACTACTAGTAGATAAGACTCGAATCACGAAAGAAATCATTTTGAAGAGAAAAAAAAAGAAAGACCGATTCCGTCATTGTTGTTCTTCTTGTGTATAAAGACGCCTCTCATAGTTGACTGAGTGCTACTCTACGTAGTCCTCGTCTGGCCTGATCTGGTCGCAGCATATAAAGTAATTTGTCCTCCAAACACTGGGTCTTCCACCACGGTTCCATGGTTGGTTGGCTTCTACCAAGATAATACGCTATCCGTAAAGTGTCTCTCTCGGTAGTCACTTCGCTTGCACATCATTCGCCAATCGTCACCGCTTGTGCAATTGACCGGTCTTGCGGGTTGTAGAAAGAATACAGGGACCGAGGGATGGTATTTGAAGAAATACGAGTATGAGTATTTAGATATGTATGTGTAGTCCAGGGTGGATGCGGGAGAAATGTCGATCAGGGGACAGACAAACGAAACGAGGCTGCAGCATCGAACCATTCCAGATTCCTCCGAGCCAGTCACACTCATTTGGAGAGTAGTGGCCCTTGGAAGAGCACTATATTAGTGGTGAGCTGGGCAAACGCGAAGGCAAAGGCAAGGATACGGCACAAGCATTGATCCAGACATGGGAGACATATGACGGGCAAGGATAGAGCTTTGGGAATGGGAGGCTGCTCAGTCAGTCATCTCTTGGTTCGAGATCGGATTGAACCGGTGGGGTTGAAAGCACGTGGGAAGGCAAGGCCGTCGCAATGGCCCGGTCCCTGGCTGGCTGGCTTGGAGGGGGGAGTTCCTGTGCCTGTTCCTGTTTCGATCAGGCTGCATTCTGCAGGGGTTGGACCGTGGGTGTCCATCAGAGTTGGTCAGCAGCACGACATCGCTGGTGTGCTTTTGCTTAGGGTGGGGGAGGAGAGGGAAGAATCCGGGGACTGATCATTGGATTGGGACACACAAAAAAACCTGGGGCAGGGCTCCGCCGACTTCGAGGCGGTGGGCTCGTGAGCTGGGGGTCTGAGGCCTAGTCGTCTCCGCTCCGCTCCTGGTTGATCGTCTGGAAGAGAAGGGTTGCTCCCCATTCCGCGATGAGGAGACGACGAGAGGAGACAGAGTCATGTCCCATACCTTGGTTGACTTGTTATCGTACAGTGCCCATTATTAGCCTACCTTGAAATGCCGATGGGTTCTCCTTCCATCTTCGATCTCTTGAGATCACCCTTGGAGACCTTTGGAGTCCATTCGAGCTAAGGGTGCTCAGATTCTATTGGCACATTGTCGAGGATTAAGAAACGAGATTGTGATCGCTTGACGTTGCTTGACATCATGACAAGTCTCATGTAAGATAAGGCATGCAGGCTGATCACCGATTAAGCATTAGTGGAAAAGACTGGCCTGGATTGTCAAAGATAAGGGCCTGAAGCGAATGGCGTTCAGTAGTTCCTGCGATTATTGCTGGACGGACATCGTTGCCGTACATGTTTTACGGAGTAAGACTTTGTGAATCGTGATGGTAGGGTCTGGATCTCGATGGAGCCATGAAGAAGAGCATGGCATACAGAGATCGAAAGGTTGGTCTCTTGAAGACAGTTGTAGATGCACCTGTCTCGCTTACCAGTAAAATTTTCAGCAGCGATGACTTTGAAAGAAAAAAAAAAAAAGGTCTTCTCCTTTTCTCGAATTCAAGACCAACCATGCTTCTGGCAGTTTGATCAGGGGTCTTGTGAGCTGTTCAGGGCTCAGAAGCCAGTTGGTAGGTCGCTCGTATGCAGAAGCAAACACTGGTAAACCCCAGGCTTCAGATCATGAACCATCCATTTAGCCGGGGAAGTGTGCATGGCTCCAGGCGACGAGGAGCTTTGTTGCATGACAAAAAGGATGTGTGTTCTCCAGGATAGGCGAGGAGAGATCCAATGAGCTCACGTGCTCATGGTAGACGGTGATTGGATCCAAGTGTCAAAGATAAGGATGGAGTCGACTGTGACCAGGGTTTAACGCACTTGGGCAGATTGAGGGTCTTGCTGGTCGCATGCTTCATGCAGCCAGCCGATTCGTAACGATAGCGTCAGGCTAAGACGGCCCTTGCATGAGCCCGGGAAATGGCGACCACGGGCGACCACTGACGCCCCCGGGCGACCTCACCCGATCCTCCCCAAGAAGCCTCAGAGATCCACCGATTGACCGATGCTCCAAAGATAAGGCTGCTTATGCTGATTGGTTTGACTCAATCGGTTTCTTCTTCCAACGTCGATGAAATGAGTAAACCCTCATTTCTCAAGATACACAACTGCCACCTTGAATAAGAAACCCCGTGCTGAGGAATAAAGCCTGACTTGGCATTACGAGACATAAATCCCCCTTCTGCGAACCTGCCCGAGTGTTGGAGCGATCAATGCCTCCGATGAACCGTGGTTTGGTGCAGATGGTATTCTCAACGTTTTGAGGCTCAGGCTCTCGTCACGCAGCAAAGGTCAAGCTCTCTGAGTATCAGGGAATATCAGCGACCCCCGAGGCAAGCATACGCCAAACCTGATAGCCAAGAGCCGCCGTGTCCAGTGACAGTCGTTCCTTCCTCGCATGGAGCATTGGAAATCGACATTTGCAATTGCTTTTGTTGCTTGATAACCAGCGGCCAAGACTTTTGGCGGGCTCGGCGCCGGGAGATGTGGAAAGGGCAGCCCCCGGGCATGCCAGACATCTCGCTCCATTCTCTAACCTGACACCAAAATAAAAGCAATTCTGTTCGATAACAAGCTTGGCCCGAACCACTTACGGCTGCAGCCTGCAGCTCACAGGGCTCGGCATTATGTTCGATGCCCATGCTTGTTGACCTCGAACCTCATCTTTCAGCTCCATCCAATATCCATCCACCTCAAGGTTCACCAAACAAGGCGTTTCCTCTTTCTGGTGGGCCCCAACTTCCCGACTAACCAAAGTGCACAGATGTTCTGTTGTCTTTTGGGACCAACCTCACCGAAAAATAGCACCCCAAACAATCAACTGACATTGACTCCACTGATCCACGCCACCCTGGTTACATGACACGGTTCGAGATTCTAGCTCATCACCACCATCGTCTACCGATTCTTGTCCACAGCTCAACCGACAACCTGCTGACTATGACGCCCATGCCCATGCCCATTCCGACTTCGCCCTGACCAGTGACCAATTCCCATTTGCACCTTGCATCCATTTACACGTCTCAGCGTCACTTTCTTTTTCTCAACTCGTTTCCGGCCTTAGCGACCGAGAGAGAAAAAGACTTTGATATACCTCGATCCTCATCCCTCTCCCCTCCCCTGTGAACTCCGCCTCTCTCTCTCTCATTCCCGTTCGTCGTTCTTGTTCTTTTTACCTAACAAGAATTTCACAACCCTCTTTCCTTCTACCCACGTCAAACAGACATCCATTCTTGACTGCATTGACATTCCACGTGCCTGTCTTGCTTGACTCCGAGTGGTAACCACCTCAAATCTTAAGCAGCGGCGACCTCGCCAGTACGACAACAACAGCATCCTCCACCATGTCGGAAATCTCGGACTACCTCCCTTCATATGCCTCCTACAACTGGACTGGCGCTCCAGCCGATTTCACCCTCGCCACCAACTCGGACAGCGGTGGTGATTCGAGTATGTTCCTTGATCCACGGTGACGGCTACATGCTCTAACACAAATTCTACAGGAACCGAAAATTTGAACAAATGGTACCAATCCGGCGACACTGCCTACATCATTCTCTCCTCATGTCTCGTCTTGATCATGGTACCGGGTCTGGGATTCCTCTACTCTGGTCTCGCACGCAGAAAGTCCGCTCTGTCCATGATGTGGGCTTGTATGGCTGCCGGCAGTGTGATCAACTTTCAATGGTACTTTTGGGGCTATTCTCTCACCTTCTCCGCTTCTGGAACGAGCGGCTTTATTGGTGATTTGCATCATTTTGGTCTGAAGCATGTACTGGGAGCCCCCAGTCCTGGTTCGCCTCTTGTTTCGGGCCTGCTTTACTCCTTCTACCAGGTAATTGGAACCGGCTCAACCCTCTTGCTACCATAAGCTAATCTTGTCCACAGATGCAGTTTTGCTGTGTTACTGCGGCTATCGTTGCCGGTGCTGTCGCTGAGCGAGGCCGACTCCTACCTTTCCTCGTCTGGACTTTCCTGTGGGCAACTCTGGTCTACAATCCCATCGCATGCTGGGCGTGGAATGTCAATGGCTGGGCATACAAATATGGCGTCATGGATTATGCCGGCGGCGGTCCTGTCGAAATTGGCTCTGGTCTCTCTGCTTTGGCCTACTCAATGGTCCTCGGAAAGCGACAGGAGAAGATGATGCTCAACTTCAGACCTCACAATGTGTCCTTCATTCTGCTTGGTACGGTTTTCCTGTGGTTTGGCTGGCTCGGATTCAACGGCGGTTCATCTTTCGGTGCAAATCTGAGAGCTGTAATGGCTTGCTGGAACTCCAACTTGACTGCCACTTTTGCCGCCGCCACCTGGGTTCTTCTTGATTTCAGACTGGCCCGAAAGTGGTCCATGGTTGGATGGTGTTCAGGCACCATTTCAGGATTGGTCGCAGCTACTCCAGCATCCGGTTATCTCGAGACCTGGGGAAGTGTGGCTCTCGGTATCACGACCGGTGTTGTTTGCAATTTTGCTACCAAGAGTAAGCTTGTCACCACCACTATTTCTACCGCAATGCTAACTTTTCTCCCCAGTCAAGTTTTGGATTAGAATCGACGATTCCATGGACGTGTTCGCTGAGCACGGTGTCGCCGGTATCGTTGGGTTAATTTTCAATGCACTTCTTGGTGTCGACTATATCGTCGGTCTTGATGGTGTCAATACCGGTGGCGAGAACCCCGAAACTGGCACTGCAATCGGTGGATGGCCTATCGGCAACTATCGCCAACTGTACATCCAGGTCGCTTATATTGTCGCCTGCTCCGCCTACGCATTCGTGGTCAGCGCAATTCTTGCCTATGCCGTCAACTTCATTCCTGGCCTTCACCTGAGAGCGTCTGAGGAAGCTGAACTTCTTGGTATGGATGATGATCAACTAGGTGAATTCGCCTACGATTATGTTGAGGTTCGACGTGATTACCTCGCCTGGACACCTTCAAGCAAAGATCAGAATGGAGTCGACCCAGATCTGCCTCAAGAACATCGCCATGGAATCGAGGAACATTCAAAACTGATCAAGAACAGCAACGATGCTAGCTCAAGTTCCAACAACGCCGAGGGCTCTCTTCCGGCCCAGGGAGACCGCCATGCAGTTGCTGTCGAGGACCAGGAAAAGGCTCAACATCTCACCGAACGTCCAGAGTAAATACAAATCGCCAAGTCTTCTATTCTCCGGACTACGACTCAGCAAACACGATTTGGGCACAAGGCTGCACTTTCTACGTGGCTAGGGTGTACTTTCCAACGACCTTGGATGTGATTGATACCCCTCAAGCCTAATATAGTGCATATGAGCTGGACTCTGGACTATTCTTTCAATGATTCCCTCTGCGCAAAGACTACTATTACTACTTTTCTTTAAATCGTGAGAAGCGTTGCTATATAGGTGCTGGGAGCGAAGACGGTATTTGTTATACATATATATGTGCTTTTAAAAGCTTTCTCTGAAGCGAAGGCTGTCCTATCAAATTTCATCTGATCCATCAAGACACGCGTTCCAGAATTCCCATCGTTCATAACTTGTCTCGCGCAGGCCTTTCCACATGTACTCGGGATACCAGCTCATTGACTGACACTGAGATGTCAACTGTGTTGAACTTCTAGCAGTTTCCTGATCAGGCATGTTGACTTGATTGCCAATAATGGAACCACATGCAACGAGAATGTCCACAGCTGAAAAGAAACGAGGTTTCCAAGTTCGATAGACAAGCCAAGGTTGGCACGGTCAACTAGTAGCTGCCATCAGGGGTTTCTTTCTTGAGCGAGCACCTGAAATGGTATCCACAAGCGGTACTCGGTTGTGAACTCGTCACCACCAAGGCTCCGACTTTTTGCTCGCGTGATAGACTAGGTCCTTTGTAAACCTGCAAAACTGAGCGTTCGGACTAGTGTCCCCTGTGGGCCTTCCCTAGTCCATTAAGTAGCCTTGCACATACTCGTAAACTATTTTGGTCAACTTCGGAGGTGTTTCACGGATCCGTAGTGGTGGTTTGCTGACCACTCAGGAGTCGTGCGTCGTGTATTGCCCAGGCTTATTCCGAAGGAGGTACCGAAAACGGATCTACATGTATGGACAAGGACGTTTGTAAACACACCCAATCTCATCGAGTACTTTCTTTTTTTTGAGCGGACCGTCCGCATTCGTTTTTTCAATCACACCCGCAACTCTCACGGTCGGTATTCCCATCTATGTATTCATAACCGATGATTGACACAAGCCTGAGTCAAGAATAAATCTCGTTCGGCTGTTCGTGTTACGAATTATCAATCATCCTGCCCGGACCCTACGGCTTAGAGTATCATGTGCTTTACTTTACTCTTCTTTTCCGAGCGGGTGATCGTAAATGGTTTGAACATGTGCAAAACGTGGCGTTTGCATACCCCAGCCTGCGCAGTCACTACTTGGTTCTCGACTGAATTTTTAGGGCCGGAAGGCGGTGCACACGAACTTACGAAGTACCTAATCCTCGTTCCAAACATGGCACATACGTGGCTGGCTTCGAGGCGTTTGGAGATAAGAGACGACAGCGTCGCGGTGGGTTTTCCACACGGCCGACATATCATAACCTTGGGTCAAGGGCAGCTTTCTTGTTCATCGCCCTTCGATAGTACGAGGCTGTCTAAAAGTCGCGTCGTATCCCTCAACAGTGGTATTATCTCTAGTCTACAATTGAATGCATACACCTTTCCTGCTCAACGGAAATCACTCCAGCCCACCCCACCCCACCCCACCCCAACGCAAAACAACATACCACACCACATCACTATTTTTCATGGGTAGAATACAAACAAGGCTGCGCCTATTTGCTGGCTGGGGGCCCGAACATTTCGTGAACAACGGACAAGCCGAATCCGGCAAGTCGAACGACATATGTGGTTAGCGCGGTTCGGGTGGCGCTTTTTTGAGGCCTTGTCATATTGGAGCCTCGTAGCCTTGCTCCTTTTCTTTGTGTCCTGACAAACAAACTGGCGTGGAACCCGGCATGACCTGTCTGTGGGAGGCTTGCCCGATACGTGACAGAATCTCGCTCACGAGTGCACCTTGGAAAAGTCGCCAGTCGTAGCTGTGAGGCTTGGTTCTCTTACGCTGTTCTTTATCACAATCACTCGAAAAGCCGTGCCACGCGGTCGATCGCCACTCTACGCAACTTCACGAAAGGCTTTGGATGCAATTTTGCTGGGTCATGGAATCTAGACAGTACTGCTCGATCTGGTAATGCTGACTGTTCCGCTCTGGCAGGGTCGGCACAGAAAATGCGAATCGCCAAGCACCATATCCGCACGTATAGATGATTGTTGGCTCATAGAAACCCTCTCTAGGAAAGCCCTGTGTCCTGAGTTGGGTAGTGTTGGAAGTCACAGATCCAAAAAGGCCTCCCTCTGTAACAGGCTGCCGATCGGTGGGCGGAGATGGAAGTCTGAGTCCCAGTTTTGCTAGAGGTTCGCAAATATCCGTATCCACACTTATAGAATTTTTGCTGGGTCATGAAATCGACATGACCATGCTCGATTAGGTAGCTTTGACTTTGAAATGACGTGGCTGCCTTTTCCATCGCTACTTCTCCGATCACAATTTGTAACGGGTCGCAACACGCAGGAGCACCTCGAATGATGTTCTGTTGAGCCATGAAAACTGACCCAAATCGCTCAGTTCGGACGAGCTCAGAGTCGAAGCTGGAACGAGGTGGCAGGATCTACGAGCACGCGCGAGGTTGCCGTTGATTGGCATCTCATAATCAAGATCCAGTGCTGGAAAGTCTCTGCTTGCTCCTGAAACTTGTCAATGTTTTCATCTTACTGTACATAGGACTATCGAGGCTCGAAATGAGTGTTTCTCTGAAAACACCCGCTGTGGTAAAGACCCATTAATGTACATTCTTGATGGTACTGTTGCCATGGTCGATCATATCAAGCACTGCTGATCTTTCGCTCAATATCTTGGTGGATGTTGATACATGTCAGTCTGGACTCTGACCATGTCCTGTGCCACCAGGACATAGATTATCGCTTGCTTTGATGTGTTCCACCTACAACGCTATGCCTGGCTTCGTTTTGGTCGACCTGGGTAATATCAACGGTGACCAATATTCCTTTAGTGCTTTCACTTTCGCCATCAATCTCGGTAGATGAAGAACCCGTATTCTCGCCTGCGTACCCACGTGCTCGATAACGATCATTAGTGGTAGCGCTGAATTCGTTGTGGCCCGGCTCAATGTCATCTTTTTGATCACTTTGTTTGGTGTTCGAACGCGCTGCCTGTGTAGTCCTCGATGCGAGGTGATAGGTATCTTCGGGAGCTATATAGCTACTATTCTCAGCCGAGTTGCGGATAAGGATGTACATTGTGGGAATCTGTGCAACAATGGATGCGAACAAGGCTTCGATCGAGCCCCATAGAGTTCGGCTCAGTTGGGACCGTGAATGAAGAAGCCCTTGGCTGATCCGGACGCAACTTACGGCGATGAGGAAGATGCCAATGCTGAACAAGGAGCATAGTTGTGCTTTCCTGGTTACTAGGTTAGCAACAGTACGTTGTAATTAAAATTCACTCACTTCTGCCAGTGAACCTTGACTGCAAAGAGGAGAGGAAAGGGAAAGACAAGAAGCATAACATCTGTTACTAAATTTCCGAATTCTGGTTGAGTTAGCATGAGGACTGGTGCTCGGAGAATGATATAGTACCGTATGTGATTAACCACACATTCCCATTGACACTATACGCCGATTAGCGCCATCGCTGGCAGTGCGGTCGCTCAATCTCACCATTTACCCGGGTCGGGAAATATCTGCCAGTATAGATGAAAGGGTTTGCATTCTAGAGCCACTGCCAGTTGGCTCGCGAGGTATGTTGCCGCGAACGTCGCCCAGAAAGAGTATTTGACGAGGCGTTCCTTGGGCATCTTGCTTATAAGACGGGCACAAAGATCAAGGACTACCATTTTCAGAGCCCATAACCTGATTTAGGTCAATCTTGTCAGACCATTAAGAAGGATAAGTTTGAGGACCAACACCTACATTGTACTGATCGTCAATCGATTGACAATATTGAGCTTGCTGTTCAGGACAATTCTATCAAACACTTCTGACGATAGATGACCTGGAGGCCGAAGGTCATTTTGCATAGCTGGCCATGCCCTTCCACGTCAGTAAACTATTTCAAGATCATAAAGACCTGAGAGGTACTTACTAGCGGTTGTTCCGTCTCTCATAATCATGTTATTCAGACTGGCTCGTAACGTAAGAGCAACGAAGGCCAACATAGTCCAGTAGTCGCCGTAGGTGAAGGTCTGACGACGATATTTCCGAAGAAGTAGGCGAGTGACACATAGGCTCATACCAATACCGTGACAGAACCATAACGCTTTTGTGTCGGTGGAGGACATTGTGACCACTGGTGTTTGACGTCAACGATGTATACCACTCTTGATATAAGTAAGACCAGGAAAGCCGGACGGGGATGCATGTGAAGATAAACCTAGTCCCCGGATTTCAGGTTGTTTAAGGGGGCGAGGGCGAAATGTCCCTCTCTAGAGAAGTGGACACGTCGCGTGGCATACTCGGTAGTCTAAACAGGTCCATAAGTCATGAACCAGGAGACTGATTCGTATTTTGTGCGGGTCTCTGACCCGCTCCAGAGGGGTTCGCTCCAGTTCGTTCGTAAGGAATCGGTGTTCCTCAGCTATGTTATTCAAGATTGGTTGGTGTTTCGACGCTGGACTGAAAGCCCAAGGGCCGATTGTCTGCGCGGGATTGAGAGTTCTCCATAAAATCGTAAGGTTGTGCTTAAGGTGCTGAGAAAGCGGAATTCAGAGTTCTGCGAAACTTAGCAGCCAGTGTTGGCTCGCATAGATGTCTCGAGTCGAAAGCTAGTTTCGCAAGCTACCCTGTGATTCTGAGCGCGATATCACCATGAGCAAGCAATGGTCCTGTGCGGAACATTCTAGGGGCAAGTCAAACCCGGGGCTAACGGGCTTGGTCGTTGCGGCTCGCCAGGCACGCGAGACGGAGCGCATGCTCGCCAATCAAGGTCGCTTGAGTTTAATCGGATTGCACGGGAGCCTACCGGAACTAACCGCGTTCTGGGAGTAGACATTTTCTTGTATCTGCTAAGATCAAGTAAATGTAACCCCAACCTGAGGTAAACAAGGCCATACAAGCATTTGCCCCTATATTCAATTAGTTGTGTCCGGGGAAACAATGCTTTGATTGGTAAAAATTGTGGCTGGGCTGCTCCAGGATAGAGACATGGAGTGATGCGAACTGGTATGTTTTTGTACCTACATACTCGAATGACTACTCTATGTCAGCCATTCCTCGTAGTGCACAGTCAATCAGCTCAAACTTTTAGCTGCAGTGATATCTGAGCTAGGCTGGCTAACTCGATGTATGCTGTGCTCTGACACTGCCTAGGTGGTTCCCAATCTCCTAGTCAAGAATCGGGTTCTCAAAATTAAAGTTTTGAGGAATGATTTCCACGCCCTTGTTAGGCCGAGTGGATGCTTTTGGTCCTCGTTGTTGTATGATACCCTTCGTAGGTAAATTCTTCGACAGACGGTTCGTGGGGAACTGGCTTCTCAACCGAAGAGCTAATGTATTCCGCATATTAATGACCGTCATATCTCGCCCCGTCTACGCTCAGAAGCATAATGCACCTCCATCAACTCTCAAATCTGCGCCACTGATGTATCGGCCAGCACGTTTGCTACTCAGCAGAATTACCGGGCCAGTGATTTCCTCCACATCACCCATACGCCCCATCGGACAACGACTTGCCCAGATGTCTCTGACAGGCTTTAAAGTGTCGCCAGCATTCAATACGGTATCCATGTAACCTGGTGAGAGGCAATTAACTCTGATTCCGTGAACCGCCCACTCTGCCGCGAGATTGTGGGTCAGATGAGCGACGCCTGCCTTGCTCACATTATAGGCAGCTTGAGGTTGCGGGTAGTTGGTTGAATGAGCTGAGATGGACGCCGTAAAAAGGATTGAACCACAAGTCTTGGAATCAATCATGTGCTTGGCAGCCGATTGAGCACACAGGAAGGATCCAGTGAGATTGATATCGACGACTTTACGGAACTGACCCGCAGATGCCGATATTGAGTGCACACAACCGACAATACCAGCAAAACAGCAGAGGATGTCAATGGAGCCCATAAGCGTCCTGGCATCGTTAAATGCCTTTTCAACCTCTGATTCCGAAGTCACATCAACATGAACGGCGTGTATATGAGCTTGCGGGAAAGATGTCCTCAACTCGGCTATGTTTGATGTCGAGTTGTCTATGGTGGCTTGTAGATCCATGAGGGTCAAAGATGACAGACCATGTTCAAGAAGAGCTTGAGCGGATGCCAGTGCCAGTGTGCCAGCTCCACCAGTAAGCACAGCATTGCCCTCAATTTGAAACCGCGCAGCTGCCCTTTCTGCTGCAGATTTTGACTCTACCCTGGGCAATGGAGCAGTAAGTGGATTTTTCGCTGTTGAGAGTGTCATGGTGGGAATGATACGAGAAGTCAGGGCGGCCCGTTCGTCCTGGGAAGCCATCGGGACAACTGGTACTGGTGTCGTTTCTACCATGATGGTTTTGGATCAAACGGTCGGACTAGGGTGTCCAGGAGTGGAGATTACTGTCAATAAAGCACACACATAAAAACAGTGCGTAATGATAAGTTACGACGGAGCGCCGAGCGAAACAAACCTGTCTAAGAACTCCTATCAAGCATCAACAAATTTTCGATGTCGATTGAGAGGCTTCATATATGTATGGAGTGGCGGACCGTCCACTTGGATGGCATTCAAAGACTGGCCTATCAACCGAGTATGGAGATCGGCTCTTGTAAAATCAAGTGGTGATAGATATTCTCAGCCGCTGTCTGACAAAACTGCAAGTGGGGCGATCAAGATCAAATTTGGCGGATAAAGCTTAAAGTCAGACATCTATTTACCCCTCGCCCATATATCGCACGTCAACTTTCTCGACGGCGAAATCCAGCCCGATCGCCGTTAATATTTTTTCTTTGCCCGCATTTCGTATTTCTACCCTACATTGAAACTCTGGACAATTCACTTCCGTAGCTTTCCTCGCAACAACAGGCCAGACAAATTTCCTATGGATTGATTTGCTCAGGACTCTCAACCACCATGTCTCTGCAACCCGCACCCACAGATCTCACCTCGCAGATCGACCTACTCATCTCGCTGCACCTATGGGCCTGGCCAGCGCTGACGCTCGCGATCCAGAACTCCTGGGGCGGGTCCGCTCAAGTCTCGCATGACAAGCGCGAGTGGTTCGCGGGAGCCATCTCCGAGCTCTTGACCTCTTCACCTCCGCAGCTCGCCGACGTGGCCGATCTCGAAGAAGTCCTGCTGCAGGTCATGGTCGACGAGTTCGAGGTCGTCGTCGACGACGGCAGTGCCGAAGACACGGCGCGCGAGATCTGGGCGGGCGTCACGAAACTCCATGCCGGAGATGCGTCCGAGTTGACTGCACTGTATGGGAAATGGCAGACGAAGCAGGCCAAGAACGGTGGCAAAGAGGTGGTCGAGGGCATTGTGAGGGGCGAGGATAAGGAGGCAGACGACACGGATTGGGATGATAGTGATGACGACGGCGACGAGTGGAATGGGTTCCCAGATAAACCCGCCACCAACAGAGACGTCGATATGGACATGGACGAGGCCCCGCCGTTGGTCGAAGCCTCTCAACCGAGGCAGAAAATCGAGCCTGAAATCGACGAGGACGGTTTCACCAAGGTCGTCAGCAAAAAAAAGAGATGAGCACTTTTGTTTGCATGCAACCAGGTCAAACAAATAAATGGTTGCACAAGCTGCTACATATGTCGGATCTCTGACGAAAAGATTGTCGAAGAACAGTGGCTAGGCTCCATCATTCACCATCAACATCCGCCTCTCCTCCAGCGGCCAGGAAACGGACCGACCAAAGTCACCCTGACTAACTACTCACCCTCCACCAAACCCAACTTCTCATTCTCCTGCTTACTACGCTGGCTCCACTCTGGCGCGACATCGATACCATCCTCCTCTTCCTGATCACCCTGCTCCTTGCTCTTATGGACGGAAGTCGTCTTATGTTCCGCGGGGGAGTAGACCGTGTACAAGATCAGGGGCGTGGGCCCGGTGTTGACGAACTGATGCTGCGTGCCCGCGGGCACGATGATGAGATCACCAGCCTTGACGTCCTGGTCCTTCCCGTTGATGGTGGCGCGACCGGTGCCTGACGTGAACGTGAGGATCTGATCGACTGTGTGTTTCTGTACGCAAATCAGACGCAAAGGAAGTCAGCAAGCTAGATTCATTCCACGCCCTGTAAACAAGCTTCCACCACCAGACTTCAATCTAGTCAATTGACGTACCTCGTCACCAATATCCCCGCCGACCGGTACGGTCATGAGCACCAGCTGGCTATACAGGCCTGTGAACAGCACGCGCCGGAAATCCGCGCTCTCGCTCGGCAGACTTGTCGTCATGTTGGGGAAGTACACCATCTCATGCTGCGGCGGGTTCTCCGACGGCTTTTGGAACGCCATCCTCGTGGATGAGAAGTGTTGTGTCGTGGCGAGTGTTGTTGGAGGATGGGGCAGTGTGCTTGCGAATCCCGTCTTCCTTGCTGCGATTACACGTTTGGACAGGTACGCGGCGCAGACTCGCGGTTGGTGCTGATGATGCTTAAGCAACCAAGGGGAAGACGAAAATGACGAGAATTGCAATCCGTGTCGCAGCTGTCGTTTGTTTACTAGACGCGCTGCTACAGACATATATGTACTTGCCGTGTGGTAAACTAGATAGAACAGGCGTAGGCTGGTCGAAACGGTGAGACTGACTACAAGGAAAAAATTCTAGCGGTACGAGGTTTTGATTGTCCCCAGAATTTGGATGGATGCAGTGTCCGACTGTATGCTTGAGTCGCTGCAGTGGACGCGCCCAATTATCTCATCATCGAGACGTCATCGCAGTCAACCTTGCAGAGGTGGTAGTGGTAGTTCTATCCGTGCATCGTGCAATGCAGTCATCGGTCGATCATTCGCGGAGAATTTTTGGTGCAAGATGTTTTAGCGGTGCTCTCTTCCTGTTCAATCAGTGCCATTAAATTCGAGCATTCACCACATTTGAGATAGAGAAACACCTAAATAGACACAAAGGATATTCTTGGATTTCGGTACTGCATCTCTGCTTTTTGCATACCTGAGAGGGTGTCTTGCCCTGAAGTAGCACCTAATGATATACATAGTCTCTTAGGACAGAAGCTAGCCAACCGTGCTCAGCAAGGTTCTAGCAGATCCCACGCATACTGGCGTGTAAGCATTGTCTTCTAGTTAAGTGCTCTGTCCATTCTTGAATGGACTACTGCTGCCGGCCAGGCTTTCCTTTTGGTGCCGTTACTGACACACATCACATCTGTCATACCAAGTCCGAGGCCCATTGTATAGTACTCTAACCCATGTCGTGATCGTTCATCAGATTTTTCTCGGATTCATTCCACCGCCCAATTGGTCCTGATCGAACCGTGAACGCCGAAAAATCAAACCATTCAACGACTGTTGCTATCGTTAATCAACCGAGAACTTCTGGCGGATTCGACTCCGGTTTCTGCATCGACAAAGAGCTCCCCAGCAGTTGTCGCAACACTCTCCCTATTATTTGAGGCCATGGAATTGTAGAATTCCTCACTCTGCCTGGAGGCGTTACTTGCCGTCTCAACCGCAGCTCCTTCATCCGGGATGGTATCAGGTCGGTCCTTGTTCTCGTCCCCATGCACAACCTTCCTTAACTTCATCCTTTCTTCGCTGGACATTGATTGCCAGTCTGATGACATTGTGATCACACTCGCTTTTTTGCCATGCAATATAAAACTTCCGGTGCCTCTCTTCAATTCTTCAGCTTCGTTGATGGAACGAACACTGTCCTCGGTTGGGGTAATACTGGAACCAGATTCTCGTCCTTTCTTATGCCGATGAATACTTGGTGAGTGGTGATGTACTCCATGTGGGAGGTGCCCTTCACGCAAGCTTCGATGCAGGCGCCTTACACTGCTGCCCTTGGAAACATCTGCTGGGGAAACTGCGGTGATTCTATCTCGATCAGACTCGCTGGTCTCAGGCCGCCTATCCTTAGGTACACTGCCATCAATACCAATCAATCCTGCTTCACGTAGGACTTGCTCCTCACTCTCATCGTTTGTTCTAGCGTGTCGACTGTTCTCGCGGCTATGATGAGAACTAATAATAGAAGCTTGGTGTGCCAAAGAGTGTGAGTCTTGAGTACTAGCACGTCTTGACAATAATTGTTCCCCAGAAGTTGAGGCACTGGCAAGAAGAGGAAGATCTAATGTGCCATCTAGACCTGGGCGGCCCTCTTCATTTTCTGAAGTCTTCAACTTCTCAAGCAGATTTGATGGTCGTGATGAGGTGGCGCTCACAGGCGATAATGTCAAATGACTGGTGTCAGTCACTGTTCTCCCCAGCGTTTGCCCAGTCTTCAGTGGCGTTGTTTTCTGGGGAGTAGATGTGGTCGAAGCTCGAGGAGCAGGGAAGGCAGTCACTCCTTCTTGCTCGAGATCTTTGCTCAAGATATCCCTGTGTGTTCGCGTCCGCCAAAGCTCGATTCTGGTCCACTTGAGCTTGGCTGACATCCGGCCTGCACCAAGAACAAGACTTTCGCGTGTCTTCTGTTGAATTGGAAGGAGGATCAGTAGATGTCGAGCATTTCGCAACAATTGGTCAAGCTCTTTCTGGGCAGCAGCGATCTTCTCATCAAAGTCACTGATTTTCTCGTTGATCAGCTGCCGTCGATAAAACATGATTTCCCATGCCATTTGAGGATCTTGCTTCTTCTCTTTGTGCGTATTGTCACCACTCTTTTGTGAGAAATCAGAATCTTTCCGAAGAAGATGTCTCGTGTCATAAGGAGTGCCCAAGGATCCACGCATCCGAACTCCAGCAGTTCGAAACGTTGCGGCATAATTCAACTTCCCTATCCAATCATTCATTTCCGCCTCGCTGTTGGCCAGAAAAACCTCTTCAAAGCCACCATGTTTGATGAAAACGAAAGCATTCTTGTGCTTCTTGTAGCTGGAATCTACAAGTGAAACAGCATCATCCATTGACATCAAGGCATCTGGGTCGAATGAGGGCAACGGTGGTTTGAACACCAACGGACTGGTCTTACCACTTGCTTTCATGTGATTGTCGTACTGCGCAATTAGTCTCTTCACCCAACTAATGTCTTTGAAGAAGTAGAGTTTGGAGTCAGTAAGTACGGCACCCCATTCCTGCCATGGTCGCTTCGCCTTCTTTTTCTTAGGATCTTTGCGCCATAATAATCCAACCTTTGCCACTTTGATACTCACAATACCTGCCTGAGCCTCTCCAGGATTACTAATTGTAGCTTGCGAGAGAAAGGCGTCAGGCCTAGACCGAGCAGAAACAATCTGCAGGACAGCTGAATTGGAGAAGGCTTTCGAGATCTCAGTCGTCTCCAGACTACCAGCAGTTCCGGTAGAACTATAGTTGTCCTCAGAATCCATAACATCCTTGAGGGGTGGGCGCAACACCTCTAATTTGTTGTCCAGAATAAGAGTATATGGATCGACAGGGCCACGAAGGCTTTCCACACTTCTCGTCTTGATAAGACCCTTCTTCAGTCTAGGTGCCGCTAGACGATGACTATTGATAGCGATTTCATCATCAAAGTGAATGAAGGGAGTATAGCAGATATTGTCGTAGAAGCATTCCAGAATGTCCGTCGAGATTTGCACTTGGCCCTGTTGTGTATTCTTGACATAGTCATGCTTTTGCATCTTGCGTTTGTTGTTTTTATTGTGGGCGTCAGAATGTAGCAGAAGAATGGAGAAAGCCACATAGGACGCCTCGTCAGTCGATGCAAAGATGCCAGGATTACATTCATAATAGCGATCCGCAAATCCTGCAAGTAACCGATCAATTTGTTGAGTTTCCTTGGGTAGCTCCACTTCCATCAACATCTTGCGAACAGCCATGTCAATAGAATCCCCAAAATAAGAGAATCCACGCATATACTTGCGTAGGCAAGTCTTGCAAAAGTCGTCCGCACTTTTGCAGAGGATGGTCGCCATGGAGCCTCTCGGAACCGCAGCCTCGAGCTTTTCCAGATAGCTGGCAGGGGTGTCACCATCCTCCCGTTTCGGATAAACTCGCTCAGGTTCTTGCTCTCGCGGGATTTGTAAAGAGTTTGCTTTCGATCCGGGAGTGCTAGTACCTGTGCCACCACCATAACGTGTTGGTGGAGCTGAGTTCTGTCGTAGCCGATGTGGCAGTGACAACAAGTCGCCAAAGCTCCGTCGGCCGCTTGTCGAAGTGGATGTTCTCGCAGAGGCTGTCTGGGGGACCGGATCAAGTAGCTTTTCAGCTGATCTCCCAAGAGAACTCATAGTGGATGACCTGCCTCTAGCACCAAGACGAGGTGGAATCAAGGTGACTGAGGGTGTTGATTGGCCCGAATGGGTTGACCAGGCTGTGTCCTGTCTTACGACGGTGGGTCCAGGGGAGCCGAATGGAGCATTTGTAAGAGCAGTGACAGACTGTGTAGGAGAGGGTTCGGCAGAGTCCCGTCTGCTGGGCTCAGCATCAAATCTAATGGTGGCTCCTGACTTCCTACTCGGAGACATAGACTTTCTGCCAAAGCCTCGTTCTTGAGGAGTATGTGAAGTACTAGTCCGCCCCGACGCAGGGTGAGGGAATTTTTCAGGCAAGGGAAATAGTGGGCCTTTGTCCTTCTTCCGTCTCTTTAACTTGAAAAATGTAGTTGTAGTGGAAATGGTATGGGTGGTGGTGGTTTTAGCATAGACATGATGTTCACCAGAGCTATCATCGGAGCGGGAAGAATCAGACAAACGCGTGACCGGAATTGCTAGAGATGAAGAGGACTCATCACCGTAGGCTGGGGGCGACAATACGCCGTTGACTGGCTTTGTTCGTGGTAATCGTTCAAAGGAAGTTCTTTCCTGCAAAATCATCTTGGCCAAGGTAGACCCATTGCCGCGAGATGTTCGACCGGCGTGCTCCTCTGCATGAGACTCGGCCGCATCCTCTCTTATCATGCTGCTCTTTCTAAACGGACTAGCTGTACGGGCAAAAAGGTTTCGTTTTACATTTTTCGAGACAGCTTCGTCCATGTCATTTGAAGTAGGCGCAGTGGTTATGATTTTCGGGGCTATGAAAGTTAGCATGAGGATGATTGTGCGTCCAGAGAAGTTGCTTACGGGCGGCATTGTTATTATTTGAAGCAACTGATTCCTGATTTCTAAACCTGGTCGAGAGCTGTGGATCTGAAGCATGTCTGAAACCGAGAATGGAAAATCTTTGGGGTCTCGGTAGCGGAAGACTCAAAGGGTCCTCGGTTGTAGGTGGCAGGCTTTCTTTCTGCTGGGGGTCTTGAGACGGTTGGACGTCGATCACAGGCTCAGGCTCAACATGATCTGTATTGTGAGAAACAGATTGCCTAGTGGCGGGTACAGGATGTCGTTCGGAGGACAGATCTTCAGGCTCGTCGGAGAGAAAGGGTGCAAATGGGCTGTCGTTCGAATAAGACAAGCCTAGGCTCAGCCTTTTCATGGAAGATTGGCGAGCATGGTTCGACGAGACCGAGTGGCTACTGGTAGGACTTCTCGGAGACGGATCGAGGATGGTGCTGTGCCTGCGTTGACGGATTTCCTCGGCGGGGTTGGATAGAAAGGCTTTCAAGGCCATTGTGCAATGACTGGGAGATGTCTTGGCTAGATCATCGCGAAAGTCAGGGTGATTTGTCAGGGCGACAAGTCTTCCACGGTAGGGAAAGAAGGTGATGGATGGACAGTCGAATGTCTCACTCAGCAGAACCGGCTGCGACAAGTTGACATTACAGACGCATAGATAAGAGCGCAGGATGAGGTTGCAAAGCGAGTGCAGCAATCAAGGATAGGGTAGAGCAGTAAGATCAAGAAGAATGATGCGCAAGGCTGTTCAACAAGCCGACAGAAGGGGATCAATATGCATAGGACGAGGTTGAATGTCATTCAGTGGACAAAGATGACCTGGACGGAGTCGTTCCAAGTGCAGTTGAATGCACAAGTGGGAAGTAACTTAGCCTTAGGAACGTACGGAGTAGTCTGCCAGTGCCGGAACTTGGTGGCAGGAAAAAGAGCGAACCAGAGCAGGCATGAGCAAGGTCCGGTCCAAGCAAAACGGGAGGGCGGGTTTCGCGGGCTTGTTTGCGGCTGTTTAGGCTAGCTTCTAAGGGGCCTTAAGAGCCCGAGGCCCCTAGCCAGGGCCCTCCCTAGGCGCGGACCTGCCACGTGCCTGCCAAGCCTAAGCACTTCTCGAAAAGACGGAGTTATGGACTTCTTCAACTGGATATCCGGTTCCATGCATGTCCGCATTCTGGTCAGCTCGTCGTCCACCTACATGTACCTTGACCAATCTGGCCATGAAAGATCCAGATTTAATCGCGGCATACTCCACTCGAACTTGGCAATGATGCCACAATCTTCCACAACTTGAAAAAGGCCTTTAGATTGTTGGAGCGTGGAGCATGGAGCATGTCTGCAGGTCATGAAAATTCATATTCTCCGTTTGTCGAGAGTTGCTTTATGCAATCACATTATACATGGCACTTGGCCTTAAAGTCTAATTAATATAAATGCAATATCAAATCACGCTCCCAGCATAAGTCACTCCCGCTATGCAATGCACAATCGCTCTCACAAGGTCCCATAATTCTCCTGAGGTGGAAAATACCCGCTATGTCGTTGTTGGTACCTCGCTTGTTGATAAGAAGGTGATGCCGTATTTTGGGTTGGCCATTGTTGGTATGGCTGGTTTGTCATGCCGGAATTCATACCCCAGACTGATGTAGAGGCATTCATGAATTGAGAAGTTGGTCGGGTGTCTGCCATTGGGCTGTAAACAGGAGATTGTTGATATCCATAGGTACGATCAGCTGCTTGCCGTTGCGCAATTGCTTCCTGCACCATATGACCGGCGAGGCCTTCTTTGATATTCCTCCTTTCCTGCTCACGCGCCTCAATAGCGCCAATCAGACCGATCGAAGGATCCGGCGTTCGACTCCTCTCACCCACATTGATCAGAGGACCCCCTGTCATTCGAGCAACGTGTTCTTGTTCTCGTGCAGAGAGGTGGTGAGAGTAGTCGATGAGAAGGGAGTTTCTTGAGCTGGGCCGAGCACCAGGGTCTTTACGTTTCTGTAGCTTGTTTGGAGACTGCTCAACTTTGCTGCTTGAGACACTTCGATGAGGCACATATCCACCAGGCATTCTTGCAGTGGCCGCGCGTTGCTGAACAAATTCTTCCGCCGTCAGTCCTCCTCCTGGACTTTGCCGGCCTATCGTTGCACCTGCATGCCATGCCTGGCTGTTGGAGCGACTGTGATGTGTCGAGGGGCTGGATCGGTCAACGTACGACGATCTTTTTTCGTCTGTCGGAGTCCAGCGATCACGCGGGGATTTATTCAGTGGAGTTGTCGGTGCTGTTTGAGGCTGGTCCACTGGCGAATGCCCTCCCAGACCACCAGAAGTTGGGGGGCGGCTATGACCTGGGGTCAGCATTGGAGTAAATGTTGTCCCAAAATCAACATTTGGTATATCCACTTTGGTTGACTCCGCAACATTGGCAGTACCCAGGTTGGGATCTCCGACAGTCTTTAGTACCCCTGTCCGTCTTCGCTCGGGTAAGGGTCTAGAGACAATATCTTCAGGCGGACTGTCGTAATTGGGAGATCCGGCAGACGAGACCGAGTATCGAGACATGCTGTCTGGAGACTCAGATCGGATTGGTAATGACAGAAAAGGATTTGAACTTGGGACAGGTTTTCGAGTAATTGGTTTCCGCATAATCATGTTTTCGTTGGGCATTGGAGAGATGTGGTTAGGTCTGACATCAGCGGGAATCTGAGGGTTTCCAAGGTCTGCTACTAGTACAGCGGTCGCTTGAGAGGCAGGTTGATTAGCAGATATTTCTTCGTCGTTGGGGTTTTGATAAATTACCCCTCGTGGCCCCTGATCACTCCCGGGGAGTGCTTGGCTGCTGCCATTATTCCAAGCCACCATTGCTGCGTGTCCCGCTGCTTGACCCACTCCCCCACTATTCTGGCTCGCATTCGCTAACTTGTTCACGTCAACCATCTGAGACAAAGTTCCATTTGACATTCGACTTTTCTCTCGCCTCAGATCCGGTCTTGCATCAGGTCGTCTCTGCGGTATTTCTCCTGCTTGATGCTGGAACGTTGGGGGTACCACCACCGGTGCCGGAGGAGTGGATTCTCCCACTTCCCGAACTATATCCTCTGGATATGTCTGTTGGCCCTGGATGTCACTGTCTGAACTGTACCGGCTGTCAAATGGATCTGCTTCATTGGGATATCCATTGGCATTGAACGGATTTCTGTGACCTGGAGGTGGAGGAGGTTGGATGGAATCCATGTCAGTGTATTCAGAAGAAAGATGAGATGAATTGTAGTTTTCCTTGTTTTGTTGTCCCTTTGTGGGAGAAGGATATGCGACGGATTCAGATACAGACCTAGTGTGATGATTTTGCGCAGGGGCAAGATGGGACGAGTTGGGAGGTGCTGTAGTGGTCTTTCTTGGCGATGCAAAGACAGCATCGGTGGATTGATTGTGTTGATGTCGAGATGTTGATCTAGACTGAACAGGAGAAGCCTCGTCATACTGGATGCCACGTCGGGTCTCTGACAGCGTCCGAGCTTGCCTGACATTTTCCAAATTGGCGCTGGATCTGCTTTGAGCAGCCATGCCAATTCTTTTCGAGGTCATTTCTTTTAGATGCTTCCGCCATTCGCGTTCGTTCCAATTGACACTCCCTTGTGTGTGTATGAGTGAAGCAACATCGATAATATCGAGGTAACCATATCGGCGTTCCTTAGGCATTGCAAACATAAGCCCACGAGTATCCCAAGTATCAGCGATAAGGCGTTGAGGACGGCCATAAAGGTGGAAAATGTCATAGACAGGGAAGAGCCATCGGAGCATCATCTCGAATCCCGAGACCGCGGGATGTAGCTCAGGCATGACGAATACAAATCCCTCGGTCTTTGATTCTGGTTTGGAGTGGATGGTGATACGGCCTTCAACTTTGACAAGAGTTGACTGGTCAATCAATGGCTTGGATTGAGGGTAAATGGCATATGCAGAATATGCGTCTGTAATGGTTGCGATTGGGGTGACTTTCTTGGTTTTCTTGGAGTCGTAAAACTTGATACATCCTTTCGGTAGGGACGGTTTGTCATATGCGGACTTTTTCTTCAAAGATTTGTTTGACTTTTGCCATTCTTTCTCATCCGGGGGTTCAATCACACACCAGCACCGTCTCCAAGGAGTTCCAGCACCAAATCGTACCCTTGCCCAGTCTTCTGTTCGAAATTTTGATCTTTCCATGATGGTACGAATGTTATTTAGATGCTTTCCTTTGCCAGCGATCAGGGATCCGGTATAGAGTTCGTGCAATGAGGAGTGCTCGAACATAGCCAGTCGGATGCCCGCGGTCCATTGTGTGAGCGAATGTAAAGAATTGAAGTGTAGAAGGTATCGATTTTTGCCCGCGGTAGACACTGACAGCACGTTTTGTAGTGGTTGGACGTTGGGATTGCGCGTTGGGAGCGTCTCGATCATCTTGATAGACGCATCGGCAAGGTTGATGAAGGTTGGCGCAACCTCGCCATCCTGACCCGCTGCATCGAGGGCTGCAGCATCCCACAAGGAAAGCACGGTTCCAACCAGTTGAGCAAAGCACTCTGTCCAGTTCCGATCGGCATTGGGTCTTCCTTCTGATCAAACGGTTAGCTCGCCTCACAGACAGACAACAGAGGACACTCACGAGTGTCAAGATCGTTCAACTTGAGGAAATAGCCTAGCTGATTGTTAGCAATTACCGATGGATCAGTAAGATGAATATCGGTCGGCACCTTCTTGATATAGTTTGTTGCCGTGGCTCGACAGAAAACTGTGATCTCGTCAGCGCTAGGGTACCAACCTGGCAGTACATAAGCTGGGGGCTTGCCTGAACACAGGTACCAATTCTTCGACATGATTGTCCCTCCCAACTTCCACCGCAGGGGATACGTAGATCATGGACGTTGGGCGTTGGGAATTTCGCTCGCTTCGAGGGTTGGATCTGGGTGGATCTGCCGAAGAGACCTGCAGGTGGGATGGCGTATCCTTGTTCAAGATTTGAGATTGAGAAGGAGTACCGAAGGAAGGTTGGGTTGGAGAGGAGCTTGAGGCATTGGAACTGCCAAATGCAGAGGCTTTGAACGACTGTGACAACTTGCGAAGCCGCCCGGAGCCCATGATGATGATGATGATGTTGTTGTTGTTGATTTGCACTTGCACCTGCAACTGCGCATGCGCCTACCCAATTGTTCGGTTCTAGGCTCTGCCAGGGAATGAGCGAAAGGCGAACCGTGCAGCCTGAGCACCACGTTGGGTCACTTGTGTGCGACCGTACAACGAATATTGCCAAAAAAGTCTTTTCTTGCTGCTACAACATCTGCACTTTCAACGGAAGGGAAGGGGAAAACCAACTGGAGACGACATTATTGGAACTTGGAAGACTACAAGTACGACATCGGGCTCGGAGCGTGGCGCAGTACAGTCGGCAGACGCAGACGCACTCCTTGACTGCAGGTGACTGTGCACCAAATCTTGGGAAATTGAAAAAGCACTGGCGGGGACAAATCATTATGGTGACGACAATGGCCAAGGAAAAACAAACGACGATGGATCCTAAAGCCGACCTCGTGTGCCTTGTTAGTCCCGTCCGTTAGTGTCACAAAATCACCCGTTTGTTCTCTCACAGGTGCAGCTGCCAGTGGGTGCAACGGAGTTCGGAATATGGAGCCTTAGGACTATTGCAAATCCACTGGGCACAGACAGGAATTGCCGGGTAGATGCGTACTCGTCTCGCACCATGACTGAAACAGGCAAGGGACAAGGAACCTTGAGCTGCTTGATGACTCTATCGAGCAACTTGAACAGAGTGAATCAGGATCGATCTGGGTGAACATGACCAGACGGTGGCCCAGACAAAGTCCGAATGGTTGTAATTGAACTAACTTCTGGGGACAAGCTTCTATGGTGTGCATGGAAGCTCCCAGGTGTGCTAGGATCAACTGGAAGCGAGCCGCCCATGCCATCATTGGGATTTCCCCCGGGCCCAAACAGTAACCAACTCAGACTCTCGAAAGTAGTCTCCCAACCACCTCTCGACTTTGCCCATTGACGTGTTGAGAACTTGAGATGGGTACGAGGTACGGATACCAAGCACTAGTATATGATCGAGATATCAAAATGTTTACTGGCTGTTTACTGGCTTTCATTATTGCACACCCAAACCTCACGCGAATTTCCAGATCAAGCCACTGACCTCAAGGTCTTTCGGTAGAGATGCCGACTGCCGATCTCGGGCATGGCCATGTCAATTATCCATATATATTGGAGGTACCGTCATTTTTGGGCTTGCGTGGCCTAGGCTAACTCACCTTCTATCCACAGTCACGGGGACACCCAAGGGCCGTCCTCGTACACTAACTGGTTCGAGTGTCTGTGGTACCCATGTCCTACCTAGCTGGGGAAGTATCTGTAGCTTATCCGTACCTAGGTAGGTAAATACTTACTTCGTGCCTAGTACCGAGTATCTTGAACAGATTCGGGTGGCCTACGGATCAAGTGATCCAAACTTCAACCCTTATTAGAAGCACCTAGGTCGGGAATCAATACTAGCGACCCCAATTAAAGATTCAGCACTTCGCACCTGCAGCCACGGTCGCAGTGCAGGGTAGTGCTCCAGCTGAACCGTTTGGCCAAGTGGCAGTCTCAGTGAGACATGCATGGGAAACTTTCCATGGCCGGCTCCACCAGACACCTTTTTCCATATCCATTCATAAGTACTCCGTATGTGGGCGGAAGCCTTGTTGATAGAGTAAGACTATCCGTACTAAATGCGAGCCTGACCAATTTCTGCGCATGATTGAAGTTGCTTGCATATTGAGCCGATCTCAGGAAACCAAGGTACCACCTACCTGTCGAGCGGATTCTTGCAATGACGTAGAAGCAACTAGTTGTTGATATGCGATGATATAGTCATGAGGAGTCTACAAGATCAGAAACGGAACCAATGCTTGTTTATAGTGTATGTGTCGGTACACCTTTCTTCATTGATTGCAGGTACATACTAGTAGTTACTGTGTACCTCTTGTGATTGAAAGGCCCAACACTGCAGGTCACAATGAACCAAGTCGTGTTTGACACATTTGCCAGAATGTGAATTCTCACTTTTGGATGTTATGGTACAATTCTCCTGACCGAATCCGCCAACCCCCCAGAATGCCCCCAGTCATAAACTCATTCGTCATGATACAATGCCTGCCTGTTCATACCTTGGAAAAAGGAACAGTCGAATCCTCAATTATGATACACAGCGTCCTAAGCTGAAGTCTCATTGTTGAATTCGCGCAGTGCCAGAATTCCAATGTGATTCTCTGCTTCGGCATCTGTCACAGTCAAGTTGTGCTCGCCATCTTCGGGGACTGCGACGTCTATCTCCTCACCACCACCGACGTCACTGGTGTCGTCTAACACTTGCGCAACAGAAGCCTGCAACTGAGGATCGATCATGGGATTCATGGCAACCTGGGGATGCGGCTGCTGAGGATGATGCAATATGAAGGGCATATTGGCTCCGCCCATTCCAGTGCTCATGTCTGGCGCTTGGACGAAGTTGTACTCTGGATGTGCGGTACTTGGAGCGTTCGTACTGTAGTAGGCGTGCTGCGGTGGTTGAGGAGTGTATGTCATTTCGGCGGCTGTGGACAAGACCGCGAGCGAGTCTGCCGCTGCTGCTGCTGCGACTTGCTGGGCCTGAGTTGCCACGGGGCTGGCCTCACGAGTCGAAGGAGTGGATGTTGTAGTTTCGAAGCCAGAATTGACTGGTAGCCAGGTCACTGCGAGTAGTTAGCTTTGATCATTGGGTTCTTCATCCTTGCACTCACAGTCGGGAATGGGCAAGAATGCGCGGATTTGTTCTTGGTTAAACTTCGCAGCATCCTTCTCCTTATTGAAAAATTTGGGTAGGCTCACTCGGTCGCTCTCATCGGCACCCGCATTCTGTTGGTGACGCCAGGCGACACCTGGGAGAGAGAGTCAATTTCAATCACCGCGACTTTCAGATCTGAGTTATCGGGTTCTTGCTCACCTTCAGATGGGACACATTCACGGTTCGACTTGGTGCACGGTGTGCAAATGGGGCGCACCTGTGTGCGAGAAAGGTCAGCAAAAGATCGACCAAAACACTCGAGCTCAAACAACCACAACAACTCACCTCATCACACTTCAGCTTCCGCTTGCGACAAGTTTGGCATCCTGTCCGACTTCTGGTTTGCTGGCGAGCAGGGTCCGCAGTTTTGGGTGGCATGTTTGCCGAGTGCTTTGTTCTCTTGCAGTGTGAGTGGGTGTGGCATTTTTGCAAGTTGAAGAGGAAAGTCTGACGAACTCAAGTGAGCCAGTCGGATCGTCGGACCGGGCTCCTAGCCAAACAGCCGACATTTATCCGACTGCCTCACATGGCACGTGACGTGGGTACTGCACGTATATATATCTTGGTGAAGAAGATTCCAGTGAGACTACGATGCGGGGAAATGGGCAGTAAGGTTGTGAAGTCTCGGCGAACATGAACTCAAGTGAAGTCGAGTGGGTCAAGGGAGGAAATGTAGTGAATTGCTAAGACTCATGAATCATCCAGGAATTTACTTTGAATGTAACTGAGGAATGCTCATTGATTGGCCATCCATGGGTCCTGAGATTGTTGTGCACTGGCATTCAAAGCTTTCAATCAGTTTCACTGAAGCCTGTCCATTATTATGATACAATAACATTATTTCGTAGAGAGCCCCTCAACATCTGTTACTTCTTGGGCTTTTTCTTTGGTGGCTCCTGTTCATCCTCACTAGCAGCTCCAGCATCATCCATTTCCGCATCACTGCCACTGCTCTCATGTGCAGAGTCATACTCTTCTGCGACATCACTGTCAGAATCCGCCTGGAAGTCTTCATCTGGAGACTCATCATCCTCGTCCGCCGACCCTCGGTTAGCGCCACCTGGCTGTTCATCATCATCAGAGGAGGCAAGGTCCTGATCAACCAGGGCAGCCTTCAATAGAGTAGATGAATCGTCAAGCATTTCATTCTTAAATCGAATGCCTTTCGCCTGTGAATCAGTGTTAGTAAACATAACTTAGTATGGATAATATCGCCTACCTGGAAAAATGCTTCAAGTGGTTGTTGCTCTTCCCGGTTGATGTTACTGAATTGATGCTCCCCTTGACCACCTTTGAGAGTCATTGTAATATCAAACGTCCTACTAGCTGCAAGAGCCCCGCCCACTCGAGACATCGTAATGCTCTGTATCGATTCAATCTGAACATATGTCGACGGTTTGGGTACAAACATGAAGCTCTTATCTAAGCAAAAGAGGAGACCCTCATTTGCTTTGATAGAGCACTTAACTCCATTCATGTTGTGGTGGCTGACAAAATCTTTGCTAGGCATGATGATCTTCTTGCCCGAGAGACCCTTGAAGACTTTGGCGATAACATGATGGATAGGTGCCTCATAATGTGCGTCCAGCTTGTCCTTGTACTGGGTCTCTAGAAGCTCTTCAGTCATGTTCAGATCCAGGTTGACTTCATCGTCGAGCTTGAGTTGCATGACAATAAATGGATACCTCGTCTGACCCTGTCGAAGTGGAGGGTCAAGTCCGAGTGTGATAAGTGTGTGAACTTCATCGTTCTTTGGTAGGATGAAAAACTTCTTGATGGCTTGATACTGAATCTTGTAATCATATGTCTTGCCACGTAGACGGAACGAGTTTTCATACATATCAATATCGAATCGGCCTCTGTCAATGGGTTAGCACGTCTTCTCTCAAATCGACGTTCTGCGTACCTGGGGGTGAGATGCAGTATGTCTTGGAAAGTGGCAAAGGTAGCACCAGCAACCTCTCCAATGTCGGCCTTGTCCATCAAGGTCTCGTAGAATAGATTGGCGGCATTCTGCTCCTCATCTTCCTGTTCTTCGGCGCCGCTGCCATCATCTCCATTGACGTCTTTCTTCGATACCGTGCCTGGAATGTAGAAACGCATCTCGACAAGTTCATCTCTGCCTGCTGCGGCCTTTCGACCTCGATTCTTAGTACCTCCAGCTTTGTTGCCATTGGCGCCATTTTGTGTTGGGTCGGTCCCAAGGTTAAATTCAACGGCGATTTCATTCTTGCCGGCCAAGTTGGTGTTGGCGATTTCCGAGTACGGGATCTCGAAAGCTGGCCGATTTTGGACACTGAAAGCCAGTTCGGCCCGACCAAACTCTGCCTTGCCCCAGTTCCAACCTCGCAAAGCATGTTCTCTGTTCTCCAGATTGATTCCATACCAGATCTTGAAAGCTTTGGATGCTCGGTCAAAGTCTTCCTGGTCGAAACCGTCCAGCTGGATGACCGCCGCTTCGCGTGTGATAATCTTGATTTCATAGCCTTTCGATGCTCGACTCCATTGAGCAGCAGCTATCTGGTTGTTGTCCAATGTGAAGGGATCGCTACCGCCACTGGGCTTCCAACCAAGTCCACTTTCTGCTAATCTGCACCGGCCAGACTGTTTCGATAAATCGAGGTGAATGTTTTCAAAGGTCTCCCTACAAATCGATGGTCAGCAAGAGGAGGAACAACGAGGAATGGCCACTAACATGGTGTATGAGGCCTTGTCGCAGTGCTTGCGACGGGCGTAAGTCGGTGTGCGGCCGTGAGGATTATGGTTTTAATGACAAAGAGAGAGTCAAGAGACGTGGAAGCGGAGCGCGCGAGGAGGAAGTGATAAGTAAGTTCAAATCGAGCAAATGAAGTCGGCAGAGAGTTGTGTCCTTGCAGAAGGAGTTTGGAGCGATCCAGAAAGTCAGGCAGTATCCGCACCCGACATGCACTTCAAGTTCAGGTTACGCGAACTTTTTGGTGTCGCGCTCGTGAATGTCTTGGCAATTAAAGTGGATTTACTTGAATCAGTCCTCAAGTCACGTGTTCCACCCCACGACGTTGCTGCTTTAATCGCTGATCAACTTGACTTGGAGCTCACCACTGCCTCAGCAAAGCCTTGGGATGAATCATTGACTAAAAGGTACTGAGTAAGAGACTGACACTTGTGCATGGAGATACTAGTGTCTTGATGAGCCCTCTCTGAGTGCCCCCCGGACTCCCCTCTATCCTCTGCTAGAAACACAACAAAGGTAGTCCAACTGAAGTCAAATTGAATAATCAATAGTCTTTATTATATGCCAAATACACTAGCCGACCTCTTCGGACGCAGTTTAGTTATGCCTGCGATTTAGTTGCTGATCATCGCAGTATGGTGAGATTCAACAGGATTCTCTGATGTCTCTGCGATTCTGTAGTCTCGTAAGCCTCTGCAAGGCTGCGGACATCGAGCAGCGTGTATCCAATTCAGTCCACTACTGTTGGACCTGTAGGTGGATGAGGCATTGGTCAAACCCTGCGTATTCCAGTAAAACCCTCGACACACAACCAAATCTCACCCAGTGGCAAGGAGTTGACTAGGAACTCTCTTTAGGATGTCAATTGACGCGTATTTATGTGAGGATTAGACCTTAGGGAAAGGCAGTGCTTCTAGGAATGCAACAGCATCATATGGCCTATCATATGCGCTGCTCACTAATAGTGGACGGTGTATCTGAACCAAATGACCGATCCAGCGATATTGCTAAGATAGCGTCTGTTGGTCGTATAGTACTTCGGCGACATGATGTGTCATTGATAAAGGGCTGCATACAACCTTGCTATCTGCCAATGTAGCCTTGTTCCAGGACGTCCCTGTAAATGGAACCCAGTCACCTAGAGACTTTATCTCTGACGTTTAGCCATTTTCGACACCTAAGTATGGTCATCCAACATGCTGAGCACGGTCGACATGCATATTCCGGCTGCGTCAAGTTTAGTCAGCATCCTGTATATTTCGACATTAATGAGGCCATCAACAAGCCAATGGCATTCACCCATACGAGTCATGACTATCTCAGACTTAGATTCGTGAAGTTGTTCGTTTTGGGCCTTAAAGCCTCGTCGGCGCTCGTTGCTTCAGCTCTGACAAACGGCAAAGCGATCTCGCAGGATTTTTTCAGTTTAATAATTTGCTATATAGGCCAAATCGTGGGCGAGTGGTGGAAGGAATGATAACACACTGAAATAGTACTGGCAAGGTGTTTCTAGGGCGAGAGAGTAGAGACTTCGTGTTATTGGTGGAGTTCAATGGACGCAAACACCCTCTATGAAGCACTTGTGCCGGCCTGGGGTATGGGATTGATATGGGGAAGACCATACCCTGATGCCGCCTGGAAGTCTCTGGAATCCATCTATGATGCTGGCTGTTCGCTCTCCTTAACTGAATGCCCAGAATTGTCCAGGCCTTCATCATCACGATGCACGCCGATTCATCCGGCGGGGTTGAAGACAAATGCAAAATAGCGATTATAACAGTTTAACCTTTTTTTGTTAAAGAGCGACACCTTACGCGATCTGTGAGTAAACGGATAAAAGCCAGCACCACCTTAGTTTGAGTGTGAAAGATTCAAATTATTGTCTTACGCTAAATCTATTCTTAACGCTTCAATTCAATTCATATTAGAAATAGTCCCTGGCACGCAGGAATGTACAAATATCAGTACATGCTTCTTTCAAAGTCATCTTTGCTGTCCACCCAAGCTCCTTTGATACACGATCAGTCCGAGCCACACAAATTCCGACATCACCAGGTCGCCTTCCACTGGTAATAATGGGGATGAGTTTTTGAGAAACTTCCTCCATCGCCCGGACGACTTGCTTGACAGAGTGCCCCTGCCCTGTTCCTATATTGTAGGTCCGAAAATTCCTGGTCGTGGTCATGCTTTGCAAGAAAGCTAAAGACTTGATATGAGCCTGCGCGAGGTCGGTCACATGGATGAAATCGCGAATCGCAGTTCCATCTGGGGTCTGCCAGTCATCTCCGAAGACTGAGAGACTAGGGATATCACCAATCAGCACTCTGGTTACGGCAGGAACAAGATTTGATGGTATGCCTTTGGGTTCTTCCCCCAATAGACCGGACTTATCACAGCCGACAGGATTGAAATAACGCAAGGCAGCAATTCTCCATGTCTCATCTGAATTCGCGAGATCTGAGAGAATAGCCTCGCCAAAGAATTTTGTTCGCCCATAGGGATTCGTCAACCCCGTACAGCCTTGAGAAGCTACCGACGCAGTTCCTGTTTGGTCATGGTAGATTTCAGGCTCATGGACACAATCTTCTTCTCGCACTGGAATCCCACGGTCCGCGATAGTCCCGTAAACAGTTGCGGAGGAGGAGAAGACAAATTTTTTGATGTTATAGTCATGCAACACACTCAAGAAATCGACAAGCCCGTTGATATTGTTTCGGTAGTACTCCAAGGGATACTTAATGCTATCCGAGACAGACTTGAACGCCGCAAAGTGAATAACGCCCGTGATTTGTGAACGTAACGCCTGCCCATGTTTGGTTGGAAGGGAGTATACATCTAATACCTCCCGCAAAGCAAGGGAGTTTTGGTAGTCGAAGTGATGAAAGTGGACCTTGGGACAGTCGTCTAGTCTTCCACCATAGACTAGGTGAGAAATTTGAATGAGTCTGTCCAGGACTGATTGATAAGAATTGCTAAGATTGTCAATGATAACGATGTTGTAACCAGATTTTAGAAGTTCGATTGATGTATGGCTCCCAATGAACCCCAGACCGCCAGTTACAAGGACATATCTATCCTCTGGTTGATTGCCGTTGTGTTGATTCAGGTCAAAGAATGCTTGGGTTTCAGGTGTCGCTGGTGACTCGATGTTTTCTGAGGAATCATTACTAAAGATAGATCGAGGAGAAGACGCCATAGATGGATATACTGAGCAATGAAAGAGGTCTTGAAGAGGCTCTGGACTCTGGCGAAGAAGTGTAAGGCAGTATGAATGCTATGATGGTATGGAATCTACCGGGTATGGACTCAATATTGGTAGTTCCAACAAATAAATGAATGACTGAGGTGATTTCATATGTGCCGACTCAATAAGGTGAAAGTCCCTTCAAAGGCCTTCTGGTCAATAATGGGACACAATTCGCACACGCCGGCAGCCTCACACCAGTCGAGTCAAGCTCGAACAACATTGGACAAAATGTGACGAAAATTTGCTTGAACTCGCGCATGCCTCCCCACTACAAAAACAGCCCGAATACAAAGGCTTGCGAGCTTCAGCTTCATTCGACTCTGATTCTTCGCTACGGAATAGAACTGTGGATCCGGCCGAGCCCCGCTTCATTCAAGCCATGCCAAGTCCTCGAGGTGTACAGCAATCTATTCTTGCTTCTATAACCTGAGTTTCGTTCCAGTGTTTACTTTTACCACGCATCACCACCGCTCTCCCGTTGAAAACTTTAGTCTTGGAGTGTTGCCGGTTTCTCAAAGTCCAATTTAACAACATATGTTCGGTACGAAAAATGGGCATCACTGTTTTTGTACCACTTTACATCTATCCTCTTGACGAGTCATCGTGGCTCCCCCTCCTCACGGTGTAAGTCTTGATACCGTCAAAGTCTCCGTTCCCAGCTGCTATGACATCCTTGCTAGAAGTGGAGGCACAGTATTGCCACCTGCTGGTGTCTGCTACAAAAGAATTATGGCTGACGCCCCTTCAGCATTCGACTCCACCCGAGTCTTCATTTCCTGGTGGTTATCAATCCGCATAATGGGCCAGGTATCAATCCATTGCCAGACTCAAACTATTTGCGCCATGTACCGACCCTGTCGCGACATCCCAATGTGACGCTTCTTGGTTATGTGCACGTCTCTTACTGTCAACGACCTCTTTCAGAAGTTATACGAGACATTGCCACCTTCGCAGCATGGGCCACGCATAAGGACAGCCAGCCTGATATCTTTATTTCTGGAATCATGGTTGACGAAGTGCCTTGGGAATTCCAGTCCCCGCATTGGAGGTATCTGGACGAAGTGGCTCGAGCGGCCAGACGAGATGAGCAGTCTGGGGCGTCAGGTATGGTAAGTAATCCCTGTCTGGCTGTCATTTCAAATGGTGGAGCCCCATGAATCAAAGTTCATGAAAACAACGACGCCACTTTGCATACTCTCAGGGGCAGAGGGGTAAAACACCACATTGATGCGAAATCTTGAATAGGTCGTGTTCAATCCAGGCTGTGTCTCGAGCGCAGCATATCTCGACCTTGCGGATATCACGATTGTCTTTGAAGACACATACGAAACCTTCAGAGGTCGTGTTGCGAGTGGAGTGCTCCCTCCACTGTTTCTGCCTCAGACACCGCGACACAAGCCTGGGCCGCGCTTGGATGACGGACGTACATCTGTTGGTGAAGCAGGGAAACTTGGGGTCGTGGTTCACTCTGTAACCCAGAACATCAGCCGGTCTGAGATGCATGACATTATCAACAAGGTCAGGAAGATCGGATCCACAATCTTCATCACGGAGGCCTCGTCGCATTTTTACCAACATTTCAGCCCTCAATGGGAGCAGTGGATAGAGGCCCTTGCCAAAACAGCCACCTCGGGATTTTAGGAACCATGAATACTCCGAAGTCCATAAAGACCACCATGAAACACGCGCCAAGAATCATTTCCATATTGGTAGAGGAGGACGGGCTCAAACAAGTTAGGGGATCGGAGATCGGATGACGGGATAAAGCTGTCCGGGATCACCAGCGATCTTGGCATAAAGTTAATCGGGACACCAAGCTTTGTTTGACATCAACATATCACAACCTTCTCTGATCTTTCGAAGTACATATTGAGAATTTACTTGGGGGCTTTTCGTGCAAAGAGTGTGGCTGGGAGAAGGACGGTAAAAATTGCCCCAAAGTGGAAGCAAGGATAAATTAATCCAACTTTTATGCTCAGCATAATTCAGTCCATGCGTCCAGATCAATGTTTTTGATGACGGTGGAAAATCCCCGTGCACTAGTGTCCTCGCAGATCTTCGTTCTTTCTGTAGTCGAAATATCTTCATCATCAGAAGTCGTGTCTCCCTTTGGATATTCCACATGGAATACTGGTTTATTCGCGCTGATAAAGCCTGCATATGTCTCACACTCGTTGTATTGGAGGCATTGCTCATTGACGCTCCACTCGGTCGAGTTGATGACGGCAGGAATGATGGCGCCAGAGTTCTTGAGTCCAATCGACAGTGATCTTGAATGGGCCTCAGTAGTCAAGAAGTTCATGTAAGCAATCGCGTCTCCTTCGGTCAGGTGTAATCCATTGTCGTTGTCATACCCGTCAACATTGTCAGGGTCGACACCGTCACAGCCTTTGTTCTCAGCCATGTCAAGTCTTTTGACCATGATCTGTCTGATAGCAGGGGAGCTGACATTGATCCATCGTTCGCCAGGCCAGCCGTCCAGTGGACTACCAAGGTCACTTTCACTAAAAGAACCTTTATCCGATCTCCAGTCTTCGTAGCTTCCGGCAGAGAAGTAGCAGATGACACGTGAACCATTCTGCTGCAAACCTGAGATGATTTCGACTTCATTGTCAAACAAATCGATATCCCAGACCTGAAAGCCTTGATTCGCGCTGTTGTTCAAGGGTACCTTCAACTGGTAATTCCACGTTGTGCCTGCTTCTGGTCTCCACAGATCGTTGGATGTGGTTCCGTTGACATCGCTGATTCCACTGCCTGTTGTAGCGGAAGGTAGATTGTCATTGGTAGTATCGTTATCGCTGTGTTTGTTGTTGAGCCCAACTCCCAGTCCTACTCCGAGAGCTATAGCAATGGCAAGCAGACCAACTCCAGATACCACGAGTTTGCGCCGCAGGCGAAATCCATGTCCTGGCTTTTCTCCTGTCTGCATTCCTAATTTCATTGACCTGTTCACCAGTCTGTACAGATTGTTCTACAGGAAAAATACTCCCAAAATTGTGGAAACACTCAACGACTGGAAAATCCCAGTTGAATGTTGCAACTTGCAGAGTCAGGGGTTGTTTGCACCACACCAGCTGAATTATGGGGATGCTATCCGATTGGGTGAACAAATTAGAAGCGAAAAGTGTGGCGCATGCGAAGAACTCTTATACCGCCAAGATTCGGCATCGCTAGTTAGTTCTGTTCCTGCATTCGATGGGGGCGAGTGTTGCCTCATGTTCCAGATCAAACTGCATGTCCTAACTACTTTCCATCACATTTGAGCATTTCTTCACTCCACATCGTGCTCGTGAAAACCCTCTGGAGGCACGCTAGCAATACGAGGTACAGTCGCCAACCAGCCCCACTACTCGTGTTTACGGTGACTGAGCCCTACCTATGCTTGTATGAAGATTCTTTTGCTACTCAAGCCTCATGAGTCACGAAAACAAGTTCGGAAATTCAATAACAGTCGCGCACCGCCAAGATCTGCTGAAAAAGCGCAATCTCGACCATAGGCCATTCAGGTGTGTGGAGAAACTGAGGGTGCTGAATGCTTTCCAGCGCATCAGTTGCCTTGAGAGGGACGATGGCGATGGACAGGAGATACGATTCCAGGTTGAATTCTTGAAATATCTCTCCTTGAGGTCTTATTTCTCAGAGTTGGCCAAAATTTGGACTCCATTGTTTGTCTTTCCTTTTGTCCAATACACCCTTTTGACCATCGTGTCGTTGTCACTCGTTTGAACAGTCACTCTTTGCAAAGGACAGCTTCTTACACTCCTTACTCGACTGTATATCACGCTTTGATTTTGCGCTTTGATTTCCGGTCAGTGGTCAGAAGAAATCCACGATGACCTTGCTTGAAGTTTTAAGCCGTCTCCTGGCTGTTCTGACTGCCACGGCGACGACGTCGGCACAGTCAACATCCACGACATCTTCGGTGATCGCTGTAACAACTACTCCAGCTGCTTTGACAACGTCTTTCATCAGCACCTCTAGCTTCATTACAAGTACAAGTTCGACTTCATTGACTCCCAGTACTACAACCACCACCAGCTCTTCCACTGCTTCGGCTGTCCCTTCCCTTATCAACTCTACGGTTCAAGGAAAAATCTTGGTCATTGCACGGGATGCCGCATCTGCGTCTTCTGCATCCTCTGGGTTCAACGGGTATGGTATTCCTTTTGATGCACTGCTTGTTCCTCAATCTGGAACATCTCTCCCACAGTTGACCGACACTACGGGAGGTCTGTACGGAGGAATAGTCGTTGTTTCTCAAGTCTCGTATGACTATGGCACTGCTGGATTCCAAAGTGCTCTGACCTCTGAGCAGTGGACCCAGCTTTACAACTATCAAATCACCTATGGGGTTCGCATGGTTCAACTCGATGTGTATCCCGGACCTGCCTTCGGTGCTACTGCCTTAGGAGGATGCTGCAATGCGGGAGTGGAACAGTTGATCTCATTTTCCAATACTTCAGCATTTTCTCAGGCTGGTCTCAAGATGGGCGCAGGAGTCTCGACGCTTGGTCTTTATCACTATCCCGCACAGATCAGCAACGCCTCGACAACTTTTGAGGTCGCCCAATTCGCTGCAGCTGCTGGTTTTCAAAAGAGTACGGCAGCCGTCATTAACAACTTCTCCGGGAGACAGCAAATGGTGTTCTTCATCTCGTTTGCCACCGATTGGTCGCCGACATCAAACTTTCTCCAACATGCGTACATTACTTGGATTACCAGAGGCCTGTATGCGGGTTACCGCCGCGTTAACTTGAATACTCAGATTGATGACATGTAAGTTCTCTCTAGAGTATTAGAAGACCCAACCACTGACTATCACAAAACAGGTTTCTGTCTACAGGTATATATTCTCCATCTGGTACTGAATATCGTGTCACCACTAGTGATGTGAAATCGATTGCGGATTGGGTCCCGAAGATTCAGGCCAAGATGAACCAAGGCAGCAGTTACTTACCAGAAATTGGCCATAATGGCAATGGCAATATCGAGTACGCGGGCCAGGTCTCCACAGCATCAGCAACTCGATGTGCACCTGGAGCGATTGACACTGAAGAGCGCAATGATACAGCACTTGAATTTCAGAAGCCTCTCGGGACCGGAACAGACGCGTGGCCCCTCACACCCACCAAATATGGATATTCCGTGCTGTGTGACAACTATGATCCTCTCAAGGTATGGTTCTCAACAAATTCGAATCGTGACAAGTTCACGCACATCAGCCATACCTTCACACACTACGAACTCAACAATGCAACCTATGCTGACGCTCTGAAAGAAATTCAATTCAACCAAGCTTGGATGGATCAGATCGGGCTCAATAAAGGGAAGTTTTCTTCAGATGGTCTGATTCCGCCCGCAATAACGGGTCTTCATAACGGAGATGTCTTGCGTGCATGGAAGGACGCTGGTCTAACCCATTGTGTCGGAGATAATACCCGAGTTCCACTGCGAAATCCCAAAAACACCATGTATGGGCTTACCACCGATGTTGCTTCGAATGGTTATGCTGGTTTTCTCGTTATCCCTCGCTGGGCTACACGAATTTACTACAACTGCGATACTCCTGCCTGCACGACACAAGAGTGGATCGACACTTCCGCTGGAGCAGGGACGTTTGCAGATCTTCTCGCAGTTGAAAAGTCAGATACGATGCGCCATCTCTTCGGCCTCTACCGTGAGGGCTACATGTTTCATCAAGCAAATCTGCGAACAACCGGTGTTGCCGCCATTGTCATCAATGGAGTGTCGGCAAATATATCAATTTTCCAGGCTTGGGTTGAAACAGTGGTACAAGAGTTCGCACGACTTGTGAATTGGCCAATGATCAGCTTGAAGCAAAGTGATCTTGCCACTGCTTTCAAAGCACGTGAAGCAAGAGATAAGTGTGGATATGGCATCTCTTGGGCAGTCAACAATGGTAAAATTACCCAGGTTACAGTCAAGGCCAGTGGAAACAGTTGTGCTTCTCAAATCCCTCTTACTGTCCCAGCCAGCGTCTCAAACGTTCAGAGCTCAACGCAGGAAAAGATTGGAAATGATCCTCTTACTCTTTGGGTCACTCTCGCTGGCGCAGCCAAGACATTTACTTTAAGCACTGCTTTGGCAGTGTAGGATTTGAATGATAAGTTGTGATTTCTGAATGGATCTCTGCTATAAGCCAGAGTAGCTAGTTGGGCTTATTTACAGATGTATACAAATCGAGTATCAGGATTCTGCAACTCAGAAACAAAATCATCTTTCCCCTACTCGACTTCATAATCATATTTAGCTATGTACTATAATTCTACTACACTTCATCGCTCAACTGCTAAGCCCAACTCTGTCGACAACGCAGTTGTACAGAGATATGTGTCTGTTTTGGGAAAAGGTATTCCTCAATGCGCTTTGTTCACATCAGGATCACTGAACGAATGGAAAACATCAACCCACGGCAATGCCGCTGGGATCTAGGATGTAGCAAGCCGAGGGAATCGCCACTCTTCAGTGTCAAGTAATCTTAACACATCTGAGATTGATGTGAAAAGCTGTGAGACCGTGTCTTGCATTCGTGACCCATAAGGTCAATCATCGGATCACGCCTTACAAGATGCTATGCACGTATCCACCAGCACAGGCAAGTAGAAAGTCCCTCTGGCCGTGAAGCCGCACCTAGACAACAAGGAATGTTCGCGCATTCCGTGAATTTATGGGCATGATGGCACTGCGAAACGTCGCCGAGCCTTGCCGGGGCTACAAAAAGCAAAGTGTCGATCAGGGACAACAATGGCTGCCAAAGCAGGAATCAAGCCGAGAATGTAGGAAGGCCCTCTTCTGGAGGGTTTGGCAAATATAGGTGTTCCCGAAGGAGGAACTACGGGGTTTGATAGTTTGATCATGATTCGTGGTCTCAGAAGGGGGCCGAAATGAGGGAACAAATTCCCCGGCTTGTAATGACTAGATACTGTAAAAGATTTGTAACATTCGTATTCGGCTATGCAGTGGCACGAGGATCCACGGATATGCATGTCCTATTGGTCACATTGGCTCAAATGACGCCACGTTATTTCCGTGTTCCATCGGTGAAGAAAACCACTGCACATTCTTTTCTTTTCGCTTAATCTACTGAGGGTGGGGACGTCGGCTCTCTGCCGTGCCCTGTGGCTGAACCGGCAGGTCGGAACACGTCTAGTTAGCAGGACTATTCTTGGCCTCGACCATGTTGAGCGCCATGGCAAAGCCTCAGAGTCAGTTCAGGCGGAGAAGGTAAAACGACTTGCAAATTCATGGTGGTAGCCCGAAGAATGGCACCCTCTGGTCCTTTGGGTCTGTTCTCTACTGGACGAGGTTTTCTCCAGGATGAATGGCCTGCTCCTCGCCTTGGCTGCCCTCATTGATCGATCGTTATTCTACGGCAATGCGCCCTTGGTGCACTATCTGTCATTGATAAGCAGGCCATATGAGCCCATCTTGACCTGCAAAGTGCTCTGGTTCTACCTGAGACGTCCCATTCTTGTCGTGCGGCGTTATAATTGTAGCGATGATTTGATTGTTGGACAAGCATCGTTTGCGCTTTGTATAGTATGCCATGGCTCTCATACTGAGCCCGCACATATTGGAAGGATCGTCACTCCTTACTTTCTGGTGGCAATATGTGAGTATTCGATTTTGTTATGTTTGGAGCCTCTTACTAAAGCCCATCAGGCTCTACTCTCCCTTGCAGGTGGTGCAACAATCGTCGGCGGGGTATATCTTCTGATCGCATTCGTTTCCTGTTTGCTTCGACATAAACGGGTATGTTTGAACCAATTTTCTTTGAATGGGTTACTCAGTGTCTCGTAGGCCCGGCAGACCCCTGATGTTGTATCAGAGGCGGCAAAGGCACAACTGGTGGACGTACAGAATCTATTGATACCTCACCGTAAAGCACAACGCTTAATCAAGCCGTCTTCATTTGTTGTGTTTCTAGGCGACTTTTCCACGCCCCCAACGCAGGCAGAATTAAGTTTACTGTCAGAAGCAGAACTGATTATCCTTGATCCCTTCAGAGACGGCGTCGACAAAGCCGTCGGAAACGTCCATGTTCAGGGCCAAGCATTCTTTGCACGTCTGAGTTTCCAGGATCTTCTGGAACCAAATACAAAGAACGACGCAGTAATTGGGTTCCTCATCAGATATGTGCGGCAGAATCTTGGCAGATCTACCTTCACTGGGGTCGTGCTCGCTGGATGGGAAACTGTGTTGTCTCCGGCCTACTTAATTGAAGCTCTGGATCTGCTAAAGGCCGCAAGCTTCGGAGTTCTGCTCGAAGTGTCGCCACCTACATTCCTACCACCGGCAGGTCTGCCACCTACAACCTCTTGTAATGGGATAATCATTCGCAATGCGTCAATTCTCCCAGATGGGAGGCATCGAGACTATTTTGAGATGCAGACGTTACAGTCGACAATTCGACAGAGCGTACGAGAGTCTTGCCTCCGAGATTTTGCCATTCTTTCATGGGAAACAGTCGAGGAAGGAGTTGAAATTTCAAATGCCGTTCTTAAACGAGCCATACAGTGGGCAAACTTTTACAATATCACGCCATGGATTGCAACCGAGAGCGCTTTGTGCGACGCTTCTCAAAATTTGCTGGTGCAAGAACCTATTGGGGCATTTGACTGGCTCAAAGACGACAGAGTGATCAAATTTCACACCTCGTGGAAAGAAACTAGAACAATCTCCTGTCATAAAACAACCAATACAGGTGCATCCTGGAACGCTATCACAGAAATCTTTCCAGAAACTTATGACTTTCAGTTAAGCAGAATCAGAAATCCTGAAATAGTGGCAATCGTAGAGCCACATGCCCTCAGCACGAGCAGCAACCGCCCACACACACCTGCGTTTAATGACCTAGGAAACTCGAGTTGCGACAATCAGTCTGCCACACACCTTGGATGCTACCCAGTCGGGTCAGGAGTTTCTGCGTTGGCCTTCGCAGAGGTGGTTCATGCTCAAATACGTCTCCGAGAACTCGGTCTCCTTCATTCAATGGATGAGCAAACAATAACAAATCTTGGCATCAGTTATCGAAAATTCTGCGACCGACAGCTTATCCGAATGTCGAAAACATTTCCACAAGCCATCAAGTCGTTGAAGAAATTCTTGACTATTTCTAACGACAAAACCCTGACAATCAGCCTTGGGCTCAGCCCTGGCTTTACCCATGCTTCTGGAGCTCGATTTTGGGCAGTCTGGCATCGGACATTGACTGGAGTGGAAATTTTTTTGTCAAAAGATGTCCAAGGCACTGCGAGCACCATCCTCTACACCTTTCTTCTCAGTGAAGGTGTTCCTCAAGAACTCGCTTTTGACGTTGAAGTCACTTTCTGCGAATGGTTACAAGAACGGGAATGTAAGAGCATTCTACCACAGCGCATTCTACAAGATGTTGACAACGCTACCCCTGAAGAACTCTTAAGTCTTCTCTATTCTCACGAGAAAGAGCACAAAGGAAAACCTCCATTCGAACGCATCGCTGACTATGCGAAAGAGGTTCTCCTGGAAACACCTTCAAGGCAACAATTCAATCAGTTAGCCTCAATAGATTTTATGAAAGGATTGGTCAACGCCGAAGAGCTGATCCGAGCACGCTTCGTCTGGTACGAAGATCATGGAATCGCCCACCCAGATATCGACAGCGCATTGAGAGTCTACATCACAGTTAACGAGAAACTTTTAAATCTACTACGGTCGAGGCGAGAAGAGGAACTGACTAAAATCAATACCGCGTTGGGTGTTATCTTGGGCAATGGAGACATTGATGCTTGGGCTGATTTGCTTGGCCTTTTTGTCTTCTGCTCTATGAAAAAGGCAGCAATTGAAGAGATTTATCTCGAGGTAACAGATCGGAATCCTTTGCTGAATGATCAAGCAGATCAGGCCGCAGTTTTTTCAGAGTCGTTCGCCCTCGGGTCTCGATGTGAAACCTACTTTGACATCAATCCTAGTGAATTTGGACAAATATTGTCCAACAGATTCCGTGAAACATATGCCGATAAACAGCCTCCACTTTGGAACAATGGTGCTCCTGACTATGCGACTGTTTTGGGAGGCGCACAGATCGATGTTGACATCTATCATAAACCCAAGAGTCTTCCCCACGCACAAAGATTTACATTCCTGTCCGTCTTCGCACTGCCCGCGATAGTGGATGTCGCCCTCCTCTCCACCATCGGGCGAGGATTATATCTCTCAGCTTTCATGAACTTCCAGCATCAGCTAAGTGCCACGATGGCACTGATGATATCACTCATCCTCTCCGGCGGCACAGGAACTTGGATCGCTCACGGTGGCACCTACTATCTTGGCTCAATGGCCTTCTCAGCTATGAACATGTTTGTGCTCACCCGATTTATCGCAGGGATGAGCCTGGCGTTGATTACCGGCATTACGGGCCTCGTTATCCTGTCGATCGTGAGAGGTTCGTCAGCCGGGCTGGTGTTCTTCTTCTATCTTCTAGGGTTCACGTCCTATCTCAACTTATTCGCGGCGATCTCCTGCTACCAGTTCCCAGGTACTGCTTTTCTCTCCGGACGGAAGCAGGTATTCGCATGCCTGCCAATTTTGATTCTCTCACCAATAATCACGACATGGTCTGGGCACGACATTTTCGTGTATTCAATGGTCTTGTTTATTCTCAATGTTGCATTAGCTATGTCTCTAGCTCGCACTGCGGCTGGCTGGGCTACTTGGTTTCTTAATGTGAAACGAATCTCGGATGCCGAGGTGCGGAAGTGGTATATCATGACCAAGGCAAAGGGGAACACCAAGCGGTTGAATATGCTTTCCGACCCAGCTGCCCTGAAAATTTCAAGGGAGGCGCTACTGGAGGATGTTCATGCTGAATTGTCGAAAAGCCCGTTCAGTAAACGCAGTCCAGACAAGCTTGTGGCGCAGTTGGCTGCAGATCATGAGTCTACCAAATTTCTACTGGATTGGTACTGCCGGTATGCCGATGTCCCTCGACCGGTTCCTTTCAGTTCATCATGGAACATTCAGATGAAAGTGGCACAGACCACCTTGATCGAACTTCAAAAGGGCTCGCGCCTGCACAGTAGCTTCGCTCATTGGAGACAGGCAGGACAAGAAGTGGGATGCGGCCTGCTGTATTTCTTCGTCGCGCTTCTCGACAAATGGATTGATCTACTTTGTGGAACACCTCTCGTTGGGCTTTCTGCGTCTCTCAATGACCAAAATCGAATCGCAGTTGGACTAGGTCTTGTTTATTATCTGATCGGGGCCGTGCTGATTGACATAAAAGCCGCCGATTTAAATACCGCCGGCGATCCTGAAGATCTCAGAGGTATTCACAACATGAATGAACTACGAGAGCACCAAAAGCAAGAAATCCGACTCAGGAGGGGTCAATACACGAGGGTATGGCTCAAGTTTGTCGCATTGAACTGCTGGAGCCTGGCGGTGACAACATTCCTGATTTGGATAACCAATTCTCGCCTCGAGAGTGTCATTACGTTCTTGGTCTACGTGTTTGCGTATACTGGATTGATCTGGTTCCAATTCACGAAAATATTCTCTGGGCCTGATGCTCTGAAACCATTGGCGACAGGTATTCTGCTTGGTCTTCCTGTGGGGCTAGGGCTGAGACTCGGTCTCCCCAACTTTCGTTACGGCAGCATCATTGCGCTTGCGATCGCTACTTGGACCGCAGCAATCTCCTGTTTATGGAAAGCTCGCATATTCCTACCGCAAGCACCAAAATTGCTATTGGAACACTCCACCGTTTATCATGCTCATGCCTTTCCATGGTCAGACAATTTCCTTTCTACACAAGAGCTCGCTGACTTGCATGCTATCTCGGAGCATGCGTCGATGAATAGTGGCTATCGTGTACTCGTGTCAAACTCTCCAGGTGCAGAAGTACAACGGTTGTTGCTGCGGCTCAGATCAACTGAAACCCAGAATAACTCATTTCCCGATTACAATGAAATGGCCGATATTGCGTTAAGAGCTTGGGAATCGGGGCAGATCGAGATACATCTCATTCCACGATCTATCCTTGGGCCCGATATGCTGGCACTGGGATGCAAAATGCAGGACAAAGTGAAACTCTTCATTGGCATTCAGTCTTCCAAGGAAAGTCTAGTCGATATTCCTGACCAACCCCACTTCATTGCGGAGCTTCTTTTCCAGGAGGTTGCAATGTCATACTTCGAAATTGGCAGTCATCATGCTTGGCTGTCAACAAAACTGATTACTGGTGAATTACCTCTTGCTGTCAGAGTCATGACAATGGAGGAGGCCAGTAATAGCAAGATTCTGGCCTGGGCAAAGACTGAGATACTCAAGCAACGCTGTCTCGGTATATCGTGTGACAAAGAGTGGGATTCAATGCCAAGTATAGTTCGCAGGTTTGTCTTGCTGTATTCTCTTGGGCAGCTCGACAGCACGAACCTTGAATACACGGAGGTATCACGTTACCTTAATTTGCCATTTGATGACATGCTTAAGGTGCATATTGCAAGGTGTACGCTTTACGAAGAGATAATTTCTCAAATCCTTCTCGTCGTAAACCATAAACGCCGGTCAGTTGACAGATTCGATCATCCCTCACCAAAGCCGATGAAGACCACACTGGCTCAGCAAGACGGGTCTGGGCGAAGTTCCTTCGATTGGTGTCGAAGGAAACTACTGAGCCTCTGCAAGTATTCTGTTGTGGCAATACTGGCGGAACCAGAATGGCAACGTGAGTTTGATAGCGCGACGCGACTATTTCCAGCTGTGGTCCGCGTGCCAGTGTTTTACATATGTAATTTCCTGTGGGAGTTCGCCCGCTGGGGACAGATAGTTGGGCTTTCTCTCTTTGCTCCAGCAGCACGTCCAGCTATCCGAAAGCTTTGGCATGATACGAAAGGAACAACGGTGTCCTATCATCGCGACAGAATCCTTGTTCGAAATGCTCGTGAAATCACGACTGCTTTCAAACGCCCAGACTCGACAGGTGGATACATGCTGTACCATTACACAGGAGAACATAAACTGGAACCTCAAACTAGCCCAGTTTTGATAAGCACCTATTCGGCGAATGGAGAGCTTCAAGGCAAGGTTGAAGTGGAGAATGGCGACAGAACCAACAAATTTCTGTATGAGTATGGCGCACCTCCACATTGCTCTAGATTCGGTAGGTCACAAAAGAGGATACCTATCTCCCGCCGATGCATTCAAGGCCCTCGAACCCTGGAGACTATTTGCTATGACGCGAAAGGTTTGGTCACTGGAGGATCATACATGACAGAGTTCAACATGGTCAAATTTAAGCTCGAATACAGACGACACGCTAAATTTGCGACCGACTTACTAAGGGCGGAATTTAGCATGCCACATATAAGCTGCAAGGTCGAGTGGTGTGCTCCGCCACGCCGAAACTCTGAAGGGTTGGATCGTTGGATCCCATCTGCAAATGTCACTCGAGCATCGTTCATGCAGGGACCAGATTTCTATGAAAGTAAATGGACATACGATCACAAACTACATGCCAAGATTCAAACGAGGTTGAACGGACGAAAGGTTGAGACACCTCCATTGATAGAGCATGATTGGCTGGGCCTTTTGAAGAAGCCTAGCCATGACACTTTTGCCAATGAAGACTTAATGCTTCATGCTACATACTGGAACACCAATCTGGTCGCACGTACGATGGGCCTCTCAAACCACGTGGTCCCCATCTCCACGACTGCCGCAAGAACAATGCTATGGAAGCAGTGGAAAGCAAACCCAGACTTCGACGGGGTACTCACACGATGGCTTGACGAAAGGCTACTGCGCTCTGACAAGGTCCTGTTACCCTACTGGACATATCGCAATCGTGGCGATCTGCGGGCTGCCCACAAGTACCTCATGGACCACTTTGATGCCATTCGAGCGAGTGTTGATCTAAACCCACAAATCTCTGGATGGACTCCGTTGGCAATCAAGATGGGCGACTTACAACGCTTCGGAACCGGTGGCGACTCCACCTCTCTGACTACGACTGGCAAAGTGGAAGACGATACTGACAACGTTCTGCACGTATTTGCAGCAGACTACGGGACATGGCCGAATGAGGGAGGCGGCGTGTCTGCTTGCAGACGCGACCTTGTCGACTCCCTCGACACTATTAGGTGGCATATGGTCTGTGAGAGTGCTAACGATTTTGGTACTCCGAAGCATCAAACAGAGTTGAATGTTCAGTCTTTGAAAGTAATCCCCTTGTGGGGTTTGGATTTCCTCACTCCAACCCATGGTATGTTCGAGAATCGCCTTCATTCCGAGGTCGACATGATTCATTCAAGTGCCAGCGATAGAGACATCCGAAAGCATTTCATTCCGGCTCTTACGGCACTTGTCAAAGGCTCACGGACCGAGAATCTGTCCATCGAGGACGTAAAACAAACCACCAGAGCGTTGATCAATCTCAATGACTATTTCAGCGAAAAACGGTACTGGGGCGAGGTGTGGAGAAGTGATATAACGAAGGAGGCATGGAGATCGCTGTGGCTCACGAATGTTATGTCAAACACACGACCAACTACGGAATGGCTGGATACGGAATTGCCAACTCTAGCAGGATTTGACTGTGCCCTGGAGATGTGGCTCCGCTATCTCTTCATTTTCTCCATCAAAGTGCCCGATAAGATGCCGATCGTCTATCAAGCTTCACATCATTCGGTATCAGCGGCTTACGGCATTATCTGTAAGCTGAAGCGAGGCTGCCAGCTACAAATTTGGGACCACGCGATTGCATGGCGCGAAGCAACGATATGCCTCTCTTCCACTTTGTGCAAGTTACCACCATTTGTGCGAAATTCTCTCATGGGTTTATTGCGCTTGACCAGCGTGCTTGTGTTGCATCACGCCGACGTGATACTCCCCTGTGCAGATTTTTTCAATCCAGGATGGGAGATTGAAATTGGTACTTGCTCCGGCAAATTGGAGCATCGCAACAAATTCAAACGGAAGATATCCCCTGTCGTCAACGGTATCGCAGACGCTGAGAAGTTCAAGCCGGTCAAGGAAATCAAGACCAAACATCCTACTGTCACAATGCTTTCGCATCTATGGTTTTCGAAAGATTTGAAGAATGCCATACTAGCAGCTGATATCATTGTCAACGAATGGGGCTTCAAAGACTTCAAACTCGACGTTTACGGAAGTATTGAAAAGGCACCAATCTACTCAACCGAGTGTCAAGAATTGATTGCTTCAAAATCGCTTCGAGACTACGTGAAACTCTGTGGCACGGCTGATCCCCTGCATGTCCTCGAGCAAACCTGGGTCTTCCTCAACTCATCACTATCAGAAGGTCTGCCTTTGGCACTTGGCGAGGCAGCCTTGACAGGTGCGCCGGTCGTTTGTACAGACGTCGGAGCCTCCTTGCGCGTCTTGAGTGATCCAGAAGACTCTTCACTGTACAGTGCAGTTGTTGCACCCAACGATGCTCGTGCACTTGCCAGAGGCCAGATCAAACTCCTTGCAATGCTGGATGAATTTGGGAGGCAGGTGGGTGAGGGAGATGCTCCCGCGATGCCATTTACCCCCACTGCGGCCGACGTCGAATGGATCACGGCGAGGATGTACGAGAAAAGCGACCAACGACGAAAACTGGGAATAATGACGCGCAAGATCGTTCAAAAATCATTCGGTGGAGACCGCTACTTGCGCGAGCATGAACAGATGCTCTGGATCGGAAAGCTGAGTAGTCAAATGCAGGGTCGCGCACATCTTCAAGTCTCGGACGACCCGGCCCACATCCTTCACTGGCTTTCACTCTCCAACGCACTTAGAAGAGAGCAGAAGACCTATCCCACTGCAACTCACCGCAGGACTTCTTCGACCCTAAGCCTTAATCTTTCGTATATGCTTGAGGGAGACGATATTTCCCTCGACGACCTCGAGCCAGGATATGGCCGTGCGGACAGCTTCTCCGATGTTGAGTTGTCAAGGACGCCATTTACCCTTTGGGAAGCTCAACCACCTGAAGACTTCAGAGAATCGGCCTACCGCAACCTGCCTCCTTCTGGCAGGTCAACACCTAAGCAGCATACCCCGATGAGATCGGCTTCTCCACGTCTCAGATCACCGTCTCCTCGATTGAGATCGCCTTCTCCCCGACTACGAACTCCTTCTCCGCACCAGCAGAGAGACAGAGACAGAAAGCGAGAAACGGTCGGACATCACCAAAACGACGACATCGAGGATGTTCTATCCGTCGCACAATCCCTGGTGGCCAAGCCATCGTCCAGATGCGCTTCTCCCCAGCAAAGAGGCAGGATGCCGGACACCATCGGATATCACCTAAAGGAGGATGTTGAGGATGTTGAGGATCTTTTGTCCTTCGCACGATTACTCGCCGCCAAGCGTTCCACCACTCCAGAGGTGGGCGGAAGCCGCAACAACCCCGTTTTCTACAGGGAAATCAAAAGTCAGACACAGATCAACAAGACTTACTTCACTTGAAGATAGATTCATAAGGCGATCACAGCAGTATATATTTATAGTTTAAATCATGTTGGAGGATTAATTCTGGTCACTTTTTGGGTGCAATCATCTCGGGCGTGATGACCACTAACCTTCGGTACGCACCGACACTCATAGCAAATTGGATGGTGATTTGCATGTACTGGTGTGTATCTGCCTACTACCAGGAGTGGATTGTGTAATGCAATGCACATGTAGAACACTGTGAAGCCCTCAACAAATTGATTGATAGGCACCATTACCAATCCAGACTACCTTGCACTCGTCTTGCAACCTTGACCAAATCTCTAATAATACAACATGAACTCGTGAAACTGGACTTCCAGCGATGCCAATCTTACTGTCATAGGGACAAACCAAAGTACATACAAATCGAAAACCAATCGCGGTGTTAGGGGTATCAACAACTTTGTCCGTCAACTCCACCAAGTTCACGAACTGAACGACGCGGCCACAGAGCCCAAGAAAGTGCGGCACGACAACCAAATGGGGCTTAAATCTCAGATGCGCTACACTCTTTCTTCTTCCTTGTAGACTTGGACCCTCCGCTGCAATCTTGTCCGTTTCGTCGGTGAACTCAACGAGGGGCTAGACATTGTACCCTGCTCTTGCAATACTGCAAGTGATCTGCTCTCACCACTGAGTGGCCTTTTGCATCTCGGTGAATGACTATGTCTGCGTGTAAAAGTTGCACAATGTCCCACTTCTGGGGAGGTCGTTGGCTGTGCCTCGCCCTTCTCGCTGAGCAACGCGTGCTTATAGTCAGAAGAGACGGGCTGTGCTTGACTCAGTGCGGAGCCACGACTGCATGGAGTTTCCATCGATGCTCCTTGACAGGTTTCGCAAGAATTGTGGCAGGGGGTTTGTGGTTGACGTTGAACAATGTCACAAGCGTCTGTGGAAAATATTGTTGGAATATCTGTGGCTTGGACGGGAGCCGTCGCTTGCAATTTGCTACGAGCACTTGAGGTTCGATACCGATGCCTTACGAACGGCCCAGTAAGACGTTCATCGTTGTCGCAATTGGGACGTGGATTCTGTCCAATGATGACATGCTCTGTTCGAACAGAAGAAGAAGGGGAGCCTGTCTCGAAGGCTGCAAGAATGTTATCCAATGTGTTGCCATTGAGTATTGCCGCGTGATAAATCTGGGAAGCGCTCGCCGGGGCCTCGATAGTAGTTTCAGTTGACTCACTACATGGACGTTTGGGAGTGTTCTCCTGCACACTCTGAACATCAATGGCACTGTCGGGGCCAGACATCAATAGTGGGGGGTGAGATGGCTGTAGTGTGTTTGGATCTTCACCGATTGCTTGCCCTAACGCGTACAGTGTCCTGAGTATTCGCACAGGCGCACAGAGATTGTTTTTGAAGTTCTTCCATCGTTCAAGCATCGAACCACTTGCACCCTCCCCTTGGCATTGAGTGCAGTTTGCCATACTCCTCCCAGGTCGCAGCATGATGTTCCAAGTTGAGAAGTACCAAGGGTCATCACGTACTGTAAGCTTGTGCGATAGATAGAGTAGGGGAAGCATGTATAGCCTCAGGGTAAGAAGACAGGCAAATATGATGTGTTGAAATAGCCGGCGAACCGTTTCGTGAGTTTCGTGGAAGAGGCTTGAGTGTTCCTGGACCGGGGTCGGTGGACTTTCTCCATGGTCTTCGTTTTGAGCCTCGTGCATTTGAACTGTTTGTTGGTGAGGCACTGTCGACGACATCGCGCAGATATTGACGCCAACCAGGCGCACGCTCTCATTCAACCCCGAGAGGCAAGGTAATGATGCTTCGAGTAGCTGAAAGTGATGAAATGAAGCATGAGTCGCAGTACATACACATGATAGGAAGTGATGAGTTGTGAATACAAGCTCGGATCAAGGAATGAGATCGAATGATAGGAAAAGTGCAGGTGAGGTCTTGTGTATGTGACACATGTTTGACAGGAGCAATGAGATCGAATGTGGATTGAAGGCAACTTCCACTTCTTTTGACAGGAGGCGCTTGCTCTTGCATGATATGATGTACACTTCAAAACAAGTCTAGCTGACACTCGTCGGAAGTGGTTACTTCCAATTCGTTTATCAGTTTGTGCCTGAAAACGAAAACGTCAAACTCAATTTCAATTTAAGGTGGTGACCCGGGCTGTCAGGGGAGATTTTTCTGTCATGCAGGATGATGAGGCTATCGATTGTAACTTATCTAGACACTCGTCCCTCGATATACGGTGCAAAGCACACCTCTGGGATCCCAGAAGAAGTATATGATCAGGGAGCACCAGCTCTCTCTGCATCCATTCTGTCCTTTTTTCTCTTCTTTGCGGCCAGTTCTCTCCGCCTGGCTTCCTTTTTGAACCATTCACTGTCTGGCTGTTGGCTTTTCTTGCTTCGTCGCTCTTGCTCTCGATACATCGGTGCCATGATGCCGCCGCCACTGGCATCGGACAGCAGCACGGCTTGTCTACGTGCCACCAATTTCTTGGCCTTCGCTTTAGTAGCAGCAGCAGACCTACTTCCTCCACTGAGGTGACTCCACATGTTGTCATCGATTTTCTCGACCTCCGCGGCAGTCTCTTGCTGAAACATGACCTCGGAAAGCAGCTCGAGTCGCTCCTTTGAGGTCGTGTATTTTAAGTCATGCAAATCTGCCATACCTGAGAGATGTGTGATGGTCTTAAAGGAATAACCCTGATCCACCAAAAAAGCTTGACGTTTTGCGCTGTAAGCCATTTCGGTTGTGTCTTTTGAGACTAGAGAGTAGAAAAATGCATTGAAGCCTTCATCATTACGACGCTTGGCCCGAAGAATGCGCCCAAGTCGCTGGGCCTCTTGACGGCGAGACCCGTAATGAGAGGATATCTGGATGAGGCATGTCGCTTCAGGCAGATCAAGCGAAGTATCGCCAATCTTCGAAAGAAAAATAGTGTTGATTAATTCATTGTGTTGAAAATTCTCAAGAATGTTGATTCTTTCCTGATTGCTTGTGTCACCATAGATGAATGGCTTCTGCATTGTCGTTGCGTAGTGCCGCAGTGCGCACAAGTTGTCACTGAAGACGATGATTTTGTCGCCTCGCTTCTCGTGGTAGTCAATGAGGTACTGGCAAACTTGATACTTAACAGGATTCATGATGTAGTATAATGCCTGCTTGCGAGTAGTTTCCTTCTGATACTCTTGATAAAATTCCATGGCCATTGGACACCAGACTTCAGCGCATTGCACCTTTGCTATGTGGCCTTGAGCAGCAAGTTCCATCCAGTTGGCTTCGTAAAGTTTGGGGCCAATGATGAAATTGAGATCCGTGATCTTGTCATCCTCTCTCAACAAGGTCGCAGTAAGACCTAGTTTGCAGTGAGCTCTGATATTCTCTCCGACCTTTCGGAACATCTTCGCCGGCACGACGTGTACTTCGTCCAAGATCATCAAGCCCCACTCTTTGCCGTAAACCCAATCCATCATTTGTTGAGTGTCATGCGCACGCTTGCCGCCGGCAGTGATCATCGAGTATGTGGTAACAAGTACCCCAGACTCTCCAGTAAACCGCCTCTTTTCAGAGGCCGAAAATACGGCAATGTCTTCTTCTTTGACATCTGACCACTTCTTGAATTCGTTTGCCCACTGGTAACTGGACATGGCACTTGTGCATAGAACCACTATGCTCTTCTTGATGTGACAGCCCGCGGTAATACCGACCAGAGTTTTGCCGGCTCCGCAGGGCAGGACAATGATTCCACTCTTACCACGGCCATTTCCGAACATTTTGCTGAGGGCTTTCTCTTGATAGGGTCGAATCTGTGTGGCCGGTCTCAGATCAATGGCGAGAGTGGGATTGACTTGATCTCCAGCAAAATCGTACTCTGATATTGCAGGGTACCCAATGTCGAGGCATTGCTTCGCTACTGTATCACGTTTGCTAGGTGCAATTTCGAAACTTGACGCTTCTTTAAAGTTATCTTCCTCGTCTTCTTCATCCCTCAGAGTGGCTATCATGGCTTCATCATCCTTGGATGGGACGTCTCGAGGTATCTCGACATCGGACTGTCCAGCTTGTCTCATGCCCTTGGCATTGTTGGTACCTTGAATGATGGTCGCCTTGGTTTGGACACGGCCAGTTTCGATATTTGTTCCTTCCGCTTTACATGGGCCAATAACGGAGTCTCGTAGCAACATATCAATGATTTCTCGTTCGTCTGATTCAACATAGAAATTGTTGTTTCGCAAGACAAGACGCACTTTGCCGTAAGTTTTTGTATGTCGGTTTATGAAGTCAATCACGGTTTGGGGTACGGGCGTTTTGGACATTTTTTCTAGAGCACGAATTATGTCTTCACCACGGAGACCTACCGATAGAGCTGCATACAGGCTGTGTTCTGTGAATCTATATTCATGCAGAAAAGAAGGTCTCGATTGCGGTTCTGCAATGGTGGTGAGGAGGTCGGTAGCCTGGGCGGCCAGAGGGGAGAAACTCTCGAGTGTAATCTTGGGCCCCTTTCTCGAACCCAAAGAAACGTTTGGGTCTATCCACAGAGGCCGATTTTCATGGTCAGATTTCAGGGACATCCATGAGAAATCCTTCTCGCCAAACATGGACGATTTCTGTTTGTGTTTGGCACCTTGGAAAGAACTGAAATCCAAGCGAGCTCTGGCTTTGCGGATGTGCTCTTTCTCGCTATCACTAGCGTCCTGTGATCGCGCATCGGAACCTGAGAAGTCATCATCACTGTCTAGGCTGATGGGAGTTGAAGGAGCAGGCGTGGACCGCTTCGAGGATCGAGCGCTCGCCTCCTCAAGAGCCTTGCGCTTGAGTGACATGGTGCGAGATCGTTCTCACAATGCGCAAAGAAAGGAACGGAGATTGGAGGAATGGAAGTGATGGCGAGTCGCGTGAAAGTATGAATCGAAGGTCACTGGAAGGTATCTAAAGATGATTTACTTGCAAACGGGTTGAGAGATGATGTGAAATCAAAAGGTCCTTGCTGCCTGGGTTTGCGAGTCGTGCAGCTGACTGAGGCTGTGCTCATGAGTCATGTGGTCCGGATAGATATTCCGATGCCGAACCCTGTGATCCGTGATCCTCCGTAGTTGTGGCGCAAATCAGGTCCAGGCCCGAGTTGGATTTCAGTTGGAGAATGGTTTGCTCATTCTTCTCTACATTATGCGACCGGAGCTGTGAAGTGTTGCACAAAACTTTTGATTTGAGATCACACTGCTTCGTTATTAGACAAGCAAACCCTGTTAAATCATGAACACAGTATGCCGAAGCTCTCATTCCCGGTGACGATCTAACTAACACTCTCTTAGATCAGATCAACCTGGTATGTTTCCATCGAACCCAGACTGGTGCTCATCAAGTCTTCCGCTACCATAGATATATGCTCCTCACCACAGACGAAAGGATGCCTACCCAGCTAACTGATGTTCTTTAGGATGGGTTGGGGTGTCCTCTGTGTTGCAGGTGGAGGTGCCTATTACTTCGCAAAGAGATCGATCAACTCCGACCGTGCAGCCCGCTTCGAGGCCGAACAGAAGAAACAATCTCGGTTACGACGATTAGAATCGCAGAGCGGTGCATTTAGCGAGCCTTCCATCAGAACTAAGACGAAAGCAAGCTCGAGCAACAATACCAAAGGCATCGATCATGCAGGAAGTCCCAGCAGTGAGATTAGTGAAGAGGCTGCGCCTGTGAGCCATGCACCGGTCGATGCAGAACAGCGGGCCAGGGAGAAGAGCAAATACGAAGCTGCAGAGCCTTTTAGGAGTAAAAAGGGCGATCGCTTCAGTTAAGAAACTTGTACAAAACAACGCACGAACACACCGGCAGGACCGATCGCACCTGCAGAAGACAATCGAGTATCATCTTGAATTGTCATGTACATCCATTTAATGGCTAATGGGTTCCTCCCTTCCGTGGCCATTCATATACACCCCAAACCGAGCTGACCGAGCTGAGGGTGGTATCACTTCTTGTGTATATCATAAGTCGCCGACCATGCAGTATCCTTTCCTAATCAATGCTTTCGAAACGCCAGCCAAGTGCTAATATTTTCTCCTATCCCATGCGATTACGCGTGACAGCATAGTGGTGCATAATGCTGTTTTCTTGAGGCGTTGGGATGTCCAGAGTCTCTCTCTCGTTTTGATTCGATTGCAGGTGGAACGAAGGGCAGGACGACTGCCGATGTGATGATTGCGCCAGCAACGGCAGATTGTAGCTTTGTGGCAGGTCTTGGTGCTTGTGCTGAGAAATGGCGGATGGCAGTTTGGGTAAAAGACGAAGCAACGACGGTACTGACACTCATGATTGCGGCTGTAGTATGAAGAGTTCCAGAGTGATTTAGAGGGGACAGTTTAGGTGAAAACGATCCAAAGAGGGGCCAGGGGGCCGACCAGCTATTTGAACCAGTTGTGCGGTTGTCTTACAAGACTGGATATGTATTTACAAGCAATCAGATTGGCTCCAGGCAACTGTGTACCTTGGGGCCTGCTAGCCTGGGCTGGTGGGATGTTGTGTGCCTTGTGGTAGTAGTAAAGTATGGAGAGGCTCAGATGAAAGTTGAGTCACCAATACGTGGGAATTGGGAGGAATTGCGTGCTCATGCAGGTTGCATTAGGTATCACGAAGTTTAGGTGACCAGGTGATTTGGGCAGCCTATAAGATATTAAGATCTAGAAAATACAGTGGTGTGAGTGTGCCAACTTGTTCCTGACCATGCCACATTATATTGTACGTGGAAGTGGTTTGTCATGCCACCCTCGGGATTGTTAATGCAAAGTCCAGGTACGAGATACCGTCTTCCAAGACCGATTTACACGCGGAATCAAATTGTCGGCTGGTGTGGGCATGATTACTTCGTCCTGATGAATTCGGAGCTAGCTTGGAGTCTACCTAACCTGCCGAATACTCGGGGCATGCGACGCCCACTCGTGATCATCAGGGCCGGCAGACCAAGCAATGGGCTGTGTAATTCGGAGCAGTATTCGGAAAGACGGCAATGCCCACCATCGGCTCGGCCTTGGACCGAAATCCCACGTTCAGCTGCACAGATGAGATGGATGAGCAGACACGAACTGTAGTAAACATACAGACTGATTTACAGCGTTGAGAGATATCTTGGACTGAGGTTGACCATTTAATCCACCATGGTACCTAAGTTGAAGGATGAACTGCATACATATGTACAGTTAAGTAGTACATACATACATATGTACACTATGTATGTACATACTGTACAGTACACCTAGAGAGTTTGATGAGATAAGATGCAAAGATAAGATAAGATAGTATGAGATAATGTGCCACGTGATTTTTTCACATCTCAAAATGACTAGCTCGAAGCAGAACACAACGTATCATCCGCCTGGCTTGCAACCATTGCAACTTCATGCATCTCATCAAACTGCGCTCATGGCCGCGCATCATCTATCCCTTGCAAAGGCAACGTTCGCCGCCTCTTTATTGCGACCTGATATAACCAAGGTATCTCGTGATGATATTACGCACTTCCAAACCATTTTTGATCAGACCCTCCACAAGTGCACCCCAAAGAACATTCAGGTTTGAAGGATTCTAGTCTTACGCGTAGAAATGAAACTCGAATTTACTGAAGAACTTTAGGCCTGTAAACAGTGGCTGCTTGAGAATGTCCTTGTCTCGACTACAAGGACCTTGGCTCTAGGGAAATTCCTCGTCTCCGTTGCTAGACATCACGAGCCTGAAGCCCAGAGCCATTCAAAGTCTCTAGTGTCGCGCCAACGACTGCACATCCTCTACCTACTCCATGACCTCTTCCACCATGCCAAATACCACACCCGGAATCCGCCAGTGGAAATTTCCGTTCCTCAATCCTTACAACCAGTATTGCCTGATTTGATTCAATTGGCAAGTTCGCAGCGCAAACCCAAGGTTACCAAGCGGCTGGTCGACTTACTGGATATTTGGCGTCAGGAGGACTACTTCACGAAGACCGAACAAGCCCACCTCCAGAACTCCCTGTCAGCATCACCGACGACAAGCGAGCCAGCCTCGCAGAATGACACCAAGTCTGCCGGTGCCATTACAGAGCTTCCGTACAACATTCCGTCGACTCATGGAGACCCATCCCTACCATTCTATGACCTACCAGCTGCCAACCTCATGCATCTGATTGTCCCTAACAGCTCTCAATCTATTCGACCAGATGAAGTAAGGGCTTTGCAACTTTCTGCCGGTCCTGCCGATGAGAGCTTGGTGCATGCGCTAAAAGATTTCTTACGAGATGTTGACAGAATGGATAATTCGTTCACGAAATTTGAAGATGAGGGCATCTTCATCGAAGTCGATGAGCTTGGCCAAATTCAACACCGTAACGAAACAGAAAGTATCGGGGGTGATACATATTACGGTTGGTCACGCGCGTTCTGTGACAAGATGAAGTCCCGAGGCAAGACAAATGTCACAGGTGCAGGTTTTCGCAGAAGCCAGTCATCCACCTCAAGTCGCAGTCTAAGTCGAAGCCGGAGCCGAGGCCGAAATCGAAGCCAGAGTCGAAGTGAGAGAAGTCGTAGCCATGGCCGCACGCAACGTAAGAGGAGACGTTACAGCGGATCATCGAGTGAGAACTCACGGTCTCCACAGTCGTACAATCGCTCGACATCCCGAGAAAAACGAGCTCATGATCTGCGACATTACGACAACGCCCGTGGAGAGACAGCAAATCTAGCACCGTACACTACCTTCACGCCTCATCTTCCTCCGAGACTTGATTCATCGAACCAGTTTAATACTGCTGTAGCCGTTCCTACCATCCCTTTCCCGGGCTCACCTTTCCAGCAAACCCCGTCGAACGTCACAAATGTCTTTCCTCCACCCCCACCTAACTGGGCTGGCATATGGCCTCCGCCTCCGCCACCACCCAGCTTTTCTGGTGGATACAATCACCTCGGTCTGCCGTTTCCACCAAATATGGCCAACATTCCATTTCCACCAGGGGTGTCGCCATTGCCTCCAGGGGTGTCGCCATTGCCTCCAGGAATGCCGTTTAATAATGAAAGAAATGGGTACAAGAGGCAATCTTAAAAATCAGCAATAATAGACACTCTTCCAATGCGGAATAGACAGTCCTCTGATTCCCTCCCCAATGGTTAATGCCCGAGACAATCAGGATTGAATGGCTCTAGCGGCATCACTGCACAAATAACCATCTGTCCTAATGGAACTTTGACAAGGACGTCATATGGGGAAGTCTCCATATCGAGACATGATATACCATTAGGCATGGCGATGATGTGCATTGAAAAACAAAATTCTCAACGAGGTTTGAGCCTAGCTTGGTCTCCAGGTTACGAACATGACGGGATGATGGATGGCTTGCACTGGGACAGCCTGATCGAGAAAAATGATCGAGATCAGACATCATTTCTCCAAACATTACAACCCTTCTGTCTAGCCTGTTTATGGTCGGAATGATCCACATTTGCAGCTATTCTTCGACCGGCAGCGCGCGTGTCAAACATTCTTACCATGCAGACAGTCGATCGTCTACCGCCCTTTCGCACATATGTATTGTTCACTCCGGACAACGTACGAGTAGAAGACAAACATCAATGGCGTAGTCCTTGGTCTACACCTGCAATGCGTTGGTGCAGTGATTGACTTGCTTCTCGTACCTCGACCCACTCGATAGCTGATTGCTCTCTTGGATCGAGAATTTGGATGGGAATTGCAATTTGGCATTCGTTCCCGTTTCGTGGAACTCGACCACTTGTTACACTACTTCCTTGTCTACGACATACTAATGCATTCTTCCGAGTCCCGAGGAAAATAGACAGGCCTAGTGTGCCTAGGCTCGATCTGTCACTACAGTCACTTACGAGGCTACCTATCTAGCTATCCCGGTAGTATCATCACACATTTTGGAGATGAAAGCTATGGACAACTCACCTATCAGTAGAAATTGATAGGTTAGGAATAAATCAAATGCAGCTGCACTAAGTATCCCGTCGAATCAAACAGCAGAAGCAAGGCGATTATAGCGAGTGTTGGTTGCTGAGATCAACATGGAGCTTTGAGGACTCGCTCTCACTTCTGCATGACAAGAACCACAAATATTTGGTCATAGGCTGTTTTAAGGTTGAGGTGGCGCTCTTGGCAGACGCAAGGCTGCACCGAAATGACGCCAAAACCAGGTTGAGCAACGTCATACCCCACTTTCCTACCCCGTGTCCCTGCCCAAGCAAATGTTTGCTATACACAACACGGCCCAAATCATGGCCACAATATACCTACGGATTTGTTGTACTTCCCGTTGCTGGGAGGGTGTGCCTAAATTATCATTTGGACTATAACGTGCTATGTATACTGCGGACGACTCTATTGCAACTGAGTCCTGTAAGTTTCCCACGACAACTCACAGGACAACCAGATGTTGCAGATGAGTGGGATTTGGGGTGCATGAGCCATCATCGCATCCACTCCCAGCCTTCAATATACCTATCCTATTTGTGCAAGCGTTTCACCAGTCACCGTGTATAGCTCACAAGACCCTTAATATCTCCCGACCCACAGGGATCCTCGCTTGCCAAAGAGCCGTTAGATTTAATGTTCTTTGCCATCGTATCATGGGCAAAATCCCATGAAGGATGCAGAATGCTCTCATCTTGCATGTTTAATCCTAGACCCTATCCCGCCCCTGGGATCGGCAGGGTCCTGCTCCACTGTTCATGACCACATTTGATCATTGATTCGCTCGATCTCCAGTTGTTGGTGCTCACCATCAGACTTGTGGTGAGGATCAGAGAGTCAGCTTGCTGCCGCTGATCGACAGTCTGTGCTGATCTGATCCCTGCTTCGACCACTCGACTTCGAGACATCAATGCTAACGTGCATCGACCCTGGTCCAAGCCAAAGATGTTACTGGTTTTCTGACGCCACCCGCTTCCAACACCATGAATGACATTTGGCTTTGGCTGAAACCCCGCCCAGCTCGCCTTGGTACTGGATGGCGAATGCTTTCATCTTTCATCTTCAGCCTGGTGAAGGAGTCTCTGTATAAGTATTTTAGATTTCTCTCCCCTTTTCACCATATATCTTTTTCTCATCATCAAACTCAAACAATCTACTTTCCTCAATACACAAAACCAGCGCGGCATTTCATCAACCTACACCGAAGTCTCAATAATTATTGTATAACATCCATTCGACAACCAAACAATTAAACAACAAAATGCCTCCATCTGTTGAATATCTCACCATGCCTGCTGAGCCTCTTGATTATGAATCCGATCCTGTTGCAGCCATGTCAACATATGCTCGCATGATGCATTCCCACACCAAAGAACAAATGGATGCAGCAACACGTTCAGCTCGGAGACGAAGCTCTGGTTCATCAGACAATCAGAATCCTCTATCTCCTTCCAAAAGCCACAGCAGCAATTCCTCACGAGCCTCTTTCTAAGACCGCTTGACCTTTTTCGATTTTCTTTATCAATCAGCGTTCAAAGCCAATGAAATCAATTCTTACACGAACTTCTTCATCATTCACCAGGGGTTGTCGAGTATCTCCAGTGATTCGATCCCTCCCTACGGCGGGCATCGGGAAGGTAGACGGAGCGTATTGATGATCAACTATTATTTCCCTATTAGGGGTTTTGTACCAATAAGCCTGGAGTTTGGGCCGGTTTTTCTTGCAGATCTGTCAATCGGTTTGGTGGGGGATGTAACTCCCCGTCCAGCAGGGGCTCTAGTAGTTTCAAGTAACAGTATCTCGTGGACTCGACCATTTGCCAAAGATTAGTTGCTATCGAGCATGAATATTACAGCACTGTTATACAAATAAGATCAATTATTTAAACGCACCGTCCTATCTGTAGCATCTTCTACGTGTGGACCTAGGTAAACCTGCAACAAACTTCTAACATCTCCTTGCGGTGGTACTAGTTGTAGGTCAAGTTCGATAAATACATCATTAGTAAAATGTCAATTCATTTTCGTGATGCCGAGCTTATGGAAACAATGTTGGGTGGGCATTAGGTACTGGGATGCCACTTTGTCGCCCCAAAAGTAGGGATGGTTCTTTGGAAATGGAAATATCATCGTCGATCGTTTGCATCATAGTGCCTGTTGCACTGCCTCACAACTAACGACCACTTCATCTGTAGAACAACGTCATAAGTCACACCAGCAGCTGCCCCCTTCCGTTGTCTGCCAATGGCCCGTCCCACTAACGATAACTGTGTGGAGGATAGGAGTGGATTTGTATCTGAAGGTCGTCAACTTGCAGGCGCTACCAGCGACACCTATCCACCTCAACAGCAACCTGCAAGGGACAACTAGGTGTACCTCGGGCGACACTGCTCATCACACTTCTGAGAGAAAGTGATGGGCTCGCCGTCATTTCTGAAGGCGAAAGGTGATCGCTCAGATCAAGGACAGGTACGTCGGTTTTTCTGATGGCCAGAACGTCATGTGGAACGATTTTCTCCCTGCTAACCCCGTAGATGTACACCCCGTAGGTGTGCGTTAGGCATTGAAAATATTTCTGAGATAACGTGGTCCTGGTCTCTTTCTTTGACCCATGAGTCGTGCTCTGGTTAGATGCCCATTTCCTGGTAACTCACATTCTAGTTGCAAATCGTACATTACAGAATTGCGAGCGGCTTGAGTTCCATGCTTCCCATATTTGACTTTCGCCCAAACAGCATCTTGTTAGCACCTGCTTTGTACCAGGGAGCAAAGTCAAAAGGGGCGGGGGACGAGTTTGGCAGTCATCGCCTAAGCTGGTGGGATCGCTCCTCAGCCCGTCTCAACACAATGTATTTCTACATTTTGTGTGACTTCGTTCCCTTTACCCCTCAGGATTACCTCACGAAGGAGTAATCACTCTTCACACGAGAAGGAGAACGATCGAGATCCTTTATATCCTTGCATGTCTCATCCTTGCACGTTCTGTATGCTCACCAACGATTTCCGAATTCTTCCTCAGATGAATCCCACTTCCATGGTCAGCATCAACCATGATGATGGTGTTGTTATCAAGTATAGTGGGCTCGCGCATCTGGTAGGCCGGATTGTTCTGGCTGATCGTGATCCAATCACTCATCGACTAGTCGATTGTCAGAGAGAGTGGGCTGATCGACATGGTCCCTTGGTCGCTCCAAATTTGCTGATCTCCCAGCGCCATGTCCGTATCTATGTTGCCCGCTTGTGCACTTTCGATTCGTAGCTTTCTGTTACTCTGTCTCCATCGAGGTTCTCATTCGTGAGTCTCGAATTTGCAGAACCCCGTCGACATGCTTCGGAGGAGGCTTGTCTGGCGGCCTCTGGCCTCTTGACCCTGGGTCCAGCACCGAGCTAGCTAAAGACCGTATTTCGGAAACCGAAGTGGCCTAGGACGATCTCAGTTTCGGTGGAAATCGAAGATAAGCTGGCAATCCTCTGGATCTTGACCATTTTTTTGCCTGTGAACCAAGCAAACAGCGATAACGAGATCCGTTCACGTTTTCATTCATCGTCTCACATGGTGCGAGTGGCGAAGTTTTGAGTCAATCTTTCTCTTCTGTCAACTTGACGAAGCCCGAGATCGACTCGAACGGACGGCAGCATTCAGCATCGACCTGTTTTATCCATGCCCCTACCAGCAGAGTAGTATATCGGAGTCATTGATCCCATCTGTTCGTAGTGGATAACTATTGCTTGCTAATGTGGATGATGAGGATAAGTTGAATCGATACACCAAAGTTCTAGATACAAAGCATGCAAGATTCATATGATCTTAAAGATGAGGTTGGGCTGTATTCGTGATCAGTGAGATAGAGCTGTTGTTTGCGCTCGGATCTCTCACCCGAGGTACCCACCTTCAAGTCCTATCCCGCATATTTAACCAACGTACCGGCGGGCTTAATTCTCACGAAACGCACTCGATTTAGCCTCAATTAAGCAAAAGATTGAACGAACTTCTTCCCACTTTATCATGGTTGAAAGCGATCATGATATAAATAGCGGCCTTGATTCAATCGAATGCCTAGCACCTCACTGGCACCACGTTCTAAACCCCTCCCAAAGAGCACCGCTCTGCACGCTGTTGAATTCCAATAATGATGACGCAAGAAGGCCTACCCTGGCTTTCTCACAAAATTATGGGATGAGTAACAACCAGTGTGAAATGCGAAAACGAATGTTACGGCAACCTCAGAATTCTATCGAGGGGGTTCTCACTATGCAACTGTCCTCGATCTTCATCGGCGACAGCGATAATGCGAAGCGGACTTAGCAGGGGAAGCAATATTGCGTAGAATTCATTATTGGATCATATTAATTGCCTAATTCATAAATGCGCGGTTAACTCCTGGCCACTCGAGCTGTCAAATGTGATGGCCTCTTCGTCCTCGACTTTATCCTCCAATGTGGCAAAGCCAGTATACCCACCATCGATAACACGCTGCACCGCTTGGTAGAATGCCTTGAGGCCACCGAAATAAAAGCGGATGGCGTACTTCTTACCGGGTATATTCTGACCGAAGATCCACGAAGCGGTCTCCTTGAACAGGCTCCCCTCGGCCGCTTGCTCACATTCGCGACTCCACGCCTCTTCCGCCTCCGGGAGAGCCTCGATGAGTTTGGGTTTATTAACGTCGCCAGGCCGTGATCGTCTTCGAAAGCCTTCTGCGCGATCAATGAGACCGCTAATGAGGTCGACGTGGGCTTCGATGGCGGGTGGGAGGTTGGAGAAGGGGCCCTGCGGGCCAGTGATCATGAGCAAATTCGGGAAATTGGGCACAGCGACACCAAGGTAGCTCGTTGGCCCAACAGGATCCCACTTCTCCTTGAGCGTCATCCCATTGCGGCCTCGAATGCGCACGCGGTTGTAGTTCCCCTCGATGGCATCGAAGCCCGTCGCGAATATAATGACGTCCAGTTCGTGAAGCGCACTGCTCGTTTGGATACCTTCAGGGGTGATGGACGTAATGGGGTCCTCGGTCAACAGGACGACCTCGACATTCGGTCGATTGAACTGCTCGAAATAACCTCCATCGCAGAGAGGCCGACGAGCATAGTAGTCATGCGGACTCAATTTTCTGGCCTTTTCCGGATCCTTGACAATTTGTGATATCTTGTTGCGGATGAAAGAGCAGGCTGCTTCATTGCCCTCTCTGTTCGTCGCCAGGTCGGAGAACCCTCCGAAGAAGAAGCGAAATCCATTCCCTTGTTTCCAAAGATCTTCAAAGATTTCTTCGCGACGCTGAGGTGATTTGACCGTGTCAAAAGGGACGGTAGACTCGACAAATCCAAATCCCACGGCAGAATTCTTCACTTGATCAAAGATATCATCGTAATTTTGATTCACCCACTTCCTGTACTCTGGTTGAACCGGCCGGTCTCCGCTGGGCACAGTATACTGTGGATGTCGTTGAAAACATGTCAAAGATTTGACATCCTTGGCGATGTCGGTAATTACCTGTACTCCAGTTGAGCCGCATCCTATTACGCCAACACGCTTGTTGGTGAGATCCAAGTCTTTGGGCCATGCAGCTGTGTGGCAAATTCGACCCTTGAAGGTGCTGATCCCAGATATATCTGGATAGTTGGCCTTCGAGAGTAGACCCAATGCGGTGACAAGATATCGCACACTGTATGTGTCACCGTCACTCAGCTTGATGTCCCATCGATTGGTAGTGCTGTTCCATTCAGCGGAAAGTAATTCAGTATTGAATTGCATATATTTCCCAAGGTCATGTCTTTCAACAACATGCTCTAGATAAGCCAAGACATCAGCCTGCTTCACGTAGTGGTGTGTCCAAGGATAAATCTGGAGGTCTTCTTTATCCCATGAATATCGATAGACGAAGCTCTCGGTATCACTCATCGCTCCAGGGTAGCGATTCCAGTACCAGGTACCACCAGAGCCGCTGGCTGTGTCGATCACTCTTACGGACAAGTTTAATTGCCGTAAACGATACAGCTGATATATTCCACCGAACCCGGCCCCTACCACCAGGGCATCGACCTGTTTTTGAGACATGATGTGGTGAATGGACAGCCAGTACTCAAGCTGGGATGATAAAAAGCAATTGATGACAAGTATCAGAAAGGGATACGCTCACACTGAAGCGATGGATAGTTAAATGGTGATTGTATGCAGTATATGCGCCTACCATGGCTGATCACCCATTTCGACTTCGCCTCCATGGGATTCGATTTCCGATGGAGGCTGAACACATGGCTGCCGGATCCGCATCCACTCATGAGCAAGGTGGAGTCTGGAGTAGCTGTCTAGAGAACCCCCTTTACAGATTATGAGCTTCACTGATCATGAGTTAAGCGATTGCCAAGAATATCAGCCCATAGGCCACCAGATATTGTTCTTTTCCTGAGTAATATTCAATGAATGCTGCGAAGTACTCGGGAGTGGTTCAGAAACATTGCTATTTATTCACGATTACCTCGGTCTGACAGTACTTAGGTAGCATTGTTTGTCATTCCCCAATGAGGGTCTCTTAGCTAGAATGTTGGTCAGACTCAAACCCTTCCCCACGATAATATCGGGTGCGGGGTTTGCCCTTTTTCCCCAGTTCTTAAACCCCTCTCAGGACCATCCATTGATAGCCTCGAGGTTCTAGCACTATCGCAGGCTCTGCATGGCACGCTGCGTGACAAGTTTGCTAGGCTCTAAATCAATACGACGTGACTCTCTTTCCCTCATTCGGAATCGAGCGCAGCTTCAAATGTCCTGGAACCTCTCGTTCATGGATGCCTGTAACCAAGGGCCTTCGCCTTCTCAGCTTCGGGCAAACCTTCAGCACCTCTGGGGGGCAGAATGGGCGAAGGCCCCTGCACGAAATCTAGATGACCCGCTCTGCTGGTGAACATGATATCTCCAGGCCCTTGAGGAGCCTTATTGCTTCCAGAAAGGAACTTCAGTGGGAATCCAATGTCAAAGGGGTAAGCCGTCTCAATTTCGTCGATCTCATCTTGTGACAGCCGGATGGCAAGGGCTTCAATGTTGGACTTCAGATGACTTAATTTTCGCCCACCGATGATTGGAAACACATTCGGAGTCTTGTGCAAGACATATGCCAGGGCGATGGAGGTTATAGGCACAGGTGTCTGTCTGGAAGCCGCGATCTTTTCCAGTACTCGGCTGACCTCTGCTTCCTTGCCTGTGGAGACTGATGGCATGTTGCGACCTTGTTCAGCTGGCTCAGTCTGCTGTGAGGGTTTGAAATATCCGCCTCCTAATGCTCCCCAGGGGGCTATACCCATGCCCTGATCAATGCACATTGGTATTATATCACGCTCAAAGTCCCGCTCAGCAGCCGACCACCGACCCTGATAGACGGAGAATGGTCTCAGACCGTGATGTCTGGCATAGTCATTGGCTTTAACAACGACCCACGCAGGACAGTCACTGATCCCCAGGTATAGCACCTTGCCCGAGGCCACAAGGTGATTGAGGCTCTGCATCAATTCTTCAACGCCAGTTGTCATATCCCAGTAATGAACATATAAGAGATCGATGTAATGGGTTTGCAGCTTCTTGAGTGATGCTTCGACACTCAAAGCAAGGGATTTAGAATTATTCGTAGCGAAGTTGGACTGCTGAAGGGAAGGTTCGGAATAGACCTTGTAGGCACTGGTAAACTTGGTTGCGATCACCATCTCATCCCTCCGATACGGTCCTCGAGATGCCATCCATTCTCCAATCCACTCTTCTGACTGCTCAGATTGATACGAGTTAGCCCTTTTCACGATAAAAGGTCAGTCAAATACGCCCGGAGTTCCGACATCCCACTGGACACCAATGAGTACTCACGTGTCGATGAAATTACCTCCCATCTTGTAGAAGTAGTCGAGGATATCAAATGCAGTTTCCTTGCTGCATTCACCCATCATCTTCGTCCATGCCGTGCCGAAATTCATCGCACCCAGGCATAATGGACTGACATGGACACCCGCTGTTGGCGCCAGCAGACGATGTCGTCCTAGCTGGGACCTGGGTAAAGGGGCTGCTGCTGTAGTCATTGTGAAATCTCTTGCACTGTTGGATTAGCGGAAGGAGAGCTGAGTTTGCTAGGAAAGCTATAACTTCTGCTTTATATGTACCTCCCGAAGAGACTCTCACCGTCCTTTCCATATAGTACACAACGATCATACCGAAATTTATGCATCGGTGATAACGGTCATAACCACTACAGCCGTATACGCAGGTTCTTGGCACTGTTGCCAGGCAATGGGCTAAACTCCACAAGCACAATTACCATACCAAAGTAAAACATACCACTAGTGGATCCAGATAGTTCTCATCCAACTGACACTCGCTTGGGTCAATTACTCGATTGATGCAAATGCTAGCGATGTTGAAGTTATTTCAAGTCGTCCTGCACAACTAGGAGTTGCTTGGCAAGGCTGAAACAACCAATCCTCCCCGCACTTGGAGGCCGCCTCGGCTGGCTGAGGCTCTGAACTGCGGGGTGATAAGGGGCGTTGGTGACAATCACCCAGTGACGTGATAGGCAGTAGCCGAGGAAGTAGAGCGATTATATGATGAGCTTGGAATGCTGCAGAATAATTACTTTCATATTTGCTTAGAATTATCGCTCGAGGTGTCTGGGTCAGATTTCCTCGAAACTACTCTAGGTTTCGATCAAAAATGTCAATCCAGCAGATCCAGTCTCGAGGAATTTATCATGCCCTACCCGTCTATCCAGAGAATGTAAAAGGTTTAACAGCGATCATCACGGGTGCTAATGGGATATCTGGGTACTACATGCTCCGTGTCCTTGCACAAGCCCCTGAGCGTTGGACAAGAATATACTGCCTTTCACGAAGGCCGCCGCTTGTGCCAGGAGGACTGCCACCGAATGCAGAGCACATTGCCCTGGATTTCCTGAAGCAACCTGAAGAGATCGCCCAAGTCTTGAAAGAGAAGAATGTGACGGCCGACCATGTCTTCTTTTTCTCCTACATCCAGGTGGAGCCGAAAGCTGGTGCTGGACTCTGGTCTGACGCCGAAGAGATGTGTCGGGTGAACTCGCTGTTGCTTGATAACTTTTTAGGAGGACTCGTCAAGGCCAATATCAAACCCAAATGCTTTATGCTGCAGACCGGTGCCAAAAACTATGGCGTCCATTTGGGTCCGACAAAGCTTCCACAAGAAGAGTCAGATCCACGCGTCAATCTCGAACCAAATTTTTACTACCCACAGGAAGATTCTTTGTGGAAGTACGCGAAGGAGCAAGGCGTAGAATGGACGATTGGCATGCCAGGTCCCATATTGGGCGCTGTCCCAGATGCAGCAATGAATGCTGCCTTCCCGCTTGCAGTCTATGCGGCCGTTGCCAAGCATAGAAATGTGCCACTTGAATTTCCGGCAGATATCGCTTCGTGGCAGATGTACCAAAGCATGAGTTCAAGTATGATGAACGCATACCTGGAGGAGTGGTCCGTTCTGACAGATGGTGCAAGGAATCAGAAATTCAATGCCTGCGACAATAGTGCCTTCACATGGGAAGGCTGCTGGCCGCGTATTGCTGGCTGGTATGGCATAGATTGGAGCGGGCCTAGTTCGAATGCAAAGTGGATCGAGAAAGAGACTAGATTCAATCCACGGGGATATGGTGAGAAAGGAGTATCAAGGAGGAAGTTCACTTTTGTGGACTGGGCCAAGCGCGATGAAACGAAGAAGGCATGGAAGGAAATCGCCCACACTCATGATCTGCAGCAAAAAGAATTGAAGGATATCGATCGTGTGTTTGGCTTCCTGGACGGTAGTGTAAGCCGCCCTGCTCCATTGGTTTTCAGTACCGACAAGGCTCGCAAGCTGGGATGGCATGGATTCGTTGATTCATCGGAATCAATTCTTGAGGTGTTTGATGATCTAGCCAAGCTCAAAATGATTCCGCCTGTGCCAAAGGTAAATGTCAAGTTCAATTGAAATGCACCCTTTGACACGAGCTTTGTGGTTGATCGGTGGAGAGATAATGGCGCCGCCCATCCGATCCTATGGAGAACGGGAGGAGTCAGAGCAGCTTAAAATTGGCAATACATGCTTGTCGGCCTGTGGGAACAAGAAAAGATCGTCCAGTTATGCTGAGAAAATAAAGTTGTACTCCCTACCTAGGGTATGGATCATCTTTATACATCTTCAACTTTGCCTCGGGACTTTTTTAAACTTTTGTGTATGGAAGACACCCATCCTATGCAAGTGATAAATGCACCTGCCGCCATGCATGAACCGACAAACACAATCAAAGCTTTAAATGTCTGTGCAGGAGTAGAGTCATTGCCACGACTTCTACCGACTTTCAAAAGAGACGAGCTGATTGGCCCTGAGACAATGACTCCCAATCCTCGCCCACATGATAGGAAACTGTAGATCATGTTGGCATCTCGCTCGGCAAACATCGTCCCCATGCGGGGCCATAGCGCAATGAATCCACTAGCGAAAGCTCCGAAGACAAATGCAAAGGCTATCACATATGCTAGTGAGTCTGCGAGGCTCCAAAGAATGAAAGTGGAACCACATGCAACAGTGGCTGAGATCGTAGCCAGCATGTGGACGCTGAATTTGTCGGAAAGCCTGCCAAACGATATCTCGCCGACGATCTGGGCGATATTTGCGACCGCAAGCACCATAGCACCTTTTGAAGTTGAGTATCCTAAGATGGTGGTATATGAAGGAAGGTAGATGAATGGTAGGTAGAATGCCAAGGCTTGAAGGAGGTTGGCTATGAGAAAGAGGTAGAACGTCGGTCGTTGGTAATATCGGTTCGCAGGAGGTAATTCCGTTGCCACACCTTGTTGGGTACTAGGAGCGGAGACATGGCTGTCCTCTGTTGTCGTTTGGGCCGTTCCGTACACAGGCCTTTCGCGGATGAAGAATAGGCAAATGCCGGGAATAACGAAAGCAATTGCGGCCATGGTCAAAAGGGTGATTCTCAGACCATGTTTGTTCAGCATTGAACTTGCGAGGAATCCCCGGGCAACACCAAACAAGTCAAGTACACCGCACAGTAGTCCAAAGAAAAGTCCTCTTCGTTTGACAAACCATGTATTCATTATGATCAAGGATGGCATTTCAACAAGAAGAACTCCAATGCCATATAGTAGTCCTTGTGTTGCAATGAGAGGTTTCACGTCATGGCAAAAGGCGCTACTGAGTAGCCCAATGACAGTTAGAGCCCAACCAAGGATGATATAGTAATGTGGCTTGATCGAGATAGCTTCACATAGGTATGTTATAAATGGGGTTCCGAGGTATGGTATACCGGAACTGAGGACGCCTATCCAGGAGGCAAGTTGATGGTTTGGGAGCGATACTTGATTGGAGTAGTAGTCTTGGAAAACCCCAAATGATAGTGATATACCTGAGTAGAATGAATGGTTAGTGATCGTGTCAACCAGTAAGCCAAGATGAGCACAAACCGAACAGAAGAGCTTCTGAAAATAAAATGGCTATGTAGACCCGGTAGGCAGCCCAGCTGCTGTCTGTCGCATATCGAGAGTCCGCTTGGCCTAGCGAGAGATGATCATTGTCTATGGCAATCGTTGTATCGTGTGCGGCCTTGTTAGGCTCAGTTTCTGTTTTCATTTTCAGGGCGGGGTCGGATGAGGCTGAGATCTGTGGCAAACTAGTAGTATCGTGAACAGGGGCAGACTCCTTCACCATGCTGAGCAATATGCCTTTCGCCTAGGTCGAGAATTTCTTGAATGTGGCTAGGGCCTCTCAGAATTATGTGCATATTATATCACCTTCAGACTTCAAGGATGATCGAGAGTCCCAGTTAAGGGACATTTCGAAATTCCTTGAGTTACCTAATTCTGTGCCGCTTCTGGCAGCTGATTGACACACGGCAGGAAGAGACGCACAGGTCGATGCGCCCGGATTGGGCGTCAGCGGTCTGAATAGTAACGGACCACCAGGGACGGCTGGCTGTGCAAGGGGGAAAGCGAGACCCTCAAGCCGCAGAGGCCGCTGATTGAGCCTCATGGTTCCGCCAGCATTCAACGGTGTAGCGATTGGACGCAACACTTCAAGGGAGAGCAAAAGCAGAGGAAAAGAACCTATAATGGCTGGCAGGACTCTGGGTTCCCCCTCGGGTTGACCAGTGAAAGATGAGTGCGGCTGCTCAGCCCGCCACAAAGAGGAAATCAGGCGGTGTCGTCGGTCTCCCCATCGAAATACGGATACCTGTCAACTAGGATTAAAAGCTTGTTGAGCAGCCCAAATTCATTGGGGCTGAAAACCCAATGGTGGAGGAAGACGCACTGAGCCTTTCTCCGGATATCGGTTGTTGATGGATCTAGATTTCCTGGTGGAGAAAGATCCAGATGAGGCCTTCAGCTCCTGGGACGCTACTGTGAGAGGGAAGGTTTTCAGTCAGCAAGCCATCCTCATGAAACACTTTCCCTATTCAAGTGAACATCCTCGTATCCCGGCTAAACCTTCTCTTGCTAGATGTTAGGGCTGAACCCCAATGTCCACATTCGGAGTCCATAACCTTGTAAGTAAGGATGGTCGACACAAAATTCGCAACGTGGCTCAAGAATAGCAGTGCGCGGGATGAACACGAATCGAACAACCAATTCCTTGGTTCTGAATATGAGCTTCACATTGGCATGTACCCATCTAGTACATGCCTTCTATCAACATGCTTTTAGTCTCTAGTTGGGCGAGTCTGGATTTGCAAGAGCGTTTGATTTGTGTTGTGGGTTACGATGAGTTCAATGGTCATACCAGTCAGTTCTCTTAGGCCAGAACATCATGGTTTCAGGCATCCCACGGTGTTGGCCTCATTTGACACCCTTTACTCACAGAGGGGCCGTCGTCTCTAGTTATATTGCAAACCAGCCAGCCAATTCAGCATCCCATCACAGATGTAAAGTCTCGCACTTCGGCAGCTAATTATTCTCCCCTTAGTTTAAGAATAGCGACTTATCTGCACCTATAATCTTGCCCTTGGGTTCAACGCCTCATCGATGAGTTGGATAGCGGCTTGTGCGCAGCCATATGAAGATTGGTAACCTGCCCCTCCGTGCCCATAATTGTGAACAACCCATACATTGTTGATCCGCTGTTTCTCGATTCTTGCACCGCCTTCGCGCACCGGTCGCAATCCAACTCCATGTCTGATGATATCCAAGTGCTCGATGCCTTTACCGCCAGTGAGGGCGGGACACAGTTCTACTGCCCTCTTCATGATCCGCACTGCAAGACTGGGATCAACCTGAGACTCCCAATTTCCCTTCTGATACGAGCCACCTAATATGGTTCCACCGCCAGCGGCTCTTGACATGACATAGCAGGCTTCATCGTCGCCGTCATCAGTCCCCGAAATGTCCAGCATCTTACCAGCTTCGTTCCGGACAAGCACAATTTGTCCTCGAGCAGGTACGACAGACTTGTCCTCAACTCCACCAAGTCTTGATGCCAGCAGCCCGGTACAATTCACTATCAAGTCAACCTTCCCCGAGGAGTGAATCTTGGGCGTGTTAGCTTCCGAAATATGGTTGAACACAGCACGCTTGAATTCAACGCCGTTCTTGAGACATTGTGAGACCAGCCACGGTAAGTATATTGCCGTGTTGATACAGACAGACGTAAAACTTGTCGCCGAATCTATCCCCGCCCCAAGCCTAGCTTTGGGGACAGAACGGAACTATTGGCGGACGATGTTAGCCAAACAATGGAGCCACTGAAAAAACGCTCACATTAGGAACAACGTCCTTGAACCAAGGGTTTGGTGACAATAGCTCGGCAAACCACTCAGCTGTTGCAGAGCCAACGTCCTTGGTGCGATTGTGAATTTCACATTCTGTGATGTCGTCAACAATGTCCCTAAAAGCGATCTCAGCATTATACCTTGGAAATGGACTCCAGCTTCCGGACGATTTCGAGCGAGGTTTTCTAGTGGAGCCCACGTATTCCTGTCCCACTCTGCCGCCGGTGTTCCACGAACAGAGACACTCCAAGTTGTCAATGACCATTGTCGAAATTCTCTGGATCGACCCTTTCGACTTACGGCATATAGTTGGCTCCTGCCCACGGTGAAGCATACTCGATGTCATAATCGCCTGGCATGTGTTTGGCGGCGACCACAACCTTGTACTCGGGGTTTCGCGACAGAAGCAGAGCTGTTGTCAACCCAGAAACGCCCGCCCTGCACCTCGTCAGTCAAGAGTCTCAGATCGGAGGGAAGCCATCTAATTTTGAAACAGGCCTGAAGGTCTTTGAACCCATCATCCAACTCACCCAACAACGACTATATTCTTTTGCGACATAACGGCTGCAATTGGCGTGACAACATAGATCGAGATCAGAAGTTGGTAGTGTGTGCCTTCATCGTGAAGGTGAAATAGTTTCAGCACTTATGCATTGCAATAATTCGACGGATCTTTTCAAACACGTGTTGGCTGTCTCGCACAACTCCGTACTCGTCGAACATGACTAACGAGAAGCCACGCTATGATGTGCGATAGTCTCCGGCCTTGGAACTTAACCTTCTTGATACATGTAAATCCAGGGTGCACGCTGATATTAAGATCTATTCCAATCCTTTCGGTAGACACATCATGACCTGTGATAACGGACAGATACTCCCAGTCTCCCATTGAGGATTCTTCCCCCAGCGGCACAGTTTGACCGAGCATGAAGCCCATCTCGGAGGTGCCTGGCATTGGATCGAAAAGGGTGAAAGCTTTAGCGCGGTGTCCGCTAGCGCCCTGAGGGTGAGTTTCCTGTGTTCCATCCAAGGCATCTCATGTTCATGCACAACAAGAGGTAAACGCGATGCAAAGATGGCGCTGGCCATGCATATGCAGCATAAAACGGGACATCCTAGGACAGCCGGCCGATATCTACGAAGAGAACATGAAAGTCGAAACCACTGCTTTAAAAGCTGACTTCTCTCCCAAACTCCTACGTCCTGGTCTGGTCTAGTAAGTCTCTCGAGATTTCACGTTCACACTCCGATCTCAGGATGGCAAGCATGGAGAAAACCATCGCATCATACCGCGAACGCCAAGCAGTATTAGAAGAGCGCAACGATGCTTTCGCTCAGGGCATTGCATGGGTCGAAGGAACACTAGTGGCACTGCGCGAAGCACGCATCCCACTGCTCGACCAAGGCTTCCTGCACAGCGACCTGACGTACGACGTGCCCGCCGTATGGGACGGGCGATACTTCCGGCTGGACGACCACCTGTCGCGGCTGGAAGCCAGCTGCGCGAAATTACGTCTACGCCTTCCACTTCCGCGCGACGAGGTGCGCCGAATCCTGGTCGAGATGGTCGCTCAGAGCGGCATTCGTGATGCATACGTCGAGATCATCGTGACGCGGGGTTTCACAAGCGTACGTACCGCCCGTCTCGGTGACACGAGCCAGAACCACCTGTACATGTTTGTCCAGCCGTATGTGTGGGTGATGGAGCCAGAAGACCAACGCAAGGGCGGCGACGCCGTCATCACACGTAGTGTGCGCCGCACGCCGCCAGGCTCGATGGATCCGACGATCAAGAACCTCCAGTGGGGGGACTTGACCCGGGGTGTGTTCGAGGCCGCGGACCGCAACTCAACATATCCGATCCTCACGGACGGCGACGCCCACATCACTGAGGGTGCGGGCTATAACCTCGTGCTGATCAAGGATCGCACGCTGTACACGCCAGACCGTGGCGTTCTGGAAGGCGTGACACGCCGGACCGTCCTCGAGATCGCCGCGTCCCTGGGCTTGGAAGTCCGTCTGCAACCGGTTCCCGTGGAGCTGGCGTATTCCTGTGATGAGATCTTTATGTGCACGACCGCCGGTGGTATCATGCCTGTTACTTCGCTGGATGGCTTGCCGGTTGGGAATGGTGACGAGTGTCGGATGGGGCCGGTCACCAGGTTGATTTGGGATGCTTATTGGGCGTTGCATTATGATCCGGTACATAGTTTCGCTGTTGACTACCGCGAGAGTGGTGCTGGAGGACACCTTGCACCAGGCGCAAATGGTGTGGCATAATGGAGTTTAGAAGCTGACATGAGCAAATAAACCAGCTTCACTAGGATCAGGTTGCATCTCTCATGATCCGGAAGGCACAACTGGTAACGTTCTCTGGCTACATTGTGTTAATTGTGCAACGAGATCTGGGTCCGGGTCCATAGGCAAAAATCGAACGGGAGGTCTACGACGACAAAGGAAGGAAAGTATGAATGGAGCAGCAAATCAGTATATAAACCTCTGAATGAGTATTGATTCAACTGGATCTAACGATAATACCGCTCTGTACCGCGGTTGCGATGCCCATCCCAACGCCACCGCTAACATACAAGTTGATGCTCTTTGCCTGTCCTGTCAAGAATCCTTGACGTCTAAATAGATAGGTCGCACTCAAAAAATTGCCTGGGGCATTGTTCATTAGAGAAGCATTTGCCCGTCCAAATCTTCATCTTCGGCCTCCGAGTCCTCAACTTCAATCGGTGGGTGGGCTTGCTTAAGGCTTGGAGTGACTTTTCCTCGTCTTGGTGTGAGCTCATCACTTGTCGAATTCGTGTTAGGAAATTCTTCACTTTGACTGGGTTCTAGTTGCTGCGTCTCAGGTATCTCCCTGTCGTCGACGATTGGACCGATCTCGACGGCAGTTCGACCTGCATTTCGTTTTCTTTTCCGATCAATTTGACCATGCGAGAGAGACCCATCGCTCACCGGGGAGAAGTGGGAGCCTGAATCCGCTTTGACCTTCACTGCAGTATTCTCTTCGCGTTTGTTCGACTTATTTGGGCTCCGTCTGCATGCCGGTGCAGCAAACTGGGCTAAGGCTGCATAACTTGCCAAGGCCTCATCCCTGGCCGAGGGCGCATAACTTGCCAATCCAGACAAGTATTCTGTAAATGTGCTATCCGATCGTTTATGCCCATTGTCGCTGTTTACGTTAAATTGGCTGCGAGGTTGGCGTTTTGTATTTTCGTGCTCCTCATCTTGTTGCCTCAGGTCGGCAACAAGGCTAGCAGGTGAGTTGTGTAAAAATCTTGCCGAAGTCAAGCCTTCTGTCTTGCGAGCTGGAGCCGGACTTTTGGTTTTAGCGGAAGGAATGTCAGCTTCACCACGTTGCCTGGTAGCCTGCTGTCTCCGCGAAAATCGTGGTGAAGAGGGTGGCTGAGAACTGTTCTCATCAGCCTTGTCAACCGTCTCGTTATGTCTGGTTAGGCGTCGAGACGTCATTCGATCTCTAGTTTCCTGTCGTTGATCTGGAAAGGAATCGACAGTACGTGATGTGTGTGGGTGTTCGGGAACCTGTCTAAACTCGTCAAATCCTTGTTCTGCTTGCTGCACATCTTCCTTGCTTGTGGGGAGATCACCCGTGTCCGATAGAGCTGATTTGGTCCGTTCCCCGAGCATGATGCTACCAACATCTGGGATGTCATAGGATGATGTTTCTTCTTCTTGCCGCCTATGAAGTTCAAGAATCAAATCCCTTAACCGGGTCCTCAGGTCTTCACTTCGAATGTGGTCTGGCCACAGTTGAGTACTTTCTTCCCTCTGAAGTATCCTGGCGACGAAATTATCAGGGTCTGCAATGAACTGTTCCAGATACATGCAGAGATAGAGACCACAGTCACTGTAATTCCTCTGCGTGGGAATGCCCTTAGCAGTCATCCCTTTTATCGCAGCGTCTTCAATGTCAAGATTTTGCTTGTCTTTGGCTTCGGCTTTAATGTAACTCTTGAGGATAGCGCATGTTCCTGAGCGTGGCATCCCAAGTGAATCGAGCGTAATAATGATTGGCTTGTCAAGTGCGTATTTAGGTAACGACCGGCGTGGCTGCTTGCGTTTGTTGAGGGATTTCTTCTGGAATGGAGGCTTCTCAATCTGATTCAATTCACTGTCATTAAGACTGAGTTCAGCAAATGAGTTTTGCGTCTCTGTTGTAGGTGCCATGTTGCTCTCGTCCCACTCCGTCATCACATCTGAGATGATTTGTGGTTTGTCTGTGTGAGTTTCATCTTGGCGCTGAATTCCAATTTCTGAAGTCGTGTCGACCTGAATCCCATTCTCTTCTTTCGGTGGATCGCTCAGATATGGCAGGTTACAAATAATCGCGAGATACCAATGCAGATTTTCATTGACAGGCACCACAACGAAATCTCGGTTGAAAATATTGATAGCTTTTGTCCAGCGACTAACGGCAGCAAAGTCGATACTTCTTGCTTTTGCATTTTGCGTCAAACGTTCGAAAAAGTATGTGTTGAAGAAATGAGTTCTTTTGTGCAGCTCCGGGTTGTGCTGTTCCATGAAAGTCTCAAGATATTGCATGAAAAATGATATTAGGTTATCATTTAAGAACTCATCCTCACCGAGACGATCGAGATCTTCAAAAGGAACGGTCGCAGACCGCTTTCCAGGTTTTGGATAAACGAGATCTCGTGACCATCGCGGTCCTAATATACCAGTCGCGGCTAGTTGAGGTTCAGGATCAGCGTAATCTCGAGAATCATCCACATCTGGCCCATGCTGACGGTATCCCGTCTGTCTTTGCAACCCGTCACGCTCGGGGTCCTCCACCTTGGTCCGGGTAGTACGTCTTTGTGCTCTCTGTTCTTGCTGGGCTCGCTGGACGTCAGCTGTGGCAGCTGGCGGTCTGCCAGAAGCACGCTCTGATCCAGAAATAACAGTTGGCGGTCGAACCTCTTTCGTGGGTGCATCGAGAAGATCAACCATACGGTGACTTCTCCCTGCTTTCTGATTTGTGGAGGCACGCAGTTGGCTCGTTATCGGAAGGTCATCTTTTGGACCTGGGTTCTCCAAGTGCACAGACCGGCCGGCCGATTGTTTCTTCGCAATTTCGAGTGCCTTATTCATCCACTCCCTAAAATGGTCAGCATCTAGTTAGTCGGGTGCGAGTTGGACTTACTCATCCTTTTGCAGCATCTTCAACTGTAAATTAGCTTTTTGCACAAATCTTCGGAACTCTGCTGCTCCTTCACGAGACTCAAATTTAAGATGGAGGTCTTCACTACCGTCAGCGGTCTGTGGGTACCGAATGATGACGCTGCTGTTGTCATCGTGGAAAAATTTGATTATCTTGGTGATTGAAAATGGAGCCAATATCGAATCATCAGATAGGGAAGGGTTCTGAAATCTGATGTCAAACTCTCTCGACTCAGGCGTAGAGTGAATGACAAATGCATTGGAATTGTCAAGTTTGGAACAGACCACCTCTGAAAGGGGGAATGTAATGAAATTACCCGCAAGGAGGGCATTGGTCAATTTTGAACCTCGCAGTTGCTGTCGTGGCCTGGCCGATGACGAAGAAGTGCCAATTTGTACACCCTTGATACGTGTTTCCATTCGCGTCTCGGATTGGTTCTTGATTTTAGGTTGCGGTTCTGGTACTTTCGTTGATAGACCAAAATAGGGAGACATGATCTGCCTTGAGGCACGCTTGAAGGGAGGCTGAACAGGGGATGAGCTGCTGAGTAAATGATCTTTCTCCTGTTTTCTCCGCTTTGCAGAATTCTTGGTAAACCTGTCTTCATGTTCTGGCGAGGGGGAGGTATGTCTTGATAATCTCGATAGATCAACGGAAACGACTTGTTTGTTCCCCACCACAAGGCCATTTCGGACCGCTTCGGGGTGCTGCTTCTGCGACAATGCGGGTTTCCTCGGCCTGGGATCTGATGGTGGACTCAGTTGTAGTTCATCAGGAGAGTCATCAATATTGCTTTGGCTATTATTATCCACCCTTATGGCGGACCCGGGGGATGCCCCGGGCTTGCTAGGGTGGGCCACCTTCAGTCTCTTGTTCGGGATGTCGTGATCATTGGCGCGAGGTCCAGGGTTGACCTTGGGACTACTTATGGAGTACTGAAGTTGTCCTTCGCGCGGGGCCTGCCTCATGACACTTTCAAACTCTGCTCTCGAATTGTTCGTCGTCGGTTGGTCTAAGGTATTGATCGGCCGGTGCCCACCGGTCTAGATTCACTATCAGATAAAGTTTTCCACCAACGCACACGAGGACATACCACAAAAGATGATTTTCTCGTCATCATGGGATCTGGGATGGTTGTCGCGTCAGGTTCACGGGTACTGTGAAGTCTCTTAGTAGTCGGACGCAAGTGATGTAAAGTCGTTTTGCCATACGACACTGTGGCCATCAACTTGGACTCTTCTCGCGGTGCTCTGGTCAAGACCGTATGCGGGTGTGAGCGTGAGTAGTCAAAACTGAAAGTGAAGAATTCAGCCATGGTCCTGTGAAGGATGCAGGGGAGATATGGGCATACGTTTGGGTGGAGGGTTTCCTGGAGGGAGGAGGATGGGGATGATTGTCTTCTTCATCACTATTTAACTGAGATGTGTTAGATGTGTTGTTTGATCAACACACAATGCTGAGATGACTCACTACGATTGGATCACATTCAGCATTGTCATGTAGGCTCAGGAAGCCTTTGACGTTGCTGGGCTTGCGTTGTCTGGGACTGGAACGACTGCGGGGCATCTGGACCCGAGAATTGAATGACCGGGTAATGGATGCATGAGAGGCGACAACAGGAGGTGCGCGGTCGTGGATCCTCTGGCTGGGAATGCGAATGTGGTTGTGGTTGTCTGGTACACTGCCAGGTTGCGCGCCCGGTTCGGATTTGTGTTCAGGATCGGATATGAGGTTGGCTGGGTTGAAGGCGGAAACCACACTCTGTAGGCCATCTAGAACTGCGTCTGTCCATTTGAGGGGCATTGACTTCTTGATTGTGCATGTCCCACGTGTAGGCGAGTAAATTCACGTTGTGGGCGGGAGTCTACCGACCATATCGAGACATGTCGTTGGTGGGGAATCACTTTGAATCTCAAGCGACCACCAGAGTTCAAGTTGGCTTCAAATTGCGGAATGATGCAGACAGTCACGTGAATGCAAGGTACGGACAAAGCCTCCGGGCCCGGGGCATGGTTCTAGGCGTAAACTTACTCGTAGCCTAATGGACAGAGCCTCAAGCGAGAGCATCCCGCTAATAGATGCCTGGCCGGTTATGGGCGCGTGTGGGTTATGTCAGCATCGTTGTCGGTTGTCATAAATATCATCTGTGTTTCGACATTCTGAATTGTACGAGTACTGTTTGCATTGGTCAGTCCAAACGGAGATCAAACCGTTGGTGACATGGCATAGAAACACATTGACCCAAAAAAGTAGCCACGCTGTTGATCAGATGCCGCAGACCATTATCTGCATTTCGGGCATTTATCCAGGAAAACTACAAGTGACCTAAGTCGGCGGGCACCACACAGTAATGATATGTTCCGGGGTTACTCTGACTTTCACATCCAGTTACATCTCCGAGGACACATTGACTCTCCACGAGGGGTTGCCAGCTCGCCCAGCTCCTCTCGTCTTGCTGTGTAGAACTTTCCAGTACATAATACAGGGCCTTCTGATGGCCTGGCCTTTGAATCCATTCCAAAGCTCCTAGGAAGTAGTAGGTTTCTTGGTCTTTTCGGCATCATCGTGCAATGTGAGGCGCCGCCTTTCAGTGCCCCCATGACTAGGTGGGCCGCTCACCTTCTGCTGGCGAGCCTCGTCCAAGGCCGATCGCTGGGCGATGCTATCATCGTGGCTTTTCCACACGATGTTTGTGTCCGGGGGAAATGCCAGTATTCGCTTGATTGTTTCTCTGCCCTCGAGTCAGTATAGAAGGTATCAGAGGGTTCCACTATGCTTACCTGATCTTGATATTGCGACCCCCATCATTTCTCGTCCAGACACTGAGCACATCCTCCCCGCTTCGGACACTGAGCACTGCACCACATACCTCTTCACCAGCTTCCATAAACTGGTCGCCAATGATTGCGAGCAAGAGGTCTTCCCAATAACGATCTGCTACACCTTTCTTTAGACGCACGATCCATTTGCCTCCTCTTTTGTTCGCTTCGTCTTCCCAAACTGGGCGAATTCCGTCCTTGAAAATGTGGTAATCGGAGACTGTGGGTAATAACGACGGCCGCTTCAGATGGCAATATATCTTCCAAAAGTCTTCAGCACTGCCAATCGCAGCCAGCTTCAAGGTGGATTTTTCATAGTCGGAGAACTTGTTTGCCGGAGGGCGATAGAAGAGGTTCCAGGTGTTGCGAAGGGCGTGTTCTGCGGGAGAACTAGATGCTGCAGGTGATCGCGCAATTTCCGCTGGGAGGGTCTCTGCTGAATTGTCCGCCTCCTTCTCTTTCTTCTCCTTGGACGAAAAGTCAAAGCCAGAGCCGGTTCCTGGGGTCTTTGGGGTTTTGGCCGATCCAAATGAAGCGAAGGCACCACTTCCTAGGCCAAAGGCAGAGGATGCGCCGACCGAGGGTGACTTGGTGGCCGAAGGGGATAGTGCGTTGAAGGGATTGTTCTTGCCGTGTGAGGAGGAATCACCGAACCGTCTACTATTGAAGGATCGGGGTGAATCTGTTTTGTTGCCGTCCTTGGTGTCCTGGTCTTTCATGGACAGCGAGAGCTTTCCGGTGCTTCGTACATATTAGTGAGTGGTCAAGATCCAAGCCGAAAGCAGGAAAGAAACTCACTTTGAGCGCCTCGTCCATAAATTTGCGTTTTCCATGAGGGAAAAGTAGAAGGACTACCGTCGGACGGCCAGAAGATTCAAGCCGAGTGGAGTAGCAGACCGACACCCAATCGAACAATTGCCAGGTCTTCGATAGAAGCGGTGCACGACTTGAGGGCAAGGACGGGCTACTTGGTAGGTGACTAGACAGGGTAGTGTAGTGGGAAGATGGGGTCGAGTCGAATGGGCAGTGTTTTGGGAATGTGTAAATGGTGAATAGAAATGCGAAAGAAATCCCAGATGATGTTGTTACATGCGTCGAATGGAGGATGAAGCGAAGGTGTGAAGACAGTGGTGAATGGGAGTTGAAGTTGATGTACACAATAATGTTTGAGGATTGTAGTGGTGGAAATATGGGAGGAGCAAGTCGGTTAGAGAAGTGCAGGAGTGTTGCGAATGAAGTTCGAGTTGATAAGTGGAGGTCGCGGTGAAGTCTGAGCCTTGACTTGAGGTGCCTCTCGCCTTCAAGTCCTTCTCTGCCCTTGCAGGTGCACCCTCGCACCGAAATCGTCCCCCCAAGTCGACGGTTGGTGCCACCAATCGAACGCCAAAGCCTGCGGTAAGTGTGCCCCAGTTTCTTTGAACGCGCTTAGGCCCCTTCCAGGCTAGTAGAGAAGGCTCTTTAGGGACAGACAAGGCTAAACACGACGCTTAATGCAATCTGCAGGGTGGCCATCCGCGAAGGGTTTGCGCCATCTTCTTTGTGAACGGTGCCAATGTTGGCTAATCCATTTCAGGTCCAGCCCGATTTTTGCTCTCAACCTCAAGTCGACTTTTATTCGATTTCTCAATTCTTTTTTTCCTCTTCAAATCTTCAGACCACCAACTCAAATCATCGTCAGCTATGACCATCGTCGCCATGAAGCTGGTGACTCCGATGTGTGTGTCGAGAATACCTGCATTGCAGCAAATCCGCATCTAAAACCATCATCACGAGGGCCCCTGTGGCTGCCATGATGCGGTGATGACCTGATTGACGGAACAATCTTTACAGCCTTTGTATCTCTTATCAACTGATTCCTAGAATGTGTGTAACTGCTTTCCGTGTCTTCCCCGATAGCTGCTTGATGAAATTATCACCTCTGGTAAGCCGAAAACCCAGCCGCACTCCAACGATTCCACATCGGCGCTGGCAGGGCATGAGGTCAAAGGCACTGTCTGAACAGTCACATTCGTACTTCCTTCTCGAATCATAACATTTGGGGTTGACACTGATCATAGAATTTGTATAGCGTTCCTACTGCCTACTGGATGGTCGTGTGCGCCGATTGCAGTTCTATTACTATTTTCCTAGTCTCCGCGTTTCTCAATATGTCGTCAACGTTGACTTCTTTTTGAGATTGACGCAACCGAGTCTGGACATGCTCATTATCCAAAGGATTACCTTCGAGCGATTCTCATACCGCGTCCATACTTGCACGTGAAGTCAACTGCTCATTCTGATTGCCCAGTTTGGAAATTTGCAAAAACGCGTCCACGCCGTACCCTTCTAAACTGTGCAGTTCAAGGCCGCCTGCCCAGTATTCTGCATAAACTCGACTCATTGGCAAGCCCATCCCCAGCCTGAAATCCGGTGGTCGCGATGCGAGTGTGCTGAGGGAGGAATCCCGGATTTTGCCTTTGGTCCCAAGATTGCCTGACAGTCGTACTTCTTGCATGGTTCCTGCAAGGGTTGGTACATCTCTAAAGTTCTCCAATCGAGATGCACTTCGTGGCCCCTTGTTGAAGGACCAGAGAAATGGAATGATATCACGAGGGATCCCACCGCCCTGGTCGGAAATGCGAATGACCACATTTTGAGGTGCCTCGCAAATCAACACCTCGATCGGAGGCGGAGGTTTCTTCGTGGTACGAAACCGTTGCATGACTGCTTGTACCGAATTTCGTAACAGTTCCCCTATAATGTATTCCAGATGGCTCAGCACGTAAGGGAAAGTGGCATTCGTATGACCTTGTATTTTGATTTCCGGAATGGCCATCTCGGAAGATGCCGAGGACCTGCACATCTCTCGGGAGAGACTACCACACCGTTCTATGACTTCTTTGGCATTGCAACGAAGGAGTACCTCGCCAACAAACTCATTCTCTGAACTAGGTTGCGCCACATGCCATGGCGAATTGTATGTCTCGGTGAGTGCCAGATGCTGTTCAGCAATGACTCTTCGCGAAATTCGAGCTCGTAACATGGCTTGAACGAAATTGTCCATGGTGTCGGGCGAAACCAATTCCTGACATTCGAGAACTCCGACAACGAGATTGGGTATAACAGACAAATGTTCTTGCAAATTCTCGCTGATTACCTTGCAAAAAGCATCATTTTCCTCGACAGTTCTGATGACCGGAAAGCGCCGAAAGCTCTCGAAGGATTTGTAGTATAACTCATAGACCATGGAAAGATGTGGGTTCGTGACCACAACATAGGGTAGGCGTTGTATTTCTCGGAGCCGGTGGGCAAGTCTGGCCATTGTTTAGATATGTGTATCTAGAGGTTAATGTGTAGGGGGTCAACCTTGTAGGCAGTTCCATCCGAACATAGTTGGCAGAACTGAGAAGACGACTTTCAGTCAGGGTGCGGCCGAAGAAGAACAGCTGCCTCAAGCTGATGGGTCGATTAGGGCGATCGACCCAGCTGGACGTGTTTGTTAGAAAGAGAGGTCAGGGTCAGCGCGGTGCGATCAGACTTACTCGTCCAATGCTGAAGCTGGTCGCCATGCTGGTGGATTTCTTACAGCCGTAGAAGAGGCATGTCGGCTCAATAGAACTGTGGGAAAGGCATTGTTGATGTAATTCAAGCCGCGCCGCCTGGAAATGCAGGCGACTTGGAGCATTTGATATCACCGCACGGAGGGGGCCAACAGAATCATGGAGGAGGCTTTGAACAAGATGTGGTCATGGTTTCTGCGCTCGTTGGTCGCTGGCGTTGGCTCGTGTGATGGTTGTACAGAGAGTCATTGGAGGGGAGATGAGGAGTCACACAGCAGTTGGAGTCGAGATGTTCAATAGTGGCCATCCCGAGCTAGTAGCCTACTAGTATCACTAGGGCGGCTTGAACTTCAAGTTCGTCATAGTGGCACTCACGACCGTCAGATACTTCAACTTGAACCCAGCAAAGCTGGCTCCCGCTCCCAATCGTCATTATGGTTTCTGGGCCTAGCGTGTGAACTCTGTCTGGACCGCCTAAGTGGTCCCTCATGGGACTCGTAGTTAGTGGCAAGTCCCCTAACACTATTTCCTTGCCCGCAAAGGGCACCCGCAGCCAGACACACAGCCCCGAAGTCTTAAAGCCTGCGCCGCTCTAACTACACACCTCACTCCAGGCCTGACGCCGCCACCCTACCCTACCTACCAATCGACGATTGATGTGATGAGACTGACTGGCCTGCGATCTATGATCCACGAGTAACTTGCTTTGGTTCACTACCGCTCCAAACAGCCACCACTACCAAACGACCGAACGAACATACCTTACCACTATTTTTCGTGTCTGTATCCCCATCCTCGTCGCGCGCACTGAGTCTCGCAGATACGTCCTTCCCTTCACTGCGAGACCTTCGACTCTTCGGTCCTTATTATTATTTCTCACCATCGCCCCTCCCCTCCAAGTCGTCTTGGCCGCCTTCCCTGCGAAATAAGCCTGCCTGTGCAGTGGGTGTGGCCTCTCGCACCCGCGGCTTCCCACCCTCAGTCACATATTTCTCTGCGGAACTTCGTGGAAGGAGCTGCCCTGCCTTCCTCGTCAAGTCCAACACACTTGACTGCAGTGGCCCAGCATGGAAAATGTATGCTTGATTTCTCCCTCCTTCCATTCCACTACCATCACCCTTCGAGTTGCTCATTGAGATCGATCATGGTTGCTGACGTTGTCTCCTCGTTTCAATCCATGAAGTTGGCTGGCCCTGACATGCTGGTTGACAATTATGACCAATATACCAATCACGACAATGAAGTTGTCAACATCTCTCCCGATGATGCTTCAGAAGGCCCCTCCGAAAACCTTCCTCGGGCTGATGATTGTAAGTTATCCTCCCCTTCCACCCACCGTCGACCTTCCCACTAATCCTCCGCAGTCGAGGCCATGAAACGTCATGTCCTGGTCGATCTCCCTGACACCGAAACTGAAGCCGAAGCCTACCACACCTGGCACATTGAAAAGTGGCGGAACATGCCTAGGAGGGAACATGGCCCTGTCTTTGAATGTGGTGGTCACCCGTGGCGTGTTCTTTTCTTCCCCTACGGCAACCAAGTCGACTGTGCCTCGGCCTATCTTGAACATGGCTTTGAAACCGACCCTCCTCCCGACTGGTATGCTTGCGTCCAATTTGCCTTGGTTCTGTGGAACCCCAATGACCCAACCCTATTCCGCTCGCACACCGCAACACATCGCTTCAATGCAAAGGAAGGGGACTGGGGCTTCACAAGATTCGTCGAACTAAGAAAGGCCTTCCATCAGCCTTGGGAGGATGGCTCAAGACATCTGGTCGAGAACGATGAAGCAAAGCTGACAGCATACATCCGAATCATCAAAGATCCTACGGGCGTGCTATGGCATAACTTTGAAGGATATGACTCCAAGAAAGAGACCGGCATGGTCGGCCTAAAGAATCAAGGTGCAACGTGCTATCTCAACTCTTTACTCCAGTCTCTATATTTCACAAATGCCTTCCGAAAAGCCGTTTATCAAATACCCACCGAGGACGATGCCAACCGTGGGAACAGTGCCTGGACGCTTCAACGCCTGTTCTACAAATTGCAAAAGGACAAATTGGCTGTCTCGACCAATGAACTCACAGCTTCCTTCGGCTGGGATACCCGGCAGATCTTTGAACAACAAGATGTCCAAGAGCTATCCCGGATTCTGATGGAAGTATTGGAAAAGAAAATGAAAGACACTCCTGCTGAAAGAACATTGCCAGAATTGTTCGTGGGTAAGACCAAAACCTATATCTCATGCATTAATGTGAACTTCGAGTCCTCCAGGATCGAGGAGTTTTGGGATATCCAACTTAACGTCCGAGGCAACAAAAATCTGCACGAGAGTTTCATGGACTACATCCAGGTTGAAACCCTCGAGGGAGAGAACAAGTACGACGCTGGTGAACCCTACAAGCTCCAAGATGCCAAGAAGGGTGTCATATTTGAGAGTTTTCCTCCCGTCTTGCATCTACAGCTGAAGAGATTCGAGTACGATATCAATCGAGACGCTATGATGAAGGTCAATGATAGACATGAGTTTCCTGAGGAGTTTGACGCGTCTCTCTACCTATCTGATGATGCAAAAAGCGCTACCTCCGAGCCATGGCTATACCAATTGCATGGTGTGCTGGTTCATAGCGGCGACTTCAATGCTGGCCACTATTATGCGTTCCTCAAGCCAGCAAAAGACGGCTTCTTCTATAAATTTGATGATGACCGAGTTACCCGATCTACCATGAAAGAGGTGCTTGAAGAGAATTTCGGCGGCGAGTATGCCAACGTCGCAAATGGAGGGCCAGGACAACGTCAGCCATACATGAGAGGCTATTCGACCAAGCGGTCCATGAACGCATACATGCTGGTGTATATCCGCAAGAGTAGACTCGATCAAGTCCTGGTTGGGCTCAATGAACAAACTATGCCATCTCATATTGAAACCCGAATTGCAGAAGAACAAGCTGAGCTGGCAAGGAAGAAGAAGGAACGTGAGGAAGCTCATTTATATATGAATGTGGGCATCATCACAGAAAAGACTTTTCAAGAGCATCATGGCTTTGACCTGACCAGCTATGAACTTGAACAATCCGATCCAGCTTCGGCCCAGGTTCATCGCCTCTTACGCACCATGAAAGTCAACGAGCTTGCTGCTCAAGTTGCAGGAGAGCTAGGACTGGAGTCTGATCAAGTTCGACTTTGGGTCATGGTGGGCCGGCAAAATAAGACAAATCGTCCTGATCAGCCAATCAAAGACGGCGATATCACAATGGAAGAAGCTTTGAACAAGTATGGGTCACGAGGACGACCATTCTACCTATGGGCAGAAACGGCAAGCAAAAGTGAAGATGGAAAGACTCAATTTCCCGATCCTTCTGAGGCTGCTGGAGGAAATCTTCCAATCTTGGTTTTCCTCAAGTATTTTGATGTCAAAGGACAAAATTTGACTGGTGTTGGCCACGTTTATGTCAAGAAATTGGATAAAGTCCAGGAGATTGCATCACGAATCAACAAGATCATGGGCTGGGATTCGACAACGCAGATCCTTCTCTTTGAAGAAATCAAATTCTCCATGATTGAAGCAATGAAGCCGAAGCAAACATTTCAACAGTCCGAGATACAGGACGGCGACATCATTTGCTTCCAACAGAATTTACCAGACCTGGACTCTTCGACGATAACGTACAGCGATGCACGCCAATATTACGATTACTTACTCAATCGAATATCAGTGAGCTTTTTCCCCAAACCTGGCAGTGAAGGAGATGCCTTCACCCTCAGTCTCAGCAAAAAGATGACATATGAACAACTCTCGACGAAGGTCAGCGAGCATCTTCATGTCGATCCAACTCATATCCGCTTCGCAACAATCAGTTCGACCAACAACAAGATCAAGATCTGGATCAAGCGTGGTATGAATCACAATCTGCAGCAAATCCTGCAATCACAATTTTCATCTTACGGCGGATATGCAACACACCGCAATGATGCTCTATACTACGAGATTTTAGAAACCAGCTTGGCAGACTATGAGACCAAGAAGATCATGAAGGTCATCTGGCTTACTGAAGGAATCAGTAAAGAGGTAAGTAAGATGCAATTTCCAATGGAAGCAGGCACTGATTGTACTTAGGAGCAACTGGAAATTCTAGTCGCAAAGAACGGCATCATTGGAGATCTCGTCAACGGCATCGCCAAGAAGCTTAATATGGACGAACAGACGGCGAGTAGTATTCGAATACTCGAGGTGCATGGCGGCAAGATTCACAAGGAGCTGATAGAAGATTTCAACGTTGGTGGAGTTAATGAGTTCACCACTCTATACGCTGAGAAGATTCCAGAGGAAGAATTGAAAGCCTCTGACGACGACAGATTCATCTATTGTTACCACTTCGACAAAGAAGCCAGCAAGCCTCACGGTGTGCCATTCAAGTTCATGCTCAAACCGGGAGAACGACTTAATGATACCAAGGAAAGAATAAGCAAGAGGACTGGCATCAAAGGCAAGCTCCTGCAGCAGATCAAATTTGCGCTTGTGCCCAGAGCGGTGTACGCGAAACCGAAACATCTCGAGGATGATGACGTGATTGTCGATCTGATTCAGGACGGTGACGAAATGCTTGGGCTGGATCATGTCAACAAAGCCAGGAATTTCTGGGGTCGAGCTGAGGGGATGTTCATCCGATAGTTACTGGAGATGGAACGAATAGCTCATCGTTGGTGGAATGGTCCCAAAGTGATGGAACATGTTTACTGGCGTCGTATAGCATTGAGCCCGCTTGCCATACCCTTGTATTCTCAAAAGAAGGCTGCATCGTTTGGACTGCTGATCAGGCGTGGCTAAGGTGTCTTGTCCTGTTGTCAAAAAGAGCATTCGAAAGATTGGAGGCCTGAGCGTCTGGTGTCTGATGGCTTTCTTGAATAAGCCCACTGGTAGCGGGGTATTCCCCAATATGAGAGGGATCGGGCTGTGGGTTTACGGAGACTTGAGAGCAACGATCCCCAGTAGTCGAGCTTGGAGCACTTGTACACATACATACAAACGTGTCATAAATACGTGCTGAAATGAAGTTATGATGACGATCTCTGCGTGCCATATACCCCAATTTAGAAAGACACCACCCAGCAAGGCTCACAATGAAAAGGGGCGATGCCAGGTTGTATTTCAACCTTATTAGAGTATCTCGCTAGTGAGCACGAACGGATGGCGGGATGAATTCAAAAGCACTTTTTTTATGCAGGATACCATCGTGTGGGAGGTGGCACTATGCATCGTTTCTCTGCACAAACGGAAGATTGTTAAGCGGGAAAATACCCTGCATCCCCATCTCGGGGCAGCTTGCTAAACTAACTAGGGCACATATGCACATCAGGCAGAACTCCAGCCAGCTGCTGGGGTTTGTAATTCGGACCCAAATAGCTTCCTGGGGGACTTTAGTCGGGACATTATATAAATCAATGTCACGGACGTTTTTGGGTTTTCCATGTACTTAAGTATTCTGCGAATCCAAGCGAATTCAACGTCAGTCAGGGAGGGAGAAGCTCCAACATGACGACGCATATCCTTGTTCTGGGTGCTACCGGTACTGCATCTCAGCGTTCTTGCTATCTTTTGATCTACTAACGATATATCAGGCCCGTCTGGTCTCGACTTCGTCCACGCTGCTCTCCGAGAGGGACACACGTTGACACTTTATCTGCGGAACGCGGCAAAACTACCCACCGAAGTCAAAGGCAATGCACTGGTGACTGTCATCCAAGGCCAACTGGATGATCAAGCTAGCTTAGAGAAAGCCGCATCATGCGGCTCACAGTCAGTCGTATCCTTCCTTGGCCCAGTCATCGGTGGCGGTCCAAAGAATGCTCCAGTACGTATATGACTGCTCAGACCGATCTTTCGTATCTTCTGACTTTCCGGATAGTCCATCCTACAAGGTTATGAGAATCTAGTCCCTAAACTAATCGCTCACGATTTCAAACGTGGTCTGTTCCTCTCGACGCCATCGTACAACTCGCCAGAAGACTCATGGGCCCCAGGCTGGTACCTTATCATCAGCCTGCTTTGGTTGACGTTGAACTGGGCGTACCGTGATGTAGTGGGTTTCAGCACGTATATCGCCTCGCAGCCGGTCGATAAGCTTCGCTGGACGTTGTTCCGCGTCCCCAATCTTCGATCAGGCCCAGCGAGACCGGTCGTCACCACGTTCAAGGGCAAGGATAGGTTTAATTGGAATCTAGAGAGGAAGGCACTCGCGGAGTGGGTTTTATTGGAGTTGAAGCAGGACCGCTGGATTGGGCGGGCTCCTGTTCTTTATAATGCTTGAATGGAAACGAGAAGTGCGCCCTATCTACCTGGCATAAAAGACAACTGCCTCTGGACTGAACATCACTTGACTTGTCACGCTGAAGCCATCTTCACTTCAGTCTCACTCCCAACACAACGTCCTTAAAGTCGCCCTCCCTTTACTCACTGGTGTCATGTTTTCTTTCAAACCCGTGGTCTCTTTCACATCAACGAACTCTTTCATGTGCCTTAGTTGACCCTCTACACCACCATAATCGACTTTGATCTCAATAAAGCTCCGTCCCTCAACATGGAAGGCTCATGGGTTCGACCTTGGCAACCATCGGTGGCAACCTATGATGAAGCAGGTAACGCTTTACTACACAGCTACATAGAGCATCACCCTGAGTTTCGACGTCCATCCGAACGTGTAAGTTTGGTATCTGCCCAGAAACCTTTCGTGGTCTAAAGATTGAATCAAGAGACAAAAAGATTTGAAACCCCGACTACGTTCAGCCACGGCGCAAATTCATCAGAGTCCATATCAACCCCAGTTTTGGCTGGAAAGAGCCCGCATCCTGTTGAAGCTATGGTATCCGGAATTAGCTGCGTCAGATTGCTACAAGGCATATCTTCTACTTGACAGAAATAAACACTTTCAGGTCGCATCGGAGGCAAGGTTCTGGCAATCGATGTCGGATGCCAAATTCCTGCTCGCACAAGCCCTTTTTTTCGCCAACTGCTTCTACGAATGTGCCAATCTTTTGAAGACCTATGTCCAGAGCCATGAAGGGGAAGTTCTATTGCACTTCGCAAAGAAGGCACTAGCAAGAGATGTCGCCTACCACAATCAAGACGAGGAATTTCAAAACATGGAGACGTACGCACAGGAGGAACAATTAGCAATGGGAGAGATTATCACCGCTCCGTATCCATGGGCTCAGCATGTCAAGAGGAGAAAGTTAATAATTGATGACGCGAATAAGGAACTCGATGACCTATCCGATTCACGCTGCGTTATTGAGCCTTCTCCATATCTATCATCAAAACTTACACCCAAAAAGATAGGTGTGAACTCTGGTTCCTATGGAGTGTATGCAACAGAGCCAATATCGAACGATGAATTGCTGTTTGAGGAAGCGACTGTCCTTTGTGGAATCGAAATGAGAGGAAGCCTTGATCGTTGCTACGGCTGCGCTTCTGACCTGTCGACACTCACCTGCCGACTGGTGTGCAGGGGCAAGTTGTTTTGCAGTCGCTCGTGCGTCTCAAGGATTGAAGAGACATGTGACTTTCCGTTCCCCAAGACACACCAACCTTCGGACCCGTCTTTGGGCTTTCATCAGAATACCACGCAGAGTAAAGACAAAGAGGCAGGACATGACTTGTTGACTCGAGTTTTCGCCACAACTATGAAGTTCGCCAACCAAAGTCCACAGAATCACCCTCTTAATGCACCCTTGGTTGTTCGACTCATGTCAAATTACTCGAAGAAAACGAACTTTTCACTTTCCTCAAACATCATCGAGCCCATCGACATTCTCAAAGCCCTCGGCGTTGACATCTTTTCAGATACGCGCTATGAAAGCTGGGTGGTGCAGACTATTCTTGCACGCATAGAAGTGAACAGCCGGCAATGTGATCCGTCTGGTCCTCATCTGGTCGCAATCAACTCTCTTTACTGCTTCTTCAACCACAGTTGTTCTCCCAATGTCAAAGTCGAAGATCACCCGTCAGGGTCGAGTGAATTGCTTGTGAGCGCCACCCGGGACATCAAGCCGTACGAAGAACTGTGTATCACCTATCTGGATGAAGATCAATTGCAACTTTCATACGAAGAACGAAGAAAGGCCCTATGGCCTTGGACAGGTGGCGATTGTCGATGTGATAGGTGTGATAAATCTCGCCAACGACGACGCGCTCACGCGAAACGCTTTTGCAAAGCTACTTGACGATATGGGTGAATGCACAGGAAGATCTTATCTGGTTACTTATTCGAGTGAATTCGTGACGTGAGAGACGTATCGTTGTCCTTGTTGGGAGCTGACGTGCGAGGTTTACCCCTGGACTGCTGCAGCCTTGTCAGCCCCACGTGCTGGCGAATTGGACTACGATGCATGCCAAGGATTTCTTTGCTGGGCTGCCAGCATCTACGAATGGTTGAGTACAAATCAATTGGGCTTGGATTGATATGTCCATGGATCGCTCTTGGGGAGAAGTTTTATGGCTAGTGGTATGAGTTCATGACCATCCAAAAACTTGTCCTGACGCGTGGACAAGCCTTTTAGTGCCAAGTTACATGTGGTTTGAAGGCTAGTTAGGATAGCTAAGCTCTACACCCCAAAAGCCTCAATGACAGATTCCGGCTCCTGCCAGTCCACGCCGTATTCTTTGTAATCTAAATCGACGCTAAGTGAAGTTAGCAATTCATCACAAACACCAGACGTGCAGCATACCCAAAAGCTCTCGGCCCACTCGCTGCCAAGCCGATGGCAGTCTTCCACAGCGGATGTGCCGGCATAGACACGACACTGACGCGCAGGCCGTAGCGGAGCTCATGTGTGCCGACAGCAGCGCCATCTTGGTCAAGCACGCTGATGAGGTCGGGCGTCGTGCAGACGACGTCCAGCGACGAATCGGGATTCTTCAATGCTGCGTAGAGGAATTCGTTCTAGTAGTCGGTGGCGTATTCATCAACACAGGAATGATAGCATGTTTAAACCAAAAGGACTGAGTGAGCGCTTACTTGGTATTGGAGTTGCAGGGGGCGTTCATCTGCATGTTGGCCGTTTTGTGATTGCAGGGCTTTCAGCTCGTCGTCGAGCGCCAGAGTCACGGTGCCGATCGTCCAGCCGCCCTTGACTTGGCGCGACACGTCGACGATTTTCCCGGAGTAGAGGCGTCGGCCTCCGGGGACGACGGCGATCTGTATTGGTCAGATAAGGGGGAAAGTTTCTCGTGGAGATCTCGCTTCCTTACCAGCGCATCGACAATGTCTGTTTTGAATGCCCGTGCAGTGCATATTGCTTGGCCGATGTACCAGGACAGGGACAAGCTGCGGTGGACACAGTACTTCGAAACAACCTCGGAGGGTATCGACATGGCCAACGCGACGAAGAGACCGAGCTCCACTGCTATACACCGAGCCTAAGGGTTGAACCAGTCAGCGCTGACGTTTGCATTGCATTTAGACGAATAAGTTGCTCACCATGTTCTCAAACTTGGCTGGATTTTCAGTCTTCACAACAACCTGGACATTTCCCCGGGCATCGGATAGGACTGCCGGACAAGGATCCACGGCTTTATAGATGAATGGTAGACACATGTCAACCTTGGGGAAAGCACGGCCTATTTCGTCTGTATCGATCACTGGAAGACCCATAGTGGTGGCAACAGCGAAAGCTCTCATTCCGTTTGAGCCTCCGATCTCTCCAGCAATGACTCCTGCGAAATTCGTCAGGCCTTTGTACCTACCAAGTGCTTCAGTGGCATATCGGAGTTCGTCATTGCCTGTGAGGCGCTCGTTTGAGACAGATGGCGCACTATGAATGTTAGTAACTGTGCGGAGATTGGTCACGATGAAGAGTATGCCTCGTACCCAACGAATGCGACGACAGCCTGGGGACGGGTTAGTGAAATCCAATTGTTGGTCTTGAGCCACTTACTGCCTCTGCCCCAGGTGACAAAGACTTGGGATCGACAATTCGCATCTTGCCCTGGCCGAACTCCTCAAGAACTCGTAGAGAGTCGAGATAAGCCGAGTACGTTGATCCACCACCACCTAGGGGCAGTAAACATTAGCAACAGCCAGTATACATTGCTTTAGCCATCTTCGTACCTGTACCCAAAACGCCATTGCCCTCTGCAATGAACAATAGATCAATAGGAGAAACAAGCCATTCTCCTGTAGCCTTTGAAACGGTGGGTTGATAGGCAGAGATGATTTCTCTGTCGATGGTTGGAATTAAGCCTTTCGTCAATGATTGAGATATGTTGGCATTATTGTCGGTGTCCGCCTCGGTACTGTCAACTCGCGTATTTTGGTCACTGTGGTATTCGCCATCCCACCGAAGATGTCCAACCTATAGAGGTTAGTCAGAATAGCATGCGAACACGTCTCGATGTACTATTACCGCTTTAGCCACCGCTCTCATTGCTCCGTTGTTTACATACTGAAGCGGGATGAGATCCACTTCCATGACCTCTACGGTACTTTTCTGAGCTCCATTTTGAACCGCAATATCGATTGCTTGCTGAGAAATGATTTGCTTGATTTCTTCATGTGATTGCTGGCCTGGGACTATAATTGTGTCGATATCTCCAGAAATTTTGGCAATTGCAGCTCCGACGGCATTCGCCACATCTGAATATGCGGGTTGAAGACAATGTACCACATTTTCAAGTTGATCCATGAGAATAATTGATCCACCTCCGACAAGAAGTAGTACGACTGGTAAATCAGACGTTTTCATTATATCAATACCGTTCTCGATTTGTTTTCGGATATCTTGACGTGCGAGATCCACCAGCTTTTCGTCTAGATCTGCAAGCTTTGAAGTATGTCCTTTGACGAGATGACCGAGCCCAGATGCAACGACAACATCGGTAGCGGTTAGAACAGGGCCGCCGAAGCATTTACTCTCGCTGGTGAGTAGATGCCCCACAGACAAAGGTCCAACCTTGACATTATCATTCTCACTTCGGTAGACCCTTGAGCCACCACCAAGACCAATGCTCAGGACTTCGGGCATGCTGAAGGCGGTCCGAACACCGCCGACCTTGACGGTAGCTGGAGATTGTCGTGGGAGACCAGAAGGCGATAATGCGGCAAAATCCGAAGTAGTCCCTCCAATGTCACACTAAATGATGTCAAGTTTATGTTCCGAAGAGAGACAGTCACTTACCATAATGACTTGTGACTTATTCAGATCAATCGTCGATCCTGATTCATGAATTGCTGAGAGAAAAAGTGCACCAATAAGCGAGTTCTTTGTAGGTGTCAGCATAAGAACATCTGAGTTGGGAGGCACTAACTGTGGCACCTGATGAAAAGGTCCTAATCGGAGCCAGCGAGGCTGAATACGCATCCAAGACTGTTCCATCGTTCTGTGTTAGGTAGAGTGGGCAAGCAACTCCAAGAGCTTCAATGGCTTTTTGGAAGCGAGAAATCGTAACACGACCAAAAGCAAGGATCGAGGCGTTAAGGATTGAAGCATTCTCCCTCTCGAGGTACCCAAGACGACCAATCTCCCTGGAACATACGATATCGAGATCAGGTATGGCGCCTAACAAAATCTTCTTCACCTGCTCTTCTTGCGTGACAGGTGAAGTATCCAAGGGGGAGAAGACACCGTTAACAACGACAGTCTTAATACCTGCATCTGAGAGGCTATTGGCATAGTTGAGTATTTCGTTTTCATCTATCTCTGCAATGGTACGACCATCGACTATTGACATTGTCAGCGAAGGGTGATTTCATAGGAATACAATAGTGTGCGTTACTTTCGAAACCGCCGTTGACATAACCGATCGGCCCGGCAAGAATTCTGCGAAGTTCTTCTGGAAAGTCTCCAAAAGGAGGGACTTCACGACAAAAAGGCCCGCAGAGTCGTAGGACGCCGACAGGACGGAGCTTACTCCTATCTGCCTGCACAATAGCGTTGACAAAGTGCGTCGTCCCGATGTTTATGGAGAGAAGATCAGAGGTGGCAATTCGAGTTTTGCTCAGGAGGTCTTGGACAACGCTACATATGCCAGAAGTCACGTCAGACGTGGTTGCAGTTTTGCTACTGCTGATGATCTTGACGGTTGGTTGTGCTGAGCCATTATCAAATATTGCCTCTGCGAGCGCCGAATCAGTGTTGGTACCGCCTGCAACTTGTCAGTACATGTTCTGAAAGTGATCAGATATACTTGCCAACATCAACGCCGATACGATAACGAGGTGAACAGATTCCAATCGATCCCATTGTTCCTTCTTTGGACGATCAGAGGACGGTCCCAAGATTGAGTATCTCAAGCAGATGATGATGTGGTCTTGTCGTCTACGAAATTAATTATTGCACCCAAATTTGTGCAGTGAATGCCTTAGAACACAAGATAAGAGATCATTCAGGACTTCATGGACTAGCAAATTTATCATCATGTACTGCATACTCTTTTCTATAGCTTCCAGACGGCTCCGGGTTCATGATGGTATCCGGGCCGCTTCAGTATCGCATCGTGAGGCGAAATGGTCTCCACTCACCAGGACCTCGGTTGATATAATCTCCAATGTATAGGAACAATCTGCTGCTGTGCGGAATTAAGCGTCGAAGCTTGAGGCTAGAGAAGTTCTTGTAGATAGGAGTTGGCATGATTGCGAGGCTCGGAGGAGGTGGAAAGTGGAAAGCTTCTCGGATGACTAACCCGATATGTTGACTTTGTCGGGCTCGTCCCACCATCATTGGTTGGTACCCTCCGCAAGGCATCGGATGAACCAAAGAAACTCTTTCTATCATCTCCTGCATTGATAGACTTGGGTCTACTTCCTACGGTATAGAAAGTCCAGAGAGAAGAGATAGTCCAAAATGGTTGAGCAAGCCACCAAATAGCGCTAGATGAAATCGTGATAAGGAATGGGACGAGATAGATAAATTCGTGCAAAGCTCCACCCTTCGAGTCTTCAACCAGAAAAAAGAAACAGCACTGACTCTGTCCCATCAAAATACACCAGCACTGAGAAACCTAGCACAGGATGCCTCAATTTCGCGTTCCGAGAAACCTGGAGGTACCCTATCCTGAACACGAATTACCTCCAACATACTTGATCAATCACGACATCAAGCCGATTGAGCGTGAACGGCGGAAATGGGGTATGGTTCTGTACCCAAGAATACCAGGTACTCACTTGCTGACGGATGAAATAGGGTCGCTCGCCTTCCTCTCGCTATGGAGTGTAGTGGCCTTTAACATGAGCAATCTCCAATTAGGATCTTCCCTACTCTCCGTTGGCTTGAATTGGTGGCAAAGTATTGTGGCAACCCTCCTTGGTCACATCATTGCAGCTGGATTGGTGGTACTTGTGTCTTTCCCAGGATTATACTATCACATCTCCTTTCCCCTATCACAAAGAATGACTTGGGGTGAGCACAATAGTTCAAAATTCGCGAGTATGACAGCTGAACGTTATTAGGGTTTAACGGTGCAATCTTTGTGGTTCTGAATCGAATCCTCCTGTCGATCATCTGGTTCGGCGTCCAAAGCTGGCAGGGAGGATTGATGACATACGTATGTCTCAGAGCGTGGTTCCCTAGTATCGACAACCTACCTCCAACGTTCTCGCCCTCGACTGGGATGAACCTTGCACAGTTTGTGGGCTTCATCGTCTTTTTCGTTCTGCAGTTGCCATTTCTCCTGTTGAAGCCAGTTCCACTTCGATACCTTGCATACGTCAGCACCGTTATGGGATTCATCGTTCAGCTTGTCCTTGTGGTCTGGGCTTGCTCAACCATGGAATCGTTTGGTGACATACTGAGCAATAAACAGAGCGTTGGCGGAGGACAACTTGGATGGTCATTTGTCTTCGGCATTACCGTTACCATGTCAAGCATCACCAGTGGCACTCTTTCGGTTTGCGATTATACTCGGTTTGCAAAGCGGCCACAATCAGGCATCTTGCCTCAACTTGCCGGCTTCTTCCCTGCCTGGCTCTCGAACGTGTTTGGTATATTGACAGTGGCCGGTACCCAAAAGAGATTCGGAGCAGAGCTTTGGAGTGTTGTGCAGCTGTTGATGGCTATTCAGGACCAGAATTCCACTACTGCCACACGCTGTGCCGTTTGGTTTGCTGGATTCTCATTCCTCATAAATCAGCTTGCTCTCAATGTTATAGGGAACTCCTTCTCTGGCGGCACAGACATGGCTTCACTTCTGCCGAAGTATATCAATATTCGACGTGGACAATATTTGACAGCACTGCTAGGACTTGTGATCAATCCATGGTACTTGGTCTCCGGAGCTCTGGTATTCCTGAGTGTCATGTCGGCATATACCGTCTTCCTTCAGCCATTCCTTGGAACAGTGGCTGCCAGTTATTTTGTCTTGTACAGACAACGCATCAAGGTTTCGGATTTGTACAAGCTCAGCGGTAACATATACTGGTACAATTACGGCGTAAACTGGAGGGCTATTGTTTCCGTAAGTACATTAGCGCCGTTTTTCTGCTTGGAGGAATGTACTGAATCACTGCAGTGGATGGTCGGCGTTGCGCCTCATCTCCCGGGTTTCCTCCACACAGTCAACCCTACAATAAAGGTTGGTGCAGGAGCAGAGCACATGTACCTTTTGACGGCCATCAGTAGTTTTGTGATCAGTAAGTCTCATAAAATCAGATCACTGGAAAGCCTGCTAATCTTATGATATAGGTTTCACCATGACGGTACTGCTTGGGTATATCTTCCCTGTCCAAGCCCAGCAGGATTTTGTGAACTCGACCACCCGTGAGGAGGCAATCCAACTCAAGGAAGATTTCATCAATGGCTCCGATATCATGCGTGGGGTGGAAGTGCCATGGGATCCTGTGACTGGAGACAAGAGCTCTCATATCTCGGAAGTTGAAAAGGATTCTGAGAAGAACCAATAGATGTGATCTGGTTCTTGAACGTCCAGAGGTTGAACAGACCGCCAATCCTAGGGCGTAAGGTGGCGTTGTTTTTAGTGTTCATGGGAGAAGCGTCACCAGAGCTTCGCGGCCAGCAGCGGTCAGTTTTCCATGTAAGACAGGTCTAGTGCAGAAGTCCAGACGAGATTTCATGGTCAGGCATCTACAGCTCCAACTCCAATAATTCACTTGCGGGCCGCGACTGGCACATGAGCACACTACCATCCGGCTGCAACCCACCGTGCACTCTCCCGCTTAACAATTTGACACTGCAAGAACCACACTGCCCAGCCCTACAGCCAAAGTTTGGTTCCAAGCCCAGACTCTCTGCAAATTCCAACAATGTTAGTGATCTAGCGATGAGCCCTTCCGTCTTTGGCGCAAGCCAGTCAGCCGTAAGAGTCGATTTTCTGAAAGTGACACTTGATTTGGAGATGGATGTGGCAGCAGCTTCCAGACTATCAGTGGATGAGAACGACTCTGAACGTAGGAGAGATTCAGGAATGCCGACATCACGGAGGTATGATTTCATGTCTTCCTCGAAAGAGGAGGGCCCACAGATGTAGACAGTTGTTGTCGAAGGTCCAGGCACTTCTATCGGGGTAATTTGCAACGGATTGAAGTAGTATGTTGAAGACAGTAGATTGGAGAGAAAGTCCCTACCAACGCGACGGCCATGTGTGACTTTTAGCAACTTTTCTTCGAGCGCCGTCCCCTGAGAATATATGTTATTTGTAGCGTTGTCTTCATCAAACGATAACACATCACTCAAGGAGCTTGAGCCTATGTTGGGTGACCTGTCTCCCAGGGAGGAGGCTGTGCTCGAGAGAATTGGGGATTTTTTCAACTCAACTTCACTCGAAGAATCACTACTCGAGACTAGGCCAGAGTTGACTTCAACTTCTTCTAGCCGTGTCATCACATTGCTGTCTTCGATTGGACTTCTGCTCTGACGACTTGTCGGGCCGTCATGAGCTTGACCAACACTAGGATCTGCAGCTTTTGTGTATACAACATGGATCTCGAGGATTTTTTTCTTTCGTAATTCGTTGTCGTATGCCCTAAGGACTTCTGCTAAGAACTCTTGAGGAAATCCAGATTCATCCCGGGCAACATGAATCCATACGGCAGGTGCTCTTTGCATGGTGTAATGCTTTAAGTGGGCTTTCAGCATAGCAACAATTGGTGTGACACCTATGCCCGCAGAAATGTAGACTTGTCGCAGTGGAAATACTGGGGACCAATCGAGGGTGAAGCGGCCAGCTGGTGCTCTGATAAACAATTTGGTTTCAGACGTACACCTTGTGTGCATCCAATTTGATGTTTCGCCAATGTTTTTAATGGTCAATCGATAATATTTCGGATCGTCGTGGTCTGGCCAGTCTGATATTGACCAGTTTCTCAACAAGCCATTGGGTAAACGAACGGTCAAGAACTGTCCTGGCAAATATGTGCCTAAAGGTTCTTTGTCCACAGGTTGGAGGTAGAAGGATTTTATGTCGTGGCTGTGTTTTATGACTTTAGTAGCGCGAAATGTCCTCCAACCCTTCCAATGATTCTTGCCCAACATCTCATCGTCGTGAAATCTTGAAAGCGTGCGTAAGAACCCTCCTTTGTTCATCGGTAGGAGATCTGGTTCTTTTACCATCAAGTTCAGAGTGTTCTTGGTCTCAAGGCGAGTATCAAATGCCAACTGACTGATTTGGGCAACAGTTGGGCTGCTGTCGACTTTGCGCATGAGCTCTGCTCTATCGCCTGGTACAATGCTCCCTCCATTGATGATACGGAGGTACACACCAGAGAATCCCGTATCAGCCAGTTCTTTCAACCACTTATCGTTTTGACCACATCTCCAGGCAAGCTTAAAGCATGGGACACGAGCGCCACAAACCTGGAGAAGTACTTCATCTCCGACCTTCCACACATCGCCCAAATTGAATTGGGTCTCATCCATATACTCGTCTGTCTTAAAAGTGATGTTTTCTCCCCAGTGACCCCAGTTCCAGTCTTCTTCTTTGACACCAAGTTTATGTCTCCAATAGTTATAGTGGTGCGTGAAGAATGCATAGACTGGAGCATCATGTACCGCAGTGGCATTGTCCTCAACAGTTCTTCCAGTTTTCAGGGTAATGCGATCGACAATGGTATGAATGATGGAAGTCCTGGTTCTGGTTCCATTTATGTCGATCCATTGAGGCAATCCACACGATACTGCCGCGACCTCCATGGTGAGCCTTGATACACCTGCAGGTGTGTTCAAAAAAGAACGAAAAGCAAGTCATGAATGGCTGTGAGAAGGCTCTGAATTATGCTTCAAGTCTTGGAATTCCTTGCGTTTCCACAGTAAGGAATGCTCAAGGCCTGGCTGTCGGTAGACTTAAAAGTCCTCGATCTTCAAGCATTCCCACCAGTAGCGCAAGTCAGATCAACGCCTCTGGACAAAAGATCGACCGAACAAGATGGTCAAACCGACTTTGGCCTCCGGAGACTACATATCTCGATTTCCCCATATTGACGAAGCTCAAGGCAAAGGGTATCAGGCGTACTACACTCCACCCCGAGGGTATGAAGGCATCTTTGAAGCGAATCGGAGGAGCAAACAGTGAGGTTCGGAAGAGGAGAAGAGCCTTGGCTTGCTATCGCCCGATTCGATTGGATAACGATGCTATCTCGGTAAAATTCCGTCACGTCGGCGAGAGACACTTCCAATTGGCCCTGGGAAGTACACCACCGATAATGAAGCGTAGAACGCAGGTTTCCATTTTCCACTAATCAGCTTCGTAATCGGCGAGAGACGCCTAACAGATCCAGGCATGGGGGTACCCAAGTCCTCTCATCCCTTCCTTCTCCCATCCTGATCCCTTTGACCAATATACCATGCGCGACTGCCTTAGCTTCCTTATTTGTCGAATTCATAGCAGACTCTTGAGTCAGTGTCAGCTATTGGAATCTTCACTTGTCGCATGGCAGAATATTCATCACTGACGTGCAGACTTCATGGCAAAGGTACTTCCTCAGCAATGTACCTCGCAGTCTTCTTCCATGCAGTCTTGGTGAAGTGCTGAAACAATGGGTCAAAACTTGAAAATCCTCAGCTGCCGACCTTGTCGCGAACGAAAAGTAAAATGCGATAGGTCAAGCCCTTGCAGGAGTTGTGTTAGACATAACTGTGCTGATCAATGTCGGGCATACAATACGCCTCACTCGTCAGCTGTGAGCAAATTGCCACTCCCGAAGCAAATTAGAAATTTGCCTCGAGAGCAAGCCTGTGGGCTCCCAAGTCCAAGTGGTTCGCAGAGTCACTCTTCCCTGGCACTTACGCCAACTCCAACGAGAGATGGTAACTATGCCATGCCTATGGATCGATCTGCGAATCTAGGGTACTCAAGTCCCTTATTGACAGGATGGCCTGAGCATTCACTCAGGAACCCAGAAGCGCTGCATATACACCGAAGCCTCGAAGAACTAACGACAGGCGGTTCCACCCTGGTCGCTCCTTCGGTATCATCTCTGTTTGGTGCTGGTAGTCGTCTAACCTCCAAAGAGAGGCTCGAGTGGCAGATTTACCTGGTTGGCGCGCTCCCATCACGATCACAGTGTGACCTATATGTATCCTGGTTTCTGCAACATGTCAACTATTCATATCAGACGATCCATAGTTCATCCTTCAATCAGCAGTATCTGACATTCTGGATGACGCCTGTGGCAGATGTTGATTTAATTTGGCTTTCTCTGCTCTATGTTATGATAACTTTAAGTACGATGTTCATCGAACCAATGGAATCTACAGTCATTGGTGTATCAGAACTCAGAGAAAGCGCACCTGGCTGGTTTAAGCTCTCTCGCTTGGCTCTGCATGCTGGCGAATTTGAGTCTCGTCCATGTCTTACCCAGCTGATTGTATTTCAGGAGTCGCAACTTTATTGGTATGCCACTAAAGCTATTGAAGCGCTCAACTCAGCCCTTGGCCAGGCCATAAGATGTGCTCAAGCCTTAGGACTGGACAAGGATCGACTGCCGTCTACTGATCTCGAGTCTGAGCTGCGTCATCGTATCTGGTGGGATCTTTGCTCGAATGATACATTCCAATCTTTATGTTTGGATCGTCCACCTCTGGTACAATCTTACCTATCCTCAGTTCCGTTCCCACAAAACTGCGATGACTGTGATCTTACACCCACCTCCATATTCGTGCGACCTATCGAGCAACCCACTGTCATGGCTCAACATGTCTTTCGCGCAAGAATATTCAAAGTCCTCAACAAGCTATATGCGAACAATGGGAACGATCTTACCAACTATGAGGCTGTTACAGCAGTGGACAAGGAAGTCTCCGCAATCATGAGCGAATACCCCTGGTACTTACTTAATCAGGCAGACTCCGGCTCATCAAACTTTTTGAGCACCACACTTCCCCCGGCCTTTGACTACCTTCAATGGCAACATCATATCATGCATACCTCGATCTGCGTTCAGCGAATCAGAATGTATCGACCTTTCTTGCGGACCCATTTCGAGTCATGTTGGTCGAAATGCGTCGTTGCAGTCGAGGGGGCCTTCGCCGTCTATCATAGCATGCGGACCTCAGATCCTGAGAGATTTCGCCGATCAGCGAAACGTGTCGTTCAGAGCTATCAAATTTTCTGCTCTGCCATCTCGGTCGCAGTCTTCCTCCTCGTAGAGCGGCCCATCCTCCCTACCAAAATCCTCAGCGACATCGAACTAGTCATCCAGGATCTGAAAGAGCTATCCGAAAACAAGAACTCCATCCCAATCGCTGTCCACGGCAGGCGAAGCCTGACCAAAATCCTCGACGCATACCAGGGTTATTGCCGCGATGCGAGAAACCGAGCAATTGTGGACGAAGGCTCATCCAACAACGAGAACAACAACACAACAACAACCGAACATCTCCACAGCCTCGTCCCTGAGATCTACACCGTCATGGGCGGCAAATCGTCCGCAAGGAGATACCTCGATAGCAGCAGCGTCCCCCGTGCCAGCATCGAGGCCGAACGGCTGGCCATACAGGGCCCGCAACGCCCGATGATCTCCGGGTCACCACCGAACGCATCCAATGTGGACACCACTAACGTGCAATCACCCCTGGAATCCATGTCAAGTGCTGTCTTTAGCAATCCTACCGACATGTTCGGCACGGATCCCGTCACGGGTCTGAATCTTGGTCTGCACTTCGATGTGCTCGGCTGGGACTTGGATGATTCTGCCTTTCTTGATGGTACTGGTGTTTCCTAAATCTAGGGACGTAGAACTAATCCCCGAGGGTTTCTTGTGGGAATATATTACCTTGCAAACGTACGGAATTGTTTGGAGTGTATACTCAAAATACACTTTGCGTCTTTTCTTGATTCAGAGATATACTACATACCCGTACCATCGTCAGACCTAGTCTTTGCCCTGCTGGGCATCATACCATGCATGTAATATCGTGTAGCTAATATACAACCATATTCACTTCACAGCGGCAGAATCCATTTGTTAGTGATAATACACAGGTATCAATACTTCATCGTGATAATCGTAACGCTCCCTCAGACTGCCAAATGGACAATAACTATAGAGAAGACACCAAAAAACACTCATTCGAAGTACACCTATCTGACCATGCCCGACCCAACTCTCGGCTGACTCTGCCTGCGCACGAACTCGGCCTGGCTCTGTCTGCGCGAGTTGGCCTCTCTCGAAGCATTCGTATTGGCACGAGACAATCTCCGCGCACTAGAGGTGCCGGAAGCAGATCGCAAATACGAAGGGCGACGGTTGTCGTTGTCTGTCGCTGCGTTGGCCAGGTGCTGGGCGAATGGAGAGCGCTTGCGCAGTACTGGGCCGTACCAGTAGATGACGTAGACGGCGACGACGAGGATAAAGGAGATGCATGCTAGGATTGTCGCGGCGTAGTTGAGGTGACGGCGGCCGCCGATGTCTATAGATTAGGGGTGATTAGCTTGAAACGCATATATCTAGAGTAGAATAGACTCACTTGTAAAGAAGGGTGTAGCTGGGATGGTTAGGACACCGGCAAGGAAATCTCGAGACCATCCATTGCCACCAGTTGCAGAGGCCGAGTACGGTCCATAGGCGCAGATCATGTAGTCGATGGTCGCCATGTAGATGGAATAGTTTGCGATTCCGACGAGTGTGGCAAAGACCATGGAGCCGATCCAGTGAATAGGTGGCCCCTGAATGGTCCATGCAAAGCCAATGAGACCAATTGGTAGGCAGGGCGCCGTGTATAGTAGGAACCACAATCGGGATTCATATTGCGCTTTCTCGTCGCCAGGCTTTTCTCGTCTCTCCTTGATGTTTCGTCGAATGGCAGGGATGAAGAGCAGCCAGGCGATGACATATCCAATTCCCAAGGGGATGAAAGCAAGGCCGACTTGGTAGACCTGGAAATCCCATTGTTCATAGACTAGGGCAAAAGATTGAATGAACATGAAGATCAACGCGTCACTGAATCCACTGAGGAGCGACAATGTCAAGACGATGGGCTCAGTGAGAAACATCTTGAATGGACGTATCCAGGTGATCAGAACTTCACGCATATTGAATCGATCGCCAAATGGTTCGAGTTCATTGGGACCCCAAATGTTTTCGCCGGTCGCCTTGCGCCGTCTTTTTGCGACTTTATCCATGATTATCGTAGAACGCGTTTCTGGAACAAGGAAGAAATGCATAGCCTGAACAGCGACCCCGAAGATCAGCTGTATCCAAATCGTCCACCTCCATGTTGAGCCATAATCAGATGGATCCCTGCTCGGGGCGACGAATTGTTCGACAAATCCACTGAAGACGAAAATTAGTCGTGTCCTGAAGATCACCAATTTGGAGGATAGTACTTACCCAACAATGGGCCCAAGAACACTACCAAAGACGGAGGAGAAGACGACGTAGGCAACAGCGTATTGCTGAGTATCAGCATCCCACATATCAGCTAGGACATGGTCAGCAACTGCCAGTGTAAACGGATCAAACAGAAACGCTTTGTAAGGAGGGGAAGGGTACGAATGTGAGAGTCGTATATAGGGGTAATAGCGTCATTGATGCTGGAGAACTCCAGGAATCTAGAGTGCTAACTGCGTTGATATCCTTCAGGGGCCCCCGTGCATAGCAAACAATATCAGAAGATGGCCACGTGACACACTTACCGATCATGCCTAGAGTGACGGAGCCTCCAGCAGAACTGAGACCACCTAGGGCTCTGCCGACCATGACTGTTGCAAAGTTGGGAGCTAAGGCGACAGGGAGCTGCCAAATATTGACAAGAGTCAATGATAGCTGAAGGATGGGCCATCGACCCAATTCTTCACTCCAGGGAGCCCAGAGCTCGCAGCCAAAGGCGTACAGAACCAGGAAAATCATGGCACCGCATCTTGCAGCTTGCATGCTAACACCAAAATCCTCAGAAATGCCCTTCAGGCCATTTGAATACAAGCTGGTGTTGAAGTTCATGGACAATTGAACCATGAAGATGACGGTGAGAACGGTCCATTTCTTCCACTCGGGATAGGCAAATCCAAGGTCTTGTTCACAATCGGCCTCGGTGATTTCGATTTTGTCAAAAGTCTCTGGCTCCGTATCTGGGTCCTGTTTCGCGGCTTCACCCGATTTGTCATGTTGGAAGTTGCCTACTGGGTGCTGGGCTTCATCTTCTGGGTGAACAGTTGATGCCTTTTCCCAGTCTCCATGAGCATCCTGAGCCGTTGAGGTTTCACCGGCAGTGCCAGCAGGAACAGGGTCGAAGGTGGGCGTTTGAAAGGTGGGATGATGGTCGGTGCGGGCCATGATGAAGCAAGCGTACAGACCAGCGATTGTATTGAAATGGAGAGGAGAATGGGAGTTAGAATGGACAAACACTGGACTATCTATATGACCCACAGAGTACTCCTCGACTGGGAGAAATTTGACACAAGGTGGATGTGTATTCAATCACGGTAGACTGTAGACCTCCGTACAATGATATCAACATGCATGAGGCTTCCACATTGTAGTGGATCCAAACTGGGGGTGGCTGTTACTACAAATGTACTTACCTATGACGATCGCTGTCCGTATTTCGATGGCAGAGGCTGACACAGATGGAAGACCAGCGGATCCGGCTGAGGGAAGTTGTATTCGACCCCCTGTGTAGACCGGCACACACGCGTGCTTCGTGAACTAGTGCACAGATGTCCTGGAATTGACGTCAGTGATGAGATTTAGTAGGTTATGATGGGATTTGAGAATGGGACAATCAGATCGAGTTGTTGTTAAGTTAGCTTGGGCAAAGATAAGCTGAAAAACTCTTCGGGTGGGTTTCCGGTACCCGCCATGGACAACACTACCATGACGTTGCTCGACCAAATATTATTGTTGTTTGAAGTACTGGTGCCTGAAAGAGAGGTACAGTGTTCGCCCCCAAAAAGAATCTTGATCCATGTATCTCAGTTGCGACATGGTATAAACCTGGGGCGACACCATGGATTCGAATTGGACGCAAGAGCGACACAGTACTGGATATGCGGAATGACATAGAGAATACCTCATAATCGTGGAGAAATCAGGCGCCCAGTGCGGACGGCTTTTGACTTCTGAAGTCTGAGCCAGGAGCCCACCGATTAGTGATGGTCCATGGAAGATTTCACGTTGTATCCAGATGGTGGAGAAGGAAAAAGATTGATTGAAGCTAGTTGTTTTACGCCTAGCGAAAACTGTCATCGTCATCCGCCACGCGATCGACATGATAACAAGCTTGCCGAGCAATTCTTGATTGCGAAAGCGAACGCCCTCGGTCTTGCTTATCCTGACGTGCCTGTGCCAGTGCCAGTGCTCATGCATCTTGGACTCCGAATCCTCCGAATAATCTGCATGGATATCCTGCACCCTTTGTACTCGAAATCTGGGGTGGCCCATAATCCATACTCCGTCCTCAATTTGAACAGATGTAACCACCAGCGCCTCGCTGAAAACACACGAAATCATAATAAACCATGACCCACGTTGTCATTGAAAATAAATAGGCATCACACCCTTTCCAGACCGTCGTTGAACTTGCTTCGGAGGTTGAGCACCTGGTCCGGGAGACCCGGGAGGTCCACCACTTGGGGGCTTGCCATTATTAGACCCGGGAGTGTCCTTGCCTTGGCCATCGCGGTCATCTTGAAAGACTTGAAGAGTGTTAATCGCCCAGTAAGCCTCGACGAAATCACCCGGATTATTGGCCACATATTCTTCACAGGTAGGAGCGAGAGATGCGCAAGGTGACGAGTTCCAGACTTGACCGGCCCACTAAATCATCTTCAAGTCAGTGGGTTTTCACAAAAGGGTGGCACATGATTTGATCGGGCTTACCTGTCCGCAGAACGTGGTATCGAAAATCAGCTGCAGATCCTTGAAATGATCGTCCATGTTGAATTGACCTTGAAATACGGAGTTCGGGGTCCCCCAATTGTTGGTGGGATCTGGGGTGCTGCTAACAATATCGCTGGGGAAAGTACCTCGTTGGAAATACCAAATCTTGATGAATTCCGATGTCCATTCGGTTGCAAACACACCTCCCCCTACGTTGTTGAAGTCCGATCCAAAGGTCAAGTTTGAGGTATCTCCTATTGAGCATCCCGCATTCTTTGGTTGATTCACAGCGTTGACATCGCAGTCAGCGGTCAACAGATTGCCAGAGAAATCCGCGAGTTTTTCGATGACAGGGCCAGCGGCAGTATGAAGAGTCATACTGTTCGAAGCTTGATCATTGACCCCTTCCACGATATCGATCTCCCCGTTGTTTGGCCAATCCGCTCCCAGCATCCAGAAAGCAGGCCAAGTGCCACAAACACCACCGGGCATATGGACAATGTCTGCAATGACAAGAGCATGCTGAAATGACTTGGTGGAGGAGACTCTGACACTGGCTCGTCCATCAGGGGTCACCTTTTGTGTATCCACACCCATGAAGATGGCATAAGTCGAGTTGTCGCCATCGATGAAACCGGCAAGACCTGTGGCATTCGCAGATTCGAGTGATTGGTATTGAACCAGGCCGTCGGTAGGATCGGGATCGGTAAAGAAGTCAAAACCTTGCCAGAAGGCATCGCCAGAGTAGTCCTCGACGAGCCGGTAGGTTGCAGATGAATAACGAATGAAGGAGCTGGCCAGCAGCAGAAAGAATAGATAGCCCATCATTGCACGCGTCTCGGCGTGCGGGAAAGAACGGAGGCTTGACGATTGTCAGACGAAAGAACGCGAAGGGTTTTGAAGAACAGTCGACACAGTCAAACGATCGAATTTCGGCTCTGAAGTGAACAAGACAGTGAAATAAAAAGGAAATGAATGAGTGAGTGGGATGGTGCAGGTCACGGTCAAGAGAGGTGAAAGAGAGGATGACACCAGGTGGCAATACTTTGGACAAATACATTGATTCATTCATTGATTGATTCACTTGATACTTGGTACTTCCGTCTGAGATGGTGGGTTCCTGGACTCCATCGTCGTGGTGTTTCTGCCATGGACTTGCTGGAGCCATGATTCGCAAGGGATGTACGGATTATATGCCCTACCGTTTGTTAACTGAAGGTCTCTAACTGCCCAACTTCATTAGTAGCGAGTGTTGGGCAGAGTAGGCGGAGTACTTGGTCTCTTTAAACGAAAGCATATTGATGAAGGAGGTCCATTCAACGTCAATGATTGCGATCCATAGTGAAACATGGCAAAATGGAAGATGTGAAACACGTGTGTTGGATATCGGAAGCGCCCGCAACACTTTAGGCTTGGAAATTAGGCACCTTCAGGCTTTTAGGCGTCAACTTAGGCGTCGGACATTATGATTTCCCGCCCGGCCACAGCCCCGCCCCGCGTTTGTTTGGGTGAATCGAATCGTGATGATTCCTCTCTCGCGAATCGTTGGATCTTTCTTTGTTCGCGTGCCTCGCGCCTTGGCTAAACACCCGCGACTCCAGCATTCCACGCCTCAACTCGACCCGCTCAAGGTAGGCACCTCTTCATGGACACAATCACCAACTAGCAATGGCCCGACAAGGACTCGTCCTCACTCGAGTCTCTGAACACCACCATCATGCTCACCGTGGCCTCTCAATCCTCGCCCAGATCCACCTCAACCTTCCCTCAATCCACAGATACAACCTTCAATCCCGCCCTTCGTATCCCCGTTGCAGGTCTGACCCCGACTCAGGCTGCGCATGAATCCCATGTTGAGGCAACAGTTGCTCTCGTATGGCCATACTCAAACTCCACCGCGACTTTCGCTCTATTGCTGGTCGACCATGCCTCTCGTGGCCAAGTCAAAGTCATCTTTCGCAATGGCGCTGCAAGACAAGTAGCAAATACCAAAGTCGGCATTGGGGATAAGATACAACTCGCCTTACTTGGCTGTGATTGGAAAGATACAGTAGATACCATCTCTACTCCAGGAAAGAGGCTCGAGTGGGATCTGCAATACGATTCTCGTGTATTCCTCCAAGTCCACCTACAGGGCCAAGATATCGTTGCGATAGACTATACAGCTTCTGCTTCAGACCACCCCTACCAGTCTGTAAACTCCAACACCTCATCCTCACTAAATGGCTTCATTCAGCGAAACCCGAGTACCATCCAAGTCCCCTACTTGACGCCTTCCAAATCTACTAGAACATCCTTGGGTGGGACCTTTTTCGATACTTCGATTGCTTCTTTAGCTGATGATGATGATGATGATGGCTATATTGCGGGACGAGGTCGGAAACGCACCAAATTTGCGAGACACAGTGGTGCTTGGAATCTAGTGAATGATGATGAAGACTCTCTATTACAGAGCGATGCGCCGCAACCCACCGAAGAGCAACAAGGGATCCTGGAGTCAAGCGCTCCGCCCAACGAAATAGCAGAAGTCGTTCCTCCTACACGGCAGCCACCAGAGATCGAAGAGATTCATGAGCCCGATTCAGCCTTGCTCACAACAACTGAAGTTGGAGAGGCTCCGGCGTATGGCGAAGTTCAGACTACTCCAGAAACACCGCTTGCGCCGGTCACCTCGGACGCGCAAGCCGAGTCGGATGGTGAGCCAACAAGCGTTGCCTTGACCACTGAGCAGGATCATACTCCCCCTATTCTTTCAACCCCAAATCCTGAAGGTAACGCTTCGCAGAATGGGACAACATTCATGGGCCCTCCAGCAACCCCATTCAAAAAGCTTCGCCTTCCACACTTCACGGATGTGGAGATATCCGATCCTACCGAGGGCGATGTTGATCGAGCAACAACGCCTCGAATCCTTCCCCTTGCTTCACCCGGATTGCCTCTAGTCTCTCCACTGATTCACCGAAGCGGAGTTGAAGTCGGATACTTTCCCGTTTACCAGGATAGCCGTTCTCAATTAGATGCCTCTGGTGTTGACATTCCAGATAAACCAGAAAACGAATCACATTTGGAAGACTCTGACAAGGAATCAACGACTTCTGATGACTCCCTCGTCGTTGTCGAGGAACGCGCGTCTGAGTCGTGGGAGCCAATAGTGAGGGAGCAGAATGACCTGCCCTCCTCGTCTGAGCCACCTGTAGCGTTCGGTGGCATTTCCCAATTGAGTGGCACACAAGACGCTACTCCGACGGAGATGTCTCTACTGCCTGATCAATGGCTGTCCACTCTAGAAGCCAGCATCGCGCAGGAATTATCCAACAATTCCCCATCTCCGCCCATTGATGTTGAGCTGGACCAGATCTTTCCAACGAACGATATCCGTTTTGATACTCAAAATAGTCTCCCGACCGAGAACGCACTCAACAGACATGACACTGATATCGCGGTCGTGGAAAGCGAAGACTTGTATGGCGCCCCTGAAGAGGAAATCGCAAAAATTCCGTGGACCCACGATCAAACCCGAGGAATGGAGGACAACACAGGTACACAAGCAGAAAACAATCTCCCTGAGATTTCGTCTCCGAACCAGTTGACCACCATGTTTCCCACTGAAACTGTGGAACACTTCTTGTACCCCATCCCAGCGGTTGAAGCTTCAAATCACCCTTTCGCCGATCTTGCTTCGGAAGCTCTTGCCTTGGAGTCAAAAGAGGAGTCTAAATACCAAGACGAGGAAAGCGCATTGCTTCACACTCTTGATGGCAACATTGATTTGCAAGAGGATATCGATCAGGCCGATATGAGGATCGGGCTTCACACAGAAACCAGAGCCGTTAGTCAGTTGGACGTCTCTGGAACCGTGGACGTGGAGGAACAACCCCAAAAACTTGTTGAAACTTCAGGAATACCTGCAGATACCCGATTTGCTAACACTCTGCATGCTGGAAATATCAATATTGCCCCCACAGACCTTGCACAGCAGTCTTCACCTTCCCCTGTGCAGCCATCTGAGGCCCAATTTCGGGCAGGTGCCGACGTCACTCAGTTGCCAACCCCAGACCAAACCCAGAAAGAAAATTTTGATCGAGAACATTTACCTGATAATGAGCACGTGCCGCCCCAGGATCATCTGGCTCTACCTTCACCCCAGCCGACTCAAGATATGCGTGTAATCGTCAACCTAGAAAACGAGAAAGACGAAGCACAGCCCTCTATATCATCACCAGAAATCCTCCATCATACGATCCAGCCTGAAGACACAAAGGCTACAGGCCTAAGGTCGTCACAGAGATTATCCCACAAGAAGCCAGCCATGTTAAAGAGTATATCCAGCCCTTATTTTACTCCAAGGAGGTCTACTCGATTCTCAACTTCTCCAGCACGTGAAGAGAATGTTCCTCTGTCGAGTCCATCCAATAACAAATTTCCATCTTCACCATACCAAAACGAGGAATATCAGGAGGAAGCCACATTTGAGGGCAACCACACCCTCAAGTCCCCTCGCCTTCCCACTGGGGAGCCCCTGTCACCGCATATGAATGGACTTCTCACCCCAGTGGGTTATTATACTCGGCTCTCTTCGCTTCATGAGCACTTTGGACATCTCCTGGACGTCATTGCTGTTTGTTCGACTTCGTCTACCAAAGCAGAACGTGCAAAGGCAGGACCAAAAGACTATCATACGAGCCTGCATGTCATCGATCCTTCGTGCGCTACAGATCGAATTCCCAACGTCCTTACGCAAGTCTTTCGTCCTGTGAAGACGGCTCTTCCTGTTGCTAGAGCTGGCGATATTGTCATCTTGCGTAATTTCAAAGTCCATACTGTGAAAAGAAAATTCGCACTATTGAGTGGTGACAGCTCCTCATGGTCGGTGATATCATTCAAAGCCAAGTCGGATGAATTTGATGTGGCCACTTCTGGTCCTCCATTGGAACGAGGTTCAACAGAAGTGGAATATGCTTCGTCACTCTGGCATTGGTGGGAAGACAAACAAGAGGCCAATCCTGTGGAGAGGACGGAGAATGTCTCCTATGATGACCGCAGTGCTAGAGCATCTTCTGACGGTCCAGCAACGAGGACTAGACTCCGAGTTAAAAGCTCACCCGTCCAAGTTAGTAAAACTTTTCCAAGAGACGCGGATGAGAGCACTCCTCCAGGAGATAGTACGGAGGTATTGGGTGAGCAACAACCAAACACCGATTATGGTAACGAAAGCCGGGAAACAGGGCGGCTTCAAGGGTCGACAGTGTCACCATCTCGGCCAAAGAAACCACTTCCTGCCGCGAGAAGGAGACGCAGAAACAGGACAGACAATATTGGCAATGAAGGAGACGAGGAACAAGTGTTTGAGTACAGTGATTTGGAGAGCCCAAGATCACCAGTAGCCGATCGACAGAGCAAAAGACGAGAGTCGACTACTTCCACAACCATTTCTGTCCTAACACAAAATCAAGGTAGCGAATTCACTCCACGCCGCAGCGCTAGGATTGGACGATCGCCCAGCGTTGTCCATGAATTGCGAGATGGAAAGAAGTACATGGACGAACCAAGTGGAGATGGTGGTGATAACCTTATCCATGACAGAGAGCTCACTCCTCGTCAGAGCACTGGGCATGAACGATCACCTAGTGTTGTCCATGAGTTGCGAGATGGGACCCAATATGTCGATGATCCAAGTGGAAATGGTGATGATAGCCTCATTCGCGATGGGGAGGTCACCCCACGCCGCAGCGCTAGGAATGCGCGATCACCTAGCGTTGTCCATGAATTGCGGGATGGGACCAAATATGTGGACGATCCAAGCGGAGATGGCGATGATAGCCTGATCCACGAGTTAAGAGACGGCGTCACTTACATCGACGAGTAAGTGGTGGGAGCCTGAGTACGTGACCAAGATGTATCAATCCGTCAACATCGGCAAGTCAGCCTGACTAGCCTAGCACCCAGCGTGATAGACGACCGAAGAGTCATACAGTTTTCCTTTCGTTTTCTTAGCTACACAGGAAATCCCAGACGTCCAGAGGTGCATTGCAGCGTGAACCCAGGTCACCACAACCAGCCACAACTACTGACCAGCCAGTTAATTCACCACATTAGTGACAAACTAGAAAGCCCTACTGCTGCTTGCTTGAGTGAGAGTAACAGAATGATGGCGGGTGCATTAGAACAAAATTTCTCCATACGTAATTAATATACCGCATCGCAGTGGAATATGGCATGCAATTGTCACCCTCACGCAACCCTCTCATAGTTGCTGTGATCGACCTGCTATCAAATCTCGAGAGCGCACTACGCAGGGATGATTAAGTACAACAAAAACGTAGTGCAACGCCATATGTGTGCGTTCAACGCGTTGAATGTAATGTACAACCAGATACAGACGACCAAAAGAAGCAGAAGAGATAAGAGGAAGATACAATACGTCATATTGAAACACATTAATTAAGTGTGACGGATGGATTATTCCTTGTTCATTCGTCGTTATCTGCCTTGCCTCGTGGGCTGGTCTGCCCAGTCAATACAGCTAGCTGTCTGCCATGATGCTGTCACCCTTTCCATCTCCGATTTTGCTTTGCTTTCCAATTCCAATACAAAACGTACACGGCCCGCCCCTCTCGGGCATTCGCACACAAGGTTGAATCAGAGCTGAGTTGAGCAAGACAGTATCCTCAGGGAATTAGGTGTCTGAGGTCAGCGTGAGTGATAGTTGGTACACGATACATATGCTAGGTCCGGCCGGGATGGGCGATAGATGGTGGCTGTGGTAGTGCGGTTTCCATGATTCGGAACACTGCGTGGAGGTGAGATCCGAAGGGGGGTTCCTTGGACGATGAGACGGTGGTGGAATATTTTGTTGATACAACTCAGCTCAACTTGGTGAGTGTTCTGTGGTCGGAAGGGGAACAGGACAAGATGTCGCGCGTTCATGTGAAGATATGTTGGTTGGGCATCGCAGTGGCGGTTGCGGTTGAAAAGTCTTTTCGAATGCCACTTACGACATGCTCATGCGTGCGCTGCCTTCGCCTTCTGACTCCTCCCCGGGAGCACCACCACCCGCTGCAAGTCTGCCATCATCATTGTCTTTTCTCCGAGACTCGCCTTGAACCACGACAGCTCCTGAATCATCGACAACCTGCTTCGTTCTCTTCTCAGGTGGAATAGTCGAGCCAGACTCTGGTAAGCCAGCTTCCCTAGCCTTGCGCTTTTCTCGCTCGCGCAGATATTCCTCTTTCTTGCGCTCTTTCTCTCGTTTGTCGTTCTCTCGTCGGTGCGCTTTACTCTCGAATTCGTGCCAGTCTCCGGGAACGTTTGCCAGTTCGACTGCCTGGATGGGTTTTGGCTCCTCGGACGCAAAATATGCGTGCGCCAGTACTTCTTCCGCACTGGGTCGCTTCGTCGGGTCGTACTTGAACATCCACTGTACCAATTCGAGGGCTGCGGTGCTGAAGACATCTTTGAACATGGCTTCAAAGACTCTTTTCCGTCTATCTGCAGGTTGCATCAATTCAAACCAAGGCAAATCAACAATTCCGGGCCACTCGGAGCGTGTTGGGGTCCCAAGCACATTGTAGACTTTGTCCAATTGACTGAGCTCTCCTCCCTCGCCCGGAAAGACGGCTTTCTTGGTGAACATCTCGACAAACACGCAGGCGGCAGACCATATGTCAACCTCAGGCCCATACTGAGTCTCTCCCAGCAAAAGTTCAGGTGGGCGATACCAAATGGTAATGACTCGGTTGGTGTAATCTAGTTGACGCGATTTTGTGTAGAAGCGTGCGAGACCAAAGTCGGCATACTTGAGTTGGCCAGTATTCGAGACAAGGATGTTTGCAGCCTTGATATCTCGATGCAGAACCCCTCGCTGATGAAGATAATCGAGACCGTCGAACATTTGTTGGGCGAGGTCCTTTTTGTGGGAGGAGGTGAGCTTAAATGTTGGGTGGTTGATGAGACCAGTCAAGTCGTGAGATAGATACTCAAACACCATAAAACATTCATTCTTTTCCACCATGACTTCTTGTAATGCCACAACATGTTTGTGTCGCAGGTGCTGCAATAGCCTGATCTCCCGCACTGCGGTTATGGGAAAACCATCACGTTCACCTTCCATGCGAATCTTTTTCAGTGCAACCTTATCCTGGGTATAGATATGGATCGCCTTGAAAACTTTTCCATATGTGCCTGCGCCAACAACTGATTCATTTCCGGGTTTGCGATAGTATATCGATTCGGACTGTGCAAGCTCGGGAGGTATGATAGGCCTCGATTTGATCTCTCTCTTCAACTTCTTCGTAGGGGGTGAACGTGACCTCTCAGGCCGTCGGTCATTTGCCAGCTGTGAACGGTCTTGCATGTGTCTTGAGCGATCGTTCATCTGGAATTTGCGATCCGCAGGGCCTCTTGGAATAGGTCTATCCTCCCGGCGATCATTGAACTTGTTTTTAGGGTGTTGAGGAGGCCGATGGTCAGGATGTTGGAACGTGCCTCTGGGTTTGTTTGAGAAATCTGCAGTTGACTTCGCGGGGCCAGAAGGAGGAGCCTTTGATTTGAATGCAAAGCTGAACTTTGATGCCGAAGCCGGTGGTTGCTCTGGGCCTTGCTGTTTTGAAGGTGTGTTGAATTGGGGATCCCGTTGATCTTCTCCTTGTGCGTCTTTCGGAGGTTGGCTTTGACCTTTGTCTTCGTCGAATTGATCACGGTCATCTTGTGAGGCATGGGAGGCGGTCGAGGATATCTGTATTGAATTTGCTGAACTCATTTGAAAGTTCTGGCCTTGAGGTCCGGTTTGCCCTGGACCCGTAGGCGTCCATTGTAGGTTCTGGTATTGACCAGCTCTGCCTCGATGAGGGCCACTGAATCTTCGATCCGGAGGCCCTTGCTGGTTGAAATGGCCACCCCGACCACGACCACCCCGATGAGACTGGTGATAGCCCTGGTTATTCTGTCCACCATGATGCTGAGGCTGGTTGGGAGGGAAGGGATTAGGGTTGTTCATATTGTTAGTATTGGAATAGTTGTTTTGTCGATATGGAGGGGAGGCACTTTGGCTAGAAGTTTGTTAGCAAAAATCAAGGTGGATCGTATTGATCGATACATACCCATGGTGGCCTCGACCTCGACCCCAGCCCCCTCGATGGTTGTGGTGAGGAGAGTTCGCCTGTGGAGAGCCATGATAAGAGCTGTTGGAGGTTGATGAAAAAGGAGGTGAGCCAGCACCTTGCTGATGTGGCCTTGTGTCTACGAATGGTCTTTGTTGACCCCGATGCCCATAATCCCCACGTGTCGGATATTGGCCGTCCATCGATCTAGTCTCTGCGTCGTCGACGACCGAAGGTGTTTTGGAGGCGCGTCCACCTCTCGACGTACTTTTCTTGGTGGCAAAGCGTCCCCGGTCACTAGGCTTTGGACGGTCCTGTGCTCGGGTTGAAAGTATTGAGGATTCTCGCGTGCGAACAGAGGGAGGGCGCGAGTTCACGCGTGGGTCGCTCGATGCGTGTGGAGAACGACTGGGCAATTCTCGATGTCTATTGTGTCTTGGAGCAGGAGCAGGGCTAAAATCTCTTCTCCTGTCAGGGTGTACAAAAGGCTCGTTCTTTGTAGCTTGTGACCGAGATTTTGGACGAGGAGAGGAGATAATAGGTTCTTTAAATGGCGAAATGTTGCCTTGCCGGCTATCTTCAACACTGAGTTGATCACGGCTTCCGCTGAAACGATTGTACTCGGAGCGACCTCGTTGGTTATCTTCGGGAGATGGGCTTCTAGTGCGCCTTCTTTTTATCTCACGGTCTGGCGAAAGATAACGCTGTCGGTCAGGTCGGTGACTAGATGAATTCGGTCTTTGATGAGGCGGTGATTCTTTTGGGTGGAAGGAACGCGATGGCGAATAGGAAGACTTTGCAGGATATGTCTTCTTGGAGTGCTTGTTCCGATGGCCCTTCCTATGATTGGGACGCTTGCTCCAATCACCCTTGTCTCTATCTCGTTCTCGTTCTGGATCGAAAGTTGGATGTTCTGATCTGTATGTTGGTTCTGGTGAAAGTTGCCGTCGGCCAGGACTCCGATCTCTGCCTCCGTCCCACGGGCGATGTGGGTTTCTCTCTCGTGGGTCTCCTTCAGCTCTCCGACGATACTTCATTGATGGGCTCGGTCGAGGCCTTGCCATGTAGGCGTGGGAGTCATCTGGAAAGGGCGACAAGGGCGACCGTGGATGGGGTTGTTGATGGTAGTACTCGTGGTTATGGTTGAGACCTGCGCAGACTTGAGAATCAGTGTATGGCTCGACGGGATCGTGAGCGCCTTGGCAGCTGCGGTGATTTGATTTGCGAGCAACAATCGGCTCAGAGATGCCGGAAGCCTTAGCCTTAGGTGCCTAAGGTTAGGTAGGCCCGGCCTCCAACTGCAGGGGTGTTGGGGGTAGGTTCTAGGGGTATGAGGCTCACCTGGCGGGTCTCTCGACTCCCACTCCCTCCATTCCCATCTATGATCTGAGTCCTCTGCCCGCATGGTTGATGAATTGGATGGTTTGTTGTAAGGTGTCGTCAGAGGTTGAGTGTACAATCAGAAGTTCTACGATTGTTGAGTGGGGTGAGTTTCGCAGTGACTGGCGACTTGGGCCGGTGTGATCACGTGATCAGGCCAACATCTTGTCACCATGTAAGAAGCTCAGTCATCTTTGCCGAACTGCCAACGTGTGTCGACAGAGGCAATAATGACAGCAACTGGCCTTCACGAGAAGGGCAATCTATCTACGTAGTAACCCAAGTTACCATGATTCTTGAGCTGTGGACGAGCTCAATCATAGTCCCACTCTCCTCCCACTGTGCGGCGGCAATGCCACAGCCCCGCCAAAATTCATATCAACAGCGAATTTGTTTGCCTTGTGTGAATATGACATTGCAACAGTGCTCAACAATGTCTCATCACCCGGCAATATAGATCAGCTCTCTGGTACACTCAGTATCCAGGGTAGTAAGAGGGCGCTGGGTAATCAGAAACATTGACACCCATTTCTGAGTGGAGCTCTTGTCGGTCAGGGTGGACGAACTTGATACCTGGACCATGGATAACTTTCTAGGTGGCTTTGATCGTAATTCATCGGGCCGTAGTAAAGCCAATCCAGGCATGTCGAATTCTGTCCAGACACCAGGTGACGGTCGAATAAAATCGGGCAATCCAGGGTTTTGATCTTGGTTCAGATGTGCACTCGTGGATGACGAGGCCAGAAGGGCCAGTCATCCGAACAGAAGAGACTACATATATCACTCGACGTTGTTCTCCGGAAGTTGACGACGAGAAGGGTGGTCCAATTCATCTCCAACCGAATCAAGGGTGCTGGAATCAAGGATGTAATCCAGCGTGGTTGAACGAAATGTGTTGACCGCCTCCTTCTGGGACCACCGATCATGGCCACGAGTATTGCGGTGGTTGCGCTTCGTCAACACTGGAATAGGCCTTGTTTTGCACACGATACATAATGCACGAGGGTATGGCAGGCCGGTTCTCCCACTCGAGTCCAAAGGGTCTCGATTCGATGTCGAAGAGGAGGGACAATGGATGAGGTCGGCGGTTTGCCAAGTTAGCAGCAACACTGGCAGCCTGAGCCATTTAGCCGTGAAAGTATACTGTGGAGCAGAAACGCCAAAAAGTGCAGTGTGGTAAAGCAGCAAGCGACCCTTTTGAGGTTCTTTATTGAAAGAGACAACTCGGAGTTGGAGGCGATGTTCCTTTTAGCTATCGCTTCTAATTCGAGTTCTGCAGTATTTCGGCCTTGCTCGGCCTCTGCTGATCGACATAGCTTTAATATTTCCGAAAGTGATGGCTCAATGGCTGGTTCTATCTGGGACACTGAATGCCATCACCGGGAAGGACATTCCGAGAACGACAGGCCTCATGGTATCCAGCTTGACACTGCATCTCACATCCAGCAGTCTGCATTGAGTGCTTCGTCGGCTCATCAAACCTCACACGATGCAAGAATGAGACGTCCCCATCACACAACTTGACCTATGTGCTGTTGGTTTCCCATCCTTAACCTCCGAGCACATACAATTTTATCCATACACATGGATAGCTGTCCCTGGTGATCCTGCCGCCGTTGTCCTTCATGAAAACGTCTTTTTGGTGGTACACTGTGGCAAGCCAGCCAGCTCTCGCTAGCGCCTCGAACTTCATTGTATTCGGGGGTATAGCGGGCTACATTGTGGGATTCGGATAGTGGTGGCAAATGCTTCGCCCTTCCAATCACCCATCGATACTCATCTTCTCTCCAATCCCCTTTGCTCCTAGAAGTTCACATCCAGTTCTCACCACTCCGACCATTCCACCAGTCTGTACACCTTCACTACCACCTCCCGCAAGTCTGTACTCAATCTCAGCCAGCCCCTCTAGCCACGTTACTCGCGTAGCTGTGCTGACTTCGAGAGTTTGCAACTCCTCTGCCAGTGCAGTGAGTATGTCTGCCAAGGCCAGTCCCCGGCTACTTTTAAGAGCATTGATGGTTGTAAGGCAACTAGTGACATCTGGGGTGCTCAGCATGGTAGTCATGATCAGTCGAATGTCCTCAGGGTGGGGCGCTGCGATACAATTGTAAATCGTATCATTGGTGATGAGATCGTATTTGATGTCAGCTTCTTTAATGGGTGGTTGTCCTCGCATCGGTAGTGGTTTTGATCCAGCATGACATGCTTGGAGGACATTCAGTGCTCGACGCATATCTCCTTTGGACAACTTCACAAGTGAGTCGATAGCTTCAGGGACGATGTTGACATGCTCTTGTACAATGACATGGTCCACAAGCCGTCGGATATCTGCTTCTTTCAAGGGCGAAAATCGGAATCTCGTACATCTTGACAATAATGCTGGGGAGAGCTTGTGTGTGTAGTTGGCAATGATGCAGAAGCGGGTATTTGCTGTATATTTCTCCATAATTCGCCGAAGTGCCATTTGTGCCGCACTTGTCATGGCGTCCGCTTCGTCAAGAATGATCAACTTGAAGGCACCGATGCCAAACTTTGCCGTAGAGGAGGATGTCTGCTGCGTTGAAGTGCTGAAGATTTGTTTTGTTGAAGCGAAAGTCTTGATTTGTTCACGCACAACATCAATCCCACGATCGTCGGACGCGTTCAGCTCCAAAGCCATTTGTCGCATGTTTTTAGGTCCATAAATCTGCCTAGCAAGTGCCAAGATTGTCGATGTCTTACCTGTTCCTGGGGGTCCATAGAGGAGCAGATGTGGAAGTCGATTGTGCTCGACGAAGCGATTGATGGTGGCAAGGATATCTTGGTGGCCGGAGACATCTTCAAGAGTATTTGGTCGATATTTCTCCACCCTGGTCAGATGGTTAGTCTAGATTGACTTTTGGTGTACTGATCCTTACCATGGGAGGTTGTCTTCTGCCTCGACCGGAAGATCTGCAACGATTCTCTTCTGTTTCCCAGTCGTGTTGTCAGAACTGAATTGTATGGAGGTATCTTTTGATGGAATGACGTCCACGTCCATCTCATCCTCATAGTCCGACATGTTCGCGGCTCTGGACAAACAAGTACAGAAACTTAGATAAGTGATCGTTGCACTTTTGTTCGTAGTTTAGCAAAGACTGCGTTAATGACGGCCATTATGGGACGTAGCATGGAGACGCGCCGTGGCGTTTCTGACGCGTTAAGTGGTTCTCCAAAACTCTGCGTCACGTGTCGTCCAAGGTGGGATGTCGATAAGATAAGATTCCAAAAAAATATTCTGCCTTTGTACAACATGAAATCGCCCCAGCACACTTGGAGGGGCTGAACTCATTCAGACCAAAGAAACAGTACGAGCCAACGCCGACGACCATCAAGATGGCAGAATTCTCAACTACCGAACAGACTGCGGTCGATAAGCCAGTTCATACAATCATTCTCGACTCTTCACCTCTCTTACTGAATACCCCCGGCATCTCAACTCTTCTCGCAAACGCACATGATCTTGTCACAACTCCTTCAGTGATCTCTGAGATAAGAGGCGAGGAGGCAAGGTCAAGAATAGATACACTCTACCGTCCTTTTCTAACCATCCGAAACCCCAAGTCGGAAACAGTTAAACTGGTCAGAAATTTTGCTCGAAAGACTGGAGATGGCGCAGTTCTCAGTTCGACGGATTATGAAGTCCTTGCCCTAGCGTACGACATTGAATGCGAGCGGAACAGAGGAAATTGGAGATTGAGATCTGCACCTGGACAGAAGAGCTTGAATGGTAGCCCGCCCTCAAAAGAGGCCCAGACACACCTGTTACCTCAGAGAGAGGAAGCAAATTCAATACAAGCAGAGGGAGAACCTTCAATACCAATATCAACAGAGGAAGGAATTTCTCCACCAACACAAGAAGCATGCGATTCTCTACCGAATGCCGAGATTGAAGACGTCAATAAGATTGAACAGAAGATTGCCGAGGTAGACCTTGAAGATCACACCAAATCACAAGATTCGGAAGCAGTGGAAAATGCGACTACAGATACTGAAGCAGAATTACCACAACCGCAGATATCGACCGGGAACGAGCCGGAAGAGGTCTTAGATGCGTCCCAAGAACATGAAGATGAGTCTGATTCCGAATCTGGTTGGATCACGCCAGCAAACATCAAGAAAAAGAAGGCCAAAGATGAGGCCGCCAGTAGTAAGACTGGAAAAGAAAACAAGCACCTGCAAGTTGCAACCATGACGGGTGATTTTGCCATGCAGAACGTACTTCTTCAGATGAATCTCAACCTTTTATCCACCAAGACATGTCAGCGTATATCCCAGATCAAACAATTCATCCTGAGATGCCATGGCTGCTTCTCCACCACCAAAGAGATGTCAAAACAGTTCTGTCCGCGATGTGGCCAACCGACTCTCACAAGAGTGAGTTGTTCCACCAATGACAAAGGTGAGGTCAAATTGCATCTCAAGGCCAATATGCAATGGAACAACAAGGGCAATGTTTTCTCTGTACCAAAGGCAGCGGCTGGAACTTCGAATCAAAAATGGAAGGGTCCCAAACAAGGTGGAGGACAAGGCGGCTGGGGTAATGATCTCATTCTGGCTGAAGATCAGAAGGAGTATATTCGAGCCATGTCAACGATGAAACGCAGTAAAGAGCGCGATCTCATGGACGAAGATACCCTTCCAAGCATCCTCTCCGGGAACAGAGACCATGGATCGGGCAGGATACGTGTGGGAGCAGGTAGAAATGTGAACTCGAAAAAGCGGTAGATCCTGACTATACGAATGATATTGTCATCAAGCGCATGCCTATTATTAAAAAGTGACCGGGTATTCCTTTTGCGTGTCAAGCCTTGTCCTGTTCTCATGAAAACCTCAAAGCGCCTAAAACGCCGTCCCTGTTCCTCTTGATCATTTTTTGGGCTCTTCCTCTTCAGGTCGGTTAGTATTGAATGCTATAGTTGAAGGATGCTGTCGCACGTACTCTGCTGGGTGAGGAGTAGGCCGTAGCGCTTCTTCAGTGTAACTCGATGTCTGCAAGAGGATTAGCGACAGGGAGGCAAGCATTGCGCAAGGACCAAAACGAACCTCGAGTATTTATCATCGGGGGAGAATCTTGCAGGATGGGCGGATTTGGTCACGGTGCCATCGAGGACCTTCTTTAGAGTGTAGATTCTGTTGCCAGTGGCGGGATCTTCAGTGTACATGAGATGCATGGCGATTTTAATGCTCGTAGATTTGTTGCAGAGGTAATCTTGTCGAGGGTGGGAGGTTCTTTGAATTCTCTTGAATTGCGGTGCTTGAACAAATTCACAATACAAAAAGTGAGTTTTAGTACGAACTAACACTAACATAGTGCTAGCGCTCCAAGCGGTGGTTGCCGCTTTAATATGGGGCTTGGCATTAACACTCAATTCTTTTCACAGGAACTTGAAGTTTTTATTTGGTTGATCAAAGCAAATACGTGTTGATGAATCTTAGTCAACATACTCGATTGCACCCAACGAACTCCCGCAAGTCATCCTCTCGGTGCTGCGGCCAGAGCCAGGATTTACTGATGGGGACGAAATAGAAAGACTGTGGTTGGAGAAGACCAACTCGGCAAGACTCTCTCAAAGTTTTGGGCCATTCATTTACCAGTCATTCTCGTTGGTCGCTCACCTCCATGCAGTACATGCTTCCAATTTTCCTTCTGCGGGATTTTCATCCTCCAACAACTCAATTCCTTATGCGGGATTCACCACCATTCCAACAATCGTCAATACTCTTTTGACTTGGAATCGTCTCTGTTTGTCTTCTTCATCCATGTCTTCCGAGGTTGGCCTGCATTGTCAACCGCCCGTCCTTCCGATCTCTTCCTGAAGTCGGTAAAAAGAAGGAACTTCCAGCAGCCTTCCATTTTCATCCGATCCAACCGCCTACCGGCAATTCATGTAAGTGCCCAACTCGCTGAATCATACCACTTCAGCTTTCCCCTTCTCTCCGTGATGACCCTTTTGTTTGCCTAGGAGGTTGCACTTTGATTTCAGCGACCTTCAATGTGGGCCCTTGTATTAGACTACAACGGTATCTGATTAAATATTCTCTAAAATACCTTTTACATCTTGCGTGCTCCTGTCACCAACTCTTTCACCAGGCTAATCCATGCTTCCATACAGGTGACTCTGCCATGACCTGAAGATGGCCTCATCGAATACTTCATCTGCTCCTGCCAGACCCTCCTCTTCAAAGTCGGGCCCCAATAAGCGACCTCGCAAGCCCAATTACAATTACATCCATCGAAATGTTCTACCCATCCCAGTTTACCCCCTACCGCCACTAATACCTCATAATCCATTGTCGCTGGTCGCAATCGCTCTCTCATATTTGGTCCAGGTCCTTTCAACTCCTCCTCAGCCGACGTACAAAGGCTATTTCTCTTCTGCGACGTCTTCCATTCACATTACCGATGTCGACACCATTCGTAAGCTCTGGGAGATGGGCTTCTTTGGTCGAGGGAATCTGAGTCGTAGCGAACCCGCATGGCTGGAAAATCGGAAGAAAAAAGGCACCACCGCGGAAGAGAACACAACTCAGCGAAGACAGGAGAGAAGGCGACAGAAGTTGGAGCGAGCCCGGAAAGAGCAAGAGGAGGTTGATCAGAAGTTGTCGGAGGAGTCTCAAATGAACGGAGTGGCACATGGTCAAGCCAGCGGGATTCTGCAAGAGAATGTCCTCAAAACGAATGCGACGGACATTACCGACATTGGGAGTGTGCTGGATTCCGCTAGTGGAACTGTGACGCCCGATGTAGAGGAGGAAAGGGAGAATGGCCCTATCCATGGCTATGATGAATGGAAGAGATCCATTGAAAGAAATGGTATTCTGACTCCCCCACCAACGTCGACTTCATCCGAAGCAAGCCACGTTGAAGGTCGCCCAGCACAGCGCCTACAACGCACCAAAACCGTTCGCTTCTCACCAACAATCGAGGCCAGAGAGTTTGACTTGACGTCTCCAGTGATCTCACCGATTAAGAGCCCGGGAACTTCGTCTTTAGAGTCCGCGGCACCCCCTTCAACTCCGGCTCCGGTCCAGGAAGCCCAGGAGCATTTGACGTTGTCAATCGAAGAAGCTTTCTTCCTCTCCTATGGTCTTGGTGTATTGCAAGTCTACTGTGATGATAGTGAGACGGTCCTCCCTCCGAGTTCACTTCTGTCCTTATTCCGGCGGCACTCGTATCATCCTCCGCGGTCATTATCAATGCCCGCATCACCTGATGACCCTTTCATGCTATCATATGTGGTCTATCACCACTACAGATCCCTGGGATGGGTGGTTCGTTCAGGGATCAAGTTCTCCACTGATTATCTGCTTTACAACCGCGGGCCAGCATTTTCACATGCCGACTTTGCCGTCATCATAGTGCCCTCGTACAGCGATCCATACTGGACCGGCGATACCCAAGTTAAAAACAACATCGAAAACGATCGACAGTCGAAGAGTTGGTGGTGGCTTCATGGCGTCAACCGAGTACAGTCACAAGTTCGAAAACAGCTTGTCTTGTGCTATGTTGACGTTCCTCCACCATTGAAAGAGGAGGAAAAAGGAAAGGATGTGGATATTGGAATGTTGCTCTCCCGGTACAAAATTCGGGATATCAATATCCGACGTTGGACTCCAAATCGGAGTAGAGACTGAGTCGAAGCCATGAGAAAGACGACGACATGACGTGTGTTGCCTCAGGGCACAATGATCCCGAGCTATGAATCGGATGTTGCATATTGCAGAGTCGGCTACCTAGATAGGTCATGTACAATCATCAAATTGGATGCAAGCATCATGATAACCAATCAGTGTGGGCGCACCAGTCTCCTCAGTAACAAATTCATGAATTGCTCTCTGTAGTGGTCAACAGCCCATGCCACAGCGTAGCGCTCGTATCTTATGAAACCTCCAATCATCGCTCCTCTCCCTTGTGATCAGTAACGCATCCACAGCGTGGTGCTCGTATCCTGACGAAACACTTAATCATGCTTGCCCACACTGTTCTGGGGTTTCACTTCATGGACGCCTGATTACTCGTACGAGAAACTTATACGGCAGCTAAGTTGACGGCGTATGATACCCCGTGTCCGAATGCAAGGCAGCCCGCCCAACTATGAAGATTTGCAAGTTGGGAAAACGAGTAAGAATATTATATATACAGTAATCCCTCCAAAGTGCGAAGGTCCAAGTACAGCAGACTTTGCTCATCTACCACTCTTACCAAGATCTAGTATTCGTAATTTATCCTGGCAACATGGAGATACCAGCATACTGGGGAGCTACATTCACACCGACACTGCATCACAAGGCAGAAGGTCCCACGCTGCCAGAGAATAACAATATATCTGGCGATTTCATTGTGGTTATCACTGGTGCAGGTAAAGGACTCGGATACCATATCGCAGTTGCGTATGCTCGTGCTGGAGCTACAGGAATTACGATCTCGAGTCGCACTCAACCGGATCTGGAGGCCCTGGAAAAAGAGCTTTTGAAAATCAACCCGAACCTCGAGATCCTTTCACAAGTGATGGATGTCTCGAAGCCCGAGCAAGTCAAAGAATTGGCGAAGCAAGTGCAGCAAAAATTCCACGGTCGACTCGATGCGGTCATCTCCAACGCTGGTGTGATCAGCAAGCGCGTCCATGACATAGACGAGACAACAGGAGAGCGTATCAACATTCGTTATCCTCGCGGCGTCACTGAGGATGAGGATTTTGCGTATGTCGTCAATGTGAACTTGCTCGGCGGCTATTACATCGCAAAATACCTGACACCGATCCTGATTGCGGCTTCGAACCCGAGTCCGCTCAAGGCGTACATCGCCATCACGAGTGTCTGTGCCAACATGAACAACAGCATGATGACCACCATGTCATATAATGTGAGCAAAGCCGCATTGAACCGTGTGGTGGAGCACATCCAAAACGACCACGCTGCAGACGGCGTAGTGGCGTTCGCGGTGCACCCAGGATCTTCGATGACTTCCCAGGTCGATGGATTGAGTGCGGCTGATGCTGAAATAATGAAAAGCTGTGAGTTCTAGAAGCTATGCTGGACATCTGACTAATGAATTCATGGCAGACTTGACCGATGACAATGGACTTTGTGGAGGATTCCTTACCTGGCTGACAAAGGAAAAGAGGGACTGGCTTGGAGGGAGGTTCCTCAGTGCTCAGTGGGATGTGGATGAACTAGATAAGAAAAAAGAGGAGATTGTCTCAGCGGACAAGCTGAAAGCCAGATTGGTGACTTGACAGAAGCTACATGTTAAGCAAGGCTGGCTGCCATGGGCGAGGCTGAAGATAACTGCCAAGACCGGATAATCCCTGTTCAATCTCGCCCCGCGTTTTGTCGCGTCAAAAGTCAAAGTGGGGAGGCAGTTGACACGCGCTTTTTATTCACTTTTGTGTAACTCCGAGAATCTGATACCAGATATTGATTGCCTGCGCGAGTCTGGTAGACTATGTAATCTACCTGCGTGGTTTTCAACTATGAAGACCTTCAGCACCCATGGATACCGAAAGCGCCAGTATTGACATTACGGAACATAAGCGGTTTCTACTTGGGCCGCATGAGGTAAAAACTCCATGTCTTTGTCCTTATCATGATTTCGCAAATCCTGGCCACTAACCATGAAATTTCTCCCTAGCATTCAACCCTTAACCCTTCGGATTCAGAACTCAGCACATACGCGAACGACATCATACGGGCAGTCAAGAGTCAGTACGACCGACCATCGCCCCAACGACCACTGCCTGCGCAGGACAGCTGGCCCCCATTAGACAGTACTGTTCCTGACTCCCAAGAACACCATCCTCCACTAGATGTCGACAGTCAGTTCCGCTTCATCGATTCTATCCCTACTGCGGCATCTGATTTCATCAACACATCTGCATCTGCAGTTCCCGCAAGAATGAGCCAAATTGATGATGCAGCCACTCAACAATTGTCTCCATCCCACTTCGATTCCTACATTCAGCAAAGTAGAAGCGCAAGGCAACTGCAGGACGCGACTAGATCTGATGTCGACAACGAGGATGGAGTTGAGGTCGACAACGGAAATGGAGTTGCGGTCGACAACGGGAATGGAGCTGATGTCGACAACGACAATGTGCCTGATGTTGACAGTGCTAATGCGCAACGAGAGGAAGATACCCAGTTTACACTCCACGAGGGTGACGAGGGCCATATTGATATAATCTCGACTCTGGAGCAGAGGTTTGGAGGTGCCAACAACCATGACTCCGATCCTCTTGCCACCGACTTCTCCCCTACCCAGTCACAATCCGCACTTTCCCAGTTCCCCGAATCACAGAGATTCAAAACGCCTGCCACTGCTGGAAAGAAGAGACGCCACACTGGAGACGTTGTCGAGACACCCCGTCTACCTCGCAATCCGCTGAGAGAACAAGCTGCTCAAAGAAATAGTAATATAATGGGCCTCAGCCAGGCGTTCGCCGCCACTCAGGCCAATACTTCACCATTCGTCCCAGTCCCCCAGATCGATCTTCGATCCGATCGACCTTCGCCCAACATCCAACTGCAGCCACAACCGATGATCGTCGGTACTTCTTCTCCGCGATTGCGCCTGCTGCCAGATTTTCAACGGGCTTCTACCGAACCTGCTTCACGTTATGTTCCTGTACAGCAGTCTCAGGCACAAAGGGACAAACAGGCTGCTGCTCAATTACAGCAATTTCTGGCCACATACGAGGAAGATTTGGATGATCCTTTGGTCGATGAGGACACTCAAAGTAGAAACAGGAGAAGACAATTCGGAATTGATCAACGGGCTCAAGTAGCCTTGAGAGAAGCCTCGTCTCCTTCAAAGCGGCGAAAACGAGGAAGTTCGGCTATAAAATCCTCTCCAAACTTGGCTTTCACTCGTTGTTCGCCTGTTCCGAGGTCGTCAGCAAGCCGTGTCAGCGTCCCCATCGAGTCTAGTCCTCCTAGTCAGAGTGATATTGACACCGACATAAACAGTGACAATGTTAACGACAGCGAAGTCGAAACCGACCAGGGGGATGAACCGGTTATTATGGTGAACAGATCCAGTCAAGGAGCCATCGCTATGGACGCGGAAGACAAAGAAAATCTTTCGCAAACGGGGAGTCAAGTACCAGAGACCACGGCAAGACTCTATCAAATCACCAACCAGTCACTATCTCTCCTGCAAGAAAGTCCCTCTATGAGGCGATCACATCGATACACTATCAGCTCCCGCGCGATATTAAATAGTTCAGAGCCAATCGCAGTGGCCAACTCTCAACCGTCTCAACCTCAAAAACAGCACCCGACAATTTCGATCGTCTCACAATTCGCCACAAGTCAAGGTATTGAATTTGTACCACAGTCACCGACAAAGTCTCCACCACGCACGCCGGAGGCGCGATCCCCAATGTCAAAAGACCCTTCTGGGAGAGATGATGACGCTAGATCTGTGTCAGACAGAGTATCTATTACCGCTAAATCTTCTGACAAGGCCAAGCCTACGAAAGAGAATTTCAACAGCACCATTCCAGAGACCAGTTCAAATGAAGAGGATATCCGAGAGAATCCTGATCAAAACATCGGACCTCACAATACTGAGGAGACCAGTACGAACACGCATTTTGAAACTGCAGTTTCTCATGTTCCAATTTCTGTCAACAACGAGATTCCTTCTAGTTCATCAAACCCGTGTAGTTCACCTCTGAATACTACTTCAGTAGCGCATAAGAGGAAACGCATGAACGAGATTGCGGCTGAGCACTCTCCCCGCAAGTCTCAATCTCAGTCACAGAGTTTCAATGCCAGCCAGGCTCTCCAGATTGAGACAGAGCTTCAAGATGACCATTCTCTTGAGCTCAGCCACGTGCTTTCAGATGGGATCGCCATAAATCTCACGAGTGTGGCCGGCAGTTCACCTAGGAATAAGCAAAAGGAAATCGAAGTGCCCCATGATATCTTGAATAGGCGGCTACTGAAATCACCATCCCATCATGATTCTAGCTCTCCGCTTTCAGAGCCCCCTTCTGAGCTAGATGATTCGGACTCACTTAATAAACCTGTGGCGACTCCGTTACTGCCGTCCGCCAGAATCAGGAAACCTTCAGCTAGAGCACTAAGTGCGCTAAAGGACAATGCTCGAACAAAAATCCAGATGCCACTGTCGAGAAAATGGGATATTGATGTGTCTCCTCCTCAAAAGCGAGTGCCGGTCATGAAAGCCCCAACTCCAACGCCCATCCTCATGAGCAAGGCTGAGGCTTCGAGCAAAACAAAGCAGAAGGTTCGAAAACGTGTCAAGCTGACAAAAGTGGATCAGACACCCCATTCGCCAGCGAATGACCCAGGCGCTACAGGACATGATACAACCTCAGAACAAGTATTAGAGGTTGCTCTCGCTCAACCCCTATCAGTGACCCCATCAACGAACGATGAAATAATAGTCCCCAACATGGTTTTTGCCTGTTATTATGGTGGCAATGTTCGGGCTTACTATCCTGGCTTGTGTCTTGGTCTTTCGGGTGGCGAGAGTAAACGGTTCTTGATCAAGTGGCCTGGATATGACGCACCAAACGATGTATCGGAGGTTGATGAGCATGGTATTCGAAGTTTCGACTTACGAGTTGGAGACCTCGTCAAAGTTGAGAAGAAAGGATTTCCCAAGGTGGCACACGTTGTCACAGGCTTCAAAGACAAGCTTACCCCAGACATACTTGCGGCTGATGCGTCCACTGTCACTGATGTCCGAGGCTATAAGACTGTTTTAGTGGCACCCAAACAGCGGAAGAGTCTCCCATCAAAGACATCACCTGGGTCGGTGAAAGAGGTGCCAATTTCGGACATCTACTTAGACAGCAACATGTGGGGACACATGAAAGATCGACCGTTCGAGTTTCAGCTGGAGACTTATGGTAAAGCCTCGCAACGCTTTTTCACTCCAATCCAACCAGTATCCACTCCTAGCACACCAACTTCCCGAAGTCGACGTACGAAAGCAAGTGGCACTGCTCCTGCGATTTCGACATTGATACCTTCAAGCTCTCCTAGTGGACTGTTTGCAAACATGGTTTTCGCCATATCGTATCAATCAATCGAAGAGTGGGAAATCCGAACCACCGCTTTGACAGCGTTGGTGGAGAAAAACGGTGGACATATTCTGAAAGAATCCTGGGAAGATCTGTTCGAGCCTAATAGTCTGACTCTAAAACCTCGATTTGCTAGTTATAAGTTTGCTGCGTTATTAAGCGATCAGCATTCACGAAAACCCAAATATATGCAAGCTTTGGCACTGGGCATTCCCTGCTTGAGTACCAGATGGGTTGATGCATGTATCAAGGCAAGGGAACTGGTTGATTGGACTTTTTATCTACTCCCTGCGGGTGAAAGCTCCGAGCTCAATGAAGCCGTCAGATCCCGGATACTGCCATACTTGACAGATCCTATCTCCATCACAGTGAGTCAGATGATCAGTTCGCGACCACAGATCTTTGCCGGTATCCAAGCTGTTGCAGTCATACCAAAAGGCAAGCTAGGGGATAAACTCCGACCCTTTCGTTTTCTGCTCCAAGCATCAGGAGCAGCAACGATCAAGGAGGAGGCAAAGTTGGAAGCAGCAAGAGAGCTATTGGATTCCATGGGTGGCATCGATCAAGAAGGTGGTATATCGAGAGTACTTCTCGTCAAAGACACACAGCTTGAAAGCGCGAGAGAGACGATGATGCCTGACAATGCCAGTAAGGCTGAGACAGACTCCGACAAGGAGGAATTGACCAAAAGCACAACGAACTCAGAAGCACCGACACCCGCTCTACATGGGGGTATCATAGTCGTGGGCAAAGATTTCATCGTGCAGAGCTTGATCCTTGGGAAGCTGGTGCTGTCTTGATGAATGCCCAGGAGGAGTCGACAATTACTGTACGTCTCAAGATCGTATATAGAATCTGTGCGTTTGTACATACATACACAGCGAATTCGATAATAAAGCGAGTGTACGCGATTGGACAGCCATCTCATCCCTTGAAGGAAATCAGTCTCGATCTCACATGTATGTCCCAATTATCCAGGACCAGGGACCGCTGCTTCCCATGCCGGTATTGAATTTAAACGAGGCATCTTTGTGGGAATTTATCACTTCATGGCTACCGACTATCACTTAGTCCTGCTTCTCCTCTAGGAGATGCGTCGGCGTCGGTTCGAGAACCTCGCCGGTGGATTCGTTGACCACGGGTTCCGACGGCACCAGCACAAACAAGATACGAACATTCTCATTGCTGACGTTTTTCCAGGCCTGTGATCCCCCACGAAAGTAGGACAAAATAAGTCAGCAAGCAGTTCAGGCACCTCGCCGTTGGAATACTAGCTCAGAGAGAAAATCCGTGCAGGTTAAACCCTTAGGTACTTACGTGATTTGTCGCACGCTGCACGACGGTATCTCCCTCCCGGACGGTCTTCTCTACGCCCTCGTCGAGAATCAGCTTAATGCTCCCCTTGAGCACGACGGCGAAATCGACGCTCTGCGTGCGATGCATGATGTTGACACTGTCCTCGGCGTCGCCGGTCGGCGGGAAGTCGACGATGCGGGCGTAGACGCCGGCCGGGCTGACGAGGCCGATCTTCTTGCCGTGCACGTCGTCCCATGGCCCCTGCGCTTTCGCCGGCACGCCGTCCGTCCGGAACAGGTTCGTGAAGCCCGGGATGATGCCGCTGGGAGGGCCGCCCGTGCTGTCGAGTGGGTTCGCGGGCGTGAGGGTTTCGTCGCTGTCGAAGATGGCGTGCCCGTGCTGGTCGTGGCCTGATGTGTTTGAGAGAGGTTCGCGTTAGATAGGTATTATTAAGCTGGTTGGTTGGTTTCGTGGGATGTTGGGATTGAAATCACCTGTGACTATTCGTCGTGTGGTCGGAAGTGACATTGTGTGAGCAGGAGGTATTTAGATAACTTAGTTAGGAGCGGGATTGTAAAGATCTTCGACGGTCAATGAGAGGTCTTCGTCAGCGGGGAACCTTATGGTACTGATACAGTACCAGCAAAGGGTGAAGATTCAGCTTTTTGATAATTGGAATATCAAATTTATTGTCCGTCGAACGGTTTCTTTAATACACCTGAGATGAAAGTGGTGCACGATGTTAGTCAACCGTTCGTAAGATTTTATGCAGCTAATGGAGCGAGGCTATTTCAGTAGTATATTCATAGAAACAACCCCCTGGTTGTATATGTCAGCCTTCAAGGATAGTTACAGATTGGATATTCTTCAAGTCCACGATGCTGGCACGTATTGCCATTATCGGTAGGATTTGTAGGATTCATGTAGAACTGTTGATATCTCGTGATGATTGTTGAGAGGTGTCAGCTTATGTCACCACCATGTGGATCGTGGTAGTCGAGAAATTGGGGCACAATGAAACATTGACTACTGCATACGGTCACATAACGTGGAGATATTTTGTAATAAAGTCAAAACCATTGAATTTTTAACTCCTATTCATCATGATGGACGATGGTATAAACTAGGATATACAAAAAACAGATCCCCAGGTCTCATACCATTTTGGGATCCACAAAGGTACTATGGTATGTCTGCTCTACAACAAAGCAGCAAGACCAAGAAGACCGGCACCGACAACACCGGTGAGACCGGTGGGAAGGGCAGCACCAGCGTTGCCGCTGGCAGATCCACCAGTGGCGGAGTTGACAGCTGAGTTGACAGCAGAGGAAATGCTCGAGGCAACAGAACCTGCCTGGCTGGTGGCACTGTCAAGGGCGGAGGCACCCTCACTGGTGAGGCTGTTGAGGATGGAGCTAGCAGCAGTGCTCAATGAGTCCAAAGACGATTGGGCACCTGACGCGCCAGTGGCTGCGGCGGACGAGAGGCTTGCAAGACTGCTGGAGAGGTCGGATTGAGCGGAGGTGAGACTGGCACCGACAGATGATTCGACGGATTGCAAAGATGATTGAGCGGCACCACCAGCAGAGTCAGCGGATCCGGTGATGGATGCAACAGCGCTGCTAGCGCCTGAAGCAGCGGATGAAATGGCGCTTGATGCCTGGTCAGTTTGCCCGAGAGCAGGGACTGCGGCGAGAAGGGAGTAGAGGACAACGTTGGTGAGCTGCATGGTGACGGATTGTATGTACAAGGGTGTATTGGTACTTTTGTCAGGAAAGGGAGATTGAATTGGACAGATGGGATTGTGAGAACACGAGATGGTCAATTGAGATGTGAGAAGAGGTCAACTATATACGATACCTTCCTTCACACGAGTGACACGACATCATCTACCAGATGTTCTTGGAACGACCAAGCATAATCAGGGGTGGAAAACTGGGGTTGATACTCAAAGACTGGACCCACGGACCCAAACAACACATCTGACAGCATGGAAACTGCGTCATCCCAAGGCCACTGGCCATGAAACAAGGAGTGGAGGGGGATAGTTGAAGGTTAGTTGACTGGGTGCCTTGATTTTTGCAAGCATTGAGTTTCTCCGGATGAGGTTATTGATGGCAAGAGCTGGGCAAAGATGGCGAATGGACAAGTGAGAAGACGAAGAAGAGGCTCTGTGGATAGAGCTGTCATGTTTGACTCCCGGCACGCCTTGGCCGTGTTTAACGGATCAAGGAAGACGGCAATGCGGTCATTGAGGCTTGAGCTGGAGATCGAAGCCTGAAATGGCCGATCGAGAAGTCGATGTGATGGGAAAAACAAAGCCCATTTGGAGACATACGCCACAATGATCAACATTTCTGGCTTTCATCAGTCTGAAAATGGATTCCCGTGTGGCTTGCCAAGGAGGGACGCGACAACTTTGATCGTCATTGCATCAAGTTGCATGGCGTGCTAACACACCGGCCGACACTTCCGAACTTGAAGCAGAGAGAGTCTCAATAATTAATGAGATGATGGCTTGACCTCTTGAAGGTGGACCTGACCATGGTTCATGGTACCTCGGAGGAACATTCCACTTGGTTGTGTCGTGGTCAGTGGATTCGTGGAGTCGTGGCAGCCATTCGAGTTGTCTCGGAGTTTGTAAAACCGAGAGGACCTGGAAATAGAAAGATACCTAGGTATCTATGGCCGGAGAATATGTGTATTCGACCCTTGGTACTCGGTATTCATATTTGATCCTGTCGTGTTCAAACCACGTGGGTGTTCTGTGCTGTCAGTCTGGATCAAAATGGCGACATCTTACCTAGGTGGAATGAAATGAATTTAGCGATGCAACATGCCCCCGATGATGATTATCAGCACAATTTGTCCAGTCAAGCAACCTCAATGCACCTCATGTAAAGGTAACAAGACCTTTATCCATCTGAAGTTGAATAGAACAAAAACACGTGTGTAGCCAGACCCGTTGTAATTGGACCACTCCGACAACAAGATCCCGAGGTCATGCAGGAACAAGAGAGCCGTTGTAGGCTAAACGGAACAAGCACAAAAACATCTCCAACATATATCCCAATAGTATAAGTGACCACAATCAAGGTAGGTGTTCTGTATCATTCAGTTCGCTCTTTCCATCTTCAAGTTGGTGATTCTCTGGCATTTGTTCCTTCCTTGCTGCAGTCCAACATGATCTCATCAATACTCGCTCTTTCCCTGTCATGGGCTCTCCAAGTCCATGCCGCCGCCATCCCCTCATCGGCAACTGCGGAAGGTCTTTCTCTCTCTCCGGGTCTGCAGAACATCTTGTCAAACACGGACAACAATGATGCATATACCTACCCAACTGATCTGACCAGAGGAATCATTCCTGTATGTGAGAACAGCTGCCGAGAATGGCCTCTACCCCAACTCCATCATCACCTCTGTGCTCGGTGACTAACCTATCCACCCCCAGAAACCGATCCACTCTCACAATGATTACTGGCGCGATGTCCCCTTCTACTCTGCACTCTCCGTGGGCGCAGTATCCGTTGAAGCCGACGTTTCCCTCATCAATGGCACACTCTATATCGGCCACGAGCTGTCCGCCCTGACAGACGCCCGCACCCTGAAGTCCCTCTACATTGACCCTATCCTCGATGTTCTCAAGCGCGAGAATCCGACCACGAAGTTCGTGACGACTCCTACACGAAATGGTGTATTCGACACCTCGTCTGGCCAGACATTATACCTGTTCATCGATCTGAAAACCAATGGAACCACCACATGGCCCGTTGTAGTGGAAGCCTTACAACCTCTTCGTGATGCGAAATACCTGACAACTTGGAATGGTACGGCTGTCACACCCGGGCCTGTGACCGTGATAGGAACTGGTAATACTCCGTTGAACCAAATTGCTCCCCTGTCACAACGAGACTACTTCTTCGATGCAAACCTGGCCCTCTTGAACAGCTCCCAAGCCAACATCACAAGTGGTATTTCACCCGTGGCTTCCACTCAGTTCAGCCGATACATCGGCGAGGTTGAGGGGGCTGCCTTAAATGATACTCAACTCTCCATCCTACGTTCGCAACTAAAGCTTGCTGCTTCCAAGGGCATTGTTGGTCGGTATTGGGATACACCGTCCTTCCCCATCAGCACAAGGAATTCAGTATGGAAGACTTTGATCGAAGAGGGTGTTGGACTGTTGAATGCCGATGATCTACCAGAGGCAGCCGGCTTCGGAGGAATCAACGGTTATTGGTGATATGGTCTATTATGTCGATGTCTTGTGACCAATCCAACAGATGCAGAGGCCAGGTGACATACATTAATGTAGATACGAGGCATAAAAGCGTAATGAACTAATGAGCATCTCAAAATGATAAGATGATACCGCCATCAACTTTAGATCAGAGGCACACCACTGCGTTATAATTTACTTTTTTCTTTCAGAACCAAAAATGCCTGAGCCTTCGCACTGTGAACGTCAAAGTCTCGACCCTTCTTCCATCCCAACCAATTACTCAGAGTTTCCTCACCACCATCGCCTGCTGCTAGGGGCTTCCCTACCCACGGAACGTCAACCGGCAATGCGGGCGACCCCGTCAGCTCCACCAGAGGGCGATGGTCGTAATTGGCGGCCTCCATCTCCTGGTGCTCCAGCACGGGTGCACAACAAGCATCGGTGCCGTCAAAGATGGCCTCCCACTCGTTGCGGGTCTTGGTCTTGAATCGCTGCGTGAACAGCTCCCGCATGTACGGCCACGCACGGGGGTCGTCGCGCTGGAGGTCCTTCCCGGAGAGGACGTCCGCCGGCTCGAAGCCCAGGCCCTTGATCAGCTCGGCGTAGAACTGCGGCTCCAGCGCGCCGACCGACATGTACTTCCCGGCGTCTTTGGTCTCGTAGGTGCCGTAGTACGGACAGCCGCCGTCGAGGGTGTTGGTGCCGCGTGGACCGGACCACATGGGCACTTTGGTCAGCAGCCGCGGGAACGTCGCCAGGTAGCTGGCCCCGTCGACCATGTTGGCGTGGACGACCTGGCCCTTGCCGGACACGCCGCGGTGGATCAACGCCAGCAGCACGCCCGTGAAGGCCACGTGGCCGCCGCCCGCGAAGTCGCCGAGAATGTTGGCGGGCGGCGATGGAGGCTTGTCTCGCGCGCCCAGCATGGACAGAACCCCCGACACCGCGACGTAGTTGATGTCGTGGCCCGCCATCGCCGAGTACTTGCCATCGCGGCGGAAGCCCGTCAGGCGGACGACGATGAGGCGTGGGTTTTTCTTCAACAGCACCGATTCGGGGTCGAGGCCGATCTTCTCAAGGACCCCTGGCCGGAACGGGTCGATCAGGACATCTGCCTTTTCGAGCAGCGTCAGGAGCACGGCGAGCGACGAGGGGGCTTTCAGGTCGAGCGCGATCGAGGTTTTCCGTTCCGTGAGTAGGTCGTTGGTCGGTGGTGCGTGGGTGGTGGTGGGTCGGTCGATGCGCAGGACACTGGCGCCGTAGCTGGAGAGGAGTTGGCCGCAGAAAGGTCCTGTCGTCGACTTTTTGTTAGGCTCCCCTTGTACATAACACCATGGACGCACTGGAGTTGGTATTCTGGAATGGTATTACCTGGTGCCAGCCCGGCAAGTTCTACCACCTTTATGCCTGTGAGTGGGGGATTGGCGGACATGGTTTGCGGAAGAATGATACTGCAATGAGGGAGCAACGATGGAATGGTACTTTGGGAGAACCGATGAATTTCCAGTCGTCACAGCTCACCTACCTAGATAGACATCAGATGTATCTTATTGTCATTGTTGTAGCATCGCCGAGCCATGGTCCGGCATAGAAAGGTCAACCGAATCTTGGAGACCGAACGGCCGAGGTTCAAGAATTTGGGCCTCCAGTTATAGGCTTTACGAGTCACAAAACGCGGAGAAGTTGAACTTCGGTGAACCACAACCTCCAAGTGGTTTTCCACGGCGGTGCATAGGCCCGCCAAGGCAGGCCCTTCACGTGCATGTTACCTTTCAAGACCACCGTAGCGCTGCGGGCAAAAGAATATGGCCGGGTGAACTCACGGGTCAGCCTTCAAGTCGAACTTTGATCTACGTGACTAGGTACCTCAAGTGAGGTTCTTTCAGAGCAGTAAAGGCTCTGGCTTGACTCCAGAAATAGACGCCGTTGCATGAACAACGCACCACTGCAGGATCAAGATCCTTTTTCTCTTTCATGCAAGAATCTGTCAGCCTTGGGAACACACTCAATAACAATGGGACTTCAATACCTCGTCACACCGGTCATCAGACCATCTGTTCTCAATGCATGCGGCCACACTGCATCTACTACTAAGTACATATGAGCCGGCCCCTTCCCAACGGAAACCAATTCAGGTATCCGCGGATCATGGAACGGAATGCAGAGATGGCGCTGCACAGGATTCTTGACTACTTCTGTAGAAGGCCACGAGGACAAATGGCGGTCAAGTTAGGTACCTACCTAGGTCTGTATCTCGTCACAAGCTTCAAATGCGGTATTGACCACGAGAAGCCGAGTCTAACGATTTATGAACCATCTACTCGGACTGCGTCCCTACGCGAGCATTTTAACCGTTCGCGCTTGCGCCATCCTCTGGCGTACTTAGGTACCTACTCGGAGTCTCGGACATGGCCTCTCTACAATACCATTCGTCCGAACCCGCAAATTGCAGATTCAATAACGGGTAGCCGATAAGTAACTCACTTTATGTGGGTCGTCCACGTCGTCGTCTCTTGCCCCAAGCAGGTGCGGAGAGTGCAGACAAACGTTACTCGTACGGATCGTGATATACTATTATTATTTACGTACCATCTGTTGTCTCTCGCGTAGCAACAGGCCAAGAAATCCCATGTTCCAGAGGCCCATCGTCAGCAGGAGCGTGAGTCGAGCTAACTTTTGAGTCTCCATCCTGCGGAATTTTCACAAATGCCATGCCATGCCATGCCTATGGCAGACAACCCGCATTTTCGAAACAGGGCTGATATCAGACGGACGGCCCGGGTCTTGAAGGCTCAATCAGGTTTCCACCTGGCCTCCGGATAATTAGGTACTACTTGCCTGTCTGAGGATGAAAGCATTCCCGGACGGATAGGATAGGATAGGATAGGATGGTACCTACCTAGTAGTTAGCCATGCAGCAAGTCAGCAATTCAATGAAACGAATCCCCATCTTTTGATTTCGCATGGGTTGTGACTTCCTTTCCCGCTCACTATCTGTGGCTTCCCAAGGTTTAGTACTCGTACGGGTTGGTTTCGAAAACGTGCGGTTCCTGATGCATGCATGTATCGCCGTCCGTCGTCCACTGGCAGCGGGACAACCACGAGCGGGGCTAGTTAGAATAGTATGGACGAGTAAATCTTAGTGCATTTTGTTAGTCCTCCAGACTACTCGTAGTAGATACAGATACAGAGTACAAGTGCCAAACAAGACGGCAAGTTCTGTTCCCACCGCAACAGTGCTCCCAGACGAATCCCTGATCGACCCAGGGGCCCCCCAGAGGCTGACCTTGTTGCCCCTGGTCTTACTGCGTCATATACCCAGGACAGGTTTCCTCTTCGAGACTGCGATGTTCTCGGTAAACCAACTTTCTTTATCACTTTCGTTATGGGTTTCGACAAGTACCGGGTACTTGATCTGCAAGGTGATCTGTTTCCGTGTTGCCCACTTTGTTTCGATGAATGCGCTTCCCGAGTCGTCCAAGACGGGGGTGATGCGCCGAGACCACCTAGCCATATATAGTGTCGTTATAGTGGGCAACCATGGATAGGATAGGTATACTCGGTAGATATTTGCGGGTATGATACTACAGTATACCGTACGAGCAGAGAGAAGGGGACGGAGAGAGATTGTTTTAGACTCGGGCAGATGCCTTGTTTTCATTATCCAGGTTGCCGGGTTCAGGCCCTGAGCCATTCGAAATAGCCGACTGGCCCTTGCCTTGTCACTTCTGGGTTATCAAGTATCCGTATGCTGCTATTCAAGAACAAAAATCAAGGCCGCTCCCATGGGAGAAAAAAAAGAATATCCTCTGCCGTCATTGATATGCTGTTGCAAGTGCATGGGGGCAGGGCCATCGTTGAAATGTCCATCCCCCCCCCATTCCCACACTTGCCCTTTGTGGAATATGAACCGTCATCATTTCCATCCCATTTCCAGTTCAGATTAAAACGCCAGGACGAGGCCATGCTATCATATCTCTCGTTGGTCTCCACCGATCGTCCCATTTGGTGAACCACCCATGTTTCGTGAATCACGCCCGTAAGAAAAGAAAGAAAAAGAGGGAGAATAGTTGGACAGGTTATTCCAGCATTAGTCGTCCAGATCCGGGTTGGCAACGAATAATCGTACTCCAGAACCCATACTCATCGCTCGCTCATCGACACTTCCTCTTCTTCGTAAATCTTCGTTCTTCTTGGCTTGTGCGAGAGCTTGTTGTACAGAGCTTGGGCCGGTCATGTCTTTTAGTTCACCAAAAGAATCCTCACTTCCGGCCGGCGTGGCTTTGCCGTCTTCTTCATTAAAGTAGTCGTTCTTCCCTCCCATCGTAGAATGTCTCGTTTCGGGTTGTTCGGGAATGCCTTGACCGGGGGAACCTTCTCCACTCGGAGGAGTACTTGTCGAACTAAATCGTCCGGCATCTGGCCTTGGATATCCACTGCGATACTTTGCGCTGTTGGTACTGCTTCGACCACTTCCGCTGCGTCCATGGACCATACTGTCTCCACCCATACTCAGCTCTTCCTCTTCGGCACCGATTTCGTTCGCGCTTAGACGTAGTGGAACTGATGCGCCATTTAAATTGGCTGGCAAGTAGCCTGGAGCTTTAGGGACCCCGCCATGTCTAATCTTTCCCACCACACCACCCGAATTAATTGTGCTCGTCCGTCCAGCGGATGTCACACCTGCTACCTCCATTGCGGCTCGATGTTTGGCCGCTTTCTGCGCCGCCGCTATCCGAGGATCGATGTTTTGAGATCTGTCGCACCACACGGTGGCTTTCTGCCGTCGCATTAATGCCACATATGAAGTGGGACTGTTGGTGGCGACGGAGCGACCTGACGTCGACCGTCGGGGTACGCTCGTGGTCGAGGCTGTAGTTCCTTGTCGATGTACACTCATTGTATTGGAAGAGGAGGATTGGCGAGAGTGTGAAGTGGAAGGGTTGCGAGAATGTCGGCTGTTTGAATGTGCGGAAGGGGTTGAAGCTGGACTTTGGAAGGGGTGACCAGGAAGAATGGTGGAGGAGATTGTTCTCGAATGTTGATGATTGCTTATAGATCCGGACGGCGGAATGGGTCGTGTGGTTGTTGGTACAGCGTAGGTTGATTTTCGTTCGGGTCGAGTAAAAATGCCAGGCGGCGGTACCGAATTGGTGGGGGCGCGAGCTGGTAATGAGGAAATCGGGCCACTAGAGCGTGAGTAATCGTAGGATAGCGTGGGATCTGGGATAGATGTCCCAGTCACGGTCAAAACACTCATCGAAGGGTGGTTTCTGAGTGCTTGAGATTGTGGTGACTGAGGACAAAGGCGGTTGAAGTTGGTGAGAAGGCGAGAAGGGTTGAATGAGATGAGGCAGGCTTTGCCTGAATAATAATAATAATGGAGTGCAGGGTGAGTCGGGGTTGGTTCTTGGTGGTGGGGGCGAAGGCCCTTTGTTCGTTTGCTCAGGAATTGACCAGGTCAGCCAAGTCACCAGTCAAACACTCTCGACATTTGAGTTTGGAAGATGATTTGAAGCTTTGAGACGGTGTCGGAAGTCAAGTAATAATGGAGCCGGAGGGAGAGGAGTTGAGACAGCTGACACAGGCAGGCAGGCAGTCAGGCAGGTAGTGAGAATGGGAGCGAAACGAACTATTGAAAAGAGGTAATAATGAAGGATTCCAGTGTGTTAAAGGTCCGTATCTCTACAACATCAACCCCTCTCCGAGCGGACAAAATGCAGTCGAGTACGAGTACCCAGGTAGGAATTGCCAGAGGGTGGGCCAATAATGACGAATTGACCAGACCAGGTGTACGAGTGGGAAGATTGAAAAGAAGTCCGAGCGGGAGAAACGGGATGAATAAGAGCAAGCCTTGTTACGAATACTTGAGTTTTTGGACGGGTTCTGGACCAACTTTGCTGAGGTACCAAGTACTCGTACGGATTCCATCTGAGCTGAGCTGAACAGAAGTGAACGGGGGCCAGGGATGTTGCATGTTGCATGTTCCATACACTAGCCTTGGGATTTTACGGGCCTCGGGATGCCCCAGGATGCTGGAGGATCGAGCTCGTCACGACTCACGACTGTTTAATTCGTATCGTTACTCCGACGTCTGGATTTGAGGTGACTGCCCGTGATGCAATCATCTCAAGACACGGGCATGGGAGACATTGGTGGCTCTGACACGACTACTGATGCAAGTCAGAGTGGAATCTCCGCCCATCGGTTAAAGCCCCAATCGAGGGTTACTATTTCCTCTTAACGAGATCCTGATTCCTGAAGGACATGTTTTAGTTGTTCTGAAGGCTAAAAACAGGTACTGGACTGAGCTGGAAACCGGCCAGCTTTGGCCTGGAAGGTTGCGCCCAGGAGCCCGAGGGGTATCTCCCAATCAAATGCCCCAGGCATGCGAGGAACCCTAATAGTAAGATTTCCCCCTAGGAGCCTTGGACCTTAGGGGCCGAGCTTGAGGTGGTATTCTCAAGTTCTTAACCTGCAACATCTGTGGTCGCCTCCGCTTTCCTCCCCTATCCGTATTGTCACACCTGAATCCGATAATACGAAGATTCAATCAAGCCAAACCTTGCTTCGGCTTGCTCAATACGGACACACAGCCTGTCTGCCCAGTTGCTATCGGACCAGGGAGTAACACCGGGGACTTGCACTTCCTTTATTGCTCAATTCCCATCTCGTAATTCTTGGTCAATACTTCGCTGAGTGTCTCTTGACTGAAATTCCTCGAGCTCTCTTGGCTGGATCGAGATCGACCACCATGACGCAGCCACCAGATTCTTCCTGCACGAATCTCATGATTGTGGGGAGCCTTTCATTCTCCTTCTTCGCCGAGCACCCATAAAAATTTGATAGCCTTCAAGTGGTTGAGAGTTACTGAACACATCTTGAGCTTGTGACAGGCTGGAAGCGCAGGAACCCGACATGCAGAGGTGGGAACGGCAACCATGAACCCGCAGGATGGCGAACATTATTGGAGAGCGTGGAACAAAAGCTGAATCGATATTGGAGGCTCGAAGAAGAAAGTGGTTCTACAAGGCTTGTCTGTGCGTCATTTCGTTTCATATTTGGACATCCCTCTCCACCATGTTCGGGCCTTGTCCTCCACATAGCCCACAAGTCAAAAGACCTACAGAATTCCATGTGCAAACGAAAACTCAACATCAGCAAAAATCAGCACAACTGCGGACTGGGGCCCACGGGAGACGCCCAACGTCATTTGCCTTTTGGGTTCTGTGTAACAGACTTCAATGCATGCCACCGGAATTGAATCCCTGGTCCCTGATCGACAGGAGCGTCAAAACAGGTAAGATGCCTTGATTTGACCAAACCGATCCCAGACATAGGCCTTGTCAAGATTCGAGCAGGCATCGCTCTGAAGTCGTCTTCGGAAGTTAACACAATCGATGAGTCCTCTGATAGCTGATCAGCTTCCATGTAATCTTTCGTGAGTATATCAACTAATATTGTTCTCCTTGGATGAATATGGATCCTGAGCAGACGCTCCACATCATATTCCTGACACGTGCTGCGTGTCCACATAAGGCTACCAGCCACTTACTACTTCGCAGTCAGTCTCTGGCAATGTTTCATTTCTGGTGGACCTTGGTATTGCTCTAAAATGCTATCTTGGATTCTCACGGACCATGTCTTGGTCAAGTGTCACGCTGACGTTGACGTTTGACATATATTGGGGAGACGCCGGAAAACTTTCCCGACAGATGCAGGCCGATCCTCTGTTCAAGTAGCTGGAGGTTCCGAAGCGTCATCTGTCCCTTGGTAGACAACATCGCAGATTCATCTCCACAGAGACGAGGTGATTTCAATCGATACTCGGGGGGCTTGAGTTGTACAGACATCGTAAGATCAATCACTCTCGGAACGCCAGGTGGCGGCCAGAGCTCAGAATTCATATGCTACAATATGACACCAATCGGGAAAAAGGGGATAATCCCAATGCATGAAAAGAGAAGAGACAAGAAAACAAGTACCTGGTCAGGACTTGGGAAATCGAAATGAGCACCAGTACATACAGCTTTTCGCAGATGTTCGTGCTCGAGGCGAATGAATGGTGACTTCACAAGGAGAAAGTCCATGCGAAACTAAAAGTACTTGATAAGTTGATGTCGCTCCACGATCATTCAGGTTGTGAGGATTGTAGGAAGATGTTGCGAGGAATGTTTAGACCAATCAACGCTCGATTCTGATGGTGAGTTGGACAGATTGAGTTTCGACATGTCTTTGATGAAGCCTCTTGATAATGCGACTGGATCATCTGAGCCCGAAAGCATCAAAAGCCGCATGATAGAATTAGTCGGCAGCTGGGTCATTCAGAGGCGAGGCGTGATGAAAAGAGGTCTCTGGTGCAGATACTCCTATCATTCAATTTTGCCGCATTCTCAGCCCCAAGCTGTCTCACGAAAGAAATTCCGGGAACGGCCAGAAGTAATGTGCGGACCAAGCATTGTTTCAGAGCGATAGATAGGAATTGTGAACCAGAGAGACATTTCATCTGCTTATAGGATGTCGTGCAGAGAGGACGAGAACTCACCCGGACCAATAAACATGGGTAAATGGACAAGCTGAACCAAGAGTTGGCCACCGCACAGGCTGTCCTCGTAGTAAAAATCGGTACCTGCACGACAGTGCTGAAAAGGTGTTTCAGAATGTAGTGGTGAGCAGAACCAAGGTTTTCGGAAGTCTGGTGCATTGCATTTGCCAGCGCATCACGCGCGATGTCGTGGGTCCAGGAAGATGCAAAGAGTGGCGTGTCGGTGAGGTTACAAGCGACACATGGTTTGATCATCTTTCGGCTGCGACATGTTCCAGCGACTCAGACGTTGGGAATGGCCTGCAGACCAGTTTTTCGATTTCCCAAGGGCTTTGACGTGGCCTCTTTTCCGAGGCTCACAGGCGGACAGACGAAGTTCCAATATTAATGTTCTGCATCATCATGAACCGACGATGGAGAATGGAGATGGAGATGGAGGTTCTTTTCCGTGGAGGGGTGGCTGCTAGGTTCAGACGCGTCTAAAGGGAAGACGTTCGACTGCCATTAGACTTGCAACCCCCTCCCAACCGCGTTTTGGTCTCGAAACCCAAGAGAGCTGATATGCTGTGGCAAACACAGCAACATACAAAGCGATTTGCTGGCTCTGTTGTACCACCCAAGGCCCGAGGTACTCTTGCCACGCAGATCGATGTCCTGTGTAGTCGTAGTAGTCATCCGGGGATTGAAGCCGTGCAAGGACCGCTATTTCTCTCGTCGAGAAACCTCCTTATTGGTGGGCCAGGGTACATTGTGTATTGATGAGTTGCGGCTTGACACCGCCTTGGGCATGCAGTGAGTGGCTATCGTCTTCAAGCTGGCGGGAGCTTACCACTCTGTCCCGAGCCTGTTTAGCTTCTACTAATGCAACTGTGTATGCATTCGCTGGCACGTCGTCAGGGAGCCTGCAACTGCAAGTCATCGATGTGCTGTGCTGTGCTTTCTGTACTCGATGGTTTCCACCTAGGGTCTCTGTGTTCCAACAGTAGCTTGTAAGGATAGTCTGGAATGAAAAAAAAAAAAGAATACTCTGTTTGTTTCGTCTTCACTTCCCCCATTACGCGCCCGTGATGAAGGCGTTTCCCTCAATCAACGAACCGGAGCCATATCTAGATATCGTCGAGAAGACGCCTACGATTGAACGAAACACCACTCGCCGCGCACCCATCAACAATTGGAATCTCGGTGCCGCTCTGAATCTTTTGAATTGTCAGGTGCCAGGTGCCCGTCTCTGAATGTCGAGGTTCAACGAGGGTTTCCACTTCCAAGTTCCGAATCCCCCGCATTCTGCATCTGGTGATTCTCGGTGACTCGCCCTTGCGAGTACGTTTACCTATCCCGACGAGTATAGGCGACAAATCCCATCCATACCAATACTTATCGATTGTCACCGGTCCTCTCGAGGTCTAGAAGGCTGCTCACTGGTCATTGCTTTCCCCCTACTCTCCTCTCCTCTCCTTTCCTCTCCTCTCTTGCGCTGGACCATTGGAGTCTTGCTCCAGCCAACTGCCCACTGCATTGCCCCAACTGGAACTAGAAGCACCAATTGCTAGGGAACATCAGCACCGACTTCGTGTTGCTGTTCTGGCATCGCAATCACAGCCCCTACAAGATCGACTTTGGCATACTCCCCTCGCCGAGCACAAACTCGCCAACCACCACTTGTCCTTCCTGCTCCTGCTCACCTCTCTCATCCTGGTGCCACTCTGAAAGCGCCTTGCTCTGGGGTCTACCGCGGTCCGCATAGTTGTCAATGTGAAACGACCTGCCCTTCATCTTGAGCACCTCCAACACCGCCCTGGCAGTCTATGACTCGACGACAGACTCTACTTGGTATGGACCTCGCCAGCGCATGACACCACTAATTGGGGCTATTGGTGTCGTGGATGGTCAAGGTACGTCAGTCCATGGAGTGGTATAGTCTCCCTCGCTTATTCGCTTTCTAACTCAATTCTATCCATAGCAGGGTCCTCACCCTCCCATCCAACCTCGCCCGAACACGATGCGAAGTACTATGCCGGATCTATGTCAGGCCCTGGGATTTCAGAGGGAGCCTCCCAGGCTTCTCCACAAGTCCAACCATCCATTGCAGATGCCTCAGACTATCATCCTCACCTTTCAGACCCACCGGCAGATTGGGAGCGCAGGAGACTGAGTTTGGGGGGTTCGCCGGGTTTAGCTGGGCCGCTGCGCAATTTGAACATCTCCTCCAATGAGCCTAAACGAGAGCTACCATTTGCACATATGCGCCTCCATTTTGAAGAGTTTGCTGCACAATTAAGGTTGCGAAGACACCATGAACATCGAAAACGAATTTTATCTAGCAGAAGGACGCATCTTCGAAATGCTGTGGCATTAAGTGCCCGCTTACACCACGTGGGCTCTTGGACGCATGTAGGACTGGTGCAAATATCAACGCTGGGCGATACCTCGGGTTTCTCTCGAGTGCACCAGCATATGCAGGATTTGGTTGACCTGTGCCTCTCCCAATGGACTCATGAATCTCAGGCTTTGAACTTGCCATCCTCGCGGGGTTTGGGGGAGCAGGGCTCATTTCTTTCCAGACTGCAACAAGCAAATCGTGTGGACTGCCTGGAACTTATCTCGACTCTGCGGGCCAATCCAAGGTTTCTGGTCGAGAAGTTTAAGGCCATGTCTCCGGCTCAAATTTCCGCATTGTCTACTTTCCCAAGGTTTTCAAAGCTACCGGAATCTGTGTTGTCATCGCTGTCACAAAATCGAGGACGGCATTCTCAACGAATGCGAGTTCAAGCTTACTCGAAAGAGCTCGAAGAATATGCTTCATCCTTTGAGAGGTCTAACCCCCTTTCATTTCTTCTTCACAACATCTATGGTACGAACGATGATGTAGGAAGTAATGAGAGTCAATTGCGGATATCGACATGGTCTTCGATTTGCGCCAGTCTGATAATGGAGGCTGAACCCGCCTACCATGCGATAATAAGCCATGTTTTATTCGCCTTTGCCTCACTCTACCAATGGCAAATCAAAGATCGTCTAGAGTTGTTTCTGATGAAGATTTTGCAGGAAGGTACTTTTCTTTTGGACCGACCTGAAAGTTCGGCTTCAACATCTCACTTCGGATTCGTTGGCAATTTCGACACATTTGGCACACCACAGGCGCAAGAATTCTTCGATAACGCAGTCAAAGACCTTTTATTACTACTAACTCGCGATGACGGGATTCCTCCTGGTGCACTCCATCTCGGTCGTGCTATAATGTCCAAGCTTCCTACTGAAGAACTCCAGTTAAGATTTCGAGGGGACTTCATTTTCAAATGGTTCATGAGGGACTTCTTGCGTATTGCCATTGAGTTTCCTGAGGTATCATACGTCCCCACGTTTGTACAACCTCCAAAGCTAATTGCAAAAAGGACGAGAGAATGCTGCTCCAGTTCCATATTAGTGATAAAAAGCGAGAATCACTCCTACACCGTCTCTATGATCGGACTTCCAGTCAGGCAGGGGAAGTCTATGCTCCAGTGTAGGCAAGTCCCGTATGTTCATGGTTTGCAGCCCCTGATAAGTGTTACAGACAATCTCAACCGGTTGATCCTGCAGTTCACTATTATATGGACCTACTTATCGATCAAATCCATGCAAATGATCAATACCCCAATCCCTATGATATTGTGGGTTCATCGAAATCCGGCAACTCGTCATACTCCGCATCATATCTGTCAATCTGTGCGGCAGACATTACTCACGTCCTGGACGGGTTGAGCCCACAATACATCCACACTTCGAGCACCTGGGACTCATTCCTCAGTTCATCACATTCAGCTTTCAGCATGCAATACACGACTTCGCGTACCAGTGGCCGGTTTGATCAGCTCCGTCAAGTCCTTCTTGCCAACATGGAGCCTGGACAGTCGTCCAAAAACCTTCACCCCTGTGAAGAAAACTGGGTCACACTAACGGTCTCTGCCACGGGTCATCTTCAGGAGCTTGAAGATTCTTGCGATACTCCGTACAAAGCGTTGGATCTTCTCAAAGACCTCGACACTGCCCAGGAGGCTGCAGTCAGTCTAGTGGAGGGGCTGACGATTGCAGATCAGTGTACGATGACACATATAACGAACCTGGAGTATTCTTTGTCTCAAAAGTTCGCGAAGGAGCAGAACATTGCTCAAGTCAAAGCGGACAGCGTCAGAGCAATGTATTGGTACACAGCACAAGAATTTTTGCAATCACGTTACCCGATTACTTGCCTGACGGGAGACGATACAAAAGTCCTTGCACCGATGGTTAGCACGCTAAAAGACTCTGATACTCGAATTTCAAAAGACATCATTCAATTGGAAGAGGAAGTCGCAATCTTGGAATCATCCTTTGCGACAGCTCGTGCCAGATTGACAGCTTTGATGGAGGGGGTTGATAACCTCCGAGTCAAGACCTGGTACGCTGTGGATGTTGTGCTTTCAAAAGAATACGCAGCGGCAAAGCTCGTCTCGACTGCTTTGAGTAATATGGAAAGCTCGAACCTCTGGACATCTATATTCCAAGGAGAGGGAAGAGAGCCGACAGGTCTGAGTCGACCTAGTACCTCAGGGACCTCGACATCATCATTTCTCGATAAGCCTCTAGAAGATACCATGTCTATTCTCAAAGCACGCAAAAAGTATGGCGGGCCCAGAAAACTATCCGACGACCAGATCAAGCTGACGAAGCAATGGCTCGAGCAGGCGCGGGTGGACAATTTCTGCAAGGGTGAAGAGAGAATCCACCGCTTCTGTATGATGATCATAACAGCCACAGATGAGCTGGTAGGTGAAACGATTTCCCTTCGCAAGACCCCTGTGCTGTCGGTGAGTAAGCTCTTCGCGCGGGAGACAGCACTTTACGATGAACAGACGAGTGTATTCTACAGTGCACAACCAAGTACCCGAGCGCCCAGCGTGATGAGCGAGCCTCTTTCCTCGTCAAATCCTTTCTCAACCCAACTTGGATTGCTGAACCATCGTTCGTCGCTCTACAGCCAGTCATCGAGTCGGGCACAGAGTGATTTTTCATCTATGATCAGCTCGCCCGGTCGTGCACCCACTGTCACTTCATTCGACACGGGAAACACCATATTTTCACCCCCACAATCGAATACTAGATCCGTTACGTCCATCTCGTCCCGATCGCGCCCTGCTTCTGCCTTTGAGGGAGTTAGCTTAGGACGGTCAATCGATCACGGTGTGGGAAAGTCGCAATTTCTAGAGAGTCTCAAAGAGAAGCTTACCTGCCTGTTACTATCAGACCTTGGTTGTCTTGTCTGGAGCCTTGGCAGTGAGACTGACGCTTGGCTGAGTACGGTGAGAGCTAGGCAATGTGTGAGGGACCGACTTAGGCAGAGGGCAGTCATGGCTACTCTGATGGCTGAGCCGGAACCGTTGAGCAACGCTAAGCGAACGAAAGGCCGAACTACAGGACAAACAAGGAAAAGAAGTCAAAGCACCGCACCAGCCACCAAAGCAGCTCACGCCAGTTTTTCGGACCCGATCGAGGCCATTCTTAATGATGAAAATGAGCCGGCGGATCCGACCAAGTTCACATATCGACAGGCGTTCGAAGACATATTGGCAAGAATCCGTCAGCAGGTGGATCCAAACCTCAAGCTGAAAGCAGTATGGGATTTCCGACAACTGGCGTTGACGTTCCAGAGATCATTGGCCGTCAAGCCAGAATTTGATGGGGAGTGGGGAGAGGTTCCACGCCGTCGAAGTCTGAATCCAAGTGTCTTGAGCACTAATCTGGAGCGATCATTCAAGAAAGCCACAGCTAGGATCGGTGATGCCAACACTCAAAGCACCGAGGAGTTGGAAACAGCAAAATTCTTGAAGCGGCTCTTGCACGTGTTGGGTCCACGGACGATCTTCCGAGACCTCCAATACATCTCAGCGTTCGTGTCTTCACAAACGATAGGCAATACTGAAACAGGACGAGCATTTTACCATGTTGGAGTGGCGGCTTTGGCATGGAAGGATGAGATCTGTTGTGGAATGGTTGATGTGGCTGATAGTATCGTGGTCAAGAACTCGAGCAAAAACCCAATGGTTGGCGAAGGAGAGAAAGAGACGGCTATTATTAAAGCAGCAGAATACTGGATGATCGCCGCGCGGGAGGAGAATGCCATCGCCCAACGAGAACTGGCCAGTCTATACTTGACGTCCCCGGAGAGCACACCCATCGTGACTATGCCACTGGCACGGGAAAAGGACGTCTTCAAAGGCGGGATGATGTCAACCGAACAAAGTGACGGAGCAGCAGGGCATAGCAGTCAAGCCTTGGATCTTGCTCTGTACTGGATGCAACTGGCAGCCAACAACGGCGATACGGTGGCCAAGATGAAATTAAACGAGTGGCAGGCAGGTCGTCCAGGTCGATGAGACGCAAAATGGACGGATGTGTGCATGTATAACGAGACCGGCAAGGAAACCCCTCCGTACGGAGTCTGCATTACTCCTGCCACCAGAATTTGGACATGGCGAATGGTATTTTCTTGTCAAGGATAGGTTTGGGAACGGGGACGGGACCACGGGATATTTTTGGAGTTGGGAGTCGAGAGTTTGGGCTGATTGGACGTGTAAGAAGAATGTGTTGTGACGTGGAATTCGAGCGATGCGATACCAACACGTGTACCTGGTACTCTATGTAGTCTGGGAGGCATATTGCTTTTCGATGCGATGCGATGCTATGCGATGCACGGGCGGTGGACGGGAGATAAGGATTGGAGTGATACCAACCATGGTGAAAGAAATACTACTACTACTACCACCACTACTACCACTACCACTACCTTTCGTGTATGTAAGTCAAGCCATCAAACAGCCTATAAGCTGAGCACACCAGCAAAATCCAGGTGGCGATTTTTCAAAGCAAACACAGTCTGGTAACTGTTTTCTTCTGGGTCGTCGTCGCTCGAGACACTGCTGGCCATGTGTTGAACAGAGAGTGGTCGGTGTACTTTGTAACACCTCCCCAAGGCCCGAGGCCGGTCCTGAAAAGGAGAAAAAGGAAAACACACACAAACCGTTCTCGTCGGCTACAGTGACTTTGGATCTCGGGCTTCCAAGCCCACTCAAGAAAGGCGTGTATTTCTCGTCTGCGGTATGGTGCGCTCACAGACTGGATGGGGAAAAAAAATCTCTGGTGCGCAGTTTTTTGCCAGTTTCTTCTTTTTTTTCTTATTGGTCCACATGGGGCGGACATGACACAATAAATAATGCAGTCCTACCTGATCGGACTTGAAGTCGTGGCACTGCAGGGCTATCATGATGTAGATGAGTTCTGACACGCTGGTTGCGTCAGGAATTGTCCGACCCAACTACCTAGCTACCTACCTCAGGTACCTAGCCGTTTGGTTCAAATGTGCTGGTCACTGCTGGTAGGCAGGCCGGTGGGTTGGGTGCGTTGCACAGCAGTTTGCATGATGCATGATACAGGATACATGATACAAGGGATCGGCTCAGTAGAGGAGACGAGATCTGGGTGGAGAGAAAAGAACTTTTCTAGATACTACCGAAGGTACTTGATGGGTTACCGCAGACGAGGGAATGGCAAATCTGAGCAAGGTCTCGTGTAGTAAGTGGAGCAGAAACGGCGTGCGAACCAAATCTCATGTCACGTCCCTACACTTGTTCTGCTGTTGAGGTCAAGGTGATACAGCAAGTCCATCATATGTACTTAGGTATACACGATCAACAGAATACTGCCGGGATAGGAGCGGATGGTACTGTAGAATAAGGAAATGACAACAAGCCCTTACCTCTTGCCAGCGAAGACGTCTCCCATTGGGGCTACGGTCATGGTCTGTGTGCAGGTCAGAGATCAACGGCCTCTCTAACTAACGAGATACCTAAAACAGGTACCTAGAAGGATACTGTCGGTGATAGTGACTAGGCATCTAGGTAGGTACGAGTACTCGTAGGCACCACCTGTGATCCTGAGCTAGTGGTGGGGCGGAAGGGATGACGTCCGTCTGCTCCAACTCCAAGTGCTAAGCGGGCAAATGGGAGTTTCCCGAGCACCAAACGTCAGGGCACTGGCAGGTGCACACAGATGCTGCGTTGGCGGGGGCAGTGGCATCAGGCTCAGGCTTCAGGCTTCAGAGGTCAGCCGGCTTAACAAATCTTTGAGATCCTACGAGCACCTTCCTACTGTAGGTACCTACGTAGAATCCAGCATAAGCAATCAGCGACTGGACTGCTGATCACAGTTATCTGTTTAATCAAGCATCCATTGTCTCTTCCATTCTGAACCATATCTTCAACCTCATCCATTGCCACCACATCGTCATCTACCCGTGTGTGACTTTGTCGTTACGAGTACGAGGTATGTACCACTGCCATCGCCTGGCATCCCCTCCACCACTTTAAACTTTGGCCTTTGCACATGCTTCCCGACCCTTAACACAACCACGCTGCTTCTGCTACCGACACTCACCCATCTTGGTCCTTGCTTTCTCACCATCCCCCTGGTCGACCACAACTTGGTACGATTCACCATTTGCGGATACCTCTTCCACCGAATCCACTCTTACATGTTGACCTGACAGATCGACATCAACTTCCCTCCGCCGCTTCGTGAACATTCGACATTGGCTACAGCAGTCGACGGTCCAACAGCCCACTTTGCTGCTCAAGCACCTCTCAAGACAACCCACATTGACTACATCTCTCCAATTCACCATCATCCTTTCTGCTTCTTCAACATCACCATCGCCCTCCATCATCTGATAATCAACAACCTGATCGTCATAACTCTTTGTCAACATGCCGGTCGAAGTACATCACTCCCCCCCTCCTCTACACCACCCAAGCTCAGGCAATGCTCGACCTAAAGGTTTGTTTCCCTCTACATTCCCTTCATCTAGTCCATCCCTAATCTCATCTACAGGCATCCTAAAAAATCCCTCCTTCTCATCAGCCAGCGGAAGACCGGATTCGGGTTCCCCCACCAAGGAGGACCCTCCCCTTCCACCATCAGCTAGTCTGAATCCACAGGAAGAACGAGAGCTGGTTCTCCAAAACACCCTACAAAATGCAGGCCACCGCCGTTCTTCATCTGCCGCTCGAAGAGCTTCCGCCTCTCGACGGCATTCTTCTGTCGTAGCCGCCAATCAGGACGATGATCCGGACAAAATGCGATTGAAGTGGGATGAGGCCAATCTCTACCTGGCGGAACAAGAATCAGGTGGACGCATGAAAATCACAGAACCCAAGACTCCCTTCCAATATGGTGATGCCATGGAGGATGTAGAAGAAGACGTCGCAATTGATCCTCGTTACGTTAATGTCGATGAGGTGGATCTTGCCAAGAACAAACCAGAAAAGAGGTCTCGTGAATCCGATATTCCTGGCCTTGAATTGGGTGAGCCTGAGGAGGATCTGAGCAGTGGAACCGGTGTCGAAAACGATCGAATTGTCCGAAGCACCAGTCTCTCCCGGGAAAGCAGCAAGGAGAAACACGTTAGTGTCAGTGAAGGTAGCGATGGAACCGCTCCTGACGAGCAGGTGGGAATGCCAACCAATGAAGATCAAGAAAAGCATAGGGAGTTTGAAGAGCACCGCAAGAAGCATTATGAAATGAGGGATATTAAAAGCCTTCTTGGGTAGGTCCCTCAAACTCGAGGAGGAATCGATCAATAGCTAATGAGGAATCTAGGCATCCTGAAAAAATGGACGTCGAAGATGAGGACGACGAACCGCCCGTCCCAAAGACCTTACCCGAACGCTCTGTCAATGGTACTCGTTAACAATTCCAGCATACTCATACTCGGCTCCAACCTCTTGAGCTGACTGAGGGTGTTGCGAACAAGACTTGTCACATGATCTCCCCTGTTGAGGTCTCATTTCCTTTGTCAAGAACTCGAGCATTTTTCTTACTTGTCGGTTTTCACAACGCAGCAGACGACGGCCAGCACATTGCGGCACGTATAGGAGCATAAATGTTGTGGTCGGATTTTTACGAACCAGTCTTTTACATCATGACCATTCTTACATTCGCAGAGTATTGCATGATACAACACAACGAGATTTTTACTTTGGAGGACAGCATGGATGAATGGATGAATGGTGGTGTAAGGTGTCACACCTCGATGACGGCACGAGATATTGTAGGCCGATTCAGGTCTGGGAGCTCAATGCCGGAATTGAGTCACGCTTTTCAGAGTCATATGAGTGCTGGTACTTTCTTTGCCACTGTGCCAGAACGGACTGTTGCGGCTCAGGGTCGAACATTGTGGGCAGAGGGAGAAAGGAGAGAGGGGGGAGAACAGCAGCAGCAATATTTTAGGCATGCATAGCTTAAAGCATTGAACCCATCCCATTGAAACAGTCTGTTCCCCGATTACTTTAGTTCATCGGTTCCGTCCAACGTACCTAAGTTTGAGAATCCTTCTGAGCCTGAAAAGTGTTCATTTATTCATTTGGCCATTATTTGTGAATAACATTATGGTCCGATGCGATGTGGTGAGTGGGAAGTGATACGTATGATTGACATGACTTGGTCTGGCTTTGCTAAGATGGACTTGATTGATTTGGTATCGTGCGTTGTAGCGGTCTAACTTAGTCTATCAATTGGAGCAGACGTCGCCAGCATGGCGGACCTGTATGCCCTGAAGCCTAAAACTTGAACCGACCTCCACACCGTGCAACAAATAACACCGAAACTCCTCTTCCTCCACTCATCCAAACTCCCCCAGCACCCGGTTGCAGAATGCCATCGACGTCCAAGAAACACTCCCGAGCACACTTGACTTGTATGGAGGCACAGTCTCGATGACTGTTCATATGCATATCCACGCCAGGACGAGTGAAGACGCATCCCCCGCTCATCTAGCCCTTAGACTGGTGATGAGGGCGGTGCCGGTGGTTGTCCACCATTTCCGGGAGTGGAAGTTCCACTACTTGAACCTCCGCGTGAGCCTCCTCCTCTCGGCGGGGGGGGCTGGAGATCTTCCTCGAGGTGATCCCGACGGGCCTGCTCCATTCGGGTCGTTTCGAGGTGGTGGTGGTCCTCTACTTTCAGCCATGGTTTGATTGGTGTCTCTTGGGCTTATTGCTGTAAAGAGTGTATGGTCGAGGTGTGAGACGAGAGTTGAATTATTGGGTCTGCTGTTTGAATGGGCAATTGTTTTAGCTTTGTGAACTGTTGTCTGAGATTCTGAGGATGGTATGTCCATGGCATTGTATTTATATTGGCGCATGCTTTTATAGTAGGCCGGAGGTACTCGTGTTTGTATCCTTTATGAGTATGCATTCTTGCATGACTTCTCGGCTTGGAATGACATGCCAATGCAATGACGGGGCGGTTCCTCATATTCAGAGATGGTGATTCTCTGGGCTAGAGGAATGACCACCAGTTTCGGTAAGATCTTTTCAGAATGTATGATCATCGTTTGGGACTGCGTTCGGTTCTGTGCGTTGACTCCTCAGCCTAGTGCTGGTGAGTTGGTTACAAGTCTGACCTTTGAGGCAACAGACTGTGAACATGAGTTCCATGGAAATTCTGTCAATCCGTGGAAGCTCACATATTGAACAATGCATAGAGTTGTTGATCCATCTTGGAGTCTAAGTATTGTAGATTCGAGAAGGAAATGACTGTTGTGGATATTCGGGACGAGTAAAACTCGAAGGCTTACCCCAATGGTCGGATGGAGTCTTTGCTTGTGACTTGTTCGTCCCTGCCTTTGGAAGTTCATATAAATGAATCCAAGACTACTTCGACTCTTGGAGAAGTTGCAAACATCACCGACATGTCCAGTGCAGTAACGACCACGAGGCGTTTTGAGTCTGCCTTCCTTAAGTGCTCACCGCGGGGTCTGACTGGAGTCTTCCCTTAACTCATACTTCATCTCAGGTCGTGAACAAGGTCGGCTCAAACATTCCCAGTCACTCGTTTTCCCCTTCCGAAGGTCGATTAGTCAAATTGGCTAACGGCCTGGTCCACTCGTTTGGCGACAGCTATTTTGACATTTCTATTTCCTTGCGTTGTGTCCTCTGGGTCATCCACTTGAACCTTTGCGAGTGGGCCATCGTCGCTTGCACTGCAATGGAAGCAATGCTGAATCCACGAGGAGATTTGCCACATTCTACCTTCCAACCAAGCTCCTACTTTTCCAGGTCGGAGTCGACTCTATCCGCCCTCAGGCACCGTCGCCTCTCGTCTTACCCGATTCCCATCAAGAAGTCAAAGAAGTCTCAATGTCATGATTGGATCTTCTCGACCGCTTCAAACACACACGTGGCAATCGATCGAGCTTCCTTTAAAACATATGTTTCCTTCAAATCATATGTCCTCACTGTCTCTGATCAACGTCGAATTGCTGTCCATGGAATTGGATCAGTCGAGATCAAGATCCGCCGAGCAGCTGGCAGTAAAGAAAGCCACACCATTCGTCTTGAGAATGTTCTTCATGTTCCGGATTGGTTATGCAACATCTTCTCCGACGTCTATTTCTCTCTAGATCAGGAATATGAACACACTTGGACTCAGTTTGGTGTCAACTTCTTCATGCAGGAAGGAGTCCATTTCAGACCATGGGGCTACACCGAGAACTTCTGTGGTCTCGATCGATTGGTTTTGTCCAAGCACCTGCAAGGGCGCAGTCCAATGCTCGAGGACCCTGATCGCGAGATATTCTCCATCAGCCTGAATTTTCCACAAAGCCAGAAAAACAAATGGGGCGATCTGGTTGCGACCGAGATGAAGAAGGAAGCCACAAGATATGAGAAATATCTTTCGAAGCAGAAAGATTCGCCAGACAATGGTTCGAAGAAAGAGCTCTTACTGCCCAAGAACGGGACGACAAACACGATCCCGGTCGATGCAAAACGGAAGGAAGACATGGCCAACACTTCGACAGATGGAATCAAGTGGAAACTGATGCCCGACATATCCATTCTTTCAGCACATATGAGAAACCAATCGGTGAACAGTGTAAACGAATTCGAGGGAGGCCTTGACTTTCTGAAGCGAGTGTCCAGTCTTAATTTTGGAATGCAGAGAGGAGTGATCACCGGTTGAAGTTGGAGCGAAACAGATGTCGCTGTCTGCGACATCTCGAGGAAGAACAAAAGGCGGCGCCGTGCAGTCGATGTTGATATGATGACCTGCTTAAGTGTATAATGCTATTACATATGTTATGTCGATGACTTCAGTATAGATAGATCGGTCCAACAGGAGGACGATGGTAAACCTGGGTATCTAGATAGCTGGTGCATTTCTGTCAAGTATCCTACAAATATAAGTTTGGACGGAGCCATGTGTGGTGGGCGCGGTTCATCCAACTCCATGGGCCACAACATCTTATTGATTACGCCGATATATTGCGTTCAATGAATTAGTCTGACTTCTTTACCTGGCTCCCAATCGTCCAGGCCTTGCTGTAGCGTTCGCCAATAATTCAGTCTGACGCATTCGGTCTTCGCGGTGTGAATATCTTCTGTCTCAAAGGCGCGGCCCAGATTACCTTCGGCATCCTGTATTCTTGTACGGTTCTCATGTTTCAAAGCGTCAATCTGTTCTTGAGTCTGTGCCTCTTCGATCTGTTCCTGGGCCTCCATGACCTCCATCAGCGTGGCTTGATCAGTGACGCCTCTGTGTATCGAGTTGTCTTCACTGGTGATGTCGATGTTGTAGGTATGTTCCAGGAGATAGCGAGCGCGGAGCAGAGGGTCGCTGAGGGTCTTGTACGCGCTATTGAGTAGGGACGACAGCGCGAGGGATTTAGAGTGCCCGCCAGGCGACGCAGTGTATTTGTCCGGGTGGTGTAGGGATTGTAGCTGGAGGAACTCCCGCTTCAGGGCGGGAAGTGGGATCGCAAAAGAGCCCGATGGGGGTGGGCCGGAGGGCAGAGTCTTGGGGAATAGAGTGTAGAAGTTGGTGATGTCCGGGAGAGATTGAGATGGTGGGTCGGGCGCCTGGTCGGTGGTGGAGGTGGTGGTTGTTGAAGACGAAGGCTGAGGCTGAAAGGTTCTGTGGCTCGTGCTATATGTCCGATTGGTATTTTGACATGGTCGGCGTCTGGGATTGTCGACGTGCGAAGTTGTAGCGATGAAGCCACGGAGTTGACTTTTGGTGCGGATTGTTGACCCAATGTTGGATGAACTGGTTGCGGCGATGTGGTCGCTTGATTGACACAGGCGGCGCAGGTGTCGAAGTGCCTGTCTTGTAGGCGCATTTACTGCCATTTAGACGCGAGATTTTGTATGTTGGGGTGAGATACGCGTTGTAGAGAGATCTATATCTTGTATAAGTAGAAGCGAGCCAACATGACAAGGCGTGCAGTGGTGGCGGCAAGAAATTTCGTCCAACGTCATGTAGTGCCCGCCAGGGTCGGCTTCCGAGCTCGGCCTCGGCTGGTCGGCCTCGGAGTTTCCAGGGGCTTTGGGGGATAAACGTGGGGACGGGGTCAGGGGGCGTACATATTGCCTCGAGGGCCCCTCGTTATGATCTTTGGCGGTGGTTTACACACACTGGCAGTTGGTTAAGTGCGAACCGGGTGTCCTGCAGGGCTCTTAAAAGATACCTACCAAGGTAGGTATTCGTGGATACAGTTACTTCGTTCCGTACATTTACTCGGTAATCTGCCCAAAGTCCAGACCGATCCATCGCCTGTACCCCGTAAGCCAGCTGGGCAGTCAAGCGTGACCCTGCAGGAATATGGCGGCCAGAGGCGCTCTTAATGAGCAGTGGCAGAAGAAACCGGTTCCCAACTTGAGCGTCCTACTGGTATACGAGTGGATGAAAGTCGTGGGTGGGGGACGACAAGTTTCTGCTCTCGAAGATGGCCCTCATCCTCGCTGCTAGCCTCCTCTTTCGATAACACATATAGTTAATTGTTAATTTTGTTTTAGCGGTCGACGTCCGACCTTGTCAGTTCCAAACTTCCCGGAAGATTGTGGTTCCTGGAATCGTAGACCAGGCTGGTTCAATATAAGGGCACTTACCTTCTCCAGAAAGGTTCTATGATGGATGATCTGGTCCGCTGCTACCGAGAGTGTAATCTCCCACAGCAGATCTCGTTTTTGACGACAACAACGACGAGATCACTGTGATTGAGTTAAGTCGCGATCGGACAGGTGGTCCAGTGCAATGGAGTATCCTTAGGCTCCACGGAGCAGAGAAGGATGCTTGGGTGTCTGCAGGCACATCCAGCTGTAACCGGATGGTCATGCTTCAGCTCTTACAAGTGCACCTGGACTGCGAGATTAGGTCTGAGCGCGGACGTCTAGACATAAGCAGGGACAATTTCGATACTATTGTCACGAGATTCGATCTTCAAGACATAGTCGCGTACGGGCAATCTTTAGTGCAGACCTTTGTTTAGGTCTCCGATAGCGATGAAAATACAAATTGGACATATACGGCATTCAACATTGATGACCACTTCGCACAGTTTCACAAATTTAACAGTGGTATAGGGGCAATTCAAGGCATCTATTGGGCAGGTCATCGAGTTTTACCCTTCTTGCAAAATGCTATTATACAACAACGTGCTTCGGCATACCATCCCTTTTTCCTCAATCTCTGCACAGCTCTCGCGTTTGAAGTTGCAATTGCTTCGAGGCTTCACTCGACGAGTGCATTGATAGCTGGGATTGAACATAGAACTGGCTTCAAAATCTGGAACCTGCACCGCTTTCAGCCGGCTGACGGTAGCTACTCAGCCATTTCTGCGGCAGCAAGCGGCTATGCAGCATCGCTTGCGGCCAATCGAAGGCTAAATAGGTTGGCAAGATGCATTTTGACCTCGTTCGAAAAACGTACTACCGCGCAGATCAGTGCTGTGAACGGACTTGAGCAGCATCAAATTAACTTTGTATCCTCCCGAATTGATTTGCTGTTGCAGCAAAATGAAGTACAATCAATTTTGATCGATATCTTGACCGCAAGAGTCCAGAATCAATTGACAGCGGTCAGTCATAATATCCACTGACTTACTTTCGCAGATCATTGATGATAACGGACAGCTCTTCAATCTTATCACACAGAAAGACACCCAAGTATCCATTTCCCTTGCAAAGGATTCCAGAACGATTGCAACTGCTAGCAAACACGACTCGACGTCGATGAAGACTTTGGCTGCGGTCACAGTGGTCTTCCTACCTGGGACATTTATCTCGTCTCTCTTCTCGACCACGTTGTTCGACTGGGACGCCCGCACGAACAGTTCTGTGCTGAATGATCGCTTTTGGATTTACTGGGCATGCACAGTACCGTTGACTGCAGCCACAATTGCTGCGTGGTTGTATTGGACTCGAAGGGAAGAAAGGTTGCATCGTGAACAGGAGTTGAAGGCGCAACAAGAGCGGAGAGCATATATTGGCGGGGACCCATGAATCCTCCGCCAGAAACCCTCACAAAGTGCGAACTTAAGTATTACTCTCTGGCTTGCTTCTGGTGAACGAGGATAAACAGATTTGAGGTCCACCACTTATTTGATACACCAGGGTAAATCCTGCCCGAAGAATTTACGGAAAATCTTCGACACCTGGCATTTACAGTATCTGTCAGTATCGTGCCACATGAATTGCTTCCGAGTCATGCAACACATTCCTTCGACCTGTCTCATTCTACAGTATCTGGTAGCAGCAGGCTCGGGGTTGATGGAGGGTCTTCAAATGACGGTCAACTCGAATATAATGTATTTTCCTGATTGACGCAAGGCTAGCCAGGCTGATTAGACACTGCTCAGTGGTCGAAGTTGGGTAAGCTCGGAAGAAGGTTCTTGAAGCTATTAGGACACCAGTTTTGAACTGAAGTGTGATTTCTCGCAAGGTGGCCAGATATACCACTAACCACACTAGGTTATTCGATGAACTCGTTTTCCATGATGTCATAATCGCTGCGGTTACGTGGCCCCCCAGTCGAGCTGGACAATATCTCGCAACAAACTACATGGGTAGATAATTAAGCACATAGCACTCAGTCGAACAATCGAATCGCGTGCTTTAAGTGAAAGCTTGAGTCGTTAGCTCCCATTTTGACTATTAAAATCCCGTAGTTAGGACACAGACATCTCACTCCATCAACAACATGTCTTACGACGGGGACCGCCGGGGAGGCAACAGCCGATCCGATGATCGAGAGTATGGAGGCGGCGGAAGTAGAGGCGACAACTACTATGATCAGAGTCAACGATATGATGACGAACAACAAGGCCGCCAGGGTCAACGATACGATGACGACCAACAAGGCCGCCAGGGCCAACGATATGATGACAACGGGCGCAGTGAGGGTTATGGGAGACAAGGCGGAGGTCGCAATGAGGAGTACTCCGGGGGTCGTGAGCAAGAGAGACGCCATGGTCGTGATGACGATGGCGGTCGCCAACAAGGCAGTGGGTATGACGATGAACCGCCTCGCCGTCATGAACGAAGAGATGACAATGAGTACGGCGGCTCGACAGGTGGCTACGGTGAAGAACGTCGATATGAAGGACGCCAGAACCAAAGCTACGAATCAGGAGGTTACAGTGGTGGCGGTGGTGGCTCTTCTGGAGGTTATGGTGGATCTTCGGCGGACTTCGATCAAGCCGAAATCCTGCGTCACAGTCAACAGCATGGGGGAGGATCCGGCAACTCTGACCTTTTCTCTTCGGCTCTGAGCTTCCTTGGAAACAACAAACACAGTGCCCAGGCCGAAGACATCGATCCAGGGCGACTGCAACAAAGTCACGAGCAAGTCTATGGGCAGGGTGGCGGTAATCAACAACATGATGCATCAAGCTTGGGTGCAGGAGCGGCAATGCAAGCTCTGAAGATGTTTTCGGGGGGTGCTGGAGGCTCTGGAGGCTCTGGAGGCTCTGGAGGCTCTGGATCACAATCTCAGATGATTGCAATGGCGATGCAGGAAGCATCCAAGATCTTCGACAAACAGAATGACCAAGGAAATGTCCAAAGCGGTACGGACAAGCAGTCTGTGGTCAACCAAGCTGCAAAGTTTGCATTGCAGATGTATATGAAGGGTGGACAAGGAGGAGGTGGAGGTGGTGCAGGAGGCCTCATGAGTCTGGCCAGCAAGTTTTTCTGAGCTGAGTGCAATAATATGACTTTTAACATATTATTTTCTGATTACCTAGGTAGGCATTCGGGTCCCCAAGACACCCTAGCCTGTCCAATGATGAGTGTCAGGAGCGAGGAGGGGCAAGGAAAGTGAGAGGAGTATATCAGGGTAATGTGGTTATTGATGCTGGAGAACTCCAGGAATCTACCATATTAAATTGTGTTGATATCCTCCAGGAGGACCCTGTGCCTGGCAACCCTAGTCACGTGAAAATCACGTGACAATGAAACTGCCTTTCCTGAGAGTGCGGATCAATATTTGGAGAAATTCCAGCATCGTGAGCCTGTAAGGAGAAAGTCAAGCGAGGACGCTAGACCACGGCAAACGATGTCATATCTGTTAAGTACCCCAGGAGTAGCCAGTAGACATGGGGCGGACCTCAATTTGGAGCCAGACTTGGAGCACCTCAGAATTGCTATTCAACATGCTGTCTCCTGGATGCGCTTTTTCGTCCATTGTCCCATCCTCTTTCACACTCTTCAACCACGACATCTTCCTCTCTCTTGGTCCTGCTCTTTATTTACATTGCTCCCTGTCGGTCTCCTGCTCTGTACCATCACGGGCGCTTCCCGGCACTGTTTTTCTCGTTTGATCCAGTCCGAGTAATTCTGTCACACACGTGTCAGTCGCAGATGATCAGAGGTGACCACACGTGAGGGGAAGTCCAGGAGCCAACAACCAGCGCCCAAAAGCTCAGCCTTCGCCTTTTCTTCTTTCGACATTCATCACACCATGAATCGAAACCCTTCTGATCACTGGCGCGGTGCCTCTGGTCCTCCTCAGAACGAGTCTTTCCCGGATTTTCGACCTTTTGGGTAGGTGCCCAACCCATGTTTTCATGCTCATTCCTCCCAATCTTCCACGCATGAAAGCCTTTTTCGCGCGAGCATCACTCATGGACCGCACTCCCCTGCCTTTCATCTTTGCAACCCTCTCCTCGTTTTCGTCAGTCAACTAACAATGCCCAAGTCCCAATCCTCAATCACAGCCTCCCCCGCACGTTCTCCCACCACCGCCATCGTCATACCATCAACAGCATCATCCCCAACCTTCGGTAGGCCACAGCCTCTCCATTGCGGACCTTACCCAAGGCCCGCCGAATCATCAACAACAGCATCAGTATAACACTCAGCCGCCTCCACAAACACAAGCCCATCCCTCGGGCCATCCTCTTCCACAACATTCGCCATCTCAATACCTAAATCGTGAAAGGGAGTTGAGGGACCTCCGTGAGCGCGAGTTACGTGAACATGAGATGAGGGAGAGAGACATACGAGAGCGCAACGCCTTGGAACTGCACAGACAACAGGAAGAATTGATGATGCGGGAAAGAGACGCTCTGCAGCGCGAGCAGATGGATCGTATGAATCGCCAACAAGATCAATTACAACAACAGCAGCGTCCCTTACAGAGCCATGCTGCAATTCCTCTTCACCAACCTGTAGCATCTAAGGTTCCCAATTCGATACACGGCCCAAATGGTCTTCTAGCAAATGGTGGTGCTGGAGCCGCCCAACATAATGGCCCAGCATCTACTCCTGCGAATTCGTTGTTTGGAGGTCCTCCACAGCTCGAGCCTCAGCGTCAACCCCAATTTCCCCATCAGCAAGGTCCTCCTCCTCCGCAGCATCAGGGCGCCCAGCTGATGCCTGGACCCTCTCCGTCCCAAGCTTCTGCTCAGTTAGCTCATCAGGGCCAGCAGCCCATCTTGAATGACGCGTTGAGCTATCTCGATCAGGTCAAGATGCGCTTCAGTGACCACCCAGATGTGTATAATCGGTTTTTGGACATTATGAAGGATTTCAAGAGCCAGGCCATCGACACGCCTGGAGTCATCGAGAGGGTTTCCAATTTATTCAATGGTCATCCCGCATTAATCCAAGGATTCAATACCTTCCTTCCGCCAGGTTACAGGATCGAATGTGGGACAGACGACAATCCTGATGCGATTAGGGTTACGACTCCTAGTGGCACTATGACCCAATCACTTCAAGGTCGAGGGCGTGCTTTATTTGAGCCAGCCGGTATCGCGTCCACAGCTCAACAATCGGTCAACCGACAAGATCCATTTGAGAGCCGACATGGCTGGGGTCAAGCCTTGGGTGCCTCCCCAAGTGTAAGATCTGCTGAATTGCCTGGCTATAAACCGGTGCCTGCAGATCGTCCTCTGGAGGAAACAGCAAGTGTGATCAGCCAACAAGACCAGCGTGGTGTCTCACAACTACAGAATGCAGTAACTGCTGTCACTAATGGTGCGGCGAGACCCGCTCTTGCGGGCTCTCCAGGTCCAGGTCAGCCAGGAAACTTCACTGCACAAGGTGGTTTATTCACTGCAAACCCTGCCAACTTCAATGAAGTGAAACGCGGTGGGCCAGTCGAGTTCAATCATGCTATCAGCTATGTTAATAAAATTAAGGTTTGCTATTGTTCTTTCAAACCATTTTGCGAAATCTTTACTGACAAGTAACAGAATCGCTTTGCACAACAACCAGAAATTTACAAACAGTTTTTGGAAATCCTACAGACTTATCAACGTGAATCAAAACCCATTGGAGACGTTTACTCTCAGGTCACTCAGCTTTTTCATTCAGCTCCAGATCTGTTGGATGATTTCAAGCAATTCTTACCCGAATCTGCTGCCCACGGCAAAGCCCAAGCAGCCCGAGCAATGGCGCAAGAAGAGCAAATTAGCAACGTTCGAGGCGAGCCTGGCTACGCGGCAGCTGCCCCCCCTCCTCAAGCTCAGACTCCAAGACCAACTTCCAAGATGCCGCCAATGGGACAGTTCGATCCTCCTAGCACCAGTAAAGATAACAAAAAGCGTCGCACTGGGCCTGGGGCAGCCCTGACAGCCCAAAGCTCAGTTCAACCCACTGGCGAGCCAGCACTTGGCCAAGCTTCCAGAGCTCCACCAGTGCAAGTTGGCAACGCAAGCAAGGTATGTCCTATCATATTATAATTAAGAAGCGGGTGCTCAACCTCACCTGAAGTTCTTCTGTGTCTTGAAAGTTTTTAACTGACCAACTTTCTGTATAGAGAGCGAAACTCACTCATCAACGACAACCACAGACTGATGTCGTGGTTACCTCACCAACTCTTGTTCCATCGGCCCCCGAGCCACTTCCTCCGTTCCCGAGTATGCCTAGCACTCAAGAGGAATTGGGATTCTTTGATCGGGCAAAGAAACACATCAACAATCGTGCGAGCTACACAGAGTTTCTCAAACTTTGCAATCTTTACTCTCAGGATTTGATTGATAAGTATACATTGACCGATCGAGTCATGTCTTTCATCGGAGGCAATCAAGATCTCATGACATTCTTTAGAAACTTCCTCAACATCCAGGAGCAGGAAGAGGTTGTGGAAGCTCGTGCTCGACCTGATCCTGGTCGAGTCAATCTCGCCCATTGTCGTGCTCTCGGACCAAGCTATCGCCACCTTCCGAAACGTGATCAAACAAAGCCTTGCAAAGGTCGGGATGGAATGTGCTACGAAGTTCTCAATGATGTCTGGGCATCTCATCCTACGTGGGCTTCTGAAGATTCCGGCTTTGTCGCCCATCGAAAAAATCAACATGAGGAAGCCCTCCACAGAATTGAGGAAGAACGTCATGATTATGATTTTCACATTGAATCATGCCAGCGCACGGTGCAGTTGATGGATCCCATCGTACAACAAATTGGTGTGATGAGCGATGCCGATAGAGCTCAATTTGTGCTGTCCCCCAATTTCGGTGGTGCAAGCGAGGCCATCCCGAAACGCATCATCATGAAGGTTTATGGTCGAGAAACTGGAGCCAGAGTCATGCAAGAGCTTTTTGCTCGACCAACTGCCGTCCTCCCAATAGTGCTGGGTCGATTAAAGCAGAAATTGGAAGAGTGGAAGCAAGTTCAACGTGAGTGGGAAAAGGTTTGGCGGGATCAGATACATAAACAGTTCTGGAAGAGCCTCGATCATCAAGGCATCAATGCGCGCAATATGGACAAGAAGAATTTCCAACAGAAGACGCTCACGAGTGAAATTCAGGCCAAGTACGAGGAAGCCAAGAAGAATCGTGAGAATGGCATCACGTCCGACAAACATCAACTTGAATATCAATTCCATGACCTTGATGTCATTGCCGATGCAACGAGACTGGTCCTAGTTTCGTTGGAATCGGAACGTACCCAATTCAATGCTGGCGAACAAGAAAGAATCCGTGCCTGGTTCACGGATTTTGTACCTCGGTTCTTCGGCCTCGACACTGAAAAGTTCCTCGAACAAATGGATACTGAGGTCGCCAGGAATAGAGACCATGATGATGGGGTCGACGGCCATGAAAGCGATGCTCCGGCTCCAACCAAGGGTAAATCCGGTCGCAAGTCTGACTGGCTTCGACGACAAGCACTTGAACGACGCCATGGTAAGGAGGACAGTGTTGCTTCTGCGAGCAAAGAATCTACTCCGATGCCTGGGGCAACCAGTGAGGTCGAAATGGAGGACGACACTACCAACTCAGATGTGGTTGATGGTCCCCAGCATCCCTGGATGAACCTTGCTAACATCGATCATTCGGTACGACACTTGGCGATGGATGAGGCATACGAACACACCACTTTCAATCTTTACGCCAACGCCAACATCTATTGTTTCTTCCGCCTATTTGAGTCCATGTACAGCAGGCTCCTCGCCATCAAACAGAATGAGGCAAATGTTCAGGAAGCAGTCGCACGACATCAAGGGGCTAACAACCGCGTCAAAGCTGCGATTGAACTGCGCATGATCGACAAAGGCCCCGACTACTTCTTTTATGACATCAACGGTAAGCAAAACTTCTACAGCCAGATCTTGCACATGTGTGAGGACGTCCTCACCGGACAAGGTGAGGTGAGCCACCTTGAGGAAACTTTGAGGAGATACTACAACAAAACTGGATGGCAACTGTATACTGTCGACAAGCTTGTCAGTGCCATTCTACGATTCATCATGAACATTCTCGGTGGGGATGCGAAGGATAAGAGTGTCGACATCACCAACCTTTTCTTGAAAGACCGAGAGCGTCCAGATACGACACGGAAGCAGGAGATCCAATACAGAAAACAGGTGCAACGACTGTCCAAGGACGGTGAAGTGTATCGCATCAGCTATGTAAGCGCCCCGTCAATTGTTGTCAATTGAACTCGAGACTAACACCTGGAAGGTTCCCAAAGATCAAGTTTGTACCATCCGCCTTTTCCCTTCGGAGGACGCAACGTTTGATAGCGACTCCATGACTGACGAAGCACGCTGGCAATATTATACTGCGTCATACACGATGACCGACGCAACTGAGGGCGTTGATCAAACACGACTTAGGAAATCTTATCTTCAACGAAACATAATTCCTCAAAATGCGAACATCGAGGCAGCATACAACGAAGTCTACGGCAATATGGCCCACTTTGATGAACAGACTGCTTTCATTAGTCCGGATACATACAAGTTATTTCTTCACCACGATTTCGGATTTGAGAAACTCGAGATCAACGAGGGATCGAGTGGAAAACAATTTGAAGTTGGAAAGATTGAAGAGAATGAGAGATTCCGGGAGATCTTTGTGCGCAACGTGAACTGGATGAAAGACCAAAGAGCTGAAGATGTTGAGCAACGGAAAGCTGCTTGGGAACGAGGCCTCAAGGAGGGCAATTTTGACTTCAACGAACAGCCTTAGATGTTGGGCCAAAGATGGTCCTGATCATTGGGGAAGTGGATGAGGGATGAGGAATCAACAGTTGTTGACAACGGTGACTGAAAGCTTGAGATCGTTTGGTTGTCGATAATATGTGATGGTGGAAATGGGGGAGAGACTTAATGACATTAGAGCCCAAAGGAGGCTTTACGTGACTTATTTTTGGTATAATTGACGGAGGTGCATTTACTTCGTAAGTCGAAGAAAGCTTCGTCCCAGCCCATCATTCGAAGTAAGTTTGTGGCTATATCGTACAATGTCCTCGGACCTACGTACGAAGTAGGTCATCAGATAGTTTAGAACGAACAAAAGTTTGTTTATTCCACCAGTAACTTTGTTGGCAACTGAGTTTGTTGCGACTACGCAATATCAAGGGTTTCCAGGGTACTCGGTAGACCATACACATACTCCGTACTCTGTCGAATTTGGATGGAGTTCCGCATCAGCCTCCACTGACGATTCTTCAAGCTGTCCCGGAATACGAGGTGCCGTGGTCAAACATTGAGCTGGTGGTCCCAAACGAAACTCAACTGGAGGTACCGGATACTGGCGTTCTGGAAACATGTCAGAAGTTAAGTCACAGACCGTGCCCGTGCCCGTGCACATTGAGCTTCCCGACTCCCGCAGATGGCCGGTGAACCTGGAACGTGCAAGTTCCAATGCTGCATGTACTGCAACTTGCATTGTACTTTATGTCAAGGGTCACAGTACGATAGGGGTGCAGTTACTCGAAGACATGTCGAATAGTAGGGATGGGTGACGATGCCAGCCGTGTTTGTTGTGTTCATCTCACCAATTACAACAAGTCCAGTGATGACGAGTGCTCATAAAGAAATATTCACAATTTCATCAAAAAACAACACTGGAGCATAATGTCGATCATTTAGAAAACTGGGCTCTTGTTCGAATAATACTATGTTTGCACGCCGACTGGTGGAGTAAAGAGAGTGGATGGAGAGGAAGGGCACGGAAATTGCAAGTATGGCAGCAGTCAAAAGGAGAGATCACCCGTGAAGGACAGCCTGAAAGGTGCCACGAGATCTCACGGCCAAGGTGGGCCAAGGAAGGAGTGAAAAAGATCAATCTCGGTGGTCTGCAACGTTGGGGCTTGGCCTCCGTGAGGTCTGGCGGCAGCACCTTGGAATAATCATACCTACCTATGCAGGCAATCCTGCACAACTCTTCTCTACAGGCCAAAGTTTCGAATTCAAGCAGGAGAGACAACAAGGGACACAACCAAGACCAGGGTTCGCTTCAGAAAGAAATGCAGAGAATGGAGAGAAGTCGCGTGCAATCTTAAAGGTGTCAAACCAAGCTTTGCTTTAGTCCCCATCCGGATTAGCTCGCCGGATTATAAAATCTCCGGCTGGCCCCCTTTTTGCCCGTCGACGTCGTCCTGCAGCCATTCGAGTTCCATTTTGCGAATCCCTGCCCCCCGTTTAACAACTTCGTCTCGATCTGAGCCTCCTTATGCGCACTCTCACTGGCTAGGCGGCAGTAGCACCTCATCTTGCATGCATCACAGAGCCTCTCCAGTGAATTGGGAAACCAGCATTTCCCCATGTGTGGCGGTTTCAGAATGTCCAACCTCTCCCCACCCTAGCCGTCCGGTTGGACGCCGAAATGGCTCTTGTTGTTACGAGATGGACCACTCTCGACTCTCGATACTTTGACCGTGAAGAAGCATGGACAACGTGTTCGTCGGAGATGTCAAGATCAAGAGTCGGTGTGGAAGACGTTTGACATACTAACGGTCAAGGGGGCACAAACTATCTGAAGACGCTTGCTCTCTGGAAGACTTCGTTTATTACTCGAGAGTTTCTTGGTCCAATGACCCAGACCCAATATGCATCGCTTGCGTTGCTCGTCTTTCCCTCTCTTGAGCTTACGTGCTCTCAAGCCAATGATGATGGAAAGTGGCAAACACGCCAACAAACCAGCCTTGCCTTTCCAAGCCCACTTTGAAATTCAATGTCCATTCTAACCATGCTAGCTCCTGCAAGTACACGTTACAGTACTCCATAACTAAACTTTTTGGTGAGTTGCTAACATCCCATTTCCTTTAGCGCCCTCCTGTGAGCTTCAGGGCGGGTCCATGGTACTCCATCTCGAGGTGGGTCTGCTTGATCGTGCCCATCTCGTCTCCATCCACCACCGCCTTCGAATATGAGTATATGCATCGGCTTATGCCTCTCTCATACACCTTCTTTTCCTTCCACGCAAGGCTCTACGCATGGTCATTTGAGTTCTTCGAGAGCGTCGCCGACCGATCTTTCGCTTCAACATTCCCACTACCGCGCCACTCTTTTCGCGGGCATTCGTTTAACCAAACACCAACGACTCAAACAACCCTCCTACGACCTTCGAAGGACAATTAACATACTAGTAATATAGTAGAATTCATTGGAAAATCAATAATCATCATGAGAGCTGTTACTCTTGCCGCTGCTGGTGCAGCCGTTATCGGATCGGTTTCTGCCTCGAGCCATGTCGAGAACATGCACGCTCAATTGCACAACAAGGTCGCCCGCGACACCTGGCTCGACTGGAATTCGACCAGTGTCGACCCCGTTGACGGCGGGAAAACCACCTCTACCACTGGTTGGGGCTCCAAGCCCGTCGGCCCTGCTACCACTTCAACATCCACTTCCACCACCAAGAACGGCGGATGGGGTACCAAGCCAGTTGATCCTGCTACCACCACTTCAACCAAGGCACCAGCAAAGACAACCTCTAGCAGCACCACTGATGAAGAGAACTGGGAGGACTGGACCTCGTCCTCCAGCACCACCACCAGCAAGAAGCCCGTCGACCCGGCGACTACTTCCAGCTCATCTGGCGACTGGATCGACTGGGAGTCTAGCAGCACCACTTCCAGCAAGCCAGTTGATCCCGCAACCAAGTCCAGCACCGCGGACCACACTTGGGCCGACTGGGAGTCCTCCACCAGCTCCAAGCCAGTGGCCCCTGCTACCTCCAAGACCGTTGATCCCGATCATACGTGGGTCGACTGGGTTGAACCAACCACCACTGTGACTTTGAAATCGACTGTGACCGACACCAAGTATGTTGAGCCCGTCACCAGCACCTGGGCCGATTGGGAGTCTACGGCCGCTGTGAGCAGCAAGCCAGTGGCCCACGTGACCACTGTTGTGACCTCGACCATTGTTCCTGGCTGGTCTGCCTCTGGATGGTTCGGCCCATCATGGGCTGTTGAGCCTGGCTCATGTGCCGTCTCTGTCATCACTTCTTATGGTCTGCCAACTTGTAAGTCTCTCAATTCTATCCTCACATCTCCACGACTAACAAAAATCTAGGGCGCCCAGTTGCTGACGCAACCACCACCACCGTCTCATCCACCACCGAGACATGGGGTGACTGGACTTCTTCAAGCACCACCCCTGCTGTGGCCGCTACGACAAGCACCACCAGCAGCGAGACATGGGGCGACTGGACCACCAGCTCCTCAGTTGCTCCCGTGGCTGTGACCAGCTCAAGCACTTGGGCTGACTGGACTCTGTCCTCTTCGACCAGTGCTGCAGCAACTACCACAACCACTCCCGGTGGTGCTGGCGGCTGGGGAGTTCCCAGCTCATCTGCAGCCGTCTCTTCCTCGTCATCCACTGGATCATGGCCCAAGCCAAGCGGAAGTGGTGGAAGCGGCGGTGGCTACCCTGGTATCACGCCCAACGGTGACTCGTGGGGTCTGACTTACTCTCCATATACCGCTAAGGGTGGCTGCAAGGATGCAGGCACTGTTGCCAAGGATCTCGCCATTATTGCTGCCAAGGGTTTCACCACTGTCCGTGTCTACAGCACTGATTGCGGCACCCTCGAGAACATTGGCAAGTCTGCCCGTGACAACGGACTCAAGCTCATCCTCGGTGTCTGGGTCTCCTCTACTGGAATCGGTGCTGCCAAGGGTCAAGTGGACGACATTGTTGCATGGGGACAGTGGGATCTTGTTGAGTTGATTGTCGTTGGTAACGAGGTTATCTTCAACAACATTGCATCTGCCTCTGACCTTGCTGGTTTTATCTCCAGCAGCACATGGGCATTCAAGTCTGCTGGCTACACTGGTCCAGTCACTACCACCGAACCCCTCTCCGTCTGGGAGGATAGCAAGAACGCTGCTGCTCTTGGCGCTGTCATCGACGTTGTTGGTGCCAACTTGTATGCTTTCTTCAACGCCCAGATCTCCGCAGACAAGGCAGGCAAGTTCATTCAAGATCAAATCAACATCCTCAACGGACTCTTCTCTGGAAAGCCCATCTACGTTTTGGAATCTGGATGGCCTCACGGAGGTAACGCCAACGGTGCTGCCGTGCCCAGCCCTGAAAACCAGGCAATTGCTCTCAAGGGCATCCAAGCCGCTGTTGGTGCTCAAGTCGTCTTCTTGAGCTACGAGGATGAGCCATGGAAGGAGCCTGGTCAGTTCGGTGTCGAGCAATTCTGGGGTTGCGCAGGTGTTTTCTAAATGCCTCCCTCTTAAGTTGTAGAGAATGATTCGGTGAAATTGGTTGAAGCGCTTACAGATTGGACACGACCAGCATTGGAGAGCATTGGAGTCTGCTGAACAAGTACAGAGTTCATGTCACGCCGTACACTTTTTGTGTCGATTTTGTGTGGTGTGTGAGAAAGAAAGCAAGAGCATTTATGATGGTTTTTTTAAGTTGATAGTTTTCCCTCCATTTTTCGTGTACAATGTTTAAACATATACCTCCTGCCTTGCTAGTATTGTTACCGTTCCCTACCTGATCGTTGGTCGTCGTTATGACTGAAGTCGAAGGTTGATCCCTCGAGAAGATCAGCTGCATAAATACCCGCATGCCGCAGACAGCATGCAAGAGGCACACGCATGGGACAACGCGACTACCATCAATAATAAAAGGTGGTTTCCGATTCCATCTTTTCCAGTCGCAAGTTGACAAAAAGGAAGAAAAGCATGCATCAAGCAACACATTTCATGATGGTCTGACGGTCGATTCTGGTACTGGACCGCCGACCTCCCTCGATACTCACCTCTCCCATATATCTCACGCCATCCAGTCACCGGATCCCACTGTTTAGCACACTTCTCGCGGCAATTCTTCTTGTTGCTGTACCGATTGGCCCCGCCTTGATTTTCTGACAAACAGTCGTCATTCCCTTTGGACAGCGAGTATCATCTCTTTGCATCATGGGTCTAGAACCTGTCTGGGGAACTGCCCTGTAGAAACTGAGAGTTGATGGCTTGTTCGATGGCAAAAACCAATCGATCAGATCGTTTCCCGAACTTCAGCACTGCTCCAATTGAAGTTCTGCCACTTGACATTGTTGCAGAGAAAAGGTACCACTAGTCCGGTCCGTTGCTTGTTTCTTGCATTGAGAAGCCATCTCATTTGTGCCTTTGAGGCTCATCTAGAGAAGGCAACCGTGCGGACACAAGAAAAGGCAACCACTAATGCATGGTGAATCACGCTTAATGGATGAATCGGATCAAGAGTAGTCTTGCCCGTTACCGCAGAAATGGTTCATTGGCAAAATCATATATTTAAGTCCATTCTCATCCACAGGGTTCATTTCAAACCTTGGGGTTGAAATCTATTCAACTTGCAAACCTCAACATTCAACCACCACCACAACGCGGCCGATTCCGCACACCCCTGGCCTCACACCCACTTGATTAGATGTTGGACTTGATTGGCTATGTTGAACTTCACTGACTAATCACTTGACTCGCGAAAGAAACGCCGCAATCGTCTGTCGGCCTCACAATCGACCGCACCTTTCGTCCGTGGCAAACCCTCAATTGCTGACGCTGGTCTGGGTCCTTCAGAGGTGCCGACAATTGCCGCAGAGCCGCATTCTCGGGAAAATTCGAGGGCTAGATCAGTGGATGTTGGCCTTCGCCTATCATGATTCAGTGCTGAAGCTTTCCCGTGTTCTCAACGGAGCGATGTTCTTGCCATTTCGGAATTGGTAAGGTCATTCCCAGGAATGCTTCATCGCCATCCCAGTTCTCCTCTACAGTCGGACCGTTTCTTCACCACACCTCCCGGTCTATGCACGACTGTACGGCAATGCCTGTCGGATGGCGCTCACTATCTTGAACGCAAGGAGAAGACACCCAATGGGCGATGTTCCCTACAATAGTTCTTCGGGTCCCTCCTGCTGAATTGCGTCAACAGCGCGACGTGGCGCAAGAGTGTCGATCGACAGTGATTATCGAAGCCCAACTGTGGTACAAGCAGGAAGCGCCAGTTCCATTGACACCTAGTCAAATGTGCGTTTAGGCGCTAGAGCTGGGTTTTCATGTCCCCAATTTGCTGTATCTCCGGCGGCAGGACCGAGTATGCACACACGAGCTGGACTTGCATACGCCAAGTACACCTTCCTTCATTTTGGCACCAGGTGGCGGCGCGCAACCTCTCCCTGTTCGAACCGTAGCTCTTCGGCAGATTTCTTGATCGACCGGGTGCAACCTTTATTATCTCCATGGTAAGCATGATCTGCGCTCGCCATTCTCTTCTTCTCCGTCCATTCCCTTCTTCAGAAGAGAGAGAGAAGTGATCTCGCTGCCTTTGGTGTCATATCCACGTCGAAATGGAGGGGCCCATCCGTCCTTTCTTCCTGCAGGTTTCCGGTGTGGAGCATACGAACGATCAATCCAAGTCCTGGGATAAGCCTATGGGGGTATGGCTCCCACCACGTCGTAAGAACTATTACAATAAACTGAATTCGACCGGATGGTATGTCTGGGACCCTGGCCTAGTGTACAATTATTCAGGCATGCAGTCTTTGCTTGAACCTGGCCTGAATCGCTTGCGTCGCCTGAACCCCAACGAGCAACAACGATTTAGACCATACAGGGCTGCGACCATGTTCTGGGACCCCTACGCGCACAATTATGTTCATGTTCCTCTAGACTGTACAGAGGAAGATGTCGATGGTTCAGAATCTGGCTTCGATTGGAGGCGTCCTGGCTTCAGTGTCTGTCAAGCGGAAGGGGGTCACGATATTGCTGTGATCGGTCACTCCGAGGAGCATCAACAGCTTCATCTCCCCGGCCCAGGGAGATGGTTCGAAAAGTTGCTTCCAATCACACTTCAACCCCCAGAAGAGCCTCAGTCGCGACAGTGTAAACTCGCAGGTGATCTTGACATTTTGATCGGCTTAATCGCTTTTTCGACGACTTTCGAGTATGCTCCCCAAGCGATTGATTGCTTGTTCAGGCCAGATCTAAGAACGGCCGACTTTAACCCTGCTTGGAGCAATGGTCTACCTGCTGACAACCGTAAGTCTCTATCAAGGCCCTGGAGCTCTCTCAAAAGACTAACATTTCCAACAGGGCGTCGGCGTAAAGGATTACTCATTGAGATTGGGTATGATTATCAGCGAACCAACTCAGATGAGCTCCGTGAATGGGAGCGCGGACTGTATGGCGAGCTCTTTCGATGAACGAGCATACGTTATCACTTACAGCAGTTGAGCCCAATACGTGCATGGACCCGAACAAGGCGATGGTGAAAAGGAGAGCAATCAGCAGGCACCGCCAGTGCAGTCTGCGGCAGCAGACGGATGGTATATGAGCATTAAGGGTCACTTTGTTCTTGTCTTTCTCATGCTTGTTTTCGCGATTTGTGTTTCCATGGAGTGCAGTCAATGGGAGACGAGCGTTCGACAGCCGTTCATCCCCAAGGGCAAGCAGAAGCCAATCAATCATTTAGCTTTATTCGCGTCACGATGTTTTCTATGTTGAAGGTCTAGCACACGGAGACCATATGACTGTCCATGGAACAGAAGGAATGTTTGAGAAGTACGGTCATTAGAAGCACTTTGCTTGTGAGCGGACCGCCGCGTGGTGGAACTTTGTTCTTAGCTTGTGTTTATTCAATTACTACCCCAACCATCAAGGGACGGTAGCTTTACCATCTGCGAATATGTGTTCATGAGCTTGACCCATAACGACTGATAGTAGATCTGCATTGAACGGGCTACGGGAGCACGACATGATCCAGACTGTATCTTGGTAGAGGGAATACAAGTCGTGCGTAGAATCTTATGGTGGGTTGGGCGGTGAAATTCAACTCCGGGGATGGATTCTCACTTCTTTGTCCATCCCTACCTCGTACTTGATGACAGGTCTACGAACACTTGCTGGTCAAGTTGCTCATCCATGCTCGGCGGTTAGAATCTGATGCTGCACCCCTTGGTGGTTGCTACATACTGTACTGAAGATTCACTTCCGGGCTTCCAAGAGAAGGCCCGAGGCGCCATTCTTGGCGCTGCTTCACCAATTGCAGGGCCCGGAACCCCTGCCACCACACCTGGAAAGCCCACAAAAGCCAGCCTTAGGCGCTCGTGGACGACTTATGTACCAGTCATCCATAGCCCGAAGCAAGTCCTTGCTGAATGCTTTTTGACTCAATAATGCATGCTGGTACATCTTTCATCCGTTTTCGAATTTTTATACTACCCAAAGTATCTTATCTCCAGCTGGATCTAGATCGCTTATTCACAAGCCCCGATGCAGAAGAACCCCTGACTTTCTGATCTCCGACCGAGTTCCTTCAGATGGGCACTATGGGGGGCAGTGTCTCAAGTATCGTCGCAGACCATCGCCTCAAACGGGAGCCACGACGTTTCATCATCGACTCACCCAGTGACTACTTAGCTGTGGAATCTTAACAACACCTCCGTAGGGCTATCTCTTGCGACTCTCCCACACAGACGGGGTGGGTGAATCACGTTGCTTCTGCATGGCACGGAGTTGGGAGGGAGTACTGTCAAACACGGTGATCCGCTCATCACACCCGTATTCCCTGCTGTGCTAATACCTAGCTACCTCTTGAACTCTTGACTCGGTTCAAGGGGGATGGAAAGGGACGGTTTGCCAAAGAGATAAGTATTTCTAGTCCCCTGCAACGTCGTGTATGTTTCCTTCGGAATCAGACCACTTGAGGCCGCCCGTCCTTCTTTTCATCATCCTCGCACCACCTGTGCTTGCTTTTTGTTTGTGCACACTCTTTTGCCATCAAAGCTTCCGTGAGCCTTGTGATCCACTCGCGCACCACTCACCTATCTGGTCTTATCCTCATTTTGCTCCTGTCGAGAAATGTGGACACCCGGAAGCATTTCACGTTCACAAACAGCACATAGCATGTCGGGCTCTGTCTCATCGTTTCGAAGTCGAGGGTCAAGCTATGCCGAAAGTGTCCACGGCGTCATCGAAGAATCAGACACCTGGGCACCCAGAAAACCACAGGTACATCGTATCGATCTTGACCGTCGAAGTTCCATGTCAACCGACAATGGCTCACATTCCGGCTCAACTCTGCCTCCGGGCGACGAGGCCGAGGAGGAGATGGAGTTGAAGACACCTCGGGCAATCAGACAGAAACTGGCCTTTGTCGACGGCAGAGAACAAGCACTGAGCCCTATGACTTATGATGAAATCCCACCGTCATCCACTTTCTCATCCACGTCGTTGAACGGTGCGGGATTCGATAAACCAAATGCTTTCACTTCCGGTGGCTCCATGGCAGATATGCTGCAGACGCTACTGTCCAAAGTCTCGAATCTGGAACGCCGCCAGCCGACTGTAATGGCAGACGAACACAGCTCGCTGCAGAAACGCTTCGACGAAATCGAAAAAGACCACAAGGAGCGCACACAGAACTACGTGGACCTGCTGACACTGCGCAATGGTGACCTCGAGAATCTGATCAAGGTCCGCGGACTCCTCGCCAAGGAGCGCCGAATGCACGAGGAGATGAAGATGCTGCGCGACGAAGACCTGAGCAACGTACTGGTGCTGCGGGAACAGCTCGCCAATGCGACGTGGGCATCGACGCGGCCAGGGATGCCCGGGGCCATGACGAGTCCGACCTCCGGACACTCGCATTCGAGCTCCGGTGCCAAGCTGAGCATGAAGCAGAGCGACTACCTGTGGCAGGTGGCGCGCACGGCGGCCATGGAGCAGCGGGTGCTGGAGCTCGAGAGCGCCAACAAAGACCTGCAGACCCAACTGCAGGCGGCCGCGGCCTTGCCGTCATCATCCTCGCTGAGTCTGGCAATGGTGCCCGCGTCGTCGTCGTCGGCCGCGGTGCCTCCTCCCGTGCACGCCGTCGCCGCCGCCGACAACCACTTCGTCTCGCGCATCGAGGCCATGTTCGAGGACAGTCTCCGGCACAGCGAGAAGGTCGCCGCCAAGGTCCAGTCGTTGAGGAGCGACAAGGAGTCGCTGCAGAAGGAAGTCGCCTCCCTCGAGGACCGCAATGCCGAGCTCGAGTCGCTCGTGCAACGGCTGCAGAGGAATCTGAGGGTCTGAAGCGCGTGGTTATGATGGTCCAGATGAGAGAAACAATTTCTTGCAAAGCCCGTTTTGTTTAGTAGGAGCGATTCTGCCCTTTTTTGCCCGTGGGCTTCTGTCTCACACTCACCCACCCGAGTTTGAGCGTTTCGAAGAGCATATGCTGGCGCTAGGGGGTATATGTATACGTAGGGATAGATTGGTTGTGATGACGTGGACTTGCAGTAAGCCTGTCTGTTTGTTTTGTCGGGTACAAGAGCTCAGAGCCGTGTCTTTCATGATCAGGTTTATGATTTGGACATCGCGCAGTTAAGGCTTGGCTATATATATCGAGCGAGGAGTAGCCAGCCAGCGCGTAGAATAGAAGCAGCCAGCCACCAGAGAGCAATGAAGTGAAATGTTATGCGTCAAAACTTCGATATGGTCGTGGAGTGTATTTCAAATGCATTTATGTTAGGGGGACGAGCGTTAAATAAGGACAAAAAAGGTACTTTTTCGGATATTAAAGTTGATAGAGAAATGTAAATATACATATATATCAAAAAGAAGTGCCCCATGGACAAGGATACCAAGCAGTAGGCTTGCTTGCATTCAAACCTCATCTTTGAACATGATACAGTGCCCTCCCTGCACGTAGCTTGCGCGCTCAATAAACGAATGTGTGCGCCCCTGAAGAGAATGGACTGAGATCCGCCCCGGCCCCTCTTTTCTTGTGATTCCATGAATCCATGCAACGCGATGATATGTCGAGAAACGTCCGTATGTCCGTGCTATGCAAGAAATGCAACAAGGAAATTAAAAACCGCACTTGTGCTGTGTCGTAAATAATGCTCAAAACATGCAAAATTCAACAAACGTGACAGATGTCACCGACCTAGTGACCATGGTGCCTCAAACGGCTTTCATCGATTCCTACTCGAGGAAGAATGATGTGGAAGCACTTTCTTCAGTAGACTGTCCTTCCTTCGTCCATTGGAACCATTGCCCGGAGGTGGGGCGAATTCTGTTCTTATTGCGGGCAGATTTAATCTTGCGGTCGAGCTATCCGGATACCCAGTCGGTCCGGGTGAAGGCGAGGCACCGCGGTTGTTATTATTGGCAAAGTTGTACCCTGCCTGTGGCGGTGGTGGGGGAATCCATGGCCGACTGTCCCGATTCAAATTGTGCATAGGATTGCCGATCAAGGGCTGCGCCGTTATAGGTGTAGATGGGCTTGCGGCACGAGCAAAGTCCTCGCCGTTGTTGTAGATACTTGCGCGATACGCTTGTGCGTTATGTGTATTTTGTTGGACGTGGACGACAGATGGCGTCATTTCTCTCGCGACCATTGCGTAGCCGGCCGACATGAGGCTACTGGGGGAGTTTGCAGAATTGGGATCGGCGTCCTGCATGTACCCTCGAGGCATGCCATCATTGAATGCAAATGCAAAATCGGCCATTTCGGAGCTGTCGGTGCGGTGTCTTTCGTCGATGTTAGGATCGCTGTTGTTCTTGATCTGATCATAGTCCTCGGTGGAAGCGAATGATGACGGGCTTCCTTTTGGCTTGGAAAAAATCGCCCCGGCGCCGCCAATAGGTATGTTACCTCCCTCGACAGATTTACCTTTGGTCTCTGAGCGTTGGTGGTTCCGTCGCCTTCTGATCTGCGCATATTTGCGAATTGCCCACCAGACCAGAAATGTCAGGCCAATACCACCAACGACCCCACCGACTATGGCACCTGCCATACCAGAGGCGGCGAAACTGGAAATGTTGGTTGCCGGGGCAGGGGTAGGCTGTGTGTCTTCACAGAATGTGCGAGTCATGACATATGGACCGTGTGGACGCGCAGAGGCGAGGTAGAACGCCGGTTCAGGTTGTGCATCGTAGTTGACCATCATGTATATATGGGTGAAGAAGGCAGAGCCGAGCAGCGCGGGTGCATTGGTGGAAGAATTGGCGCTGTCTGTGTCAGATGCTGTCGCAGAGAATGGTGAACCATTGGACACATTCTTGAGCCATTCGGGCTCAAAAGTCAAGTTCAAGCCTGAAGAGAGGGTGACCGTCAAAGTCGAGTTGAAACCGTCAGGAAGTCGGTATCGATCGTTGGCGATCTCCGCACCCGTTTTATCAGCGAATTCATCGAGAACTGCTGCTGGCAGATTGATCTCGTACTGGTGACTTGTGAGGTATGCTTCGAACTCGTCATCGACAAGATTTGTCTCCTCGCCATTGTTATTGGTCAAGGTCATTTGAGAGATTTTCAATGCAAAAGGGGAGTTGTGTGCATCTGGGTTGGGAATGCCAACGGAGTAGTTGTGAACTTGGCCTTCAAATCTGCCAGAATCATATCCTCCCAAGGTCAAGGAGCCATTGATCAGCCCGTTGGCTTCCTTGTAGTAGGTACCCATGTATAAACCCCAAGAGCGAGTAGTAATCAACCCCACATCACGGGCGCGCGTAAGGATGGTGGATGAAGGGCCGAGACCGAGCAGACCTGCAGGGCCAAACCAAGGGGTGGAGGATGATGAATAGTTGGAAAGCACTTTGATTGTGAAGTCTGGCACCGGGAATTCGGCAGGAGGGGAGGGATCGAAGTAATGAACAAACAAATTGAAGGTATCGAGGGCATATTCGACTAGGGTGGCGGGGATGTCTCCGATATTGGCGTCGAGGCTTTGATATGATGAAGTAGATCGGTAGTCTTCGGATAGGGTTGGATCGTAAAATCCATGAGCCAGCTGCACACAGTCCTGAAATGAAGTGCTACTGCAATAATCGAGACTGCTGACAGTGGTTTCATTGTTGGATAATGACGGCCATTGGGATAGATTCTGAGAAGGTGTACCAACTCCAGTGAAAAGCCCGTACTGGACACTTATGCCACCATCGACCCGACGATCGTGGAAGTCGAGATATATGGGTGTTAGTGAGCAGGAGTCTTGTGCAACTACTATCGAGGCAACGAGGAGGATAGCCCCCAGCAAGCTAGTCACGGTCATGGTCGCAGACCAGCGGTGCACAGATTCTGTTCAGTCAAAGCCACAAGTACGAATACCAGGCCTCAATATCACAGGATCAAATCAGGGCCACGATAGACAAAAGAAAAGTGACAGCAAGAAATCAAAAGCAATGCTAGGAACCAACGAATATGAGAGAGGAAATAGAGGAGTATGCGATAAAGAAACCGAAGCCATGAAGATGATCAAGGCGATGTTGATTCCAAACCTCGATGACGGCCTGTCTGGCCGGCGAAGCGCATTGCCTCAGAAGTGCTGAGACGGAGTGGGAAGCACCGCAGCGAGAGGCGGGACCCTCAGAGTTACGAGATGCAGAAGAGACCACGATTAGCAATACAGGCCATTGGTTGAGAGGATAGAGAAGACCTGGTATGCGTACCATGATAGTCAGTACTCAATGGTTGATGGTCAACCAAGTGGTCAGGCCTGACAGAAGGCCGAAGATCATTTCTTGTCGATGTACAAATATAGCCTGCAACGACCTTGGCGTCAGAAGCGGCCCAATTATCGACCATCTCGGCGGCTGACCGTTCAACATCCGCCACGAGATGATTACACCGGATCATGAAGTGATCAAATACGAGTCGATGCTTCTTAGAATACATTCCATTCAGTTGCCTAGCTAAGTAGTCACTAGGTAGGGTACATAGCCACTGATCGGAGTTTGATGATGTTTGTTCGCCGTCCGTTGTGGATGACTTTTCCTCAACCACACCATTCATGGCCACATTGTCCAAGAGAATGAGTTATCTCGTAGCCACCAGAATATGACAAAATGATCGATATATCTAGGTCATTCGAGTCATACACAACCTGTGAGGATATCATCTGGGCTGCAAACCCCGCATATGCCAAAAAGCCATGCTCACGTTTTGGGTTTCTTCCGCACCAGTGATGTGGCTAACGTGTTGACAGTAACTGGCAGAGACGTTTGCTCATTCACTGCCGGTTTTGAGGTTCGATCTTCTTGATCTGCTTTTCTTTTCTTGCGAATATTGGTGAGCACGTTGACAGGCGGAGGTATTGACGTTCCCGCCCCCGGCTTTAGGGAGTCACCCACGATGCTTTCGCCACGTATTTGGTACCCAATGGTGGATGCCTTGGATATCTCCAGAATTTTGTTGATCCAACCCCGGGTACTTTCCGCTGCCAAGTCTTCACCGGTAAAATCGGTCTGCAGCATGAAGTCCATGAGCTGGTCGTATTGATCAGTGTTGACAACTACCTGTCCCTTTGTCGACTCAATGGCATCTCTCTCGAAGGCTAAATCAGTTCCAATCTCTGAGCCAAAGCTGTTTGAATCAAGGAGACCAGTGTCGTCGGTATTTTGCGAGTCCACGAACGAGTCTTGAACCGGGGAGGAAGGTGGAGGTGATTTTAATCCGGCGGTCGTGCTGACCTGTTGACCCGGCATAAGTTGCGGTTCCGTCCCCAGGGTTTCCTGCACCTGGGAGGCTTCCGGCGTCGTCAGTTGTGGCGCAGCTTGATTGGCGGGTGGGCGCGATAGACGACTTGCTTGACCCCTCGAAAATATCATCCAAATGAAACCGACCAACCTTCCGGCAGAACATTCTTGTCGGTAAGACATCATCTCCCAGAAATCACGGAGAGATTTGACAGAACGCCATTGACCTTGGTTGTCGATAAAATCATTGTCCAAGTCATCGAGAAAACGAGCTTTAGGGTCGTCAGGTAGGCGAGGTATTAGAAACCTTGGGGGTTGAGACGCGTCCTGGACAAGAAGATCCACAGGATATGAGCTGAACCATTTTGGTTCTGATATTGGGTTTTGCCTGGTCGCCGGAGGAAAGAAAGCCTTGGTTTCTGCTTGGTCGCAGCCTGGCACGACAAGATGCGCCACGACTTTGGAGGTCTGTGCTGGATCATGATGGTGATGTCGCATTGTTCTATCCAACACTCGACTCCACCATTTGATCAACTGTCGATCATCTAAGACATGCTTCCCAGAATTGTCGCTACTGCCAGGAAACAAATATTGATTCTGGGCCCGAGCAAAGAGTGAAACCACGACCTTTTGATTGTGCAACCGAGAATCAAGTAAGAAATCAATAAAGGTGGAGGTCACAGTAGCGACGATGGAGGGAGCATTCTTTGGTGAAGGCAAGCGAGACGAAAAGCCGGATGAGTCAGCCTTGGACACAAAGATGAAAGTGAGGGTAGGAGTGGCAAAGATGAGAATCTCCACTGCGAAAATCAGGAGTTCCTTTTTTTCGCCATCTTCTGGAGAAGAAATGGCGAGAAAGTGAGACTCGCAAGTTGTGGCCTGGTCTGGTTGAGAGGGCACGGGAGAGAACAAGGCTGCAGAGGGGACAGGCTGAGTCGAGATGTGATAGCAGCTGAGATTGACACCACTTGGAATGGCGGCAGCCAGTCTCGTGGATAGTGGCAACCGGTCAAGCATCCGGGCTTGCATTCAATCGCAGTCTCGTGTCGGTGGCGAAGCTGAGACAATATTTGTAGTCGATCAACGGAACCAAGTCCTAATCAAGGACGGTGAGGGAGAATACGAATAGTTGTTTTGTTGGATGGGGGTGCGACCCCAAAACGTTGGCCGGTGAGGAAATGGAGGATGAATGCCCGGTGAAGGATGCCAATTAGTTAAACTAGAGTACCTATCCCGTAGTTGGGTCCAGGGGGGTACGAGGTGGTCGTAAAGGTGAGAATAAACAATCAACAGGGGTGCCAGGTGCCCCAAGCCAAGCTGGGCCTTCAATTTTGGCGGGTCACAGACTCACTCACAGCCTCTCTAGCGAAACCGGTTCTCGAAATGGCCTAGCCTGGGTCGCGGTTCATATCAACCAACCACGAGTATGCATTCGCTGTGCTACTGCTTGGGGCTAAACCCTTTTGAACATCTTGCCTAAAGTTGTGAACCGCTGAATGGCAGCCTCAAAACCTCATTTATTAACTCGCGGGCCAGGGTTCCCCTCGATGACGACCTTCGTCCTCCCTCCCAGCCTGATACCCTTTCCATATAATGAACAAGAGGTCTTCAGGTCCTCCTGTTCATCGACATTCATTACTAAAGGGGTCCGATTTTACGTTGCGGTTGAGCCGTTGTCTTTCTGCCAGTGCCGGTGCCTGTGGTCCGTTTCGAAATGGAAGGCTATGCATCTGCGCACGCTCACAATGATTACACCATCTCCTCGCGATCGAGGATTGAGATGAACTTGTGCTTTCGCGGACCACCTCCAGGACAAGGCAACTATCCAGGCGACCTTCAATATTCACATGCCCAGCCTACTAGTATGGGGGCACCATTGTGGCTGCAGCCCGGCCCATGGCTGAACCAATGCTCTTCTCTTACTCCCGTATCGCTCACGGAAGACGAAGCCATGCCTGAAGCGGTACAGAGATTACTTCGCACTCATCAACAAAACTTGGTATCTGGAGGCATGGAGTCCGACGAGCCAGAACCAATGCAGGATCCATTGGAACATCAACCGACATTTTCATTCGAGCCGCCCGGAAGCATTCGGGCCAATCAACCTGGTCGAAATGATTCCATGGCTTCAGTCGCTTCGCTTGAAATCAAGTCAGAACTCGAATCGGAACATGTCATGCCATCACAACCACTGAGTGTACCACGAGTAAGAAGAAGTCCCCGGACCGAGTACAATGATACGACCATGAAAGACTTTCGACAGCATCTGGGGGTCATCGACCTTCGCAATGAACTGGTGGGTTGGCCATACCAGAACGAAAGTACGCCAGGGTATCCGGTGAGGGCGTCGGACCTCGAGTATCAACAGCAGTTGATCATGCTGGAACGGCAGAATCAAAGTCGCCTGGAGAGGGCTAAGAGAGTACAATAACAATGAGTACGCTTGGGAATGGGGATCAGATAGGAGTCAAGGATAAAGCAGGTTACGCAGGTATCGGACTGGCTGGACTGTGCAACAAAGGAGATGTCATCACATGACACAGACCATAATGACAATTCAAGCAAAGACGAAACAATCTTATCGGTCAGAAAGTGACACGCCAGACTGACAGTTGTAGACACAGGAAGACCATGACTTTCAAAGGGGACGGGTAAGAACAGTCTTTCGGCAAACTTGCCAGGTTCGGTTACCGCCCAGACCCCTTGCATGAATTCTTGGGTCTCGATCAAAACTTGAACTGCCCTGCGCCGATCTTGATCTCTCACAACCCTCCACGTTCATGCTCTCAGTACTCCGTACAAAGGTCGATCAAACTGCAGAACGCTATTACTTTGTGACAGCCTGTGCTCCTAGAGCCGAGACGCATCTTCGCATTTGACGAGATGCTCCTTGACATCTGAGTAAACCTCTGCCGTGTCAAATATCTACATCATGCTGTAGCTGACCACCAGGCCATGTTATTTTCCTACTTTCTTTGCTAATGTCTCATGTCTGCGTGCAGTGCCGAGGAGAAATCTCTTTCGACTTCGAGTTCAGACAAGAAGGAGCATGTGACCGACACCAGCCCGAACCCGGATGAAGAAGATGGAGAAATCAGCGATCATCAAGAACAAGAACGACCGGGATCCTCTCGTAGTCCTGCAACACTAGAGCAGCCAGATCAATCTAATCAACCAAATGCCCCACCGTTGCCAAAAGAGGCGCCGCCTGGGCAAGCACAACAAGATGATGGTTGGGATGCACTTTGGGATGAGCAAGCTCAGGCATTCTACTTCTTTAATCGATTCACCAATACTTCCCAATGGGACAACCCCCGGATACCAGAAGCAGCCACGCAGCAGCCACCTCCCCCCGGCGCTGACAACTGGACCTCAGCCAGACCAGACCCTGCTCCGACAAAGCGTGTGGGTGGCTATGATCCTTCCATACACGGCGACTATGACCCCAACGCCGATTATGCAAAGGTATATGAGACAGGGTCATCAACCGACACAACAGGCGCAGGATTGCCCGGCAGCTCAAGTGTGGCAGATTCATATGCCGCGACGGGCAGCTTCAATCGATTCACAGGGAAGTGGCAGCGAGGAGATCTCAATCCTGACAATTTTAGTGATGAACAGAAAAGCCGGCGGCAAATGAATGCCTTCTTTGATGTGGATGCTGCTGCCAACAGCCATGATGGCAAGAGTCTTCGAGCAGAACGGGCGAACAAGAAGTTGAGCAAGGCCGAGTTGAAGGCATTCAAGGAGAAGCGAAGGGAGAAGAAGGAAGAGAAACGGAGAGCGTGGCTCAGGGATTGATCTTGTCCCCGGTCTTAGGGAGCAGGACACGGCTATGAGTAGGTAGTATTAGGACTTTATGAGGGATGATGATAGCGTTGTACACTATGGCGATCTGGATCTGGATAGGATATCTAGGATGGTTCCATAGGACTTGATATCAATAATGATCGCATCTTAGTGCTCTTCCAACACTGGATATTTTATGAAATGTCAGTGGGTTGCAAGTCGGAGTACCATGTTCGGCTGAAGTGTCTGATACTGAACATGTGCAGTGTGACCCGGACATTCACACTTTGATAATGATGCCACTTTGACATTTTCGCCGCAACTTTTAAACCTCCTCCTTCTCCCCCTCAACATACTCTGAACTCGCCATGATACACACATGTCCACCGAGGTCTTCGCGGTGGCTGCCATCGCTTGGTTTGTCTTCATAGCCTGCGTATGTGCAATTGGTGATTTCTTTCTGTACCGAGTCCTTCCCATATTTTACCACCTTCGCTCTAGTACTGACCACGTCTACAGTTTTCAATACTACCGACAGAACCCTCAACGCGCCGCCGTTCTCTCCAAGGACAAGGATTCTATCCCTCATGTCACGGTAATCCGCCCTTGCAAGGGTCGCGAGCCCTATCTATACGAATGTCTCACATCCACTTTCTACCAAGACTACCCCACCGACAAGATCACCGCTTATTTTTGCATATCCTCTCGCACGGATCCTGCATATCCCATCTTGCAGAGAGTTGCTCAAGATTATCATCGACATGACTGCCGGGTATTCGTCGAAGAAGATGATGATCATGCGCCGTCCAATTCACGGGCGCAGTTGGGGCCGAACCCCAAGATCAGAAATATGAGCAGAGCCTACCGCGAGGCCAAGGGCGACTTGATCTGGATCATCGATTGCAACATTTGGGTTGGCCGAGGAGTCTGTGGACGTATGGTCGATAAAATCACCGGAGTCAACTCTCGAGGAACTTGCGCGGGCCCTTACAAACTGGTCCACAACCTCCCTATCTGCGTCGACGTCGACGTGGATCTTGATTCGACCAATACTGACTCCATAAACACAACTACTGCTACCTACGATGATACCTCTACGACGCCACTGCTCCCTATCAAGCGATCTGGTCGATTCAACACCATCAATCAATACGGCGGCCGACTGGAAGAATTGTTTCTGTCCTCCTCACATGCCAAGATGTACGTCGCCATCAGCGCAGTAGCAGTCGCACCATGCATTGTGGGAAAGTCCAACATGTTCCGAAAATCACATCTGGACTACCTGACCTCACGCCTGGCCTTGACCGAAGCGAAAGCCCAGGCACCAGCAAGTACCTTGGACTCCGATATCGTCCAAGCTCGGACCGGCATTGACTATTTCTCACAAAACATCTGCGAAGATCACCTCATCGGAGATCTCCTGTGGAAGTCCCCGCTGCCTCCCATCTTCCCCTACAAGATGCGGAATCATGGCCTCGTCTATGGTGATCTTGCCATCCAACCTGTAGCAGGTATGACCGTGGGAAATTATATTGCCCGACGGGTGAGGTGGCTACGTGTGCGTAAATTCACCGTCCCCGTCGCCACACTTGTGGAACCAGGCACCGAGAGTTTCTTGTGCAGTCTCTATGGTGCATGGGGTGCCACGACCAGCTCCTACACACAAGCAAGATTTGGAAATAGCTGGGCGTGGTTCGCGATTTGGTGGGTGGTCGCCATCGTTGTCTGGGCAAGCGTCGACTGGACCGTATATCTACTTCTTCACTCCGGCAAGACGGTCGAAGTGGGTGGTTTAGATCATGGTGACAATGAGGACAACGACGATGACGATATCAGAGTTCCAGGCTTTGCGAAACCCATCGCATCCGACAGATTCTCACGCCGACCATTCACGACGTGGCTGGTTTCCTGGCTCGGCCGTGAAGCATTGGCATTCCCCATTTGGGCGTGGGCTATCTGGGGCGGTGTGACTGTCACATGGCGTGATAGGCGCTTTTGGGTCGGTATGGACATGAAAGTGCACGAGATACGCGACGAGGACGATACCACGACACGAGTGCTCAACGGCCATGTTCCAGCCCATGAAGGTCCTGACAGGGACCACGATACTGGTACATCGAAGACGACCGGCGAGACAGTGGCCAACAGCACGGCCACGATGAACGGAAAGAAGAAGAAAACTTGAATACATCACTTATCTAGAGCTAGAAAGCAGTTAGCCGAGTTCGGGTCCTTCACGAGTCATTCAATAATGCTCTCTCGGCATAGCTGTTTCGAGGTGGTCCGAAAGCGACACTATCCATTTGTACTAGTCAAAGCGCCTACTTTAAACCCATGTCTTGAATACATACGGACGGCCTAATGTATTAAACATCCAAATGGGATCCGCTTCACGCTGAAAACGCCAAATCTGACCAGCCCATAGGCAATGGGATCACCTACCGTAGCCTTGCCTACCTACTCGTAGCCTCCGAGTTACCAATCCTAGGAAGCGATTCAGGTGCGAATGTGCCGAAGCCGAACCCGAAGGCCAGCCCATTATTAATAATTGCCAGAAGCGCTTTTATCATCCATAGCCCTCTGGGATTTCTTTCCCTGCAAGCGTCCGTCCTCCGTATTCTAAGTCCACTTACTTCCCGGAGAGTCATTCGGATACGGAGCTAAGCTTCTGCAGTGGAATCGTAGTGGAATCCATGGATCTGCAACCCCGAATCCCAACTGACCGCTCGTGAGTAGTTCGTAGATAGGGAGTACGTAGCCCCTGCGCCAATACTGGGTTCGTTCATCCTTACATGAGCCAGTTTAAATTTAGGATCAAGTCGCAAGGTCGACGCATATGTTACCTGAGTAACTAACTAGTTAAAAACCTCAGGTATCTATGGTGCTTTGTACGTTGAGGATCGGTCGGCATTCATCGAGGACTGACACCAACATGTGTTTACATCCCACTGTGACACAGCCGAGGGTCTAGTAGAATGGCGGCCAACACAACACAGATGGTAATCGGAGAATGCGACCAGAACGGCCAACTCAGACGTGTGGTGGGCAGTACTTAGTGATGAAAGTAAATCAGATGCCAAAATGCGGAGAAATGCAAAGAGACAGGCTTTCCGCAAGGCTGACTCCAGCCAGCATTATTCCGGGAATCCCCCCAGACTCGAAGGGTTCATTTGATCTACTCCATACTGTCTGGACCATGTTATGGGCCACGTGCGTCCGCGTCCGGCTTCTAGCTCGCGCTAGTAATACGAATGGGCTCTGGGATTTCATCTCGAAGGACGCCTTGGTTGCACACATGTTCGGTACGCCGGCCGCTGGGGTGGTTGCAATAATACCTAGGTAGATACCAAAATTGCCGCGACATCTTCTTCGTCTGTGCTGAAATTCAAACCACGGGGTTCCAGATAGTCCCAGTCATCTTCAACACCGTCAGTACTTCACTTCCTGATTTGTTCATTGGGCTCAGACTGGTACTGCGGCCACTAATATGTCGGCACTTGGTCGACCCAGGGAGATGAGCAATCCAACCGCTTCAGCAAACGATGACTTAGTCGCGTTTCAGACCAGTCATTCTCATTCCCTGCCAGCCCTAGGACAGCAACATGCAACCTCATCTCCCCACGCTGTTCCGGTCGATGACGAGGTGCTCGAGCCCAGAAGTGGCAACGTGGATCGGCTTACCCTCAAGACATTTGTTTTCTCACGCAAGGGTCTCAGAACAGACATGCAAATTGTCGATGTTCAAAACGAGGTTGACTGGTCGTCTTACTATGCAGCGGTCAAAGCTTGGAAGTTCAACACTCCCGACGTGACCCTGCATGCTGGAATAGACACCACTGCTGAGATTGTAGGGGTTGCGCACTTCCGCTTCTCTCGGCATATGATGTTAGGTCTTGGGGATCCCCTGAATGACCCTTCAAGTGTCGTCTGGGAGGAACTGCGCAGGCAAAGTTTGCTGAAGAACAGATGGAGCTTCGAGTTTGACGACTCCATTGGTCATAACGACATTGGTACGCCTCGATCAGAAGGAACAAGAAGGCGACGTTTGCTTTGGCAAAGAACCACCGATGCGGCAGACGGTGTAGAAGGACTATCCAGGATGTCGATACAGAACTTTCGACTGACTGACCAGGGCACTGGAGATGTCGTTGCTGTGTTCATTGCGAGTAACTTGACCAGTCTCAAGAAGAAAGGAGAGCTGCGAATATTTCGGGAACTCAGCATCAGCCTGGAGAGAATCATTCTTTTGAGTTGTGCCAGTATTTCTGAAAAATTGGCCAGAGATTGAGGCATTCATTTGACCTAGATTCTGAAATTGTCCATCCACCTCTTGATCGATGCGGTTGACATGTGATACGATCCACGATGGGAAGCCTTGGTTGGTCTCGCTCCAAAGAGAGAGATGGTCGTGTGAATGTGTGATAGAGATAGATGGCCAGAGGTTTAACTATAATGGCAAGAGCAATTGATTCTCCGTGGTCTCAGCATACCCTGAAAGCCGTGGAGTTTGACAACTCGTAGAAGAGGCTAGAAGTTTGATCAGCTACCATCGGAAAATGATTTGTAGGTCAGGCTCACCCATTTCATTTCAGCCTCATCGGCGCAGCAATCGACGTCCACCCTCAGAGACCCACTGTCATCGGGCATTCCTCTTCCAGGAACTTTATAATATTGTATTGATAGAGCGCCATCACCTGATCGGTCGACAGATTCGATTTTCACCCTTGTCAATCGTGCCGGACTCGTGTCTGCTAGTGACTCCTCAATCCCTATTACTGCCTTGGCAATTGTATAAGCAACACAGCTATTCCAGCGGCCTTCGGCGACCTTTAAGCCCTTTAGTGCGTCAAGAGCGTTGCGGCGTATATCACTCAGTCTACATTGAGTAGCAATGAAGAAGAGTGGCGCGATGTAGCCAAGGTGCATATTCAGAAGCTCCCTGCTCTCGTGCGGTTGCTCCAGACCAGGATGGGCGCTTCTCAAGAAAGTCCGAAGCTGTGCAAACATGATACGAAAATCCGATGCCGCGCGCCCATACGCCTTGTCATTCTCTGGTGGCAATGAGCGGAGGAGGAGGAGGGCCATGCGGTGATGAGAGAGGAGGAGGAGTTGCCAATCTTTCAATTCTGGATCATCATGTGCTTGACCAGCTTTCCAACGCCCAAAAGCAGTTGCCCAGTCGTTGACATACTTTCGGACAACAGAAATCTTTGACATGAGATAATGTGGCTGGCCCAGATCGAGTAGCAGCACCCAATATAACGCCTGCTCAACAAATTTGTTGGCTTCAGTCAGATCTCGAAAGGTATGAACCATCTCGGGGGAGATATATGTAGTTTCTTCTGAGCCACTTTGATCTGTGCTCACCTCTTCTTCTAGTTTATAGTACTCTGCTTTCGCTATCAAGCATCTCATGATCGGTTCAATTTGGTCAGAAACCTCGGCAGAGAGTGGCAGCTGCTTTTTCTTGTGTTCCGAAATGATGCGATAGCCAGACTTCAGATGCACAAGTCCAGCTGCGGAAGCTCCCATCAAATATTCGCAGTGTGCGAACAGTATGCATGAAATGAGGAGGATTTCGACAGGAAGAGGAGTGTGGCTTGAATTGATTTCTGTGATTGCTTTGGTGTAGTTGCAGGTGAAGGTGGTGTTTTGCCAGGGAGTTCGTCTGCTCAATTCATTCCATTCGTGTAAGCTGCCGAGCGCGACAATGCTGTAACGGATGCAAGGATGTGTTTCACTGGTTTGTATCACAAGCTTGTTCCAAAACGTCCAGGCTTGAGCTGCCGAGTACATGGCTGTAGTCTTATCTGCCACAAAAGAATCTATCATCTCAGCAAAATAGTTTGCGAGATGTGGAGCGGTATAGTCGATAAAGAATTTCAAGATTCTGCTGATATCAACCTCCTCTAGGAAAGGTTGTATAGGGCTGGTGTCAAAGGTGTTATAGGCAAAAGGGAGGTCGTGGTGTGGAGCTCCTGTATTTGGGTCGAACAACCAAGTTCGTGACTGTGTATAACCTTCGCAAAATCGACCGGCTTTGGCACATCGCAGACATGTTGGTTGAGCCTCATCACCTGTAGAGGAGAGGTAAGAGTTAGCAAAGGCGGAACAGGGACTCAGAGGAATTGAGCAAGAGTGTAGGGTTCAATTTCAGGCCCAATTGAATGAGACATGGCGAGTCAGGAAAATCATACATTTCACCCTTCTTTGTCTATGACAGAAAGTAGATGGTCAGCAACTTGAGCACGGCGGAAGGATTTTCATAAAGTCAGGAAGCAACGATGATAATCTCCGGCACCTCACTAGTCACACTTACCTACACGTAATACAGCCGGTCCTGACTTTGTTGTGACTCCTTTTCAGACGAGTGGGCGAAGGTCCCCTTTTTGATTCGAACGCGGCCACCTTGAGATGGTCATCAGTGTCTCGACTTTCTCCGCTGTCGTCGGACTTGACTGACTCCGAACCAGAGATACTTGGAGTCCGTCTCTCAGGGAGGGTGACGGTGATGGGATGATGAGCCATTGTGCGTGTGAACGCTGACGAGCACGCTTGAACGCCGAGCGTTTTTGCCAGAAACAATGTGTTGATGGAATTGAGTGGTCAAGTCTGAGACTTTGTGTGTCTTTAAACAGCGATCCTTGAGTAGAGTTCGAGCCCTAGGTAATTGGTGATCTACTCAACGGACGCCTGGCCGGGATCCAAGTGGTCAAGTGAACGTGTCTGGAGCTGTAAGTGGTTTGTGAGTTACTTAATACTCGATCCTGCGATGTGTTAGACCCACTCGTTAACTCCCAGGGGTTATTTTCAGCCACGGTGAATTAGCCAAGAGACGAAGGCCCCGGCGTGACAAGAGACAATTGTTCACGTTGGCAATAAAAGGATCACAAGCTCCGTACCACGAGTAGAGGAGTGGATTCTTTCAAGTGGCTGGGATGGATCGAGTCATGATAACCGCATGGGCCTGAATAGCCGGCCATTACCCCTCGTCCATGGCCATGGACATCGGTATATGTTCACAGGGGTGGGGAGATATTAAGCAAGTGAAGAACCGATTTCGAGACTCAAAGGAACCCAACGGCCCGCAGGAGGAGTCATAGTAACAGCACAGCAAACCATATGCTGCTGGGGCGCATTCTTTGGAACGATCACGCCCAATCACTCGAGTCAACTCATCAGTTGATCTCATGAAGGGATAGAACGATGCGATTAGCCTAGTGGTCCGCATCGTGCTTGATGGGCTCGTAACATGGAGGGCAATGGGAGATCCTTGCTCAGCCCTAAGAACAAGCCTCCTGAACTGCATTAACTTCAGCCTCGAGGGTTTGGAAGGATTATTGTGGGCAGGCCTGAACCACTCCTGGAGAGTACGAAGTAGGCAGGTATGCACATCTTTAGAATGGGTCGCGGATGATGGCAAGTCATGGAGGTTCTTCGTACCACTGGTAGACGGAGCATTTGGTGTGCGCCATCTGATACTAGGCGATATAAGGGAAGTCGGACGTTAGCGCATCAACTGCCACGAAACTTACGGAGTACCACTACTGCAGATGAGATACAGTATTTGTGGAGATCCATAGTTCGGATTCGTATCTGTTCCCAGTCGAACTCACTCCGTCGCTCGGTGCATGGTCACCCTGTATTGCATAGAATGAGTGAACATAACTATTCCTCGCTGATTGTGGCAATAAGTGCTGGTTGTGGTATAGATCGCCTACACTCGTATCTGTATCTGGTCAAACACATATATTCTTTATTGACTCGCGAGTCATCTAGGGCGTAAAGCTAGTCTTGGTTGATCGATTGAATAGTCGTACACCAGGAAAGTTTGGTAAGCAGCTGTCCATGTGGTCCGGGGGATGACTGTCAAGATCCAAAGGAATGGATATGCATAGAGCTCGTAGGTTTGTTTTCAGCCAGCGATCACCAGGCTGGTTGATACTGACGATGACAACCTTGAATCCACAGATGAAGGCGAGTTCCAATCCCAGTTGGGGCCAAAAGTTCCCCAGGGTCATGGCGCTTGTGTACGACGCAGCAGGCTCATTGGCCACAAAGCAAGTGAAATGTTAGGTGCCATGCAGAAGGCGGAATTACCGTTGGCAAGGTGGGAATGTTATCTCCAAGGTGCATCAACGACTCAACAAGGCCCCCTAGGAGGATTTCAGGCCGAACTTTAAAGAGCCTGTACTGGAAAGTTGTAAGATGTTGACAGCATGCTATTGTGAAACTGTATCGACAATTTCTGAGGCAAAGCTTCAGGTGATTGTTGGCACAGTTTGGTCCAGACGTCGGTGTCTAAGTCAATGTTGGGAGGGAGCAACTCATGCCAGTGCAACCTGACTGGCAACATGGGGCCATCACCTGTTTCCCATCAGGAGTCTGATGATTGTTCAACTTAACTCGAAGTTGAATTGCATGGAGTGACATTCATCCGTGTATTCCCCTCGATTACCAAGTTAGGGATTTGGTTTGAGAGAGTTCCCAAGGTTGTCGGGATTACCGAGATGCATCGTCTAGCCTTAGGGCTGAATGTCGCTAACAGTTAGTTCTTAGGTAGGCATGATCAGGCGTGGTTAAGGACCACTTAGGCTATGGTTGATCAGGTAATAGCCCCGTTCAAAAGAACCGGCCGACATAAACCTACCTGGGCACCTTGAACCAGCCCTATAAGGTACGGGGCATCACTGGCCTTGCTGGCCACTCGGTCGCTTGGAAGAAGACCATTGTCCACTTTTGTTTTAAAAAGTCATCGCGTGAGATCTGAATCAAATCCATCACCGGTTCTAATTATGACCAATGGATTTTGGAAACGAACCTACTTCTCCATGTCCATGTTCAACTTCTGCATCTCAGCTTTCGAGTCTAGCATGGGCCGCTGACCCGCAAGGTAGCATTTTCTCATTGCGCGATCTGAATGAATGCGATACCTGCCAGCGAAGCCTGACAATCACTCGTGTTGGGCGGAGCCTGCTCCATGCCTTGCTGCAAAGACGTCCCTTACTGGCGGATGTTCATCAATCCTCCGCGGCACACTATACCCTTGTTGCCGGCCTGATATGTTACACTTTGCAATCTTTGACCAATACTTGTACATATCATCACCACCGGGGCTTTGCCCGCGGTACGTGTATGACGAACAGATGAGGTCAAGTATTAGGTTGGTTGCTAATATCGCCTGACATTTACTTCACTGGTCCCCGAAGCTGCCTCTGAATCCCGATGCCGAATCCCACTGATGGACCGCCCAAGCTACTCACGTACGAAGAGAAAAACGGTTGGTAAGGGGTATCGTTATTGCTCGAATCTCGACGCATGCCTGCCTCTTCGGGAGCTTCTGTTCCTCCCAGTGAGAGAGGCATCCCAGAAGACACCCACCGACCATCAATCGTGTATGCACTGCAGCTCCGCCTCATCAGCTTTACACCGACCACCACAGCCATACCAGACCCTTCAGGTATTCGACAATTTCTTCACCCCCTAGTTTGCTCTCACCGTACAACCGATCGACAAAGGTGATAGGAACTTCCTCGACCTTCATTCCCATAGCCTTGGCCCGCACCATCATTTCCATCTGGAACGTGTAACCCTTGGATTCCGTGGTCTCAATCACCTTGACCAGTGCCTCTTTCTTGTATAGCCGGAACGAGCCCGTCAAGTCGCTGACACCAGGGTTCAGCAGGAAATCGGCCAGGATGTTGGCACCACAGCTCGTGAGTTTCCGCTTCGCATCCCAGCCATACACGCCACCAATCAAGCCTGGCCTGCTCCTGTATCTTGTGCCTGTAACGATGTCCGAGTTGGTTTGCTTCTGAACCTTGATAAATTCCGGGATGAACTTGGGATGGTGTGAGAAATCCGCATCCATGATGATCACGTAGTTCCCCGTGACGAACTGCAGCCCATGAACATAGGCTGTACCAAGACCGAGTTTCCCTGCGCGGGGTTTCAGAACGATGTGGTCCGCCCCGAAGGATTTCTGTAGTTCTTTGGCTCGTTCGAGAGTGCCGTCGGGCGACGCGTCGTCCACCACAATGACTTCCCAATTTATTTTTCTGGTTTGGTGCGAGGCCTGGGTTAGAACAACGTCTGCTTTGTTGGGACTCGAGGAGTGTCGAAGGAATAGAGGACTTACTCTCTTGTAAAGACATCGGACAGCATCTGCACCAGGACTGGTAAGTTTTGTCGTTCATTGTAGGTAGGTAGGATGACCGAATATTTGTCGCCTTTGGGAGGCATGATTACGAGTTTCTCAGATCGCTATGATAGAGTGGTAGGGTAGGGATTTGAATGGTTGAAAAATTTAGGGTCTGCGAGGGCGAGTACAAAATCGTCAATCTGGCCGTTTGGACTTGAATTTCGCAGTCGCGACAGGAAGGACGTCGCGCAATAAAGTTGACTGCAGTGGAATGGACACTTAGGGGTGCGGGTCGTTCACCTCCGTCTACGGGGGCGGCGCTAGTTAGGTAAGATCGGTCACTAAACTGTCCTTAGAGCCTTAGCCGACGGATAAATTGCTTAGGGGAACGTCTCGGTAGCACCCTCATGCTTATGAGTTGAAGCCTCATCGTTATCAAACTCTCATACCTGCAACGCTACCTAGCGCTACAATTGATATCGTCTTCAAGATTTGCCATTCAGGAATCATGAAAACATCATCACACTAGACTGTGCACATGTCTACTCAAGGCCACTCTCGTAAACCCTCCAGTCGAGCGGCTCTTCCGCGTCGACAAACCAAAGGACCCTTGGACGTTGATGATCCGTTGTCCAATTCAGGGTCTTCCCTAACGCCAACGCCTTCCATAAGCTCATCATTGCCCGTTCGATCTCAGAACGAGATCAGTGAGCGCACTATTGAACATCCATTGACCGCTCCTCAACAAAGACGACAAATCCCGACCATAACGACTCCACAGCCTGAGACGGAGGCATCTGAAGAACTAGGTAGCGACGAGCGAGACCTCTCATTTCTGCTTGACGCTTCCATCTATCATCCACTTTCTCAGGTTGAGGTACCTGGACCTTTTCGCAAGCCTTTTCTACCTCCGCCAACCAACGAAACACCAATCACGCGGTCTCTTGATCAGTTGGACGCTCTCCTCTCACAATGCGAATTTCTACGCGCCGCCCATTTTTCGGGTATGATCTTGACTTCAGGAACTGTCAGACCTTCGGATACCAGAACCATCTTCAGATTACTGGCGATCCGATACTCCTGTCTTGAGCTGACCGGGAATGTTTTATTTGCGGCACAAGAGGCCAAGGCTCTGGAGGACTTGAGCTCGGCTTTTTACTATGACGACTTGAATCCGCCAGGAGATGCCGACGATGACACCGAACAGCCTAGGAAAGTGCCAAGGCATATCATGCCATTTTCTCTGCGACTGCAAGGCTTAAGACTACAGAGTATAGGCTTCTCAGACCCCCGACGAGGCGTTTCAACACTTTATGACGCGGCTTCGGAATGCAGAGATCATCTCATTGCTTCAACGACAACTCCAGAGCAGCGTAAGATTTGGGCATCGCGATTGCAAGAGGTGTCGATCCGCGTTGTCAATGCATTGATTGAAATCGGCGATCTAGAGTGCGCGGCCCGGACCCTTGAGACGATGAGACCTAGCGGTTCAGAGAATGTATCGATCTGGGAAGCTCGGATGGTTTTACTCCGTATCAAAATGGGCGATGTCTTGAAGGCCTCGCAGATTATAGAAGCCTCAGGTTTAAAGGCTGCAGAGCGACATGCTCTTGAAGCCTTACTCGCCATTGCGACGGGTCGGTACAACGACGCATCCAAGATGCTGCTTGAAGCAGAGCACGAAATCGAGCCTTCCTTGCGAGCGCTGATTAAACAAAACCTCGCGGTGGTATACCTTTACAATGGAGAAGTTCAAAAGGCCAAGGGAGTACTCGAGGAATTGGTGCAAGACGACCATTCTTTTCAAACCCTCACAATCAACCTTGCAACCATCTATGACCTCAGCTCAGATCGATCACGCGAATTAAAGTCTTCGCTAGTGTCCCGGATTGCAGCAGACGGCAAAGTTAATCAGACCCGAGCATTCACGAATGCTGACTTTAAATTATAAGCAAGATAGGCGCCATCACTACAAACACACCGACCCCAGTGTACCATGGCGGTAGTCGAAAGCCACCAACAGTCCCTTGAGATGGGAAATTGCTGCCAGGACGATGAGAACGTGAAAGATCTGGTGGGAGCTTCCCAGAGTATCAACCTTGCCAGGATACCAAGATTCTGGGATTCGTGCCTATGATGTTCAGTCAGCGGCGTTGGATTTGAGAATGAGAAGCTTACAGCGTATAGTGCGGCACCTAGGATATACAGGAAACCCTGTAAAACTAGCCAGGACAGGCCAATTTGCTTCTGCATCTGGTAGAAGCCAAACATGTGCAAGCCATCCAGAACAGGGAATACCGCTGATACCCCCATGCCAACGAACATGGCGGCACGATATGGCCTCCAAGCGGGAGTTCTGAATCGTGGTAAGACGGATGCCATCGTACAGGCAATGCCGAGGAGACCTATCTGAGGGCTGATGTTAGTCAAGCGCACGTGAGACCATGATGAAGTACTTACCATGGTCCAATATGTCCACTGTTTGGCACTATGACACCAAAAGGCATAATATACACTTGGGACAAAGGACCCCGCAATGAGGGTTGAGATGCCAGCGTAGTCAAGCTGATTCCAGAATTTTGCCACCGAGGGAGAATGATTGGAGACGGTGTGGTAGGAGGCGCTCATACCCAGGCATACCGTTGCGCCGAGAAAGAAGCAGCTCATGGCTATGATGTCAGCAATGGATGCTTGTGAATAACGAGGCTGTAGGATCCTGTATAGAATGAAGGCCACAGGAAGACTGAGCGTGGCAGGGATGAGATGAGACCAAATATTGACACTTTCATTGTGCCAGTGCAAAATGCTATTTAGTGACTTGCTGTAGCTGTGAGAAGCTTGTCGGTAACTGCCATGGATATGCTGATTGTCTTGCATCCAATGTGGGAGGTCATCCCAATGAATCAACGAGTACCACAAGTCGGTCACTTTATCGGGAGTAATGGGTGAGGATTGGTTGTCGACTTGAGCTTTCGTCGCATCCTTTCGCATATTAGCCGCCATCTCGAAGTCGTATAAAGGGTGAAATTAAATAGAACAGCAACAAAAATGTGAAGAAGAGACCAGCTTTGAAGGGACTGAATAAAATGTTGGGCAATGCTGCATGCGAGACTCTCTGAGCACCTCGGCCTAAGAAAATCATGCCACGACGGAGTGTCCACAAGGCTCGGCCCGCTCCTGCCAACATTTATCGATTGGCAGGCTCTTTCACTTCATTGTTGTTCTTTCCAACTCGACGTGCCAATCCATCCCGTACTTGAGATTAAGTGTGAGTGGTCATGACTACCTAGGTATCAAGTGTGCTCCCTCGAGAGAAATAATCAGTCTATGATGCACACAACCAAACGCCAGTCGTGTTGATTGTTTTTCACCAAACAGGCGAGAGACAACCTGTGCCTGGTCAAACATGGCCAGCGGTCCACCAAACCGGGGCACACTTAGCCGAAAGTCTTCGGCTCCATGGGACAGATTGAGACCAGTCAAGCAAGATCCTCTGGAGAACATGGGATACGTGTCCAAAGGTGACAACAGGTACTCTTGTGCATTCCAATTGGCTGGTCCACCCGGTTTCTTACCATGGCAGACTGCTCGATCTCAAAACTCAAGAGAGTTTCTACAATAAGATTGTTGCTCGGTACATGCAATTTTGTACGCAGCACTCCAAGGATCTTGATAACGCTTTTGCGTCACTGTCCTTGGAAGAAGGTCGTTCTGCTTCAACCAATTCGACCGGAAATCTTCCGTCTCGGATTCATCCATATGGTCAAGGTCAAGTAGTTCCACCCTCAAGTGTCGGCCTCCCACCATTGACAGGAACTCAACAAGTGGGCAGTGCGACGGCTTCTCCCTCATCAGAGCTCTCTATGATTCTGACGGCACTCCGGAAGCTAAGGGAAGGACTACTCGGCAGTTCCTCGACAGCATCATCTCCCGTCTTCTCCCAAAGAGTGCATGTCTTCAATGTTCGAGTTGCAATTCTTGCGCTACATCCCCCGTCATATCATCCTTCTCTACTGCACCTTTTATTTGTGTTGCATACACCAGCTCATCCTCTGCCTCAGGCGGAACTGGCGGAGATGACTACTTACATGATCCTGGACATGGCCACGAGGCAGAACGATCTATGTAATGCATATGCGTTACGATACAACAGCCGCGTTCGCTTTCGGTATGAGAGCAAAACCGCTGATAAATTGCTGAGATCTATCGTCATGGATGACTGGGTTTCCTTCTGGCGTGTGAGGCGTAAAGTAGACGGCTACGTTCGCAGTATTCTGTTCTGGCATCTGGAAACGCAGCGGAAATTGGCGTTGAAAGCCATTGGACGGACCTATCTGACGAGCGACATCAAGTGGGTTCTTGATAGTGCAACTGGAGGGGAGATGAGCTGGGAGGAACTTGTTGAGAGCGAACAGGTGGGGTGGTCGAGAGAAGGAGAGAAGGCCATAATCCGAAAACCAAAGGGTCGCTAAGAGAGGAGAATTGCGCAAGATTGAGATTGGCGATGTCACTAGTGATGCGAGTGATTCAGACTAGGCACAAGAGGGACCTCGGAGTCGCGAGATCTGTACCGAGTATGGATACCGGTACAAGGTACCCTTATCTCAAAATCTCTCACGCCCTAGAGCATCTGATGATTGTTCTGGATTTCATGGTGGTAATTAGATGGCCTCAACACGACAGGGCTTTGATACCCCAGCCTCGCCAGCCACCAAAGTGGCGCTTCCCGCCACCCACTTTTGACCAATCGCATGCAGATCCGGCTGACCTAAGCGAAGGCTTGGCATGTTTGCAGTCGCGGCGAGTGCCTTTGAAGCTGCGTTCGGCCCTCATTCAGGGTTCTTGCAAACACCAACCTCCATTCAATGAAGTCTATTAAGATATAGTGATGGCGCACATGCCTACCCTTGCTCATATTCCAATGCACGCCCATGACAGCTCCATCCAGCCTCCTCTGGCATGGATAGGTAAATGTTGGAGGCCTTTTCCTCGCTTGCAACCTTTTCTTTCCTTGTCATCTTTCTCATCACATCGCACAGTCTCGTGAATCAGAAGTGATACTCATATCCGAAATTGCCATTTGATCATTGACCTAAAATTGCAGCTCCAAGATGCGGTCCCAACTCCTTTACACATATATCACCCTCTCCACGATATCTGGCCTGGCGAACGCATGGCCCGTCATACTTGGACGCCATGAACGAAGAGAACCAGCATCATACTCAGTGGTTGCAGTAGATGGAGGAGGCTCGGGAGCAGACGGATCAGCAACGACAGTAATCAGTTCTGTGGTCCGTACAGAGACCGTACTACAGACACAGCTGTCGACCATTGTCATCACTGAAGCAGAGACACCCTCCACAATCATCATTACCATAACATCGGCCTCTGCCACCACTGTCACCGAACGACCTGCAGCCACACAAACAGTCACCTCTCCTCCAGAGACCACTGCCCAACCGAGCCAGACTGCCTCTCCTGAGACTGTGACTGTGACCCAATCTCTCCCATCCTCCAAACCATACGACGATGGAATGTGGCACACTTACTATTACTACACTCCGAGCGAGGAGGCCAGAACTGTTCCTACATCCACCTCAGAAGCCATCAACTCTTTACCATCTTCGACAGAGACAATAGCCACCTCACTGGAGCCTACGTACACTCCATCTCCTACCGTGGATTGGGCGTCTTTCTGGCGGGTACCGCCAGTGGAAAGTTCCAGTGAAACTATCTCTACCTCCAGTGTGAATGCTCCTACTGGCAGCACTGCATTTTGGGATGGTCGACCAGGCTTTGGTTCTGGAAGGGACACAACTTCTTGATCAACCAGCCTATCTTGAATTCAATTCTCGATCTCTTGTATTAACAGGTATATATTTTCACTAGGGGATTCATTGCTTGGGTTTGGTTCAGCGCAGGCGTTGGGGCTGTTTGACATGCATTAGATAGGTATCGGATCGGTCCAGAGGTAGACATAGATATTTAGGTAGGTACCAGGCCTACAAGGATGACTAATTGCCATGACAGGCGATTTAAAATGAATGAATACTTATGGTTCTAAAGTCTTTAATGATCATCCTCCTCAGTATTTGAGGTAATCCTACTCGGTACAAGGTAGCCCGCTGTTAGGAAGGCATTGCGTCCGCTGTGAGCGGCGTGAGAGATGGGAATCCACTTGGTAACGACGATACCGTAATTTTAGGAATGCGCACGTCCCTAGCCCGTGGGTTATAGCAAGCGGACTACCTATCTAGGGGCTTCCATTCAGGGTATTCGATACGATCAAATACATGTAATAATCGAGGGAAAGCATCTCCAACGGACTAATTGGCGCTATCCGCGCTTGTCCTAGAACTTGCATCTCCAGCACCTCCGATCAAATCCACCACTCTACTATCCTCTCGCTACCACTCCGCATTACCCTCACGTTCTTTCACCTCAATGTGCGACGATAGAAGAAACAAGATATAGCTAGCTGGTCATCTCTCACCGACCCTTCTCCCGCATCGAAACCACCTATTCCAACTGGTCCTAGACCAACCCATCCGTCGCAATGGCGACAAGTCCGCCCACCCAGGAAGACCAGGGTCGTCTACTCGAAGAAGCTCTGGGTGTCGTTCGCCAACAAGCCGTCCAGATGCGCAAATGCCTCGAGACTCCTGGCAAATTAATGGACGCTCTTAAATGCGGGTTGGTCTCTTGTTTCCTCTCATGGCCCTGATCTCTTCCATACCCACTATGGTGCTGCCTGCAATGCTGACCACATCGTAATATTCTAGCTCAACATTGGTTTCCGAGCTTAGAACACCTACACTGGGTCCCAAACAATACTATGAACTCTATATGGCCGTCTTCGATGCCTTGCGACATCTTTCCGAATATCTGCGCGAGTCCCATCCCGCCAACCACCTCGCTGATCTCTATGAACTCGTTCAGTATGCTGGCAACATAATCCCCCGTCTCTACCTCATGATCACCGTCGGTACAGTCTACATGGCAGTGGAGGATGCCCCAGTCAAGGAGATTATGAAGGACATGATGGAGATGAGCCGCGGTGTCCAGCATCCCATTCGTGGACTGTTCCTGCGCTACTATCTCAGTGGTCAGGCCCGAGACTATCTCCCCACGGGGACTCAAGACGGCCCTCAGGGGAACATTCAAGACTCAATCAACTTTATTCTAACCAACTTTGTCGAAATGAACAAACTCTGGGTTCGCTGGCAACACCAGGGCCATTCAAGAGAGCGCGAGCAAAGGACACAAGAGCGAAGGGAATTGGAACTACTGGTTGGGAGTAATCTGGTTCGCCTGAGCCAACTGGTTGACTTGGAGACATATCAAACCGTCATCATTGAACCTTTACTCGAACAAGTTGTTCAGTGCCGCGACGTACTGGCCCAAGAGTATCTTCTTGAAGGTACCACCCACTCCACTCCTTACCTCCAATATGGTTCCATGCTCACAATCTCCTGTCAATAGTCATAACCAAGGTCTTTCCCGACGAGTATCATCTACATACCCTAGGCCAGATGCTCTCTGCGATTGCCCGGTTGAATCCTCATGTCGATATGAAGAAAATCGTCATTGGCTTGATGGATCGCTTGTCGACGTATGCCCAGAGAGAATCGGAAGGAGCCTCGACGGAAGAAAAGCAGGCGGCCGAGGAAGATGCTGTGGTCAAACTACTCGAGAAAGTGGACTTGAACCAAGAGACAAAGCCTGAATCTGCCACCAAACCCGAACCCACGAGCACAAACGGCACAGATGCCAAATCTCCCACAGAATCTGAACCTTCGGAAGAGCCGGCGACTCCAGCAACACCAATTACCCCTGCTGCCAATGGAGACAAATCTCCTGCAAATCTTGGTGACGTAAAGCTGTTTGAAATCTTCTACGAGCAGGTGGTGAATTTGGTCAAAACCCGTGGCCTCCCTATCCAGGACACGATGGCTCTTTTGACTTCTCTCGCAAACTTGGCCTTGTGAGTCTTTCGATTCTCACATTCTACTTACCCGCTGACTCTTCTAGAAACATCTACCCAGAACGCTTGGAATACGTTGACCAAATTCTCTCGTATGCTCGAGAAAAGGGTGCCGAATATGTGGATTCAGCTGACCTTCACTCTGCCGCCACACAAGCAAATATGCTCAATCTTCTTCTATCTCCCATCAGAACCTACTTCTCGCTCTTTACTGCCCTCGCTCTACCAAACTACCTGCCCCTGTTCCAATCACAAACCTATGCCACACGACGAGCTGTTGCCGGAGAGGTGGCCAAGAACATTCTCCGAAATCGTGTCAAAATTACCACATCACAACATCTTGAAGGCGTGCTCTCATTACTCAAAGTCATCATAAAAGAAGGCATTCAACAACCTGGAGGCTATCCAGGCTTAAATCGCCAGAGAGGGGGTGAGTCGGATGAGACGGTTGAGGAGCAAGGATGGCTTGCAAGAATAGTCCATCTGGTTGCTGGCCCGGACAATGATACACAATTGAAACTCCTTCAACAGACGCGAAAGGCATTTGAGGCTGGCAACGAGCGCATCAAATACACTACTCCCGCTCTCATCACTGCTTCACTAAAATTGGCTCGCAAGTTCAAATCTCGCGAGCATTTTGACGACAATTGGCAGACCCAGTCATCCGCACTGTATCGCTTCATTCATCAAACTTTGTCACAACTTTACACGCGCGTCAATCCTGGAGCCGCCGAGATGACCCTTCGATTTTTTGTTTCTAGCGGTCAAATTGCCGATCAGAATGGATTTGAGGAATTTGCGTACGAATTCTTTGCACAGGCGTTTACGATTTATGAAGACAGCATTAGCGATTCGAGAGCCCAATTTCAAGCTGTTTGTATCATTGCCGGGGCATTACAGTCCACACGCGGTTTCGGGAAAGAGAACTACGACACACTTATCACGAAAGCTGCTTTACACGGTAGCAAATTGTTGAAGAAACCGGATCAATGTCGTGCGGTCTATCTGGCGAGTCATTTGTGGTGGACTGTTGAAATTCCGGGAAAGGAAGAAGACCCCAAAAATGTGAGTATTCGGATATTTGTTGCTGTGACTAAGTTTCTAACCTCGTTATCAGCTCTACCGCGATGGCAAACGGGTCTTGGAGTGCTTGCAGAGAGCACTGCGTGTGGCTGATGCCTGTATGGACACTGCTGTATCTGTGGAGCTCTTTGTCGAGATTCTGAACCGATATGTCTACTATTTCGATCAACAGAATGAGACGGTAAGAAGCATTTTTGCCTCTCCTTTCTCTGGCTTTACAGAAACTAATGTTGTGTCCCGCTTTATCAGGTTACAACGAAATATCTGAATGGATTGATCGAGCTGATCCATTCGAATTTGTCGAGTACGAACGCGGACGGAAACACGCAGAGTATGGAGAATCCCAAGCGACATTTCTTCCGTACCATCGACTACATCAAGTCTCGCGATTATGAGGGCGTCGTTACAGAAGCAAGGCAATAGTCTAAACGTATACACTTTGCAGGTGTGATGGATCAGTAAGGTAATGGAGCGATTCGTAGGCAGTCACCCATTGTAAGTGACCTATAGCGCAACCAAAAGACTTTTGCGCATGCATGCCAAAGGACCGAGCTCATCTCTTTTTACAATGTTGGACAAGAAAGACTCGATCGTGGCAGGTCGCCCACTGCAGACAGCTGAATTTTAGCAGGCGACTCGGGCTCCTAGTAATTCATTCTCGGGTTTGGGTCGTGCGTCAGGGGTTCGAGGTGTCGTGATGAAGCGCAGAAGGTCCAGTCACTGTGGCATTCCTGATGCTGCCATGTATACTGTATGCTTTGGGCAGATAGGTCCGCTATAAGAGCATTCAAATCGGCAATTCCTGTCCTTTGTTGTCCCGTATATCGATGTGAATACTTGATCATGCGGATTCATTGTGTGACTGACTCGTGTGTGCGACTCTTGAACCGATAGCTGAGTGGCAAGTTGAGCTGTTCCCTGACTAGGCCAATGTTTGATCATTCCATATCTGTCTGAGAGTCACCTTACAATCCTCCATTGTGGCAGGGCGAGTGTCACATGCTCAAGTTCACTTCGGCAAAGAAAAAAGAGCTACAATCAATCGCACATTTCCAGCTCAGCTACGGAAGGGACCATGGATGCGATGAAACTGCCCCTACCGGCTAATCTCACTCACTTCTATGTGCTTAGCCCTTCTTCATCTACGTAAGTAGCCTTTCACGCTCTCTTGGCCACCTTGACAATGAAATTCTTCTGCTTGACGAACCACGCATTGTGCGTCTCCAGCTGCATGTCCGGGTCCGCGAGCTCGAAATCAAAGCGCCGCACCATCTCCGGCAGCATCTTGGAGATCTCCAGCAGGCTGATGTTCTTGCCGATACAGGTTCGTGATCCCGATCCGAACTATTTAGTGATTGCAGTGATTAGTTTTCTTTGTGAGCAGAGAGTAGACTGCTAGATAAGACTCACCGCCATGAAGTACCGCTCCATCGCGGATGCTTTCTCGGGACTCTCCAGCCAGCGTTCTGGTCGGAACACGTCGGCGTCCTGCCCGAAGACGCTCTTGTTCTGGTGCGCGACCCACGTGTTGACGCCGACGACGGTCTGTGATTAAAAAGATCGTCAGAATTTAGCCTTTCCTCCCTCTGTTCTTGATAGAGATCGGAATTGAAACTCGACTTACGCCTTCAGGGAAGTGTCTTCCACAGATCGTGGCTCCTCCATTCGGGACGACGCGAGCAAGCGGCAGCCCTGTCGCGGGGTGCATGCGAAGGCCTTCTTTGATGCATGCCTGTAGATATGGCATGTTGTTGGCCTCGGAGAATGTGATGATGTCGTCGGCGTTGGCTTTCTCAGCCACCTTGGCGTCGATTTCGGCTCGCAGCTGGTATCAGGGGATGTAGATTAGAACTAAGGCCCTCCCATTTGATATCGTTCTAGAATGCAACGCAACATACCTTCTTCACGACATTCGGCGCCTTGATCAAATAGTACATAATCGCACTGAAGCTGATGGACGTCGTATCGGAGCCTAAAGGGCAGAGTTGTCAGGACATATATCATAAACACCATTCATTGAATTTCTCCATCACGAACCGGCTCCAATATTCGTCAGCGCCGCGCCCATCACGTCCGCCATGGTGAATTTATCCGGGGCATCAGCATGCATCTTGAGCAGGCGGGTCAGGAAGTCGTTGCCGGTGATGGACGCCCGGCTGTCACCTTTGGTGGCGTTGACGCGTTCGGCGATCTGCGTCTGCGTGAAGTTGATCAGGTACGACATGCCGGGCCCCGGGAGCAACTGCTCCAGCTTCGTCACCAGCGGGTGCCATTCCGAGTAGATGCCCACGTTGGCACAGTGCAGCAGATACACGTGCAGTGCGCCGAGGAGGCCGCCTTGGTCCGCGCCCTTGTCCAGGAAGCCGAACTCCTTCGCGAGCTGGGAAGCAAGTGGGGTTGTCAGTGGGAAGGCCGGCCTTGATTGTAAATCATATCAGGTCAGGTGGATTGGGCTCTTACCGTGATGAGGCCGATGACGTCGAAGGCCCAGTATCTACATTCATCCGGTCAGAGATCTGAGTATAGCTTCATTCTCAAGTGTTCACATACTGAGCCCACTCTTGCATATTGACATTGACGCCAGTCTTCGCAAACCCCTCGAACTTGGACACCATGTGTCCCGCGGCTTCGGTCACGAACCCCTCGAGTGACAGGAGGGTGGTCATGGAATACAGGTTGGCGACCTTCCTTCGGTTTTCTGAGTGCCGTTTCGGATTGCGGTCAGTGAACAGGTTGTGGACGTTTTTATTGGGACTACCAGCGGCGTAGTACCATTCCGACTTTGAACAACGAAATCAAGATCGATTAGTCTGCGAACAATAATATGACCACCTGCGAGAGAACAAGACACAGAGAGATAGAAATGTCGGGAGAAATTACCTTTGTGAAGCTCGTGCCGTGGCCGTAGATGATCTTGATGGCATCGGCGTCGTCGATGCTGTATTCGTTGGGTGCGATGCGGACAATCGGGCCATAGCGCTGGTGCAGACGGACGTTGACTTTCTCGAAATCCCCCCTCCACACGTTCTTCAGATACCACAGTCTGGTGAATCTGGCCGTGAAGGGGCCGGGGAGATCTCTCAGTGGTGTTGCCAGTGCTCTCCATACACGCCAGATGATAGCGAGCAAGGGGACGAGGATCACCAGCGACCCCAATGCTGGCAATGCATTTGAGGCATCGAGTCTGTTTGTGTTTAACACACCCATTTTTTTCTATCGAGATGGATAGTAGATAGGGAAGAAAAAGGGTTCCTCATCCAACGAAGGGAGGTTTCGCCCACTTGAGCAGCACCATTGCGTCTTGAATCTTTCAAACGGAATCAACGGCCAAGTGCCTAGGTATTATCCAATGTGGGGTTTTCCATGCCATGACTTGGATTAAAGCCCGGATGAGGTACGCGAAGATGTCCTCTAGATCTGAGGGGTCAGGGTTCTCCAGATTCAGCCCACTCCTGACCCCACAGAAATGCTTCGTGTCGGACGAGGTACTGTATATTGCGGGGGATCCCAAGCCTTTAGGGAACAGTCAACCACAGGAAGACCCTGTGTGTCTGTGTCAGCAAACAAAATTGCCTCCCAGTGATGTTTTTTGAGTTATATGTGTTTACTGTTGTGTTTTGCAGGGTTGAGTCTTTGCATATCAGACTCGTGAGACTAGTCCACTCGTTGTCGTGCCTCGGGCATCAGGGAGGGATACGAATATGTCCCATTTTCTCTGGGCCGACCCCGGACGGACCCCACAGGAGGACTTTGGAGGCTAAGAGACTGCCCATTATTGACGGACGGAGATTGGGTACTGAGGACGACATGCTGTCGTCAAGCACTAAAGCTTCGAATCAACAGCCATGCGTTGGAAAGTCAGAGGCCTGGGTGGAGTCCAGAAGCAATTGAAATAGACATTTGACCATATGATGGCGTTCATGGTCAAGTTTTTAACTCATTCGAATTACCTACCTAGGTCACGCTTGCTAGTAGATTGAACAAAAAGGTCCAGGACGACATATCAGGGTCTCAAAAGGCAGAGGTATCAGGTCTTCTGGCGTTTACAGCTCAAGATCTCGGTCCTCCCATCATCCATCTTTCGCTTGGCTGGTGCCATCTTTCCACGTGGCTCGTCCAGAGGACATTTCCTTTCAAGCGGGTTTGCCTTTGAGGCCTTCCGTTCTTCTTCTCTTTGCACTGCAGCGGCACGGCTGGCCATTTTAAATTCAAGATATTTCGTCACCATCTGTGTGTGACTGGCAATAGAGTTCGCAAACTTGGTCAGCGATGCTTCGCTCTCGGGATCCGGTTGTTCGGCTTCTCGAATGTCTGTGGAAGTCATGCTTGTAGAGCGCTGGTCCGCCCTGGAATGGGGCTCTCAAGCCTGACACTTCAAGAAGAGCAGAATCGGAGCTCGGTACCTTGTGTTATCAGAAGTATGCTGGCTTCGTGGCATCTCTCGTTAATACTGTTCTACACACCCATGCGCATTTGGGAACTCGCTAGCCCTGCTAGGCCGAGTCAATAATGAGATCTGCCAAATCCCAGGGAGCTTGAGAGTGGCGGATTGGATTTCGCAGGAGGTGCTTGAAGATCAATCGAATATGTATGCTGCTTACTTCGAATGTCCCTCCTCGTGAAATGTTGCTCGCCGAAAACGGCGGTGCACGTCGCTACTTCTCAGAACAGTGCGAGCTTAGGCTGCCAATGCAGAAGTATTCCGTCATGTGTTTTACAAATGACAATTGCTGCTTGCTCTTGCTCACCCAAAGAGGAATCCATAATCAGCCGAAGGTGGAAAGACCTCCGTCCATGAAACAGATGGCTGACCAGTCGCAAATCCTTGCTCGTTAATGGCCCAAATCGATCCCAGAAACTCACTGCCCGAGTTCCAGAGCCAGAAGCCGGTTTTCTGTTTCCAGCGTTCCCCGTAGTCGACAACGATTTGTCTCAAGTCCGGCTCATCTGGTCTAACCTCACAGCCAGCCAGCATTATAGGCATCAGGCATTGCTTCTGCAGTGCACTATGCGGTGGGAGAGATTGTACGTGATCGAGAATGCGGACCGCAAGCTCGTGTGAATTCCCCCACACACTTGGTTCGATACTCAGGTTCGAGAACGATCCGTCATCCATATCGCTTGATTCGAGATGATCATATAAATTGTGGGTTGCAGTATTGGAAAAGACTCTCGAAACATAAAGAAGTAGGCCCAATTTCCAAGATTCGGACATTGCATGGAAATATTCATTCCCGTGGGTTTGAATTACCGTTGTTGCAATCTTTATTTGGAATTCAAATACTTCAGCTGCCGTGACGGTGTCGGGATGCATTGCGGCTGTAGCCAAGTCGTGCATAATAGAAAACATATCATCGGGAAGTCCATTGAGAGCAAGCATACTCCATTCATCCTCCGACTGCCAACCCATAAGCTGGTCAAGATATGATCTTGGAAAGACAGGTCCACAACGAGATAGCATGGCCGCCGTGATATCGTACCACAAGAGTTGTGCAACTTGACTTCGAAGGCTCGGGCGGTCTTTGGCCAAATGAATACCACCATGAGATTCTAAAATTCGGTATGCGCCTCGAAGATGTACAGCCCAGTTGGCATATCCGGATTCGACATAGTCTAGCGCGAGCAGTAAGAGCGCAGTGCTTACGCCAGCTTCCAGGGAGACGTCAGTGATGTGAGTGCCAAAGATTGACAATGCACGATCCTTCAATCTCAAAACAGACAGACTCCCCTTGCGGCCATTCAAGTGAGCTTGTTGTCTTTGGGCCAATGCTACCGCCACATATTGGACGCAAGGGATACTGTCGTTGATGTGTTTGATGGCAGCTTGCCAAGGATTGATGTTGACCGGGAAAGTCAGTGTTGTGTGTGAGAAGCACTCATGGTAGAATGATAGAGAGTCTTCGAGGTCTCCTGCGTGGCGATAGACTTTTGGAGAAATAGAAAAATTATACTGTTGTACATGATCGAGAATTACAGGGCTGCCTGTCCTAGAGATCATCCAGGGAGATGCTGAGTCTCTTGAAGAGAGTTCGTAAGGGGTCGAAAAGGAATCGCGTCGCTCATTTTCCGTCGTGTCAGAGATAGCTGGCGTCGTTGACTTGACGGTAGCCGACTGATCCACAGACTTCTTTCTGGGCCGTCCAGGCGATTGACTCTGATGGACAAATGTGAATTCAGTAGGTTGAGGTAACTGAGCGATAGCCTCGACCGATTTTGAAACATCGAGTTTCCTGACACCGCTTTTGCGGACGGATTTGCCCTTGCGAGATTTCCCTCTTTCCCAGTCGAGTTGCTGGACATAACCGTCGCATATGATGCCTTCGGCGAGACATGCGCTACATCGTGGTCTTTGGCGATTACAATGACGGCCTAGCGATGAGCAACGATGACAATCACTCGTGGCCCATCCCAGCGAATTCGTTCTCTTACCTGTCGCATGCTTCTGAGGCTTAGGGGGAGAGACAGGGCCTGTCACCGACATGGCGTGATTTTCCGATACATTGAAGTGATCGCAAGTCTTTGTTTCTACCTGGAGGCGTGGGTGATGTAGGAACGGTGATGGAGAAACCGAGATCTGAGCCTCGAAATTATGCCCCGCTTCTTATCGGTGAGTGCGATCGGATCTCTCTAGGTCGGCGTCGCCACGTGATTGAGACCCTGGTTGAAGCATCTAACTAAGAGTCGCATTTTTGGATACTACACCGTGGGGAGCGGTGCCCCGAGGTTCCGAGCTCCGGGGAAATGAATATTCGAGTTTCTACGGTTCTGTTACACCTAGAAAAAGTAATTCACTACGATTGAATCGATCTTGAATGAGTCAATGATATAACCCAGAGAACGTTCCCAATAGTACCTGGTATGTATACACTTTAGATAGCTTGATTACATACCCTGTTCTGAGAACAGCCAGCCAGCTATCATCCCTCGATCCTCCATATTTGCAAACATCAATGTAGAATAGATAACCCAGTAAGATCCTATAATAGATGCATCCTTCTCTTCCGCATCATCTCCCTTCCCAAAAAAAGAGTACAGCCCTTGCTGTTCGAATCATAATATTTATAGCCAATTCTGACCCCTGCTTCTCCTCGCTTCCTTCTCACCTTTGTACATGCCTTTTTTACTGGTTGGAATACCCATGCCCACCAAACTCGACATCATGACCAAGCCAGCCTCCACAGGGTCAATCACATTGATCGTGCGTCGTCCATCCTCATCGCGCACCGCATCTTTGGCAGCACGCGTCATGTCGACCATTCCTGCACAGCCCAGAATAATCGTGTCTGCACCTTTCACGGCCAGGGCTCTTGCAGCATGCATCACTCGCTTGGCGACCTCCTCCTTTGGTCGTGAATCCAGTTCGAGAACCCCAAGATGCGTAGCCTCACTACCCACATAATAGTGTGAAAGTCCATAAGCGGTAACTTGATCATCTTGCAAGATCTTGGAACGTGCAGTCGTCGCGACAAATCCAAAGCGCCCACCGAGCATCCGTGCCACGTACATACTCCCCTCCATAATCCCAATGATGGGAACATCATACGACTCACGCAAGGCATCGATCAGAGGGTGCTTTGAAAAACATGCTATGATCATGCCATCGAAGTTCTGAACAGTCTCGCCATTGGTGGCGGCATGCTTCGCAAGGTCGCGCAAGACGGCTTCAGTCGACATTATGGCATCGGTAGTGGATTCTATGGCGGTGGGTGCCGGGTATGGTGCCGTGTAAGCGGTGAGCTCAACTCCAGGAGGGATGATGGGTCGTAGGGCATTCATCATATTGTCGGTCATTCCGCGGGAAGAGTTTGGGTTGATGAGTAGAATCTGGCTAGGCCGTTGACGTGGTGGAGCTGTGATTGGAGTGGAGAACGGAGACTTGGACGACGTTGGTCTCGTGTTTGGTGCAGAAGCTCCCGGAGGCCCTCCCCGGGAAACTGGACGAGAGGAACCAGAAGGCATAGGTTGCGATGGTAGCCCATGTGGCCCAGGTTGTTGATAGCCGCTGTGCTGAGGAACTAAAGGCTGAGCCGGAGGTTGAGACATCTGTTGTGGAGGAGAGAAGGGCATCGGGGGTGGCCCTTGGCCGTTATGGCCTGGAGGCCCACCAGAAACAGGGATAGGATAGCTTTGTCCAAAGGTGCTGCTTCGCGAACGAGAATGTGGTTGTTGTAGCTGTTGCTGTTGCTGTGGTCCGGGGCCTTCAGCGAAAGGGTTTCCAGCATCATTTGTTGGCGATTGAGGTGGACCATATTGCGCGCTTGGAAATCGGCTACCATACTGATTATTCAGAGCCATTGAAGGGAGTGGGGGAGATTGCGATGGCAATGGACCAGAATGGGACTGAGATGGTAAAGGTCCAGAGTGTTGGCTGGGACCCGAGCCTGACGGATGACGCATTTGATTAGTGTATGAAGGCATGTCGGACTCGTCAAGGAACAGATTTGGTTGTGAGCCCGATTGCTGGTACTGGAGTTGTTGCTGTAGATTTGGTTGAGGAGAGCCAGAGGGAGAAGGACCACCGGGACGAAGGGCTGGGGGATGGAACGGTGAATATGATTGATCGGCCATAGTGGTAAAAGAAAAGGGAAAAATTCCAAGTCGGGCTGAGACACAACAGTACGAGTAAATGGCACAGAGACGCGCACAATGTACCAAGTTGGAACCTCTCCCAGTCTTCGTGGAGCTTGGAATACGATGTGCAATGGGAACAGCCCACTGACTGGTCGAGAGACTTCTGGGACGGGGTTCCCTAGGCGAGCTTCTTGGTTCTGGAGGTTGTCTGGAGCCTGTTTTATTCTCCGACAGGGGCCTGAGGCGTTGTCCGTAGCCTGAAACGCGAGTTGAATGACGCGATGAAGAACCAGATAGCTAGTATTAATCGATATTTCGGGAATACAAAAGTTGGGTGTGTCAACAAAGATAGATATACAATGGAATGGATCAGTCAAGTCAAGTCAGCCGCCTTGCTCGTCTAAAGTAATGGAATCGAGAATGTAAGAGCTAACTTAGTCGTTCCACGTCTGAAGGATTGTCAGTTACTGATTGCCAGTGTCAATTGATGCCCAAGGGCCATGCCTGATTTCCGGGGCCACGGTCGGACTCCGTGTTCCTCGCGTGTCGTGCTAAATATAACCCACTCGACGCCTATTTAAGATGTTCGGCCCCCAAGAGAGCCGCCACAGCTGGAAGTTTAGAGCTAAAGGTGGCACAGAAGCTCTCGTACCAAGCCATGTGATGGATGTTGGACAAAGACTACAATAGATCTGGTTCCTTCACGCCCGTCTGTTCTACAATGATACCATAATGTTCAACGCGACGATGCTTCTCAAAAGCAAACACCTTCTCTTTTCCGCGTCGACATTTTGCCAGGTCAATTTCTGCTATGATCAATTCATCCTCTTCCGTCTGAGCCTCGATCATCACCTCGCCATCGCAATCTACAATGCAACTGCCACCAATCAATGGATACTTCCCATCTTCAACACCACATTTCGCAACGTTGATGCTAAAACATGCATTGGCATAGCTGTTGTACGTGATGCTCAGCTTGTTGTGGAACAATGCCTCGGCTTTGGCCGTCTCAGGGGTCGAGGTCTTCTCATCGTTTCCTATGAGATCGGGAGCCCAAGCAGTCGTGTTGTAACCACACAGCAGGAGCTCGATCCCTTGGAGCCCATATGATCTCCATGCTTCTGGCCAACGTCGGTCATTACATATGAGCATTCCCAATATCGGGTCACCTTTGCCCAAGGTCTCGAGCTTATTGGCTTCAACCCCTGACTTCTTGTTAAGAGTGTCGTTGACCAACCCAGGCGCTCGGAACGCTTGAAATCCAAGGTCACCAGGCTTGAAATATCTTTTCTCGAGTTGGTTGGTGGCCCCTTCGCGCTCGTAAGGTTCAAATGTCCCAGGTAAGTGCACTTTTCTATACTTTGATATGACCTGGCCACTATCCCCCGAAAAATATACCGAGGTGTTGTAATGGACGTGGTCGCTACCTGTGCATTCGGCGTACCCTAGATACATGTCCATTTTATACTCCTTTGCTTTATCAAACAATGGCTTGAGATTCGGCAATTGGGTAGCATCGCCATCATGCTCTTGCTCAAAATAAGCTTCCAGGTCTTCGCCCTCAAGAAGATGCCGAGGAAAGAACGTGACAGGTGCGAGTTCTGGGAAGACGATCAATTTAACATGCTGTTTGTGTGCATCATCGATCAGTTTTAACATTCTCTTGACTCCATCTGATCGTGGTGTGTCGACGTGGATCGCTCCTAACTGCGCACCTGCCACAATTACCTTGCGTGTAGACGCGCTCGTATGAGCGGCGGAACTCATTTCAATCCAAGTTTTTCAAACAATGCTCGGTATAGCAACAGGGAAGGTTTCAACTTTACCATGTTGAGGCCTGGTCGAGGACATTCCCTCTATCACCGAAGGGCTGATCGCCGAAGAGCGCTCTTGTCCGACGCAAGGATATCAACGGTGATAAAGGGTTTCCCGCACATCAATCTTGTACCCGTTGGGGCCCGGTGCTAAATCGTGCAATTAAGCCATGCTGATTTTCATGCAGGTTGTGAGATACTTAGTGAGTCATTGGCAAATGATATAAAAGACAGGTAGCCCGGTAGGTATTTTGTTACCCATTTACCTACAGATCTTTCCCACAAATCTTGATACCTGGGAGCTCCAGCCATGGCTCTTCACGCAGTTCTCGCACCTCTTCTTGCATACCCCTACTTGACTTTCTTCCTCCTCCCTTTGATCCTCTTCACCATCCGCCTCCTCTACCGGATAAGTCCATTGCATACATTAGCACATGTTCCCGGCCCAGTTTCTGTTCGCATCTCCTCCTTATGGCTGACATACCATGCTTGGATTGGTGATGAAGCCTCCACGGTCCATGCTCTACACGAAAAGTATGGCCCTAATGTTCGTACAGGGCCAAATAGTGTTGATGTTTCCGATGGAGCTGCCTTGGCTGCAATCTACTCGGAGAAGGGCGGTTTTGGTAAAGCAGCATTCTATGCAAATTTCGACATTGATGGCCATAAATCGATCTTTTCTGAAACAGACCCCATGCAACGTGCCCCACGAGCCAAAGCGGTTGCCGTGCTGTTCTCTACCTCCAGCCTGCGCCAAGGGCAAGACATCATTTACCAGGTTGTCGACAGATTTGTCGAAAGACTTGCGTCAGGCGGGCATGGAAATCAAAAGGGTAGACCGTTGAACATTCTGAACTTGACCAGGGGTTTGGCAGTCGACGCCGTGTCCTCATACCTTCTGGGTAAAAGTTATGGGGCTCTCGATGAGAAGGCAGCCATCGAGGAGAAGAGGGCCGTTAAAAAAGAGCTCACCAATGACCACGACCACGACCACGAAATGAGTGCCAGTGGAATGGTCAACTGCTTTGTTGCGGTTGGCCGATTCTGGTACTTGCCCACCACGATATTCAAAATTCTCGAGTCATTTGATGCCTGGTGGAACGCCGAGGATGAAGTATCTCAAAGCTTGAGCCTTGTGGACGATTTCGTTGCCAACGTCGTCAAAGAGGCAGAGACTGCAATTCGAGTATCGAATGATAACGAAAAGGGGTCAAACCTAGATGATCCAGGCCACCCCACGACCTCTTACCCAGCACGAATGCTACAATCTGGCCTGACAGCATCGGAAGTCCGCGCACAATGTAAGGATCTGATTTTCGCGGGAACAGATAGCACGGGCATGAACCTGGGAACCATCTTGTTTCACCTCGCCCGCAACCCTGAATGCTACGCCAAGTTACGGCAAGAAATCCTCACAACAAACCCATCATTCGACGACCTGCAATCCCTCCCCTATCTGCGAGGGGTGGTAAAGGAAGGTCTCCGCTTATCCCTGGCAAACCCTTCACGTTTGCCCCGGATCGTGCCTTCTCAGGGTTGGACATTCAAAGGCACGCACTTTCCACCAGGCACTGAGATTAGCTGCACACCTTACTCGCTTCATCTCAATCCTGCCGTATTTTCAGATCCGTTGGCCTTCAGGCCCGAGCGGTGGTCGAATCCTTCCGAGGAAATGAACCGGGATGCCATTCCTTTTGGCCTTGGTCCAAGGCAGTGCATCGCTCGCAATCTGGCGACCGTTGAGCTGTTCTGTGCTGTTGAGAGGGTCGTCAAAGCCGATGTCCTAAAAGGGGCAAAAACCTTGGCTGACAAAATTGAGATCCTGGAGTGGTTTAACTCTAAGGTGGTTGGTGAAAGGATCGACTTGGTTTGGTGATCTGCGCAATTTATGATGCGGTAGAAATCGTCAAGAGGGGTTTGATGTCCTGAAGCATAACATTGAGGGAAAATTCGGCCTTGTTCAGGACTGCTACTGTTATGTGTGCCCACTTCACAATGTATCCCACGAGTAGTGAGAGAATGCCAAAGGGATTGTGAAAGCTGCCTAGGCAGTAAAGTGAAGCCTGGAGTGTCACGGTAGGCAGTGAAGAGAAAGCTAGATTATAGGAGATATATTTCAATTCCTGCAATGTGCTATTAACGGCACCGGAGATAGGCCAGAGCGAGTAGACGACTCTCGCCCTGGGATGGCTTAGCGGTTAGCACACCTGTTCAATGATGGGCTGCTCGCTACTTTGATCCGGGCGGCGGAACTCGACCCGCACTGTGTATACTGGGAACGAAATAAAACTTACCCAACCTTCTGGACGCGGCCTAGAGTTTTCCCTCACTGGGACCCTAGGATGGTTCCTAGGTATCTGGTTTTGTGACATTGAAATCCTTTCTGGTGTTTTCTATCGAGATTGATTTTTTAGATTGTGGAATATCTTGCTTTTATATACTTAACTGAATAAAACCAGGGCGCCCGCTCGCTACAAGGCTGCGCGGAAGCCTCGCACTTATACCCCACCTTATCTCTACGCGAGATTTATGTACGGGCGGAGGCGGAGGACAAACTATTCCTCCGCAAAGTCGCGCCTTGACTGATTGCTGATTAATGACCAACTCAACTTCCCATGAGCTTCCCACCACCGTCACTTGATTCAGGGTTCTCCACACCTGAGTGTTGTAATTATCCACTTCAGTACCAATGTTCATAGTTTGGCTCCTATGTCTGTTCTTTACGATGGACCAAACTCGACTGCTGCTACATCCAGCTGCCCTTAGGATTGCTAAATGCGAGGAGAGAACTAAACTCCTATCGTGAGGTGCTTACAGTAATCTTCAAGGCCTTTATATGTCACACTGCTGTAGGACCTGCCAAGTGCTACTCGTGCCTGTTCTATGATGTTGCAAGAAGGAAGTCGACTCGTCGAGGCTGGCAAGGTATGATTACGGATTCAACAAACATCTTAATGTGCTGATCGTCGTCAAGAATGCTTGTGATCGGTGTCGCGCGAGGAAAAGAAAATGTGACTACTGTCCGGATAGAAAGCGCTGTTCTGAATGTGTGAAGGCGAATGCCACTTGTGTCCATACTCATATAATCAAGTATCGGCCGAGGCGGAAGCGGAAGGCGTGCGCACTGTGGCCCTCATGGTATTCCCCATCTGCTAATCGTCATTAGGCGTCGCATGGACAATTTCGAGGACCGAATTGGACAGCTCGAAGCAATCATAAGATCACATGGCGTACAACCAACCCAGGAATTCCAAAATGAGATCCCTGGCAACAATACTGCAGCCATTAGCACGCTGTCCGATGAAACTTTCGATTTACCTGAAAATTGGGATGAAGATCATAACGCCTTGTCATGGAATCCGGTCACTGACAAAACGATTCTGGAGTCTAACCCGCTGGGTCCTCCGCAGAACTCACTGTTGGCCTCTTCTCCTCTTGAGGCGATATTCACCATACCTCGGATCTATGGGGAGCCATCTGTTCTGTCAGCCATCAATGGGACAAATTATCAAGACCACTGGAAGTGTCCGAATGCCGTTCTAAACAATAGCAACTGGCCATCGATCGAGGATATAGCTCTGCGCTGTGAACGTGAATTGCCTTCGGCGCATGAAGCGTCTTTGATGCTCCAAGAATATCTCATGGACTACAATTCTGTAATCCCGCTATTCGATAGACAGACGATAGCATTGCATTTCCAGGACTGTTACTCAGGCAGTTCCGACGTCAAAGGTGTCTCGTGGGGTGCGGTCTACGTGGTTCTTGGGATAGCTCACCAGCTGAGAGCCATGAGTCCATTGGCGAAGGAAGATGATAATGTACGCGCCATCAAGTATCTGGACCGATGTATGAGAAGAATACCGGAACTTCTGATGGACACTCCATCCCTGGCCCTGGTCCAATGTCTACTAGGGGTTGCCCTTCTAGTTAGAGGGACGCCTCGAGCACAGTCAGCCGCTCTGTTCGTCTCCATCGCCATGCGTCTGGCTCAAGACATGGGATATAACGAGAAGCGTGCACACGATGGTGATAGCGCCTTTCAAGCCGAGCAGGAAAACTTTGTCTTCTGGATCGCTTTCTTCCTCGATGCAGACCTTTCACTGCGGTCTAACCGTCTCCCGACCCAGAGCTACGAGCACATTGACGTAAACTTACCGGAGGACGATAATCCTGGTGGCGCTGGCATTCTGCGTGCCGAGGTCGGGGGTCTGAGAGCGAATATTCTTCGCATTCGAGCGCAGATGGGCCTCATTCAAGCCGAGATCATGGAAGAGCTGTTCAGCGTCAAAGCTAGGCGACGACCCGTGACGGAGCTGACATCGATGGCAGACAAGATCACCTTACGGCTCGATCAATGGAGAGATAATTGGCTGTTTCAGGTTCGACCCAACGACCTGATGCGCATGTTGCAGAGATCCGAAATGGTGCACATCTTGGTCCTGGAAGCGGCCTACTTCACCACCACCTGTGCACTACAATCGGAGATCATACAGACCGGCCAGAGAACCGATTGCAGCATCCTCATGTCCGACCTTCTAGCCCAAGCCGACGCCGCCAAAGAGCCGCCGTGTTACCCCCATGCCAGGAGATTCCTCGAGCTCGTGGCTGTTTGTCCCTCGGGACACATGTCTTGCACTTGGTAAGCTCCGAACGAGTATCGAATACGTGAGGGTTGTCTAGCTGACTAACTGATTGTCGTAGGATGGTATTCGACGCCATTGTGATTTCATCATGCGTCCTTCTCAAGCGCGCCTCCACACACCCTCACGAGGAGCTGTCCGCCGATGATGTGCGCCAGACAGAATTTCCATTGAGGATTGTTACCATGCTGGCGGCGAAGACCGGTAGTCCTGATCTTCTGAAAATCCAAGTCAATTGCCAAGTATTGCTCGAGAGAGCTAATCAGGCTTTGGGCAGGCGTTGAACGTGCGCAATGGAAGTCTGAAGCTTGTACAAGACCTTGTGCAACATGGTCGTTCGGCCATGTTACCACGCGTGGAAACAGCTGGGACGATGAGCATAACTCTGCAACACAGCGCAACGGATATTACATATATGTGTTTGCGCACATGATTGGTAAACTGATTTCTGCGATGGTCCAATCCCCTTAGGACGATGAACATAGACTTTGGTGGACTTACCGTCCACCGAGGAATAAGTTTAGCCAACTCCGAGTTTGATTTGTGACTTATCAAGACGACGATTCTATACCCACAATAATTCCCAGCTCACTGAACGGTGATATTTCCAAACGAAACTTCTAGGGGCAATCTAACGACCATCAATGATTTTCCGGATTCTGACTCCGGCGAATGATCTCATAAATCGTGGTTGGTGACGATGAAAAGTGGTGTTCCCCATGTACATTTTTGCTGGAGTGATGTCATGATGAAAACATTGTTCCCATAGCACTACGACCGCCGGCAGTTGGAGTGAAACCAGACATGAGAAGCAGTTCGCAGCGAGGTAAGCGAGGTGTTCCATACGGATTGATAAAAAGGTAGCGACTGGCGCAGTTTGACTTTCGTCTTGTTCACAAGGGTTTTCACGATTTGACTGTTATTATACCGATTTCTTGAACTCTGAATATACATATATCATAGAACAGGGTCAACAAGTTTAGTCATCCTCAATCTCTAAAAGACAACATGGCTCTCTCACAAGCCGCTGCCGGCCTCGAGAAGGTCCTCGGTCACACTGGCGACGCCACAACCGAACAGAATCTGACAAACCCGTCAAAAGATCCTGGCAAATATGCCGACCCTTCAGGCGAGAAGATGAAGGCCTTGATCTGGAATGGCAAGAACTCGGTCAAAGTGGTTGAGACCTTCAAGCCCGCGAGGATCGAAGATACAGACGTCATTGTCAAGGTGACGGGTTCGACTATTTGCGGCTCCGACCTGCATTTGTACCACGGCTCTGTCATCGAACTCCAAAAAGGAGATATCCTGGGCCACGAATTCTGTGGCGTGGTCGACAGCGTCGGCCCGAGTATCTCAAAGGTCAAGGCTGGCGACCGTGTCGTGTGTAGTTTCCAGATCGCCTGTGGAAGCTGCATGTACTGCCAGAAGAAGTTGAGCAGCCAATGTGAAAAGACGAACGATAACACTATTGAGAATGCTATGTATGGCGGCCGCACTGCTGGTATGTTGGGCTACTCGCATTTCACTGGCGGATATGCTGGTGGTCAAGCCGAGTACGTGCGGGTTGCATACGGAGACGTCAATCTGCTTAAGTTGCCAGACAATGTCCCGGATGAAAAGGGTCTATACTTGAGTGATGTCCTAAGCACTTCTTGGAATGCAGTGGTTGATACGGGCGTTAAGGAAGGTGATGTTGTTGCCATTTGGGGAGCTGGTCCCATTGGACAGATGTGCGCCATTATGAGTTTCATGAATGGCGCCCGCCGAGTCATTCTCATTGACGGTGGTGCTGCAGCGTGGCGGCTCGACTATGCCAAGAGCAAGTTGCCCAAGCTTGAGACAATTAACTTCACCGATCTGCCTAAAGGGGAGAGCATCACCTCTGTTTTAAAGAAGATGGAGCATGGTGGACCTGATGTTGCCCTCGAGTGTGCTGCTGGCGAGTACGCGAAGGGCTGGGCCCATTACTTTGAAATCCTGCTTGGTGCGGAGACTGATACCTCAGAAATCCTTAATGAGTGTATTACCAGCGTCAAGAACTTTGGTCGTGTTGGCATCACTGGAGTTTACGTCGGATTCACAAACCACTTCAACATCGGCAGTGTCATGGAACGTGGAATCCGGCTCATCGGTAATGGTCAGGCACCAGTCCATTTGTACTGGGAAGATTTGTTGAAAAAGATTGAGGATGGTTCTCTGGATCCTTACCAGATGCTGTCGCATCGCGTGCGTCTTGAAGAGATGGAAGAATTGTATCGCAGATTTGATGCTCGGGAAGAGGGACTGCAAAAGGTCTTTGTTGAGACCAAATTCAGTGCTCCACCCGCAAAGGGTACTCCGCAATTGACAAAGTATGGTACTGCAACGTGGTGAACTGGTGATTGCTGAGAAGATGGCCATACTCAACCAGGAATAGGTGCGTAGGTGTGATGTTTGATTCATAGCGATAGTAGAAATACCAACCTTATCTTCGGAAAAGAACACTACATCTTGTGCAGCGTACTGCATACCGCTTGATGCCGATATGTGAAAAGTATATCTGGTGATGGTCCTGTAACATCGTGCTAACACTGGTTCATGTCAATGAACTTGCAATTTTACTCCTTGCTCTGATCTTTGGGCCGTAAAAAGCAAGTACCCACGGAACGAGCGTCAAAATTGCTCCGATCGCACCGAGCAAACTGCTTGCCGCTTGGAAGCCCATACTGCGAAACATCTGGACCGTTATGAGTGGAAATGAACCTCCCAGCAGATTTCGAACGAGACCGGTGCCTGCCAGTGCGGAACTGGCATAGATATGGTACACGTCGGCTGTGTAGTTGAAGGAAGCAAGGTAAATACTGAAAATGCCAATGGTTGCCACCCCAATGCCGAACGCAGGCACGATCCAGTGGATAGAAGAATAACAAGTCCAGCCGAAAATGAAAATTCCAACGGGCATGAATCCACCTTCGACGCAAGTGAAAAGAAGTCGGCCTTCTGGACTCCCATTTATCTTGACCGGATAATGTTTCACAGCCCATTTCTCCTGGTAGATACTAAGAACTGTAGAGAGGACGGCCGCAACGCACATCGATGCGAAGATGAAACCAGTCTGCTCCACTGTGAAGCCGTGATTGACTTGGAACACAAGAGGGACGGCGCCAAAGGTGAGGTAGAGGACTGCCCACGCGAATCCAACCCATAAGCTGAACCAAAAGACCACTGATTCAGTAAAGAGCATATGAATGGGTCGATAGAGGGAAACCGCAATCATTCTCGCAAGAGATGCCCTATCCTCGTCTGCTTTGACTTTCCAACGTATGCGACAACAAATCTGGCCTTTTTCTCCGTCTTCGGACTCATCAGACACTCCGATAGCACCAGCAGCTTCCAGCTGTTCATACCATTTGTTCAATAGCTTTGCCTTCCTGCTGAGAATGATGCTCCCGCGGGTCTCCTTGAAGAATATCGTTACAAGAGAGACGAGGACACCACTAGTTATGACTTGAATATAGAACACCCATCTATATGAAATTCTCTGGGCCACGGCGCCAGAGACCAATGGCCCAAGGCCGGTGCCGAAGAGGGTAGCGCCTGTGAAGAGAACCATAGGAGTATTTCGATCAGCGGTAACCCAAACATCAGCCAAAATACCTCCTACCATGGTCGAGAAGCATGAACCTCCAACACCTAGAAATAATCGGGCTGCCAACATCCCGCCGTAAGACTCGGTGAGAGCACAGCATAATTGACAGATGACAAAGAGAATTCCTGTAGCGATGAACACAGGTCGCCTGCCGTTGATCTCAGAAAATGGAGCAAGAACCATTGGCGCAATCCCAAATCCGAGGGTAAACACAGTGATGCCCACATTATATGCGACGTTGGAGATTCCCCATTTCGCGGTGAGTTCAAATGCTGGTGATGCGTAACTACCCGCAGCGTAGGCAGCGGTGATGTTTACGCTGCATGAGAGGTATGTCATCAGATTCTTCCGGGGAAGGGACCATGCATAGGGGTTATCGTAGTCGGTCAATTTCGGACATGGTGGTATTTCGCCCTGCGTATTCTGGGGCAAAATGGGATGGAGAGGGATGAGGGATTCAAAGGTCAAGTACCGATATTCGACCTGTTGTGCGGAGGTATCTGGAGAAGCTTCCAAAATCGAATTACTGCGAATATGAATATCTTGACTTTCGATGTCGATGGCATCAGCGTGAATCGGGATACTCATATCGAATGTAGTGACATGTTAGAGTTTTGCTAATCTTTCTCGCTCGATATGGCCACTTAACGACTGTGATGCTTGATTCTCCGAAAGTCAAATATCGAAGTTTAGACGGTCAAGAGAATGAGAAAGCGTTTAGGTAAAATCCTGAATGGCGGGGAGGTCTAGGGTTCAAACCCAAGACCGGGGATCGGCGCTATTATTCGAACGGAAGAAGAGCACCATCTCTATCCCATATAGTTACATAGGACATAGGCGGTGCGCATTGGAATTTTGGTGGACGAAAGCACATCTCCCCGGATTTTCCGCAGGGTTTGCCCGGGCACATTGCCGTGCCTCATTGTGGTCGAAAATGAATATGGTGGATTCGGTGACTCGGGTCTTGTCACCCCAAGAGTGTAAGCGAAAAGACGTGGCATCCCCGCAAGCAGTGGTTTCTCTGAAGGAGTATCATGACTGGATCCTTGTAAGTCAAGATTACGAACCTACTCCATGGTAAGTATGACTCAATACTCAATTTGTATCATGACGTGGATTGTGGAAGACATAGAGAGACAAATTCCGACGAGCCGAGCGTTCTGAGACGGATAGCATTCCCGAGATCAGAGCTCAAAGGCTAAATCTTATCTTATCTTTGAAGATGAGTTTCCCAGGCCTATGTACATATCTATGCATGGCATGGACATGGCACTTCAGAATGATTCAACAGTTTTTGGAAACTGGAGATCATCAAACAACGGAGTATTGAATCAATATCAATCTCCAGGTACCGTTCAAGGCAAGCATGGTTGCAGATCCACATGGGGCTCTCGGAACATGACTCAAAGACAATGATGTAAGAAATCACCAACGTCATGATCCAGGAACGTTTCTTCCAGAGGTGATTTTCCCCGGAAAAGTGCTCGAGGTTCCTTGGATTGCATTCATATTTGCAAAGAACATCAATCGCCTGGCAAAGATCCCTTCACTGGCAAGATAGCAGGATTATTTCTTCTCACCATTAAGGAAGCGTTGTTCGGAGTAGGCGGTTCAGGTACAATGGGTGCCTCAAAAGAGGAATCTGCTAAGCAGATGATGAAGAACAAGAATGGTGAGGACAAGTCTATCCCATCCAACGAACGCAATTGTGTAAACTGATGAAACCAGTGGCTGGTGGTCAGCTCGCGCAGCTCTCGAAAGATCCTCCCACCGGCTTCTACCGTGATGGGTATTGCAGAACTGGGCCTGAAGATAAAGGAAACCATTCAATCGGAGCAACAGTTAATCAAGAATTCCTCGACTTTACCAATTCGAAAGGCAATAACCTGACAAAAGCGGGAGTCAAGGACGGGATGAGGTGGTGCTTATGTTCCACCAGATGGCGAGAAGCTTTCGACGCAGCACAAAAGGGCACTTTGTCGAAGTCCGCGGTACCCAAAGTGCACCTCCATGCTTCCCACGAAAGCGCCTTGAAAGATGTCAAGTACAGTGACCTGAAGCAGTATGCAGCTCAAGCAGAAGCACAGAACGAACTAGCGAATCGAAAGCAAGGATATGAAAATCCTGAGAAACCAGGAGGAGTGTCCAAGGACAGCAAGGAGATCAGTGGTAATTCTGAGACGACTGGAGGTGTAGGTGTAGACCTACCAAAAGGAAAATAGTGATTCGGGGCGATTAAGGTGTACATACCAAAAACATGTTGCTCGTTCGAGTTTCACATGGATCTGTTTTGGGTACGGTGGATCACAAAGTGAGTCTGTCGTAGGCCGATGACAATATGCTCCACCCAAGCGGGCCGAGGTGATAACAATCGAGGAACGCACCATCTCTGGAGGAGAATGTGATCGAGGTGAAAGCCGAACTCGAGTGTGATTCCTACTCCATCTCTCACCACCATCAATCACAGAGTGCCGCAGCCCTTGTACTCGACCTGATATGTCTTTTGTATAGCAATATCTACCCCTACTTTAATTATTCTGCTTTTCAGCTTCAGCAATATGTGGATATCTTGGGCACGAGCCTATCGATGACATCCTCATCCTTACCCTGATCCAGTCCACTGCATGAGAAAAACTCGCCTTGTACATTACATCTGTTCCACTTCTAGTTCGAGTTCGTGGCGCGGAGAACGCCATGTCGGACTCTGTTGGTCAGTGCCATCCAGTCCCTTCATCCTGAACCCTCTAATTCGTGCAAGACCGCGTCTTCACACATGCTCTTGCAACAGTTCGCCGGTTACCACGGACCGGTTCTTCAAGGCCTCCACCTTCAGCCCGTCTACGCCTGTATGGCCTTTATAAACAGTCTATGGAGGGGGATGTCGAGTCTATTCTACCCCGACCCACCCTCCCTACCGTGTCACCCGATCCCAACAATTCAAAATCCAACAATGTCCATCGTTACGCTTCGCGTGATCTACGAATACGAGAAGCCGAGGCCGAGATCGAAAAGTGGGACTCATGGCATGGCTGCTCAGGAATGTCCAAGACGGACGCAAAGAGGAGATATATTGGCACTTTAATTGAAACTATGAAAGAGTATGCAAGTGGCACTCAAGAAGCACGAGAATTGGTCGCGGAACTGGAATTTGTTTGGAACCAGATACGCAGTCAAAGTGGAAGCTCCGAAGACGACGAAGCCGATGCGGATTCACCTACGAGAAGACTCGAACGAGCAGGTTTGAAACAAACCCTCAGCTTCGACAGCAATTCACCCATCCAGAGTGCCAAAGCTGGACGGCCAAGTGGGGTGGCAAGCAGAACGAATTCAGATCCGAACCGTCTGAGAGTACTATCGCCTGTTTCAGCGCGAGATAGTGACGATGTGGTAGAGGCTGAAGAGGTCGACCCAGATGCAGAAGCGATAATCGATCGTCTACAAACAACGGCGTCACGAGCGTCTGAGTCTGAATGGAGGGCAAGAATAGAGTCCCATCTACGTCAGCTAGCAACAGAAGTTGCTGCGCTGCGGGAGGAGATGTCTGCGAACCATCTTCTCTCATCATCATCCTTATCGCCTTCCTTGACTTCCAAGCGAAGACGTCTTCTATTCCGTATAACTTCGTGGGGGCGGTGGTTGGCATGGCTAATCCTACGTCAAGCATTCGCTACGGCCGTCTTCGTTCTGCTGTTCATCATTTGGGCCAGATGGAGACGCTACAAAGATCGACGGGTTGAACAGTGGGTCAGGAGACGATGGACTGATGCCGAATTGCTTTACGGGAGCCTGAGAGTATGGCTAGCGGGAGCCAAGATACCGTTCAGCCTTTATCCACGATCCAGGTCGTCTTGATGAACATGTTTTGCACAAGTCGTTGAAGTTCACGATCACATCTCGATATCATGGCATAGATGTTCAGCGTGGGCCTTCGATCGATTCTGTTACCACCTTGCAAATATTGAATTCCTGATTGGCTATCACCAGGATAGCGGCTACACGACGGACATTTTTTAGGGCCGCTAGCTACTGGGGTGAGGCACCTCAGTAACAGCGCGTGTGGGATCTTAGATGCAAAATCTCAAAAGTGATGATCTAGGACGGTTAAGATCTTCTATGCAATGATCTGTACGATGAATGACGAACGTGTGCCGGAACTATGATAATGTATTGCTTATAACCAAATGTGAGGAGAAAGACATGGTTGGCTATGTTCGGATGAGGTGTCGAAAGATTTTATAACCTTTGTTCGGGAGATCTACAGTTTCCAGGGGATATCGAATAATAGACCACTCAGCTTGTCTATATCACTTCACCACCTAATTATTCATTTACGTACCAACCTCCTCACTCCGGTGCACGGCGCATGTCTCTCAAATCCATACTGACCCCACCGCGAACGTCGCGCTTAGCTGGCGCCACAGCTCTCTTCGTGATGAACGCAGCAGGCTGGCCGAAATCCGGGTGTCCGCCCAACGTCGCAAAGATGTCACCGACATAATTCGGGGGCGCGATGCCCTTCTCAAACGTCGCATCCCAGCCGTCGAGAATGCCAGTGACGACCTTGACGCCGGCGAGATAGATATTCTGGATCGCGGGTGGAAAGCCGCCCTGGTTGATGTACAGAAGATTCTGCAGCTCGGAGACGCCCGGCGGGGGCCGGTCGAAATCACTCGCCGTGCGCATCACGATGGCGCGCGTGATGTCGGTGAGGTTGAACTGGGCGGCGCGCAGGATCGCCTCGAGCGTCGCGTTGTCTTCTTGCGCTGTCGTGCAGTATACGCCGGAGCCGTTCGTCCACAGCGTCGTGGTGTTCTCGAATGCTTCTGCTAGCCTGGTACCGGAGTAGTAGACGTCGGATGTTGCGACGTCGCAGCCGAGCACGCTGGGTGGCTCAGATCCTGCTTGGTAGCTTGGAGACACGTCATACAGAGCTCGATAGGATTGGGATGTTGTCGTGTCGTTCAGGACGGCCGTCGACGCGAAGGATATGGCAATGTCGCGGAGTGCTTCGTTGACTTCGAACACTTCCGTGCCGTAGATCCTGGAATTCAAGTTAGTTGATAATCCGGCGAGTATCTTCTTCCAATGAAACTTCTCTCTCGGTCAAGCAAGGAGGGACACATACGTCGTGGGATACTCCGAAGGTGAATCGACACCGAATGGGATGTAACCGGTGGTTAGATTTGAGGGCAGATCCCGATAATCAAATTCATATTGCAGCGCAACCTGCACGGCATATTTTGCGAATGTGACTGAACCGAGTGTTGCTACTTTTGGATTGACTCCTGCAATGCCCGCAACCAAGAAGTAAGACTTGGACAAGTCGAACACCGGACTGAGAACAAAGGCGCTGATGGTGCTGGCCGCATTGATTTCCGATTCTCCTGTGATGACCTGGCATACGTCCCCATCGGTGGTGCAGTGGACTTCTGGAAAGAGCGGACTCAAGCCGGGAAGACTAATGTTCTGCGCCAGGAGATTGAACTCTTCAATGCCCCACCAGACTTCGGCCTCTGGATCGAACATACTCACGATGACGACCTTTGGCGCGATCGGCTCGCTTCGTTTCACATGTTGAGCTCCCGGGAGAAGAGGCACGGCGCTTGTCCAGGAGAGCAAAGGGACAAGTCCCAGAAGAATACTGGTGGGAGTGAAGAATCGCATAGCTGGTGGATGCTTGGAGGACCAGCAAGTGCTGGACAGGTCCCGGTCTTTCGAGCAGTGTACCAGTGAGATGTGAAAGGTCCCAGAGGAACAAGGATCGCGACAGTATTTAAATGTGGAGGGACTTACCTGGTACAAAGCTACGCAGAGATAGGATGCAGCTTTACCTCTCACGCGGCGCGATCATTTCCTGTACCTTGCCTGCGATTGCCGAACGCGTAACGACCATTTTCTTCGGAACGACTAGGCAAGAACATCAACGATACTAGGCCAACCTAAGTTCCTGATTATGTTGATCAGAGGTGTGTAGACCATCATGCGACGATAAAACGATCAATGATAACATGTCGGGCGAGCCAAAAGCCCCTTATCTTCAAAACGACAATCATCCTTTCGTAGCTAGGTAGAAGTGCGTGCAGCTGGAAGTCGGCAGCAACGGGCTGATGATATCATCTCAAACCTACTGAAGTAGTCTGGCATTTCCTCAAGCAGTATCACTTGAGATCCTCGTGGCACAGGCCAAGCCTCTTAGCGAGCCTCGACAAGCCTTGGGGTGACCTATCATTGTGTCGTGTTTGGGAGCGATAGGAAGCTTGCGGCGGTCAAGAATGTGCCCATTTCCCGAGCTCTAAACTTTACGCGCAGAGTCTAACGTGGGGACAGTAGCGCAGCGGAAACATATCTAGAGACCCTAAGTTTTTGTACTGCCGTTAAGGCTTATGCACTCAACACCTGATTGTGGGTTGCACAAAAGCTTCGTGTAGCTTGTACAGAGCCTTCAGTTATGTATGAAGTATGTCAGGCTGAGGTCGAACTGATAAGGCTCGCGCTAAGATTAGGCAGCTTATCAAGAGACTCTACTATGACTTGGCATACGTAACACCTTGAAAAAGATGGCAATCGCGACTGTTGAGCACGTCGCGTTCTTTCCCATAGAGGCCACCCACCCCACTGGCAGTTGATCTCAAGCACTGTGACTGCAGTATTCTATCTCGATCCAGGGAAACTCATTCCCACCAAGACAGCTCGCTCATCAATACTTCCATGCGCGTACCCAAGTCCACAGACACCACCCGGCTCTAGCATCAACTCGAGTTTCGAGTCGAGGCTCAAGCCCAACCATCTCCTGACAAAAGCTCGGAGAATATGGCCATGTGCGATGACCACCACGTCGACTCTTTGTTTCTTCTCCAGTGCATCACCCTGAAGCTTTGTAATCTCCGAGATCACTCTATCGAGCCGTTCTGTCACTTGGTGAGGCAACTCACTGCCCGGTCCCTCCGTGCCATCCCTCCAGATATCCCACGCCTGATCCTTGTCTAATCCGCGCTGTCTCCGCAAAGCTCGGATTTCCTGGGTGTAGAGGCCTTCGTAGTCGCCGTAGCCCCATTCCGCGATGTCGTCCGTCGTCTCAGTCTGGGATATCAGTCTGGCCTGGGCTTCCGAATCCGTCACTTGGTCTAGCAACAGCTCGAGGGTCCGTTTGGCCCGGACTCGAGGACTGCAGAAGACTTTGCCTATCCTTTTCGGATCAATGAGTCGACCGGACCCAAACACAACTGATGCTGTCTGCTGTACTCTGGCTTCGCCTTCGGGAAGTAGCGGAAGATCTGTTATTCCAGTATATCGGCCGTTGCGGGACCATTCCGTTTCACCTGTGCCGAAGGGTGGTCAATATAAGAATAAGTTTGTAGACCTGAAAGTGGTTCAAGATTTTGCGGGGGTCAAGACATGCGGCCTTAAAAATGATAGGTCTGCTTTCTTTGTCTTACCATGCCTCATCAAGAATACACGTGGACTGGACGCATCTTTGTCCGACATCTTCAAAGGGGGCAGGATGCGACAACCGCAACTGTCGAGAATTCCAACTATTTTCTTATCGTAGATGCGCCAAAACGCTTTGTTGGGTGGGGTTGGTTAGACTTGGTCGGGACGCTGAACACAGCTACAATCCAGAATATTGATTGAATAGTACTTCTGGAGATTCACATAAAAGACAAGCGTACAGACAATATCAAACAAACCCAGTGCGAGCCATATGGTAGTGGTGATGATAGGGAAAAATTTCATGCCCAACAAAAAAACCCAATCGGCCATGGTCTGGGCAGCATGATCTCTGATGGTTGGGATCCGAGCCATTCACAACGACAGCGCACAATCCACCTGCTCCAGTCTAGTGGGTCATCCTCTTCGTGGGATGATTACACATTTGCGCACTAATAAAGAAGTTGATACTGAGGATAAAATGATAATATCTCAATCGAATATCCTTTAGAAGACGGCGACAAAGTTGCAAATATCAGACCAGCGGAGAAATAGCATTTAGGCTTTTTTTTGAGGGCACGTTCAAAACGCAAAGTTTGTGGGACCGGGGGTTTTCTGCATATCACCATTAATAAAATGACGAGCCTTTGTCGTTCTTGCCAGGGTGTCAAGTGTAGATTGACTTTTCGGTTCCTTGGATGCTTTCCAGGATCCTGGAAAAGCCACTCCCGCTTCCTCGGGAAGCATATGTACGAAGTGACGGCAATGGGCTCGAAGAAGCAAATTCGCAGATCGCTTCCCGTTTGGATTGGTGATGCGCTTTGACCTGGGAGCTATTGCCCATCCATGGGTTCGCCATTCTCTCCTGAGTGTTATACTGTTATACAAATCTTAAGAACGAGTCATGATTGGAGAGTAAGGAAATTTCGCATTCAAAACAACACATGCCATTGTATGTAGTCGAGGTAGATGCAAGAAGAATATTAGCTCCAGTGAAAGCAGGTCGGGCCGCCATTTCCAAAGTTGTGTCAATAATATGCTGACCATGTCTCCCAACGCCCCAATGCATCCTGCTATGCTATGCTAAAAGCCGGCGAAAATTATCGAGACAGCAAACACTTATCGGGGGTCATTCCAGTCATTCATAAAGTCGAGAAACCTCTCCGTCAAGTACTGACAACTTTGTCGCTCATCCAGGTCTTGCCGTTCGCTTCTTCCTCCACGGGAAAGACCTGTCGTTGTTGGTTAGTATAGAATTCAAAGATAGATGTTGGATCGTTCCAGGCGACACATACCTCGCGAAAATATTCCTCTAGACCCCTGTATCCTTCCCAGAGCCCACGCGCCTCGTCTGTCAGCTTTCCAGCCTTGCCCTTTGACGAACGAGAATCTTGGCCTTTGTTGGTCGAGCTGTGGTTGTTTCTGGGCCCGATGGTATCATTGCTGCCCTTGCGTTTCGAATAGTAGGCAAAATCCGGGCCGGGAAAATACGGAGCGTTGTATTTCCCAAACAACACTTCGAGAGCGGCTAGTTGTTGTCGGTACCCGTTCGGGACGGGGACCGTGACCTCGATCTTGGGATCGTAAACATAGTGGCATGGTCGCTCGATGGCGCGTTCTGCTGCTTGGCAAACTTGGATGGGTGTCAGGTTTTCGAATGCCAGTGCTATTCTGGCGATGGGGGAAACAGCGTTAGTGAGATCTTAACCTCCTTGATCGGTTCGACTTTGGGCAGATTTCCAGTGGAGGGACATACAAAAGTATGGCTCAAAGGCATTCTTAACAAGCAGGGAGTTGCAGCTAGCTTACCTGTGACCGTTCCATTTGCTTGGCCCATCTTTGAGAATTTGTAGAACAGCCGGTCCCACATCGTGCTCTGCATCTAACCAGGGTAATTTGGTATCTGGATGGAAAGGAGCTCGCCACTCGATAGTATCGTCGTCCTTGAAGTTGAGACAGAATAAGGGGTATGGCAGACTGGTGAAGTTGTTGTTGTAGATACCTGCATAAACGAAGGTCGCCGGTAGACCAAGCTGGCGGATATAGTTCTCGACGGTGAATTTACAACCCCACATGGGTAGTACTGGCCAATTCGGATCATGTATCGAATGGTCTGGCATACTGCTATAAATGAAGTGCTGTATATTGCGCTTCTTGGCCGCATTCGCTAATGCCTTGCCAATTTTGACCTCATCGCCGGCCAGCGGATTAGTGTTGATGAAGGCCAGATGAGCGCCATCGAAGATGGTGTCGATCAAGACTTGGTTGTTTAGCAAGTGACCCTCAAATATCGTCACATTTGGTAGGGCAGCCAGCTCCTCCGCTACTAAACCCTCGGATGAGTAGACTTGCGCACGCACCGCATAGCCAACGGCACTCACCGTGCGAATTAATGAGGCAGCCTGACGACCAGTACCATTGACGATGGCTATGGTCTTTTTCGAATTTGGCATGTGGCGAAGATGTGCCGGGTCGACTTGATGGTCAAGGCTGAGTGAGCACTGAAGCGCGAGGGAGATATTCCTGGGTAATATGAATTGGAGAAAGGTCGGATATGGGACGGAGTTCAATGGGTCGACAAATGATCCAAACTTTGAGGGAAATAGTAGTGACAGTTGACAGGAATGAGAAACAAAAGACGTAAAGACCAGGAAATATCACACCATGAGGTCGGGACCTGTAAGTGTTGGGACCAGCAAACGAATACTAGTATTAGATGACAAGTCGAAATGGCATCAATCCACAAAGAGCAATAAAATGAATGGATTTTGTGCCGTAATTCGGGCCCATTCGAGGACCCTTGAGTGCGCAAATTCTGCAAAGATACTCCAAAAAAGGTCAGTTACCGCCAAACCAGATGCAGCTTATTCTTTACGTAACCAGAGTTGGTGAAAGACTGGTAGTGGCGGGGTGCTGGGACCACGTTGAGCACGACACTGGCACCTGCAATGTTCCGACCAGGCTTGAGCCAACTCAAGGGAGCCCAAGGGAAGCCAGAGGACCACCAACATGGAGCCTACCAACGACCCGGGCTGGACTTAGCGATGAGTATCGCACAACACAACATTTAAAGATGCGATGACGCTATACTTTTAGTCGGTCAGCGCCGGAGCTCAGGCACATTCGAACCTTAATAATATTGAAGTAGGGATTCAAATGCGGGGGTGTTGTGGTTGTCCAAGCGCGGGGAGATTGCTGGTTTCGGCCTCGTAAGGAAAACTGGTTTCATCAGCCTGAGGCTTGAACATGCTAGGTGAAGGGTATCCCTAGACGGCCTGCAGCCAGCATAGTCGTCCAGTCTCTGGATGAACAAGCCGCATCACTGCCCAGTGGTCGCAGATGATGTGGATGAACGACTTGCTTGTGTTGGCCCTTTCGATTCTTGGTTGGGATCCACCGATGATTTTGAGGGTGGCCCTTTCATTGGAGGCAGGCCTACCAGGTCATCAACCACAAGCCGGGCAACGCAAATCCACACTATGGACTTCTCCGCGGCCCATCTTGATCTACCCGGTGAGTCGGTTTTTGTGTGTGAAATTCTCATCAGCCTGGAGGGGGAACACTCAGCCGGGTTGGCCTACATGCCGGTTACCACTGACACCCACCTGCCTGCAGTAAGACTGACGATATGACTCAAGGTTGGTCTCTGCCGCATGTGCTTCATGGTAGGGCGTACCAACCAATGGACCAACGGTACTTGCCAGTGAGTGCAATAATTCGCCACGTGCGTGCCTCAAAATCTCACACCAGACTCGGAATTGCAACAGCCGTCGGAGCCGAATGGGCTCGACGATTGTCAACTTCACGTTGCCAGTCGCCAGTCGCTGCCGGTGACTTAAGCACTTTTGACAAGGCACGGATAGGAGATTGCTTAGTGTGGAACCCTTCTTCACATATTGGCAAACGACCGTCGGGACTGGGACTGGCAACCCACGTGGGTTCGGTCAATGCTTTCAAGTGCCTTCTAATCCTGTTGCATTCCAGATTTCGGGCCTTTGGCTTGCGTGCAACCTCGCAGTATCCAATTCTTCTGCATGAAGATGTGCTCCCGCCTGACGGAGCAGCATCACATGAGGGAGCAAGCCTGCATTTGCAGCTAGAAAGAGCGGTGTCCTCCCAGACCCAGTATGATTTCGAAGGTGAACGGATGCACCTAGGCGAAGGAGGAACCGAAGCACCGCAAGGCTCGGCCCCGTGGCAGCTAAGTGGATGGGTGCATTTCCCGAATAGTCCGCACGATTTATGAGTTGATTATCGTTGTGCAACAGGTCTTTGACTTTTTCAATATCGCCACTAGCGATCGCATATGCGATGGCGGTGAGTTGAGTAATTGGCGATGAGAGCTCTCCGGTAGGGTGACTGAAGATTGTGCCCGCGTTCTCAGTCAATTCGCCCCGTATCGACCTGGCCATATCTTTGGCGACAGATTCTTGCGTTGCCCCTGGAAGAGCAAGAAGATACGATAGCTTGGTCAGAGCTGCCTCGGTCGTCATATCGCCACCTGCCACAACTCCAGCACGCCCAAGAACCATACCAGGCGCATAAAGTGGGTTTACACTGCCAGTCAAACACTGAGTGATATTGACGATCACAATCCCACGCTGCACGGCTTCGGCGATAACCTGTGTAAGCTTGTTATCGTGACCACTAGGCGCATTTCCAGCGCCAAAAGTCTCCAAAACCAGCCCACGGAGGTCCTCCGTTCGCAAGACGGCCTCGACCATCTTGGGTTTGATGCCGGGGAATATTCGTAGGCAAGCAACATAATGGATGTGGAGATCCTTCTGAATACTGAACGGCTGTAGTATGGTGGACCTGGTCACCAGATTCCATGCAACATGGGTATCCATTGCAGTGATGGTGGCAAGAGGTGGAAGATTGGGTGATGCGAAAGCGTCAAAGGCACTTGCAGAGATCTTTGTCGTCCTGTTTCCTCGAAACAGGGTCGAGTTGAAGCATAGGCACACTTCCGGGACCATGAAATGGCCAGCTATGTCCATCGAGTCAAGCAAGTTCTCGAGAGCGTCGTTCTTTCTCTCCGAAAACGGAACCTGGGAACCTTTACTGGATCAGCCCGAGTCCTGTCTCCTACCGCGAATGATTACAATACCTACCAGTAACAATCACTGGCTTGCCCAAGTTCTGCAGCATAAAGCTTAAGGCCGAACAAGTGTAAGCTAGACTGTCCGTACCGTGGAGGACAACAAATCCATCGAACAACCTGTAGTTGCGAAAGATCGTCTGCGCAATCTCCGCCCAACCCTTGCTGTCGATGGATGACGAATCTAGTAGCTCTTCAAACTCTAGAACTGCATATCTAGGTGGAGTGAGCAATGTTTGCAAACACCGATGGGCCTCCCGATCATAACAAGCATTTGTATTCTGGCTTGAGATCGGACTAGGTCATCGCGAGTTGGACTGACCTGATGCGTTTCCCGTAGACACTCGTTGGAGTACGGAGACTGTGAAGCTCGCCCATTCCGTCGGCACCGTCGTGAAACCTTACCTCAATGGGTTCATGTGGCTCCCCATCATTGAACTCTGGTCTTGGAGCCATGCAGCGTTCCAGGAAGTTCCGAGCTGGTACCAGGCCATTTGGTGACTTTTGCATACAAATGGTACCTCCGGTCATGACAATCAATACACGAGCTTCGGGGGTATGTCCCATCGACATGGTGCTCGTCACTAGTTAGGGACAAATCAACAAATCGTTCCAGCATAGATTGAGTGGCACGAACTCCTTGTCAGTAAGCTTAGTGGCTCATCGTTTGGGTCTAAATCACATTGGAATGAGCCACAAATTTGATCATCGCAACATGGATAAACTTACCAGCCATGTTTGTATCGAAGAATTAGACAATGATAGGCTTGCGTAGAGGATTCAGGTCACGGTCTGAATTTCCGGAGTCGATTATATAGTAGATTCCCTTCAACTCAACAGCTGGCTGGATCGAAAAATTTGTTGTTGTAGGCGCACTACTCCGGTTGGCATAAAGACTCGCATGCAAAGTCTAAGGGGAGTAGGCAGTCCCCACAATCCAATCGGATAGCTGGCTGAGACTCAAAGATTGCCTCCCTCGTGCTGATGAGCTTCAAGTTTCTTCTGCAGCGCAACCTTGTCCCCAGGAAAATTTTCAATGCGACATCTGCAGGACATCAATGCAGCGCTAGAGCAAAAGAAGTCTTCTAGTAGCTGTACTTGCAGACTGGAACGATATGCAGGCACCGGCCGATCACTTACCTACCGACATAAGCGACTGTACTCCAAAGAGAGGACCAGGATAGGGGGTTCCATTAGGTATGTGTCGAGGTGGGAGGAGGATGGCTAAGGACAATTCAACCCCTTCCATCTGTTATTGCCAAAGCCCGGGGGCGCCCAACGATGCCCAATCGGCTGCCCAATTTCCATTTCGAGTTAGGCATTCGCAAGCATCTGGCATTTCGTTCGTTAACCTTCTTACCTTTCTACCACCTCAGACTTTTGCTATAAATCCTTCTCACACAAATCATGCACCAGCAGCCTGTCCACATCTCTCATTATTAGTTAGAAATTTCTCAGCAATACTCTATACTCTTGAATCAGCCAACACTGGGACCAATCTTCTGGTGTCGTGCGATTTCTCTGCCACAGAAAGCGGATAGTCGGTTTGTTCACGGAGCAAAGCTTGCTATGGGCCTGGATCTCACTCCCACTCCACGTGCTGGGTGTCAAGCAAGGGACATGACCCCTTGTGCGGACCTCAAAAGGAATCCAATGCTGGCCGTTGAAAAGTTTCGGTCCAATAATGTAGCTTGAGCAACCTTCTAGGATGATGCTGAGCAACGTCGGAGATTGGCTCGCGGCAACTTACAGCAGCATGACAAAGAACAGTGAACCCACACGTGCAACACCAACGGTAGGAAGATGAGTGAAGACAGGAAAAGCCAAGGCAGCCAGCAGGAATTTCGATTTCATCTGGGTGCTCAATCTTGGTGCATCGATTACCACCAAGAAGAAGCTTGACCACCCAAGCTCAGCTACTACCCCATGATGCAAACATTTCACAGTCGGCTGTAAGATGAAAAGTTGAAATTGAGGGGTCTTGTAGGTCGAGCATTCTTGTGAGTGGGAGATTTGTGCCCTTGGCTGAGTGAACATATATCAGCAGATGGTGACCGAGAATGGTGGTTCGGCTTGTCATCCAACATACAACATATCTCAGTGGTGGACAAGGGCATTCCGAGCTCTCCCAACAAGTCAAATGCACTCGGCAGAACAACCAACATGGCTTGATGGAAGAGATATCCTGCTAGATTGAGCGAAGGGGATTGTAGGCCAGTCCAGATCCTGGCACTTTCTCGAAAGCCACAGCGACTCATAGTGTTCGGCACTGAAGGCTTGCAAAGCGCTGGCAATTGCTTTTAGAAGCGCGAGGTTCTATGTGCAAGCAGACAATTGGAGAGTTCCAAGAGCACCGTCTGCATCTGTGCCGGACTGCAGCCCAAGACGAAAGTGGTCCCTTGACGAGATACACCAGGTGAATTCCCAATACGAGGAAGCGACATCGCCACTTGGAAAGACAGTGAAAAGATAGTGAAGCGGTAAGTGATCCCATCGAACTCGGAGTCGTCGTCGTCATGGCGACTTTGACTTTGAGTTTAGTACGCAAAGACTGATGTAGAGCCAGCAAAAGCACACCAAACGTACATTCTACAGGCAAACGCGTCTTGCTCTCACGACTCAGGAACGGCGCGGTTATTAAAAGAAGCGGTGCAATTTCTTGAGTTGGGAACGCCGCAGTCAAACCTCAACTTGAAGGTGACGCATCTTCTGGTGACATCTTCAACCTCACCTTCACCTTCAACTTGGCTCCTTCTCCCAACGTCGCGGTTTGTGACTGCGACCCTGACTCTCCCCTTTTCACTTCCTTACAACTCCCCCTTCACAACCTCATCACCGCGATCGAACTGTCGCAATCCTCAATTCTTAAGTCTTGACCTCGCGTCTTTAATCCACTTGATTATTGACACACGCAACCTTGACTCTCTGCCCACCTCGTCTCATCACCTGATATTCATTCTTTTCCAACCGCACCCGTCTTTCAACTCTCAAAACATCACGCACACTCCTTTGGTTCCTCAATCTTCATTCTATCAGCATCTTCATCCTTTCGGTCACCCGCTGGTTCGTTCGTTCGTCCGTCCCTTCATTCGTTCAAACCACAGCCTTCGTTCTTCAGTAGATCTGAACCGCCACTCCCGACATCTGAACGCGACCTCAAGATTCTCCAACGTCTACATCCTAAATCCTCAATTCCTCAACCAAATCCACCGCAGGCCCGCCTTACACGCGTACCACCCCTCAAGACATCCTCAAAGTTCGACCAAACTCCTCCATCATCCCTCCTCTCCAACTCAGACCGTCATCCTGTTACAACAAAAGACGCCTTTCCCTCTCCCCCAATGGCCACTCCTGGTGTCAAGATGAAATTATCTGCTGCCAAGACAATCATGTTGCTTCTTGTTGCTCTCATGACTGTTCCGGTCCAAGGTTTCTGGCGTCACCTGTGCTTTGGAGAATTGGGAACTGGACGTGTTGACCCGATCATGGCTCCTGGTACACCCTCTGGACATGCTCATGTCCTCTTCGGCGCTTCAAGTCAGTAGCCATCACCTGATCTTCCCAGCTCTTGCTCACTTGCTAACACATTATAGACCTGGGCCTCGATCCGACCATTGATGAATTGCTGAACTCGAATTGTACCAGCTGCTCCATTGTTCAAGACAAGTCTGCATACTGGGCTCCTCGCATGTATTTCCAACATGGCAATGGCACCTTCGAAACGGTCTCTACAGTTGGTGGCATGACTGTGTAAGTTGCTTTGAAGAGCCATGCTTTTATCTTTATCACTAACAGCTCCAGTTATTATTTCACTGAAGGACCAGGTGACGGCATGCCTACAGTTGCATTCCCTCAGAACTTCCGTATGATCGCTGGAGATGCCATGAAGCGCTCGTTCTATGGCGCTATCCCTGACCCGCCAATGTCCGAATGGAAGGATAGCGACAAAACTCAGCAGGCTTTGATGGAAAAGGCTATTGGATTCAATTGTCTACATTATAGCGCCGGCGCTAATGAGGGCTCCATTGAACACCACGGCCTTCGAAATAAGACCTTCATTGATTCCACCTGTACCGACGGCGTACGAGCTGAACTGATGTTCCCATCTTGTTGGAACGGCCAAGATCTCGACAGTCATAACCATACCACTCATGTTTCTTACCCTGACCAGATCAAGTATGGCAATTGTCCAGAAGGTTATCCTGTTAGGCTGCCAACTCTGTTCTATGAGACCATCTACAACACTCCCGCTTTCAAAGACGTCGATGGCATGTTCGTCCTCTCAAATGGTGATCCAACTGGGTATGGCTATCATGGTGACTTTATTTGTGGCTGGGAAGAAGGTGTATTGGATAGTGCTATCAACCACCCTGGTTGTACCGGAACACCAGGCGATCCAGGTTCGGGCCTCCAGGAGAGTTGTCCAGTTTTCAAGCTTCAAAGCAGTTATGACGCAACTCAATGCAAGATGGAAGTTCCCGAAGCTCTGCAGAACGAACTGGTCGACTTTGCACCCGCCCTACCTGGCAATGTCTTGATTCAGGCTGGTCCTGAGCGTGCAGTGATGCCTAGCCACCCAGCGGCATCATCAAGCGAGAGCCTCCCGTCGACCAGTGGATCAAAGTCTCCCACTTTGCCTATTGCCACTACCACAGCAACTTCTTCATCCGCCGGACCGACACAACCTGAAGTTACAAATCCTGTGACCGCTACCAATTCCGATCCCAACACTGATCACATCATCAGTACCAGCACTATGTACATGAGTGATGGTGTCGAAATCGATGTGATTCTTATTGAAGAAATCGTCACGGTGACAACTGTGGAGACTGTCCCAGCAATTGAAGTTCGCAAGGCTCATTTACATCGCCATAGGTACAAGGTCTGACTGGATTGAATCTAGTGAGGGTGGTTATACGCCCCTGTGACCTGCCTAAATGGCATATCGGGTATCCAGGCGACCCCAAATATGTCTTGGAAATGATGACACGAAATTTTCACGCCGGATGAAACAAAAGCCAGGTGCTTTAACGATGTTGACGAGTTAATTGTACTGCGATTTGCATTGAAATGATTGGGAGGATGAATCAACCTAGGGAAGCGCGAAATGTTACCTAGCCAGCTCCATACCAGACACATTTCTGTGAGCTGATAGTTGATGAAAGATGATACAATAGCATAAGCTCTGACTCTAATATGTCACTGACTTGTTGTACTTGATCAATGAGAAGGATAGTTTCAAATTGCGCTGTTCTTAGATTTTTGTGGTCTGATTCCTACAAACATTGCCTAAATGCCGCTCGTGTTCGTGGGACTTATAGCTAACCATGTCCCTGATATGCAGTGCTCTGCAGTCAGGCAGAACAAGGCTGAGACACCAGTGAGAAGAACTTGAACGAGTCAATTGTCGGCCAATTATTTCACCCCAGATTTAATGTGGGAACCACTGCAACTGCACTGGGCAGCCGAACCGAACCGTGCACGCCGAGACTTAAGACCTCAATCCAATCCAACAAAGCATTGAGATTATCTACCTCACTCATTATCGACGCAACTGAAGATACGATAAAAATTCGAACTGTTGATCACGCATCTTGGCGGCGTCCAGTGAGTGATAGGTTTTCTAGGTAAATATTGATAATTGCATCCGATTCCAACCGTCGATCCATCCACACATCGCTTCACCCACGACATCAGACCCGGCAGTGCCCTGTCTCCAGTACCTAGTTGAACCAGCCGGCCCAAAACCATGTCGTCTCACAACACGAACACGACGAAGAAAGACGCGGCGGCCATCATCGCGGGGGCGTCCCGGCACAAAGCGCCCGCGGCCAACGCCAACAACTACAGCCAGCACCCGGCGCGCCAGCTGTGGTGCGACACGCAGTGGGCGAACCTCAGCATGCAGGCCAAGAAGCTCGAGCTGCCGGAGCTGCCGTACTTCGACCCGGAGACCATGCTGCTCAGCAAGGAGGTCAACGATAAGCTGTGGACGCAACTGGTATGTGTGTGTGTGTGCTTCGTTTTGTTCTTTTCAGTTGTTGTGTTTTTGGTTGCCGCAGGCCCAAGGAAGCTAAATGTAATGCAAATGCGACATAGAAACGCCTGTTTGACTATCTCGGCCCGGAAAAGGCGCCGTTCGCAACGCCCGTCATGGGCGAGCGCGGCGTCGTCAAGTGGCATAGTTTCCTCAACAATGACCGCGGCGATGAGGCCGAGGTCTACGATTCCGTCGTCGATGCCTTCATGAGTAATGCCAAGAAGCGCGGTGAATACTTGAAGGACAAGTGACGCACTCCACACACTGTCGATGTGGCTTTTGGGTTGGTTGCCAGGGCAAGTCAACCATGGAGAGCTCGGTCTTTGGAATGGTGACTAGTTAGGTAGTCAAATGGGTTGGGTTATGGGACAAGGGAGGCGCTGCTGCTTGTGAAGCGGCGGGTGGGTGAGTGTGTGGTTGACTTTGCTCACTGTGATTCCCTTGCAAATACTGCAGGTGAACATCATTTAGGAGTAAGCGAGAATACGGGAGGAAAAGCTACTCTCTCTACTATTTCTACTGCATTCTCCCTGGCAGGGTTGAACTTGATATGGTCACTATAGTCTGCAGGCAATGCTAAGAGCAATGATAAAATCAGAATCAATCCACTTTGTGCGCCGGTCCTGAACTTTTGCCACGATATGCCCGACTTCCACCATGACTTGCACCCAAACAAAAATAGCTGATGATTCATCCAATGTGCCATGCGCTCCGAATGACTTCATTCATCTTCCCTTGTAATGTTTGAGACCGGGTGATCTGAATGGGTCGTTCATTGTACTGGAGTTGCTGTCGACTGTTCTGTCGCTTACACATTATTCGTTGTAGGTTGATTCGTGGGAACGCCAAACGATCTGCTTCCATCTGACCGGCCTAGATCTTGCGGCTAACGCTGCTGTGATATGATGTGCCATTCTTGAAACCCGAGGTTTGTCACACGGGTGGATTCCAATGTTGGCGACAGTGTTCATCGCAACGGATTGGCCGTCCATGCTAAGAAAGTATGTCAGCATACTAGAAGGCCCCTCGTCCATTATACCGTGGAGAGATTCGTATCCATCACAGGTGCCCATCCATCCAGAAAATTCAGGCTCATCGGACTTGTGTCGAGCTCGGAGAAGTTGATCAGGTCTCCATTGGGAAAGGTATCCAGAAGTTCGGCGTCTAAGAATGGATGGAAGAATTGTTGCATTTGTTCAGCATACACATCTACAGGAGGGCATGTTTGTTCAGACGGGTTGTTGAATGGAACATATGGGACTGGCCCATCTGCAGGGGTTTGTTGGAGCTCGACAGGCATGGACATTAAGTGCCGACCATCATCATTCGGAGGCTCTTCTGCTCCTACAATGGCCTGTTGTGGAGTTGTATCTCTCGATGTTCGCGGACTGTCATCTTCTGCGTTTAGTTCTGTCGTCTCCTCCCCTTGCTTCAGGAAATGACCCTGTCGGGTCCAAAGAATTCTTGTGTGACCGAGAATAGAGTCCCGTGCTCGACGCCCACGTATGCGAACCCCCTTCAATTGGTTCGCATCCAGATATTTGGGCTCGTTTTCGAACCAGACCGGGTCCTTGGCGTGCATCTTGTAGATGTTGCGAAGGTGGACTTCCTGCTCATGGAGATTAGCTCGGACGCTTGGCATGAGAAAACCACGACGATCATACCAGAACACTTGCAAACTTCCAGTGCTTTGCTAATGCGTGAATCAGGCTAGCATTCGTTTTGACATTTGCATATGCCCTGTCTCTCACGTGTTGTTCGCGACACCACATGAATGGTATCTGGATAGCACATCCGCTGTATGCGGCATAAGCCAAAAAACTTGGAAATGCACTTGAATCGGAATAATTCTTAAGCGCGGCTTCAAATAAATTGGACGCCTCGCAGGCATGATCGAATGCAATGGTAGCGGAGAGACGGCGCGCAGTCGGCCAAGCGTCATCTTCCGAACTCCATGAGAAGAGCGGTATTATTGAGGCATGGAGCGCAGTCAAACATTGACGATAGACCGCATTCATCAGCAGGATCTTGGGAAATCCTCCCATTGATACAGCCGAAATATTACTAGCAGTAAGTTGGAACTGCAAAGGCAGTTTCGACCACCATTCTGTCACCTTTGAATCTAGGTTATAGATAGCCGAAATCCTGGTGGCAATTTTTGGCTCGGGGGTTCTGATCAGGTTAGACACTTCGTGCCTGTCTTAATCAGCGTGTTTGAAGACTATGACCGGGGTAATTTACCATAATGTAAGTGAGCGAATCAATTCCCCGTACAAACTTCCATTGTCCAACTCAAAATCCAGTGTAGCTTGCGGAGAGCTCAAGTGACCTCTTTCGAAGTCTTCCTCTGGCCACGGAAGAGGACATCTTCGAGTTTTCTCAGAGGGTTCATCTCCTACTGCGGATTCTGCGGCATGACAATTCATGAGATACTGAGCCCAAAAACGGCGCCTTGAAATCTCTGACTTCAAGCTGGTAGTATTTTGGTGCTCGCCAGTTCCAAGACCCAAAAGGTTCACTATAAGTGCCGCATTGCCTGTGATAATGATCAGATTGGAAAACATCTTCTACAAATGATGCGAAAATACCTTTGTGAACATAGCACCTTCGCCATTGGCCTCGACCGTACCAGAAAAGAGCGAGATTCATGAGAGTGACAACGTTGTCTTCATGGGGTGTCTCAATCTCCTGGAGAACAAGACTACTGGCGCGCTCTGCCCACTCTATGCAGAAACCATTATCGACCAGCGAAGTCTGGTTGTTTGCGTCCCGGTAAAAGCTGGTTACAAATCAGCAAGAAGCCTCTAGCAGAAGATAGGACATATCCCGCACACAGCAGCAAAAGCGCAGACACTCAACACGAGGTGGTGTCGAGCAGTTCCTCCCGCAAGCGACTGCAGAAAGTCACTTTTTCTCAGGAGAAGGGAAGAATTATAGATGTGGGAAAAGAAGACATCAATCAAGTTCGATAAAAGCGCCCTTGGAATGCCGAGATAACTCTCCTGGGTCGGCGGCCTAGGAGGCAATTGTCCAAAGTGCTGTGCCTCGACGTAAGAGTTGGTCGACGGATTTGAAGTGGTCGCCAAGGGCAAGTAATTCCCTTGTGTCGATTTTGAGGGAGGAGGCAATATTGCTCCTGTCGACTGTGAGACATCATGATTGGAAGTCGCGTCTGCGTAGATGCATGTCCTCCTCAAGCGAGCACATCTTTTGCAACTTGGCCTTTCATTGGAGCACCGCACCTTTTACCTATTAGTCAGGAAGAGTTGAGTATGAATGTCCAGGTATTGTCCGGCTTACCTTTTGGCTCTTACAGTGGCCACAAGCCTTGCGGGGACGACCTGAACCTGCTAGCATAAGGTTGAGGGACCATGAGACAGAAGTAGAAATGTAAGGTAGCAAAGTGATTTTGACTGGGATTGAATGCACAGCTTCCATGTCACTGGGGACAATCTGGGGTGCTTCGGAAAATGGGGAATCAGAATCCCGGGAAATCACGCTTTATCTAATTACGGTAGGTGTGGACAGGGGCTGGCTCATCCGAGAGCACACGCCTAGGGCATGGAGCTTCGACCAGCAAAATGCCCAGCCCTAAAGATTCCCACAGACCGCATACCATTTTATATAAATACTAGTCTCAGCTTCAGGAGTCATTTCCACTTGTGCATCATCCCTCAAGACTGTAGGACCACTCTTATCGAGGTATACTTACCGTTCCTGGACGATGTGGGCATAGGTACTTTCACTTGTTCTTCGATCAGAGGCCTTAATGAAACCGTGGATGAGGCACTCGCTGACTCGAGCTTTCCCGAGTATATTCGGGAAATCATGGGATCAAGATGGGAAGTGGCTCCATGCACACAGGTGCGAGAAGTTGGATTAGACCTGATTCCCATGAGGTTGGCAGTATCTATTGTATGACTGTTGGTGTACCCACTGAACTTCCAAAGGGATATGGAGAAACGATTGAATCTTGAATCTTGAATCAAGAGAACAGATTGCTGGCTTTTGTCTCCAGCAATCGTGATCACCCAAGGGAGGTTGCAGCGCTCAGGAGCGCTCCACCTCGTCTCGTGCAATCAAGTGCTCAAAGAAATGCAAAATGGCAGGCACACTTACGAAGTACAGCGAGCACATACTGTGAAAAGTGAAGTTCCGCATGTGGCTCCCCGTTCGACCACTATTTCTTAAACATATGAGTACCATCAAAAAAAGATGACGCGTTTCATTGATGAGAGATCACGAATTTGAATCATGTCCAAGGAGATCTGAAATGGCGCAGTAGAGTTTGGACCTTCCTGATCAGTCTAAGGTTTGATAGTCCAGGCCACAACCAGGCCAAAGCTGCCCAAGGACCAGCCCGCCGGAGAGTTGTCGTGTGTAGGTGGTCGAGACATGCCAATGAGACAACATGTTGCGACAAGCATGTCGACCTCCAGTACTTTTTACCGTGATGGTTGGGCAATTGAGGCGAGTCAGTCGGTCCATGATGATCAGCGAAAACCCCTAGCACATAAAGTTTGACCCCCAAATGGAAGAGCAGCTCACCTGCGACATCAAATCTCAGGTTTCAGGCTGGATTAGGCTTGTAGTCAGCACCGACAAGTTGCACTGCCACTGTCGGGCACGGATAGGCTGGATGATGGTTGGAATAGGGAGCAGGGTGCCCTTGCCTAAGTGAGAACTAGGTCCGCTGTCTTCTGAATGACCTGTGCGTGTTCAGGTGGGCATCCTTACGTAGGTGGCCATTGCCATCACCAATATGGGTGAGAAGTGGCCGAGGGCGCCAAAGGAAATGGGGGTCCTAGTACATTTGCTTCTCAAACTGTTATTCTCCATCAATCTGACGATGCAGACGATGAAGGGCTGTAATGAAGAGAATGACCCTGCTCCGTATGCAAGTTCCCACAAACGGCAAGAGGACGGACGGCAGAGCAGAACAGAGAGCAAATCGCTAATTCCCAGTAGCCCGTTTCGAGGTACTTTTGTGAGTCCGAGGAATCAGGAATCGCGTGGTCCCACCATTTTAGTGACTTTGAGGTTGGATGGACTCTCGGTAAGAGCTGACACGGGGGGTAAGGGTCGTGCTTTTGGCCTTTTGGCCTTTTGACCTTTTGACCTTGCCATTGCCAGTGAATGAGGTCTTTCATACCCAGTAACCAGCCTGGGAGTGACTGGGTATCCCCACCTGCTCAGCACGATGTCCCATGTCCACCTGTGACCTGCATTTAAACACTGGCACCTCTAATACAGATTAACGGGGTTCTTAATTACAACGAGGCCCTCGACCCTCTTTTCCTTCGCACGCCACTGTCTCTGTTTTCCAGAACTTCCATCGACCCCGTGGTCTCAACTTTGACGCCGGGTGTAATCCCCCAGCCAAGCCTAGCTAACTAGAGCCGCCTAATCAGTTGTTCAGCTGCCACTACCGACGACTCACGACTTCAACTTCCAGCACGACTTCCTTCAGGCAAACCATCACACTCCGAGTAGCAACAGCAATACCCACGCCTTCGTAAGAGCATCGACGCGACTATGCTCGGCGTCTGACCGTGGTACTGTCGTTCCTGTTCGGCTTTCATGTTTTGCACCCATTCTTCGACTCCTGTACATTCTAATTTCCAAGTCATTGACTTCAGCGCGGTGCGCGTGCACGAAGCAAACCCGTTCAAGTTGAGAAACTCAACTTTTCGTCGGGGCCACCGCCAGCCGTAGGATGCGATCGATTAGGATGCTTTAATTGAGCTGTACTTGAAACCCACACCAGCGCCTGTCCACCATGGTTTCACCCGATGCTTCCCCAATTGATCGGAAGGGAAGGCCTTCCAAACGTTCTTCCAACTCTTACACCAGCGAAGAATGGCGAAGGCATCGGCCACTGATCACCCAGCTGTATTTTGAAGAGGGCCGCACCTTGAAGGAGGTCGCAGAGTATCTGAAGCGGGAATTCAACTTTGCTCCCACGTAGGTCGACTTGTCATTGCTGCATTTATCTGCTGACCACCCCATTAGCGAACGCATGTACAAAAGCAGACTCCATAGTTGGGGACTCGACAAGAAGAAAAAGGAGCACGAAATGCTGGACTTGGTTCGGCAGGGTCTTCAGCAGAAAGGCGACGACAAGGATAAAGTGTTTCTCGTCAGAGGCAGACAAGTCACTCTGGCCGATGCCCTGCATTACTTCAATCGAAAGGGAATCAAAGACCCATCTAGTCTCTTGGAGAATGTAGACCCGACCGGAGAGCTGTCTTCCCCGGAGGATGCTGAAGCCACGACCCCCTTGTCATCTCATGCCGATATGCTCGACACCCACTATCCCGATGGTGGCGACTATGAGATGACCCGAAGTCCCATGGATGTTGATGATGCCAACAAGTCAGGTTTCCTGACTTCGCTAAACCCCTCCGACATTGCCGAGAATTGTCTTGAAGCCCTCCAGACAGCTTTGAATATACCCATGCTTTCGCCAATCCCTCCCTTTCGGACGCTCTCAGTCGAAGCATCTGTTGCCCCATCGAACGCGTCGGCTGCAGATCAGCGCTATCTGGATACTATTTTCCTCAACCTCAAGAGTCATTATGTTCGACTGTTTGAGGCCCGGAATTTGTCAATCAGCAACACCACGGGTACCTGGACCGCAACGTCGGACGATGCAGTCGCTGACCGATTTTACTACTCCATGTATCATGGTTATTCATTCCTATGGGATGGTCAGAGGGATAAGGCTTTTGAGAATTTTTACAAGGCCTTTGCGCTCATCGAAGGACTGCTCAAAGATGATCACGTTGGTTTCATGATCTACATTTTTGATTTGATTATTCGCCACGACGGTACTGGATACGAAGAACCTTTGCTCATGCTTCTACAGCATCTAGGAGACCTGGCCAAAGCGGTGTCCGAGTCAGATCAGCACCCCATCTATCTTGTGGCCACTTACATGAGTCAAGCTACCATATCTCGGGCCTGGCTGGCCGAATCCACACTCCGAAAATTGTTGGACTTTTTTCAAGATTCAATTGGCTACTTTCACCCCGAGACGATAGCTTTACTTCAAACCTTTGCAACCTGTCTTTTGAATCGGAAATGGTATGCGGAAGCTGCAATTCGATTCCAGCAGCTTGTCGACGCTTTTGAGACTACTATGAGCAAACAGTGTTATGAAGTGTGTTACGCATTGAGGTCTACCTCGGAGGCCTACTTCCATCTCGAAAATTATAAAGAGTCACTTCAGGCATTGAAAACGGCCCTAGAACGAGCAGAATCACTTCCCAGAATGGAGGAGAGAGAGATTTATGTTCGCTGCCTGAGAGCTATGGCCGAAATTTCCAACAAACTCGGCCGCAAACAAGAAGCCAACGAAACCATGCAGCATGTGGTCGACATCTGTAGAGATGCCTGGGGGCCCGAACATCCATTCACCAATCGAGCCAAGATGCACCTCAAGTCAATACTCAAGGGAGATGCTACTGGAGAATCTGCAATCCCACCAATGGTTTATAGACTTGGTCGTGGAGGAAATGCGGCCAAATACATATGGATATCCCGATCTAGCCCGACTCGTCTACAAGCCTGAGGTGGTTATAATATATGTTGGAGATGTTAACGCAATTCCAGCGGTTCTCCCGCTCAAACAATTTTTGCAATCTGAAATCCCTTCAAACAGTCGAGAAGGTTTCCTACGAGTTCTGCGGAACAGCATCGATGTACACTCAGATTTGACACTAAACAGTCGACAAGCAACCGCTACGACCGCCGGCCTCGATCACGAAATGGGATAACCACAAATGACGGCTCCGAACGGATCCCCTCAAAACTGGATTCGAGTCTTCATTCCTGGCAAGCCTAGTTCATAGGCTCTGGCTGCGAGTTCGGCCATTAGACAGACCTCCGGCTTCAGATCTCGAGCTGGGAGGTGACGATATCGTGCCACAGTGAGCACAACTGTACACGGTTCATCTGGGAGAAAAGGGGGTTTCGACAATAGGGTTAGGATCACTCGGCTGGGAAGGGTAAGCCCCGTCAAGGCCTCAATCGATGATGCTATTTGGTCTTGGTGAAGATTTCGCATCACGAGCAACTACCCATTGCGTGAAGCACGAGTTGGAAGTCCCGGTGTGGCTTTCTGAAGGGCGCCGGACTTGAGGAGCCCAGGAATCAAGAGCCGACTTTGTTGAGTCGGCACCTGGCATGTACCCAAGCATCGTAACACGGCACTGGGGCGCACAGACCTAAACACCTAGGGTGGCATGGAATCAGAAAACTAGGCGGGATTAAAGCATTGTCCCAATGCTACCATCTGCACCTTTGCTGTTAGCGCCCGTGGGTTTACTGCAGGTGCCATTTCTGGTGCCTCAACCGCCTCGAGTCCCAAAAGGCTCTTTGGCACCTACTCATGCCTAGATTAGCTCTCCTCGTTCAAGGTGGTAACCGAAGAATAACATCTCAAATCCCACCACAGCGAAGTGGGAGGCCTTTGGATGATGCCATGATTTTCGTTTCAATGGATCACGGATCTCGAACTCCGGGGATCTCGAGTCGTGCAGCATGCTCTGTGATAATCTCGTTCTTGGGACGACACAGGAAAAACCCTGTGAGATTTATACTTTCGAAGAACGGACGGGACCCCAGAGGCTCGAAGTCTGATTGTCCACGGTCCTGCCACATGGCGGCGATTTTCAGGTCTACCGAGTACTCTTACTCGGTATGCTTTGTGGCAGGAGTGATGATCTCAGCCTCCGAGTCCTTGGGCCCCTCACCCCTCGCCCCTCTCCCCAAAGTGGGAAGGCGAGTATTAATTAGGAGCCTTGGCCTTCAAGTTGAGGTATTCCGTAGAGGGGCAGAAATTCGTTCTCCCATCCCTAGTACACTCAGGCTCACCAGGGCAGCTGGGCAGTGCATGGCCGATGGAGTCCGCTACAATGATCGTGTGCTGTCTTTGTACGAACTCGCATGACCGACTCTTCGATCTGGTACGAATCACCATCCACCATTCGGACTTTGATGTGCCAGTGGCTTCCCCATCAGGGCCCAGGGGTGGGTAGGCGCGAAGATGGTCCCTGGTCCCCCTCATTCGGCAGCGGTCATCATCTCGTCCAGCTCGTCCGACTGGAAATTAATCGCCGCCGCTGGGCAGTGAAACACTTCCCACACCGCGACTCTGACCTTACATACCTAGGTATACAAACATTGTGCGTTCACCTCTGCATTCCGTTGAGTATCCTTACTTGGGTATCGAGCACATCAGTTTGAACCGGTTGTCTGCATCGATCGAAATCTCCTCAACATGGCCAGCGAAAAGTATTACATCAAGGACGCAATCACCAAGCCTGCGATCCACCACGAGTCCTACCAAAAACTATGGGAGACCAAGTGGAAGAAACCAGTATGTGCCGCGGTGCTCGCACTCTACCATCAAACACTATGCTCACCTGTTCCTCTTTTTCCAGTGCGAGATGGGCGTCTATCCGTTCATGTTCGGCAGTATCAAGGACTTTGAACCAGTTGCACAAGAGATCATCAAGGTATGAAGTCTGTTCCCCCTCCATTGGCTTAGCCCTTGGCTGATCTTCCAAAAGGCCGGATTGAAAGAACCTTACAACTGGGATGAATATGCCCCATACTACTTCCCCAAGGCCGAGGAATTGAGCCAAATTGCCGAGCAGGCCGAAAAGGCTGGGGAGAAAGAGAAGGCCTCGGAATACTATCTGTACGTTGTGACAGACTGCTATGAAGAGATATATGGCAGCTAACACTGGACCTAGGCGGAGTGCTGCTTTATACCGAATCTCTCGATTCCCCACGCCACGGTCGGAGAAGCAAAAATATGCTTGGGAAGTGGGAACTGAGACCTTTTACAAGGGCGCAGCGTGAGTCTCACGGAAAAGGCAGCGGGCAAGCACAAGCATTTCGGCTGACAACTGAGCGTCTAGACTCATGGAGCATCCCATCCGAGAAGTGCGGATTCCTCACAAACATGCAATTGAGGGCGAGGGCGATGTTGTCCCAGTCAATCTCCTGATTCCTCCTGGCGCGACGCCTGAAAAGCCAGCCCCAACCGTTCTGATCATCACTGGCCTCGATGGATATCGCACCGAATTGGCGGTCTGGCAACAAGGATTTTTACAAAAGGGCATTGCAACCGTGATCGCCGAAATCCCCGGTACTGGAGACTCACCGGCCGCGAGACAAGACCCTACGAGTCCAGACCGACAGTGGTCCAGCGTTTTGGACTGGATCGATACACAAAAGGCCATTGACAATAAGAAAATCATCGTCTGGGGATTCTCAACAGGTGGATACTACGCCCTGCGAATTGCGCACACCCACAAGGATCGGCTACTGGGGAGTGTGAGCTTGGGTGGAGGAGCACATCACATGTTCGACCGAGAATGGCTCGAAAATGTGAACAAGTTGGAATATCCATTCGATCTGGCCAACACGCTGACATACAAGTTCGGCTACCCAGACCTAGAGTCGTTCATACAAGAGGCGGGCAAATTCTCGTTGGTCAACGATGGAACGCTGGACAAGCCATGCACCAAGGTTCTCCTGGTCAATGGCAACGACGATGAAATCTTCCCGGTTGACGATTTGTTTGTGGCGCTGGAGCATGGTCTTCCCAAAGAAGCTCGGCTGGTCAAGGGCAAGAAGCACATGGGAGAGCCGGACAGCTTCTTCATCATTCTCAAATGGATCTATGCGCAGTTTGGCATTGAGGGTAACATCATGGATCAGATGAAGACTCTGCCCAGCAGAACCAAGTATTGAGTACCACTGGCCTTTGGTTCTGCAAGCCTCAAGTTGTTCGATGGAGAAGTGAATAGACATACATTAGAAGGAGTGGTCGCTGGTTGATCCGCCACCTTGACTGCCCATGATGATGATCCAGTGCTCTTTTTGTCTCGAAACATACATAAGTAATCGGCCCGTCATCTGCCAAAAGGTGAATACATTCCGGCGGGATCTCAACTTGAATGATGACGACAAGGCCATCCCGAGCGTGAATGCGGCCAAGGCAGGAGTCGGGGCTTCTTCTTGTCCGGTCACCAACGAAGGGCCCTGGGCACCGAAGGATTACTTAACGGGTTCGCGTGTCATGCTTAACTTACAAGTGGCATTCTGAACCTGCATTGGCGATCATTCTGCATCATGCGTTCCTCTTCCTTGGCCTCAACTAAAGTTAATTCTTGATTCATCTTCCACCAACGTGTCATCGTCACGGTGCTTGTGCCAGTGCATACCCTCGTTATTGACATTCTCGCGCTGGAATCATCACTACCTATCTTTCTTATCTGTATTCGTATTCATAATTCATTCTCGTGTAACGCGCATTTGCGCAACGTACTTGGCAAAGGTCCCCACCCCTTCGGCCATTCGACTTGGTCTGCATCTCGACCCGCGCTTTCCCGAGTCTCACGAGCAACCATACTTTCCAGCTCATCAGATTCGAGTTCATCATCTTGTACAACAGGGAAAGCTAAGCACACGCACCTGACTGCCAAGATCACTGCCGAGGATTGGAGACTTTCAGACTTTTCGCCGGGGATTGCCACTCTGTTTCATATTCATGTCTTCACCAAGAGCCTGACGACGCCTGAACTGTGCATGACCCGCCATTGAGCTCGCAGCGTGCCTCCAACGATGCCTATCGGTGTCCTTCGAAGACAGACCCTCGTGGACGAGACAGGAGGCTCCAGTGGAGAAAGCTCACGTCGACCTTCCCTCGCTGATGGGCCTCGAAAGTCCAGTATTGTCGGGCTGTCTTTGCGTTTGACCCGATCCAAAAGGACCAACTCGGTTCCAGATTCGACCTCAACTCTAGCAGGGTCAGTTTCCTTGCTACCAGGATATCTGGTTACTGACTATGACCCTAGATCAACATTGGGCGAGGCTTTACTATCTCTCCCCGATGAGATCATCACCCATATCGTCTGCCATCTCGCCAACAGCGACTTTCTGGCACTTCGACTTACCTCTCGTGCGGTCAATGCCATCTTGAAAGCCAATGCTGCTCAGATCACACGGGCCCTCCTTGCTCACAGTTTCCCTTCTAGTCATGATTTCGAATGTGTTCAGCTGCTCTATCCTCAGCCACGGCCATGTCCAAGTGAGAGATATCTGCTGCAAATGATTCGACGAAAAACTCTGATCGATAAGATGCTCTCCATTATCGCCTCTTTCGTCCAGATGAAAGTCTATATGATTCCTTCTTGTCCTCGTTTCGAAGATTTCTCCCCTTACCGACGGAGGCTTGAGCAACGATTTCACGTGTCGGCTTGGATCATCTACCACTTCCTTGAGAGTTTCAGACACATGCTTGTTTTCCAGCATCCTGCTCATACGCAGCAAACCTCCAACCGCTCTCATGACTGTTCTCAGTGCACGGATTTCGTCACCGAATTGGTTGGATCATATCCACCCACTGAGATCATTCCGGCGTATCATTTCTATGGTCTCCTTCTTCAGCACCTTCGTCAACTGAGCCGTGCACCTAGCCATGTTGGTACCATTGAGCGGCGTTTGAGAGGCTGGACTCGTCGTTCCCCAACAGATTCACAGCTAGCTCAGGTTGTCATCATTGGTGGAATCCCACTACTGTCAACACTCTCGGTGTTGAAAGGCAGTTACAACTCACGCGTCGAGGTCATTGGTTCTTTCATCGACAAGATCTCAATGTCGGCTACAACACAGACGCGCATATTTGTTGCTCAGAGGATCAAAAATTCAGATTCATCGTCCTCGAAACAACTCAGAATTGTCGATATGTCCGAATTCGAATCCCTGAAAGCATCTCTCGAACCTCCGTTCTCAGATATCTCTGAGAAAACAGTTGAGGCCCTCCCAAGTCTTGAGAGGTTTGTCTCGGATGATTGGACAGTCAGGATGTATGAAACTGTCGGCCCGACAGACACACCTGCGAGTGCTTTTGGTTTTGTACAAAACGTGCTTGCAGGAAAAAATGACGGACCCGATTATTTGGAACCTATCATAGGCTTTGCGTGATTGCTACTGCTCATGCAACACAAAGTCAATTTGGATTTCATGCTACATTATTACTAACGATTTGACCCCAGAGTTTCGGTTTTAAGAAGATTTAATGTCAATATTCATTTCCAACGAGCATGGACTCTTTCATCCAAAGAACAAAGAACGAACCACTGTCATTCCCATTTATCTATTTAACAAGACAGGTTTCGCAGATTGCCAAGGCTCAAAGTGAGAACCTTGAAAGAAGCAATTGATGTGGATGCCACTAAATACCTATACCACGCCGTGGTATCTTGGCCCCTAACACGATCCGATCATGCGACGATACTGAACGACCAGAACCAAGTCAGCACTCTCCTGGGCGCGTCTAGCATACCGCAGCTGTTGACATCAAGGAGAGCCTCCTAGCTATGACTCAAATGCTATCAACACCAGTGCCCGCCCCAAGATCATCACATATCATGCTCAGTTTCGTCAAAGTCTTCATCTTTCTAATGCTTAGCCCATTTATTACTTTAGGCCTCTGTGCCACCTATTCCCTTGCGCATATCAATATTAACTATCCGCTGGTATATCCACTGCCACCGGATATACTGTCACATTGCTAAACTTTGGTCAGGGTCAATGGGACTTCACAGAGGCCCAGCAGGAAAATGGTAGCTTTTGCGGTGGTGGTGTCTCGACAGAACCAAGTCCATGGCTAGCCCAAAATCCTTTCATCTCCTTATCAGGTGATGCGGGCGAATTCGTCGCCATTCGCTTTGCCTATTCCAATAGCAACACGAATGGTTCGGATCAATTTGTGAGCACCATAAATGATGCAGGGGACTTCAATACAACTTTGGTCGCAAATGCTACGATTCCCGACTCTGGTAATCTATGTGTGAACGCCACGCTGCCACCTCTGGCAATTGGAGGTATAGGGATCATCTATGTCGCAGCCATTAATCCGGAGACTGGGGCGAATGGATCCTCTTGTGCGACGATCGAGTACATTCCCGAGTCGGTAGAAGGCCAAACCGTTCCAGACACAAATATGACATACCAAGCGTTCTATTGCTCCAATTCGACGGACTTGCCAGTCGCTGAATCGTCATGTGTTTGCCATTGCCATGATGCCGATGGTAGGGCGGGTCGTACATTGATATCGTGCCTGAGCTGACCTGAAACTTGCAGAACACTGCTCCGGGGAATGCTCGGAGGAAGAGATCGACGCAGCCAGGGACCAGTGCACCGCAGAATACGAGTCCAGTAACCCAGATGCTCAATGCGATTGTCATTGCCATGGCTCAGAAGGTACTAATTAGTCAATCGTCTCTTCTGGTCTTGACTGTCAAACATGCTAATCTGGAAAATCTCTAGAACACTGCTCAGGATCATGTACCGCTCAACAAACTACCGATGCAAGAGACGAATGTGTCGCAGCTGCGGGCGGAGCAAACACCACGAACGCGGCCGCCACGAGTACGACGTCCGCCACGGGCTCGGCTGCAGCGACCTCGTCGACAGGAGCGGCCTCGCCATCGGCTGTGGTCCCAGGGCAGATGCTTGGACTTGCCCTGCTTTTCTATACTTTGCTCGCGTGGTAGGGTAGATCTATTAGGGTCCGAAGCATGAATGACGCCGGATGCAAATGGCGGCCGCCCATCCACGAAACGCCTAAGTCGAATGGCGAAAATTGTAATATTTTGTAATGGCAAATCGACTCTTAAATAGCGAAAACCTTTACCTAAATTCTCGTACTTTAGGTTGATATTTCCCTGAAAATAATTTATTTTATCTTCTTCTAAACCCATAAGATCTATTCTTTATACTCTAGTTCTACTATGTGGAGTAGCTTTACCTAAAAATACGCGGTATTGTAGATATAGAGGGTTGCTAATAAAACTACACAAAATTACCACGCCATTCGCTGATACTGTATATTCTTGCTCGGACCAGAAGAAACCAGTTATCGTTGAGTCATACATATATTGGACGCGTAGAAGCATAATCAATTCTTGCCTAATGAACAGTACATAAGAAAACGATAGCTCCAGCATAAAACCAGTTGGAATGAACTTGATTGAGACCGCACCATTTTGAGATGCGGTTCCCAATGAGTGCTCCATGTCGTGTTGTGCATCAACTATGGAGTCCGCCAAGTCAGACAAGGCTGCGGCCAAGAAGACCGGCCTTGATGTCTTCCCACCTCATCAACCAATGTGCTGTAATGCTCTCAAGGTCCTCACTTTGCATTTGACATGCAATGAATGACCAAGTAACACAGCCATGTTCGTCGCACCAAATGGCTTTCATCAGATAAGTTGGCGTGTACATGCGGATCCAATCACGAATTGACCCATGAACCCCCCTGACAAACGACGCTGCCATGGCTCTACGTTGTTCCCTCGTCGGCATAGCCTTGAGCATTGTTGTCGCGTATGGCCTCTATATCGCTTTAGGAATCAATGGACTGAGTGCGACATCGAGCAATGTTCAACAATATAAGACTCTCTTGCCTACAGGCCACCGTCACGCCGATACTGGAGTTTTCCACGCCAAGCATCAAGCCCCAGGCACAGTAGCAGGAGGGATACCCGACTTACCCACGAGCTCCCAGCGACAGGAAGAACAAAGAGCGATATTACTTGCACAGCTCCAGAGCAGCCGATCGTCCGTCGCTGGTCGGAAGGGTTCGAGATACCGCCTCCTAACGGCACTCTATGGGTTTTGCAGATACGAGGAGGTGAATTTCAACGAGGTCGAGCGTGTGGAAAGTCTCTATGCTAAGGTTCCCAGCTCGCAGCGCAAGGTAAGTCTTGGTCTTGCTCTCCGTGCAGAGGCATACACTGCTGATGGACATGGTGGATGGAAAGATGATAGAACGAGGACTCAATTATACCTCCAATTTCGCAAAGGCTCGAGAACTCTTCTCGCTGAACAGACACCTGGTGGACGATATCGTTAGACATGCTCTGGAATACTATGAGCTCTCCGAGGACGAGTTAAATACCTTTATCAATGTTGTCGAGAGTGACAAGGAAAATGCATTGAGGCCTGACCGGACATCCGTCTCCCAAGCGCTCAAGCACGTGGTGCGAGAGTGGTCACTCGACGGCCAACACGAACGACTCGCAACATTCCCTTGCGTGCTTGGAACTCTCCAGGAACTTTGTGCAGGCCCCGTTGATCGTGCAGCAGGCATCCCCGTCAAAGTCCTCCTTCCAGGCGCTGGGCTCAACAGACTCGCCCACGAGATCGCCTCCCTCGACAGCCTGAGCTCGCGACTCGAGGTGACCACCAATGAATTTTCACCCTACATGAACACCGTGTATCAATATCTCCTGACCCTGCAGATCCATTCTTCCCTCTACTTCCACCCATACCCGGACAACTGGTCACATCAACCCACGCTCGCCGAACTGCACCGCGGTGTACACGCACCTGACATTCTTCCGTCCCACACCAAGGCGAACGTGACCCTCGTCGAAGGAGACTTCACGCAAGCCTTCCACGCGCGGCAATGGACAGCCAGCCAAGACGTGCTGATCACGCACTTCTTCATCGACACGGCGCGCAACCTGTTCTCGTACCTCGAGACCATCCACCGCCTTCTCAAGCCCGGCGGAATCTGGATCAACGTCGGCCCGTTGCTGTGGAGCCACAATGCCCAGTTACAGCTGTCGCTGGAAGAGGTGGTCAAGTTGAGCGAGTCCGTTGGATTCGAGTTCCTCGAGTCCCATGCCCGCTGCGGTGATAGGACGCTGCCCCAGCTGACCGTGAGAAGCATCTACGCCCCGTATGGGTTCAATCACAGGACTTTGAGTCAGAATGCTTACAAGGCACAATTCTGGGTTGCAAGGAAGGGGAGATGATGGTGAAGGATGGAAACCTTTGAATGTATTGAGCCTGACTTGCTGCTCACGGTGACTTCCTGTGTCACAGGGTTGATCGGGCCTGAGCGAAGGAAACGTTCCATCGCTGCTCCCCTAGCGCAAACATCGGAGGTGGTTAAACATTTGCTTCGCAATGGCGTCAAATATCTTCTGTGCCGCAAAGAATATGAGTGGTCGAAGGCTGATTAAATCTGAATTCGGTCCCCAGAGTTATCACTGATTGTTACGGGTCGTCAAACGGCCTCATCGTCTACCTTCAAACCGACACAATCCACGACAATATTGGAAAATTCCGTCACTGGACGTATTACAGTCATGAGCTGGCTTCATGTCATAACCGTGGCCTCGCCATGTCTGAGCTCGAACCAGTCTATGAAGTCCAGACTGGTGGCACAATGACTTGTCTCCAGGACACACTCTCATGGTCTATGTCTGGTGCGAGTCTCCAGTCTCGCCATCGGTATCACTGTCACAACAGAGGGGTGGAGTCAGAGACGCAAACGAAGCCTCGATCAGCCTGTGCTCTGCGTATAAAAACCGTTGCATATCTATTTCTCTTTCCACCAAGAACCCACGACAACACTGATCCCAAAAAGCAAAGTCTAAAGAAATAAATAGCCCAAATTTCCTTGCCTTTTGCAAAGGAGAACGCACCCAAAAGTTCCTCTTACCCGATATCGAAAACAATATATCTATCCAATTAATAACACGTCTCGAACGAACATGGCCAGCGACCCAAACTATTGCAAAACGTGTGGAGCTTACACACACAATACGAACGAGTGTCCCGGCAAGCCGAACAAGCACACTGGTATGGCGGCCTCCCTCGAACCAGCACGGGATGAAAAGGCCTGCAACAGCAGCATAGATGGGGCTGACTGGGCTGAACCTGAGCTGCCCACGGCATTCGAAGCTCGAATGCGGGATCGTGAACTAGAATGTGATGCAGAGCTGAGTGCGGCGCCAGATCTGGAGTTTACTTGGGACGGCGGATGTTGGGCGATCTAGATCCTTTTGCAGCAGCGACGATAGAAGATCTCATAGATGCTTGTACGGTCGCATTCAATGTAATCATATGACCGCACTAGCCGTCGAGCCGTTGACCAGACCTACCGTTCTAATGTCCGTAGCGGAAAGCTGAAGTGCGAAAGTATGACATTCGAAGATCAAGGTGAAGCTGTTGACACATTTGAAGTTCTTTTAATAACTATGATCTCGTGAATATCATAATCCCTCTGCGGCCAAATGCGCTGCTTCACTGCGAAAGTCGCAAAACGCTCGCCAAAAGGGGCCAAAATCCCCCCACCTCCACGGTTTGAGGCTCAGCACCGTGGCACGCCTTGCTCGATAGTCCTACGATACCAAAGACTACCAGGTCACATGCTATTCAAGGACTTCTTCCATCTTCGAGCAGCTTACTTGGTACCTGTGATCGTACCAAGGCGAAAACATCATGTGCGATTCCTTCACGCATTGGCGGGTTTGCGTTCCGAGATTTGGGCTGCTCTAGCTGATAGATGTGGGCAGGGCGTAAATATTCTTTTCTTAGATCTAACGAGCATCCACACAGGATGTATGGCCTGGCGGACTGAAAGAGGCAAAATATGATTTGGATCTCGTTCACGCGGTGAAACGTGGAGGCTGATACTGACCAGGCCACAAGAAAACTTTCCACTTGTCTACTTTGATGCCCGTGGCGCGGAGTTGGTGCGAGTTCTGGGTCTCTTTATTGAGACCCCTCGTATAGATAGTTAGTGGCAGATTGGTCTTAAGCTTAAAGCTACTCTGTCGGTCCATTAGTGAGGAAGAAAGAGTGCTAGATTCCATCCGAGGGCTCTAGTGGCATTGGAACTGTATCATATCGCACGTTCTGACGTGATTTAGTGTGCTAGCTCCTTCGCAAGCATATACCGTTTACGCTCAGAAACAAAACTGTGGATCTTGATAGTCAGCCCTACCCGCCAGGGTCCTGCTTGGCTGTCGACCTTAATCTTGGCCAAGGGGTGCTTAGGTAAATGGATGGACGTGGAGTATAACTTTGAGTCGGTTCGCTGTTGGTTTCTAGATATGTCAATGGCAAATACTCACATATCCCTGGTTTGGACTCTCAAGAAAGTCAAAGGCAAATGGTCTCAAATATGCCTAACAATGACGAGATGACAGCCCCGATGCTTCCCTCCAAGACGTCCGCGCAGTCAGAGTCGAAGACCCGAACGCCGAAACCTAAGTTATGGGCAGGCCTGAAAGAGCATTCGAGGGTGTCGAGAATCTGTCTTGCTCTCACATCGGCCATTCTGCTCTGGGGATATGATATGGCGATGACGGGCAACTTGTACGGATTGGATGAGTTCAAGTAAGACTGCTGTCCACTCAAAAGGCAGTAATCATCAAAGTTAACCAGCTGTGTAGGAAAGATTACGGCGAATTCAACGAGTCGAAGAACGAATGGTCGATACCCTCCAAGTGGCTGAGCTTGTGGAATGCTTCATCTCCACTGGGAATGATGGTGGGCTCGATCTTCGGAGGGTGGCTCCAGGATCGGTTTGGGCGTCGAGTCTCGCTGGGGTTTGGGAGTTTGACTTCTGCTCTCGGCGTCGCAGTTGTCTTTGTATCTGCATACTCGGGTGACAAACGGCAGGTGGTGCTTGGGGCAGGCAAGTTCACACAAGGCCTCACCATCGGCGTGGTCGTGACCACAACCCAGACCTACATTTCCGAAGTGCTTCCGTCAACGCTTCGCGGACCGCTCCTCGCATTCTTCCCCATATTCTTCTTGGTTGGCCAGCTTGTCAGTGCCATCATATGTTTGGCTTTGGACAGCAAAACCGGCAAGATGCAGTACCTGACGGCCATTATTTCCGAGTGGCCCTTCTCAGCACTGCCTCTCATACTGGCCATCATCATGCCAGAGAGTCCAATCTGGCTGGTACGAAAAGGGAATACCACGGCTGCTATCAAGGCGCAAAAGCGATTGGACTCGCCACATATGGACACCTATGCAAAAATCACCGAGTTGAAGCAGTCGGTCGACCAGGAGGAAAAGAAGGCGGCCAGAGCAGGAACATACGTGGACTGCTTCAAAGGTACCGACTTTCGACGTACTGGTCTTGCGATATTTGGGTCGGTGCTCCCTCAGCTTTTTGGGCTCCCCATTCTTGGAGATGGGCCTTATTTCTTGCAAAAGGCCGGTATGGAAGACACGACAAGCTTCATCTTCTTACTCACTGGTATACTCTGGGGTATCACCGGGACCATTGTCAGCATGTGGTTACTCACTTTTATTGGAAGGCGAAAGCTTGTTCTAAACACATTGTTGCCCTTGACCGGTATTTGGCTGGTCATGGGCATCGCTGGCACTATCACAGCCAAGTGGTCGGCCTGGTAAGTTGGCGCCTTAACGAGAAAGATACCAAACTAATAACGTCCAGGATTGTGGGCGTCACAACAAATCTGGCGCCGCTTACCGCGTCCTTAGGTGTTTGGCCTGCATCATATGTCATCACAGGTGAATCGTCTTCGCTTCGCCTGAAAGCAAAGACGACCGGTGTCTCATGGGCTGTTGGTGGAGCTTCGAATCTATTGTTCTCCATGGGAACACCATATATATACAATGACGATGCCGGGAATCTCGGAGCGAAGATCGGGTATGTCTGGGTCGGTATTACCGGTGCGACGTTCGTCCTTGCTTATTTCGTTCTACCCGAAATGCTAGACCGGACGGCAATCCAGCTCGATCAAATGTTTGAGGAAAAGGTCTCGGCACGTAACTTTAGCAAGTGGACTGAGAGGCCGAAGCCGACATGGGCTGATACCTACAAGCCTGTCGAACCAGGTAGTCCACCTCCTAGTTACAAGTTTGGTCACGTCAACTCGAATGAGTCCTGTGATATGGACAATATGGAGCTTTCATGGATGTCTCCTAAACCTCGAGAATTCAGTTGAGCAGGCTAGTGTGGTCGATGGATTCTAGTGTTTGCCATTGGAACTTACCAACCGAAATATTTGCTGATCGAGTTGCATTGTTAGTTGGGTGTTTTGGAGTTGGCTGTTACAATGATAGTAGTAGGTATATAGGGTTGGAAATGAATCCGTCAGATTTGGCTGAAAAGACTGGTGGTCGAAGTGGTCTTAATGCTTCGCCGGTTTCGCTAGAGCAACTTCTTGCTATTATTTACACCTTCAAGGCAGCATCAACGATTACTTCGTCACATCTAGGCACCTTCAATTTTTCTAAGCTTGTCAGTGTTAAGATATTCTAGTCTTTCCTATCATGGGAATGGCCCCTTATCCTTCAATCAGAGTGTTGCATCTTTGCCTTCAGCACGAGTCCAGTGTGGCTGTTCAAATTCAGGCCCCCAGTATGATCAGCGACTTCCCTCCAAGGTGGCTCGGCTCAGCTGTTGAGAAGCTGAAAGGTTGTCTATCAACCTCGCCCATTAGATCAGTATAACTTTAAGACGGTCCAGTGTGAATCCTGCTCATCCTCCTCAAACCTTGGAAAGCAATCGAAGCTGCTCTAAACAAATTATGACACGCCTTGATAAGTGCTACCAAGGATTCTTTGTTCGAAAGGCTGAGGAAAATGCCTACTGGCCGCACAGCACGCTCGTGCAATTTCTGTCGGCAAGTAAAATTGGGCTGTGACGGCTATGTACGCAGGTTTTTTTATCGTGATGCCTGAAACTCTTCTGACCATGTCATAGTTGAAGAAACCATGCACCCGGTGCAAGGAAAGAAATGACGAATGCCGCTTCGACAAAGGCTTTCAACGCATCTCGACCAGAAGGTATGTATTGAGTCTAGAGATTGAGCTCGACTTTGTTCCTGATAAAGACCAGATACGCCAGAGATATGTCGATACAATTCACTACAATGAGCAGGTCGTCAAATCAGTCAAGCCCAGTTGCAACTAGCCGCTCAATGACGACTGGCAGACAAAGTCTTGCTCCACCCCAAGATGAGGCATGGCAAACATCAAACCAAACTCCTCCACACGGGCATAGTGGTATCACTTCTCGAGAACCCAGTAACCTATTGTCTAGCAATTGGTTCCAGAATCAGACGCCACAGGAATGCAATTCTTTCGTCCATGGAATCGTTTCCTTGCAATGGCAGAGCGCAGTCGATCTATTCGATCAGTAAGCAGTACTCTCCAGATTTTATACCTCAATATTGATTGCCATTAGCTTTGAGGAATTCTTTCTGGTACATGCACCATTCTTAGAGCCAGTACAGTCTCTTTCCGGTCTAGTTGATCGATCACCATTGCTCTTCTGGACAATCGCGATGGTATCTTGTCAACTCCATCAGCACTACTCTTTCCTCTACAATGACATGGTTACAGTCCACCGCCAACTTTTATCTCACGAGATTCAGTCAGCCTTGCAATCGTTGGAGGCTGTTCACGCTATCCTTTTGGCATGTACTTGGCCCATTCCCCAAGTACATCATACTGATGACCCTTGTTGGGAACATATTGGACTTGCCATCAACGCTGCTATTCGACTCCACTGTCACAAACCTTTGCCCCTGACCAGTCCAATTAGGAGTTGGAAAGGATTCGGTAGTGTCACCGCAAATGACTTGAATGTCACCACTCAGTACAAAACTTGGTTGGCCTGTGCTGACTTGAGCACTGCGTAAATTTTGACCCTTCCCTATCTCCACTGAAGTATGACTTTTCTGACAACATGCATTAGAATTAGCACCTTCTCAGGATTTGCTCCAAAGTTCTCGACCCCTATGCAATTTAAAGGGCTCGAAAGGGCAAGAGATGTGGTAAATTTGACCACGCATGGTCATGAATCAAGAACGCTAGCAGCTCAGTCAGAAATCAGACAAGTTACATGTCTTTATCAATCACAAATTGATACAGACGAAAGTATCACCAGCTATTTCACCCACTCGGCTACTTTTGATCGCCTTCTAGACCAGATCAAAGACAAATACTTTCCAGAATGGACGCCAAATTTGGAGATACTGTTACTTGGATCCAAACTCTACCTATATGCTTTAAGTTTCGTCTTCATTTCAGACCTTTTGTCTTCATCACTACCACTTAAACTCACGACAAGCATATCTGCTCAACACTATCTGGTCGTACAGAAAGGCCTGCATTCGGCATTGCAACTTATCAACACGATAAGTGATATCAGTCTCTCCACTCGTCCCAATATCGCGGACTACCCCGTTGGACTATTGACATTTCACCCCAAAAGCTACTTCACGGACCTCTACTTTGCTGTTATGTTTATATTTCGAGTCGCTATTGGGGATAATCAGGTGTTTCCTACGCAAAATCGCAAAGACATCGTGTCAGCCTTGCAAGCGGCACACAAGATTTTCCGCTCCTTTCCTTCACATCGCGACCACGCTCGTGCCGCACTCAATGTCGAGTTTGCGGTTCAGATCATTCGTGAAAGGTCACAAAGCCATTCACAGAGTACTCTCTCAGGATCAACGATCGGCTCCCTCTTCGTCACGAATCGTCTTGGGGCTTCATTACTGTACGATGGAAGTTTTCATATCGGTGAAGTACGAAACCGAGAGATGCCTCTTACAACGACCACCACAAATGAGAGTCGTCAGCCAGGACTTTCGCAGTCGAAGAAAGAGTCTAATATACTTTCGTCTGACAAAATATCTTCGTGGAAGACTCTTTCAGAGCAGTACCCCGAATTTCTGCCAGAGGCACCCAAACCTACGCAGCTTCAAGTTCCGCTGTGGCCAGCTATTGACAGTACTTTGCCCGCAAATTCGGATGAGGCATTGTTCCAAGGGACATTCTCGATTGACGGAGGCAATATTGGTCAAGATTCAATCTGGACAGACTGGAACCAGTATATTGTGGATAACAGGGTGTCGTTCGATCTGCCCGCCGTGGCGCCTGCGATGCAGTTACCATGAGACGACAAAAACGGACTCTTCGTTCTCATCTCGGCCAGATCTATCTCAAAAATTCCGAATATATAACGCGATCAAGCTGCTGCAACAGGCCAATCATTATAATTCTCATCAGGCGTATGATACGGTCCATAATAAACTTGGTTGCCTCGATCGTTGATCGCGAGCGGAAGTCTTTTCTCAATACGATTAATCAAATCCTGTCACAACATCAGTCCCTATCTGACTGCCTCGCGAGGTTACAACGTACCGGGTTGAACATGAACGGCCTTCCGATCATGAGGAGATCAATCTTTCCTTCCTCCACTAGCTCCGTAGCCTCTTGAAAGCCATAATCCTGATTTACCATCAGCAACGAGGCACTACCGGGAAACTTGACCAGTGGGCTAAAATCCAATACTGGATCATATCCTAACGGCAGCGGATATCCTTCTGGTCGAGGGTATCGACTGTAAACATCGTCAGTTTTCACGTTGAGGTCAGCACCACGTCGACAAATATTGATGAAGCCGACCTTCCGCCGGACCAGTTCTTTGATCAAATACGTGTACGTCTCCTGCGTCTCCTCAAAAGTGACGACCGAGTCATTGAGGGTGTCGACAGGACTCATCCTGACGCTGATGAATTCAGGTCCACCGAAAATCTCGCAAATGGCATCGACAAGTTCTAGTGTGAAGCGGCATCGATTCTCGACTGTGCCACCATAGGCATCGGTACGTGTATTGGCCCGCCTACAATGGGAGAATCAGTTCAAATGAGCACAAAGCCCAGCGACGGATGTCCTCTTACGTGTTCAAGAATTGTTGTGGCAGGTAACCGCTAGTAATGGGAGTCAGTGTGTCTCTCCAAGTCGAACTCAGAGCGAAACTTAGCCTAGGCCTAGGCCTTACCCCTGACAGAGAAGCTCAACACCATCGAAACCGGCTGATTTGGCGAGCGATACCGACCGTCGATACGTGTCGATAAGATCTCGAGGGTCATCGATTGCTTTCACATTTGCGGTATGGCCCTTTGGAACCACCGTCAGTGGGAGCAGTCTCATGTTTCAAGAAAAGACAATTTCAAACCGGCATGCCAGGCAAATCTCGATACTTCCACCCCTCAGCGGGAATCGTAGAAGGCGCGAACACAGGACGCCCTGTACCTTTCATGGTAGGCATTTCGTCGTTCTGGCATCGCCCTGCACGCACCGCATCAATATAGCAACCACCTGGTCTCCCGATTTAGTCTCCAGCGAGCCATCCAAACATACCAGCATGCCAAGCCTGAAAAAGCATCAACGCCCCCTCCTTATGAACAGCATCGACAACCACGCGCCACGCCGCAGCATGCTCCTCGGTGACCATCACGGGAGCATACGGCCACGGAAGTCCAGCCCAATCGACAAGGACGCCTTCGGTGACGATGATGCTTGGACCATCGCGTGCTCGGTCAGCATAGTACTTGACATGGGCGGGACCCGGTTTGTAGGCGTCAATGCAGCGGTTGCGTGTCATGGAGGCCATGGCGATGCGGTTCCTCAACTTGAGGCCTGTGGCTGTGGTGATGGGCTGGAGGAGGGCGGACATGGTGTGCGGATCGGTTAGCGTGCCGGCGGCGAGTCTGTGTAAACCAAGCAGGTATTTAGCAGCAGTGAGAAGATTCAGGAACGTTTAGATATATTTGCTCTGACCACAGCTCTAGAATCCTTGCTTTTATATACATGAAGGAGCTAATAGATGTGGACCTTTAATGATACCTACCTGACACTGGTACAAGCCCCTGGATACTGCAGTATTCCATGCTAGGCGACCTGAGGATCAACGATAGCACAGGCTTGAGCGAAATCTTGCTTACGATCACTCACGACTCTACGCACAAAACATGTCTCCTCTTGATGCCCTATGTCTGGAACATACGCCAACGCAGATCCGCTCATCTCTTAGTGGTTCGAAAGCCGGAAACACTGCTAGCGTTCGGGATTCGAGCCACTGAGAGTCATTTCCGTTGCCGCTTCCGAATTGCGTACCCGTAGGCGCCGAGATCAGGCCCAGGATTTAGTTTAACTAGTGCATTTGTTCCCAGCACTGGTTGTCTTCTTTTGCTTTGAGGGCTTCGTCCGGTCTATGGAGTACGTGTGGTGTGGACTCTCATTCTTCAGAAGAGCTTACAAATTACTGCCAACATCCACTAATTCCCTTCACTGATACGAAGACGCAGTCCTTACTGGGACTAAACGATGAGGAATCCAACGGCATGTATGCATTGCCGACGAGCCAAACGCCGGTGTATCCGCCACAAGGCGAGTGAAGCATGTACATCGTGCCAGGTGAGACGGTTGGTCTGCGAAGGAAAGCCACAGGGTCGGCATAAGGGCCAACGACATCTTGTTCCGCGCTCGTTCCATGGTTATGCTGTGGAAATGACGGTCCTGGAAGCCCCACTAGGGCATTATGATTTTCAGCGTCCATGTCAGGCCCCGAGTACTCCGGAGGAGACGACGATATCACGTCCAAGACCAGATTTATCCCGGGGAATGGAAATCGAGCTGGTGGAGCACTATCTCGACAAATTCGACGGTCGTCCGCACAGCATTTTCCATCCAGCCACCCTCCGCGCGCAGGTGCGTGACGGTGCCCTCAAACAAACTGTGCTGTACGCCATCTGCGCCATTGGATGCAAGTTCTCGGCGAATCCTGAGACCCGTGCTCAAGGGTTTTACTTGCTGGCGGAATCGAAGCGACTACTCCAGGCGGATCTCTCGAATATATGTCTCGAGAACATTCAAGCGTGCATTTTGATCGCGCTTTTGAGTGTTGGCCATGGCGAAAGTGGTTCAGAGGCTTTGTTCTTTCGTACGTACCGGGATCCCTCGTTATATCGAAACCCCACGAAGATGAAGTCTATCTTCAACCAGTTGCTGACAGCTCGTGCCAGGTATCGCCACCGCCATGGCTGAGATCCTGGGTTTGAATAATTCTGATTCGGAAACCGAAGTCTCCCTCATCGATAGAGAGATAAGACGACGCATTTGGTGGTCCCTGTATATGACTGATTTGTGGTGCATGTGTGGTCAAGGATTATACAGCCAACTGAAGCATGTTGAGTCGACAATCGACCCGCCCATGAACGACAGTATTTTCATGGCGCTACGCCCCGAGCAAAGTTCCACCACCAACACCAACACCAACACCACCCCGCAAGGCCATGGCATATGGTCGTGTCTTGTGACTCTTGTGCCGCTGTTCGAGCCTATTCACAAGATCAATTGTGTCGTTGCAAATGGTGAACCTCACAACCCCGAGCTGGACCAACGAGTCGAGCAACTTGCCTGGACACTGGAGGATTGGAAGAACAGGTTGCCTGCCGATGCACAGATGAGCGAGGAAACCCTTCGCCAGCAGCAGAAAGCAGGCCTAGGTGGGTTGCTGATTTCCCTACACTTGGCTTATCATCATTACTCCATCTTGCTTTATTTCCGGTTCCTCGATGGTCAACGACCAATAGCCTCAATCCATCAGACATACATCACACGATGCAAGTTCCATGCTTCCTCCTTCAGCTCTCTATTGCTCTTGTCTCGGCAACTGAAAGGGTGTGATGTTGTATATCCCAACGTTGGCCATATGGCGACGGTCTCTTCTTCTGTCTTGGTCCATACCTTACTGTTTGGTGGCGTGGATGAACTTGAGAAAGTCAGTCAAGAACTTAACACAAACTTTGAAGCCCTGATAGAACTCAAGCAATTTTGGCCATCGATTTCTGCTATGGTAAGTGCCTTGTACCGGAATGTCGAACTCTTGACTTTCTCGAGGATCCAATCGCTGACGATCTACATAGATTGAACGTCTGATCATGTTTCAAGACATGTGTCTTTTGTCAACAGAGCCTGCCCCACATAAACTAGACGGGTGGATGCTGAGGTTCTTGACCGAACACAGTCTGAACTTCGATACCAAGAGTATGGGAGCAAGTTCGTTAGGGTTGAATGCGGAGGTGGCAAAGATGTCATCAAGAGCAAAAGAACTCGCGCAACAGGGACGGTATCTGAATCTACGCTCTGCGTGAGGTTCTCGGAGGGTTGAGTTGAGGAACCCACAGGGCAGCGCGAGCTGTGGCATGATTTGCCTTGTGTTGAACTACTGTTATTGGGTTCAGGGACCCTTATCCCATCCGAACCAGTAGTGGAAGAGATAATAGAAGGTGATCATACCTTGAATCGTTGACAACAAATATTTCAGACTCCCACACTGTTCCGACCACTCACTTACAGTCGACCAGTAGTAGGAGAACGGGGCGTTTGGTATATGTCTCCAAGGTTTGTCGATGATACTGTGGGCACGAATAGTCTCACAAGTTCTTCGGACAATATACCCACAGAATTGGGACGTGGCTTCCTCTGAAGGCCGTGAGTCAGTGTTTCTGTGGGGTTTCCGACGCAAATAAGTTGGCATGTCTTGGACTACCATCCGACAGCCGCGAAACACAGCTGATGCCAGGCAGAAAGGATGAATGGCATTTCCTCTTGTAGCATGAGGTGTACACAGATAAGCTTGAGGACATGATTTCTGTACCCGGCCCGGTGCGTTGAAATATCAATGCTCAATCCCGGTTCGGACTACAAACCCAGAGCATCCGAGTCAAGAATACAGTATCTGGACTCGTGTTCATAAACAACCGGCATTTCCAGATCTCACATGGTTTGCCTCGCGTACCTGGTTCTCTGATAAGCAAAGGACAAATCTCTCGCTTGCGGATTACCACAAATGGGTTCAAGTCTGGTCAATAGGCTGGCGAGGTGAACACACTTCCGGCGAAGATCGAATCTTGTCAATTTATGAGCTTGATTGGAGCAGGCCAAGGCTTTGGTGTTACGAACACAGTTATTGTTGGAGGTACAGCCTTGTATCACCAAGAACAGACTTAGTAACGGGTCAGGTGAGAGCCGAGCTTTCCATGTACAGCCGCTGGGCTCCGAGAGGCTGTCACTGCAGCGAGGCATACATCTATCACGCGATTCATACGAAGCTGGGAATAAGTGGAAGAATGTTATGTACCTGCATTGTCCCATCAGAAGCTGTCGGAGAGGTCCTTCGATGGTTCGCGGCGGCAGGAGACGCAAGGTACAACCTGAAGGCGAGGTTTGTGGTGTCACTCCCTTCCAGGAAGGGTCTAATAGCGTCTGCTGCAGCTGCATAGGAACTGGTTGACACTTGAGGAGAGGAGCATTTTCGGCTCCGGGATTATTGCTGTACGACTTTCTCTCGGATGAACTGGTGTTTGCGAACATTCCATGTCATCTTCAGGAGTAAGAACGGTATTCCGTGTGACCAATATGCAAGGCAACCCGCATGTCGTGCGATGTAGCTCGGCTTACCATTCTTGGGCAAACATTTTCGCAGTCTCTACTTGCGAAAGTATCCTAATATCGCACCAATGTATGGTATTTTTGCAAGTACGGACGAAACGGCCAATATTAGTCCGGTTATCAGAGGAATCTGTACAAGTCTCTGAGGGGGCATCTGTGATTTGGAGGGGACCACAAAGTACCCTCTGCTCTCAGCACGGGCCTTCTCCTGATACAGAAATCTGAACCCGATCAGTATGAATTTCCCACTGACTGGCAGCCTCAAATAATCATTAGAGTAGTAGAGGCAGGCATCAACCGAGGCGCCCAGCACGGACTCGTGTCATTCGAGTTCAATTCGCACAATAGTCAACCGCCAGGTAGGTCGTTCGTTCAGGCTTTTGTCATCACATTATACTTGAACAAGTCTCTTGTGGACGGACTGGAACATGCAGAGGTCTGATATTGTAAAAGAGCTAGAGAACCGAGTGTCCACTGCTGCCCAACTTCAAGGCTTCAGAACATGTGCATGATAGGGAGAACTCATTTTATAATTTGGTTCAGGACAATGATCGGACTTCCTGGTAAGTCCCGAGGATGAACCGCAACGCCAGACACTCACATGTGGCACGGGAGACGTTTTTGGTTCGATTAGTATTTCATCGGTGCCCAACTGATGTGTAAATAGGCGGAATGGAAGGAGCACTGGGTGAATATGTTTCGGCAAAAGACAAATTGTAAGACTCTATTGCAAGATCCAACAGAGCTCTCGGCGCAGAGTATGACTGAGGATTGAAAGTGGCCATTCGAATCCGGTCTTAAGTGCCTGACGAGCATTAGCACGTCTGAGCACGTCTACCCTCGCAAACTAAGGGGAACAGCAAGTCTTCCTGCGAAATAATGCAGAGATGGACCAAATCCAATAGCAAATGAGTGAGCAACAAGGCTGTGAAGAGCTCTGTATTTCAAGGATGAGGGGAGCCTGTGAATGTTATTTGTGTCCAAGCACGAATAGCTACATTCAGTAATGGCGGCCGCCCAACGGTGAAATAGGCGATTCGCGAAGACATATGCATGCTTAGTTAGATCAGAACGGTGCTTTGTTCGCCAACGCCAACCATGCCCAGGGTTGTTGTTTTCTTGGAGTCTGCCACACAATGTCTGGTTTGGCTCTTGAAGATGATTGACTCACTCAACTCAAGTGAAGCACGATTCGAGGGCATCTTGACTGCTGCTGATATCATCCGGTCTGGATTTTGAGGTCAAAGACGATACGCAAGAGTCATACTCGGAAAATCCACTAGTAGATTAGGACTTTGGGGAAGTGTTGTGCTCGGATCCTTGGGAAAATTGTGCCTGGGCTCTGAGGGAGTGGAAGTCCACAACACCGCAAGTCGGCAAGGAACAAGATTAGCTAGATAATTGATGCTTATCACGCTGCTCGGTTTCTAGGCGTCTGCCGCGGGAATTTTGTCTAGCGAGCAGTTGGCTAACTCGTGTGCCAGACCCTGTGGTATGGGACGAATCAAAGATACAGAAGCATGCACCCTCCGGTGCAGACCGGGATGTGCTGTATTCGTGGCAACAAAGGAGTAGATGCTGAGGGAAGAACATCTGCCGAATTTGGCCTGATACCACTCGCAAAGTGCAGCAATAGTGAATCATTCTCAGGCTGGGGAGAAAATCCCGGGCATTTGAAAGCTGCCAGTCTGAAAAGCTCTAGTTCAAGGGGAGTGTGTACATTGGGGAGGATGGTTTCATCCGGAAAGCACGTCAAAACAAACTTGAACGCGCCTGCCGGATAGTCCCGACACGGATCAATTGTGAAGCCGGGGAAGAGAGGTCGATCTCAGCTTCTGGAGCCAAACAAATGGGCACGTGTAAGCTCGACACGTGGATACCCAACCTGAAACGTTCTCTCTTTAGGTATCTATCGAAGCCATATATTCACTTAGGCGAAGGAGCTGGGGAAAAACCACCATCTTCGGCACTAAGATCTTGTGAAGCCGGTGGATTGTGGAAGGCTACTCAGGGGAGGGTCTTGGAAGTTGCATCTCGAGGTCTACGATCGACCCGTGAGCTCCCATCAGAGTATGTGCTATATGACAGTACTCTCCTAATTTAACGCCTAGCAGAGATGTAGAAAATAGTCTTTAGCTATGAAGGGTGCTAGCTGAGCTCTCATTATTCCCGCGAAGGCTTCGATGTAGTGTCTATTGGATGCTTCATCGTAAGTAGTCATTGTTGCACAGCATCACACGTGCTATTTTTGCTTGCCCCGCCATGCCCGTTTATCATTTCTCATCAAGTCATGAGCGTTACACAAAAGTCGTTGGCCTGAAACAAGATTGAGAACAAATGCCACGTCTCGGCTTACGACACGTCAGACCACATATACATCACAGAGCTTCCAACGCTTTGGAGACCTCGAGACCGAAGCCTGCTGTGGCGACCGGCTCTCGACCGGTGCTAACCGGCCGTTGATCCGTTGAATATCTCAGGTCTGATTCCGAGGCTTCGGATGATGGTGTGGAGGATTGAGATTCGTATTCTAGAATGGTCGAATCGAAATCAGGTAGCTCGGTTTGCCTAGCTTCGTAACACCAGAAGCTCACAGCGGCTTGTAGTTGAGAAAACCATTCAATGACTTTCATCTCCTTGCCTCGGAATGTCAGCATCAGATCGTTGTACTGCCTTAACCCCGCGCGAGAAGCTTTGTGCTTCCAATCAGGCAGAGCGTCCTCTAGGAGGTAACGTCGTTCAGCAGCGAGATGGTTCACGTAGTTGAAAAAAGCGCCTTCTGAGTCTTCCACGTATTAGTCTTTGCATGAACACCTGTTCGTTGGGCATACGTACAGCTTCTGACGGCAGTGCCATCTCCAATCGGTAGATAAACAAGCCGATCAAACCTCTGATCAAGGAGCTCCTGTAGTCTCTCGTACGAAGCATAGACCACTGAAGTAGATTCTTGTAACGTCCAGAGTGCGTCTTGTACAGATGGTGGGAGTTGTGACAGCATTGAATCTGGGAGTGCAGCAACATGTGAAACATCTGTCGGGTCATGTGAATGAGCAGGCTCGAGAAACAGATCATCTGGCGGATTGTAACCCTTCATGGTGTTAATGTTGTAAGAATGCTGTAGTGAAACAAGAAGTGGAACAGTTGTGTAGACCAGGGAATGGAGTTGCGTTTCTAGGGAAACATACAGCAGCCTGGCAAAAACAACCAAGAGGTGTGGAAGGACTGGAGCATTATATACATCAAACAGACGAGAAGATCAGGGAGGGAGGAGTGGTTCGGGCATTCAAGGCAATGTGCAGAATGAGGTTACCTGTTTTGTTGCGGGCCAATCCGACCGCCAAAGACCTGTATTGGCCGGACGAAGGAAGCGGTTTTGTGACGTAGTGGTACACAACACTGAGATCTGAGATTGTGATTGCAATGGCTATCTCAGTCTTGGTCTCGTTTGTGGAAACCATTCAATCCCTTGAGGAGAATATCTTTCTCTCCATTTGATATGGAGCACACGGGAAAAAGCCGTTGGAGATTGTGGAGGAAAGACTTTTGCCTACCAGCAGCGGAAAGCCATGTTCCAGCATTTGACATGGGCATTTTCACTACTTGGGCTCGTAGTATGACGCCTGTCTATTCACTTCACCATTTTGAACCCAATATGCGGCCGCACCAATGGTATAACCAGGTTCACCTTGACTGAGTGTCAGTCCGCGGGAGTCCATGGAAACCGGTGGCAAAAAAAAGGCGGCGGAAGAGAGCCAACTGAAGAACGGTACTTGTATTGTCTTCCAGAGTTGTCGTCACCCGGAAGTTCATCCCGGCCAAGCCAACCCCCAACAACAGTCGACCATGATAAAGAGTAACTCGACCCTGAATGTCGATCCTTCGATCCTTGATCCTCATCGGTGTTTTACTGCAGTCTGTGGATGACAATCAGCAATGAAGGTCAGAGCAAAGCCGCCGGCACCAGTGGGACATACCGTTGAATAAGATGGACGCCCGAAGCCGTTTCCACGATTGTGCTCATCTCACCTGGTTGTAGAGCAAAGGCAGCATCTTCAAATTCCTTCTGCATCTGGCCTTTGCCGAAGAAACCGAGGTCGCCTCTCCTACGGGCGCTACTGTCATCAGATTCAGAAATGGCAAGATCCTCCAAAGTGGTGGAGCCGGAACGAATTTGAGCCTCATAGCCTTTGAGCAACGCGATTGCATCTTCCTTGGAACGAGTGATGTTTGTCTCTCTCCAGCTTGAGGGTCTTCGGCTGTCACGATGCTTGACAAGTAAGTGAGCAGCCCGAATCTTGCCCTCGGACGCCGGGCCATCGATACGGGTGGCAGTCGAGCTGTGGTGCTGGGCCATGTAGACCTTCAACTTGTCTGTATCTGCCTCCTCCGGAGGTTCCCATCTCGACTCGTGGGTCTTTTGGTTGAAGTAGTAGGGCAGGTTCTTGGAATTGGAATGACGGATCTCCCAGTCCGGAGGAAGGCCGCTGTCTGCCTACATTTGAGTCAGCGCTGAAAATGTTGAAGATCCAAAAGATGTAGAAGAGAAGCGTACCATGATGGGAGCTGGGGGAGGAATCAAGGTTAATGGATCAATACGATGGAGAGCTTCTGGGAAATGTTGTACAGAAGTGTTGAGGAACAGTCAATCAAGTGATTCAGCTTGCAGTATGTCAGCTTGCAGTATGTTGATGGGCGTAGTTTGTTGTTTGTAGGGAGCGAGTCCTCTCTGTTGTGAAGTATGGCGGGGTAGTTCGTTGCTAAGATTAGGTGGTGGAGGAAAGGGTCAAAGGAAGAGGGGGGAGCCTGGGAGCCTGAACGAAACTGATTTGGTGTACTCAGGTGGTTGCTGAAGACGGTGACTAATGGAATAGTCAACAATAATCAAAACAAGTGACCTTGTTGAGCAGACCTGGGTTGCAAAGATGTGACTTGGTCACGAGTCACCATAATCAAGTCTGTTTGTAGCACCAGTCACTATGACCAGGTGCTTGATCTGTGTCAGGCTGGAGTGAAGGCCGTGGACTGTGCCTGTCAGTAAAGATTCAACCACCCGGGCCCCTGGAGCGTTAGGAGATTGCCAGTGGGAGTGGCTTGTTAGTTGGTGTTATGCGGGGAACTCCAATAATAATAATGACCAGAGAGTAGTGCCGTCAGGCACAGCCAGGCTGACCATCAAGTTCAAGTTCAAGTTGGTGGTGACAAACCTGCACGTCGAGTCTGCAGCCTGCTTCAGTGAAGGAAGGTCCTCTCACAAAAGTCCCGACTGCGGGCGGTGCCACGACTGCCCTCACAAATACCTTTCTTTTCAATATTTATCCATCGAATATTTCCCACAACACTCTCGAACCTTGACCACCTTTATATGTTCTGCATGTCTGGGAGATTAAATCAACGATCTACAACAACAGTTCGTCGACATAACCAATCCTGACCATCTCTTACAATACCATCACTCGCTACAATGTCGAACCCTCAATCACCCTCGCCCAGCGAAGGCGAGAGCAAGCGAGGCGAAGTCAGTTATCGCTTCTGTCAAGAATGTTCCAATCTACTGTATCCCAAAGAAGATCGAGCCACATCCACCCTCCTCTACATCTGCAAAGCCTGCCACGCGACCACCACCCATGATTCCGCATGTACATTCCGTCAACAACTCGGTGCCAATGTACAAGAGACGGCCGGAGTGACCACCGATGTTGCCAATGATCCAACTGTGGGTTCAGATTTCTTTGAGCTCTCTCTCTGCACTCTCTGTGGTGATCAGATCAGATGCGCCGAGTGCGATCAATGATTCACCCGGCCCAGGCCCTGACCCAGTCACAATCATCCTTGCTCATAACTCTAGCTGATGAGATGCTTCCCAAACTAGTTGCCTCGGACTCAAAAGACCTGCCCTCGGTGCAACGAAAGAGACGCGGTATACTTTCAATCACAGCAGCGGGCAGCAGAAACCGGAATGGTGAGTAATTTACCGTCATTCCTCTTGCCACCCACCTTTTGACTCACACCTGGGCAGAAACTTTACTACGTGTGCACGGCCTGCAATCATGTCTACACTGTCGTTTGAGCGTTCGGGGTTGGTGGCTTCTTATGATTGTTTTGTCTCTTTTGTGGCATTGCTCGGCGTCCATCCATCTCTCAAGAGGAGAGAAATGGGTTCATAAACGGACACTGATACCCCAGGGAAGGATTTCAACAACGGAGTCTTGAATGTTCTTTTTCTTCATCTATTTTACAAGTGTTGATAGCAATGAGATGATTTGGATGCCCACCATCATCAAATGTGCATAGGCGCCAGCGATAATATCTTGGACCACTTCTTATCTCGTAGTTCTGCGCCGACAACGCTGGATAGTCTTGTCCCGATGGGATCGCCGTTCTTCTGGATGAGCACGCATGCATTGTCGCCGAATTTGACCAGCGTTCCGTCTTTTCTCTGTTCCTCTTTTCGAGCTCTGACTACCACGGCATGTCGGATATCGCCTCGTCGGACTTTGTTGGAAATTCCCAAGCTGGTTCCTCCCGGATTGTCGGGCCCAAAACTCCTTTGCTTTTGGACCACCACGATGATTCTATCGCCTGATGATCTTTTGTTAGGTAAAGGGTGATCGACTTGGTCTGAGAGGAGCGCATCGTACCGATTTTGGCTGGCTGGACCTTTTTCCGCATGACGGCGACACATTCGACTATGGCAGCACCCGAGTTGTCGATGCAGTTCAGCATCGTCTGGGAAGAAGAGGTCAGATACCAGTATCGTGGCAGTTTCAGTATCCTCGTACCTTTAGTTGTATCATCGTGGCAGCATAATGTGGCTATCACCCAACGACGTTTACTGAATTACTAGTAGATGGTCGTCAAAAGAGTAGCACCACGAAATGAATCTCGGCCAAGCAAAAGAAGTTTGAAGTGGAGTCCGCATGGGCAGCCGCAACTTTGAACCAGGATTATGATTTGGTGCGAGTTCTGATCTTGGTGGAACCAACCTCGGGTCTCCGTCCAAATCCCTTGTGGCTCTGGCTTTAATTGATTGATGCCCCCGGCCCCTTGGACACTTCTGGTTCGGGTGCCCATCTATCCCCTAAAGCGGATGGTTAGGCATGGCATGTTGTGCATTGGCCTCCCACCTCCTCGGCCTCGCTTGGTCTCTGCGCGTCTTTTTGGGTCGCTGCTACTCGTCCAAGGCCAGTGTCACTCTGTTAGTCGTCAATTAGCAGCCATTCCAGCCCGCGTTTCTTGAACTTCTTCCCCCTCGCGCTGCACATCCATCCCATTTCATTCACCTGCACTTTCACTCATACCAGTAATCGGTGATTCTAGAGCTGAACCATTACCCTCCTTATCCCTCCTCTCACTCGCTAAGACGTTCAGCTGCAAACAGTATTGTACTGCATGGTCTGACTTTACGCGATCGCAATGTCGCATTTCATTCCCTTTCACTAGACCATTGTTCCTCTCAGGCTGGCCTGACTCAAGACCATTCTCCATTGTCTGCTACACAATCTCGTCAGCCCCTTCCATTCATTACTGAACGCTCCACCGCCCTCTCACATCCCCGGGGCTCTATCCAGCTTGTTCATTACCCGACTGTTGCACTTGAATACACGCGCTTGAATTGATTGAGTTGCCTTGAGACTTCACCATGAGTCGCAAGTGGAAAAATCGGGACAATGAGAGGACTCAGAGACTCTCTCTGGCTGAACTGGCGGCTCACGATGATGTCTGCTCAGACGCTTTAGTGGACAATGTCAGTTCTCACTATTCAAACTCACCCAAGATCTACAGCAATACTCATGTTCTCCTAGGCCTACTACAAATCTCGCATACGGAAGAACCGGACAAAACATATTCCCATCCGTGGAATCAAAGAGGACGAAGTCCCTCAAATCCTGCTACAGAAAGTGATTGTCGACAAGGACCTAGTGGCAGCAGAGAAGGCACTCCTCGCTCTCCCAGGACTTAAGAGGTACAAGAAGAGTCTTCGTTCCAAAATCGAACAAGAGCGTTTTCTCTGTCATATTCGCAAGTACATCTCAATGTACAGCACGGACTGTGCTTGGGAAGTATCCACCACCAATCGATACACCATTGTCACCTACGAAGCTGCCGTCACAGCTCGACGACGTATCAAGCAAGGAGACAAAGTCAAGTATCTCATTGGTACCCTAGTCCCTTTGACTGCCGAGGAGTCAGCCGACCTGGATATGACCAACCGCAATTTCAGTATTGTCGTTTCTAGCCGCAAAAAGAATTCGTCGATATTTCTGGGCCCTGCTCGCTTTGCCAACCATGACTGCGATGCCAATGGTCGTTTGGTCACAACCGGCCCAGATGGCATGGAAGTGGTAGCAATGAAAAATATCGAAGTCGGCGATGAGATCACGGTTTCCTATGGCGACGATTACTTTGGCCCGAACAACATTGATTGTCTCTGTCATACTTGCGAAGTCTTGGAACGAAATGGATGGACCTCCAAAGGTGCTCTACTTGAAGATCGAAGCCAGCATTCGACTCCTGCACCTTCCAGGTTGTCAAGTGTCCAAGCTCGTAATCTAAAACGCAAATTCGATTCGGACACGTCACCAGTCGGTTCGTCTTCTACTCCTCCTTCAAAGGCAATCAAAATCACACAGTCTCCATCGAAGTTGCAACAGTCCTGGACGCCACCCACTGCTCCCGAATCGGAGCTTCCTGACGAAGGTTCCACAAGTGAGGCAACGGAGCAAAGTGACACGGCTCCAATTTCTGTATCTCATCAGGTTCCTGTGCTGTCTCCGCCGCACAGCCCGCGGCGATCGATTGAGCGAAACCCTCGCATAAACAGCCCACCACCCGCTTCTGGCGGTCTAATAGATGATGCTGTCCCATTACAAACTCGTGAACCAGGGTCAACGAACAGAGCCAAATCGAGAGATGGACATCGCGAAAGCAAGATGGCTGCTAGGCTGCTTGGGAAGGTATCATCCCGACTACCATTCTCACCCGCGCCAACGTCTCCTTCCAGCCACGGGTCTGCCACTGAGACTCTTCTTGTAACTCAATTGCCACCCGAGCCGCAAGCCACAGATGCGTCAGTCACGATCAAAGTGGAGACGGTTGAGATAACAAAGGTTGAAGCTGACAATGATACTATTATTGTCACTTCCTCACGTCAAAGTTCGGATCAATTGACGGACAGTCCTTCTAATCACATGGAACTAGGACAGTCTACCGATACCGCACCAGAAGTCGAAGGTCCAGCAGTTCAACCACCCATTCCCCACGTGATTTCGACTTTGACTACCACAACTATCACCAAGGATGTTCAGGTTCCAGAAATTCCGGCAGCTGTTTCAGAGGTCCATGTGCTTCCTTCGATTGAACAACCAAGTACAACTGTGACCCGAGCGACATTGACTGTTCACCCAGTTACTGGCACTATTCGCATTGCAGGTGATTACATTTTGACGCGGAAACTCCTGGCACAACCTCATGATCGATGGGTTCAGTGTCACAACTCGAAATGCTACGGCTTTTTTATCCAGCCCAATGGATACCAGACACGACGAGAGTGCTCTCGATGCGAAAGGCACAGCATGCTCTATGGGTTTGAGTGGCCCAAAACGGATCCAGACCTTCGGAAACTACTTGAGAGAAAGAGCCAGGGTAAAAAGCGAGACAACTCTGGTGCAGCTCCAGTTGAGTACAGTGCGTATCGTCGCAAGGGACGCTGCGGTAAGGGCACATGGGTCGAAGGCGGTGGCGATGAGGAGGAACGTGTTATGGACCACCGAACCATTCATCGATTCGTCCTCCCCGAGGAAGAACGCGACCTTACGCGAAATGGACTATTGAAAGAGGCCGAGATGGCTCGAGAAGCAGGAGATGTGGCACTTGCGATGCTAGAGGCCAAGTTTCGTGCTGGATCAAGAGGTCTAGGGACGGAAAGCGCGGCGAGAGATGGAAGTGAGAGTGGACCAGGCTCTGCCACACCTGACGACAGGCGGAGAAGCAATCGGTTCGTCACGCGCCCTGTCGGTGTTTACACGGACAAATACTAGCATTTTTGTCGTGCAATGGGGTGTTAGAAGGTGATTGCTGTGATGTGGATATGTGAGTTGTGATGAAGATGATAATGCGGTTGATTTCCACGAGTCGAGTGAGTGGTTAAGCATCTCATACGGCGTACGGAATAAGGATACGGACTGTTGGCTTCGGACCGATTTTACGGACTGGGCTATGATATCAGCATGGTCACCAGAATACGGAATGCATCAGCGAGCGCAGTGACGGAGTCTTCTATCATAATCGGACTCTTTGCGTTACAACAACCCGTATGTATATATGACTACATGGAATCTCTGTTCCTTGCTTCAGTTAGTACTGAACTAGTATCAGGATTATTGATTGATCGAGATTATACGCTGGTGCTAGAATTCGATGTCCCATATTTCATCCCCACAGTCACTGTCTATCAGGGATCCTCGGGAAGTGCTTGTAAATATATTCTCTATAGTCGTTGATCTCAGCGTGACGGGAAACTCACTCGTGAATCATCATCATGCAATGCAAGAGAGAAACAATAATCCAACCGGACCACGACTGCCAATTCACTGGTCTCCTGTTATTCCAAATCCTCAATCCGAGATCGCACTTCAAGCTTCGAAGTCATATTCCAGCAAGGTTTCTGTTTATCCACTGATGTGCTCTCGGAGTCTGGCCTCGTGTGGGGAGAGGGGACAAACCCTTCGTCCGAGAACGGCATCAGCATGCGTATCCCGCGGCGTGAGATACTCGCGTCTCGGAATGGCACCCGATCGATCTACCCCGGGTCAATCCTAACCGTTGATCGAATTCCACATATCACATCTGAGCAGACGGCAAGACTTGAGGATTTTTCATCATCAATTTGAACTCCTGTTCTGCTACGGTACTTTTCTCCCATCATTGGCATCTCACTGCTTTCTAGGTCTTAGACACTAACATCATTGTCAGCCTTCAACTTTCCCCCCCCCCGCAAAATCTCACTTTGTTCCTCAATCGCAATATTACCGAGTCACAAACAATATTGACCTCCAAACAATGGCACCCACACCCGACATCACACTCTACTTTCTCGGGGCCAGCCGTGCCATCCGCATCGCATGGCTTCTCGAGGAACTCTCGCTACCTTACAATCTCGAGGTGTCACCACGAGCGTCAAACGGCCTCGCATCCCCAGAGTTCAAGGCCAAGATCCCGACCTTGCTGGGCAAGAGTCCCGCCGTCAAGGATGGGGACATAGTCGTCCAGGAGAGTAGTGCTATTGCTGAGTAGGTTCCCTTTCCCCATTCGGTTCTCTTGGCCGGAGAGATCGAGAGTGATTCGAGCGAGATTTGTTGGTGGGGACCATGATATGATAATTCAAACGGGAGCACAGCACACCAGAAACACGACGCAAGGGCAACGGTGTGACGACACTGCTTGTCTCTCTGTCGATGTCGATGATACATAAACTGACAATGCGTGGTATACAACGGGATGGTGTTTGTGTTCAGGATGTGGATGACTTTTCACTGGGACAATGTGACTAACCTGATCTCATATCCATCTAGGTATCTCTGCGAGACATACGATACCCAAGGAAGAGTTCTGCCACGTGAGCCAAAAGCCAGAGCCAAAGTTAGAGAGTTCATGGCTGCTGCGGAAGGCACCTTTATGTTACATGCTCTTCCGGTAAGTGACACTCCAAATAGGCTTTGTCAGTGTTGCTCCCGGAGAAGACATTCCACAAAAGCACGAACAGAGCCCATCTCGCCTACCACTTACAAACCTTTCGCATGAGACACTAATCCGCTATTCGTCGACTCAGATCCTATACGCACGCTGGCGCCTCCCCAAGCCTGCGGCGGAATACCTCCCAGAAATGGAAAAAGGCCTGTCCGCAAACGTGCACAACGACCTCAACTGGCTGGAGGCCGAGCTGTCCGACGGCAAAGAAGGAGGAGGCGGTGAGACCAACAAGTTCCTCGTGGGGAACACCCTCTCGGCCGCGGACATCCTCATGGGGTTTAGCATTGAATTCATCTTCACCAGGAAACTGGGCACGGATGGTGGGAATTGGCCGAGGGTCCAGAGGTGGTTGGATGGGATCAGAGAGTCGGAATCCTATAAGAGAGCTGTCGAGAAAACTGGCTATTCCTTGTGAAAGAGGAATGGTTTGGGATTTTGGGCAGTGTCAGTTAGGCATTTGCTGTTGATTGATTTGGGTGGCTCGTGTGTCGATGAACATCCCAAAGCACGTAATTGCCATGTACAAGTGTTCTTGTTTCGACTCTCGAACTTATATACTAGGCAACATAGCTCCTGACTCCTATATTGCTGCGACACGGAGTACTACAGATGTAAATTTGATGAGATGAATGAAGCTGGACGTAGCGATTTGATGACCTTCAAGTTCGGAACTACTCGATGCTGTTGGGGAGAACGAGCTAGTCTATTTATGGTAGGTTATCCGAAGTTCTATCTTCCGCACTGGATTCCACCTTCGATATCAACTGCACTGGAAACTTGAAAGAGGTAGAAAGAATTCCAACGCACGCAGTCTTCCCGCGTTTCCGTCATGGAAACCTTCGACCGTCCCTCACATCCAGCACATGAACCGGACTGACCAAGAGCACGGGCTCCAGCTTTTCAAGATATCCCCCGGATGAGTCAGCAGCCACCAATCCCTCCCAATAAACCCCCGCCACGATGCAAGGCTTCAACATGGGACGGTACGTCCCACCGGACCTCGAAGGAACAGTATCCTTCAACGCGGCATCAGGCAAGGGCCACGCACTCGGCAACCGGGCACGAAAACTCAAGACCGAGGGAATCCTGACCGTGCGCTTCGAGTGCCCGTTCGCAATCTGGTGCACCACGTGCTCCCCAGAACAGATCATCGGCCAAGGCGTGCGGTTCAACGCGGAGAAGAAGAAAGTGGGCAATTACTTCAGCACGCCGATCTGGAGCTTCCGCTTCAAACACACCGTCTGCGGCGGGTGGTTGGAGGTCCGGACCGATCCCAAGAATGCGGAATATTTGGTCGTCGAGGGTGGGAGGCGCCGCGACACCGGTGTGGACAAGTTGCTTGATGGGGAAGTGCGGATCGGTGTGTCGGAGGCGGATAAAGACAGATTAGAGAAGGACGGCGGGTTCGGCGTGCTGGAGAAGAAAGTCGAGGATAAATCCGTCTTCAATGCCCAGAAGGCGCGCCTTGAGGATCTTTCAAAGATCAGTGACCGCCAGTGGGCCGATCCCTACGAGATGAGTAAGAAGCTCCGTGCCGAGTTCAGGGTCGGGCGCAGGAAACGCCACGCTGATGAGATGTCCGGTGACGCGCTCAAGGAGAAGTTCGGCATTGGGGAGGAGTTGCTCATGCTGCCGGAACGGTCCGAGGATGTTGACCGTGTCAAGTATATTGATTTCGGGGCGCGTGCTGAGAGTTCAGGGTCGGTCTCGGGGTCGTCTTCAAAACCGCTCTTTCAGACCATGCAGGAGAAATTGCCTTCGAGGGTTAAAGCCAGGTCATTCACTGACTCTTCAACTGCTACGGCTGTGGCTCAGTCGAAAAGGGCCGTGCTGCAGAACGAGCTCAGGACAAACACGCGAATGGCTACGGATCCGTTTCTACGAGACACCGACCCCTGGCAGCCCAGGGTCAAGCGGAAACGGGATCCTGCAGACGAGCAGGAACAGACCGGGCTACAAGCACAAGCACCAAAACGAGATAAGATTGCAGCGGGAGAAAGCATGGCGTTGGTTGGTTATGACTCGGATTCTTCATCATGATACCCCCCCAGGACTCTCTAGTCCTCAAATGTAGTCCTTTGGCCCTCGGTTTTAATCATACATCTGGGCACTCTGTCGCCTCATCAAGATCTATTTATTTTCATTTCCACGTCGTTGTCATTTCTTGGTCTCATCACTTCTTGAACCCTCGTCCTGTTTCCGCACGCTTTCGTTGAGAGGCGGCATAGGTCGTCCTGGAAGTCCTGTAGGCCTGCCCACAGCTCTGCCAGCGGGTGGTGCTGGGGTCCTGCTCGCCCACGGTGCTTGAGTCACACCGTTCACAAATCCCACCGGCGCTTGAGAGGTCGTCTTAGCCCACGGGGCCGCAGTAGTGGCACCTGCTCCGATTCCTCCAGTTGGAGGAGGTGGGACTCCTCCCGGCCTGCCAGCACTCGGCGCGTGAGTGTCAGCAGGATTCCGCAACGGCTGGCTCGAAGCATGTGTTGACGGAGGTGGGGGTTTGGCGTGCGGATCCTTCTCCCACTTGAACAACGAGCCGAAGGGGAAGTGCTGCACGACGGGGAATTTCGACAGCACTTCTGCATTGTACATCTTGAGCATCCCCTTGTTGATCTTGCCCCAGCCATCTTTGATGCCGGAGATGTCGAAGAGTATCGGGCTGTGTTCCCAGAAAGGGCCGCGCTTGACGTCGTAGATGAATGCGATGGCCGAGAAATACATGTTCTTGTCCTTTTCTTTGTCGACTAGGTTGGCTTTGGCGACGGAAGACGCTTGAGGTGTGTCGGGCAGCGATCCTTCTATAGGTGTCGGATCTGTCTCTGCTGTGATGGCAGGGGAGAATTGAGCCGAGCCGAAAACATAGGGTAGGAAGGAGTTGTCGTCTAGACCCCACACTCCATGTGATCCTGCGGGTTCCAGGGTGTAGAGTTTGATGAGTTTGCGGATGAGTGAGAGGTACAGTTCGAACACGCCCAGCACGATGCCTCGTTCCTCCACGCCTGCATCGGCTGGTGGGAAGAAATTGACCTTCCACAGACAGGCTAGAAATGCAAGGAAACTCAATTCATGTCCCGTCCCATAGTCCAGTCGCTGTGCGCTGCCGAAGCTGCCCATCAGGTAGGCTCCCAATTCTTCGAAGGCTGGTTCGAGTTCTTCCGGTAGATATTCGCCGAGAATATCCTGGAGTTGCGCTTCAACTGATTGATACCACTTTCGAAAACTCACATTCCCGAACCGACGGGGTCCAGTATCTGGAGGGATCTCATCGACAAGGTCTATCAGTTTCGTCAGGAGAGCCCGTAAAGACTGGACTGCAAATGAGAATGTGACATCTGGGGATTCCAGGGGATATGTGGTGATTTTGGTTGATCCGTCAACATCTCTCTTGCGAGGGAGAACGGCGTGATTGAGTTGTAGAATGAATACGATGATGTCTCGATAGGCGAACGATGTCAAGAAGAATGTTACATCTGGTCCATCGTGGATCCGCTTGGTGGGTTTCTCGAATTTGTGATCTTCAAAGTTGTCCAGCTTTGCTAGCGTCATGGTGTCAGCCATAAGGCACAAGAAGAGCACCCACTATTCAATCTGGCGATATGGATCAGGAACTACTTCCGCTTCACAAGTGTAACTGAAACTTTAGATGTAATGATATGGACGAACAGTCTGGCTTGGCTGGTGTTAGCAGTGATGAGTGAGCCCCCGAAAATGATACTTAGAGTACGGAGAATCATGACTCCATATTGCGACGCGCTCCTCGTCGCGTGATCCTCTCAAGCTGAGGCACCCAGAGTAAACACCACGAGGTATTCAAGTTGTGTCCATTACAGTCTAACAGGGAGGGTTTCTCACTTTTAGGTGGGATTCTATCTGATACCGCATTCGTGATGCATCATGTGCTCTTCATGGGCCTGAAAGATACGCTAACCAGGCCGAGGTTGCACCTGCGTGTAAATTGCAGAGAACAAAGAGAATAAAGTGCCTTTGCAACAACTTTGACCAGAGGCCCTCACTGCCACACGACTTCTTCCCTTTTTAACAGTCGCTGATAGTCTACAAACCTCGAATGAGCCCTGCGACTCTCTCAATTCGAATTTCTACCAACATTAACGAACCTGAACCCAAACTCAATTGATCCACATCGAGTTGCACCGGCGAGAACAAGAGAGCGCTAGAAACAAGACGAGGCAATTGACTTGCATCCTCGTCTTCCTCATAGCGACCACTCCTCCTCGATCATGCCTGTCTCCACACGACGGTCGCTGGCAGCGCAAGCTGATGAAGTTGACCAGTCGGCCGCGGGGCAACCAGATGTCACTACAATCATGAATGATTTAGCGGGCAATATTTCCCAAACGCCTGCACGCAAACATCCCCGGCCTTCTGGTGACTTGGAACAATCGCGCAGCTCTCCTAAAAAGATGCTTACCGTTGATCTTCGCCATCCTAGAAGCGCTAACAGCACTCCAGGTGTACCTTCTCCTCGACGAACCTCAGGCAAACTGAAAACACGAGCCTCGTTGCCTGCGCCAACGCCGGCCCGTAGCCGCATGAACTGGCAGCCAGACGACGATGATATAGAGCAAGGTGTTGAGGTGCCCATAGAATTGCCCAAGAAGTCGATACTTTTGGGGAAGCGCAAACCTCCTGACAAGTCTCCATTCAAGGGGAAGGGAACATTGCAGACCAAGAGCTCGGCGCGGGTGAACCTCGACGACTCCCCACCGAAATCCAGTCGACAACAAAACCTGGATAAGATTTCCAAATCTCTGTTGAAACACACGCGGCCGAACAAGAAGACGGTACAATTGAAGAGAGTCAAGAATGCAACGAGACAGTTAGCATTGACACCTCGACGATCGGGTAGACCTACCATAGCAGCTGGCGATCCCTTTCAAGATGCGCAACAAGACGATGACCCTATAACGCCTGGACTGGGAAATCAGCCTCCGGAGCGGCAGTCTCAGAAAGAGTTCTCGCCCTTAAAAGCAGATCGCAGAGCAAAGCGCAAAGTTGTCTTCAGAGAAGAGCAACAAGCACCACCTTCTGGGCAAGGCGACAATCAAGAATCGAGCGACGAGCCGTCGAATTCTCTTCCAAGGATTGAGAACACCAAGATTCCCAAATTGATTCCTACTCAGGTGGAAGAACTAGACGGTAACGAAGACGACGCAGACGAGATCGTTGCAGAAGCCGACGATGGCCAGCATGAAGATCCTCAAGAACAGGAGGAGCAATATGCCGATATTTCACTTCCACCGCCGCCGCCACCTCCCCGCCCAGATACTGAAGCCCAGCAACGAGCTAGAGAAGTTGCGGAAGCCGAGCAAAAAGAGAAAGAAGAACGTGCAAGACAGAAAGCGCTTCGGGGCATACAAAAGGCGCTCGAGTTCAGTGAGCTAACAGAGCCATGGGTCGAGGTTCTCGTTGGTGTTGCAAACGTTGAGGATGGTCGATCTACCTCTCAGGAAGAATCAGCAAGGGGAAAGGGCGTACGCCGCAAGATTGATAAAATCCATCAAGATTACCGTGAACTCAGGAGAGGCAATACTCTGTCGAGCTTGGGCTTTGATCAAAGGACTGCAGAAAATATGAAAGTCCTGAAGAAACGTTGTGCCGATATCAATGAACTCAGATCACAAGACCATCTTCAGGACCGTGAAAGACTACGGACAGTTCGCGATGTGTACCAGACTCTGATTCCAAGTGCGGTCCGGCTGGCTAAGGAGGTCCTCAGAGCCCGCTTTGTTGACAATGTCCTCGGTTTTGAGGCTCATAAAGAACTTCTACGATTTTTAAAGATTGCAAGTGCTTTGATTGAAACAGCACGGCAGTGGAGCCCCAGACCCGCATTGGATAATGGAATCAAATCCATTGTTGAAGGTATTGACACGAATCTTAATAGCATCATCTCCAAATACGAGGATGTTGTTCTGGCCGGAAGAGCCGCGGCACATAGAGAGAAGTTAGCCTTACGACAGAAGGCAGACGAGGAACGGTTGCTAGCCGCGAAGCAAGAAAGGGATGCTGAGCTCAAGGCCATACGGAGAGAGCAGCGAGCGCAATACTACGAGAAAGCATCTCGGCGCCAGCAGCGGCCGACAAGCGAGTATGTCCTTCGTGTTGACGACACTACCGTGCGTCCGTCTTGGCCGAGGGACAGGAGACAGGCTACTCCCACAGAAGAGATTCCGCCTCCTGCTCAGACCAGATGGACAGATGAACAGACAATAGTTTTACTTGAGGCACTTCAAAAGTTCAGGGATGCCAGCCGGTTTGAAGATATTTTTGAGCATCATGGTGGACCGCAGGGCAAGTTGCGAAACTTCGATATGGATCAACTGATGGCTCAAGCGAGATATATAAAACGAAGCATGAGCGATCATTTGGCAAAACAAAGCCCATCGGATCCTCAATGGTCATGGTTGATCAGCTGTCCTTGACCTTTGGCCTCGGATTTGTGACGGCCTTCGAACCATGCTACATGTTTCACCCCAATTAATCTGGTGAAGGGTCAAAAGAGCTGGTGCTGTAATGGTGGACTGCAAATTTCCATTTTAGCGTGCTTCACGATACCCCCATTGATGTACTTTCATGAGACATTTTACGATATGCAGCAATTCAAAAACATTTACACAGGCAAACCTTGTCACCGGCGGCAGTGTTTAATAGTTTGATGCCTGCTTTTGCTGGTAACAATCGCCCTTCCATGTGAGTCAGAGGGCGTGAAGCTGTGCGCCAACCTGCGACATGCCCAACCGTGTCCTAAGATCATAACACATCATTGGATGCTAAGATATAGTTAAGAGACGGCGGTGAATAGGGATACATTGCTTTTGCGGGATTATCTGGGATCATCGCATGCATTGGTATCCCGGATTGGAGAAGCAGGTAGCCGCCACAACCGATGGTGATACCTCATAGTAGCGAAATCGGAATGGATCGTCAAGTGTCTCCAACGTGGGGTGTAACCGTGATGAACTTATTAAGAGTCACCAATGATCCTAAGCCAGAATATTTATTCTCACGCCCTCTAGCAACCGAGAAGGCAATATGTCACGCGAGCAACCAACAACTATGCAAAGTCATCGTGCATCCACTGGACCATCTTCCACAAACATGGCAGCATCCAGAGATGATGATGGGCTTGAACTCAGCACCTTTGGTGAAGACTTGTCCTCTCACCATGATGCAGGTCAACAGGAACTGGCAAGGAAGAAAGCACGCGTCCTCGTGGCTTCATCGCTCCTGCAGCTACCAATTTGGGGTACGCTCCTTCCATTGTGCTTTGTACTCCCCTCACGTCACTTCCACTGACTACGCGTGTGTAGGTTTTGCTATGAGCTATGGTGTTTTCCAGGAATATTATACCAGCGAAAAATTCCTGAAGGGTGCTCAATCTTCTACTGGTGTCATCGGAACAACTTCAAACGGAGTCGTCTACTTGTCCATGCCCATTCTTTTCGCTCTCTTCAGTCAACAATGGGCACGCTTTCGACGCACTGTTGCCCTTTGTGGGGTGGCACTGAGCTGTATCAGCTTTGTTCTAGCTGCTTTCAGCACCCATGTTTGGCAGGTCATTTTCACACAGGGTGTTCTTGCCGCACTCGGCAGCGCTCTGATCTACAGTCCAACGACTCTGTCGCTGGGCGAAAGCTACAACAACAGCAATCGGTCAGTAGCCTATGGCGTTGTCTTCTCCTGCAAGAACATTGTGGGCTCTGCATGTCCTTTCTTTCTACAATTTCTGCTGAACAGACATGGGTTCCGCAACACAATGCTCATATGGGCAGCCGTCATCACAGTAAGCAGTGCCGCGGCTGTGTTCCTGATTCCCAACCATGTCTCCACTGCATCGAGGGAGGTCATTCGACCGAGACATACGCCGTGGAAATTCCTCAACCACGAGACATTCTATATCTACAGTATCGCTACGCTGATTCAGAGCTCTGGGTACGGTATTCCACAGACATATCTTAACTCATATGGTCAGGAAGCTGGATTGCTCTCCCAGACGTCTGCTACTTTGCTCTTGACACTGTTCAACGCCCCTGGCATCATCTCCAGTACCTTCTTCGGTTACTTGAGCGACAACAAGAGACTTCCTTTCTCTGCTCCAGCCGTGACATGGATGTCAGGAATCTGCTCTGCACTTTCGGCCTTCTTACTATGGGGTGTGGGACCTCGCCAGAGCATGGTCACTTTGACCCTCTTCTCCATTACCTTTGGTTTCTTCTCCGGCGGCTACAGTGCTACCTGGGGTGGGATTATCAAGCAATTGGAACGCGAGGCTGCAGAGAGAAACGAAGCCATTGATACTGGTGTCGTGCTTGGCCTGTTCAATGGTGCAAGAGGCATCGGCTACGTTGGTGGTGGTCTCGCTGGTGTACAACTCCTCAAAGCTGGAACAGCAAGCATGTTGGGTAACTCTGGATATGCCACTGCCTACCGCGGACTCATTATCTTCACAGGAATAACATCTGTATTCGGAGGCTGGAGTCTCATATGGCGGTGCAAGAATCTATTGCCTTTAAAGGCCTTTCGATGATTGCTACAAGGCCACAAACTCCTCAAGGCTTGTCCCTGAGGCCATACGCGCTTGCGGGCGTGTTTCGAACAGTCCATCACTATGCACCTCAAATACTCTATAGTATCGATGAAATCCTCTCTGATCGTCTTTTTTGCGAGACCAAGGAGCAGTTCAATACCGATGTATATAAAATTACAAATCTATGGTTGATGTGTGGGTGACGGCAACCGTTGTCTTCACAGAGTCAACATGCATTGACCACTGGGCTGCAAGATTACTACAAAATATCTTCGCGGCGACCGCCGTTGACACTTATGTTGCAGCTTGCGCTCTTTATGTCACATGTTGATCTTAATGCCGAGCGCCCACTGGCAGTGTTCAGGCAATGTGATCTTTCCGAACAACTGATATGTGACTGCCTCCTAGTATCTTGCACGACGCGATATCTCTCTTTGGAAAACAACCTGATACTCTTCGAATACCAATTCGGACGCTCTCACTGGTTGTCTGTTACCTATTATTCTTCCAAGATCCCTCATGGCCGTTGAAGAAGATCAAATTCGACGGAAGCATTCCAGACACTCCCAACCGTTCCCAACTGGAGCTTGACAACACTTCTGACCACAGAACGAGTGGAAAGACTAAGTCTCCAGCCTTACCTTCGTCCCTTCCACTGAACAATCTTTTCAGCAATCAAGTCGTTTGAGATGTCTTCTTCTCATGACGCTCTACGTCAGATATTGCAAGCAGCTGGGGTCAATTAGTCTGAGGATACTTTGCCTCAGAAGCTGGTCATAGCCCAAGAAAGAATTCAACAATTGCTCAAAGAACAAGAAGTCTAGCGTTGTCCCGCTTCCGCAACTCTCAGCGCACCCGCACAGGCTGATCTTCCTCTGTCAGGCATCATAATCGAATGGTCTAACAGAACTCTTTGATGCCTGTTCCCTGCTCCCTGTTCCCAATTACCTTGGACGAAGCTACGCACCAGACCGGAAAGTACTCAGCCAATAGTCACAGAAAATGGGTAAAACTCAACAGGATTCTCCAAATTCGCGAAACTCTGCTACGCAAGAGGTGGACAAGGAAGAACCTCGAACAAGGAAAGCAAACCTTGCTAGCAGCATAGCCTGATATGCCTCCTCGATGTGAATAGGCATTAATGTGAAATCAGCTGGAGTGACTTCCTGAGTGACATGGGCTCTATCGGGACTATAGCCGAAAAGCTCTACCACTAGGTGGCTAAAACATTCCATGCCGATAAGAGTCTCAGCTTTGATGATTTTCTATACCTGTGTGAAGATCGGCTATAGAATAACGAATTCTGCCATTGTATACATTCGTACTGGTTGAAAAGCTATAGCCTAAAAACGAGAGGCCCTTCTATCCATACCCAACTCGTCTAGAACTAGTTAAGATCGATTATTTATGGATTTCCGTGTTGAGAAGTAAAGAAAGCCAATCTCGTACCATGCATCGCCTGGGGATGGCAACAACGCCATGCAAAACCCCACGAACTCCTGTTAGCAAGCTAGATACTTGGGGGCCCTACAAGGGGCAACAATGGCGTTTCGGTTGATATCTTGATAGTTAGATTGTGTTGGACCACTAACTAGGTGGCCTAACCTTTTGTTCTACCCACGAGTACCTAGGTACTGTTCCCATGATTTCGATTAATCAGTTTTCCATCCTTCCACGTCCGTCAAACATGTGAGTCCACTCGCATCTACAATATTCCACTCTGGCTATTATCTTGAATTTCCGTTGGACGCCTGATTTTTCTACACCGAATCGACGGAATAGCGACGACACCCGAGGCGTAAGGCAACTCCTTCGGGATGCAACCGACGTATATCTCTTAATTGACCTTGAGAAAGCTTGGGGGCTGCGCAGCCGCAAGGTTTAGTTGGCTGGCCCGACCTGGGAGCCAGCGTTTTCTTCTTTTCTTTAACCACTTAATCCCCTTCCAAATATTAGATACTTGATGCTATGGCTTCACATTGGATAGGCAATTTAAGTGTCATTGAAACACCAAATGCCATCAACTAGCCTGCGAACAATACTCATGGAGAGCATTCTAGGCCCTCACGTAGTATTTTTAACAGAACTTATCCATGCCCACCAATAGCAGCGTTCGAGATCCATGCCGCAATCAACACCCCCTAGCGTTTCACAGAGTTACACTGTTGACCACTCAGCCCCCTAGGGTATGTTCAGCAAGGCGAAACACTACAAGGCTTAGATCTGAACCGCGTCTACCCAGCAGGGATAGCGCTGTGCGGGTCTGAAGCTAGGGGCGAATACAAGAAAGCTTGTGTTGATCTTGTTCTCGCATCTCCTCTTCTACACCAGCGACTGCGAAAGACATAACTTACCATTCATCCCAAGGACATCCATAAAGCTACCCTCTACTCGCACTGACTCTCTACTAAACTCGTCCTATGGAGCATAAACACAACGAAGAATACACCAGCGTTCCACAAGATGTAGTTGTCCAAGTGGACAAGGCGAGTGACACGACAACGAATAGTCCACGACTACTTTCCTGCCCTCCACCAGTCCCAGATGTCTTCCAATGGAAGTTCCTGCTGTCCTGGCGCTTCCTAAACCCTTTCGCATGGTTTGTGCTCTTTTGCGTCGGCGGTCCTCTAATGGTCTATTTACTTAACTACAACATCGTAAACTCCGGCTATGTCGACTATTTCAACTATGGCATTAACGTCTCCGGATCAGCTCCGGTTGCTTGTGACGTCCAGAAGACCTGGAGCTCCTGGGTCACCATTTTCCAGATCAATATTCGCACCGGCTACATCAGCTTTACCACCGCCAAAATCTGCGACGTAGCATTCGATCTGGTCGTTGGTCGTATGGGACAAGCTATTTTGACATGGATGTCTTACCGTGTCTATGCCGATGTCTTCATTTACCTCGCTGAACGACAAGCGGTGCCCTATAAAATATTCTTCGCCACCACAACAAGACCCACCAGTCTCTCATCCGTCGGTTCTTACATCAAAGCCATCTTCTCGAAGAAAGGGATCCAGATTGCCCTGCTCTGGACCTTGGTAACGGTATCCTATTGCCTGGTCTACCCTACGTTGATTTCAGCGTCGACATCGCTCGTCGGTGCCACTGTGTCCGCGGTCAGCCTTCCCTCCGGCGGCACCGCAACAGTTGTAGACTATGCCAACAGCGCCGCGTACAGGTTGACAAACTCGAACCTCACGGACAAGCCAGACCCGTGGTTTGTCTATACCCGAGACGTCAACAAAATACCACCAAAGGCCGACAACATCATGTACATCAACGGCAAAGACTGGGGAGGCTCCGGCAGTGATGAGAAATTTGAAGTCAACAGAACCATGTACATCATCAGCAACACCACCACAATCGACGCCGGCTTCCACTATGGTGGGGACTTCTTCCAGATTGATCCCGCCAGGAATAAAGGCGGGGACTCTCTATGGCACAATCAAACCATATGTATGCCCGATTCCAACCATTACCAGTGGGGCGCGTCGTACGAATTGCTGGTCATCATTGTGATCTGCCAGATTCTCTGGTCCACGGCAATGTTGGTGGTATGGACATATGCATGCGGGAACAGTGCCACGCTTTTGAGTGGAAGGAAAATGGGCCTGTTTACAGCCATGTTGCTGCTATCTGAGCCGCTCAGAAAGGAGCTGGACGATGAGAGTGACGCTGCGCGCAAGCTTCCAACGAAGGGTAAGCTACACAGCGAGAAAAATCTCAGGGGAATTGCGAACACTATGGACCCCGTTATGTACGAGAATTCAATCTTGAAGCGAGTCGGGAGGAAAGGCAGGCAGGATGATAAACGATGACGGGCGAATGTATTTCTTCATCACAACGAGCTAGAGCCCCGTGACAGCTTGATCGGACGAGCAATCTAGAGGCCGTTGGTACCGACGTGTGCTGGTAGGAAAGAGACTCCGCGAGAAAACTATCTCACCACTACCCACCTAGGTAGGTCGCAACAAGTAAATAGTGGGTTACAATTAGAGTCCAAGACATACGGGTTCGAAGATCAAAGGTGATCCGAGAAGAACGTAAACTAGTGGGCAATAGTATGAAGGTTCGTTTAGACGGTATCGATGCCGTTAAGTCTCATTTTCTCATGTCTGTCTTGTATCCCATTGACCACGAAATGGTCATATGTGATATTTCGATATAGATCAGTCGGCCTCCTTAAGCAACAGTAAATCGTGTCCAATAGTCAATATACCTAGTTCCTAGACATCGAGATTCGATGTCATGGCAGATGTGACTAGATGACCCGGACTCCAATGCATCCAGGGTGGCAACTGAGACAAAAAGAATTCACGTCATGAAGAGAACAGAGGGTTACCCGGAAAAGGATATTAATGATAGATATCGGGAGATCGCTAATTTCCATTATCTGTACTAAGATTATAAAAAGCAAAATAAACATGACGCTGATGTTGATGTTGATGCAGAACCCAAACCAAAATAACGATGGGTAAAAGAACGACCCGCAGAAACCCAAATCTAGCAGCTATTAACAATCAAAATGTCCGACTTTTCTCCTCATTCATATTTCCCGTCGTCTAGGACCTGCATGTCGTCCATGCAAGACCTCCTCTTCTGGCAGTGATGAGTTTACAAGACTTCAATCAGAGCGGGTCCGAAGACGGTGGCGTTGGTGACGGCGACGACATCAGCGAAGCTGTTGCCCTTGGCAAGAACGGCGATGGTGAGGCCGAACAGGAGGTTCTCCTCGAAGGGGAAGTTGGCGGTGAAGTGGATCTTGCCATTGTCGTGGCTGGCGTATTGGATTGATTGGACGATGGGAACGTTTTGCTGGTTGATGTAGACGAGGCTCAAGTCTTGTGGGCCTGAAGCGTAGTGGCTCCAGTCGCCTTCGGCGGAGATGGAGAACGAGAGAGTGGTATCCTTGTCGGTGTTGATCTTGTCGGCTGGAGTGTCGAGGGACAGGACGCCGAATGGCTTACCGAGGCCGGCAAAGACGCTGAGATCGGGGCAGGAGCCTGGGACGATAACGTTCTGGAGCAGTGCGTTGAAGGCCAATTCCCGTGTGCTGGCGGTAAGGAAAGCGTTGGCAGATGGGATCTTGTGTTGGAGATTGCGGTAGAAACCGTTCTGCTCGCCTTCTTGTCCGATGACGGCGCCGACGCCACGGATCAAGCCGTTGTCACCGTTCAGGCCGAAGTGGGTCTGGACATCTGGCAACGTACCAAGGACGACATCGGTGAACGTCTGAGCAAATGCGATGGCGGATTTGAAGTCAGTGGCTGGGGAGATGTACTTGCAAGGCTGGATCGGAGTATCGAATTTGGCCAAGGCGCCGTTGGCATTGAGAAGGTGTAGCTCTTCTTGGGCCTGAACAGCGGTAATAGCATCGATCACGATTTGTCGCTCATGTGAATCCTCGAATGTGAAGCCATCAACATTGTTTGTAATGTTCTGGAGCAGTTCGCTGAAGAAGAACACCTCAAAGAGCTCGTTGAATGCGATGAAGCGCAGCGAAAGGATATCATCCGCAGCAGGCGCCGCTGGTGGTGGAGGGCCGTTGGGGAGGGTGCCATGAGCAGCTTCATTGATATCGTCAAGCTGCTTGGAAGGGTTGGCGATATTGGGGAACCCATTGGACAAAGGTAGTTGGTCATTTGTGAGCGTGGGAGCCGGCGCATCGGTCTGATAAGTGCTGGATACTGAGTATGAGCCAGAGTGACCGCCATCACTACCACCCCATGAGCCACCTGAAGCACTGGCAGAGTATGAGGGTGAACCCCTGTCCATGGGGGCAGCCGAGACGAGAGAGGCGAGGGCCAATGAGCCAAAGACAGGTGCTAGTTTGTTGTACATCATGTTGATGAGATTAGTATCGGGTTTGTGCGATAAAGAATGTGTCTTTAACGAAAAAGGAAACAAGGAAAATTCAGCGAAGAAGCTGAAAAATTATTAGACTTGTGAAAGAAAGTGTTGTTGAGTTCTGGATGTTGAAATGAAAGTATAGCATTGAAGGGGATCGAGAGCGACATATATACCTAGATGATCATGGTCACGCATTGTCTTCGTACCCCGTAAGGCGTGAAGCCTTGCAAATGCTCGTATTTCCAAGCCTGGGACTAATCACAGGAATTGGCTGACGTGGTGGCAGTGATCGGCAAGGCGTGGCGGACTTTTCTTCACCGACAACGCTGTCCCCGCCAGAGTCTATCTTGGTCGTGCTTATGCTGCGCATTGATTTTGTCGGCCACGGAGAGAGCCAGCAAATGAACCACCACAGTGTGTACGAGGTGGACGGCTGACTGGGTCGCCGAAGCCATTCAGCTCATAATATGTGGAGTCGACTTGGTCGGTACATGGAAGATTTTGGCTTTGAGGCCGATGACAAGCAGAAAGACGCGGTCTGCACACTGGCGATGTAGAGGAAGAAACGACTAAACACGTTCATGCTGCTGCCTTGGAGTACAGGTACCTTGAGAGGCTAGCTCTTGCCTCACCAGTTGAGAGTATATTTTAGGGATAGTGCTGACGGGCTCCTCATCTCCAAAGATTTTGCAAGGATGGACCGTACTGACAGCCATGGAGCCAAGCATCGCTTGAAATAGCCCGTACGCTTAGCCCGGCTTCTGCATTGTAAATTGCTCGGGCTGAAAAGCTTCGCAGGGCTTATTGCCTTGCCTTCAATGCTTATTTTTGTCATCTCCGGGGTTGTTCCCACTACATCCGCCCTCAATGACCATATTCAGCACAATGGCGGGCTTAGACGACTCCTGAAATGGTTGTTCGACGCTGAAAGTATGATGACGCCTTCTGTTCCGGCAATTGATCAACCGAGAGGGCCCTCGTCCAGCATCGTGATTTTAGCCTTAATGTCAAACATAGCACTATAAAATTCTGGACTCTCAAGTCTTTGCGGGATTCAAGCGTACTTCTCTCCAGAATACACTACTCATGCATCGGAAGACATGTCATTGGCTTCTAGGCACGTCAAAGACCATACTTATTCACGGAAGTCCGTGAGTGTGGAGCCTCATCCAACTCAATCCAGCTGCAGACTAATTACGGATTTCAGCCGGGCCTTGAGGTTTGCGTCATCCTAAAGGTCCGAGTTGGTGGTCTCACAACATAGATCATTTTCGATTGTGCTGACTTTGAGATTAGTTTGGAGAAAGAAGCAGAAACCGTCCGGTGAGAGCTAATTCCAGCTTGTTTTAATACTGCTAAATTGTCCTCACTGGTAGAAATCCTTCATAATCACGCGGAGATGACATCGGAAGCTCTAGAAAACCGTATATTGATATCAATACCATGTAGACCAAACGGCCTTCGGTGGAAGACAAAGACAAAGCCAACTAATTGATGAAGGTTTTCTCAACAGTGTACAACAAAGATAATTCGGTCCTCCTTGCAGACCGGAATACCGAGACCCATTACCTTGTATGGTACAGCAGACTTTTATTTACCGAACAGTGTTGCGCAAGATATTCCAGATCAAAGACAACCCAAACTCGAATTTGTCAGACTCGGGCTTGCTAGTCGACACTTCCTCGCGCTTTTCCTTCTTGGCTTTCTTGGGGAAGAGATTCTTGATCGAGAACCTCTTGACGCGGAAAGCGTAGTAGAGAGCAAGCCCAGCCGCGATGTTGAAGCCGATGTAGGCAAACATAATGCCTAGATTACGATACTGTTGCGATGGATAAATCCACGAAGCAGCCAGGATCTGATCGGCGTTTCTTGCTGGACAATATTCGCAGGAAGCAGTAGCACTCGGGTTCAGCAGTGTGCCCATGGCTCCTCCCTTTAGGTATCTTTCAAGATATGTTCCACAGTTTTGGCCTTGAGGAGGGTCAAAGACCGCAACTTCATTCTCGGAGCACACGATAGCTCGATCTGCAAGGCCTGTTCCAGCCCAACCACCTATGAGATACGTGAACGGTGAGATTCTATACATAAATCTGATTCGAGGTTAGCTAAAGAAATGGTGTGGACAAATAACCGAGAGATGTTACTTACATCCAAAAACCTGGTAGAGCGGACGGTGGTTGAAGAACACCATTAAATTGCAACGTTAGAGTAAACATGATTGTTGAGATACTACCGGCGGTTTCAGTGCTCGGTAGGGTAAAGATGAGCATCTGGGCGAAAGTGGCCGCAAACAAGAAGAATTGAAGAGTGAAGGCAAACATCATCCCAATCTCGCTGCCCGTTTGATGCATACCAAAGACTGGGAAGTACCAGGCAGCCCAGACAATGACAGATATCAGGATCTGGAAAGGTATCTCGACAATTACGTTTGCCAACAGGAACACAAACCAGCTATACATTTTCGAAGGGGCCTCGCGGACCTCAAAAAGCGAACGCTGTGGGAGGAAGTTTGACATTATCTATATCGGTTAGTTGCAGATAACATTGAAAGGTGATTAACTGACCTGATTTGTGGTGGTGGAGAAGGTAGCATTCAGCATGAAGATCGAAAACACCGTGTTTTGAAGTCCAGTGAGAGAGGAATTCTGTAGGAAGAAGCTGAACCCGATAAACAAAGCAGAAAAGGCCCCAGCTTGAATCTTCGCGAAGATATAATCGGGTTTTCGAGAGTAATTTTGAAACAATCTCTTCAAGACAAACTTGAACTGTGAGGTAAAGGGGGCGGCGAACTCCAAGGCGTCGTCTGGGTCCGACTGGGCAGTAGAATGATCATTCGCAAGACTGGACAGATCTTGCTTCATGACTCGATAATGATCGCTGGAAGGCCAGGCGCCAGCCCAATCATAGGAAGCATTCCCAATTACGCTCAGAACATACTCTGCAGGATTTTCCTGTTCGTCACACGCACGAGCACCGCCTGCCTCGAAGTAGCTGGTCAGGGTGTGGCAATCTTGCCCAAGTGGTCCAAAGTATGTCGTTCTACCCCCTTTCCCAAGGAGAAGGATGGAATCAAATTGCTGAAATAGTATAGCCGAGGGTTGATGGATTGTGGCCAATATAGCTTGTCCATTGGCAGCAAGCTTTCGAAGGAGGGTCACGATGGTCCACGAACTTTGAGAGTCGAGTCCGGACGTGGGTTCGTCGAGGAAGAGGATCTTTGGTTTAGCAGTTAACTCGATACCAATGGTAAGGAGTTTTCTCTGCTCGATGTTCAAACCCTCACCAGGTTGACCAATAATAGCTTCACTGAAGCACTCCATATTAAGCATCTCAATGACTTTCTCAACGTACGCAAATTTCTCTTGAGTGGATATTGACGCAGGTTGTCGGAGAAGGGCTGAGAACCTCAAAGCCTCACGGACCGTACTGGTTGCCAAGTGTAGATCCTGTTGTTGGACATAACCAGTCTTCCTTTGGAATGATGACTTCAGTGGTAAACCATCTACATGGATGGTTCCGGACAGTTTGCCAACCGTATTCTGTCTCTGGGCAAGAGTATCAAGCAACGTAGTTTTACCAGCACCCGATACGCCCATGAGACACGTCATTGTTCCTGGCTTGACCCAACCTGAGACATTGTTGAGAAGACGACGTTCCGTGCCACGGATATCAATATCGAGAGTCATATCTTCCCAAGTGAGGAGACTGCCATGAATATCACGGCGTGCTTGTTTCTGATTGCTCGAGGGTGACTGCTGTCCCTCAATAACACTTGTTGTAAGCTCAAGCTTATCCTGGACGGTCACCTCGGCGGCAATGAAATCCTTCGATCGTTGTGATGCGCTGGACTCAACATCATGCCCGCTCTTCCAGACAGATTCCGCCGCCTTCCTGTTGCGGAAGATAAGTCGTTGGGGGCTCGCCGTCACTGTTGATTTGGATTCAACGATCCACAGGTGAAGTGCAAGAAACGCCACCATGTAAGCAATTATAATCCCCAGATTCCGCCAGATATCTGAATAACTGTAGCCATATCCCGTTTGCACCCACGAATCACCGGATACTTCAACTTGATCTGGCATAGCTCCAATGACTGCACAGGCAAAATTGGAAACTCCATTCGAGTAAGGTGGAATGATGTTTTGTGGCGCACAAGGATATTGCCTTCCATGGACTTCATTGACCAATAATGCAGAGAAAACATAGCTGACAGGGTTGATATAGTTGATCCATCGGAACCATGGGTGCATGTAGGTTGTCTGTAGAGTGAACCCAGTGTAGATGACCATGATGAGCACTCCAAGCCCAGCAACTGCATAGGCGAGTGCTAGTTGCCGGGCGGCAGATCCAATGGTTCGGAATATAGCCGACATCATCAGCATACATAAAAAGCTGAATAGTAAGAAGACAAAAAACGGACCGGCTTCCGGACGCAGTCCGGCCAAGAAGTAGAAGACTAGATTGAACAAGGTCGAAATGACGAATTTTGGTGGAATATCGACCAGGAATGCTGCGTACGCATCGGCAAATGGGTGGTAAAACGCATACTCTTTCTGGCGTCGGACCACATTTCGCTTCCCAAAAAGAGATCCAATCTCAGTCACTGCCATGAGAGCGTTGAGCAGGGTTGCCAAGAAAATGACTGATCCTCGCGAGGAAAGACTTGCGGTGGTAGATGGAGGTCCATAATATATGCTACCGATAATCAAGCCAAGGATGACTCTTCCAATCGCCAGGACCACAGTTGATTTACGATCGTTCCAAAGAAGCTGCGAAGATCGCTTCATGCAGAGCTTGATTTGCATCGGAACCGACAAAAGATATGGCGAAGACTTTCGTGCGTGCTTCGCTTGCATTTGACGATGAACCTCTCGAACTTCGCTCAGTGGATTTCGAGTTGTGTATGTTTCCTTGTCTGCTGAAAGCTCAGCGATACAGGCATTATACTCGTCAGAGTTGAGCCAATACCGCTCAAAGTCAAGAGCTGTCCTCGGTACTCTGTTCTCAAAACCTTCTCTTGCTATTCGTTCCGACGGATTTGTAACAGATGTCAAGAAGTCCGGCGTGGTTTGTCGTGGAGGGCACTGCCAGCCCATTGAATGGAAGAACGAGGATGCCGCGCTGATTGGCCCGAAGTAAATCTGGCGACCTTCGTAAAGAACGAGGACTTTGTCAAACAAGTCATATATACTCTGACTTGCCTGATAGATAGCCATTGCCTGTGTGACTCCCATCACATCGGCAAGTGTTCTCAAGGAACGGGCGAATTCAAGGGCAGTCGCGGCATCAAGCCCCCTCGTCGCATTATCCCACGTCGCAATTGACGATCGAGCAAGGGCCATTTCAGCGATACTCACACGTTTTCGTTCTCCACCGCTAACCCCACGAATCGTGTCATTACCGACCTTTGTGTTATCGACATGAGAGAGTCCGAATATCCTCATCATTACGTCTGCCATATGATTCGCTTGTACTTCTCGAGTCACTCCCTGTATACGAGTGCGAGAAGTGGCAGCTGATGCAGCGAAATGGAGAGTCTCTCCAACTGTAAGATGTGGCAAATGTTCATCATCCTCCTGGTTATAGACCGCCCTTCCTGGAAAAGACTTGGCGAAGACTTCTTGATCTATTCCGTCGTACGTGATAATGGACTCTGGAGATTTTGTCAGGCCCTGAAGATGGCCAGTGATGGACTTTAAGAACGTTGTGCAACCGCTTCCCGGACGACCAAGTACCAGGAGCATCTCACCCCTTTTTACAGCACCATTTAAGTTGTTCAGAATTTTTGTGGGTTCTGCATTTTTCTTCTGAAAAAGATTGGGAAGATTTGCGAGCATTTTGAATGGAGATGCGATAGTCTTCTGAAGCTCAACTCCTGAGGCAGTTCCAGAAACGGTGAGTGATGTGAAGGCGACACCCACACTTGTACGTTTGAAGCCATCTTCTCGAAGTAGCTGTAGAAATGTTGTTGACCAGAACCTGAAGTCGAAGGCTTCGCTCCGAGGATCAAGACGAGGATCGATATCGGAAAGAGTTTCAGGGGCAAAGCCAAGGTCGCGGGAGAAATTTGTGGCTACTCTCGTTAGATCTGTATCCTGGACACCAGGATTGTTATGTCGATGGTTCTTCCTAGTCTTTTGACTCTTCGCTTGTTGTGCTATTCCATCCCGCAATTGATCGTGGATGGTTGCCTCCACAATCTCGCGATAGTCTTCTTCTGTGCTTGACCTCCGACTAGGATTGATAGACATGGTTAGTAGGAGGTTTGTCGCATGCCAGAAATCCACCTGGGCAAGCTTCTTCAACTTCCGTCTGGAGATCAGGGATGGATACTAGCCGGAACAAAAGGCACAATGAGCAAGAGGAGAACTAGGGTTGTACTTGAATGGTAGTGATGAGTGGTCAAAGCAAACCTGTGTTTTGACAGAGCCGAGTGCACGGTCGAAACAGCCATGATTAATGGGGTTCGGATGCCACTTGATATAGGAGCTGTGCGGTGCATGCATGTTGACTAGTAGATGCTAGACTCGTGCGTCAGGATTCAGGAAAAGTCAACATGTGAATTGGGTGCATGGTTAGCCAATGTCTATCATTAGAATAACACCTAAGCAATATTGTACAAGGCCCATGCGAAAAGTCTAATGATCAGAACTCGGTTGGCCGCGATGAGATACGAAGTACTATGGAAGTATTCGGTAGGGTGACACGACTGGTACATCCCATACACGAGTTCAAGCCACATGGTCGCAAGGACTTCTGAATTGGTAGAAGTTAAGCGGAAACAGGCAAGTCGACGAAGGTTTCAGCCTTTTCAGCTTAGGCGATAAAACGGCTAGGAGGTTGCCGAACCGTCGTTATTGATGTGGTGGGCGGGGATGGCAGTGCACGCCAAGAAACAGGGTTCAGCTTCGAATCATGCCCCAATTCCGGACTGTGAAGCATACGGACGAGCTGGACGAATTGGACGAACTGGACGAATTGGACGAACTGGACGAATTGGACGAACTGGACGAATTGGACGAACTGGCAGACAGGGTATCGCACGTAAACTGGAAGCAGGTACTTACTCCAGACCGAGGCTCATGACTCTGGAGACCGGAATGCCAAAATCCTGAGCAGTTCCTGTGTCTCGAAGGACCTCCATGACTAATGAACCTTCCAGCTGGTGGCAAGACCACGATGCTCGTATCCGTGTTCGCCTAAGCAGGGCCAAAGAACCAACGTCTGATTTCGTGCATTTTGCTGCCGTGTGCCGTGGTTCTCTTGAGAACCACATAACGCAATTGCTCAGGCTGCGGTTGCCTTCTTTGAATCAGGGAAGCTTCTTCGCTTCCATCGAATTGCTCCCTAAACTTCAAACCGCTCCAATTGTACCATGAACCGAGGATGTTAATCCTTGAAGCCCCTTGCCATTCGACGATAAATTCATCACACCTCATCTCCACGATCTAATACTCAATGGTTCGTACAGTAGGATCTCTGTGCCCTTCCAACTCTTGCAGTGCTACAATTCCCGCCACGAATGTGGGAGCCGATCATTGACAAGGTTGCGGTGTCCACAGCCGTTACCAGAGTCTAACACTATCCTTTCCAGGCCCAGGAGGTTGGGCTTCGATGATTATATCGAAAATGGGGCATTTGAACAAATAAATACTCTCACGCTCTGACTCGCATGCAGATTCAGACTGAGGCCTATGCTAGTAAGGAACCCTAAATTCTTTATTGAGTGGAATGGTGTGGACGCGGACAGTATGGTGGTCATTGCGCTCGCGCGCACTGACATATCTTTGTCCACGTCTGCGGCCATCGTTAGCATTGCCATTGTCATTATTGAAATAATGTTTGGAACGCTCCACCATCGAACCATGTCAAAATTGTTGGTCACGATATAAAGTACTGGGTACTCAGTGCTATCCATCATGTTGGTACCTTCCAATAGCCGTTGTTGCCGATAATATTCCTACAAGACTCAAACCCATACAACCTCGACTTGGATGAGATGGAGGAACCATTCTTACAAGAATTACCTGGACCGCAAGACCTGCAGGGGCTTGGCCTCGATGAGTTCGAGCTCCTGAAGACTGAAGCTAAGGTTGAGATTTATCATGAGATGCGAGGGCAGGATGAGTGCGCTCAGCTTACCGAGGATAACTTGCTCAGTCAATACTTGCGCAATGTTAACACGATCGACTTGTTTCACGACCTTTTGATCTTGGTCAGTCTGGTGACGGTAACCTCAAAGAGTGAGATCGTCGACACTGGATGTAAGAAATCTAGCCCTTGATGCATGAATACTCAATTAACTTGTTATCTTTCAGCGCTGAACGCATATATCTGTTTCTTCACCCTTCTTTGGTTTACCTGGCTGCAATCAGTTGTATTCGACATTCGGTTTTCCACGGAAACCATGCTTCACTTTGCGCACAAAGCAGTATCATGTGCAATGATGGCTATGTTCGTCGTATATGCTGTCACATACGACATGATCAGCGTCAAATCCACCGCTGATGGACCCAGAGCACTTTCACTGGTACTAATGGTATCGAGAGCAACTTTGGCCCTACAATATTCTGTAGCACACTGGCGAGCTTCCGAGCGCAATGAAAACAGGTTTCCGTCGTTGTTCACCATTGTTGGCTTGACAGTCTCAACGTTAGCGTACCTGCAAGTCTCCCTGGGAATGCATTCGGACTACGAACGATTCTCAATCTGGTATGGACATTGCCTTTGCCCCGATACGTCCCAATAAGATTCCAATCTGACCGTCATCTAGGTATATCGTATGTACGACGGAGATACTTTCAACAGTATTGCTGTTCTGGGAGTGGGAATTGGACAATCTCAAGACGAAACGTTTATTCGACAGACTCGGCATGTTGACCATTATTATACTGGCAAAGGGAGTCCTGGCTTTGTCACGGACGACCTACAGACTTTTTAACGAATTGAATTGGACAGCTACTGACCATTACGGCGAGCTTATGAGCGCGGTTCTTCTCGTGGTATGACCGTTATGATCGGATGTTTGAGTCATAGCTGACGCTCGCAGTACTTCATCTCGGTTCTTTACTTCAAGAACGTCAAAAGCGACAATTTAGACTCGTTGCGCCAACCACTCTGGATGATGTTGCACTATCCGCTACACGTTGCTACTTTGCTCATTTTGGAAGGTTCAAGTATGTCGATACTAATGAGAACGGTCAGCCAGATCTCTCGCGCCTGGGGAGAATTGCATCCTTTGCATGATTATCCAGACTGGAAGACATTCTTTGCTGGTTATTTGACAGAACGAGAAATTGTCTCTGATGTCAAGGAAGATATGGACACATTGTTCGAAATGACTTTCAGAAATGGAACGAGCTTACTCAATTGGTACGACCACAGCTTGGATGCTCAGAATTTCAGAAACATCGCCTATCCCTTTAAATCACCGAGATGGCAAGCTGAGGCTGCTAAAAAGATCAATGAGTTATGGGTTGGGGTCGATCGCACCATATTCGCTAGATTTGGTATAGATGAATGCGCCGTACTCGACTGCACATCGCTCGAGTTCGGAAAAGAAGCGAACCAGCAGCATGGAAGAGAGGCCGCATTTCGACTCCTTTACATCGCCGCGGGTTCCCTGCTTGTCATCCTCGCACTAATGTCCACACCCACCATGGGGGAAAAGGTTCACAGGCAAAAGATTTGGTTGTCCACTGCGATAAAAATGACCGTTGGAATATCATTCCTGGTGCCCTTCGGCTCCAATTGGATCCACTCTGCGAGCGGCAATGGGCTCTCGTTCAGTCCGTGGACGTTAATGATAGTCACATTCGGTTACTTTACTGGTAAGTTCTCAACCCCTTGACGAGAAGGTTCCTTGAGACTTCTGTGTGTGTGTAATTGACTAAATGATTGCTAATGATATCTGGAACTGCAGTGATTGCGTGCGACCGCTGGATCAATTCATCTGCTTGTCAAAGGCGGTCGACTGGTGGATTTCCGAATCCTCCCGAGTATGTCGAGTATGTCTGAAAACCCCTCGGATCGAACCCATCATCGAAGAGGAAAGGGAAACAACTGCGTTTGCAGGCGAACATGTGAAAGGGCAAGTATAGATGGATAGATCTGCATGAGATAATAGATTCTTCTTCGCCATGTTCGTTAATGGATATGTCATCCTAAAATATTAGGCTCCACCCCAAACTACCCCATTATGAAGCCCGAAACCCGGTTTGAACCCCGACTACAATGGATCAAGGATGTAGAAGGAGAACGTAACCATGGGGGTGAGTCCAAAACGACGGGTCGTTTGAATAAGTGATGTGGAAACAAGTGGGAGCTGTGGTAGTAGTAAATGGTAGATCCCCGCGGAGAAGCCAGGAGGTTATTTCCACTCATCATTCAGGATTAGCCTCGCCAAAGCCTTTGCGGGCCGATACTTATCCACGCCTTTGGGGGGTCCTTCCTTCCTGGTTGAACTATCGCTTAACAATATGTCTGTATGAGCCCCAGGCTACTGACTGATACACCTGCAAGGCTACAACGGCATGATATTATCGTTTATCGGATCAGGGTCAAAATACCGGTTGAGCGCCGGATCAAAATGCCACGACCTTACCCATCAGGAACGATACGACATGGATCTACCCTTGATCCGCGAACCACAGGGGCAACTACCGGATTCGAGTTCGCGTCGATCTTAGGTGGTAGACCATCTTCCACACTGCTGTTGTGGTTCCTGAGACGATAACATCATGGCCACTGGCCACTTGTTCCTGTGGGAGATTGCCACAAAATGAGTCCGGGAAGAGAGACCGCGGAAATGTCAAAGAGGCTGGTGGGCTCATTGTTTACATCCTTCGTAGAGGTAGGTATCAATTAATGAAGGGAGTCACAATGTGTCTCGAGTACCTTGTGAGTATTGATAGCCCCTGTACCATGTCTTCTTCTACACACATATATGAGGGGCTGGCTGTCGTATGCATATATATACACAAGGAGCCCTCAATCTCAAGTAGACACTGCTATACTGTATCGCAAATACGAGAAAACCACCAGTGCATAAGAGAATAGACCCAGCTTTGGGCTACACAGCATACTAGAGAAGCCAAGATGCAGCACGTTGACAGCAACCTCATCGAGACAGACCTCCCCTCGCGGATGGAGTATCTACTCGACTTCCTGCTCTGGGACCCTGCCAAAGACGGGCCACTGATCGAAGCCTGCAAACCCGTTCTCGCACCCATCGTCAACGACATCGTCGACGCAGTCTACGACCACCTTCTGAGATACGACATCACAGCAGCGGTATTCGCACCAGCGCAATCACAGTCTTCTGAGAAGACAGAATCAACGAAAGTCCAAGACCTCCACCGCGACCACGCCAACATCAAGTTCCGCAAGGATTTCTTGAAGGCGTATCTCGTTAGACTGGTATCGAACCACGATTGGACGGCGCAGAGCAAGTTCTGGTCGTATATCGACATGGTGGGAAAGGTGCACACGGGATCCATGGACTCCGGACTGAAACATCGCAAGGACAGGCCGGCGTTGTTCGTTGAATACCGCGACATTAATCTTTTGCTGGGATGGGTGGAAAATGCCGTCACTGATGTGGTCATGGGCGTGGAAGCACTCGACGTACAGACCAAGCTGGATATTCTAAAGGCGCTGAACAAATACTGGTGGATCCAGAATGATCTATTCGCGAGACATTACGTGGTCAAACTGGCGGATGCTCAAAAGGCAAAGAACTCCAATACAGGTTTGAAGGGACTAGTTGTGGCTGCCAATCCGTTCAACCCTGACAAGATAACATCGGCAGTCCTCGCTTGTGTGTCAACAGCAGTGATGTTTGGTGCATATTGGGCAATTTCAGGATGAGGCTGCCAAAAGAAGACCTAGATTTTGAGGTTGTAAGATAGAGCTCGCAATAGACATAGATACTCCACTGGGGCAGCTCATCGCGATATATTATTAATGACAGTAGACCAGACGCTTCTCATAGTTCTCGAAATCATATAGTGTCTTTTGTCAATTGGAAGTGGAAGTAATGCAACAGCTCTCTAAAACAGTGGCTAGCTTGTAGTACCTTTAGAAAGGAGTCCAACGAATGCAAACATGCCAAGACCAGAAAGCAAACATTTGGGGAAACTGCAGCAACATCCAGTCCGAGATTCTGAAGTGACCTAGATCGACGTCTGTTTCGACAATCGTTCGTAGCTCGCCTCAAAGTTCGAACCGGATACTGTTGGGTCGCTAACGTTCCGATACTACCGGCTGGGAACTATTGATATCTCTTGCGAAGCAGATTCATCTCGATTTCTGCCGGCTGCAATTCACCATGATCTGCTCCAGCTGTCGACGAATATTTCACTCGCAAATCGGCACTCTGCGCAACCAGATTCCCAAACCAACTTCCAGCTCCATATCCTCGCCCAGTATCCGACGGCGTTACGCATCCACTGTTCCAGCAACATCCAATGCCGCACCCACCGAACCCTCACCCTCGACGATAGGGGCGGCGTCCTCCAACACAGTCAAATCTCAACCACTCTCCACCCCTGGTACACCGTCAAAGACCTTACCCACGGCGGCGGAAGCCCGCAAGCCGCGAAAACTGAAGAGCTCGGTGGTTGCCGGCCAGGAGTTGAAAGGATTGGGCTATACCAAGGCCCAGCCCGTCATCAAGGCCATGGAGGACCATGAATACCCGGACTGGCTGTGGACGCTGTTGGACGACACCGCCAAAGCCGGCGAGGCGGCGGTCGATCTAAATGGTGAGTTTCTGGAGATGTGGGATTTCTCTATCAAACACCATAAGCTAATGCGCCACTTTTTCTAGCAATGACCAAGAAACAACGCGCCCGATACGACACACAGCAGGAACGCCTGCGCAAGAATATTCCCGTGAAAATTCCTGTGCACGAACAGAGTAAGGATCTGACGGGCCCAGGTGACGATGCCATCACCAGTCTGCAGCGACGGCAAGAGGTCACCAAGAGTGCACGTGTAGCAAACCGGAAAAATATCCGCGAGACGAATTTCTTGAAGAGTATGTAAGACTAAGAGGAGAACCAGAGCGGAATACAGAGACCGAAGAGGTTGCCACAGGAATCAGCAATATACCAGGGCTCGCCGTGAATGAAGATACTTTGGAGTTGTTCGATCGAGTGTGCATTATACTGGACGATGTACAAAAATACCATTCAAGCTAAAGGCTGCGATTGATGGCGGTCCTTCGTGTCTAAAGTCACCCAACCCTCCTCATGGATATCTGATCCATGAGACCAGAATCTACAAGGCTGTCTCTTCAACAACTGGCTCGCATGCACCCACCAGGGAAACCCCGCCGTGTATACCAGTACGTTCTGTACTACAATTGAGCAATAAGACATGTATATTAAACCGAATTTCGATTTGGCAGGACGAGGGCCAATTGATGGCCGGGGCCGGGGCAGATCCATCTCCATTTCCATTTCAAGAACCATAAAACTGAGACTTTATATTTGAGAGCCGAGCCGTACGTAGTGGTACTTATACTAGAAGCGGAGAACCGTCACCCGATATTCTATGTATCCCTCCGAAGTATCCATGCCCTCCCGCGCTCTCTATGCAGCCTTTCCTCTCTCCACGTCCCTGAAATGTTAGATCTCTCTGTAGAAAATACCCAGTTGATTGATGCCTTCCCCAAAAGCGCCGACTCCATTTCCCATGATTGATGAAAACCCCACCTAGACATTTCGTATTGATCCTCATGCGTCATGCGTCATGCTCGTGTTTCGTGTATTCCGTGTCCCATGTCTCGTAACCCAGCCACTGCGATATGGTATAGTTCAACGGTGCCAAATGGAAATAATGCTCTCCTTCCCTCGTGTCTCTCCCTTGTGTAACTGTGTGCTGGCAGGTCAATCAGATCATGACGGCGTCGTGATTTGTTTGGTCCGATTATCGTCACTCAAGCCATAGACCCAGCCGTCACTGTAGTGTGCTTCTTTGCCGAGCAATGCAACAGCTGGATCCAGTGTCTCTCCTATCTGGCATCCAGGAAGCACACGTGACACCCCAAGAAGCCCAAATCGTGCGTATTGTATATCATGAGATGGTCACCATGATCATTCATGCACGCACACTGCTCGTGCCCGAACTCCATCTCAAGCGGCGAAGGCCCGTCCCACTACCGCGGATCGCCTCCTGACCACAGCCGGCATTCGCGCCAGCAGCACCACCAAGACCGAACTCACCCTCGATCCTCCCGACCTCGCGGCCCCAAGCATACCCGGCACTGAAGCTGATGGCGGAGAAGACGAGCACGACGCCGGCCGAGATCATCCACGACGCCAGCGTCGGGCTGATGAGGTCTTCGCCCATCAGGGCGGCGGCTTTGGCGGCACGCGCTTTCTTGACTTGGCGCTCCTTGCTGGACTCGCGGGACTTGCGTTTCTGTTGCTTCTGGGGCGATGAGGATGGTCGTCTGTTGTTGGATTGTGCGGATGTGGATCCCAGTTCGGATTCGGCGACGAGGCGGAGGGTGGTCGGTTGGGTGGATGCTCGTGTGGGTGCGGTTCTTGATGTCGAGGGCTGCCCTTTGGGTCGAACCGCTGCGGCACAGGAGAGGAGGGTGGTTAGTGAGGCACGCAGCGCAGCGTCGTGGTCGGGTTGGTAGGATGACATGGCGGGATGGTTGTTTCGAGTACGAGTCTGGTTCTGATAGCTGCGCTGGGTGATGGTTCGGTCCGCGCCAGTAGTAGATGGGACCGCAGGGAAGTAGGAGTCGGGAATGGGTCGAGGTTGAGACGACGGAGGATGTGAGAATGCGTTGGGCTGTGGGGTAAAGACTCTGTTCATGCTTCCAACCCCTAGTGCTGTTGATGTATCATCGTCATCACCACCGGCACCATCTTGGTAGATGTCTTCATTGGAGCTACTCATGACTCTTTCACTCTCGCTCTCGCTCTCCTCGTACTCATCTTGGCTACTGCCAGTGGTACTCGTGGCCCGTGGTTGACGTTCATCATTATTCAATCCTGACGCTCGGAGATGGCGTGAAAGGCGTTCTTCCTGAGGCCGGATACTAAGTCCGGTGGTAACGATGTCGTTGGTGGTGGAAGATAAGGATGAAGAGGAAGGACGCGAGGGTATCTCGATCCAAGAATCTGTCAAAGTAATGAGCGAAACTGGGTCTTGTTTGATAATGGGGAGGGGACTTGTGTTACCTTCAGACCGAATGCCTCGAGTACTTGCGACAGTGGATGTAGATGGAGATGAGTTGGATCTGTCGCGCTCAGTTCTCTGTGAGCCAGACGACTCGATCTGTGAAGGTCTCATATTGAGGGATCGATACGGCTCTTTGAGAAATGAGCCAGGGATTGATCAGGTTGGAGTTAGACTTGGCCGCGGTGTAAACTATATGTGTATACTAGGCGCAAGTGGCTGATCCAGGCCCTGGGGATGGTGGGGTTTGACGATTTCCTAGATCAATTTCAGAGTGTATGAGATGACCAAAAGTGGCACGCGAGTGCGATGCAATGGGTTGAGAAGGAGTTGTAACAACTGAATGTGATGCCTGAAAGATGGATGATGGGGAGCGTCTCACCGCTGACGACGTGATGGTTGAAGGATGGTGGGGGTGTCGCCCAAGTGTGAGATGTATCGGGATGGTGACGGATGGTGGGATTGGGTACTGGAGATTACGCGAGTTCAACGATCTGCACGTGCGGTACCAGCTTGGGCCCGTGAGATCTCTTGACGTTTCTATTTCACGTCCAAGAGTCACCTGAGGACAAAGAAACGGGACTGATCGTACCTCTCTTGACCACGTTGGAATATATGGTTCAATACCTATGTCAGTACTTAGGGAAGGGGTTATTTCATGCAAGGAGGAAACAAGGTCAAGATGGAGTGGAGAGCAGGTTTCTTTGCCCAGAGCATCATGCTCCATCAAAGGCCAGCAGGTGATGCTTAAGCGTGGAATCAAGGCCAGATGGTTCTTTCAGGTGATTCAGTCATACTTGAACGGTGGGTCACGCGGGTGTTTGGTTTGACGAGTACGTGGAGGTGGTGCCCAATTGAGATGGAAAGTGAGGCCTAAAAGGCTCAAGTGTTGAGCCTGGCGTGGAGGCTGCGGAGGCGGTGTCCAGATTCCACATTTTAGCCGCTGCCGATCTCGGCCATGATGCATGGGATTCTGACTTGGCTATTCTAGTCACGGCCCGTTGCCAATCAAGATTCAAAGATGGAACAATGATTATGAAACAATATGTGGAGAGGATGGAATAAAGAACAATCAGCGGTAGAAGCATGAGCAGAAGCAAGATTTCAATCAGAGACCATTCCATTTGTATTCATTTTGAATAGAAGAAATACATGAGGAACAGGAAAGCCCATTCAACTTTTGACACCATAGACCTTGCACCCAACCCTTGACTGAATACAACAGGAAAGGAGATATGCAAAGACCGAGAAATCCACCCCATCGTGTTCACTGGGGATACGTGACATCTAGCAGTTCATCACAACATGATACTGGCGTAACTTAAAAGGTCGTCTTTCGGCCAGAGAAGTCACCAAAGCCACCACGGTTGGTGCTGCCGCCACGGCCGCCTCTGCCACCACCACGACCGCCACCACGGCCGCCACGATCTCCAAAGCCTCCACGGCCACCTCCACGGCCTCGACCACCGCCGAAGCCACGGCCACCACCACCTCGTCCACCGAAGCCTCCACGAGCTGGGGAGTCGCCGTTGTTTTGACGAGGTTGGCTATAATCAAGACGAACAGCTCGGCGTGCGATGTAACCTCCCTGCATCGATTCCAATGCGGCACTGGCTTCTTCAACGGAAGAAAAGGTCACGTAGCCAAAGCCCTTGGGTGCTCCGGTGTCACGGTCGGTGGGTAGGCGAACGCTCATGATGGTACCATGAGGACTGAAGGCATTGGTGACATCATCGCTGGTGCACTCGAACGAGAGGTTGCCGAGGAATAAAGTGTCGGTTGGCTCGCCGAGTTGGTCACCATAACTCTTGCGGCGATTGTCTTGTCTTTCTCCATTGCTTTGCTTGGGGTTCGCGAAGTCAACATTCATGGCGCGGCCATCGAGTTCGGCTCCTTGCTTAGCAGCATGTGCCTTGGCGGCATCAGCAGGGTTGACGAATTCGACATATCCAAAACTGTAGATATGTTAGTCCGACAAGATCTAATTCTCAGTGTATATATATCACTTACCCCTTGGAACGACCCGAGTCACGATCAGTCATCAGTCGAACTCCACTGAGTTCACCAAATTCCTCGAATTCCTGACGAAGCCAGTCCTCATCCACATTCCATGATAGGTTGCCAACAAAGAGGTTGGGGACACCACCTGCGGCCGAGTCGTCAACCTTGCTTTTCTTCGCAGCAGGCACCTCCTCTTCTTCAGCCTTGCGCTTGGTGGACTTGACCTTGGTCTCGACCTCTTCATCTTCTTCCTCGTCACTGTCTGACGAGTCATCGCTGCTAGCACTGTCGTCACTCTCGTCACTCGCGTCATCGGAAGTGGCAGCTTTGGCGCCGTTGGCCTTGGGAGCAGCGGTTTCTTTCTCCGAATCGCTCTCGGAGTCGTCGGAGCTCTCGGCATCAGAAGCAGAATCAGAATCAGAGTCGGCGTCAGAGTCGGCAGCGGGAGCGGGAGCGACTTTGGAGGTCTTGGTGGGCTTCGCAGCAACTTCTTCCTCAGAATCGGAATCTGAGGCAGATTCGTCACTCGACTCTGATTCTGAGTCGGCTGCTTTGGCAACCTTGACCGTCACGGCCTTGCCATTGGTGGCGGCAGTTTCCTCCTCACTGTCAGATTCTTCAGAGTCGGATGAGTCGGAATCTTCCTCCTCCTCAGAACTTGACTCGGGTGTGGGCTCCTTGACAGGGACCTTCTTGTTCTTTTTATCTTTTGTGGTCTCTTTGGCAGCAACCTTCTTGGCGATCTCCTTACTCTTGGACTTGTCAGTTTGAGCAGGTTTGGTGATGGAAGCACCCTTGACCTTGTTTAGGACATCGGCCTTTGCAGATGTAGCCTGCTTGGGGGCAGACTTGGACTTTGTCTTGGACATGACGAACACAACACGGACTAAACGGCTCTTACTGAGGGGAGCCATGTTGATTAATAGATGTAATCGTAAAGACGGGAAATTGAGGTAGGATGGGAAAAGCGAAGGATGCTAGGGTGTTGGGATGGTAAACTTACATAGCAACCCTCAGATGATAGTGAAGTGGTCCCTCAGAAACCTCTTTGAAAGTACTCGAAGTACGGCAAACCCCTCAACCCACAGAGTGAATTTATAGAGCCCTCGACCTCAGGAATTCAAATGCAGAAGCAAATGACGAGCAGAAATCTATGATATCTGCTAAGCCAGCAATATGCCCTCAAAGCTTTCAATTGGACTGGGACGGAATCGGCAGGATTCAGACAAGCAAGACCTGCGACTTGAGATGTTCAAATTGCCCTCGGTACGGTACAGACCCACAGAGCCCTCGATAGACGATCTAGTGATGCCCTCGAATAGAAATGCCCACGAATGTGAATACTGGTGTAAAGAGAAAAAATTGATGTAGAAAAGAAATAAGAAGAGAAAGGATGCGAAGGCAACGGCTTTTGAAGCGGTGGAAGCCATTGTAGAAAATTTCGAGGCGCTAGCCTTATCTTAGCGTGATTTTTGGCTTATCGAAGTCGGTGGCTGGAACTTTTGGAGAAGGCACGCTCAATGCAGGGTCGCTGCAGGCAAGAGCACAAGAGTGGATGTCGGAAGCTCGGAGTCAGTCCTCCCCATGATCACGTGTGAACTACACAAGAGCTGTGTGAACAGCAGTAGGTGAAGGTAGTGGGAGTCTCCACAGAACCTGACGTTGGGCTTGGTACGGATTTGTTCATCTGTCCTTAACCAGTTCAATCCATTGAAATCTTGTGAAGAAACAAACAGGTTCTTTCACAATGTCCAGTCCTTCTTCACATCGCCCTCGCAAGAAGCGGAAGCCAGGTCCTACCTTGGTCAGAAGTGCCACCATCACCGACATTGTCAAGCTAGACCCTCACGCCAATGCCGTCACACCGGAATTTCCACTGGTCTCATTTCTGTGGCCTTCTCGAGGGACAACTTCGCAATGGATCTTACTGCCATTGATATTGATGATTGTTGGACTTTTCAGATGGAGCATTGGTCTCTGGGGTCATTCTGGATTGGGAAAGCCTCCTTTACACGGTGATTTCGAAGCCCAACGGCACTGGATGGAGATCACGACCAGTTTACCAGTCTCACAATGGTATTTTTACGATCTACAGTATTGGGGGTTGGACTATCCCCCATTAACGGCGTACCACAGTTGGATCTGTGGCAAAGTGTAAGTCCCTCGGTCCCAGCTTCCCAGATTTCTTCCCAGTGTTGACATTGTCAAAGGGGAGCTCTCTTCAGCCAATCATGGTTTGCTCTTGATGCCTCGCGAGGCTTGGAGGATCCAAATCTCAAAATCTTCATGAGAGCCACCGTTATGGTGTCGGAATATTTGACCTATATCCCTGCCGTAATCATCTTTTCACGACATTACAGCCGATCGGAAGGCACAGGCCTGACCAGCTCAGTGATTGCTTTAGTTGCCATCTTGATGCAACCCGCGGTTCTACTCATCGATCATGGTCATTTTCAGTACAACACTGTCATGCTTGGGTTTGTCGTCGCATCTTTATCGAGCATCTATGCTGGACGTCCTCTGTGGGCGTGCATCTACTTCGTTGCAGCTCTTGGGTTCAAACAGATGGCGTTATACTACTCACCCATCATCTTCGCATACCTTCTGGGTTCTTGCTTCACTCCAAGAATTCGTGTGGGTCGACTGATCTCCATTGCTCTCGTCACACTGATAGCCTTTATCGTCTTATTTGCTCCATTGATTGGGGGAGCACTGTACGATCACTACCAAATGACGCCTTTGCCGCATCTTTCGACCCCGCCCATGTTGAGTGAACGCGGAATCACTCTCGATCGTACTGCACCCCGAGACATTATCCTCCTCCAGGTCTCACAAGTCATTCATCGAATGTTTCCATTCGCTCGCGGCCTCTTCGAGGACAAAGTTGCCAACTTCTGGTGCTTTACAAACACCTTTTATAAGCTGAAGCAGCTACAGGGTGTTATTGAGCTACCACGATTATCAGCATTCATCACACTCATGTCCATCACAGGGCCCATGCTTGTGGTGGGTGCAGTTCCAAAAGTATCACTGCTTCCTTATGCGCTCGCCACCTCAGCATGGGGATTCTTCCTATTCTCATTCCAGGTCCACGAGAAATCTGTTCTTCTGCCATTGATGCCAATGACGCTTTTATTGGCCAGCAAGAAAGGTTTGAGCAAGGAATACCGAGCCTGGATCGGATATGCCAATATCGTGGGCATGTGGACAATGTATCCACTCCTCAAACGAGACGGACTGCAAGTCCCCTACGTTGTCGTCACTCTGCTGTGGTCTTTCTTACTGGGTCTCCCACCAACCAGTGCAAGCGTGTACTACGATGCGGACAACGAAAACATCACCGGTCGAGCTCTTGCCCCAGATGACCTGAGAACACCCACTAAGATACTACATTTCCAATCCTACGTCATCATGGCTTTCTGGCACTTACTGGCGGCATTCGCTTCGCCGCCAGACGACAAGCCCGATCTGTGGATCGTAGTCAACGCGTGTTTTGGTGCCGCCGTGTTTGGTATCTGCTATCTGTGGTGTTTCTGGAAATTGGTCTCGGAAAGTGGTTTGTTGGATTTTTATTTCACGGAAGGCCAAGGTCGTGTTACCGAGCGGGAGCGTTCCACTACGCCCACTCCTGAGCGAAAGAATAAGTGAAAAGTCTATTCGTGTGTTGGACTCCAGGACCACGCGGTATTGGTTTGATTCAGATATAATCTAGCAGTGTGTTGTCATCAGTATCTATGTGTGTGTATCACTAGAGAGTAACCAAAATAGGACAGAAAAGAGAAAGGAGAAAAGCAGGAAAATATACATAATTCTTCGTTCATCGTCATGATCATCAGGTACCCAACTCAGCCCATCAGAGCAAATACCACTCGTCATCTCAATCTCTCCCTTCAGATAACCAAAACACATCACGCCTCAAAACACCACCACTCGTACTCCTACCCCATTCCCAGTCGCAATTCTCGTGAAACCCCAACAAGCAGCCAACTCACTCATAATTAACCACGCCCTTAACGGCCCAAACCTCACCATTGCCCACCCTACCCACGACCTCATCAACAATCAAATCCCCCGGCTTCACAACCCGCACTTTCTCGCCATCCCTACGTTCCCACTCCCACCACAACCTCCGGCCCCCCAGGGTCTGCAAGGCATTCTCACGGCCCTCCAGCCACGGACTCACGGGGACGACGTGCTCGAGGACGAACCTCGCCAGGTTCCCCGCGGCCTTGTCCTCGTTGCTCTCAGCGCGCACGCTGCTGTCGTCGCCGGGCCGGTCCTCCCACGGCTTGCGCGGCAGCGACTGCATCGCGCTGTTGAGCGGCGCCAGCAGCGTCGTGTTCGACGACGGGTTCGTCGAGTCCAGCCGTGTCGTCACGCTGTCGATGTCCCGTGTCAGCGAGGCGAAGATGTTGATCTTGCGCGTTTGTGGGAGGATGTCGCTTATCGAGAGTGTGCTTGTGCTGGAGCTGGTGGAAGGGTCGGGATTGGGGTTTTCGGCTGATGGCCCGGAGGAAGATGAGGAGGGTTGGTCGGGTTGGTCGACTGGCATGATGGGGTTTTGTTGTTGCGCCTGCGCTTCGTGGTCTGGCTGGTTGGTTATGGCGATGAGGGGAGAAGGTGTGGATCCGCTATTGCGGATGGCGTCGAATGGGTAGATTGCTGCTGCGAGAGACAGCGAGGAGAATATAGATGCGGCTAAGAGTGCGTGACGCATTTTAGAGCGTGAGTGTCAGGATATGCCAGAGATCGGGTTGAACTTGAGAGGGACGGGAGTGAATCAAGTGGGTTTTACTTGAGCGATGTCCAGTCCCAACTCGAATATGACGTCGCTCACAATGGGTCACGTGAGACCTGGCCTCACTGCCTTCTACGTGAAGCAGATCAGAAAGATGATGACACATCGCATGGTGGAAATGTACATCAACAATACTCATGGTATTAAATCAGGCACAATATATACCTACTTACACTACTCGCAACCTCCACTGTATGTCTGATTCAGTTCCACCTCAATTGAAATATCCCCAAAGACGCTCAGTACCAACTCGACCATCAAAACGACTCGAAAAGTCAATCATGCACAAACAACAGAACGATCTCGGCTATGGGGTTGACGGAAATCGCGAACAAGGGGGCAGGCATCTGCTGGACCGCCAATCGATTAGATGAACTTCGCTGTTTTGTGGCAACAAATACACCAACCTCGTGCAACTTGCTATCCTGGCATCCTGATCCGCAAAGCAAAAGCAAGAGAGACTGATGGCTTTTCTGTCTCATATGACACAAATCATGCTCTTAAGCAACAGCCCCCTCTTGCTGAAACAATGGGAGACGATGAGATGACCTAAAACCCAAAAGGGTTGTTGGCACCTGGTAGTGATGGTCAGTCTCCATTACGAGAAGGCCAGGAGGCATGAAAAACTTACTGGCATTGGCAAGATTCGCTCGCCTTCCTGTTGGCTGAGGAACTAATTTCTTTCCTTCAGTCACCCCAAACTTGACCGCAGGTGCTGGACCGGTCTTCTGTGGCTGGAGAGGCGCTGGTGTCGGCATTTGAGGAATTGGAGGGACTGGCGGCGGCTGGAAGTTTCCATATCCATTACCTTGAATCTGGCCAAACCCAGTTTGTTGTGGCTGTAATGGCTGCTGATACCCTGTCTGCTGCAATTGTAACGGTTGTGCAAATCCAGTTGCGGCCGGTTGGATCGAATATGGCTGCTGATATCCGTTTGTCTGGGTTTGTTGAAGAGGAGACGTGAAGCCTGTTCGCTGTGGCATGAGTGCTGGGGGCAGCACAGAATTAATACCGCCTGGTGGTGGGCTCTGCTGGAAAGGTATACCGGTAGGTTGAGCCTGGAAGGAGGGTCGAGGGTCGGCGAATGGACTTCCAGCAGCATTACCGTTAATGTAAGGTTGTTGGAATTGTCCAAGTTGTGGTTGAGGTTGATAACCAGTAACTTGAGGGACCATTCCATATGGACCCAGTCCCTGTGGTTGAGTCACGAATCCTGTTGCTTGGGGTTGAAGGCTCATCTGTTGGTATTGTTGTTGCAACCGCTGTTGATTCAAGTCATTGAGGCTTTGACCTGGAGGAGCTTGTAGTGCCGATGTAGCAGGTATGCCAGTCAATTGAGGTTGCAAGGGTTGAAGGCCAAATTGGTTTTGATGTGGATTTTGTGGCGCCGAAGTTGGTCGCGGAGGTGGAGGAAGCAATCCAACCCCAGTGAAGTTTGATTGAGGAGCTTGTGGTCTCTGTCGAGCGATGTTGATCTGTGGATTTTGCAGCCCAGTGGGTTGAGGCTGTTGATTCAACTGGGAGAAGAACTGTGGATTAGCACCAATGTTCTGTGCTTGCTGGACTGGTGCAGGTGAGACCGTGGGCTGAGGTTGTAGCTGTGGTTGGGTTGGAGCAGGGGCTGGAGGCTGTGGTGTTGGCTGTTGCTGAACCGCAGGAGTCGGTACAAGAGGCGCATCGAGCAAGGACAAATCGACTGCTGCACCAGTAGGTGGTTTTGGTGCCGGTGTAGCCGCAGGAGCCGGTTGCGAAGGCGCTGCTGAGGCCTTTGACGGCTTCACAGTCCATGCATCATCTTCGAAGCCACCCTGAGGTTCTCGAGGAGGAGCCTGCGTGAGCGGTGTAGCCTTCGCCTCTGGAGGTGGTTTCTCCTCGGAGTTAGTCGCCTTGAATGCATCCTGGTCAACCACATCGCTGACTTGTCGAGTGGCTTCTGGTCTGCCTCGCCGGGTGTTGTTCTGTAAAACACCATTTGGCCCCGCGAGTGAGAAACCTGGATCACCGTTTGTCCCATTGGCACCCTTGGTTCGGGCGAATTTCTGGTCAAGGTACTTCATGACCTTCAGAGCATCACCTTCCTTCAAACCGAGTGTTCTCAAAGTATCGGTGGAGATATCGGGAAGTACTGATTCATCCATGGAATCACGGATCATGGCTTGGGAATATCGTTCGCACTGGTGTGGTCCAACACCTGCCTTCAGGAAGAAATCAAACCAGTCATAGTCGGGGCCTTTTGGCTGGCCTGATGCGCGTGGTTCAATGGAGGCGCCGCTTTTTGATTTACTTTGTTCAGAGGATTGACTTCGACGTTTCATCTTAATCAGATCAGCCACTGGTATGTGCTCCTCGATCGATTCGTTCGTTACCTTCTCAACATATGCAAGGTCTTCTGGCGACATCTTTGTCACTGGGACGGCGATCTTGACACCATTGACCTTGTGCAAATGGATCTTTCCATCCGAAACAGCCAAGAACTGGGCCTCGACTTTGAACGACCCTGAGTGGTCAGTCCATGTTCTCACCTTTGATGAGTCCGGTCTGGATCTGCTCTTCTTGCGATCATCTCGTTCCTTCCGATCCCTCCGATGTGAACCTTCGTCAGCTAAGCTGCTACCACGCTGTGGAATGGCATTGGCTTCTGCTCGAGCTGCTCGGGCGGACTCTGCCTCATGTCGGGCTCGATCAGCCCTCGCCGCTTCCCTTGCTAGCCTTTCTTCTTCTAGGCGATTCTGGTCCACCGCCGACTTGCCCGCATTAATACCAGATCTCGATGGTGGTTCGATGGTGGTAAACCCAGTGATTTCCACGTAGCTACTTGGAACAACCCCTTCCGCTCCATTCTTCAGACGCCTCACATTCCACCATTCTTCAGACTTTGTGTCATCAAGAACGACGACTTCATCACCAACACCCACGGTGACCTCATCATCGCCTTGAGCCATGAAATCATACAGAACTTGACCCTTTTTATGCGTGCCGGGTGTTGAGGCTGCTGCGATTACCTCTCGAATGCCTTCGGCACGATGCAGTCCGGCGATCTCTCCCAGCGCACTTACAATCTCCTGAGCGGTATCTTTAGCACCGGCATGGAGGTCTAAACTTTTGCTTGGGCGAACAAGTTCGATGAAGATGTGTTTGCCCTCAATAGAGTAATGTGTCATTTTATCAGCAGTCCATTCTTGGGATGGACCATCGCGTGATTTCTCTGGAGAGAGCATGATGATACCAGTTGCAATGTTGATTCCCAAAGTTGTAGGCATTTTTCGCCTTCGACCCATGGCTGAGACCATTTCATTTATATTGTAGAGATGGAAACCGCCAGGTGATCGGATAGGTGCGTCATCGTTGTCAGGTCGGGGCACTGCTCGGTTGTAGGGGGGAGATGGTAGCACACCCGGGGCCTCATCAGCGTATGAGCTAGTGTGAATAGCGGGAGGAGAAAAGGATTCTGAGTTTGGTCTGCGCGGGAGCTGTGGAGGTGGTGCCTCATCTTCGCCGTCTGAAGCGTCAGGCGTTGGTTGTTGGTGTGGCTGGTGGGAGATGGCTCGAGCAGCAACCGGAGAGGCTGGACCACCTGCGAGGACTCTTGCTAAATCGGCAGCTGGCCCAGAAGGAGTTCTGGTGGGAGAGGACGGACTCGTGGGAGATTGAGCGGTCGCAACTGGAGGTAAGGAGTGGCGGTGGGAAGATGAAGCGGGAGACTTGGGAGCGGCAGCCCCCAAGAGTTCAATATAGTTGGCAGGCGCAAAGCCAAAGTCACCATTTATGCCTACCAAGGTCCAGTCAGGATCTGAGGTATCATAAACATCGAGAGGGGAGTCTTCGGAGAAGGAGACTTCCTCGTCGGTTTGACGAGTATAGTCGTAGAGGGCTTTGGCGGAATGGGTGGGTATCGCATCTTGAACGTAATTGTTTGGGATCAAGCCTTCAGGTTCGTCGTCTTCATCACCCGCCGCCTTCTTCTTGGCCTTCCACCAATCATCATCTTGACTCTTTTCCAAGATATATAGCAGCTCGCCCTCATCTATTTCAAGCTCGCCGGTGCTTTGAGGTTTGTAGTCGTAGACGGCGGTGCATATTGCCACGAAGCCCATCCTGGGGAACGCAGAGAAAGGTTCAATATGATGACTCTAGGGCGAGTTGGAAGAGACAGGCCATCAAGACCAGAATAGTAGAATGAATAGAGAAGTGGGTGGGATGAGGTATGATATTCAGTAGACGTGTTGTCTCGTTTTGGGAGTCTAAGCGAAGACGGTAGTAAGATGGGTGGTGTGGCTCAGGGTCGTCGGGTGCAGCGGACCAAGGAGGATGACCGAGGGCAGGTTGTTTACGGGCGATGGTTGATGTAATGAGTGTGTTTGCAGTAGATTGGTCAACGTGCGGCAGTGAGGAGAGGTGAGAGCGAATGTGCAGTAATAGGTGTGTGAGATGGACGATGGCGATGGTCACAATGGTGGTGATGTTGGACCTAGAGTTTCTGAGCCGAGATCGTAAATGATGAAGAGTAAGGAAGAACGACTATCAGAGTAGACGTAGTCGTCGGGTATGCGTAGTGCAATGCTGTTCGTGGCGGTAGTCGTTTCAAGCAGAAGTTAATGGGAATACCTGAGTTCAAGTGAGAGATACTCGTACGGATAATTGGGGATGATTGCTCAGTGGTAGTCTCAAGTCACAGGTGCAGGTGCAGGTGGACGGCGCCGCCTAAGGACTTGGGAAGCTGGGAAGCCACCCGCTCGTCTTTGGGAAGTTGGCGCACTGGCAGTTGCAGGACGCACGAGGCTAACTAACCTTCGCACCTTCCCTCCCCAAGTTAGGCCTTCCTTTCAGGCTCGATTGCCAAGTCCCGACACGTGCCCGCCCTGGCTACAACGGTGGCCATTATTGTTGTATCAAAAGCCTTCGCGTGAGCGTCAGGACCCGGATTGCTAGGTGCCTACCTAGCCTATACCTACCTTGAAGGTCAATTGTCAGCTTCGAGTCACTGGCGGTATAATGAGAGAATGCCACCACTTCAGGTGACAAGCTCTTGTTTTGCGCTGAACCGTTCACTTACAATACCTGCTATCTTAGGGAGGTATCTACCTACAGTAGGTAGTCAGGCATCGTCGTACCTAACTAGGTATATGACGCACTACGAGTCTTAGTTCTAGTTGTATTCATTTACTACCTCAGCTACCTAGTTGGTACGGTTGAAGCCTTCATTCTCCCTTCATGAACATGGACAATCAGCCTCAGATTTCGCCCTTGTACTCCTCTCGACTTCCACCAACATCTTCTTCGTCTGCCAGTGCATCATGGTCCTCTGTGGGCTGCTTCACCACTTCCTCTACTTCATCGTTATCCGCAGAAACAACTCCTCGAAGTTGTGTACGGCCATTGACATCATCCAGTCGTTCTATTTTCCAATCCTTGGTACCAGCCATCTTCTGCAATTCCTTGCGAAATGACTCGACATCATCCGGATCTATCTTCATCTTCTTCAGCTCGGATTTCGACAGACCTGAAATCTGTCCATCCTTCTGCATCAGGACCGTTTCTGCCCTCTCATCTTGAGTGAGCACAATTCGTCCTCTTTCTAACTTCTTGCCTTCACTGCCAACGTATTTCATGCCACCGACTTCGATTGATCCGAGAAAGATCTTCTGAGGTGCGGTCTGCTCCAGGATCTGTGGAGCCGCCGATGCCTCATATTGTTCCTCCCACGCGTCGACGTCAGATTCTGTGATGATCTCTTGACATGAAATTGAATGTGCTCGGCTTTCTTTTGGAGGTTGAAATGCCACATCGTTGCAAAGGCGTGGTGTATAGATAATCATGAGATAAGCACAGGTGGCAGTTTCCTTGATCCATCCGATGCGATCGGTGAGTTGGGGATTGCAATGGAACTGCACCTCGACCTTGCGAGGATTCCCTGTCAGGTCACAAGCCGTCCCTCCATCGAGACGCTGCACCAGATAATTGGTCTCCGCCTTGGTTTGAACCTCGGTGGACAGTGCATGGCTACCCTCTGCCTGACCCGACTGGTCTCCAGCCTGTACTGGCTTGAATTTTCCTAGAACGTAGCTTGGTGTCTGCGGATCCTCCTGCGGTGGCCATACTCTTCCATTTGTACCAGGCGGTAGCGCATGAAATTGTGTGACTTGTGAATTGTAGCAGAAGGAATATGTCCACCATGACGTAGAATAATAGAGGCATTGGTTTGATGACATTCCCTGTAGTAGTTCTGAGCCTCGACTAATGGCCTGTTCTAGTTCCTTCTCACGATCGATTGCAGAGGGTTCGCCTGGAGTCCCATTGGTACCCGCTGGTTTGACTTCCGGGAGCAAGCAGAGATATGGCGAGCCATGAAGAATCATGCGCTCCCAGGTCCCTGGTGTTTCTGCACTCCTGTCACCAGGTCCTTGAGGGCTATCTGGGGTAGTGATCTGGGAGACATCGCTTGAGGATTTGGGTGTGTCAGCTTCGACAGTCTTAGCTCTTAAGAGAGCCTCTGCGTCGTCTTGTAGAATGTAGGAATCTAAGAATTCGACATCGTACTAGGAAGCCAGTCAGTTTAAACATTCAACAAGAACGACTGCGATGCTTCGTACTTGGGGATATGCGAAGACATCGTCGTTGACACTGAAAACAGTCTCACTGGCAAGGCAGAAGGCTGTAATCAGGGCAGCTGAGATGACATGTTGGCTCTTCATGTCGACATTGAGGCATTGTGCACAGTCGCGAGGCAGGACTGTTCAAACACCGTTGCAGCCTCGGAATATCCGGTTCAATCACCACCGAGCTCAGATAATCTGTTTCACCGGGCCAGACCGACCTACGTTGGAGCATATTGTCAAATTTGAACACCTTCATGTGTTTCTGCTGCAGTGTCCCTTAATCCATTTCCCAATCTCCATCTCCGTCAAGTGTTGAAACAAGACTGTCAGTAGAGTCGATTCTCTAATTCATAGATCACCCAACTGCATCTTTCAGGTAATACTTTACCCTGTAATCGTTGAGCACAGCGGGCGACAGGGTGGGAAAGAGGGTTCGTGACCCACGAATTCTGTCATGCCCTGGGTGCCAGGTATACTATCCTACTGCTGACATTCCATAACTTTCTGTCTTCGAGACAACACCTCAAAAATGAACTTCATATCGGTTGACCTCAACCCTTGCCCGGTGCTTACAAGGTGAATCAAGAAGTGTCAATTCTGGGTTCCTTATTCCAGTGTTGCGCCCCTTTTACCGCTCAAAGCCGCAACCATAAACAGAGAGTAGCAACTTTGTCTCTGTCCAAGCACCGTCACATTGGATCGGAACTCCGGCGCTGAAAACTCAACGGCCGATGAGTTTCTGCTTTCCTAGTTGACATCCAGGGTACTCCCTCAAACTACCATTAGCGGATTGCTCTCCAGGCGTGCTAAGTCCCTCCGATAGGCAGAAAATCCTTTTGGTACAACATGCAACTTCGACTGACACTCTTTGGTCGTAATCGATGGCGCCTACCAGGGTTAGCGGATACCGATGCACATGATCGCCGTACCCGTGATGCTTTCGCAGAATGAGCAGACGGCGGGGAGCCATTACTGTGAGTTTCAATTTAGTCGCCTTCCTCGATCTGCACCACCTCTTTAGAGATATTGTGGTCATAGTACCACGCAACTGCATATCCTGTCACAATGGATGGAAGCCACATTATCAGTATGCCCGGGAAACGGATTCTACCCTCAACGTGGCGGAGGGTCTCCTTTGCAATCGCTTTGAGTGTTATCGTTGCCATTGTCTGGAGTGTTTCACGTCCCAGGTCAAAACGGTCCATTTCGCCGCAACAACAGCGCCGTTTGCGGAGTGGTTGGAGCCTCCGAGGTGACGCTCATAGAGAGGATGATGACTTGACAAAAGCTGATAGTCTTGAATATCACTTGTTGGCGTAAGATACGTTCCTGCCATCTTCTGTCGACACGAGGAGGTCATTTTGAGGTTGAAATTGCGGCGTTGGTGGAGGGGGAGGTAGCGGTATCGGTCGAGAGCCTTTGAACTTTATCACAAGCCCTGCCCACAGCGGGCGAGTCGAATACATTCTTAAGAGGGAGAGAAAGTGTACATCTTTATCTAGTGACAAGACCCGCGATGGTTTACGTTTGAGCGAGGAGTGGGATCAAAAGCAGAAGTGTAACCTACTTTATTCTTGGGGTCTGTCCGCTTTGTAGCGTGGCTGAATGTAAATTCAAGGCTGAGATCTAGTTGGTAGTGAACTTGTAAAGCAGTAAGCCTGAGTGTATATAGCCTTAGCGAGGCTGAAGATCCCCTTCAACATTATTCTATTGGGCATCATGCTAGCATAGAAGGCCACTGCGCCCGGGTTACCTTGCTTCGATGTACAAGAGACCTGGGTTGTCCTACTAGTATCATTATTAATGCTGCTAACGTCCGTATTGCATACGCGAACTGCGCCTCACAACATTGAAGTGAGCCCCGAAGCAACCAAGAAATATCCTCCCCCAGCCCTGCTGGTCTGTCGACGGATTGCGACAACTCTCAGATTTCGACGAGAGCACACATGGCAGGAGTGGCCAGATCCTCCTCGTACCCTTCAGTTGACGAAATCAACCAGAAGCCTTGGAAATACATCGGATGGAGGGGATATTCTCAATTTGCAGCCTCCGATGACGATTTTATGGTCCTACGGAGATTCGATGTTAGCACCGTGCGCGTACTTTTAAGCATGCAGGACAACATTACGAGGCTCGAGGAGAATTTGAGCAAAATTGACGATGAGTGCAGCAGGAATCATGCTCCCGATATCAACAACGGCACCTTCAGAGACGAACCTCGGCCGGACCGCGCAAACCTGATTGCAAGTCTCAAAACTGAACTTTTGGAATATAGTATAGCTTTCAATCCGCAATCTGACCACATGTTTGCGACGTGCTGATCGACCTTGTAGAAGAAATGCTGTGGCTACATTCAGAATTGAAGTCACGGCCAAATGCTTGTCGACAGAGTCGGCGGAATGTTGAAGCCTGGTTATGGAACCATCCTGGGGCTCTGATGGAGTGCGAAACCCGCTTCGCGAGCGCCAACGATATTTGATCAATATCGTGGGCCATCAAAGATCACCGGTGAGTGTCCTCGAATACCTTAAGGTTTTCTGTCTTCCGCACGTCTTTAAGGCCAAGGTGAGTGCTGGAAGAAAAGAAGGTGTTCAGACCAGTTTTGTGATAATTGCACCAGGTTTGGGGCGGATCTTCTTCTGCAGACGTTATGACTTATAGCGATTCGAGCGTCGACGGTACCGCCCACGTACTACAGCTCATTATGGGGCTCGCGATGCTCATTGCGCCCCTGTGGATTCTCAAAAGCGTTGATAGCACCACAACACGGCTTGCATCAATCAGTGGATTTATTGTCATCTTCTTGCTTCTGGTCTCTTTCCTGACCTCGTGCCGTGTCTCCGAAGCCTTTGGCGCAACAGCGGCGTAGGTGTGCAAAGGGTATATGTAACCTCCCAGGGCTAACGGTGCATCAGGTAGGCTGCTGTGTTGATGGTGTATATGCAGAATGGGCCATCGTGCTTACCGAACTGAGCAACACAGCTGGCAGGGCGAATGCCTCCCTGCAGTCCTCAGTGGTTGCTCAGGGACGGCTTAGTGAGATTCAGCTCAAAGCTCAATTCAATTCCAGGAGACATCAAGCCTCGCTCAGCAGTCACAAGGATCAAGTCATATGTGGTGAATAGGTTTATCGTTCCAATGAATGAATACGTACTTGTGGAATGCAGTGGAGTGAACCTGGAAGCTGTGCAAGCTCAAGCTAAATTCATCAGGCCCCCAAAGCCTCGCAATGTTGACTTTGTGTAGGCAATCCCGCATATGAATAAGCTTGCCCACATTAGAAGTCAACGTGTGCTGCGAGACCTTGTGATGATTCTTCAAGTTCATCTTTTTCCCTGGTTGTTGACTGCCTGGGTAGGTAGGGATCTACGGAGAGGTACTTATACCTTAGGTACATGCCTGGCATCACTAAAGAGCCTTGGCGCTGCCAGTGCCCCTCACTGATTTTGTTTACATCCACCAATTCTCGGGCGTACCTAAGTATCTGATAGTCCTTCCCCAAGGCTGATTGTTTTGTGTCCGACCTGTCTCCCTCCCACCAGCGTCGAATTCGGTACCCTGCATATTGTTTCACAAGAGCTATTGCTAAGAATACCACCAGTCAACCGGCCCAAAAATCTGACAATGGCCACTAAAACCTTCTCCCTCGCCGGGAAGGGCCTGAAACTCGACACCAAAGAACACCTGGACGAGCATGTTGCCTCCCTTGTCGACTCCTCTACTGTCACTCATATCGATCTCTCTGGTAACACCCTCGGCGTCTCAGCATGCGAGGCTCTAGCTCCCATCCTCTCTTCCAAAGCCACACTCGAAAGCGCAGACCTTCATGACATCTTCACCTCCCGACTCCTAGAAGAAATTCCTCCCGCACTCTCCGCCCTGTTGACAGCGTTACTGGAATGTCCCAACCTCCATACCATCGATCTGAGTGACAATGCATTCGGCCTCAACACCAAAGATCCGCTCGTTGACTTTCTCTCCAAACATGTCCCACTAAAACATCTCATCCTCAACAACAATGGAATGGGCCCTATTGCAGGAACCTCAATCGCAGATGCCCTAACGACGCTGGCAGAGCGGAAAGCAGAAGCAAGAAAAGCTGGCAAAGACGTCCCTGACCTGGAAAGCATAGTCTGTGGGCGAAACAGACTGGAGAATGGAAGTATGGCAGCCTGGGCCAAAGCCTACGAGGCACACAAATCAGGCATCAAGAGCGTGAAAATGACACAGAATGGGATTCGGCCAGAAGGCATATCACACTTGATCTCCTCAGGGTTGTCCACGTGCAGTCACCTGGAGATTTTGGACCTGCAAGACAACACATTCACTCTCAAAGGTTCGCAGACGCTTTCCAAGGCGTTGGACGGATGGTCAGACCTAAAGGAATTAGGAGTCGGCGATTCGCTACTGGGGGCCCGAGGCGCGATCAAGGTCTTTGAGGCGCTAGGAGCAGGCAACAATAAAAAGGTCGAGATTCTGAGATTGCAATTCAACGACATCAACCCCGCAGGTGTCAAGGCACTGCTCCAGGCGGCGAAAGATGGTCTGTCAGAACTACGGAGGGTGGAGTTAAACGGCAACAAGTTTGAAGAAGAGGACCAGTCGGTGGAAGATCTGGCAGCCCTGCTAAGCGACCGCAAAGACAAGAAGGGTGGTGATGACGATCCGGACGATCATTGGGGCCTGGACGAGCTCGACGAGTTGGAAGGAGAAGACAGTGACGAAGAAGACGAGGATGGAGCAGAGGCAGAGGAAGATGACGATGAGGTGGAGGAAGATGCTGTGCGAGAAAAGGTCCTAGAAAGTGCAGATGCGGCGGAGAACGAGCCGGTCTCACAGAAGAAGGATCAAGAAGTCGATGACTTGGCCAAGACACTGGAAAAAGTCCTGTGATGAGAATTGGTCTTGCTTTCTCAATTGGATTCCCACAGCTCTTTCTCCTTTCCTTTTTGTCTTCAGCATTGGAGCGAGCCATCTACATTGCACTGCACACATGAGAACGCGAATACCCCACATGATGAACGGATACCAGCACTGCGGAGGAGAGGAGAGCACACTATTGGATTGAAGTAGACCCAAACTTGAATATTATTTGAGGGAGATAGCATGCTAGCTTGTTTTAGACACAGTTTGAGTCGTATCTATCTGGAATGCGCCAGTTAGTTCGAGTCGATTTTCTGACTTTCAAGCGACCGGGCATCTTCGTTCCACCATGTGTGGCCAATGATAATCAGAAAGTGTATACAACCAACGACGAAGCTTAGAGAGTAGACGAAACGCTTCCAAGTCCTGCATATCGTCCCGCTGACTTGAAATACTGGATTGAGGGCAACGAGTCGGTTCGCTGGCCAACGTGACTGAGATTTGGCTCCCATTCACAACGGTTAGCAACTCCCCTAGTATCGAAGAACTGGCCAGGTTGCTTCTCTTTCCTTGCCCTAGGAGTATGCGAGGCTATGTTTGATGTCCGCCCAGCCGAGGGACTCCCAAGTAGTCTGGTGATTATGAAGAGCATGTCTGGGTAAGGGACCGCTGAACCGGCATGGACTCAATTGTACACGCCACATCGTTTCTGCCCCGCAAGCAAAGACGCTCCAGTTCCGTCGTTATGTAAAGGTCGACCCACTGCAAGCGTTGGCCAACGGGCGGATGATGACTCTAGATATGGTCAAATGGGGTTTTCCTACTTCGTGTAGATCTTGAGAAGTCGGTCCTCTGCCCCCTCAAGAACACTCCAATGTTCCAGAACCTCCAGATTTTCGGCCTCGGCCTGAAACATCTTGTCTGGATCCTGCCCGGGGCCAAAAGGATTGGCATTGGCGGTCGGGTTCGCCTGAGCCATTTGCTGCGATATTTGACTGGCTGAATTCTCATTCCCGAGGATGAAAATGAACACACTCTGAAGGCCAAACAGACACAGGAAGTACCATGACAGACTCGAGACCCATCTGACGTCGAGATCTTTGGTCATGACTCCGGACTGCAACATTGACTTGAAGCGGATTGTTAGTGGGAATGGTAGTTTGAGGATGACGAAGCCGGCGAAGAAGGCATTGATCCACGACATGATCAGTGTTTGCGGGATCATCATGGCCATATTTCCCTTCATCATTCCCATCATCCCTTCCATGGCGGCAGGATCGGACATCGGGTTTGGGGCAGCTTGGCCCTTTGACTCTGGTCCGCCTTTCAGGAAACTTCCCTTCTTGTAGCCATCGATGAGATATTCTTTTCGGGCATCGAAGGATGCCTTGTTCAGTGCGGCAGAGTTGTTGCGCAAGTTGACGCCTTTAATTATTGCTGAGCGTTCGCGAGAGTCGGCGGGTGTTGGCGGAGGCTTGGGAGGACTAGCTAGTAGTACTGTCGCATAGTGTCGTAGTACTCCAGTCAATATCATGACAATCGTGATGGGAAGAAGGATCCAGTAGCTGTGCATGAATGGTCAGTCTGGTTTGGTTGGTCCTCAATCTGGGAGACTCACAATAATGCAGGGTCCCTCTGGATGACCTGCTCAACACCTTGGACCGCCATCTTGTGAGGCGAAAGATTGACTGGTGGAACCGAGACCAGAAGAACGATTGATTTGTTGATGTGAATGAAGTCGGATCACGGTTGGTATAACCAAAGTGGCACCAGATTGGGTATAGCACGTGAATTGACGCCAAGCCTACGGTCGAGTGCTAAAACTTGGGCCGCCATCCAGTTCAGGGCGGGCTAGATGGATCTTGTGTTTCCAAAATCGTTTTGTGGTTACCAGTTTTAGACCATCTTGATTTCGTTCTTCTAGCTATGGTGTTTCCAAGTCAGAATTGACGTATACAGGTCAATTAACATGTCTCTATCAATCTTTGAAGAGGGAACTATCCCCGAGAAACGAGCTGAAAAGTGCATCCCTAGGCGAATACTTTCCTCAGCGGCTTGCCCTTCATTGCTCAGAATAGAGTCCCTTTTCACTTCCAACGATGATTTGTTGACTGTGGTGAGTCTAAAAGGTAACATGGGAAGAAGAGAACCATAAGCCGCGGCACGAGGCTGAAGGACCTTTTGAAACCGGGGATGTGGTGGGGGCTAGATCCAATGTATTGGTGCTCTGCCCCTGCTGTTTTGAATTGGACTCGCTCCAGCGTTTCATTCCCCCATTTCTTATCGTCAACTTCCTTGACGCTTTACAACCCCCCAATTTCTTTCAGCTGTCTTTTATTGCGACTTATAGGATCCGTATGAGTATAAGTATATCCAAATCAGCAACTATAGAATCACCAATTTCGCAGTCAAGCTCAAGATGCAGCTGGAATTCATCCATTCAGACGCGAAGAACAGGAAACTGACCGATGTGGATCGTCGTACTATTCGCAGGATATCCAGGAAAGTCGGCGCTGCCGCAAGCAAAGAAAAACTATTAGACTTGAAAGCCACAACGAAGAAATCCTCTAAAGCTCATGTCGCACCGGTTAACGAATCACTCGAGTTGATTCGCGAGGACCAAAGAGATATCCAGGCACACAAAAAGGTGAATCTCCACTCGACGTTTACTACCATAACTCCTTCTCGTCAGCTCACATATTTTTAGTATTTGCGTGAAAAGCTTGCTGGCCCAGGATCTATACTGACCGTCGAAAATGCTTTGCCAATTGAGCTTTTGACCATAATGCAGCCTGACCTCATCTCGAGACTACTTCAATTGGCGTCAGTCACAGACGCGCTTTCCAACCCGAAACGATGGCTCAATATATGTCGCCTGGCTCAACAATCTGTCGTTCATGTCCTTCCTCAACGGTATGGACACAGTGGGTGCCTGGACGATGCCATTGCTTGTGTTGGAAGCCGTCTTCACCAGTGCTTCATAACGGAGGAAAATAGACTTGCATGCCAGCGACAGGTCGAGAAAGATTATGTACGCGCACTTCGAAGTTTGCAGGCGAAACTCAATTCTCCCGACAGTGTCAATTGGGATGTCTGGTATGCGACGCTGCTGTTGTGTCTATTCGAGGTTTGTTTTGTACTGCTCAATTGGCTTCGTGTGCTGACCTAATCTTAGCTTCTTGAGTACAACGATATGCGAAATTACATCTGCCATGCTAGAGGTGCATTCAATGTGCTTCATGCTCTCGGACCCGCCAACATCGTCTCAGAAGGCGAGAAAGACTTGCTCATAGCTCAAGCCGAAGTCATGGTAAGCGTAGGCACCATAGGGTAATATCAGCGTGTTTTACTTACTCTGCTAGATTCTGGAAGCAACATTTGCGGATGTAGACTGTTTTCTGAGCACTCCTGAGTGGCAGACAGCTCTTGAATCGGCGATAATCCCAGACCTGTCAACTCAAGATCGATCTGAAGCAGTGGTGAGTTTATGGAAGATCAATGCATTTTGCCCTGGGGTGTTCAGAAGAGTCACCAATGCAGTGGTTCATCAAGATCTCACAGAGAAGAGCGCCATTGTAAGCGAGCTCCACGGGCTCCTTGACGACTTCACGGATTGGAGTGTCAAATGGGATTGGGTGCTGGCAGGCGACCACCATCAGAAAGTCACCGACGCCCTTGAACGTGATACGGCTCTGAAGAGATCGAAGCTTCTAACAAGATATCTGGTATTCTTGGCAATGACGAACCGTTTTCTCATTGCGATAGACCCAACATCAGCTTCATATGCGGAAAGCGCCGCAGTCACGGCAGCTGAGTGGATTGTGCAAATCGCAGACCCACAGACAACCGATTCTGTCATGGGAGTGGGGATGAAACTCGCTTCGCTACTTGGAAAGTCTATAATATCGACCACAGATGACTGGGCACAACCAGATTTGCTGCCAACACTTGAACCCGAAATCTTTACATCTTGGTGTGGGATGCTTGGGCGTCCCACTTGATCCTGGTATGATTATACGGCCACCTAAGTTGATGTTTCGGTTAAACAGGAGATTTACCAACAAAACATGTGATTGAGAGAGCCTAGAACGAGCACACGTATTTTCTGACTCGCTTTATATCTATATTGTGTCCACTTAAGTGCCTAGGTGATGAGCATCTTTTTCTCCTTACTAAAAGCTCCACCAAAAAAAGCCCCGCGAGGCAGCAAAAAGACACATGCTAGGGAATGCGAAAAACCATTTTTAAGAGTTGTGCTAACTAAGAATTGTACTCCAGGTTCTTATATCTTGGATTCTCCAACAATTCCTGATAGTGGAAGGAGCGGGCCATTAACTATGAAGCCTGGTGTGCTAACCATAGCCAACTGCACCAGACCAAGAAGCGTATGTCTCGGTTCTCGTATCGAGGAAGTTGTTCGGGGAGATTTCCAGTTAAAAATCATTTGCGCTCGAGAGTGAATATGAGAACAGGTGCTTTAGGAGTGAAAGGAAGGGCACCTAAATGACGCTGGAGCGAGGTTGCTGTAGTCATTCCATTATTTCATGATCACAGCCTCGTTAGGTGATCAATTTACCCGAAGATCTTCCGATGCCCCGGATTTTGAACATCGTGTCCCGTAAGGACAGATGAAGGCTTAGACATCAACATATTCTCTACATACCAGAAAAGCTACCAACGTATCAGTATCTCTCGAATGGGCAGATGTTACAATAGGAGAGTCAACCCAGCATTCATCCTAGTCTCTGGTTATCCCAATCAACCCCAACAATGGCATCCTCACCACCACAGAAAGTGTCCCTCTACTCTGTCAATGGTATGCACTCCTCGCCAGCATCCGCAATCATGTGTGGACATTTGGCAATTAACACTCCTCAGATCTCAAAAATGCCACCGATGACGCCATAGCACCATATCTCACCTCGCTACCAAAACCCTACACCTTCAAACAACAGCACGGCTCCACCAACGTCCGGCTCGCCTTGGGCTACTCAGCGGTCGTCATCGCCGGAGTCCTGTTCTTTGCCGACTACAAACTAGGCTGGGATGACACCAAAGCATACACCGCACCCGCCTGCCTGGCCTACTTCATCCTCAACCTCGCCCTGACGTACTGGATCTGGCAAGAAGCCGGCACAATCTTCATTGGCACAAGGGAAGGTGGGCAGAAACTCACACTTAAGTCCTCGAGCAAAAAACATTCGCCCACCTATACTCTCAGAGTCACGTACGAGGCGCCCTCCGGGAAGAAATGGGAGGACAAAGTTATCGCCGGCTCTTTCACCCAGTGGTTCAACATCCATGGCTTCCTGCAGACGAAAGAACTCCAGGCATGGTTGAACAGCAATATCGACGTTCTATCACACGCTGAGAAGGAAGGCAAACCACAACCCAAAGTGGTCGAGGACAGCAACAGTCCTGCCTCCTCATGGGCCATCTCGGACGCCACTATCGCGTCTCTGAATCCCGCGACTTTCGCTTCTGGCATCGACGTCAGCTCCAGTCCCGCTGCCACGCCACCCAGCACCGTGAAGAAAGGCCGACCAAAGAAGCGGACATGAGCATAGCACTCGCTTAAATTAGTCGGGCGCAAGTCGATTTTGTGGGTTCGCAATCGACTGAAGCCTCTGTATCTAAGAGACGCTCCACGTGAACTGTCTACCGCTTCTTGCCACGCAATCCTGTTTCTCATGACATTTGGAGACAAAAGTTGAGCTGGGCACAATGCACACCGAGACGAAATATCACTTCTGTTTTCGAATGGCTGTTTCTGGTGAATTGCCCACAGCTGTGCCTGTCCAGGCAGCTTCGTCTTCGTCTTCGTCCTACGTTCGCAGAAGGTCCAGGCCAGAACGACCCTCTCCCAGTATGGTCACACTATGGCCCTCTGCCCTTCCCATCATTGCGCACTAATGGCATAAGTTCAAGGGCAACGGCGATTTTTGGCTGATCGGATGGATCCGTGTGTTGAAGAGAACACTACCATTACGTGATTTGCCATCGAGACAAGCCGAATGTGATGGGGTCGGTCGCTGATTTGGTGTGTTCGAATCAGACAGAATGATGGCGGAGAACATGCTCGAGAAGTTAGTGCCAAAGTATTTAACATCTTCCAACATAACAGGAAATGTTGTCCATCTTCTCCTTGTCAACCAAAACTGCCCAGAGGACAAGGGATTATCAACTTTAAGTTCCATCAGTAATTCCACGTCGATTCTGCAAATTCTAAAAGTAAAGAACAAGAACTTCTTCACGTAGTATCGTCTTCATCATTTATGTCATCTGATTTTATTTCAAGCGTCTCGTTGTTGTCTGCAACACGACAGACAGACAGTGTTCGAGTCGTACTCACAAATTGCCTGGCTTTTCGATCATCTACTGCAAAGCAACTGCACGTTGGCGTCTGAGTGCCAAATCTTCCCTCTCATCTACTCTCATGACTGCATTTGATGTGGCGATTGGCGGGCTGACCAATCCTAAACGCCTCCACACTCGTTTACTCATACGAGGACAAGGCACCCAAAGCCTCTGCACAAAGACATGCCTCTAAGACAATGAATTGATAACCGCACTTGCCAAATCTGCCTCATCCGTCCTGACACTGACTTTAACTGTAACTCCTGATTTCGTCGAATAGACCATCTTGACAAGTGCGGCTACCCGTCCACCAGTCACCGACTTTCCGTATAATTTCAGAGTGTGCTGTGTATTGGATAGAACCACGTCGGTGCCTTCCAGTGCTTGCAGAGAAAGAATTCGAGACAGCTGCTCCGTTGCATCTAATGGGAAAAAGTTAGTTTACGATCCTCAACATAGGATTAGATCTGAAGTGTGACATACCAGCCAAACTCTTGATACTGGACAATTGCAAGGTATCACTGGCTTCTTCGCCATTTGCGCCAGTGCCCTCCCAAACATGATCGAAGCTACCGGCAAAAGCAGGAACCACATAGTCGGCCCCTGTCAATTCTAGATTTTCGACTTCGTATTCGTCTTCATATCCACCATCTTCAGCCTCGCCCGTAGTTGGATCAATCTCTTTGCTTGTAAACTTGAGAACATTGGTGAAGCTTGTAGCTGGGAAGGTATTTTCTCCGCCCAGTTTCTTAAATGCCACGTAAGCGACACCAGGCTCATTAGTTTTCAAAGCTGGGGCGGGGATGATGAACTCTTCTTCCAGAGTTGGTTCATCATCTTCTGAAGGAGAGGCGAGAATTGTGACGTTCTCGAGTACAGTCTGATCCAGAGTGTTCTTGATGTCATACTGGAGGACAACGTGCTCTTTGAATACGTGTTTGATCGCGGAGACAACATACTCTGTCTCGCTTTCAGTCAATTCAACAACTTGGCTGGATTTCAGAACTGGACCATAAGCAGCCAGTTCGGGTATGCTGGAAAATGTTTGTGTATATTTCTGTGCTGCTGCCGCAGCAGATGGAGCTTCTGCAAGCCCATTGGCCTTTGGCTTGGCTGGTCCTGTGGAAGGAGCCTTGATGGTGGGGGTCGCTGTAGTGAGTTTCTTCGTTCTTTCTTCCGCGAGAGCTTGCTCGTGAGAGACAACAGGGACAGACTTAATGTCGAAAGCGCTGGCAAAGACAGACTTATCGTCCGAAGTCACATACATAACGAGTTTATGCTCGAAAGTCGACAAAGAGAACATCGAGTCGTTCTTGACGAAACGTTCTGCAATGTCGTCTTCTTCCTGCATCAGTCGGAGGTTAAGTGCAGCGCGGTCTCGAACCTCATCGTCCGTGTCATCAAGACACCTGGTCAACAAAACTTCAACACTCTTCTTCACGTCTGGATCTTTTTGTCCCACGCCAAATTTGGCCAAAGCGGTGACTGCAGCTGCTCTAACGAGCGCATTTTCCAGTACAACTCTGTTGTAGATGTAGCGGATATACTTTGTGGGTTGAGGTGTCTTTGGGCCTTCCGCACCGATGAGGTGCAGTATTCGAACCGCCAATTTCGTGAACTCGCAATCTTCGATGAATTCACAGAGATGGGATAATGTCTCCTCCTTGCTACCAGGAACGAATTTGATCAGGTCGAACATGCTCTCTACCACGGCACGTTTGAATTCGTAACCACCTTCATCTCTCAAAATTCCGCTCAAGAAAGTCAACATGCCCGCTTGTTTGTTTGGGAATTTCATGCAAAGAGTCCGGATGGCTTCCACTATAGTGATCTTGAACTCATCGGTGATCTCGGCCATGAAGCTAGAGATCTGCTTCATGAGTCGGTCCACACTAGCTTCATTGCCAGTCTTGAGTAGGGTAGTGATAGCGAAGGTAGCGATTGATCGATTGCTATTTGAGATGAGGGCTTCAATATCTGGATTGGCTGAATGGACAGCCTTTGGCTTGAAGGACGCGAAGGAATGGAGGATTCGGATTGCGGCGAATTTCGTGACGGCTCGTGGGGATGTTAGGAAGGATTGAAGAACATGAATCGCTTGTGCTGCTTCAGCATCGGTGACATCTCTGAGTGCGCAGATGGCCTTTGCGGCCTCGAAATTGACCATCTCGCTCTTATGCCGTAGCCAAGTATCCAGCATTTGGGTCATTGGCTTCCTCAAGCTTGGATCCTCTTCGGCAAGTCTAGCTGCTAATCGAACCAACATCATCACTCCAGCAGGAGATTTGACCGCCCCAGCAGCTCCGTACTGCTGTACCATTTTGACCAAAGCCATCCTGTCATGGGATCTCATCTGGTAGAGTAGACCAATGGCGTGATATTGATTCATGTAGTTGGTGTTGGCAGTTGCGAGCGAGTGTTGCGAACTTGTGGAGAAACTGAGGAACCCACCGCCCGACTTAGATGACGAAGCAGCTTCCTGGGTCTCGCTCTGCCATCTTTTGACAACGTCCTTTGCGATGGGGAGGAGTTGATATGATGAGACCAGGGCAGCTGAGGAGACAGCAGGCGACTTATCGACAATGGCGGTTTTGATCAATCGTTCAATCCCCTGGACGGTAGTCGCGTCGATGATTCTGCAAAGTGCACGAATAGAGTTCGCCTTGTAGACAATTTCACTCCCAACCGTCATGTCCTTCATTATGATACTCGTGGACATGATAACATCCTCGGCGGTCTGTGCTAGTTCTTTGAGGATCAAATAGACCATTTGGCGGAGGGACGGGTCTTTGTTCTGGAACAATTTCGAAATACCAAAGAAGAGAGTGGTGGCTTCATTTGTAGGGAACTTTTCGCCGGTGAACAACAAGACTGCCAGTTTGGTGAGGAGAGTCCGGCATTTTCGAGGTGATATAGGAGAGGAGTTGAATAGTCGTGCTGGTAAAGGGGATTAGTGGGGGGCTCTAAACAGAAGATGAGAGATCTGGGGATTGTAGTTGTAATACCATCTTGAAATACAGAGGTGCGATCCAGCTTGAAGCCGGAGTGGTCAGCATCCTCATCTTTCTTTGCGTAACTCATTGTGTGGACTGGCTCCCGCAGGAGTTATCAATGGAGGAGCGGGAAGAGGGTTAGGACGAGGATGGGCCAGGGCACGAAAGTTATTAGGCGGTGTTTGTAGCGGACTACCGCGGAATCATTGCGAAACAGGACAGAAGAATAGAGAGTGGAATTGACAGGCTATATAGCCAGAGTCTGAGAAGATCGGGATCGCTCTGAGATTGTTTGAACGCAGTGCTGTCAACAGGGAGATGAACTCGGATTCAGTTACGGTGTCCTTGGAGGATAATTTGTGTGGAGTTCAGGTTGAGCCCGTGCTAGTCACGTGTTGTGGCTACTGTGCCTACGCCACATTTAGAGCCACAGCCACAGCCCTGTCTATCAGATCCACTCGAATCATGATTGCTGATGCCTTCGTTCCTCAATAGAAAACATCCCTCCTCACATTTTCTCACATTCAAAGACACCAACTGGGATTCTTCATCATGAATGATATGCCAGTGAATGTCCCTGTGGACAATCCTAACGCTGACACAGAATGGTGCGTCACCCAAAAGAACTCCCCATTTCAAGAAAAATATAAACATTATTAACAACCATCCAGGAACGACATACTCCGCAAACACGGCATCATTCCGGAAAAGCCACCGGACCCAGAGCCAATAATCCAAGAAGCTCTGATCGAAGCGGCCAAACGCGCCCATGAGAACCGACTGGATGACAAGGACCTTGACGAACTCAACGACCTCGAGGACGAAGAGGACGAATTATTCCTCGAACAGTATCGGAAGCAACGACTTGCCGAGCTCTCCACGCTGCAGAAGAAGAGCGTCTACGGCCAGGTATACCCGCTGCAGAAACCGGACTACTCGAGGGACGTGACCGAGGAGAGTTCCAAAGCGTATGTGCTGGTGAATCTGACATCGCCGCTGGGCACGAATGTCGAGTCGCGGGTTTTGACCGAATTGTGGCGTCAGCTCGCGGTCAAGTTCGGCGACATCAAGTTCTGCGAGATCCGTGCGGATCTGTGTATTGAAGGTTATCCGGAGCGGAACACACCTACTATTCTCATCTACAAAGACGGCCAGATCAAACGACAGCTTGTCACATTACAGCAACTGAATGGTGTGCGTACAAATCAGCGAGATATTGAAAGCGTCCTCCTCGAAATTGGTGCTGTGGCGGAGAACGATGTCCGGTTGAAGCACAAAGAGAGCGACGAGGGTCTGAATGCAAAGAGAGGAAAGGACGAAAGTGACGACGATGACGACTGGGACTGAATGTGACTTACGACTTGGATGAGGTGATGCTGGTAGTCCAACACGGCGTACCAGTCTCTGTTTGTACCCATATTAGGGCATCAAAGCGAGCCCTCAACAGAGCCTGGTTCATCCCAAGTGCCCCGACTGAGCCGCAAAATCAACACAACAGACCTCTACTATTGTGATCAGCAGGACTGCCCGGTTAGCCCTATGCCTATAGATGCACAGATAGATCAGGTATCGAATTTGTGGATCGACAGCGGGCTGCACAAGGCAGAGTGATCCCGTTACGAATCTAGAGAGTGGTGATACACATGGGACGAAAAGGAGACCATTTGATAAAAACATTTGATAAATCAAAAAAGAATGTGCCTCATTCTACCAATGTAAACATCCTCTGATCATTGACCCATTCATGTGGACACGCACAAACAGGAAACTGGTGTTTTGGCTCACCCTGTCCCCTCGCGGGATCAACTTCCAGTCTCCATCTTGTCAACTCAATGCCGTCTCCTGCGCGAGAAGTAAGTTCCTATTGTATTCCAGGAGTTTTGGCTAGCAATTCAGAGTGCGTGCAGTGACGGAAAAGGAAGTTTCACTTTACTCGGAGTCTTGGAACTCGGGAATGGCAGTCAGCTTGAATGCAGCAGCCCGAGTAGGGAGGTGGTGGTCGGGAGGTTTTCCCCTCTCAATATATTTCCACGATTTGCGCGGCTATCTCGACAAGTCCCCTTGCCATTCCGTGACCTTGGAGTTTTCCCTTGTCTCTCGAATGTCATGGCAATCCGACGTCGCCAAAGACTAGAGTGGATGAGAATAAATAAATCGACAAATGCATTTCGCTGATAATTATGGATAGTCCATATACCCTACATCTCACCTGCATACGTACGAAGTAGGTTCTCGTTGCAGGATGTGGTAAATCTCATGTCGTAAAGTCCCTCCTCCCCAACCAAAATGGGCCTTCCAGTGATATGGCAATGCACGCTCCTGTAACTCCAACGCTAGATCTTTAAAAACAACTCCGAGTTGTACTTGACAACAGGTTCTGAGGTGGCAAAAATTGATCAGATCAGTTCGTCCCGACCTCCAGCAACAGCACTGTCGGCTATCGCTTGACGAATGTCACTTTCCAGAAATATTGGTCCCTGACCGTCACATCGTGCCATCTTCTTGAGCCGCTCACAAACATCACCGACATCTACCAAGCCCTTACGGAATAGTTCATGTGCTTGGATATAGTCCCACGTAGCACCTGACCCCATCATAGGCTCACCAGTTTCGTCATCCACTGTCAGGGTTTTCAGTGTGCCAAAGTGGGCATACTTGGAATTCGCATCCATCCCCGAAGTTACACTGCTGGCTGGAGAGCGACCCTTGGACGGGAGGTCTGTTGGTACCCACCCCAGAGGTCCCACTAATTCATCAGGTTCCTCTAAAAAAGGTGTCGGACCATTGGAAGCAGAGCCGGATGTGGCGCGAAGGATTTCGTTCTCGGTAGCAATCTTGGCCAGCTCTCTTCGTAGACGCTCGTTCTCTCCATTGAGTGTGACGGACTGGTGCTGTAGGCTGTTGAGCTTGGCCTCCAAATCTTTGACGTGCTTTTCTTTTCTCTCACGGAATGCCCGTTGCCTGCCGCAAATAGCGTTGAGTATAATTTGAACCAGAATGCATCGGTAAATATTACTTACGCAGCTCTATTCTGTGCCTTTCTCCTGCTCTGTTGGGGTGTCAGGATCTCCTTCTCCTCACTGCTACTCCGCGCCGCATCGTCCAAGGATCCTTCGTTTGTTGGAAGGGAAACATTATTCATGTCCACGTCGGGCATTGAAATCATGGAATCGTGTCGAACATTATTTGGTGGAGATTGATCGGGGACAGGATGCGGCTGGGCAAGAAAGGTAGAAGGATCATAGTGGAAACTTTGCTGGAATGCGGCAAACGCAGCATCGTATTGATCCTATGCGCCGGGTCAGATGAAAGCCCAGGTCATGCGTCCAAGGGATACTCACAGTCGATGGAGCCGTCCTGAAATCTTCCATTTGAGGTGTTTGAGATGCAGAGGGCGTATGTTGCATCCCACCGAAGAATTGATATGGCTGAGGCGCAGAGGTGAAGTATGAGAAGTCCATCTCGTTAGATGTCGCCTTATAAGGCGAAACAAGTTGATTTCGCTGCCCAGAGAACACTCGGTCTGCGCAGAAAGGTGCTGCTTGAATGTCTGAGGGTATGCAATCGCAGGAAGCGTGTTTAGTGGCGAGGAATTGTGGCTGTTGGAGGAGACAGTTGGTGGCAGAAGTACTGTTGTGTCTGTGGGTATGCGGGAGTCGATATCAGGATGATTAGTAGGCGAATTTGCTTGTGTTTAGTGACAAGAAGAAGTAGTAGAAGTCGTTGAATGAGTACTAGAAAAGACTGGCGCAACGACGCGAATTGTCCAGAATCGCCACTGGCTTCACTACTACCGACTGGGAAAATGCAGCGGCATGCTTGACTGGATCTATAGATTGACAGCCTTGGGAGATCCGTCTGTTGGACAGTCAAGAGTGGTGGAAACTGGAGGCGTAGAAGAAGATGGAGAATACGCAACAGTATTCTAGCGGAATTCGGGTAGTTGGTCAGTGATCAGGAGTGGAAGAGAGTAACGAGGAAGGCCTGATATCTTGACCAGCCTGAGCACGGTTGGCTTGGGTTGGTGAAACCGATGGCGAGGTCCGTAGCAGTAGAAGGAGCCAAGGGGATCGGCAAGGGTCTCGGGCTCTCTCCTCCACGCCGTTGCTTAAACGTGCTCTGTACGGAGTAGAGGGGCAGATATCGTCGGGCGGCATGTCATTGACAATTTGACGAGTCACAGCAGTTCAACAGAGGCAATGGCCTGTCAGCCAATCTCTAGGCTGAATTACGGCACCATGGGAAGTAAAAGCGCGTGGAACCGGAGAAAGTCGCTCAGCTTCAGATTCTGGTGCTGCTGTCACGGTGGTTTCGAGGTTTGTACATTTGGGGGGTGGGTATCAGGCTCTGGTGTGTTAATTAACGAGTGGGTACTTCTGGGGGCGGGCGGGTTGTCAATCGGTGTGCTCGTAGCCTGTAGGGCTCGTATCACGAACCACCGCTCGTACGCTAAGGTACGAGGCCATTAGGTACAGATAGCCTATAACCGGGAGGTACCTTAGGTACTCCGTCCCTGGGTACCTGATCTAGGGGGTGTTGACCCTTAATTTCTAGCAGAGATACTGCAGAATTATTTTGCGGTCAAAGTGTCAGGTCGAGGCGAACAATAGAGCCAGGATAATGTAAATATCCTTGCTGAAGACTTTCTGCCTCTACAAGAATAATGGCACCCCCCACTGCCAGAAGAACACTTTCATCTTTACCGCGGGTCATCCCCAAGAAGGAGAGTTGGAGCAGGGCAATCATGGGAGCTTGAATCACGGCTTCATGCAAGCTTAGGCTTGAGAAACAGGGTTCATTGTTGAAACTAACCAGGTTCTCAACGCCCAAGGGTCTACCCAGCGCCCACTGACAGGCTGCAATAAAGTGAGTCAGCATGCCCTGCGTTCTGTGGAAAGGGTTCCGGCGCCGAACTCCACCAGGCTCGACTCCCCCTCCCCTTCCTACAGCTCACAGGGAGAGGTACCTGGCTCCCTAGGTATCACTGCTCGGTTGTATCAAATGAACGCCTTAATGCGCACAACTGTATGAAACCAGACGAAAAGTCGAAAACTGGGTTGCAGATGGCGACAGAGGATCATCATCTATCGTCTCCACTGGCTGGTCTGGGTGCCGTCGGCTATATACACAGTAAGCACCCTATTTGCGCTTGGGCTGATAGTCTCTTGTCTGGCCCCTCGGGTGAAATGATGCCGACCGGGGAAATTGAGGCAGGTGGCAGACTGAAGTCAATTTCTCATGTTCGAGAACCAAATCTCGACATGGTTCGCATCCCTATTAGAGTCTGAGACCTAGAAGTATAGGACTATTCGGGAGATGTAGTGGTTGATCTCTTGCTAGTATTCCGAGTTCCTGTCGAATAGCCTCTAGATGACCACCTATGACAAACCAGGCTGTGACACACTGAAGATCCGACATGGTCAAACCCATTGTCCCAACAACGGATAACCATAGACGGAGTAACTCAGAGGCCTGTTACTCCTTGGGGAAGGTATAGAGGGGCAAAAAAGGCAAGAAAAGGGTCGCCAATCGCATGTTCGGCCATTTTCCTCGCTGATCAGTTGCAAGGCGTTGGAGCGAGTTTTGACCATACCACTACTCTTCCAGAGACTCTAAAATTCCCGCGTTCTTGGGGTACATTGGCTGTGGCACTGGACAGGAGTGATGAGTAAGTACTCTGTCACCCGTGTGCCTTACTCAGAAGTCAGGAGTCAGGAGATAACGTGTCAAACGATCTGGCTAGTCAGCTCTGACTACTCCAGACCAGGTTCATACCATGAACCTCATGCATGGAATTGCGTCAGTCTTGTGACGAAGTTTGAGAGCTTCAATGATGTGCGGAGTACGAATACGAATCTTCACCAGAGAGATTTATGATGAAGTACCTAATCTCCTTGGTAGAGGGTAGGTATCAAGTGTATCATGAGGCCGCCAGAGGCTGGAGGTACATTAACAGATATGCTAGAGAACTAGGCGCATCAAAATTCTGAATTGCCGTCCCACCAGCAAAGGCTAGCCTAGTGGTTGGTCGAATTTGAGATATTACTACGCATGAAAAAATCTTGATTGCACGTTGTCATTGCTTATTCATCCAGAATCGACATGTTTGATGCTCGTCCCTCAACTAAGCGGTCACTGTTGAAACAGAAAAGCACCCAAGTGGTACAGTCGTACCAGATCCCAAGTAGATGACTGAATCCCCAGATACTCACGCACGAAATGTACGTATCCGTACCAATACTACACTACGCTCCTTGTACTTTCAGAAGCCTGATATTCTCCGTGCCTTGTCTTTTCCCCGGTATCGCCACCTCTTGTCACACCATGATCAAGAACAGTCCCATTTTGCGAGGAATCTGAACGCCGGGTCCCAGAGAATCTTCCTTTGGAGCGCCCATCCGGATCGAGGTATTCTGCTACTTTATTCATTCCAAGTACAATCATAGTTAGAGCCTTCGGTTGGGTATGGGTTAGATGATCAACGAAGTCAACATCAGGAATCCCACGAGCCGGCAACATATGAGATAAGGCTTTAGGGGCTCCTGCGCCTTTAGGGGTCGGCTCGCTTTATGTACCTAACTATGGGTGGCTATGCGCCCGCATACTCTATCACACAACGACCAAGTAAGTAACTCACGATTTATTTCGAGCCTTACTACAACTGAACCCAACCATTGACGTGAATTGTTTTCTGTTGCTTCAATCTTCCACGCTTGCGCTGGAGCAGTGACCACTCTGTACTATCTCCATCACCATCTGAAGAGCACACACTGCAATGGACGATCATCGTTTTAGCAGATGCGATTCGACAGGATAACGCAAACTGATTGCTTGAAACAGGTCCTCGGGGAAGAGCGCGAGGCTCAATAAGTAATTGATCGGAGTGGTTTACGTTTAACATTAATTCCTCACTGCTAGTACCCAGGTAAACACCATGACAGCATTACAGCATGAAATCTGCCAGTTCCTTGGTCCCCAGTCCACAAAGACAGTACACGTACCTCGGCAGCCATAGGACTCGTGGCAAAAGCCTTATCCAGATTCATAGACGTTTAAAAGCACCTCACCACCATTTCTATCCTATGTACTTCGTACTTACATCGGCGTCATTGCCAAGACGCCCTTGAGCGGTTGGCAGTCCGTCCTCATGCCAATGGCCTCGCTTTGTCTGCTTTCAACTGAGGAAGAACGCCCAGTTGAGCCATCTCAGAATACATCTCGAACAAGACTTCCCTCGTGTCTGCAAAGCCTGTCCAGCCGAAAAGCCTTGCCTTGTTCATACACAAGCTACTGATCTTTCGAAATGCGGCATCACCGAAAGCAAAGTTTGCCCCTGGATCATCAAAAGGGTTATTGGTCAGCTGAGCCCCAGACTTCGCCATGAGTCTTTGCCATGCCTCCTTGTTTGTAGGTGCAGACGCCCAGTCTACCAACGTGAAGCTACTGCGCCAAAGTAATGGAGGGCCATATCTAGTCGGAAGTTAATCATGTGGATAAAGTACGCACGTTGAGACAATGCACTTACCCCATTGGCGTATCTTTGCCGGCTTTGCCTTCGAAGACTGCAAACTTTGAGAAATCCTCTTCCGGTGGATAGACGCCCTTCTTGACGTCGAACCAGCGGACTAGTTCCTCGTAAAGCCTATCCCACGTGAGAGCACCAGTGTCCTGGGAATTGAACGCTTGATTACGGCACTTCTCTTCGAGGACCGCCCACTCAGAGAGGTACCCTGTGAGCATAGCGGATGAATGATGGCCTTCGTGTTGCCAAACATCCCAATCAGAAGGAAAATGAAGAGGTTCTCCTTTCTCGCTTTGAACCGCCGCATAAAATGCGATAGGTAGGAGGGCATTCATTTGAGCGTTGTTGACAGCGCCAAGGACCCAAGCTGGTCTGATTACATTCCATGAAGTACTGTGAGCCTCACAAAAGTCGAAAAGCAACTTCTGCTGAGGGTAGTAGAAATTAGGCTCTAGGTCAGGTAGAGGGTCGGATTCCACGGCGGGGCTTCGAGTGCGGCCAATATGAACACCATAATGTTTAGCCCCCGTTTGTAGGAGAAAGCGTTTAGGAATAATTCTAGCCAACGACAAAGCCTGGAGGAAGTTATCAAGAAGGACAGTATTGACCTTAAGGAGCTCCTCAGCATTCGACCACACTGGGGCGCCCTGCGGTGGTTTCGGTTGTAGGTATGAGTAAAAGAAAGCATAGTCTGCCGTGACCGATTTTAACGCGTGAGCAATCTCCGTTGGTTCATCCAAAAAGTCCACTGCTATATGTTCAACTCGAGAGCGTTGCGATTCGGGAAGTAAAGCCATCATCTCTTTAGGTGGCGGTCGGCGAGATAATGCGTACACCTTTGACCACCTCTCGGGGCTCTCTAGAAGCACCCTCATTGTGTGAAAGCCCGAGATCCCATTGGCACCCGTAACAATCGCCGTCAGTCCTGTAATGGCTGGATCGAAGCCTGGTAAGCTATGGTAGATACCTCGCTGCTGAACAGGGTAGCGCTCGGAGCCCATCTTGTCGAGTATTGTCGTGCTTCGGTGTTGGAAATGCAAACTCCTGTTCGAAGTAGTGTGTGTTCACTAGGACCATGGTGTCAAATCTACAAGTGGTCATTGCAGGTGACTTATACATATGTAAACAAACAACATGCTTTGATGAATGCCGATAATTGGTAAGCGTAGACAGGAAGGCATGCAGACTTGCTCACAGTGCGAGGGCAGCTGTACTTCCGCCTACGTGCGATATGGTTACTCGCCATTTGTGGAGTTACTGCTGACAGCTTTGTGCTGTAGGAAGACAAACCCAGAACGATCGGTATTGAGTGAGCACATGCAACGGCTGATGTTTCGATGACGGATTGTTAAGCCAATAATGTCGGGACTGTGACCAATTCCGATCAACGGGGCTTGGTATATTCGATCAGTGCCGGGGCTCTATAGTCAGTTGCCAGAACCCTGCCTTGATGGCAATATGCCAATGTCGGTACTTCGAGTGTGGAGGTTTCGGTACCGAAGTGAAGATGATTTATCTCGGCACGGTGGAATATTCGCGGAAGTCGGTACCGACCGACAACTTCGATTTGCAACGCCAGTCCATACCAAGGCCACACCAGAGGCAGAGGCAATTTGGAGGACGTTCAGATAAGTAAGAAGTATTTTGTCAATGTCAACTCTTTATGGCCTGACTTGTACCGTCGTTAGCCCTTGCAGGAAGAGCACGGCGTTGAAGAAACCCGGTGTTTACCAATCCCCCAGAACCATAAGTCTAAGAGCGAGCTCATTTATTTTGAACATTTTTCGATCATGTCAGCTATCGAATATTCTTTTGATGCTGCCGGACATGATGTCCCGCCCTGGAAACATACGGCAATGCGGGCCCGACAAGTTCTCTCTGACAGCATTCCCACTAAATGGAAATTGCCTGCGACCATCGAGCCATCAGACACGGGCTTTCAGCGTGCGTCTCTTGATTGTGGCATCCTGACCCCAAGACAAGTGAGCTTGACTGATTTGACAACGACTGAATTGCTGCCCATGCTGCAGACGGGAAGACTGAGTGCAGCCGAGCTGATGGAAGCATTCTGTGCCCGTGCAGCTATTGCTCACCAGCTCATCAACTGCCTGACTGATTTTTTCCCGAACGAGGCAATTGGGTTGGCCAAGACATTGGATGCTGAATACTCCAAGACTCAAAAAGCTCTGGGACCTCTGCATGGACTTCCCATCGCAATCAAAGACACCTATGCGGTGAAAGGCAAAAGAACGACGAATGGCTGTGCTGCATGGTACGATATTGAGCCTGCTGAGGAGGATGCTGCTCTGGTACAGGTGATGAAAGACGCAGGAGCAATAGTCTTCGCCAGGACCACAATGCCACAGACCGGCATGGCTCTGGAGACGGTGAGCCCTCTCTGGGGCCGTACACTCAATCCATACAATGCAAAATTCGGGTCTGGTGGCTCGTCTGGTGGCGACGGTGCGTTAGTTGCCATGCATGGCGCTCCCTGTGCGCCCCTAGCCTCGGACATCGGGGGTAGCATTCGTGCTCCGGCAGCCTTTAATGGTCTTTATGGAATGCGACCAACATCTGAGAGGGTGCCTCGGACGGGACTGGTATCACAACGACTGGGACAAGTTTCGATCAAAGCGTCATGTGGTCCAATCTGTCACAGCATGAGTGATCTCAAACTTCTGCTCGAATTAATCGTAACACACCCAACTCTGCCTTTCGAGCCGACATGCATTTCGGGGTTCTGGAACGAGACGCTTCCAAAAGTGAAGCTCACGATAGGCGTCCTTGCAACTGACGGCATCGTAGACCCACATCCACCAGTCGTCCGCGCTCTCAGAGAGGTTGCAAGCAACTTAAAGGCAGCTGGGCACGAAATCATAGAGTTCAAGCCTCCGATAGATCTTTGGGAGGCTGCACTCACCACCTGGACGCTTTATTTCCAAAACGGGGCCAAGGAGACTCAAGCGGCCCTGGCAGCATCCGGCGAACCTTTAATTCCTCAATTCCAACATTATCTTGAGGTTTTCGACGTGCACGAGCACACGGTCTCGGAGATCAGTGAGTGCCACAGAAAGCAAGCAGCTTACAAAACGGCCTTTGTCGATGCATGGAACGCCACGGCGAATGTGACCGAAACAGGACAGGCAATGGACTGCATTATTGCTCCTTCTGCACCACTAGCCGGATCACCACATGACTTTCCCCTATGGTGGGGCTATACGACGATATGGAACCTCATAGACTATCCCTCGATCATTATGCCGCTAAAATCTTTCAGAGTGGACCCGATAAAGGACGCGAAAGACATGGGGTACGAGCCTCGTGACAATCCATTTGATAGGCCCAACTGGGAAGTTTGTAAGTACCAGACCTTGAGAGTCCCAAGAACAAACAACTCTGAATCTAACACTGATTGACCAGATGATCCCAAATTATGGTCGACTCAGCCGATGACAATTCAGATCGTTGGGAGGAACTGTAGAGACGAAGAGCTAATCAGCGCATCTGAAGTCATCGACAAACTTGTAAATTCGGGCCATTTGCCAAAGGCTTAATCCGGGGTTGGGAGAATGTAAATCACAAAGTCCACGAGTAGACACCTAATCAAGGCGGGTATCGGATTGAGTTGTGGTACCGGGGATGTAGCTCACAGCCTGCGTGGCTCATAGAACGTCAACCATCTAAAGATCGACTTTGGCCGGAATTAGCAGAGAAAATTATTGACAGCGTCGTGCTCTTTCCGTTATAATATCTGGGATTGTCATAGGGGTTGTCCATACGATGGCTGGGAATGATGAGAGGAGACCATACAGGTAGTCGGCGCCAAAACTTTCGCTCAATCGCCGCTCAACCGAATGCCTTGGCGGTATTGGCCAAGCAGGGGAATACCGACCCAAATACTTGCCTACCTAGGTGCCGAAATTCCCTAATCCTGGTCGGCTATCACAGGGTATGGAACTTCGATCAAGTAGACCTTGCAATAATCAACATTCCTACAAGAAGCTGTAATTGCAACGTGCGGCGACTCTCCTCTTGAACACTCGGAATTCGCCCAATATAAAGGAAACGTCTCCATGGATCCTGCACAGGACAACCATGCTGAAGGCCCGGGGTTACGACAACGCAGCGAGACCGGTACTCTTCGGCGGCGATTAAACACATCTTGCTGGGCTTGCCGGAAGCGCAAAGTGCGCTGCAACGCTACCGAGAGCATAGGTTGTACCTCATGCAAGCGCGCAGGAATCGAATGCAGGTAATTGCCTTCATATCTCAACATGGATGGTGTAAGGACTGACAAGCTTTCCAGGCCCCACCCGAATCAACTCAAGTCTCACAGTGCTCGTCGACGACATGAAGAACTGCAAGTCACCACTCCTGAGACCATTGCAGATTCTGCTGAGCGCAATAACAATGGTCAGGGTGTCTCAGCTGACCTACCACTCCCTTCCACTGATGTTTCTCCAACCTTTGATAGTGGAAATCTGTCCCGTTTCTTCGAGGCCGGAGTCCTTTCCGCCAAGTGGGATGGGTTTGAGGAGAATGGGACATTCCGAGATGTGTACATTGGTACCGATGTTGCTAATCTCCACCATCTTGTGCGAGATCATGAGCTCCCAGGAAGTGGCTGCTTGTTCTATCCTTTTCCCGCGATTCGGGATGAGTTGTACTGGAAACCAGCCCATGCAGCCTCGATTCACCACTACCTTTCGGTGGAGTCTTTGAACGATTTGAGCAGTTTTCCCGTCCGCCATGTCCGGGACGCTTTGGTAGATACATACTTCAAGGACATCCATCCAGGGTTCCCAATCCTTGACAAGGCCAATTTTCGCAAGAGATATGAAGACCCTGACAATCCACCTTCACTCATAGTCTTCCAAGCGATGCTTCTTGCAGCAGCTCGCATCACAAACCATCCTCAGGTTGCTGCATGCCGCGAGATCACGACCGCCGTCTTTTACAAAAGGACCAAGACTCTTTTCGACATCAGACATGAGCATGACCGAGTAGATCTGATTCAGGCCGCACTCTTAATGGCGTGGTACACGGAGAGCTCAGATACTGTGGCCTCAAATGCTTACTACTGGGTTGGCAGCGCTGTGCGCATTGCCTTCGGCATGGGCCTGCATCGCTCCGCCTCGCTTCGGTATGTGCCCCCAAGCAGACGGCGTTTCGACAGAAAGTACAAAAAGATATGGTGGACTCTGTTGTACAGTGAAGCCATGTTAGCACTAGAGTATGGCCGACCCAGTCAGATTCGAATTGATGATTTTGACGTGGGAGTTTTAGAAGACGACGACTTCAAGAACATGGATGATTCAGATGATGATATGGTGAATGGTCATTTCTGCTCCATCTTGGGCGACATCTCCATCGTCGCTCTGGATGTTCTCAGTCTCCGAGCACCACGAGGCAGGCCCATCCACCCGCCCACACAGACGATCGAACATCAATTGGCCAATGTTGCGATGCGTATACTTCCAATTCATGATGCGTGGTCCTGCCAGCTCCGTCTCATCTACAATCTGGTCTCGTTGGCATTTCATCGCACCAGAGACGATGAGGATGCGGCGAAGCTCTGCTCTGAAGCGGCGTCAAACATTCTTACGACCTTCGAAGCCATGGTGGTGCATGGTACGATCCGCCAATGCCATCTAAGTACCACCACAGCCCTGATGGCAGCTGCCCTCGAGTTCGCTCGCGAGGCTCGATCAGCAGCTGCGACACGGTCAATCATAAAGGCCATTTCGGCTCATGGGCAGCTTCAGAGACTACTGGGTCCAGCAGAAGCCCTTTCGCCATATTTTTCGCATGTTAAAGCTGTCTGTAAATTGTGCAAGAGTCTGATTGCGCGTGCTGAGGTTCTCATTAAAGAAGCCCAGGAACCGAGCTCTACGTTGACAAATTCTGATCTCCCACCTGAAACCAATATTGACTGGGAAGGGATCATGACAAACTATCGTACGCCAAACCTTGGGTTCGGAATGGGCATCGAGGGCGAAGATTGGTTGTTCGACTTTTCGTGACAGTAAGCAGATGTTGATCCAATCTTTAATAGCACAGATCAGTTCCTATCGCTCGATCATAATTGATCTCAACCCAATTCACGAATTCCTGGGGGAAGCCACTATCGGTTCTTATGAGTTGGGACCACTATCTGAGCTATTTTAAACTCGAATTATCTTCCGATTCCCTTGACACTCCTGTGGTCCACCCATTTCACATTTTGATAGCCCGTATGATTTCACTTCAAAGATGGGCACTATCATGATCTGTTGAAACAATTTTCCAATATTCAGCTGCACTTCGAGCCCGGAGTTTCTTCCCAAACCAAATCATGAAGAAGAACACAGATGAGGCAGCCATCCCGATGAATGCTGTAGAGATAAAACAGTTCCGAATCCCAAGATGATCTACCCACGGAGTGATGCTAGCATGGTTCAGCAAATTAATCTCTTCTCAAGCTAGGGGCAGCGAGATGTGGAGGAAGGTAGAATGACTCACCCATAACTGACCGCAAAGGACATAGTGTTGCGCACAAGAATCACCGTGACGAGAGCATCTGTACTGATGTCGTGATAGCTGTCGATCAAATAATTGACGCTCAAAGACACACCCATGGTAGTTGTCATGGCCAATATACCCATGGCGACAACAAGCCCGACCCAGTGGATCGAGTATGAGGCCCCAACTCCCCAAAGAATCGATGCCCCAGGAATCAGAACGACACAGAGAACGAATGGCCACAAGCGATGCTCCGCCTCCATAAAGCCATCGTTTCGCCTCGCAAGCTTGATTGTCAACCAGTCGCTAAATCTCCCTGAGATTAAGCTACCAACGACCACGCCAACACAGCATGAAAGGTAGCTAAGGCCAACCATCGAAGACGAGAAGTTGTATGGTGGGCTGGACAGAATAACCGATGCCGTGGCATTCGTTATGTTGAACCAGATCAAGCCGGACCCGTAAGAGAAGCCTGCGTAGAAAATGACTGGCCAGGAAAAGTATTTTAGGCTTCGCAAAGCGCGTTGAAATACAGTTGGACCTGCAGTTCGGCTCAATATCGACAATTTCTGAACAAAGGACTTTTCACCGTTGTGTATGTCGCCTTCCTGCGTTCTTGATTGGATTGCTTGGGCCGCAGGACAAGTTGGGCTCTTCTCTAGATCCGTTTCGATTATGGCACTCTCGCCTGGCGATGTTCCGATGTCCTCAACGATGCCTACCGTTTTACGTGTATAGTTTGTCTCTTCTTGGAAGAGAAACAGGAAGATGAACGTAGCACCATTAAATATGGCGGCCCAGTAAAACACCCATGCCCAACCCTGCTTGTCCGCAATGAACCCACATATCACTGGGGTAAAGTAGTTGCTACCAGCAAGACTGAATGCGTAGACGCCCATCCAGGTACCCCGTTGGTGAGTGAAGTACTGTTGCGCGACACATCAATATCTAAAGCTTCTCGCGGACATCTGGGATGGTGGGTACTCACTATATCAGTGACCGAGATCTCTGGTAGCGCTTCGATTGGCGCAATGAAGAAGCCCATAACGATACATCTTGCAATCCACTCTCCGTCACTACGGACATAAGGGCTTGATTGGTGTTAGGCAAGATGGCCACGCCATACATAAGGTGGGAAGTTGGGATCCTACCTCCAGATGCTAGTTCCCTACAGTTCTATTAGTAAACGTCCATGAACAGTTGGATACTGGGCTAACTTACAATGGCGCCCAAGACCGAGATGAGAAAGGTAAGACGCTTGCCATACCTTAGCGCAAATGGCTGCCAGAAAAGCAGACTCCAGCTGTGGTGGACACATCAGTACACTGTTAAAGAGAAGCCCTGGTAACATGCGTCAACGAACCCAAGAAAAAGAAACATGTAACCTGTACCCTGATTCAAAGTCGTGATGCTGACACCGGTAGCTTTGGAGATGGGCACGAGAACGGAATATACCGTCGAAACGGCAACGCCAGTGAACCAAGTATATCTAAACAGCAAGATTAGTCGACTCCCTGTCGCCGAGGACAAGCCCAAGTCTCACAGGTTAGCACAAATACTGGAAAGGAGCTTCCGTCTCGGGGTCCAGTTAAGGGGATCGTTTGGATCCTTTGAAGGTGTGGGATCGAGAACGATATCTCCTCCTTCGGCATGTCGAGTGTGAAGAGTGTGGTGCAAATCAACCAGGTGAACGGTTCCAGGAATTCTGCTTGACAGTCCGTCGCTTTCATAGGCAGGAGAAACCATTGTATTCTTTCGCGACAGCATAAACCTCAAGACGTAGATACCTGGCTTCAGTAGACGAAGCTGTCCTTGATGTTGAGCATGCCAGAAGGTGTTTATATAATGTACAATTGGTGCCACCTCTTTTTCCCTTTACCACACCGACGGGGGAAAGGAACATAACCTCGTCAACCACGCAGCCTTGAAGCATGGATGATCCATTCATACGATATACAGGCTAGGTGGAACTTCCCCGGAATATGGGTAAGAGATAACAAAGTGGCAGGGAATAGAGTGCCGTGCCGAAGTGCAGCTTCAGTACCGAAGAACTGCTTTTCATACGGTACGACAATGTAGCAGACCTGGACGTTCCGAGCGGCAGTCGGTCCCGAGCAGCCGACTGGCTTCGCCCTGGCTATGTCTATGTTCCATTGAGTTATGCACAGATAATGTAGGGTTCCGTTGTAGTAGCCATGCGTACAAAGTATACTAACAAAACAGCAATATCAGGTTCTATCTACAGCACGGTAAAGTTCGGTATCGCACGCTTGGAGCCGGTGAAACCTCTTCAGGATAGCAGCCACGAACGGACCACCTCCGGACGCTCTTGGGGCCGAGAAGCAATGCCTCTAGAATCACCCGATCCGTTTGATGGCCCTTACTTATAGGAAAACGTTCTTTATATGGGTAAAATGGTGCTAAATCCAAGGACTGCATCTACTCGATCGGCGGCTACGAAAATGCAACCACCGACTTAGAGAAGTTTGCATCCGACCTGTTCCAACATCCAGATCGGTAAAGACGGTCTGGAGATGGCTAACCACGTTATCAGATGAATAATGACCGCTATAGTCTAGGTGTCATCTTGTTAGAGATCGGCCTCTGGCTGCCACTGCACAGGGATAGATAGATGCGCAAATTGCTGGGGAAACATCCCCAAAATACCGAGGGGAGGCGTACCAGGATTAGGGAAGTAATGATGGATCTTGCAAGGGACAAATTGGGTATAGTGCTAGGGCAGAGATATCAAGAGATTGTTTTGCGTTCCCTCCGTGTCAATGGGACAGACGCGTACGAACTCTCGAGTATTTATATGAGGTTGTATTGCCTCTATGGGACATGAAATCTTGTCTCCCGGCTTGAATGCTTTGAGTCTGAGCATCGGCTGTAAACGAGACTTCCACGTCAGGACTTTCCAATGCCCTGTCCAAGGCTCAACTTTGTGTATTAGATACTAGTCGGTATCGACCGGATCCCAATCTGTGACCAGATATTCATCCAGACCGTCCATCTGTTGAATGTCGGCCGCCGAGATCTCAAAGTGACCGATATCCCCATTGGATCGGATACGATCTTTCGATACACTTTTCGGAAGTGGGATATAACCATGTTGTAGACTCCACCTAATCATCAGCTGAGCCGGTGTACACTTATACTTTTGTGATAAAGCCTGTATGGTCGGGTGCTTCATGCGGAGTGCCCTTGCGAGCGGCGCATATGCTTCGACCACGATGCCAAGTTTTTGGCACGCTTCAACAATATTTGTCCGGGTATTGAAGGGATGGACTTCAATCTGATTCACGGCTGGCATGATGCGAGGTTTTGATGCTGAAAGTTCTTCCAGATGCTTGACTCCAAAGTTGCTGACTCCCCCAATCTTGACCTCGCCATCTTTGATAGCATCTTCCACGGCCCTCCAACTCGACAGTCGAGCTTGCTTACCTCCATACGGGCTATGAAGGAGAAATAAATCAATATAACCCAGGCCACTGGTTTTCACAGATTGAGAGATTGACTTTCTTGCCGCCTCGTAGCTCGTATTGGTGGCCAGTTTCGAGGTGAAAAAGATGTCTTCTCGCGTCAAGCCAGCGGTGTTCAACGACTTGTCATTCAAGAACGACCGGATGGCTTGACCACAGTCTTTTTCATTTCGGTACATCTGCGCCGAGTCAACGGCTCTATAGCCACAGCTCAAAGCTTCTGTAACAGCTGAAGATGCCTCCCGACCTGACATGAGGTAAACACCCAGATGGATATGAGGAATAGAGAGTCCATTAGATAAGGACAAGCGTGTTGACAGAGAAAAATTGGTTGCCGCCATTATGGTAATCAACTGGCAAGGTTGTGCTATGGTACAGAAAATGAGTATTTACTATGCTGAACAGTTCAACGTAGAGTGTTCGTTCCAGTGACGGGGGACCGAGAAAACCATGTCCATGCCAGGACTTTTGATATTCAAAGACCACTGGTATCAGGATGACGTGAATCACCATTTATAGCGCCAAGACTGCGCGAATATCTTTAGAATTCGCCGTAGCTTCTAAATTTCCGCGGGGGAACCGTGACCTACAAACACCGTTACCTCTGAGGGCGCATAGCCTAGTAAGTATGAGCTGTTGAAGTCATTTCAGTAAGATGCTCAGGTGCGAGCTACTGGAGTTGATGGAATAGTAGAAAGGAAATTCCTTACCTGGGTTAGGTACGTACCTAGGCTGTCTTGAGGAATACCCAATTGCATGCAGCAAAACTCGGCTGACTCCGCGGTCAGTCGAACCTCGGCATTTCTCCAACGAGGGCAATGCACTTCCGTTGACTGTCGGCTTTTTGGATAGTGATCACCTTTATCTTCAGAACCTTCAATCCTCTTCTTTCAGCTGTTCTTCATCATCATTCTAGACTATAAACTATCTCCCCCCCGGCAAAGCCTGATCACGAGCGTCAGTTGACCACAGTTCGCTTTCATCACTCAATCACGCAATTCCGACCCAGAACATTCCCATTGCTTGAACGCGCTTCGGATTCCCTCGAACCGCGACCTCATTTCTCCTCCTGGATTTAAACCCCACCAGCATCTCCAAGATGTCCAAAGTCTTCACTGCGGCAGACGTGGCCAAGCACGACCAGAAAGCTAAAGAACTCTATATAATAGTCGACGGCACAGTATATGATGTAACAGGCTTCGTGGACGAGCACCCAGGCGGCGCAAAGATCTTGAAAAGAGTAGCGGGCAAGGATGCCAGTAAACAATTCTGGAAGGTATGTTTCATTCCCACCCATTGCGTGGATGGGCCTTCGAACGACCGATGCATGCGATATCGCAAGAACAGATGTGAGTCCTGTCACTGACATGAGACCATAGTATCACAACGAGTCGGTGCTCAAGAAATACGCTGCCAAGTTGAAGATTGGTGAGGTTGGTGAGAAGGCCAAGCTGTAAATGGACACATCCACTTTTGGTAATCTCAGTGGGCTGGAAGATGCTTCAACCAGCCATATCGATAGAGGCAATCATCGATGGGATCATATACGACTGGTATTGGCAAGAAATTGAGCGCTTTCTTCCCATCAAGCGACCTAACTGGCCATTTCCCCGAGAAGCATATTGAAGCAGGCAGTATCCATTTACGCCCGACAGGTCTTGGAGACGCAGAAACAACGTACAGGAAGACTTAGAAAGGGGGACAACACATCACAATGTCCTTAATGTACAGATTTGGTCGCATCGCAGTCTAGAGAATCATAGAGCTTCAAAATCTCAAGATCTCCATTGTTCTTTCTGTTTTGTTGTGAACAAGTTTGCTGAAGGCATGGCCATGGCCCAGAACGCAGTAAGATTCAAGGTTACTTAGGAAGCATTTTGAAGATGACCTCTGTAGACTGATCGGACGTGCTCAGACAGGGAGAGATTTTCTCCGAATGGGCCACAAGATTGTGAGAATCTCTCCCTACCAGCGCCGTATTCGTACTCGCGATTCGAGACTAGCTAACCTACCTTCATCTGCGATTCTCGGGCTACGAGGCATATACACCCTACACCCTCGATAAATCGGGCAAAGAATCATTCAGCGATTCTTCATGTTGAGGACAGATGTATCAGCCTGATTTTGCGTCCAGAAAATGCCTCGGAACGGGTTCGCATATACTGTGGTTGGTTTGCCCAAGTCGTACACTGCGAGGCAGACCAAGCACAAAGCTTCGAAGGAAATTTCAATCATGGTCTTACCATGGAGTGTGTGCTGTGCATGTAACCGACATTTAGCAGCATGAGGCTTATTACAAAGCTCGTGCTTGACATTAATAGCTCTGGAGAGCTGCAGAACGGAATGTAGGTGAGACAAGGCTGACTCCAGGCTGATGCTCGTGTACAACCCCTTTTCCTTGGGACTTGACCGCAGCCTCGAGTAGGAGGGTCCCCTGGAGGTCACTCCGGGTGCCCTCACCATCTTCACTTCAATTATCACCCCATATTCACTGAACATAATTAGTGAATATCTTTTTTATGCAGTAAGAATTCCTCAACAATTGACAGGGCGCTGATCTGAGAACAATGCCACCCACACCAGCTTGCCGAAGACTGTTAGTTCGTTGTGAACTTTCAACCAATCTTCTCCTGATCTTGTGCTTCAGGGGTATGAACCCTCAAATGATAGAGATGGTATAGATGAAAGTAATACAAAATCCCCCAATGGGAGATTTTATCCTGCTTCGGCAGGAGTTTTTTGTGGTTCCTGGGGTCGAAGCCTGCCGTCGTCGTCGTTACTCCCTTTTTTGGTCGGTCAGATTGTGGTAATTCTATGTGTCAAAGGCATAAAGAATGAAGGTCAATAAGTCAAGAGAATAATCTATAATCACTAGGTATGACCCTCAAAGTTACAAACTTCACGAGAGACTCATTGGATTATTCATTATTCGACAAACGAAAACGTGAGCTACACCCGCACAAGCGTTGACAACAGTCACCACTCCAACATCGTACAAGGACCAAAGACAAGGTAACAAATCAGTCAGGGTATTCAAAACAATTCTGCCTCGTGGGCCATCCACTCACTTGCCACCATTGAGCAGCTTCCGCTTCTCATCGGCAGTCACACCACCATTAAGCTTGGCTGCTTGCGCCTGGTATCCCGCCACATCGCCCTGCTTGGGCATCTGCAGCATCCAGTTTGGTGGCGTGATGCCAGTCTGTTCCTGGATGGTGCTGAACAGCGGTGGTAGACTCTGCATGAGATTCTTGATCGGTGCAATACCGGCGGCCTCGGCACCGCCACCGTTCCCGTCCGAGCCGGTATTCCAGACTGTGATCTTGGGTTGCAGGCCCTGGACGGCTTTGGCGTTGGCGAGCGCCAGCTTCTCATACGTGTTCTCCTTCAGCATCATATACGTGAGAAGCCCCTGGGGGCCGCCGAACGCATCGGCGAGGGATTTGAACGCTTCTGCCTGTGCCTTGGTGGCTTCTGCTTCTCTCATCTTGGCATGATACATTGCGTCGGCTTCTTTCATCTGTCGCTCAACCGAGGCTTGGATCTGTCGTTGTTGTTTGAACAGCTGGGCATCGGCATCGAGCTTTTCAGCATATGCCTTGACATCGGCGGACTTGGACTCGCGGTAGAATTGAGCGTCTGCATCCTGCTGGGCAGTCTCTTTGGCGATTTGTGCGCGAACAAGATCCTTCGCACGGAGTCTTTCGAGCTCGGTGGCCGCCTTTTTCATCTCGACGTCTTTCTGGAGCTCTGCATCTCGCGCTTCGGCAGCTCTTCGTGCTCTGATCTGCGCAATTTGGATGCCCATGTCCAAGTCGGTCTGCTTGTTCGTGAGTTCTGCGTCTGCCTGTGCTTTGTCGGCCTTTCTTTTGGTCTCTAGAACCGCAGTTTCTGCTTCGATCTTGGAAATCTCCTGTTTGGTGTGACCTTTCTTGCCAGCCTCACCAATCTCACCGCGCATACGGGCTTCAGCCACATCGATACGTGCTTGGTTGGAAGCGCCTTCATGAGCCTTGCGAGAGAGGAATGCGAAGTACTCCGAGCCAGGGGTGTCTTGTAGCTCTTTAACGTTGGCATTGTAGATGCAAAGACCAAATTGGTCAAGTTCCTTCTGAACATTTTCAATGACCTAGGGGGGAACCATCAGCATCTCTACACAAAGAGGGCATGTATCTGACTTACCTTTTGCTTGAAAATCTGCCTCTCCTTAAAAATCTCCTCCATAGTCATGGAGCTCACAATGACTCTCGTCTCACCCTCGATGATACCTTTCACTATGTCCTGAACATGACCTCTCTGGGTCGGTACAATCACGGCGTCAGATTTGCGACCAGCCGCCCCTGGTGAGCCATCAGGATTTCCACTCAAGAGAAGGGCATATTTCTTCAAGGCTTCTGGTTGATTCAGTGGACCTATCGTGAATACAGCAGGGAGGGCGAACTGCAGCTTCTCGATGGTCATCGCCTGGAGGTTGAGAGAGAAGTCAAAGGGCGAAACGGAAATTCGTGCCACCCTTTGCCATGGGTAAACGAAGGCTTTCTTCACAATTCGCACATCGTCGACACCACCACCAGTGACGACGAGGTATTCGCTCGCATCTGAGATATGATACCACATGTTGATATTTGAGCTGGAGAGGACGACTTTGATGGGTAGAAGGAGAAAGACGGTGAGATGCTAGCCAAGAGGTGCTTGCTCGCCGATGCTGTTCCACCGACTCCGACTTAGAAATGAAGGTTATTGATGCTTTGTGAGAATATCTTGTGAAAGGACACAAAAGGATGGTGTATCTCTGTCTGATTGAAAGAAGAAAAAAGGAGAAGCAGACCAATAGGTGGAAAGGAGCGTTTTATATCCAGTGGTGTGTATTTCACCTATGGTATTCATCTGCTCAGCCCTTTTCGACAGTTTGTCAAGCTCGATAGTTCCACTGATGACCAGTCACTAGTTACTCCATATGAGCAAGGCTGTCTTGAGTTCTGAATCATTTGGCCAATAGTCACGACACAGTTAACACGTGCTAGTAGGCAGCAAGGGGTGTGCTTCTACAGGCCTGTGGCTCAGCATGTAAACCAAGATACGAAGACTCACTGTTTAATGGGGCAAGCAGAAAGGTCTTCGCATGGCTAGGTTTCCATGTCGGCTTCCAGAAGATTGCTGATCCGAGCTGGGGTCTACAAAAGGTCACGCGGGTTCTCTCAACGACATATCCTGTGGAACTGGACTTCGCTAAAGCTCTGCACGACGATCGATGACTCGTAACAGTTAATAGCTCAGACACCTCTCTGCCTCGTCCTGCCAGACTCGGAGTTCGTACCACTATGTCCAGACCTTTAGTGGGGCTAAGTGGCGCGGGCGCGGCTGTTCGGCATATTCTGTCACCTAGCGGCTCTTGTATCATTCCTTGGTTCAGTGTTGATATCCATCTGAAGTCTCCATAGGTACAATATCTCAGCAAGCAATCAAGTTCCTGCGGGGCGAAGGACGAAGGCAAGGTAAACAAGGCGCGGAGAATTTAGACAGACGAGTTTGGCACCCACGAGCACCCCCATAGTACTAAGATCAGGCAATCCCACCTAGCTCCACGCTAGGCAGACTCCGCTGGATTTTGTCCAATCAAAATGTCATGTTATGAGCGCGAGCCGTCTCTAGTGGGGGCTAGCAGCATCGCTCGCAAGGTCTAGCGTAGATAGGCGTATACGAAGTCAGCCTGACCTCTCATTCTGGACCCTGCGTTGCATCCCTGAATAATCACATGCCATTGACTTGCCTGTGTCACTTGATCAAATGCACGTCATCCTCAAACGGCTTCCAAGCTACCTATCCATCGTACTCGGGTTTGGCAAACAACCATATTCAGGAACACTTGGGCCTGCTATTCTTGTCAGGCCTTTGACAAGCAGACAACGCCAATATCAACAGCCTCCGCCGCTGTCCTTGGCCAGTGGTTGGCATTTGTGGAGCGTGCATTTAGCAGCATTGGAAGCGGTCTTGAAGGCTCCGGTTCTTATGTGCGAGGTAGAGCCTTCAGGAAAATCAGCCAGGATTGCTTAAGCGTACAGTCACCGGTTTGCTCCCCCTTGCCCAAAAGTTTGTTTGCTTCTCGCAATTCTCGCTTTTTAAACGGCTGAAGCGGCACGCATGGTGGCACTGCAACTCCTGTTGGCTAAACCCTGCTATGCGGCGTAGTTGGGACATCGAAGGCATCAAATCTCAGAACCTGCAGTCAGACTGAGCCCAATGGAACTTAGAGACTGATTCTTACACTGTTCACTGTTACTTGGAGGTAGACTCCTGCAGCTATTCGATATCACTTACCAACACACATGCCTGCTTACAGTGTATCCTGGCCTTACTGAATTCAATTACTCACTCACATCAATAAACTCCATTACCGCAATGTCGAAGAATTCGCTGCTTCAAGCAGAAGGCCCGTATTCGGATCCAGCACCTAGCTATGAGGAATCTGTCCGCTCAACCACATGGACTTCTCAGAACTCACACTCCCGGCCAACAGGAGAGAAATCACTATCAAGCATCCCGTCATCAGTCCCCTCAATGATTCGACAAGAACGCACCAGACGAATCCAAAACCTGATAGTCACAGAGATTCTTCCTTGCTTCTCTTCACATCTCACCAATTCCGTGAACAATCTCACAATTGTCATCGTCCCGTCTAATTCTTTACCTGACACATGCCATAAGCTCAATGCTGCAAGCCTGGTAACCCCTTCCTTCCAGAGTCTTTCAACGACGGGTGCGGTAATCGCCTTGTCCGGGGAGGACAACCAAGCGAACTTCTGGACTCAACATTCTGTGATGCAAGAACTCAATCTTCTTCTGCACCGCGAACTCACAGGGAAATTCCCGGAGCGTGATCCCTTGAGCGAAAGACATGAACACAGGCCTGAATCACAGTACGGCTTGAAACCACAAGCAAGTCCCTCAATGCCTGAAAGACCACAAAAGAAGTCCTGGCTCAAGCGTGCGTTGCCACAATTGCCGCAGCTACCAGGACCAGAACATGATCCGACTGGTGAGACTGGAAAGTGGAATCTTGGTTGGAGAAGTCCGTTGCCTGAGAATTTGACCGCCCAAGTGTTGAATCCGGACGAAATTGCTGTTCACACCAAACTTCAGGAAGCCAGCCTCAGAACAGAATCCGAGATGGGCCTGTTGGAGACCACGACAGCAAAATGCATATGGATAAAGATTGAAGTCGGCATCTGAGAGGTTATCACTACACGTTCTAGGTCAGCTGGATGGGAGCCCTGGGTCAATGTCAGACTACGTTTGAGAACATGCCAAGTTGAAAAGAAAGAGGTCAAATTCCTGTACTGCCAATACTTTTCTGCAGCCCCAATCAGGCGAATCCAGAATAAAAGCAAGCTGTCTTGCCACTCAATCAAGGCACAAAAACAGTCCTGTCTCTCTTCGCTGCCCATGCAGCCTCAGCATCCTCAAGCTTCCGTTGCTTCAGATCCATATCTGGCAGTTTGGACACTGCCTCTAAAAGCAGAGGTAGCTCTTTGCCGAACTGAGGGAAAGACCACGCCCCTGGACCTGAGCCTCGTAAGGTGATGTTCTTCTCCCGTAGAATCGCTCCTGGCAAGGCAATGTCTTGCGATGCCAATGTTCCTATTTGCACAAATTGAGTTGGAACAGATGATTTGAGAGCTTGAAGCAAGGCGAGAATGTTGGGTCCATAAAGATAATCCAGTATGACATCGACATCGCCCAAGGAAGAGTAGTCGGTCTCTGCCGGGTTGTCTTTGAGAACGATTCTTTCATCGAGGTCAATGGCGGCCAATTCTTTCTGGTTTCGGGCAATGCCAATGACACGCGCTGCACCTAAGCTCCGGGCAAAATGAACAGCGACCTTGCCAGAGATGGCGGTTACACCAACAATGACGACGGTGAAGCCTGATCGAAGACCTTCAGTTCGTGTCTTGAGTGCCATCCACGAACTCATGCCGGGATTCAACAACCCGGCGACTTGAACCGGGTCAGCCCCAGAGGGAATTGGGGTGGTTACGGCTTTCGGTACGGTGATGCTCTCAGCGAATGCGCCTCCCGTTTGAATGCTGTTGAAATAGAGAGTTCGGCCGTCAGGTGTGATCCCTACGCCATCGGCACCGGGGACGTATGGGAGGGTTGCTGTCTTGGTTGTGTAGTGCGTGCCGGTGACTTGGCCCCGGACAAGTTGATGAAGACCAGCGGCTAGAACTTTGAGCGTTACTTGTTCTGACGACGGAGCAGGTGGTGATGGATGATCAGCTGTGAATGTGACTGGTGCACCCCAGTTTGCGATCGTGATTGCCTTCATGATTTCAATCTAGGAACTTGAAGTCGCGCTCGAAGAATGGTCGGTAGGCTGGAAGCTGTAGTGGCTTTGATCCTGCCACACCATGGATTCAGGGCCCTTATATATCGTTGAAAACCACAAGTCCTTTCGAATGCTAAGCCCAAGTTGCATTGGGTTTAGCTCCATGTTTTACTCATGTGAACTCGGCCGGGAGATGGATTCGATAGGCTGAATACGCCTCAAACCACCTGAACGGGACAGTCGGCTGCACGTGTTACTGGCCGGACTTGACGCATCGACGGGTGTCTTTGTCATCGGCATTATTCCACTTACATGAAACTCTTCGGACCAACTAGTTGAGTTTGTTGGATTTCTCTGACTACGATCTCCAATGCTTACGATGCTCTGAGTTCTGATGCTGAGACAGATCATCAACCTTGTACTACTCTCGTTCCGCTGTTTGAATACCTAGCTACTTACGTATTTTCTTAAGTGCCCCCTGCCACTGGAAAGGCGCCCTGAAGGAAGGGGTTTGCTGCCTAAGCTCCCCATTGCCACCCAAGCGATTTCGGATTCCCCCCTCCCCTCAAACTACGTCATCCAAAGTCCCAACCAACACGGATATCACGACACGAGAAGGTCAAGCGGTAAACCCACCCAAAGAGTACGTACTTTACTAAACGTATCTGCTATTGTTCTCTATACTACAGTGCAAAATCAAGCTGGACTTGAGCCACTTATCATGGGTGTATCGAATTTGGACACCTCACAGACTCCCAGTCTTCGGCTAGCAGATTTTGCTATGAGCATAGCCAGCCTATTTACTGGCCACACCGAATGGCCCAAGAAGACCAAAATCAATCCTGAGGGACTCGACCATAACCATAGCATGGGACTTTATGTATACGTCTACCGCAGCTAGCCGTCCTAACCATTGCGATTGCGTTTTATTCGCACACCATTCCGCAGTAACATCCGCGACATAATGGTCGAACATCGCCCACGAATTTCCCGGATTAGCCTCTGCTATTGCTGCGAGGGCAGTTTGTGCAGACAATGGGTTCGATGCACTCGGTGGCTCTGCACTCAGGCGTATCGCCTCAGCACAGTTGTTGTAAAGGTCTGTCACGTATGCCCTTTGGATAATAACATCCTCCCTGGTCCCGGCTCGATTGAGATGGCCTCCCAAGTAGTGGTCGAAGTCGTATTCCAACAGCTGGTCATGTGCCTTGATGTATCCAGGAATATTCTGCGACTCTCCCAGGTTTTCAAACGGAACCCAGCCAGGATAAACAATGTCAACGAGCATCAAGACCTTCTGCAACGGTGCATAGATGAACAGATTGCCGGGTTGGTGGTTCGGACCCTTGTACGCTAGTTCTAAGGTTTGATTGCACACCTCCAATTTGTAGTGATCCGCAAACGTCACATTGGGAGCAGGTCTTGCAGGATCATTGACTTGAGCTAATTCACTGGCAGTCTCAAAGTGGGCGATGGTCGTGACGTTGGGTCCCGTTACAAGACTGGCAGCCCCGATGTGGTCGGCGTGTGCATGACTATACACGAAGTGCGAGATCGGTAGATCAGTGACTGATTGTACACCTTTCAGGATATTGTGGCCAATGGTTGGTGGGGCATCGACAACGATAACGCTTTCGTTTGCCACTAAGAAAAGTACTTGATAAAGTCCATCGGTAAGTAGATATGCGCCTTGGCCGAATGATTCAACCCGGAAACCAGTAGTGTTTGATACTGCTGGTCCAGCCGCGCTCGCTGGGATCGGGGCGTATGTTTCCACTGACGGATGCTGGCAAGTATCGTCCGCGAGGACGCGGGACACTAAAGTCAGAGGCACCAACAAGAGAGATAGCAACATGTTGTGAAAAGAATATCGGCTTGCTTCTGCTCACGTATGCGGAGACTTCAGTTCGAGGGCAATGAAATGAGGGAAAATTTGATTCACTCGATAGGTCCCTTGGCTTTTCAGATATTCAGAAGATAGAATGTTTGAGGCTGACAATTGCCGAAGTAAAGTGGCCTTTGGGACTTTATATCCTTCAATTGAAGTACAGTCATACTTTTCCGCATTCTCACATCTTGTCCGCTGGCGCAAGTAACTCATTGCTGGCTGTTCACCAGCGCTTCACTCCTCTACACGAGCGGTTCCACTCCCTACTCGATTGATCATCAAAGTTTCTGATTCCCGGAGCATTAGCCACGCGCGGGTCACTTGAGCAGAGATATATGACAAATCTAATCGATAGTCGCACGAAATCGTTCCATGGCGCCCAAATATCATGCGTGGACGTTCTAGTCTATGGAACCAACTGAAGCAGATTACCAAAGCCGTGAAGACGCCAAGACAGTGAGGTGCGCCTCAAACTAGGCTTCATGGGGAAATCACGGCGAGAAGGGCCGATTTTGGTTAGCTCGTGACGAGCGGTTCAGCCTCGTGGACCAGGCTAAAGGAACAGGGGGTCCATAATTCGAATGCTTCATCTGAGGGCTTAGAGAATGCACAATTTCATGCCGGGTCTTATCCTGGTTCCTTCTACGAAGAGATGCTGAATATCTGCTGTTGTAGGGTGTCGGAATCCTCGATCATGTGGGATATTATGAGTCTAGTTAGGTCGCTTTGTCTCAATAGGATCCGCTATGGCTCAACATGTAATTCTAGTTGTTTTGCAGCACTTTCAAGGGAATCAAAAAGTTTTCGACGTGTCAACAGCTCCACAAATTCATCATAACAGCATATAATATATTGCCCACTGTAGAACACATCCGTGCGTGCATGGTAAGATCTGCGAATCATCCTCGGTTTCCACAAATGCGGAACTTCTTTGCGCCTACATCTCTTCTGCGTCATGACGACCATCAATCGGACGACGTGTAGGGTGGTCTAGAATTTTCGTATCTAGTAATATGAGCTTGTGAGGAATAGAAGTAATTGTCTCGGGGGCTTCTCATATGATGAGCAGATTCGCACATTCTAAGAAATGTTGTGCTCCAGGATCATGTATATGCTAGGAGATGCTTGGTTCATCTCGCGGCCAGACCACACAAAATAATGATAGTTCTGTGGCGGAGTATTCCATAGTTGAGTGGCCGCAAAGGGGTCAACTAAGTATCTTCGTAGTCGACATGATCGCAAAAGCTAGAGCCGAAACGGGCCACATATTGCTGAGTCGGGCTGGCATTATCCAGCGCAGCATACCGCGTGTCGCACAGCTCAGAGGCGTCCGTGACGTGTTTCTCAATCCGTTCGAGGTTCGGGTTGACAACTCTTTCTTTCTAGTGGCGATGAAACGAAGCGAAACATAGACCTATGTGACGCCCAAAGTAGATGTGATGAATGCTTCAAGTGGGCTGTCACAAAGTCGCGCAACTAGGGTAATGCCGAAGGTATTTAGCGCCCTGCCTGTGTCTGTGGGTGCAGCGGAGCGACTTAAAACTCCACTCGTAGTCATTTCCAGTCTTTTGTTAGCCTGGCACAAGTAATCCAGATGTGCTCATGTTCAGAATTGCTGACCTATTGGTGATGTGGAGCCATTACCAGGGATATGTTACGCTCGACGGGCCACCCTGCCCTTCCCACCTTGCCACCCTACCAGTCGAGGTTTATTGTTAGCTGCGCTTCGCCATGTTCACAGGACGACCACCAAACGAAGCCAATTCGCACCATAGCTGTTCCTCCACCTACGCATCCTTGATGCCCGCGCTCCTCCTAGCCTGGTCCGCAGCTAGCCTATTCTTTCGTGACCGGATCCACGCATATGCACCCACAACGCCCATAGTGATGATGGTCAACGGCGCAGTGACGGTCCAGTAGATCCAGAAATGGCGCTTCATCACGTCGGCCATATTGCCTTCGTTCCAGTTGAAAAGCGGCATACCGAAGAACGTCTATTGCTTTTGGTCAGTGCTAGTGCGGATGATGATGGAGTAGGGCGTTGAAAAGGGGCAGTATTGGGTGCAAAGGATCATAATGGAACTTACCGCAACGAACGTCGCTGGTAAGAAGAGGGTTGTTAGGAAGGCAATGATTTTCATGGCGGAGCTGTCGCGTTTGCTTGCTTCAGCCAGCTGTCTCGAGTCTTCGGCAATGCCCCGGTTGAGCGTGTTGTCGTCCTGAGCGATGAGGTTAAAGAGCTGTTTTCGCGTGACAAAAGCTGTTAGCAGCATGCCCTCTGAGAAGATAACCGAGCCTATCCGACGATTCGGGAGGCGTTTCGACACTTACCACGTTCTGCTGGACTTGGATACGCCGGGCGAGGGCTCCAAAGAGCTGGATGTGCTTCAGATTGCTCATCAGCAGCTCCGCGCGATGCTTCAGGCAGTCGCTGTTTCCCACTTCCTTCAAGTGCCGCACCCTCATTGCATTGCCACAGTACTCCTGCATCTGTGCCATCTCACGCAGAGTGAACTCGGCGCCCGCGATACTGCAGGATATCGCCACTTCCATGAAGGCGAATCGACAGCTGATAACGCCCAAGATCTGCGACAAGCCATGATAATCCAAGTCGCTGGCATCCATGGCTGCCCACATCTTGACCCAGTAGCGCGAGATCATCCTCCCGCCGAGCCGGACAGGACTCTCTTCGTCTTCCACGGAACCTATTGCGCTCATGGAATCCACATTATCCGACAACGATGACGGCGCCACCGGCACAGTCTTCTCATGACGACTGCCCCAATGCACTGCTACATCATCCTCGGCGTCCGAGCACGCAAGCTCGCTCCCCTCATCCTGGACCTCCCAATCGCCGAACCTCGTCTTTCGCTCGACACGCGCGAGTAATGCATGGATATGGTGGAGCTCGCTCATCAAATCGACCGCCGTGCACTCGCTCAGATACGTCGGGACGAACAGTGGGTGCGCAAATGTGGGGAACTGACTCACCAGATCACTGGTGACCTTGCGCAGGGAGATGCGAGGGCCAAGAAGAAGATAGCCCAGCGTGGTGTTGGTGTTTGCCGACCATTGGAGGATGGCGGAGATGGTACCGTTGTTGTTGGACCGGTGGTAGATGAAGACGGGACGGCGGTTGGCGACCACGAACTTCCCACAAGCCCCCGCGCTACAGGCTGCCAGGTATGAATGATCCTCAGGCAGACCGAGGGCGTCATGGATGGCTCGGAGCGATGTGCTGTCGAATGGCTTGACTACCGAAATCTGCTGTCGGTAGCAGAGCAAGCGTAACGAGGCTACCGGTGGCTTTCCTTTGAAGGACTCTAGCGGCGGCTTTGTTAGCCACGCTTTGATCTCTCCTGGTTTGATCGCTGCGTTTTGCGTCCGTGCCGGTTGGCTGCCTTCATATACAAAACACTCGACCTGTTGCACCCTTGGCGTACTAGCATTATCATCGACCTGAATTCGACGAGCCACTTTCGTGGTCGGTGGCGGCGCGTTGTGCAGAGATCTTGGTCGTACGACAGCCGCCGGGCCATCATCTGGCTGCCGGACTGCCTGGAGTTTGACATTCGTCGACAGGCCCGCTTTCTTGCGGCGTGGAGGCGACGACGACGACGATGAATCAGGCCTCAAGTCCATTGTTGAGATGCTTCGTGTACAGTGAGAGAAACGCCAATCGCTTGTTCAAAGAGCACGCGCTGAGATTAGATGATGCAGTGAAGCAGAGGCTGGGTTTCTCTTCAGGCCTGGTTTCCTATTTGCCAAGCTAAAACGTGCACAGCCATGCTATGAACGCCGCTGGATCAGGCCAGACCTCGTGTTGTATGGCGCCGCCATTCTAAATGCCAACTCAGATTGGTCGCCTGCACCGTAGCCTGGCTGGTGGCTGCATCAAGCTGAAGCCAAGACTGAAACGAACACAGCGTCGCCAAGGTTCCCAGAGACCTGGGAAGGCTGGCTCGCGAGCAGTCAACAATAGACAAATCGCCCGTCCTGTAAAGATAATCAGGAACGTCCTTCCTGGGACAGGCTGAACCTCTAGAAGATGCTATAGATCGCGATGGTCCGACCAAGTTCGCTTCGCTCCAGCAGCGACGAATCTTTCGCGTCTGGCAACCGAAGATCTACGGGACTGTTCCGCGCGGCTACAGGCGAGAAGCCGTCCTCGATCAACGGCGGCAGCCTGTCGCCTACTACCGCTGCCAAGCTGACAGCCGACTTTGGTGCGCTGCTCGCCAGCACCTCGCCTCCGCTCAGCCCTCGCTTACGCGCCGCCGATACAACAGGCGTTTTGCTCCAACATGCAGCTCGGGTGGGCGACGTGCGGATGCTGGTGGTTTTGTTGGATGTGGTCGGATATCATCCAGATGTTTATCCGAACATCGATGAGGTCACCGCGGAAGAAGCGCAGCAGCGAACGCCGCTGTCATGGGCAGCTGGCGAGGGCCACGGGGCGATAGTGTCTCTGTTGTTGGAATGTAGTGCAGATCTGGAGCGCAAGGATGATAGGGGTATGACAGCACTACACTGGGCCGCTGCTAGAGGCCATCGCGAGGTGGTGGAAGGAATTCTGGCATGGTATCGCGACCGAAGGCAGCTCGGGCAGAGCAAGGGCAGTGTCACTAGTCACAGTGGAAATATCGAGGAGACGCCAGCATCGACAAGGAACGCCGAGGAATGGACGGATGGGAGCGGGCACACCCCACTTGCATGGGCAGCTAGTGCGGGCCATACTGAGGTGGTCAACCTTTTTCTGGGCGCGGATGCCGAAGAAGATGGCTTGGGTTTCGCTCTGATGGATGTGGATGATATACACGGCCGCAATCCACTCTCTTGGGCCGCTGGCAACGGGCACTATGGGACAGTGAAGGCACTTCTGGATGCTTTGTGGGAACGTGAGAACGTTACACGAGTCCAAGGGCGGCGAACTCACTCTTCTAGAGTGCGTAACAGACTAAACCGGCGTTGGAGGAAGGGACGGAATGCGGAGTCCAGCGATTCGACTTCTGAGACAGAACAGACTCAGATTCACCACAGACATGCTGACCGCCAGGGGTGGACACCACTGACTTGGGCGGCATTCGGTGGCCATGCGGGCATTGTATGGATGCTCTTGCAGGATGGTGCGGACGCCAACACAGAGGACAGGGACGGCCGCACACCACTGTGGTGGGCGGCCTCCGAAGGGCAGGAGGAAACTGTCCGAGCCTTGCTAGAACATAAAAGCGTGGACCGAGAGCACGAAGACAAAGATGGAGTAACGGCGGTGGCTCAGGCCATATATCACGAACACGCTACAGTGGCGGAGATGCTACAGAAAAATGAGGATGCTTCGGCAATATCAGCGGTAGGTGCTCCCGAATTCCTGCTATGGTGGGCGATCAAAGAAGGATATACGGCAATTGTAGCGAGTGTGCTCCAGGGCGGTGCGGACCCGGACATTCTGGTTGACGGCGAATGGCTGCCGCTACTCTGGGCAGCAGCGAACGGTGACGAGGCTCTGATCAAGCTCCTCTTGACCCATGGTGCGAAGACAGATGCGACTGCGGACACTGTGGTGAACTCCCATGTGGGTTCCGACCAGTCCCGGACCGCCCTGTCCTGGGCTGCCGGAAACGGCCATATTGGTGCGGTACAAATCCTTATCGACAGTGGAGCAAAGCTGGACTGGATGCCGATCAGCAACTTGCTGAAGTCACCCCTTGCGCATGCAGCGGAGAATGGTCACACAGAAGTGGTGAGCCTACTTCTGAGGTCCGGAACAGATCCACAGATATCAGATCCGTTTTCAAAAAAGAGCTCTAGTCGCAAAGACTGGTCGCTACGGAAGACACCCATCGGATTAGCCTTTGACAATGGCCATTTGGGGATTGTCATGCAGCTGATAGATAGTTGTCTCAAGGGGTTGGAGTCAGAAGTCGCCAAGGTACCCAGCCGCTCAGAATACACTGAAGAAGTTGTCTTATCCTGGGCAGCAAGGTTGGGCCATCTGACAGCCGTCAAGCAGCTGTTGTCCAAGCCAGGGGTGGCTATGGCCATGCACGACCCGAGGTATGATGGGAGTCGACTGCCTCTTTGTGATGCTTCCGAGGCTGGTCACGATGCTATTGTGACCTTGTTGCTCGAGAAGGGAGCGAAGGTTGATATCCCGGACTACGACCATTGCACTCCGCTTTGGCTTGCCTCTGCCAATGGTCATAGCACCGTCGTGTTGCAACTAATTGCCAGTGGAGCAAGTCTCGATACCGTCGACCCAAGCGAACACAATACTCCCCTCCACAAGGCGGCCGCTGGGGGCCATCAGGCTACTGTGTCTGTCCTCATAGATCACGGTGCAGACATTTTCGTCTACAATAACTCAAATCTGACTCCGCTATCATACGCGGCGGAGCATGGAGATGTGTCAATCGTGAATTTGCTCCTGGGGGTGGGCGCAGATCCCAATGGAGGGCCTCGTGCGAACGGAGAAACCCCTCTTGCTCGGGCAGCAGCCAAGGGCAATGTTGCTGCTGTGACCACGCTACTAGCCCAAGGTGCTATAGTTAATTTGCCATTCGGCGAGTCGCCGCTGTCTCGCGCTGCCGCTGGCGGTCACGCCGCAGTCGTGGATCTGTTACTTTCGCAGCCTTACGCAGCCGACCCGAACGCACAGCCTTCTTCCCCTCTTTCCTCTGGGAAGACTACTCGCCGACCTCTCCTGGCCGCAGCTGATAGTGGAAATGCCTACATTACTTGTCGCTTGCTGGAATTTGGAGCAGAAGTCGATGCTCAAAACGAGACAGGCGAAGATTCGGCGCTGTGTCATGCTGCAGTCTACGGCCACGAAGAGGTGGTCAGACTGCTTCTTGACCATGGCGCAGTCATTGAACCACAGAAACCCACCAAGAAGAACAGGCCGATTGTCCTGGCCTCGAAAGGAGGGTCGGTGGGGACTGTCAAGCTGTTGCTTGAGAGAGGGGCTGGATTCAGACCGACTCAGCCGAAGGATTCATCCTCAGTGCAGGTAAGGGGGTCGGCGATGGAGCAGGCAGAGGGGCTGAGGATTCCTTTGGAGGTGGCTGCAAAAGACGGCCATCATGAAGTAGTAGCTTTACTACTAGACCGCATCTTGGAGCTAACAGAGGAATGCCCAGCAGAATCTAAAACCAAGGACGGCAATGTAAAGTTGAGGCCGGAGATCGTCAAAAGCTTGGACTGGGCAAAATGGCACAGGCTTTGGACCGAGAAGGGAAAAGAGGATACTGTGCGAGTCATGCTTGCATCTGGCGCGGATCCCAATGCCACAGATAGCAGGGGCCGCACGCCTCTCTTCCAGACCGAGAACGTCGATATCGCACGGCTTCTCCTGGAAGCAGGAGCGTTGCCTGATCTCGCTCGCGACCATGAAAATGATACGGCTTTGTCAAAGGCCGCCCAGGCCGGAGCCAGCAACATGGTCAAGCTCCTTCTCGAATACAAAGCAGACATCGAGGCAAAGGACGTGAACGGCCAGACGCCACTGTCACTAGCGGCACGTTTTGGGAACCTGGAGATGGTCAAACTGCTGCTCGACCACGGCGCCAACCTCGAGACGAAGGATCTTGAGGGTCTCACGCCCCTGTCTTGGGCCGGCTGGACCCGGAATGAAGAGACTGTCGCATATCTCTTGGAAAGACACGCGGATCCAGATGCATTCATCGGTGGTGATCCGTCCTATACAGACCTTCGCTTGCGGATGACGACTCCTCTAAGGCTAGCATCGCGCGACAGCTCGGATTCGGTGGCTGGAGGGTTGAATGATCATTACTGGCGCTTAATACACGAGCGTCCGCAATCCAGTGGGCCTTTCCCCACTGACGAGGAATATCGAAGCCCGGAATGCTGCGATGTGTAAATACGCGCTGGGCAGACACGAACATCACGGACCCCTGCGATAGTTTTGAAAAGTAGAAATGCCATCACTTGATTTTTGCAACGAATAGGAGCTAAGGACACGTGCCTACGTCGCCTCGAGCCAACTCACCTTCAAGCCGCATGGCACTGTTAATCACAAAAGTATGGAATATAAGCATTGCACAGCATGTACCGGGGGGTACTTTTGGCTGCGTCTCTCCGTCACAAGTGGAACGTTGTAAGTATCTTGAGCCTTGCGAGACATAACACACGTCTCTAAGCAGAAGTTCAAGCGTACGAACTTTTCTCCCTTGGTCGAAATATGCCGTTGGTGTTCCTAAAGTGAGTCTCGCACATTGGAACACTTTGAAAATTGAGAAAGTCCTTACTCCGATCACTGCTGAGAATGCCGGTGCATGATCCCATTGTGACTACAAGATCAACTCGCGCGCTGCTCCATTGGCAGAGGAAACAGGTAGGGGCCCAGCGGTGAAGAACTTCTCAGCCACGTGATTGTTGCAAGTTAGACGTCTGCGCCTTATTCCACAGATGAACAGTGAACAATGTATGACAGGATAGCTATTATAAGTCATCGGACTTGATTGAATTGCGCATAGGTCTACGGATAGTTTTCTAGCACAACATCGCCAAAGGAACATTCTCGTCAAGCTACTCTTGCTGGACATCTTGTTAAGAGTCGTAGCGGTGGCGTCGACGCCACCGCATTGCAAGCGGTACAGCTGGCTCGATTTTGTCCCGAAAGTTCACTCTGTGACCCGCGACGGCGGCTCTGATTTCTGCGTCCCCTGCATGTCCCACGACACTTGGACTAAACAGTTCATTGACGGTGGAGTAGGAGTCTGTTGGGTCTCTTTGATTCCTGGTCTTATAAGCAAAACAAATGATGGGATACGATGAGATCTTTGGAAGAGGAATATCCTTTGTCCACAGTAGTAGGACTGTAAGCCAGGCGCAGAATAGAACGATAGACTGGAGGGCATATTATCAGACAAGCTGAAGCCATGAAATACTCGCCCAAAATCTTGGTAGCATAACTAACAAGGAGCGACTTACCTGTAGCACCACAAACGCTATAAACGTGGCTTTGTTGACCACTATTTTAGTCAACGGACTTGCGACAGACGCAGTAATGTAGAAGTTGTCTGGCAGATCGAGATTGGTGCCATTGCCGCCAAAAGCGAGATTACCAGCATTGTTGACATTGAAGAACCAAAGTGGGTAAGCAAGTAGGCTTTGGAAGGCTTGACGTTGTCCAGTAGACCAGTATTCGCTTTCTAATTGGTCAGTCGAGGACCAGAAGTATTCAACTGCGGACGACGGGGCTGGGATTCCAGTTGCCGTAAAGTTTAGCAGCCAGCGGAGCGCAGAACGGTAGGCTTCTACATTGAGGGAGAAGTCTGGTATGGCGGCCGATGCTTTAACAACAGACTGGATACTGTAGTTGGAACGTGAGATGACTAGAGAGGTGTTGAGTGCGTAGAGTGATAAAGTAGTGTTTATTCCTGGTCGCACCGCTGAGTCAGATAGGCATTGATCACCTACAGTACCATTGGTGCAAACTTGGAGAGAAACGTGGACAGATCCCTGATCTCGATGACTTGGTGAAACGCAAAAGCGGATGGACATCACGTACGGGTGTTGCCAGTAGAGATCACAATTCTCAGGGGCTATGTCTTCTAAAGTGTCGCGTTGGAAGTCAATCCGATATGATGGTACAGTTTCCAGGAGGACCACCGGATTACCAGTGATGTTGCTGGGTGGGTAAGGCGAGGAGTTGGCCAATCCACCTGGTAAGATGTAAGAATCACAGCTATCATCGTCACAACCCACATGGTCGGCATTGACAGAGTGCATAGGATTGAGGATCAGGTTGTGTGCAACAGCTAACGTCGAATATGGTATCACGTCGTCCGACATGTAGGCGTTAAAGATGCGAAGATGCTCTCGATAAGCGTTGACATAAGATGCTTCGAAGGGACCGATGCCAGCGGCAGCTGTATAAGAAAACGTGGATCGATAAACTGTCCCAACAGATGTGTTGACTGTGGTATATCGTTAGTTGATTGCGTAGTAGCTCTTTGGGTACAATATCGCAATTCGAAATAAACTTTTGGTGGTGAAATGTAAATATGTGCTTGGCCACTTACTAAACAAGATTATACCAGAGACCAGAATCATAGAACGCAAGATCAGCCTACACCCGATTAGTTTAGTTGTAGGTTGCGACTTCAAAGCAAGGCCTTACTTGGTTGCCGCCCAAAGCCGCGCAGTACTTCCCGAGGATCTGGAGAATAAGATTCCAAATGTTCCCAAGGGCGCCGTCGCATTTGATATCGCCAACACACTAGAAATGGAAACTCCACGATCACGGCACGTCAGACTCCATTGAACTATATCGAGCAGGTTGTCAAGAACCATTCCTGTGAAGACCGTCAAGATCCTCGATAGGACTGTCAATATTGCCAAAGTGTCTCCAATATCCACACCAAATCCGCTTTGGAAGAAGGCTTGGGTGCGAGCAATTTCTTCGCTTGAGAAGGTAGCCTGAGCGAACCAAATTGTCACTCCGAAGCATGATGACGAAATGATGATCATGAAAAGCAGGGTTTTATCTCGTCTATACGATTGGATAGGCACTCTTGGAGCATCAGGATCTGACTCTGATGATGGAGGGTTGTCTGGTGGTAGAGATGACGGGACATTAGCCGGTCGAGGTGGTAATGTTGGAGGATTGTTTGGTGGCAGAGGTAATAGGAAGCTAGCCGGTCGAAGCAGTGAAGGCGGAGGCTGATTGGAGGCTGGTAGGCCTGTGTAGGGGCTCACTGCGCTGGTGGGTTGAATTTCCGCAGGAGTTGAAGAATTGATCATGCCAGAATCTTCGTAGACCTGGCTTTGCCTTTGCTGATGTGCCTGGCGACTGCTGGCACCAGATCCCACAGCCTTGCGCGGCGGCACGACACAGCTACGGGGCGTCTGGTTTTGAGCTGGAATCACTTGATATTGGACCATTGAAGACATGATAAGTGAGTGGAACAAGATCACTCACTAGGCACTGTGAGAGCAAGTAAATGTAACAAGAAAAAGGTTCGATTGTATGTACGAATAGTATACGTGCAATCCGTGAGGCTAGCGAAGACAAAATCCCTCTACTAAGGCGGACTTGGACCGGCAGATGCTCGACCAGCCGGCTTTCTCGACCTCTTTGTATCGGCCAAGAGCTGAATGATAGTATCTTCGTAAAAGGGTCTTTGGGTCTTCTAGGCTGTTCCGTAGTGGTTGGGTAGAAAATTCGACATGCCAGCAGAACCTGTCCAGTCGGTTTTTCCCAAACCAAGTCTTCAGGTTCTCGTCCCCTCCTGCAATTGCCTGATTGAGGACATCGAGGACCAGGAAACGTTAAGCCCATGAAGCTTTGGCTGCTCCCCGACAACTTGTTTGCCTAAGGCGCTCAGATCTGCTTTGGACTTCTCAGAAAAGCTCTTTATGCAGGCCAATGTCTGGGCATTCTCGTGAACACGATCTCTGAAGGTTGCCCTCCTGTTGATGTGTCGTATTCATAGGCCTAGAGCTGACATTCCGCTGTGCCAAGATACCTCCCCACCTTTGACACGAGGCAGACTGAGAAACAACTTGTTGCGTGAGATTCGTCTGCATGAGGAGCATAAGAATTTAGGTGACTCTCGTAAATGAGTTTGTTAATGGAATGTGATTGAAGGGCTATTTGAGACGTGCTGGAAACCAAAGTGTATGTCTTGGCAAAACGACAGGGCTCCACCAGCTATGTTGATACTCAGCGTGCCTGCTGGGTGTATAACCTCCAGTACTATCTCAACGAGCGCTGCAGACAGCTATTGTATTTTAGAGGAACTGAGCCGCTGACTACGCAATATGATGTGGCATATCCTTTTGTTAGCTCAACTGTTGCTCTCGGCAGTCAATATTCACTGCGTCGAACGTGCTCAGAGCCCCTACCCTTACCTGCCTCGTCGCCAGATAGCAAACTGTACAGAGAACTGTGAGCCAGTTACTAGTAGCACTACTACTACCAGTAGCACCACAACCACCAGTAGCACTACCACTACCAGCAGCACCACAACCACCAGTAGCACTACCACTACCAGCAGCACTACAACCACCAGTAGCACCACAACAACCATCAGTACCACGAGCACAACCACCACCACCACCAGCGGTGCCTGCTCCAGCTGCGAGTTCTGTGCTGGTGCCTATAAATTGACATGGAGCCCTAGAATCGAGCCGACTGCTCATACCTTTACGTTGATAGAAGTCATAGACCCTGACGATGGGTCAGTCAGCATTGCGACAGTGACAGAAGGACTTGGATCCTTCGAGATCGAGCAACTGTCAAGCTCCCTTAACCTTGCGTCTGCAGGTCCGCATATTACTCAAGTTCCGGAGCTGGGTATCGTTATGTAAGTGCACCTTGTGCCATGCTTTGCAGCTGGAACAGTACTAACCGCTGGCTGCAGAACCTATCCAACTGCTTACATAGTCTTCCAAGAAAATTACCAATGGAGTGGTACTCTTTTCACCGACGGAACTTGTACTACTTCTACAGACCCAGCAGCCGACGTTACCGCGCCTCCAGCAGCACCGGTCCCTAAACCTGCATTTTCTGAGACCAACGGCGTTATAGACACGATAGGCGCATTCTACGACCTTCAAATCCTCAGCCTGGTCGATGAGGATCACGGGACATCCGTGGACCAGGAGTTATCGTCATATTTTGATGACGGCGCTTTCATACATTGCACACCCAGCTGCATCCGCGCCGACCCTATTTTTGTTGCACTCGATGACTTGACTCCGCCAGCACTGACCCTGGCATTTGTAACCGCGTGCCAGCGAAGTACAAAGGGCGTCGATGGTGTCGAGATCCTCGCCGACTGCTCGCTTGTGACAGCGCCAGGCTCAGGCCCTGCTTCAGCTCCTGTGTCAGCGACATCAGCGGTAACACAAGGTAGTAATGGTGGTGGTGGCGGAGGCGGAGGCGGAGCGGGTTCTACTAGCCAAGATCGGATCACGACCACCAATGCTGATGGAGAAACTGTTATTGTTGCCCCAAGTGTGACCAACGGCGGCGGAGGGGGAAGTAGAGACAATCTCTTTACCACGATAAATGACGCAGGACACACCGTCATCGCCACTGGGGCTCCAGAAGGGAATCAAATCACTCTTACAGATTCGGGTGGTTCCACTATCATTATTCTGGATGGAAGTCTGGTATCTCCTGGATCTGGGAACGGAATTACTGCTACGGATGAGCGTGGTTCGCTAATGGTCATCCAGGGGACCGCAACTAGCACGGTAGTCGTTGTTTCAGGCAGAGAAACAGTCCTCGTTGATGGTACAACGACACAGACGGGCTGGGTTTCAGGTTCTACTATGACAGTCTCAACTGGTGGTGGTGGGAGTGGCAACGCGGCGCCCACAGTACAGAATGAGGCAGGGCTGAGACAGTATTCAATCTCCCTCATTGCTTCCTGTGCACTGGGCATTGCAATAGGTCTCTTTGCTCTCATGCTATGAGCAAATAAACTTTGGGCACCATGAACACAGACTACTGACTGTCATACAGGATTTTCGTTTGCCTGAACCGCTCTGTCCTCCACTACAGCCAGGTAGTCGAGAATCTTTTACAGGAGACAGCTAATTTCTGCTTTCCGAGTCTGAAATGAAGAAATGTACGACGAATGGCGCACGTCTTAGCAGTAAACTCTCACAAACAATTACAGCCTACCATGATAGCCATGATTTCCGACTTCTAACCGTGGAAAAGCCTCGATATAGATTCCTGAGCACCCATAAACCCGTTCTGGTGTGCCGGAAGGTTGGAAGGAGGCTATGAAGGAGATACTTGCGCACGATGCGTCCCATCTCTCAGGCTAGTCGAGTTTCATGGCGCTTTACATCAAGATGATACTTGGAAAGTGAATACTAAGTATCTCATTAAGCACTTGCACATTCCACACCCTTGCCAATTAAGCTTCCATATAGTTCGGTTCTATACCATAATTCAAAGTTGAATTTTTGATAAGCTCTAATGAGTTTCCCCGACCTTTGCAAAGATGTGTTCAACAGTTAATCGACTAAGTCTGACGGGGTACCACGACTCACTTTAAGGTTACAACCATATGGCTGAGTTCGACTTCTGGAAAGCTTCCTTCTAGGGAGCAAGTATGTCTTAACAAGGCTGAGGTTGCTGAGAAGAGCACCCTGATCTCGCACGCATAGGTCAACTTCCGTTCGTGAGTTCAAGGCATCATAAAGCTTCTGAGCAAAATGGATGTTGGCAAAGTCAGTGCCTGGAAAGAGGAGGGTTTTCATCTTCTGTGTTTGTGACCACCACAAATGATGGATCCCTCTATACTTGATGTGATCAAATGTTTTTCAATGTCAGGCCAATAGGGGTGCTGAAAGCCATCAAGTCTTAGGCTTTTCGAAGAAGGGGGTGTCAACCTTTTTCATTGAGCACCATCATAGTAATCAATTTTCGCTCCCCTTCACACCCCACTATGTGCCTTTAGGGAGTCCATCTCTACTAAGCCGTTGAACGACGTTGGTACTGTCGCACATGTATTGCGAGGCTTTGACCCCTATCTCATGACAAAAAAGGGGCTGATAACGGGTAAAACTAGGCGGGAAACCCCACCAAGGCTCCGGGGTGAGCAAACTACGTCATCCGAGTTTTAGGCTCCCACTGGGTGCCCGCTTCCACTGTTTCTGTAACCGTCACTAGTCACAACAAATCAAGAGCAAAAAGGCCTTGCATGAAAACAAATAATCGGTGGTAGTTGAACCGACAGACTTCGACATCGCTCAGCCACTTCCGCACGATATCAAAGATTAACAGAAGCAAGAAAATACATAACGAGAATAGATCCATCTCTTCGTCAGCCAAATCAGGGACAGACATCATGGCACCCAGCCACGTTCAAATCGCGACATCCGCCCTGCAACGCCTGCTCAAAGAGGAGGTCTCGTACTTCAAGGAGCAAGAACAGCAGGAGGCGCGAATCGCGAAGTTGGAGAAAGAAGGGCCCAGCGCTGGTGACAGTGATGGAAACGCAGAGTTTTTGTTGAAGCAGGAGGTGAGTCCTTGACCTTAATTTTTTCATGTCTTGGTGCAAGTGATTCTGCCGGCGATCAAGTCTTGGTCAATCGCCTGTATCTGTAGATGTGGGATCTCTTCGCATGCTCGAATGCTGTGGACACGATGATATTACAGAATTTGGCATCAATGGGTGGGGGCCATCAGAAGACAAACTAACATAACTCTTTCGCCGACCAGCGAAAAGCGCTCGAGGAGACAAAAGCTGTGATTCCAACACTCCGCGAACGAATCACTAGCGCACGAGAGAAATTGGAGAGCCTACTGGTAAGTCATCTTTCACACAATTCCCTCACATCTAGCATGTGTGATGGCCGGCAGGGAGTAAGCTTGAAACTAATTTTCGCAGGACACGGCGGCTACGGATGAAGAGCGCAATACCGCAGTTGAGGTGTTGAAGTCAGCAAAGGAGGCGCAAAAAGACGATCCGATTGCTGGTCAAGCACAACAGAAGTAGAGAGGAAAGAATCATCACAGTCCAAGAACGACTGGAATTTGAGTTGATGAGGTTTACTGGGAAGTAGCTTGGCATCTGGTGTGCAGGCCTACTGAAAACCCCACGCATTGGGGTTTGAATGGACCTGGTGATTCGCTCTCAGAAGTCTAGCCATGGTGGTTGGTCACTTCGACAGGCACTCTCCACGGGGGCGAACATGACACAACTTCGGAAGATCGCACCGGATCACAGAGAACCAAATATGTTGGTACCAACGAGAGCATGGGCCTTTCGCCGGAGCATGGAATGGCACATTCAAGAGCCATATGATCTTAGGCTCTTACTTTAGCTAGTCATAGCATGCGGAGCAAAACCGCGGCTACTGTTTCCAAGTGTTGCTCTCTTTCCAATGTTTCTTTCCAGTGAGGAGGCTTCGACAGATATCATCCCAGTTGAGTGAGCTTCAAGTTCCCTCACTGGTCATGACATGTCCATTTCATCTACTGGCTTATCCACGATGACTGCAGGAGGAGCATCCGCACCACCCAATCCATCCATCTCAACATCGTCGCCTCGAAGAGGTGTTGCACCACCAATGTTGGACCTTGGACTCAACGCGCCATGCAGACCTGGAAGCGGCGTTGGTGCATCGTCCATCATCCGAGGTGTTCCAGCATTTGACAGAGGGTCTCGTTCTCGATCTGTGCCAAGCAGATTCTCATCGTCCTGTTCAGTCGCGTCCTCATCTTTCTCTGGCTCCTTCTCGTCCCGGACCACTCTTCTCAATCTCTGACTTTCGGTCACCAATCTGCTAAACTGCTCTCTCCTGTCGACCCAGGCCTGGTTGTGTTCTTGTGATTCGCGCTCGAGTTCTTCTATCTCGGCCTTGAGCTTCTCAATATTAACATGTTGCTCATCGCGGGGCTTCAAGGACGCGTTCTTGGTGATTCTGTCGGCCAGTACATCGTATGTTTTCCGAATGGCGAGGTTCTTCTGCGCCTCGTCCAGCTGCACTCTCAGATCCGCCGTGTTCTCCCGCACTTCTTCGGCCGTAGCTTCAATCTTGAGTTTCTCGGCAGCGTACCGATCTCTTTCACGCTCGTTAGCTGCGCGGAGATATTGGATGCGCGCAATGCTGCTGTCGAAGGCGGCGAAATCAAGGATAGCTTCATCACGGAAACGTTGAATATTCTTCAGGAACTGCTGGTGTTGGAGTTCCGAGGCAGCACTATCGCTTTCTTCGCTTTTGGCGTCTACAGAGCGAGTGTAGAATGAGTTAATGGGGTTGGAAGGTTCTAGGAGGCGTTTGATGATTCGCTTGAAGGGACGTTCTTCATAACCCCATAGTCGATTCGCGTGGAGCTTGTCTGTGGAGAAAATGAGCGATTAGAATATTCAGAGAGCGACGAGAGAGATTCTACCTTCTTCGACTTGTTCTAAAAGTGTAAATGCAGCCATCGTGTTGTGATGCGAGTTGTAGAAGGGCAGAGTCAAGATGGGGAGTTGAGAATTCATTAAACTTGAAGTTCAGAACAAAGGGCCGAGGCTGAGAATCACGTGACGAGGCTGGATGCGGGAAGTGTCAGCCTTGAAAGTGCGAACTTGAGGTGGGCTCCCTTGCTGCACCTTCACCCCACACAGATCCACTGCGCTGCACCTGTTTCAACCCGACTGCGACCTTTGTCTTTGTTCGTGTCTGTCACTGTTGAGTATAACCCAGTCACTCAATCCTATTCGTGTGGTTGATATTGAAGACTGCTTTGGAATGTGACACCTAGCACCCCTCAACGCTTCTTCCTGAAGTATCCCACCACATCTTCCTCCTTGTCATCTTCAGACCCGCCCACTACCACTGTCTTCATCATGGCGCAAACCGTCGGTGCCGATAGCCTAGTTGACATGGCCCGTCGAGCCTGCACTCGTTTCGGCGCAAGAATCACAGATATCGGCGATCTGAGATATGAGTTAATCCGACCAATGCTACTTCGAGTCGAAAGTCCCGAGAAATTGGTTAGTTCTATGTTTAACATGGCACTCCGCCTCGTTTGCTGATACACTTCCCATTACAGTACCAACTTGAACAGAACTCCCCTCAGATCATCGGCAGAGACGGAGAGATCTGGTTGAGTTTCATCAGACGCGACATTCCAGACTGGGAACAAAAGCGTCACGAACCCAAAGATCCCAAGAATTGGTACAAGGTCTACCGTAAGCTGAAGAAGGAAGCAGAGGAGAATGCCATCGCCGATGAGGCAGTACTAAAGGCAGCACTGGCCAACATCAATAATGAGAAGGAGCAGAATGTCGCTCAAATGTCAACCAGAACTATTCTTCATCAAGAGCCAGGGCGAAGAGCAAGGATATATCACAATTATGTCAGTGGAAAGACTGGGAGCAAAGGTGCCAGCAAGATGACACTGATGGAGAAGATTCGGAAAGAGGCCAGAGACTCCAGATCATCGAAGATGAACAAACCCATGCACGAGCTGAAGAAGCGGTCGACCACTGTTGCGAGGCCTCCAATGCAGTTCGTGGAAGATTTGAAGAAACGGCCGACACCGATTCCACAAATGTCTCCACCGCGCAAGGTACAACCAAGGGCCCCTCGACCACCAATGCACGGACGCAGACCAATTGAACCACCTACCGGTGCACCTTATGATCTCACTGTCGATCGAGAAGCAAGGTTGCGTGCACTCAAGAACGGGACTTTGAATCCAACGGAAAGCAAAGGGGATAAAGCAAGCGGAGACTTGACGGCAGACTTCCTGGAGGATTCTGATGACGATGCTCCTCAAAAAGGCAAACCGTCATCTGGATTGCTGAACGTATTGAATGATCTCGACCGGCCTCGATCGGCCAGTCCAATGAAGCTGACACCACAACCACTCACCTTGAAGAGAAAACAGCCACCCTCACTATTTGTTGCAGCGCCAAAGAGGGTTGCGAGGAAACCAGGCATATTTTAGATTGGCGTTTGAGGGGAAATTGGTGTTATTGTGGTGGCCTTGGATTCCGCCACTGGCTCTAGATAGAGAGTCTCTTTCAAACCACCGAATCTTTCATCATCCGGTACAATTTCGTCTCGAGAATGGTAAGCTTAGCAGTTATGCCCATGATGTCTTCCGGGACCATCTGAGATGGATCATTCCTGTCTCTCAGCGGTCTTCTCTTATCTCCCAGGATTCAATGATGACAGCGATCTCGATGCAAGTGAAGGTGATAGAAAGGATCAGAAAATCGTAACGCCCGCAGTGTAGTTGTAGTTCATGCTCTCATGTCATGCAATTCGTGCCTGCAGTGTCGCTTAATTGCTCTCACAGGGTCACCGACCGCCACCTCTCAGTGCAAGGACCAAATGTAATGTGTTTCCTCCTTCCAGACCGTAGTCTTCGGCTGTCTTTTCATCCGCCCTGCCAGGTGAAAATATGTCAAAACCCGATTGAGGTGGAAGGAAAGATCAAGTCACCAACATTTGCTTGCCACCGTAGATCAGGCGCTGCTGGACCGGTGGGATGCCTTCTTTCTCTTCCACGCGTTCCTTGATTCGGGATACCTGTCGTCGGGAAAGTGATTGTGATTAGTGGATGATTTATATGATGGGTGGTAGAGGCGGAGAAGAGGTTTTACCTTGTAGTCGGCTTCGATGTCGAGCTCGATCTCCTTGCCGGTCAATGTCCGAACTCTGCGAGTTTCACTGTTAGCCTGGTTCAGTCCGTTTCGTCCGGGCTTCAAAAGAGGCCGGGAGAGGAGGTAAGTGATATGTAGCGTGCGTACTTGATGAGCATTTTGACAGAGGATGGAGAGGCGCAAGAGTCTCGAAAGCGACGGGAGGAGAGATCTGCAAGACGCTTCTTGATGCGCCGTTCAAAGAAAATACAGGTGGAATGGGATACGAATCAGTATATGCCTGAAGGTTTAGTGATGGTTTCTTGTGACCTTCAGAAGGCAGCACTGCACCCACGGATCTGGATTTTGGTGACGGGATCAGAAAGGCACTTGGAGTCAAGAAAGAGGCTGAAGTTGGAGGGGCATTTCTCTGCGGGGTTACAATTGGCCCCGAGGCCCCTACAACCCTGGCAGGACAATGTCTACCGTCGGCCATACTAACTAACTACCTGCACCCAAGACGCCTATCCCTCCGGCTCTTTAGGCTTCTTACATACCTAACCTTCCTCCAGAAACCACCTAGGGACAACTAAACGCCTCCGGCCACTCCATGCACGAACCGAGTAAGCATGCTCATAATCTAATTTTTATCGTATAGGTAGACCTCAACATCGTTCTATTGCATTCTACTCGAGCCAACATGTTTGTATCATTTGTTCAGTCAAGATCAGGGCGCAAATACGTCTAATAGAAGAATCGGGGCATTCGACATCGTTACTGTAGTATATTCGTTGATCTTTCGCAATGCTTGGCATTCAGTTTTCTTTTTTTCGAGCCTGATATCAAACTCCACCATTTGCACTCCCAGAAGACCTTCCGAGTCACACCTAGAGCAGTAATCATGACATCCAAGAATACGCTGTCCTTCGGCCAGCGAGCCAGCAATCATCCCAATGCGCTGGTAAAGAGACTATTCCAGATTGCGGAGCAGAAGAAGACGAATATCGTGCTGTCCGCCGACTTGACCACCACCAAAGATCTCTTGGAGATCGCAGACAGTAAGTCCAGTTTGAACAGAAAATTGAATCCATGCATTTTCATAAAGACGAGCATCCTTCCAGAAATGTTGCCATGGCAAGTAAATCAAGAATGCACAAGTTCATCTAACATTCCACCCCCAATCCACAGGTCTAGGTCCCTACATCGCGGTCCTCAAAACGCACATCGACATCCTCTCGGACTTTGATACATCAACGATCCAAGGTCTGACAGCTCTCTCGCAAAAACACGACTTCCTGATCTTCGAAGACCGTAAGTTCATCGACATCGGCAACACCGTGCAGAAGCAGTACAAAGGCGGCGTGCTGCGAATCCACGACTGGGCGCACATCGTCAACGCCAGCGTCCTCGCCGGCGAGGGCATCATCCAGGCTCTGGACCAGACGATTCACGACCACGCAGGTGTCTCGGAGGACCGCGCCATCCTCATCCTCGCCGAGATGACGTCCAAAGGCTCCCTCGCCATCGGCGACTACACCCGCGCCTCGGTGGAGATCGCGAGGAAATATCCCCAGACCGTCATGGGCTTCGTGTCGACCAAGGAGCTGTCGAGCTATTCCTCGGACCAATCCACCGTGACGGCCGACAACGAGGACTTCGTCGTCTTCACCACCGGCGTCAATATCTCGAGTAAAGGCGACGCGCTGGGCCAGCAATATCAGACCCCGACCAGCGCCATGGCCGGCGGCTCCGATTTCCTGATCGCCGGTAGAGGCATCTACGCCGCTGCCGATCCCGTCGCGGCCGTCAAGGAATACCAGGCCGCTGGGTGGGAGGCATATGAGCAGCGGTGCTCGAGGGCGACTTCGTCTGCTTGATTGGACAGCCACGGGTGTATCTGACGTCAAAATGGGCCTCGGGTCCTGGCTGTAAGAACTGGGCTTCCCATCGGCACCATGGCGGGCTGCCAATCCACACGTCTTTCATGACATTGATCTCTCTCTCTCAAATAGCGTCAAGTAGCCCGGTATCACTTCACGATCGACGCGATGCGATGCGATGATGTTCCTTGCGCCGTACCTAGTCCTGACGCTTCCGTCCAACAGACGGTCCTCAAAGTCCGCCGTCCGACTCAAGCCTCTACCCTACAAACAACCCCGCAACAGTGATGCCACGCGGCTTGGTGCACTTGCTCAGGTATCTAGGTAGCCAGCCATGAATGCACGCCGGGAACGGAACGAAAAGGAGAAAGCGCACCTCTTCAGCCTGGCCAAGATATGACACCGCCTGGTCCTCAAAGCTCCATGGCTGAATAACCAAAAGGCAAGACAGCCGCGTAGAAGTTCGTTCTTAACATAAGTGAACTAGTTAACACGGATTTTGTCTAGATCAAAACACTCTTTAGCTTAGGTTCTTGAAATAGTTCGCTTAACGGCTTATGGGAACAACGATTCAGGACGAGGTGGGATAGATAGATTCAGGTTACACCACTGCAGTCACTAATTACTGGCATCTCCTTTCTTGCTGACGGCATAGAAGGTATATAAATATGCTATAGATAGGTATCTGAGAGCCCAACATTAACCTGACCTTGATGAACTGTTGCAGTAGCTAGCAAGTACTCGCTCATGGCCATCGGACTGATGACGATGCATCTGTTCCCAACCCATACAAACAATAAAAAACAGATAACAGATTCATGAATCATTCATAGCTCATGAGAAAATAGCCACAAGATCAAATCCGTCTAATCCTGTTATACCCATGAGATTGAATAGCTCAGGGTCCCCATTTGCCCACCTACAATGCTTATAGTCCAAGAACGCCCAACACCAAAGGAAGTGTCTTGGTATCGCAGTCGTAAATCCCCAGCTTTGCGTGAAACAAGAGGGATATCATTGAAATTGATGCTTTACACATCCCCGCCACCTAACGAACACCATCAATTTTCTGGTCGAGCTGTACTTGTTGACCAGTCGCTTGATTTCCTATCATGTTCTGTTGGTCCACCTACCACCTTCCGATTAGTGGTAGATCACTCTCGTTCAAGTCCCGATCGTATAACTTCAGAGTTCTCCGAGTTTCGAGCGTCATCAAGTACTGCCTGAACGATTGCCTCCGCATTAGAGTTAAATCCTGCAATATCCAAGGCAGCCAGAAGCCCCGCTGGCGGAGGGCCTGGAATATCCGATAAAGCATTCGCTCCTTGGCTCGAGCCGACACTAGGGGATAACCGCTTAGCTAGATATCCCTTATCTGTGTTATCTGCGTCTCGTACAAGGTTGAAATATGTCACATTCTCAACTGTCAAAGCGTTTGGTGATAAATCCGTTTCAAGTTGCGGGGTTTGCTGGAAAGCAAGTGGAGAGTGTGAGTCCCCCAGTGTGATAGATGGCCCGCGGGTGGGATTTTCCTCGGTAGCCTGGTACAGTTTGGCGTCGCGAAGACTTCTTGCTTTGTCTTCTGCAATAGCCCTGCCCATTGAACGTTCACCTTCATTGGCCCCGCCTATGATCTGCGATGTCATCAAAGATCTGGAAGCACTCGATCTTCTGGCAAGAGCATTGCTGACGGTATGTGTAGCATCCTGTGAAGGCCCCACAGTCGTTCCAACCGCGGCGGCTGGTGTGAACCTTTCAAGGTATTCGGCAGCAATAATTGCTTCGTGCTGTGTGCAGGTGGAGGAGTGGTCTGTTTCGGATCGATGAAGTGAGGGCTTGGAGTTATCTACTTTCTTGAGGGACCTCCCACGAGTGACCCATTTCAGAATGGTTTGCTCAAGGGTTGATCTTTTAACAGGCTTGGCCATGTAGTCATCCATTCCCGCCCTTTCACATTTCTCCCTGTCACCCTGTATTGCGGAGGCTGTCATCGCGACTATCGGGATTTCATCGATTGCTTTTATATCCATGAATGGTGCATGATGACGGAGCATGTGTGTCGCATGGTAACCATCAAGAACAGGCATTTGTACATCCATCAGAATAAGAGAAGGAATCGGATAGCTCTTCGCTTGTTCTTCTGTCAGTTCGGAAGAAGTGGCCTTGAGGAGGTACTCCAAAGCTTCTTTACCATTCCATACGGCACCCACCCGAAATTTAAGAGCGCTGATAAACTTGATGGCAATTTGCTGATTAACAGGATTGTCTTCAACAACAAGAATATGATAGTTGGCTCGATTGATCGGTTGTTCTGCAGTCTGACCAGAGGACAATTTGGACTGTTGGTGCTCGGAAATTTGTACGGGTTGCGATTTTCGGGGATGTTTTCTTTTTTCTTCTCCCGACCCCTCGATGGATAGCGACAGCTCGGACTGTAGTCTGTCAGGCATAGTGCCAACTTCTAGTAACGCAGCGTTGGAACCCGTCTGGTACTCTAGCTTCTTGAATGGTATATGGAAAATCGCCTGGGTTCCAGCGTCCAATCTCGACTCCAGTTTGATAGAACCGTGCATTAAATCCACAAGATTTTTGCAGATAGTCAACCCGAGACCCGATCCACCGAATCTTCGGGCCGTGCTGCTGTCTGCTTGACTGAAAGGTTTGAAGAGGCGTTTCTTGACTTCCTCTTCGATCCCTATACCAGTATCTTCTATGGTGAACTCGATGACTGTAGTATCATTTGAATCACTCAATATTCGGGTAGACATCTTCACAAACCCATCCGAAGTGAACTTTATGCTGTTGGTCAACAAGTTGGTCAAAATCTGCCGTAATCGACCTGGATCACCAAGCAATACAACTTCATCTGACGATCGCAAATGGAAATCAGTACAGAATTCCAGGCCCTTGCGCTGAGCGGCAAAAGAGAGCATCTTGTTGACATCCTCCAATAGAATGGACAAACTGAACTGGACTTCCTCTATATCGAGGCGACCGGATTCAATTTTTGAAAAATCAAGAATGTCGTTGATGACTGTCAGAAGAGAGTTCGCAGACCGTTGGATGTTTTGGGCAAATTCACTTTGCTCGGCGTCGAGCGGTGTGTCCATCAGCAGTTCTGACATGCCCAAAACCCCGGCGATAGGGGTGCGAATCTCATGGCTCATGTTGGCCAAAAAATTACTCTTCATCTTACTGGCGGCTTTTGCTGCAGTTTCATTGGCAAGGAGCTTGATATTCTCCTGTTCTCTTCGGCGAAGACCAGTGACTTCGGTGCCGATACCAATAACACCCGTGATGATATTATCGTCTTCGACGCCATTGGCACCCCTTTTGCCCTTTAGAGGTACTAGTTTAGATCGAAACCAGCGATCATTGGCCTTGTTCTCAAAGACTTCTAGATCAGATGCTCCGGATAAGATAGCCTGTGTGGCCTTTTGGAACTCAACAAGACTTTTATGGTCGAGGAAGTCAGCCCAGAGGTCATATATTGATGCTCCGATGATTTCAGCAGGTCTGTTTTCACTGTCGAGGAAGTCACCTTCGAAGAAAGTTACTTGTTTTTCCTGGTTGATGCTCCACAAACTCATCTGAGAATGCCTCAGGACATCAAGCAGATTCCGACGAGCTTCGTGTCCCGCCAGTTTCGCATCAATAATGTCTTGAATATCAGTGCAACTGCCATACCATTTCAAGATCTTCCCGGTTCTGTGATCCTTCAAAGGCAAAGCGCGGCCCAGCATCCATCTCCACTCACCGTCATATCTCCTGCATCGATACTGTGTCTTGTACTCGTCTCCGGTGGCTAGAGAATGTTGCCACCTCCGGCCGGTTTCTGGCATGTCCTCTTCATGGAATGGCAATTTCCAACCCAACCCAAGACTATCACCAGGTGTCAAGCCAGTGTAATCATACCATCGTTGTGAGAAGTAATCATGGTAGCCTTCAGGGGTTGTGGTCCAAAACATTTGTGGCATGGTGTCACAGATGAGACGGAAACGCTCCTCGTTTTCCGCCGATTGGGAGGCAATCTTTTCTGCATACTCGGTAACATCCCGAAAAACCATCAGACCACCCAAAAAGTCGCCCGACTTTTCATCAAAAACAGGATGGCCACTGACATCGAAGGTCGATCTTTTGGCAGTCTTGTCATTGATTAGACCCACTTTCCATGAAGAAAAGGGTTTCTGAGAGCGACAGAGAGCAATGATGGGATTTTCCTCCTCACTGAGTTCTCGTGAAAAGTCGGTGGTCCAGGGGCTGAATCGGGAGCGGAAATCATAGCTGATATCGGAGGTAGGATCGGCCTCCACAGCCAAGAGTTTCCTAGCAGCTTGATTTGGAAATACCACACTCTGGTCCCGCCAGACGGTGACAAGCGGGATATCAATTGCATTCAGCATTGCATTCTTCATCTTCACGATTTTTTGGAAGTCGCCAACAGTTGGTGGGGGTAAGCATGCGGCTGGCGAGCCAGCGGGCAGAAAAGTACCACCTACGGCATCTTCGGCAGGAGAGTTGGTTTGGGAATTAGAGGTGGATGATGCGGGAGTTTGAGACTGGGAGGAGTGAGAAGATCTGGAGGAATGAGATGACGTCGTCCGCTGGGAAGACGCAGTATGGTTGGGATGTGCATGGTGGGACGAACGAGTAGCATTGGAGGCACTGGTGAAAGTGAGGGTGTAGAAGCGTTCTGAATTCAAGAACCAGATGGAGATAATCATGCGGCAAGAGGCTCTTAATTGGGAGTTTCGAGTCTTGGGCTGTTCATGAGGATGAGAGCGCGGCAAGGCTGGTGTGGGCTTGGAGGAGAAAACGATATCGACAACCGTGTCATCAGTTTTGGAGGTTCTGCTTCTGTTGGAAGATCGTCCTCTTCTCTGTTCATGGGTCGCGGTTGGAGTAGTTTCGCCGCTCCCAACGTCTGGAAGAAGATCGCCCGAGGCGGCGTCCTCCTCGGGGTCATGTTTGAAGCCGCTGGCAACATTTTCCAGAAATTTATCCCAGCTGACCCAGACTGGTACGCCATCTGAAACCATGTCAATACCAATCTGAGACAAGGTCTGATTTCGAAGCAGGTCGGTGACGGTGGACTGAGAGTCAGGTTGGGCGAGTCCGAGTAGCTTGCCTATGGCATTGTTGGCCAAGATGACGGTCTTTGAGGATGAGAGGACCAGAAGGGGGGTAGGTAGTGTAGCGAGGGCGGCGAGAGTGATTTCCGTCGCCATGGTTTGAGGCGGAGGGTCGATGTGGAAATCATGGGGAGTGTTTGAATTGTTGGTGATCTGGACATTGTCTTGCACAGTCGAGGTCATGGAAGAAGTAGGTGATTCGACATGTTGGACTTCCCGAACCACCATCGCCGTCGCCGTGAAGGGGGTTGATCGCAGGATGGAGGGTTTGAAGGGAATTGTCAGCAGTGGCTGCAAATGACGTAGGAGAGACCAGGGTGGAGGTTAGGCTTGGTGACTCGAGGATGGAGTGCGCCCTGTCAAATGTCACAACGACGAGGGGGAACGGTGGTGAGGATGACGAGACAAAGAATGCATAAATAGTCAAGACATATGGAAGCGAGTGTGATGAGAAGAGGGAGATGAAGTTGAAGTTGAAGAAGTCGCGTGGAGATCGACTTGAACTTGAAGTGGATGTTGTGTGAGTTTGCACCAGAGGGAAGAGGGAAAGAAGCAACAAAGTCTATTGTGGCTGCCATTTGGTGCCTAAGGTACGTAGGTACTTCACAATTTAGAACATCTACAAGTATCTACTACCTAGGTAGTTTTATAGGTACCTAAATCTATCCTGAACATGAGAGGATAACATCACTCTTACATACTTTACGTAGGTGGTCATTACTGTAGACGGGGAACTTTGCAGACCCAATCTGTTGGGTCAGAGTGACAGGGTGATCACCATGCCATTTGACAAACTGCCATATTTTCATCCCCACCCGCTATGGAAAATCATGTGATATCCATCTTATCATACTAGGTACGCGAGGCCAAAAAACTGACCTGATCTGGAAACGAGAACCTGACGGAGAAGAATTCCAGTTTCAAGTTCGAGTGGCAGCCCAGATCCAGACCCAGATACGTCAGGTTGTAAATACTTAAGTAACAATCACAGCAACTTGGAAATTGGAACCGGAAGTTGCTGCTCGTCGGAGAGATATTCATCCGAAGACAAAGTCACCTGATTTGATCTTGTGGCCTGTGGTTGGTCATGTGACTTGCAGTATCCCCACTTCCACTCCGTTTTTGAACAGTACGATGTCCAGCCTCAACAGGCGTGCGAAGTTGAGTCGGCACATCGGCTGTGCAAGTTGCCGCAAACAAACGAAACAGACACGAGAGGACGCGACGCTTCAGCATCTTATCATTGGCCATTGGTTGGTACCTAGGCATTGACTCGGCCGCAATTGATCTTCTCTCTCTCTGCTATTCAGCTTCATCGTTTGCCATTCAAACCCACGGCCCGCCTCCCGCCTCCCACCTCTCGTGTCAGCTTCATCCATTATTGCCTTTGTACGAGAGTCAGCCAGGTTGCCATCCATGAACCAGGCCTGCGGTCGCCCCCGCCTGTAGACGAACGTTACATAAATGGATCCTTTAGACCTCAAATCCCATTACACAGTATACTATACCAGGGGCCAGCGGGTTCTACTTCCAACATTGCGAAATGAATCCTTGATGGCATGATCCGCTGCTCATGTCCCGTTAGTCAACCTCATATATATATTGACCCTCTCCCCACCACTACCGTGAGTAGACTGCTTCGTTTTTGCTCCTTTTATACAACCTCGTGAATCCACCATCATGGCCACAACTCTGACCCAGACTATCCCCTCGACCATCAGAGTGACTGCAGACACTCCCAAGTCTGTATCTCCAGAGCTGCCACTCGATCTGTCCAAATACCCCAAACTCTCTCCACAGCAGGTCGGTCATCTACGACACTTCCATAACCTTGCATTTCAGCAAGATGGAGAATGGAAGCACATGGGCGTTCTCGAACCCGGCCAGGAGTTCCTCGATGCTTATCGTTACCAGCTGGCCACCATGAGCTACGCAGCGGCTCTTGCGCACTACCACCGCTTGCCAGCTGTGCGAACCATATTCAAGCCTCTGATGCGTCAATTGATTCACAAGATGCTCCGTCGTGATGTCTGGGGCTACTGGTTCAACACCTCCCACGGTGGGATCTTGACTGATCCATCCTTGACCGAACTACGGAAACCCTGGGCTGATCCCGTGGTCAAGGAGAACATCATGTACAGCGGTCACTTACTACTCATGACCAGTCTGTATGGCATGCTCTTCGATGACGATGAATTCGAAAAGGAAGACTCGATCGTCTTCAGATGGGATCCCATCTTCTGGGGTCTTGGTGCCGAAGACTTCAAGTATAGCAACCGGACTTTGCAGCAAACCATCCTGGATGAGATGGAACGAAATGGGTGGGTTGGTGTTTGTTGTGAACCGAATGTTGTCTTTGTGGTCTGTAATCAATTTCCGGTATGTCTGTTTTCATGTTCTTCCAGAAACACTCAAGCCATAAATAACTGACCTACACCGAAAAGCTCATCGCCATGCGCTACAATGATGTTCGCGACGGCACAAATCGAATGGATGAAATCCTCCCAAAGTACAAAGAAGGATGGGCCAAGAAGAGGGGCATGGTTGCCACCGATTCCAATCTCTTCAATGACTGGTGGATGGTCAAGCAAGACTTTGTCGTGCCAGCCCGAGATCTAGCATTCACTGCATGGTAAATTCAGTGTCCCCTCCTAACTCTTCCAAAGTCGTGACCAAACACCAGACTAACGAAAGCCTCTTCCAACCAAACAGGGCCGCCGCATTCATGAACAGCTGGAACTCGGAGCTCGTCCACAAACTCTACGAGAAACAATCTTTCGGCTTCATCACCCACAGCGCGACTGGAGAAACCAACATCCAACCACCCATCGTGGCCAAATACATCCGCGAGATCTCGGCCGAAGAACCCAACACTCCAGTCACGCAGATCCTCCCCAAAGCCGTTTCGAAAGCCCAAGCCGAAATCGCCGCCTCCAAAGGCCCCGCATTCCCTTACAACAAGCCCGCCCTCGGCTACGTCCTACAATGGCAATCCGAACTCGGGCAAACCTTCGACCTGGAGGGTCTGCTCGCGTACGCCGACAACAACCTGAACCCGCAGTGGGAAGACGGCGGGCTCTTCTACCGACGCAACGACACGGCCTTCACCTTCTCCGACCCCAACTCCACAGACGATCAACCCAGCGTGAACTGGACATTCATGTCCCCGTACACGGGCAACGCCGCGATCGGGTACTCGCGGCTCAACGTGCCCGACGGACAACGCATCATGTACGAGAAGCCGTGGACGGCGGCCCACCTCCAGCGCACGCCGTATATCGACAACCTACATTTCGTGGGCGAGAACAAGGGCGTCAGCGTGCTGCGCGGCCTGTGGGATGCAGACGTCAACGCCCTGCTTCTCACCGTCAAGGGCTGGGATTATATCGGCAAGGGCTGTGAGGAGCACGTCGTCATTAGTCCCATCGCTAGGAATCTACCTTTGGGCACCTGGGCACTATATGTTCAGGGGAAGCTGGTGGTCGCCAGGGATGTCAGTGGGGAGCAAGGGGAGGGGTTCGAAGCTGCCGTGTCGGTTAGGAGGGGCGAGGAGGTCGATGTCGTGTTTTTGAAGGTCTAATACTGTAAGGATGCATGCATACGAATATTGGTTGGATTTGTTTTTCAGTTATGATTGGACAAGTGAAGCGTTAAGTGGCTTCGAAAATGTGAGTGACGGCCCCGGTGTGCAAAGAACATCAATTCAGGAAGAGTGCATCAATCAAGCCAACGCTTTGCCCTCAATTGCTTTGATTTTTTGGCGGGAACTCTATATCAGTTCTATCTGGTGTGGATGACTCCACCGCAGTGGTAGTCATCTCCCCAAAGTACCATGATATACTGACTTCGATTGTTGAATATGTGAACCTAGAAGAGGTGAAACTCTCGATTGTGATCTGACCCCATCTCACAAGCCCGTACAAAATTGACGCCTGATTGCGAGCCCGCATTCTGTAGCGCTCCTGCAAGGTGATCCACAGTCAAGCGATCCAATCAAAGCCACTATGTTTTCGTCACGAAATGGACCTTCGTGGTGACCATATAGGTGAACTGCGCCGCTTCAGGCTCTTCTTTTGCGAGACGTCGGAGTTGGGTCTGCATGGCCGGTCTTAGTTTAGGACCGGTAGTCCTCGTCTCAGGGCCCTATGGAACTCTGCAGCAGTAGAATGTCAGGCGGAGTTAAGAGGGCTATGGCAGGTGGAGTGGTAAGAGCGAAGGAAGCTCGCGACTTGCAGTCTGAAGTGAGGATCTGTTTCTTCAATCTTCACGGCCCGCTCCCGAACAATACGTTGCGCAGCGGCCTTGGTCCGAATTGATGGAGTCAATGCGAGACTCTCCTCTTTCAGCTTGTTAAAGCCGATCTCTCGGAGGTATCGGTAATATCTGCTCCTGTGACAACCCCTCGAAAGGGGGCGATCCATTTCTTTGACCTTTTTGAGGTGGAAGGATTAGCTCTCGGTTGGGCGACTGAATTAGGAATCAGTCCAAGACACCACTCTCTCTCAAGCCAGCCAGCAACTCGGGTTCCAAGAACCTCTTGACGTCAACGTCTTCACTCAGACCCTTCCTTCGTCTGGTCTTGAGAACGAAATCTCGGGCTGCCTGTTGCGGGCCAGCCATTTCCAAAGGTCGGATGCGGATGCTCTTGTCGAGAGGGTCACCAGGAACAACGTCCCATCGATCGAATACGAGAGAGACACTTGCCGCTCCTTGGTTATGGATACGAAGGTCGGTTTCGAAGCCAAAGCTGTCGATGACCGGCAGTAATGCCTTCGCGGCATATAGCGGTGTTCCTGCAACAGGGCCGTCCGAGACAACGTGGCCTCGACGTTTCATCAAAACTGTGTAGAGACCCGAGATCGAATCTGCTGGTCCTGTCATATGCACGCTGTATACCGGTTCCATCAGTCGTGGTCCGGCCATCAGGAACGAGCTGTATACTGCTCTTCTCGATGTGGGAATGATCTGACCGCCTCCTCTATAGATAGCCTCGGTTGCCAATTCCGCCCCAGTGACGCGGAATTTGGTGTTGCGAATTGGCTCTTCACATAGCGGACCTTCTCTCGTACCCCAAGAGAATCCTTGCTTGATGCTCTCTTGTACAGACTTCAATAATTTCTTGTCTGTCGTGGATGGAAGAGTGTCATCACAAAGAATGTTAGGTCCCATCTCTTCGGGTCCAAAAGCCCAGATGGATCTTGCAGCGAGTTTGTCCCATTCATATTTCTCCTCGAAGAAATTGGCAACCTTTCTGATTGGTTCGCGTATCTTGACCACCCCTGCTTCAATGTCTTCCGCAATACCGTCGTCAAGTGGTTCCGCGATCATAGTCAACTTGTTTTTCTTATTGGGTGTCAATGCATAACACATGATAGCACTTGTCTCGGTCACAGTTTCGCAAAACCGTGTGACAGGGTCGGACACTTTGATGTCCATTTCTGCATAAAGAGTCCGAAGGTCGTGCAAAACACAATCCATGTATAACTCTCCAGTGCCAAGGACAACATGTTCTCCAGATTCTTCAACTTTAGTAGTGATCAAGGGATAGGATTTGTTGATCTTGCGCAGCCCCTCAAGCATTTTGGGAAGTTCAGATGGGTTGATAGGCTCAACTGCAACCTTGAAAACCGATTCGGTGAAATGTCGAATAGGTCGGAAAATATAAGCATCTTCATTGTTGGGAAATTGGGCCGCCACAACAGTAGCGGTCTTCACAATTGAATTTTCGATTCCCGACAGAAGCACGAAATTTCCAGCAGGGACTCCGGAGACTGGGATATTGTACCGAGAGCAGCCTAGAAATGTGCCTGTGATCACTGCATTCGTCGAGTCTTCTTCATCTTCGAGACTGTAGGACTCGCCGAGAACCCGAACTTGTTGATTGGGAGCAACAGTGCCAGACATTACACGACCAAAAGCGTCAAAAGTCTTCGCATCTGTAGAGCTAAAAAGCTTAGTAATATGGACAACCAGTGGACCGTCTGAATCGCAAGTCGACATGGCCTTGCCAACTTCGGAGTCTAATGGGCCAGTATAGTAGTTGTCCAACGTTCTTTTCGCCCCTTCGGCAGGCGAAGGTAGATTCTGTACAACCATATCGACAAAGCCGGAAGCAGGGCCGAAGAATTGAGCGCAAACCAACTCAAGTAAGACTTTGGCATCGGATTTCAACTGTGATGGTTTCAAGGATATCCCAAGGGTCTCGAGCGTGGCGCCAAGATCCTCAGGGCTTTCACTGATCGTGTGAGAGTAAAGCTTGTAGATAGGCTCGAGAACGAAATTGACGAATGCTCTTTTGGCACCTTCTTCAACACCCTTTCTGGTGAATTTGCGACTTTGTGGGTTGAAGAAGATATCGCCCCACAGTCTTTTCGAAAACTCCACAGCATCAACCTTTGGATATGTTTCGGCATACATCCTTGCGAACGAAGGGAGTGTGAAGACCCAGTGCATTGATGTTGAGGCAAAGGCGACATTGCCCTTTTCAGGAGATAATCTCCTAGATTCCCCACGTCCTGGTATGGTGTTTTCAATGATGGTGTTCACCTCCTCCACCACATGTTTCAGCTTGAAATAGGCATCTGTGGGAGGGATCTTTAATTCGAGGATAAGTCGATCCATCTTGTTGATCACCAGGACCATGGGTAGATTCTCCAGAACGGCATGTTTTATAACTTGCTGAGTATTGATCTGAACGCCCTCCACAACATCCACAACTAACACGACGCCGTCAACCAGTCTGAGACTCGATGCGACTTCGTCCACGAAATTGACATGTCCTGGAGTGTCGATCACATTGAGAATATGCGATTTTCCTCGTGTACCTTGCATCACAAGGGAGATGGGAGCAGCTTTAAGAGAGACACCCCTCTCTCTTTCCAGAAAATGAGTGTCAGTATATCTCAGTTGTTCGTCTCTGCGTCTACCAATTCTCCTGTCAAGCCGTTCTTGAAGATTGTGGGTTTGCATGACCAACATATCGACAAATGCAGTTTTTCCATGGTGCAAATGCCCGGCCACCGCAATATTTCTGATCCCCTCTGGAAAGCTCAGCAAGTCGGTCATAAACTCTCTAGAATAGTACACCTGAGGGAGATCTGCTTCCTGGACTTGGAACTTCTTCTGGGTGACCGGAGCAATGATTGGTTGGCTCAATGGCTGCGCATCTTCCTCTTGGACGAGAGTTTCCACATCCTGGCCATATATTTGTTGCGCGGTAGGGTAATATTGCTTGTCTTCGTGGAGTATGACTGCGTTCGAAGGTCCTTCGTCATCAACATCCATATCATGGTCATCTTGTCCCTGTTGCTCTTCCTCGGAATCCTGGTCGAAGACGTAGTTTTGTCCTGCATCGCCGTCTTGGGTGCCTTCATCGTCGGAAAGGGCCTCGCCAATGAAGTTTCCGAACCTAGGGTCAATGTCAGATGAAATGTTGAATTACCCAAGAGCATGGTGTTTCTTACTCGTCATAAAGGTCGTCCATGACCTCTGCCGCAGCTGGAGTCGTTGAGCTTCGCGGGCGCGGAAATGGTGCTTGAGAAATTTGCGAAACTGGGGTAGCCTTGAAGTTCTCGTCGCAGCCAAAAAAGATCAGAGATATTGTGCCACTCTCTCCAACTTTAGTCCGATGTTTATCCGGCCCGGGGTTTTGCAAAGCCATCAATGAACTCGAAAAAGAAAAGAGTATTATCGACAGGGTGGTGCAAGAACAGTATATTACATTCATTACATCTATATGTTTGGTTGATTTTGATTAGAGCAATTTGAACTGATCGCTGCTCTGCCAGATCTGCGAACCTGCGCAACCTACGCATTTTCCCTTCTCTCCCAGCCTAGCGTCTGTAGATCTGTTCCTCATCCTGGCGCTTCTGTATGGATATTTACCTGGGTATTGAATCGCTCAAGAGAACTTTTTGTGGACGTTTTGCTTATAGCAGTGACTCCAGAACAAGTGCACTCGCTCCACCACCACCGTTGCAAATTCCAACAGCTCCAATCTTTCCCTTTTTGGCCTTCAATACACCCAGTAGTGTGGTCACAATTCGTGCACCGCTGGCACCTAATGGATGACCAATGGCTACTGCTCCACCATGGAGATTGACCTTGTCAGGAGACAAACCTAGCAACTTCATGTTGGCAAGAGCAACGACACTGAATGCCTCGTTGATCTCAAAGGCATCAACATCGTCTTGGTTCACACCAGCGTGTTTCAAAGCCTTGGGAATCGCCAATGCTGGGGCGGTGGTGAATTTGCTAGGTTGATGTGCTGCATCACCCCATCCCAGAATCTTCGCAATGGGTTTGATGTTGAGCTCTTTTAGTTTGGCTTCTGACACCAATACGACGGCCGCAGCACCATCGTTAAGTGGCGATGCATTGGGAGCTGTGACAGTGCCACCGTTGGGAATGAAAGCTGGCTTGATGGCCTTTAGTTTGTCAATATTGAGGTTCTTGGGCTCGTCATCCTTATCCACCGTGACACCAGGCTTGCCACGGACGCCGGGTAATTGTATCGGGGCAATCTCAAAGTCAAAAAGACCTTCACTGACGGCCGCCTGTGCTCTTTGATATGATCGAATGGCATACTCATCCTGCTGCTCGCGGTTGAAGCCATGATCCTGAGCGCACTCTTCTCCTTGTAGTCCCATATGCTCTTGCTTGCCGTAGGCATCTGTTAGACCGTCTTTTAGGACGCCATCGACAAGCGTCTGGTTGCCAAACTTGGCGCCCGTTCGCAAAACGGGTAGGTAGTGAGGAACGTTGGACATTGACTCTGCGCCACCAGCCACGATGATGTCTGCATTGCCGGTCATGATGGTTTGTGCCCCAAGGATTATGGACTTCAAGCCGGATGCGCAAACTTTGTTGACGGTGGTGCAAACGGTTGAGGGCTCCAGGCCGGCACCAAGGGCGCATTGCCGTGCAGGGTTTTGACCGACACTTAAAGGACTGTTAGCGATGGCGGGGAGCATGGTGAGGAAACTGACTTTGCGGAGAGAACATTGCCAAAGAACACTTCTTCAACATCTTGGGGTTTGATCTCGGGTACTCTCTCAACAGCGGCTAGTGGTCTTGTCAGTCAGATCGTAGCATTGGGCGACTCGAGGAGGCATACATTTTATGGCATGTGCGCCCAGTTGGGGCGCGGTCAAGGAAGACAGTGAACTATAGCTTGTTAGAACCCGTCGCTACTCTTGTAATGCTTGAATCGAATTACCCGAGGAAACTGCCAACTGGGGTTCTTGCAGCTGCAACGATATAGACAGGCGGTAGAGAAGGTTTGGGATGAGGGGTGCCGTTGGTACCGTTGGAAGCCATTATGAAGTCTGAAGTTGATAGGTTTGGACAACGAGAATGATATAGGAGCAGACACCTCAATATGTAGGACAGAGAACTGTAATCGTGAGAGAAGAATAGTAATCCAGAGACAAGATTGTCGGTGTGATTTTGTTGAACAACACTGGTGCTCCTCGCTTTACGCAGCCTCGACTCCCCGCCAAAAGTTTTGTGATCCGATATCGTACGAGGGATTCCGCCCTCAATTGTGGCGTTAACCGGGGCCAAGATGAATTTCCCCTGGCGCTAACTATACATGTACTAGTGGATATACTAGTACAGTTGGTCGCCCTTGCTCTTTCAAGCACGACGGAAGTAGAGTACTTTTGATTGTGCAATCTACGGCTGAAGAGGACTTGAGCCTTATTTACTCCCACCCAAGATTGATCCCAAAGCTGACCTGGTAGACATCCGCTCAGGGTTTTGCAACCTCTCCTCATCCACCAGAAAGACCTCGGGCAGAAAGTCACTGACGTCGATATCGAGGATCATCTTAGCGACAGCTTCACCAGATGACCAACACAGAGGCATCCCGTAGCCATTGAAGCCCGCCGCGATATACTCACCACTGCCGTTCTCCTCCTCGCCCCGACCTGTAATGCTGTGGGACAACTTTCCAATCAATGGAAGATGATCTCCAGTGAACCCCATTATGCCCGACCACACTTTGATCACCTCCGGCTGCGCACCATCGTCCCAGCCTTTGGTAAAGAATCGAGGTAAAACCCCCGAAATGTTTTCCACACACGGCGCACCCACTTCTGAATCGTCGCTGACGAACAGCTCGTTGATCTTTGCTTTCTCGCCTCCAATGAATATGTCATTCGTGTGGGGATTTTGATTCGAGTAGTACAGTCCTGCTTCTACAACGCCGGTTGCGTTGTCGAAGTGGCCACTGTTGATCATACTCCACGATAGCTCTCGACCGTGGTGGCCAAAAGCTGGTGTGGACTTCTGTGTAGACATCGTGCCACGAAGAGGATAGATCTTTCCTCGAAGTTGAGGCAGGAGGTGTCCGGTGTATCCATTGGTGGCGTGGACAACGCGTGAAGCTCGAACAATACCTCGTGAAGTGTGAAGGATATAAGGATGTGTATGATTTGTGCTATCATCGTACAGGATCTCGGTCACTGGTGTCTGTGTTTCGATGGAGAATCGCGAACTGTACAAATTGTGTAGCCGCTCCCAAGTATGAGTTATCAGCCGATAAGGCCAGAAAGCGCCATTAGGACAAACGACGGCGCCAGCGGCGGCCCGCATGTTGTACTCCTAATCACGTTCGTCAGCAGGCCATCAAGCACAATGCATATAAATCACCTACCGACTCCACCTCCGCCGCGCTCAAGATTCTATGTTTGTCGTGATCCTCAGGGACGTGTTCTTCATAGAGCTTGCAAGACTCAATGAACCCACGAAACGACTCCTCGTCCTGGAAACCAATTACATCCAAGAGCTTCCTCACTTCACTGGCTTTCTTGGCCTCTTCCGACGAGTTTCCCAGCTCATACATTTTGTCAAGCGTCCTGTTGGCATACCGTGCGATCTTAACGGCCTGTTCATGTCCAAAGTGGTCGCTGAGGGTCTTGTAGTCTCCAGGGACAAACGTCGACAGCAAGCCGCCATTACGACCAGTGGCACCACTTGTCAGTGTCCGAGCCTCGAAGACCGTGATGCTGAGTTGTTGTGACGACGAGGACGTCAGCTCAAGCAAATTCTTTGCCACACTACATCCTGTCACACCAGAGCCGATGATGGCGACGTCTATGCTCGCTGGCAGTGCCTTGGATTGAACTTTTGATAATGTAGGATGGGGCGGTAACTGCCAGAATGATTCTGTGGGATTGGGTCGTGGGAGCTGAGGGTCGGCAAGAAGTTGAGCCTCTAGCTCCGTGATGATGCTGGAGAGCTGTTGATTTGCCATATCTTTTGCAATCATCGTGTCGAGTGGAGCTTGGAGACTAGCAATAGACCAGCGCCTACGAGTTGAGAATCAGGTCCAGGAATGTCCTCGGGTAGATGTGATTTGTACTGTTAAGCAGTAATAACCGACATGCGACCGTCCCGCAGACAATCGCGGGTCATGGCCTTTTATATCCATCAATGCGCATGTTGCAAAGGTCAATGAAAAGGGAGTTGACCACGGTATTTTCGTGGGTTCGCCATCTCCATGAAGAAGAGCACCCAATTCCATTCGCGAGTCATGAGCTTTGACAATAACTAGCTTAGAATCGCCCCCAGGGCCCCAGGTCTTATCCATTGCTTTAGAAGGTAGATGAGGGACCCTGGGACCCCTGGAAGCCAAGCCGGTGCATTTGGACGAGTGCAATTGGTCCAAAGGTTGGAGAATCAAGCATCAGCCCGGGACGCTTGATGCGACGTTCTTCTCCGTTTTGGCCACGCGTCGCAATCGTCTGTGGTTGGTGTCGCTCACGATCCGGGCAGGTGATGTTCATTACATCCACCATGTCAATTTTGGGAGATAAAGGTTATCTCGAGTGAAATCGGTATGTCGTTGCTGATTAGAGTTGGCCATGTCCCTGCGACAGACTTCCTACCCCGGACTAGATTCCCTACATGATCGGCTCAAGAAATGAATCGGGAGACTTCTTATTAAATGGCCGATGAACGCACCGCAATGTCCACTTCCACTTCCACCTCTAAACCTTTTGCACTTCGTCTCAGCCAGCTCTACCATTCAAAGAGCTTTGAGTAAGCAGAGCTACTCGCGTGCACAATACTAAACACTATGGACGAAGCCCGCCATGAGCATGACGGCCACCCCTCGACCTGGCCTCCGGGTACCATCACTTTGGAAGACTGTGAGGGCCACTCTCGAAGTTCTGATTTTGTCGCTATATGCTAATTCATCGACAACGCCACAGTGCAAGGAGCACGCGCCAAAGTGATCCTTCATCCCATCCCCACGTCTGATCCAAACGACCCTCTGAATTGGGCTACGTGGCGTAAAGCTCTCAATTTCACCATCGTCTGCTTTTACGTATTCATGACTTTCGTCGAGCTCGACATTGGGTTTGTTGCCTGGGAAGCTTATCAGACTGAGTTGGGTTTTACCGTCGACCTTTTAAATGCTGGTGCGGCGGTGAATTACGCCGGACTCGCCATCGGCTGTATATTTTTCATTCCACTTGTTCACAAATATGGCCGTCGACCACTGTATCTGTTCAGTACTGCAGTCCAACTGGCATCTGTGATCTGGTTCGCCAAAACGTATACGAGAGGCGACCTTATCGGCAGCAATTTGATTTCTGGACTTGGGGGCGCCATCAGTGAGACCATAGCACAAATCACGATTGCAGACATATTTTTCGTCCACCATCACGCCCAGATGAATGGTTGGTACCTCATTGCCACTTCTGCAGGTGCCTTCCTCGGCCCAGTAGCCTCTGGATATATCGTCATCAGCCAGGGGTGGAGGTGGATGTTTTGGTGGTGTGTGATATTTTTCTCCATCAACCTTGTCATCGTCATCTTCTTTTTCGAAGAATCAAAATACATCAAAGTCCTGCTTGGGTACAATAACAACCAACCAGCTTCTGTCGTAGAAGCCGGTACTGCTGGACGACGAGAGACAGCTGAGCGCGCAGCTAGCGAGCTCGCAAAGCAAGCTGAAACAAGCCAGTCGCTGGAGCGGACCCGGAGTGAGGTCTTCATTGACACCTCGATTCCAATGAAGCCATACCGCGAACGCCTAGCTCTCGTTACCAAAACCAATGGATCGATTTTCCACGACTTCCACCAACCTGTGGTGCTTTTATTCTCTTTCCCGGCCATTGCTTACTGTGCAATCACGTATGGCAGTTTGTTGGCGTGGTTCGCAGTTATGACTTCGGTCCAAGCCACTTATCTGTTCTCGCCACCATACAATTTCTCCGCTGCTGGAGTTGGGTTGATGAACCTTGCTCCTTTCATTGGAACAATTCCAGGTACCATAGTAGGTGGATGGCTGAACGATAAGTCGATAATGTGGTTATCGAAGCGCAATCGGGGAATCTACGAACCGGAAATGCGTCTTTGGCTGGCGTTGCCTTCAGCGCTCATCACTCCAGCCGGTATTTTGATGTTCGGTTTGGGTCTCAGCTCCGTAAGTAGTCCTTGTGGCATGACGATAACTCCGCTCGTATACTGACAACCGAATTTTTAGGGTGCTGCATGGCCTCTGATTGCTGTTGGATACGGCCTTTGGGGCTTCGGATTTGGCGCAGCCACGGATATAGCATTGTCGTATGCCATGGATTGCTATCAGGATGTACGTACATTACCACTTGGCTGCCATGGCTCGACACAACGTGAACTCTGCGCTAACAATACCGTGTACTCCAGCTTATCGGCAACGCACTCGTAGGTATTGTATTCTCACGGAACGTTTTCTCTGTGATTGTACTTTTCACACTCACTCCATGGATCAATGGCATGGGTCTGCAAAACATGCATATCCTGATGGCAGTTATTTGCTTTGTGATCCTGGTGCTTCCGGTGCCACTTTTGATCTGGGGGAAACGCGCTAGAATCGCGTTAGCAAGCAAGTACAGGGAAATGGCACGTCGGCAACCAACACATCGTGATCTGTGACCCAGATAGCCATGTTCATCAGACAGGATGATTATATGCCACGATATCAACATGTGGAGTGAACTGGGGTAATTTGAGAGTAGCGCAAGTAGGCTGGAAATTTATTGTCGAATGTCAAACTTGACTGATTAATGTAATCTGCCGACCCTGCAAAGCGTTGCCCATGGGGGACACTCCTTTTGTATCTCTTAGTCTTTGGCGTCAAATGACGCCCTTGGCAATTATCTGTCCGATATCATCCCAGTAGATGGGAGGATGGCTCTCAATATCCACGGTAGTCCAAAATGAGATTAGCCAAGATTCGATCTCGTCATGGGTTCGCTCCGAGAAGTCCACAATCTGGCGTGATCTTTCTAGTGCAGATGCTCGTTCCTCGGGAGTTATGATTTCGAGACATGCAATGAAGAAGGCCAGGTCGACGAATGGCATCGATTTCCCCGTGAGGTAGAGCACCAAATTGAGCTCGTCAAGGATGCCACGGGATAGAACCTTGGCCCTCGCCATGTACGTACTGAAGGCGTAACGTAATCGGTGGACGACGAGCAAGTTAGCCAAGCGGAGTACTTTGGCCTGTGTTAGCATTATTACAACCTCCGTGGTTGTGAAATGTCCTTGAAGGAAGTCTTTGGGTACACTTGGTTGCCACTGCTCAATCTTATCTTCCATTTTCGTCAGTGAATTGCTAATGCCTTCGTCCACAAGAAGATTTCCTCGCCGATACTGTGACCCATGCATCATTTGGGATAGAGCACATATGTCGTACATATGAGTAAGTATCGATGCGGATACTCCAATGAAACGGTCGACCGAATGCTCGAAATCATGCTCTCGAAGTCGAATCGATGGCACTTGGCATTGAAGTAGGCAGATGGTGATCTCGGTCCCCAAGAGGCAGATGAGAAAGGAGACCCCGTCAGTACCGAGCTTTGGTATCAAGGACAAGTCGTTGTCGTGGAGGGGCTTGACAAGACCAAGTACCCGACGGCAAAGAGATGCTTCACCACCAGAGTGATGTAAGGCAAACGTCACCATGGCCATGCCGAAGATTAGCACAAGTGAGGCATCTTGAGAGTTGTACAGCTCGAGTTCTCGTAGGGAAGCAACGGCCGCTGCAGCTCTCCGAAAGCCGATTCCTCGGCATGATACCAATTGTGAATCGTCCTTTCCCACAAGTAACGTCGCACAAGCAATAAATGCATCCTTTACGAGAGGCATTCCGATCTTAATATGATCGATAAATGTTTGCCGATGCTGTTCTCGAAAACTCGGGCCAAGGAGGTATTTATCAACATCTATCTGCCTGTCAAGCATAGTATCAAGAAGGCGAAATTCGGAGGCGGTCAAGTCAGGAAACATAGAGATGGCTCTGTCGACCTCAAGTCGACCTCCCTGATCAATTTCGTTGACGTCCACGACTGGGAGCGAGCCGACATCATCTGGTGTGGACACTGCAAGAGACTCGTATGAGGGTGTTGGCGAATTGATTTGAGATATCTCGCAGGAGATCTCAATTTGTGTCCTTCTTAGTAACATTCGATTTCCAGACGCGAGCCTTGCTTTCCTGCCCTTCTTTCCAGTGCGACGATCACTTTGGCAAGGGAAGTTCAAGCGTGAGCATCGTTCACACACACTCGTACTGCCCAGTGGCCAGCGACATCTTTCCTTAACATTGTGGCAGCGATCACATGGTCTTCTTCGCTGAGCCAGAGTAGTGATTCCAGTGGCTGTGGCATGATTTGGGTACATCTCAAAAGTCGCCGCTATGTACGGGTAGGTCAATATCGCTTGGTCCTTCAAACCTCATCTCTTAATGGCGATCGATCGATTGACAAGATCTAGTGGGATGGATATCTTAAGCCTCAGGCTTTCTGGCAAGGAGCGATGCGGGGGGTTCGACGTCTGGGGTTGCTTTTATTTAACCCCAAAACCTTGGCGACTACAACTTCAGTTTCTTCCAATGTCGCGATCTCATCCAGAGTACCATTATTGACAGATTAGACTGATGTTGTGACCGAAGATATCAAATCTGTTAGATCTTATCCTGTATTCAATCTATTGTTCGGGCAATGATCTAGCTGGTAAGCAGAGGCCGGGACATCTTATTTAGTTACTCGCACAACCAAATAGTGTACAACCATTGTCGTGTGGCTTCATGCATACTAAGGTGCGAGCAACCCAAAGTCTTATTATAGTTTGAAAATTGTCAGGAACGCCTCAGTACATGAATTCACCGGACTTAGTATACATATTATCAACGCTTGCCTGCCGAATGCTCAAAACTGTCGACCCCCAGGACTAGCAGTTTTTCACATCGCCCACGATACAGCACCATTTCGATCGAACTGAGTGTCAAATCTGATGGTAAGCCCGGCTGAAGGACCAGCTGTCGGGAGTCTTTCAGTGCCTGAATGAATAACAACGATACTTCGTCTCACATATCCGTCTCCATGCACAGGAAGTAGTGAACGAGCCAGCGACAAGGCTGTGGCAAATAGGGGGGCCCCGTTGTAATCTTATCCTATGTTCAGAGGGAGTTGCGACACCCTAAAACACATATTCTCTTGGGTGCAGCTCTACAGGGTTCTGGTATAGAAAAAAGCGATTTCACATGAAGCGAATGGCAGCAGTGGAAAAGAACGCAAAGGCAAATGCTCCGCGAAGTTTCCAGATCACCACTGGGGGGATCAGACGATGTTCACTACCAGATTAGTGACAAGTACTTGCTTTCACTTCATCCTTTAAGCAGATTTAGACGAAGAGAATTTTTACCTGTTGCTTTTCAACAAGCTTCCCCGTTTCTGTTACCTAAGTTTCACGTGCAGAATCATTTTCAGCTTGATCTTACCAATTCCCTCTGACTCTCAACATATCTTGTTCATGGAGAAAGCTGAGAATCAACAAACACCCTAACGTATGTGTCTGAACTGATCCGGGCCCTGCTGTAATTACCTGAGTGATTCGATCACATTCTTGACCTTGCTCATTGAAAACAGATCAACATGGCTGAACCTGATGTCGACTTCCAACAGGCCTTGACCCTGTTGGAAAAAGATTTGAATGATGCGACGGCCACTCTTACAGAAAACCCACCAAGCTCAGCAACCCCCTCCACCGATTTGTCCAGTGATCAAATTTTCGCGATGCGTTGTCAACTAGAAGATCTGAGAGATGATCAACAAAACTCAATCGCCACAGAAGCATCAACCGCTCTTCTCACTGATCAACTTGTGGCTCTCCGCTGCCAGCTCGAAGCGTTCAGACAGGCTCAAATCACATCGGCAGATCGAAGAATGCAGCAAAGCCTCTATCGAGCAATGTTGGCTGATACTGCTGCTGTGGAAAATGAGCTGGTCAACGCTTTTGTCCCAGTCTCCAACAATCAAGCACTGAGAGTTGATGGAAAGGACGGCTACTACGAAGACTTGCGTGTCGATGCCAACGGCAGTACGCAGCTTGATGAATACATGGACAATCTCACGCTTGATGAGTCCCATCCTTCACAGAAGTGCCAGGCATGCTGGGAGCTCGTTCCATACTCCCAAGCTGTTGAGGTTGGAATCTGTACTCACCGTTGGTGTCGTGCGTGCTTGACCATGGCGTTTGAGACCGCTCTGAAGAACGAAGACCAATATCCTGTACATTGTTGCAAGAACCTTCCAGTAATCTCAATCGATGAGGTGGCAATAGGAGAGGCACTTGGCGACACCTTCGTCGCAGACTTTCACCAGAAAATTATCGAGTACAGTACCGACAATCGCACCTACTGTCACCGACCCAGTTGCTCGGCATTCATCGTCCCTGACACCATCCAAGGTCGGTTGGCGGTATGCCCCTCTTGCCAAACACAAACTTGCTCAACCTGCAAGCAAGAATATCACGTCCAAGACCAATGCCAGGCAGCCCAAGATCTTGCCTTTGATGAATGGCGAACCACCAATGAAGCTAGCATTTGTCCACGGTGTGGTCGTACTATTATCATCTCCCATGGCTGCAATCACATGTCGTAAGCATACCAGCCACCGATTCCACTTGCTTTGTGATCAGTTTTGCTTACTATTCTCCTCATTAGGTGCCACTGTGGGACTGAGTTCTGCTACGAATGCAATGCGGTATGGAAGACTTGCGAGTGCGCAAGATGGCGCGAAAATCGACTTATTGAACATGCTGCCAGGGTAACCCGGGCTCGAGGCCAGTCTAATCGCGTTGGGAGAGTGGCCGCAGAACTGCGTAACGAGGGAAACTGCCGTCATAATCACTTCGAAAGAACAGAGAACAATATCGGGAGGTGCCACGATTGTCACTGGAGGCCGTACGAATTTATCTGGGAATGCACGCGTTGCGATCGGCAGGTATGCACTCAGTGTCGACGTGAGTTTTATGAAGTTGATGATTGCTGGTTGTAGCCTGCATACTCCGTACTCACGGTTTTGGTTGCGAAGTTGGGGATACTTGGAAGCTGAATGGGATGACGATCAAGGAGGGTGGCGTGATCGGATGATGTTGTGGCCTTGCCATGCATTGGAAAAAGAATTCGAGCTTCTCTTTTACCCGTGTTTGAGTTGTATCAAAGGCAACGAGGTTCTGCCGCTTTCTTGTATGGTTAAATACCCAACTGGGTTGATGCTCCCTGAAGGGGAAGAAGCAGGCCTCTCGTCTACCAGAATCACTATATATTGAGGGAGTCTCTAGAAATGACGTCACAACTGACTGACGACAAACTATCAGAATGAAGAATCTCAACTCGTAAGAATTTCCGTGAAACCCTGGCCTCATACAAACACTGAGTTCGGCTATCGATAAATAGCAACAACACCAAATATAGACAAACAAACACAGTGTGATGGTCGCAACATGCGGGCATGGCTCGAGCGCCACTGCAGTTCGAGTGCCACGGCGGGTGTGGCTTCAGAGCTGAAGCTCGACCCTCTTGACCTGAGCCGTGCGATGGTGACTATTGATGGCTATTGGTCTCCAGCCCTGTCAATGAACGCTCAGATTATTTCCAACCAACAGAAACTTTCTCAGGCACCCATCTCGTAAAGAGCCGCAACTCAAACAACCTTCGGATTTGCGTGGAATTCTCTTTTTGAGTTCAAGTCGGTGAACCATTGCCACAGTCTAAAATAACACACATGGCCACACAAGGTAGGATCAGAGTTCTAGGCCATTGCCTGAGTTTCCTTGGTAAACTTAGAAGGAACAACCGGCATGAACCACCATCCATCTTCATCTGTTATGTTCTTCGCTGAATTGTGTCCCCTTCGGTTTCAATTATCGCTTCTTTGAGCTGCTTCTATGAATCGGTGAGAGCCATTACCAAACGCTCTAGTCAATCATGCACATCGGACAGGTCCTCGATCGTGGGATTTCGACAGGACCTAGGTTTCGGAAGCACACACCATGGATCACAAGCCCGCTCACAAATACCACAAATGCACACAATCATACAGGTCAACCTTCGGCAGAAACAAGTGCTTCCGACTTGATTGCAGACCAAGCAATGGGACGAAGAAGGCAAGGAGTTCCACAGTTTCAGCAACGCCATGAGTCTACCACGATTGAACTTTTTTATGACCTGTTCTTTGTCGCCAATCTATCTTCGTTCAGCAATAACCATGAAATCGTCGACGCGAAGAGTAAGTCTCTTTATCCGCCATTGGTAATTTGTCTGAAAAACTGCAGCTCTACGGAACTATATCGGCTTCTTCACTATTCTATGGTTTACCTGGCTTCAAACCTCCCTCTTTGATGTTCGTTTTGCGGCTGATTCCTGCTTTGATCGAGTTTGCAAAGCATTTTCCTTTGCTATCATGACTGGCTTCGCCATGGTAGGGGTCCTCTATGATACCACCAATGTTGAGGGCAATTCCAGAATATTCCAGATAATGAGTCTTATCCTCATGTCGTCACGGCTCATTCTGATTGTGCAGTATGGCGTTGTGTTCATCTATGTCCGACAATATCACAACACTCGCACACCCCTTTTAGCGACGATGGGGGCCCTCTTTGTTGCTGCTGCGATCTTTCTTGGCACATATTGGGGATTCAATGTCACAGAAAGTACCAATCATGATGGTGTAGAAGTGGTCAAGTTGGCTCACCCTGACATTTATCTCGCATGGTATATCGTCGCGGTCCTTGAAGCGGCGTCAGTGATTGCAATTTCGTGCACCTGGCGCGTGGTCAGCTTCAAAAGAACACATTTGGTCGAACGTGTTGGGCTACTGACTCTGATAATGATGGGAGAAGGCATCATTTCAATGACTAACTCGGTGTCACAACTTTACTGGAACGCACGAAACGTGAGAGGATCGGACATTGGGGCTGTCGCATCAAGTGTCCTGCTCATAGTAAGTTTCTTCGCCCTTCGAGCCAGTGGCAAATGCTAACACGATCAGTTTTGTATTTGGATCCTTTACTTTGACCAGATAGATCACGACCGATTTGGGACCATCCGCCAGCAAGTATGGGCAATACTACATTTCCCTCTTCATGTTGGAATACTCTTGACGGTGGAAGGAGGGTCTGCGCTGATTCTTTGGAATGTGATAAAACGCTACCTGTGAGTCACCTTGAATACCCTCTAGACCCATGGGACCGTGTGCTGATGGGATGTTGTTCAGTGTTGCATTGTCGAACCTTGTCGAAAATATCCCAGACTCAGTGAACACGACACTAGGACTGGCTCAATATCTAGAGGATGGAATTAACACTATCGACGGTTGGAACAAACAAAGTCAATTGGCACAGTTTTACGACTATAACTACAACCTCACATCGCTGAGAAATATAACGATAACTCCATACAATTCCACACAGTGGTGGGATGAAGCCGACCCTATCCTCTCGGACCTCGTTAATGGCGTTGCCACTGCTATATTCAACCAATTCGGCGTTGAAGGACCAGAAACTCATGACCACAGTGTGCACGAAACCCTCCAACAGAAAACTGAGGCTCTAAAGAACGTTTTCGGCACCGTGTTTGTCTACTTCTACATTGCAGCAGGCAGCTTCTTGCTCGTGCTCGCCACTTTGTACTGGTTCGGCAAGACACAGAAGTCCCTTGGAGAGTGGTTGTCCATTCTGCTCAGAAGCCTGGTCGGAATCGGTATTGGCTTGTTGTGTTTGTTTAGCTTTTCAGACACAGACGCCGCAGACGCTTTCATACTCAGTACCTGGCAAATCGGTGTAGTCGTGATCGCCTATTTCATTGGTAAGTCTCAATGCATGTGATAGTCGGATGAGATTTTCTGGCTGACTAGCTACAAGTGATCGTGATGGATAATTTACTCGTATGGCATACGAACAAAACTGTCGCCAAGAGGATGCCGGGCACTCAGCCTTCTATGGTAGAAGCTGGTCGTGGGAATCAAGCGGACGAATCCAAATCACGCGGCCCTGATAGCTCAGTATTGAGAGACTCCAAATGAGGTAAATACAGGGTTTCAATTCTTCTTTCAGGAATTCAGCTATCGGAATTCGTCAACCGCCATTCAAACAAGTGATGGAACTGCAAATTAGTTTACTTCGTCAAGTCAAAAACGCCGATCAATGAAGAAGCCACACGCTAGGCCAGTGGGCCGAAGCTCACTCATGCTGGACATCGACCTTTGTAGCAGCAGCCTCGGTGTACCCTTTCTTAGGGGCGCGAATCTTCAACAACCCAGCTTCCAAGGTGACGCTCACATTCTCCACATCTGTGGGGAAATTGATGTATCTCCTGAACGGTCCGACTCTTCTCTCGCCAACAAGCAAATGAACCCCACCGGAATGAGGCTCTGGCTTTTCCTCCTCCACCTGGGAATTCTCGGCTTTTCCATAATCTGGTCTTGCGACATTGCCGGTCAATAACAACGAGCGTGAGCCGGTCCATGAGACGGTGATCTCGGAAGGCTTTTTGGTACCAGGAACCTCGACCTCGATGAAATACTCGGACACCGCGTCACGGATATCTACATCTGGCTGATTGGGATGAGTCTCAGGGTGGGGTGGCCTTCGAGCGAGGTATGAGAGAAGATTCTGATGCTGGTGACTTCTCTCATGTGGATGGTCGACCAATGGCGGTGGGATATCGTAGTAGTAGGCGTACGCCATGGCGTCCACGAAATTCTGTGCTGCGACCGTGATGGGCGATGAGTGAGTTTTGATGATGAGGACTAGTTGCTGCAACAATGTGCTAGCTCAGCAGGATTGCGCGTTTGTTCTGATTGTTCGAAATGATAGCACGCGAAAGCTCTGAAGATCGGAGAGTGGGAGAAGTTCTGGCACTTCATGTGAACTTTATATAATCCGGGCACGTACCATGGCTATTCTTATGAGCCAATTCAATGGCTCAGCCGTCGGTTCTCTTAGAAAGAGTCCATGCTTGGAAGCTTCGCGACCGAGGATTCCTGCAGCTGCTCGAACTCGAAAGACGCATGTCGCCTAGCCACTCACGAGGTAGAACTGCTGCATCAGTGCTCTACTAGCACGACAGCTTCGAGACTTCGTTCCTGAACCAGCCGCAAGTGATCGGTGATCGCATGACTCCAGACGAACTTGGAACGAACGTGATTGCTTCCCAAGACTCTCTCTACGCGCTGGGCGGATCCTATTGAGTTACGAGTCTCATGCATTGTGCTTCTCGAACCTCACACCCCGGACTATGGAGAGGAATGTTTCGGAGCGTCAATTAGCAATTGGCTGCTTGCACATGACAGTTCAGAGATGCTAGCTCACCTCATCAGGAGAGGAAGTTGTGAGCTTTGATGCAAGAGTGGTTCGACAGCCATTCAGAAAACGTGCTTGTCATTACGAGCTCGATGTTTCCACTTACGTGATTGACAAGCAACCCGAAATGGAAGGAGTCGATGGTTGAAGCAAGCAGAATCTTCGGCTGCTTCGGATCTCTGCTTCCCAAGGATTCCGGCCTCGAGCTCGATCTAGCAATGACTACATCATTATCCCATTCTCTAGGATCTTGAAAACTGACGCGATCCCAGGCGTGAGGCCTGACAACAAACTTGAAGGTCGAGAAAGAAAACCTTGGAATGTCTGGGGCACCGCCAGTGCTATCAGGAAACGAAGTCATTTCAAAAGTAAGCAGTCAGAAAACGTTAGTGGTACCTGGGTATTTTAGGAGCCGAGCTACTTTCGTCTACAAACCCCTCAAAATCTTCTAGGCAATATGCCAGCATCGCATGATTCACGAATTGGCAGAAAAAGAGCTACAGGCACTTCGCTGCTACCTTCTCCTCGTGAAGATCTACAGTGCGTATGACCAATGCAGATATCGCGTATTACTCCGCTTCAAAACCCCGGAGATCGCCATTGATCGAAGGAGTAACGTCAGCTCTTCAAGTATTGCTCTATGACTGAGATATATGAGGCAGAAGGCTTGGAAGACGTCTGCATGATGACTGAAAGCGCAGGGGATGGTTGTCTATGAAGCCGGGCTGCTGTGGCCATCTAGCAACTCTTCGCATGATTTCGAACTCTGAAAGTGGTCCTGACGAACAAGAGTAACCTCGACCACGGTATCTCAAAGAGACACCCTCATGCTGATAGCAGATTGGACAGACTAGGAACTTTTAGGTGAGGTTTTCTTCTTCGCCGATGAGTCAACTACATAATGCTATCTCCCTGGTGAAGATTCGCAACCTCATATACCACCACGCGCAGGCTCGCCCCATCCGTTGCTGCATGGCACGGATTGTAAGACAGGACCATATTGAATCCTACCTTGCCTCAATGAATCTCAATAGTTCAGAGACAAACCCTTCAGGATTTTCTTCTGCGAGATAATGACCAGAATCAGGCACCAAGCCAACATGGACATCTTCATAGAATTCCTTAGCCATGTCTTCAGCTGCGGGCGCAAGCAGGCTTTCACCCCCCGATAGTACCATATTCTTCAATTTCAGCCTTCCCTTCTCCTCCCGCCATTTCCTATTCTGCTCGGCATCGATCTCGAAAGCACGGTATGTGAGGAAGGCACAACGCAGGGCATCAGGGGCGCTGAACTGCTGGACATAAAAGTCCACGACTTCTGGTGTGAACGCCGCCTGGTTCTGCGTCAGACGGTCGTAAAAGTGCTTCAGGTATATCCTCTCCTTTCCCTGTACAAGAGCAACTGCAATGTCTGGCTGGTGGCTTTGGAAGTCAAAGTGCCACAATGCGCGCGAGTGCTTCTCCTCCTCGTAGAACTTGGAGCCAGGGAGCGGGCACTCGCCCCATGTCACGCTAGCGACGTGGTCCGGAAACTGGCACGCGTATGCATGCGCGACCATGCCGCCGATGTCGTGCCCTACCACATGAATCTTGTCGTGGATTCCAATGTGCTCTGTCAAAAGCCGATGAAGATCTTTGGCGAGCGACTTCTTGGTGAAGGGGTCTTGCTGATGGACATTTCCAATCGGTTTGCTGCTCAACCCGTGTCCTGTTTTGTCAGGCGCAATGACATGGTACCCTGCCTCGGCGAGCGGAGCCATGACATGTCGGAATTGGTATGATGTCTCTGGAAAGCCGTGAATCAGAAGAATCGTGCCTTTCTTGATCTTTTTGGTGCCTGGTCGTGTTTCGACATAGTGGATCCTGATTTCTGGATCTGTGAGGCTCAAATGTGCAGCACGGTTGTATGTCTTGACATTGTCATCACTTGAATATGCTGGGGCTTTAGTAGAAGCCGCCATTTTTGCTTCGGGTTTCTGATGCAAAAGTCAAGAAACAATAATGTGGTGACGATATCTGAATACTTCTACACAGGTAACCAGATTAAGCCTTTCTTAGGAAATAAATACCAATTCTATACGATAGGTTTAATAATAGGGTTGATGGATTTTCAGATTTTCGCTTGTTAATTGGTCTCCAACATCATGTCTTCAGCGTCATAACAGCGTCAGGAGTAATTGTCCGGGATCCGCGAGGCTGCATCCGCTAAGACGTCAACCAATTGTGTGATCCGATATCAAAACAGATGGACTGCTCTTACACGTACAAAACGGGCGACTATTAAAAAGTAGATGTGGTCGCAGATGATCGAGGCTACACTCTGGCTTGTAGGAGACGTTGGCCCATTGAGGTCAAATACACAAAATCTCACAGCTCTCCATGAACGAAACCTTGACCCAAGTAGATGGTCTGACCACCTCCGTACCACAATCTTCCATTGCGGAAGTCAAGTCCTTTTTCCTCTCCCACAATCCATTCACCACCGGGCTTGATGTTCCCAGATTCCCTGGGCCAATATTCCGCCTCAAGCCAGTGGTTTATTATCTCGATCTCGTTGATCCAGTGTTTCCGTTTCTTGGGATCTAGTGCAAGGCTCCCGTCCAATGGATCTCCGCCAAAGACGTTGGGTGAATTGAATCTTGCTATTGTGAGATGTGCAGAAGGAACCACATATCTCGAACCGACCTGGATGCCTGCCTCGGTCAACCCGGCATATGTGTCTCGTCGTAGGTGGTGATAGGTGTACTCATCATCTGCTGCTGATCGACCGTGTGATAAAGTTTCCCCAGCCGCTGGAACGAAGCTCAATGCGAGTGCGGCAGAGTCATAACTCAACAATGGCTTGATCAAGCGCGATCGATGAGTATCTGTGTGGTCGCAAATCTCCTTACAATGCGCATGAAGAGTGTCCATCAATCGCGAAATCTCTTCTTCCGTTCTAGAATGAGCAACTTCCATCACTGTCATGTGCAAATTATCCAACGGCATCAACCAAAGATCTAATCCTATTTAGTATCAATTCTCGCTATACTGTAACCCACCATGGCTTACCCGGAGCAGCGTCTTTGAGCTTCGACTGAATAACATCTATCATGGTTCTGACTTTGCCAGGTGGTCTTGCCCAAAAGACGAGGCAATTCCTTGGGTCGACATAGCTGCTATCTCGTTGCGGTCCGTCCAATTTGACGAGATGCTCATCTAGAATCCAGCCTTTGAAATCCTCACCAAGGATTTTCTCCTTCTGTTGGCCATTGCGTGTGATGCGATGCTGCAAATACCGTTCTTGGATCAATTTCTAGAAGGCTCATCAGATGACATTCCACTTCTGCTACAAACGAATCGTACTGGATCAGAATTGCAAGCGGTGATCAAGCCGTCATAAGGATTCGCCGTGATGGGGGTAGAGGTACCAGACAGGTCTTGAAAGTCAACTTTGGCCATTGCCTCAGGTCTCAAACCCCGACTGATACCTTGCTACTGCAGACCAAGGAATACGAAGCTCGTGGGAAATGTGCGACACAGCACCATTTTATTCCTCCAGAAACCTAGGTCCGTAGAAGGTTTCCTTTGCGCCTTGTTACTTTCGACCAAGGAACCAATGGCGGATAGAGCGGGGCTGGCAAGAGGATATACGAGTACATCCTGTTAGTAGTCTTCGCAGACCGTGACGCGGCTCGGTGGATGGGCAATCTTGGAGATGCGATAAGATAAGATCAGATCGGCTCACTTCCCTTTTCGGGTGGTGGTGCAACTTCCCACAAAACCCGTGAGAATCAAAAACCTGTGTGGTCTTGGCATTCGCCTGCGGACTTTGATCGTGACCACAAGTCCTCTACACTGTTAGAGATTGAATATCACCACCTACAACACGCGACCTGCGCTTGCATATCAGTCAAGATGGTAAGTTCTAAAGACTCCATGTACTACCTTGATCGATTCCCACGTCCAGAGAGAGCGCCAACTTGGGGAACGAGGAGAAGGATGACTATCGAGAGACAAGAGGGGGAAGTGATTGTTGATGATATATATCATTCTGGGGAGGGACGATGTCACGACCACTGGGATGAATTCGACAACCGCCCAAACAATCAGGGACCAATGCGGCTCGTTTCCTTCGTCTGATACCACGAGGAATGACTTGCGACTGGACAAACACGATGAGGGAAGAAGGCTAACACTCAGCTCTTTTCCAGGTCAACATTCCCAAGACTCGTCGCACTTATTGCAAGGGCAAGACCTGCAAAAAGCATACCCAACACAAAGTCACACAATACAAGGCCGGAAAAGTACGTTTTCAAAACCACGAGAGATAGACTCGAGATCCACTAACCAACACCGATTCAGGCCTCGCTCTTCGCACAGGGAAAGCGTCGATACGACCGCAAGCAGTCCGGTTATGGTGGTCAAACCAAGCCTGTCTTCCACAAGAAAGCCAAGACAACCAAGAAGGTCGTGTTGAGATTGGAGTGCACACAATGCAAGACCAAGGCTCAATTATCACTGAAGCGTTGCAAGCATTTCGAACTTGGGTATGGACTGCTCCAGTACACATTCTCTGTCGAGACTCGAAAACTGACTATGATGAACAGTGGTGACAAGAAGACGAAGGGTGCCGCTCTTGTGTTCTAGATGTGATCGAAATGCATTTCTGGGGGGGATTGGCAGGCGAAGAAAAAACATCAAACGTCGTTGCAAATACACATACAGTCGAATGTGGTCATTCATCATGGATGGGATATTACCATTATTCTGAGGTGACGGGATGCCTCAGGCAGCAATGAGATTGACGTCTTCAACCTTGAACCTTCAGCTCTTCATGATGAGTCGCTCTTCGGCAAGGCACTTTTTACGCTAGCTGAGGCTGTGATATCTGCTACACTGGATGAATACCTAGATGCCTAGGTAGTCGCAACGTCTTCCTCCTGGTCGAAAACTGCCGCTTCTGAAGAATCAGTCACCCAGCATTGCGAGAGTGAACATCCCCGTTTCGTCATCGACCGGCTTCCTTTTATTTCCTATTTCAATGGAGACGCATCCCATCGAGTATCAGTCAAAATATTGCCTCACTGACAGCTCGATATCCCATATCCTTAGCCTTACCAGTCAACAAACCCACCACATGATCATTACAACCTGTTTACCACTCGCCCCAAAAATAGACCTCAACAGTTCCTCCAATGCAATTTTGGCATCGCGAACTTTCGCGGGGTAGGGGTGTGGTGACGAGTGACGCCGCTAATTCGTCCGTCTCACTACACATGGGTAACATTTCAGTGCAGAGCATCGTATTCGCAAACCATCACCGTGCCGCTATTTCCGAAATCTCAACCTCGTCACACTGCATTAACACATACTTAGGTATCCATGCCTATGAACACTGATTTATCTCTGGTGCTTGTGACTGCTCATCACAGGTATTCGAAGAGCTCAGTTGCGTAAAGCGTGATTATAGATTGCCAGAGTACTACTGCCCGTTCTAGCGCGATCAATCCCAGAGAAATAGGGGGGTCTCTACTTCGTCTCCCCATCTACTATGAACTGTCCTGCCAGCGCAACTCTGATTCCTGACTAGCCTCACTTTCCCAACTCGAAGCATATCTCTTAGGCAGTGAGTACACAGTAGTATACACACCAAGCACTCTAGAGAGCAGCCATGCCCCGATCATCAATCTTCTCGAGCGAATACTCACGCGGCCCACTGTACCAGTACTGGAAAGAGCGCAGCACGGAGGAGAAGGCGACGCGGGAGCAACGCATCGAGGAGGCGAGGCTGCGCGCCCGGGGCTTCCAACCGCTCTCACCGGCGTCTGGCCCCTCAAGTCACGACTCGTATGTCCGGCGTGCCACAAGTGGGCCGCCCGGGTATATCGCCGCTACGAACGGTGGTGGAAGTGGCAGTAGTCCTGGAGAGGGAGATGGGGATGTGATCGATGAGGGAATCTTACCAGCGTCCTCCGCAAATCCATTACTGGCGACGATCCGAGGGACATCCATTCGTGCCGCCGAGGCTGACTTCCTACCCTCATATGACGCCGCAACATCAATATCAATAGCAGCAACAGCAGCCTCCTCATCATCCGCCAGCAACGCCGTTCCTGTTCCGCGCAGCTCCAACGATCAAAACCCACCACCACCTCAAGATCCAGACCAAGACGGCCGCCTCCTCAACGCCACGGAAGAAAAAGCCCGCCTCGCGCACCTCGACTCCCAGCGCCGGGAAATCGAGCGAGACGCCACGTTGGCGCGGACATTGTCTTCGCCTGCAAGTGTCCTCCCGCCAGCTCCATCAGCCAGTATCACACCTTCGACGTCGACGTCAGCCGCGGCACTCGATGGCGACGCCGATGTTGGGTCGCGGTATGCGTCGATCGTCAACGATACTTCTGACGAACCGGAGCCTGTGCCAGCGTCAAGGAGGAAGAAGAGTACGGCGGGAAAGGTCGGGCGATGGCTTGCGGATGCGGCGACCGGGTACACGAAGCGGCAAGAGCGGTTTTGAAAAGTCCGGGCGCACCGCACCGCCCTGCACCGCACTTAGTATAGTTTCGTTTGTGTAGTATTGTTGGGATAAACATGGCATGCCGCGAAGGCTGCTGCTGCCGGTGTGGGAAGATCTTGGTGCTCACGAGTTCCATTATAAAGTGTCTGTTATCAATTGAAGCCAGCAGTTATACTGTATGTAAAGAATCCATTCATTAAGTCGTTCATTCAGTCATTGACTCCGTGGAGTGGTTCGATTTTATTTTTAATTCGTGGTCGTCAAGTTCATGGTCGTGCATTTCCGGGCCGTTGAATTACCAAGTCAGTTTACCTCGCATGTACTCATCCCTCATCCTTATCATTTGCAACATTAGAAGAAATAGAAAATTCGTGTTCGGTCCATTTCAAAATAAATCAGGGGCTCTTCTCCAGCTATGTCATCACAAACAAACCTTGGAGATCAAAGAATAACGTATGCAGATCACGAGAATTCCAAGGAAATCAATCACCTGCTCTTCTTGCCCCGTCCATCGGGTCCAAAGAGCCCGTCGAGAAAATTGCCCAACACTTTTCCTGCTGCGCCTTTACCAGATAGGAGCTCTTCAACTTTGTCAGCAAGAGGATCATCGCCTTGTTCTGCTCTCTTCCTCCCCTTTTCGTCGAATCGTGGTGGTAAATCGACTGTCCCCTCGGAATCTGCGGGGCTGGCTACACGCTCAGGTGGCCTGTCTCTCGAGCTTGGTTCTCTCCTCGATGAGCTTGGATCATGTGAGCGTCGTCTCCGGTGTCTTCGTTTCTCATTCCCGTTGATGGCATCCTCGGCTTCCAGGGACCTTCCGGAGTGTTCCTGGCTACGTCTCCTTGAATCATCGGGAGTTGTGTCAGTGTCGTCTTCTGCGTCATATCCTCTTGAATGAGAGTGCCTGTGTCGATGATGATGTTCCGAGCCCTCGGCTTCTGGGTCTATCGGATTTGGATCAGAGAAGGTTGATACTTCTGGTTTCTCAGAAAATTGAACGCTTTTCCTCGGGCTAGAGGGAGGTGGCGATGATGGTAATTCACGTAGAGATGAAGGTGGTTGTGGCAATATGTCGTCCGGAGGAGGATAAGTATGCGAAGGAATGGTGGTCGAGATAGGAACGGGAACAGGATGGCTCAATGGCATTGTTGTTGAAGGTGGTTGTATGTTGATGTATGGTGGAGCCTGAGCAGGAACCTCCCGACTTATACCTATGGATAATTTTGTTAGCACATCTGTACAGTGCAAATGACATCTCAGCGAACATTGTGTCGCATTTGGCGTGACGACGACATACCATCTTGTACATGGTGCTGGTCATTGGGAGTGGCGGGTGTAAAAAGATTGCCAAACACAGGATTCGGCGCAGCACTCACATTTTCAGGGCCACGCGGAGCATACGGATTGGCACCAGTTGCGTATGCATCATAATTGTTAACAACTGGAGGCGGTCCAGCTGGAGGTGGCGGGTAATTCTGAGCACCGTATGGGGCAGCCCCTGGGACCGGTGCGGCTGGATTTTGTGGATTATACTGCATAGCACCTGGTGGTGGTGGGAATTGACTGGTCTGTGGATAGAAGCCTGACTGCGAGGCATAAGGATCTGGGGTAGCAGCGTACGGAACGCCCGGGTTGTATGGGTCTTCATAACCATCATGACCTCTATAACCGGCGGCCTGTTCTTCTTCTGCACCTATATCAACAGTCAGTCGGTTCGATTTTTGTTCATGTGAATAGGTACTTACGTCTCCGTGCTTTGCGCTCTCTCTTTTCTTCTTTGCGTCGGTTGTACTCGCTACCTCCAATCGCGCCTGCTGCGCCATATCTATCGGCGTCTCGTGAGCGCCTCCGACTGTGGTGGCGTCTCCCTGGAGAGGCACTCGAACTGCGAGATGATCGTCGGGAATGGCGTTCTCGGCTCAAACTGCGACTGCGACTTCTTGTTCCTCGCTGGGCAGCATAACCTGCTGCCCCAGCAGCCGCAGCTGGTACCACGGCATTGGAAGCGCCATAATAGTTATCAACAGGAGCGGGTCGGCCGTAGTAGTCTGGGCCAAAATTGTTTCCATGCATTGGCCCATTACCATACTCGATCAAACCTGGATCACTGACGGCAGCATCTCTTGGACCGTCATAGTAGGCATCAGTCCTAGCTCGACTTCTCGATCTTGAGCGTGCACGACGCTCTTCCTTTTGGACCACTTCCGCCTCTTTCTTGGCCTTGTTCTTTTCATACAAGCCAGCGAGAGCGGCACTACCTAAGCCGGCCGCAACGACTGGCAGTGCTTGTCTCACTTTGCTTTGATCACGAGGCCCTCGAGATTTGCTTCTTGCTCGTTCAATGAGACCAGCAACAACAGCACCGGCAGCACCAGCTTCTGCAATTCGTTTGTTACGATGTTTGGGGTTGCGAGCATCGTCTGCTGTGGGATCGTTCTCGAGTTCGGAAAGGGTATCGTCTCTCCGACGGCGAGATCGGCTGCGTCGGGGAGGTTCTTCAACTTCCTTCTTGTTACCAAGACGCTTGGAGGCAACTGTGGCTGCCGCGGCCAAGGCGGCTGCTCCTAGGCCAAGCGCACCGAGGGTCTTCAACTTGGACCTTGAAGATGACCTGGATCTAGATCTGCTTCTTCGATTCCGTGAACGAGAGCGACGGTCGCGGTCACGGTCTCTAGAGCGAGATCGTGATCGGGAGCGGCGATCCCTGGAACGGCGTCTACTCTTGCTTCTGTGAGCCGATCTCGCACGTGAGATTCCCTCGGCGGCAACGGCGCCTAAAGCACCTGCACCAAGGTCTCGACCCAAGCGGCCAATTCCATGGGATGTCTCACGGCCTTCTTTCTTCTTATGGTTTCTGAGCAACTCTGCAGCACCAATGCCGGCAGCGACACCGGCAGCAAGATTCTTGCGACGATCTGGACTAGCTTCACGGCTATCTTCTCGAACTTCCTTCCGTACGTAGACCATGCTATCATCACTGCTGTAGTCGCGGCCTCTTTGAGAGACGGAATCATGAGGACTAACTGAACGGCGTCTGGTGCGGCGCTCATAGTAGTCGTCTTCATCGCGACGTGGTTCTTCTATTCGTTCACGAACCTTTTTCTCGTAAAAGAAGTCTTCCTCGCCTCGAGGTTGGTCTCTACGGACGACGGTTCGATCATCCTCGATATCCGATTTCCGAACAATCTGGTAGTCATCATCCCGTATACGCTCTCGAATAATGATGGGTTCCTGTCGGATGACAATAGTTTGAGGCTGAGGGGGACTGTAGTACTCAGAAGTGCGTGTATAACGTTGCAAGTCCCGGTCCCTGTCGTCCATGCCTCTGGTAGGGGAAAGGACTTCATAGTCGTCACGGTAGCGGGTCTCAGTGACCCTAACATCGCCACGTGGACGATCATCATAACGTACAACGGAAGCAGCATCATCTCGACGTGGCTCTTGCTCAGTAGTACGTCGGATGATTAATTCCTTTTCAACGGTAGCGGGCTCCTCACGTCTTGTGTCGTAATTATACTGACTGCGATTGTCATCGTCGCGGTCACGACGAATGACCAATTCACGCTCAGTGTAGCGAGGCTCCTCTCGACGAGCTTCACGAACGGGTTCTTCAACCTCGCGTCGAGTGATGCGTGTTTCCTCAATTCGCTCGGCGCGCTCGGGAATGATTCGATGGTCTCGACCAATGGAAGACCGAGCATCATCTTCCTTCACAATATAGCGGGTGCGGGTTGTATAGCCGCCGCCATCTCTTCGAGCGGAAGAGACTGAGGTGCGGGAATCGTCGAAACGATCTCCTCGATAGACAGATCCCATGTTGAAGGTAGGTGACGAAAGACTGTGGTGGGGAGAGGAGTGCTGCCCTTTGGGCGATAAGGCTCAGATTTGGGCTTGCACAGTGAGCGAGGCTGAGCGAGGGAGATGTACAATGGAGGCTATTTAGAAAGAAAATCCTCAGCCCGGTTGGGAGCACGGAGAATGGGTGACGAGATTAATTCCGAGATGGTGAGTAGAGTTCGGAGTGAACAGAAGGGCAGGTGGAGGTGAGTTGGAGGGGAAGCGGTGGAGGGAGAGGATGAGGACGAATATTGAGGTGAGTGGAAGGATCAGATACTAGTAGTAGTGGGCTTCGTAAGAGTGGTGGGCAGCGCAGGCGTAGGCGCAGGACTGTGTTGTACACAGGAAGAGCGTCGCAGTGGTGACCAAGTTAGCGGTCCTTTACTTGAGGCCCAGGTGACTTTCGCTGGCACTTGCAGCAGCAAACCATGTGAGAGTTGTGTGCCTGAAGGCTAGCCAGTCATTCAACAAATGAAAGAGATATGATAACTGGTCAGCCGGGTCGGAAAGACGAGTCTTCAGGCTGCAGTAGGAGAAAATCCAGGTTGGGCAGCCGTTGAGCAAGTGGGCGAGAACGAGCAGAGGGGCCCGAGGCCGCTAGAGGAGGGGAAATAGTGGGCAGTGGGAGGAGGAGAGAGAGGCAAGGTCAACTTGAACTGAAATTTGTAATGGTGGGGCAATCACTGCATCCCTTGGACTCGGAGCTGATATCTCTATCTCTCGCTCAAGTGACGAGTATGAATAGCAAGATCAAGAGCTTCATCCTTTGCAGACCGGTCATACCAGGATTGCAAAGGATGTTTAGCAATGGAGTGTTAACTGCAGGTGCATGACTCCCCCGTGTACACGTCAGGAAGTCACCCAAGTAGTTGATGGCCTAGACGGGCACTGACGCTGAGGGAGGCACCATGCCTGTACTTTGTGCCACTCCGTCCCCAGATACAACTTACAAGGACAAGTCCCGCTACCTTAGGTATCTAAGGTACTTCGTAGGTAGGGCCGGATGTAGTTGCATGATCGGGCCCTCGCGCCTAGGATTGGCACCTATCTTGCGGCGGGAGACCGGTCAAGCTTCTCCCTCCCGCTATCATTCCAAAGTTTAAAGGCATCGACAGATTATAACATCGAGAGCCTCCTGGACAGCAATCACCTGGCATCTTGATGTAGGATTCAGATCATCCACTACCACTGAACTACCTAAGTCCCTACATACTGATGTACTTGTCGGCCAGCTTTATACTCCGAGTCCGATCTGTGACACACTTCCCCTTCCGTGCTCTCTTCCAACACCTTCCCAAACAAAAAGAATAAACCTCAACAACCCCCATGTCTGGAAATTTGGTTAATTTCCTTTGCAAGATGTTTTCCATTCTAATCCCCACCGTGCTTGAAGCAGCTATACTGCAATCCCAATGCTTTTTGGTGCGTTCTGGGGTATCTGATCGTCATAAGCCCTTAATGCAATGTCAGGCTTGGTCGCCATTCACAAATGAAATTCGTCCATATTCGTTATCGAGCCATCATGTATACAAGCCTGCTTGTTGCAGGCCCTCAAACGGCATCTCTTATCGGCCGCCAACTGCCCATGATGAATTCAACTTGTCACCAGGACCATCCCCTGTATCATCCGACGGGAGAACCTTGATCCGACTGCCAATCTTGGCCGATCGCGACTTTGAGCTCAATGGAAGTTGATATTTAATCACTCCTCTCACGATCAAGTCATACGGGTGTTGCAACACTCTTTCCCATCGAGCAGATCCGCCCTCTTCTGTTCGGTTTCCTGGTTTCGCGAGGCGTATCTCCCCCACTGATGATGAGCGTGTCCGCCGCACAGGCGAAGCATCAAACACCAATGGTGAATCAAACTCGAAAATCCTTCCCAGTAGCATCTTTTGTGTTCCAGGCTCCGGATCGTCGATGGGGTCTGTACCTTCATCCACTCCGTCTGGTGACTGCCAAGGTGGCCAGTAGCTACCTCGCTTGACCCAGCGCAGTGTGGTCTCCCCTCCCTTCCAGTCCTCGTTCGTTCCCACGTACGGGCTCTCCGCGAAAAGATTGACATCCAAATCGGTAACGGTAATGACAAACAGATTCATGTTGGTGGCTTCGACATGCAAGTCCAGCATGATCTCTTGCTCCGAAGCAAGCACATTTTGAATATGCTTGATCGACACATCCATCAATGGTCGATTGACAGCCACAACAAAAGTAGCTATTCCCATACAAACCAGAACCAAAATGAACGCGAGGAAAGCACAGCTGCCCCATCGTCCACAATAGTTTTGTTCGTACCCGTCATTGTAATCCATCGGTCGAAAGCTGCCACTCTGTGGTCGACGGCTATGGCGAGATCGGTTGATTCGAACTGATCCAATCAATGGTGCTCTCTCGTCATCGGCAGCATCGTCATACGCATCATATGGGTCTCCCTTTCGGGAAGTGTTTGGTAGGCGTCCATTCGATACTCGAGGACTGTTAGGCCGAGAAAATCGAGACAAGTTATTGACGGAAGAGCGAGGAGAGTGTTGTTTGCTTGCTTGAGTGAATGGAGAATCGGTATCAAGAATTGAAGTATGATGCGGTCTCCCATGTCGGCTGATGTGATGGTGGCGTGGAGTGGAACTTGCATTGCGTTGACTTCCACGACCGTCCGCGCCTGGTTCTCCATCGAGGTGATTATTGTAAGTGTTGTTAGAAAACTTCATGCTCTTCTTGCCGGCAATAGCATGGCTTCCGTTCCTCACCCCGTGTTTGTTTCGTGTCCCGAACTGATCCTGGCTGGTCAATGATGTAGCACTCGGTGTGCGCGAATGGTGCCTCATCGGGCGATCCACTGGGTTGGATTCATACACAAAGGTTTCATCAGAATCCGAAGAATCAGCCTCATCCACTGCACTCGCAACTCTGGCTTCGAAAAGGTCGGCTTTCGATGTCGCGGTCCCGGCATGTAGAGATGGCGTCTTGCGTGTGGTTTTCTTCTTTTCCTTTTTAGGCCGGATGGTCTCCGAGCTTGGCTTGGCCCTGATACTTCCGGTACCATCTCGACCAGAAGCTCCTCGGTCAGGATTCAGGAGCTGTGGCATGGACGTCACAGTTTCAGTTTCCACCGTCATAGTCCTGGGTGGATCCACCGTAGGTTTATTCTTGGCAGTTGTGAGATTGGTTAGAGAGCGCTTAGCAAGCTCTGATGCCGGCCGCGATGTGCTTGGAGCCCTAGATCTCCTGCCATTTTCGGTCTTGCTTGTGTTGGGTTTGGTGCTAACATCGCCGCCACTGCCGTCGCCTTCTTTCGCGATCGATGACTCGGCCTGGACATCGACCTTGGGATCCAGCGACGGAACTTCAACCCGTGACTCCAATGGAGAGGATAACACGGGCCCAATCGAGGGAGTGGTGGGAAGACTGCTCTCGGCGACAGTCTCGAGCAAACTTGTGCCAGTGCTGGGACCGCGGGGAGTCCGCACGGCTGAGTTGTTCCTTTCTGGTTCCTGGCTATCATTGACCAGCATAGCCCCAACTTGCTCGGGCGAAGACGCTGCAGCCAACCTCTTGGACGAGGTATTGGAAGGGGTTTGCTCTGTTTCGCTCTTTTTAGGAGGTGGAACTCTCCCATTCTTCGGAGGAGGAGACTTGACGCGAGGAGCGGTTCGCCATGCCGGCGACGTTTGACCCGACTTCATCTGTCTCTCGCCGCTGCGTGCTCCTTCCAAGACACCGTCGACACTTGCTGGTGGTAGAATGGGTCGCTGGGCGGAGAGAGCACGCTGGACCGCTGCAGCAGAGGGGACAGTGGAGAGAGAGCCACCCGCGGTTGCATTCCGGGTAGGACTGAACTCTTGACTGTTTTTCCGGGATCGTGATAGATGGGGTATGGCAGAGACACTGCGAGAGTTGCGGGCAGGAGAATTCTCTCGTGAGGTTTTTGATTGATCGACAGGGCCGGGTCCCAAGGGAGGAGGATTCTCAGAAGGTGCAGACATGGTCCGCGCCGAGTATTTCTTTTTCTAGTTGCGGTTCTCAACTTGTGTATCCCTATTTCCTTTGGGCAGCCGACTGCCGATTTGAGGCTAATGCACCAGTAGTTGTAATAAGAGAACCATAGCGCAGGTTACGTGGAAGGTCAACAGTGGAAGAACGGGCCGTTCGTGGTATGTGGTGGGCAGGTGCCTGAGCGAACCCGAGATCGTTGGAGCGGGTTCAACAGGTTCCCAGGCTGTCGGGTAAATGAGTGAAGGGTCAAGGTCGAGACTGACGTCCGAGGTATAGGTGGCGGGTAGTAACAGTCGGTCAAGAGGGAGGGAGCACGAATGGGAGTACGCAGTAGTAGTAGAGGTGCAACAGCAACAGTAAACGATCGGAAGTGGATGGGAAACAGATACAAAGAGTGGAGTTGAAAACGAATTGAAACTTGAAACGGGTGAGCGAGGATGAACGGTGCAGTGGTTGAGAAAAGACACGGCAATTCCAGTTCGTCAGCAAGCCAGTGCCTGTCAACGGGGTGCCAACCAAGTTGGCTTCGGTACCTAAGTCAGTACCTAAAGGGTTGGGGTCTATCCGCGGTGCCAACTTGGTGCCCTAGGGCATTTAGGGAGAAGGGGCAAAAGGTCCCCAGGCCCACGCATACTCCGTACTTTTAGGTCCTGACTATTCTGTTAGAGAACTACCATAATCGATAAAAGATGGTGACGCTATTCGGAATGACCTCCTCTCGGGGCATTTCAAGTTTTGGATGACAGATGTGGCTGGCAGAAAAAGCCCTGACAAAAAGATGCAGGCTGCGGCATTGTAGCGGCACATCTCAACGTGGCATCCTGCGGTGGCTGCCGTGGCCGACAAACGACCACGCTTCTCATGCACTCTATCCGATCCCCGTGGGCTAACTGGCGGATTGACGGGGGGGTTTCTCCAGGAGTATCCAGTCGGACCAACCACTACACTGACAATACAGGCTACGGGGACCGGGCCCTAATTTCTGGGAGAAGAAGGAATTCGTTTTCTTCTCAAGCCAACAGGGGTATTCTCCTCCCCTTCAAGTTGGCCCAGTCGGGCGACCGTGGAATGGCCGCCAAGCCGGGGGCGACTTCCATCCACAATTCACTTTAGACTTGACTTCAATGCCCGCTCGATACGGGGTACGGAATACGTGAGATGCTCATGGACGAGGACGGTGCCCCGTAGAACCCGTCCTTTTTTGTTGTGCGGTTAAGGCGGCTCCTTGCAATCTGGTGTGGTTGTCCGTGCGTCCTCGCTATCGACAATCACGGGAAGCCTTAGCATCGATGTCGCACATGATAGAAATTGGACTGGTCGAGCATAATCTCGGATGGCGTGAGGATGATTGTGGGAGGTGCAAACGAGAGTAGAAATGTGGTGACTGCGAGCGTGGTTTGGGTGTGGCGGCCCTTGTCACCCGATTTATTGCTTTGTGACTTGAACCTGTGGCCCTCCAACGGTTAGGTACCCGTATTCGGTGCCTAGAGGACCCTGTCCAGGTGCCCATGTGACTCGATGAGAGACCGCCTATCCAGGTCTCCATCCATGTTGGGCAGCCACTAAGCCAGACTGTCGTTAACAGGGCCTTTTTGTTTACTTTTCACCACCCGTACGTGTCTTGGCTAAACTCGACGCGTCCAACTTTGAATCTTGAAGGCGAACGTGTCCAGTCCAGTCCAACTCGATCCAAGTCCACTCATTTTTTCTGTGCGAATCGATTCTTGATCGAGCATCTAACCCGGCCCAGGATACCTTCATCTCATCATCGTCGCCATCCTCCACTCACCTGCGAGTAATTCTATCATCCTTGATCCTCTCATCATCCAGCTTACGACGATACATTGCACATCCCACCCTTCAACCCGTTCAACCCTCACGTCACCTAATCGACGGCCGATCCCGTAAACAAACTTCACTCATCGCGCCTGCTCCATTGGTCTCGACGCTCGACGCGATCCCGCACTTGCCTCTCACCTCTTACTATTGCTACCCAAGTCCCGATTCGCGTTCACAACCCGAGCAAGAGCAAAGGTCACCCTTCAGGCTATTGTCATTGTTATCTTTCTGACTCTTACACATCTTGAATCGTCCTCTCTACCTCGTACACGCCTCACTGTTGGCTTTCTGCCCTTTGGCCCTCGTCGGCTCAAGTCAGCCTGCCTGATTGTTCCTCGTCTTGCACCCTCGCCACTCTACAAGTATCGATATCCCAGCAGGATTTCGGCTACCATTCGGAGCTACCGATCGGAATAATACCTACAAACTACACTCGGTCCGTTCTGGGTCTGACCCGTCTCTCTTCGCGCTCGACTCTGTTCTTGGGCGGTCAATATGCTGGGTTTCTGGTAAACCGCCGCGCGTTGAACTCTTGAAAAGGTTGGAAGACATTGTCTCAGCTACCCTTGCTGTTTGGATGCCATTTCGATGAACTGGGAGACACCATAAGACTATTGGCCCAATTCGAAACACCCACAAACACTGCCAGCCATGATGGCAACGTACTCCCCTCATCGTGAGGATCGAGATGGTGCCCATCATCATTCACCCAAAGCCCTCTCACACTTCGATGCCATTCGCGAAATCCGACGTTCCCTTTCTCGATCTCCTTCGAAGCAATCAGACCATCGTCAATTCCCCTTTCGGTCCCCAGGGCCGAGCAATCTACCTTTCTCACCCTCACCACTTTCACCCTCTCGAAAGTCGACTTCCGACAGTTTATCACACATGGCCAGTATCATATCTCCACATTCAAACCGCAACTCACAGACTCCACGCTTTCAACGACCCATTCTCCGCCGGACCACTCAGACACATGGCCTCAATCGTATCCGCACATCGCCAAAGAGTCCTTCAAAACGCGCCCTAGCAGATTCAACCGATGGTGGCAACTCCTCACCCCTGCCACTGCGGAAAAGAAGCTCGACGGAAGCAGAACGTGAGTTGGCTTTGAAATGTCTGACGGGTGAATTGAAAGAAAATGACACGCGTCCTCTGGAAGAACCAGTCACTTGGAAAGCCGCTCAGACGCGGCAGGAGAAGCGGCGGAGTGGTGGCGCCCTGATGTCGATTGCCAATGTCGCACCTCTGAGCCCAATGAAGCGTTCCGAGGCTCCTCGATCGGATGAGGAGCAGCCCTTCGACAGCCCTTCAGCAAAGAGACGAAGTCTTCATGGTCCCGGACTTGACTTCAGTATCTTTGAGTCGAATGATTTGGACGGAGGAATGTTCACAGACAAGCGGTCACAAGATGACAATGACTTCTTTAGTGGGGGTGGTTCTCTGTCATCGACTCGATTCTCAACCATTCCTAAGCGATCCTCGTCTCTTCGTAAATCAACTTTGCAACAGCGACAGCTTGATCGACCGAGTAATCTCAAATTCACTCAGGCCATGGATTTGGACAAGTCATGGTTGGAATCCACCCCGGCACCAAGCACGAAGAAAGGTTACAGAATGTCCTTGGACAATCATCTCGATCCTATTCGGCGTGATAGTCCATTTTCAAGTCAAGGAACTTTACCAAGTGCTTCGATACATCCGTTGTCATCCGTTCAAAACAGCCAACAGACCTCTCGCCACCCTCTTTCGCGAACGTTGACGCAATCTTCTTCGCTTGCAAGCGATCAGGATGAATCTCCTACTCATGAACCTGTCCATCGACCAACCAGACCAAGATCGCATGATTTCTCAAAGTCATTACCTATCGGTGCTTCAAGACCGACACCGTCAACAGGAGACCATGATTTCTCTTCTCAAAGCTCATTTGCAACCCCAGGGAATTATAAGACAGCAAAGCCATTGCCTGCAGCCTTCATGTCAACAGGTTTGATCTCGAAGAAAAACAGAAACATTGACGATCCCAACGCCGGTCTACCAAAGGCTCACATGCCTGATACTCCTTGCAAAAAGCAGTCTGTGGTATTCCAAGCAGACGAGAACTTTGCCGCACCAAAACCGGCGATCCACAGAGCACGACCCTCCTTTGGACAACCTTCTACGCCGTTGGACTCTCATTACACGCAATCGAAGATATCAGCGTTCCCTTTCGCCCGGAGTGTTGGGATATTTGGCACTCGCTCTAGCAAGCACAATCTCCTTCGGAAAGGAAGCTTTGCATCCATCGAAAGTGAAGAGAAGACCGAATCCCGATCACCCTTGACTCGCGCCCACAGCCAGTCGACAGATTCTGATTACCCCCCTACTCCAACCAAACACCTACCTGACGAACAGAACCGCAACTCCGTGTCACCCTCGCCTCATCATACAGGAGGGTTGACGACAATTCAGACGGCACCCAACTCTAGTTTCGGGTCCCGATTGACCAATAGTAAGTTGTCTCCTATTTTGGCATCCCCTAGACACGTCGACGAGGACAGTGATAGCACGATGGAGGATTCTCCATCCCTTAACCTGAGACCTACTCGGACGTCCAAGATCGTTGTTCGTATGCCAGATTCGTGTGCTCCAAAGCACCTGTCTCAACATCCCAATTTTTCATTCCCTCTCCCCGAGCATAACGTTTCTATCTCGTTCTTACACTCTACCGCGCTGGATCTTGCTAAGACTTCTCTCCCTCCAGTCAGTCCAAGAGGTTCTCCCCACACGCCATTGGAAGGATTCTTTCCTCCAGATCCAAGTGGTTTGACAATCTCGGGTCGTGGTGAACGTCCTCGAACTACGAACAAGGGAAATATCATACCAGCAACACCAACAGGACCGCGAGAATACTTTCCCAATTTTTCGAATCGTCCCAGTCTCAATCTTGCTGCCGTGGATGGTTCCAATTTGGATAGCAGCTTGACCTCGAGATTCGAAAAGGTTGACTTGATTGGTTCCGGAGAGTTCTCCCAAGTTTTTCGTGTTTCCCAACCACCCGAGGCATCGCCATTCCACAAAATCTATTCTGTTTCATCAAGTCGTCCTTCGTCAAGAGGATCCCTTCCCGAGAAAGTCTGGGCAGTTAAGAGATCGCGTTATCCTTATACTGGAACCAAAGACCGGCAACGCAAGATTCAGGAAGTGGACTTTCTCAAAGCACTAGGCCATTCAGATCATATTGTGACTTTTGTCGACAGCTGGGAAGAACAAGGTCATCTCTACATCCAGACAGAATTCTGTGAAGAAGGCACGCTTGATGTTTTCCTCGCTCAGACGGGGCTCAAGGCCAGACTTGACGACTTTCGCATCTGGAAAATTCTACTCGAGTTGTCAGTGGTAAGTCAAACACTCTCGTACATTTGATTGACACGATCTAACAGTTTGTAGGGCCTAAAACACATTCACGAAAGTGGTTTCATCCACCTCGATCTCAAACCCGCAAATATTCTTATCACATTTGAGGGAGTTCTCAGAATTGCTGATTTCGGCATGGCAAGCCGATGGCCTGCGAAAGCTGGTATTGAGGGCGAAGGTGATCGAGAATATATCGGACCTGAAATACTGATGGGACGATACGACAAACCAGCAGACATCTTTGCGCTTGGTCTGATCATGCTGGAAACGGCTGGAAATGTCGAACTACCCGACAATGGGGTGTCATGGCAGAAGCTCCGCAACGGAGATATGAGTGATGTCCCGAGCCTCACTTGGAGCTCTGGAACTAGCGGCATAGAACGAGATTCGACCGGAAACCCCCTCTCTCGAGACAATTCATCAGTCGAGCAGTCTCAACTTCACCGAATGAGTGTTGAGATTCTCGATGTAGATGGAGACGACAACGAATTGATGACAGATCATGTCTCTTCCAAAGACTTGCACCGCCCACGTAGCGGTGAACTGGTCAATCCTCCACAATTCATGATCGATCCATCACACGAGCAAGCTTTAGATCGTGTGGTTCGGTGGATGATTTCACCAAATCCGAGTGATCGACCTTTAGCGTCAGATCTCCTGAGCACTGAAGGTGTGCAATGGGCAGAGGCAAGACGACGAGCTGGTGCTACTGTGTTTGAAGGCAATTGGGGCCCAGCGGATGAGGTTCTTGCTGAAGATGCTGAAATGATAGATGTATGATCATCTAGGCGTGCCATTTGAATCGCCTGGATAGACCAAACACCAATCCTTTTTGCATAAGCGGTATGGGTAAAGGTATCTTGAATGGGTTGAGGCGGTGCCTTGGCTGCGGAATCTCCAGAGTTATGACCGTGACACGACCTGTCAGACTTAATCGATGGAGATATTGTTATTGTTTGATCAGTTTTCGGCCTTTTACACCAAAGCGAACATTCAGTCTGGTTGTTTTTGACCATCTCACGATGGACCTCTACTTGATAGCACAGCGACTCGCTCAAACATGGTTTTGTTACACCGACAGATTTTTCCAACACACCCGTTTTGACATGATGCGAAAGGGAGGGAAAAAACGACAAAAGCTTGGGAACTAGGTACTTGCATCATGATCGAAACCAGTCAAGGGAGTGAGAGAGTTATCGTATCAGATTATGGGAATCAACAAGAAGAAGTCTTGAAATGTCTCGTCGTGGAAGAGACCCCACTTGATCAAGGTTTGATAAATCCAAATAGTAGCTACAGTATTAGCATACTGTAGATTTTGATGAGAGCATGAAATGAACAAGAATATCCAACAACTTTCAAGGTGATCGAGGCTTGCTTCTGTCATTACCTGTAAACATGAGGTGAAAAAACGAAACATGAAACTGGAGGTTTATTTTTCTGACCCCGATGCTGGGCGTTCAAGTTCAAGTAGTTCTCTGGCAATTTCCGTCTATCTTAGCCAATATTGAACGAACTGACTACTGATTTCCTAGGCGTACAGCACCAGCTGTCATAAGATATCTCAGCTGGGATGGTAAAAAGATTGCCAGAGCAGCAGGTTAACTCTGAGGAACAATCCGGCAGCCTGATCCTGGCCCCGCCTAGGTAATCCAGGGATCAATAGTCAACACCTACAAAAAATTGACCCACCAGCATTGTGGCCGATCAGATATTGGTCCCGAGCAAGGAACGCCTTGTCCAAACTTCTGGATCATAGACCACAGGCCTTGAGAGGAGAGAAAGAATTAATGACTTCGATAATAACACGATCCCTCCACCACAGCGGACGCCAAAGCACCTCCCAGAGCCTGTTATATAGATATCTGGTCCCATGCCACTTTCTTGATACAACGCGACACATAACCACGAGCTCAAGACGCCTGCGGACAGTGTCTCCATCTATCAAATCGATGCCTCCGAAGAAGGGGAAGTTCGCCAAACCCACCAAACCGCCACAGATCCACAACACGCACTTCGTGTGTTTACCGTTGACGACAGAAGACTCGATCTTGCAGTTGAATGAGTCGTTGGCAAAATTTAGGGATGTCACGAGTCTATCAGGGGACGCTGCTGCTGCTGGATCAGCTGGCCAAGCTGGACAGAACTTGAGTTCGTCTTCTTCCACCCCGCCAGGCCTTTGTCGCATTCCACATGCTGCGTATCGACCTCCTGGAACGTTTCATCTGACGCTGGGCGTCATGGATCTCTCTTCGCATGAGGATATGGAGAAGGCGCTGAAACTGCTGAATGATATCGACTATTCGAGCCTTCTCAGGAAAGCCGAAACTAAGATGACGACAGGAAATCCGCGAAACCCAGAGAGGGAGCCTACAGGCTGTTTATTGCAGCAAAGTGAGATGGACCATGTAGCTCAGTCAGGATCAGGAGCAGCAAGCGCAGTCTCTGAGGGCCTATCCAAACCACTGGAATCCCTCGAACGCGCCATCTCCCCTCCTCCTCCAGCATCCAGGCCCAAAACGACCTCAAGTCTCCAGCCCCTCCATCCAGAACCAGAACCAGAGCCAAAACCACAACCACTGATGCTAACACTACACGGCCTCGGCACCTTCCCGTCCGCAAGCTCAGCACGCGTCTTCTTCGCACACGCCCACGACGCCAGCCGACGCCTCCAGCCGTTCGCAGAACTGGTCCGCCAGCGCTTCCAAGCCGCCGGCCTCATCACCGAGACGCGCCCGCTGGTCCTGCACGCCACCATGGCCAACATGACCTACGTCAAGCGTCCGCGGCGCAGGGATCAGCAGTCGATCTCGAGCTCCGGTCCCGGTTCCGGTTCGGGCGCAAAGACTGCCTCGGGCGTCGATGGGCGGGACATCCTGGCCTTCTTCAATCGCCGCAGCGGAAGCGACGGAGAGGATGTAGATGTAGGGACCGAGAGTCTTGCTCCTCCCGGTACATCTGCCTCGAAGGATGTTGATGCTGATGCGGTGCCTGAAGGCTACATCTGGGCGAGCGACATCACGGTCGACAAGGTCCGGATCTGCAAGATGGGTGCAGAGCCGTGTGACCTTCCCGGCTGGGGACTCGAATATAGACCCATAGCGGAAAGCGTTATTGTTTGATTAGAACTTGCATAGAGGGCGGCCTAGGATAGCAGCCTAGTGCCGTGGTTGGGACTTGATGTCGTCACATAAGCATTGGCATGGAGGGTGTTTTGAGATCGATCATGGAACTTGCTTTGGTTTACACTACAAACATTATCATTCGTCTTTTCCCCCAGATACGAGCAATCGCAAGCAATTTAAGCGAGTCCCTAGAAAAGAAACCGAGGGCTTCAATGCAGAAAATTAAGGGGAGACCAGTGATTCACTGGTCAGAACTCCAGTTTCTTGATTGTCTGTGTCATGTCAAGCCGAGTGTAGACCCTGGAGGTCAACTGGGACGTTTTCTTGGAGAAAGGTAACCATGCCTCTTTCCATTTTTCCTCTTTGGACCAACACAGCTGCAGACATGGTGTTGCCTCATGTTATAGGTATAGCAGTGACTGAGAAAGGTGTAAAGATTCTCTTCGGCCATGAAGGCGCGTCCACGTCCTGCATTTGCAAGGTTACAACGGTCGAGTCGCAAGCCTCACAACCCCCAGAGATCCAGTTTTAGACCCGTTTGAAGCGCAGGTTCTGCTCTAGCCATCGACGACCCATCGTTCGTCTTTCGTAGGCAATTTCCACCCACACCACCAGCCCAGCTCGTCTCGGGGAGCAGACATTTTGCACAAACTTTCCACACATATGATGGTGGGAAGTTGGGGTCATGTCCGGTGTGTCCAGCTTCCCGGCTCTGACTGGAGAACTCCTACCGAAGTCCCTTGAGCACTCGCAACCATGCGTGTTCGAGCTCAATGCGGAAGCCTGAGTGTCTCTCGAGCTGATGTGTTGCAGATCGCATCTTGGCCAGGTCGCCGCAGTACCCGAGGTATTTATCCAGCTTTGATTGCAAGCTTGATGATCCTTTTATCATGTGCACGGATCTAAAACTCTGCTCCATGATAGCGTGGCCAATGATACCGGGACCCTTGCATGTGCTTTGGGTCATTTCCAGAGTTCACAGTGGGATGTTAGCCAGACTGATTTGATGGCGATCATTGCTCATCTCTTTTCGTCTCTTGACTCTCACCCTTCTTTTTTCCCCGCCTCCTCCGCCTCCGGCAAATCATCCAAATCAAAGATGACCCTGATCATCAAACTGCAACTCGGACACACCGCGACGTCCTCTCCATCCCTTAGATCAGAGACATTGATCTCGAACCGATCGCCGCATGGGCACGGGTAGTGGTAGATCTGTAGCGTCTTGTCGAACGTCATGTCTTCGATCTCGATCTCATCGTAGATGTCTAGTGCGTCGGCGGCCTCTTGTTTCGTCTGTGTGGAGAGCGTGGTGCCTTTTGCCACTGATGCGGCTGCGGCGGCGGCGGCGGCGACGGTTGTGGTCGTCATATTTTTTTGGGGTGGCTCGTGGGACGGAGATTGGAGGGAGTATATATCTTCTTCACGCTTGGTGTAGATTCTACTTGGAAGGGAGTGCGCACACAGAGAAACATCTATGCGCTCAACGGAGTGTGGAAAGTGTCTGGATACACAGTCACAAAATTTTGATGCAGAGGCAGTCAGAGCGAAATGCGGGGAAATTGAAGAAGTTGAAAATGAGGCATCGGCACTTCCCGTCGAAATCTTGGCAAAATGGGAACGAAGGCTTGAAGTCTACAAGGAAACAGAAACGATAAAATTCGATGCATAAAATCATTGTGGCAAATGAGGACCAACTGGCCGCTTGCCATTTGGGTGTTGCATTCATCTGATCTCTACCTAGACCAGTCCAGTCATAGCCGGTGGAAACTTCAAGTGCGAACCAGTGACTGAGGGCAACCGACTCGTGCCATGACTGCACACAGCCAGCTTTTGAAGGCCTGCTCACTCGAATAGCCGAGTATTTCGCTCCTGGCCCGTAGTAAATTCCACGTGCAGAACTTGAAGACATGCGTGTTGTGGGAGTGTTGTAAGAGAGACGTTCCGTCCACCTCCACCTCGACCGCCTCACATCTATCTGTATCTCCAGAGAGACAGGGTATTGTGTCTCTTCCAGGTCTTTCTCCGTCCAGCAGTGGTCTTGTTGTAGCCGTGTCCCTTGCCCAAGCCACGGGATTTCTTGCCGGTTGCTGTGAGGCCACGAGATTCGCGGTGCTAGAAGAAGTTTTGTTAGTCGTCTCTGCTCTATCGTCAAATCGAAGGTTGGATGTGCTCCTCCTTACCTTGTGGACGGGGTTGACGATCCAGTTGATGCGGGCATCACGACGGATGGCTTTGTGTTGAGGATCGACGAGGATGACTTCGAAGTACTTGTAGGTCGAATCTTGGTTGATCCAGTAGGAGTTGAGGACGCGGAGATTGGAGGCACGACGACCGACACGCTCTTCAGCGGTGGATCGGAGTGATCGCTGGTATTTGAGTTGATTCACACCCTGGTTGGTGGGCTTGCCTATTCATCATGAAAAATTCTCAGTTGGATGTTTTTGGCACAAATAATTCTCGAATTAAGAGAAGAGGGATGTCCGTACCGTAGGTGGCACCCTTTGGCACTGGCTTCTTGCGACCACCACGACGAACGCGAATGCGGTAGATGACATAGCCTTGCTTGGCCTTGTATCCAAGACGGCGGGCCTTGTCGGGTCTGGAAGGACGAGAAGCGCGGTGGATGACTTTCAACTGTCGGAGCTATATTGATGCACTCTCAGCTAAGTTCAACGAGTGTATAGCAAGACACAATCAAGTTGCGCCACAGATGAGAAAGAGAGGGAATGTATGTTCTCCCGCTTGCTATCTTTCTTCATCATGTTTCGGGGAAGCTCACCTCCCAGCAGCGGACTCGGAGAAGGAATCGCAGGACATCGGATTGCTTCTTCTTTTGAAGTTCTTCGACGTATTTGAGGGCACCCATCTGTAATCGGTCAGACACATCGAGGGGAGAAGACACAATTCAACTACCACACATACCTTGAATAGTTGCGCCCAAACACCTGGTTGTTGGAGAAATAAAGAATGGTGGATCGAAATGTCGAATTGCGGAAGAGTCAAATCTCACAATTTGCGAAGTGGGAGTTGTGCGCAGGCTTGGCACCACCGACGGTCAATGTCTTGGCATGTGATCCAATCAGAGGTCTTCATCCGAGGTACGTACCGAATAATAATGGCACTGGGGAACTTCCATCACAATTCTATGAACAATATTTCCATCAGAATGAACTCTATCAGCAATCTGGATCTATCTTGATGATACTTGTCCATCGTATCTGATGCTCATCCAGGCCACCGAGTGCTGCTATTTCTTGTGACAGCACAACCTCTGCATCGCTCGCTCAGTGTCTCTTGCCACGCTTCCCCAGCCTAGTGTCTGCCTCTTAGGCGTCTCCTGATTCATTCCTCGCGCAAGTAGTAGTCTTCCTTGTTCTTTCTCCTCGGCCGTGAGCGTCTTCCTTCCATTTTTGACTTCGTGAAACCCATCGGCAAGCAGTTCGCCAATCTCTGTACCTACAACACGTTTCCCTGCTTTGATTGTCTTCACTGCAACTTCTTTCTCTTCCGCGAATGAGGCACTGATGTCTTGTATGGATGGAGGCTGCGGTGATCTCTTTGCAAGTTGTTCGTAGACATAGATTACCGCGTCCGCCTGTTTCAGCAGATCAACCAAGGTACTGCACAATGGTTGTCCCTCAGCACCGAGAAATTGGATTGGTTGGGATGAGTGAGTGGTAGAGGTTGGGCTTTGAGGTTCATCACCCAGACCAACTAAGGCAGCGTTGGCCAGTGGGAGAAATTCCTGTTCAAATCGTCTTCGATCGGCAGAACTGGTGATCAATGAATCAGCCAAGATCCATTGGGATTAGGTGTGACGGCACAAGCGGTTGTTCACATGTTCTGTTTGACTTGGGCCAATTTGGTCACCATGTCTGAGTGACGCTTTTTGACACGCTTCGAAAACGTCTTTGGCCACAGATCCGGCTCCTTGAGTTTCTGGCGGAGCTGAACCATCTGCTCGGTGTCGATGCTAGAAAGAGACTTCTATCAGCTGAAAGACAACCATGGAGAAAGATACAAGGGCCGGGCTGAAGGTGCTCACTTCAAACCATCATCATCAATGTCACGCAATTCCTGACTCATGTTCTGAGGAGTTGGCATAGTGATCGAGAGGATACTAAAAGCCTACAACCAGAAGTTGTGAAGAGATTTGGTTCGTCGAGTGGTTCCGCGAGACTTGGACTGTTCTTCTGTTGTTGCGAAGAAAGTGGACTACTATGGGAAGGTGCATGTCGGGAGTTGCCTCACGAGGAAGGTGCAAAGCAGAATCGTTCCAAACAGCAACTTTCCGATTTCACCAACTTACAGCTTGAGTACCGAAATACAATACTACCCGCCACCCTGCACATGGACATAATTCTCGATTGATCTTTATCAAAGTCTCATTGGTGTCAAACTATCCCAGCGTCGTCATATGGTACAGGAGTACTGTTTGTTCAAGAGAGGAAAAAAAAGGAATGACTTAAGGTCGAAACGCTGCTATGGTTCATTTAGCTGATCTGTGTCACATGTGTCTGGTCCAGGCCACATTACAACCCTCCCTTTGCCTCAGGGAGCATCGACATTCCCAGACGTTTTGGTTTGTGTAGGTGTTTGTGTATCTCATGCCCTGCATGAATATCGTGCTCATCCAGTTGACATGAAATGCTCTTTTTTGAATCTTTTTCTCTTCGTCTCGAATCCCGCCTCACCGGCCAACAAAGCAAGCCCCAGTAAATTTCAGCCTATGTCTCGATATGCCGTTGAATTGCCGTGTTGATTGCAGTATTAGAAAGGAGTGTCCCAGTGTTGGTTGAAACATAGCACGTTAGGAAAATCCAGCATCCATTCCTCCAAAACAAATCCCCCGATTGATGAATTATCTGTTGCTGTCTTTTTCCAAATGCTCAATCTAACCCCTCATATCCCACCCAGTGACGTGAAATGAAGGAAGAAAAAATCTTGATGTCTTTGAAAAAAGCTGTCACGATCTAGCAATTTTGTCTCTGTTCCATTCCATGCATTTCTTTGCGATACAGTAAAAAGGAAATATTCGCAAAGGTTGAGTGCCATTTCTGGTTAAGTCAATAGTGATACTGGTGATGGCTTAGGAATTCAGTGAAAGTCCTTGAAAGCGGCCCATCCAGTTGCCATCACCTGGTTGGTTTGGTCCTCGAGGCCGGAAGTCGTGTCGATTGCTGGCGAAATTGGGAGCGTTCGGATTCAGTGCCGGGTACGGCTGCCCATAATAGGAGAATGGATCCATCTGGCCTGGAGGAATGTTTCCACCAAATGATGCCATGCCTGGTTGAAGTGGTTGAGGACCTGCCCCACCGTCTGGGAATTGACCAAAGTATGGAGATCTCATTGCCGAGTTTTGACCATTGAAGGTTCGATCGGCGTCAAACGTGTCTCCAAACGGAGTTGTCACGGCCTGTTGGGAATGATTATGGGTAGCCGGTGGCTGTCGGCGACGGTGACGCTCATCTCCTGGCGGTGCACCGTTGTACGCAGGTGTCAAACCTAACGAAGCAGTCGGGGTTTGGAACGATGCTGGATTGATAGCAGACATCCAAATACGAGTCTTGTAGATCTTGAAGAGATCTGTGACGAGGTGGTTGAAGTTAATGTAGTTGTCGGCAAAGTAGTAGAATGTGAGCTTCTTGCTGTCCCTGATACAATGTTAGTTCTGCAGTGGCCAGAAAGGGGACATATCTTACATCTGAAATTCAGCGTCTAGGATTTCCATGTTGAGTCTATGGTCGATCACCTTTTGTTGGCAAACACGCTTGGCTTTCGCCTCATTTCCTTCCTTGTCTTTCAAGGCTTGGATTTCATGGTTCTGAGCTTGTCTCTTGATCATCTTGGGCTTGAGATCTGGGTGAGCCGCATCATGAAGACCGTGATGTCCTTGAGGGCCCATTCCACCAACGGCACTACCTTGGCGTCCGGGCATTCCGTTGGGGTTAACAACATTGGGACCACCATTGCGACTTTGCATGGAGAACATCATCAACCATTTGTAATGTTCTTCAGCGTAGTAGTCCTTGTATCGTCGTGCATCCTCCCAGGTGACATCCGTGTGCTGAACGGTTCCTAGGTCAGTACCACGATCTGCTTCAACGATGACAAGATCTCCAACGCTGACACCCCAACCGGTGCCAGGTTGAATGTAAAATACGTCTGAGCGACAACATTTGAAATTGACAATGTAGAGAAGTTGAGTGTTGGAATCCTGGTACTGGGGCACTGGTACGTGCGGGTAAATGGCGGGCGCTCGGGACTGGCGAGATTGACGGACACGAGCTTCGGCTGCCTGACGGGTCGATTCGGTGGTGTTGAAATAAAGGGCTGGAGGTTCAGGGGAAGGTAAGCACTCTATGGCCATACGAAGGGCTCTTGGGTATTTTTTGAGAATGGTCAACTTACGGTCATCTCCTTGGGAAACTGCCTGGGATCCACTTTCATAAGCTGTCATCTCGTCCTTGCGACCTAGGTATCGAGTTATTCGGGGATATCTCAAGGGCCTGCCAAATTGCTCACCAGTAGAGCTGAAAGATCCATGTCGGGTAGGGACATCTGCGAAGGAATGACGGCGACTTTGAGGTGCTTCTGGTATGGGACCAAATCCGAGAGAAGTTGACCACTGTGCTTTCTTTGCACCGTCGAATGGGCGACCATCGGATGGCGAAATGGACTGCTTGTCGACATACATACCGGTCTGTTCGCTCATGCGTCGAGCATTAATATCCCGATCTGCAAAGGCACCCATAGCTGCAAGATCGTCGCGATCGTCGATAGCGGTCTCGATTTCCTCGGGAACGGGTGCGCGAAGTCTGGTGTTTCGAAATGCAGATGGTGGAAGCTGGGTTGTGGCTGCTGTGGCTGAAAGGGTACGGTCGCGGCTTTGTGCTGCATAGCGAAGCTGGGCATTTTCCTTCTCCAACAGCTCAATCATTCTTGCTTGCTCTGTACTGTAAGATTCTTGCGGGCCTCTAATTTCTTCTTCCCCATCATCTTCCCTCAGTCTGCCAAGACCGCCTGAATCGAGAGTCCCTAGTCCACTGGTTCTCGATGTCCTACGTTGAAGTGTAGGTGGGGGATATCCGGAACCTAATCTTGCACGGGTGGCTTCAGAAGAGGTGGAAACTGGGTTAGCAGATGGTGCTGAGGTCGTGTCAAGTTGGCCAACTGAATATGATTGAGAACGATAAGTTTTGGGTGTAGGTTGCAAAGGAATAGTGAAGGGGATGCCAGCATCGCCATTGGTGGGAAGAACTTCCTGTAGTCGAGCAGGGGGGTCTTTACGACCATCTTGACTCCAGATATTGGCCCATCCCGCGTTTGTGTAAGAAGTATTTGTTCCAGGCCAGCCAGTGGGGTTCGATGCGTTCACGTTCGCCCAAGCAGATACCTCAGTCCCTGGAGTTCCTGGGTGTGATCCGGAAGGGCTATAAGGGCCAGTAATGGACGGTTTTCGGTTGGCATTAGACGTGGAGGTATCATTCAGCCATGAGGTTCGTCGCACGGTTCTTCCGGGTTTGATGTTGTTGGAAGCGGTTGATTTTGTATGTTCTATTTCGTCATCAGATGAGGCAAGTGCTTCTGAGTCAGGAGTCGATCTTCGCAAACCAGGATGAGATTTTTCGAGCAACAGAGATGCCGGCGCTTGATGTCCGAAAGCTCCGAAGGCCGGCATGGGCGCTCGAGCCGACTTGGTTGGTGTGTTACTCATGACGGTGCTGAGTAACAGCGCAAGGTTTCGAGCCGATCACACACTGTCAACATAGTGAAGTTAGCATTGATCATGATCTGACGAATTTACACTGCGATTTTTGCTCAAGGTGAGGAGGCCATCAGATCAATGAGCATCGGAGATGAGCATTTTGAACAGTGTCACAGTCACGGGACCACCCACTCAGGCAACAACCTGGTCGGGCACATGACCCGAGTAGATGAGGCAGATTTGGTGAAAACTCACATTGATTCAGAAGGGAACGTAGAGGGTCTCAACTCCCCTCACCATCTCTGACCAGGAGGATCTTTAGGACGGCAGTCAGCCTTCCTTGGAGGCTGACAAGTTCAGTATTGCGATCGCAAGAGATGATCCTAGAGAAAAACCACGTGGCAGGAGCGGAACCTGAGGAAGATGATGAAATGTTCAAAGCTGTGAGATCCAGGTGATATAAGTTGGCGTTGCGCTGCCTGATCCAGCGACGCCGAGCCCCCAAAGCCAACAAGTGAATGGGTCTGTCGATGCAGATCAAAGGCTGAGCACGAGCAGCACGCGATGACGATGATCGGCGACAAATCCAGAGTAGTCTTTATATATTTCTTTGATAAAAGGTCAACAAGCGAGCAAGATGTGTGCGAGTGAGTGATTAAAGCCAGCACAGCTAGTTTGGGACCGGGTGATATTAGTGAAGAAAATCCAAGTCGGGGGACCTAAAAAACATATAAGCAAGTGTGCCTGCCGACTTCCCCAGATTTTCGCAAACCGACTCTATTTAAGCGTTCGCAGGTCAAGGTGGCCAGTGGTGAAGAGTTGACAACAATGGAAGGGAGCGGGGTTGGAAGATGTCGCCAGTGCAGTGATTGGTCTTGGTGGGATGATGTCTAGCAGCGGAACAACGTGCTCGGGGGATGGCGCAAGGATATTATCCAAAGCAAACGGGTGGAAAACGCGATCGCACGATGGAAGGAACGATAAGTCGCCTGAGGCCGATGGAAATACGATGGCCGTCTATACGAAAGGGTGCAAAACGAACAAATAGCACACTTTTCAACAGTGAATAGACAGCACCGACACTGCAGTGGTAGCTGGAAAAGAAGAGCTTGGGATACTATGCCACTACCAGGAGCTAAAAGAAGAGGGGCTTGGGCCGCCGAGGAAATCAGGGACTCGAGGAGACAGATTTTCGAAGAACGGATGGAGTGGAGACTGTGGAGAGACGAGTTGAGAAGTTGAGATTGGTTCAAGTTGAATCCGAGGAAGGGGGGGTTTGTTGTTAGGCTGGTTGAGCTTAAAGACGGCTGCCCGTGGCTTTCAGAGGCTAGAGCCTGGAGGATATGTTGAATCGTAATATTAAGGACAGGGCAACCCCCAGACGAGGCGACGGTTGAGAGGATAACAATAGGCAATGCCACATCCGTGGTTGGTCGGACCCAAGAGTGGTTGGCTTGACAATAATTAAAGCATGAATTACTACCTACCTAGGTAGGTACCGAGTAAAGCGTAGTTCACGTCGCTCTCACATGGCACTGGCAGGCTGGCAGCAGCAGGTCGGTCGGTCTGCATGGAGCAATTGCGGGGGAATCTTAGTTACGGATAGTCTTCGGCGTGCCTAGGGCAGGGTTTCCAGTCCGGCAAACACCACCATAGTTTCACTAGATGGTCAACAGACTTCTTGATCAAGAACTTCAAGTTGAGACGGAAGCAATTCATGTATGTGTGATGCAATTCTTTCTGATCCCAAGACAGGTCGGCCTTGAGGGAAATCGCAATCTATATCATCAAACTACGAGATCAGTCGCACATCATGCCATTGCCACAGCTCCAAGTGGGAAGCGACCACGGGGCAAGGGCAAGCTAACCACCGACAAGGGCCCCTCTCAACTAGTCCTAGCCTGAGATGGCCATCCAGGGAATCTTCGTGAATTCAACGACCGTGACCCATCCATCAACTAAACCTGATGTGGCTGTCGCTGCCACATACCGAGGGGCCTCCCTTCAAGGTCCATCTAACAACTGCGACTCCGTGCAGAAATATGCTTTGCCTTCAGACTAATTCCAGGTGCTTGCCTGAGTCGAAATACGGGGTAGCGCTGAAGATCTAAAGCCTAACTGCGCATGAACTGCCTACCATCGTACCACTACAGGTGCTCAATTGTGGTATTCGTACTGTCCTTCATCAATGAAGAGCATCTGGGCAGTCAACAGAATTGTACTTTTCTCTGACCTCGCGCCTTCTATATACCCAGCATCCAATTTACAACCTGCATGGACCGGTACCTAGACAGATATGTATGGAGCAAACAACTGTATCATATCAGGCATTCCAAAGTCTGTTACACACGTCAACACAATGTCCTCGTGACATTGTAGTGCCCTGAACCCGCGGCATCCATTATTGGTTCTCCCCTGAGCCGCTACTACCCACAAGAGTTGGCCACTGCCATGGCCTGAGGCACACGACGTACCTCAAACCGCCTGATCATCCGTATGCTTCGACTGCCCATGATACATCACGGTTTGCAAAAGAGGTAGCCGTGCTTTCTCAAGCCCCGTTGTTGCATGGAACGCCCTTGTTTGCATTCGTCGAATACGTCCCACACCATGGTACCAAGTCCCGGGGATGATGGCCCCGGAACACACGATCCGGACCCGTTGGGACTGGTGAGCTGGATCTAAACGAGGGTTCCCGCAGTGGTCGATAATCAAAGGCTTGTCGCGCGCCCAATCCATGCCACAGCGGTTCGTACTCAGCTAAAGATGAAGTATGACAACGCCCAAGCCATCGTGCCGTCCACGAGCTGTATGTTGTATTCGACATGTTTAGTGCGGAAATTCTGCGACTTGGAGGTCCAAGTAACCACGGGACGACAAAACGTGCGTGTAGACCTAAACGTGACATACTTTCGCCTCGATCAGTGCGCCATAATTTTGCACTATCAATGCTAACCGTCCAGAAGACAACATGGGTCCTTTATTCAGCGAAATCAAGGCTGCCCTTGCCCACAGTCGAAGGAGCCGCATCGGGTCCTTTCTGTTGCCGGAGCTTTTCTTCGAATTTTTCGAATTCCTTCATGGCAATTTCTTCCTCTTCATCCAATACTTGATTGACCCCTTTCACTTCCTCGATCTGTCATACATTAGCAATTGGACACAGGCTTCGCATGGGGGCCTCAACTCACATAGTGCATCAACATGGACTCGATACCATTCTTGAGTGTGACCGTACTGGAATCACAAGTCCGACATGCTCCCCGTAACTTCAAACTCACCAGACCGTTCTCAAAGCCACGGAACTCAATATCTCCTCCGTCTTCTTGAATGGCAGGTCTAATTCGCGTCTCCAGCAGCTCCTTGATCATTGCGACCACTTCGTCATCGTCGTCGTTCGCCGCCAGACTATCTTCCCCCACTCCTTCTTGTCCATCTGCAGCAGTTGTCCTGTCCACCGTATTCACAATGGGCTCCCCGGCCGTGATGGCCTCCGTGATCAAGCTAAACACCTCAGGCTTGATGTGTGCCCAGTTCACATCTTCTGCTTTGGTGACCGTGATGAAATCCGGTCCGTAGAATACCGACGAAACGCCATCTACGTCGAGTAGCTTCGAGGCTAGGGGTGACGGATGCGGCGCGGCTAGCGTGGCGCGCGGAGAGGTGTATTCGAGGAAGCTCGAGGGAAATCCTTGTGGGAGGACATTGTGGTTGGGGAGGAACTTCAACGCCGATGCATTCGGTGTCGACTGAGTCTGGATATATATGCTTCGAGACTGTAAACCGCCAATATATGCACCGGATCTTAGCGCGGGTCTATGTTGCGCCTGTGAGGCGGTGATGGCTGGTAGTCTGGCTGGTTGATGATGGCTCCGGAAGGGTGCAGAGCGGCGAACTATTTGTGATACATCTGAGGAACGAGTGCTCCTTAGAGCCCGCGAGAGGTGCTGCGAGGCTGCGCTACGCATATTGAAGGTAGTTGAGTGAGAGCTGTAAAGTAAACACGATACTTTCGATCTGTAGAGAGGTATATCTAAGGTGTGTGGGTAGAGTCGTGCAAAGAAATCTTTATTTGCTCAAGAGTTGAGGGCGGGCTCTACAACGGAAGTTCATCGGCTTTATCATGACGCAAGAAGCCGAGGCGAGTCACGTGTGGCAGATGAATCTTTGTCAGCAGATTCTACCATATCAAAAAGCGATGTTTACAAAACACTGCACAATTATCGGGCTACTGATTGGGAACTTCTGGGTGTTCTTGTTTTTCTCCAGGAAACACTACTGATGATTCTCCGATATACGCACGACTAATTTTACATTGTTGCCAACAAGCGCAGAGAATTCCTCGCCCGTGGTTGACCAAATTACTTTTCACCACAACTCGAAAACCACCTCCGATGGCTTCCCCTCCGCGGCCTTGCCAGGTCTGTGAGAATCCAATTTCAAAGTATCCGTGCCCAGCATGCAAGGCTCCCAGGTATAGTGCTCTATTGTACAAATATGCGTCACGTTCATTACTCATACTCTTTCCAAAGTTGCTCGCTTTCGTGTTTCAAATTGCATAAAAATCAATGCACATTCCTCCTGAATCCGCAGGGTGGTGCGGAAGATGGGCCTACTCAGACAGTCGATAATCCATCGACAGGGACAGAGAAAACTGGGTCGACCACCATCGTCGATCTGGCTCAGGAGCAGCAGATGATGGAATTGTTCGAAAAGTATCCTGCTCTCAAGCCGCGCCTGAAGTGGATTTTCGATGAGTCCAAAGAATGGCCAGATAATCGCCATGGCTCTCGACGCCACGACAGATCTCGTCCTTCCAATAATAGTACATTCAACCGCTCTCAACGCTCCCCAGAACAACGCCTGACTCATATGATGCGGTTGCTGGAGAAGGAGCTGAATGCAGCGTCATCCGAAACAACTGGAATCGAAGCATTTTCCAATCTGGTTACCCAAGGATTGGTACAGGAACAGGCCCCAACTTGACGGAGGCGATGCTGTCAATCAACCCATATTTGTCGGAAATCCCGGACTACTGGCAGGCAAAGGAGGCACGCGAGGGCTTTGAGGCATGTTTGCGGTGGTGGGAGAGCCTCTCCTCGAAATTGTCGTCCAGATTGATTGTGGTCGGTTAGGCTTTTCATCCGGGTCGTCATCGAGATAGAGATCGATGACCTTCTCGATTGGTGATCTGCGCTGGAAAATGCTCATGATGCTCTTTGACCGCCGTGGACGAGGTCTGCCGGGCTCAGAGGTCCCTCGATCTTTCTTTCCAGCCTCATGTGTTGTCGACACATCCTCGTCATCGACGTCCAGCAGATCCTCGTCGCTGCTCACCAGATCGAGTCGAGATGGTCGTTGCCTCTTGTATTTCAAGTCCAGGGTCTCTGCCCCTTCGTGCAGTGCGAAAGTCTCAAGCTCCCGTCGAATTTGGTCTTCGCGTGGTGAGCAGAGCGTGAGAGGGGTCAATGGACGACTCGTGTCGGCAGGCTCGGAAGAGCTCGAAAGTGACAGTGATGGAAGCGACGGTATAGGGTCTTGTTCAAGGAGAAGCAAGGGTGGAGCGCTCCAGAATCCGGCATGTCTGACCGATTGCCTGTGATCGGCTGTCGTCCGTCGTTGGAATGGTTTTGGAGGAGATTCCACAGGTCGCTCTACTTTATCCCCATTTGAAAACGTTTTGCTCGAGGTTCGCGGTGGGAAAGTATACTCGACTGGGGTCTCCCGGCACGGTTCACCCATGTCTGAGCACAGAAGCTCGTTGGGAGTGCTGCTTGATCCGTGATCTTGCGGTCTGACAAACCCGTTCTGGTCTTGCACTGTTCTCGTTGCCCCTTTCTGAAAGCCTGGGCATGTAGGCCTGTCTTCTGCGTATGGAGAAGTTGTCGTCAAAGTCGTGGAACAAGGCGTCTTTGGTGATTTTGTTACTACTTCTTTTGGAAGACATTCAGCCCGCGCGGGAGTATTGGTCTGGATTGGAATGTACAAATCACTCTCCCTCTCAACAACTCGGTGTGGTACCACCACCTTCTCCTTGTCTCCAGATCGTTGATCCTTGTCGGTTCGAGTGGCGAGTAATCCCTCCGGGTATGATCTCGCATTACTTTGAATGATCAGGAAGGGCTCGTCAACGTCTTCCGCCCAATCACTCAAGAGTTCCTCATCTTTCTGTTTCTCGTGTGTGCCTCTGCGACCTTCGAATCTGCCGTGGCAATGACCATCTGCCTGAGGCGACTCAGGCCTCGGTAATATTTCCGGATTATTGGCTATACCATCATCACTGGGCGGTTGGTCGATCTCGAAAGAAAATCGTTTAATATTCAGCTGAGCAGAGTCGTCCGAAGCACTCCGGTTTCGTTTCAGCCGCGCTTCTACCTCCTCCATCTCGGCGGTATACTTATCCAGTCGCTTGAAAAGGGAATCAAGATCAAGGTCGATATCTGTTGTACTGCCACTAGGTGAAGGGGACGTTGAGGCGGAAGCGGTTCCAGATCTGGTTTGAACGCCATCGGTCCAACCTCTGGCCTTTCGCACATGAGCACCACGAGAGTTGACGGTATCAGTGTCATCCATCTTAGAAGCATATGCAGAGTCAATAGAATATCTAGTAGACATGGCGAAGGAGGTCTATGATGACAGACGTTGAAGAATGTCCCGCACCGTCAGAGGGGCAACAACAGACATAGCGTCAAGGTCTCACGGATGACAGCAAAGGCCAGTTATACTAAAGGACTTAGTATGGTTGACGCGTAGAAAAGATTAGCAAGATGGGTTCGCCACGTTATGCCACAGCCTCGAAGGTTCACGGCAGAGACAACAGATTACTCCGTTGCTGATGGAAGAAACAAAGTCTACTCCTGAATGAGGCTTTCGCATGGCGTTCGCCAAATCTCCATTCGGGTCGGCTGTTGGATGCCAGATACGATCTAAAAGGAGAAGGTTGTTTGTAAAAACACCCGAGAGTGGCATGGTGAGCTTATCGACCGGCTCCAAAGCTCAAGACTGGGACGATGGCGTCGAGAAAAAGGGTGCGGGTGGCTGACGAACCTGTGATTGAGTTTGAATGGTCTTGCGGGGCAAGCGAGAAAATGAAGCCATTTTTGGAATTGAGTGTTGGACGCGTTCGGAGCGCGCACTTGGCCAACACCCAGAGGAAAGCATGAATGTGTTGGAGACTTGGAGTACGAAGGACAGGTTTCTTCCACTACTACTAGTATTGTGAAAAGTCACACAGCGTCCTTGGGTAAAAGTTCTTGATGCGAAATGTTTCAGTATTTCAAACACGGTACCGAGTTGCAAATCCGAAATCGGCATGAGAGGACCAGAAGTGTGTCTGAAGGCCATGCCTGGCAATCGAGGCGACCCGGACCCAGACCCAGGGTCAGGCACCGGGTGAAGCATTGTTAGGCGTTTAGGGTGCACCGGGAGGTCATGACAAGTTGCCACGCGATAGAACGGGGATCCAGCGAAGGCAACGAAACAAGACAGTTGCTGGCGCCGGATGGAGATTGCAGTGAGGACATAAAGCCAGCTGAAGAACTGATTTGGACACGATGATAACGACGAAGGACTAGCCTCGTATTAGGTAACTGATGAGAACTACTGTACGAGCACTCGTACACTGGACGCCGGGTGCAGTGGTTACCAAGTAGGTATCTGTACGAGGTACCGGATATGAACCACAGGCTTGGGATAGAGATTGCCTTGGCAGACCTCACTCACTGTGCAAGAATTGAGGCGACTACAAAGAAGAACAGAAAGGACCTGATACGAACATCTTACTCACATTAAGTATGGAAAGGCACCTGGGTATGGAGCACAGCAACTTGTAGGCTGAATCGACACCTCACTTCAATATGAAGGAAATGCCCTCGATCGTATTCGTGTGCAAATACCTGGGTGAGGTGCTTCTCAGATTCAGACTCATACCAAATACCCCTGACAAGGATCCCCAAACACAGTGATCAGATACTTCTAGGGTGTAAGTGTTCTCTCTCTGCTGTTCAAGCTTGTGAGGATTGCTCTGCTTGGTTACCTAGGAATTACAATCATAGCCACGCTGTTGACCAATCTGCATACCCGTCAACAGATACTCTCTTGCACTTCAGATAACTCGAAGCCTGGAAAGATGCTAGCATTTGCTATCTGAGGCGTTGAAAGTGAAACGAGGGTAGCGAGGCACTAGCTAAAGACTGACCTGGGGGCCACGCCAGCTCCCAGGGGAAATCTTCCCCGTGGAAGCGACCACTCAGGCCCCTCGGCCTCGGGCTCGTACTCCAGACTCCAGGGAGGGAGAGGCTGTTTTGCGCCTAAAATGTTCTTCTCCAGCCCTGAGCTGGTCAAGCAGCCCTCGGCCCTCATCATCAACTCTGACTTCCGGCACTTCAGATTCCGAAAGCTTGCCCGATGGGCTATTTCCCCCTGGGTCAAGAAATGCACAAGACAGCAGCAATGTGACGACATTTATCCGTATTGATCCATCGTTGAGATGAAAAATTATCAGCAGCAAAGTGAAGTTCGAAAAAGTGTGCAGATGCGGCAGGGTTGCGTCAATGCAAGAACTTGCAGCAAATGAGGAGTCTTTGGTTGGTGGTCGCCGGGCGGGCATTGATAGCCGCAGTCACTTTTGAAGTAGCGGGTCGTTCAGCAATCGAGCACACTGGGGCTCACCGGGGGGTTCCTGGGATAGGCACTGGAGTTCCACCCAATCTAGGGCCCTTTAGGCTTGATAGCATCTTTCTGTTCTCGCTGGCCGCGCCGGGAGGCTTGCATCGAGCTTGGAACTTATGCACCTACTTGCATGGCGCCCCCCGCCGGAACACCTGAGCCTGCATCAGTCTGCACCCGCTTGCACCAACTTGCACCAGCTCAAGTCAGACACTTGATTCACACTGGCCAGCTTCCAGGGTCACGCATGGAATGGTACCTGACAGTCTGGCAACATGTTGCATTAGCCCTTGGTCCAGCACTCCACTGTTTCCGATCCTCATTTTCCCATCGCCCACTGCTGACCTGGCCATTTCATCCTTCATCCTGGCTCCCCAACTGCCCAGAATCTCTTTCACATGGGCAAGCCCAGTTAGCCCCAGTCCCAGTCGACCGTAGTGCTGCAGTCAAGCCACTCCAGCACTTCAACCTGCTTCATGCCAACCAACCACCGTCACAGTGCTACTTCATACTTGGACTCTAAAAAAACTGCTCTAACCACCATCCGACCCGAAGACGAGGGTCAGAGACGAACACTTACCAAGTAGTACTGCTCCTGGCACACCAAGTCTGCACCAAGTATCCGTACCATCACGGCCCACGATCTCAAGTCGAGGCGCACCGTAACAGTCGACCGTCCGAACAAACCTAGTCTAGGCAGAATCTTCGACCTCAATATTCAAATCCCCATCTCATTCGCCCTCGATTTCTTTCATGGGAAGGCTATAGTACCGCCTTTTGTTTTATACTCTTATCCAATCTTCTTTCTCCAGTCCTTTGCAACTGGACCGTTTCTCTGCAATCCTGCCCAGGCAGTCGGTGATCGACATTGAAATTCCCTTGGGATCTCCAGTCAAGCCACTTTTGCTCCAATCGACAACCTCCCCCAGCAATCTACCGCATTAAACAAACAAAGACGGAATTTGCACAACCTCATCACTCTGATCCGGCAAGGAGCTCTGGTAGCCTCCTCGCCTGTCAATCGCCTGTCCTATTGTTCTCAGTTTCCTTGCTAGTAATCCTTCCGTTCCAGGACCCATTCACTTGGAGTTCCTGCTCGATGTCAGGATCTACCCATGACAACTATCTCCTTGTTCTTGCAAGTGCAGTGCCTTCGGATTTGCTTCAACTAGGAGCACCAATACTCTCGAGCTCGCCAACCACTTCAATCTCGACATTTGGGTCACTATGAGTTTCGCATGAACCCGACACCCATTGCAAGCTCCCCACCATGGATGCACGCTCGGCCAGATATCATTCCCTCGATTCAAAGGGCTCGGGACAGCCACCAAAGGCGCGAGAGCGCCATAATTCTGTCCCCAACGGTGATCGACAAAAGTCACAACAGCCTAGACGTCAATCCGCCACCACAAAGCCTAAAGAGCTTTCAGACCAGGGCCAACGGAGTTCCAAACCAAGCTCTCGTGGCGACCCAGCACTTACTTCACCTGACCGAAAATCATCGGCGACTCGACGATCCGATGCACAACACGCTTCTTCCAATTCTAATGATAACAGGCTCGGTGGAAAGGTTAGTGACAAATTCTCCTCCCCGCTGTGTCTTTCTTTTTGCTGCTGTCCGGTGGGCTTGCAGCCTTCTGAATCAATTTTTGTACTCGGCAATCATTCCAGTACTGACCCAATGATTTTAGACCAGGGAAACTGAATCAATTCCGATAAACGTTCTGATAATTGGCGCACCCGGATGCGGCAAGTCCAGCTTCATTCGAAATTCCGTGGATCGTGAAACGCTTGTTCCAGGTCCAGGTCCAGGACTTTCTGCTCGAGTTAAACTTACGGACCAGTACTATTCTGTCCGCTTCATCGAACTCGAAATCGACGATGTGGATTTCAGTAGTGAACAACGGATAATATGGCCACCCCATATCAATGGAAAAACCTTTCCAGATATTGATGCGGTATTCTGTCTTTATGATGCATCCGATAAAGACAGTGTAGCTGATGTCCCAACGGCACTGAGTAAGTCATGACCATAAGTCAATCTTCTGCAAGCCAGTCCTGAACCTTGTTTTTTCTAATTCCTGGGATCAGCCTCAATGACGAACACCGGTGTCCGCTGCATGCTTCTCGCGTCCAAATGCGACAAGCAAGACTCGGATCAGATATCTAGCCGATTTCATGAGCAGGTCCGCCGAAATCTGGCGAATGTTGCGATTGCTGAAATTTCCACAAAAACTCCGGAGAATACTAGACGACATTTTCTAGCAATGCTTCATCGAGTCATCTCTTCACCTAGAGGTAAGTCAGCCCAATTTCAACCTCTCTGAGTTTTCTGTACGACAGTTTTGTCTTGATATTTGCCTTGTCAGCCGCTGAACAATGTCACGTTGGCCGGAGGAACCAAATTCCTCCTCACGGACGGATCCTTTTGACCTTGATCTCCACTCGTGCCATTCACCAATATCCAAGCTGACTTTGGTTTCAGCATCTTCACATGGGAAGAGCCTGAAAACATCAGCACACTCGAACAGCAATCAACGCCTAACATCACGCGAGACATCACCCAAGAAGAGCCGCAGTCGCAGTCGGTCGAAGACGAGATTACAGAGTTCGAGGTCCAAGGAGCTCCTGCTGAATATGACCGCCAGACCAGCGGTCATTGAATCTGCCGACGAAGATTCTGACACGTCATCGGCGGAGGAAGATCCTCCAACGAAGCCGAAGACTAAACTCCGACTAGATACCAGCAAAGCGTCTGAAGGCCAGACACGACCAACTGGACCGCACACGCCAATCTCGTCGGAGGAACAAACAAGTGGTTCACCAATGGGCACGAGTACGTTGATACCGGAAACACCTGACTCTTATTATGTGAAATCGATGCTTCGGCCCGTTTCGACTGAGGCCGCAGAAAATCGGGCATATCAAACGTTCCTCAATATGGATGATGAAACAGAGCATTCGCCGGGGAAGGAAACTGAGCAACTAATGCCTACTATGAGCAACCTGAGGGTAGATGAGTCACCCAAGTCAGAAACAGGAGTTCCATTCAAAGAACTCATCGACAAGCTTCTAATACTGCCTGCAAACAAGAGTGACTCGAAGTTTGTTCCCTCTTTTTTGTGCCTTTATCGGGCGTTCGCGACTCCTTACAAACTTCTGTCTGCTGTGGTTGACCAGTTCGTCACGATAGAACGAACGAAAATGGTTCACTTTACGAAGGTGGCAGAAATGCTTCGATATCTGCAAGTGTTGGCACAGTGGACGGCCACCTATCCTGGTGATTTTGCTAGTGGCCCAGCTCGAGATCTAGCATTGACCTTCATTCAAAGTATTGAGAACAGCAAAGTGTTCGCGCCAGCTGCACGGGAGATTAGCAACAACCTAGATACTCTAATTGCGGACGAGGATTGTGACTGGGCATTTGATGACAATCCCGCAGCGGCCAAAGGCAAAACTTCCTCAAGCAACCACAAGAAGACACCAACAACCTCTTCTACTTCTCTGGGGTCCTCAAGCAACGAGAATATCGCGAGGACAGGACGCAAAAACAATCATAAACACGACGATAGTGACGATGAAAACGACGGTGGCAACTCCTCAAGCAGAGGATCTGGCGTTCATTCAAATGCCTCCAGCATAATCAAGAACTATAACGCTTCTAGTCAGTCGTATTCGAACTTGATGCAATTAGAAAGCGCCAAGTTGCAAGCGGAACGACTCAAACCAAACCCCCACATTCGCCTGAGCAAATTCCAGTGGCATCAATTCATGGAGATCCCTATAGATGACCTTGCACGAGAGATTACTCGAGTCGACTGGACAATGTACTCGTCAATAAGACCCAGAGATTTCGTCCGACATGTCTCTTTGACAACAGACCAGAGAAGAAATTCTCGTCGTGTCGATAATATTAGCATGATGGTGAAACATTTCAACCATCTCGCGTTGTTTGTGTCGGGAATGATCTTGCTGAGGGATAAGCCAAAACACCGAGCGAGAGCTTTGGAGAAGTTCATGGCACTTGCTTGGAAGGTCAGGCAACTGAACAACTACAATTCCCTTGGTGCCATTGTGGCAGGTATCAATGGACATGAAATCGCTCGACTTAATTCAACCAGAGAGATGGTTCCACATGAGGTGCAAAGGCAGTTCTTGCGACTGACCATCCTCATGGGCATCTCCAGATCTCACGCAGCATATCGAATGGCTTGGGATAACTCCTTTACAGAAAGAATCCCGTTCCTGCCCCTGGTCAGGCAGGATCTCACCATGGCAGCAAGTGCGAATCAGACATTTATTGGGTCGAACATCAATTGGAAGAAATTCGAGATCATGGGAGATGTGATTGTAGGTATCCAGAAAAGTCTGGAGCAGCCCTATTCCTTTGGCCAACGAACATCGCGTACTGAAGAAATAACTCGCCTGATCCTCGAAACCAAAATCGTCGAAGAATCAGAGGTATGTAAAAGCCGCTCACTCAGTGAATCATTTGACCTTGTTACTGACAATCCCACAGGACTCGGCGGATCCCCGGAGCGAACTATATGATCGCAGCGTTCAAGTTGAACAAACGGGTGCCGATCCTAGAAAAAAGTTTGACTGGTTACGGCGTTAAAAAAAAAGGATTGGAGAGAAAAGGAGGATTTCTAAATTCTCCTTCATCCGATGAAAGAGGAACCGGCCAGAGAAGTACTTATACGACCCTGAAGCCCGTCCGTCCATGACTGTACGAAATGAGCACAATCCAAAAAGACGAGGGACGATAAATCCAATAACGAAAATCAATAGAAGAATGGGGTGTGGGCGTTGAGTTCGAGGAAGGCTCAACAGGCCGTCGAGGTTGAAACCTTTTCACACATCCCACTCGAATCCGGGGTGAACGAACGACACAGCAAAGAGAAGGTCCTTCTTTTGCTGGAAATGCATTGACTGACGAATTTTACGACCGACCACGCCGCCGAGAAAAAGAACTCATTATGAAATTTTTTATATAAAATATGACGAGGCGCGATTCTTCCCCTGGGCCACTGTTGTTGCGTTTTTCATGCCGGGGGGAGGGGGGGGGAAATGACAGAGCAGTCCGGGGGATGGATCTTGTGTTTTTGTGTGTCTCTTGCTTGCTTTTTCCCCCCTGCTCAAAAACATGGGCACTCGATGGGGACCCGTTGGCCTTGCTTGCATTTTGCTATGTCGTGGGGAGATGTGAATGCCAGCATCGCCGCTAGTGGGTATATGGCGTACAGTGTAAACTTTTTTAGTGCGAGGAATCCCTTCTCTTTTCTCACACGGCGTGAATATTGGGAAGGGGGTCGCCGTCCCGTGGGAAGACGGTTTAGCAAGCTAGTTAGAGTCAAAGGAAAAGTTCGGAGAGGTGCAATATGTGTGGTTCAATCGTGCCGCGATCGCAACTGTGATTTTTGCTGAACTTTGCCCTGCCGATCAATGGCTGAGGATGGATGGAGAGGCTACCTGCACTGAAGTGAATAATTCAATTAGAGGTAGCTATCTGGTTAGTTAGTTGGTTGTTGTCTGGTGAGTTGACAGGCTGGCTGGCAAATGCATCAAATTATTGAGCACTATCTGTCACCCAAAGTCTGATCTTGCTTGTGACATTTGCCGAACGGCACTACATTGAAGAGTGGTACTGAACAGACATTATGTCTCTGCATATAGTAAATCGAGAGGGAAGCGCAACGAGGTGAAAGAGCCTCTTAGTCCCGACGTCGGTTTATTGCAGTTTGTGGAATTTTTTATTACTTTTCTAGACACAAATCTGTCTTATAATGAAGTGAAGCGGTCTGATTCTAATTCTGTTCCACATCTAGCATTTGGCGCAAGAAAAGCTACAAATCGCCAGCACCAATATTTCCAGGTCACCAGAGATATACGTTATGCTTTTCCACCACGTTTCAACCAATTTATCCATCCGCTGTTTGAAAGTCAAGAAGGGCTGTTTTCGGCACGTCCAATTCCGTCGATAATACAATTAATATCTCGTGGACCAAAAGCCAATCACGCTCTGTCACAGGTGGTGATTTTTGGTCGGCTGTTTCAGGGTGAGAAAAGTTCTCAAGAACTCGAGATACCGAGATTCAAGTTGCGCCGTATTTCGAATCTTTTTTCCTTGGATCGACGTTCAATTTTCTGTGAAACCTCGGTTTTGGTTTCGGCTGGTATTCCGACGAGTCTTCACAATCGGTGGTACATGCTCGATCCGGCCGTCACTACTACTGACTCGGAATGTTTTGATGATCGATTGTCCTCGATATCTCGCTTGTGATGTCTCAGATTCTGTGATCGATGGTTTGATGTTTTTCTGGGTCAAGTAGGGCTTGCTCGAAAGTTGAGCCTTGCCACGAGACGCATCATAAACCCACGTACGTTCAGACTCGGCCTAGTATTTTCCACATGTTGCGCTCTTTGTTGCAGCTGGAAAGCACAGGGGACGTGGCATGACGTGATCTCCTTTTTGTCCAAGAAGGTGTAATTTCCGGGGCATAAAAATGGCTATCTTGGAGTTGTAGAAAAGAAATCCATTGCCTAATGTGATGGTAGGTGCATATGGATCCACAACCAGCCATCAAACTCAAGTGTCGAAGGACTAACGAATGACGATCATTCTTGAATCTTGATACAGCGTGGAACTCAACTACTCCTTTTAGGGTTTCTGCGGCAGTTGTCTGCAAATCTTTCGTAACATTGCTTTCGTAACTATCACGTCTGCGGTGAGGCGGACAAGGCAAACGCCGAAGCCAGCACCTTAGTGGCATTTAGCATTTTCAATAATGAAAGAATCCACACCAACCATTGCAAAAGGACGAAAAGTCTCTCCTGGCCGTATCCAGAAGGGTACAGTGCATGACTGAACATTTGAGAAAGTTGATGCGCTGTCGAAGTTAATGCTCTCGAGTCCTATGCCGACAGCCGATGTCGTAAATATACCATGCTAGACCACGCAGCACTGCAGCAGTGCCTTCGGTGGGTCGTCACCGCGACGCCACGGGAGTATAGACCGGTAAGAACAAGTATCCCGTTAACCAGGCTAGGGTAAGAGTGCGGCGGATGCGATGGAAAGGGATTCCGTGACATGGGAGGCTGTCAGGCGTCTCGGTCCGCCACGGCTCTTCAAGATGATGAAGAATGCTCCATGTGCAGAAAATACAGCATGGGTCAATCAGCGATTATTGCCCGTTGGTGGCGAATGTGGCCGAGAGTCCGTTGAGACTCAGACCCCTCCTGCTCCGCGTATAATCACAAGCATCTTAGTCCAATATCACCGTTGGCTGCCTGTCGCCAAGATGCTCCCCAGCATTTTAGAGCCCACAGATCAAGTTTTGCTGCCCCTTCTGTATCGGTGCGTCCCTCTGACGAGATACTAGGATCTTCCTGCATGCATTACGCAAGCCCAAAATACAAAATAGAAGGCCATCGTAAAGATTCAAGGGTCAGTAAGCCAGCTTCGGCTACACCGATTGACATACAATTGGTCACGAGGAGACGGCGTCGCGACCCCTCGCTCGTTGGATCGTATGATCAACGTTTCGAAGGAGGGAATTCAAGGCGTTACGTGCTGATCCCATTGACATCAATTTGGTCTTTGCGATGCACAGGGGGGTTAGATCCATCTTGGACTTTGGCCAAACTCTCGAGCCGAGCCTGCTTGTTCTGCACAATGCGCAAAAGATTGCGGAGGAGAACGACGATTGTGACCTTCCCAATTGCAGGTACGTAAATCGAAGCTCGCTCTTTGACCTCAGGGGAGAAGTTCTGGATGAATGTTAGTCACGCTCGTACATTCCTGAATGCCTTCCTCGCAGACGCCAACACAGATGCAGAGATGGTCGATCTTACCTTCTCACTTGAGAAATTGATGCAAACGGCACCTTCCTTCAGCAACTGGTTGGGGAATTTGTACTTGTCGCCTGGAACGCCAGTGATGACAACGTCACAGAGTGGAACACGATTTTCCAGCGTCCACTCTTCCTTTTCGACAATGTCATGCTTCCGTTTTCGAATCCCCTCGCCCCTGGTGAATTGTTGAACACCCGTGACATCTACACTGTAGACACATGCTCCATCATTTGCCAGCAATGCAGCCAATGGTCTTCCAACAACTTCCGATCGGTTGACTACGCAAATAGTGCGCCCGAACAATCTGTTGCCATATGGCAATATGGTGTTATAGATCTGAAGAAATTCAAGGATCTTGATCACTGCAAGTGGAGTACAAGGTAAGATCGATTTCATGGCTTGTGTGTCGTCGAGATATCGAATGTTCTGGTACATGTTGAAGATATACTGATGACTAAGACCTTCGACATCTTTGGAAACGTCGACAATCTGTTGGAGGTACTGATCTTGTCTACTGTTGAAGATAGGATAGTAGACAATGATGCCATCAATGGCTGAGTCGTTATTGCCAGCTAGTATTGTCTCTTCCACGTCGTCCTTATCGACGGTTCGGAGAGAATACTGAAAGCCACTGAAAGGTCATCAGTCAGATCCCCAGGGGTTGAGAACACGACAAATGGCTGCCTGAGCAACAATGAGGAAGTCCAAGGCACTCACTTTTCTTCAGCTGTCTTCTGAGTCCAGTCTGCGTACACCTTTGCAGCAGGGTCGTCATTGCCAAGGATTCCCAATAAATGAGGCTTTCGGTCGAGTTTACTCAGTCCGTCTTTGATTTCACTGAGGAGACCTTTGGCAATCGTGCCGGCAAGGATAACTTTACAGCTGGAGGAAGTGTCTTTGGACATTTTGAGAGGCTTTAGTGTTTTACTACACGTTTGGACCAGGGTGAACAAGAAATAGAAATTCTTCCAGTGTCAAAAACTTTTTGATTGGTTGAATGTTAGGGAATGCACGTGATTCTTGGCGTCGTTCAGTCATCGATACTTACTTAGGTATGAAAACGTTTCCAGCCAAGTCACAAGAAGAAAAGTCACGAGAAAGGGGTCAGTTTGTCTTTCAGAGCAACAGGAACCGTCACATCGACAAGAATCGCTCTTCGTATGACACTAGCTAGAGTGAAGCATCGCTAAGCATGACATAGCATCATATCTTACTCTGAGCCTTGCCTTCACCCCTTGGGACTTTCCGCTCGACACCCAGCGTCTCCAAGTCCTTTTTCTTGTAATAATGAGGCGCAACTTCAATCAGCCATTCCGGCTTGAGCGGCATACAACTCCTCATATACTCCTTACTAGTCAAGACCAACTCATGATAAATGAGCCATTTCGGTTGATTGTCCATCAAAACACCAGAAGGGTGAATATAAACCACCTGACCGTTCTTGACCGTGCGATAACTCTGGCCGTCACGTTGGAGCCGTGCAGAATGCGGGAAGTAGCCAGCCGTTATGGCCTTCTGAATGGGTTCGATGTTCGACGATCCACCACAGGTCTTGTTCGGGTCTACTTCGACCCGGTCACATAATCTTGCCAGCTGGTCACGGACGTCTCGAGCCCTGGTGAGGCTTCGTTGTTGCAGGAAGTTCTCCTTCGCCCATACGTAGCTGTAGTCAGAATCAGTCCATTCTTGGAAGATGTTTAGAAGTGAAAGATGATCACCACCGTCTTTATTGGTGAATCTAGCACGTGCGCTGTCCGCATGGATTTTCTTGTCCTTTGGTCGGAAGAATAGCGCAGAAGCCTCTCCGAGCATAGCGATGATTGAAAGCATCTCTTCCGTGCAGCCGTATTTGTCAGCAGCCAAGATAGATCGTGCAAGCATGGGATCCGTTGGAAACTCGGCCATTTGACGACCAATCTTGGTCAACTCTCCGGCATTGTTTAATGCTCCTAAGGCGTACAATCCTTCCACAGCACGTACGATGGTATCAGTCGATGGAGGATCCATGAAATCGAAATCCAATAAATCATTGATACCCAAGCATTTAAGCATGAGGATCACGCCTGAGAGATTTGTCCTTTGGATCTCAGGAGTTGTGTTCTCCTCCAATTCGTTTTTGTACGCCTGAGTCGTATACAAGCGGAAGCACTTGCCTGGTCCAACACGTCCCGCTCGTCCTGCACGCTGCCCTGCTGACGCACGACTGCAAGGTACCACAACCAGGGACTCCATTCCAGTTCGAGGATTGTACTGATTCTCCTTCACAAATCCAGGGTCAATCACATAGACAATACCGTCAATTGTCAGAGATGTCTCTGCGATATTGGTGGCTAGGACGACTTTTCTGGCGTTTGGAGGTGTGGGCTCAAAGATCTTTGACTGCAGATCAGTTGGAAGATTCGCATATATAGGACAAATAACCATTTCCTTTATTTTACTTCCAAGTTTCCGTGCAGTTTCCATTAGATTAGCCTCCATAGCTTCGATCTCTTCTTGTCCAGTCAGGAAGACTAGGATGTCACCAGTGCCTTGAGTGATGTGGATCTGAAAAACAGTTGTGATGGCAGCCGCGAGATAGTTGGCCTCTGGCTGGGCGGTATAGTGAACGTCAACAGCGTATCTCCGGCCTGGTATATTGAAAATCGGAGCATCGTCGAAGTATCGCTGAAACTTTCGCGCATCCATTGTAGCTGAAGAGATCAACAATTTCAGCTCAGGCCTGGCTCTGGCAATATCCTTTAGGAGAGCGAGGGCAATATCGGTGCTGACGGTCCTTTCGTGGGCCTCGTCTATCATCAATGCTGAATACTCACTTAGCTCGGGGTCAGAGAGCAATTCGCGTAAAAGCATGCCGTCGGTGAGGTATTTGATCTTGGTGTCAGGAGAACTCTGGACGTCGAATCGAACGGCATATCCGACGTCTCTACCAAGCTTGACACCTATCTCCTGGGAAACGCGATGAGCCACAGACATCGCCGCGACGCGGCGCGGTTGAGTACAACCAATCTTCATACCGCCCTTGGTATAGCCAGCTTCGTGAAGATACTGAGGAAGCTGTGTCGTTTTGCCACTTCCTGTCTCACCAACAATGATCAGGACTTGATGTTCTTGCACAGCTTGAATGATCTCCTCTCGAAACTGGTAGATGGGTAAGCTCTTTCTGGTGGCGTCGATACTCTTTGCCTTCGCTTCTGCTGCATTCAATCTCTCAGCCAGCTCTCTTTGTTCGCGTGTCATCGCTTTCCCGAGGTCTCCGCCCAATGTCTCAGATAGGACAAACTTCATCTGTTGGCTTTCATCAAAGACGTAGCCATAGTCGTCGTCAGTATACTGTGCCCTTTTGATCTGGCCTTCAGCTCGTCTCGTCTGCTCTTGCTCCCATTGTTCGTGTTCAGTCACGAATTTTTCACGACCAGATTCGTCTCTGTCGATATACCGCTGATAAAGGGCTGCCTCTTTCTTTTGTTTGTCAATCTTTCCTTTGGAAGTGATATAGTCCTCAGGGAGGGCATAGCCATCGAGGTGTTCATCGATGTTTAACCTTTCCTCTGCCAAACGTAACAACTCTTTGTTCCTTTCGATTTGGTCTCTCTCTCTTCGGGTAAGGGCTGCCCCATGTTCTCTCAACTCGGCATCGTCCTCTTCAACAGTCTGCCTCAATAACGCTAATTGCTGTGCCTCCCGTTTCTGTAGGTATTGCTGTCGGGAATGGAGACGTGTATCGGAGTAATCGGTGGGAGCAGTTTGGGCTGCAACACTGGTCTTTGCGGCCGACCGATCTTTGGCCTTCTTGGATCTGTCGGCATCCTGCAGCCGCTTGGCAAATTCATCTCGGCTTGTTAGATCATCATCTCTTTCTCGCTTCATTCTCTCTGCGGCGGTTTCCTGGGCAGGAGAAAGTGATCTCATCCGAGGCGCAGCAGACCCATCTGATAGTTTGACGCGTTTAGAGGAGGATTCGGCAAAGTCTGGCTCTGGAGCCTGGCCCTCTTCTTCGACGGGTTCTTCGTCACCCCATCTAGAATCGAAGTCGACATCTTCAAGCCGCCGGCGATGCACGTTGTGTCTCTTGGTCTTGAGCGTTTGGGGTTGACCGTCTGACATTTTGTACGTTTAAGGATGGCGAGGGAGAGTCGGTGGTTGCACAGAAACCACGAAGTGTTTGCGGGCGACTGGGAAATCCTGTAGAATGGGCATGTTGGAATCGCAAGAAAAATCACCTAGAAGTCGAGATGTCCTGTGACCGTAAATGGCAACTACGCCGAGCACATGCCACTTCCTTCCTCATGTGGTTTGGTTTCTCCGCTTTGGCGGGAGCTGCCGACGTCGTTCATCTGTCTGCTACACTTTGATCTGGCTCGATCATCGGTAGGATACCTTTGATTCCCCCGACTTTCTAGGGCTATGAATTCCTGGTTGAGTTCTCAAAGACCAGTTGCTCCATTGGTCACACGTCAATTCTAAGAGGCCGGACAAATCCCGACAGACCATGACGATTATCAACCACAGTGCGGTGGTGTCGCCAGTGGACAGCCACCCCTGGTAAGTAGTCGGGTTTTAGGTTACACCAGAGTGACACAGCCATGGACAGATCTCTGGAAGTCCTTCACACAGAGTCAGAACATTACTAGAGTTGTCGCTCTAGCTATGCCTACTCTAGACCATCGAATGGAAGTGGCCCTGCATCATCTATCATCTCATCGATCCATCCCAAACACGAGAAATTTACAGGAAGTACTGGCTCCAGTTCAATCATAATCCTACCATGGGTCCCCGAACTAGTAGTTCACGGAGCACATAAGAGTCAGGGTTGAGTCCTGGATAGACTCGGTGATCCCCACTCCACCTCCAGTCCTTACCTCAACTACATTCGATGACGGACAGACGGCTGCAACTTTCGAGAATGTACGACATCTCGTGGACGCATGGTTCGACAATGCATTCAATTCCGGTTCTGACGGTTTCGACGTCGTCCTGGCGAGAGTAATTCCAATCGTCATACTGGTCACCGTCGACTGTCGACTTGGTGAGATTACCCCTGAAGCGAGGAGTCCGACTCCGTCTTTGAAGCTAGGCGATGTGGTCTTGTCTTTGGAAGGGAAAGAAGAGCTCGTGACCAATGTCGTTGGAAGGGTGACGATTAGATCATCGGATACAAGGACGTAAGTTGTCACATCATACACCTTCATATCATTTACTAACAGCCCTATGAAGAAAAAGACTTCGCCAACGGCATCGTCTTATCCGCTCCTTTCAGCATTTAGAGTCGCCATCCCGCGGTTTGGGATCAACACTTCACAACGTGGACCTGATTCTGCTCCTCATCGCTCACCGCCTACGGCACAACCTCTTCAAAGATGGCTCGACACTACATGATATTCTTCACGCGGCATTCCAGCGTGGCGACCATGTCCTCCGTTGGGCTGACCGAACACTTCCAATCGCACCCGACACAGTCAAGGGGTATCCTGGTCTCGTGGACATGAAGAAACACGGACCACCGGTTCGAGCAACGAACACGCTTGAAGAGATGTCCAATCTCGCCGGTTTCTTGAATATCATCAAAACGGAGGACCTGCGACGCGGTGAGAACAAAGATACTGCTTACATCTATCGGGAAGTGTTAAAAGGAGTGACTACGACACGTGACGCATTTGATGAGATCGAGGAAAATGACATGAGGTACGACGATTATCTTGCGACTTAAAAACCTCTCGTTCACCACAAGGATGTTGATCTCGCTATGCAGAGAGCTTCAAGTCCATATATTGCTCCAACTCTGATACAGGGGAGCAATACCGCTCTGATCGGCCAGTATCTTTGGGAGAATCCTTATGAGCTGCTCAAGGAGACAAATCGTCCACTGAGTTTCTTTCTTGGGAAACGGCCAAGTGACGACCCCAAGGAGTTTGACAAAGTTCGACGCAAGGCCAGTTATAGGGCGGTGAGAAAGCACCGCGAGGACTGGAAGACTAAGGAGATAGCCCTCGCAGTTGCTCCTGTCTCGTCGGCTACTCAACAACACGAGACCACCGTCGAACCCAGAGATGCCCCAACCATGGCAATGGCTCCTGCCTCCAATAATATCGGGTTACATATAAAACGAGCTCGAGAACAACAGGCCCAGTCCATGTCAACCGGAGCAAGACCTTTACCGTCGTTGATTTCCATTCCTCATTTACTGGAAACCTTTAACTCAATTTCAAAGGCAACTGAACAGATTTTTCAGCGATTACGACTCCAGACTCCGCCGAATACTGCAACAGTAGCTACGATTACTCTGATGCAAGCCCAGGGACGGCAGGCACAGAATCAATTGAGCGTCCTTCAATCCCAAGTGTCAGAATCTCCTACCCGCGCTGTCAGTTCACAAACTCTTCAACCTCGAGCAACAACAGCAGTGGCATTCCGATCGACCCGTCACTTTCACCTCTAGTCGATGAAGGCCACGTCCAAGAAGTCAGGCACACTCGGCAATCTAACGCTGATACAGATGAATATCTCTTTGTTGAATCCCGCCCTCGACTGTTGCCAGGCTCAGCTTTCCACACGCCCATTCGACAGGCTGATCAATTCTGCGCTCGACCATTGCCAGGCTCGGCTTTCTACACGCACATTCAACAGGCTAGTCAATCTCGCCCTCGCCTCCAACCTGAAACAGACTATACTTCGGCTCCACCGAGTAACTATGCTTTACTACCCCTCGCTGAGGGGGAGAGCCCTAGGATAAATGGCGATGACTTGATGAACACTGAGAGTCCTGAACTGCTCGAAGTCATAAATCCCGGACTGCAGGCCACCGCTAGTTCACAGCCTTTGACTCCGGTGCCACAGTCCACGACCCTTACACGGCAGTCCATGACTGCTACTACGTGGGTATTGTATATGTCTCGGTACAACGACGCGCGGCCAAGACCTGGGTCGAGACCATCGGACTGGACGGATCCCAAGTATTGGGACGGATCCCAAGTATTGGGACGGGTATGTTGCCAGTGGGCACACAAGGGATCTGCCACGGCGTTTTGACACACTATCTCACAAAAGACGCGGCAGCCTTCGAGAAAGGGTTAAAACGGTCATTGGAAGAAGAAGAAGCCAAGAAGGCCGTGAATAAGTCAAAACATATACCGACCAGCACATCATATTCATGCCCTCGAAAATGTGGTGTCAAACCTTTCACACGCAGACCTACTCTCGATCGCCACTTACTGATCGCACATGAATTTGTCAAAGGAGGCCGGTGTGCACGATTCAATCAATGCAACAGTGACGAGATTTTCATGAGCAGCGATAATTGGTTGATGCATCTCAGACAGGTACATGACAAGGAGCCAGGTACTATTCCTGAAACCCCTTGCGCGTTGGCAGAGACGACAGGATGCAAGAAGTCCTTCACTTTCAAACCGGCTTACAACTTTCATATCAGGATTGCCCACAGTCTCAAGGGAATTGACTACAATAGTTTGAAAAGGAATAGGGGTAATATAGGTTATCGCTACGATCGGTAGAGAATAGAGTCGATGGATATCAATAGGTTACCAAATGCACACATGGTAAATCGGCTAATGACGTGTGTGACTGCTTTTTTACTCCAAACCGCGTGCAACACTATCCGAACAGGACAGAGCCTCTCCACATCAGAAAGCCAAAAGCATTGACTAAATCTCAGGACACGAGAATCAAGTTGTTGGAGAAAAAGTCCAATGATCATAGCAGCGACGGCGTCGACATATATTGTACCCTGCTACGAATAACAAGTCAATTACCATGGCCGTAATGTCAAACAAGGTCAGTACGGGACTGATAGAATGCGGGAGGAGATGCATGAAGGACAAGGATGTCCACATCATGGGGGAGTATTACAAGAGATGCACGCCTGACATCTAGACAAGTGTGTCTACAACATCGGAACTCACAGCCGCTTCCCTCAGCCTTCAAGTCGATTAATGAGATGCCGAGAGACGTAATCCAGACTTAACCAGAAGAAAGTTGTAGGAGTTCAATAGAAGCCAGGAGGTCCTACCCTTAGTGGAGGAGAGGTTGAACATCGATGAGCACCCGGATGGTCATGCCCTTCCTGAAGACTACCTACCTAGGTAGGCATTCCACATCGAATGGAAGGCTCGGCTTGAGCATGTGGTTGAAATCAAGAGGGACCTCTGGATATCTGTCCTGCAATGCCTCGCACAGCCCGTTGCATTGTAAAATTATGGCAAACTGGCTTCGATCGCAGTAGACCCGCTCCGGTCACTACAGCGAGCCACCAGCCAGCAATAGAAGCAGTCAAACCACAAGCCAGCGAAATGTTGGTCAATCCCCCTTTCAATCAAGCGACCTACCTCGGAGATGATCATGTCTTCAAGTCAACACTCATTCACGCTTCGTCCTCAAATTTAAACATGACAGACAAACCTGTGCCATGGGTTAAGTCCGACAAAAACCACATATCTATACGACTTTCAGAACATGGGGTGAAGAAGTCGTCGGTTGTGAAGACTGCTGGAATCGCCTTGAGTTTCCATTTTCTCAAAGGCGTCAAGCCATCTTTGCATGGTGGTGGCATGCGATGCTATTTACTATCCAGGGCATGAGCCTTAAATGGTACTCAGCATATGCGGACGCAAACCAACCACTCCCACAACAAGCGCCCTATACGGATATTGAAGAAAATAAACGACAACAACAACGAGGCGGGCCAGAACGATAACAAGGATGGGTACCTGGGGTACAACAGCACCAGAGGGGTTGGCCCCTTTCCCACCTTTCTTCCCTCGCGCATCTCTGTCAGGGTTCCAGTTTGATCACCCGGCGTCTGAACGATGCATTTCACATTGCGCTCATTTCGCGACTATCGAACAGTCGCACACGCGGCCCTAGGACTCCAGGCGACAAGAACAACTTCGGAGATGACGCAATGAGCGCCATGCCATACCAGGCATCGGCAGAGACTCTGGAAATCGCAAGCAGGACTGCGCACCGTGCCCGAGACTATCAAGGCCACGACGGTTTCATCTCTTGACCAGACAGAGTGAGAACTGGGACCACCGTAAATTCTACGTAGGGACTTCGTCTACTCAACGCACTACTATTTATTGTGAACTTATTCAATTAGCGCTCGGTAGAGTAATTGAATATCTCGTGCTAACAAGTGTGCAGTAGTTTCGGACCCTGCCACGTAAAGGTCCGCTATAATCGAAAATACTATCCCTTCGTGATCGTTTAATTTGAGAGCGATGAAGACGCGAGCGCTACAGTGGATGGCTCGGTGAACTTGAGTATTGATGACCGCCGAATCCGTGTCGAGCGTATCAAAGTTGAATATACCGTCATTCTGAGGGGTGGTATTATGGTATGTACTCTACATCTACCTCCACCTCCACCTCCTCCACTATTTCCACCGGTTGGTGCCATACTGTGAGCACGTTGAAGAGGTAGCGAGTATGCGAGAGGTGATACCATGGATAGGGTAGATCGGTAGATATTCTGGTCTCTTCATCTCCATTGCTTCCACCAGACACTTTTTAGCCGTGTGATCGCGGGATTGATGAGGTGTCGCCGTACACTCATGTGTACAGGGTGAATAAGTCATAGTAAGTCGGTCGGGTCCATGCTCGGCGAACTCGACTCGTTGGGATCACAACAGGTGGTCTGTTCAATAGTTGCGCGTTTCATGGTTATCGCAATCGTAATTTGTGAAGAGTTCATGGTGGCCCATGACTCATGTGTCTTCGTACTACGCGCAGTCAACGTCGCCAGCTCACGCCAAACAGCGTTCTAATGCCTTTGGGTGGCGAGTCCGATGGACAATTCATGTTCGGCAACATCAATACAGATATTGGCAGGCTTTTCGGCTGTCCGAATATTGAAGTTGAAGAGGTTGTATTCGGTGGGGACATCGTCCAGCGTCTAGTGTAATCATCACAATGCCCTAGAGTGAGAAGGCGGTAGGACGACTTGCATTCGCAATGTGGCCAACCGTCTTCGAGTGATTGGGAAGATATGTGTGTCAACGAGTATGGGAGAGACTAGAGATTTGGTCTATACTCTGGCTGGGCGAACTGTGCCTGAGACTGTAGAGATGATTGTTGAACTGCGTATGACTGACAGAGATGTCTGGACCGTTTCAACCCGCAAATTGAATTGGAAAAATTCACGAGATTGGCGGATCAAATACGAGAAGATTTGTCGGCTTTGCATGATGAGGATGAGACGTCGCTTGACAATTTTAGCCGAAGAGGGGAGAAATATGAGAATTGCGGGTCGAGGCGTAGCGAGCGGATTTGTGGACGTTGCAGGCTGAAGATTAGAGGCCGTGTCAAGATCGGAGTCGAAGAGGAAAAGGTTCGTGGGAAACGCAGGCTAAAGACCAGATATTGGACTGTTGTAAAACATTCGAATAGCGATGAATTCCCAATGGTCGAGGGTGAAAGGCTGATATTAAAATGGCTGCGCTGAGCGGAATCGTCAACACGAGACCTCTGAGCGTGAAGCCTAGTCCATTAGACCACGCACTCACTGTTAGTCACTCACTAAAGCCCGAATTACTCGCGTTAAACACATATAGCAACCCAGTCTTGGTGATCGAAAGAAGAGAAATTCTGCTCAACATTGTCCAAGCGAAATAACGCAAGTATACCACCGTATAGCTGTAAGAGATCCCGTAATAACCAAAGTCGTATGGCATTGTTAACATTGTGGTTGGTAGGCGTGCCTGTCTGTGGTTTGCGTTCGGGTTGTTCACACTGAGAGAGAAACGGATCTATGTGGTATCTCCCTCCATGGTGACAGGTATGAAGGCTCTCTGAGCTTTCCCTTCGCTCCAACTTTTTTATTCTGTAGTTCAAACTAGTTGAGGGAGAGATCTTTCCTTTGTCTTTCTGGTCTGAAACTCCAGGGTGACCATCATGTAGTGAGGAACATCCCTGTACAGGTGCTCCAAAAGTCTCTGGCTCCTACCGACTCAACTCTACTTACGTGAAAGTAGTTAGGTCATGTTCAAGCACTCCAAGTGATAATCTTTGAGTTCAGCTATGACCTTCAGCTTTGGTACAACGGCCCAAACACAGCGGGGATATTTTAGTCCTCGTCGTGACAGTAGTAAGCTGCATACTGGGCATAAGTGAAAAACAATTTTTCCGGAACGACAGCTCATGATTTGGGAGATCATCACTTCAGAGTCAAGATTGTCATAAGTCTGTCGCTGTCTATCCGACGCACACCAGATTCGATGGATAGGAAGCCAAGGCCGAACACTCTCCAGAACCAATGGCAGTGAAGCGAAGGACGTAGAGTTTGAAGAGTGAGGTGAGGTGATGGATTCAGTGATGATAGTGCCATGTCCGGCGAAACACTGCTGCGGGTTAGGCGCCAAGCACGTGGCGCCCCTAATCTCAGCCTCGTCTGATGTCACCACGGCCATAGCCTATCTTCATTACAAAGCTGTTTGACATGAGCATTTCTCGAGGGCTTCGGCTCCCTGGATAACAGTCGTAGTATCCAAAGATACGAATTTATGTCACCTTTGAGGCCACGTGGCTTGTTTTCGAAACACCTGCTCAAACTTCTAGAGTACCGCAGCCTTGCGCAATATAAAGGAGGTAGGTCAACTTCCGTCACAACGAGAAATTCATTGAACAAGTTTGTGGATTCATTATGGCTTCAACGAGACCCATTAGTGATATTCTCCCTCTTCCATCTCTATGCGTACCACTCTCGCTCTACTCGCTTTCGTTTGGACCACTGGTGGACCAGTTCCTCTTCCGGCACCCTCTGAAGCTCTTCATACAGAAACTTGCTCAAATAACGGTATATATATGTACTCCCGCCTCTGGTATTGATTGAGTGTGTCGCGTCAGTGAAGATAAACATATCAAGGTGACTTGGGGAGACTCCTTCAGATACCAATAGGTCAATTAACGCGGCGGTGTTCTGAAATTGCACTTGAGTTAGTATAAATGTTACTAGATGGCTACTAAAGACTTACCTGCGCGTGAACATTGTCGTCACCGCTGCCGTGCATAATGGCCACGCCACCTTGGATATCCTTGAATCCTGTGGAGTTTCTCACAGCTGTCTCGTTGTACCCGGCTTCATTGGTTTCGGGAGTCTTCATATAACGCTCTGTGTACATTGAATCGTAGAGGCGCCAGTCACTCACTGGTGCTGTGATCAGACCGAACTTGAAAGGGGCCTGTTGACCTTCTTGTGAGCCTTGTAGTTCTACCACCTTGGCTGTCAAATATCCTCCGAATGACCAACCCCAGATTCCGGTATGGTTCGGATCCACATACGGAGTGCTGGAGAGTATTTGCTCCGCGGCCCAGATCTGATCCAGCGGCTCATAGCGTCCAAGATGAGAAGCAACAGTGGAACGGAATTCGCGGCCTTTGTACCCAGTGCCACGTCCATCGACTGTATATGTGATGAAGTTGAGCTCTGGATCCGAGGAGACATAAGCATTCCAATCTAGAGTCTGAAAGACCTGGGACACTTCCTGAGCGCCTGGTCCACCGTAAGGTGTAAAGAGAACTGGGTATCGACGCGAGGAGTTGAAGTTCGGTGGGAGACGCTGCATGACGTTGAAGGTGTACCCATCTGGATGCTCAAGCTCGAAGTAGGTGATATTGGGCAGATTATATTCCTGAATCGCCTCATACAGAACCGAGTTGTTCGTGACGGTGGACAGTGGCTCAATAGAGTTTGTAGAGTAGAGATCCTGGTATGGCACATCTGGTCCCGAGTAGGACAACAAGAAGAATCCACCAGCCGGAGAGAATGACGCTGTGTAATATGCCGGTTCTGTATCATCCACAAGAGGCGTGATTTCTCCAGTAGTGTATGATACACTATAAATATGACGAGATGTGCTGTGGAAGGCTGTTGATCTGTAGTAGACGAGCTCTCTTTCGGTATCGACACTGAGAATGTCGGTCACTTCCCACTCTCCAGACGTAAGGGTAATATTGTCTCCACCAGAGACTGGGAGGAGGTACAGATGATTCCAGCCCGATATATCTGATAAATCCACATACCACGTCTCATTGCTGCCATTGACAGAACCGATATAATTGATGGCTAGATTGTTGTCGAGCCAGCCATCGGACCCATCTCGCTCGCGAACGATAGTAGTGTTGCCAGAGGCAACGTCAACGAGGACATACTTTTCCATATCCTGCACCCGATTGAAGACACGCAATAACACATGTGAATGCTCATCTGTGGCCCATGCGACCTCCCCAATAATAGTATCATTTGCTTCGAAAGCCTCAATAGGGATAGCAGTGCTTTCTAGTGTTTGGATATCAAGTAAGGTAAACTGCACGGTAGGATTTGTGGTGCCCACCTTCGGATATCGGAGCTCAAGTTCGGTAGGATATGGAGAAGCAATGTCGTCGTCTCCCATGTAATAAGGCACGGTGAAAGTGCCGACCCCTGTTTCGTTAAAGCTGAGGTATACCAGATATTGCGCATCGGGACTCCAGTGGAAGGCGTAGGCTGATCCGAAGATCTCTTCCTCGTAAACCCAATCAGGCACACCGTGGAACATATCTGGCCCACCATCGAAAGTGATCTGGGTAACTTCTGAATCGTTGCTGATGAACAAGTTATTCCCCTGGACGAAAGCGAGAGTATTTCCTGTGGGTGCCCAAGTTGCGTATTGAATGTCACCTTGTTGCTCCTCGAATAACGGGGAACTCTCATTGCTACTGATACTATATATGACATAGTCGGCGAAATATGAATATCGGTACTGCTTCGTATAGTTCGTGGAGAAGAGTACGAACTCCAGATTCGGCTGGATGAAGTATTCGTAGTAGTCAGAAGGGATAGCGCTTTGTGGAACCAAGATCGAACTGTTGCCGTCGATGAAGTTCAGAAGGACCAAGTCACCATTATCTGATAGAGTAACGCCGACTCCATCTTCGCCACCGGCAAACCAGTCGATTGAGGTTGTATTTGATCTGAGCCTGGGACTGGGGGCAGTCTCATTCAAGACCAGAAGTCGAGTGCCATTGCCTAAAGGCTGCTGAGGTCGACGAGGCACATCGATGGCCAGAACCCCCAGTCCTAGCAGTGGAAGGAGCAACGGGAGTCCAAGTAACATGATTGCAAAGCTTTAAGTCGCATATAGAATGCCAGGTTCGTATTCCTGGGTCGACAGGCGTGGAATAGGAAGAGGCTGTAGCAAATATTTATGCATCCCCGCTGCCAACCGGCCTGTGCTACTGTTCAACCTCATCCTTTGCAATGCAACCTCACACTTCTTGATTTTCGAGGATCTCAGTCGAAGCCAAGGTGGATAGAGCTGGTTATCGAAGAAGCTCCGCAAACTGGGGGAGGCAAATTTAGTTACCTGCCTATATCGGCTCATGATTTTCTCCCAAGCATCACTAACAAACTTGGCATACGTATAGAATTGCAACCTCGAGCAGGCGAGGCAGCTGTCCATACCCTCGTTATTAACCGGGGGTCATTCACATGTCGTGGTTTTCATGTTACATAATAAATGTTTAGTATTCTCTCCCGGAAGGTTGGCTGTAGGAGAATGAACGCAGCGAAAAGGCTTTACGGAGATATGATCGCGGCCAACTTTCTTGGCCTTTTTAACAATATCTGTATTCTGTTGCTATCTATCTATGACAGCGGGGGTATCAGTGAGGAGCTGATGAAGCTCTTCTGAAGTAGTCCGTTGAAGGACATTCTTCTTTGGATGACTTTCCACAATCGACTTTAGATTCTAAGTCGTCTTTGTTGTAATAATCGCATTATTTCTTTCATCATCAATTCGTTGAGGCATGATTTCTCCTGGTTTTTCAAATCCTCGAATAGGGATGGACCAAGATCTTTTCGGTTTCCCTATATTTCTAAAGCGTTGAGCTTAGAAAACAAAACTTTTAATACCCTCCGATGTTTCCCACCCTGAAAACGCCGACACAATGTACTGTTGCAGCGACACGACCCCGAGTCTAATCGTGCACAAACAAGAACGTCTAATAACGGTAGATATCAGACTTGTAAGGGCCCTCAACGTCCAAACCAAGATATTCAGCTTGGACAGGAGTAAGCTTGGTCAACTTGGCATTGACGTGGTCAAGATGGAGAAGAGCGACCTGTTCATCGAGGATCTTGGGAAGAACGTAGACACCAACGTCTTTCTTGCCAGTCTTTCCGAACTCAATATATTTCTTGCCAAAGGCCTCATCCTCAGCCTTGTAAAGAGCAATCTGTGCGAGGACTTGGTTGGAGAAGGAGCATGACATGACGAAGGATGAGTGACCGGTGGCACAACCCAAGTTGACCAAGCGTCCTTCGGCAAGAAGGATGATGTGACGACCGTTGGGCATGAGGTATCTGTCGACCTGGGGCTTGATGTTCTGAACGCTCTTGGAGTTCTTCTTCAACCAGGCAACATCAATCTCAATATCGAAATGACCAATGTTGCAAACGATGGCGTCGTTGCGCATGGCTTCAAAGTGTTTACCGACAAGGATGTCTCGGCAACCAGTAGTGGTGACGAAGATTTGACCCTTGGAGGCAGCTTCGTCCATAGTGACCACCTGGTAGCCAGAAACGGCGGCTTGAAGAGCATTGATGGGGTCGACCTCGGTGACGAGCACGTTGGCACCGAAACCGTGAAGAGCTTGAGCACAGCCCTTGCCGACATCACCAAAACCGGCAACAACGGCGATCTTGCCAGCAATCATGACATCAGTAGCACGCTTGATACCATCGATGAGGGATTCTCTGCAGCCATAAAGATTGTCAAACTTAGACTTTGTGACACTGTCGTTGACGTTGATGGCAGGCACCAAAAGCTTGTTGCCCTTGAGCATTCGGTAGAGATGGTGGACACCGGTGGTGGTCTCCTCGGAGACGCCATAGCAGTCCTTGAGCATCTCCGGGTATTTGTTGTGGACGAGAGCGGTGAGATCACCGCCATCATCAAGAATGAGATTGAGGGATTTTCCTGAAGGAAAAGCCTTCAATTGTTGTTCCAAGCACCATTCGTACTCTTCTTCTGTCTCACCCTTCCAGGCAAAGACGGGCACACCACTTGCAGCAATGGCGGCGGCGGCATGGTCCTGTGTGGAGAAGATGTTGCAGCTGGACCAGGTGACTTCGGCCCCCAGGGCGGTCAAGGTCTCGATGAGGACGGCAGTCTGGATAGTCATGTGAAGGCAACCAGCGATTCTGGCACCGGCAAGAGGCTGATCAGCGCTGTATTTCTCTCGAATGGCCATCAGACCGGGCATCTCGATCTCAGCGAGCTCGATCTCAAGACGACCGAAAGCCGCCAACGAAATGTCGGCGACCTTGGACTTTGCGGCTGGTGCGCTACCCATGATTGAAGAATTTTCAGGTATTCGGGAAGATGAATAAGAGGAATGGAGATGGACTGCGTGTTGTTATGCAGCAATTGAAGAGGAGTTTGAAGAGAAAGTAGAGAGAAAGTAGTGATGTGGAGGACTCGAAGTGGGAGGATTGAGGCAGAGAAAGACCGACACAAAAATGGAAAGAAGGGTTTTTGGCGGTCGGAAAATCATAAACCCCCGAAACCAATCACAATCCACTTGGGTTGACCGTGCCCCTGGCCGTGCGATAAATGCAGGTCACCTGACTTCGGGGTGGCCCCTCCTTCTCAACAATAATATGAACAACAACTGCCGTGGTGGGCATTGTCCTGAGCCTGAGACTGAGCCTGAGCGTGAGCCCGAGCCACCTAATAATCTCTGAGGGGAGGCAGCGTCAGGCTTGGAGTTGCAACCCTTGTTCTCGTTCCTCGTCCACCACCATGACTGACCAGAGACAGCCTCGTGCTGCATTGCATCTCATCTCAACGATAACCACCGGAGATATTGTTCAATTATGGTTCTGCTTTCCCGACTCTCAAAGTCTTTTAAAAAGCCAGTCATCCATCACCATTGATGTTTCCAGTGCCCAACTTGAAGTTGCAATGCCAATGCCTCTTATCGGTGAGTCCTGCTAATTGTCCTATCGCGGCATTCCGGCAACCTAGAAAACACCATCAGATCACCTCGCTATCCAGTCATTGCTCTTCACGTACTCATGCTGGATATACACATGGAGCCCCGACACGTATCGTCAATGCAACGGAATCACACGAATCCGTCCTTTCTTCCTTTGATCGTGGTCCGCTTGATATGCCTCCCGCGTTTGGACTTACTCTCCTTGCATCGCCATCCCGACTGGGAGGTCGTCGGGCGATGAATTGAGAAGGCTGCAGGTAGGTTTGCTGACTTTTACGATATACCACATCCACTATATACCATCCTAATATTCGCTCACCGCCTGATTAACCCGGGTGAGGATCCTGATCATTCTCCATTTCGTTGTTGCACCCATAAAGATTATGAAGGTAGCACTTGCCATTTGCAAGCTTATGGCGTGATTGAGAGTTCCGTTCACACAATACCCCTTAGACGTAACACAACAATATCTACCTCTACAGACATAATTCAGCAGGTTCATTACAGTCATTCCTCATAGCTTTAATTTGCTATTATTACTTTGCTCCTAGGTGGCATTCAGACCAAAAAATCCCTCATTCCTGTAGTTGCGAAGATTCGACTTACAAATGCCTTCATTACTGCACGAAAACATAGCAGGTTTGAACGAGAATAGATCCTTGGAGGACAAACAATTAGCTCAGGTCTCGACGGTTGAGCTTGAGGACAAGTCATCCACCAGTCCCAGTGAACATGGTAATGCCGAAGAACATCTTTCAACCTACCCATGGTTGATCGTCTCACCATACCTGGAGCGTGAACACCAACTGGACCTCAGAACCGTTGATACTCCCTTTCGGTTGCTGGCGCTTGCCTTGACAAGGCTCGAGAAAGCAACCAACGACTATGCCACCGTCAAATACGAGGATGCGTTCAAATGGTCGGATCTGATAAATCATCTCAAGGACCTGGCAGATCGAGAAGGTTATGAGTGGAAACGACAGATATTCTATGTGGTGGAGTTCCGGTCAAAATTGAAAAGCGAAATTGACAACGAACTGCTGTTCAAATTGGATAAGAAGTCTCATGAAGAGGCCACAGCTTGTGGTGGACTTCTCAAGTACTGGTACGGCGAGCCGGACCAAGAACGGAGAAATCTTGCAACGTGTGAGTCAACAATCCAGCCGAGGCGATTTCATGTCTGACCATGCCTAGGTTTGTGGAGGAGCAAAGAGGATGCAATTAATGGTGGTAGAGGTCCCTGGCATAAGCAAGCCAGAGCTTGCATTGCGAACATGTACGAAAGCATTGATGTTACCGGCGTTCAACTCACCGTTGAGGATGATGTAAAGAGCTGGCATTTTGAGCGATGGAGTCATTAGATGGCGTTTGAGTCTCAAGATTGAATGGCTCGGATCTGAAAAGTATGATGGGACCATTCATCACTCACGGATACGGTTTGGGACGGACTGGCTTATCATTAAGGGCGTTTGATAGATTGTTCAGCATTCATCACGAGATGATAGCCAGCTATTTCGTGGATGGGCGGACGCCGTTGACATCTGGCGTTATTGTGCTGACCCTAATAGCCCCAAGGCTCAAAAATTGGAAAGTGTCTGGCCTCTCGCGCTCTTTTTAAAGGGCTCATTCTTCGCATTCTTTGAGCATCATCCTGGAGCGAAAGAGGTACCCTTTGACCTTCACATGCGGCTCTATCATATAGAAGGCTAATAAAAAAGATTGTACATCCTCCTTGTTCAGAGCATGCCTTCGATGATCGGATGTCTGTTCAGAAGAGTCCCAGGTCGTAAATGGAGGCAGTCGCCGGTCTTGGCATTTAGCTGCACCAATTCCCAAACGGGACTAGACCCAAAAGCTCACTTTTGGGAATTGCACCTCCTCCGACAACTTCGTCCTGGTTTCTGAAGCTCAATGCAAGATCTGAATTCGACCTTGACTCTCCACTCTTGACAAGCTGATTCCGAATTTAGCTTGTCAATCTCCATTATATCGTTCGAGATGATGTCCTCAAGGCTCGCACGGCCTGCCTTTGCAGCTGTCCGAAGAACCGCTCCTCGAGCCGCTACCCGATCATATGCTGCCCCAGCTGCTCAATCTCAAGATACAAAGCCTCCGGTAGCTTTGTTCGGTCTCGATGGAACATATGCGAATGCTTTGGTATGCGAATGGCCCCGAAAAAAAGTCCTTAAGCAGATGATCGAGTAGCTCAATTGCGGAAGGGACAACTTATTTGAAGAACAGAAGGGGACACAGGCTAACAAATGGGTTCCTACTCTTACAGTATGTCGCTGCCGTCAAGACCAACAACCTCGATTCCGCTGCCAAAGCAGTTTCTTCACTTTCCTCAGTCCTGAAAGCCGACCCAAAATTGTCCACTATACTTGCTGCGCCGACTCTTTCCGACAGCGATAAATCCCAGATCGTCGCCGAGCTCGAGAAGCACACCGGTGGTGCTGATAAGAGTGGTACAGTCAAGAACCTACTGGCTGCGCTTGCCGAGAACAACCGATTGGGTCTGTTAGAAGGTGTAACCGACAAGTTTACCACCTTGATTGGTGCCGCAAGAGGAGAGTTGGAATTGACAATCACAAGCGCTACGGTACGGAACCATCCCTCCTTTGTGAAGTCGAGGATAAGTATTCCTGAGAGAAGCATGGCTGACGATTGCATTCTAAACCTCTAGAAACTCGAACCCAAGCTTCTCCAACGCTTGGAAACCGCCGTTGCCAAATCCGAGTACAGCCAAGGCAAGAAGCTGAAGACCGTGACAAAGGTCAACCCCGAAATCCTCGGTGGATTGGTCCTGGAAGTCGGCGAGCGAACCATTGATCTCAGCGTCCAGAGCAAGATCCACAAACTCAACAAGCTTTTGACAGACTCTGTGTAAACAATTTCCTAGGAACAAGAAAATTTTTCCAAAGAAGAGATTATATGTTTCCGTTCATCCTCTTCTGATGTATCTGTGATAGAAAGGAGGATTGGCTGTGAAGGTTATCCATCGCTGGCCACCTGAGACGATTGGTGAGGACAAGTCTCGAGTTGGCGAGAATCGAAGAAATGGGTAAGACAGGAGAGAATAAAAACGAACCCATATTATTCATCTACTACGCCAAACGTGTATATATCAATTTGACTCGGTCCCCTTGAGAATGACAAGATCAAAAACGTGGCTGCTTCTCTTGATCCTGAAATGGCCTTGGTTGGTCTTCTCACATTCCCATCACCAACCCCCGTATGAAGACTAGTCAGCGAGTAGATTGCTAGGACACAGGCAAGCCGCTGAGGCGCGAAAAGCGTAGACATGCTGTACACGAACATCCGAGGACTTTTTTTCCAACTCAAATATACCGATTTTTTCAACACTCGCTTTCTATAGAGCTACACCGAAAACCCCAGGGCTGATCTACCGCATCTACAACTAAACCGACAACACACCCACCGACCTAATCCAACTGGGCTTCGAACTCATCCTCGTAGACGGCGACGCTCTCATCCGTCTTGATCTTGGTAAGCTGGTCGGTGACATATTTCTCATAGTGGCTGTCGGCGACGGACTTCCGCCGTTGACGCTCCAGCGCATCTTCTCTCCCAAACGCCTCGGACTCGGACAGATCCGGGAAATAAGACTTCTCCTTCTCCCCATCGCCATCGCCATCGGCGTCGCTCGTCGCAGCGACGGATTTATGGTCGCCGTTGACGCTGGAGACGAAGCTCGCGCGGTTGCCGATGCTGCGGCTGGTGCTGGAGCGGCGGATGCGCGGGGTTCGGGGCCCGTCAAGGCCAGGTGTGCTGGCGCCGTAGCCCTTGCCGCCCAGGCCGGTGCCGCGGTTGAAGATGTCGTCGAAGTAGTGTGCGGCGGCGGTTCCGGGCGTACGAGGGGTCTGGGGCAGACGGCAGTTGATGCCGGTGTCGTGGATCATCTTGGCCATCAGGCCCGTCCAGCCGCACTGGTGCGAGGCGCCCAGGCCGCGGCCGGTGTCGCCATCGAAGAATTCGAAGAACCACAGGTAGTCCTTCCAGTGCGGGTCGAAGTCGAGCGTGTCGTTGCCCGCGTTGATGGCTCGTCGTCCGTCGTTGTCCCGCACCATCAGGTGCTGCAGGCGATGTTGGATCTCCTCCGCCACGTGGCCCAGATGCATGTATTCACCGGAGCCCGTCGGGCATTCGATCTGGAGCGATGTGCCGTAGAACATGTAGAAGCGCAGCAGGGACTCGACGAGCAGGAAGTTGACCGCGATCCAGATCGGACCTCGCCAGTTCGAATTGCCGCCGAACAGGCCCGAGTCCGAGTCGCCGGGCACGTAGCTGACGGTGAATTTCTGGCCGTTGACGTCCATCGAGTATGGGTGCTCTTCGTGGTGTTTGGACAAGCTGCGAATGCCGTGCTCCGAAAGGAACTCGGTCTCGTCGAGCATACGCTTCAAAATCTTCTCCAGGCGCTCCTTGCTGACGAGCGAGAGGAGGAGTCGTTCGTCCTTGCCGCGTTTCCGCATGCTCGCGATGTTCCGCTCGGCTACGTCGTGTCGGTTCTCAATGAACCAGTCCATGCGACGCTTGAAGTTGGGGAATTTGTTGATCAGTTCCGGCTCCAGCGTGAGGACCGCGTATAATGGGATGAGACCGACCAACGATCGTACCGGCATTTGCTGTGTCCAGGGACCACCCCAGGAGATGGCATCGTAGTAGAAGCCGTCGTCATCATTCCAGAGAGATTTCTCCTTACCGCCAGCACGGAAAGACATAGCATCAGAGATCAAAATGAAATGTTCGAAGAATTTCGACGCAATGTCCTCATAGGTTCGTCTGTGCTTGGCGAGCTCGAGTGAGATGTTCAGCATGCAGAGACAGTAGAAGGCCATCCAGCCTGTGCTGTCTGCTTGCTCGAGTACACCACCAGTCGGAAGAGGTTCGGATCGATTGAACAAGCCAATGTTGTCAAGGCCCAAGAATCCTCCTTCGAAGACATTCTTGCCATCGTAGTCTTTTCGGTTGACCCACCAAGTGAAGTTGAGCAGTAATTTCTGGAAGACACGCTCCAAGAAGTCAAGATCTTGCCGTCCGTACATTTTACGCTCGATCTTAAACGTCCTGAATACGGACCAAGCGTGTACGGGAGGGTTAACGTCGCCGAAGTTCCATTCGTAGGCGGGCAATTGTCCATTTGGATGCATGTACCATTCTCTTGTGAACAAATCGAGTTGTTTCTTTGCGAACTCGGGGTCGACCATTGCCAACGGGATACAATGAAATGCTGAATCCCAGGCGGCGAAGAAAGGATATTCCCATGAGTCTGGCATTGACAAGATATCGTCGAGATACATATGCTTCCAGTGGACATTTCGTATGTTCTTTCGCCCTTCAGGAGGAGGTGGCATATTTGGGTCGCCATTCGCCCACTGGTCATGGATGAAGTAGTAGTGTTGCTTGCACCACAACATGCCGGAAAGAGCCTGTCGTTGGATATTTCTCAGATCGTCCGCCATTGGCAGAGGGCTGATGCGCCAGTAGAACTCATCGGCTTCTTGACGCCTCAGTTCCATGATGTCGTCCAGAAGCTCTTCGTTCAAGTAGCCATCATATTTCTTGGACAAGCGAAATCGAACCACGGCACATTCTCCAGGTGGTACGCCTTCACCTTGGCCAAAGTCGTACCATGCAGCAGCCTTGGTGCCGGTACACCGAGGATTGATAGCACCTTTTTCCTCGTCGACAATCCATCTGTGGAAGGCATCCTTGACGTAAGGCTGCTTGTTCTTGACATCATACAGCTTTTCGTGATTCGTGTCATTCTCGGTGAACATGAGCTGCGGATGAACATCCTCAGAATTTGGTCCACATCCCGGTGAAGGGGACAGCTGGAAGAACCTAGTTCCCAGCTTGTGGTGCTTGGTTTGCGCAGTCATAGGCCCAACCATGCGTATGTTTGGTTTCAACTTTTCAGACTCATGGCCCCAAGTCCAGGTATTTCTGAACCAGACGTGAGGAATGATGTGCAATGGAGCAGGTTCTGGACCGCGGTTGTAGGCTGTGATCCGGAAGAGCAGCTCCTCTGGATCATCCGTCTCTTTCGCAGTCTCAATGAAGATGTCGAAGTAACGATCATCCTTGAACGCATCCGAGTCGATAATATTGAACTCTCGCTCGCTCTTTCCTCGAGTGGCATTCTCTTTGATCAATTGTTCGTAGGGGAATCGTCTTTGGGGCAGTTTGTAGAGGTATTTCATGTAGGCTGGAGATGTAGGTCAGCACAGAACCAAACAAAACAGGTAGGAGAGAAAATGCTCGACTTACAATGGGTGGGCGTGTTGTCGAGGTGGAAATGAGCTTCCTTGAGGGACTCTCCATGGTTGCCTTGAGGATTGCTCAAACCAAAGAGTCTCTCCTTGAGAAAGTCATCCTTCTCGTTCCAGAAGGCAAATGCAATGTTCTGGAGACCGTGAGTGTCCGAGACACCAGCAATACCATCCTCACCCCAACGATAGGCCCTTGACCTCGACTGGTCATGAGAGAAATGGCTCCATGCATCGCCATTGTCCGAGTAATCTTCTCGAACAGTAGCCCATTGCCTTTCGGCAACGTAAGGACCCCATTTCTTCCAATACTTCTTCCGCTCTCTGTCATCCTTCAACCGCTTCTCCTCCTCACACAGATACTCGTGGTGATCGACGATGACCATGTTGACCGCAGGGAATAATGTTTCTGTGACGGCACAAGCTTGACTTTTCTCGGGTTACTTCTAGTACATTTCTCGGATGGGGTAACAGGATAGGATGGAGCAGTCAAACGAGAGAACTTGATTCAGTAGATCCTGTTAAGCACTCACGCCCAACCAAAAGCGACGAAACAATCACAGGAAAGTAGATCCAAAGATCGAGAGTGTTTTTGTCCAGCAGAAAAAAGTCACGGCTACTACCTAACTATTGACGACTACATCCGCCTAGGTAACTTAGAACAACCCAAAAAAAGTTGCTCGGCGGGAGACCGAAAGGACCAAGCTGCAAGGTGAACTCAATAAGATCGGTGGACGGAGATGCAGACCGTTTCTGTCAGCATATCAAAACACAGCAAGAACAGGCGGCGGGTTGGTGAGCGTTGGCCAGGCACACTGCAGAATACTTCGCTATCCGGGTTCCGAGCCACTGATAAACTTGTTAAAGCGAGCCAAAATCTTGACGGATACCATGTGTTTGTGCTTGTCAGTGGCGGGGGCGGTGTGCGATAGCCCAGGACTTGATGCTGGATCCCGGTCAATCATGGCAAAATCCCATCCCAAGATCTCAACAGATTGTGACCAAATTGCCCCCCTCGGCGTCCCAAGCGTTGCCCCTCCATCCACACTACTGCGCCTAAGCGAGCCTAGAGGAGCCCCGGACGTTTTAGCTAATGTTTAGCGAGGACAAGTCGACTTTAAGCTTCATACGACGTTAGGAAGTTCTTGAGTCTCTGGCCTTCAAGTTGGGGTGGCCAGGCATGGATCGCCGATTAGAAGGAAGAATCATCATCAAAATGCGCAATTCTGTGCACTCCCTTTAGGTGGGGACCATGCTATATACGGAGCCTCGATCGAGTCTCAGATCTAATGATACTAAAAGCATGAGCGGGAATTCAGTTTTATGAGAGCCGTGCTTCGTCTTCCAAATGTGTGCAAGCCTCATCGGCCCAATGCTTTGCTTCTTCTTCTTCGTCGTCATCATCATCATTGCTTCATGCCATCATTTGAATAACGCCAAAATGTCCTTCATGTGCTGTTCCCTGACGTCTTGTTTGCTCAATTGCTTGTGGTTGCGATCCATTGAAACATCTGCAAGCTGTTGTTTCCGCTTCTGCAGCTCCACGATCTTCTCTTCAATGCTGTTGTTGATCAAGTATCTCTTGACAAACACAGGTCGCTTCTGTCCAATACGGTAAATGCGGTCTACCGCTTGGGCCTCCGCCGCTGGATTCCACATTGGCTCCATGATGAAGGCCCTCGAAGCCGCTGTGAGATTGAGACCTTGTCCTGCAGCCTTGATCGAAGCCAACAAGATTGTAATGCTGTCGTCGGATGCAAGTGCGTCCATAGATTTCTTGCGATTGTTGAGTGACATTTTGCCATCGATCCGGACAAACTTGTAACCTTTGTCTCCCAGAGCCCTCTCAATCAGATCGAGATGAGAGGTAAACTCGGAAAAGACCACACACTTTAGCGGAGGTTCTCCTGCCGCCTCAAGTGGTGCACTGTCCTTGGTCATGACTGCAATGTCCTCAAGGAGAGCTAGAGTCTTTGTGTGTGGCCCTCCGTATGCAGCTCGAGCTAGGTTCGCATCTTCCTCACTGTCAGTTTCTGCCATGGTCTCGTCAGGTGCGACTTTGATTTCTTGCGCCGTGGCTCCACTAAATCCAACGTATTGCGCAGCAATCGCTGCTGAACAGAAAGGACATGACACTTCCTGATCGCCTGAATTCTCATCGAAAGAGGGCTTTTCCGGCGTAAAACAATCGGCGCAGATCAAGTCATAACAAGGCAAGACGTAGCATCGAACTACGTCGTCATCTTCCATGGTTCCTTGAGGATTTTCATTGCAAATCTTCTTTGCACAATTGCGGCAGAAATCCAAACCGGCATCGGCCATCATACTCAAATTTTCGTGAGCTATTTGCCCAGTTATGGTGCGCACCTTTTCATCCTCGTCAAGATCGATTGCGTTCGTAACAGTCATTCCCTTCATTCTCTCCAGATCCTTTTCTTTGAGGAGCTCTTTGCCATGTGCGCAAATCAATCTCAACGTCATGATACCACGGAGCACGTGATGTTGAACTCCGCTGTTCTTCTCTTTCGTACGTGCCAGCTCCTTGATTTCGCTACGTGAGATGCCCTTGAAAAAATCGTGGAGTTGTCTCTCTTCCGCAGAAAACTCTAATTTGTCGACCATATCGCTTCTTTCCGGTAGATCAATACGATCTCTCAAACGCCGGAGGGTGAAAGAGTCGACAAACACTCGGAGAGCTTTTAGAAATGATGGATCTCCAGCTTGCGCGGGGCCGCGAATATGCTGATTAAACCCTTGAGCCTTGTCGTACGGAGATAAACGAAGAAATCTCGTTAGGGATCCTAGATCATCCAACCGATTTTGGATTGGCGTTCCTGTCAAGCACCAACGTCGTTGTGAATGGATACTGTATATAGCCTGTGATTGGAGCGCTCTCTGCTCTCGAATAGTGTGAGCTTCATCCAGGATGATTCGAAACCAATTCACCTTGAGCACAGGGCTCCCAGTCGCTGCTGCCCTGCCGCTGAATTCTGAGCTGATAACACCATATGTTGTGATAACCACTTCGTAGTTTGCCAAGTTGTATGGATTCTTGTCACGGGTCGCTCCATGGTGAACGTAGATGTTCATGCTTCCTGATGCGACATGCTGTGCAATCTGATCCTCCCAATTCTTGACTGTGCTGGTCGGGCAAACGATCAGTGTAGCTTTGCTATTGATAAGCACGTCTTTGGAAGCATCATCGCTTCGAATTACTTTCTCTGTGCCGAATTCTGCTGCTTCTTGAAGAGTACTTCCAACCAGGCTTAATGCTTCGAGTGTCTTGCCCAAGCCCATAACATCTGCCAGGAGTCCACCCAAAACCTGAGCCGGCTCGTCAGGGACTGATATCCCAGCCACCACCTCACGATAAATTGTGTCCCCGTTACGGCGCTTCGCCTGACGCCATAATGACGAATTCTCAGACTCCTCCTTTCCGTATGTTCTTGGCTGCTCATGTTGCAGCATAAACGTGAGAGCTTGCTTTTGGTGAGGAAGAAGAGGAGTCGTGATTACCGTCGATGGGGGCTCGGTTTCGGCCAGGCTTGTTGCTTCGTTGGCGAATGAATCAAAAAGCCTAGATACTGCATCCGTTGCTTCCTCGAGAGTCCTAGCATCGGCAAGAACTCGGCTTGGGTTCTCACTTCGAACCTTTGGAGGAGGGAGATTCTTTTGCGCATGAGGATTGACAATTGGAATTCCAGCCTCGGAAGCCATAGGCGGTCGCAGCCAGAGATTGTATTGACCAAAGTGTCTGCCTACCTTTTCGACGTCCCCGCGTCTGCCATATAGGTTCACGACCATGCGCATAGGGATCGAGCACGGCTGATGTGGCCATTCATCAGGCTTTCTAGCTCGATTAGTAAGTCGCGCTTGAGTTCGAAATCCTCGCAAGCCATCCATGATGGGCGCCAAAGCCGCAGCCAAGACTGAATTGACTTTGGCAAAACTCTTCCCATGAGTATCGATAACATCAATCACAGTATCTGGCCTTGGTTCTCGGGCAAGTGTGCATCTCATCACTGGCCATTCATTGCTTCTCTCAAAACCTGTCTCTCTGTCTCTGGGTTTCGGAAAGCAGTACGCATACACCTCAGCGTTGAAATGCCCGTAACAGACTTCTTGGTCGGCGTTAGAGGCGATAATTTGAAGATCATCATCTTGCTCGTCGTCAGTGTTGGTGAGGTCCACAAGTGATAGCAGCTTGGTAGCATCGATTGGTGTATCCGGATCAGGTCGCATGTAATTTCCAACGATCCCGCTACCTTTATGGCGAGTATGACTGGTATGCGGTTTAGTAGGGTCGGGTTCGGTGCCTTTTGTCAACTTGACTTTCTTTTGTGGATAGTCGGTACGACGTTCAACTCCATAGACACCTTCAAGCATCGATCTCGTCGGACCACTTACCTCTCTATTGAGTGTCGGAGTAATGCCATCCGGCACACTGAGAGGCGAATCAGGGAGTGGATTAGACTTCATAATCGGAGATTTCCTTCTGACGGCACCTTTCTTCAATCCACGAGGGTTGAGAAGCGCTCTGTGGTCGTAAACTCCAGGACCAGCTGACTTTCGACTCATGCCAGACTCAGTTGAGGTAGAGGATTGGTCATCGATCTTGTTCTGTTGGACTGTGAGCCCGTGATGATGTGACCTCGATTCAATGGCTGGTTCAGACTCGCCATGTAGTAGACCTCGGTCTGATAAGCAGTTAGATATTTGTGTTCGCATGCAAATTTGACATTCGATGAAGAAGGAAATAACAAAGTTTCCAAAGGCCAAGGATGACACTCCGTCACGATTCTCACGATGAGACGGCAGTGGCATTGAGCCCAATCGACTTGTATTACAGCAGAGGTACGAGGAATTGAGGCATCGGATGACGAACTTACCAGGTTGCTTCTTAGACTTGAGTGCCTGCTTGGGATTAAGTAGAAAATGAGCGTTGCTGGCCATGAGGGTCGTGCTGCAATAACTAGGGGAATGGAGGTGATGAATTGCTCACGCGTGAGCGATTGAAGCGCCAAATGTTGGATCTTTGAAGTGGCGAATTCTAATCAATTCGAGTCATGACATGTCGCGTTGAGTTTTCCCTGATCAGATCGGGACAGGCCTTCGTGTTGTTGACTGTCTAAGGATCCTTCAATCAAGGCATGATGATGCATTGATTCGAAGCGAGCGACCCCAAGAAAAAATCAGGGATTTGATGATATCTGTGAGGTTTATATAGTCTGCCAAAAAGTGGTGTGAAAGTGAATATCAACAAGAGGCAGTAAAGCTCGGACCTCTTTTTTCGGCGTGTTGCAGCCTTGCGCTAAATATTCACTTTGGACTGCAAGTGCCACTCATAACTCAACAGTCGGGCTGCACCGAGTGAGATAACCCAGGCCCGCGAAATTAAAGTCCAGGTCAAGAGTTGATTACTTAGCGGAAGCTAGCGGGTCTTGCTGTACGAATAAGAAAAATATGGAGTGGATAGGCATTTGCTCCAAGTACGAGGTACGTATTATTTCCGATCGGAAAACCCGTGGAATGAAGGCCTTCACCTTGCGCTAGCTCACCAATCTCCCACCATCAGCTTTATCTATTCGTATATGATCATTATCATGTGACATAAGCCATCATACTCAGGTATTATCCTGTGGTCCATTGTAACCTGAACATTACGATTCTGTGAAACCACCACCCAATCAGTCTGCCGCCGGTGCTCGAGACCCGACCATCCAGTCCTCTAATGCAAGCCATTCAGACCAAGTGCGTTCAGCCGCCTCGATCTCAACTTCCGAGGGGTCATTCAAGGGTCGCATGAAGGGCACAGTTTCCAAAGGAAGCATGTCGTAGTCCTTTTTCACTGATGCCCACCCACCGCTCTTGGCGGCGAAAAGATAATTTCGTCGTTCCTGTTCTTGCTGTGGTCCGATTCCCGCCCGCCAGTCATCACCGAAAAAGCCATGTAAGACCTGGGGAACATCCATGCCAGTCACGACTAATCGGCGCAGGTAAGGGATTAATGACACCGCGGAGGCGGCAGCTAATGATCTCTCTGATGATGAAGGCCTCGATGGGTCTTTATCATGCCTCGACTTGCCACTCCGAGAAGAGCCTGAGCCGAGGACGGGATGTGGCTGCCTCTGAAAGGGCAGCAATATATTAATGAATGCGGCAAATGCTTGAACAAGGGGTTCATATTGGGCATGATCCAAGAAGTACCGTAGACAGCTTTGATGTTTTGGATACCAAGAAATTATGTCGAACTGAGGGCCTTCGGGAGCCTTCCCTCGAGTCGAGGCTTCTGAGGGGCTGTTGATGCCAGTAAACTTTGTGTCTCGCAAAGATGTTCGGGCCGCGCCAAAGTTATCTTCTGAGGAGGATGAGGAGAAGGCCATGGCGATTGATAGCCGAGCCCATTCGAGGGAAGCAGCGGAGCCCTGGCCAGAAAAGAATTGTCGATCTAACAGACTGCCTGTCTTAAGATGCTCGTTGTCAGTCGTCTAGTCGGGAGCATGGTGAGGTGCGTGGTGGCTGGTGGTGAAGATTGATGAATCATATACCAGTATATTAACGTTCGCGTGGCTCTCTTCGTCTGAAGTCAAATTGGTTGTCGTAGATAAATGCATAAATTAAAGGGTAGTTGAAGATCCATGGACCAGCAGCCCTGAAGCTAAACACCTGGAGAAGAGGATTTCGGCTTGTTCTTTTCCCAAGGTCTCTTAGCTTGTTAGTTGGAGACAATCGAGGTATGCGATCATGATAAACCTTGAAAGAGTTCCAGTTAGAGGGACACGGTTCTATATTTGACTGATGAGCCAGAGAGGTTGTGAGTCGCTGCGGCAAATTGTGGCTGGAATTGAAAGATTTAACCTTGACAGATGGATTTCCGGTTGTGTTCAATTCTTCCTACCTGAAGTGGCCAGGACGGATACACGCATCCGGACGATCGTCGATCTGTCTGTTTGGACCTACCTAATGGAGTGGACCATAGTGCCTAGGATCTACCGCGGAACACCTACGAAGTAGGTCAATTAGGTACGCTTTTGGTGTGGCTTCAGTGATAGATGTCATGCGGCCGCGATTCGTGTTGGTGGCCACTAGTTGAATCTCTGATTAGGGGTTGCAGCAGCCCGAGGGGCCCCTCGGCCCCCTCGGCACATTCTCGTAAGGCAGGCAGACAATTCTGCCTCTATGAGCACCAGCCACCAGCAAATGCTATGACTACGAAGCTGTCGACCGGTACTGTACTTTCCTTCAGATTACTGAATATCAAATTTACGCGACATCAGCTGTTTGTTGTGCACACAACCAGCTTGACTCGTCATTTAACCAAATATTAGGACCCGAATCAGAGGAGACCTTGACACAGGTGTGACAGGTCCAATAAAGGGGTGCACCCGTGCCGTCACCAGTGGCAGCTGCCGGATACGACACAGACCACCCTTTCGGATGGATTCAGCTGGCAACATTCGTATATACAGAAGCGTCACTGAACACCTTTGTATGGCTTGGGCCGGCCTAAGGCCTAACACCTAATATGAAGTCGAAGGAACCACGTATCTAGGTGAGCAGACTCTCTTCTGGACCTTGAGACATGGTGGGCAAATCCAGTGTCCATCCCATCTTCCGACAGTGCAGGATAGTACTCAGGGCAAATCCTTTCGATCGTACGAGTAGTTGACTGATCTTGCGCCCGACGATGATTAGAAACACATGTGGCGCGGGGTGCATACCTAATGTACGCGAGTGCTGCCGAAGTCGTTGGCTGTCCTTTCTCGATAGTGATTTTCTTTAGAGCTACTGAGTCCGAATCATCTGTGCAAACAGTCAATGAAGTGGTTGCACGCCACGGCCATTCTGTCAAGGTTCGGAAGGACGTGGCGTTTGTTGACTGTCCTGTCATGGATTTAAGCCTGGAGCCACTCTCGCTGCGATAGTCGAAAGCCACAGAAAGGACACCCGGCTTAAAGTAACCACCACGCAAGTACAATCCAAAGGACGATCCCTAGTCCCTCAGCCTTTTCACGAGAATGTTGAGCCTTGTTGCTCCTTCCTTGACCAAGGCGGTGTAATCAAAAACGGACCTACAACGAGTCGATTGTAGCCTTGAGGAGCGGCTGAATATCTTCATCACTAACGTGTCTATTGAGTGTGGTACCCTCCCTAGTGGCACATTGATGATGATGATGAGGATGATGATGGACTTATTTGAGTATATTGCTGGACTCAGTATCAAAGTACATAGCCCATCATTGATTGCACGATTACCTATGCTAGCCGGATAGAAACATCTAAGTAGTACTCGTATGTTGAGTCGGCTTTGTCTGCTCGACGCGTCTGACGTGTCGTGCCAAGACAAGTCGGCGCTTGATAGTAAGTATGACGTAGTCTCAACTTGAATTGTTATTCACAGTGTTTTGGTTCCTGATCATCCCTTCAAGTCCCTGATTACACCATCCCGTCCCATCCCAGTCACTGTTCTGTTTCTCTATTCGCTTCTTAGACCAATCAGCTATGCATATCTCGATCAAGTCATTGACCACCTGCTTGGTGATTCCTATTCTTGCGTCTTGTTCTTCAGATGACCCAATCCCTATCGCTACTCGGGAGCATTGGATGCGACGAGCAATTGATGCCTTGTCCGAAATCAATGGCACTCCTTGTACTTTCGAAGCGTTTGGTGCTGCCATTGTAAATCACACTGATGTCAGAAACTCGGAACATGGCGAGTTGATATGTTTGGGTGTCAATTCCATCATGCGTTTTGGCAATCCCACACTCCATGGTAAGGACAGCAATCTTTGCGTGGACGAACAGTTTTGATATTCAGCCTTTTGTTTTTCCTGATATCTTGGCCTTGCTCTCGAAAAAGAACTGCCGGACGAAGAACCTGTATTGACATCACGCTTATATAGGCGAAACGGCCGCCATCAACAATTGCTCCGAAATTCTGACATCTGAGCCATATAATCTCAAAGGACCTGAGGCTCTCAAAGCTTTCCAGGACTTGAGCCTCTACACCACTGCTGAAGCATGTCCCATGGTAAGTCAAGCCTCATTTAACTGCCTTGTGGATCTGGAGAAGCAGCTTCCCATTGATTTTGAAAGACCTCGGTGTCTTGTGCGTGTTCATCAAGACAAGGTATACTAAGACTGCATGGTGCTAGTGCGCCACAGCAATGCGTTGGGCAGGATTCAAGGACTACGTCTATGGCACATCGGGCAAGACGTTGACAAGCCAGGGGTGGCCTCAATTGACACTATCCTCATCCGAGCTCTTCGAACACACCTCGAGTCTCCCGACTGAGACCCGCATCGTTCCTGATATTCTCGCGGCTGAGACTGATCCACTGTTCCGCTGGCAGTATGATAACTCAGGAAGATGCCCTCCAGGATGCCGGCGTGCGAGAGCCGATGATGCTGAAGGTAGTCGGACATGTATCCCCGGCGAAGAGAGTGAGGAGGATCTGGCTGCAGAGGTAGCCGGAGATGTCGTCAAAGGTGCTGCAAAGGGCGCAAGCGGGATCTGGTCGCTGCTCTCGGTCTTCTTCAAAGTCGCCGCCCCAGTTGCTGACGAACTATAAGATGGTGATAGTCTTGCTGGGCATCGGTGATCTGAGACGCAGGAGCCTCATTCCTTGGTCTGCCCCTTAAGAAGAACAAGGCTCTCCGATGCACTTGCTATAACGCCTCATATTGTCTAAGGGATAGATTTGGGTAGCATGGGTGATCAACAAGAAGGGCATATAAAACAAGGTCAGAATTCAACGCTCTCGAGAGGATGTGAATCACTGAAGGTAAGGTACAAGCAATGTTTTGGCATGGACTCCCGCAAAGCAATTGTTGTTACCTAGACCAAACAGTGTCTAACAAATCTATTCACATTTCTCGTGGGCGCGTTCTGAAAATTCGAATTGAACACCTCGACCCCTCAAGTTTTCCCAAGAAAGAACAACCCCAGTTCTTTCGCTGGGAACTGCTGGCTGCAAAATCTCCCTGCCCTCGCCATGTATCTCTTTCTCCGTTCCCGCCCCTCAACTTTCTTCATTATTGCCCTACTTCCTTCCTCCTCACCCCTGTTTCCCTCCTCTACAGACCAAGAGCGACAGCAGCCCCAGCGAAGCCCAAGAGGCCGAGTCCGAACTGGACGTCAGCAGTTGGAGCAGCATTGGTGAACTGCGCCGGGCCAGTGCCCGTGGTGGAAGCGGTCCCAGAGCGGCTTGAAGTGGTAGTACCAGCATTGACCGCGGTGCCAGAGCCCTTGGACGAGGCGGTGGTGGTGGTGGCATTACCCGCACCGGTGACGTAGACAGTGCTGTTGACGGAAGGATCGACGGACCCGGTGAAGGTGAGGGTGATGACGGTGCCGTTCTCTGAGATCACCGAGAAGTCGATGGTGGTTGTGGGTGCAGCGGCTGTGCCCCCGGCGCCGCTGCCACTGAAGACGCTGATGGCAGAGTTGGACGGCTCAATGGTTGCGGTGGCCACGCCGGTGCTGTCGCCGTTGACGACAACAGGGGTGGCGGTCACGGTCGATGTGGCTACCACTCCACTGACGCTGGGTTGCTGTGCGGCGCCGAGGCGGAGAATTGGAAGGAGAAGTAGGAGGCTCTTCATGGCTGACATCTTCGCTGTTTGGGTTTCGGATTCTCGGGTTCGAGGCTATATGGTGTTGTGGAGGTGAGGCTGATGGTGCATATACTACTGATGTTGTTTTCTAAGTCAAACGAGTGTACGATGTTGTATCCTGTGAATGGTTAAAGCGAGAGGCGTTGAAATATCGCATGAGGAGAGGAATGCCATCTCAGCCGCGCCGATCCTCACCCTTTATACTCCTTACCAACTAACAAAGCATACAAGATAATATTCTATACTAACGCCAGCAACAACAACAACTACTACAGTTGCATCCTTCTGTCTTGCCAAGGCAAAATGGTGGTTCCCAACGAATGGTCCACGTCGAGCGGGGAGTGGGACTCGTCATTGTCAACGCTGTCTGAGACATGGCAATCATACCATAGTGTGAAGTTGAGCAGGTGACCAGGACCCAGAACGGATGGCAACTCGCACACCACGAATCCATGGGCCTCTCTCTAGGAGCGCTCATCCACTGGTGGGCGGCACTCGCAGGAGGGAGGCTGCTCAGATCGAGGGTCTAATCAAGCGAAGGCCACCATACCGCACAATGCCACACTATTAGCTCCAGAGACCAAAGTGTGTCCAAGAATAGATATGCCAGCTATGGCGCTTTCCTAGGCCATAGTCGGACTTTCCCCTTTCTGAAATTTCACACGTAGCTAACCTTTAGCCAAGGTTGCTTCGCTACTTGTACGGACCAAGCGACGCGATGCCGAGTCCGACCACAGGTCTACTAGGGAGTACATACAGTAGTATGGGACATGGAGATCTATGGAGTGTTTCGCCGATGGATGTATTCGGAAGAAGCCTACGGAATGAGAATTGATTGGTCATCTGCCTACCTGCCTACATGAGGAGACGAAACTCGTTGCTTCCATGGAGCTTGACGAGCCTGACAACCGAGGTAGAACCTGCGACTGTGAATAATGGTAGCCTCGTGGAGATTTGTGGTCCCCACTACTACTGCGAAACACAATATGGCCGACATTGACCCGCTGGGTTGTAACAATGAAAAGGGAATGAATGGCAGCTTTCCTATGGCCGGATGATCGGTTCACAAAGCATGGTCCGCCACTATACAGTATCCACGAGAAAGGAAGGTCTCCGCAGCACCTTCCTCTGCCTCGCCTTTGACGATAAGGAATGCATACCCGAGTTTCTCTCTGTAGGACTCGTCGAGGTATGCAGTCTTTGAGGTGCAGCCACCACGTCCGGAGGACATGAATGCGAATAACGGATCACTGTCCATCTCGGCTAGGTATATTATCATAATTTCTATACACCACTGCAGGAGACGACGACATCTGAAACCGCTGACAAACAACGCACCCACTACCCGCACGCTCGCCGGCAAGCACATACGAGCAGTAGCGGTTGACGACAAGCCAAGAGGTGATGCACGAACCTACAGTAATACACGTCTTCCATGCCCATTAATAGGGCGTTCCACTTTCTCATAGAGGCAAGCGCGTTGCCGGATGTAGATAGTCGTCGACCTCATGTGGTTTGGTGAAGAGGAAACAATGTCTCACCATGAACCTGTCTTCGACAGAATGACATCGGCGCACCGGTATCAAGGTTCCCCGGGAGCAATTTGGGCGGTTGCTATATATGGAACGCTGGCGAGGCTGCCGCTAACCGCTAGCGGCATGGCTCTTCAAGTCTAAACAGCCTCTCTCGTCTTTCTTGGTGTAGATCAAATTAAAGTACATCGAACCTAGGTGCTCAGTAGGATCGACTAGGAGCAAGAAATATCTTTTCTTAGAAATCGGAGATAACGTGAAATTGATTCTTTGCGGAGAACAGATCATGAGAATTGAATTTTTTGGCTCAAATGTGAAGCAGAGGCTTGAACGCCGCACCAAAACCAGTAAAGATGGTTCAGAAACAAGCAAATGGGGTATGTGACGCCGCTTAGATATACATCGAAACATAGAAGGACAATGCAGATAAAGAGAGATCCTCATCGTCCAGTAAGAGGGCTTGCGCCCATTCTCCAATCCTGTCTTTGGCCCATCACTAGTATCCACACCAAAAGAAAGATAATTGTGTGAAACTCCTATGAGTACCACCGGGGTGTGAAGAGCACCCAGAAGTGTTAATTCGACAAACTCGCAAGAACGACGGGCAAAACAATCGTGGTTACTGCATCATCAGTTCTGTTTTCGTTCTGTCGTCCTGTTAACGCGTGCCGATTTTGTTCAGCAATCTTAACTCCATAAACATTATGACTAAGAGTCACCAGTCTTTATTTTAGTTCAAAATCCAGATTGTGGTGATGTGTGGGAATGATCATCCCATTCCGTATTTAGAAACCGCGCCAGGGATCTCGGGATTCGTTACTGCCCCGAGTTGAAGAGCTTGCTGCCATCATTTCACTATGAAGCAGCGAGTCCACGGGACTGATACTATCCCTTCCTTGCTCGATGCCCCAATAGGACATGTCCTTCTTGCGAGTTTGCCCTCGTAAGAGATTGAAGGAAGGTCGACTCGACGACGTCGAAACCTTTCCCTCAATAAATGCATCCATTCTCATAGTTGATGCTTGGTTGGGATCGACGAGTATGGTTGGGAGTGGTGGTCTCCCAGAAGCACTTGCCTCGCTTCCACGGCGACTGCTGACAAGGCTTTGCATTCCTAAGCTCGGAGTGTATAGTCCTCGATCAGAGGAGTACACTGCCGTTGATTGAATGCTATGCGAATATGTAGAACCTGGACCTGGGAGGCTAGGTGTAGCGTCCTTGGTCGAGAAAGTTTTGAAGGAACTTGGTGGTGCTCTTGGAGCGGTGTTGCTTCTTTTTCTCGAATGACGAGGAATGGTGGGTGGAAGTGCGGGATCGGTCATTGGATCGTAGAAGTCGCGCGATTGTGGTCGAAAATCGTGGACTGGGAGGGATCCGTCGGTTGTAAATGATCTTTGGCCATTCGAAGTGCCTGTTCTAACAGCATTCTTTGCAACTCGAATCGAATCTCGGATCGGTCTTCGCCTAAGGGAGCCAGCAAGGGATGGAGGCGGAGGTTGCAAAATCTCATGCTCAGGTAGCGGTGGTGGAGGAGGGACTGCCGTCAGCTCATTGACACTGAGCGGAGAATGTGAGAGGAACGAGAGAGCAGTCAGCCAAACATAATGTCGCTCTTGAGAAGTTGCAGAGAATTTAAGTGCTCGCTGAGGTGTCAGAATCAAGATCGAACGGTTGAAATGTGGTCCAATCAATGAACCCTTCGGCATGGGGTTGTCGTCTTTGACATCGAGGACGGATTTGATCGTCACTAAAAAAATAGATTAGATAATATCACAATTCTAAGGCGTTCCGATACTCACATTTCCGACCACTTTTGCCCATCAGCGCAGTTCCCGAGGTTGGTTGCTTGCTGGACCACATAACCGCTCGTTCATATGGTGCAAGCCAAACCCACCTCTTATGCCGGACCCCATTGTTTGTAACGCTTTGCGAAATCTCCTCCACACTCTTGTTGGCATCCCAATCGGCTTTGTCAGTGACTCCAAATGATTTGCGCCTTCTGACATACTTGTACATCCATTCGCCAACCATGGTTTGTGCAATGGAGTCCACGACGGAGGTTTGGTGCATTGAGACTGCATCGGAATTCGTTTTGGTATGAGTACCTCGTCGGCTTGGACCAGTTGCGATGGATGGTCGGGGAGCACTTGCTTCTCGCGGGTTACTGTAGGGTTCAGCTAAGAACGGTGCGGGCATAGTTGTTGGCATTTGAAAGCTGGGCATCTCCGGGACAATGGACACTCTTGGATCAACTGGAGGAGATCGACTACGCGCACGACGTGCTTGTGAGTGAGGTGAAATAGCGGGGCCAGATCTTGCTTTTCTCAACAATGGTTTCATCGTCTTGTGCTTCGGGCGTTTGGTTGGCGAAGCATTACTGCTTCCGGGAGAGCTGCGCCCGCCTTCACTGATCGACTTTCCAATCCTTGCAGAGCTGTACCTCAATGGTACGGGGAAAGGTGGAGGATTATTACTGTCGAAAGAGGCAGTCGTGGATTGCGAGTGTGAAGACTGATGTGCGGCTGCTCCATTCGATATCATTGCGGCGCGTCTCATGTTGTTTGATCTCAATGAAGGCACTTTCTTTAGTTTCTGCGAAGGAGGGCCTTGACGTTGAGTTGTATTGCGGGGATTGATTCGGGCTTGGAACAAAATGGCCTTCATCTCAGGTGGTAGGCTATCTTCAGAAAGACGAAGATTCTCCAAGGCCACGGCTTCTCCAGCAGTGGCTGCAGCTTGTTCATCGACATCCTCCAAAAGAGGGTCTTGAGAGACCATTCTGCCTGATTTGAGGGTAAACTTTGCGGTGGGCCGACTGAAAATGTCATCGTCATGAAAACTGTCCTCGCCAAAAAGATCATCGCGATTTTCGTTATCGTCATCAAAACCGGCGAAGAGACTACTGGAACGTATGGGGCGTGGCATATTCGAACCCAGATCTCTTGTGAGAGGCCCATTGTCATTCATGGGTGGTGCTTTAGACGGTCCTGGTACGGAGCGTCTGGATGGCAACATGGGCGCAATAGGGGGCGTTCGACTTCTGGAAATTGGGGGTGGTAGTGCTCTCGATGAGATGGGCGGTCTGAAGTGGGTGGACAGAGGAGCTGGTGGCATTTCGGATGGTGGTACGATTGATCTTTTGTCGACTCGAATTTCTTCAGTCTGCATTGATGTTGATGAGTATCCAGCGAGAGACTGGACAGACACCTGGGTACCCGCATTTTTGGTTCTCGGTGGTAACACGACGTTGGTTTCAGGGGTCGCAGGTCTTGATCCAGGAGGAATAATTGCAATGAGGGGGATTTTCAAATCCAAGGTTTCTTCGCTGGACGTATGTTTGTGACCGTGGTCGACAGGAATTGGCACTGACATAGGCTCTGTTTGTGTTCCCGTGGTGGCAGTCTCTATTCTTTCTAGAGTACTTTCTGGTATAGTAGGAAGGACAGCATCACGCTTCTCGGGTGTAAGTGGTGGACTAGGCAGCGCCTCCACAGTTTGACAAGATGAAGATACCATGACTGGTTTCTGTATTGTCCAAGGGAACTCAATACTCTCTACAGGGCTCACTGGACTCTGGTTGGAGTTGATTTGTTTGACAGCGGAAGTCTGAATCTCGGCCGGTCGATGCAAGGTTGCTTTCGCTGGTGATTCCATGATTGGCCATGGGGAGGGTGGGGGTGAGAATTGAATGGCTGTGTCGACATACTTGATACTGATGCGACGTCGAATGCCATCAAGCAATGAGCTGGTGTTGAGGGTGTCATGTTCCGGGCTGGTATTTCGTTCCACATCCCCGAAATCCAGGGGAAGTCCAAGAATCTTTCGAGCCTTGAGGGATAAGCTTGAGGCGGGTCGAATTTGTTCTTCAGGCAATGCATCAGGGGAGAGTCTACCATCGTCATTTTCATGGGCGATGGCCATGTCCTCCTCCAGTTCATCGAAAGCCAATTCATCCGCAAGGTTTGTCGAGACACCGTTGTGGAAGCTCATAACCGACACTCGTCCACCATGGACCTCGCTGTTGACTGAAGTAGCACTGTGTCTACGACCTCTTCGAGTAAGGATGGAACCCTTGCTAGGACTTTCCATGGTGCTGTTCCGGCTTTGACAGTTTCGTTCGGTTGGAGAAACAGGAGGTGCCTGGTGAGCATTGGCAACTTCACTGAGCACGACTTTGAGACGGCCTTCAGCGATGTGGATTTTGGTCTCAAGTCCTCGGCGCTCAGCAAGCCATGTGTCTTTATCTTTGTCCCACAAAGCCTGTGTTTTCTCAGCCTGCTCTTCTTGGCTTTTTGCTTTTGCCTGACTCTGATCAAGTCGTCTGCGTAGATCGGAGACATCACGTAGCGCATCGTCTCGTTCTTTTGCCAATTCATTCAAGGCCGAAAGCGTACCACCTTCCAGAAGCTGCATCTGTCGTTTGACCGATCGGGTTTCCTTGTTCGCCTGCAGTAGATTATTGTTAAGTACTCCATTTTGAGTCTGGGCCGCATGAAGGCTCATTTCCAATTTTTCAATGTCATCGGTGCGGCTATCCATATCCCGTCTCAAGGACAGGATTTCCGAAACCAGAGAGGCATGAAGAGTGGGCGTGAATCTTCTTGGATCCAGAGGGGAGATGGTCTCATCAAGGGCAGGATTGTCGGAATCCTGGCTCCTCCGTTTGCTCGCCCTATCGTCGGGCATGGGCGGGGAGGTGGATGATGGAGACATGTCGTCGTATTGACGCGAACGAAGAGATTGGGAACTCGAGGGGGTTCGATACGGAGTGTCGGTTGGAGAGGGTAGCGAATAGCTGTATTCGGGATCCATAGTCATCAAAAGAGCCGACTGATGTCCCATGAGGGTTCAACGGTTATGATGACGATATGGCATGCTCATGCCTCGTCGCCGAAAGAACAGTACCTAGGTAGCGAATGGAAGTACGGTGTAGTTCAAGCGGCAGCCAGATACATTGTACTGTCCAAAGATTTAATTCGGCCCAGTACAAGATGTTGAGATGAGTGATTCTCGTGATTCTCGTGATTCGAATGTCGTCTCTAAGCACAGATGAAGATTGTTGTTGATGAGACGGCAGACAGTGAAACGAAGGGCATGTCCCGCGTTATGCAAAGGCGCGTCAAACGGGCGTCAGATGGGAGGAGAACTGTCAGATGGATGGCAGGCAGGTACGGAGGAGGTGCATAGGGAGTGGGAAGCTTGTGAATTAGGAAACAGGTATCAGAAGAATTGGATAAGTGAGTGATAGTCGCGATGATGCACGGATAAGCACTCGAAGTCTCAACTTTGCTAACTAGTAGCTGGTACAGCGTACGAGCCTGAGCAGTGAGGACTGCTGACTTGCTAAATTGCTTGACGAGGCATGCCCTCGCTCCAAAAGTCAGAGGTCGTCTGGGGCGCGTCTGGTTCTGAACTTCTGAAGCATGGAGTGGGAATTTTGGGTTTGGGGCTGATCGGCAGCGGCCTTAGACGCATCAAAGTTCAAGGCACCATTGGCTGTTAAGGCTTCAATCGCGGGAGAATCGTTGTTCAGGGGCAGGTCTGGAGGGATCAGAGGACAAGTTGAAGTTAGCCCAGGGCCACCCCGTAAGAGTGAGTGGACTCGGTGGATGCGGCTAAGTGAGGAGGAGACGTTCAAAATTTCCACGACTGGTTGAGAAATCTTAGTGTGCACCAGGGTTACCAGGTACCGGGATTTAACAATTATCGGTCACTGATGTTGGACTTGTGACCCGGCACCGATTTCTTGACTAAAGAGCGCCACAGTATCGGGTGAGATGTTCACGTTGAGGGGCATTGGTTTTGGTGACAACCAGTTTGTGAGAGAAAAGGCCACATCACGTAAATCAACCGATCTGGCTGCTCGTGCTCGTGCTCGTGCTGGTGCTGCAGCGTGCTCATCCTCACCGGCAACTCTGATTCAGTTTGAGTTGGCATGTTGTACCCACATAACCAGAGCTTTGGGCGCACCAGGGCAACGTATCCGTACTGGGATGCCAGTGGTGGCCAATGGGTACTTGTAGGTTCAGGGTCAGGCACCGCCCATCCTTTCTTGAATCCAACTTAGGCGGGGCTGCTAGGTACACGTTTAGCTGTTAGGAAGGCGCGAGCCGAGAGGGGTTTCAACCTTGACCTGAGCATCACCAAGGCAAAAGAGCCTAGCACAGGCACTGGCGGTTTCATAATCCCCACCCGTTAATCCCCGGGTCGTCCTTCCCACCAGCAACACTATTCTACATTCAACCTTAGCTTCATGCCTCTCAGCTAGTTAGTCCGATCGCATGCAGTGAATTTTCCACATCTCAAGCTCAGTCTCAAATTTTGTGCACCCGTCCTCATGCTGTCTTGGATTCAAGGCCGACTGGGCTGTAGTAACAATCTCCATGTGTAAATTCCAAACGATAATCGAGGGCAACTCCTTGAACTCTCAGGTCTGAAGCCGGATGGATTTGCAGCAGGGAACATTGTCCTTGGCTGGGATAATCGGGATGAAGCATGAACTGTTCCCACTCTTCTACGAACATCCCAGTTACCAGAATCCATGCAAACCGTTTCTTCACTTTCGCTTAGTCGTAGTGCTGCCATGAAAGAGAAATCTCCCCCTCAATGTTGCTGCTTGGAACGCCACCATAGGGGCTAAAGTGAGCCCATCACAGTTTCCTCACTGATTCTGACTTTTTCATGTCAAAGTCACTTTTTCCTGCAATCACCCACCACGATACCGTTCAGATCGTGGGAGGTAAATGGCACCACCAAGAGCCCTCCATTGTAGCTGGTACGAGAACGAGTATGCTTTCTCGGAGGACTCCGTATGCCACATTATTACCTCAAGTTCGCCGTTGAAAACTTGATCGATCAGTACACGTGCGAAGTCGAGATTGCACTTCTTCTGGTTATCTTATCTTGTAGTGTTGTGATGTTCTGATTCATCAACGTTGAATTGCTTCATCACACTTCTATGGTCCTTGAGGTGTCATCAACAGTCCTCATCACCTACTGACATCTGTCATGCACGTGCACCATACGGTTGACACATCCCATTTTTCTCACAAAGAGGACCACGAGGAATCGATGGCTGATGACCGGTCAAAATCACCTCGTGTTTGAAAGCCTCAAGTTTCGGCATCGCGCACGGGACGGCACAATTCTCCACTCACATGAGATGGATGCGAGACGGCAATTATTCGCGTGAATTTTCACAGCGATTCAAGTGAGCTCAGAATATGGACTCGTTATCCTGTACAGACAGTTCTAAAGTAGACCAAAGTAATTGCTGTATGTACATACCTCTGATTTGGCGATTACGATACTGACGATCAAGTGAATCAATGCCCTTGTTGTCGATCAAACTGGAGTCGATCATGGTATTCCTAGCTCATGTACGCCTGACAGCTTGGTGGGTTCTCCAGTACCAGGTTCAAGCACGGTCCCAGGCCTTCTGCAGGCACGCAATTTTGCAAGTCGCAGTCTACTCGTACTCGTAGTTGCCTCTCGGACCTCGAGCTTCAGGTTTTGGGAGCCTCAACTCCAAGACCAAGCTTTAACTGACTGCAGGTAGAATGGTAGCCTGGAGACAGCCAGTGCCGGCGCCGGTGCCGGTGCCCGTTCCTGTGCCTTTTGCCTTGACTCTTCGGTATCATCCCCGTGTTCCCTCCCGCCCACTAGTTGGGTAGCTAAGCTTAACCAAATCACCCCAATTTTCAGGCCTCGAGGGAAAGCTGAGCCCAATGCCGCGGTTCAACAGATGGCGCCCAGTTCGGTAGCACTCCGCACTCACAGCCAACACCAGCCTGCCCCTCATCTGAATCGTCATGTTGAACTTCCACCACTGCATCTCCAAGTCCCTTGAACAACACGAATTAAAGCGGTCGACCGTGGTGCAATAATTCCATCTTATGAGTCACTGGCAGCCCGACGTCGACTCTGTCTGTATTACAAAGTCACCACGCATCGTCGTCATCAGTTAAGTTTGTTTTTCTTCATCGTGTCTTGTCTCTCGGTGCATTCTCCTTCGCGACACTGAACCACTAGTCTACAACACTTCCAATTCACCATGTCGACCACCAATCCTCCCAAAGCCCTCTTGACCGACGTGTTCGGGACGGTGGTAGACTGGCGCTCCACCGTCACGAAACACCTTACTATCTCCGCCTCCGAGGCCCTCAACTCGACCGCCCGATCACTTCCCTCCACCGTGCGCACCAGCGCCGCCAGCACATCCTGGGCGTCCATCGCCGCGGAATGGCGCCAGACATACTACGACTTTGTGCGCAACTACGACCCCTCCAACAAGTCCGGGGGCACATTCAAGACCGTCGACCAACACCACGTCGAAGCCCTGAACAACATCCTGACCGACCACGCCCTGACCGGCCTCTGGACCGACGACGAGATCCAGAAGATCTCGCTGATCTGGCACTTCCTCGACCCGTGGCCGGACTCCGCACAGGGACTGGGCATCCTGAACCAGAAATTCGAGACCGCCACGCTCAGCAACGGCAACACGAGCCTGTTGTCCGACCTCGCCGCCCATGGCTCCCTCCCCTACAAACACATCATCAGCGCCGAGGAGTTCGAAGCGTACAAGCCGCATCCGAGCGTCTATCTCGGCGCGGCCAAGAAACTGGGTCTCGAGCCGGGTCAATGTGCGCTGGTGGCGGCGCACCTCGGCGACTTGAAGGCCGCAAAGGCCGTGGGCTACCAGGCCATCTACATCGATCGATTGCAGGAGGAGGGTTGGTCCAAGGAGGAGGTCCAGAAGGCCCGCGATGAGGGTTGGGTAGACCTCTGGATTGATTTGGATCAAGGGGATGGAGGCTTTTTAGAGATCGCTCGCGTCTTCAACCTGCGATGAGTTCCCTGCCTACTGCTGAATAGTTGGAGACGAGGCTCATGGGTCACTTTTGGCTCTCTCTCTCTCTCTCTCTCTCTCTCTCTCTCTCTCTCTCTCTCTCTCTCTATCCACATCTAGTCGAAATGAATCCTATTCTACTATGCTACAGCACCGAACAGGCGATGGCTTGCTCCGGGCTTACACGAGGGACAGTGTCATGCATGCTGGACTGCTATTTTGATATATCGAATCGGAGACTAAATACTACTGGATTCTTACAAATGACACGCTGGTAGTCGACTGAAGGGGGTAAAACAAACATGCGCACCTTCAAGACTTTCCTGCACCTTCAAGACTTTCCGGTGTCTGATCAAGGAATTCATCATCATTCTTTTGGTTTCCCTACGTGATAGTCCAGCAGAAACGCTCAGTATCCAACTAACTAGTCGTTCATTTGCTACGCCGACGAAGACGGTGCCAATATCACCGTCCTTGTGCTCGCCAAAATTGCCATTTCTGAGATCATCCGGCGTGGGCCATCATGCCTGCGCCAAAGCGCCAGTCCCGCCAGAGAAGCTGAGAGAGGTAGAGAGACGAAACATCCGTCCCGAGGCCGAAGCCCCCTACAAAGCGAGGTGGATGGGTGGTGCTCCAGCCTTCTTCTCGGCCTTCTTTGCGGCCTTGTACCACTTGGCATTGGCATCGCTGTAGGTGGTTCTCCGCTTGATCATACGCTTGGGATGGAATTCTCCGTTCTCATCGAAGCCAGTCTCCGGGTCCTCCTCTTCAATGCGTCCCTTCGAGGACGGGGACCCAACCGTCGAGCCGAATCCGGTCGTGACCGATCCATTCTCGTCCGCTGGCGAGTCCACGTCGGCGCCGAACAGGGCTCCCATGCCACCCCCTGCTGCAGCCGAGAAGGGATTGTTGCTGGTCGGGCTTCCGACTGCAGAACTGTCGAGTGTGAGCCCGTTGAGCTTCCTGGTGGTGACACTGATCAGCTCAGCTTCCTCCTCGTCCGTTAGGGGTAGGATGTCCGGGACTGGACCGCGTGGGACGATCAGAGGCACATCACTCGTGCCGAAGATCGCGCGTGCTCTTGCCCTCAAATAGCCGTACTTGTAGATCTCGAAGAAGGTGGATTTCTTGAAAGCTCCACCATTGGTACGGTCGGACTCATCCCAATACAAGTTTCGTAACCACTTGGACAAGTGCGGGTAATCGTGGCGGATTGTTTTCAGGTTGCAATTAAAGATGTTGTGGTATGCCACATCAAACCGGGCCAGGGTTGGGTACAGTCTGATATCTGCTTCTGTGATCTGCCCGCCAAAGAGATATGGTTGGTGGGTCCTGTCGGTCAGATGGGCCTCCAACCTGTCCAGAGCCTTGAAGACAGGGTACACGGCAGCATCATAGGCATCTTGTGTCTTTGCAAAGCCAGCCTTGTAGACGCCATTGTTCAAATCGCTATAGACCCAGTCGTTCATTGCATCGATCTCCTTGCGAAGATGTGGTGGGTAGAGACCCTTTCCTGGCTTGTTGACCTCACGCTGATCTGGCTCGAGGAAATCGTCAAACGAGTCATACAGGATGCGGATGATTTCGCTCGATTCATTGTTCACAATGGTATGTAGCTTCTTGTCCCACAGCACGGGGACAGTGTAGCGCCCAGTATAATTGGGATCCGCCTTTTCATAAAGCTGACGATGGTTTGTGAAACCATAGAGAGGTTCGGCTCGAAGGGAGCCGTTTCGTCCAGTGAAGAGCCAGCCGTTGTCGGTGAGTTCGACATCGGTGAGGATCAGTTGGATAACAGGCTCCAAGGATTTGAGGGCGCGGGTGAGGATGGTTCGGTGAGCCTACACAAGAGAGGTCAGCTACTCGTCCCGTAGCGTGGTGAGCGTGAGTGAAGCCTTACCCAAGGACAGCCATAGTTGGCGTAGAGAGCATATCGGTCCTTCTCGGGAGCAAACTTGGCCCCCGGCTCTTTTGATATGAAACTGCGAAATGTGCTATCTTTTCTCACAAATTCACCATTGCTGTTTTGGTATGATTCTTGTTGTCGCTGAGTCTGGGTCAGTTTGAAACATGGTGGTTGTCGAAGCGGGTGTGCTCACCAAATCCCCCATCTTGGATCGAATGACTCGTCTGTTCTGGTGAAGCTAGTATAGAATTGTCGAGGACGGCAAGCTTCGACGTTTGGGATGTAGAGAGCTGTGACCTAAGTGCAGCTGTCGAGGACAGACGGGCTGGGCTGCCTTGTTGAATATGTGGGCTGGAGGATCTTGGGTTCGCAACGACGAGACTTTGGAAGTCGGTGATGAGAACGAGACTGGAAACCAATATAAAAGGAAGTTGCAACCAAACGTGAGAAGCGATTAGTGTGCAAGTAGTAGAGATGGTGCTCAGCTGCTTCAGCTTCGGGTAGAAGTTCACATCGGTGCTTACTCGAGCTTTGTGCCAGTGCCAGTGGGTGAGACACAAGCCGCCTCGAAACGTGAATCTACTCGGACTGGTAGAGGCTGGGGAACCCCTCCAGAATCCACCAGTGGTGACCTGACTATCCACACGTGATTACCTCGATATTTACCACTTCAGGTTCCAGTTACTCCAGTTCAACGGCTGACATCTGAATTTCTGGCCCCAGAGAGAAGCGCACGGAGGCCGAAAAGCAAAAGAAAGGCATCTGGGGCTGTTAGTCCATGCCTAGCCGCTCCTCTGTGGGCTTTGGTTGGATGATTGAGTCCCTGAAAGACTCTAATTCGGGAGGCCTAACCTGTCCTCCATAAAGACGTCATAGCAGACAACTTCCAAGCTCAAGCCTTGTGGACATTGAGTGTCATGGACGTATAACGGTCTGAACTTGACGTGCAGTGTTCACCGTACCCATAAAGAATCGATCTTCATGATGGGAGTGACACGCACAGGTCAACTCTGTCAACTTAGGTTCGATCGAAGTTACTTGTACACCATGGAATTTGTGGGGAATCTTGGGAGCTATTGCAATGTGTGATTGACAGCTCAGACAGCCCCGCATTTCATGCTTGGGATGCAGTGGAATTGGTAAGGAACACGAAAGATTTATTGTCTATTGTCAGTAGCTTGAGTTTGTGTGCGATGATTGTGAATATCATGGGACGGGAGAGCCACAAGGAGCTTCAAGCTATATAGATAGACAGCGAACCACTCGCCATGTTTTCATCCACTAGGTGATCAACAAGAACCCCGTGCCTGAATTGTGGATAGGTTGAACATCCGTCAATAATATTGATCGGGAATCATTATCCGATATAGAGTTAATTCCAGGTGTAGTGTACGTGATTGTATCTCAATTTCGTCATCTGCCAGTGGTGCGTCAGGCCAGGCCAACGAATTAGGATGCTGAAAAGGCTCTCCAGGCTCGAGAGAAGGGACGTCTTCTTTGATGAGACCTGCCATGAGGTACAGTGATGGAAAGAGATCTTCCAGTACGCTCAGAAGTCAGTAGAGCTAAAGGAGTAAAAATATCCAGGATTGAAAGACAGGCGTCTCCCGCTGTGTACAGTGAAAATGCTTTCCCGAGAGATCTTCTTGTGTTCTCATGTAATCGACCTCCAGTAAATCATCTCTGTCAATTGGAAAGGTACTATGCAGCAAGTGCGAACGCCACCTTTGGGAGATATGGCATGATGCATTGACATGAGGTGATAAGGAGGATATAGGTACTCGGTACCTATGTACCTACTCGTAGGTACTTATCATTGCTCCATGCCCCAGCGTACTTCCCCACGGACTTATTCTGCAGCATCCCACTCCACCGTATATACTTTGGACCCCTCTGATAAATATTGATAACAAAATCAAGATGCCACCCACTAACGATTAGGATGTGTCACCCAAACAAACAGAATTGTGTTTGAGCTTTGCGATAACATGCCTTATCCTGACTTATCTTATCCGATGGAGATGGTGAGAACTTCACATGTACATACGTGGGCAGATGCTCCGTACTGGAGGTGCGCTTGCTTCTGCGGAAGCATGAGACTGAAGCGCGCCTTGAACGCACAGCACATCGACTGACGGTTGAAGATAAATACCGACCAAGGGACATGACTCGATAGTCGTTGAGATTGAGAAAGACACCAGTACTATCTCAAACACGTTTCAAGAATGCCTTGCAGGGTTTCACCTGATCGAGGCATTGCTTTTGTTTTTGCTCTCGCTCACTACTCAAATCATGTGGCGTTTGCAGCATGCATCTCTGTGGGTTCAGATGTCGGGAGTACGCAATATTATTGCAGGGGGTAGACATGAACGACAATTCCGGAGTCGATTACTCGTGGTTACTTCGGACTCAGAGTCGCAGCGTGTAATGAAAGGAGCTTTAGCGAAATTTCAATCGCTCTCTCGTCGTTGCTCATTCTCAATCTACGGAATACTTTTCCTGTGACTCGATGTGGTAAGAAGAGGCTTGCTCAGCTTTAGTCGTCTGCAACTGAATGCTATTGCAACGTTTGAGAACGGAAAAACAAAGAAAGGTGTTTACCTGGAGGATTGGTTTGTGATGAAAGTTCCTGATGTGAGCTCCGGTTGACAGAAGTTCTTCACCGATAGAACTACCTACTGTAGGGTTTGCAGGGGACTACGAAGTACTAGTTGTCCACCTCCCAAGATCAGCAAAGTTAACGTCTTTAGGTCGGTAACAGTCAGGTCAGCAATCTTCATGTGGGCCGAGACACTAACAATGCCTCGCTCAGTTTGGTCCCTCTTCTGTTGGTGCTTTGAAGCAGATACCGACTCACCGAGTACTTAGCACTCCATAGTAGCTGGGCAGCTAAGCATTAGCAATTGGTCCCATCAAGGACAAAATAAATCCGGCGAGTGCGCCTCAGAGTCGACAGCATCACAACTCGTTCAGCTAGGTATGCGAGAAAGAGACTTGTGATTTGTATTCGGTGGGTTTAGACAGAAGGCCGTGATCGTATATATTGTAATCAAGTAAGAATTGGGACGGTATATAGGTACTGGAGGTACGAATGTCTGTTCTCACAGCCAGGTACTTCGCTAGGTACCATGGTCACAAATGGCAGCAGAACCACTCCTCTCGGGGTTGTCCTTGGCTACATTACGACTCTAGAAACCAAACGAGAGTGGAGTTGATAAGTAGAGGCTGAAGGGCCTTTTACCCATGCAAGAGGTCACAGCACTGGCACCGACAATGTATCCATCCAGAGCTTTTAGTTTGTACTCGCATCCCCTCCGTCGTCTGCCACTGACTTAGGGAGCCCACAAGCCTGATCCGTAGGCAAGGCAAAGCATGGCAAAAAGCGAATCAACCCCCAGTAAAAGATGGGGTTCTTGCAGGTGGGCCTCGTGGCTCAAGGCTTGTCCAGAAGACTGCAGGTGGGAAAGGCCTTGAATAATTGGTATCATCTCAACCACCCCTTCAACCCTTGCTCTTCCCCCATGAAGTCTCTCATACCGAGTATATCGAACACATTATTATGCAGCTTTCAAATAGAGTACTTTTTGGCAAAGACGATCGTGTAACCTGGCAACTCCCGGGTGATGAGATTGCTACCTGGTCGGTACATAGTAGGTACATTGCCTACTGTAGATATTCTTGTTGAAACCTCTGTCTGATCTCCTCCCACTGCCACTGCCACTGCCCAACGAGGTACCTAGGTACGGATACTACGACTACCCAAGTATCCAACAACTCGGACGCGGACGCTATAATTGCTTGCCTAAGTTTCCAACCGTCCAGCTTGCAGCTTCCGTCTGGTCCCCGTTGTTACTAATAAGCCAAAACTCACCACTCATCTAGGCGGCCTCGGCCCGCCTGCATTCAGGTTCAAGTTGGAAAGGTACAAGCAACTTGAAAGAGCGGTCCACCATTATTGGCAGCCTGCAAGGCCGACTCGGCCAACTCCAGTCTCAGAACCCTTGACGGTGAAAGTTTCCCACATCCACTCCCACCACTCCGACTCCCACTCCCACTGGCACTCTCACTGGCACTCCGATTGATTTGGCATTTCGTGGTTTGTGCTTTCACACTACGACAGGTACTCATCCTCGTCTCTGCAACACTGTTATTCTCCCGAATACTCATTTCTTGCTCTCACAGTACTCCTGCCATCGCCACCACCATTGAGACTCACACATCCCCTCCCTTCTCTACATAGCCTACCTAGGGCAACTGGAAGCGCAACGGAAAAGCCGAGCCGCAGGTGATAGCCACAGGCACAGGCTGAGACTCGGACAGGAACAGGCAGAGACAACCAGAGATCAACGCTCTTCCCTGCCTACCCACACAAATTTCCAAGCCCTTCCCCCGTACGGATATAGCAGCGTCCCATTTCTACGTCGATCTCGTCGCTGCTCCCTACTGTATTCAACCATTCCTCGTTCATCGCCCGTTCTTGTCCTATTCCAACAGTGTCCAGTACCTTGTATCGCACTTTCTGCACACCCTCTGGCACTTCTCCAAAACTCCCTACCTCACTGGGTCGGTCTTTGGTAACCCGAAATTCGAACTCTCTCCGACTGCACTCAAACCCGCACCTGCACCTTGGTTCTGCATCTGCACCAGCGATCGATCATTCCAATTGCAAATCACCTCGACCGTCTAAGTAAAATAGTGCGAGGAGACATCGCTCTGCAACCTTGCTGTTGGCGACCAATCTCCACAGCGCTCTGGTTGTTGCTCAAGAGTTCATTCCCGCACCTTGGGCGGATCCAGTTCTACGTTCTCCAAAGGTCCAGACCGAAGTCCCTACCGCTGGTACAATCCACCATTTCCCCGAACCCACAGACTCCTGCACGGATCAGTCACTGCACATAGCCATAAACTTGCCGCCAGACCCTGATCTTGATATCCTGAAAAAGAGGCCGCGACCTACGAATCCCTCGTCTTGACATACTGATACCAAGTACCGGCAACATGTCGGGCGGGAAGATGACTCTGTATAAACTGGTGGTGTTGGGTGATGGAGGAGTTGGCAAGACGGCCCTCACAATTCAGGTAGGTGTTCTCTGTCTTATCTGGTTTTCTTGTTGGTTACTGACTCGCTTCACAAGTTATGTCTCAATCATTTCGTTGAAACCTATGATCCTACCATCGAAGATTCGTACCGGAAACAAGTGGTGATAGATCAACAGGCGTGCATGCTAGAAGTACTTGACACCGCTGGCCAAGAAGAATATACAGCCCTCCGAGATCAATGGATTCGAGATGGCGAGGGTTTTATCTTGGTCTACAGTATTACCTCGAGAAACTCTTTCACAAGGATCCAGAAATTTTATTCTCAAGTACAAAGAGTCAAGGAGTCGGGTCATCCCAATTCTCCCACTGGGGCCAGTTACCTTCCTACTCAGATGAGTGGCCAGCCGACTTATACCGGGCCAGTCCCGGTCATGCTGGTAGGCAATAAAAGTGACAAGCACCACGAGCGCGAGGTGTCGTCTCAAGAAGGCCAAGCACTTGCGAGAGACCTCGGGTGCGAGTTTGTTGAGGCATCGGCCAAGAACTGTATCAATGTTGAAAAGGCATTTTATGATGTTGTGCGACAACTCAGGAGACAACGTCAAGCACCTCTGAAGCAGATCAATTCCAACAAAGGACCCGGGTATGGCTCGAATACTGGAGCGCGCATTCCATATGATCCTGATCATCAACGAATTTATCGAGAACACAATAAGCGCCGTGGTACCAAATGCGTCATTTTATGAACACAATTCGCCCAAGTTACGTTCCTGGGTGAGAGACGATTTACGACCAAACAGTTCTTATTAGCGGTATTTCCACGGCATCCCATTCAGACTACTGTGCTCGAATCGTTCAAATTTTGCGGCGAACCTGATGAACAGTTCTCGCCCACAATTATCCCTTCTCGAAAATGTGCAGAATCACCACTGTGCGGATTTTTCTCGCTGCAAGCACCTTTTTTCCCTTGCGCGTATAACACATTTTCGTCAACCTCCGCCATGCCTGCTTGTTTCGACTCGGAACCAGTCGTCGTCTCCCTTAGCGAGACTTCTTGTTATGGTTTTGAGCGCAAGATTTATCGTCAATATAACTACAGCGGACAACACATAAAAGCACAGGAGCCGCACCGCAACCATTGTAGCGCATGTCACTGTGACAGGTGCTTAAAAGATTGTTGACGGGGCCGAAGTGCACCTGGTTCCAGTTGATGGTGTGGTGGAACCAATGGGCGATGCCAAGGTTAAAACAGAACTAAAGCCAGGTTCGCCGTGACGAGCAACAATGTCTGCATCACAAGTGTGACACCTTATGCGACCTATCAATTATATAACAAATTTCACGCCACACCTCCTCAAAGAGCGCATGCAAATGCGAAGATCTACCTTGAACAGCTGACCAGCCAAGTTTTTTTTCAATCCACCTCATTCAGGAAATGGGCAGTTGAATCACTTTTTCCGGCCGGCCAAGGGAACGGAGCTCCGGGTGTTGAGTTATCTGAGTTGATCGAGAATGGGATCATAGCCGAGAGCAACCAGACCCTAGCGGGTCGGTAATTACAGCCCTGCAGAGGAGTATTCGCGACCCAGGCTGATGGCCGAGAAGGATTGAAGTACGAAGTTGAACATTAAGGATAGGACTTCCAAGAAACGGGATTGGGATGGCTTCAGACAAACCTCAGCCTTCAGTGGGTCGGAATTCCTTGAGGTTGTGATTATTTCTTTGTGTCAAGCGTCGAAACAGTTGCACAACCATTCCCTCGGAATATCTGACTAGCTATCTCGAGCATACTAGGAATAGATCATATTTCCAAGCCTCACAATCATAGTCTCACAGACATATCCCAACCGATCGGCCTCAATAGGGCATGTGGATATATGACCACGTACAGACTGCAGGGAATATCCCTTCCAATGGTGACCAGCGCAATGGGTCCATATTAATGGCACGCCGTTTCGAGACTCCGTGTGGCCCTGTATCCGACCGTCGTGCTTTGTACCACGAATAGAAAATTTCCCTTGTTGCGAGCCTGTTAGATACTCTTACGAAGTACTCGTAGGGAGTCCAAGTTTCCCAACTTTTACGGCACGGTGCGAATACGGGTGCGGCGCGTGGTGGCCCAAGACTTCTTTGTACGGTACCTCTTTTTTCCCCTCCCCAACCCCCACTCTCGAACTCTTTTTCGAGCGCCTTTTTTGACTTCCAATTGTTACTGGTGCGTACTACGACAAGTGCTTTCTTTTTGCAAACACTACTCGTAGGTATTTGAGGTACGTACGCAGCTGCCCGTGCCGTGGCCTGATATGCAGATCTGGGTATCATCCTCAGTCTGGAACCTCGGTTCTCTACGACGACGATGATGCCGTATGCCGGAGATTTCGGACTATCCGTCAATAGTGGCGGGGACAGAGAGGAACTCTCACTGGCATGTATCTATGGCGCAGGGTTGTTCTCTACCAGAGGAGAGGACGGAGTAGGGATTATCCATGAAACACGTCCCCATGTGCCCTCTATTGGGGGAACTCGATAGGTTAACGGGCTGCACTCATTCATAACCAACTCCCCCATCCTCAAAGAATTGATCGAGTATCTATCTGGTGGGTGTGTCACTTTGTCACCACTACTTCACCCAACCATCATACGGATACGGATATTCAACCAGCACTACGAGTACGAGTACGACTCCCTAATCTTCGCGTGCGGTGACATGTTACATGTTACATGGCACCGACCGACTAACAGCCTTGGAAGTTAACCGATCCAGGACCGGCTGTCGCGGCACTCGGTGTGGGTATAGCACTACTTTCTTCTTCTTACTCTGCTTGTGTCGTCCTCCCGTCTTTGTCTGTCAGACCGAGTGTACTCCTACTACTGCTCAGCAGATAAGACTCGCGCGTTCGGCTATTCTGAGGAGAGCATAGCATGTTCTTCAGCAGCTGTTCTACTGTACCGTTTTCTTGCCTGAAGCCATCCAGGTCATCTCGGTGCGAGGAACGCGGACCGCAGCACTTATGCAGGTCGACAGGTACTGTGCTGCCACTGCCGAGGTCTAGCCTGATGGAAGGATTATTGAGTCTCTACTATAGACACGGCACGGATACGACAGTGCCTTCGTTCTAATCGCGGAAGCGCGCGAACGTGCCACCGGATCTGGAATATGTTGTGTGGGAGAGAGCACAACTGGGCAGAACGTGGGAGGCTGTGGCTATGCGAATGTGGATACAGACGGGTATTATGTTGATAAGGAATTAAGGAGGGACACTTGGCAAGTCTCCTGAAACGGGCATCAAAATTAGTACGGCATACAAGTAAACAAGACGGATTGGAATTTTCCATGACAACACATTCCCAAATAGTGCCGGTAGTGGCATCGGAATAGCTTACAAGCATTTCATATCGCCCGTAGGCGTAAACACTCTGCACACATCTGAAGATTGGAAATACACCAGGTAAGGAGAGCGTCCACGGCCTCCGTCGGCTTGGCTTTGTTGCAAGTCAAGTAGGAAGCAATTTGCAACTCAAGGGTGGTGAGGACGCCTGACTCTCGTCAAAGTATCCGTCGATCAAGTTATCATTGGGCTTATTTATTGCTTCCTTGTATTTATACGAACGCTTCATGTGGAGAGGAAGTCGCGTCATATCAGCAAACTTTCTACGAGTACCACACCCAGAAAAGACACTATGGCGGGGCAATGCGAGGCTGAAGCGAAGCGAGGCTAGACGAGGCGAGGCGGGTTGTCTCGTATCCTCCGAGGAGAGGTGGCCGAGAAAGTAGAGCTCTTCCACCGGGTAAGGATCCCATGTCGTAAATAAAAGTATCCGGTTTCAGACCTTAAACGTGGAGACAGCGGCCAAAAAGAGTTTCTAATCAGGGGCGTTGAACGGTGCACAAAATTGGTGAATGTCACCCAACCCCGGGCTTCTGTATCCTTTATAGATCAGCATCATATTGATATCGAGTCCGTAACGTTCATGGTGAGACCCGTTCCCTTTGTCGGTTGTAAGTTGAGTGCGAGTACCATGGCAAGTGAAGAACAGCCGGTTGTGGGCAATTGGAGCAGAACTTAGTCAGAAATCTCCGAAGTGAATCAAAGAAACGATTCCGGCCCTATGGGCAGGTAAGGAGTACTCCGCAGTCATACTAGAAGGCTCCACCAAATTCGGTTTTGGATTCAATGAACGCGTTCATCCAATTCTTCGCAAAGTTCGAGAAGGTCAGTGCCTTCACCCTGAGACATCTGTAGACAATTTCCCTTCAGAAGAGACTAGTCGCTTTGTATGGAGATTTCAGTTGGTGGTGGTCGATGATTTCATTGTTGAGCATTAGTCGTCATGCGTTGTGCACAGTCGGACCTCAATTCACATTCAGTGTCAGCCAGGAATACAAGTGTCAAGACCAAGACAACCTGCTTATTCCAAATGCTGCAACAGCATTGAATCAAAGTAGCCATTCCTTCCGTCGACCATACAGCCACAAACCCTCACTCGCTGTATTCCACAGATGTTCCCTGGCCCGGGAAAAGAGCCCATTCTTATGGTGCTGTCACTGCCGGTTCAGTGGGGCATGGTGAGTAGAGTGTATGAATAATAATACGAAGACAAGCTGCATCATTATGTGCAAGCTATGCTCGTGGAGCTCACACTTCCGATCGCCGATTTAGGGGGACCTTCCTGGGAGGACCCTTCTTGGGTGATGTAGCGATATCGTGCTTCATGAGTGAGATTACGGTGCGATTAGTCTCCCTCTCTGCTTCTAACACTGAAATGCGGGCTTGGAGTTCTGCAATCTTCGTTTCTTTGGTCTGAACTGCAACTCGTGTAATGTCTCGACCTTTAACGATTCCCTGGGTGCGCAAATCATGCTTATCGAGGACGTCAACCAGCTTCTTCTCAGTCTCGGAACTGAGAGACACTCCCCGCAAGATAGCCATAACTTCCATGGTCAGGGCAGAATATTCACCTGTATTCTCACCAAGAACTGGTTGTGAAAGTTGCTTGGCAGCTGCGGAGGAGGGGGATAACAAGCCGGTTGATAAGGCAGGATATGAAGTCGAAGGCGTTGCGAACACATCGTCACTCAAGGGCCACTGTTCATCAATACCAGATTTGGCATCCATATCGCCATGAGTCCGCTTTCCTGGTGAGGAAAGGGCAGTTGTGCGAGCAGCTTTGCGTGGAGTCTCGAAGGGAGGTCGTTGCAGGAGAAATTCTTGTTCGGCCTTGAGAAGACTCTCGTCATCGCTGGAGGACCATCCGAAACTATCATTACGAGCTATGGGGGTAACCTTCTTGTCCAGACTTGGGAAGCTTTGGTAGACATCATCTGGTCTCCTGTTGGTTTCTGGGGTTGGGGGAACAACAGGGTTGGGTTTGCGGGGGGTCTGAGGTAGAGGTGGGTATTCCGAACGAGAGTTGTTCAGGACAGCGGCCTCCTCGCGGACTTTTGCATCATCGGACCATAAGAAGAAGCCACAGCGTTTGTGTTGGGGCTTTTGGCATGTGTAGACTAGGAAGCGGTAAGTAAGGTACAGCTAGCAAACTATGCGGTTGACGTGGTGGGAGGAAAACATACACCACCTTCCATGATTCTTGCCGCCGTTTTTGACCTGGAACTTGTCTGCGGGCAGTCGTGGTTCACAATCGCAATGCCAGAGGGCATCGATGAAGGCTCCCCGTTTAGTGGTTCGGCGGGGTTGCGCTGGACGAGTTGTGGAAGTGGATTTGGAAGCCATGTTCATGCGATGAACAACAGGGTCACTGTCATAATGCAGATGACTGAGTGATCATTCCTAGACTCAGAAGAATCATGTGCTTCTGTTTGCGAAAGGCCTGAGTGTAGTGATTGGGTTGTAGAGTTGGTGGTGACAGCCGTGACGCCACAAAGGCCAGAGAAACGCAGGCGGAAGTTGGCACAGGGATTAGATAAACAAGATTAAGCCCAATGGAGTAATACTGGCAGCCTTGTGACAGCCATCTGGCAAGTGCGCCACGCATGTGCAGCCTTGCGCCTGCCAATTTCCCGCCTCGGCTTCATTTCCCTTTTCATATTTCTTTACCCCAGCGATTGAGATGCGTGGCCTGGATATTTCTAGTACGACTATTGCCATCTACCTACATCAACAATCTCATCAGTACAATACTGCATATCGATTTTGTCTGGAGTCTTGTCGCATATTATCACCAATCATTCTTTCTCGAGTCCATTATTCTCCCCGAGTACTCCCGTTCCACTCGCTCCACTCTTCATTGAACACGGTCCTACTTCTAAACAACTCCCCCCAGTATACACCAGAGTGTCCACCGATCTATCCTACTCAGCGGCTTCATACCATGGTACCACGTCTCGCACACTCGCTGCCCCCTTAACACGCTCTCAGCATGGCACCAACTGGTGGAAACAGCGGCGGAGGTGGAGGCGGAGGTAACATCAAGGTCGTGGTTCGTGTGCGACCATTCAATAGCCGCGAAAATGATCGCAATGCGAAATGTATCGTTCAGATGCAGGGTGATCAAACTGTTTTGCAACCCGACATAGATGAGCGTGGGAAGAAGGGTGGGAAAGGAGCCACGGACACGCAGAAGACATTCAAGTTTGACAAGTCATACTGGTCCTTCAACAAATCCGATCCAAACTATGCCGGTCAGGACAACTTATTCAATGATTTGGGCGTCCCTCTTCTCGACAATGCATTTCAGGGTTACAACAACTGTATCTTCGCCTACGGCCAGACCGGTTCAGGCAAGTCGTATAGTATGATGGGTTATGGCGAGGATGCGGGTGTTATCCCTCGAATCTGTCGAGACATGTTTGAAAGAATCAATGGGGTGCAGTCCGATCCCAATTTGACATGCACAGTTGAGGTATCTTACCTCGAGATTTACAATGAACGAGTGCGAGACTTGTTGAACCCTGCGACAAAGGGCAATCTAAGAGTCAGAGAGCACCCTTCCACTGGTCCATATGTGGAGGATCTCGCAAAGCTGGCTGTAAGGTCTTTTCAGGAAATCGAAAATCTGATGGACGAGGGTAACAAAGCCCGAACCGTTGCTGCCACCAACATGAACGAGACCTCCAGCCGTTCACATGCTGTCTTTACTTTGACTCTCACTCAAAAGCGACACGATTCAGAGACTTCCATGGACACCGAAAAAGTAGCCAAAATATCTCTGGTCGATTTGGCGGGTTCTGAAAGAGCTACCTCGACTGGGGCAACTGGTGCTCGGTTGAAAGAAGGTGCCGAGATCAACAGATCACTCTCTACTCTTGGGCGCGTCATTGCAGCATTGGCCGACTTGTCGTCCGGCAAGAAGGGTCTCAAAGTCCCCTATCGAGACTCCGTCTTGACATGGCTCTTGAAAGACTCTCTCGGCGGTAACAGTATGACTGCCATGATTGCGGCGATTTCTCCAGCCGACATCAATTTTGATGAAACTCTGAGTACCCTGCGTTATGCTGATTCCGCCAAAAGAATCAAGAATCATGCCGTGATCAATGAAGATCCGAACGCACGGATGATCCGTGAACTCAAAGAAGAATTAGCCAAACTCAGAGGTCAACTTGGAGGTGGAAACGCTGGTGTTGGAGAAGAAATATACCCTCCTGACACCCCCCTCGATAAACAAATGGTCTCCATGGTTCAGGCCGATGGCTCGATCAAAAAAGTGAGCAAGGCTGAGATCATGGATCAGCTCAATCAAAGTGAAAAATTGTATAAAGATCTGAATCAAACCTGGGAGGAAAAGCTTCAGAATACGGAACAAATTCATAAAGAAAGAGAAGCGGCTCTTGAGGAATTGGGCATCAGTATCGAGAAGGGAAATGTGGGAATGAGCACTCCAAAGAAAATGCCACATTTGGTCAATCTGAGTGACGACCCGCTCCTTGCTGAATGCCTCGTCTACAATCTGAAGCCTGGCATAACGACTGTGGGAAATGTTGAGGCAGAAACCGCCTCTGAGATCAGACTGAATGGATTCAAGATTCTAGAGCATCATTGCAGACTCGAGAATGTCGAGAACGTGGTCACAATCATCCCTAATGAAGGTGCTGCGGTCATGGTCAATGGTATCCGTGTCGACAAAGCTAAGAGGCTCAGAAGTGGGAACCGCATCATTCTGGGAGATTTCCATATCTTCCGTTTCAACAATCCTCTGGAAGCAAAGGCAGAGCGTGCTGAGAGAAGTCTGCTGAGACACTCGGTTACTGCCAGTCAAATGAATTCTCCATCACCCACACCATTCCGACCAGGTCACGAGCGCTCCTGGAGCACTGCCGGGTCTGAGTTCGATGGGGACTCTAGCAGAGCTCAGTCACCTGGCTTAGGTAATCGAGAATCGGATTGGTCTTTTGCAAGGCGGGAGGCGGCAGGAGCTCTGCTTGGATCGGACCAAAAAATTACTCAACTTACAGATGAGGAACTGGATAATTTACTTGAGAACATTCAACGAGCTCGTGAGGAGCGACGTGGTCGACCGGAGGCCAGAATCGGTGAGCTTGATGACGACTCTGACGACCTCTCGTCCTTTCTTGTCCGAGACAAGTACATGTCAGGCGGTACAATTGATAACTTCTCTCTCGATACTGCACTCACCCTGCCTGCAACACCTTCAACAAATGCAGATTCTCAACGAGGTGATGACACCTTAACAGCCGCTCAATTTATGCAGGAAGCCCAATCAGCTGAACAGCAAAGAATTGCTGACGATGAGCGGATAGCCTCTGAGCGAGCAGAGAGACAAGCAGAACAAGAAGCACAAAAATTACAAATGCAACAGGAGCTCGAACAGGCAAAAGAGCGATTTCAAGAAGAGCTTCGCAAACAGAAGGAGGCATACGAAGAACAGATCAAGCAGATCGACCTGGAAGTCCGAACACGAGACGCAGCCCGGACCCCGGCAGGATTCATACCCCTTAGCGCTTCTGAAATTGCCATTGCACGCAATGTCGTTGCAAAGTGGCAGCAGCGTAACTATGTTCTGATTGCGGAATCCATACTTCAAAATGCTGCCCTTCTCAAGGAGGCACAAGTCATGAGCAAGCTCCTGGAGCAAGAGACTCAATTTCAGTTCGTCATCCTGGACTTGGGTCAAGAGCGTGGTTCTTCTTACGACCTTATCCTTCACGATATCTCCATCGATGACGACGATGCTTTGGCAAATGCCCACAAGCCTTGCCTTGCTGCCCGCGTTATTGATAACCAGCTGGACTGCATACACCTATGGTCATTGGAAAAATTACAATTACGAGTGGCCAAGATGAGGCAGATGCATCAGTTCAAGAACCAACCCGAATATTTACAGCATTTCCGTATGGACAATCCTTTCAGGGACTCGGATCAACCATTATTCTCACTGGTTGGTGATGGGAGTATTCCTTTGACTGCAGTCTTCGAGACAAGAGTTCAAGATTTTGTGGTTGAAATATCTTCACCATCAACGAGACAAGTTGTGGGCAGAGTTCGACTGTCACTAGAACCATCTTTAGCCGAATCACCACCATCCAGTGTCAAGTTCAACATCATTATGCGAGATCTGGCCGGGTTTGCCGAACATGAAGGTACTCAGGTTCACGCTCAAATGATGGTTCTTGGTACATCCGATGAGAGTGTGGCTACGACACAACCTGTCAGTGGCTTTGGTGATGGGCCGATTCGTTTCGAAAGTATCCATCACCTCAGTGTTCATTCTGCAGGCGAAAAATCTGCTATCATGAAAATTGCCATCTTTGCACAGGTCACTTCCACCCACTTGGATAAGCTTAATAGTTGGGATGAACTACGTGAAATGAGCAACCAACCCCATGATGAACAATCGATTCCACGTCTTCCCGAGTCGGAATATAATCTCGAAGAGCGCCATGATGTGTTTGCTAAGGTACAACTACTTGAACTTGCTGAGAATGGTCAGTACTTACCTGTTGAGGTCCTTCAGAACAGTGCGGATGATACTGGCTCTTTTCAGCTTCATCAGGGTCTCCAACGCCGCATCTCTGTCACCATGACCCACAGTCTTACCGAAGGCCTCCCTTGGGATGATCTCAAAGCTTTGCGAATTGGCAAAATTCATTTCATCGACTCATCTGGGCGCATTGCGGACCTTGGATCGACTACGCCTGATATACCATTGAAACAGATCCAAGAGCCAATGATTCGCGACAATGCCGATGGAACTTCCAATATTACTATTGTTGGGCAATGGGATAGTTCACTTCACAAGTCGCTTCTTCTCGATCGTGTGACGAATGAGCTGTCCCGAATACAAATCCTCCTTTCCTGGGACGTAGTCTCATCTCGACTCGACCAATCAATGACATTTTCTATCGAGCAGCAACTCCAGATATTGCCTAGGTCATATGTTCGTCCTCAATCAATGTTTAAATCATTCTGGAGCCAAACACGAATCACCCATTCTACAGATGGAATCTTTTCTATCGTCGTTCGACCAGTCAGTGCGAAACGTGCCGCAGATCTTTGGCGATTGGATACATCAAAAAACTACATCAATGGAGAGGAGCACCTAGGCAATTGGAAGCCAAGGGGCATTTCTCTCGTGAAGGACTACTTGGTTGGTCGGCGCAAAAAGCAGCAGTTGCAGGATATCGAATCGGCCAAAGCAACTCTTGGATTGCGGAGATTGAGTATTAGCAAAATTCGTTCCAGAGCGACCTCACCATCAAACATTGATGCACGAGAAGAACAGCTCCTTCGGAAATTTCTCGCCATATGGCAGAAACGCAGCGTCGAATTATCAAATCCTATATTCGATGATGAACAACATGGTCACAAGACAGACACATCTCCTGCACGAAATCCGCACGATCCTTCTTTACAACGCAAGATCAGATACCTCGCGAGGGTGATGGCAATGGGTAAAAATCCTGTTTCACTCAAATCAGGCTATCTTCTTATGCCCTCTGAAGACTATCCTCCTTCACCCACGACCTCGGCCAATACTGGAAGCAGCATGCAATGGAAACGTCGCTTTATCGACCTCCGCCCTCCATATTTGTATATACACTCGGTTCCGAATGGAGAGGCGATTAACGCCATCAACCTTACGCACGCGCGGATCGACCATGACCCGGATTTCAAAAGATTGCTTGGGAGTAGTCCGTCTGCTTCGACAGGTGATTCATATGGTCGAAGTCCTGGAAATGGTCACAAGCGGACAGCAAGCAGTGATCTGCACCACGGACTCGCACATGTGTTCGCTGTGTATGGAGAGCAAAATACATTTCTTTTCGCGGCCAGAAGCGAAAGTCAGAAGTTGGAGTGGATTTTCAAGATCGACAGCTATTTTGGACAGGATGGATTGCCCGAGGAAGAGGTGCATGCTGATTTTGAACACTAATACCCAAGATGATTCTCCCTACTACGAGAGTAACGACGTTGAAGGGACAGTCTACAAGCTCGCACGCCATCATCATTCCTATTGGGACCACAACGAAGAGTACGGTCAATTTGGTGAACATTTGGAGGAAAATGGAGATTGGACAGCCCATGCATGAATGGAAGATGAGCAAGGCTGCCAATTCGCAGATATCGGGGCATCCACCAGGGCTGAATTACCTGGCCATCTCATTGCATACTGTCATGTTTCATGTTTGTCGTTTGATTTAAGATACCCCCCTGATTTTCAAAGTTACCGCAGGAGAAAGAAGAGAAGAAGAGGACAATAATCCACATAGGGAGCAATAAATGATATGATATGATGTGCTATGCTTCGCTTTGCTATGACATGAGATAACATGAGCCAATCGTCTACCCTGCTATGTGGCTAGTCCCAACATAAATGAGATGACCGCCATCAGTGATACCTCACTAACAATTCACGGATTTCAGCATTATGGGCGGCGCGGTAGTCGGTGGTGGGTGGGTACACGAGTAGGACCGCGATTACAATAATGAACAGCGAGGCAGAGCGGGCATCGAAGCCCTGCAGGACTGGACGGACTTCGAACGAAACGTGGCTTCACTGGTCACGTCTCACTCACTGTCTAGATGATGGGTCTCTTCTATTTAGTTTATCTACCTCTTCGCTTGAGGCAACATGTAGCAGGTGTCTATGCGCAACTTAAAACACTATACAGCGCCTCGAAAGAGACTCAAGATCCGCAAGAGCCACGGTAAGTCATCAACCGTCTTCCTCATCGTCAACGTCGTCAACATCGTCAACACCCCTTAGCCATGCCGCTCGCGCATCGACGGCTTCTTTTCTCACGTCACGTTTGGCGTCGTCGAGGACACTGGTTAGGCCATGCAGGACCGTGCGCTTCAACGCTAGCAACGGGTTTATACGCGACGTGCTTTCGGTGATGTATTTCGGAAGCAGTGTCAGACAGCGAGTTGCTAGACGGCGTGTTTTGGGGAAATTGGCAGGCAGGCATGGGTTGGACTGTGGCTGAGAGGCCTTGGTGGTGGTTGCAGCATTCGTCAGGGATTTCTTGGTTTTAGGCACGGATGCGACGGCGAGGAGCCTCTTGACTAGAGCCGGGATGTGGCCACTTTCGTCGAGAGCCGAAGGGTTGCTGGTGATCACGATGGCGAGGGTTTCGAGTGTAGCTATCTTGACGACCTGGTCTGTAATATCAAGAGACTGGAGAAGGAGGGGTAGTAGCGTTGGCAGTTCGGGCATGACGATTTCCGATGGAACGGTGGCTAAGATGCCACTCAGCGCAACCAGGTAGTTCTCTTTCTCGACTGAAGACTGCGATGCCCGGAATTTCTCTGAAATGAGAGGCGTCAGTGTTTGGAACACTCGCTGCGGTGCTAGGAGGCGAATCTGCGCGTCATTGGTTTTCGACAGGATATCATCCGGGGCGAGGATCGTGGAGAAGCCAACGGCAGACTTTTGCGACACTTGTCTCGGATACTGTTTCTGATCGAGTAAATCAACAAGGTTGACAAGATATTGATTCGTTTTGGGAGCCAGGCGAAGTACCAAAGGTTTGATTAAACCAAATATAAGTCGGATATCCAAGTCATGGGATTGGGTGTCATCCATAGGTTCATCCTTCAAAGATGCCAAGGTGTTGAAAAGGAGAGTATCAACAAAACCAAGCTCAGTCATCTCCAAGTGCTTATTGACGTATAGGGAAACTTGGGAAAGTAAGCTCTGTGATATTGCTTTATTTGAGCATCTGGGAGTGATTGACAGTATTCCATCAATAGTCTGTGGTATTTGAGACTTCGTCAAAAGCGGCGATGGTGTCCGTCGTGGTATAGCTGCTAAGAGCCAAGTGGATAGAATGGTGGTGGTTGAGGCTTCCAGATGTGCTGCTAGCAATTCTGGACTTGGGGTATTTTGATGGAGCTGAAACAGGGTGTAAATGTTCTCGCCGGCTCGTTGAATTGCTTCCTTTGAGGACCGGCGCACGATCAGATTCATTATCCGACCAAGCAAATCAACAACATGTTCATCCTCAAGAGGACCTTTCTGAGATTCGGCTGTCTTCCGAGATAGCCCGACCACAACTCGCTCATAATAAGTATCCAAGGAAGTTTGCTGATCGGCAGCTGATTTGTTGAGCACATATAGAATTGCTCCAAGTATAGCCATCGTATACGGGTACGACAGTTGTTGCTCCGAATTGAAAAGGAAATCAAGCTTGTTCAAGAGACGCCTCATCAATATCTCAAGCAGAGTTTTCTCGACACTTATCTCGGCCAAACCACCTAGGACAGATTTGTAATCGGTCGATACTGCTGCAGTCTCATCATCTGGCAAGCATGCCATGAATGCAGGGAAAGTGATATCAGAAATCAATGCTGGTTTGAATTTGGAAATTTCGGCTAAAGCGGTCATTGATTTTGCTTTGAGCTCATCTCGACCGTAGGATTCTTCTTTGAGAACAATATCATCAAAGTATTGAACAAAAAGTCCGATTTCGTTGTCTGGGAGTAACGAATTCATCTTGGATATCAAGAGCAATCCAGTAGCTGCAATAAGGCGATAAGAGACCTCTTCTTTGACCGTGCCCATCAGTGCCTGGCTGTAGATAGCGACAAGCTTGTCCTTGAATTCACACAGAATGTTCTCCCGGCCTTGAGGATTTTTCTCACTTACCGTCGACCAAGATCCATATACTTCGATGGCGGCCTCAAATAGTTTGTTTGCGAACTCTAGAACAGCTCTCTGGTGGAGCAGTCCATCTGCTGATTGATACAAAGTAAGGAGCGCCGGGCCGACAGTCTTTATTACAAGTTCAAAGGCTGCCAGGGAAGCCGAAGACACCGCTTTCAAAATATCACCGGAAGCTTTTGCCTGTCGAGATGCGGGCTCCTGGAGGTGCTCTAAGCATTCCTTATTGATCGGCCTCAGGTATTGGAGAAGTGGAGAAGTAGCTGTTTCAGTAATAGGTAATTTTGATAAGCAACCGGATATGGCTTGCAGCACATTCAATGCCTCCTCGGCTAGTTCGGGCTCCTGTGCTTGAAGCACTTCAAATTTGACAGCATCCCACAATGTAATTGAATACTGACTCAGGATCTTGGGATCGTAGTTTGCCGCACAGGCTGTAAGAGTCGTGAGAACATCCCTTTTGACTGGATTGGACGTCGAGTCAAGGCGATCAAGCATATTAGGGAACGTGTGGGGTGCGAAAAGTCCAGTGCATGCGAGACAGTCACGGAGACGATCTTTCAGGTCCTGTGCTGTAATACCGTAGGGATCGTTTGGAGGAGGTCGGAATGTGATTGGGAAGTATGCGTAAACCGAGTCGAACATGAGTTCAATATGCGCCGTGATATCCCATTCGACCATCAGAACTCGTAGCATGGAGAAAATGAGCATAAGATTTCGTGGATCTTTTTCGCCGGAGACCAGATTTACCACCCCAACCAAAGATTCGTCGCCCATTGCTCGAATCGCTTGATACGTTAGATCGCGCCAGTTTCGATGATCTTGAGGGTCATACCTTTTCGATGATGGTCCAACAGACCATTAAGTAGTTGAAGGACTCGATATCTTCCTGCTTGATTTAGGGACTGCAGGTCCGTGAAATGTACAAACAGTCTGCCCATGATCAGTCAAATGTTTTTGCCATAGCCTGCTGCCAGACGACTGTATGGGGCATGTCTAAGGACCGTTGTCGCGTGAGGGGTTGCACATACGTTTTCAAAACAGTCTGCGCCATGTCTGTTGTAAACCTATCAAGGGTCTGTAGCTGAGACAGCCCCTCAATGGCACCTCCATCTTCGATCCGGTCGCAGAGAAACTGGCACAAGACGTGGATCTGTTGTCGAGAAAGGAACTTTGGGGGTAGGAAAGAAAGAACGGCGACTAGATAGGAGACCGCGCGGGCACGGATCTTTTCGTCCTCATCGTTGATGTACTCGCCCAAAGATTGAACGAGCTGTATGAGGGTGGTGTCATGGCTTTCTAGTTCTAGGCTCAGATGTGAGTAACGGCTCCAGTGTCCGGGTTGACCAACTCACTCTGTGCAGCCGACTTTGCAATTGCAATAGCCTCGGCCTTATTGCTCTCAATGACTAGTACATAGTCCCGCACATCAGACAGGGCCATCATACATGTTGAGTCTTTTCAGTAGCGGGCGGAAAGAATGCAATAAAATGTTTTGAAAAGGCTCAGTAATGCGCTTGACATCACTGGTGCAGGGACGGAGAAGGTGCGGAATTGCTCCAAAATTGACTTCCCCTCCAAAATACGCGCTTCACCTTCCAAAGTGAGCCTCTCCAAACCCCTTAGTGGTGGGGAAATGCACTATCCACAGCTAGAGGGAGATCTAACTGTTTTGGGACACAATGTGTCACTAATGACCATGGCGAGATTTGGGCGACAGGATTCCCTCTCCTGATCTCAATCTTGCACTTCAATCACCGAAGCCTTGGGATATTTGAAGTACCCCTTTGACAAAGAAGACATCTCATAAATCACATACAAGCTGCGGACTGTGGACCATAGCGATCATTCCCACGCGGCTTTACCACAACGTATATGGCCATGGCTTGGAAGCTGATCGCAACCATTTCGAGCCCTGTTACCACGGAGCGCTTCATGTACTCTCGAGCTTTTACTGCCACGATTGCAATGTTACACAAAGCCCATATCTATCTCCTTGATGAGGTGCTTCATGAGTTGTCGACTTGCAGAGCAGATGAGGCAGATACTGTACATGTGGCTTGTGAGCCAGCAGGGATGCTTTGACTCGATGAGAAGACATGGAGATGTGTATTGCTAATGTGAGAGAATGTTCCACTCATCCAACGCTTCCTGTTGATGTTACTATTACCCATTCGGACATGATAACAGGGTTACAGTGCAGGCGAGGGGATTCGAAAAGCTAACTCAGTCATAATCGTTGGAAAGAGGATTACCCGTTTTCAGAGACACAATCTTAACTTATAACAGTACTCTACCACGTTTCTTTCCTTTTCTCATACCAGATAGTAAACGAGTCCCGTTCGTCATCTACCACGACATTCAACTCATTCCATGACTTTATACCTGGCCGTCAGAAAACGATACACGTTGATCAGTAGTCATGTCACCCTGCATAATGGCGCTTTCGAGTCACAGTGCCCACGATGTCGCCTATAAATTCGCTTACTTCTGCCCCATGAATTCTTTATAGTTCGACAAATAATTGCGCCCATCGCACTGTCTTGAAGCATTGTATATCCAAAGCCGTGGTTGACAACCAAGCATTACGAACCATTTGATTTCTCCGTCCATTTTATCATGGCAGACCGCACAGGACGCTGGGGCTCCGAGGGTCAAGGATCCTCTCGCTCGAGAAGGGAGGAAGAAGAACGCCTCGAACGACAAGCAGCAGCTCGCCAATCCGACCGGGCAAGGCGGGCCCGTGATGACGAGACATTCACGGGATCTCACAAGGCGGTGCCAGTAGATCACTACAGCAACTATGCTAACTCCCGTGAGGAACTCTACCAACAGAACAGACATAGGACGGAGGAGATGAAGAGAAATCCAAGTGTCAAAAGCTATTGGCCTTCCCAAAACGCAGGAGCTGAGGAGACGTACCTGAAACAATGGAACAGGGCTGACGTGTATCGTAGCGACCACTCTAACGATGAAGCAGGATATGCAGCGCACCGAAGAGAGCGACTGGAGTGTTCCGAAGGAAACGCACAGGTGATGGAACAGAGTCCTGCATATGGCATCAGTGTTCGAGACTTCGCATATCCGAAAGAACACTCCTCTTCCAATAATTATCGAGACCCGCGCGAAGCCCTGACTCCGGCCTGTGGGCTTAGTCCTGACGGTTATTATTCAAAGTACGACACACCCAGTCCGGAAGGAAAGGGTAAAGGAAAGCGGTGATTGTCGGAAGTCTCAGTGAGCCACGTTCACCAAGCTCTTTTCTCAAGACGATATGTCCTCAAATTATATTGTACTTGTGACTTCGAGAGAAACAGCTTCTCACGTTCCATGAATTTAAACTAGCTTCTGCATCCTTTGGATTGTCGTGGGTATTATCGAAACGACATGATTTCCGACGTGTTGGTTATCTGCGCAGCTGCAACGCATGAATGCTGGAGAGCTTAGTCGTATCTAGCATGTTTCTTGAGTGCAATGGAAACCAATAAACCACACTCCAATTAATTGCACAAGTAGTTAATTGGATTATTTGTGTTCTTGCTGATTGAAAAGTTTATTTGTTGGTTGTGAAGAACCCCTTTTCGTCAAAGCCTTGTTACCTCCAATTTCTTTGCTTCTGCCAAGAAGGGGCCTGACGGCTGTGGGACTGAACGATTTGATTTTGAGGTGACTCTGACATCAACTTCATGCTGAGCACGACTCATCCAAGAATCATTGAGCTTCTGTTTTCTCAAGACATAATTGAGTCGCCATGGACAATCTGACTGCTACCATGCCTCGGTATACCGGCAACATGCCGCTCCAACACATTGGAGGTCGGAAGCCTCCCAAGATTCGTGGAAGACGAAGCAGCTGTCATCCTCTGGCGTTTGGACTCAGGAGATGGAAATGCAAACGAGCTACGAGTAAGCGTCTTTGACAATGCATCCCATGAAATGAATCGAGAGTCAGAGGTTGAAGGCCGGGCTTCAATCACGAAGGGTAATCCAAATCCTAACGGAAGCTCACAATCCGAGGTCTCACAGCAGAGACACGTTGCAATACCTGGGCATGACATGCTATCCGTTCGATTCTTTGTGCTTCACCATCGATGATTCTGAACCTCCTGCTCTGTCACACGATATATTCCAGACGACGGTTCGGAGTCATGAATACCTGCAATCCCATAGTATAAAATCCCCAGCCAAAGTGAGATTCTGTTTAGTACTTTTGCCATAACAAATTTCTTCCAAGTACTACTACTAGTTGAAATATACTGGCAGTCTGAAGCTAACCTCAGGGGGCGAGATACCATCACTGAAAATGTCGTATTCCTCTAGTAAGGATAACGAACGAGGCTACGAGTCCACGAGGGGCTCTCGTAGCAGATACGCCGATTATGACCTGGGAGATGATGAGGAACACGACCTCAAGCGATATCGATATGATCGCGGGCGAGAAGGCGATCGAACCGATGATCACAGTTCCCGTGAACGAGAATCGTACAAGAGGTCTTCCGATTCATACCACCTAACAAGAACCACCAAGGCCACACAGCAAAAGTACTCCGGTACAGAAATTTATCCACGAAAGGATGCTAACGACAAGACACACCGTAAGGCTCAGGCTGTGCGGTCAAACACCAGGATTGATGAAAATGATGAGAGATACAATGCCGACCATGTCAAGCGCGAGAAGTTCTCCTGGGAGAACAGGGATAATTTTGACGGGGCTCGCAAGCAGGGAATTGAGGCGAGTGACTGGGCCTACCCTCAGAATGATTACAAGCATAGTAGGTCTGGAGATTTCAAGCGTCGCCCGTCTCTTGACCGTGATGTTATCAACAAGTGGAACACTGAGCGCTGAGTGGGAGGTTTGTTTACCTGTTCCAGGACGAGGCACTGGCTAACGACCTGCCTGAGGCTGCAAACGTCATCTGCGTTTTCTCACAGTCTGTCGTTTGTACTATAGTCGTTATTTACTCTTCTAGATACCCTCAGTTCAGTGAATTCTATTATCACGCTAGCGAGTGCCATGAGATAAGTACTATCTATTGCTCGGCTCACTTACGCTATCTTGTTGTGAATCTCAAGCCTGGGACAGGCGGTCACCCTCCAACGCTTCACTACCAGGAGAACCCAAAAGACTACTTGGTATATTTGATTCCTTGAATTTGCCTCCACATACGACACCCCTGGTAGGGTAGCGCAACCGTAAAGAGTCCCATCTATCTTCAGGTGTCTGTATGGGGTTTGGCGGTTGGGCCTCTCTCCTGGACGGGAAGGTTGCACCCCAACAAGTTTGGGACTGCCTGTCTATAGGAGGAGGTATTAGTGCGCACTCAGGGGATCTAGCAACCTGAGCTGGGTTACAAATTCAAGTGGGCTTCTGAGGGATCGTGGGTTGAGAACAAAATTGCCGTCAAACTTTTTTGTCACTTGGAAAGACTGGAGTTCGAATCTGGCTTGGGAGAACCCCCTTTTTTTGGTAATTCATGACTGTAAACATAGAATATAGGAGGGATAAACAAAATTGGTGAATTGGAGGTTCAATATGAAGCGTCTAAGAACACGCTTCAAGCAGAAGTGGTCCTGCATAGTAGTCATCGCTCTCTGTGTCTTCATCCGTCATGCGGGCACATCCCCTAGATATTCATCACTCCTTCTCTCTCTTCTCTGTGTAAAGGTAGGTGGGTGACTCTCGATTTTATTACAATGAATCACCAGCCTTCATTTATCGTTTTCTAGAGATGAGTGAACCTCTCGTGTGACGTGGGTTCTGATCCTGACACAATAAGATACCCCTTTCTACCAGTAACTGGAAGCTCTACGCCTTCCCCGAGGTCAATTACACCCATGCTAATAATTTTCCACTCACAAAATTGTTGACAACCACTTTTCAAATAAACAGTTGCAAACACCACATCGAAAATCCATGCCAGAGGTGATTGGGTTTGATGATGCCCGGGGAGTTTTTATAATGTCACAAAACCACCGGGCAGTCACACGAATCCAGCCCGCCCAGTCGAGACATGGCCATTCATGTCCTACGTCAAGTCTGAGCCTTGTCTTCGTGACTTGGAGATACCACAGAAGTCATAGCTACCAGAAATGATGGATAGCATTCATGTATGTGACGCTCAGATATATGGGTATAAAATAAACAGACTTGTTGCTCCTTAAATCCTCACCACCACAATCCATCGCCATCGATCAATCCCAAAACAAAAGACCAAAAGCTCTGTTATCTTCTTGAGTTTCCAGAACCACATTCCCAGAATTTCGATGCTTCGCAACCATGGCAGACCAAAGTTATGATGACCGATACAAAGAAATCCACTTGACCAACAGCACCAAGGCAATGAGGGAGAAATACCCCGACCTGTATCCCAAGGGTAATGCCAATCAGTTTGAACACAAGTTCAAGGAAAAGGTTCGAGAAAACTTTTCGTATCCTGCGCAGAAGACGGAGCGCAACATGGAGAAAGGGGATGCTGTCACCAAAGACAGTAACAATGCGGCCAAAAACAGGGCCGAGAATCAAATCCAAGGAAGGGATTTTGCATACGCCAAGGACGATCCGAAGCATTGGACTTCTAGATCTAGGTAGAGTCACGACGTGGACGTACCGACTAGAAGCTCTTCCTCGCATATGCTTTGGCATTTTTTAATGCCAGGATTTGCGTATAGGGTGGTGGTACCTGGGAGGGACTTGCCCTACTTACCCAGATAGCTTCCTGTAAGTAGTAACAGACTACCATCCTGCTTAGAAGGTTATGTACTTTCTGTACGTCGAGTCCGGTCACGCTTGTAACTTGGAAGTTTTGGTGTCTGCTCGTCCCTGCAATCAATGAGGTTCCTCTGCTTAAGGATTCAACGAACCTCGTTCGTTTCAAATTTCGGAACCGTGGTCCTTCTGTGTATACTAACACGTCTTCCATTGCAAGCGGCCGCCGTTCCAGTCTCATTCCAGTTTTCGCTCATCATTCACGACAAAGTAGTACGCTCAACATAATGTGACATCGAGAGGATAAACCCTGCCCAGTGACTCGCATGTGGGTAGAGAAGAACTTCTGACAGGGAGGAGTCCTTGGAGCATTGACTCCTTTCTCAGTTCCACCACCCACAAACAAGAGTTGTGGTCATCCTGCTCACCATTGTGATTGTGAGTTGTCCACACCATGTCACAGTGAGGTTATACCTATATTGTGACACAGGATGAGTACTATCAAACGGAAATCCAGCATAAAAGGAGCACCGAAAAAACTTGTTTTCTGCAAACCTTTACCAATTATCAAACCGAGAACAGCAAGTTCAAGCCTCAGATTCAATATTACCATCAATATACTGTTTCACACTACACAGCCAGTCATTTCCACCTCGTTCCACACTTGGAAATCCCAATAATGTCCGGCAGAGAAAGTGGTCGAGACGCTTATTCTCGGAACCGGAGCGGAAGTCGCGACTCCTACGAGGGCAAGGGAAAGGGCAAAGAACGCGAACGCGAATCATCCCGCTATTCTGACTACTCAGACGATGAACCGGACGAGGATGCGCCTCAGAAGCACCACTTCGACGAAGCCCGGACCAAAAACAGACGCAAGGAGTTCTCGCACTGGTACGTTCGCAAGGATGCACCACAGTCAGAGCGGAAGTGGTCGCTGAACAAGCGGTCCGGAAAGTATGACGATAACCCGCGGCATGTCGAAGATAGGGAGGCGACCTCCAAAGGCAATCGTGCGGCCGTGCGTGATCTCGATCGTTATGGCGTGGCGCACCAGGACTTTGCGTACGCAGATTCGAGCCCGGGATTCAGCCACAGTGAGAAGCACTATGCCAATGATGACCATGAGTGTCGTGAGCCAGACAGTTATGCCGTGGGCCCGAAGTATCGATATGTGCCGGTTTCGGCGGAAGCAGAACGGCTTGCTCAGGAGAAGCGTGCAGAACGCGCTCGTGGCGGATACTAGAGATGCTTCGCGGTACATGTGGCCACGGTAAAACCCTGCGGGTGTCCGATGTGTTCGAGCAGCCTGAGACAGCAGTGAGATTGGGAGAGTCTGCTCATCCAAGGATTCTCAGCAACCGCTGGCGTCAGGTATGCCTGGCAAGGGCCCATAGAGAGCTCTTGATGTATGATTTTAAGCCTTCAGCGATGGTAGGCCGGCTGGAATCAGCTTTCTTCTATAGCATTAATATATGAGCAAGTATATGATACTAGTACCTACCGCCGTTGCATGCTGTTGAACGTAACCCACACTGGAGCCCAAGTATGATAATGCTGCCATTGGCGTTGAGAGAATCTTCTTGAATCATCGATGAAAGACATTCCCAAAATTCCGAACATTTTGTGGTAGATACGGGATGTACCTGGTTTCTGGGTCGATAAAGTGAAAATCGAGAGACAGGGTTTGCCTTGAGAGTTTTCGGGCCAGAAAAAAAGGGGCAAATGGAAGGGTGACATAATCACAAGGCTGCACCTGACTTGCCCGGGAATGGTGGCGGCTGATCGCCATGCGGTATGGTATTCGGTAAACTTTCATGGGTAACCAAAAAACTCAGGTAGAAGTCTAATCGCGGAATCTTATTTGAAACATATCCTCTCCGAAGAAGTCTACAATTCATCCTTTGGTGGTACAACAGGAAGTGGCCTACCACTATCCTTGAGTAAATCAACGCCCTTCTTCTTGCGCCATTTCTCCCATAATGCCCAGAACTCCTTTTCCATGCCGCTGTCCATTTGATCTGGCAAAATGACACTGTATTCGACATAGAGTTTGCCAAATTCGTCGTGATCGTGGCTGTGTTCGTGAACGTGACCTTCGTGATAGATAGGCATACCTTCGCCCCTGATGGATTCGACGAGGCCGGGCTGTACTGTTTCTCCTCGTTTGCGGGAGAGCTGGACAACATGCCCATCTAGGTGGGTGAGGTTGCGGGTCCAGTCGCCCATCCAAGCCTCTCGTAGTGACAGAACTTCCTTCCAGTAAAGGTCATCGCCTTTGCGACGGAAAAATGCGCCATCTGTTCTTTGAGCCCCATCCTCGTGTAACACTGGTTCCGCCTCCATGATGTAGACATAGAGATTTCCAGCAACATGGTCTGGGTGCTCATCTGCTTCGCTTTCGAAAGTGATTCTGTGTCCTTTGGGCATGCCTTTTTCGATGCTCGCCGTCAAGGAAATTGGGCCTCGAACCACCTTACTACCTCCACAGACCTTGCATTTGTGCTTGATTGACTTGCCTTGACCTCCACATTGATCACACTGCATCTGGACCTGTTGAAAGATCCCTGGGGCGAGCATGTGCTTTTGTATGACGGCTCCGCGGCCTCCACATTTGGTACAAGTTTCCACCTGGCCATCCGCCGAACCAGAACCCTCACAAGTTTCGCAGATCAACTGCTTTTCAATGGTGAAATCGGTGTCTCTGCCGTTGTAGAAATCTCGTAGTGGCGCATTGAGTCGAACTTCCAGATCAGGTCCGCGTCTCACACCACTGCCACCGCCTCCTCCAAAATGACCGCCGCCGCCAAAGAACTTTCCAAATATGTCAAAGGGATCATGGTGTTGGGCGCCTCCACCCCGCTTATGGTTGTTAAGACCGTCATGTCCGTACTGATCGTAAATCTTCCGACTCGTAGGATCCGATAGGGCTTCGTAGGCTTCTGTAACCTCGAGAAACTTCTCGTTATTCCCCGTGGCCTTGTCTGGGTGGTATTTCTTGGATAGGGTGCGATATGCCTTCTTCAATTCTCTGTCTGACGCAGATTTATCAACTCCCAAGATCCTATAAAGATCTTGAGCCGCCAGCGAGCATGTTATGAAGGCAAATATGGGCAAAAGATTGGAGACCAGGCGTAAGAGTAACATATTGGATAGGAATAGCCCTTGCGCAGGGCGGCGATGACCCGTTTGAGGGCTTGAATAGGAATTGGGAGGAGATTCTAGGGTTGAGGAAGCATCATGTAGGTGTCATGTGAGGGAGGATGTTGGTCAAGATACCTCTTGTATACGTTGTTGGCTGTATGAAGATTGCGAGGCAGGGATAGAGATCTGGTCTCATGGGTACGATCGTCCTGGATGGGATCACTTTTATCGGCCAAACGTTGCAGGGCGATAGTAGCGGCCACATGTCAACTTTGGGCCGCTGGTCTTGGCGCTCGCCTTGACACAAATTGGCCGCATCCTCCACCGTAGTTTTGGTAGACTGCCAGCGAGCCTTGCAAGTTTGATTCCTTGCGTCAGGTCCTATGGCTTCATATTTCACGCATCGAATCCGACGAGTGAGGAAAACCTGGAATATCTGCACCAGAATCTGTGTTCCAGATATCTATTGTACTTGTTGTTTTGATGGTTTGTTCCAGAAAGCTGCTCTCCAACAACAGAATTCCAGGGTCATTCGGCCTGTAGACCAGGAATAAACATTGAGTCGCAAAGCAGGTTTGGTATATTCTAGCCTTGTGGACGCCCTGAGTTCCCCTGACGAGACTCCCAAACTTGTTGTTGTGATTTCTCAGGATCCAGCGTGTTATTAGGCCACGGTACAAACATCTGAAAAGTTCCGTTTAACCTACGTCGAGACACGGTGACGGCGGGTGCCTACCGAGATCGCGGCTACAAGCTGTTGATCTTGTTGATCTATCATGTTTTCCATCCTCGGCTGGTCTAGTGGGCGAGACCAGTGTGGGTGCACCCTCATCTATGAGACCACGACATTCTGGCAGCAGGAGAATACGGCCACGTCTGTCACAGGCTTACGGCTCAAACCAACGATCATCCCATCATGATACTATCAGTGCCACTGGTTCACGATTTTGAGCCCGTCATCCCCAAAAGTTGGTTCTTGCAGCGTTACCCGAGATTTGCAGAAGGTAGGATCGGTCCTTCCCACGGCCATGGTCTCCCCAACTTCCAACCGGATTTCTGGAACTCCTTCATTGCACCTTCTTTTCCCATCATCCCACCAACACAGAAAACTAGTACTTTGAATCTGTCAATGTATTGATTTTTGTGCCTGCTTGGGGTGAGTTGAATCAATAATTGGCCCGTTTCTGACCGCCTCTTGTCCCTTTTGGGTGGCACAAGTCTGTTGACTCTGTACCGAGTCCTGTGCTCGGAAAGATAGCTTCTTCTTCCAAATCATGAGACTTGGGCTATGATGGTGGCAATTTTGACACATTCAAAGACTCCCATCAACGCTCCTCTTCGACCCAGAGTTCCAGTCCTTCTATCTTGTTGAAATGGCTGCTGTCAAAATGTCAAAAATCCGCTTTCTGTTGATGGGTTGTGCTTGCCTGTTCCTGCGTGCCGCCGCATATCCATCGTCAAATTATGAGATTGCCGATGACATTCGACGTCGAGATGCATGGGATCAGGACTGTGCTCACCAAGCCGCTTCCAATGCGAAACCACGCTTCACGCCTGGTACTGACACGTTTCTCTCCTTACTGGTACTCGATTTACTGACTCATTGCCAGGTGGTAGGCTGACAATCGAAACTGTGATCGTCAGAATTCCATTGCCTGCCCTCGAGGATCGTGATGGGTTGCAAATCGATCCACGTGCTCCAGCTACAACTCACACCGAATTTCTTCAAGCTCGGGATCTTGACAAGGTTCCAGACGATGTTGGTCTTCCAACAACGATCAAGGAAGCCACCACAACCGCCGACCCTGATAGAGGAAATGAAGCGGAGCTAGTGCTTTGCGGAAACTTTGGCTGCCCCAAGGGCTACACCTTCAACTCAGCTCAACTAGGTATTTGTCTCTGTCGCAAAATCCACGATCAGAATGACGGATGATTGTCCAAAGCACAAACGCCGTATGTGCAAGATCTCCATTCACTACCCTAAAGTTTACAGTACCACCCCTGTTTCGGCAGTTCTCACATGAGAGACCATATTCAATCTTGTTTCTGTTTTATGGATGCGTGGGCAGCAGGAGACATTGTTATGCCATATCCTGGTCCAGAAAGACCAACACACGCCTGCATGGATCCGAGAATGTATTGCAACTGAAGTGAGAAAGTGGTCGTTTGGCTACACTTGTGGCATTTCATACACAAACTGCAGTTTTAGAATGATTACAATCAATTTCCATTTCTTTTGCATCAACTATGACACGCTTCAGCCATACCGCCTCGTACCCGGAGTCCAAGAATTCCTGTTGAATGGGTGTCCACAACTATCAGAAGTTATTATAAAAACACATGTGTAATCAACTCGACCGAAACTTCGGCAGTACACAACCATATTTTGATACATCATCATCAAATAACCTACAATCCGGCCCGTACGTTTTCAACCTCAAGAAGCGTGAGTCTGGGCCCACAGTCCTTTCGGACCATCCGCTTGATGAACAATATCATAGAGGTCTTGATTACCAAACGTCCGGGTTGCGTTCCTCAAGAAAGAGACAACCTGTGCGACCTTTTCCCAATCGACATTTTCATCTCCCCGGAAGACATTCCGCCAGATGGCGCCTGCAAGCACCGCGTCACCCTTGACGAGACCCTCGTCGTAGGCCGTCAGACAGCCACGCCACTGCAAAAACAGGTCTTTCAGATACTTGTTCCGGATACTTCGCGCAGACATGTTGTGCAGCAACACCATCTTGTCCTCGGCCGCGTGGGAGAAATGCTCATTCAAATAGCGCTGATAGTCGCGACTTGCAGCTGGTGTCTCGAGATCTCGGAAGCGTAACGTAATGATATACATGTGGAGATAGGTCACTTGTGACCAGGTTGCGAAGGTGGGTTCGAGGCCCAGGGTATCGTACCACCACGACGGGCCGACAGGCTGGCCCAGATCGGCCCCATCCGCGGCTTTCGGCGGTCCCTTGCCTGTCAGGATCGATGTCCGTTGATCCTCTGGGATAGTGTAGTCTGCCTGTTTGGCGCACACTTTGAAAATCCGTTCTGTCTCTCCATAGATAACGTAGGTGTCGGTCGTCGACTTGGCAGTCTTGCGCAGTCCCTTTGCCAGTCGGGTCACGATGCTGTCCGGCTGCATGCCTCTTTGTATTTGCTTTTGCATCTGAGAGACTTCCTCTGCCGACGGCATATCGCCGACGTTATTCTGCGAGCTGGCATATGGCGAAGAACTTTGTGTAATTGGTTCCGTCGCAGAAGGCTCAGGTTTGGTTGTTATCCCGTGAGTAGTGGCAGTTGCTGCTGCCCGGGAGGGAATAGATGATGTAGCGTTCGTTCGCTTTAAAGGTCTTCCGGTGGTCGCTCTCTGCCCCGGAAGATCGGCTGCCTGTTCATATCTTTGCACAGCGGAGCTGAAGGATCGGTAGGAATTCGCTCGCGACTATGGGGGGACCATGTTAGCTTAAAGTTGAAAGGAAAAGAAATGCATTTTTTAGGCATTGACATACACCTGTTCCAACACTATGCCGGAAAGTTCTTAAGCATCGTGTGCACAGAGTTGAAGAATTCATCTTGATAATCGCGTTCGGGAGAAGAGAGAGGCTGGGTTGGGAGATGCAACACTGGATCTTCAACAGAGCACTCTACACCACCTGGGCAGTCTCCCGTATTCGAATTAATTTGTCCGCATCTAGCGCGTCATAGATTTGGAGCGGTGGATCATAGCGCTCGTGAGTTGCCGCATCTACACCCTAGTGCTTTTCCGTAGTCACCCCTTTTTTGACCGTATCCCCCAGCACCACATATCGACCTCGATCTGCAGCCTCAATCATCAAATGATGGTCGAACAGTGATTACAGCATGTCGACATAGCTCGTCCATATCGATATTCTGATTGATTTTGGTTAAATTGTTTCATAAGTATCTAATTGGCAGAAATATTCTGATCTACCCCTTTACTCGCGTTTAAAATACATCGCATGGCATTGGCACCTTTCGTGTCCTTGAGACCAAGGCAACTTTACCAAGAAGTAATAGAGCCATCGTACGATATCAGTTTTCCACCGTGCTCAGCCTTGGTTGTCTTGGATAGCACCTCCATCATACCATTGCATGATGTATCCACATCAATCATCAGTGCTTTCACTGTCGCTTCATCGACATTGAATGCCGCCGCTCCAGTGTCCCCCATGTCAGTGTGTACCCAACCAGGAGATAGTGCAAACGCGTGCAGCCACTGATCCTCGTCATTGATCTGGATTGTCAACCAAGCTGCCGCTGCCTTGGACGGCCCATATGCAGCATTAGGAAATGGGAGTCGAACACTGGATGCACCTTGTCAGCATGTTCTGGCAAACATAATATGGACACAGACGAGTGCATAGCCAACACTTACGTCAAACTGCTGGCAGTGGTTCCTAGAGGCGCGAATATCGGCTCTCTAATCGACTTCTGCAGTAGTGGGCGTACTGCTTGATACAATGAAGCCACCCCATATGTATTGGTCTCGACATGGGCAGCAAGGTCGCCTTCCTTCAGCTCTGCAACTGTGGGCCAGCAATAGGCGACACCAGCATTGGCAATGACTATATCGAGGTGTTGGATACCGTGGTCTTTAAGAGTGTCTACGGCGGTGAAAGCATCCTGCCAGATGCGACCATCTATTTTGACCACAACCAGTTTGCTGCCTTCAGCGGCAACTATGTTGAAGAGCTCCTTGGAGGTCACATGGTCCGGATTTCGATTGGCTGCAATGACGATGTGATTGGGAAGTTTGAGGTATCTCTCAAGGAGACCTTTCCCCAGCCCGCGATTGGCTCCAGTTATGAGGACGATCGTTGACATGGCAGAAATTGTGACGAAGTTGAGGTGGTCCGAGGTAGTTCTGTTTTATTACTCGGTAAGATGCCGATACATCGTGATCAGTTGGGTCACTGCAGCCTGTTTTAACACACACTGATCAGAAGGAGTTTGTCAGCCTTTGGTAATTAAAAGCTCCATATTGGTAAGACAATTCACACGTTGGTCATGGGAATTGCGTTGTGTTAGTCAACAAGTGAATCCCAAGTGCGCATGCTGAAGTCGGACGTTATGCACGCCCAATGAGTGCTCCGTCTGCTCTTGGCTGAGACGCATTCCCCAACGATCTCCACCAGCCCGAGAAGGAATGTGAGCGAGATTTGAAGCTGTCGCATTTCTGACAGGAGACCTGGGCATCTTTTAGTCTTCACATCGTGTCTGACAAGACAAGAGTCCGCAATAACCACTACTTCAAGATCTGTGAAATCCACAGCAATCACAAACACGACCGACCAGGTCTGGCCAATGCCAGTTCCGACGGCTGTACAATTCAGCAAGCTTGCCCAGTTCCAAGGTATGTGCACAGAAACGGAATATCGAAGTTGGAAGTCCTGAGGCTTACAGGACGCACTATGAGCAGACAATTTGTGGGTCCAATATCTAGAAACTAGCCAAAACAGGTTAGTGGTCAGAAAAAGTCTCCAGAAAGGGCCTAGGGCAGTCAGAAAGCCGCAGCATCAGAAAGCCATTGGGTTGGCCTCTAGGCGAACGCTTGATCCCAAGACTCGAGATTCAAAGGCCTAGACACTTTGGATCGTCGTCCCATCGTACCGAGGCAAAGTATCTACTATTCTTCTAACATGGATATAATGGTTGAGATCGATCACTTTCGTTTTTAGCGAAAAGTCACGATCGAGCTCACCTCTTGTGCAAGAACAAGTCCGGAATAGCAGCATGGCTGGACTTAGCTGGTACAATCTTTACATTCTCACAGTCCTGGGACTGGGTGGTTTCACTTATGGATTCGGGTTCTCAGTTTTTGTGACTGCTGTAGGACAACCAGGCTTTTATAGCTACTTCAAACTTGACCCAACTAGCACGGTAAGTTTACTCCTTGTTGATGACTTTATGCAAGGTGTCAAATTGATGGGTTCAAATAGTATGCTGCGAACATCATCGGGGCCGTGAATGCCCTATTCACTGCTGGAGCAGCGTTTGGTAGTCTCGCACAATCTCCCATCGCCGATCGCTATGGCCGAAGGATAGCTCTTGCAACAGCAGCGCTATGCTCTTTGATCGGCGGTGCTCTCGCTGCAGGATCTGTTCACATTGCCATGCTTATTGTTGTGCGTATCACGCAAGGCTTTGGGTTAGGCATGCTGCTTGCCCTGGTACCTCTATATCTGTCAGAAATTGCCGCTCCTAGGTCGAGAGGATTAGTAACAGGTATTACGGTTTTGAGTTTTGGTACAGGGTTCTCTGTGTAAGTACATCAGATCGGAGACATTGACAACGACTGACCAATTTTAGCTGTGCCTGGATTGCTGTTGGAACTTTCTATGCGAACCAGACAGTGCAATGGCGTGTTCCTCTTGCACTCGCATGCGTTACACCTCTTTTAATGCTGATTGCCTTGCCGACCATTCCAGGTGGGACTATCTATTTGACTCGCGGCCATTGTGTTCTAATTATGACTAGAAACTCCACGATATCTGGTTTGGAGTGGCCATAAAGAGCAGGCCTGGACAGTCCTTCACCGACTTCACCGTGATCCCAACGACCCCGAGGATCGCGCAGCACATGCCGAGTTTACTCAGATCGTGCTACAGGTTGAGCATGATAAAGAACACGGCGGCGGATTTATACAAATATTCAAAAAGCCATCGCTCAGAAAGAGAGCCTTGCTTGCCATCTTTGCGACGTAAGATGTGTTCCTAGAATATGTCCATCTTGCTCTCCACTGACATTTTGCGTGACAGGTGGGCTTCGGTTTCAACGGGAGTACGTATTCTTGAGCACCATGAATGGGTTGAGTTTAATGAAACAAATCTAGGTTATCGGCATCAGTGCCTATCTGCCACTGATCTTCTCTGGTCTAGGTCTGGGTGGCGCGGTGCCTCTCGTCATGTACGGTAAGATACTTACCCCCTGTATTGCGTAAAGTCAAGATCTAACTTCTTTGTCAGGTGTCTGGACCACGATTGGTACGCTAGGGGTCGCTCTGGCCATCTTCATTGTTGATAGAGTTGGGAGAAGAATTATGCTAGGTGAATCCCAATCTGCCAACAGCGGGCCTTTGAACTTCTAATTAACTATTCCCAGTCATCGGCTATCCTCTCATGGCAGCACTTCTGCTAGGAGAATCTCTTCTTCAGAACAGATATCTTGGCACCGATGACCGTGGCGGCCTTGCGGCTTGCTTGCTCTTCCTCCTGATGTTCATCATCACCTATCAATGTGTTGACGCTCCGACCATTATCTGGATTGCCGAGATCTGGCCAACTGCGTACCGTGCAAAAGGAATCAGCCTTGGCCTTTGTTCCTATTTCGTCGCTTCGCTCACGTATACAGCACCAAGTGCTCTTGCCTTCAAAAACATGTTTGTTCCCTCCTTCCAAGCCATATCCAATGTCACTGTGCTAAAGTGTGCCGATAGTGGGTGGCACATGTATCTGCTTTACATGGGGCTCTGCCTGGTCTGCTTCGTCATTGTTTACTTCTTCATTCAAGAGACGAAGGATTTACCTATGGAAGAACTGGCTGCTCTTTTCGGGGACGAAGTTGTGGTACACATCACCAAGGATGGAAAGGCTATCACTGAGGATAGGGATCTTGACAAGGTCAAGGAACTTCAAGTCGAGCAGGTTGAGACCGAGAATCCTATGATGAATCAATCGACGGGCGCGCATGAAACCGGTTCTCGTCACGTCGAGACAGTGGGGGCTTGAAAAATGGTCCCTTCGTGATCGATCCACGAAAGAAAATTGAGAGGGCTTACGACCATATGCGGCACAGGGCCAGCGGCGGTAAGCTACTGTATATTTTGGCGATGCCGGCGAACGTGCGAAGAAGGTGAATGATCCGACGAGAGAGAGTTCATGTGCATAACTCGCTGAATGAGGGGCAGCCTATAATGCAATGCAAGGGATCCGTCTTGCTGTATGGAAATTCTAAAGCCGACTTCGAGGATAGAGACTCTAGGCTAGATTGTTAGATGCTCCTCCACCTGTAGCTCTTTGAGTCGCGGCTCTCTTGTCGGTACGCCACTTCTTGTCAAGAGCGCACTAAGACTGATAAATTTACACAAATCTGACCGTGTCAAGAGCGTTTACTCATCCGTTAAGTGGTCAGTCGACTGACTCTCTAGTTGGGCTTATATGGTATCTCAGTGCTTGGTATAAAGACAAGAACAATGGCTCTTTCACTCCTCTCATGTTCTCCATATTCTGATCTCCCTCTCTATGGGGAAGAACACACGCAGACACAACCAACTTGAGCTCACGGGTAATCTGTTTCAATTCTCATCTCTACCATGAGCACACAAAGCAAACTCTTCTTTGACCCAGAGTTCCCACCGTTGATGCCCATTGTCGAGCAATTCTTCGACAAGCCATGGGATCTTCCACTCAATAAAGCAAAAGCGCTCTACCGAATGCCAGCTCCATCATATGCGGACTACGTACCAGACATAACAGAGATTGACGCACGTCTAGAGATGGTCACTGTTTCTGATGGCGCAAAGGTTGAGGTACAGATCTACTCACCGAAGAACACACAGGATGAGATCCTGCCACTCATGTTTGTAACTCATGGTGGTGGATGGGTATTTGGATCGCACAACATCGAGGAGGTTATGACGCGCTCGAACTGTGTCAGGAATTGCTGCCGAGTCCTCTCGGTGGATTACCGAATGTATGTGGGAAGGCAGGGGTTGCGTATACTGGTCATTAATGGGATACGGCAGGGCACCTGAGTTTCCATTTCCATATGCCTTCAACGATTCGTGGGATGTGTTGACTTGGGTATTTGATCTCTATCAGTAAATTACTCCTGCATTCGCTTCAAACCACTGATGTTGCATCTTCCCCAACCTCCTAGGCTCAACAAAACGCCGAACAACTGCGCATAGATCCAGAAAGAATCGTTCTGGGCGGCTCATCTGCTGGCGGAAATCTGGTACGAACTCCTTTTCACATTCGAATGCGGTAGCCCAGCCTCATACTAAATCTCAACGAAGGCTGCCGCTCTCGCTCTTCATGCAAGGGACAAAGGTATGAGAGGCATCGTCGGACAAGTTCTGAATATTCCAGCCACATGCCACCCCGATCTCTTCCCAGAAGATAAATATCAATACACAAGTTTGGAGGAGAATCGCGATGCTCCAATACTCAATGCAAAACGGCTCAAGTGGTTCTGTGGTATGTGTGAACACCCAATGGCTAGTTTCATCTGACACTCATGCAATATATCTAGATCAGTACATTGGCGAAGTGTCAGAAAATGCATTACACAGTCCACTACTCGCCAAGTCATTCGAAGGGTTACCGCCTGCGCTAGTTCAGGTTGCTGGTAAGGCCTCAAATGAACCCTGAGGGCTTTCACAACGAACACTAACCAGCTAATTCAACCTCAGGCTTGGACCCTCTGCGGGACCAAGGTCTCGCATATGTCGAGGCCCTCAAGCAGGCAGGCGTCCCTGTGCAACTAAAGTTCTACCCGGGTCTGCCGCACGCTTTTGCCGCACTTACTCAGCTGTCCAAGACAGTCGAGTATGAAAGGGCTGTGGTAGATTGGGTCGGTGCACTTTTGGCATCGAAGGAGTTGGGGAAATCGTGACGAATTCAAGCTTTCAAATGCAGACACTTGGTAGACCTCGAAACATAGATATATTGTGTACCCAACATTCCCCTCCTGAGTATTCAGGTGGCATCCATGATGCCAAAGAGCCTCGCAAGTTCGACAAATCCATCCTTGCAGTTCTGTTGGCACCCGTCCACCCACAGATCCACCCATTCTTTCGCCTTCTCTTTGTTCTCTGGGTTCCAGCCTTCCTCGTTTTGCCGATCAATATAGATCGTTCGAAATCCACAGTGACGGGCACCCTCCAAATCACCTAGATGAGCCGCGACAAGAGCACACTGATTCGGCGGCACTCCTAGGCGTTGTGCCGCGCCATTATACACCAGTGAGTTCGGCTTATATGCTCCAAACATCTCACTAGAGAGAACATGAGTGAATTTCAGGTTGCCCGTCGTAGCCGAATCTTGCAACAGACTGACATTGCCATTGCTCAGGGTCGAGGTGACAAATTTTTGCTTCAGGAGTTCGAGGCCACGCGTGGAGTCTGGCCATGGTGCTAGATAATGCCATATGAGGGCCAGCTCATCCAGATCCTTATCTGACCAAAACCCAGTCAAGCTAAAAGTTTCCAGATTCTCGGCAAGGCTCTCACGATGATGCTGGTCAATGGTCTTGTAGCTACTCTGATCGCCATTGAGTTTAGCAGGATCGTAGGTCACACAGAAGTGATAGTAAGCCTCCCGCCACTTTTGTGCGAAGGCGGCCCAATCTGTAGTCGATGCTGTTACCCGTAAGGTTGGAGATAGCTTGGCAACAGGTGACTCGAGGACTTCTAAGGCTCGTTTCTCAAGTGTCTGGGTAACAGTAAACCTCCAATTGACTACAGTGCCGAAGATGTCAATGAACATGGTAGTGGGAGGATCTGAGATGATTGATGGAGGGTTCATGATTTACAAAGGGAGGTGCTGAATGATGTGTTGCAGAACTTGGTTTGTCGCTTATCGCTGAAATTTGAATCAAAATCACGACCAACGGTAGGCAAAACCTTGTTGAATGCGCTCGAAAAATGGCCTGGTTAGTACAAAGAGATCGAAGACATGTCCAGGTCCTTTTCGCCTTCGTAGTGCTGGAACAGACTTGTACTGGCGTTGTTGCTTTTCTACACAGCGGGATGGCAAAGACGAGGAATCATTTCCCAATGATATTGTAGGTGCCGATGTCCCGACGCATGAGATCCTGATCTCTGTCAGATCAGCTGGCAAGGCCAAGGGAGGTCAGACGTTGCATTCTGGCCTTTCGTGTGATAGCTGCCAAACCATCGAGCATTCGAGGCGCTAAAACAGCCTCGGGCACTGGAAATCGACTCGTGATTGTGGGTTCATCATGATTACTCCCAGCGGTGGAAAGAAACAGACAGTGGCTTGTCAGTATCTGCATGTCATAGGGTTTTAGTTGAGGCAATTGCCCCGAGTCTCAAAGTGGAGGGGTGATTGATTCATGGACTGTGCCTTGCGGGTGAAGACTAATGCAACATTCTGACGCCGGTACGGCTTGATTAGCGCGCCCAGGTAACAAGTGAAAGGTCGTGGGGAGCGGTCGGGCGTCAGAGAAGGTGGAGACATTAGAATTTGGAGAAGTACCCGCTCACCAGAAGTGTGGGTAGAGGTCAGAAAGGTAAGTTTGGTGGAGATAGAGGCTCAAATGAATTGCATGAGCGCCTGAACAGATGACACGGGACTCGGAGCGGTGTGCTGCTGCTCATACGTTCCATACCTATCAAAGTAGGTACGAAGTAGTCCTATGCAGTAATCGTGGCTATAGTGTAACCGAAGGCGACGAAGCCGAAGGGATTTTTGGCTTTTAAACTTGAGGGATATTGTTGATAGTAGTTTGCAAGATGATAGTGGGCATGGTTTTTTTCTTGACATCCAGTTGCACTGCTCGAGTACCCTTTTCGCAACTCGACACGTGGCGGGAGTTTGGATCTGGTGGTTCTCGAAATCCGCTCCGGTCGCTAACAAATATCTTCAAAGGCAAAAGCCCACCAACAAGCTCACAGTGATTGCGATTGTGATTGCACAAAACAGGACAGCGCTATGCCGAGAGGTCGACATTATGACCAACAAGACAAATATGAGATCCGGATTCGGACACAGACAGTGCAGCATCGTGGACCTCTTTATGTTCCAAGTAATGTTCGACGAAAGATTGCTGGTTTGTGTCCGGCGCACAGGTTGAGGGAGAACACGAATACAAGGTTGCATGTGTCATCGTGTCGTGTCAGAAAGAAGTGCAAAGCGATAAAAAAACTCAGTAGAACAGAAAGCCCCATTTCTCTCTGAAATCCTTGCCAATGATCCAGCCATCAGGATCCCAACTCATGGTACCGGGCACAATAGTGAAGCTTTGCGTGTCGAAAAGGCAAGCCAGAAAATCCTCCTCGTCAATGATCCCATTCAATTTGATGAAATTGTCGCGCATACGCGGAAAAGGGAAACGGTCAATCCAAGAAGTGTGCATTACCGTTCGCTGTAGCATCGTTGGTTGGAGGGTAGCAGGCACGTCGGGACCACGCATACTCAGTTTCCATAGCATCTGGGTGCCGCAGGGAATGCCCAAGACACGGCCGTTTTTGAATAGGGCAGTGAAAACGGTATTGTTTGAATGAGACATCATGCAGTCTTCTGCTGATGTTGACACTGATACACTGGATGCTGGTGATTGAGATGCAGGAGAACTTTGAGGGTACATCGGCATGGGTACAGTGGTCAGCGAGGACACTTCACAGGTATTCGTTGATGTCGTGGGTGTGGCAAGTTGAGGGAGTATTCTGACCGATGTTGTCGCGTCGACTTCCGATGCTGCTGCTGTGGCTTCAGAATTGAATGGTATGCTCTCTTTCTGCGAAGGACGAGTCTGAAGGTGAAGGCTGTGAGCATTGACTTGTGCTACATTAGTAGGATGCTGTCGTGGATCGTTGCCAGCATTCTTCAAAAGAGCGAGTCGCTTGCCTTTGACAGAGACACTTATTAGTCACCTATACAAGAAGCAGTCGTTGCGAGCATAGCAAAACACCTACGGCGCGATCTTTGAGCTAGTCTGTCCTGAATTTGCTTCCTCTTTTTTCGATCTGAAACGCCCATCCAGCTATCTGGGCCCAAGTCTTCACCCATCCATACTGGGACGGGTTGGTCAAACATCATGATTGTTTGCCCTTCCGCACGTGCCTATGTGAAGAATCTGCCTTCACTCTGAGATTGTCTCTCCGTTGCAGTGGTTCCTGGTAGTTGGACGTACGAGATCAGTTAAACTGCTAAGCGAGGAAATGATTGATAACAGAGGAGAGCTTGACTGTCATTGATATCCGGTGTAGCTATTAGACACTAATACGGAATCACCTTCAAGAGTCTCGAAGAAGTCGAAAGGCAAGTGCGGGGATGGGAATTTGCATCGTTAAACTTGCCTGGAGAAGATGAGAAGCCGAGGCGAGGTGAGGCGAGGCGCATTGGTGAAATAGGTATAGCACGTACCTAGAGCATAGGGCCAAGGGCCCCCTCGGCCCTTGGCCTGATCTCTCAGGCATAAGCCTTACTCGTAGGTGGGAGCGACCCATTCGGCCGACCCAGGGGGCCAGGTACCTCCAAATTCCTCATGCCTATTAACCGCAACGGACCTCAGCATCTCTTTCATTCTTGAATACTAAGTAAACGAAGGGAGAGCCACACCAGATTCATCAAAGCCACATCTTTGCATGTCGCGTACCGTGTACGTACTCTAGAGCTAACTATTTGGATGGAACTCATCCTAATGATTGTGGCGTGGGACTGCCCAGCGCTGTGCGACTCTCTGATATTTGACAGCACGACGGAGAACCATGCCTTCATTTAGCTGCCCTGCTTCCCGTCTGAAGATCTCCTGCCAGGGCGTCTGGCTCTCGGGAGAATAAAACCCACCAGATAAGGTAAGTTGCTGCCTCCGCGTCGTTATTTCACCTTCAGATAGCAAGAGATCGACACGGCGTTTCATCAAGTCGATCCGAAGCCGATCCCCGTCACGTATCACTGCTAGATTACCTCCAGCGGCCGCTTCAGGACTTGCGTTGAGTATAGATGGTGACCCTGAGGTACCAGATTGCCTCCCATCTCCAATACATGGAAGGGAATGGATGCCTCGCTTCAGTAGGTGACTGGGGGCTCGCATGTTGACAACTTCTGCAGCGCCAGGGTATCCTAGCGGACCAACCCCTCGCATTACGAGAATTGTTCTTTCGTCAATAAGAGTCTCACCATTCTCGATGCGTTTCTCGTAATCTTCCGGCCCATCAAAGACGATAACTCGACCTTCAAATGCATTGGGATCACTAACATCGGACAGATATGCCTCCTGGAACTCCAGTGAAATCACAGAAGTCTTCATGATTGCAGAATCAAACAGATTGCCTTTCAAGTGCGCAAATCCAGCACGTGCCTTGATTGGATCGGAGTACTTTTTGATTGTCCTTCTGTCCCACGAATGTTTTCCAAGTGCGATATCTTTCACCGTCTTACCAGTACAGGTTAATATCTCGGCATGGAGCCTACCTTCATCTAGGAGCTCAGCCATTACCGCTGGCAGTCCCCCAGCTTGGTAGTACTCCTCACACAGCATCTCACCGGCCGGCTGGACATTCAATATGAGTGGGATTTCATATCCAATGCGATCGAAATCGTCGAGATCGAGTTCAACTCCAATATGTTGAGCGATGGCAATCAGATGTATCGGAGCATTTGTACTTCCCCCGATGGCGCTATTCACTACAATGGCGTTTTCGAATGCCTCTCGGGTCATAATATCACTGGGTTTGCGGTCTGCATGCACCATATCGACAATAGTCTTTCCTGTTTCATATGCACATTGTGCCCTTTCGCGGTATGCGGCGGGAATGGCAGCGGATCCAGGCAACGCCATGCCTAGCGCTTCAGCCATAGCATTCATCGTCGACGCCGTTCCCATGGTGTTACAGTGTCCGACAGATGGTGTCCTATTGTCCAAGTCAAAGATATGTCACAGAAGAGAGAAGATCCGACACGAACCCTGCAGCTACCAATTTCACAAGAGTCTCATTGTCAATTTCACCTGCTGCGTGCTGTTCTCTAGCCTTCCAAAATATCGTCCCTGATCCAATTCGTGCTGTCGAGCCCTCAAGATGGCCATTCAACATCGGCCCTACATTCATACAGATTGTTGGAATATTCTTCAACACAGAATCAGTGGACTATTCCACCTTCTGACAGAGACTTACAATTGTGGCAGCCGCCATCAGGAAGGCCGGCGTCGTTTTGTCGCACCCAGTAAGTAGCACGACTCCGTCCAGAGGATACCCGTGCAACAACTCCACGAGACCTAGGTAGGCCAGATTTCTATCCAGTGCTGCAGTCGGTCTTCTCGTAGTCTCCTGGATAGGGTGAGTTGGGAATTCAAGAGGCACGCCCCCTGCCGCCAGAATTCCTGCCCGAACTCTTTGGGCAAGAACCAGGTGGTGACGATTACATGGCGTCAAGTCGGAGCCTGACTGGGCAATACCAATGATTGGTTTGTTGGATTGCAGTTCCTCGGATGTCAGCCCGTAATTGAGGTATCGCTCGGCGTATGCCGCAGAGACCCCTGGGTTCTTCTTGTCATTGAGCCAGCTTGCAGAGCGCAGTTGTGATGCACCAGTGCCAGGGAGGGGACATTTCTTCACGCCTGCCTCCGACAGTTGCTGCTGCAATCTCTCATTCTCAATTCTCAAGGCCCCAAGTTGAAGCAAGCAGTCCTCAATGTCGATGACCTGTCCTTGGCCGCTGCTTGGACATGAGTTGCACGATTGTGGTTCAGGGTCGCACATCACAAATTGATAGTCGGGACTTGGTTCCTTAAATTGACCTGAAGGGTAGTGAAGGAGAGTAATGATCCTTATTCTTGACTACCTGGAGGGTATTTTCGTCATCCGCTACGACTCCCGACGATGTTGCCCGGCTTGTAGAAACTTCACACTTTCCCCCCGCGCTACTCTCAACCTTATATAACTGAGACCTGGTTCAGTGATACTTTCCAACTAGCGTCGCTCGTTATTAATTGCGTTTTTAAGAAATCACTCCACTTCGACTTGTCTCCTTTCGACTTGAAAAGTCCAGAGATGGTTAGCGTGGAGCCATGAAAGGCTGAACAGACTATTTGACGTCATGCGTAACCTCTGAATCGTAGGCAGATGGATGCTGGGTCGGTGCCATATTCAATGGTGGTGAGTTTTTTGCATACACCAACCATTTTCGACCTCATCAACTGGTCCAGATCTGCTTGCTCGCAAATTTGCACTATCTCGAGCCAAGGAGCCAATACAGTATTTCATGCTACGATAAGATCTGAGATGCGCGTGTATCATTCAAGGGCCCGCACAAGTCAGAAAATGGCTTGGTAGGCTTGGAAGGGTTTAATGTCAGAAACCTGCATACGACATGCATAGCCATAACGGTGATCCGATGCTTGAGATACGGCACGCGAGTTCTCAAGACTCTGATATGGTGTTCTTGATGGTCAGATTCTTCGCAAGGAGTTTCCTCAGGTCAGCCTGATGGTGCCTCCGTCAGAAAACATCCCCCGTCGATCCATGACGAATTGCGGACACTTCAACGGCCAGTGATACATTTTTATATTCACCAGTGTTTACTCGGTCCCCTTTTTCAGAGCGATGCCGAACCCTGTGAGGAAGGAATCCATTCGCTGGAACCATGTTATGGGTGAGTAGATCTGACGTTTTCGGGGTAAGGGGCAATCTTTCTTAATAAGTCGGTTGTATGCCCTTTCCTCAAGTCTCAGACTATCGACCAGCAGAGGTAAACAACACGATATCTGCCTTAAATTCAGAGGACTATCTGATAGCCCTCCCTCAACATGAAGACATTGAGCAGGAGCGTCAATATGAGTGATCATATCGAGTTGGCGAAATTCCTCTTCGTTCGTCTACATCAGCTCGGTGTAGGGTCGATTCACGGTGTACCTGGCGATTTCAATCTTACGATTCTTGACTATGTTGAACCTGCTGGTCTTACATGGGTAGGAAGTGCCAACGAGCTAAACGCTGCATACGCAGCTGATGGCTACGCGAGGATTAAGGGGATCTCAGCTCTCATCACTACGTTCGGGGTTGGGGAGTTGTCGGCAATCAATGGAATCGCGGGAGCTTATGCTGAGAGGTCTCCTGTGGTTCATATTGTCGGTACACCTTCCACTGCCATGCAAGATGCTGGCACTTGTTTACACCACTCACTCGGTGATGGAGATTTGAGAGTGTATTCACGATTATACAAGAGCGTTACCGTCGCGCAGACGAATCTGAGAGATCCCAAGTCGGCACCCCAGCAAGTGGATGCGATATTACGACAATGTATACTTGAGAGCCGACCGGTATACATCGAGCTACCGACTGATATGGTGTCGGCTCTGGTACCATGTTCTGTTCTTGAGTCACCAATCGACCTCACTGTAACATCAAGTCAAGAGCTTCATGATGCTGATATTGACGCTATTATTGAAAGGATACATACCTCCAAACAACCATTTATAATCGTGGATGGGTTTGCTTCGCGGTACGGTATTGTCTCAGAAGTGAATGAGCTTGTACGTATCACGGGCATTCCTACCGCCACAACGCCTTTTGGCAAGGGCATCGTTAACGAGGCATATCCAAACTTTTATGGGCTGTATGAAGGAGTAATAGGAACGAATATACCCATAACATGGGCCGAGAAGTGCGACCTTATCCTTCGGATAGCACCTCTTAACAGTAACGTGAACACCTTGAGTTTCAGTACCATTCCCGAGGCTCAAAGAACCATTACCTTCAACAAGGATTCGATCAATATTTGTGACACCACAACGTTTCGTGACGTTGACATAAAGGCCGTGTTTCAAGCTATTCTGCAGCGAATGCCCCAGGACAAGCTCCCGCATAACGAAGTGTACCCACAGCAACTGCATCACCCACTGCAAGAGCTCACTGCGCTCCCAGAGCCGACAGCAGATGGTGTTGTTGACCAAGGCACATTTTATCGCCGTATCTCAAGCTTCTTCCGACCACACGACATCATCTTAGCCGAAACAGGGACAGCTTCGATAGGCTCCCGGGAATTCATCCTGCCCGAGAAAACGCAACTGCTGAACAGCAGCATCTGGCTCAGCATTGGTTTCATGTTGCCCGCAGCCCAAGGTGTTGCACTTGCGCAACGCGAGCTTGGTGCCTCGGGCAAATGTCTCCCTGGACGGGTGATACTCTTTGAAGGCGATGGCTCTTTTCAAATGACCTCCCAGGCGATCTCGGACATTGTTCGCAATCGATTGAATGTCACCGTGTTTCTCTTGAATAACGATGGTTATACAATTGAACGTCTGATCCATGGCATGAGCGCACACTACAATGATATCCAACCATGGCGGTATCTTCAATCCGCCAGCTACTTCGGTGCACCTGAGGATGATGAATCGTACCCAGTCACCACGAGAAGGGTGGGAAACTGGGGACAACTAATGAATCTGATGCGGGATGAGGATTTTTCCGATGGAAAGGGGTTCAAGATGGCAGAGATTCTCATGGCGAAAGATGATGCTGTGGAGAGTCTCAAAACCCTCGTCAATAAGGCTAAAAGTAGTGCTCAGTAGTCGGGGATAGAAAACCGTCATTGTTGACTAAGCAAGGGATTATACAGGCACTACCTTAGGGAGGTAGTCAACAGGTCTGTGCCTGACTTAGGCACCAAGTTAGGCATGCACCTAGAATATTGGGATGTTGGTCAAATACAATACACCCTTCGTATGGCTTTGTCAAGCCTTTTGGCACCTGAGACGGTGCATCATTAGGGCGCCAAGATCACCCTAACTACTGCTACTTACCGAGGTAGGCAGTTGCTACCGTCACTGGCAAGCTGTGGATGGCTTGGTATTTGATAGGCAGACTGCAATTTACTACCAATTCAACTTGTTCCCCTCCTCACTTATGTTCACCCATAGATCGAGCATCTGACGATAAATGGATTGCCATTCCGGCTGATGATCCTGTCACAGATTATGATACAGTCGCAAATACTGCATGCGATGGCAGGATGAAGGACAAAATTCGGGCCGACCATATTTCTCCAATTGTTCCACATGTGTTGGACCTGTTTTGGCTGGTTGAGCAAGTAACTGGTTCTGGAAAATCGCGAAACTCCGCAAGGCAACTACGCTTACAACTCTGGGGTGCTCGGGCCGTTGCCTCAACTTGAGGATGCCCAATCTTGTTTTTATCGATGCCTTGGACAATTCTCGAAATAATCAAATCCGAGTGAAGCGCCACGTTGCCAACGCGACTCACAAGCGGAAACGACTAGCAAATGTTATCAGGCATCGCACTGCAGGAGCCTCTGCGAATCGGCACACTACTCCGATTGGCGCGCTGGATGACGTGGTAGAAGATGAAGAGCCCTCCCGATCTAATTGTCTTGTGAAAGACACTAGCTCTTTGGTCGATGGACGCAATGCCAGTTCTAAGGCTCGACGCAAACAAGAAACCAAGGCTGTCATGCTTCGGTGGCGGCTTCCAGTTCCTCAAGATATCACACCGAGGGGCGACCAGTTGAAAATCGAACTGGTCCTTACCCAATCATGCAACTGGATGTTTGGACAATACACCTATCCGTGGTCTATCCTCATAAAGCGAGACCCAACCGTTTACGACCAGAACAATCGCATTGAGATTTTTAGAGAAGCTTTCTACATTGTTTCAGACTTGATCAGCTCGCAAAGGGTTGATGCAGCCTTTAAAGTTTTGAAGAGTACTTTGGATGCTGTACCGGGGCTCTTTCGAGACTCCCATCCAGAGATCCTATTTTCGCTTGTGGAACTTGCATCTGGCATCAACATGCCTGGGGCGGACGCCTTGCACGCAAAAGTCAAGGTCCACATTGCTGACATGGCCGAGGTCGTTCTAGGTGTTCAGCATCCGCTCACGATCCTATTGCGATCCGAATTCGATGCTGCCCCAAGATCTCATGTTACTGAACTCGTTTTCAAATGCATAATTGATGCGCTTTCCAAAACGTTTGGTCAAAATGCATACCAAACTCTTGTTCAACAAATGGGACGTTCTCAGTTCTATGCCCGGACTGGACGAGGACGAGATGGCCAAGAGCTGATCACAAGAGTCATGAAAGAGTGGCAAGGACAGTATGGAAGTGACTCCGTGTTGGCGAGACTAGCAGAACTGGAGTTGAACCTTATGCGTTTGCAGGAGTGCCATGATCCTGATTCTTCAGTCGAGGCTGAGACGAACAATTCGATGTTGAGAATCGAAGTGATGACAGGAGTCTACACTAACAAATTCACCGAACGGCCAACTTCAACCGAGGCAAAACTAGACAGATCTTCGCGGACATTGGCTCTTGCGCATTGGTTCTTACTCAAGAAACGGTATACTTTTGCTCTGCATGTTTATGGCCGACGAAGCGGACAATCCGCCGAAGACTGCATATCTACTCCTGATAATCGGGACCAATCTCTGGCAGACAAGATCTCTGATATCGTCGAGGAGGCGCTCTCCGAGATCCTCTTCTCTCCCGGAAACATTTCGATGCTTCCTTTGCGTGCGTCATTTAGTGACGAGCGCGTGTCATTTGGTTGATCTCAAAACAGCCGCTGCCAGTTCACAACCTGAGTAGTCACCGCCGGGAGACGAGTGACATCTCATCTGGCCAACGATTGCCGTTCAAGTCCATGACTGTGACAAACCTGGCGTCTTGATTGTAAGTGTCAATAGAAACACTACCACAACCTTAGGTATCAATATCGAGCTCTTGGTGCCCACCTTACTGCTCTATGTTGATACTCCTCAGCAGAGGGGAAAGTCAAGGAGCCCGTATGGCCCCCTCATAGGTACATGTGTAACGATCAGGAAGTTGGAAAGTCCACAGTTTCGACTTTGACTGGTATGAGCACAGTCGAGCAATGCGACATAACACTATGATGGAGCTTGAAACTGGGCTTCGGGACAGGTGACATATGAGACATCGAGGTCCTTCTCGCTCGAGCGCCAGGAACGGTACGCCAGATTGTCGCATGAACCAGAAATGAAGCCAAATCTAGCCTTAAATTGTAGGACAGTGTCAATTGCTAGCATTGGAGGCCCCACTCAAGCATGTCAATGCTAATTGACAAAATCTCTATCCGCCGCACGAAGCGATTGTCACATGTACACGCGTTTGGACGCACCGAGCCTTGCGTGGGCCGGGAACAGCAAACTATTTTGATGCTGGTGTCGCCCTCCTGATTGAAAAGCACTGTGATTCAAGATTCAATTCTTGTCGACTCAACATTCCCGTCGAATCATTGAACCTGTTCAGAGGCCAGTCTCATATGTGGAATGCTTCTACATTTGTGTTGCACAACCAGATTCAGTGGTGACCTGTCATCTCAAAGACGATATTCCAGCGCACATGTTGTACAACATGACTGTATCCTGACCGGAAACGGCCCGTACCCGCTGCCAGGGCCCGAGGCTCCATTCTACAGTCTACACGAATGACAGCCTTCTGAGAGAAGTAATTCAACACTTCCTTCTGGGTCACTATTAGAAGTTTGGGTCTCAAAATTGCATGCGTTTCTTTCTTATCCGTTGATAGATGGCGCCTACTCAGGCTATCGACTGGAATGGCTGATGGGCCAGGTTCGGAGGGCATTGGGCTATAGTAAAGGACTATTAGACATCAGAGTCACACGGCCATCTGCAGCGGAGTCGGCATCTAAATGGACGACTGTGGATGTCCTTCGGCACTGCTTAAGGCGTCATCGAGCTGCAATGGAGCATGGTTGCTTATGGCTTTTTGGAATCTACCCGTTCCAGTAACGGACGATGACTTCCACGCGAGATTGCCGAAGACGTTGGCCATGACCACCTCTTCTCACGACTGTCCTTGGTTTGGCAATCTTCCTGGAGGTGTCAACAGCTCACGGGAATCTGCTGTTCGTGATCAAACAACTTTGAGCCCTTGAGCTTGCCATCAAGAGTTGATAAATACGCTGGGGAAAAGGAGCATGATGCAAATCTTTAAGATACTCACACTCTTTTGAAACACACACTTCGAGAAATCACCATGGGTAACCGCACAAGCACTCTTTTTGCATTCCTCACTGTAGTCGCGGTAGGTTATGCTGACCATGGCCCAGGTAGGTCATATGTCTGTACTTTTTCTCGTGTCTTGAAGGAATTAACTGTCTTCAGGTCTTCACAACCGTGTCGTACGTCGCTGCGATAATCACACTCACTCGGGAGGCTATGGCAGTCACACTTGGGGCCCTCTTATGATAACTGATCCAAGCACTGGCTATGCATCCATTCGTCAATGTGGTGGGTACGGGGGCGATCCTTGTATCCCAACGGCTTCAGGATCCCCAGTTGTCATTTCAACAACAAATTCCAGCTACACTTGGGTTTCGAATAGTTCTATCAATGGTACCCAAGGTGCGGCAACGACCATGGCGATTGAAAGCTCCAGTGGAACAACATTGGACAGCCCAGTGGGTGCTTTCAGCGGTTCTACAACGACTACGAACAACACTACTGCACAGGTAGCAAGTTCTTCCGGTAGCTCCAGTTTCATCAACGGAATTACAACTGACACTTTCTCAATTTCAACATCAGTCCCGGGAACTGCTTCGTCTGGTAATACGACCGCATGGGCAGATTGGAGTCGCTCAGGAAGTGTAGGGAGAGGACCAATCTGGACCAACACCACCAGTCATCCTCAAGAAACCTTTTCCCAATCATCGGACGCAAGTGATAGCATGGAGACCGTATTTATCATTACCACTGATGTGACAACTCTGCCAGCACATCTCACAATCACACTCCACGAACCAGCGGATACCTCAGCTAGTTCAGCTGTTGTCACAACATCAGGGTCTGTCTCTCCAGCTGGTGGAGCTAACAGTACGTTAGCCTCGGGCGTTGTGAGCTCAGGTGCGGCTACCAGCTTCTCCAGAGATTTTGAGCCTGTACAAGCGACTTCGAGCTCTGGCGGTTCTTCGGCCTCAACCCAGGAAGAAAGCTCTACTACCAGTTTGGAAGGAACCTCTACCACATCATCCACTTGGAGTTCAAGCACAGACAGCAGTACTATCGATGATACCAATACATCAGGATCAGCTGTATCTTCTTCGTCGCCATCTACCAGTAATCCTGTCGAGTCAATCACGAGTGCCAATGTCACTTCCGTCGCAATGAACACATCAAGCACTGCGGCAGCATCTGGGTCAGTCTACTGGGCCAACAGTACCACGTTTGCTTCTGGTGTGGTGACCTCGACATCATGCAGCAGCGAAAGTAGGCCAACAGAGTGGAGGGATTGGAATGCTACAGTCTCATGGCCTGCGACTGTGTCCTCAAACCCATTGGCTCCCACCGCCGCGCCCATCACAATTCCTAGCATGGGCACCCAGACAATTGTTTGCGTCAACGCAACGTGTAGCGCGCAGACAGCAGTATCCTCATCCATGGTGACCAACTTGACTGCTATCACTACCATCGTCGGCAACAATCCCAATGCCTCTACCATTTGCTTTGCGAGTGGTAGGCCCATCAGCTGTCCGACTGCCAATGCGCCATGGTTGACTGCAGCTCCGACTGGAACAACGTTCTCTACTTCAATCATCTCATCTGGGACGGGTGGCACCGGGGATGGCAATGCTACGACGACCGGGGCTCGTATGGCGATGCCGGTCAAGCGTGCAATCCCACCGCATGTGGCTTGGGCTCGGGCTAGGATGCAGGAGTTTTACAAACAAGAGAAAGGCGGTGAATGTGAGGATCTGAAGTTGGAAGAAGACGAGGTGTGAGCCTGAGGAAGATTGAGATCAAATCGAGATGGATGAGTCGGGTATCATCAGGGTAAAGGGCCTTTGTTATTGGAGGGATGATTTATTGAGATCTGGGTGAGTCCAGGAAAGTCTTCCATGTAATATCAAGTCTGCTTGCAATATTTTCCAAGTTCCCCGGTCGATGGCTTCATCCTGTAGCCCGTACGAATTTGGGCTTCGTAATATCGTGGCTTTTGCCCACGATGTAGGTATGTGTTGGAGCCCCAAGAGATTCAGAAGCCTGGCAGTGATGCTTGCGGGGAATTCTGTCTGGACTTCAAACTTGCCCTTCATATCTGAGATGAGCCTTCCCGCTGCAATCGCGGACTCGAGTACAGATATCATAGTGCCGCTGCTCACACCTGGCAGGGCATGGCAGAATTTGTGAACGACGAACTTTACCTCCTCCCCTGACGGCCACCGTAGTCGACGATAACGGGACAGAGTATGAGTCTGCGGTGTTGTTGAATTGGGATGTTAGAGCTCTGTTGGCTGCCTCGGTGAGGCCTTGATGGTCTCGCACTTCTTTCTCTCACTTCAAGTGAATGTAGTTGTCGTGCTGCCTGCACTTCACTACTGGCGGCACTAGTCTACTGATTAATTCTTTGAATAGGAAAATATTCCTATTCATGATAGATTCGCTTAATTGTGTGGCTGGGTCAATCAAACCACTCCGTCATTCACAGCAATTGAGCGAGATGGCAACCTCACTGTTGGTTCCTCCATTCGGCGAGGGTTGCTGGTCCACCCATGATGACCATATTTTGAGTATCAGCATCTTTGCCCAACGCTGTGCCTTGATACCGAGACTCTTCTCCAGTTTTGCTGTGTTTCTTCTTCAAAGCTGCACACCATCACAAGTCAGTCTCATTTTTCTCACCGTCAAATTTCTCTTGCCTCCGAAACTCACCAGTGAGATAATCCTCTTGCTCATCCAGCCCAGCTGCAATTTCCTCGACATTTGCATCATCCCCAAATCCTGCAATTCGTCGAATCCCTTTGTTGACGGGTCCGTGAGCCCAGTTCACAAAGCCCTCAACTCCTCGTAAATCCTCAAAAGGAACCAAGACTCCTTCAATCTCCACGTCAACCTTCAGACCCTCTTCCACGGAACTCATCTGTGGCACCAACGCTCCAGCTTGAGTCAAAGCGAGTCGAACATCTTGAATTGTTGGCACATGACTGTTGTGAGTGTTGAAAGCATTCTGGGCTGTTGAAGAAGCCAGAAGACTCAGATATCTAGCAGCCAGATCGGTCACAGTGTCAACCACTGCAGGCTTTGCATAACCGAACCCAGCTGCACGAAGGATCTGAAGAACGGCTGGACGCAGCAAGGCTGTTTGAAGATCGGCCGAAGTCATTGCTATCAGATCGTCCTTGCTGTAAAAGTTGTGGACGAAGTGAAAAAGAAAAGAAGAGAAGGCATTGACTGATAAGTCGAAGGCTCAGTGCAAAGTCCACCGGTGATTTCCACACACAAACCAAATCAACAGCACCAATACTTCACTCCATCACATACAGCAACCACGATGGCCAGGTCCCAGAAAACAAGCAAGCCCAAGCCAACGGCGTCCAAGGGCGTTACGAAACGCCTCGCTCAGTCCGCAGCTGGCGCCTTCGTCACTCTCAAAATATCCCCTCACTTGTTACGCAAGCGTGCAATATCATCTACTACTGATATACGATCTTCAGCAGAAATAGATGTCGATGTGGAAGACGACGACATGCAGACACGAGGTGCGTGGGACAAGAATCTGGCCAATTCGAAAAACATCCGACGACGATCAGCATCCCCCCAACCCACCAATCATCATGATGGCTCAGGTTCCTCTGCCTCCGACTCCGACTCGCCTCCAACAAACAAGCGCAAAGCCCACATTAGGGCGCAGCACAAAGCAAGACGCGTCAAGTTGAAAGCCAAACGCATCCAATCTAGGCGCAGTGCGTCACCCGAGGCCACATGCACAGCACCAGAGAGTCCAACAACGCCTATCTATGAATCCGTCCCTGGCGTTGCTTCCAACGGAGAAAATGCAACCCCCGATTCATCCTCTTCTTCACCCGGCTCTGCTTCCGACATCAAGGCCGTTTTAGAGAACGAAGGACCTCAAGACGAAGTCGGCGCCGCAATGGCCGATGATGCCTCCAAACCTCCTCGCCCATCCTTAAAACTCAGCTTCAGCAGGCCTTCCATACCACAGGTGAATGATGGCCAGACTGCACAAACGCCCAATCCTCAGAGCGCTGTGCGCACTCCATCTATCAAGTTGAAACTAGGCGGTACATCCACAGCACCCCCGACGCCTGCCAGTGCAACTGGAGGAAAACGAAAGAAGAAAGAGTCGGATGAAGCGACTCCTGGTTCTGCTACCAAGAAGCGGAAACTACAAAATGGCACAAAGGAACTACCTTTGGAGGGTGGAAAATCTACGCAACCACCCGCCAGGCCAAAAATTACTTTCAAGAACACTGCCACCTCTGTCCCCAGCGTGGCTCAGACTCCAGCACCCCTCCTCAAACTCAAGTCGAAAGGCAAGATACCAAAGCGACCCCCAGGTATGGGATACGACTCAGAGCTCGAAGATCGAGAGCAAGACCCTGTCATACTCGAAGGATTTATCTTAAGAATGCAGCCAGGCCCCGATTGTGATTATTTGCGCAAGCAGATAGAAGAAGGCAAAATAGGGATTTCGCGCTTTAAGGGAGGCCCCGAAGTTACTCTACGCATGCTGGACACTCTCGGAAGGCGAGGCATTATGGTCATCAAGGCAAACAAATATGCGACGACGTTGGTGGATCTTCCATGCATCATCGAAGGCATGAAATCATGGGACAAGAAGGGCTGGATGAAAAGTACTGATATCTGCCAAATGTTGTTGGTACTGGGAAGATGTGCCTCAGACGATGAAGCAAGGAATTATCCATTGCCACCAGACGTCGACCCTCAAACATATCAATACGCCCATGGACTGACTGCACCCATGAAATGGGTGCGCAAACGACGATTCGCTCGAACGAAGCGAGCCAAGGTCGATGACATTGAAGCCGTCGAACGGCGTGTGGCCGCGCTATTAGAAGCGGACAAGGCAGCTGTAGCTACCAGATTCCAACTTCATGATAGTGATCCACGGCTGATCGAACAGCCCAGTGAATACTTTTCTGATGAGGGCGATGATGAAGGGGCTGAAGATGCCGAAGGCGAAGACGATGATGGTGGATATTTCCCAGTCGTCGATGAGCTTGATGATGATGCAGTCAATGAATTTCAGAACTATTGGGAGTCAGATGGTGAGGGAGATGGGCCCGAACCAGCTGCAACTGGAGTCACATCACATCCTCACACTGGTCTTCAGCCTCCTGATGCGTTTGATTCGTCCATCGCAGTCACGAGCAATTCTGCTTCACCATTGGTTACGGCTGCTCAAACGCCTGCCTCGGCTGCTGGCCACTCTTCGGGTGATGAAGATGCGGAAGGCGATGACGATGACGATGATGACGACGATGAAGAAGAAGAACGTGATGATGACCAAAAAGAGGAAGATGAGCAGATGCGCAGAGCCAAAGAGGCAATCGGGGACTACAAGCTCAAGATCAAACAGCATCTTGAGAAAATCAATGCACCCGGCACACTCCCGGTGCTCAAGAGAAAACTTGCCAACCAGGTACAGAATCTCAGAGCGGACATCGTCCAGAGAAAGAAGACGGCGGGAATACCTTTGGACGATGAAGATGAGGAATAAATATAAATTGTGTTATCATTACAATCAGCCGTGAGTGCGATCAAGAGGAAATACCTTACTTACACACAAATATCCATATTGGCATGGGAAAGCCCCGGCGGCTTGTCAAGTAGAATGGATTCTTTCATAATTTCTCAGAAGAAATAAAATACCATTTACATGTTCATCATGTTCAGTATCAGTCTTTGGATTCCTCCGGGCTCAGTGCTTCAAGAACAGCTCAGGGAGACATTCAGATTGACAGCGTGGCCCTTAAAAGTCATTCGTCGTTTCTAACGTTACGAGTCATGTTCAGATATGCCCAGGATGATCACAACTGGGTAGATCTACTTCATCGATTTCGGATTTCGTGATGGGTGATACATAGCTTCACCTCGATCGCCGATTGCCCAGGCGCGAGGGGCGGATGCAGCTGGTCCCGTCACGGGGGCTAATCTGACCCCAGCGGCCGCTCTTCTTACCCGTAACTTGAACCTATAACCAAAGTACCAGAGAGTTAGGTGCTTATCGGCCATCATTATGTATCTACGCCACTCCTACATGGACAGAGAAAGATCGGTGGCCAAAAAGCCTCGTGAATATCCGACCGTGTTGGGGAACGACATTCGTAATGATGAGATTTAACTCTCTCTTCAACAAAAGTGTCCCTTCCCAGGCTGCCACCAGTCATCAATCAGATCACCATCCATAATAATGGTTTCCTCTATTTCCAGCTTTCGATAGGCTCCGGGAGCACGACGTTGCCATAGTCTCTGGAGCTACACCTTACGCGTCTGTTTCCCACCGTCAATGAATCGATCCTCTTGGAATCTGCATTTACTTACGACTCCAGAGTCCTGCTTACGATCTAGCTTTGATACAGCTTTGGCGGCATGAGAGCTATTTTTTGGCTGGTTCTTCAGCATTGGCACGTATTCTAAGGCTGTTGATAGCGCCATGGTGGTTGTCTCGTGCACCGTTTTCGGCGACCAATATCACTCAGGCAGGCTTGTACCTGCCTTATTTACTAATTGCATTTTGCTCCCTTTGCTACTGGCCGATACCATTTCTTGGTGCTAGGAATTCGTGACTTGAGCCAAATCGGCCATCGACTTGAGTTGATGCCTTGGGTGAAGAACGTCAAACCAAGGCTGGAAAGAAACCGAACAATGCACCATGTCGCAGGAAGATAGCCCTGGTCGCTCCAATCGCTCAAAACGCAGCAAGACAGAGCTTGCGTGTGATACCTGTCGGAAAAGGAAGTCAAGATGTGATGGCAGGCGCCCCAATTGCTCCCATTGTGAGAACATGGGGTTTGAATGCATCTATCGACCTCCACTGAGCATTCTAGATGCGTGAGTCCCCCATTGCGTAACTATGGGCAGACTCTTGCTGACCTGGTTTTGTAGGGACGCATCAGTATTGGCGCGCCTTGCAATCTTGGAATCTCGTATTCAAGCAATGGACCAACGCCATCTTTCAGAGACCATCTCCTCTAGCACTCCCAGTCGAGATAACACCCTCGGCTCGCCTCAAGCCGTCGTCACGCCGTGGCCCAAGGTTCCCGAATTTCACCATGCCGCTGCACACAAGATGTTCCATTATTGGTCCAAACTCAGAATCAACATCAGTCCTCCTGAGCTGGAACCATTACACTTCTTCAAACAGGTTGATGACGCTGACACCTTCTTGGTGGGTTCCAAGTTTGAGAGTCATATCTCTGGAACGATCTACTACGCCGAGTTAATGCGTGCGATTGATCTTTTATTCGAGGAAATCATGCATTTACCATTCATACTCCGTCACTTGTTGACATCTGGCGGACTTTCTCGGAATATGTGCATCGATGTATTTGGGGCGCACGCCCCTGCAAAGCCTGACCCTACGGTCACTCTTGACTTTGTTGATCAGTCTGCAGAAGAGCTACTCATACAGACGGTCGCCTTGAAGCATTTGGCGGCGAAAGAGTCTAGTGTGGTTTTGAGTCAGAAGGCTGATCTGGCTTTCAGATATGCACTGGAACGAATGTGGATGATGCAGTCCCAACAAAGTCCACAGGCACTGCCATTTAAGTTCCTGTTCGTCATCATCATGCTCTATCTTTACGGTAGACCATTTCACGCTTTAGGAATATTGCAAAGTCTTGAATCTTTGATACATAACACGTCGCCAAGCAGTCAGGGTGATATTTCGGCTCGGGCACGCTACGAGGCTTATTTTTATCAGTACTTTCTTCTCGAAAGCGATATCCTGACGGAAATTGATGGAGTGCCCTCCCACCGTTTACATAATATCGGTTTGCCAACAGCGTTCGACGCCGTGACAACACCACCCAATCTGATGGGCAGTGAACCAGGCTCCTCTTTGACTTACGATTATGCCATACAGGAACTTCATTCTCATTTGACGCTTCGTGGCTATCTCAACAGCGTCCTCGCAAATCTGTATACGACGGAGAGAGCGTATTGCCGACCTGACGAGATAGCAGCAAACCTTACCGACATTGCCCGTCGATTGGATATATGGTATTGGTCCTTACCTCTGGAGATGAGATTTCCAAGACATCCTGCGGCATTTCTCCTAACGATACCACGAATGAGTGACAAGATGGTAAGCATGAAATTCCAGCATTTCAGGACAATCATTAACCAATCGTAGGATGAGCTAAGATTCAGGTATCATGCTGCCGTTGTTTTGGTCAATCGACCCGTCTTGTACTTTGTGCTCTACGAAACGATGGAACATGCCGCCAGATCGGCAGGGGACTCTTCAAAGCAAAACCCGTGGGTGTACGAATCCTGTTATAGTTGTGTGCAAAACGCAGTAATGATTGTTCTGCTACATGTCAAAAGATTTCGCAGTGGTCTTTGTGATTATTTTGATAGCTGGTGCAACATACAGCATCTCATAGCGGCATGCGCGATAATAATTCAGGTTCAAAATTCACCAACGATGTCGATTTTACTGAAGGAACATGATGATCCTATGGGGTTGTTGGATGCAGCCGAAACAGTCATTGAGCAAGGCATAAACCGACCGGCAAACGTCCGTGAAACTTTGGGAATGTTGAGGAACATTCGACAAAATTTTCAGCGACACACTCCTCGCACCCCATCGATAAGCGGTCAGACTAGCTCCCCTGTGTTCTGAAGATCAGAGAGTTCGTCTCGAAAACAATGCTTGAGCGAATGGAAGACGACGATTGTGCATGCGTCAAATACACCCCTTTGGGAAGGCTTCGCGATTATGTTGCAGATGCACAGCTACCATTATTAGCTTCACTTATGGTTCAAAATGAATCACCGCGCCTTCCATATGGCACGAAACCACCGTTTTTTGCTAGCCGTGGGGCAAGACTCAGTTTCCAAGCACCACAAATGATGATGCGCCTCCATAGGCAGGGATATTGTTAGTCAGCTGATTCTTGCAGCCGAAAGCCAAGGTTGCGAATTTGATGGCCTCTTTAAAGGGCGTGGGGAGGCCATACTTGTCGCTCGTGTGAAGATGAACCTCATGCGATTTGAGTCTTTGCTCAAGGAATTTCATCAGAGTGGTATTCCGGCAGCCCCCCTCCACTCGCTATGACTGTGTTTAACTGTGCTCTGGGGAGAATGAAACCAACAATTGATGATTCTAGGGCGTACGCTGTGATCATCGCCAGAGTCGCGAGGAGATTTCGAGACCGGTGTGATCACAAATTCCACAGGATCGGACCCAGTGACAGTTCGCCTGAAGGGGAAGACATTCCGCGAACAGCCTCATTGACTGTGATCGATGAAAGTGAAGCACACTCGAAACATACCGACCAGAGAAGGGGTGGTTCTGAAAAGGAAGCCCTGACCACGGCCCCGTGAGACACCGTTTAATGTCACAATTTGTGTGTGGCGTCCACCGACGAAACAAGGCCTCAATCCAGATCGATCTTCATAATGAAGGTTTCATTTTCCCCATTTATCTATTGAGTATTCCTGGAACTATTTGCTCAAGCCTTCAGAGCTGGAGTTTCATAATTCATGATGACAGACATGGCCTCGGGATACCTCAGACCAAGATTCTGAGTCTTTTCGGACAGGGCTCTCAAGGTCTTGTTCTCCTCATCGGTCAACTGTACCGTCACTGCGAAGAGATTCTCCTTCAGACGCTCGGCACTACGCGTGCCAAACAGGACGTGAATCTGCTCGCCCTGTCGCATCAACCACGCAAGTACCAATTGACTGGTGGTGAGGCCCTTTTTCTCCGCGATGTCCTTGAATTTGTTAGTTAGTTCCATATTGCGATCGAAGAATTCCTTCTGGAACCGCGGAATGGCACCACGCCAGTCGCCCTTCACTTGCTCGGGAGATGTGATGGTGCCGGTGAGGAAGCCTCGACCGAGCGGACTATATGCAACAATTGCGGTCCCGAGCTCATTGCAAGTGTCAAGAAGGCCGGCGTTGCCCTTCTCACCACGTTCGATGTCGAGGATCCACGGAGAGTACTCTATTTGGACCGCTGTGATGTGGTGAATCTTGCTTGCGCGCTTGAGCGTATCAACTGAGACTTCAGACAGTCCAATGTTCTTGATCTTGCCCTCGCTGTTCAATGTCAGTCTGTGGATCTGGATATATATCGTTAGGGAGTCTTACTTCTTCAGCTCCACCATGACTTTGAGCGTTTCCTCGATTGGCGTCTTTCCGTCCACACGATGGCAGTAATAGAGGTCGATGTAATCTGTCTTCAACTTCTTGAGGCTGCGCTCGACGGCTGCTCGAAGATATTCCACATCACTTCTGAGCGACATGCCCTGGTCATTAATCACAATGCCAAATTTGGTTGTCAAGAAGATGTCCTTGCGCTTTTCCGGATTACGCTCGAACCATTTCCCAACCAGCTCTTCTGTGTCGCCATAGATATCAGCGTCATCCCAGTGGCGGGCACCCAGATCATATGCGGCATCCAAGACCTTGAATCGGTCCTCATCGGTTCCAGCTGCACCATAGGCTCCGCCCAGAGACATCAGCCCGAAGCTCATGGCTGGAACAACGGGGCCTGATGTCCCAAGTTGTCTCGTTGGGAGAGGATAGGGAAGAGCCATGATTGCTTGAGATTTCGAATTTGTCTTCCGCCTTGGGACTACTCCTTAGACTCAAATCAACTAGATGGTGAGAGACGCGATGATGTTCGAATGCTATCAGATTTATCCTGAAGCAACCCGAGGTGTTACGTGGGAATTTCAGTGGCTTTAAATAGTTACGATTGAAATCCGAGGGCCGTCTGGGGCCTGTACTTTGCTACCAGGATGCAATTCCAAAATGCAATGCTTGCCTAATGGATCAATGACATAGTATAACCTCAACTTTGACGAGGAATGGAACCATTGATACTCTCCCTCCCATGTGCATGACGGAGTTAAGAGAGGCGTACTCCAGACGACAAGACCCCAGTTATGCGCCTTATGCTTGTATCTCAAGCCCATGATGGCTCGGCTTGTCGATTTTGCTCGGAGCTGCGAGTTAGATCTGGACGCTAAGTGGGGAGTGGATCTGGAGTTCCTAATTCCAGCCTACGAGTAGGTAGGTAAGTGAGGCCCAAGACAAGGCCATTATTACACCAAATTTTGATGGAAGTACTAGTCGAGGAGGTGAAGTCCAGTCCGTGCTTGTCCTTCGAGACCTCCTGCTCAACGGGGAAAAGTCCATCCGATTGACCAATCAGATTTCCAGAAACGCCTGGACGAACTCGGATGAAGCGACCCGTATATTCGCAAACGCTTCTTTGGCGTCGGATAGACGTTGAATGATGATACAAGCAGGAGCGGACTCGAGCGGACTCATCTTGGGGATTTGATCATATGCTGTCTCAGGTACTTTCGAAGACGGTGCCCATTGTCCACACACGCCTGGGACATGATGGATTCAAGTTCGTGGATCACTGACGCTTCTGCCTACCCTGTCGCCCACTGTACCTCAACGATGACACAACACAGGCTGCTCAAAAATAACAATCATGAGTAGAGGATATTAGATGCACTACATGCTATATCGCCGGAGCTCTTGCGCAAGAGTAGATTTACCACAATGAAACCTGCCTGGTTAAACAGGCTGTGTTGCTCACCAACCACGTCCTCATACCCAGACCCGGTAACTCTCCTTGTCTTATGATCATTCGACTTGGTTGTTTAGGGAATTGGAAATAGATCCCAATAATGCCGTATTCGATATTTTCAGATCTCGAGATCTCACGTCCTGCTCCTCTCGAAAGTCCCAACCGCGACCCAATCAGAGTGCAACGAAGCCCAGCCCTCCGCCAACAAGCCCGTACACCCACCCGCCTTCCAGCCGACCATCCCCGCACTCCCGCAGCATCCGAGAAGCTGCGTCGGCTGGCGAATATGCACGAAAATTCCGATTAGGGGGGATCTGCTGCCCGGTTTGGGCAGCATCTGCTGTGATTGGGTTAGATCCTGGGATTGTGGTGAACGACGCCGCAAAAGCATTGGTGAGTCGCTTGGGCTAAATAGACGCGGGCTCTACGGTAGTTGATTTGCGCTTGACTAGTCTAGTCAGGCTGAATATCATTCATGGTCGATATGGCTGGGACTATTTTGCAAGTATGTGGTGTCATCTTTCAAAAAGCGACCGCCCAGTCGCAAGGAGATATCTGTAACTTTATCTCTCCGATGAGTACATCACAACCTCGCCGGCTTCTCTTCTTGTCTGCGACATGGCAGGTCCTTTCTAAGGATCTTGCCGCTGGGCGTCTTGGGCAGGTTCTGCAGTTCCCAAACACCACCACGGATCTTCTTGTAGCCTGCCACCTGGCTGTCGGACCAGGCACGAATTTCATCGAGGGCCTTTTGCTTTTGAGCCTGGGAGGCCGAGCTATATTGTGCTGTGAGTGTGACGTATGCGATGGGAAGCTCAGTTGCCTGTTCGTCCGAGTATATCGACGTCACTGCAGCATCTGCAACTGATGGGTGCTGCAGGAGAAGATCCTCGAGTTCGGACGGTGGCACTTGAAATCCCTTGTATTTGATTAACTGTCGATAATGTCAGCATAGTCACACATTCTTCGGGTAGCACGATTATGATCTACCTCTTTCAATCGGTCCGTGACCCAGAAATTGTCATTCTCATCTACCCGCATGATATCGCCAGTACGTAACCATTCGCCTGCATAGGTGTCTCGAGTCGCTTGCTCGTTGTCATAATATCCCCTGCATTGATCAGAATGGTGCAAAAAGAGTGTTGAGCAACCTGCCACTCACATCATAGTCTGAGGGCCCTTGACCCAAAGTTCGCCCTCCTCACCTTGTGCAACATCTTTCAGCGAGACAGGATCAACTAAGCGAACTTCCCTTTTGACAATTTTAGTGATATAGTCTCATGAATTGGAGCAATATACATACGTTCCTGAAACAGGTTTCCCCACAGTGCCAATGTTATCTTCAGAGTCGAGCGTTGTCTGCAGCATTACCGTAGGTGAACATTCACTCATACCATATCCTATCACAAAGGTCAGATCGAACGCGCTCCGGGGCAATGCCAAGGCCTCGGATATAACCAGGAACCACTTACCTTGAATGATTCTCGCATCAGATCCAAATCTGGCTTTCAGTCTCGTCTGCAAAGCCTGCTTCGTTGGTGCTGCCGAGATTAAGATCGTTTTCAAAGACGATAAGTCATATTTTGCCACAGCCGCCGAGTCAGCTAGCTGTACAGCAATGGGAGGCACAATGTGTGCCCAGTTGGCATTGTACTCAGCCATTTTGCGACAGAATAGTTCAAAATCGAATGCCGGAATGCCACACGTAAATGAACCCACCCACATGCCAAGCAGGACAACAGTTCCCAGTCCATACACATGGCAATCTTGACGATGTGAGCACAGAATGTGAGGAGTAGTGACTCGAGGCAACTTACAAGGTGGAAAGAAGCATTCTCTTGTTGATGACATAACAAGACCGGGCACAGATATTCGTCCTTGCAACATGTTCGAGGTTATATTGTAATGTGATAATTGAACACCTTTTATCTTGCCTGTCGTGCCTGACGAAAAAACAATGAAAGCAGTCACATCCTTCGCGGATTTTCCTTCAAGGTCGTAAGGCGGCAGGCTCTCATGGTTTGAGCTGCCCATGATATCGTCCGGAAACTATCGATGATTAGCTGGTGGGCTTGGGCTCTAACGACATTCTCTACCAGTTTCAAGTTTTCGTGCCTCTCGATCACAGTAAAGACTGTTGGTCGTTGTAATTCCTTCAAAGACAGAGTCCGGAGTGCAGAGTCTACCGCCGCTGACTTGCTTGGGTGTATCGCAAGATGACTCGGCTTGACAAGAGAGACAGCATGAGCAATGTCTTTGGAAACCGAAGCGGGATTGAGTGGCCTTGATACAAAGTCGTTAGACTGTGGTTCTGGAGCTTATGGAGACGAGAAACAAACGAGAACACCGCTCCTATCCAGAGAGTAGCATGAGCCAGTATTATGAAATCGGTCTGGCAAAAATCAGTATCACGGAAGAATCTTGAAGCCATCGAAAAATGCTCACAGAATTGGGGACAATGACCATCAGCCTATCTCCTTCCTTCAGACCTAGTCGATGCTTCAGGCCCCAAGCACATTTGGCAGCTTGTTCCCGAAGGCCTCCATACGTGAGACTCTTGTTTGCTATCGTGTCAATGTGAACCACTTTATCAGCTGGGCACAAGTCTGGGTTGTACTTTGTCATGAATTGAGGGATTGTGATCGTTTCATCAAAGCCGACGGGACAGAAGGGTCCTCTCATGGTTGAAGAGGACATCGTCATCAATGAATTACCTCGTGATAGTCTTGGAGTATCTTTCTGGGTGGTGAGACTCTCGCTTTCAAGCCCAAGAACGCGATAGAACAAAATATAAACAGATTGACATTACCTCCAATATCACAATGAGGTCTTCCGAGGCGTTGTTCGAATCAATGAAGATGCCCATTCGCTACTCGGCCATTGAAGTGGGCCCGTGTTCAGCCTGGAGGCCCCGGACCAAGCATATCATCTCCGCAGCACACTTCATAACCTCGGCTGAAGAGTCAGTCAATGAAAGAGTACGATGCACACTTCCGAGCAGTAACACAGGAGCCACGAATAGCTCTGGACAGTCTGGTTGCAAGAATTGCAAAGAATTATTCATGTCTCCCGATATCTCAATTCGACATCTTCGATTAATTGTGTCGCTATATATCTCTGCTGCTGCACAACTCGCGAGATTCAATTCGGCCTGGTAGGAGCCAGCTTGCCACCAGCTGCAGATCATAAAGCTCAATGATTTGATAGCCCATAGTAATCAGGTGCTCTGAAATGGTTTCGCGCCCTGATAGAGCTTCAACGTTGGCGAGTGACTGTGTTGCTGGATTCAGTCATATCATAGACATAGGGCGACCGATCGGTAGCGTCAACGAGCATTCTCGTCATGTCCAATCCTTGCTGCTTCAGCCAGGAATCAAAGGCGCTGTAATGTCAATACATCGATGGTTTATCCGCTCTCAATAAGGTAGTTTGATGACGAATTGAGGAAGTGCGCCTCTCGAGTTTGAGGATGAAAGGCGGGGAGAACGTGCTGAGGGGGAAGGCAACCCAGAGGCACGCGTAACGTGCCTGCACGTTTTTAATCCGCTATCCAGTGGCGCAGAACACGTTTAGTGCCCCCAGATGCTATTTTTATCCTCGCTAAGTCTTGTGACAACTTATCAAGTGATAATCTCTGCCCGGAAGCACAGTCTTGATATATCGTATTCGGATTAGGCTATTTTAGCATCATCGATGCTGTTTTGAAAGCGGGGGTTGAATAGATGACTCTGAATAGACAAGAGGTTGGTCTCTTATATGCAAGGGAAGATTGCAGATTTTAGTCTTTCTGAGCCATATATCATCACTTGACGAGTCCGGAGAAGATACTGATTTCAAGGGAAACATTGACTTTCCGATCGAACCTTGACCTTAGGCTATCTGAAAATCAACGGGTGCCTCTTCGTGTACTACAGTCGACGTCTACTAGCAGGCAAGATGTGTTTCGGCAGTCAGGACAACGACCCTACTCAACAACCCATCAAAATTACTCAATCATCCGAGGCTCAATCAGATGGCTCGACTCCAAGCAAACGAAAAGAGCAGAAGAAACATTCATACACCGATCTACACGATTCTGAAACTCGGGATGTCCATCAAATCGAGAAGGCAAACCTAGACTCCAAGAAATCCGAACCAACATCTTCGGCACCGCTCACGCGCAAGCAACTCCGCGACAAGTATAACAATAAGCCAAATAATGTCGCGGTGTTTGCAGGAAACAATTACGACATCTTTTGACCGGTGCAGTTGTTGATCTCGAACTGCCATCGTTGTTGACGGGGCCGAAGATTGAAGCGTTTACGACGCATGATTAGCTTCGTCGAGTGCCTTTGGCATGATCCTAGAGCAGTGATAACCCAGGACAAGTGGTATTCAGTATCTGGCTCCCATGCAACTTTGAGTTGGGACATGGTTGGTCCAATTATGAATTTATCTCCGTTTACGAGTATGGAGTCTTTGTTGGGAAGCTGGGGTACGCCGTGGCGATGAAGGGTTGTGGTTCATCCACCTACGCATGGTCAAGGCTGATGGCACTCGATAATCTCGGTATTGATAAATCATGATTCATGACACTTGTTGAGAGCACCTTGTTGAGTAAGCATATCGGTGTAGCCCACATATTCGGTGCATAGTTCGACCTTTATGGGTTCAAGTTGGCAGATTGAGTCCTGAGTGGCCCGTGTCTGCTGCGGCCGTATGAATCTCCCCATTCTTTCGTGGAGGCTCTCTCCCAGGTAAAATTGGTACTTGTTTGCTGAGTCACAGCACGTGGTGGACCTTCGGATTCTCGAATCGACACCTTCCTCGTCTACTCGTAAGTCATATTTCCACTCAAAACAATCAATTGCGGCATTCGCCAACTTGTGCCCGTCTATGCTAAAAGATAAGCCTAACACCACCACCTAAATAATCGGTTACTGCCTACTCGTACTTCGTATTCCAGTTGCTTAGAGCCGAATTCACATTTCTTTGTCAACTTGACTCTTAGAAGGCCATGCGCACATGAAGATGAATTGTGAAGCCTGCAACTCGAGGACAAAGAGCATCACACCTATTCATCCGCGATGACGCCATTATGTAAAAGCAGGTCAACAAAGGGTTGAGGAAAGAAAAAATTCCAGTCGGGCCAGAGTTGGACCGCCGGCAAACGGCGTATTTAGTACCACCAATGGGAGTTGGAGACTTGGCGAGCACCCGTTCAGCCTCGTCGTACCTACAATCAAAGTGGATCTAATTGCCGCACGCAAGAGCTACACTATCAGTTGATATTGATCCGAAGCAATACGTAGCAGTAGTTGGTGTCCAGGCAGCTCAATTTCGTACCCTCTGTGGAGACCATGGTCAATATGATATATATGAATGTCTGTGCTGCTCTTCAAGCATGGGACCTTTTCCCCAGTACTCCCAGCGCAAACCTCAACAAGATCTCCTGTGTTTGCTACAGATTTGCATAGTACGGGATACCCGTTTATCTGAGATTGGTACCCCACCGAAGCAAACACCTGACAAATCTTCCCTCCGAAGTACTTGTATATTTGTTGTACCCTGAAGGTACATTTCACCACTTCTCCACCCTCCTCAACTCGAACTGTCTTGTTTGAATGATGGAGGCCACCATACCCAACGCCCCAGCAGGGCAGGAACCACTCACCGGACCAGCCACTGAGAACCAACCCTCTCACAACACATCCTCTTCTTCATCTTTTGTCGAGCCTAAGCATGGCGGCACTAGCTCACCAGTCGACTTTGTGATCTCCACTCGCTTCATCATGGCATTTGCCGCACTCGCGGTCTTAACTCTGATGGTAGCTCTGGATGGCACCTCGATATCGGTAGCCTTACCCATAATCGCGAAGAAGCTAAACGGCACCGCCATCGAAGCCTTTTGGGCCGGCACATCCTTCCTACTCGCATCCACAGTATTTCAACCTACCTTCGCCTCATTCAGTCACATCTTCGGACGAATGGCAGTCATCATGCTTAGCATAACTTTCTTCTTCGTGGGCGTGATGATGGCTGCATTATCCAATGATTTCACTCTTTTGCTTGTTGGAAGATCCATCCAAGGCATTGGAGGCGGAGGTATTATCTCCATGACCGAAATCATCATCACCGATCTTGTCCCATTGAGAGAGAGAGGAAAATATGCTGGAATCATTGGAGGTATGTGGTCCATCGGCAGTGTGTCTGGCCCCGTCATCGGAGGTGCCCTGGCAAACACTTGGCGATGGATATTCTGGATCAACCTTCCATTTATCGCGGTTGGTGGGGTCATGGTTCCCTTGTTCCTCAGACTCAATGTGATCCCACAGAGTCTTGCCACCAAACTGAAAAGAGTCGACTGGATTGGAGCCGTTTTGTTCGTGGGAAGCATGACAAGCTTCTTGATTCCAATCACCTGGGGTGGTGTGATGTATCCTTGGTCACACTGGCGGACGTTGGTTCCTCTGCTCGTGGGGGCCGCCGGACTCATCGCGTTTTGCTTTTATGAGAAGTTTTTGGCACCAGAGCCGCTTCTTCGCTTGTCGGTCTTCGCCAATCGCACAGCCAACATTGCATATTTCACGACTGCTTTGCATGGCCTCATTCTCTGGTGTCTGCTCTACTATCAGCCGTTGTACTTTGAAGCTGTGAAGGAGTACAAGCCGATAATTGCAGGAGTTGCTCTCTTCCCAGCAACATTCACAGTGGCACCTTTGGCAGTTGTCACAGGGTTCCTGATCACAAAGACAGGACGGTGGAGGTGGGCGATCTGGTCAGGATGGGCCATTTCAACTCTCGGCCTAGGTCTCTTGGTCCTTTTGAAAGTTGAAACAAGAATCCCACAGTGGATTTTCATTGATCTCGTCTCAGGCATTGGGCTGGGTATTCTGTTCCCAAGTCTTCAATTCCAGTTACAGGCAGCGTCAACCCAGAAGGACATGGCATTTGCTGTAGCCTTGTTTGTGTTCTTTAGGTCCTTCGGTCAGGCACTGGGAGTCGCCATTGGTGGTGTTATCTTCCAGAATGAAATGGTCAACAAATTACAAGCGTATCCTCGGTTTGTCGAACAAGCCAGTGAGCTTGCCAAAGATGCAGCAGCATTGGTTGAGATCATCAAGCACACTTCCATTGAGGACGGAAAACTTGACCTCCAGACAGCTTACACCGATAGTTTGAGGACAGTTTACATCTTCATCACTGCCTTGGCTGCTGTGGCTTTTGTTGCAAGTCTTTTCATCAAAGGTTACGACTTGAACGTGGCTCTGGAGACCGATCAAGGGTTGATACAAAAGCAAAAGAAAGAAGACATACGAGCAGAGGAGGGAGAAGCTGCAGCTGAAAAATCTGTGGTGCCTGCTGTATGAATATGAAGCCAACCTACCCGTATTGGGAATTTCAAAGGAATAGAAATTGGCGCCGGGACTACCAGATGGGGTGATAGACAACAGAGGTGTTGCTCTTTGGAGTTATTGATGACAATCATTGTACTAATAATTTATGACTGACACGGATAGACAAGGACCACCACTCTTAGAGAGGCTTGGAACATGATCATTTAATTTTGATTCAAAGCTTAGGCGCCATAATGTGGTATATCAAATTGTATCAGGTACTTACTCGTGAGTCGTACCTGTAGATGGTAGCAGTAGTGCTTCGAAACCGAGAGCTCAGAATGACGTATACAGGTTTCAAGGAATAACAGAAAATCCGAAGCCGACCGGCATCAAAAGCGGTGAAGGCAAACGGACCCTCCGACATTTCCAGCGTCGCCCGCCAAAACAGAACTCTTGGCAACATTTTTGGACTTGCGAAAAAAGTTCGTTCTCGGTAGTGGGTAGGGTTGCTTGCATCTCCATTCAAGTTCTTCTTCTCTCGCGACCTCAATCCATTTTCTTGTTTCGCTTTTCTGAGAGGTCACTTCAAAGAAATCCCTCCGGTCTTATCAGTCATGTCTGACGAAGTTTATGAAGGTGCCATTGGCATTGATCTTGGTTTGTCCTCACCCACTCAGACTCTGACCGGATTGTGCGCAGGCTAACAATTCATCAGGCACTACCTACTCATGCGTTGCTAACTATGAGGGTACCAATGTCGAAATCAGTACGTCAATCCCAAAAGAACCCCTTGTTCGACCTACTGTTCAGCATGAATCCTTACAAACTACGCAGTTGCCAACGAGCAGGGTAGTTTTACAACTCCCTCATTCGTCTCTTTCACCGATGAGGAGCGTCTTGTCGGTGAGGCAGCGAAGAACCAGGCTGCCATGAACCCAGCAAACACTGTCTTTGATGTCAAGTCAGTTGATCCTCCACTATACACAACGAATTCACACTGACACACTTGGTTCAGGCGATTGATCGGACGAAGATACGAAGACCCCACCGTCAAGAAGGATATCGAGTCATGGCCATTCAAGATCATCGACCAAGGTGGCAATCCTATGGTCCAGGTCGAATATCTCAAAGAGACCAAGACATTCTCCCCTCAAGAGATCTCCTCAATGATCCTGACAAAGGTATGGACAACTTTATCAACCCATTTCCTCAATTCTAACGTCTTTTGTAGATGAAGGAGGTTGCCGAAGTCAAACTTGGCAAGAAGGTCGAAAAGGCCGTCATCACTGTTCCTGCTTACTTCAACGACAACCAGCGACAAGCCACCAAGGACGCAGGTGCCATTGCAGGTCTCAATGTCCTCCGTATCATCAACGAACCTACTGCTGCTGCTATCGCATACGGTCTTGGATCCGGAAAATCTGACAAGGAGCGTAATGTTCTGATCTACGATCTCGGTGGCGGTACCTTTGATGTGTCCCTCTTGAACATCCAAGGTGGTGTTTTCACCGTCAAGGCCACCGCTGGCGATACCCACTTGGGTGGTCAAGATTTCGATACCAACCTTCTCGATCACTTCAAGAAGGAGTTCCAGAGAAAAACCAAGAAGGATCTCTCTGGTGACGCACGTGCTCTCCGAAGACTCCGGACCGCTTGCGAACGTGCCAAGCGAACATTGTCCAACGGTACCCAGACCACTGTCGAAATTGATTCTCTTTTCGATGGTGAAGATTTCAACGCCCAGATCACTCGTGCTCGTTTCGAAGATCTTAACGCCAAGGCATTCAGCGGCACACTCGACCCTGTCCAGCAGGTCCTCAAGGATTCCGGCCTTGAGAAGTCCAAAGTCGACGAGATCGTGTTGGTTGGCGGCTCCACCCGTATTCCTCGCATCCAGAAGTTGTTGAGCGATTTCTTCGATGGCAAGAAGCTCGAGAAGGTATGTCCCCTGAATCGGCCACAAAAGAAAGTACTAATCCTGATGACAGAGCATCAACCCTGACGAGGCTGTTGCCTATGGTGCCGCCGTACAGGCCGGTATCCTATCCGGCAAGGCCACTTCCGCCGACACTGCCGACCTCCTACTTCTCGATGTTGTTCCCCTTTCTCTTGGTGTTGCTATGGAAGGCAACATCTTCGCTCCAGTCGTGAGCCGTGGGTCCACCGTCCCCACTCTGAAGAAAAGGTATGTGGCTTATTGTTTATCCTGTGTTTGGATTTTGAGTTTGGTTTTGCGTGTCCCCCTTCGCCGAATTTCGGCACCGCACATCAGGCATGGGCCAGAGGACCATTGTCATTGTCCCAATTCATTGACCGGTCTCATGGCTTGAAACAATCGTCCATCTTTGTTTTATCTTCCTGGTGCTCCCCATCCATATTGAACCCTCTTCTTCCTATATCTCCCTCCAGGATTTCCTTTACAACTGATTCCGACACGACTCCGGACCATCTCTCATGTACGGCTTGACGCCTTTTGGTATCTGTCCTACCCTTATTTTCAGCTGGACTTTTAAACTCGTCGCCCATGCTCTGTCGCCTCAACATTGCAACCTTTCCCCAGCGATCGAGGAGTTGGAGAATATACTCCTGAAAATTCTGTTCGGGCGGAAACACTCCTTCTCATCTATCTGATCTCACTATTTCAGACATTCTCCAGCAGCCAAATAACTGAAATTTGTTTGGTGCTGGAATATCTCTCCGCACGAACCCGTACAGAATGGCGGTTGTTTCAAGAGATATCTTACCACTACAACAACCCAGATTTTTTAAATCCTGGCGATTGCAGTGTGCCTTTCTGGATCCTCATGGAACTGGGTCGTTCCCAAAGACATTTTTGGAGCGGAGGCGTGGGTGAGAACGGGCAGTGAGAAAGACAGTCCGGGCGGACGGGCGGACGGGAGGCGGGGCGGAGACGAGTCATACATCAGTCTCTCTGTTCTCTCTGTCTGACATCCCTTCTTCACACCCGTTTTCGGTTGTTCTTCACGGAGTTGTGCCATTTGCCAAACAGCCACATGTCAATCCACTAGATTGGCACTCCGCAACACATTCTTCCACATGAGATGGCATATCTTTCCGGAAATCGACAACATTGTTTTTGGACATTAAGCCAATGTCAAAACAACTACACATCAAATCAAATGATTGCCAATCATCCTGACATCGAGCCAATGGCAAAACAATCACACAACAAATCGACGGATTGTCACCTCTATCCGCCGCCTTGCATATGACCGACCATTATCTCAGGGAGAGCTATTGGACAATCAGTCTCGTGGTCGGACCAATGGATTTACACTTATTTCCACACTCTTCCACATGAGTTCGCATTGTCTTCCATATCTTGTGATACCACTGCCAGAAATTGAGCTGTCTGGGGCCGAGGATTTGAGGATCTAGGAAGGCAGTCACACATCAGTCCATTGGATTGGAACTATTTCCTCCAATCTCTTCCGTCTCAAGATAGCTTGCTCTCTAGGATACGTTCTATCATTGATTGTTCATTATGGACATTGAGATGAAGCGAGCTTGTCCGAGTCATTCCCTTGGGAATTGACCTTTGAGGACAATCACTCTCTACGAATGTACACCTATGAAAGGCAATATTTCTTATGGGGGATATTGAGGTACTTAAGGAGGAGATCTTTGACTGCACCTCTACACATTACTCATCATCCAAGTATTGTGCCAATCCATCCGTCATGCAGGTATATTGTTGCGTGGTCGAACTACCTTAAGAAGGTAGTAGTTATCGATCCAGAGTTTTACATTGTCTTCCCGAAACAGAGCTTACGCCATGCCCGCCTCATTGCATGCTGCTCCTTCCTTGTTGAATGGTCAGACTTGGTTAAAAGGTCGTTTTCGGATGAACGTTCCTTCCTTCTGCAGCCATTCTCGACCTTGGCACGCGTTCCTTCCTCCAAAGCAATGGATTAGGCATCAGTCCCTACTTCTGAATGAGCTCTTGCCCTCATGACCAGAATTCTGTTGAGACTAACTATCTCAACGGTTTTCCTCCTTCTCATCAACTCTGCATCCTCTACAACCAATCCAATCACTTTACCATCAAATGTCTTGTCGAGGTCTATGTTGACTGTCCTCATCACCGCTCCCTTCGAGCCTACACTCCTTCTTTAAGTAACCATTGTCTCTCATTGGCTTTGCACATCTTTCAGCAAAACCACATCGTCCTCGTTCCTTGAACGGCACGCTCATTCCTCGACCACATCTCTTGATTGTCAACATCACTGCTCCTTTCGAGCCCACACCACTTGTTTGAGTAGCCATTGTCTTCCATTGGCCTTCCACATCTTCAAAGAAGTCCACATCATCATCATTCCTTGAACGGCTTACTCGTTACCTCGGCCACATCTTCTGATTGTCAAAAATCATCACTCCTTTCGAGCCCACACCTCTGTTCGAGTGGCCATTGTCTCTCACTGCTTTGCACATATTCTAGCACACCCACATCATCCCCAGTCCTTGAACGGCTTACTCGTTCTTCACACATATCCCTCGGTCGTCAACATACTCCCTGATTGTTAAGCACATTACTCGATCGTCCAACGTGTTACCCGTTCTGCCCACCATGGATGAGGAGATCAAGGAAATGACCATGTTTGCCATTGAGCAACCATCTGCAGGCACCAGAGATCTATACCGTGTGATCTTTGACACCATGGATGCAATGGATGAAGCCATGCAGTCTGCTCAACTCTCATATGCACCCGGTCTCTTGGAGGCCATTCACGCCGATGAACCACCAGATATATCGTTCTTTGAACGTCTCCATGAACATCCAAGTCCTAGAACAATCTGGGCAATATATGCAATTGTCCTAGACAATCGTGATGACACTCAGTCTCTATACATTGGATCAGCAACAGCTTTCATTGGTGGGATGGGAGCACGGTTCAAGACTTATGATGATGTTCTCCGCCTGAGTCAAAAAGCCGAAGCAGAAAACGATCAACAATCTGGTGTCCCCAGTCGCATGAAGGAGGCTGTTTTGGACGGTTCCATCATCACTCACAAGGTTCCATTGGTTTAGTGTACCATTCCAGCCATGATTGACTGTGCACGTACTCGATTCCTGTTTGTGGCCATGGAAGCCGCATTGTCCTTCTACTTTTGGGCAATGTGCTCTAAGGACACCGACTACAAGATGGGAGATTGTTGTCCATGGCCATTGGACTCGTTCACCTACAATGGCTTGTGCAGTCACAGTTCTCTTAAGGAAACTCCTAAGGGGGACCTGAATATGACCCAAGAACAAGCTGACCAAGTTGTCATTGCAGCCAAGAGACGGGTAGCATTGAACAATGCTGCCAACTACAAGAAAGAGAGAGAGCAAGACCTGGAGAAGTACAAAGCTCGCAAGCGCAGATATGGCTTGACATACAATCGCGTCCATCCCGATCGCAGATATGAAAGTGGTCGAAAGTACCGTGCAAAGGTCCTTGCAGAGGAACGTCTGCAGTGTACCATCTGTGGTACGAAGTACAGCAACCGCAATTCCCTTGATCGTCACATGGACTCCAAACAGCACAAGATCTGGGCGAAGAGAGAAGCTGAAGGCAAGAACAGATTTAGGTGCAAGATCTGTGGGACTCCAGCTACCCATCTATGTCATCTTCAACGCCATGAGCAAGGTGCTCGTCACAAGGCCCGCGCTGCTGCTCTTGCAGCTCTTGCAGCAACTCCTTGATTGTCCAACCTCTGCTGGACGTGGTCTACATTTCTTACCCAATCACCAGCACATCGACACTGCATACTTTTATCTGACCACCATTGTTTTGCTTCCCCACACTATCTGGGCCATTCATTCTCCATTGGCCTGCATCTCTACATTCGGCCGACAATCATTCATTCTTGATTGCACCACTGCAGTTCTCGCCGCCATGTATCTCTTCAACAACCATTGTCTCTACATAGAGCACTATCGGGTTACTCGTTCCAGCATTGTCCTACTTCTGGCCACCATATATCTATTCAACAGCCATTGTCTCTATTTAGAGCACCATCGGGTTACTCGTTCTAGCATTGTCTTACTTCTGGCCGCCATGCGTTATTTTCAACAACATCACTTCGGATCTGGCCAACATACATTTATGTTCATGCCATTACCGCGGATCGTTCCACCATACAGTCTCTGTTCACATCATTGGCTCTGATCGGTTCGCCATTTCTTTGTTTCTATACCATGACCTCGGATCGTTCCACCATACAGTCTTTGTTCATAGCATTGGCTCTGATCGGTTCACCATTTCTTTGTTTCTGTACCATCACCTCGGATCGTCCACTATACAGTCTTTGGCAACGCCATTGGCTCTGATCGGTCCATTATATCTCTGTTCTTCACGCCATCGGCTCGGATTGGTCCACTATACCTTTGTTTTCATGCCATTCATCTGTTTTTTCAACCAGCTCAACGTCCTTTGCTTTCAACATCTTACCCGTTCAATACTAATCCATTCCGATCATCAGAACCTTCACTACAGTCCAGGACGGGCAGCAATCAGAAAGTACTCCCCGTCCTTCGTTTTGTACCAGCACTAATACTTAACAGGTTGTTTTCCCGGTCTACCAAGGCGAGCGGACCAATTGCGAAGACAACACTTCTCTCGGCGAATTCACACTCTCACCCATTCCACCCATGAAGGCTGGAGACGCTGCCCTCGAGTGTGTCTTCGAAGTCGATGTCAACGGAATCCTCAAAGTCACAGCCACCGAAAAGACTTCTGGCCGCTCAGCCAACATTACTATCTCCAACGCTGTGGGCAAACTTTCGACTACTGAAATTGAAAAGATGGTGGAGGATGCTGCAAAGTTCAAGACCTCTGATGAGGCATTCACAAAGAAGTTTGAGGCCAAGCAGCAGTTGGAATCATACATCGGTCGTGTCGAAGAGCTCATCAATGACCCCGGTCTCTCTCTCAAGATGAAGCGTGGAAACAAGGCAAAGATTGAAGAGGCTCTCAGCGATGCCATGCAACAACTTGAAGTGGAGGACTCCTCACCAGATGATCTCAAGAAGAAGGAGTTGGCCTTGAAGCGTGCTATGACCAAGGCTATGGCTACAAGATAGATGGCTTCTATCATCTGGCACTGCAGAACTCGGTCACACTGGTCATCTCAGAAGTTTGATTGTGGGCATGGAGACATTGATGGTGCTTGCAAAGTCTTTTACAGAATCGGGATCATGCAATATGTTTGCATTCTTTACAAGTCATGGGAGGCGTCATCTTCAGATTGTTCTCAACCCAAAAGTGTGAAGGTTAACATCCATAGCTGAACAAGATTGTTACCTTTGCAGACAGAGAGGTAACTTTCTCCAGTGCATGGATTGAAATGATTTCATTTGCTCAAGTTTACAGAGTATATGTGTTTCCTTGATCGTCCTTTTGCCAGATGATGTGATTGCCCTCACCTCGCCATACTTTTCTATCCTGGACACCGATACAAAAGTCCGCCCTCATCTCGCATAGCCTTGAAGGGTTCTTCCACTGCTAGACAAACAAGTCGTGTCCATCCTTGCCAATAATCGACTTCATCCCTCGAACCCGTAAATCTTCTTGCTCGATATCACGGACCGCCAATTCTGAAAGCCCCGTCGTTTCCCCATGATATCAACACCACCTACCTACCCTTCCCAAAAACACTCGACAACCTATTCAATTCAGCTTACCCCCAGGAGCCCTTGTTTTCCAACCGAGAAAGACTCTTCAGCATGAGAAGCCGATCGACTGTCATGTAGAGCCCATGCCAGCGGGCCTGCTGGTAGGCGCAGTGCAAGCCTTCATCTCCGCAGAGAACAGTCAACCCGAGCCTTTCTTGCAACACATTGGAACCTGCTGTACTCTCCTTTACGATTTCCCAGCGTACGCCTGGCTGATTGCGGGCCCGCACGACACCAGCTATCCATACATCATGAACATAATCCGCTGCGGACTTTATTTACGGGTGCGGGGCGTCGAATGGTGCTTCAAGCTCAGGAGAAGGTGAGAGAGGCCCTCCTGTTCATCGATGCCGCTGTTGGGATCTTTTGGCCCACGGTGGATGCGTCGTGCTTTGGGCTGTTGAATGAGAAAGGGAAAGCCAATATCGCGGCCAAAGGTCTTGGTACCATATACTGGTTTGGCCCCTTATCCTTCTCTGTCCCAGAGGCTGCAAGCAACAACCAATGGATCCTTCATGATCGTCACGCTACAAATGGTAGCAACGGTTCAGCATTTTCCAGTTTCCTCGGAACAATCGGCGGCATCGAGAGACACGGCACATACTAATAGACATTAATAGAATCATCCTCGCGACAATCAGTGGCATCGAGAGACACGGCACATACTAATAGACATTAATAGAATCATCCTCGCGACAATCAGTGGCACCGAGAGACACGGCACATATGCGACAATCAGCGGTACCGAGAGACACGGTGTAGACGCGATAATCAGTGGCATCGAGAGACATAGCATATACGTGACAATCAGCGGCACTATGAGACACGGCACGTACGCGACAATCAGCGGTACCGAGAGACACGGTGTAGACGCGATAATCAGTGGCACCGAGAGACATGGCATATACGTGACAATCAGCGGCACCGAGAGACACGCACATGCTGAAAGATATCGAGAGAGTCATCTGAAAATAACGGCCTGCGCCCTGACACCTTCTATCACTCAAGTCACCGAAAGTAGGCAACACTTACTCATCACTTCTCCTTCGAGTTACCATCAAGCCTTCTCGACGCCAGCAGGCACGATTCAACGCGACAATTAAGCACGCTTACCTCTAACGGCTGATTCGGTGCGAAACAAGAGATAAAGAATAAGTATCAAGTCCCGCCAACCATTCCGCCTGGACAATCTACCGCTTCTACCTCCTCACATATTGACGACTTCGAAAGATCTCAAGACACACCACAAGAAACACAAAACGCTATGAAATAGCCTGCTCAGTCTGCTTCTACTCTGAGACAAAGAGAAGAGTCAACATCAATAATCTCGAAGTCGAGTCTGGCCATGATCTTTCGTAGCAGTGTCCAAGCTACATTCAACCAATTACAAGCCCCGCAAGAACAATCAGAGTGCCCAAAAATAAGTACTCAACGTCCCAGGTCAATCCTATGATATATAGACAATCCAGCGAATATAAATCGATATTTGCCTTATAAAGAAGGCATCGCCACAAGCGTGATCCAAGACAGCAAGTCACATCATCGAATAGCACAATACTAACCGTGTTCAATTCCTCACCTCAGCTAGAGACGATCGTGCATTGAAACAATCAACTCGACCACAATCCATTATTTCGCTACTCGTATAGCCACTGGGTGACACAGGAACCCAACCGTAGCGGTCCCAACCCTGGATAGAAACATAACCTAACTAACAGAAACTATCAGCCGACGAGCCCAAGCAATGTCACCCGACAATGGACTACGAACGAAGCCACATCAGCAACAGAAACCATTAGTCGACGAGCCCAAGCAATGTCACCCGACAATGGACTACGAACGAAGCCACATCAGCAACAGAAACCAT